CGGAGATCACTGTTGACTCCATATTGATCGCCTTTCAGCAGTGTATTCAGCGATAGGAAGTTCAGGGGTAAGATAGGGCAGATCGTATATGTGGACTATCGCAATCATCGACGTATAGTCTCGAATTCGACGAATCTCCCTTCTTAATGGCGAATCGGGCTCATAACTATCGGAGCTGGGCTGCTGAGCTCATCTAGGTGCACCAATCGGATTTCAACAGGTCTGAATTGCAAAGAAGCCCCTAGCTAGCAATTTGGTGGGCAAAATAATGACTAATACATGCGGGTCTATAGTAATTCCTTCTTCCGAGTATCCACTCCTGGTTCTGCTCCGACATATATTAGATATCACGTGAGGTGAGGGTATCTGATCGACATCTTGGCCCGACCGATTTTGGCCTTAGTTTCCTGCCAAAACGGATAACTAATCTGTAAATCTGGTAAATCGATATAAGTGTCCCTCTTGGATAATGACCATCCCTGGTATAAAGAGGATGATTGCGCGGTGAAGAGCTGAAAATTGGTCTCTCGTTATGGATCACAATTTCTGTGATTCGCTCCGTCCTAAGCCTCTTCTGTCTTTCCATAGCCGCACCCGCTCAGAATCGACATGGCGTGCGTTACTTTGCTTGGCCGAGTCTGTGACTCACTTGCCTTACTCCTGCAGCAATATTAAAGCTCTCCTCCATCAGACACCTTCAATTTCTCCGTCCCCCGAAGTGCCAGAGGTAGCTAAAGCAAGTTCGTTGTATATTGAGGGCTATGCCACGTGGGCTACCCCTGCAGGTAACAAATCGTCAAGTCGCACCTGCGAGCTAGCTCCTATCAAGCACACATTATCTCGGAAAGTCTATATTGGAGAGTCTAGGCCGAATGACTGCAAACTCTCCAATGAGAATTCCTCTGGATGGCCTGGATTCCAGCCAATCTCTAAACCGGATACAAACTATCTCTCCGCCTTTGTACTTGGCTTGTCGTATGTCCTTTCAGCACGGCTAGTTGGAATGCGCCAAACCACAGTCACCGATCGGGAAAGGAGCAGATGCACAGGAAGAACGGAGCTACACAGAGTGAACCAAACTGGAAGCTAGAGAGTATCATATTTTGAGACGAAGCACAAGGTGTGAAGGCAATACCAGTAGGTCAAAAACCCCCAAAGGCCACATGGTCAGGCATACAGTGCCGCCACACAAGTCCTAGTTAAGTCCTGCTGTTCTCATAGTATCGTTGACAAGTGTCTCTCTTGATGCCAGGGCAATAAAAAACACACGACCCGAGATGCAGCCAATCGCAACAGTCCGGACACGTTGAAAAAAGGAAGGGTTTCCTGGTAAGAGCTCAGAAGATCGGTATTCGGGCGGTATCCAAAGGAGGTTCTCTCCATTGAAGGTGATCCAGGAACAGTCATCATTCAGGCCATAACCGTAAGGTGCTCGCAAACTTGAATCGATAGCGAATGTGCCAAAGGACGTATGGAGATGATTGAAATCCACTGAGCTACCTCCCAGGTCCTGACTGTCCTGACTGTGTTGTCCGAAGACGCGGATACAAGGCGACTTTCATTTTGACGTTCTTTGTGGCCCTCGAAGCTCACACGGCTTTTGAACCTCAACTGTTGTTTGCCTCCAATTAAAAGGGTTTTCATTCACAGTTGTCGCTAGCGTGGAGATCTGCGCCCTTTTCAATAAGAAGCCTTCTCACTGCTTCATGGCCATCCCTGGAGGCCCAGTGTAGCGGTGTCTGACTATTTTATCACTTGCGTGGATATCTGCTCCATTCTCGATAAGAAACCCCACAACTGCCTCATGGCCTTCTAATGAAGCCCAGTGCAGAGGAATTCGTCTCATTCTATCATTGGAGTATGAAGACCGTACTCGGTCGTGTGCCCATAATCAATCATGATTATACAACGGCCACAATACACAAAAAATTCGGGAATACACCAGCATCAACTCAAATGATTGCTGGGCACATGTTCCTGAGAAAACCAGACGAAGCATTGGGCGACAGTAACAGAAGACTAGTCACAAACACTGGCAAGCTGTATCTCCAGAACCAAACACGCAAAAGATAATCTATCGTAGACTCTGCAACGATTTCTTCTCCCCATGCATCGACAATCCAAGATCTGACTTACTGAGTCTTGCCAAGTACAATGTCACGCACTATTCTGCTGCTTCTTGCTCAATTTCCCCACACCTCCATTGAGCTCCACCGAATTGCCCTGGCCGATTGATTTGTTTAAAGGAACAGGCCGACTCTTTGTGTAATATGGTCTACTAATCATGCTTCGGCAAATCGTCAATATCCATCAAGTATGGACCATAGATATGTATCGAGATGTATATTTTCATGTCACAGATTCAGCGGGGTTCTTATTTATAGGTGCTTGGAGTAGTCTGACCAACCAATGGGTGGAGAAATTACGGAGCTAGGCTGCGAACAAGCCAATGCTTCAGCATCTTTTTTTCTCGCTAGTAAAGTGCACAGCGTTTGCAGAATCGGGGAGATACTTTTGTAAGTGATCCATTATAGGGGACATTTTGTGCACGGACCTGGCCCCGCCCTTTGATTGGACAGTATGGCTGAATCCCGCAACACGTTCGTTCCTCCTCAAAATTGGAGAACGCGAGGAAGTTTATAGTCACCTTTTACAGGCTTTATTCTAGATTCCCAGAACATTCCCATCCATTTAAACAAGTCTCGAAAAATCATAAGGCTATAATCTCATTTGACACACATCCGATTTTTCACTCCGTCTCCCACCACTATTATAGGGCGATTGAGTATCTTCGTTAAATATCCCAGGTCACGTCTGGTTAAGGTCTTGCGATCGACGCCGAATTCACGCGCAATCTTAGTGATATTCGGCTTCTTTTGGGAGAGGACCATTTTGCATGCCTCTTCAATGCGAGATTCATCGAAATTAATAGATTTAGGCATGGTTGGTAGTTGAATTGGCTAGTAGAAGAGTACTTGTGGGAAAAAGGTCAGGATTGCGGGCGCACCCAAACGCGGAAGCGGTTTGGGTGGGCAGAAAGGCACTGATACCAATGGCTTGCAGTCCCTTGTGTTAAAGTGGACGAACATACTTCGCCTCCACAGCTTAACAACATATCCGCAAAGGATCCCTAAGCTTCTACACACTATTCTACGTCAACCCATACAGTTCAGTGCAAGACCAGCTTCACCATTACTCCCTTTGCACTGTTTTTCTGCCCCACTGCCCAGCCACTAGTCCAGGCAAGCAGGTGCATTTTAAACAGCTGTCTATCTATTGCAGAAATCAGTTCAACGCAGTCTTACATTAGTCATAGATCAATTAAGTCAAAGGCTGGGCCTAATAAACTTAATGGTGCGCTTTAGAGCTGTAATGGAAAGCAAATCATGCAGTACGTTGAGACCTTATAGTGATCATTATTGGTTCCCAGATGGAGATCTGGAGTGCACAAACACAGCCTCTTCTCGACCCGGACTGTCCAAACGCAGGGAAACAGTCTTTCCATTTTGGTAGCTTCGAGGGTAGTTCGCTATTAGATTTCCAGTCCGAGTATCAGCTTTGATGAAACTACACGTTATCCTTCCACGCAAAATATTGGTACGTAAGATATACTGTCAACATTGCGACCAGAAATGCTCCCAAGCCAAAAGCAGAAGAATAATCAGACGTAATTGCTGCGTAAAGGATCACGCCGACTGCTATGGCCAATAGCATGATGAGTATTGAGAGTAAAATGACGACCCAGTTCAGACTCTCATTCATACGGATGCCCCATCCAATGACACGATGGGCATTATTCCCGGGTAGCCGGACCAATGGGTCTCGGAGTTTCTTGGGAAATGTGGTTATCCAGAACCTGTCAGTGTGAGGCCCCGGTTTCAAAAGGTGTTGCAACGGAATATCGGAAATTTCTACGTCTTCCATTGGGACTGGTGCATAAAGGTATCTTCTTGCCTGAACCTCGGCCTCTGGGGGAAATTCTCTCGTTTTGAACCATCTTGGACAATGGTTCATTCCGATGGGAACTAGTGAGAACTGTGAGCGAGAGTCAGTTCACTGGTTTGACCCTTTCAGCACCGTTTGCAAAACTATCATGTACGTACTCGGACGAAATCTCCCGATGCAATTTTGAAAAGCTGCATTTCGGGAAGTGTATGGCAAAGTTTCGAAGAGAAATGGAAGAGCCTCGACAGTGACAGGGGCAGTGACAGCCTCGTTGAAACCGCACAAAAGAAGTTGCGAATCCACAATGGGACGATCATCGAGAGCCTGAATTCATGTTTCTCACGAACGCTCCGGTATTCTTGATACAATTGCCGAAAGAAATATTGGTCGTTGGTGAGAGAACTGACTTCAATATGAACTAATACAGTTGAGTTCTTTGTATTCATACACAAGAGAACAAACTGAGGATCATGATTCTGGGATGTTGCGCTTCCAGCTTGGGTATCCTGGAGTTGCGTGGATAGTGACGACGAATGATGTGGGACCCTGTTTTGGACAGGGAAGTTTGAACTCAATCCGGGATTCAAATGCGCCTGAGGTGGGGGTTCTAGACGACTAGAAACAGGTGGATTCTGTGATTGAGTGCCAACGGCAGCAACGCTACTAAGAAGTCTTCGCCGGAACCTTTCAATCCCCCCTGCTGATATCTCCCTAACATCAAGGTAAGAAAGCTCCCCACAGCCCTAAAACATTGTTAACGCTAAATCATTTGGAAAGATTGGAGAACTGACACATGTGTAAATAATCCGTTGGTAGCCGGCCGCTGGCGGAGTGTAGATATTCACCATCCGAAGCCACCAGGACGACAATCTTGCCAGCCTCCCGGTCCCTGTATACCCGACCGAGAGATTATCCGTGAGACTATCACTGTCTTCTAAAAGCTGATTATAGTCGCCGGAATATGTATTCAACGGCGCGGATTCGGCAAGATCGTTAAGCCGGCAGCCTGTAAGTCATGTTACCAAAAACAGTAGCAGTCGTGACCACATCGATAGCTAACCTTCTCCGATGTTTGGGTATGAGGTACTGCAGTCTTCGTGGACTGCAGGAGACACCTCAATCTTTTGGTTCAGATCCTTACGTCTATCTTTCCTTTTGACTTCCAACCAGTCTCGAAATTCTTGGCGTAGACCGGGAAACGCTTTCGTTGATATCATGAAGTCTTTCACCTGTTCAAGGGTGCCGAATGGGGTTCGCTGATAGCTTTCCGAACTATCTGAATCGCTGTCCGCAGACAATTTGTCAGCATCAGCATCAGCATCAGCATCAGCATCAGCATCAGCATCAGAATTCGGACGACCTCCCGTCAGTGACTCTATCCACGCGTTGACTCGAGCCGACTTCGATACATCCAATTCCAGATTCTTTCCTATGGGAAGTTCGCCGCTATCTTGCATGAGCGACAAGCGAATTTGAGCCGCTGTCCGCCGCGCAGACTGCCGAACAAAATGTGCCGCTTGGCGTTGAAGTTCATTTGAAGCCTCGCCATTCAAGCTCCGCCCATAATTTCTCAAGATGCGCGCAAAGTTCCTTTGAAATCTATCGGGACCAACCCTTGAGATAGCCATTGGATATAGAAGCATCAATTCGTCGTCATTCAGTAGTAAATGGGTCAACTCAGATATAGCGATTGATGTGATTTCGCCCTGAGATGATTGGGAAGACAAGAAGGAATCTGTGGAGAAAATGCTTTCAATGTCACTTTGTTCACACATTGAGCTCTTCGTGTCAGCTTGGGTCTCACGATGCCATTTCTGCCGCCTTGTAGATTCACTGTGTTTGTTGAGCAGTCGATTCAAAGCGGGAATATCGGCTTCATTGTACTCGTCACCAAGATGTGGAAGGATCTTGGTGAGTCTTAGAACTGGATCGAATTCGAGGAAATGGCACACAGTAGCGGCGAATACGAATGACGGAACAGAGATTGTGGCAAGAGCCTGAATAATAGTGTCTCCGGGCCAATCGAGAGGAAGTGATTGTTCCTGTCTGATCTTCGAAAGCCGGTCCCGTAGGAATAAATGTACGTCACGTTCTGTTACCTCTTCGGGTATCTCATGAAGAGCTAGGTCCTGATACCCATGATCCGCGATCTCTGAAAAGCCGAGGCTGATTGGGAGTTCGGGTCTGCTAGTTAAGAAGATCCGAAGACGAACTGACTTTGCTTTCCGTAAAAGAGGCAGTAATTGAATAATGTTTCGGACATCTTGGTCACGTTCGCATTCGTCCAAAGCGTCGATCACTATCACAGCGGTTTGAAATTGTCGATCGAGTTGATCCAGATCAAGCAGCGGTTGAAGGAGTAGGTTTTCAAACTGCTCCCTGAGCGATTTTGACGCAATGTCAGGGTCATGATCGAGTGCCTTCTGCACGCCAGACCTCAGCTCAGGAATTCTGAACATCAGTTGCCTTGTTAATGTCGGGAAAAACTTCTTCGCGCTCCCTCGGTCCCCTTCACCCCTCTTAAAGAAGAAGCTAGCACCTAGACGATTAGTGCCCTTGAGCGACCTGGCCACAGTCCGAGATATTGTGGATTTTCCTGTCCCGGCCATTCCCTTTAACCAGAAAATGCTTTTTTGGGATGGCGACATAGCCCATTCCATTATCTGCTGGAGGAGATCGACCCTAGTGCCTTGGAGACATTCCACTTCGTCTCGATCGTCGAACGTGTCAAACCCGGCGTCAGTCGCAATGGGCAGTTTATCCAGTAAGGAATCATGGTCTATGCGATCTATGGTTCGAGCCACATGTTCAATAGCTGGCTTGAGAATATCCAGAATCCTCTCTTCTCTCTCCACTAGCCCAGGAACGATTCGGCATAGAAGGTCTTTGGCATAGGCTGCGGCGACCATTGCCGCATACCCTTGCCATTCTTTGTTCTTGTGTGAATCTGAGTAGTCACAGATACCGCGGATCACAAGGCATGGGAAGTGATTCATCAGCCCAGCCATTTCCATTTCAAAACATAGTACATCCATTTCTGCCGCAAATTTGTCACGGATTATAGCATCCTTCATTAGCTGATTAGCCGATGCGATCAGACCATAGTGAATGGTCGGGTTGTCTTCATCTATAGAGCGTGGATGGCGTGAGACTAAGGCGGATGAGTCATTACCACAAAGCATCTTACAATCCGATCTGCCTTCCGGTGGATGGACGATGTGACTTCGGTAAAGCCGGTCGCTTGCTAGATTTGGCCTCTGGTATTTTTTCCGTAGGCGTGGCGTTTTCTCCAGAGCACGACAGATGGACTCTTCCAGCTGATGGCCCTCCATCTCATATTGGGCCTGAAGGCCGTTGACCGCTGCGCGAAGGAGGGTAGGGGGCTGATTAATGAAGCCTGTCGGACAGAAGCCTTGGCCTTGCATCATTTTACCGAAGTCGTACTGAATAAACCCACTTCGGCCGTTGCGAGGAACGCTTATTACCACGTCACCAAGGCGAATGTCATTCTGAGAGCTTGGAGCTCCGCCGCCGATGCCAACCATCAACCCGATCCGAACATTAGGGAATGTGTGTAACATATCCTCGGCGACTCCGGCTGCTGAAGAGGTACCGTATTCGCCTAGAGGCAAAACGCAAATCACCACATTGTGTCTTCCAATTCTGCCTAAGGTGTATTCGTTTTTATCTTGAGGCGGTAAGGACTCTGGGCCCGTATGCTGTTCATCGAGGAAGGCTTGGGCGGCAACATATTCCGTAGTGATAGCGCAGATCCAGCCGACGGTGTAGGTTTTTGGATCCGCCATTTTTGATATAGTAGCACACTTGCTATACGGTCGCCTGGCTGATATTGCGGCCGATCCAATGTCTTCAGGTGTTGTGTTCGTCTGCGGGGCAGTCGCCAACGGAGGTGTGGCTGTTTTGCAGACGAGTTTCTATTGGTGTAGTGGCTAAGTAGGATTTCGGCTGGAAGTCGGCCCGAACCGAGACCCATCTCGTTGCCTTGCGCCTTTAGCCACCTCATCAACCTTGGTTGACAGCGTTACAAAGACCATTATGGCGCCTCGGCTCGCCCTCTTCTAGCTTGTGATGATATGTGATATAATTGACAGCAGATTGCTGACTACCTCAGAGATTACAGAAGCGGCTGGCTGCAGCAAGCGTTCGATTATCACCATCAGTCACAACCTACGAATGTTCGGCGACGTTCGAGCACCCTCGTGGCCGTCCTCATATGATCACACCGTTTATGCTCGAAATCCCTATGCGAAAACTTGATTGAAAAACTGGACTTATACCTAGACGAAATGGCAGACTTCCTATATAATAAATTCGAACTGCTCGTGTCCACATTCACTATTAGTCGAGCCCTTCGATCGCAGGGTTGGACCAAAAAGGTAGCACGACGAATAGCACAAGAACGAAATGCGCATCGTATGGGGTAGCATAGAATAGTTTGTAGAAGCTTAGGGATTCTTTGCGGATATGTTAAGCTGACGAGCCGAAGCATGTTCGTCCGCTTTACCCACAAGGGAATATAAGCCATTGGTACTCCATTCTCCATCCTTGTATTAACGTGATAACGTATTGCCCGAGCGACCGAGTTGACCGAGCGACCCCACCAAAAACCCATCTCAAAAAATAATACATCTTGTTTACCACAATAATCATGCCCCCCCCCCCCCCAACGATCTGATCGAAAAACAAAATTAATAGAGCAGGAGGGCCGTCTTTTGTTATCTATAAAAGCAATAAAAGATGGTAAATATCCCTCTGCTGCAGCTGCTGCGCGGTCTTTTCAATTACCAGTCTCAACTTTGAAGGCCCGCCTTAATGGGCGTGAGGCTGCTTCTGAAAAACGACACAATCGCTTTATTTTCTCTGAAATTGAAGAGCAATCGATTGAAAAATGGCTGTTGGATATGGATACCAGAGGTGCTGCTCTTACACTGCCTATGTTAAGAGATATAGCTAATTTACTCCTTCATGCCAAAAAAACAACCCGCTCTACTATTGGTAGAGATTGGGCATTTCACTTTGTTAAACGACATCCAAATTTGTCTACACGATTATCTCGAAAGTACGACTATCAGAGGGCTCTCTCAGAGGACCCTCGAATTATCAAACCATGGTTTGATTTAGTCCAAAGTACCGTTAAAAAGTGGGGTATCACTTCGGATAATATTTTCAACTTTGATGAGTCTGGTTTTGCTATAGGAGTTGGTGCTACACAAAGGATTATTACCTTAGCTGAATACCACGGAAAAAGAGCTCTCTTCCAAGCTGGAAATCGCGAGTGGGTGACTTTAATTGAGTGTATTAGAGCTGATGGAAGTGTTCATCCTCCACTCTTCGTTTTCAAAGGGAAATTTTTTCCTGAACATCTACGTATTCCCCTTGGTTTAAATCAACCTGGATCTCATCTGACTGTGAGCAAAAATGGCTGGACTACCAATTAAATTGGCTTATGGTGGTTGAAATCTCATTTTATCCCAAATATTGGGAAAAGAGTGGGAAAATACTGCCTCTTAGTCCTTGATAGTCATAGGGGTCATTTAACCCCTGAATTCGATCGAATTTATGAAGAAAATGATATCATTGCGATATGTATGTCTCCTTATGCCTCTCATCTTATACAACCTTTAGATGTCGGTTGTTTTTCGGTTTTGAAGAGGCTTTATGGAGGAGCGGTTTCAACTATAATACGGAATGGAGTTAATTCTATCGATAAGGAAGATTTCCTTGAATTAATTGCAGATACAAGAAAGGGAGCCTTTAAGACCTCTACTATCCAGAATAGCTTTTCAGCTACTGGATTAGCACCATTTAATGCTAATAGAGTCTTAGAAAAGCTTAATGTGTGCCTGGATGAACTTCCTCCTCTTGAGATCCTTCCTCAGCGACTACTCTCTTCTGGCAGTGATAGTGATTCAAACACTCTCTGGACTCTCTCAAAATTCTCAAAATCGCAATCTCGGATCAAAAAAGGTCTAGAATCTTCTTCTTCAATCCTTTCTTTACTAACTAAACGGGAGATTGAGAGGACCTACGAAATGACCATAAAAGTGGTCCATCATCATATTTTTCTTCAGAATCGCTGCGACCAATTAGAGGCTTCTAATAGGAAACAGATTAAAAAACGAGTAATTAAGCATAAGTTTACTAGCCAGAGGGGCATTTTCGGGAGTCGGGAGGATGGTCAGGATGATGTGGTTGTTGAGGATGATAATGCTAGTGAAGATGTATATTTGCCAGGGGTGCCTGAAGAACCACCCGCAGAACTTGCTTTACCCTCTATGCCTATAGTTAGGCGTCAGATACTCCCGGACAGGAGCAATAGCATACCTCGAGGAAGCTATTAAGGTAGCACGACAAGCTGTCGACGCCACCCCGCAAGACCATCCAGAGCGCACTCGGCAGTTAAGCAACCTTGGACTTCATCTAGGTAACAGACACTCTCGGACAGGAGCAATAGCAGATCTCGAGGAAGCCAAGCAATGCTTCAATGCTGCCCTACATCAATCTACCTCTATTGTTAGCGAGCGCATCACAGCCGGCCGTTATTTCCTGTCCTCCCCAGCCATCCTTCAAGACCAACAACAAGCATATTCTATTGCCAAGACGACGATCGATTTAATACCCTTACTAATGACTCGTTCCCTGCAAAGTGCTGATAAGCGACACCTTCTGTCTGCTGCTGTTGGGCTGTCGTCGGATGCCGCAGCCATTGCTCTGCACGTTAATCAAGGTCCAGTTACTGCTGTCCAACTTCTCGAGACCGGTCGCGGTGTCATAGCAAACACCCTTTTCGAGCGATCCGATGTTTCCGTTCTGGAGAGGAATTATCCCGAGATGGCGCGCTCTTTTATCGACTTGCGGGATCAGTTAGACTCGCCATCATCACGGGATTTTCTTGCCACGCCTATGCACCCCGCTGTGCCCGCAGAGACAGAAGGCCGTCAGCGCCAAGGGGCTGAGATCCAGCTTGCCAGCCTCCTTGAGACAATTCGATCACAGCCGGGTTTCAACCGATTCCTCCTTTCCGTATCAGAAGCCGACATGATAAAGGCTGCATTGTACGGCCCGATCGTTGTCTTGAACGTAAGCTCCTATCGCTGCGATGCGCTAATCATTCATCATTCCGGCATTCGACTGCTGGAGCTACCGCATCTCTCCCAAGAGGCCATCGATGACCACATCGACCATCTGCAGTCCCTCGAGACGCTTGAATGGCTCTGGGATTATATCGTCGGCCCTATTCTCGATGATTTAGGCTTTAGTAGGCCTCCGTCAGACAGTCAGTGGCCGCATGTGTGGTGGGTCCCAACCGGCAAACTGACCCGATTTCCGCTCCATGCGGCGGGATACCATCTCCGGCGTAGCGGTGAAACAGCGCTCGATCGAGTTATCTCATCCTACGGCTCGTCCGTTAAGGCAATCATACGCAGTCGCCGACGGCGGCTTCAAACACTAGCGGCTGGGAAGCACCACAATGTCGTCGCCGTTGCCATACAACACACGCCAAAACAGGAACCGCTCAACTTTGCCGGCGACGAGATCGAAGCCGTGCTTGCTATTTGCAACTTAATGGAATTACAGCATACTGAACCTCAACCGTATAAATACAACGTCTCATCAGCCTTGGAGGACTGTTGGATATTTCACTTTGCGGGACATGGTAGCACGCATCCCACAGAACCGCTACATAGCCAACTTCTCCTCGAAGATTGGGATCGAGATCCATTCACAGTAGAAAGCCTTCTAGAGACCAACCTTTCTTCAAAGTCGTCGTTCTTTGCCTACCTCTCTGCATGCGGGACAGGACAAATCCTGGATGAGATGTCCGTCGACGAAAGCATCCATCTGGCCAGCGCATTTCAGCTTGCTGGGTTCCGCCACGTGATAGGCACACTGTGGAGTGTCGATGACAGACTGTCTGTGGATATGGCTCGAATGACGTATGAGTTTCTGCGCGATGAGGGAATCAGGGATGAATCCATAAGCGGCGGCCTTCACCACACCACTCGGACGCTTCGAGACCAGTGGGTTGACAGCGAGACAAAGGCTATGCACGGGAAGTTCGGCGGTTCGAGTTCACAAAGGGATGGAAGGGTGGTGGTTCTACATCGGGAGCCGCTGCACTGGGTTCCTTACGTTCACTACGGCGTCTGATACTGAGGTTATATTTTATCCTGGATTTCGGCAATAACTTCTGGCCGCCCGAATATTATATCACTGATGTATATGGGTCAAGAAAAGTGGGTCCATTCATTACAGTGACATAGCATTGGTTCATTCGTTTCCCGTCTTTCTTATGTGTTCGTTGGTGTACCTACCACAATATAACCGAGGCGTATATCAATATTTCCACCTGTAACACCCCCATCTGAGACCGACCATTAAGCCAAGTCGAATGTTTTGGAAGGTAGATGTCAGGTGGACTGTCACGATCACGTGCGTCATGATGGTCTGGTCTGGTAAGTGTTGATCTGATCATGAGGTCGTATTATATAAGCTCTTAAATAACCAGACCTTGTTCTCAATCACTACCAACACGGCCGTTCCTGTTGGCGCAACCTATCGGTTGGATCACTCCACAGTGATCATAGCCCTCCCGCATGAATGCTTACTGTACCAAAACACGGATACAGGCAGCTTCCCGGAGGTCTACAACAAGCTGGTCATACTTTGGCTCAAGGCGACATTAAAGTCAGCCTGGTCATTAATCTAGCCAATCATGAGTTATAATTCTGTGAGATATGCAAGCGCCAAGAGATCGCGGTTTCAGGCAGCTCGAGGTGAACCAATTGTATCTGTGCTCAGGTGAGAGGGTCAGTGCGGGAGAGATTCGCCGGCATCCCATCTAGAAGTACCTGGCGGTCCCTAATCTACTATGGAATCGAGGGGAACCAAGGAGCCTTCCTATGGATCTTTTTGTAGCTCGGTCTTCGCAGTGACAAAAATCGAGAAGCGCTCGTCAAGTCTGAAGTATCCAACGCCCACAAGTTACAGTACCAGTAGTTTATGACATCCTTTTCAGCGCATTTTATCTCGACCGGCATTCCCATCCTGCGTCTTTTGCTGAGTGTTCCTGTTTTGGAAGCGACTCCCTTGCCACCTCTCGGTCAGGCCCGATTTCAATCTCCGTGAAGGCTTCGGCTCGCCATGGCGGCAATGGTCTTGGATCGATCGTTTCTAGGTCGTTCAGCCTGTCTACGTTCATGGTTTTCAACGCTTCCGCGAGCGGGAAGCGGGCATAAGACCCAATGTTGTTCCTAGGTTTCTGACCTCGCGATAATGCACTCTAAATAGGGTGTTCTCGAGGTAGAGTGTGGAGGCGTGCGATGGTGTTCTGGGCTCGGTGGCGGAGACGGGGGTGGGTAGGAAGGATGTGTGCCTCTACTTCCAGGGTTCGGAGTTACGGTCGGGAGCGAAAACAGCTTCCCTAAAGACTGCGTTTCTTCTCCCGAGCTCCACTGCTAAGGCATTAATTACGGCTAACAATTATTTGACTGACCTCGCTTATGGATATAACTGTTTAGGGTATTCAGTGGTATTAAAAGGTGTAGCATACTGTAGGGTGAACGACTCATTGACGAGTTCTTCCTTTTATTTAGCAAATCTTCAGGTTCGAGTGACAAATAAATAAAGGAAGAATTATAGTACTGTTTTTCGAGAAAGCACAAGGGATCAAGGGACTGCATAGCAAATAATGGGATCACGCTATGTGTCGAAGGCCCTTATGGATTTTGGAGTCTTTTGGAAGATAGAAGGTAAGATCAACTTTTATTGGCAACAAAAAATATAACCAGAAAATTTGAGACATGCAAATGCATCGTTTACCTCTAGCAGCCTGGAGGGGGGATTCCATAGTCTCTACCTGGGGCGTCAACATCGGCCCCGTGCTCAAGCAGCAGCCGGACGATCTTGTCGTGCCCTTCATGACTAGCAGCCTGAAGAGCAGTGTCGTACGCACCGCCGTGAGCGGTGACATCGGCACCATGATCTATTAATACTTGCACAATCTGGTCGTGTCCTTGAAAACACGCAGCTTGTAAAGCAGTGCCGTAGTGTCCAACCTGGGTATTGACATCCGCACCTTGGTTTATCAACACTTGCACAATCTGGTCGTGTCCTTGAAAACACGCAGCTTGTAAACCAGTGCCGTAGTATCTCCGTTGGGAGTCGATGTCGCGTTTTTCTTGACGGAGCATCTGAACGGCCCCTTCATGACTTGTAGTACAACAGGCCATCAGTAAAGAATTTCTATAATGTCTGGGCCTAGTATTGAGGTGGGTTTCGCCATAATTGAAACGTTCATCTTGGACATTGCTGCTGGCTTCGCGCATTATAATCTGCATGAAGCTTTCATGTTTTGCCGAAGATGCAGTTTGTAGGGCATAGCCGCAGTGTTTACCTTGGGCATTGGCATCAGCTCCATGCTCTAATAGTAACTGCACGATGTTCGTATGGCCTTCGAAACAAGCAGCTTCTAGGGCATTACCGTAACGTCCACCCTCATCATTGATGTCGACTCCATATTTCAAAAGCATCTGGACGATATTATAATGACCTTCAGAGCAAGCTGCTTGTAAGGCATTATCGTAGCGCCCTTGCTTAATATTGACATTGGCCCCGCTATCCAGCAATAGCTGAACAATCATTTCATCCCCCGAGAACAAGCGGACTGTAGAGCATTGTCGTAGCCTCCACTGTGAGCATTGGCATCGGCTCCATATTCCAAGAGCAGATGCGCAAGTGTTACATGTCCCCGAGAACAAGCGACTTGAAAAGCAGTGTCGAAGACACCGCAATGAGCATTGGCATTAGCTCCGTGCTCTAATAGTAGCCGCGCAATGTTTTTGAATCCCAAACAACAAGCCGCTCGAAGGGCATTAGCGTAGTGTCCACCCTGGGCATTGATATCGGCTCCATGGTTCAGCATAATATGCACAATTTGGTCGTGTCCTGAAGAGCACGCAGCTTGTAAAGCATTGCCGTAATATCCACCCTGAGCATTGACGTCGGCTTGATTTTCCAATAGGAGCCGGACGAGTTCTTCCTGTCTCCGAGGACATATATCCCGTAGAGCATTGCCATCGTAGCTGGTCCCATGCTCCAAGAACACCAACATAATCCTGTCTTTTTCTCCGCAACACGCAAGCTGTAAAGCATTGTAGTAGTGTCCACCGTGAGAATTGACATCGGCGCCATTGGCTAGAAGTATCTGGACAATCTGATTATGTCCTCCAGCACAGGCAGCCCGGAGGGGGTGCCGTGGCGTTCATCTTGAGCATTGACATCGGCCCCATGGTCTATCAACAATTGTACAATCTGGTCGTGTCCTTCAAAGCACACAGCCTGAAGAGTAGTACTATGGTGACCACCTTGGGCGTTGACTTCGGCCCCATGCTCGAGTAACATCCGCATAATCTGGTCGTGTCTCTTAAAGCACGCGGCCTGAAGAGCAGTATTGTATATGCCACCCTGGGCGTTGACATCAGCTCCATGCGTGAGTAACATCCGCACAATTTGATCGTGTCCTGCAAAACACGCAGCTTGAAGGGCAGTGTCGTAGTCACCACCCTGGGCGTTGACTTCGGCCCCATGCTCGAGTAACATCCGCATAATCTGGTCGTGTCTCTTAAAGCACGCGGCCTGAAGAGCAGTATTGTATATGCCACCCTGGGCGTTGACATCAGCTCCATGCGTGAGTAACATCCGCACAATTTGATCGTGTCCTGCAAAACACGCAGCTTGAAGGGCAGTGTCGTAGTCACCACCCTGGGCGTTGACTTCGGCCCCATGCTCGAGTAACATCCGCATAATCTGGTCGTGTCTCTTAAAGCACGCGGCCTGAAGAGCAGTATTGTATATGCCACCCTGGGCGTTGACATCAGCTCCATGCTCGAGTAACATCCGCACAATTTGATCGTGTCCTTCAAAACACGCAGCTTGAAGGGCAGTGTCGTAGTCACCACCCTGGGCATTGACATCGGCTCCGTGCTCGAGTAACATCCGCATAATCTGGTGATTTCCATTTAGTGAGGCCCGCATGACCGGAGTTGTCGATGTGCCATCCATTGTATCGATATCGCTTTTGTTTTGGGTAAGAATAAATTGGACCACTTGCGCATGGCTATTGAAAACTGCCAGGTGCAGTGCGCTCATTGTAGGAATTTCGTCGTATGGCATCACTGCTTTCCAAAAAGTGGGAAACCACATCCAAAACCTCGCTCCACTGGTATCATATAATTCATGCAGTCGATCAGTAACCTCTTGGTTAGAAGTCAAAGCCATTTTCCGTACATGGTCGGGCCAATGTACTGCTGAATATTCCAAAAACCTTTTCGTATCAGAGCATGATGTATCCCCATCGCATTCTAAATCCTCCATTAACAAGTATTTTAAACAGATAAGAGCCATCTGAACCTCAGTATCATTGAGGCTACACGAGTACGGGAAATCGGAATCATTCAATCTGGTCTGTTCGGTAAGAAATTCCCTTGCTGTCTGATGAATTAGATAGATCTTAGAGTCGTTGATAAAAACAAACAGGCCGCATAAATGTCGCAGCTTTTTATGAACCTGTAGTGGATCTAATCCAGCTTGTGCTATAGACCGCGATTGTGGGCAAATAGCTATACCCAAAGCTGTTGCCATTTCTGTCACAGTCAGAGGACGCCGTGCTGCAATTATAATACGGAAGACCTTTTTCACAGTATTAACTTGGCCGGAAGGGACTCGACGGAGAATCTTTCTATATGCTTGATTCACTGAATGAGGTATCAATCTGATTGATTCCTCAGAAGGCCGAAAGCTATTCTCGAATGTAGATCGAATATCGTCAATGGCTAAATGTAGCCAAAGATATGTCCGGTGTTCCATTTGCAAAAGCTTTTGCTCAAGTCGCTGTTGCATATCCCGTGATAATGCCGCTGTTTCAGCTAGCTCTTTAACTCGAATCTTTACGACGAGATCAATTTCTCGGCGAATTTGATCATTTTCTTCCTCGCCTTTCAGATGGAGATGTGGGAAAGAGTCTGTGATCCTTCGGAATCCGTTCTGGATACGGTCATAGGGGCGACTGGTGACTAAGAATTTCAACCAGGTATCCTGTTTTAGTGGACAGCGTGGGCGGTGAAAAGACTGGAGTTTCTCGATCAGTCGACCTTGATCAATCTCACGGCATTCATCAAGCGCATCGAATATGCAAATTGTCTTGCATGGCGTGTTAGATAATGTAGCCGCTGTAAAAATTCGCCAAAGTTCGTCAACTTCCCGTTGGAGCTTCTCCCCGTTCTTTTCCCAGGAGGGAATGGCATGACGTAATAATTGGGGCCGCTGGCTGAAGAGCTGATGGAGTACTGAGCACAGTGCTGCAGCAAGATGATTCTGTTCATCGTTGTCCTTGAAAAAAAAGTAACAGACCGCCCTCTCTGAATCAGAGGCTTCCAAATGGTTATCGATTATGGATCGGGACAGCACAGATTTCCCACAGCCGGGGTCGGCAGATATCCATAGAAGGTCGTTACAGCTGCTGTCCGACCAGCGGATGTATTCATCGCTCTGGAGAGCCCACAGGCAGGTTCCTTCCACTTTCCTCGGATTCATGTTCTTTTGCTCCTCGTAGGTTGATATCTTGAAGGTTTGGAGACAACGATGTTGCTGAGTTGTCAAGGCTCTATCCTTCTGTCCACTGTGATACTGAGCTTGTTCACTAAGTAGTCGATCTAAGCGCTGATTGGCGCCTTCTAGCTTTTCTGAAAAATGCCGTTGATCAATTTAAGTTTAAATAACACTTACAGGACTGTACAATACTAACTGGCTATAAGGTCACTGATCCTTTCCTCGGCCTCAATTCGGTTTAGAGGAATCCTCTGTATGAGGTCTTTTGTGTATGCAGCCGCCACCATCGCTGCATAGCCTTGCCATCTTTTGTTTTTGTGCGAGTCGGAGTAGTCGCAAATACCACGAATAACGAGACACGGGAAAGTGTTCATCAGTCCAGCGGCTTCCATTTCGAAACAAAGAACGTTTTTTTCCGCTGCAAGTCTATCTCTTATCAAAGCATCTTTCATCAGCTGATTACCAGAAGCAATCAGTCCATAGTGAATAGTAGGATTGTCTTCATCCTTAGCCCGTTCACATCGAAGTACTAACTTTGACGGATCATCCGCACATGATAAACCACAGTCTCCTAGGCCGTGTATCACTTCAGCTTTGAATAGCTTATCCGTATCGTGTGGCGGTCGCTGGTACTCGCCGCGGAGTCTTGAGTTCTTGTCGAGAATGCTATCGACCGTTCCCTGCAGTTGATGCCCTTTTCTTTTGTACAGTGCCTGTATCCCTGCCATCGCAGTGCGAAGCGTAGTTGGTGGCTGGTTCAAGAATCGCATATAATGAAAACATTGGTCTTGGGTCGACTTCCCAAAGTCGTACTGGAAAACACCACCCCCGTTATCACGGGAAGCACTGACCACAACATCGCCCAAACGAATGTCATGGCTTTCGCTTGGTACACCTCCTCCGATGCCGACCATCAGGCCGATCCTGATGTTGTGAAAACTGTTCAGCATGTTTGTCGCTACGTTGGCGGCGGAGGCAGTTCCATATTCACCATCAGGCAAGACAGCAATAACAACTTTATGTTCGCCCATCTTGCCCAGTGTATAGTCATTGTCATCGTGTGGCGACACGAAGCTCGGTTTTTCATGCTCTTCGTCGAGAAGTTCCTGTGCGGCAATATATTCCACCAGCAAAGCGCATATCCAGCCCACAGTGTATCCCTTAGGGTCTGACATGACTTCAAATCGAGAGAGAAGAAACTGAAGCTGTACGTGAAGTCTGTTCACTGTCCCCACTTTGCATTCGAAAGTCTCAATGTCTGCTGCGTAATAGAGACCGGAGTCACGAAGTCGACATGTGTTATTATGAGCAAGGGGTAATGAAGGAGCTTTGGGATAAAGAATATGAAATATAAGCCGCCTGCTAGGAAGGCTCAACCGCATGACTAGCACGACACGTCACAGCCGGCGGCAACAGAACAGACGCTATTGGTGGGAGCCGTCTTGTCCATGCGCCCGAAGAAAGAGAGAACCAGGATATAATAAGACAAGGCGCAAGCACAGGCATCGACGGATCAAGTGAGATGTCTGGGGTGTGAGAAGACTGCGTGGACGGAGGGAACAGAATAGACGCCATTCTCAACCACATGGGCTAAGTCTCGCGCCAAACCCGAAGCATAACGGACGCGAGAGTTGAGATGCTATTGGTGGGACCTCCGTAGGCAAGATGAGTCTCACTTGCTCTCACCCCGCATCTCACCCCGTTGATTGCGCACTCACCCTACTCGCCCATAGTCGCGCGACCACAAAGCGGCGATCACCCATTTCCCCACCAAGGTAAGCTACCTTATTTGCTAGGATTGGCAAATGGTGCGTGGCCTATGTGCGGCAGATAGTCGGGTGGCTGCCGCCCGGGTGAGAAGTGGGTGAGCGCCGCTTTACGGTCGCGCGACCAGGGTGAGATGGGGTGAGTGCGCAATAGACAGGGTGAGAATCCGGGTGAGAACGGGTGAGATCTCAGCCTCGGTCGCGCGACCACCGCACAGACCCTCTCGGCTGAGCTCAGATACAGCATTATTGGTTCACCTTGATCAGGCTGAAACGGTGCTCTCTTGGCACTTGCAGAACCCATTGAATCCTAACCCAGGATTGGCCAAATCAACGTCGAGGCTGACTTTGAATGTCGCCTTGGGCCAAAAGTACGCATGTACCAAGGCTTACAGCGGCAAAGGTACTTAAGTCTTGATCCTTTCATTCAATGGAGTTTCCTGCGCCTCGAAGAAGAAGTGATAAGTGATATTGATAAAAAGTTCTGAGTATGAAGTATCATCAATGAAATGGCGCGGTAGAATTATTTTCTGAAAGCTATTTTGCTACTTAATTTCTCCTGATCACATCAGAGAAGGACAACGCGAAATTCCTGAAGCGATGAGAGCTTCGAAGACCGCCAGAACGAAGGGACGGCGCCTACAGAGTGTCTTCACCCTATCCTAAAACTTGTTCATACTGTACGTATCTTGATGTCCTGCAAGTGAAACATCATGGGCAAAAATGGCCAGGCAAAGTTACTATTGAGACCGATGCAGGAATAGCAATATTCCGGTTTCAAGCCTAATATGGGCTAGTGTGCTGTGCCGGTGAGGGTAGAAGTACCACTTCCTACCTCCCCATTGTGTTCCTTTCATTTGGAATGTACAGTCGATACATGTTCCATTAAAACCCAGCTACTGCACAAGTATAGTCTTTTCTTGGTTATTGAGAGTGCTTTGGAAGTTGACTATTGCCATATTCAAGTTTAGAATGAACCTTAACCAGGGCCTCCATGCCGCTGCGAGCGCGGGTGACATTGATTCCATAAACCGAGCTCTCGAAAAGGGAGATGATGTCAACAGTACAGATGGAAATGGGGACACCCCACTTCATTGGCCGGTATGGAAAAAGTGTCGACATTCCGTCAGGTTATTAATACTTGCTGGGGCGAACGCAAAGGATCTTGACGCCCACGGGAAGTCGGTATACGACAGATGGAATGGGGAGGAGAAGACCTGTTGAGGTTCTTGAAGAGTGTCGAAGATGAATATTTCAAAGTCCAGCAGGGCCTACGTGAATGCGCTTCGAATGAAAATTGGACAGAGTTCGACAAGCTGTTAGAATATTCCGGTCTGATCAATATTTACCTGCCAGAGGGACATACCTTGTTACAGGAAGCAGCAAATTCAGGCCTATCTACAGTGTTAAGAGCACTGATCCAGACAGGTGCCAATGTTGAAATGAAAAGTAGGAAGGGCCAAACGGCGCTTCATTTTGCGATAAGGTCGGGATCTAAGCCCGCCATTTGCGAGCTTCTTGATTACAGAGCAGACTTAGATACCCAGGATCAGGACGGGCAGACATCTCTTCACATTGCTGCACAGTCTGGGTCTTCAGAGAGTACAAAAGTACTCCTTGACCGTGGTGCAGACATCAAGATCCAGGACCAAGACGGTCGGACGGCTCTTCATCTTGCCGCACAATCTGGGTCGTCCGAGAGTGTAATGCTACTCCTTGACCATGGTGCAGAAATCGAGATCCAGGACCAAGACGGTCGTACAGCTCTCCACCTTGCCGCACAGTCTGGCTTACAAGACATCATGAAAGTTATTCTCTGTAACGGTGCAGTTGCCGACGTTCCAGACAAAGACGGTCAGACCGTCTTTTCGATGATTCAAAGCCCCAGCCTACAAATCAGCATCAGAAAATTCGCAATGGCTTGGGAGAATGAGAAGTTGCATTTGCTCGCATCTAAAACTTGCCTGAATTCGGCCGTCCGTCTTAAATGCACATGCAGGCAGCATTACTTTGATGGCATTCGTGTAGTATGTTTCTCTGCTATACCACCCCCGTCTATCATTGGTCGCATGAAATTGGGCATCGAATCAATCAGTCAAGCTCCCATTGATTGGTGGCCCTTGAGTCAACCCAATACCCCTTGCCCAGCAGGACATGTAACAGTCAATTGGATGGTAAGCATAGGGTCTTGGACGAACGCGCTCAAAGCTAATCCCTGTTCTTGAAGTGTGGAACAAGACAGCTTTACCTACACCTACGACCAGATGAAGCAGAAAAATATCGTCAGGAGTGTGTCCCAATAATGCTCAGTAATATCCGCAACTTGAAACCAACCCTACCACGCCATCAGCAGGACATTCAAGATTCAAATAAAGACACCCACCAGAAGAGTGGCGAATCGACGAACCGACTTCATCCAGAACCGATTTCCTCTTCCTCCCAAAAAAACAGTGGGGATCAAAGTGGAGATAGCGAGAATATCTCCCGGGAAGACGATACCTGCAAAGAGATATACTGGTGTGTTGACAAACCCTGGATTTCCCTACCAGTAACGATGCTTTCCGTGCTCGATAATCCACACAATCTACGGTCGGATGCAGAATTCTACTCAAGACTCAGGACTGAATATACCAACATTCGTGGTTACTATGTACACCGGCTGTTTTCATGGAAGACATGCACAAGTATTGAATTCGTCAAGGTAGATAGGTCCACTTATCACTTTGCGGAAAATGTCTAATATCCCAGTTTCACCGCATTTACGATAATCGAAACGAAGTTTTCATTCAAACGCCAAAGAGAGTCCTTCCTCCAGGATCAGACTACGAGTGCAATATACTTCAACCTGAGGATGTCCAAATGCAGATAGCAAGTGAATACATTGTGAGAGGCTTTAGAAATCCTAATCTGGACAAAGATGACAAGCGCGTCCTCGAAATGATACCGAAAAAGATTGTCCCTCCTCCACTTCCAAACGAGAGAGGTAAAGAAGGATGGGGCTTACACGCCATGCATGGATGGTCATTTTTGAAGATATTTTTGTGGTTCGTTACGACACAGGTGATTGGTTTTGTATTTGTTCTATTTTGGCTTCGTTTTATCAACAAAACAGACCTACAGAACGCCTTCATGCCCTTGACATTCTTCACCACGACTATCATGGTGGGCTTTGGCATATGCCAATTTTTCACTCCAGCGTGACTGATGATGCTGTCCTTATTTCAAGCCTCTTTTAGCAACTCGGCGTGACAGGCATGCCTGACCTTGTTACAATTCCTGTGTTGCTTCCGTTCTTTGATATTTTGGCGTCCTGGCGCAAGTTTTTTGTATATTAATACCGATGTCAATAATCTTTTGCCCTGTAACTCGGTGACTGGCGTGTAGTCTCGTCGAATGCGCGCTCACCCTATGTGCACCAAATAATTCAACCGAATTCAGCGAGGAGCATATCAATAGAAAAGATACGATTGAATAGGGCCTACGTGAAGCACATCCAACAGAAAACTCGCTGCCGTGTTCAGGTCAAGGGCCGGGGCTCTGGATTCATCGAATCTAACACTGGACGGGAAAGCGACGAACAGATATTCTTGCATGTTGCGTGAGTTTCAAGAAACTCCGGGCTCACAAATCATTCATGCTAATCATTCTTCAAGCGGTCCCGACCCGAATGACGTCCAAGCTGCCAAGAAGCTTAGTGAAGATCTTTTGGCCAATGTCCGGGAACAATATCAACAGGCTAAATGGGCTGATTGGGTGTTGCATAAGCGCTCGCCGCAAGCCGGACGTTCACGCTCACCTAAGACTCCCCAAGGATCGTCCGCATCTCATGGCAATTTGCTTTGAGTTTTCTATCCCGAATGTAAATTTCCTGGCGCCCGGCTCGGTTCGAAGTGATCTCTGAATTTTTTTTATTTTAGATCCTTTGCACCTCTGTAGTAACTTGACAGGTTTTTCCCGCGATGTTTAAGCAAACGAAACAGCGTCTTTTTCAATTTATTGGCAAGGTCAAACTGTCTGACCTTGGTTTAATGTTGCCTTAGCATGTCTTCTCGCTGTCATATTAATTTGAATGTGTTGTTCAGAGCCACGCCACGCCAGGGTACATATATATCATCAAGGGCCCGTAGACTTCCCCAATTGAAACAGGCGAGCTATTACGGGAATCAAAAAACGATCTTGCAAGCCTCACCATCATCATCTGTAAAGAAATAACAATCTCCAATAGCCTCGACGTCATCGTCACCGATACCAGCCTCCGTAATAAAGATATTCAATTCTCCTTTCCCGCTCTCTTTAATGTGAATGGAATCTTCCCCGAGAACGGCTCCCTTGTTGTATTCCCTTGTTTTCAAAGTGCCGCTCTTGTAAAAGATCTCCCTCATGCGGTACGCGAAGACAAATTCCCCAGCCGAGCCAAAATTCTGGTTGTAGTGCGTAGCCCTGGAGTAGTTGAAATGTTCACCCACCTCGACTGGCACATATACCCCTGCATTAGTGCCTCCTTGGATGTTGGAACCAAAGGCGTGCAACTCCCTATGTGTTCCCTCGCCACCCCGCGCAATTTTGACACCTGTAACCATGTACAGATTTGGTCCGTATCCAAGAATCTCGGCTGAGACGGACGCAACACTCTTCTCAATGTACGCTCGCGTCGGTTCAATAGAGTATGTGTCCATCGTAGGGACTTTGTAGGCGCCGCCCGCAGTATTGTCCCAGTGGGCGCGTGCGGCTGCCCCGAGGGGCAGTTGCGCGACCTTAGCCCACAGAGCGAATCCTCCGTGGGATTCGCGGCCCAAATTAATGGTAAAAGAATCTTTGCGGGTATGATTGATTTTCATCTCACTGGTGATGGGAAGAGGGTCCCCAATGAATGACCCAGGGTCTCGCGGGTTCCGCCAGACGTGACCGAGCTGGATATTGTTATCGGGAGCATAGTCATCGTTGGCTGGTCGTAAATAAGTCTTCTTGGGCATTTCGAGGACTCAGCTCGGATTGTTGAAGGTTGTTGTTGCCCAAAGTGATGACTATTCACTTTGGGGATCAGTATGAAACGCTCGATCTCAAGTGGGGTCGAGATCATGTGCAGCCTCAATGAGACGTGGTGAAAGATGATTGGAGGAACGTAAACGAATGCTAGTGAGCTGTTGGTGGACAATTATATGGGAGCTGTCAGGGGAGTTGATCCTACGCTAAGAAGACACGCCATGTGCATTACCTTTCAGTCAAAGAAAATTCTACGCAATTTTGCCCAAATCTCGCAACAGGCCTACTTTCCCCTTCTAAGTCTACCTCCACGAGGAAGCGAGCAAGTTGATACCTCAATATTGGAGCCATTAGCTCGATAAAAGATTAGAGCCTCAATGTAGCTACTTCAGACAAAATGGCAATTCTATGACGTCGAGTTCATCAACATCTCAATCTCGTACTTATGACCTTCATAGTCCCGTTCAGGATTGAAGAGTCTCCAAGGAGCAATCATGCGGCAATCAATGTTCACGCTCTGATCGTCAATGGTTGACATATACAGAAAGACTCTTCGGAGTCCACGGTAGGACCGAAGGATGGCCCTCTGTGGCGGAGACACGTTGGGCCCGTGTCTGCCTCGCTGCATCGAAAACTCTAGGACAAGAGCTGCAATGCCTGCGGCCACCGGTGTTGCAAAGGAACTTCCCGAGACATATCGAGTTTTACAGCCCGATTCGTTTAGGTATGGTGGCCAGGCTGCTTTTATCCCTTCACCCAGAATCATAAAGCTATCATCGCCGTCTGAGCGCGTAGGTGAAGCAAGAGATCTTGAACCAAAGCCTGTAGCAGATCGAATACTTAGGACTTGCCCTTGGACATTGGCGGGATAGGTCACTCGCTTCTCCAGACTCAAGGAGCCTGAATTGGACGCAGCAGCTAGAACAATCTTGTTCAGGTTGAAGGCGTCCTGGATCGCCAAACGAATGGGGTCAACTTGCCGGTCAAACCCGAAAGATAGCACAATGATATCAACGTCCCATCCCGTTCTCGAAGCAGCATGATTAATCGCCTAGTCAAATTAGCTTTACCGCCGGAACGATTGAAGGCTCATGTTACCTCAGCGACTCTTGCAGCTGTTTGGTCATCGAAATGGGACCGCTCGGATACCTTTCCGACATACAGGTCTACCTTTGCTACTTGTAGAAGGATGTCACACACTGCAGTACCGTGGCCAACGCGATCTTCGATACCATGAGGAGAGTCGGTCCAATCCCGGTAATCCCTTATGCTAGAGCAGTTCTTTCTCCGATTTTTTTCGATCGCCGGATGTTCGCGGTTAATACCGGTGTCAAGAACGGCAACTTTCACCGCCGTGTCTCCTTGTCGTCGACGCTCACGTATCCGAGAGCCTACTGTTGTGCTCAATTTGTCGAGCCATATCTCTGCCGAAAAATTTCTGTAGACAGTTAGGCTGGTTCCTCACAAGAATGATAATGAGGATCTAATTTACGCACGATTTAGGGGGCTGAAGCACCGACTCGGAGTCAAAGAGAGACCCCGAAAGGCCTGAATGCTCAATTGCCATCTCGAGTCCAGTGGTAAGTGACACTGTTTGATCACTGGCGTTTTTCTGAAACGTCTTCAGCAGCACTGTCGGACTGTGAGGACTCAGCTCCATTCCCTCGTTGACTTGAGGTTGGACAGTCCTAGGCTGAATTGGGACCTTCGGCCAAAAGCCCCATATTCTATCCAGCCCCTGCAGCCGACCAGAGACATCCGGACTGATAACAAAAAGGTGGTCCCCATCATGTCTTACCGTCACCCAAAGCTCCCAAGAAAGCGAGAGTTGTGATTCCTTTGTACCCCTGGCCTCCTTAACCATCCATGTTATGCGCCTACGTAGGGTGTCACCTTCTTCCTGAGTCGCAGACGTCGAGGCATTAAATTGCCAGGTATGGCTGTTGTCCCTTCGAGGTCCGTAATCATCAGTCACCACGATACCGTGCCGAGGCTGCTTACCTGGAGCGCTTGCCTTGAAACCTACGCTCAGCGCAGCGTAGTCAAGTTTTCCAAATCCTTGCTGAATCTCGAGGTCCATGACTAAGCGCCACGCAGGGCATTTATCGTGTTTCCCGCAAAGTCCAGTGAGAACACCCCATTGGGAACACGGTTTGTAGCAGCACTTCACTTCGACACCTCCTAAGCTTGTCTCGGCAAGAAAGTCATTTTCTTCTAAGTTTAACGAACGAGGATCCAATTTGTATCTCCCAAACACGATCTCACCCACAGTTGAAACGAGCCCTGGTGTCATCGTTTCAAAAGCGATGAGTGGACCTAGCCGAGTTCAACTGGATTCTGAATTATCGACCGTTGTAACAGATGTGGTGGGCACAAAGCAGGTAGTACCGCCTTGGTCTAAATGTAGGCTCAACCGAGCACGGTTTTCGGGTCGGACCAGGTTATGAATAATTGCAAAATAATCCTGGCGATGTGCACATTAGGTATGCTTTATCTTTGACAAGCAGCGGGTTTGGGCTGGCTGAACAGTTTCTCTCACAGGATAAGCTGATGTGATCACCTGCACATGTATCACGACGCTAAGGCAGATTCCCTAGTTTTGGTGGAGAGTTACCAATGAGAAGAAGAAGCGGGGCGCGCGCGGCACGGGAGCAATGTGCAAAATTCCGTTGAACTGTCTGGTCATGCGCTCCAGGCCCGAAACGTACATCTCCAGCTAAGGCCCCATTCCTTTTACATGACTACTATTGATCTTCCACTACCTTGCTATCCTAGATACTGGTCCTTACCTGAGATCACAGCCGGTAAAAATTTATGTCGGTGCTCTACTTGAAGCACTTGTCGGCCCGAAAAGTCAACCAAGCAGTGGATACAAACGATGGTCTCTACGGAACCAGAACCCACATCGAAGGAAGTGACTAAGGCTACCCCATTTCTAGAACCTGGAGACACCATTTTGCTCGAGATGGAGGTACAAGAGGATATCCCTGCAGAACTTGAAGCATTTGTGCAGCTCGCCCGTCTGTCTCTTTTTCAAGAAGCCGAGAACTGGTTTATGGCCTGCCTTTCGCGCTATGGTCATATGTTCCCTGTCCTTGCAGAATATACGGATATGCTTCTGCAAAAGGGATCATACTCCAAACTCGTGGAAATTCTGGATAACATCGACCCTAATTCCCTGACCGCACTGGGCTACACAAACATCACCGACGTATTGCACCTTTTCAAATTCATGAAATCCTTAGCCACTTTACGTTGGAAAGGAATGCCAAAGGAGGGACTATCAATTGTAAAGGAGTGTTGGGATTATCTGAACGAGAGAGGTGTTAACGTTTCTGAAAGACTTGACACGGTCCAGATTCAAATGGTCGAAATATATCTAGGCATTGTCGTGGTTGCGTTTCAATCCAATTTACTTGAAGGAAAAGACAAATACACAAATCCACCATGGACAGGACTTGAGTCGCCACGATGGTCTGGATTTCGTGCCCTATACACGACCTTAAGGAAGGACGGCTTCCACTGGGAAGCACAATATGTTCAAAGCATGCTTCTTCCTGTTGTCTCATTCGAGGACGTGATGAGTACGTTTGTCCAGAAGGGCCAATTTGCGACTGTGGTAGGGGCCATTCAGGCATGCCAAGTCGACGAATCCGTGGTGCTTACGGAGCTGATCATCTCCAACCAAATATGCACGTATCTGCTGGAGTGGCAGCCACTTTTGATCATTCTCGCTGAAGCTTATCTCAACGCTTCCCGCTCCTTGAAGGCAGTGCTTCATGCAAATAGCAAAATAGACAATATTGAACAGGGACGCCCACTTTTGCAAGTCAAAAATCTAGAGGAGCTTTGCGACCAAGTGAAAAGCGCGCCTATGTCACTTGCAGCTGAGAAGGGACACCAGGGGGTAGTCAGGCTGCTACTTGAAAAGGGGGTTAACATGGAGACGAAGGGCCCTGGGAACAGAACGACGCTCCACATAGCAGCCGAAAACGGGCATAATGACATAGTCGGAATGCTACTCGAGAAAGGCGCCAATATCGAGGCAAAGGACAAGGCTGGCTGGACGCCATTGTGGTGCGCCGTGGTGAAGGGGCAAGAGGGCATTGTTAGGCTACTACACGAGAAAGGCGCTAATATCGAGGTAAAAACCGAGTTTGGCCGAACGCCACTCTCGTGGGTTGCCGAGAACGGACATGAGGGTATTGCTAAGCTACTCCTCGAGAAAGGTGCTGATATCGAAGCAGAGAGTAGCAAACAAAGCGGAACACCGCTCTCATGGGCTGCCGAGAACGGCCACGAGGGCATTGTTAAGCTACTGCTCGAGGCGGGCGCAAATATCGAAGCGAAGACTACCTCTGGTCGAACGGCGCTCTCGTGGGCTGCCAAAGGGGGGCATAGGATTATTGCCGAGCTCCTACTCGAGAAGGGTGCCAATATCAAAGCAACAGATAACTCTGGTCGAACGCCGTTGTCATGGGCCGCTGAAACGGGGCACGAGAATATAGTTCAACTGCTGCTCGAGAAGGGTGCCAATATCGAAACGAAAATCATGAATGGCCAGACGCCGTTGCTATGGGCAGCAGAGAACGGGCACGAAGATATATTCAAACGGCTGCTCGACAAGGATGCCAATATCGAGGCGACAGACAACTACGGTCGAACGCCGTTGTCGTGGGCCTCTAAAAAGGGACACGAGGATATATTCATGCTACTGCTCGAGAAAGGTGCCAATATCGAGGCGACAGACGACCGTGGACGAACGCCGTTGTCATGGGCCGCTGAAACGGGGCACGAGAATATAGTTCAACTGCTGCTCGAGAAAGGTGCCAATATCGAGGCGACAGATAATTCTGGTCGAACGCCGTTGTCATGGGCCGCTGAAACAGGACACGAGAATATAGTCAAATTTCTGGTCGAGAAGGGTGCCAATATCGAGACGAAAATCAAGAATAGCCAGACGCCGCTGCTATGGGCAGCAGAGAACGGGCACGAAGATATAGTCAAATTGCTGCTCTTGAAGGGTGCTAATGTCGAGGTGACAGACAACCTTGGTCGAACGTTGCTGTCGCTGGCCGCTAGGAATGGGCACGAGGAAATAGTCAAATTGCTGCTCGAGAATGGTGCTAATATCGAGGCGACAGACAATTCTGGTCGAACGCCACTATCGTGGGCCTCTAGGGACGGGCATAAGGGTATAGTCAAACTGCTGCTCGATAGTGGTGCTAATATCGAGACTACCGATAACTATGGCCGAGTGCCGCTGCTGCAAGCAGCGGAGAATGGGGATGAGGACGTATTTAAGTTGCTGGTCGAGAAAGGTGCTGATCTCGGGGTGAAGACTGTGCTACACCGAACACCGCTCTCGTGCGCTGCGGAGAACGGACATACAGGTATTGCTAAGCTACTACTTGAGATCGGCGTGGATACTGGGGAAAAAGACAAGTTTGGCCAGACGCCGCTTCAGTTAGCCGTTTCAAATAGGCACAGGGACATAGTGAAATTGCTGCTTGACGGGGGCACCGATATCGAGGCGAAAATAAAAATTGACCAGACGCCGCTGCTGTGGGCAGCGGAGAATGGGCACGAAGATTTAGCCAGAATGCTCCTCGATAATGGTGCTAATGTCGAGGCGACAGACAACTCTGGGCGAGTGCCACTGCTTCGGGCAGCGGAGAACGGGTATGAGCGTATAGTCAAACTGCTGCTCGATAATGGTGCCAACGTCGATGCGACAGACAACTATGGCCGAGTGCCGCTGCTACGGGCAGCGGAGAATGGGCATACGGGTATAGTCAATCGACTGCTCGATAACGGTGCCAATATCGAGACGACAGACAATTCTGGAAGAGCACCACTATCGTGGGCCGCTGGAAACAGACATGAGGGTATAGTCAGACTACTGCTTGATAATGGTGCCAACATCGAGGCGACGGAAGATTCTGGACGAACGCCATTGTCCTGGGCCTCTGAAAATGGGCACGAGGATATAATCAAATTGCTGTTCGAGAAGGGTGCCAATATCGAGACGAAAATCAAGATTGATCAGACGCCGCTGCTATGGGCAGCGAAGAACGGGCGAGAAGATATAGTCAAACTGCTGCTCGACAAGGATGCCAATATCGAGGCGACAGACAATTCTGGACGAACGCCGTTGTCATGGGCCGCTGAATCGGAGCACGAGAATATAGTCAAATTGCTACTCGAGAAGGGTGCCAATATCGAGACGAAAATCATGAATGGCCAGACGCCGCTGCTATGGGCAGCAGAGAACGGGCACGAAGATATAGTCAAATTGCTGCTCTTGAAGGGTGCCAATATCGAGGCGACAGATAACTTTGGTCGAACGCCGTTGTCGTGGGCCTCTGAAAAGGGGCACGAGGATATATTTATGCTACTGCTCGTGAAAGCTGCCAATATAGAGGCGACAGACGACCGTGGACGAACGCCGTTATCGTGGGCCTCTGAAACGGGGTACGAGAATATATTCAAGTTGCTGCTCTTGAAGGGTGCCAATATCGAGGCGACAGACAACTCTGGACGAACGCCGTTGTCATGGGCCGCTGAATCGGAGCACGAGAATATAGTCAAATTGCTACTCGAGAAGGGTGCCAATATCGAGACGAAAGTCAAGAATGGCCAGACGCCGCTGCTATGGGCAGCAGAGAACGGGCACGAAGATATAGTCAAATTGCTGCTCTTGAAGGGTGCCAATATCGAGGCGATAGACAACTCTGAACGAAGGCCATTGTCCTGGGCCACTGAAGAGAGGTACGAGGATATATTTCAATTGCTGCTCGAGGAAGGTATCGATATCGACGCGATAGACAATTCTAGACGAACGCCGTTGTTGTTGGCCTCTGAAAAGGGGTACGAGGATATAGTTCAACTGCTGCTCGAGAAAGGTGCCAATATCGAGGCGACAGATAATTCTGGTCGAACGCCGTTATCGTTGGCCTCTGAAAAGGGGTACGAGAATATAGTTCAATTGCTGCTCGAGAAAGGTGCCAATATCGAGGCGACAGACAACTCTGGACGAACGCCGTTGTCATGGGCCGCTGAAACGGGGTACGAGAATATAGTTCAATTACTGCTCTTGAAGGGTGCCAATATCGAGGCGACAGATAACTCTGGACGAACGCCGTTGTCGTGGGCCGCTGAAACGGGGTACGAGAATATAGTTCAATTACTGCTCTTGAAGGGTGCCAATATCGAGGCGACAGATAACTCTGGACGAACGCCGTTGTCGTGGGCCTCTGAAGGAAGGCAAAAGGATATATTCAAACTGCTGCTCGATAATGGTGCTAATATCGAGGCGACAGACAAATTTGGTCGAACCCTGCTGTCGTTGGCCGCTACGAATGGGCACGAGGAAATAGTCAAATTGCTGCTCGAGAAAGGTGTCGTTATCGACGCGATAGACAATTCCAGACGAACGCCGTTGTCGTTGGCCTCTGAAAAGGGGTACGAGAATATAGTTCAATTGCTGCTCGAGAAAGGTGCCAATATCGAGGCGACAGACAAATTTGGTCGAACGCTTCTGTCGTTGGCCGCTACGAATGGGCACGAGGAAATAGTCAAATTGCTGCTCGAGAATGGTGCTAATATCGAGGCGACAGACAACTCTGGACGAACGCCATTGTCGTGGGCCTCTGAAGGAAGGCAAAAGGATATATTCAAACTGCTGCTCGATAATGGTGCCAAATTTTGAGACGACAGACAATTCTGCCCAGAATCCACATGTCTTGGCCAGCCAAATAGCGCACGAGAGGATCGTTTGCCTACTGCGTTCTTAGCCATGATCCATGTATCTTATTGCACCGCCAGGCGTGTATGGCGGCTGCAAAGCCATTGTCTGACTGGTGTTTTCTGCTCTACGTGTACACTTGTCTTCTTTCCTGTCTCCCTTTCCTCGCCTGTCTTCTTCGGCCTTCTTCTCCATAGCCTACTACTACCCTACGAATGGGCTGCCATACACTTGAGAGCAACTAGATCTTTAACTCCTTTGTGTACCTCTCAGATATAACCGGGAAGGGAAAAAAAACCTTAACGAAGCGACGAATGTAAGAAAGACAGTGGCTTCCATTTTAGAGCCGCGAATCGGAAAGTGGCTTCGCTCTGCGCCCTGCCACATATGAGGATCTGATAGGATGGTATGGCGTGACCCCTATTACTGGAAGATAAGCGGAATGAGATTGATTTAGAACCTTGCACATTCTACGCGAAAATTGCATGTATTGGGGCCTGTAATATCCCCGGTCATTTCTTCTAATGTCCAGTCTCCTTCTGATACTCTATCCACCTGACCGTGACCCATATCTAGGTAATCTTGTGTTCATGATCGGTTCAGAAGCTACAACTGGCGAGGCAAATTCATAGTACTGGCTAGACGAGCTGACCCATACTGCGTCGTACGCGATAAGCGCCGGTATTCCAAAAATTCTTCCGGTTGATATGATGAGCTAGTTTAACTCTCTCCTGTTCTGTGAGATTGAGCTGGAATCGGAGACTTCGAAATGTCTTATTCTTTTTACAGATCAGTAATTAGATGAGAATGTTGCAATACCTTTTAGCTTTCATAGGGGCATGAGAAATTTACTTTCTTTGTCTCTTTCATTTTACTGTAGCATCTTGGACCTCTACTAATCAAAACAGTGATCGCACACGCAGGGGGTATACGGCCGGGCTGTTGAAATTACATGCTAGTATTGAAATAGAAGCCCAGAGCCTTAGCAGCGTTCACGGCTAGTTTGATACGAGTAAATGGAGCAGCGCCTCGACAACTCCAATTGTAGACTGCGGACGATCAAGGTCGTTCGTGACCCGGTCCACTCAATTCGCGTACAGTGCCAGTTTCCAAGGTTGTTCAATTAACTAGCTCGATCTGGGTGGTCTTGAGGGGTGGAAACCGCTGCCATATCTCTAAACACGCTCAGAAATCGCGGTCGTGCCACGTCGACATCGTCGATATCTCCCTTGCAAAGCTAACATCGGTACGTACCTACCAACTTCAACTACCTACCATGACACCAATTCGCCCTGAGTTCCGGCAGAAATCTCCTGCAAGTCAAGAGGGCAAGATCTTGTTAGCCCTTTCTTCTTTGAAAGAGGGGTATCCGCAGCGGCAAAGCTATACTAAAGAGCACGGATCTAAGAAGATGTATACATCCTATAGCCTGTCGGAGTCCATATATATATTCATGACTTGACGGACGGCGCATACGACGACCTAACTCTATCTAAGACTGTTGAGATGAATTCGCGTATATGGGATCCTGCTGCGTGGAGTGGTAGCTGGCTTAGCAGGCCAGTAGTATTCCACCACACTCGAGGCCATTTCATTATCGGAGGTGGCGTTGCTAAAACCGATTGCCTCGATAATCGGATAAGCCTCGGTCACGAGGAGCTCGTAGTCGACGTTATTGCTTGCTGAATACATGCACGTGACTTCGTCGAGAATTACGTCTGAAGGACGGAAGGGTCAAGCATGAACCCTTATACCATACTCACTTCATTCATATAGATGATCATGGCCGGTAGCACTACGCAGAAACTCGCTGTTCTGATTGATGCTGACAATGCTCAGCCATCTATGGCGAGGCTTTTACTGGCAGAAGTGGCAAAATATGGCACAGCTCATGTGAAGCGGGCATACGGAAATTGGACTAGCACTAACTTGAGCGGGTGGAAGGAAGAGCTTCTCAGACGATCTATTCAGCCGATTCAGCAATTCGCTTACACTCACGGAAAAAATGCAACTGACTCAGCGATGATCATAGATGCGATGGACCTCCTATATCTTGGTCATTTTGATGGTTTCTGCCTTGTTTCTAGCGACAGCGATTTCACTCGCCTGGCCGCTCGTATTCGCGAATCTGGATTAATTGTGTACGGGTTTGGGGAACACAAAACACCAGAGCCCTTCGTCGCTGCCTGTGATAAGTTTATTTACGTCGAGAATCTTGTCTATAACAAGGAACTTGTACCCCATCCTGGCAGGATTATGATGCCAAAAAATCATGTTCCAGTGCGACACGCCAAAGCAGACGTTAGCTTCATAAATCTGCTACATACGACGGTAGAGACCGCCTCCGATGATGATGGATGGGCTGAGCTCTCCAATATAGGCAATTTGCTGACAAAAAAACATCCTGACTTCGACTCTCGTTCCTACGGGTATTCCAAAATCAGCGATCTAGTCTCTGCCTTGCCACAGTTTGATGTTATCCGATATCCTCCTCGGGAAGGTAAACCAAATGGAATTTACATACGCGATAAGCTTCGGAAGCCTAAAAATTCTTCCGGGTGATGTGCTAAGCTAGTTTGACTCTCTCCTGTCCTATAAGATTGAGTTAAATTGAGCTTGAGTCGGGGACTTCCAGATATCATGATTTTTATAGAGCAGTAATTAGTTAAGAATGTTGCAATATTTTTGAGCTTTTATGGAGGCAGAAGAAATTTACTTCGTTTGCCTCATTTAATTTCTTGTGACATTTTGGACCTCCACTCATAGAAATAGTGATCGCAGACGCAGGGGATGTACGACCGGACCATTTAAATTCCATGCTACTACGAAAATGAAAGCCCAGAGTCTAAGCAGCATCCACGACTAGCTTAGCACGAGTAAGTGGAGCAGTACCTCGACAAGTCCAACCTTCTTTGTAGACTGTGGACGATCGAGGTCGTCCATCGACCTAGTCCGCTCGATTCGCGTATAGAGCCAATTTTTAAGGATTTTCAAGTAAGTGGCTCGATCTGGGTGGCCTTGAGGGTGTAGAATCCGCTGCCATATCCCTAGACACGCTCACAAATCAAATCGCGGTTGTGCCACGTCGACATCGTCGACATCTCCCTTGTAAAGCTAACATCTCCACGTTCTGTCCGCAATTCTCACAATTTCCAAGCAACGGCGCTTGGATATACAATTCGAGAAGATCTTTGACAAATTCGGGCACGCTTTGGGCAACACTGTTGTAGGCTATCTGAACAGTCTCCTCCCGTAGATAATTTGAAATATGGATCCGCGCAAAGCGTGCTGCAACCTCTTTCAAAGTTCTGGTTGATGTAAGAGGTAAAGCGTATACTTCTGGAATGGATCCGACTGCCCGTGTCCTGCAAAATGGAAGATTCTACACCCCTGTAGATGTCTCAGAACATCGTCTTTACGACGTACTGTCTTTATTGGCCTCAGCTGAAGTGAGGGACAGATATCATTCAACATATCCACCTCTTCTTTTGCATATGGAAGGTATTGGTTTTGGGATAGTCCTGGCGTTTCGTGCATAGCCACCGGCAGAGCATGGTCTGTGATAGGTCCTTCTTGTTGGCGAACATGGTGTCGGCGCCCGTATATCAATGACTTGACGGATGAAGCGTACGACGACATGACTCTATCCAAGGCTGTTTCAGTGGATCCCCGTGTATGGTATCCTGCTGCATGGAGTGGTAGCTGGCTAAGTATGCCAGTAGGAATCCACCACACTCGAGGCCAATTACCGTCGGACGTAGGCTTATTGAATCCGAGTACCTTTAGAATTGGACCACTAACGGTGTCCCAGAGCCACTCTAAGAGCGATGTGAAATCGGAAGACGCTATAGGGGACGATAGCTTGAGGCTGTGGACCCGTTCTTGAACTTCCTCTATTTTCAGGTTAGGTAATTCTAATACCCTAATCTGAGCGCGCTCGATAAGAAATGCATCGCAGCGATAAGCGCTTAGATTAACGACAACGATAGGGTCTGGATTTACCGCGGCCATTAGCTCATCTGCAGTCGGCGGAAGGAGGAAGTTGTGGAAGCCCGGCTTGGCACGAATCTTTATTAGGGTCTCGCTGAATTTCTGGTCCGCGTCACGTCTTCGTGTCACTTGAGCTTCCCAGGATAGCCCATTATCGGCAGAGCTTAGAATCGTTGATCGATCTACCGGCGAATCTAGCTCCTCTCGAAGGGATATTAATTCGTCTGCTAGATCAGGGTGCTGTTGCGTGAGATCAGAAATATCTCCGCGTAATTCCATCAGTAGGCCAGCGATTACGCCGCGACCAACTTCAAGGAGTTGTAAGGCGTGACAAGCACTCTCCCCAGCATTGAGAGCAGTTGCAGCTGCCATCGAAGCTAGGCCGGCGAAGGATGCGAGTATGTCCTGCTTGTCGGTGTGCTTCAAGGACTGTGGGCTTACAGCGGAAAGGAGGTGTACAGCCTCTTGCAGCAAGCCACTTGATTCTTTCCAATTTAGCCGTGTGGCTAGCATTTTAGCGGCGTTCCAGCCTAGACGGATGCGAATAGATGGAGCGGCGCCTCGACAACTCCACCCTTGTTTGTAGACTGATAGGGCACAGTTAAGATCGTCTATTAAACCGGTTCGCTCACCTCGGGTGCTGAGCAAGTGACCCATGTTGCTCCACCGACTAGCTCGATTGGGGTGGTCTTGCGGCGTAAATTTAACTGCCATATCCACAACATTTACGTGTTGTCGCAGGCCCAAAATAGACCACCCCGCTCGATACAGGCTCAAATCTCTAGCATTCTCACCCAGCACTCACAAATATCCCAGTCTCCCTCATACCTGCGGCTCTCAACTCTCTAACGAGGCCTACTTGCAACAACTGCTGCAAAATGTCGCAACCCACCACCATCCGCGATCTTCCAACCGAGATCCTACACATAATAGCCCATCATCTCGATGCGTTCAGTCTTATCTGCCTGCAACGTTCGTGCCGGCTCTTTCGTGAATTAATACCGTCTCCTTCTCATACGGAGTTGATAGAAGCGGAGATCACTGAATTCGGTACCCAGAACGACTTATACGCCTGTCGGGATTGCCCAAGATTACGACCAAGAGCAAAATTTGCGGATAATATGGTGAGAAGGAAAAAGGCTAAGTGGATGGACAACCGTTGGGATCGGTGGTGTGTGGACTGTGGCATCAACCCGCGCCCAGGCACTAATCGGTACACCGCTGGCAATATCATCGTAGTCCTAGGTGAACCATATGTTATCTGCCTAGAGTGTCGGGAATTCAGAGCGGCCGCTTCAGAAAACGGGAAGCCGTTGTCTGTATGCCAAGTCTGTCGTCGATTGACAAGAGCAATCGAAGATCGAAATGAGGCTCACAGAGCACGGCAAGAAAGGGCCCGTCTGCGAGCTGATCAGGCTGAACGAAGAGCCAGAAGACGTGAGACGTGGGGCTCAGCTTCTGACAGCGACGACGTATTCCCGCCGAGTCCTACATCTAGTGAAGAGTACATGGATATGATCCAGGCCGAAGCCGCCACATACATGAACAGCCCCGGGCCTGGGTCTGATTGAACATCCCTCGATAAGATCGACAGCTTTTGTGGAGAGTATTGAGAGAGAGAGAGCCATACTGTCCAGGCTTACCTGTCAACCTGATTGTGGGTGGATGCGCAGGACAGCGGCAGGCTCCGAGTGAATCAAAGACGAGAGAAATACTGACAATTTGCTTGTGCTCAATTTATTATCCAATACATGGCCTGTTTAGTGCAGTCAGTACCTCCCCTTAACTTGTACTGCCCTGGAGGATACTTTGTACATCTGGTGATGGTGAATTACGCAAAAGGGGTTAGCGTGCTATTTCGGGTTTAGCGCATCCCTGCGCGTTACTATCGCCGTGGTTTCTGTGGAAGACCCCTCCATCGCCGCTTCAACTCCTCGCTGCTTTTCGCCACTCTTCTCCTCCCTTTCCTCCCGTCCTCTTGTGAACCTTGCGAGTGAGGCAGTTTTGACATTGATCCGGATCACCCACACTAGGTCGTGTGCTCTGGCTCAAGCACTTCGGCGATAGCAATTACGAACAGCGGCGCAGTATTGATCCAGCATTGATCAACCAGTAAGACACTGGAAGCATGTCCATTTAGTAAGATGTCGAAAAGCTGCAGATATAGGTGGATACTCGGAAAGGAGAATGTATCGTAGTCCGAAGTCTTCGCGTAATACGGAGGATTTAGGTTTATTCAATCATTTGTGTCTCAGAGACTGTGTCTATACCAGTCAAAGGTAAACCCAATTTGCTCAGGCTCACCCGAACAAAGTAGACGAAGAAGTCCACGCCTCTCCAAGTCCAGGCAGACTCCTCTTTTGGAAAGAAATTCCTCCTCCAGGTTTCTATCCACGTCATCAGGGTTGTCGTCTTGAGCTCGCTCAGTGATTGCTACCTTGCCCTTGGTCCTGTGTGATAACGACGTCCACAACTTAACAAGGCCATGCCATACCCCGTGAATTAGGCGGCCCATAACCATACGCCACCAGACGATGAAAGATAATTTGACGGGGGATTTCAATCCATTGTTTCCTTCCTCTCTGTTTCCTTCTCCGTTACTTCCTGCCGGATCGGTTCTTTCATGCAAAAGCCTTTTTGTGTGCGCGGCCAATTCTGAAACCGTGACATATTTGTGATGCCAGCACTTCTTGATGACACTGTCAATTAATGGATCGCCATCCAATTTTGGAAACTCCATGTTCTGTAGTAAGTCCACGACCTTAGGACCATGCTCGTAGGGATCCTCTGTAAGACATCGATCCCCATAGACTTCAAAGCCATAGTTTATGAGATAGAACAAAGAACCGAGCGCGAACTGCTCTGTTCGAGGGCTCAGGAAACCGAAAGTTCCACACTCTCCTTGGTCCACGTCATTACTATTAAGTATCCTGCCATATGGAGCCATGCATGCTTCGTAATTTGTTCCGATTTCAGCCGCGCAATCAAAATCCGATAGTTTTAATCGGTTGCGATCAAGTAGGATGTTTTCCGGTCGTAGGTCGCCGTGAGCGAGGTTAAGTGATTCCAGGAAAGCGACAGCTTCAGCGAGGTCGTTCATCCATTCCTTGCGCAAGGACAGAGGTTCCAACTTTTCCACTTTCGTAACCACCATGGTTTCCTGGTCTCGAACATGGTTTTTCTGTATTCTAGAAGAAAGTGACATGTCTATTGGAGTAATTAGTGGCCAAGCTTGTTTGTTGTCAAAAGGGGGTCGTACCTCTCATGTACTCGAGGAAGATGCCGTTGTCCGAAAAGAGGAAACATTGCACGATAGACGGACAAGGCCGATTTTGTGCGAATATTCGATATATCTCTAGCTCTTTATGGAATTGCTCTCTCTCAAACTCTCCAGATTTCGGGACCTTTACCACAATTAAAGGATGGACCTCGTAAACAAAAGAAATTCCTCCCCCCCAAATCCAATGCACAGTAGGGAATTGGCGTTGAACATCCATGAGACATGCCAGTTGGGAAGAGACGGTTAATAAGTAAGACCAGGGGCAGGTTTTCTCTGTTGAGAGAACGGAGGATCGAGGAAACAAGGAGGTTGAGCAAAAGGGACACAAGTGTCGCGGTCGCCTAGAGTAACTTCTAATTGGTTCAAACAAGGTTGTGTTATTGCCCTTTTTTTCAGGCTACGAAGGCCATTTGCTCAGGTGTCACCGTAGAACCACCCGTGGGTACTCGGAGGAAGGAAATACAATAGATCCGCATGTATTAGTCATTGTTTTGCCCACCAAATTGCCAGCTCGGGGCTTCTTTGCAATGGAGACCTGTTGAAATCCGATTGGTGCACCCAGATGAGCGCAACCCATTTCCGATAGTTATCAGGCAACTACCTGGTTTTGTCAGGTGACCACCTGCGCACCTGCTGCAATTTGGATTCGACTGGCAAGGGTTCAATTTGGAGGCATAAATAGGAATAAGATTTATGAAAGTCAACCCAATTATCATGAGCCTCGCACATCCCCTAGACCTGCTAGGCTTTTTTCCAAATTCCGTTGCTCTTCACATAAGTACCGCTCGCAACACAGTCAGAGCATGGATCCCTTTTGGTTGTCTTGCCAAGGTGCTCTGTTTTCTGGATGATGCCACAATTCCCGCAGCCATCAAGTTCCCTGATCCTCCCAGGTGAATCATCTCTGTGCCTGCATAGATACTCGATTGTCTCGACAAGCTTCTGACACATGATCTATCTATCTGACAGACGTTGGTTTATGTAAGCCAACACGTTCCCTTCCAGCGGCAATCAACTTACTTGATAAAGACGTTACAGGTTAGAAATAAGCAGCAGAAGAATGCAATTGTCTTGGATTGCTGGTTTGGAGGTGGGACGGTAACGAAAAGAAGTAAGTACCTGAGGGATTCGGCTGTATTTATGGACCCTTCTGGGGGTTTGAGCGCTTGGGTCCTCTATTGAAGACCATTTTTCCCAGTAAACACTGAAACATACACGAGCCGCCTCTTTTTACCTGAAGCAGGAGTTCCACGTCGCTCGATCTCATACAATTGTGTTGACTTTGTCCTTCACTTTGTCATTTTCACATTGAGGCCGACCCATACTGGGGTATCATGTGCTTATGTTACATTCTACTGAAGAAGACGTCAGGAGTAGACACTCCATGCGGAAATCTTTCGGCATTCACCTTGCTAACAGGAATGGCATGTAGTCTATCATATACGTGGCCAGTTATGATTCTCCTGAAGCCTTCCCTCGAAACCCCTCACAATTAGCAGACAAGAGAACACTCAATCAATATTGTGCCCATACTCAATCATTAGGGGTTGACGATGCCCTGAATCCTGAGAGTCCCGTCTTGACGACCGCGTCGAAGAATGGGGTCTTGCACGTCTCTCGTCCTCCGAAGGCGCTTTCTCTTCTACGTAAACCGTTGCTTCAAGTTCTCCTGAAGGTCTTCCACTCTCTCCAACAACACCGTCACCTTGACAAAGCTCATCCGGCTCTGTGAAGATCACCTCACACTCTGTAGTACCGGGGTTGGCTGGGGATCGGCCACGCTTCTCGACCGCTCTTGACTCATCTTGAATCTCCTGGATGGATGCATAGCGGTATGACTTATGAGGCGTCTGAGGCTCTTTGAAAAAATCGGCCCAGCCATCATCGTAGATTTCCCCCGGTTCATGAGTCTGAGGTATTGTTTCCTCCGTAGTGGATTTCACTGGTTGTCTCGCTTGGGCCCTGTCACCGTCTTTGACTCGCTGTTCCCATGTCTGCTCATTCTTCTTGTTCTCTATAGCCGTTAGGACTTGAGATGGTGCATCATCAGAGACACGCTCGCGCAGCTGTTTCCGAAATTTCTCTTCCTCAGCCTTCAACCTTTCTTGAAATTCCAGCTGTTCCAATTCACGCTCGATTTTGGTTCTGCGAAGCTCCTCTTCTAGGGCTTTCTTCTTGTGTTGCAGGATCTCGAGCTCCAACTTGTCCAGCCGGTGGAAGACGTCTTGCTTAAACGAATCGTTTGCTCTCGCGCGAGATTTGCGAACCTCCTCGTAAGAAAGCAATCTAGAACCGAAATGACGATGTTCTAACTGGTCAGATGGCCCAGTTCCCAGTTCCCCTGAACGGGAATTTGCCGCGAACCCGTTTTTCTTGCTCTGATCGGCGCGTTCCTTGGCTTTTTCATTCTCTTCAGCGATCGCCTGTGCAAGCTTGTCGAGTGCCTTTTGAGTATACGGAAGACCTTCGCGCATTGAGTCTGCTAGCTCGGCATCCTTATTAATAGCCTCTGCGTCGTCGGAGACAGAGCGAGCTAGTGCGTTCTGCACCATAAGACCATTCCAGCGGGTCGCAACACAAACGTCGTCTTTAGGAGCGGCCTCGAAGTGTGAAGCGGCTCCTCGAAGTCTCTGGAGAAGCTCTCGACGAGAACTATCATCAATAGCAAGCAAGTATTGTGAAGTACAGGACTCATATAATTGAACAAGGTCCTCCTGGTCGTGCCCATGTAGTTGATCCAGCTCCTTGAACAATGGTCGGGGATCTTCCACGCGACAAATGAGCTCTCTGAGCACCATAGCTTGGGTCTTATAGTCTTGAAGCTCCTTGGAAGTCTTAAGCGCCCACTGTAATTGCTCGTTTGGTGGAAACTTCGGATCTGGAGATGGCCAGCCCGGATTTTCAGTCGCCACGGGTATGTAAACTGGTAGACACCACTTGTTGAGCACGAACCCAGAGACACCCTCGAAATGCAGTTCCCGTTGTTCGCCATATGATGCGCTCCGATTTTGCTGACGATCAAAATGTTCTTTTGCCAATATCCATTGCAGATATGGACGAGACTTCGTCAGATGAGGGCTGTACTCTTTGATATCTGCAGCACATTGCTCAGCCTGTTGTGCACAGCGTGCCAAACTCAAGGTGCGATCTTTTGGGAGTAAGCAGAGTGATTGGCTCCCAATATCGAGCATGTACATCATTTCCACGGTAATAGTCAAAATGGCCAATTCAGTTGCTTCATCGTATTCGTCAATGGTCCAATCTTTTAAAAGTCGTTCCAAGCAATGGATTGTCTGGGGGTTTTGCCCTTCTTCTCATCATCCGCATGGAACAATAGTTCCCACGTTCCTGATAAACCGAAGAAATGGAACATTGCTAATAGAAGATCGCAAAACTCCCAGATACGACCACCCATCAGGAGATCATCATAGAGTTCTGGCCAACAGCGCGTATCAAAGCCGGATATTGGTGTCTTACCCTTGCACCTAATTTCGGATCGAAACTCGAGATGATTGCGAATAATTTGGACCTAGAATCAGATGATCAGCCTAAACATTTCAAACTCGATTCTTTCAGTAGACTTTTAGGATAATAATACCTCCGTTGAATCAAAGGGTATCTCATCACCGTGTGCAGAGTAGGTACCGCGCCTGGACGTGGCTCGCTTGTCCAAGTATTCACAAAATGAGTGGGGTTGTAACCAGTCCATGACGGCGCCCATATCCTCCCCCGGAAAGCTTTCCAAAGAAAGCCTCTTTCGCAGCCCCAGTAAATTAAAGTGGTAACTATACAAATCCGGACCCTTTTCGTCGCTGCCAATCGGGAGACATTTCGTTTTCGGATCATGCCGCCGCTGATTTGATATGAAAGCATTTACAAAAGTATCAAACTGGTGGTAAGAACCCTGTTCAACGAGCAAGTCGGCACATTCAAGCAGAACCAGAGGTAGATCCAGATGATGCTCCAGGTTTGCAGTAAAGTATTGGATTGCTTCTTGAAAATGACCCCATCGTTTCAAGCGCGAGACTTCTTCCAGGTGGCCTTCAATGTCATCGGCAACATCGAGCGAGAAATGTATGGTGCTGTCACTCTGATCTACCTGAGAAGTAGAGACAAGGTGATATTGATCCGGAATATCAGAATTAGAGTCTTCGTCCGACGATGAAGCGGTCGAAGAGGAAACGCTCACAGGAACTCGCTCGAGGACTTTTTCCGTCGAGTTATCCTTTTCTGTTGAATTCTCCTTTTCTGGCGGAGGGAACTCAGGAGATTGATTCATCATGTTCAACGTTGGAACTCGTCGGACCAGAGGCAGCTTGGAGGGATTTTCATGCATCCATTCGACTCGTGAAAATGTATCCTGGCGATTGGTGGATGTTGGTATCCTCGTACGCACTGTATCCAGTGCCATTGCGCGTCCGTATCTCTAGTGTTGAACCAACGCCTTCAAACATAAAAAGACAGCAGTATTCAGATATAAGTCTCACGATAGGCTGAGGCCCCGGCTATATGGCCCAGGAGGATTAGCTACCAGAACACAGCTTCCAGAGAAACAAGGCGAGGCAGGCGGTTGTCAATCGTTCGTGGACAAGTCACCCAACGAGTGGGGGCGCAAAAGCGACTGACAGCAACCCCTCATCACCAGCCAATCAACAGCGATGCTGCTCGAACCGCCTCAACTCAGCCGTGCAGGGGTATTTTCTGCCTTTCGCCCCCAAATGAGGCTGTGACGGAGGGGGTTGTGGTGCTTTGCACCCTAATGTCCCCTTGATAATCCTCCAGCGCCTCACTCTTGGGTGAATTGGAAGAGTTCCCCAAACTGTTCGCCCGGTCTGTGATTGCCGGCCCTTGAGCTTCACCTAGGCGTGAGAACATTACGAATCCTGAGTCTGGTCTGCTGTTACTTCTCTTCAAATTTCTCGCCATGCGCGACATTCCACCTCAGCCCTCCCCTCGCCCCGTGGCGCGATTCGCTCGTCGGTATGGCTCGACATTCAACGCCTTTGATCATCTCGCCAATGTGAGTCTATGCTCACAGCAATTGGGCCAAGTCGAAATCGACTGCCGATTTCGGCATTCAAAAACTCAGTGGGGCGTTTTAGGGCCCGCTGAGAACCAGGCTGGCATTCTATACATGGACTTGACTTTCGCTCAAACAAAGCATTGCCGGTTATCAAGTGCAACTGTGTTGGTGAGCTTGGAAGATCCTGAGAATGTTCCCAAGGACGGCAAGTCCTCCGCCGCACCTACGCGGTCCTCGCCTAGAGAAGATAGATTGGCAGCCAAAGGCCGGCCAGCATCAGGGTATGGAACGGTCAATCCCATAGATACCACCGTGGAGGCGACTGAAGACTGGGATGAACTGCGCTTTCTACAATTTACCCAGGACTTTGGTCCACGGGAGCTGGCAGGAGAGGCTACAAGAGCGACAACCAAGAAGACCAAGCATGTGACCCCGCAGGTCAACGTTATGGGGAGTGGGGGTGGAGGGATGGGCTGGGACCGCGAACAAAGCATTGAGCAAAGCAGTCGATGGACATTTACTGGAAACCTCCTTCGAGGCTCAAAGCTCGGAGACAACGGCTTGGATATTGTGTATCGCACAATCAGATGGGAACTCTCTGAGGATGATTTCCAACCTCAGACCACTCACAGCAACACGATTCAGACAGCTTTTACCCTCGAACACGACGAGAAACTATTTGTCATTCGAATCGAGATTCAAGGAAAACTTGAAAGACGACACGAGCGAGTGAAGAATCACGTCAAGAATCTGTTGAAATTTCCAAAGGATCCCAGCAAAAGCCAGGGAGTCTCCCTGACGGTGGTCAATCCACGCGCGGAGAAGACCCAAAGGAGACTCGATGCTATTGCACGAGGCATACCCTTTGATATGGAACGTCTTAATTTTGAGGCTGTTCGACCACAGATACCTACAACGCTCCCTCTCTCCTTTCAACGAACTACTCAAATATCTGCAGATGAGAGTACAACTACAGCGACTGCTGTAGAGGAACCTTATCCTGGTCCCTCGACAACCGATCAGACGGCACGAACCAGGCTTCCGGATTACCAACCGCCCGAAAGAATATCATCCTTCCCCGAAGAGGAGGAAATAATAGTTAGAAGAGCACCGACGAATGAGATACCGGTTAAGACTAGGGGCCACGTTAGGGAACCTTCTGCCCGGACACAGATGTCCAGAGTCACAAACGAGAGTGAGCAATCACCCACGCAAATACCGGTCGGTCAACGAAAGTCAAGGTACGGAGGAGCACACTCAAGAAGAGAAACGGAAAGACACGAACAATTATCACGAGAGTCGCGGGTTGAAGAGGTGGTAGGCCCCAAGCCAGCAGGAAAACCAGTGCAAATTAGCCCGAGCTTGGAGCCATCCGACGGGAAGCCTTCGGAAGATGACTTGACCGAGCTTGCATCGCGACTAGTCCAGTATCCCTTCCTGCTTCGCATTATGCTGTGGCTCATTTCTATGATGAATTCAACCTCTACCAAGCCCCCGCGAAAGACACTGAAAAGCGAATGATCGCCGCGGCAATGCACCTGATCTAAATATGATGGCCCCAGCTCCAGATGCGAGAACGGTAATCTAACCGGGTTGAACGAGGCATAGAAAGAGATGCTTTGAAAAAGAGCCAGTCAGTATCTAATCTCATCGTCTCGAATATTTAGCAGATGGGACCTGCGTGTATGCACTTGTATTTACCTACTTTCAGCCAATGGCGTTCGTCGCAAGTGCGGCCTTTCCCGAATGCTTAACCTTAATTTTGACGGCCGGAGATGTGGGCAAGAAAACGCCGTATTTATCAAAATCGAAGAGCAGAATTCAAGATACAGTGTATTGCTGGACTGGCTCTAAGTTCTTTCACAAGGTCAGAAACCTTTCATGTATAAGGCTTAGCCACAATTAAAATCAATCAACGCATATATTGGATCTGGAGCATAACAACATGATCCTTGAATCAGGCAAGGCGGTTGGAGCACGCTAGATATATAAAAGTGCTTTGCATATTTTTTTGTTCAAAATAGAAGCTTAAACGACTGCATAGGGTTGAGGATTATATAGGATTGCCGCCCTCATGTGGTCTAAGGTCTGACAGCAAAATTAGCAGTGGTCGCGCGACAGAGGGTGAGAATCACCCGCTCTCACCCGGCTTCTCACCCTGTCTATTGCGCGCTCACCCTACTCACCCCTAGTCGCGCGACCATAAAGCGGCGATCGCGACCATAAAGCGGCGATCGCGACCATAAAGCGGCGATCGCGACCATAAAGCGGCGATCGCGACCATAAAGCGGCGATCGCGACCATAAAGCGGCGATCGCGACCATAAAGCGGCGATCATCCGTTTCCCCACCAAGCTAAAATACCTTATTTGCTGAGATTGGCAAATGCTGCGTGGCTTAAGTACGGCTGAGCGGACGGGAAGCCCTGTTCTCCACACCCTATGGTCGTATGTACGAAATAGACCTTCATGAAGAATACTATAGATATCGAGAAATATTATAGAAAGACGTGTAAAGGTAAGCGGATTTGAGCGATAAAAAGTGATGCTGTAGAGCCTCGTGGACGACCGAAGGCTAATTCAGGGATTGCACAAGCTAGCGAATCAGCGACGCTAAGTGTGGAAGTTAATGTCAGTGCGTTAAGAAAACTGAAGTCAAGAACAGAGTTATATAACTAAGGACGAGTTAGCACGAGCTAGTCATAGAACGGAAACGTAGACAGAAGTGTGGAACGAAGCCCTAGAACCCTAAGAACTAAGATGGACGGAGAAGTTCGACGAGCAATCCGACAACGTAGCTACGAACGCAAGCCAAACTTCGCGGGCAGCTCGCGCAGGGTAGTAACCCCTTCACTCGTTCCTCGTTTCAGGGCAAGACAACAAGCTGAAGCTTAATCTGCCTTAAGGCATAACTACCCGCTATGTAGCCCAGAAACACATTGTTTATCAAATAAGTTGGCTTCCATTGCTCGTATCTATGTCAAAGATATATTCCTGACCCACGCGCCCTTGATCCAGCTAACCCAAAAAGAAAAAAAATTCGATTGAAGCTTCCAACCGAAGAGCCTGCCTTGCGCATAACTCAAGACAAGGATATCGAGAGAAACAAAAAGAAGCAAAAAAAACATAGTTAAAACGGTCATGGTATGGTATCAGCATCATCACAGCGGGCACTTCCCTCCCTCTAGACAGTCTCAATGTACCTTCGTACCTCCCTAGAAACAAAAGGTTAGCTCAAGGCTAATAGAAATTTGAGGTAATAGGACAAATGGGAAATGGGTGGAGTAATCTGTCAGCCTTTTGGATACACTTACCAGTCAGTTACAGCCTCCTCCCACAGCCGAATCTCGTGCTCCCTCGTGCCGCCAAAGTGGTCCACGAAGGTATCGCCAAATACTTCCCGTGCTACACTGTCCGGCCGTGTGAATGTAGCGACTGCCTCCTTAAGAGACTTGGCTAGCCGCACGCCCTGGTCACTGGCACTACCCATGTCCTCGCCCTTGGACAAGGGTGGCACGGGAATCTCAAGCTTCTTCTCAACGCCACGCCAGCCAAGGGCCATGACCGCGGCAAGGACAAAGTGAGGGTTGGCATCTGCACCAGGAGTGCGGACTTCGAAGCGGGTCGCCTTCGCACTGGCTGTGGGTGGTGTGATCAGTCGGATGGATGCTGCGCGGTGCTCCAGGCCCCATGATACGGTGACCGGAGCCCAGAAGTTCTCCACCAGGCGCTTGTAGGAATTGATGGTGGGCGCAAAGAGCGGCATGACGTCTGGTAACCCCACCAATAGGCCTGCGAGGAAATGACGACCCAAGTCGGACAAGTGCGCCACATCTGGGTAAGGAGGGGAGGGGTCGGGAGTGTCGCGGATGAAAGCATTCTTGCCATCCGTGGTGACAAGAGAGATATGCATGTGGCCGCTGTTTCCAGGCAGGCCCTGGCGCGGCTTGGCCATGAAGCAAGGCGTGATGCCGTGCTTGATACCGTAAGCCTTGACAACGTATCTGATCGAAGAGAAAATATGGTTAGCTCGAGGTTGAAAAAAAAATTCCGAAACGTCGCAGATTCTCTCACTTGAACAAGCCAGCCTTGTCGGCCATCTCCTTGGCCTCACCAAATTGAAGTGCCTGTCACGAGGTCCAGTGTTAGCCTATTGTCCATGCATGCCAAGTACAGAGCATCTTCGCAAGGTACGCAACATGATAACGACTTACAGCCTCAAAAACACCAGGTCCACTCTCTGTGTGCCACCCCTCAATATCGCAACGGAACTGCTCGCAGGCGTCGAAGATGCCATAGTAGTAATCCTTGTTGTGCAAGGGGCGAGTAATCGAGTAGCCAAACATGCCCTCGGTTAATGATGGCAAAGAATCGACGGGGTTCGTCTGCAGGAAAGACGCCGTGGCAGATGCAGCGCGTTCTGGAGTTGGATGGTTGCCCGGTGCCCGGAACTGGTAGAATTCATACTCGGCTGCGATACGTTAGCTGGGATGCTAAATGCTTCCATGATAGAGGCGCATTGCCATTGGACATACCTCCCGCCATTGCGCGATAGCCTGCAGCCTCGGCTTTTGCGGACACGGTCTTTAACAGCCCGCGTGGGCATGCGCAAACCGGTTCTCGCGTGTCCGGGTCCAAGAAGCTGACGAGGAAGAACGGCACATTGTTCTCCCAAGGGATGCGCCGAAAGCTGCTGAGATCTGGAACTGCGACGAGATCGCGATATCCGTTCTCCTTGTTGCTGATCGAGAGCTCTTTGTAGTACGTCATATCATGCTGGTCCCAGCCAAAAATCACGGAGCAGAAGCCAAAGCCCTCGGAAACGATAGAGAGGAACTTGCTCTTCTTCATGAGCTTGCCACGCAGCTGGCCATCCACATCAATACCGGCGACCTTGACCATGCGATCGTTTTCAAGGATCTCTGCCACATTTGTGGCGGTGACGTCGGGGGTCGACATCATGTAACGTGGAAGAGGGTGTCGAGGTTCACCGTAGGGAGGTTCTGAGGGATGTTGATGGATGTCCACGACAGATACAAGAGAAGAAGATGTTATCTTGAGAAGTATGAAGAGGGGCTGCCATCAGATGCCCTGAGCACAAGCTTATCAGTGCAGGTCATCCTGCCCATTTGCGTGGGGCCCCATTTTCAGCCACCAAGTTGTGAGGAGGAGCCGACGCCGAGCGATGGACCGTCGGATAAGCGCCGTCGGACCCACAGCGCGGTCCGCGCGGTCACGGGGGAGCGCGGTCTCGGCTTATCTAACCACTGCCCCGCGGTCCCTTGGGAGTATACAGCTTGACCTCGAGACCGCCTGCATGATTTGTCCTTGACAACTTCACCTCCTTGTTTTCCCTTTGCCTTCTCTTCTCTCCTGCTTTATCCGCGCGCTACCATTGTCTCCGTCGGATCTCTTACACAGTGAGTGTCCACTGGTACAGCTCCGTGACTGATAAAGCTGCGCATCTTCCCCGCGGGGAGACCGACTATCAGGTCACTAACAGCTCAACCATTACAGAAGCTTCTTACCCCACCAATTCATAATGTCTGCTCCCAAGGGTCGCCTCCAAGGCAAGAATGCCATTATCACTGGTGCTGCCGGGTAAGACCATTCAACTCTCTCAACTGAAACCAGCTCGCTAATATTATCACCCGACTTGCACAGTGGCATCGGCCTCGAAACCACCATCCTCTTCGCCCGTGAGGGTGCCAACATTCTCCTCGCCGATATTTCTGAACCAGCCTTGGCCAAGGCTTTGGCCAAGGTCAAGGAGGTTGTCCCCACCGCTGGCCGCCTGGAGACTATCCGTTGCGACGTGTCGAAGGAGGCCGATGTCCAGGCCATGGTCGAGTCACAGGACAGCTGGGGTGGTGTGGATGTGATCTTCAACAACGCTGGTATCATGCATGCCGATGATGCGGATGCAGTCGATACCCCGGAGAAGATCTGGGATCTGACTCAAAGCATCAACGTGAAGGGTGTGTGGTTCGGCTGCAAGCACGCTGTGCTGAGCATGCGTCGCAACAACAAGAAGACTGGCAGTGTGATCAACACGGCCAGCTTCGTCGCTTTGATGGGAGCTGCCACCCCTCAGCTGGCATACACTGCCAGCAAGGGTGCAGTTCTGGCCATGACTCGCGAGTTGGCTATTGTGCATGCTCGCGAGGGCTTCCGTTTCAACTCGCTCTGCCCGGGTCCTCTCAAGTAAGACATTCCCACTTCCATAACTGTGATTTCAACAACTAACCGAGTTTATAGCACTCCCCTCCTCCAGGACTGGCTCGGTGATGACCACGCCAAGCGCTTCCGTCGTGAGGTACACTTCCCCAGTGGTCGCTTCGGCGAGGCTGTTGAGCAAGCACACGCTGTGGTGTTCCTGGCCAGCGACGAGAGCAGCTTTGTCAATGGCACAGACTTCGTCGTAGATGGCGGTCTCAGCAAGGTGCGTTTCCGATGGATGATGATATTCTCCCACACAATGACAGCACTAATTCGAATACATCTTTCTAGGCATATGTCACTGCCGAAGGCCCGCGCGCCAGCTGCGCCTCAGAACCTCGCCCATTAAGAGGGCCACTTTTAATGACACGAATTTTCTTGCATTGGCCTCGTTTGATTTTACACAATATTTGACACCTCATCATGGGGCAACCTGTTTAGTTTTTCGGGCTTTCTTTTACTTCAATAGAAATTTATCATGATCCGATTTGAGAATGAATAACTCTGCATATAGAATATCTTGCGAAGCGTGCGGATATAAACATGGGCAGTTTCTTGACGTAATTGGAATGAGTAGATACCAATGTTAAGATGGAGATGATAATGGCCTCCACTGTGAAGGCGCTCTTGGGTGACATTTGCTTTCAGATTATATGTCATTAGTATTCTGGCCATTGAGGGTCCACTTGTTCTCGCCATGCGCGAAGGCCGCCTCTGATGTCTCCAATGAATCTTTGTCCATCGCGGTCCAGCCCCAAATCCTTCATTCTCTGGACTGCAAGCTGGGAGTCGTTCCCGAGTCGACAGACAACGTATATTGGGTCATTGGACTCGGAAGCGGCCAGCTCCGCTGGAACCCACGATGGAGTTTCATCTGTTGATGTGGCGGCCAGAATGTTCGAAATGGGAATATTGATACTCTCTTCCAGACTGCAGATTCCAAATTGAACCTTGTCTCGCACGTCGATAATCGTATGTCCCCTTGGAGAGGACGGCTGACCAGATGAGTCTTGGGCTCTGAAATCGACAAGTGAATATTTGTCGTGATACTCTCGTGCCGATATGCGTTCATCGGGGGCGAGAAGTGACGGTGGATGAGCTGAGCCACAGAAGAACACATAGTCCGTAGATCCGGAGGTGATGGTATCCAAGGTAATAGTGGCTTCCGCAGAGCATACCGCGCAATTGGTCCGACGAGAACGGATGCGAATCGTACGGAACAAGGGATTAGAATATGCGGAGAACATGTGCAGCAGAGGAGATTCTCGTGAACCTGTCCCCGGGGGTTGTTCTTTGCCAGCACCGGTAGTGATGACCTTGATCGCTTCCAGAGCCTGCAACACGCCCATGGTGCCAACCACTGGGCCCAAGATGCCTCCATCCGCACAGCTCACAACACTATCAGCGGGAGGAGGCTTTGGGAAAACACAGCGATAGCAAGGCCCTCCGTCTTTGTCGCCAGGTCGGCGAGGAGGATTGTTCAACACCATCAGTTGTCCTTCAGTGCGCAAGGCGGATGCAGAGACCAATGGTTTCCCCAAGAGCACTGCAGTATCCGAAATCAGGTATCGTGTCGCAGGATTATCCGTGCAATCAAGAATCAGGTCATATTGAGCAAAGATCACGGGTGCCTCGCTGGGCATGAGGTGGGTTCGGTGGGCAATGTAGGTCGGATGAGGATTCAGCCTGTTGTGGGAGCGCACCAGAGTCAGGCTTAGGGTTTAATCGTCGTGGAATTCTCAGGATCAGGACTCACTCTCGCAAAGACTCAATGGCACTGTCCACCTTGAATTTGCCCACATTGCGGCTACGGTGGAGGACCTGGCGATGTAGATTCGAGACCTCGACCGTGTCCCCATCAATCAGGCCGAGTGTACCCACACCGGCGCCAGCAAGATACTGTGCAGCAGGGCATCCCAGACCACCAGCCCCCACCAGAAGGACTTTGGCTGCTCGCAGCTTCAGTTGACCTGTTCAAGCCGACAGGCCGAATTGTTAGCGATGTACGATCCTCGTTGCGCCACAAGCCCATGCCAATTGGCACGAAACTCACCTTCCAACCCGACTTGGGAGACAATCATCTGTCTACCATACCGCTTATACTCCTCTTGCAGTAGCGGCCATCGAGACTCTGTCTTTGGTTGATCTTGCTGGTTGCTGTCCGAGCCTTCTGCTCTGTTTGAGTTCGCCGCGGCAGCTTCCTGAGCGCTCGCAAGCTCCCGTTTGAGCCCAGCAAGCTGTGCCTCGGTAGCTGCAATTTGCGCTCGCAGGGAGGCGCACTTTTCTTCCAGATGACTCATCAGAATCGCTTTCTGGAATGAACAGGGGTCAAGACAGCTTCGAAGACCAAAACACGGAAACAGGTGCACTTCCCCGCGGGAATTTTAATGTACCACGTGCCGTGGTGGGGCACTGCAGATGAGGTCGTCATAACTCCTCTGCTTGGCTCTAGATACCACAGCCTTCGGGACCAACGGGTCCAATACTTAAATCACAATCACTTTGACATTAGTAATATTTCTAATGAAGAATGCAGTAAAGGGCGTCCATGTGGTACATTGACATGTAATAGTAAGGGTCCTTGGACCGAGTCTTATCAGCTTATCGCCTCATCGCGTTATCCGCTATCAGCTTATCGCTTATCAGTTGATCGACATGGCGCGTCACGGGGTCAAATCACGTGCAGATCACTCCGCAGTGCGTCACTCCCCAGCGATAAGCCCCAACCGCGATAGTCCATCTCCATCCTCGGCTTTCAGCATCATCTATCATCATGGCTCGTTCTCAGCACTCTCGAGCTCGACTAAGGTCCATGTCAAGCCTTTGGGCGTTGTTATTTTCAGCTGTCGTACTACCAAAGGCCGCAGAGGCTCAGAACAATGTGCCTGCGGTCCAGCTCCCCATCATTCCGCCACCCGTACCCTTGGATGAACCGGAGTTGTCATCCGAACCACATGAGTTTGTCAGTGACCTGCAAGCGTTCTGTCCAAATAGTCATGGCTAATCTCCCCTAGTCTCTCCGGCATATATTCCACCGAGGAGCATACCAACACCCCGAGCTACATGCCAGGCTCGATGTCAACCCCAACACCCGCCTGTGGACATTGTCCGAAGATGGCACCGACCGGGAGCCTATTTTGAGCGAAGGCCCCCTGATAGCCTCATCATCTCCCATCACGATACAGCGACTGGCGGATCGACGTCTATCTGTGGTTGAAGGTCATTTGTCGTTTGCCCGAGAATCGGGCATAGCAGCAACGTCATCGCCAGCGGATTGGGTGATGGACACACTCCCGGGTCCAAATGTCACGGACAAGCAGACGGTGTTGACCTTTGCGCAAATGACGGCGAATGATTATATTGAGGAGCCTGGCACGGCAGACTGGCAGACTATCCACGGAAGGTTCAACTATTCCAACAGCTTCGGGTGGCAGAAGGACGGCCTTCGAGGACACATCTATGCCGATAAAACCAACAGCACTATTGTGGTTTCATTGAAAGGCACATCTCCTGCTCTCTTTGACGGAGCCGGCACCACCACAAATGACAAGACAAATGACAACCTTTTTTTTAGTTGCTGCTGTGGCCAGGGAGGCTCGTACCTCTGGAGGCAAGTCTGTGACTGTCAGAGCGCCACCTTTACCGCCAATTTGACTTGCATCGCGGAGGCGATGGATGACGAGAACAAATATTACAGAGCTGCCATTGATCTCTACTCCAACGTCACTGAGATCTACCCCAACGCAGATGTCTGGCTGACTGGGCATTCGCTGGGCGGCGCTATGGCCAGTCTTTTGGGGTTGACCTTTGGCCTCCCGACCGTCACATTTGAAGCAATTCCCGAAGCCTTGCCCGCAGCTCGACTCGGTATTCCCAGCCCACCGGGCCATGACCCTCGTCTTCCACAATCGCGGGGCTTCACGGGATCCTACCACTTTGGTCATACCGCCGATCCCGTGTACATGGGAACCTGCAATGGCATCAATTCCCTTTGTACATGGGGTGGCTATGCGCTGGAATCTGCCTGCCACACTGGTCAGATGTGTACCTATGACACGGTGGGGGACAAAGGCTGGCGGGTGGGCCTTGGCACCCATAAGATCCAGAATGTCATCTCGGACGTCATCAAGGTTTACGATGATGTGCCGCCGTGTGCACCGGAGGAGGAGTGTTACGACTGTGTCCTTTGGAAGTTTTTCAAGAGCAATGGCTCTGAAATTACTACCACAACGACAACGACTAAGGCCACTCCAACCCTTACCAGGACATCTACATGCAAGACTCCGGGTTGGTGGGGCTGCCTGGACGAGTCAACCACAGCCACTACTACGATAACAAGCACAACCATCTTAACTACCACCACATCGACCTGCAAGACTCCCGGCTGGTTTGGCTGCAATGATCCAACAACCACAAGCGCCTCTATAACGTCCACCTCCACTTCCACGTCGACTTCCTCTACTTCCTCGTGCAAAACTCCCGGTTGGTTCGGCTGCCATGATTCCACGTCTACCAATGTCATGGTCACGCCAGCGCCCACTATCACCACGCCGGCCTCATCGTCAGCTTCGGCAACTTGCCATGATCCAGGCTGGTTTGGCTGTCGGGATCCTATCTCCGAACCAACACCCACTCACGAGTGAATCAGCTTTGACGTGAAGCTTTCCTGCATCTTCTGAGGCAGGCTGTGGTGAACGTGGTTCAACCTGTTTCAGCCCTAACTGCGATGCCGGCCCACCTGGTTTGCATGCATATACTCAAGGAGTCCTCTTTGGAAACCAACCGTCTCCACTGGCGACCACTGCGACATACACGACCACTGCGACATACACGACCACTGCGACATACACGACTTGATTTTGATTCCACCAATATACTCGCGGATTCGAGCAACCCATATATCAGATGATACGACACACACCCGAGCGAGCATTTTCTGTCTTTTTTTTCTTCCTTTCGTTCCGCTTAGACAACCCCGATGCGAGTTTGATGGCGTTGCAGTTCGATGTTTACTATAACTTCGGGTCTTTGGTTTTTCTTTTGCGCTGCCAGGAGTTTTGTTGGTTGTGAATTTGGATAGTCCCACATATAGCTTGCTTCGATTTCGAAATGGACAATCCATGGCTGTTCTGATAGATTGTGTTTTCTCTTTAGTAGATCATACTTGGCAAGGGATTATTGTCACGGTTGTAGCTATCAGGTGCTCATCAAATGTATCTCATTGGATGTTCTATTATTAATGTACATGATTGTCTCCAGGGTTGTTGTGATATGCCGTCGGTCAGCTTCCATGGCCTGCGTAGTGAATGGTATACGGCAAATCTGCGGGGCTGTGGGTTGGCGCCAGGCGAATCACACTGCCCCCAGAGCTGCCAGATTGACCTGACTGCACACGCCGGAATGACCGAATCGACGGTGTACGTACAGATCGCGGTCCCGTATATGAGCCACTTCCGACCGACAGTCCAGAGGCCGGGCTCTGCACTGCAGGAGCCGTATCATAGCCCGACTGGGTTTCCCAGGTCGACGCGTTGGACGGGCGAAGACTGTTGCTCCGCATCGGCGTGAATGTGCCTTCGTATCCAAAGTGGTCCACGGTATCCGTTTCACCCTCTTCATCCGAGGGTCCAATGACCGACTCGGTATCTGCGCGACGGTAACTTGCGCTGTCGCGAATCACCTCGAGGATGGGTGGGGCCAGAGATGTAATTCCTCTCAAAATCTCGGCGAAAAGATGCATGAGCTCTCGAAATTCGGCTTCATGGAGCTGATGCGATGAAAAGCGCGCGCGTTCATACAGCGCCAGAAAATCCGCAGCGAGTTCTGAGGATTTGATGACACCCAGGTCTGTGAGATGCCGAATATACTGCCTGAGACCCATCGATGCTGGCCTCTGCAGTGCTTCCACAACGCGGGTGTCCGGGAATGGGTCTGCTGCATTTGATAATGAATCATCGGCGGGGGCTATCGACACGGCCTTGGCTTCAATCAAGTTCGGAAGTTCCTGGATGACTGTTCGATAGGGGAGGTTGGGTAGATCGGGGGACGTGGGGGATGACCAGCCCGGATGCTCCACGAAACCCCATGGCGGGTGATCACGATCGACCAGAAGATCTGTGTAGTTCGAAAAGCTATCCGCTTCATCTGAAGTGTCGCGTGGACGAGCTTGGTACGAGATGACTGCGCTGCGGGCAAGGCCCTGCATTACCAGGCGCCTGACGCTCTTGTTGACATCTTCCTTCTCAATGGGAATCCACGCCTTTGGTATTCCGGCCAAGGCGGTCTGATTGGTGTAAATTCGAGTCGCATAGATGAGGATTGCAAGTATAAAGGTGATGACGTAGGCACCGGCGATAAAGAAGATGTTCGTGAGTCGTTTGGTCTCCCAGCACTGGTAGATGGCATCGGCCGGGGTGAGAAGGATGAGGCAGAGGCAAATCAAGCAAAGGAAGAAGAAGGAACTAGAGTTCAGGAAGCGCTCCAATCTCGCCGCCATGACTGTTCGTGCATGTTGTGGTGCGAACCGCCTGGGATTCGGTGGTTTGTCAAGGAAAACATGCTCCGGTTTGGTTCATCCCCATGAGCCGTCGGGATGGCACGTGATGATAACAACCCGATTACGTAGAAAGTATTATCGATAAGCTTATCGGGTCACAACAAGAAGTATTATGGAGTATAGTTAGTACTACCGTATGACGTTCCAAAACACCAGGTTTTCGAGTGATGAATATTTGCTGCCCAAAAAAAGCCTAGACTGATATTCCCTCTTTTCCATCCACAGCCCACAGTAGAATCCCTCATATTTCTCCTTTTCGTCTTCTGATGCCATGCGAGTATGCCTCGAAGTGCCAAGTCCGACCACAAGGTTATGATAGCGCCAGCATACCACTATACTGACCAGCTTCACCGAGGGGATTCACCCACTCTAAGCGCCTATCAGTGTAGAGCTCTGCTTGAGGTTTCCATTGTCTCAAAAATTCGTCATCAAATATCCCTGCCCGAACGACTATAATCCCGTCGGGTTCTCCAGACTTGATCTTTCGTCCATAGAGCGGCGTGCCTATCATTCTTGTCAGAGTCTGTCTTGCCAAATGCAGTCTTGTGATACACACCACAGTCCGAACAGAAGTAATTTCGAAGATCATTTCCACTATCCGACGTTTTTGCTATTTCTTTGGGGCTTCCCGAGACCTCCAGCTCTGTAGTTTTGACGACAAAACTCCAGGAATATGCAGACCCAGTGAGTTTGCGACAATCGAGACAGTGACACAGTCCCTAGTGAAGAACGGATTAGGTGAAACTTCCAACAATTTGGACGCTGATGGGCGCACTCACCGAGGTCAGAGGCTGGCCATTGATTTCAATGCGAACCTTGCCGCAGAAACATGCGCCGACAGCCATTGTTCTCGCAACTGAGTATCGGTTTCACACAAGTATTTGGGGGAAAGATTCAAAAATTGGATGACACGTTGCCTACATTCAGGCTGACTATAAGCACCTCATGGTTGGCCCCAACAATAATATCTAATATCCCAACCATTCCAGAATGGCCATGATGGCTCATTAGTCATCTACACTGCCGGGCAGGTGGTAACTATACTCAACCTCGGCACTTCTGTCAAGTACTTAGAGAGCAGGGGGAAAAAGCAAATTGGTGCATCTGACATTGGACCAAGTTACAGCTGGATGATTTTAAAAAAAAATCTGTAAAGAAAACAACAAATCATCTTCTCTCGCTATGAGGCTCTACTTGATGAACAAAGTCATCAGGAATAGAGCTGCCTAAGATGGTCTAAATTCTTGGAGAGGTCACTCGCCAGGTAATTAAGTCTTTCCTTTGGATTAGAAGAGACGGCATAATTTAAGGACGCGCGGATATAGGGCAGTAACAACACAACTGTCTCTTGGCAAAATCGATTTCTTGGACTATCTCGAGATCTATGGCTTTGAACAGGTGCGACCGTGGTGGCGCTGGTGGTGAACCTCAACAGCATTCCACTATCCCAAAATCGAGGTTTTCAAGGTGCATGCATTTTGCGCCAAGAACCCTGCAATTCAGTAGACGAGGATGGAAGATCGACCGAAATAACAAAAAGAACGACAAGCGCGACCAGCTCAAAAGTATGATATCGAGACGGACAGCCACAAGGTCGATGGATTCTCGATGTAGTCCGAAACTGACCGGGCAGCCTTTGCAATATCGCCCATGCTCTCGATCTCGTCGCGCTTCTTGTTATTCTTCTTGCTTTAGTCTTTGTTCCATCGCTCCTGGATTCGAGGGTTCTTGAAGCAGAATCTGCAGCTTGAAACCCTCGATCTTGGGATAGCAGACCGCTGTTCAGGTTCGCCATCACGGTATATCGCGGTCAAAACCGGTGTGAGTCGTTGGCCCTTGGGGTTATTTGAAGTTTGAACGTACTAGCAAGGCTGAGATCTGTGCTATTGGGAGATCGTTGTGGATGAAATAATGGCGAAAACTTAAATCGATGGGTAAAAGTCCCCTTGATTTTGATTTTCAGTGTGAATACAAACCATGAAAGTGTGGCCTATCGACCCTTTAGTCCCTCGAAATTTGATGCTAGAGGTGCCAGAAAAGTCACCACAGGGATAATTGGCTTGTGGCAGCCAAGCGTTCATAGCGATATTGCTTTTTGATCCTTCGATGCCGGCTCTTCCTATTATACCGAAGCAGAATTCGGTAAGCTTTGGATTCTTCACCCACTAATAGGGAACGTGAGCTGGGTTTAGACCGTCGTGAGACAGGTTAGTTTTACCCTACTGATGAAGGTCGCCGCAACGGTAATTCAATTTTAGTACGAGAGGAACCGTTGATTCAGATAATTGGTTTTTGCGGCCGTCTGACCAGGCAGTGCCGCGACGCTACCAGCTGCCGGATTATGGCTGAACGCGGTATGTCATGTAAGTTGGATGAGGTATGTAACCCTTTTTTCCAGTTTAATTTTGTCATCCCCGAATAATTAATACCATTCTCAACTTGGAGTCTGTCTTTATTCCGTCTTGATCCCCGCTGCTTTTCACGCATTACTTGAACATTTTTCATTCTCCATCTCTCAGTCTTGGGCTGACAAAGTCAATCATCCGTATCTCCCTCCATACTACACTATGTCCCGTCAAGTTAATCTGGATCTCTTCGATCAGAACATTGTGCCAAAATCACGCCGCGAAGGAGGGCCCCATAAGGTCGCCCAAAGAGCGATCCCTAACGTCCCGCAAGATGTTGATCTTCGTCCACGTCCAGATGATACCAAGATTCGTGTTGTACAGGACACACAAATTGAACCGTCTCAAAAGGTGATGCAGCAGGGACATATTGCAGAAGATGCGAGTAGGCTCCTCCACTCGAATCTTCGCCAGAGCGGGCATGCCTTGCCTCAGTACGTGAAAAGTGCACCAACATTAGCAGTGAGTCATCGAGGTGGTTGATTTACTATCGAAATTCTCAGCGGTCCGAACGTATCTGCATCTCGTCGCCAGCGTCCCGACTCTCTTCACCGAACTCTTGATATCCAAGAGCACCGCAGAGTGGATCATGGCAATGCTGACTAGTCATCCGGTCCAAATCGAGTTTGGCATCTAAATGGCTACACAAAGATATCTGAATTTGGCTTCGAGTTGTGTGCCACGCTTGGTGAATACTCACGATATGTCCTCCAGGTTAATGTAGGTTTCTCCGCGGGTAAACCGATTAGCGTCTACCGGAAGTACCTCGACGCAGTCTCGGAGTCTGGACACCTGCCGCAAATCCTTCAAAATGATCCGGATGTAGAGACGGCACCTGTTGGAGATGCTCATTGGGAGCTCAGACGCGCGTCCCATCCAGAGATTACGCAGGCCGACGGTTACTCTCAGAGCCGGAGCACGAACGATTCTCATCTTGTGCACTGGTGGTCGCAGGCGTCGAAATTATGTTTGTTTATTTGGAACGTAAGTTTTATGTTGCCTTTGGCTTCGGTCATCTTCTCACTAGTTATACTCCTTCACTAACCTGTTAAGCTGTTAGATTTGTTTCATTGCAACAAGATGCAGAGAGATGGGATGCTGACGAATATCTTCCGCCTGATACACTCGCCTGGTGCATGCAAGAGCTACAGCAGATGGGATTTGACCCTTACCATCCGCCGCCACGCGGTCGCGTTGCTCAGCCGTATAAATCAGTGTATCTGGGACTTCGTCAGCGAGGGATTCTGCATGTGTAATCGGGGGCTTTCCCAAGTCTTGGGATCTGCAAGCCGCCAAATCAAAAACTCACAGTGCCATTGCCAGGGCAAGCGGCAGAATGATTGGCCGGATGATCTAGCAGAGTAGCTGTGATCTGCAGTTTATAATCAATTTTGACTTGAGTGTGGGAAAGAATTCAGTCGCAGTCAACATCAAAAGAACTTGGTCTGCTGTCACACCGCATTTTGACAACTCGAGTATACAGAACATTGAAATGGAAGCATATTGTTGATCTTCAATCAGTAGAATGTCCTCTCCTTTGGAGATTTTGTCCCTTCCTTCCTAGTTACCATCCCAGACGTGGTCATTCTCATTGTGTCCATCAACATGGCCTGGGACACATCTCCTCTACCCACCCTCACATTCACCACGCAGTATACTGAGCCACCCCTCCAGGATAAGTGAAATACGCTGCTTTGGGACCTATGTGTCTGATTACATGATCTCGCGGAGAGAGGTACTCTAGTAATCCTGGTTGCAGCCTTCGGTCATCTGTTTTGCTCCCATTGGTAGAAGAGATACTGAGTGCGTACACTGCAAATTCCATGGTAGCACAACATCATATAATTTTTCGGCAGCAATAGCCGTTCCACAAGCTCCGTCAGCTTAGACTCAGCATTCCCCCAATTTCTAGACATTCAATTATTGTGCGCTCTGCTTATGGTTTTAAGGTGTTACCTTATGTGTCATTCCACAGGTACGCTTTATGTAAACCACTCGGAATCTTGACCATATTGCGTGTGTGTATATACTTTGACATGACCTGCTATTCCCTGTGTGAAGAGGTTCCACCCTGATGAAGTGCTTGATTTTGTTGTCACCGGCAATTATCCTGTGCATTCCTAGGATTATGAGCTCGGCTCTAGCGAAAATTTGAACCGCCCGCTCGATACATTGCTACACAGGTTTCAGGGAGACACAGCCCCACAATCCAAAGAGGAAATACGCCAAGGTTGCCTAGAGGGCACCGCAGTTACGCAGTGTAAGGTGAGTCAGCTCGCAGACATAAAGCTGCCACGTATGAAGAAATAGTCGCAGACCCTGTACCTCTGGGGGAGTGCTTCTGTAAGGTCCAGGCTACCGCTATTGAAGATAGCAAGCTAATTACGCTATATAAGACGTCGATCTTCTACAGCCACTGCCCTATTACGTGCCAAGAAAGCTTCTTCAAATTTCCTTTGGATTCGCAGTATCACAAAAACCATGGAGTCAGCTAAGGACAACGGCGAATCAAAGACAGATGTGTAAGAGATCCTTCTGTGTGTCTATTGCTGACAGAGATTCTGATTTACATTTCAGGCTCATCATCGGAGCAGGTCCATCGGGACTAATGGCAGCGTACTGGATGGCTCGCTGCGGCATCAATGCTCGCATTGTGGACAAGCGGGGGACTAAAGTGTTCACAGGCCAAGCTGATGGTTTACGCATGAGGACCCTCGAGCTTTTTGACAGCATAGGGTTCCAGCATCGTGTCCAACAGGAGGGTCATGTAGCCGTTGAAGCTAACTTTTGGGTCTGATAACTCTCCCAAGCTTGAAAATTCAAAGGCTGATGACAGGGATAATAGGTTCCTGATGGGAAAGGAAACCTCATTCGGCAAGGCCCGCACTGCAGTTCCAAGGCCAACGAGTCACCCTTCCGCAATATGCTCTTGAATCAAGGCCGCATCGAGCGATTCCTGCTAGACAGTATTCAAGCGCACTCCGACCTTCAAGTTGAGCGAGGTGTGATCGCAGAGACTTTTGAATATGATGAGAAGATGGAAGACGATCCAAATGGCTATCCGATCACCGTCAAGCTACGAACTTTGAGTGACGAAGAAGCGAATCCTTCGAGTCTCCGAGTGACAGAGACGAATCACACTGCGGCGGCCAGGGGAGTGGCTCGCGGCAATCTACTCTTGGATGACTGGAACGAGCTGGTTACAAGAAGTAGAGCAAAGGAGACTAAATCGGAGATTGTCAAGGCCAAATATCTGATTGGCTGTGACGGGGCACACAGTTGGACGAGAAAGCAGGTGAACATCCCGTTGGAAGGTTCAACTACGGATCATGTTTGGTAGGTGAAAAAGCCGTCATTCCGCACTTCGTCCATTCCTCGATGCATGAAGTCATTGGTTGATTGAATTTTTCCAGGGGTGTGATTGATGTGGTTCCAATTAGCGACTTTCGTAAGTATAATGGGATACCAAGTTGTAAACCAGCTTGAGTTCATCTGGTTGACTTGAATGAACCAGCGGATATTCGTCGCCTGGGAACTGTGACCCATGCGTCGGGTACCATCCTAGTTATTCCCCGGGAACGGAACATGGTCCGCTTATATGTTCCAGTTCAGACAATCGAAGCAGTCACCACCAGTGAAGGGCGTTTTGATCGCTCAAAAATTACGTTGGAGATCATCAAGCAGCGAGTACAAGTAATCTTCGCTCCGTATACTTTCGATTTCCAGGTCTGTGACTGGTGGGCTGCGTACCAAATCGGACAACGGATTGCACCAACTTTCTCCAAAGGGAACAGAATCTTCCTCGCTGGAGATGCAGTTCATACACATTCGCCTAAAGTGGGCCTGGGGATGAACATGAGTATGCAAGACGGTTTCAATATCGGCTGGAAGGTCGCTCTGGTTGCGAGTGGTGTTGCACAGCCGTCAATTCTTGGTACCTATGATGCAGAAAGGCATCGGTTAGCCGAGATGTTACTCGACTTCGATCGGCATTGGTCCGGACTATTCACTGAAGGCGACGAAGAGAGCAAACCTCAGAACATGATCAAAGTCGTCGAATTGTTTGAAGATTTTGCAGATGGACGAAAATCATTCTATGGGGCTAGTGAGCTGGTCTGGAAACTTGAAAATGACCGAGACCAGCCTGCAGCTCGGCATTTAACCCCTGGAGAGCGTTTCCCCCCAGTCAAGCTTCGTATGCAAGCAGATGGTAATCTCAGATGGACAACAAGGCTTCTGGAAAGCGATGGACGATTCCGAGTTGTGATTCTGGCCGGTGATATGCGGGAAGCAACTCAGAAAGATCGCGTTCTGGCATTGACACAAAGTCTCTCTGGAAGTGATGAGAATGAATCATTGGTCCTTGACCATTATACTCCTATCGTGGGCCATTTTGATTCCGCTATCGATGTGATTGCCATCCACAGTGCGCCATGGACCGAAGTGGAATTCTTTGACTTCCCAAAGATTCTGCGCCCATTTGACCCTGTTCGAGGCTGGAACTATGATAAGATTTGGTGTGATGATGCTTGCATATGGAACAAGGACTGTGATGGAAAGGGGTATGAACGATGGGGAGTGGATCGAATGCGAGGCGCCATGGTGGTTGTTCGTCCCGATCAATATATCGGGTGGGTTGGGGAGCTTGAAGAAGTGGATGAATTGACTCGTTATTTGGATGGAGTTTTGATTCGAAAGGCAGCCAACAATTGCCCACACTAGGCTTTGCTGGCAATGACCATCCCAATAGAGATTCAATCTCCTCTGTCACCGTCCATCATAGAATGCCAGGTCCTATTTTTTGGGCAGCGAAAACGTCTCGATGACTTGTGTAAATTCTATACAATACCATGCGAAAACCATCTGTTGGTCGGCCAGAGTACTCAACACCATTATTACCCTCAGTATATTCGATTCATTGAAACTATCCATATACTGAGTGCCATCGTTTGTAAGAACTAAATCTCTTTCCAAAGGCAGTCAAATCCTTGAAATGGTGGAGGCATTTGGATGTATATTCAATCACGTGATGTTACCTACACTTGGGGCGGGGAAGGGCTGGTTATGCCATGAAATACCCTATAACCCTCATTGTAAGCAAGTTTTTATTCATGATAAATTAATTTAAAAAACATAAGCTTGATTTCTTTCATTACGCTTGAATAGGCCCTCTGCAGCTTCAGTCAAGAGACTCGGAGTGATTGTCCTGAATAGATCGGAAGAACTATAATCCGGAGTCCAGTCGGGCATCTGGAAGGGATGACATAAGACTCCGTTGTGTGTGTATCAAGTGGGTGCAGATCTCAACCCACCAACGCCTTTCTCGGAGCCAGCTAGCCAGCTCACATCTCAAACAGCCTCTGGTGGGAAGTTCATGACGATACAACCCGCAGTCATGGACTCGAGCTCTCCAGATCCCATCTCAGAGGCTCACACCTTGGTCACTGAGCTGTACTCTCCCGCCAACCAAAGAAATCCAGCACGCATTAATGACATCCAAACGCGTCTGCAGCACCTCCAGAGAGGTGATCATGCCTGGCAGATTGCTGACTCACTTTTGAGGGGGCCTTCAGCCCATCATCGATTCATGGGTGCTCTCACATTTACAGTGAAAGTGAACGTCTCCAGTCACGATATCGACGAGGCGACAACCCTTCAGGTCTTGGAGCATCTGGTCCACCATTTTGTGACTATTGTCAAGGAGGGTGAGCAGGCCATGGTAGTCCGGAAGCTGGCATCCAGTTTGGTGACTCTCTTCAAGCATTCCGCATGTCCTTGCGAGAGAGTACTGCGGCAGGTCGCAGCCAGTTTGGCCCATGGGGGCTTTGTCTCTGAACAGCAAGCCCAAACAGTGGACTTTGCAACTGGCGTGCTGCCAAGCCTCGATACCCAGCAAGCCACAGCTTTGCTATTCTTTTCGGTCACACTTGCCGAGGCCACACTACGACTTGAAGACGAGCCCCAGGAACTAGTGGGACCAGCACTTCGACGAGCCGTCACCAATGCTTGGGATGGCTTCTTATTGGTGCAATACATCCTGCCACAGATCTCAGGGCAGTCTGGAGCGGCTCTAGATAAGCAGACTCATCAGACCCTGGGCAGTGAGGTTATGAACTCCTGGAAAGGATGGCTCAGTGTTGCTTCCAACCGTTCGCTACCAAATGGAGATGAAGTTCACGGACTCGCCGTTTCTTGCGGCCATAACATCATAGAGACCCTACGAGTCCCTGTCTTGAGTGAACTCGCTGCTTCTACCCTGACCCAGGTGTTTGAGAGTCGTCGTTCGGCTTTCGACGAAACTTCCATCTGGGTTCTCTCTCGGGTGCTCGCTGACTCGATCGTGACAGCACACATCATCTCCATCACAGAGGGCCACGAAGGCACCGAAAGTATGACCTATGTTGATCTTTTGGTTGCTTATTTATCGCATCTCCAAATGAAGGTTTTCAGCGACCCCATGAAGCCTGAGAATGCCAAAATCCTCACTGTCGCCCACGACATCTTCAAAACCCCTGGATATGCAGTTATCGATGACCCGGCCACGCCTCGTGTGCTAGAATTTTGGAATGAAATCGCGGAGGGGGTGCTCGATGAGTTGGATGGAAACGATCCGAGATGGCAGATGATCAAAACGCAGTTGGCACAGGTTGTGCTTGGCCTGTTCAACAAGCTCTTGTATCCTACATCAGATGACTTAGCTGACTGGACCGATGAGGAACGAAGTGAGTTCAATGCATTCCGCCACGAGGCCTGCGATTATCTACTGTCAGCATACCCCATCCTCGGTGTCGAATTGGTGAGCGTGTTTCAAGAAAGTGCAACGAGCCACCTCCAAAACGGTGACTGGCGTGGGTTCGAGGCTGCAATGTTTTGTATTGCCCAACTTTCCGAGGCCGTCGATGAGAACGGACATGCAGACCAATGCCTAGACGCTATCTTTGGCAGTGAGGCCTTCGCACGCCTATGCGCTGGCGGGGAGACGGGCATACCTCTCAAGGCCCGTCAGACTCTCGTGGACACATTCGGAAAGTATGAATCATATTTTGAGCGGCACAACTCGTTACTTCCAGGCGTTCTCAATATTCTATTCGAGTCCCTGAACTTTGAATCTTGCGCCCAGGCGGCTGCCCGGTCATTCTTGACCCTTTCGAAATCATGCTCTCGAGTCTTGACTTCGGAGCTACCCATCTTCCTTGATCAATTAGATCTCTTCCGCACAAAACCAACGGCGACCTCATCCACGATGCCGAAGGTCCTTGAGGGCATTGCGACTATCGTCCAGAGATTGCCCTCCGATGAAGAGAAAGTGCAGACGCTGGAGCGAATTCTAGGTTTCTTCGTGCAAGAAGCCACTCAGGCGCGACAAGAAGCTGCCAACTCGGCCTATGATATCGCTCGCTCACATGGTCACTTGATCCTGAGTTGCATTGCCAGTATCGGAAAGGGTCTACGCTTGGACGCGGAGGAGGTCATCAACGTCGATGCCGCCGCTCCGGAACAAAATCCCTATCCCCCATCCTTTTGGAACTCGGGGCCCGGGTCACGGGCTCAGCAGTTCATCATGGAATCAATGCGCCTTCTTATCGTGGACTTCCCTGTGGATAGCAACATGATTGATTCCGCATGTGATATCCTCAAAGCGGGATACACCGAGTCATCAGGACTATTCGTCTTTCCTCCATCTATGACGGTTGACTTTATCAAGAGTTTCCCGCTGGGCATTTCCGGCACCGATGTCATCATGGGGACTGCATCTGCATTCTTGGCCTCCCATGCATCCCATTCCATGCACATCCGTGACGAAGCGGTGGCGTTGATTACCCATGTTGCCCAACTCTTCGCATCGATGCTCGAGACTCCAGATCTGTACGATCCCGAGACAGCCAATGCCGGCATTGACTTCTTCTCCCGCTTGATACCCAAATACTACACGGTGCTATTTTCCCTGACGGAGCCCCTACCATCCCTGGCAGCTCATTCGCACTATCGAAGCACCCCGGCGTTTAGCGTTCCCTTGGACTTTGCCCTCCACGCGTTGACCCGACCCGAGGCATTGACTCTCCGCTCCGCATCTGCCTTCTGGGTCGCCCTCGTGGACCTTCGCGGCAACTCTCCGGAAGAGACTACCGCCTTGGACCAAGTCATTCAGTCGTTCATCCCCCGACTCAGCGAGACCTTGGTTAGCCAGATCGCCGGCCGTTGTGCGCGGTCAGATCTGGCCTCTCTCAGCGATGTGATTCGTCGCTTGATCTTCAAGAAGATGGCACTCTCACGGCCCAGCATTGATGCAGCCCTCGACAGACTGGACCTTCACACCACGGATGAAGCCGCGAATCGGGTCCCCCTTCTTTCTCAACAAGACAAGTCTCGGTTGGTGCAGTCACTGGTCGTCGCTCGAGGTGCGAGGCAGCAATCAATGGAGATTATTCGATCTTTCTGGCTCAAATGCCGGGGAATGAGCTATGATTATGCCCAGTGATGAATGAATATCCCAAGGGCCGAATAGCAGGAGTATCTCACGAGAACCATATCCAGCATTGGTAGCATGATGACATGACGGTTGCGTTTTATTTTTACGATAGATATCCAGAAAACACCAATGATACAGATTCAAATCATTCCGATCATGAATGGCGATCATCGTTAACTAGCTACAGTATAATTGTTGTATACTCAAACTGACTGTAGAACCAGATTCCTGCCTGAGTCTGGATGATCGCCGGCACGTGCTGTGACCATTGGACGGCACGTGTTTTGGGCGTCGATCCGGGGCCGCCAACTTCAAAAGTGTCAAGTCACGAGTGGGCAGGTGGGCAAGTGGGCAAGTGCGAAGGCGATAAGTCAACTGGATCAACACCCCTGTACCCCTCCTCTCTATCCATCTCTCTCAACGCAATCCATTCATGCACAAGTTGACCATCCTCAACGTGCTTGATACTCTTGCGAAACCATTTCCGACACCGCAAATCTCTCCCGAGGTGACTCAGCAGCGGTACGCTTGCTGATTGGTGGTCTCTGGCCGGAAGCCTTCGCCGCGCAGTGACGTGACGTGCACTAGCGATAAGATTGGGTTCATCCCCAAAAATCCTCGTCGGTTTGGGCGATACACCTTTGGGGACGAGCAGTCTGCATGAAGATGGTCTCAACGGCCGTTCTTCTGTCCCTCTGGGCCAGCGCCGTAGCATCAGCAATTCCACTCGAACAACAGCATCCCTTGGCCGATCTCAGCACAGATCCCAGCGCCCATGTCGTCTCCGATGGTGTAACCCAGTCTCCTGCAGGGGTGGCGGCCTCGGGCCCTCGCGGTCGCTTCTTGCATATTACCGGTACGTGCTGAACGATAAACACAATCGAAGAGAAGCGGACAAACATTGATAACAGCCCATGAGAATAGATTTCCACCCCGACCAATACTACAAAGCGGGCACCCTGCTCGATGAGAAAGGCGGGACATGCCATCGCGGCAAGGGGCCAGCGGGATACTTTGGCGCGGAAGGTTCAGACTGTGACTCTCCATTGTCTCTGGTCAATGAAACGTTTCGGTGGATTGAGGAAAACTTGAAGGACGAGATCGACTTTGTCATTTGGACCGGGGACTCGGTCCGCCATGACAACGATGAAAAACACCCACGAACCGCAGACGAGATCGTGGAACTCAACCAGTTCATGGCCCAGAAATGGGTCGATCTGTTTGGAGTCAGTGATCAAGCCAAAAGCCCTGCCACCATCCCCCGGCTGTCCGTACCGGTCATTCCCACCTTTGGCAACAACGACATCCTGCCCCATAACATTTTCCGAGAGGGTCCCAATACGTGGACGAAGAAGTTTGCTGAAATATGGCGCCATTTCATTCCGGAAGATCAACGCCACACTTTCGTCGAGGGTGGATGGTTCACCACCGAGGTCATTCCCGGTAAACTCGCTGTCATTAGTTTGAACACCATGTACTTCTTCGAATCTAACAGCGCGGTGGATGGGTGCAATGCCAAGTCGGAGCCTGGGTACGAGCACATGGAGTGGCTGCGGGTTCAGCTGCAATTGTTACGAAGCCGTGGCATGAAGGCGATCCTAATGGGCCATGTGGCTCCCGCTCGGTCGAATGAGAAGAAGAACTGGGATGAAAGCTGCTGGCAGATGTATACGCTGTGGATGGACCGGTACCGTGATGTCGTCGTGACCGGTCTTTATGGGCACATGAACATTGACCATTTTATCCTGCAAGACAGCCACAAGGTTGACATTGACGCTGTTTTGGAGAAGTCTACGAGTGACACGATAACGACGTTGTCAAAGGAGGACTATCTCGTCTCGCTTCGCAAGCAATGGTCCTCGCTGCCGTCGCCTCCTTCTGGTCTCTTCGAAAAGCTGCGCAGCTCGTCCGACTCTTCCGAATTCGACTCGACGAAAAAGAAGAGCAAGAAGGAAAAGAAGAAGGAGAAAAAAGAGAAGAAGAAGTATTTGAAGAAGATCGGAGGGCCGTTTGCCGAGCGATACAGCCTTTCACTCGTCTCGCCGAGTTTGGTGCCGAACTACTTCCCTACGCTGCGGGTGGTTGAATACAACATCACTGGACTGGAGGCCGATTCCAACTACAGCAATGATCGAGATTCTTCCGATTTGTCTACCGTGGGATCAACTGTGCATGAAACTCAAACTTCCGAGATCGATATTGAGAAGAAGAAGAAGAAAAAGAAGGACAAGGATAACAAGCCACCAAGTTTCAAAATCCCTGATGCTCCGTCCTCCACGGCACCCCCAGGCCCAGCATACTCCAACCAACCATTCACCCTGCTTTCCTACACCCAATATTTTGCAAACCTCACTCGAATCAACGAGGAGGCTGCGTCCCAAGGAAACAAGGCCCCCAAAATTGACTTTGAAGTCGAATATTCTACCAACGACAACGGCGCATGCCAGATGACGGACTTGACGGTCCGTAGCTTCTTGGAGCTTGCCATTCGAATCGGTGAAGATGGAGCAGCCGCAACGGATATCACCATCTCCCCGGATCCTTTGGTCACGAAAAAGAAAAAGGTGAACGAGGCCTGGCACACGTTCCTCTCCCGAGCATTTACTGGGTTTGTTGATGTGGATGATATGACTCTGAGCGCATACAGTCTTTGATTGGGTTTGATTACTTTGGACATATTCTATTTCCTGTTCACTTTCTATCGTGGCATGTCTGCATTACTTGATACTTGATATATGGGTTGCATTTGGGTGGTTCGTGAGGTTTATATTGCATTGACTGGGAGTTATCTTGTGCTAGAAAATGGGAATATATGGTCAATCGGAGATGTACACGTGAGAGGAGTGGTATTTATTGCAATCAATCAACCAATTGCACTTCGTTATTAATAAGAAAGTTGAAGTATTTCAAGTCTCATGTCCAACCAGATTTCGGCTTCGATCACATGCGAAATCCGTCGGGGAACACCCCGGTCATCGGATTAACTCTCTCTCCGAACCATCGGCATCGGCCGTCCAAAAGTTGACTTGGAGTTCTCCATTCCTCTCTCAACACTCGTGTTTTCCACGTCCCACGAGGTTTCTCCTCGCCAATCCCAGGTCATGAGCAATGCGCTCTGGGTCGCATGGCGGATACCATGCTCGGGACTTCGAAGTCCCGGCGTCTTGCCTCCAGTCTCGTTCCGTCCGATTTGTCGTAACCTCCGCATGACGCCATGGAGCTTGTCCAGCAGCCCGGTCAACCGCCCTTTCAGTTCCTTACACCCCACGTCTCCGTACAAATCTCGGCCTAGTACCTCCGTAATAATCTCTCAGATTTTCAGCCATGCTCCCATCCAGCGAAGGCTAAAAAGGACCACTGCTGCCACAACAGGTGCTTCAAAGGGTATCGAAAGCTTGCCAGGCGAGAGACCACGTTCGGATACGCAGATCAAGTCGATTTTCGCTTCCAACAAGATTTCCGCAAGGCTGGGCAATCGTACATTGGCAGTTCTCCAAGCTCGTCGGGTAGACGGTACCCTCGACCTCGACCTCCCGTCCGACATCTCCCGCGGCGTATCCCAATTACAACTCGATACCGCGTTGGAGTGGCTGCGTCAAAACTATCCCATTGATGAGGATGCTGCAATCCTGGCCCGGATCGAACGAGAGGAGTTTGAGGCAGAACAAAAGCTTGTGCGACGTGCGGAACAGCTGGGTCTGTACAAGCCCCAGAGTGGGTCCTACGATGCCGAGCTTGGCGAAGACAAGTCCGTCTATGGAAAGAGCGTTCTCAAAGAGGCACGGGAGAAGAACGAGAAAAGGTTGTTGGCGGAGAAGGAGCACAAGCGTCAGCAGTGGCTCGAAGGCGAGAATGAGGAGCTTGAACGACTGCAGCGCCAGGTGGAAGGCAACACAGCGCTACAGAAATATCAAGAATCTGCGCTGACGGAGGGTACGTGTATCCGAGAAACGAAAGGTTCGGAAATTGGCTCACATATTCGAACAGCTCGTCCTCGTGCGGACCCTAACGAACGTCCATATCTTGCATGGGTTCAGAAACACCACATTGCGGGAACTCTGAACCAAGCCGAGGCTGTGGACCTTACTACCGTATGGATGCCTCATTTCTTTCTCTGCGCGGATTTGACTAACCATTGATTCCAGTCACAACGCCTTCTGGCGCCTTTGATCTTCACAATCCTCACCTTGGGCCTTTGCTATGTATTTGCCCAGAATTACGAGGCTCCCGCGCGACAAGATCGTATGTGGCCCGATGTGCCTCCTGCTGCAGCGACGGTTGGAGCTATCATCACCGCCAATCTTGCCGTTACCTTCCTGTGGAAGTATATTCCTCCATCATGGAAATTGCTCAACCGCTTCTTCGTTATCGTTCCGTTCTATCCAAGTGCCTTGGGTGTTCTTGGTAGCACGTTCAGCCACCAGACCTGGAGACATTTGGCGACGAACATGATGGTCCTGGGTCTGATGGGAACCAGAGGTAAGCACTTTGTGATGACGATCGCCTATAAACCCGCATGCTAACCTCATTTGACGTTCCACAGTCCACGATGAACTTGGTCGTGGAAATTTCCTGGCCATCTATCTAGCCTCCGGGGCCGTTGGCTCGATGGTGTCGTTGTCACGTAGCGTCCTCCTTGGTTATCTTGGTATGACTTCTCTCGGTGCTAGTGCTGCTACCAGCGGTATCGTTGCAGCGTGGTGCATGTATCACTTTGAGTAAGTATTATATCTTCCCCCTCCATTACCAACCATGGCTAACACTTATCTCACAGTGACAAAATCACCATGTGGATTCTGCCACGTGATCTCCGCGAGACGCTTTGGACCCAAGGCTGGATTTTCCTGGCCTGTCTGGTTGCCACTGAGGTTTTTAGTATGGTAACGCCTGCGCGCTTCTTGCGGGTTTGGCCCTTGTCACGACTCACCAAAATGGACCATGCGGCTCACTTGGGCGGTTACTTTACTGGTGCTGGGTGTGGCTATGCGCTCGTCCAGCAACGGAGGGCACGTGAACGAGAGCAGAGAGCCCATGATTCGAAGTGGCTTGAGAAGTTTGTGCGGTAAATACCCTCGAACTATCTTGCCAAGGTCTTGGACATTGCTCGTGCATTGAAAGTATGTATCATTGGCCATTATAGTTTGGCTTGGCGTATTTGGATGTGACTTTTGTGGTGGGAGCCTAAGCATTGTATTATAGATATCATATAGGAATTTTTCCAACCTTCGGGCAGGTGTATACAATTTTCTACTTCCTAAACGGATGTTACTAGGACTCTCACAAAACACATAGTTGTTTCGGACGGAAAAACACCCTTGCTCAATTATTAGAGTTAACCGAACCTAATCAGTCTGTAACCATAATCATCCCGACTGCATTACTTGCCAAAGTCGGACTATCTAGTAATACATCTAAGAATCATCAATCCAGCCCTTCCATATCTACACGCCTAATTTACTCAAACGTAATCTTCACCACCTTAGCAGGCTCCATGAATGTACCCAGCACGGGAGCAACTTGACCTCCACTCGTACCAACATACAGAGTCTGCTCATCCGCTGCCAGCCGACAAGAAGTTGGACCCGGCATTTGGGTAGAAAGCTGACCACCAGCCACAAGAGAGATCTGACCATATGGTGTAATGCGAACAACCGAGTTCTGCGGGTCAGTCGCGATGTATGCAGTGCCATCAGATGCCACGTCCATGTTGTCCGGGAGGAAACCACTGGCGATGATCTCGTAGTCGCTGGCCGGGGTCGCATCCTGGTTAACCTTGACACGGCCGAATTGCATGCGGGTCGTACTGGAGTAGTAGATATAGTCATCTACCAGCTTGAGGCCATTGATGCCTAGTGGAAGAGCCTGGCCCTCGGCAGGGAGCATAGTGGTATCATTGAGAGCCACGGAGTATTCACCGGTCTGCGTGTTGAGCTTCCACGCCACGCCCTTGGGGCTGTCCGCAATCAACACTAGATGCGACTCCTTCGTGAAGGAGGCCATGCCATTCAAAGCTTGTGCTTCGGGGAGGGCAGCGATGTGGGATACCGATGCCAATTGGGTTCCTTGCTCGTTGTTGGTCGTGTGAACATTGTTAAAGTCCAGCTGCTGAACTGTGAAGGACCCAGCGGTGGGTTGGTACGTCTTGGTGGAGAAGTTGCCCACAACGACGGCAAAGACATCATCGTCAATTTCGCTGATTCCAAAGCAGCTGGTCGCATTGGCGAAGGAGTGAACCAGTGTCGCATTTCCAGTGGTAGTGTCTACCGACCAGACTTCGGGCGTATCCAAACGCGTGAGGAGAACGCTCCCATCAGAACGCAAGGCAAGATTGTCGATCCACGAGCCATTGTTGGGGAATTGAAACAACGTCTCGACCTTTACGGTAGGCGCATCATTGCGGTACGGACTCGCAGTTTCGGTATAGGAGATCGGCCAGAATCCCCAGGCCGAGGGGAGAGCTGCGAGCAGACCGATCCAAGTAGCGTGGAAATGCATCGTGAAACAGGCCAGACCCAGATATGGATTGGGGATGAGCGGATATGTTAACCGGGGATGTACTCGCAGGATATAAATGACTGTTTCCGGGGGTCTGACAACTCATGCTTTGTATTGTTGATATTACATTCCATTCCAGAGTCTCGACTCGTGTTTATGTTGGCCAGAACCCATCCCTACATTCCGCACGAGCGGACATTTCTTGGTCAATAAACTTGCCAAAGACCAAATGACTCGTTCCAGTATATGCTATAAGTGACATGCGTCACTTGCCCTTGGTTCATTTATGTGATGGGCCATGTCAAACCCAGCTTCGTAGCTGGTACTTCTCGATCTTGTGCCGGCCTCTATCTAGCCCGCTTTCTCATCCCAAATGATTTGATCTTAGCATGATACATCCAGTCTGCTATCAAAATGCTGGTCGTTTATGTTGAGTCATAGAGTATCGACTGTGATTTTGTTAGTGTACGTAACTGGAGATATGTCAAAGGCTCTTGGCTTCCGAGTATAGTACTCGAGAATGACCGGCTCCATAACCCAGATCAAACACCAAGGGAGAGAAGTTTGAGGCTATGTAAAAAAAAATCGAAGACAACCGAATTAAGCCAATAGTCGAGCTGGACCTCCAAAAAAAAGAGATGGCTGGGATACGAACTCCTAACTTGAAAGTACAAAAACACACCCGGTCAAGGCTGCAGTTTTGTGCAGACTCTCCTTATCAGCCAGTCACAAGGGGTGATCAGTCCCCAGACTAGCCAATCGCTGCTTAGGCTTGGAGGTCATGCGAACCGCTTGGCCATACGGATTATGTTTGACCATTTGAGAGTCTAAACAAAATATGAACCAGGAAGTATATCCATAGTAGTATAGAATGAGGCCCCCATATTAGCTAATTCCCAGGTTCCCCTCCAACTCCACACTTTAGGGTATAGTACGTATACGGTTCACTTGACACCAGACACCGCACTGGGCGGGGGACTGAGCGTGTTCACGCTCCACTTGGCCAATCTCAAACTAGCCTGTTTCCCTCTGATTCCACCTACATTACTTTTTGATACGGTCGAAGCTCTGTCGCTAGTGCTCTTCCCGTGTTTATTCTGCCTCGTCTGCATCCTTTCCCCATCACTTCCGAATCTCAATTGCTCAGATGCCTCGGCAGAAGACATCCTCCCTCAAGACTTATTTTGACGAGCTAGAAGAGACCAACGGTGATGAGGAATGCAAGGCCTGGTTAAGCAGAGCTTTTGACTCGAGGGCTGCACTAGCAGTTTTCGTCGCTGGGCGTCGGGAAGGAGGGGGAACCGGAAAACATGTTGGTATTCTTGAGGGTTCCTTCAACTTTAGCTTTCGCCTCAGCTTCAACGATGGACGGCCAGATGTTATTATTCGGTTTCCGAAGCCCGGACACCCGGCTACAGCTTATAGGGACGAAAAAGTTGTGAATGAGGTCCAGATCATGGAATATCTCCGCCAAACCACTGATATCCCTATCCCTCGTGTTCACAGCTGGGGCTTAATTACCGAGAGTCCACAACAACTTGGTCCATTCATCATTATGGATTATGTCAACGGTACACTTTCGTCGACTATCTTGAAACAACCCGACCAAGAAAATATGGTTCTGAACCCAAACATCGACATTTTGCCTCAGACGTAGAGGATATGTAGTGATATTATCTGATCTCAGTTGAGTGAGGAGTTACTGCACATGCACATTATATCTGGCTAGTTTGGTCGCGCACTACCTAGATACTGTACAGCCAGTATTCAACTATAAATGGCAACAAAGATGTTTCGACGTCTTGTCAGTCAGCTTCGTAAAGTTCGAAAAAGACCTAGTTGCGCTCCTCAGGCTCTCCGAGCCCAGCAGGCGAGATAATCGTCTTGATTTGAAGTTTGACGAGAATGTCGACCTGCCTGGTGAGCCAATAATGGCCCAATGCCACAGGAATAACCGCCGTGACCTAACTACGCCTATCTCTACCTTTTCATAAGTCATCAATCTTTTTTGACTAACAAACAACTATAGCCCCCAAGATATTCGATTACCTTTAGAAATATCATAAACCTGAAGCTTTCTCGTGCCCTGTAATATCAGATCTGAAAGCAAAACATTCTCAGCAAGCTGCGGAGGTAACAGTCCAAGGGTGAAAGCCATACGGCAATGATCAGCCCAGCTCCTGTTGGTTCTTTTCTAAGAAGCCAAGAAGGGGGAAGAGTGAAATGGTGAAAACCTACAGGGACCACGGTCAATATCTGTTTTGCTTCATTCGCCAAGCCAAAACTACTGGGTAGACAAAGGGCCGATAACGAAATCTTCCACGGGTGGTATTTGGGCTTCCCAGTCAAAATCCTTCTTGTAATATAAGCTCCCGCACTTGGGGAAACGGAAGTCAAAAATGTTCCTTATGCACAAGACCATCACGGCATTTTCGTGTGGTTGACATTGTTAGCGGCTGATGGAAATGTCCAATAATAGGCGTGATTAAGCCGCCTACAGACTAGGTATCTTGGAAAAGCCCATAAATTCAGTCCCTGGGGTAACGTAATTCCCCGCCCGACCGGAACACCCTACCAGAAGATAGAATTTCAAAATCGATTATCTCCATCAACACCCATACAATTTTCTATTGCTGACCATTCTTACAATAATTGATCCTATGCCCAATTCCCCCACACCCACTACACCTAGGAGGTGCCCTAGGACGTGGTGGATTTGCCTGGTTAGGCAATTCGCCCTGTGCATGCGATACTACCCCATCACCTTCTACCGGCTGATTTAGCTGTTCAACTAGTTGTAGACCTTCTTCAACAGATAGACCACCCTCATGGGGTATTAGTCTATGCGACCGATTGCTCTTCCTGCGCTTCTTCTCATTGGCTGCGCGTAGATTCGCATTCTCCTGAGCAAGTAATGCAGTGTTGTGTAAGACAAGATAGTAACCCTTGATAATCTGATCTAGTAAGATCTTTGATGGTGTCGGAGGGCTATTTGACCGTTGCTGTAGTAATTGCTTAAGCAAGGATGCTTGCTCAAGCAATTGGACCACTATTTTAGGCGTCTTTGGTGTGAATTGACTAGATCTGCTGCCCGGTCTGCTGCCTGGGGGTGTAGGGGTTCGTAGAGAGATATTCAGCTTTGAAAGGACCCTCTCTGGGTCAATTGGATTGAGACCGGTAGCAACGAAGCTGTTTTGAATAGTACTCGGTATAAAGGCTTCTAATCGCGCGCGTTGATAGTCCTCTAGGAAACCAAGCTTGTCGATATGGTTATATCCCACGCGGGCAAGATCGCTCACAAAGCGACCGTATGCACGCTTTAGCACCGCAAAACAGCCAACATCTAGAGGTTGTAAAAGATACGACGAGTGCGCAGGCATACAGAGTGGTATAATGTCGTTTTCTGTACAGATTCTGTCGAATTGGGGTGTAAGGTGGCTACCATGACCATCAAGAATCAATAGGCGAAATCTACCACGCACGCGGGTATTGGTGTATGGTATAAAGATCTTCTGTAACCAGCGTAGACCAATCTCATCGGTAGTCCAACCGTTGGCAGAGACCTCAAATCGCCAATCTTTTGGTAGATTATCAAACCCACTAGATATGAAGACCTTGCCCTGAAAGACTATGCATGGCGGAAGCGAATAGCCATCGGCGCAGATAGATTCGATTGCAGTAACCCATTCGCGATTACCAGGTTGTAGGATAGTCCTCCGCCCATAGTATTCTGCCCTGGTAACCACCTTCTGCGCAGAGATAAGGCCCATTGCAAAGCCAGTCTCATCGAAATTGTAGATATCCTCTGGTTGTATACCCTTCTCATCGATTGTGCGCTGTACGGTCGCAAACCACTGCCGAAGCGATTTCGGATCTTCGTTTAGGGCTCTTTGGTAATCGTATCTTCGCGAGAACCGTGTGCGAAGCTCTGGGTGGCGGTTGACGAAGGTTGATGGCCAATTCTTACCAACGGTAGCTGGTGGTTGGTTACCACGCGCAGCTAGTAGGATATTGGCCATATCTCGCACTGTAGAGGGCCTAGGGGCTGCCCCACGCGTATCCATAGAGATTATCCACTCAGTAAGCGAATCCTCTTCGGTTTGGGTCAATTTATGACCAGATGGACGTTTATCAACGCGTGAGATTCGCCCTTCACTACGCGCGTGTAGTGTTGTACGCGGTATTTCATATAGCTTTGCTGCTGCACGAAGAGATTTGATACGACCATTTTTGATATCAGAAAGGGCTAATAAGATCTTGCCCTCTTGATTTGCCGATTTCTGCCGAGATTCAGCGCGAATTGGTGGCATGGTAGGTAGTTGAATTAGGTAGGTTGGTGAGAATGGGAGATGTTGGATGGAGTGGCTTAAGTAGCAGTATCAGGTCAGCATGGAAAATAGTAAATCCGGTTCCCAAAGCGGGCGGTTGGCCCGAAATTCAAAGCGGTTGCAGCTGAACTGAATCCATGCACAACTCATTCACTCATCGCACACTCGACATTCCCCGGTTTAGTGCGAAACGCCTACGGTCAATATGCCACCCAAGGATGAACTAGGTCTTGCTCAGGTGAGTTATAAGTCTACGATGGCGACGGTGATGGGGCATGCTTGATCCCCATTCCACCTCCTAGATTCTGCAAAACAGACACACACTAACTCTCATACCTTCCAGGCCTTGGCCGACATCGCAAAGTATATCATATTATGCTCATCCGCCTAGTTTCGCTATCTAACCTGGACAACAGGGGGGAACAAACCGCCTTGGCACTGGAGAACCACCTCAACGCACTCGAAGGCAAAGTGGACGAGCTACTGGCCTTCTTCGAGAAACAGGATTCATCGCAGCAGGAACCGGCTGATGCAGCACCGCATAACTCGAAGACACAAGAAGACCAGGTTGAACCTAAGGAGCAGAGCCGTTGAACAGCCCCTCCATGTGGAATTGACCATCGGGTCCCTTCTCGACCACCCCAACCTCCGTGATAATTCCGTCGATCAGGGCCGCCGGCGTGACGTCAAAGGCAGGGTTCCACACATTGATTCCGGGGGCAGCGATGCAGACAGTCTCCAGAGTCAAGTTGCCATCGACCGCGGTAGCTCCGGCGCGAGGACCCTTGATGCTGGTCATCTCCGAAGCCGGGCGTTGCTCGATGACGATATCGCTTCCAGACTTGGTAGCCATATCAATGGTGGTGCGGGGTGCGGCGACCAAGAACTTCACTCCGTGGTGCTTCGCCAGGACAGCCAGACTGTAGGTGCCGATCTTGTTGGCCGTGTCTCCGTTGGCGGCCACGCGGTCTGCGCCCACCACAATGGCGTTGACGCCGACCTGGGCATCTGCCAGCAAAGCCGCCGCCATGGAATCCGTGATCAATGTAGCAGGAATCTTATCGTGAACCAATTCAAAGGCCGTCAGGCGGGAACCTTGGTTGTAGGGTCTTGTCTCTGAGCAGTAGGCGTGGCGTAGGACGTTCTTCGATGAGAGCGACCGGATGACTCCCAGGGCAGTGCCGTAGCCGGAGGTGGCAAGGGAGCTTGTAACGATGGTTAGTAACAACGATCAAGACATTCGTAAGATCAAAATGAAAGGTGAGCTCTTACCCAGTGTTGCAGTGCGTCAAAACCGCAACATCAGCGACACCAGGCTTGGTAGCATTGGCCATGATCCACTCCGCGCCATTGTGACCAATGCGCTGGTTATCATCCAAATCATTGCCCATCATATCCTCCGCACCCTGAATGAAAACAGCCACGACACTCTGGCCCGTAGCGCTGGACTGTCCAGCTTGCGTAGTCACCAGCGCGCCCAACTTCTGCGCCGCATCCGCCAAGTTCACAGCCGTCGGACGGCTGGTCACAAGGTACTCCAACTTCTGCGCAATCAACGCTTTCGTCTCCTCAGCCGACGTGGGGATCTTGTCCGCAGCCTTGAGAGCATGCAATTCCGAGGCGAGTGCCAGCATGGCGACGATCGCAATGGCGGGTGCGCCTCGAACCTTCATCTCCTTGATCGCATTCCAGCCATCTTCGGCGGTCTCAATCGGGATGTATTTCTCAACGAAGGGCAGTTGCAATTGATCCAGGATCTCCAGGTAGCCCTGGCTGTACTTGATGGCTTGTAACATGATGGTGATCTGTGTGCGAAGTGACTTGTTTCGTGTTCTTTTTTTTTCTTTTGAGCCCCGCGGCGGTTTGGAATGCGCCCCGCGATTTGATAACGTGTTGATGCCTGAGGCAGTAATCATGATCATGAGTGCCTCAGGCCAGGAATAAAGAACTATAAACACAACAACTGAGAATCAAAAACAATCATCTCTCGCAACATCGATTCTTTGGTATATCTCAGCTTTGGGGTCTGTGCCGCCTTGCAGACACGTTTAATTTATGTCTAACTTCGAGCCCTGTCCTTTGATACTGGGTTTCACGGTACGAATTCTGCACCAAGACCAGCAATATATTCACCACCAACGCCATCACGGCTGCACCTGGTCAGACCCAGTAAGGAGTGATAATGCTTAGGGCTATTCAGAATTTGAACGTGAACATATTAGCAAGGCTGCACAACCCCTAAGCTCGAAATATTCCAAGAAATCGATTCTGCCAAGAGATTGTTGGCTTGGTTTTCTCCTGATGCACCAGTAGGACCCTTCAACTAGTGCTGTAACTGAAAGCATTCGGGCCAATGAGTCCATTAGTTTATTTACACACACGACAAACTAAACAAGCTGAAGATACTATATGAAAGACAGGAACGGAGTTGAAGATATAGTTTTTGCAGAGGATCATGGCTCTTACTCTATCTGATTGGGAATTTGATAAAGGCAAATGAAGCTAATGAAGCTAGATATACAAAGAATGGAGAGACTCCTCAGGTTTATACAGTACATGTATACCGCGTCAAACATTGCCATTCCTGTTTCCAGCCAGAAGACGGAGAAAGAGTGGGACCGAGGCCAGGACCTCCGGCGCATCTCGCCAACGCGTCAACTTCCTGTTTAGGATTTCGAGCTTCGGGGGAATTCCGAGTGGCTTATGAAGCGTGTGACGACCTAATAGGACTACAAATGGTACAGCTAACGAGAGTGGCTATATGGAGCAGAGAAAATATTGGTACAGTACATTCTCTTTGCTTACTGGCGTAATAGTGTACATCTGATCCAAGGGGACCCTTCAAGCCTCAAAAAGGGGGTTCAAACTTGTTCGAATATCTGCCAACATCGTACCCCTTGAACTCGTGGGCACAACATGAAAAATCACTTCACCCATTCCCTCAATTAATAGCTGTCCCTCTTGAGGAAGACTCAAACAGTAATGGCGGTCAGTCCCATAGCATGGAAGTAGGAGATAAGATCCTGAGCGATGTAGTCGTGGATGATCAGGCCTGTGCATTCATCCAAGATAAGAAGGTCGGTTCCGTTGTAGGTCACCGAAGAGCCTGCCTTCAAGGGCCTGTCCGAGAATACCAATTAGCTTTTTGGCAGTCCAGAACACGAAATAAGTATCACTATGCTGGCGTTAACTCACGTGGGAAACAGTGTAAAGTTTGCGCCAAGGACGCCGTTCATCTTCCATCGGACAGCAATCGAACTGTCATCGTATAGTGAGTGGATGGGGTCAAAGGTGTAACTCTCCCATCCATTTCGTGATTTCTCAACAAAGGCAGTGAATTGGGTTCGATTGGTCACGACAGTGAGGTCGCTACCATTGCCACTTGACGAAGGGAACCGGTCAGAAGAGAGGGCGACGTCGGGGTGAAACGTGGTATCCATGAGTGATAGATCACCACCCCAGATAGCAAGATAGTTGCTCAGGATGGTCTCTTGGTGGCTACCATCCTTCGCATAGCCCCTACAACAGGCTGAACTGGCATGGTTGTTGGAAGTGGCATGGGCGTTGGAAAGGGCAACAAGGGAAGAAACGGCAAGCGTGAATAGAGTACCAAGGGGCGCCATTGTGAGTAGTTGAATGCCTTGGAATGGTCCGAGAGAAGCAAAGTGAAGAGTTAGAGAAGAGTGATTGATGGGATTCAGCTAGAAGTCCGGTATGGAACTGCCTATTTATACTCCTTTAACGAAGCTTTGAGGAGTGATCAAATCTCGATCCTTCTCGGCACAGCAATCTCCACATCATAACGGCTTAGTTGTTCCTTGATGCCGCAAACGTTGATACTATGAGGGCCTGGATTGGAGTCACACAGCAGTTCTTGAAGCCTAAGATTACCATGTGGGGATTTGGCCCCCAAACTTCTTGGCAATCTGCAGCTCGCGCGCAATCGTCCTTTTTGGGTTTAGCTTGTGGCCAGTGGCGCTTGCTGTCTCCCGTGCCGATGGAAGCTCTTTTCTAATTAGACACCTTCCTCCCTAGGCCGAGAATCAAAATAGCTAGGCAGATGATACTTCGTAGATGCTTCTGGGTAGGGGCTAAAACGAAGAAGCGACCTAGCTTGAATCATCAATTGGAGGGAGTAGCCGAGAAAAAGGCGTGAAGTGGACCTGATTCTATTTCCTCTACGTCGGCTCAGTATCGAGTGCCGATTGTTGGTGTTCCAGGACGCTCCAAAGCATATCGTACCTGCAGGTGGCGCAAAATAGGCTTAATATGATAGGCCTCACGTTTAAATGAAGGAACTTTCCAGCCGCAATAATAGCGTGAGTGCGGCTTACGGCACCCGTCCTGTGGACATTGCACGAAGGCTTGTATCTCACGCCAAGGTTATGCAATGTGCTTAGCTATACATTGTTTTTATGTAACGGGACAAGGATAAAATAATTTCCCTAAGGAGAAGGGCACTAGATGGGTGGCTGTTTCCATCTACAAAAGCAGGCGCCTTTCCAGCCAGGTACGATGATGGATCGCCCTCGCTAATAATCCATTCGCTCCGCGGAAAGTACGACCGCAAAATCCACGTTTGATAAAACGGACAATGGATCTAGACAGATGTAAATGTATTCTGGCTGGTCCAGTGGAGATTCAGTGCCCAGAGCAAAAATGATCTTGAACTTCTTGGTGCTACTAGAGTTTTACCTGCTACGAGAGATACCGATCATTACTCGCTTTTGCGGTCAAGTTTCTTTCAATTTCCAATGGTTAATAATTATATAGCTAATTGGACGACGCAAATCTAGAAGTTCGCATATTGGAGAGACTAGGCTGACTATGATGAAAGACATCCAGTCTATTTTGATTGAGGCTGTGTACATGAATGCTCCGTGGAAGAGATACCCCCAAAAATTTGCTAGTGGATATTCTTCAGTATTTCGGGAAAGCAACGAAGTCCCAAGTCTTGCCTCCACTGATCAGCTGTTGATCCACGCCCCCAGTACCACTGCTCACGTAGAGAACTTTGGTAAAGGAAACTTCACTGTAGTAAGTGAAGGCGACATGCGCCGGAATAAAAGCAACATCACCCATGTTCAATTGAGCGACGGGGTAGTCTCCGATCTGGATAGATAGCACGCCCTCGAGGACCTCAAAGGCAGCTGCGCCTGCGAGAACCCACTGAGTTGGATTTTGTTTGGTTTGCCGGCTGATGGAAAAGGTCGCCAGAGTATAGTTGGTATCTTGCGCCTGCTTGGGGGAAACCAGAGGCTGAACAATTTGATATCCATGCTGAGAGTTGAGATATTTAGGTCCGTAGCCGTTTGCGATAAAGTAGGGTTGGCCTGGAGTGCCCAGGTCATTTGCACCGCTGTGCCATTCGCTGGCATCGGAGGGAGCAGTGCCGTTGACCAAATCACGCCGGGGGTTAAAGTCCAGCTCGGCATATACATCGTATTTTTGCAGAGCGGAAATTGTGGACGCCCCGGGGCCAGTTGTAGAGGAATCATTGGTTGATTGGGGAACGTAGGGAGTGTCCGTTCCAGAGGTATAGTTTGTACCGAGGGCATAGAAAAGATCCCTTGTACAATCCATGTTAGCAAATGACCTGAGTCGAACTATTCATATGGGGACAGATGTAACTTACTCAAATCCACCAGGGACAATCACGCCGACCATCTCGGTATCAGGATCCAGAATCTGGAAGGTATGTGTAGTATTCCTCGGCACGGATCCATAGTCTCCCTGCGTGAGTAAACGAGCTTGCTGCTCGCTATCACCTTTCTGAGCCCAGAGCTGAAAGCGGCCCTTGAAAGAGAAGAAATTCTCATAGTGCACGCGATGAATATGAGGGAGCACACCCAATGAACCGCTGGAAGGAGCATTGGTGCTCATGAGGGTGAAGGCATATCCTGACGAGGGTCCGGTCACTGTGAATCGATATAGTTGGCTGTCGATGGTAACAGCATGGGAGTTTGCATAGTGAGGAATGACATATGGACGAGGGGAGGATGGTGCATTCTCAAGATACAGGTCATCCAGGGTTGGCTGAGCCTGAACTAGGCCAGTACCCAGTGATGATAGTAGCAACAAGAAAGAGGGCAACATCGTGAGAGGCTGCAATTATTCGCACAGCTCATGTTGGACAGCTTCAAGAATTATCTTCGGGTTATATGGTTAACATTCCTGCAGAACATTGAGCCCGGAATTTCCGGGCCAAGTCTTCAGCGACAAGAAACATCAATATACTTGGCAGTGCCAAGGGGTCCGGCGTGGGGTCTTCCTGACACAATTCCCCACTCTTATGGAGCACTCAATTCTGAAGTTTGTCGCGATTGTTAGCCGAAGAAAGAGAGACACTCGGCAATTCCGGATCGACAAAATCGTCAGGAATCCGCTTCATGCCAGGCGGATTCAGTCTGCAAGTTGGGTTGCTCATGCTTGTCTCCACCGACGTCGATCGGCATCAATGCTTGCTGATTAGGATTTACATGCAATTTCGGGCATGGCTGATAGTAGTAAAGATCTCTTTCGCCGGTAGCATTGCAAGCAGTGCAAGCAGATCTCTCGGATATCGAGATGTCCAGTTCTTCGAATGGTGAGGAAGGATGCCTCAATCAAGAAGATGGTCTCCACCAGGGACTTATTGCGGCATTAAATCAAGTTAGGAGTACTAAGACGGAATCCTGTTTCATGTTTCAAATAAGATTAGCGCGTCGGAAGATGCCCAGATGGACTGTGTAAAGGCTCTCTTCCTGCTTCAAACTGTAGGATTTGTATGATGCTGCAGGGTACCATTTTGTGTCCAAAAAACTCCATCTATAATTCGCCCCCTGATCGCTAGAATGAGTCTTAAATATTCGATGCAGTCGCAATGAAGTAAAGGTGAAGTTCATGTACTGTTCGTCCAAAGTTTAGCAACAGCCACCAGCGCGCCTCCCGGAGCCGACTCCACTTGCCGACGATGCCGATTCCACTCGGCTTCGCAGCCAAACATTCGGAAAAGGGAAGTCGTCAACGAAAATCCTGAATGGCACATGAGTTGTCTGCTTTGAGCATTAGTCGTTTTATTGTTCGGCGGTTGAATCCTCGAACTTGGCTTTCGGCCCGTAGACGAAGACATGATCAATCACTATTATGTTGTTCTATATTCATGAAGTTATGTAAATTAAATCGTACAAATAAATATCATCCGGCGGAACTGGCATGCGAAGTCATTACATTGACCAGTCCACATCCAATATTCCAATATTAGAGTGATGGCACGGGTATGCCTTCAAACCCTTTCTGCCCAGGCTTGCGATTTTCTACAAGAACCTGCAAGCCTCGTCGACCACAGTAGCCATCGTTGCCTGCGGTGCGCTCAACGGTCTGGAAGGAGCCCCCGCCATCCTGGCTGCCGTTGGGGACCCATACCGTTTCTTGCACGCGCTGGCCAGGAGTCTCTGTGCGACGGGGATTGTACCACGGTAGACCGACGAGGTGATTACCGATATTGTGGATGAGTGAATACAACCGTTCCCACCGACGGGTGATGCCCAGCCATGACAGAGTTCGGCCATCATAAGCAGTTCGAACGTATGGATTCATATAGATACCCGTGTCAGTGGTGTCGTCTTCCGCAGTCCGGGGATCTTGGATATCCGCATGAATTAGGCAACACTCTGATGCTTCCCAAAAGAGATCGGGTCCAGACCGGAAACGCGCCGGGGTGGTGCCTCCGGGTAGTGGGTCTTGGAAATATTTGGCGTCAAAAGCCACCATGCCGCCCCAGCAGCTACGGACTCGAACCGCATCTTTGCCCTGCAACACATCCTTTCGACTCTCATGGTTTCCGGCGGTGGAAAACCAGGGGAAGAATGGTAATCCCATTGAGTACCCCTCAAGATCACGTGTGGCGTAGGTGTCGTAGAATTTAAAGGGGTTGTCGAAATCGACGGCGCACGCGGCACGATATTGAGCCTCGCCTTGTTCATTGACATTGGTGGAGAAAAGAAGTTGCAGTGCATCTATAGGGTCGAAGAGGATATCATTCAGGTAAAGAAGTTTGTCGTATCGAATCTCGGGGTGGTCATTCAGCGGCTGGAGCGCTCGATTTCGAAGCTCCGCAAGGTATTCAATGCGCTTCACGCGTGTTTCTCCACCAGGAATGACCACGGATGGAATTTTCTTGAAGTCCAGGTGTTCTTCGTACACGATTGACTTGGCACTGGGAATCTGCTGCTCCAGCTCTCGCAACGCAGCTTGTCCTTCTTCCCCACTGTCGTTCTCATATATGCTCACGAACACATTGCGACCCCCCAAGAGGTCAATGAGCTGTAACAGCTGTGTACCCCATTGTCCTCGGGCTAGATCACCGCCTCGGTCATATAGACTTGCTGCAATGAACACTTTCTTATGTTGCGGGTTGCCTCTGCCGGCGACATTCCCATCCAACGCCGACTTCCGTAAAGTGGCGTAGTGCGCGGGCGGATTGGTATAAGAAGGCGTGAATATGGAAGCAAATAGCACGAGGGCGAGTACGATTCCGAAGATAACAGGGAATTGGCAGCATCGGCGGCGGGAGAAGCAGCGTCGCGCGCAAGTTGGGCGAGACGAGCTAACGAGGATGGGTCGGGCATTGGACTTTAAGCGTCGGTATCCGGAAGAAGAGAAGAGTCGAGACAGCCAAGGTAGTCGCCGCGCGCCTAGCCTGGATGTGGATGGCATCTGGGACTCAAAATCGTCATCGTCCAGGTTGAAAGTGCCATCTGAGTCGGCGGAGGACCGCGAGCCGAGCTCATACTCATCCGGGTGTAGAAGACGGGCCGACATAGTAGAGAAGGTGAGGAGGTGAGGGGGTGAGGAGATGAATAGAATGCAGCTGAGATGAGAGTCAATATTAAACCCATTTCTTCAGTACACGGTGGTAGGAACTTCGTTATGAAGATCGCTCGATAGGCGCTGCCCCGTGAATCTTTGAATGTCAGACTAGCCCCGGACTGTTGCCTGAGGCACTCAGTGATTGGACGGTAAAACACGGCAGAAATAGAGTTATTATATCGATAAGATAAGGTAGGATAAGATAAGATAAGATAAGAGGGTACAATGTACCCAGTGAACTCATCAGAGCAACTTCATTTTCTGCTCCGTGCAATAGCTGCCAAGCTAAATCGCCTGAATCGAGGGTAGTAGTATCTGGAAATGGCTCTTTATACCCCCAAGGAATATTGCCTTGAAGAATCTCCAGAGGGGTACCCGTACACTTCATCTTCAGGAGCACGCAATCTCATACATATCTCTTTCTCTTGACATTATATATGTCCGACACTTATATTCATGAAGAATAATCTATGTCTATTGCTCTATGCTAAGTCATAAATGCCACGTAATCTGATTATTCATCGATGGGAGCAACCAATGCGTCCATAGCCGAGCTGTGAGTTGACATATCCGCCGGATCCTGGAAGGGCCCAGCCCAAACAACACCCAGCTGGTTCTGTATGTTCCGATCATTTATCCAAATACTCCTCGCACAGCTATCAATGACTTTTTTATAGATATGGTTTGTGGACACTCTTTGGAGCATGCGCAGATTGCGGATGAAGATGCCCTTGAACTGAGTTGCATATGGAGCACAATTACTGGGCTCCCATGAGTCGTGAATCACCATATTCGAGTCGGCAAGGGCTTCTATGGCAGCTTGAGCGATTGTATTGGCGGACGCAAGTAACGTGTCGTTAGATCACAGGTTTGCAGCCGTGTTTTGCTTATAAAGATGTTGCTCGGACCCCGAATGAGCTGCTAGTTGATGTGATTCAGATCAAGGGGTACTTGGATGCAGCTGCAAGTACGTCACACAACTGGTAGGTTCGACGCTCCAGAAGACCCCTTGCAAGGCATGGCAAAGCCATGATTTCCATCACTTATGTGCATCATATCCATGTGTGATTTTAAGAGGAATGCGACAATTTATCGCATTGGGCTTGAGTTGGATTGATAACATGATGAATATAGTGCTATGTGTATGCGCCAGTGCTAAACTCATTGATCGAATTTTCTTTTTCAATCAGTCATTAGTCAATTGATTCTTAGCATTTCCAGGGGCAAATATCAAGATATTCAAGCTGTCATCTTCCACCCGAGTTCCGTTAATGCACGCAACCCAGACATACTTCTACGTTACATCGCCTGCATGATACACACATGGCCAAACCTTTGCATCACGTTATGGGAACTATCCTGTCAGAACCGGTTTTCTGGGCTTGACTAAGAAGGGAAGTCTCTTCTTCCTTGATTGGTCGTTGACCCCTCTTACCAGAGCCCGGCCTTTAGCCGACAGAGTACAAACCCTTGGCGGGCCGAATGGACGTGGAATATTTGCAATTCGAATGTACACTTGCATGATGGACATAAAATCTGCTCTCAAGTATCGCTATTCGTCGCTCGTAATCAAACAGGAACCACCATAAGCAGGCGGAACCGAATTGTTGAACAACATGATTTCGTCTCGTTAGTGTCGGGTCTCTCATTCTCTCTTATCGCACGCGGAATCAAATGAATGGCTTTGCATCTGGCTCCGGGGACCAGTCGGGCATGGATTCATCATCGGACGAGTCAGACGTGTCGGGGTCCAACGCCTGGCCCTTCAGCGCTGCCTGTCTCTCTCTTTCGGCGGCCGCTTGTCGCAATCCCGCCATCATTGCTTCGAAGGAGCCAGACGTTTGGATGCCGTTCATGCGCTCGAATAAGCCAGAGTTAGGCCGTGAAGATGCTGGTCCTTCGGGTTGACCCGATTGAATGGCGTTCTGGCTTTCGTTACTAGCTCTAAATGTCAGCGTGGTTGATGGTACAACGAGAGGGGGTATGGATAACTGACCCTTCTTTCTGTTGGACCATATCTTGCCCATTACCCGTGTCTTCTGCGTCTTGATTGTCTTCCACTTCTCTCGTGCCTTCACTACCCCGCCTAGATTCCTCATCTTCCACCTTGGCCTTGACTTCAACATCGCCGCCTTCGTCATCGTCCTCCTCATCTTCGCTATCGTCATCGTCATCATCATCATCGGCTTCCATCTTGACTTTCGCCTCGCTGTCTTCACTCTCGTCCTCATCATCGGAGCTGTCCTCGTCATCCGTTTCCATCTTAACCTTGGCATCGCTGTATTCACTCTCATCCTCGTCATCGGAGCAATCGTCGTCATCTGTTTCCGTCTTGAGTTTCACGTCGCCTTTTTCTTCATAATTGTCCGAGCTGCCCTGGTCCTCCTCACTGTCGATGATGTCGTCCTCAGAGCTGGAGAATACAGGATGGTTAAATAATGGGGTTGAATGAAGGATCAAAGGAATCACTGACTGTCGCAAGGGAGCTTTTCCTTGGGTCTCCTCCGTGTTAGGGTTAATGGGGCTCGTCGTCTTCTCCGCCGTTTGGTCAGCCGGCACTCCGACACTGGGAGTAGTTGCCTCTGTCGTAGTGTGTGTCGAGGTCCTTTCGTGACGTTTTGGTTCAGGCCGGTCTTCATCATCACTGGAACCGGGCGTGTAGATTGATCGACGAGGGGTATGAGTAGTCCTATGATTATGTTTTAGCTTAGTGAAGAGAAGGGGTCTGTCCTGTACCGACTTTGAGAGGGATACAGACTCTCGGGCCATCTGCTTCTCCACAGGCACATTTTCTTTATTTGAGTCTGTATCGGCATTGCGATTTTCAGCAGGACTCTCCGTGTCATCCTTGTCTCCATCGATATTCGGGTTTTCCGTTTCCTGGAGTGGTTCCGGGGGGACAGAAGGCGACATGATTGACCGAGCGATAGTCCGGCCTGTAGGGAGCATGGGCTCACTATCCGAGTTATCTGCCATTTCGCCTGAATCGCCTTCGGCCTCTGCTTGGACAGCCACCAGCCCAATGGGAGATGACATCGAATACATGGCGTCCTCGAATACGCCTGTGGTGGTTATAGCTAAGGTATCAGGCTCAGTGACAAACTGGGCATATTTAAGTCTAGCCCAGGCGTTACCAATCCTCTTGCGGGTGTTTCTGATGTCTTTGCTCAGTTTTTCACGTCTTGTCCGCTCTTTGTTCCGGGAGGATTTGACGACGCCGCCCTTGTCAGAACGTTTGGGGCCGCGCGTCTTTGGTTCAATCTGCCTGCGTTCCCCCTCGAGAGTTTTGACCAATTGGTCTTCCTTCAAGATCTTTTCCAGCAATTTGACAGCCTTTTTCGTAGTCATTGGTGTTGATTCCGAGGTGGCCTCTGGCGAGCTCTGTGGATCTGCGTCTACTCCCCGCTGAAGGTTATTCAGCTGATTCTTCACAACGAGAATCCTACGCGCGTCTCTTTCCACATCTTCATAGTACCGATCTAGCTCTGTTCTAGTGCGCGGGGTGGACAGAGGAGTGGAAGTGAACGATATTTTGGTTGACGCTGGAGTCCTCAGGGATCCGGTTGAGGGGAAAGGCAGAATTCGACGTCGCTTTGACGGCGTAACTGGGGAAGAATTAAGCAGGCGCTTTTGCGACTGCTGTCGAAGGGTTGTAGATGGGGGTGCCATAGGCGTCGCAGACTCGTGGGGTTGCATGTTTGGGAGACCAGAAGATGAGAGGACGTTTGATTGAGATGAAGCGGCTTCCTTCGAGTGCGCAGAAGGACCGAGAGATCTAATGGGATGAACTGTCAGACACGATTATGAAAATAGAAGCTTTCTCAAGTTCGTCCAAGCGCCGAGGTACTTACTGCGACTGAGCGTGCATTTCCTGATCTTCAGCGTGTACTCTGTTGATCTGGCCGCTGGGGCCCGGAGGTCAGGCAATGAGGGTGCGAGCGGTAAGCTCCGGGTCTGAAAAGCTTGGTAAAGACTGGTCTTTGTGTAGATGGTGCGGCGCGATAGATGGCGCTCGCGCGGTGGCAGTGGAGTCGGGGTTCGGATAGGGCGCGGGACTCGACGCGTGAACTCGGCAAGAGATGAGTGGTATCCGGACGGTGGTTCAGGCGTGAATAAAGAGTGATCTGGTCAGAAAAGAAATAAGCTGTCCTGAGAGGTCAGGTAAAGTGAGCGACACCGGGATTGCGCGCGAAGTGAATGAGGTAAAGAAGAAGCCGCGACGGTGAGAGCAGAAAACTGCGGAGCAGCCGCGGAGGTTCCTCGATGTGTGCCTGGTTTCTCAGGCACCGATATCTTAGGATCTATACAGACACAACTCGGGGGGATTTTCTGCGTGCTGTACTAATATGTACGGTTCGGTAGTACAATGATACCTTCAGCCGTCAGATTTAGTTCCATGGGTTGTTTCATTTTACGGTAACTCATTTATCTTGAAAAATTAGTCTTTCGAAACGTCTTTGAAGGGCTCTGGTCAGCAAGTTTTTGTTGTTGGACCTCTACGGTAGCTTGGAAAAAGGTTTGCAAATCGTCAGTCTGAACTTTATTCAAGGCTTTAATGCATAATGCGCGATTCAATCTCCACTTCAATCCCCGAAAGGAAAGCGACTACCGTTCAGTCCTGGACTTGAAAGCACCTATATGCGACTTGCATGGTTCTGAAACATTTCGAAGTACATTAATTTAGTTTGGGTTCCCAAGCAGTCAATAATTAGATCTAGTATGTTGCTAGACAGGAAGAAGATATTGAATATAGGTAGAAGACTAAATAGTCTTGAGAATGGAAGGGTACAGTAGCCCGGATGATCTGACAAGAAAAGGAAAACATCGAAAAGAAAAAAACATCGATTCCAATCGTAAGAGAAAAAAAACAAGTTATGTGGGTATCCGGCTATTGACATTGAATCAAATGACAAAAAAGGTTATTATATGTAAATACGGATTCTTCTTCAACTTCCGTAGATGGGGGTCGCACACAGTCACCTGGCGCGAAAGAAGGTAAAGGTTAAAAAAACACTACACCTGAAAAAAGGTACAGGCTCATATCAAGAATAACTCATGAGTCGCTCATAAACCTCCTAGACAATCTCCGTCTTGGTCTTCAGGGTCTCGAAAGAATCAATCGAGGTCCTGCGATCCTTGATGAACTTGGGCCAGGTGTTGGTGAGGACGAGGTATTTGATGCTCGCCTCTGCGTCCTGGAAGACGGTCGCGTCGAATTGTTCAGGGATCTCACCCCAATAGTGAACACGGTTTCGAATGCAGTTCGTCATGCCCTTCTCGGAGCTCTCAGAGACAGTGGGGGACGCAGGCTCAAAGTTGAAGTTGTCGAAGGGGCTGACAGGATCAGCCTCACGCTCCTCGCCGTAGAGAAGACGAGCGGGCCGTTCGAAAACATCCTCGAGCTTCTTGAGGTCGCTGGATGAGATGTTCACGGGGAACTCGGCGTGACGGACACTGATGAAATCGGCATAGATATGGAGAGCGCGGTTGAAGTGTTCACGAAGAACGTCTTTGGAGGCACCATCCCGAGGAGCAGTGGGGTCCCTCAGAACCGTCGGAAGCGAGTTCTTCCACTCAGAAAGGCTGGTGAGGAAGGCAATGTTCTCTCCCGAGAATTCACGAAGCGCAGAAAACTCCTGGAGAGGAGTAGGGTTGCGCTCCAGGACGTGCTCAAGAGCGCTCATGGTCAGAATACTATCGCGCGAGCCAGTAGTCTTGATGGAAGCGTTGGTGGACTTCCATCCCGACATCATGGACTCCACCATGGTCGTTTCCGAGTTGAGAGACTTGTTCTCGGAGTTGTTAGATTTCACCTTGGTCTCCCAGCGAGCAATGGAGTCAAGAGTCTCTTGACGAAGGGACTGGTGACGCATCACTTCCCAGCAGGGAAGGAAGACGGTAAAGATTTCGATGATCCAGATGGACAAGCAGATCCTGCAAATCACGGGAAACCACGTTAGAGGATGCAGAGGGAATTTCAATACCGACCGTAGGGGGCGCACTTACCACTGAGGAGGAATGAAGTACTTATTGACCGGAGCCATGCCAGGAACGTAAAGAGCGATGAGCCACATCGGGGTAGCGTGGAGGCTGGAAGAAGAAAGAAAATTAACACATTGCCCTTCTTAAGTGTTCGGCTCATCCATAATGATCCAACTTACCTGCCAAGAGCACAGCCAATGGTCTGCACCCGCCAGCCCTGGGTATCGTGGATATTACGCGACTTCCAGAGAATGACGGGAGCGAGAACCCAGGACCAGAAGAATTGCCAGAAGACGCCAGGCCACCTGATTAGTCCAATCAATTGTTAGCCGTTGTCATTGAGATATGATGTGAAGCATAGAACTCTCGGGTTCTTACCATTCCCATCCAGAGCCCTGTGCCGACTTTTGAGCCATTGCGCTACCGTGGACCTCGGTACCGGGGATACCCCAGGAGCTATGGAACTTGCGAGAGATAAGGTAATTAAAGATGGTGAGGAAGACCTGGACAAACATCCCAATTCCCACGGTGATGAGGATCTTGGTCGTATAGTCGAGACGGCGGAAACGATTGATCAGGCCGGTCTTGGGCTTCGCATCGGGCTTCGCATCGACAAGGCGGTAGCCATGCTGAGCATACTTGCGCTGCAGCTTGGCGACATGCAGGAAACGAGTGTTGGAGGCGTGGAAAAGAGCGATACCACAAGGGAGATAGGTTCCCATGATCCAGTATTGGGCGTCTCCGGGCAGAAGGGCACCGACCATGTTGCCGAATTGGCAGACCCACCAGTAAAGATGAAGAAGAACGATTGAAGAGAGTGACAAGGCGAGGCCTCGAATTCGCAGAGTAGGCATGTCGCGATGGAGGATCAGATATGCCATACCAGCGGCTACGGCGGCCGTCCAGACGCATCCCCAGACGACCCACCAAATGCTGACCGGCGAAAGGTCAAGAGCCGCCTTGGAATCGGCGGTAATTCCCAATTCCGAACCCATGATAAAGGTTTGGGAGGGATTGAGCAGAAGTGCTGAAAGAGAGTGACGAAGTTGGATAGCGCTTGCCCATCAAGATCGGGGGTCGGGGATCGACTGGTCTTTTTAAACGGTGGGAGCCTCGCAGGATTATCTGCGAAATGAAGCAAAGTAAAAGGATCCAGTTTAGGCCCCAGCATGCAACGGCAAGTGGGACCCCCAACCAACTTCTGGTGCGTGCTTGAATCAAAGAGCACGAGCAATGGGAGACAATCCCCTGTCGATCCCTCGATGCGATGGGGGCCAAGACTGATAGTGAGTGGAGACTGGCCAGGCCATATCGGGATTAAGATGAGCGCCAGTGGAGACGGTTAGCAAGCTCATTGGCATCCCATTGGCCTCATTACGACCACAGACTCCGTACCTGCAGGTATTTGTCAACCTCTTCAGATCTTGATTGGGCTTCTGGGAGGTTACGGAAGAGTCGCTTGCGGGCCCTCGCGGGGTGGTGACCGGCATTCATCGAGCGATTTCAGATCGCGCGATAAGAACCCAATTTTTTCCCTCGGAAAAGCTATTGAATCTGATCGACAGGGCTATTGATTCTCAAAACTCTGCAAGGCCCAATTTTCCCTCCACAGTTGCCATCTTATTTCCTATCTGCATCGCTGCAGAAATGCGGCGGTACCAAGCACCATGTCCCCGGGTCGGGCGGCCAGATCGATAAACGCCTTGGTGTAATCTGGATATCAAACAAGGCTGGGTCTGTGGGTATGCTTCGTAGAATTAATAAGTTGGCCTTCGCGCCCTGGGAGAGCAACCGAGTCCATGGGATGTCCACATTCGGCCGGGATGGACGTTAAAGTCTCCAACCGAAACAGAAGGATTATCAGTCAACGTCGACGTTTGGAAACACAGGTCTCGAAGAGAAAAAGGTTGGTAAAATGATTCAATAATTGATCATGCTGAGCGAGGTCGGCGAATGTCCGGTCAGCAGGCTGGCAAGGCGAACGTGACAGTACTGAGTTAGTATAATGGTATGACAACATGACAATATGATACAATAGTATGAACAGACTCGGTCGGACAAGCAATGCCATGTGGCGCTTGCATACTCGACTGGCCCAGCCCCCAAACAGCAGAGACAGGGGGGTTTTGTATGGGCGTGAGCCAACCCCCTTTGATACCCCAGACCTTTCCCATCAATCGGGGTCCAGGTCTAGATCGTCTTTTTCCATTCTAAAGGTCACACAGAATGTGATGCATCCTCCAAGGCTGTCGTGACAGTCATGTTTGATCGCAGACGAAAAACCACACAATGGGTGGTATCCTGGATGAATGTCTCCACGATGAGCAAGTTATCGCGTCACTCGGCTGGACCAGCTTGAGACAGACAAGCATCCTTCGCGCCGAGTAGGCGCAACGCACCAATCGACGCGTCGCTGGTGGGAAACAGTAGACCGTGATGGGAACTTGGCCGCCATCGGTTGCTCGAAAAAGAAACAAAGCCAGGCGGATCGGCACGCACTAGTAGCCAAAAAATCCAGGAACGCGCCCCTGGCGACAAAATCAGCACGGACCGAAGTGGATCACCCTCACGAAGGATGACTTCATTCGCACGACAACGGTGCTGGTTTGTCTAGGTGGCGCCATTGTTCAACCGATTCATTATCATGCTAGCTCGGAGCGAGCGTGAAATTTGGCCTCGGAGTTGTTTGCCATCATGATGATGGTCCACTCACTCTTCTGGCAAGCTTGAGCGGTTTTGGGTAGAGACCAACTAACTATTGGCATCCCGCGACTAGATCGGATTCCCAGACACGGTCTTAATTATCAGTCACAGTCACCGGATTGTTTTGGATTCAGGAGAAGACAACGAGGTGGAAGAAGAAGAAAAAAAGAAGAATTTAAATGGCTCACAAGAGGACTTCACGGTTGAAAGGAAACTATTCCGCGGGTCAATTTGGAGAACTCCTTGCGCTGTAGCTTCGTTAGTCGTTGTTTGTTGACCAAAAGGCTGCGCCGCCGAGGTCCAGTAGTGATCGTCAAGACGGAATCATATGAAAATATGGAGTTGTGCGCAATTTTAAGCCATTGAGCTCGAAGGGCGGTGTCCACTGGGCTTTCAACGAAATGGGACAGAGCTGTCTTTCCTAGATGTCACGCTGTCTGCGCTCTCATCCCCAGATTGCTGTAATGTAGGAATGGTAATTGGTGATATTGCTACTCCGAGCTGTATGGAGTCCTTGTGATGGAAGTAGTTACCCGTTGAGGCCTGACGACATTAATGGCCTTGATGCCTTAGTGCCTTTTCTGCCCCAGGCAGAAATATATCCACGTGCCAGCTGTGAAGCCTGAGGCACCCCCACATAACCGCCGAAATTCGTTGGCTTAGTCAGTCCAGAGCCGGCAGGATCTATCGAATCAGACTGCGCGAGACGCGACCACCGAACTCCACCGCCAGCAAGTTCCCCCCGGAAGTTGGAACTGCCCCTCGTTTGCCATTTGCAACCCGGCGCTTTTCTCCGATTTCCGGCACATACGGCTACATGAGCACCACGCTCATGGTCTATGGGGATATCTTATATCGGGCGAGTATAGGCCGATCCTGATGGACTTGGGGTATCGGAACCTCCTGGCACCGAATGGGCCACACCTGATCCCCCCGAGCGACTTTCGGTCCCCGCGCCTGCCACGGCCTCCTCCGCTCGTTGACGAGCTGCACAGGACCCCCGATTCTGGCGAGATGGAGAAAGTCCCGCCTGTCACGGGGAAGCGCCGAGGCGGCTGTCGGAAAGCTTGCAATGAGTGCAAGCAGCAGAAGGTAAGAGAGTGTGTGTGCCACTCCCACATGCAAATTCCCCAGCGGACCTGGGCTTGCCAGTTGCCCTCCCGACTCGCTCGCCTTTAATTGTCGCTCCCTCTTGCCCATGTGGGTACACCGCGTGCTGGTGAAGCTGCTAATCTTTGCGTTGGACAGCTACGATGTGATATCGTTCAAACTCCTGCCGCGGCATGCTCTCGCTGCCGTAGGTTAGGGATTGACTGTAAAGTCGAACCATCTTTCAAGCGTATCTCCAAACGAAGGTGATTTCCACCCCATGTAAACCAGCTAGCATACACATCCAGTACTTATCATCATCACTTTTTATACAGACGCAATGCCGAGATGGAAAAGGAGATTGCGGATCTTCGCCGCCGTCTCTCCACCAATCCAGAGTATCCTCAAACGAGAGAGCCTCGCGAGGGCGATGAAATGTCGCAATGCTCGGATGAAGCCTTTGCTCGCCGAGACTCGACAGGCATTGATCGATCTCGGCCTGTCTCAGTACCGGCCGAGTCGCATCCGTCAATGGCAACTCCATTGACGATGAAAAGGGACGGGTCTATCCTGTCTCAAGACGACAACACGCCGTGGAGGCTCGAGGATATCACTCTCTCCCGGCCGCGAGTCGCCCGGCTCTTTGAGCAGTAAGTCTTTGAGGTACTCACTTGCACCTCCAGTAATGAAGGCTAATTTGATTTCCAGTTATTTCAATTATTATCACCCCTTTCTTCCTCTCTTGAATCTTCCCAAACCGCCTGAGGTCTATCTCAGCCGGTGTCCCCTGCTGGCCTGGACAATCGTCTGTGTGGCTTGTCGTCGGTCTCCATCAGATCCGGGACTCCTAACAGCCCTCTCGGGACCATTCAGTCGACTATTATGGTCAACTATTACAGGTGTTCCTCAAGATTACCGTGTGGTCAAAGCATTATGCGTGTTATGTACATGGCCTTTACCGACCACGAGCCAACGAACTGATGCAACTTTCATGTTGAGTGGCCTGATGATGCAAATTGCCATGCAGCTTGGAATGCACCGTCCAGTCCAAGCAGAAGAGTTCACGACGTTCCGCATCGAAGCCCAAGGGGAAGCTTTGAAGGATCGCCTGCATACATGGGTGATCTGCAATATTGTGGCACAGAAGTGAGTATTTCTTTACCTTGTGACGTGCGAACCTCCGTTGACTTCTTTCCCCAGCGTGGCCACTGGCTATGGTCAGCCTCCTAGCACCATCTACGATTGGGCTCTTGAGCCTGCTTCGCTGAAAGATGCCGACTATCATCTCCCCGAGAACCTGGCTATCCGGCTACGTATTGAAAAGTTCTGTGATCGAGTCACCAAGTCTTTGTATAGCAGCAAGCCCGAGCCGGCTGAATTTGTCAGTGCGGAGAAGCTTGTCATTGTGCAGATTCTTGAAAGTGAATTGAAGGAGATGGAGCTCCAGTTTGGTCAAGAAATTTCTGGTATGTCTACCGTTGCCCATCGGGCTACTGGATTTTCATCCACTAACTCAACCCTTCAGCCATCAACATGATTCACCTGCGTGCGGCAGAGCTACACCTTCGGTATTTCGTATTCCTAAGCTCCAACCCCCGAAGCGACGACCTCACCAAGCTTTTCATCGCAACCACCTCCTTCCTGGGCCGAGTGCTCGATCTCGAAACCTCGCCGGGCGAGCTAATCGGCCACTCCACGAATTACATCCTCCAGATGATCGTGTCAGCGGCCTTTGCTCTCATGAAACTTCTCAAGAGCAACTTCAGCCGACACATCGACTTCAACCACGGCAAACTTCTCTTCAACGGGGCCATCTCGGCCATCCGACGCATCAGCGTCATGGATCATGATCGGCCCGTCCGACTTGCCGACATTTTATCTCAAATGTGGAATGCGACCGGGCCCGTAGCCGCCGAAGAGGATGGTCTCCAGCTCAAGGTGCGCTGCCGAATGAGCATGAGCCATGTCTACGATACGGTTTGGCGATGGCGACAACGATTCCGACCGGGGAAGAGTGTAGAAGAAATTCAAGGTATGGCTACTCCGGCTCTCCTTCACGTTGAACCACTTTTGTAACATATTTCTTCTAGCGGCAGCGGCGGCGGCGGCGAATCAAGTCGTCACGACCACCAATGGGATACCAGCCCCAGACAGCGCATTGGATAATCCGGGGCTGATGCTTCCTACTCAATTCGACGAGAGCGGGGCTTTCTTCAGTGAGGCAGGATTCTCGGAGGTATTTGATTCTTTGAATTGGGTTTTTGAGGGGATTCCGGATTCGTCGTTTGTCGCACCGGTAGTGCTGTAGCTTTGGGTTTATGATAGGGGGATAAGGCAAAAAGTTTTGGATTGTACGCTGTTTTGTAACCTCTCCCTCCGCCATCTTGACATAGAAGACCTCGACCTCGCCCTTTCGCCCTCGGTTTTCCTTCCTTCCCCCTCTTCAACTTGTCTATATTGCACACATCGCCGCCCCCCTTCTTTCATTCTGGCCCCTCAATTAAACGTCTTTTGAATTGAAGGGTTTTGGTCATAGTTTCAGCACAACGTTAAACTTCCACGCTTGAGGTAGACGATAAGCGCCAATTGCTCAGACCCTATTTTCTAAGGCAGCAAGTCCGGCAGAATTCATATGACCTACAGAAGAGAAAAGAGGAGATAAAACGTGCTCGACCAATAGTTCATTCAAAAATTGAGAAGGCACAGATAGACATTCATGTTGTGCTTCCAGCGGCTTACGCTCGTGATGACAAATTGCCTCCCACATTTTCGTTTTGAGCCAGCCTGTAAACATTTGAAGACTTGTAATGCACCCCTGGTGATCTTGCTTTCATCCAGCGAAGATGCCGGTGACTGGATTTGACCCAGAATTATCAGCACAGCTTCACAACCAGATTTCCGAACGTGCGTGGATTGGGGCCGGACGAGATGTCGCTTCGCTTCCCTCCAAGAGCTGGTGGGAAGAGTCGTCCCCAATTCCCTTCGATCCCGCATCTCGCCTAAATTCGAACTTGATTTAGTTCCTACGGTCGGTAAGAGCTATCATATTCGACCATTCTTCGGAGTTCTATCTTTTCTATTATCTATTCGCGCTCCATAGAAAACACGAAATTCTGCAGGAATCTCTTCTCCGATAGTGGGGTGATCGCTTAGTATAGTTATATCTATCGACTCAGACGAAGAGCGATAAAGAAGTCGGTATTATATATGATTCCCCTCACAGTTCTCCGTGGTACAGAATAAGTCTCATAGGTCGGATCGAATAGCTTTAATTAGGAAACTAAGCTAGCTTCCTTCATCCTAGACTAGGAAGATTTAGTCTAGTTTAATCTAGAACGGTGGCCGTGGCAGCCGTTACAGTATATCCTTTAAGCCTATCTGGACATCATCGATCAGGGCAAAATCACGACATATTCTGACCGCGGAAAGGAAAACTGTAGGTTCAGAGTGTTCCCCTAGGAGATCTACCTATATACTCTAGGGGATATTGAGGGGGCTGTCACTGCCATTACTCGTCTTCTTGATGCTATCGAGGCCCGACTTCCTTCTAGTTCGACAGATAGTAATAGCCTCGGGCAGCTTAGCTTTGAAAAGATAACTAGCTCTTCCTTACTCAGAATCCGTGATTAGTGCTTCATCTATAAAAGCGGATTCCTTTACCGGGCGATTTCTCTCGGCTCTTCCGGTTCGTCAACTTAAGTTTCGCTATATTACTCCCGGGATTAGATTACAAAGTCCCGACGAATTCATAAATTAGCCTTTCTCGAAATGCCACAATTACGACTGCTTTCCAAAATCATCTATTACTGGTCAGCCGATAACGGTTTTCCCTCTCCTTCTATTTCGAGGAGAGCAGGAGAACAAGTCCCTCTAGGGTCGGCCCTAGTTTCCGGACGGAAATAAAGTAGATATTCCCGCTGGTTTTTATATCGAACCTACCCGCGAATCTTTTAACTGGTCATCTGGTAACAGAAGTCGACTACTGCTGCCCTTTGGAATTGGTAACAACGGATTTACTCGAAGCAGCAATAGTGTTCCATTTGTCAAGTATCTTAGGGGTATAGGAAGCCTGTCTGATCAGCTATATCAGTCGGATTCATTTAGTGAATATAGTGGCTATTTACCGTGGGATTCACGTAGCTCATAACTACACAGAGTATTGGACAATTAGGCTGAACGCGTGGAAATAGGTGATTGGCTGGTCGGTCACGACGGTGTCGTCGGTGGTTTTGACAAGTTCAAAGAGGCCGATACCGAAGGACATTAGAAAGAATATATTATCCCTTGGTAAGGGGTTTTGGGAAGTGCCGTTGAAAATGAATCTTTATTAGCTAATTGCAACGGCCACCCGTATAAGACTACTACTAGTGAAGACTGTTAAGGCCTCGATGTTTACGGTTTCCGAGGGCGCTCTTTTGAAAAGAACACTTCTACCTCACGGCTACACTATATCCGTGGAACTCGGTGCTTCGGGATTCCGTAGTAATCTCAACTTCGAAGTGGAGAATCGGTATGCAATAAGATTCACTCAATCCCGGGTAAACTATGTTGCTCTCAACCTGAGCAGTATTACCCCTGCCTTCTGTAGGTTGCTCTCTTAGCAGTTTTCAAATATAATTTGTCAATTTGAAACGTAGGGAGAGAAGGAAAGAGACCTATGTTATGAGATGTGTAGGAAGCTTACTTCTATCGATGATCTGGGGGGTTTCCAAGATCGTCCTGGGGCATTTGACCTAGACCATTGGCAGATATATATTCCCGGAATTGGGTGTGATCGCGCTTGCGTAAACCTCCCACTGGTAACCTTGAAGTCCAGAATATTGCGAGCATGACCATAGTTAGCTGCACCCAGTACGGTTCTCTTCATACTCAATTGATTCTACTAGTACGGTGTATATCTTCGAGGCCCTCCCTACGTAGATGCCGACGTAATTCCTACGGAAAAGGCCGAGGATCGCGGAATGAAAAGTGGGCCCGATCGGCTCGCCCCTGACGAGATCCACTTTTTTGTGGTGGACAGTACTGTACAGAGTACAGAGTACAGACCGTACAATAGGATTGTAGAAGGCTGTACGGAGTATCGAGTCAAATAATAAAATTCACTAATTGTTATGCTCAAGGTTCTCTGCACTGACTATATTTAGGTACTCCGAATAGGAGTACCATTTAAACTAGTGTTCTTTGCCTGGTATCAACATAAATTACAGAGTCTATATGACTAGGAAATAAGCTTAGGTCTTTTCCCTTGTATCCCTCCTGGTACTCTCACCGCCGAAAAACAAGGAGTATTTATCCTGGTCATTAATATTCTGAGATATAGGGGGCAACATGCACAATTAGCAATTTCATGATGTGATTTAGCAATCTCCAGAACCCTTCTTCATGATATGGTGGACATGCCAAGAAGCTGGGCAAACGTGATAATGCAGGCAGCATCATAAGCCACGCCAACGAACCCATTCCCTTGATCGAGCCATGTGAAAACGATAAGACAGCATAATTCAATCCCTGTAAGTATCCCCCCCCAATGCAGCATCTTGCAGGAGTATCTGCCGGCCCAGATCTCAACGGGAAAGACGGTCCGACCGGGTTTGAGAATCTAGAGAGGGTCGAGACTCGAGACTCCCGCGGAGTCAAAAGCTTGGCTGGACACTAGTCTCGTCGGTGTGGAGGTGTTCCAGTATTTCATCATGGGGGTGAGATTGTGAATATTGAATATTGAATATTGTAGTCTATAGTAGAGTATATAGGTAGTATATTCCTGTGAATAGTTTTACCAAGTATTCCAAGCTCGGTACTATATCCGGAAATTTTCAATTTAGTCTTTTTTCGTTGTCGAGTGGTTAACTTTTCCAGACTTGTCGGCTGGGTAGACTCGGCTGGACATTCATGGTAGTCTGAATCAATTTTCAGTACAGAACTAGGATGTATATCTATAGGAACCCATTCAAATACAGATCTATATATCTGTCTCTCTCTCTCTCTATATATATCCTCATTCTGAATAGTTCTCCTTTTCTTTGCATCTTGTTGTCCCTGGTTGGCCGGTAATTTACCGGGCGGAAAAACGATCGGCAAGTGCACGTTTTTGGCAGCAGATGGTAATTTTACCGCCCCGTGACCGTACTCGCTGGCCGTTTGCGCCTTTTTTTCCGGGTTTCCAGTGGCCACCGTGAAAGTTCGCGAGGATTTTCTTTCTCCTCGACTTCTTCTCCTCAACTCCCTCATCCTTATCATAATGCTCACGTTCTCTCTGATGCTTCAGTGTGGCCCAATGCCGCGCGGCTAACACCGGCCTTACACGCCTCGTGCTGTCCTGCACGAAAAAAAGAAACTCTCCGTCAGCGATCGACATTCTCCCACATGTATGTGCCCCCCGATCTGTGCGATGCGCTCTTTTCATGGGACTAATCAGGGCGGATTCCGGTAGTTTTACTTTTTGCCTTGTTGAATCGCCAAGCTCCCCTCCTTCGACGACCCAAGTTTGCCCCCGTCATCACTACTTCATCCCTCCCCCGACGCATTGTGCACTTCGTGGAGGAACAACGGCGTCATCGCCGCCTTCCATTGACCATGTTTTCGGCTCTTGTCCACCGGCTGAACAATCTCAAGCAGCGAGTCCCGCTGCTGAACCAACTCCATTTAAACTTCATATTCATACACTATACCTATATCATATCATGGGCCATTATCGGCTCTATCATCGTCTACCCCGGTGGCAACCTCGCCTATATCGATGCTCTCTTTCAGGCGGCCGGCGCCGCCACCCAGAGTGGATTGAACACCGTTGACCTCAACAAGTTGTCCACATATCAGCAGATCGTGCTCTATATGATCACCATGCTATGTACTCCCATTTTCATTCACAGCGGACTGGTCTTTATACGACTCTACTGGTTCGAGAAGCGGTTCCAGCATGTGGTGCGGGATGCGCGTGCCTTGCGCACGACTCGATCTCGCATGGACACGGTCACTCAGGATAAAGAGACTCGAGAGGTGAATCGTGCCGAGTCAGGCGGGGTCGGGGGCCGTTCGATCGTGGTACTGCGAAATAATGCGGGCGACGCGCGAGGGAGTCGCCTCCCCAACCCCACGGCCCAAGTCCCCGAGCCCCAGACCGGCGAGGAGTCGCCCGATGGCAAAAAGCCCAGTGAGCGCTCTAGCTCGGAGGATGCAGAGGAACCCGTCGTGGAACGCCGATTCGGACTGGGAAGTTTGCGGGTGCCGACCCAGCTGAGCCCCGAGCATCACATCGCCTTCCTCGAAAACCAGCGCAAGAACAAAGGCGCCCTGCGCATTCCGAGTCCCCGCGAGTACGACCGAGGTGGAGTCCCCGAAGCTTTGGACGAGGGTGAAGAGGAGGAGCGCGACCCGGCACAACAGCCATTGAGTCCGCGATCGGATAGACGACGGAGCTCGGTTGATTCGGGAGATAATGACCAAGTTGGTCCGCTAGAAGGACCTCACATTACAATCAACGAGCCGGATTTCACACGCACTCGGACTCGCGGCAACACCTTTTCTCGCCTGGACACAAGGCCGACTATCCGCGATACCGTGACCAAAGATGTGGATGATAATGCCCTGGGTACCTCAACGACCAAGAACACTTTCCGGGGTATCTTCCGATCGCTCACGAAGGAGCAAGAACGGCCGACTCAGCCGTACTTGAGCTGGAATGCCACCGTGGCGCGCAACTCTAACTTTGTGGATTTGACTGAGGAGCAGCGTGACGAGCTAGGTGGAATCGAGTACCGCGCGCTGAAGACACTGGCTGTGGTGCTTATCTCTTACTATGTTGGTTTCCATCTCATCGGAGTGATCTGCTTGGTCCCTTGGATCATGACGGTGGACACATGGGGCGATGTGGTGAGAGCCGATGGCGTTGGACGGCCGTGGTGGGCAATCTTCACATCCGCGTCTGCTTTCAACGATTTGGGATTCACGTTGACCCCGGATTCGATGTACTCGTTCCAGAGGGCGGTTTTCCCGCTGCTTCTGCTGGCATTTTTGATTGTTATTGGTAATACTGGGTTCCCATGCATGTTGCGACTTATGATTTGGACTTTGTCAAAGTTTGCACGACAAGGTACCGCGCTGTGGGAGGAATTGAAATTTCTACTTGATCACCCTCGTCGATGCTTTACTTTGCTTTTCCCTCGAAATGCAACCTGGTGGTTGTTTGCAATCCTGGTAGCGCTGAATGGCATTGATGTGATTTTTTTCATCATTTTGGATGTGAGTGGTTGTGCTTTTGCTTTGGCTCTGATTGGATAATGACGCTGATCTCTCGTATAGCTGAACGACTCGACTGTCACTACCTTGCCACCCGGTATTCGAGTACTCGACGGCCTCTTCCAGGCTGCGGCCACTCGAACCGCCGGGTTTGGCATTGTGAGTCTGTCGGATCTTCACCCGGCCATTCAAGTATCCTACCTGATCATGATGTACATTTCCGTCTTCCCCATTGCCATCTCCATGCGTCGCACAAACGTGTACGAGGAGAAGAGTCTGGGAATCTATGGCTTCGAAGAGGAGAACGACGATGAAACCCAAACGGCCCCCAGTTATATCGGCGCTCACTTGCGGCGTCAGCTGAGTTTCGATCTATGGTATGTGTTCCTGGGACTTTTCATCATCGCCATTGCCGAAGGTAGCCGCCTGGAGAACACGAGCGACTATAGCTTCCAATTGTTCACCGTGCTGTTCGAGGTGGTCTCCGCCTATGGTACCGTGGGCTTGTCATTCGGATACCCGGGTGTCAACACGTCTTTCTCGGGGCAATTCAACGTGGTCTCCAAGTTGGTCATCATTGCCATGCAAATTCGTGGTCGCCACCGTGGCTTGCCATACTCACTCGATCGTGCCGTACTACTGCCATCCGACGCGTTGAATCGCCACGAGGCTGCTGAGTCCGAGCGCCGGATGCGCCGGCGTGCATCGAACCTGAGCGGCGCCGAATCTTTGGGTCGGCCACGATCACGCAGTTATTCGCAGTCGCAGGTAGACGGTGCCCTTTCGACGGGCCTCGAATCGCATGATTGGCAAACTCATCCAGCGCCAAACGGAGATAATCTCGTGCATCGCTCGTCGACCGTTCGGTCTAATCGGTAAATGTTATTGGGCTGGTTTGTTTGTTGTTTACTTTTAGCATCTCTTCTTGTACATTCATCCATCATCTATAGAGGACTTGGCGTTTTTGTTGTTACGGTGATTTGGTAATATATTCACTTCATTGCTCGTGAGCTTTTGTTTTTATATGTTGCTTCTTGTACTTGTAAAGAAAATTGTTTCTGATCAATTTGACTCTGCATTCGTCTGTTCCTGGCATCTCAGGGGACATGACGTGGGTGTTTTTCCACGTGCGGGTCATTCACATTCTTAGCTGAATGCGGATGTCCAGCTTGCTCCTATCAGTCTGTTAGAGCACCAGGGAGTCTGTATATTCTGCGAGGAATTAACACATTGATATTTTTTGTCAGTTACTTTATTTGATGATACTATTGACAAGCCATTTCGCTACCAGGCGCTCGACTGGTGAGTTCTGCGAGAATCAACAGAACACTAGCATAGGGAAAGATGTCCATATAGGTGCTTGATCGGCATCTGAAGATCCATCTGACACTGGTAATGCGAACTATCACTTAATTACTCAAGTTATTCACTGTATATACCCAGCGTTAAGCTTTTCATGCTGGCCGACTCCCAATCTCGTGTCGGAGTGTCGCAAACGGGCCTTCCCAAAGGAGTCAGCACTTGACTTTTTTGGGCGCATGCTGGCATTCCAGACACGACAATGATATCATTCCAACATAATCATACTAAAATCAGATTCAAATTCATTTTTGACTGCATGAATTGCCTTCATCCGTACTCAAACTTCGATCAAATCCGCACTTATTGAGTCTACAAGCAACGAAGCTTGCGCAGTTCATCCTATACTTGTCAACTCCCATCAACACCAAAGATGGACGATCGGCATCTCCCACCAGAATATGGCAATCGCTACAGCGGGGCTACCTCGCAAATCCCCGAGCTCGACTCTATGAATATACCCAAGTCATCTATCGTGCCAACAGTGACCAACGCAGCCAAATCTCCAGAACGGAAACCTCGCGTCTTTCCATGGTATCACCCGCAAGGATGGTCACGACGCCAACAAGTCCTCATAGCTGCAGCAGTATCAGCAGCAGTGATTATCGTCACAGTAGTAGGCGCAGTCCTGGGGGTCCGAGCTAATCGATATCCAAACTACACCCCCTAACCTACCGATTGGTGGATACATACCAAGGGACATCCTTCTTCGACAAATTCCACTACTTCTCCGATGAAGACCCGACAAACGGCTTCGTGGTATATGTCAACCGCGACGCAGCCCAAAATCTCAATCTCACCTATGCGAGCGATACCTCAGCTGTGCTGCGCGTTGACTCATTAACGCCCCGTGCCGTCGGGGGTCGTAACTCGGTCCGCATCGAGTCAAGGGCTACATACGACACGGGCCTGTTTTTGTTTGATATCATCCATACGCCGTACGGCTGTGGGACGTGGCCTGCTCTGTGGTTGACGGATGGCTATAATTGGCCGATGAATGGAGAGATTGACGTCCTCGAGTCTAATAATGAGGGTTCGAACGGTAACGAGGTCACCCTGCATACGACCAAGGGGTGCAACATGGACGTCAAGCGTAAAGAGACGGGCTCCCCTGTGCATACATCATGCAATAACAGCACTGGTGGGAACTCTGGCTGTGGCGTGCTGGGCGATTCATCCACGTACGGACAAGAGTTCAATCAGAATGGTGGTGGAGTAAGTACAATCCTCATATCCCTATACTACCCGATATCAAAGGGATCATCGACTCACACAAGTAATTCAGGTCTACGCCCTTGAACTCCGTGCAGCAGGAATCCGTACCTGGTTCTTCCCCCGAGCGTCAATCCCATCAGACATCTCCAATCCAACCACCACCCCCAACCCATCAACCTGGGGCACCGCTCTCGCCGACTTCCCCAGCACAGACTGCGACATTTCCTCACACTTCCGCAACCAGAGTATCATTGCGAATATCGATTTGTGCGGAGAATTAGCCGCGCAGCCGCAGTATTACGCTGAGATGTATAAGTGTCCTGGTACATGTTCGGATTTTGTGGCGAATAATCCGAGTAGTTTTGAAGAGGCCTTTTGGGAGTTTGGGGGTTTTAAGGTTTATGAGGCTATTTAGAGGATGAATCTTGCTTTGGCTTTGATGATATGTTTTTCCTTGGGGAAACTTGTCTTTTTGGACGATTTTATGATTTTATTTGGCTTGGATTATTTTCACAGGGCCAGGTGCTTTGGCGTTGGAAACTAATGGGTATGTTGTGAAACTCTTATATACTACGAGCATAATACACCTAGCAAGGCTATGATAATATGATTCGGGATGATCGAGCTCATTCAATTGAATATACTTTGCCATCTTAAGCGGCCATGATGAGGTACAACGTCGGTGATTGTATGAGGAAACTGGAACCCACGAAGGGCTGAAGCAACACTTTGTTCATTCTCACTAGGCCACAGGGTACATATGTAGAACTAGATTGGAGAAGAGAAAGAACTGATAAAACGAGCAGGTAAGCAGGATTAGCGATTGTCGTACTTTCACTCTTACTAGACAAGCCTCCAGGTTCTGGCTAGGTGATCACCCACCAGCCTTGACCTTGAACCTAAGAAGTTAGTTATCAGACGAACCCTCACAACATTTTCCTTTCCTTTTTATGTTGGACCTACCTAGGACCCGCTACAAGTCGGACTGGGTGAGAGAACACATTCACGTAAGTTTGCATCAAACTCCGTTCCTAGGGCACAAGGTAGAAGAAATGCCTCTCCCAGGTCATTGCACTGCCAAAATGTAGCGCAATCATCGGGATTTTGATATAGACAATCCTTTGTCCCCCGACAATCTTCGTCTCTCGGGCAGACAAAATCATCATTTCTTTGGTGTCAGGGTGTACCCAGGACAGATTGAGAACGGAGGGCAATGATAGCCACAGAGTATAGGGTGAAACTGTTATTGAATTCGTGGTTGGTCAAAATAGTTATAGGAAAAGAAAAGGGTAAAATGTATAAAGTGAATAAAATGAGGGGTTTAACCTCTGCTTGTTTATATAGAGATCCAGTTTTCCTTTCTTTCTTTTCCCTTTCATATTCCCCCTCTACTTTACTAACCTTATGCTAGGTCTTAGTAGATCCAGACTAATTTTCGTTGATCATTTGATCAACCAGAATGTATATAACTCTCAGCAGTACTATATGGTACATTTCAATAAATGACCAACGATCTAGTCCACTTGTAAACAAAAGCAGAATATCCGTATTAAGAATGCTATAGTTAACATTTATCATGAGGCGTGAGTGGCGTTTATGGTTGAGTCCCTTAACAGTCGGGCGTAATATTGGAAGTTTAATTTCTTACTTTGGGGTAGGACAACGAGACATAGGGCGTAGCTACTGTTTTACTCTTCAAAGGGTCTATCCCTACCCCGTGTCAATCTTTAGGATCCGAGCATGTCCGTTCGTCCTGATCGGGTTGATACCAGTTTAGTAAATTGGTTGACAACGTCAACTGTAACACCTTACTACCTTTTTATACAAACATCTCCAACAGAAAATGTAGTGGATCGTTCAGTGGGGACTAACCCCATTGCCAAGCCTATCAAATTGCGCCTCCGGAAGTTGGGGTCTCCTCACGCCTCCACATCGTGCGGGAGAAGGTTACCCTCTTTGTGCTTTTGCTGACCGTCTGACTCATGAGGGTCACTGCATGAGGGGGTGAACCTTTTGCTATTGTTATTAGTATATTTCCTATCCTATACATTGCAAACCATTACGACGAAATCAAAAATGTCTCAAAATGGCTTATCAACCATTCTCAAAGCAAGTTCCCTCGACTTGACCCCATACGAGGATCTCTACAAATATTTCCACGCCAACCCCGAACTCTCCCTCCAGGAGAAATCCACCTCTGAAAGAGTCACCGCCCATCTAGAGGCACTCAACGCCTATGAAATCCACACTCACATCGGTGGCTACGGTCTCGCAGGCGTCCTCCGAAATGGCCCCGGGAAAACCATCCTGCTGCGCGCTGACATGGACGCACTCCCCGTCCAAGAACTCACGGGTCTCCCCTATGCAAGCTCGGTCACCATGCGTGATGCCGACGGAAATGAAAAGTCGGTGATGCATGCCTGCGGACATGATATGCATATGACTTGTCTCCTGGCTGCGGCCGAAACTCTCGCCAAGATGCGAGATAGCTGGAGCGGCACGCTCATCGTGCTCTTCCAGCCTAACGAGGAGCGCGGCGGTGGTGCCCAGGCTATGGTCGATGATGGATTGTATTCGAAGATTCCTATCCCGGATTACGTCTTCGGTCAGCACGTCATGCGCATGCGTGCTGGGAGCATTGGTTCCCGACCGGGCACGATCATGGCCGCGGCTGATAGTATGAAAATCACCGTCTTTGGCCGTGGTGGTCACGGCTCGCTGCCCCATCAGACGGTTGATCCGGCTTTACTCGCGGCGCATATCGTCGTCCGACTACAGAGTATCGTGAGCAGGGAGGTTGACCCTAGTGATCTAGGCGTCGTCACGGTAGGAAGTCTCCAAGTCGGACAGGCCGAGAATATCATCGCAGACCGGGCGGAAATCGGACTCGACTTTCGAACTGTGAAACTGGAGACTCGCCAAAAGATTCTCGCTGCGATCCAGCGCATCGTCGAGGCTGAATGCCTGGCTAGCGGGTCACCCAAACCCCCCGTATTCACGCCCACACGCCGATTCCCACCCACGGACAATGAGAAGCAAGTCGCGGCTGAAGTGGCCGCATCATTCGAGCAGCATTTCGAAGACTTTGATAATGATACACCACGTACCAACGTGAGTGAGGACTTTTCCAACCTGGGTCGGTGCAGAGACATTCCATGCTGTTTTTGGCTGTTTGGTGGGATTGACCCCGAGCTTTGGGATCGGGTACACGGAGCAGAGAATCCCAGTGAGGAGATTGCAGGGAATCATTCGGCGCGATTTGCACCTGTGATTCAACCGACGATGAGGGTCGGTGTGGATGCTTTGTGTTTGGCAGCGTTGACGTTTTTGAGGAAGTAAATGTCGTCAGTTATCGAGTTGCAAGGGGTATATAATTGAGGATGGAGACAATAGAAATAGATACGACATTACACTAGTCAATAGAGCACTAATTACAGGTACTATGATATTAAGGCGAATGGAGTATTTAATGACTTTGAGTTGGATATACTGCTGTGCGTTGTATAAGCCGATGGCGTTGATTGTGGATCAAGCCATCTATGTCATACCAACTAAGTTAACTACTGACCGAGTTGACAGCAACAGGATCATGGACTTTGTCGATAATTAGGATAAACCTGTAGACCATCTTTCTAGAAATATATACTCTATTCTACCAACTGTTTAATATTCTGTCAATTGTCCTACACCTACTTCTTATGGTATAGCATACGAGACTATGATTGTTGTATACATGCATGTGCTCCCCTACAGTATTCTTTCCCCTAGAAAATGATTAATGACAGGTAATTACCAGTACTCTGAATTCTTCCAGGCAACCAATTAATTCCTGGACAATTCAGCCCTACGGTCCCCCCCCCCCAGTCTAGTGGGCCCTTCAACTCGGACTGAAAAAAAAAAAAAAAAACTTCGTTGCCTCTCGGAGGTCGGCCGCGCCCGCCGAGTTAACCCCAAAAGACTAAAAGTTGCCCAGAGTTGGGGTCATTTCTGTTGTTCCGCGGACTTGACTTTCTTTCCCTCATATATTCTCTCTTCTTCCCCTCCCTCTTCTCACCGTCGCAACTTTTCACCAAAGGGATATTCTCCATCCCTTCCTATCTTGTGGTGACGTCCAATTGCGCCTCGAACTCTCTCGGTCGGAACAGATCCGGTCATGGAGAAAACCACTCAACCATCCCCGGTCGCGCCCGATCTCGAGGCCAGTCCAACTCCAGAGTCCCCCAAAGAGTCAACCCTCACGCGACGATGGAAGCAAACTCTAGACCCGACCAATGCGGATCTGGTGTGTCTGCTACTATGCTTCCTCACGGGTCTCTGCGATAGCAGCGCATACAATGCCTGGTCCTGTTTCCTGGGCATGCAGACCGGTATGACTCAATCCATAACATACACACAAGACAGAATCTAATCAGTCTCGCATGTATAGGAAACACCATCTTCCTTGGTCTCGGTGCCTCCAACCAACCCGCCAGTAAACCATGGGGCTGGCTCAAATCCCTCGTCTCCATCGCCTCCTTCTTCTCCGGCGCCATGATCTTCTCATCCGTCATGCGTCGCGTCGGCGCCCTCCGCCGCGGCACCCTCTTCGTCTCCTTCCTCATCCAAACCATCCTCATCATCATCGCCGTAGCCCTCATCCAGGCCGATCTGATCCCGCACACCTCGACCGACCAGGGTCTTGACGGCGGACCCCTCTTCCTCGAGCTGATCCCGATCGGCCTCTTGGCATTCCAGTCCGCGGGCGCCATGACCTGCAGTCGCTCCCTGGGTTATAATGAGATTCCGACCGTGGTGTTGACCAGTGTCTACTTTGATATTGCTTCCGATCCGAAGATTACGGATAAGCCTACGACTAATGTCAAGCGCAATCGTCGCATTGGCGGTGTCGTTTTCTTGTTGATTGGTGCTATCGTTGGTGGATGGTTGAGTCGCAGCAGTGGCGGTATGCAGTCGGCCTTGTGGATGGCTGCTGGCATTAAGCTTGTGGCGGCCATTGGCTGGCTCTTCTGGAAGGCCGCTGCTCCGAAATAGAGGGGAGAAAGAGGGAGATTTAGAGGGGAGTGCAGTTGCTTGGCGACGGACTCTGGCTGATCGAGTTCATCGTTCATTGCTCATAATAGAGAGATCTTGATAGACTGCGATGCTGGTGATGGGCGCATTGCATAGTACAGTTTCAGCGACATAATGCATATAGAAGATCTATATAATACAATTAACATTTAAATACATCTCTCACTTCTGAAGGCTTGCAGACAAGTGTGATCTAGAATACATTCTTAAGTGCGACCGAAATAAGAGATAATGGCACAAACTACACATCCTGGAAAGACCTGGTATAGTTCCGACAGCCTCCTTTCTTCAGCGCCCTGGTCAAGGACCACTCACTGTTTAGAATTAACGTGAGCGTCAAGTTAGTCTCACCCTCGAAGCGACCGGCGAATGCCCAGTGCCTGGCAGGAAGGCTGTTTCGTAGTGGAGAATAACACTCGTTGCGAGTGGTGACATCTGCCACCATCGCAACCCGAAATGATGCCATTCGCACGGAGTGGGGGCAGTCCATGAGTGGCCTATTGATCCATAAATTAATGGATCGATTGCCGACGGTACCAGCTGGATGTATGAGATAACCATACTGGTATTTTGTACTCTTGTTTGACAACAAACTTTGTCTTCGCATCTCATCATCGGAACTTTTAAGCTTAATTGAACCCTCGGACATTAAATCTCGTGACTGCAGTACTTTGGCATCGTCTTGATATCCACTTCAACCTTCTTTCTAGCATACCCCAGGTCATCTCCGCATAGTTATACGGGGCTTATCGTGAAAAATTAAATCCTCAAGCCTCTTCTCTCGCGATAGCTATCGGCCACTTAATTTCTTCAATGAGCGAAATGTAACGGCCTCGGGACGGCCACTAGCCCCAAATGCTGCTTTGACCACCATCACCCCCGCCAATCCCCAAGCGCAATGCCCTACTCTCTCTGAAACTCGCCCGCGATAAACCAACGACCATGACCATATCCCACCAAGGTCAGAATACCGAGCCACCAGTCAGCGCAGCCATGGCGAGTCCCAGAGAAAGATCAACACCACGCGCCGAACCCCCGGATAGACGCGAATCTCTCGAATTACGGGAACTGCAGACCCGCGAAGATGAAGAGCAACTGGGGTACTCGTCCCCATCCGCCTCGTCGGGTGAGGAATACCGAGTCACCACCCGAAGACGATCCTCAACTTCAACGACCGTGCGACGCGCGCAACCCCCACGCAAAGGAAAAGATCCTCTTAGTAGGATCGTTCGCTTCTGGACACAGCATGTGACACTGACTGTTCCTCAACGAAGTAATCGGGACCATTTCGGTGCGTTATTCACCCGTTTCAGTGTATACGATATGCATCTCCATTCCCCCATTCTGGGCAAATCTTGGCACTCCACCATTCCCACCAACTCTAAAACCTTCCATACTTGAGTCTATACTTACTATGCACTACTTATACTTACTCTATCCAGCCCTAGAAAGAACCCTCCTCGCATACATCCGCACCTCAGTAGTAATCTCCATGCAAGGCGTCCTAATCTCCCAACTCTTCCGCCTCCAACAACCAGGCGACCGACTCAGATTCTACGTCGCGGGCAAACCCTTAGCAGTGACGTGTCACTGCGTGGCTATTTTGGTTGCGCTTATCGGGGCGTTCAGATTCTGGAGGCAACAGGGGGCTATTTCGGTCGGGAAGGTTCATGCTGGTGGGTGGGAGTTGAATGCAGTCGGGTTTTTATTTGGTGCGGTACGTATGAGGGTTGACGATGAGTGTCGGGCGTGCAGGGGATGACTGGCTAACTGTTGGATAGATATTTCTAGTGACGTTGATTTTGTCGATTGCGATTATTGTTGAGACGGATTTGAGTCAATCTATGTTGGTGCAGGAGATGGGGAGGATATCTTCTTCGTTTTTGAATAAGAGGTGGAATTGATGATTGTGACCACAGATTGGCTCTTGATGTATACCCTTAACTACGATACTACCTACGATACTACGGTGTCTTACGAGAAATGATGACGGCACAAATGTTTTCATAACGAATATACAGCTCTATTGATTCGCATCGCGAATGGAAATCATGTCCAAAAACGCCAAGACGCCGGATGTCTCTATGCGTCCCTCATGTTAATAATATACAAACGGTGAAACACACGGTTATGAGGACTGGAGAAAACCAGGATAACATTCCCAAATCAGATTGGAGCCGGGAAACTCAACAGCTTACAGATATCCTGTAGTCATGGTCAGTGTGAACATTAATAACATCCACTTCCTATTACATACCTTGCGCTTGCGCCGGAACTCATCATAAAGCTGTCTCCAAATCTCCCGATCACGGCAACCACTCTCCTCCGGCGTCCCGGGATTATTATCACATGCAGGCTGCAGCGAGGCCAGCTGTTCTTGAGTCCACATCACCCAAGGCTTGGGCAATGGCCAATCCGAAAAGTGAACGAATTTCGCCTGCGCAACGACCTTTTCAGGATTCCACTGCTCATGGTCATTCCCCAAGTATGCGCGGTGGTCCTTTGTACGGAACTCTCCCGAGATCAGACCATATTGGCGGTGCGGGAGAACGAGTGCGCTGTCCCCGTAATTCGTGTTGAGAATCTCCATGTCGTACCGGCTGTTTGTGAGATTGAGGTCGAGTTGACCAAAGATAGCGGGTTTGATTGCTTCTTTTAGCAGGGTGTATTCACGGTATGATGGTTCGATAACGGCTATGAGTGATGAGAGGGTCCGGGTCTCGGGTAAGAGCCAGTATGCCCGAGGCATGGCGATGGTGGTGGTGGGGAGGAAGAATAGTTCGTCCATGGGTTGGAAGAGCATCATGTCGGAGTCGAGATGGATGACTCGATCGTATTGGATCACGCCGAAAGCGTAGAGTTTGGCAGTGCTGGTATCCCAAGATGACTCGGAGAACTCTAGCAATCGAAGTATGAAATGTTAGCCACTGTATTAGCTTTGGTATCGTCCCCCATATGTTATCGACTCACCTCCTTCACCTCCTGTCTCTGCCATGATACCTTCAATGGCGACCGGCACCATTTGCACATTATACTCATCCTTTGCCAGCACCAGCAACTGACTGATGCGGTCCGAATCACTTTCAACAACCAAATCCCATTCCTTCGGGTAAAACAGTAATCGATCCGCGCGCGAACCAAGCCGATGCAAAGCCTCAAACACCATCACACAATTGCACAGATACGTCTCACTAGTCGCATATTGTGTATAAGCGTAGCGCGACCAGTCCACCTCATCGTAATGGATATGCGGGAGTGGTGGCGGCGGCGGTCCAGGGCGGCGCATCCATTTGATCAACACGAAGAATACCAGGAGGACGACCCAGGTGCGGACTCGACGCAGCTCGCGTTTCACGACGGATAGACATGATTCATCGGGGATATCGAAGAAGTCTTTCTCCGAGGCATTGGATCCCCGGCGATAGGGGAATGTGGAGCTTTTGATCGCCATTTGGAGGGTCGGGGGAAGCGATGGGTAAAGGCGTCCTCATCGTTACATGGGAGACTGTTGCTTATCATCACGTGGTGATTGAGAAATTGAGAAGGATGACGACGCCCAAAGTTAGTCAGGTGACTTTTGAAGAAACTATATTGCTAAAAATAAGATGGAGATGGTTGTCGTTGCAATATTCAATATTGGCAATAAATGAGGGTTATCACCAACTTCCAGGTCTTCCAGGTAATCTCCCCCCTCATATGGCCTAGTTGGTCAGCCAGGTTGGTCGCCACCTGGTTGGCCAAGGGTGTGCCCCTGTGAAGTAAAATTTGAGGGGAAATATGGTTGACTGGTATTCGATGTCGAGCATAACTCCACGGATGACTGGGCACACCCTAAGGGGGAGAGAGGGCGAGCGGCTAACCCCCCCGCTCGCCGATTTCTTCTTTTGTTTTTGTTTTTTTTTATTTGATATATAGAGCCCTTTAATATCTTCTATTCTAGATCTAAAATTACATATTTTAATAGTTTTATGGTGGTGTAGAGGGAGATTGTTTAATGGGTGTAGTCCCGGATGGTATGTACTTGAGCATCGTGGGATGGCGATGGAGCATTTTGGTGAAGTATATAGAGAACCTCAAGGTCGAGGGTTCGATTCATGGACGAGGAAGCCTTTTTTATTCTCAGCTTCTATTTTCATTAATGTGCAGTTTGATATCAATCGCCGTCTCGGGGACTGAATCAAATTCCTTGCAAAGTATATAAAGTACACAAAGTACATAAAATATACAAAGCTAGAATCGTTTAGTCTTCTTCGCCGACTTGATGGTCATAGTCTTATGAATGGATGACTCATGACTTCTATTTAAAATCTGCATTTGAAACAAAAACAATGCCTACCGGGAGCCGCAAATGATGTGATTCTGGTCTGGATGCCCTCCTTATCAAAGCGGCGGTCTAGAAACCCCCGGATGGATCGGGAAGATCTCAACATTCCCGGCCATGGCGACATTTCTTATCTTTAGTCATCCTCAGGCTAGTCCCTACACAGCTAGTGACTTGGTACATCCTCCTGACAATTGCGGACTCCGGATATCCATTTTTCGTCATCCGCAGCTCCATCGTTCTCCGTGAGGTGATTCACCGCGGAGATGGCGCCATCACGTGGATCCACCTTAGCTAATCCCCACGCTCGGCAGATCACGGGGTCTCGTAGGGCTTGGCATTAGCCAATAGTCTCTCTGTCCTGGGCTCACCGCCTTGGCCATCGCCCCCCCGTCAGGTTGCGTGATCCTCGACATTTCTCTCTCATCGGACTCATCCACTTCCCTGCACCTCCAACAACCACCCTGTCGGGATTGTGCAATCGCCGTTCAAATCTGCTGGGTCACCGACTATTTGAACTGCAACTCCCTGATTGCCGACGACTTTTCTTTCAGCCTCCTATTTCTCTCCCCCCCACAGACCATCTACAACACATCGATATCTGGCAAATCCTTATCTTAGCCCTCGAGGTATCCTCCAGGGTCCTCGTCATCCTCGACTCTCCCACGTTGACTCGCTGTGCCCCGATACTGGCACCTTGGTGGAAGGACCTCTTACCCTGGCGAAAACATCGCCCGATTGCCTTGCGCAATCTACATAGCTGTCGCTCGTGTGATACAAAGAGTCTTCGAAACCTCTTATCTCAGCCCTACGCCCTCCCGAAACAGAAGTGACTCCCGCAGCGAACGCGATCGTATCTACGAACAATCGGATCTCATCCCTTCGTCATGGAGCCCAATACTAAGGTCCCCTTGACCGTGACTGGCCTAACGACTCACCGCGAAGAAGACGGAAAGAAGGCCGATGCCAACCGGGCGTCACCCGACGATGCCAGCGATACCCTGACGGAACTGGCCAAGCAGAATGTCGCCCCATTCCTCGCAAAATACCATCCACGACAATATGCGCCCCTCCGATCGGAAGATGGAACAACCTCGGTGCCACGTACGGTCAATGCAGGCTACTGCTACCGCCACCAGCCTGACTCCAAGTGCACACGTCAGGCGGATGAGCAGTCGATGCACCAGCTACAACGAGTATGTATTCCAACCATACCCCCACTTTTCATCGCTAACACGTATCTAGGAACTGGAGACACTTCCCCAAAGTGATCAGCAGGGCATCGCCCACGTCTGGTCGCTCTTCTCAGCCGCCCCTGCAAAGCAGCGCAAACTGATGCTGCAAGGTATCCTGGCTCAGTGCTGCTTCCCCCAACTATCCTTTATCTCCGCCAGTGTCCGTGAACTTATTCGCATCGACTTCCTGACCGCGCTTCCCCCCGAACTCTCTTTCAAAATTCTTCGCTACCTCGATACTGCTTCCCTCTGCCGTGCTGCACAAGTATCCCACCGATGGAGAGCCCTCGCCGATGATGACGTCGTGTGGCATCGGATGTGCGAACAACACATTCGTCGCAAGTGCAATAAGTGTGGTTGGGGGTTGCCGCTGCTGGATAGGAAACGACTGCGGGAATCGAAGCGCGAGATCGAGCTGCGCGCGACCAACTGGGGTAACCAGCCCTCAAACAATATTCCGGACGGAGCGCCTAACGGCACCTGCTCGGTGGTGGAACTTCCTACCAACGGAAAGCGCAAGATCGACGTGGATGATCAAAGCTGTGCGATGATCAAACGCCACTGTATCTCACCAGCCTACAAGCCCGAGCCGGACGATGATTACTTCAAGACTCGATATCGCCCATGGAAGGACGTCTATCGGGATCGTTTCGTGGTCGGCATGAATTGGAAACACCGACGCTGTTCCGTCAAGGTTTTCCGTGGACACACCGACAGTGTGATGTGCCTGCAGTTTGAGGACAATATCCTCATGACTGGCTCTTACGACGCGACTATCAAGATCTGGGACATGGAGACTGGCGAAGAGTTGCGCACCCTTCGGGGACATACCGCTGGCGTGCGTTGTCTCCAGTTCGACGATACCAAACTGATCACGGGAAGTTTGGACCGTAGCATTCGAGTGTGGAATTGGCGTACGGGTGAATGCATCTCCACATACAACGGTCACTCCGAGGCGGTGATCGCCCTCCACTTCGATTCTACCCTCCTTGCCTCTGCGTCCGTCGACCGAACAGTCAAGATCTGGAACTTCAAGGACAAGTCGACATCTATCCTGCCCCATCCCGAGGGTGTCAACGCCGTGAAGATTGACACTTCTTCCCGTACCGTTCTGACTGCATGTGACGACGGTGCGGCACGGTTGTGGGATCTCGATACCAAGACTTGTATCCGTGTCTTCCACAATCACATCGGCGCAGTCCAACAAGTCATTCCTCTGCCACGCGAGATTGAACTGGAGAGTCATCTCGCCGACTGTGAAAACGATCACGTTAGCACATCTTCCCAAAATGGTGACGCTGTCAACATTCTCTCCCCTCTCCTCGAACACAAGTCTCTCTCCGCGCCTCCCTCTTCGTTTGGTGCCTCCTTCGATCAAGATCAGGATCGCTTGGAACCTCCTCGCTACATCATGACTAGTGGTGTCGACGCAACCATCCGTCTCTGGGAGACCAACACCGGCCGATGCCTCCGCACCTTCTTCGGTCACCTGGAAGGCATTTGGGCATTGTCAGCGGATACTCTGCGTATCGCCTCCGGCGGAATGGATCGCATGGTTAAGATCTGGGATCCTCGTATTCCAACCTGTCAAGACACCTACGAAGGCCATTCCGCGGCCGTCAACTGCATCGGACTTAGTGACAGTCGTTTCATTACTGGCGGTGACGATTACCATGTCCGCATGTACGACTTCCGGGCATAATCTCCCGCTATCAGCCCTCTCTCACACTCTTCCAACCCAATATCCTCTAATCACCTCCTTCCCGCCCTCCAACCTTTCATTTCATCTCTTTCTGGTGCTCATTCAGTCGATGGTTAGATACCCGGGCGCTTTTTCAAAATATTGTTATTCTTTCTGTACATTCTAGGGATCACGGCTGGATGTCGTATTTGCGCAAGGACTGCATTACCGGCGCTTTTTGTTTAACTTTGTTTATTGATTACTTGTATTCTCAACAATAATACATTTTTACACTACAACGCTAGGCAACAGTAAGGGTAAAATTTGTGCCGAGAATGGCTACACTTGGCGCTATTTTAAGCGTGTTCTTTACGATCTAGTTCGGCCCACTATTTCCATATGCACCCTGAGGCTCATATTGTAGTTGCCCAATGCCGATAAATAGGGAGATGGTCATGTCTCGTCCTTGATGTTATCAGATCATAGCCAATGGTAAAATTGGAAAGCTCCTTTTCGTCGCACCACCATACATCATGAAGCTTGCTTTTTCATACTCGTTCGATCAGTAACGCCACGCCAAGCTCACTAACTGATTAGTTGACCCTGAATCGTGCAAGTATGACTAGCATTCCCAGGGTCTCGTCCCCCATCTCCGACTTCCCCTTTTCTCTCCACACAATGGATCTCTACATATTGTACTATCTCTTTCTGCTCTTTCTTTTCGGATATTTCGTGCTTTTTCACTTTCAAAGAATCACTGGTGTCCGTCCTGACCTTTCTTCTTCCTCTTCCCCCACGGCCCTCGACCCGGCTTCAATTAGCAAACTGGTGGACGAAATTGACCAACATTCTTTCTACCAACCGAATCGTGCTTTTGGAAACTTTGTGGAACAAAAAGGAATTTACCGCCGAGTATACATACAATTCTCAACAAATTTTCGATATAACTTCGCCCAGAAATTCCTTTTTGGCCAAAAACATCATTCGGGGTCATGTTGAAGAAATTTTTGAATATTGGATCTTCAGTGGCAACCCTTTGAATGGTATATAGATTCAAGACTTCGGGTCTTGCGTGATTTGCAGGTAACTTGTCTAATTTCATAAAGTAGCGATATCAAATATCATGTTATCAATCGGTAATTCCATATGGAGAAAAAAAGTGTCTTTTTAGATTGAAGGGAATTTAAGTCAAAGCACAAAAAGGGTATCATTGACGTGCATCACGCAGGAGACGGTGAACATCAGAAACAAGGTACAAGCTGCCAGCAATGACAATGGGACCGCCCTGGGCGACCTTGCTGGCCCATTGAATCGCAGGGAGCAGATCGCCCTCGAAGCTCTCCACTTGCCCAATTTCCGAGATGGATCGCACAGTTGATGCAAGTTCAGTGGCGTTGGTTGGTGTAACCCAGGGCATGCCATCGACTGGGCCAAATTCTGCCGTTGCAACATTATCTCCAGGCCGAATAATGGAGCAAAAGACTCCAGCTAGATCTTTACCGCTCGACGCAGCAATGACCCATGTCACGTTTTCTGAGGTCGGGCGGAGCTTGCGGTCAATGTACCGACCAAGAACTGCAGCGGACTGTGGGTTGTGGGCACCGTCCAGAAGAACTGGCCCTGTGCGCTCGATGAGAGGCTGGAGGTTGATATTCTCCAAGCGGCCGGGCCATTTGACGTCCGACAGATGGGGCAGCAGAGAGAAGGCATCCACTTGAGGTCGAATCTTGGCTAGAGCGAGACGTAGGGCAGATACGGCAGAACACATGTTCTCCTGTTGATGAGGCTCGAGATCCAATTTTCGGAACAATTGTGCAAGAGGTGGCAGTTGCTCTTCGGCTTTGTCCGGGGAGACGAACATTGCGTCGATGCCGAGTTCTTGGATGCGGTTCGATAAGGTCTCCAATACAGCAGTCTCGTTGGTATTATCAATGACACATGGAACACCAAGTTTGAGGATTCCTCCTTTCTCCCGGGCAATCTCCTCGATGGTCGACCCCAGGAATGCCTGGTGGTCCATTCCGATCTTCGCGATGACCGAGACCAACACATCAGTCAAGACATTGGTCGCATCGAGGCGACCGCCCATGCCCACCTCCACCACTCCAACTTCCACTTGCTCATGATTGAAGATTTCAAAAGCGGTAGCGGTCAAGAGCTCGAACTCGGAGGCACCAATGCCTAGCTTCTGGTCTCGCTGTTTGACCTGGGACTCGATCTGCCGGAAGAGAGATTCCTGGACAACCCGTTCGCCAATGGTGATGCAATCCCATCGGTCAATCAAATGGGGCGAAGTGAAGCGGCCGCACCGAACATCGCTCGCGGAGAGCAAATGAGAAAGGTAGGCACTGATGGAGCCTTTACCGTTGGTGCCGGCAATGTGAATAGCTTTCCATGTCAGCGGTGTTTGTTGGAGGAGTCGCGCAACGCGGCTCAATCCTAACTCGATCATTCCTCCAGCTGTACAATGGGTGGAAACCCTCAAGTCATGATCAAAGGAGCATTGAGTCGAGGTGGAAGTTAGCCTTATCGGTGGGAAGTCAACGGCGGAGTTTCGGGAAGTTTCCCGTTTTCTTTGGGCGGGCAACTCGGGCAGCCGGGCACGTGACTTGGATGTACTCCGAACTCGGGCATGCTGCGAATGACAATTAAGATCGATCCTTTGAAGGGATGAATTGGCGGTTGAGTAATGGAATGGTTGATAACCAAGTTGTGAGCACAAGGAATGACAGATAGAAGTAACAGACCAGGTTAGTATATGTGGTTCCTACAAAGATCGTCAACACAATGATGTCATCACCTAATTGAGAACACTGAATCTCAAATAGGAAACTCATTGGACTAATCAGGTTTAGACCAATCATCTTCCAGCAACTTTGTGTTGCTAAACTTCTTCAATTTCCTGGTTTTATCGTCTCGAACAGGTTAGCCTGTCCTAATATATAGAAGATATTCTCTTGTTGCAAATCAATAATGGAATCGCGTCCACCCCGTCCACCCCGTCCACTTCATCCAAGACGCGTTTACATCGTGTTAACTGCCTGAAAGCATTCATCTTCAACATTTCAAGTCACCAAAACATGGCCTTTCTCCCTTATCATCCATTCCGATTTGGACACTACAGAAGTAATGGATGTGATCCAAGGATGACATAAATCTCAGGGTACTTGACATACGCTTATGTAGATGCAAGTCCACGTAAGTCTCTCTTCCGTGTATAACAGCTTGGCTCTTCCATACCCTCCAATTTCGAGATGCTCGTAATCCTGGTGCTCTCAAATTAATTTCACGCCGTTTGACTGAACGCAAATCCCACCCATATAGCAGCCAACCCAAGTAGCACGGGCGCTGCGACCTTGATTCCCGCCGTCCAAAGCAATCTCGTTCGTGCTTTTACCTCCTCGGCATGATTACTTGCTTCATTCTCCCTTGGAAATGGTACATTGGGCACTTCCACATCCAGGAACGCACACAGTGGATTCCATCCATCTCCCATATGATACTCGAGCAATTGCTCTGGTGGAACAGCTGCTCGCACACTGCGATAGTACGTTTCATACACGTCTTTCGCATGCGCGAGGATCTCCTCCCGACTCTGTGCACCAAAGAAACCAAAATGGATTTTTCTCATCGCCTGCACGGCCGGAATACCCATGAGATACAGTCCAAGGAACCCATTAATAGCTGCCATAGGCTGAAGCATGACCCGATTGAGGACTTCACTCTGAAAACTTGGCCACCACCGCTCAAAGTCGCGTTGGACCACCACGACCTTGGCATTGGGATATGCTCGGATAAGCTCGAGGGCAAAGGGCGATGCCAGGTCTGTGACGGCGTCGTACTTTTCACCCCAGAGCTTGTCCCAATCAGCGCGGGTGAAGGACGCTCGGGGGCGTGCCCCGGGCGTGGAGGGCCATGTCGACTCGGCGGCTTGCTCTAGCTGTACCCATGGGGTATCGGTGACCTTTTCAAGGAGTCCGTGGTGTGTTTTGAGACCGAGGATCTGATATGCGCGGGCCATAGATTTTGTGCCCGTGCGGAAGAGGCCCGCGTGGATGAGTAGTAGGCCATCGCCTTGATGGGACTTCTCTGGTTGAGATGCCATATTCAGCTGTCTGAGTCCGAAGTAAAATTGTCAGGGAGGGTAGGAAATGTAGGAGATGCACCCGTTTGATCCTTGAACAAAAGTGATGTGGAGTAGCTGGGGTTCCACGACAGACATAGAGGACCGTCAGCATCTAGTGCTTACGCCGATCGATCAGCCTCCCGGTTATCCCAACGCAGACTTGGGGGCCGAATTTTGATGAAAGTAGAACATTAAAAACTATTTGATCAATCACTGTTATATACAATCAATACATTATTCACATGTCTCTTTATGCTCTCCAAATCTATAATCCCCAGTCATTAAGGGGTGCCCAAGAGGGTACAACCATCCGCTAAGAGTACACAGTCAAAAAAAATCATGAAAAACCTCTAAGATCTCGAATGGACCAGCCGTCCAGCGACCCAAACAGCCTTGACATTACGATCATCACCACTCCAAACCCACTTGTGGATTTTCTCCTCCCACGTCTCCGTTCCAAAGAGATCCACGTTACCAACTGGGCCAGTCTTCACCAGACTTGAAGCACCATTCGTTTGCACCTCGAATGGGTTCTCGCTCAATTCTCGGACAGCACCGAGCTCGATGAGCTGTGCGTCCCAGATCATCCCCTCGTCGAATCCGCCGAGATCATCTGCCATATCCACGACCGCGGCGCCGCCACGAGTTGCGAGGTACAAACTCTCTTCGACGGAAAGTTTCTCACGGCCGAGAGTGGGCTTATCAGCGTCACCGTTCTCGTGGGCATGCTTGATTCCCGGCTGGCAGAAAGACTTCGTATGGCCGAGCAGTCTGGACACGAGACAAGCCTGACGCGCAGCTTCGAGGATGCTGGGACTATAGCCACCGCTCACGTCTGTGCCCAAGCCAACGGTAATGCCTTCGTCAAGGAAGATGCGAACGGGGGCAACTCCCGATCCAAGAGCCGAGTTTGAGGCCGGACAATGGGAGATCTTTGCGTCCCGGCGGCGAACCAGATTGCGTTCGTCGGGAGTGAGATGAACAGCATGAGCCAGGATAGTCCGCTTAGTGAGAAGGTTGTACCTGTCGTAGACATCTGCATAGTTCTTTGCTTCGGGGAATAGTTCCTTGACGAGCGCGACTTCGTTGGTGTTCTCAGAGATATGAGTCTGGATGTGCAGTGGCGGGTTGAACTCTGCTGCTAGCTTTCCGAGTCCCTCCAAAGCAGGCCGGGTGCAAGTCGGTGCGAACCGTGGAGTGAGGATCGGTTTAACCAGAGTACCCTTCGGGTCAAGGGCATGGATATACTCAATCATCGATCTCGTTGCGCTCAGGGAGTCATCGGCTGATAGGTCCTTGTAGTAAGGAGGGCAGAAGTCCGGGTTATCCATGCACACGCGTCCGATGAACGCACGCTGCCCGCGTGAGTGACACAAGGCAGCAAGTACATTTGTCGCTGGGACATGGATCGTGGCAAAGTATGATGCACATGTCGTGCCGTGAGACAGTGTACGTGCAACGACTTGATCATAGATTCGCAGTGCAGATGGGGGTGCATCTTTAGGAAGCTTGGCATCTCCATTGGGTTGGTCCGCTTGGACTCCAAAGCCCGATTCAACGGGGAAAGTATAAGTTTCCAGCCAATCGAGCAGAGTCGAGGAGCCGAATAGACCCACGTTGGGGAATTGTGGTGCATGAATATGTGTGTCTGGTCCATATTAAACACGTACTTGCTCGTGAGATAGGGGTAGATGGGACCATACCGATAAAACCTGGGAAGAAGAATTCATTCCTCTCCTCGCTCGCGTGGACAATCTTCACCTTGACCTCGTTACCACCGTAGCCATTAGTTTCAGGTGCGTCTACATCAACCCATGCATTGCGGGTCATCAATTCCCTGAAGGAGGCATCATCGCAAGCCTGCCAGTCAAAGCCTTTGATTCGACCGTCTGCAGAAGACACCCACAGCGCCCCGCGATTGCGGACAAGCTCGATCTTGGGCTTAGCGGTAGATTCTGGGAGACGAGGTGTCTGAATGAAAGTACCGCGATAGACGGTATATGCGTAAGCTTGCGCCATGCTGTGTTGTAAGCCCGGGAGATCGGCAAATCGATCAATGAAAGTTGATAAAGAGTGAAAGGCGATGTCCAGTCCAGTTCCAAGGAATGTGTCAAATGTAAAGGACTATGAACACTCTTCAAACGACAAGATCACCAAAGCCTCGAAAATCAAGCATCCATCGAGACGGCAGCCGGGTCTATTGATATATCTTTTTTCCCCTGAGTAGGACCCGATAAGGATCTGCCCGAACAGGAAGTCCCAGCACGAGGATGCGGAGTCTCGGTGGGAAATACTACAAAACTAAGGCTGGTCCTGCTGGATTGGAGAGCTGCAAGCTCTGCGGTAAGATCGGCTGACACGAGGGAGAGAGACGTGTAGTTCGAACAAGGTGGTAAAGAACAGGCCAGTTCCTTTTTTCGTGACAGGCGATTATCCGCGGCGATCGGCTGTCTCCGGGTGAATTACGATACTTTTTCAATGTTACACATAGTCTGAGAGGGGAGAAGGTGCGGGTGAGTGCGGGTGAGTGCGGGTAAGCGGTATGGTATGGTAAGAGGGGCACCGATAAGCGACGGCGGGGCGCATCAAAGAGCTTAACCTAGAGTCAAGATACATCAACAGGAAGACCATCTTTTTGGAGAAATCTGACATTGAGAATGGTCGAACGCCATCAGGTCTTCTACAGTGCCGCCCGTTATTGCCTTCCATATCTAGAGACAGAGAGACGCTCATTCAAACACTAATCACGTGATTGGATGACCCTAATATGGAATCGCGTAAATTACGCGTCATGATTATACGTAGTACTAGTACCTAATTGTGTACCCCCTTTTGTACCGATATAACTCTTGAAAGGTAGGGACGACTAGAAGGCTCTATACAAACTAAGTACACTAGCTGTCGGAGTTTAGCGGTGTGCATAAACTCGTGGTAGTACACACAAGAAACGTATGTGTGTATAAGTATGATTCAATGTTGTGTATAAGGATATGAATATAGTGATCGTGCGTTCTAAAAGAAGAAGAACCACGATTATGGAAGAGAAACACCGATCAAAAGAGAAGATCAAAAGTGATGTTAATCTTGATTCAATATAACTATGAGACAGCAGTATTTATATCTTAGGAAACATGATGAAAGATCACATGAAATGTCAAGAACATCAAAGATAGCCATGGAGTGTTGTATAGTCTCCTGCCTAGGTAGGCAATTCAAAGCGAGATCGTTGAGGATCAATCTGAAAGATTTTATAGAAAAGATCTAGAAGTAGCGAGGGGTAGTGGGTCTTTCGTCACATGACCCCACAACCTCCATATGCTGACAGATACCTGAAGTTTGGGGCTATTATTACAAGTCCTTTTAGCACCTTTGAAGTCGTTCTCGAATGCGGCTTGACGATACACACTGAGGAACTCTTTGCCGACCCCACCGCTAAGACCCTAGCGCAGATCAGTTATTGAGCGGGCAGCTTTGAGTTGGGGCTCACTGCCTCCCGTAGGTTATGTACGGTTTCTTACGTTGAGTATTTGACAGGATAGTGAAATGCATTCGCTTGTAGGTTTAATGCATTGCACAATTCTGTTACCTTTTGACACCCACCATTAGACAGGCTTGAGCAGTCATGGCTTTTGCCGGGACAAGAATTGGCCCGGTAAGTAATTGGGTCCAAAGCACTGACACTATACGCATTCATATATTCATACTCCGTACAATGACTACGCGAGAGTCGAGGAAACCTCATTCTGCCAACGCCCTCCGCTAATCTAAACCCGAAATTACCGGGCGGTAGGGCAGTTCAAGGAAAACGGTAGCAGAGGGGTACCTGGAATCTTACGTAATCTGGTCTGCAATACCGGACAATCAACACCAGAATTCCACGTCAGCGCAACTATCGTGGAAGGAGCCCTCAGGCGACGTTGAATGACTGTTAATGGACCATGATAAGACATCCGCTTCTTGTCATCACGGTAGTGGGTTCCCAATAGTAGCCAATGACTCGCCCATTTATAGGGCACAGCGACCTCTTAGCAGGTGTCCACAACTCCTCCAGTCGGAGGCCATCGTGCCGCGCGAGGGCCCGTCTCAGCCAGCTATGGAACATTATACCTTGCACCTTGCGAATGACGGTAAAGTACCTATCCCACGAGGGCCAAACCTCGGAAGTGTGACGTCGAAAAGGCGAGTCAACCGGGCATGTGACCCTTGTCGTGAACAGAAGGCAAAATGTAGTGGCCAATATCCCGCGTGTCAACGGTGCCGGCAAAGTGACATCATGTGTATCTACTCGGACAATAAACGAGAACGAGATAACAAGTTTAGTTGCATAGCCTCAGGAATCGCCACGTGGGTAACTTGCTGATGTTGGGTTCTATTAGGCGATCGGCCGATTATCAATCTCGAGTACAAGTGCTCGAAGACCTCCTACGGAACTTGCATCCCCATCTTGATCCTGGATTAGCTACACTGGTCGAGGACGTTATCAATGGGGTAAGAAGATCAGGGTGTGTTTTTACCGACGAAAAGTCTGACGGTGTTCAGCTTCCGGTCACGTCTTCCACGACATCAAGCCCGAACCCGGCGAAGGACGGCCAGCAAGCACCAAATAACCCAGTACAGCCGACCGACCACACCGTCGAGGACCACAACCGGGACCGAGATGCTCAGGCCACAGGATTTGTGGGTAGGCCATCCGAGGTGGCATGGCTCCATAATCTGCAGATGGGATTGAACTCGCGCACCGAAACAACGCGTTCCTTGGGCCTGTCAGGAATTCTCCCGCCTTGGTCTTCCAATTACTTTCTCGATGACATGCAAGTTTTTTCGACGAATCAAAGTCATGAACTGGGCTGGCCCTCGGAGGAGGCTGCTACTGAGCTCGTTGAAAGCTATTTTCAAAACGTACACGCTTCGTTTCCCCTTGTTGGAAAACTGTTATTTTGGGAACAGTTTCGCTGTTTATATGCAAATCGTGATGTCCAACCTGGCACAAGATGGATTGCTATTTTGAATTTGATATTTGCTATCGCTTCGCGGCACACCTGTCTCGTGAGAGAGCAATCTGGAGCCGGCTTGTCCTACTTTACGCGAGCTTGGGATCTTTACACGAAAGACTTTGTTGCATTAGAACACCCAAGTCTACAACAGGTACAGATTGAGTCTCTTATATCGCTCTACCTACTTTCGGTCGGTCAGATTAATAGGTTGGTTCATTTGCTTATCGCGTTCAAAACTGTCAGGGACTAATATGAAACAGGGCTTGGCGAATGTGTGCCATCGCATTGCGATCGGCAGTGGCTATGGGTATTCACCTTCGTACTGAAAATGAAAACATTTCCAGCATATCGAAGGAAACGAGGTATAGGCTTTGGTGGGCATTGTACTCATTGGACGTTCAGCTATGCCTAATGACTGGACGACCACTCAACATGGACCTGGAATATTGTACAACGCCTCTTCCGGTGCCGTATCCAGAGGAGCAGTTTCTGGATGCCCGTGTCGCACAAATCATCGCAGATGAAGATGCTAGGAAGGCTACGGTAGCATATTTCGCTACCTGTGTGGTCAACAATGATAGCGGATTTCAGCAACGTTCACCAAGTTCTCTCCACTCCATTGTGAGTGGAGGGTATGAGAACAACCCAAATACCACCTTCGCGCCGGATAGCATCGAGCCTAACACATCCCTATACTTCTTATGCCGTGTAGGCCTTGCTTGCCTTGGTAGGCGCGCCATGGACGAAATTCACTCTCCTAGGACTGCGTCGCTTTTGTGGGATGAGATAGAAACTTCAATTTCCAGGAACAACGCATCTGTTGATCACTGGATGGCCCAACTACCATCATACTACAACTTTGAAAAATCATCGCGCAGTTCACCATTTGCTCGTCAGCGCACTAGCCTCGCATTCCGATTCTACTCTATTAAGCTCATCATCCTAGAGCCATGCCTGCGCCGTTCGATAGGGGTGCTGACCGAGGGTCCATGTAGCTCCCGCTGCCAGGCCATGGCTGCTATGTGTATGCAAGTAGCAGGGAATGTCCTTAACCTTCTACCCGATGAGCCGGACATTCCCTGGATATACGAGTATTGTCCATGGTGGTCAATTGTCCACTACATCATGCAATCTTCCACCATTCTCCTGGTCAGCCTTGCTGGTCAGATTGAGCATGACTCCGTACAACTTGAGAAACTGTCGCGCTATATCAGGAAGGCATATCGATGGTTACAGGAGATGTCCAGGACGGATGAGCTCGCCAGACGAGCCTGCCAAATTTTGCAAGAGGTAGCCACTCGTCACGTTCCGGATTTGGTGCGTGTATCAATTTCATCTTGAGGCCGCCATCAGATCCGTAACCATTGCCATGGTAGTGCTGATAGTGTGAATTACGGGAGCATTCAAGCAATGTGGTTCACTGTTTTTTTCATTTGGCTGAGGCCCACAATATCTAGTCGTTATTTACAGGATGTGACCAGACAAAAGTGATAACGATTTCGGATCTTTGATATTTGTCTTACAAGAAAGCTAGTGTGTCTGAGGGGTTAATCTGTTTTCAAACTTCCTGTATGGAGGCGTTGTAACTTATTCCGTTCTGACGTTCTGATATGGGGGTTTATTGATTGGTTTACTCTGGCGCAGATGACAAAGAAACACCGGCCCTTTGTTTCTCTGTGATGGATGGCGGTAACTCATACCTTCTCTACCGTTATTCCCGCATGTCGAAAGTGGCCTTCGGCACTCTTCTGCTTTACACCAACCTTATAAACGCACCGTCGAAGGAAGGCATGGAACCCTTGGCCAGGATTCGCCTCATATACTGACTAAGCTTTCTTGATATATGCCTTTAGTTCGGTAAAGAATTCTTTAATAGGGTTAGAATCCGGCGAATACGGCGGTAGGTATAGTAGCTTAACCCCTACGTTAGCACATAAGGTCTTGATCCGGTCGGAATGATGGAAAGATGCGTTATCTATAATAAGGACGGATTTTGGCTCCGGCTACCTCCCACAATGCTACAGAAGCTGCTCGATAAACGATTCGAAGAACGTGGCATTAGTTAAGCCTTTCAAAATACGTGATAGAATAACGCCGTCTTGAGTATATATAGGAAGTATCTAGAAGCGTTAGCCGCGATGAAATTTCGATACTTAGACCGGTGTCACGCTAAGTAGTGACTAGCCAGTGCGTCTATATCCAATCCTTTTATCACACCTAGACTTATCGATAAACATAAGATAATACGACCGAAATCCGGATAGCTTATGTTGGTAGAAATCTCGTAGTTGTGGGTTCTGTTCTTTAGCTTTCTGTTAGGCTTTCTTTTTTGTCTAGCCCGCCCGCAAAAGAGCACGGTTGATACTAGATAATAACGGTAGAATATTGAACTTATCCTATAGGAAGATAGCTATCTCTTCGATGTATAGGCTAATGTCTCCAGCCAGGATGATTCGGAACATACGCCACTCGATTCTTTGGCGCTTATGACGCGCAGCGTACCAGAATCACGGCGGGCAATCCTTCACCCTCGACTATCCCCGTGGGAGAGTATGAACCGCAAAGCTTATGGCTCCACACGACATGCCCAGGCGGCCATTTCAAGCTGGATGAATGCTGATCTCCCTGCGTGGGCCATTCCTTTACCGCAAGACAGGGATAATTTCAAAGGAGACGCCGAAAGTGACGACGATCTCCCAACCCTTATTGATATATTTGGTGAACCGTAATTCCTCCTGGTTCGGGCCCTCCTTCGTCGAATGCCAAATGGACTACTTGTACAGGAGTTGAGACGCACCGCAAACAAAAAAATCCAAAAGACAAACAAAATATCTTTTCCTACCAGGATTGGCTCTATACGGCGCAAGCACAGCCTTCTGGACGGGCAGTGGCAATCTAGGCCTGGTGGGAAGGCAGAAACCAGGCAGACGGTCTTGCTAGATCGCCAGATCTATCTGGCCATCCAAAGGGATTCGAAGTACAGCGTGTTTGCCAATTTTGTGTCAAATACACCAGCTTTGGTATTTAAGATGTATTGTTAAGTACGTGGACTATTGTAGAACATTGTGCTTAAAATGCCATCCAATTAGAACTCCCATATTTGGGATTTATTTTCTGGGAATCAAGTCTACAGAGTGTCAAGTCAAACCGAATTTCGAAAACTACTGTATCGAGATTATAGTCTCTCCATTTTTGCCGGAGACGAAGATTGATCCCCATGCTCAACGTGTGACGCCAGAAGGATTAACTAACTATCATCCCAACATAGGAGTTATAACCTAGGGCACACTCTTAGCGACAAAAGACGGCGAAAACTGCGTCAGACGACTACCTAATAAATGAAACCAACTATGACCGCTTCCCAGCTCTCCCCAAACCCCGCATTTTAATTCATCGAGTGCCTGGACCACATCCCGCAGGGCTCTCGGGCAAGATTTCCCTAATTCCACGAGGGAAATATTCCCCGTCCCTGACTGACTTCTGCGATGGCCCACACCCACGCTGGTCCGGGCACCCGATCGCAGATCAGATCAGCCATTGGACGCTGCTATTCTCCAGCCAGACCGTGGAAACCAGCCCCTCGACCCTTGATCCTGAGTTAGGAAGGGTAATTCTCGTCGCCCCTTGTGTCTTGGGGAGCTCCCTGCTTGGACGCGGGGCAAATTGCTCCCCTCCACATTGAGACATGGGGAAAGAGGCACGACGTGATGCCTCCACGATCCATTATCGAAATGATATTTATACCATGACCCGGGCGACCTTTTCGCTTTCATTCTATTCATCACCTATTCTACTCTCACTGAGTCCAACCTCCAACCTAAGCGACTGAGTTCGCAGGAGTGACTTTGTCAACTACATATTGGACGAGCTTTATCTCTTTGCTCTTCCTCTACTTGTCATTTTTTTAGCGACACAACTATACATCCAGAAAAAATGCTGTCCCTTCTTGCCCTCGCCCCGTATACGGTCGGGTTGGTCTTTATTTCCTTCGTCTACTTCCTCGCATATCCCTACTATGAATACCTTCGTGATCCTAAAGGTATGTTATGCCCATAGTATACGGCATAAAGTGTACCATAATGAATACAAGGAGCACTATAACTGACCTCCCGCACAGGGCTTCGAAAATACCCAAACCTCTCTCCCTTCTCGGGCATTTCGGCCCTCCCCTTCATGTTCATGGCCTCGCGGGGTTTCCGGTCCATGGAACTCACCCAGTTGCACAAGGAACACCCAGTCATTCGCACGGGACCCAACATGTTGTCTTACGGAGATGTACGAGCCATCAAGGATATCTACGGACACAACACTAAGTGTACCAAGGATGCATCCTACGCAGTCACTGCAGGCACTCACTTCAACCTGGCGGATGTCGTCGATAAGCCCGACCATGCTATAAAGCGCAAGGTCCTGTCTTCAGCTTATGCATTGAAGAATCTCGAGAGTTGGGAATACAAGGTCACCGATAAGGTCCAGCGCATGTTCAAGCATTTTGATGAAGTTTGCACTCTTACACCCAAGGAGGACGTTGCCTCTGGCAAGGTGGCTCCCGATCCCCAGGACTTAACTCTGGATCTGCGAGCCTGGACCAACTTCTTCACTCTCGATGCAATTGCCGATATTGGTCTTTCCGAGAAGCTTGGCTTCCTTGATAATGGAAATGATATGGTCATGGCCGAGCGGAGGGATGGTACCACATACATGACCAGTCTGCGCGAAGCTCTCTACCCCACGGCCCGCAAGCAATCCCTTATCCTATGGAACTATGAATGGTACCCCATTCTCGACAAGCTGGTTAATTTCATCCCCTTCTTCGGTCGCATGGCCACATCGGCATCTAACTGGGACAACATCATGTGGCGCCGAGGAAGCGAGAGACTGCAACGGTACGAAGCGGGCGAGAAATTAGATGACTTCTTCCAGGCTCTCATGGAGGATAAGAATGGTAACCCGAACAACCTAGAATGGGGCGAGGTTATTGCCGAGTGCAACATCATGATGAACGCTGGAAGTGTGACGACAGCCATCGCCATCACGAATGTCATGTACCAACTTCTCCGCAACCCGCGCTGCCTGGTCAAACTGCGCGAGGAAGTCGACGCCGTCCTTGACGATGATGATGCTGTCGCCGACTACGACAAGGTTAAGCATCTCCCCTATCTCCGCGCTTGCCTGGATGAGTCCCTACGTATCTTCCCTCCTACTTCTCACGGCCTCCCTCGTGAAACGCCTGCCGAAGGCACAAATATTCTGGGAGAGTGGGTTGCCGGTAATACCTCCGTCAGCATGTCAGCACTAGTTGCCCATCGTGACGAAGGTGTCTTCCCAAATGCCGATCAGTATATCCCCGAACGTTGGCTCGGTGAAGAAGGCAAAGCGCTGCAGCCTTATCTGATCGCCTTTTCAGCGGGTGCTCGATCCTGCATCGGTCGCAACATTTCCTACCTGGAGCAGACGAAAGCGATTGCATCCATGGTCCACCGGTATGACTTTGCGATGGCTCATCCGGGTTGGGAGTTGAAGCGATTGGAAACTATGAATTTGATTTTGGGGGAGATGCCGGTGAAAATTTGGCGGCGGAGTTTGGGAGTGAACGACTCATAGAAGATTTGATGCTGGAAGCGTTTGTCTTTTTTTTCCTTTTCTAAACTTCTTCTTTGTCTTTTTCTCTTGACTATTGATGAACCCCTTTCATGAGATACACAGGAGATTCCAATAGAGTGGTCCTTTTGTGGATATAATGGTATTTTTCTCTATAAGTATCTTCAAACCGGTGGGATTGATGTATGATGCTTCTAACATTCTCAAAATACTATGAATGAACACTCGGTTCAAACCTCCCTACATGACTATACAACTTGTTTTTCAGCCCTTGTGGTTAAAAGTAGTCGCAGCTACTTGGAACTAAATCTGGGGTGTTTCCCTGTCTGTACCCAAGCTTTTCGAGCCCGTCGGGGTAATTGCCCCGCCCCGGGTCCTCCCCACTCGAAGTTACTAGGGCTCACGATGAATTTGGGTTATGTAAACTCTGTAAATGGTGATTTGATGACTCTCGACCACCAAATGTTGATCTAGAATCGCATTTAAACTTCGAATCTTATTTCGCCGGCTGCATGAATGATCCGGTAACAGTAGGCACACGGCTCCCACCTTGCGCCTCCAAGTCTGTATCGCGTCTGACCATACGTATAGGTTCCGATAATCTGGTGATAGATTCCGATAAACCAGTGGGCACATAGCGAGTTGCATCTCGTTTCTTTGTCGTGGGACTTTTTACCTTGCCTAGTATATGTCCCATAATCGATGTCGTCCAAATCCAGACCGCGTCGATGTACTCGATTCTAAAAGCGATCCAGATGAGGAGTGCCGATATGAGGCTGGAAATGGGGACTACAAAGGACTGTAGGTAAGCTACTGGGCTTTCTACGAAAGAGAAGTATTTAGAAGGATAATGGCCATGCACTTACAGACGATATATGAGACGTAACCTAGGTCAAGCTTTCCCTCAGCATTAGTGCGGAATTGGCTGATGTCGAGAGTGAAGAACGAAGTCATAAACGACAATGGGAGCTGCAACGAGTCAATCTCAGCCATAGATGAGGGAGAAGCTACACTTACGAAGACGATAGTAGTGAGGGTGAAAATAAGGACAGTGCGTCCTTGATTTGTTGTTTCTCTGGTCATCTTGAGCGACTCCTGCGCGTCCATCACACTGTTCTGCTTCAATTTAAGGTCTACCAGGAGATTAATCTGGGGGTGTGGTCAGCGAGAGCCTCAGAGGATATACCACGAATGGGATAGACTATGTACCGACTGGCTGGCCCTCTCGGCACGCTCAAACATTGCATTGATATCGTCGATGCTGGCTTTGACCATGGCCAACGGTAGACTGAAGTCATCTGAGTCGTTTCGGGCTCCCCAAACCACTGTTGCGCGTTGACCTGCGTACACATCTTCTGCTTTCGCGGTTTCGTCTGGGTCCGAAGTTGCGTCGCTGATATTGCTCGACTGGCTGTCCGAGTCTGCAGTTTCAAAGGCTGAAATAAACTTGACGACTCCGTCCATGGCCTTGAGCATGTTGCGCTGCTCATTAAACAGAATGGCCATAATATTCAGCTCATCGAGGATCGATTTGATCCTGGAGATTAGGACGATCTCGCGCTGTATATTTTCCAAGTTTTCCTTCTCGAGTTTGGTGAACTTGCCAAATACGACACCCTCCTCTTGAATCTTTTACAGGAATGTAGTTAGCTTTGAAACCTACCAGAACGGAGTGGGTAGAGACATACTATGTCGCTAATTTCCGTCTCGTAGAGTTCAGAAAACTGGAGCGTCGATTTGATTTCTCCGAAACTCAGGGTACTTGCCCGGTCGAGGTAGATCCTGGAGCAAGTAGCGGCTATAAGCCCTGCCAGATCGTAAGCGTTTTGAACAGACGCGGGCTCATCGATGAGTCGCAGCTTCACACAGCGCAAAACATTTGTCAATCCTTGTTTGTCTGGATCTGCTGCTTCAAGAACCGGAAAACAGCTGACGACGGTGTCGGGCTTGCCTTGTTCTCCCTTCAGCACCCAGAGCCACAGCTGATCGACCATAGTAAGGATGTTTGGTTTCAGCCCATTTTCCTTTTGATAGCGACCGAGAACCTGATCTTGGTCTCTCCTTGAAGTATCTGTAACAGTATGATAGTAGTACTGATCGAGAGTACGCCGGATATGCAAAGGATGCTCATCAGTGAGATACGCTTTCAGCAGCTTTTGGTCCCGGGTAAGCGTTTCATTCATGTTGGGCTTTTGAGGGAAGGTGTTGGCAAATTCTTCGCGGTTGGAGTGCATTTCTTCTAAATCCCAATGAAGGAAGGGCATCTGTCCTGTATGTAAGTATCTGTCTTGGTCGTTCTCGGAAGGAGTCATACAAACAACACTAGGTCCGTGTGATAGTCCGTCCCTTCCCCATCCGGGGCCCCTGTCGACTATGTTAGACACGGAGGCAATATGCATGGTAAATAAGATCGCTTACAGAGTGCGGCACTTGGAAACGCCTGACACTGCGGCCGCATAAAACGAGCATGGTGAACTCCAGTGGCACCATGATGTTGTCGATTAACCCAGCGCTCGGGTTTGAGCACTCTATAAGCAGAAGCTGGGTTATTGTATAGTCGGGCCATCAAAAGCTGTCGCTAGTTAGCTTAATACGTAGAGGCAGAGGCAGGGAATTGCCCTTTCTTACCTCAATCCATCGCATCTGAAAATAGTTAGCTCGTGATCTACAATATGGGGTAGTTGACTTACATTATTTACCGGAAGATGCAACCATCGAAAGGAGGTGGAGGAATTTGCTGGAGCAGTAGAAACCCAAGGGGATTTCAGTAGTTCATCCACAGCAATTTCTACAGCGCAAGGCGTCAGGATACCAGAAACGGATACAAAGTCGATGACGGTAGCTTTGAATTCATGGTCAATGTTGGAGTGAAGGTGATTATCCTCCGTTTCCGCAAGTCTCTCGATGTTATCTACGGCGGCAACCATGTGGAAGAGGATTGGATGGTGGTTAGCCAGGTCCACTGCTGCCTCTCCATTGGCGTTCCGCAATTGAACGCTGGCCCCGGCGTTAAGAAGCACTTGGACAGCGGCCTCGTGCCCAGATCGAATGGCTAGTCCAAGGGGAGTGTCTCGAGCTTTGGTAGTTTGGTGGTTGTGTGCCGCTCCAGCCTTAAGCAGAGTCTCCACGACCTCTGCACGCCCTTGCTCTGCAGCGACACAGAGAGGTGTGCGATCGTCGCAGTCCGGATTGATGGAGTCTATTTGGACTTTCTTCTCAATGAGCAGCTTTGTAAAGATACACCACCCCCTTTGGGCAGCTTTGTGCAGATAAAAGTCTGTCAATGGCAACCCGGCGGGCTGTTTGTATATCTCAGGTAGTAGAACTTCTTCGTCCATCAAGATCCGCAAGGTACTCTCCTGCTCATGTTTAGCTGCCCAGAAGAGGGGACTGCTGTCAAAATCGAAATCGGCTTTTTCGCTCATGGTAGCGGAGACTATCGGATCATTCCTTTTCGTGTGACTTATCAAGGTCATCACAGCATCGACGTGCCCGTTTCCAGCTGCCCATGAAAGTGGTATTCGCCCCTGGCAATCTGGCCGGTTACTGTTGACCGTTGCTTGAGCTAATAGCAGGTTGATAGTATTCACATGACCATTCTCTGCAGCCCAAGATAATGGCGTCCTGCCGTCGATATCCACCTCGTCGACTTGTATGCCCGGTTTATCAAAAAGCAGCTGGGTAACCACCGCTTGTCCACTACCCGCGGCCCAAGAAAGAGCCGATCTTCCATTATGATCGAGTTGTGTGATCCCCTTTTCTTCAACTAGCACTTTTACGCAGTCCTCCCATCCGTTTGCCGCTGCCCATGACAGAGGTGTCCAGGCGCTGCTCTCTGATATTTTGGGCAGGATATTTTGCGATACCTGCCCCTCCCCTCCGTAACCGCCGTGATGTATATAAGCCATGTCAAAAACCACAGGGAATGGAGCTTCCTGTTCGGTTCGTTGGCGCCGTAGCAGAATAGCCACACCATATCTTTCTGAGTCCTTCACTTCTAAAACCGTCTGCTGGGCTCCGGTCATATCGAAGCCAGAACCATCTAGGACGTCGCCTTCCACAAGTCCTACGGAAGACCGACGGAAAAAGCCAACTTTCCACTCAGCATTGGCAGCATCGCTGCCAGGAGTCGGACTCAAATCACACGAAATGGTCACTTGTGCAGTCTGGATGTTGTTATCAAACTGAAGTTCGAAGAGCGCAAGATCTAGCGAGTGCGTGTCGTTTACCATCTCCGGGCTATCAGGGAAGCTGAAAAAACCGTCAGGTACAACCTTGGGTGGAGGTACCCAGCGTGGGTCGTCAGCATCCATTCTGGCATGCACAGGCTGGTGCGCCGCTGCGTCGTTCGCTGCATTCGCTGTTTTTGCGTCCTCGTCTTCCGATTCCGTTGGCTCTGGCAGAGGCCACATGTGCATCGACACCGACATGCCCGGCACCACCACATGTTCCCAAACGGATGGAAGGATGACCTCGCCATCCGAGCCGATCAGATCGTAGTGTCCTTTGTAGACGTGCGGTCCGATAACGCTGATGTGGATGAACGCCTCTCGAACCAGAGTCTCAAACCCCTAGGACAGATTGTCAGCAACGTATCGCAAGGACAATGAACGATGAAAATTGTATGAAAGAACTTGCTTAGTGCGTACTTACGGGCCAGGTAGCAACCATCTCATATGGAAAGACGAACTTTCTCCCAAGGGCATCGCAAAATTGGATAGGCGCCTGCTTTGGTTTCTCTAGCTTGCGCTGTGGGCGTTTCTGTGGCATGACTCTACCAATGCCCTTTTGCGGTAACGGTGCGATGACCATTTTGAGAAAAAGTGGATGGCACTCGAGGAATTGAAATGTTGGAAGTGTGATGGGACTGAGCAAGCCGAAAGATTGTCGTAAGCGCCCTGGGCAGGTAGATAGCCCCGCACTATGAGCAGGGAGTCAGGCCAGCGAGTAACAAAAGAACCTCTTGCTCCATATATGGTAAATCTTCGCATCAAGACCTCATCACTATAGCATTGTCTCTACGGTGGTTTGGTCAAATGGAACTAGAATGCTCAGATCTAGTGAAGTAGTCATTCGCCCATTTGGTGCATCTATAAGGAGTAGTTTTCCCCGCGGCTGGCAAGGGACATCATCATACTCGATATTTGAACGCGGTCTATGATCATATTGGAAAGTATCTAAATTAAACAGCATGCATGGTGGATATCATGTTTGGAAACTGAAATACTTAATTCTATCTACTAATTCATGGATATAGTACTTAACCAGTGGGTAAGTCCCGCCACCGCGTTGCCCTGGAAACAATCGCCAATCCCGATGACACCAAAGCTGTGCGACTGACATCAGACAGAGAGGATTCACAATCAAGTGAACCTGACAAGTGATATCTGATTCTCTCAAATTTGGAGATTGCAATCTGATCCGGTCGCGTCTTTTTCTGCCAGGGCAGCGCGGGCCACTACGTTCTTCTCGAGATGTTGGCCCAAAGACCCTCATTCCGGTTCCTGGCCACGGGCGCCATCGTCTCGATCGTCGCTTTTGCATTCCTCATTTTCGGCACACGTTCCTCACGCGATGCGGCATCAAGATACATCCTGAAGACAGCTCGTCTCGAATCATCCTCACAAACACACTGTGCGCAGGAGACATATCCCACTCCGCCGAACAGCAGCTGGGAGTTTGTTGTTGAGCGCGATGCCTTGAACCATGGCCTATCGGATGAGCAGTGCCAGCTTGCTTTTCCAAAGCTCTTCGTGGAGACCGATAAGTCTGCATTATTGAGACAAGAAGCAATGATCACATACAAGGATCTGGACTCGAGAGAGGTGGAGGATGGTATGGTTCGGGCGATCATTGATCGAGGTCAGGTAAGTCACAGCTAGCTGGCGTGCCTCAACCTACTCAACTGGAAGCATTTTGTCCAACATCTCTTTCAAAACATAGCTTTACATTGTCGAATATGCCCCAATGCCCGTCACAGCCTCGCGCGCCCGTGCTACACTCAACTCCCTCCATCGTGCTTTGATGGCCACCCCCGACCGACATCTTCTGCCGAGCATCGAATTCATTTTTACCACGGAGGATTTTGCCAATGATCCCACGGGGAGAGGACCAGTCTGGGCTTATTCCAAACGCGATGCAGACGACTCGGTCTGGTTGATGCCGGACTTTGGATACTGGGCGTGGCCAGAGGTCCAAATTGGACCGTACCATGAAGTGCGGCGCCGCATCGCCGCGATCGACGACGGTGAAACAGCTCCCGATGGATCATATGTCCCAGGGCTGCGTTTCCAGGATAAGAAGAAGCAGCTCGTCTGGCGCGGTAGTCTCGCCACCAACCCGGCTGTTCGCAGCAAACTGCTCAAGTCCGCCCAAAGCCGGAGCTGGGCAAGCGTGCGAGTGATCGACTGGGCTGACGAGAATGATATCCGCTTCAACCTCCTCCCTATCGAAGACCACTGTCGGTACATGTTCGTCGCTCATACCGAGGGGCGCAGTTTCTCCGGTCGCGGCAAGTATCTACTCAACTGTCGCTCCGTGATGATTTCGCACCCGCTCATCTGGCGTGAAGCGCACCATGCAGCCTTGGTATCGTCCGGTCCGGACGCGAACTATGTCGAAGTGGAACAAGACTTTGCAGATTTACCTCGGAAAGTGGACTTTTTGATCGATAATCCACAGGTTGCAGAGCGCATTGCTGAGAATGCTGTGCGAACCTTCCGAGATCGGTATCTGACACCTGCTGCGGAGTCCTGTTATTGGAGGCATCTTGTTAAGCAGTACGCTTCGGTGTTGGACTTTGAGCCTGTGCTCTTCGCGACCAGTCGCGATGGGAAGTTGACACCGCGAGGGACGCCGTTTGAGACGTGGTTGTTGATGAATTGATGACTTTTGGATATCCCCTGAGGGCTGTTTAGCTATGATGTTTTATTAGCGAATTTTGGCGTTGGGTCATATGTGTATATTTTATCACTGTCTATGACACTTTTTTGTGCTCTTATCCTGGATTCTCTGTCTATTCATTGCCTATCTCCTTGTGGAGAGCTCTAGCGTAGATGCAGAGTCACGTTGTGTATAACTGTGTAGTACAACTTTGTCTTGGATAAATCGAGATTCTCCAAACTCCAATTACTGTACATACAGTAGGACCTAGATCCTCCACTAGAGCCTCAATTGCATCTCAAATGCAATCCTGATTCTTGCCATTGGGCCTAACTCTTCCCCTGTCGATGAATCACACCAGCGCGACTTCCAATTGGCGGAGACTCGGCGGCCCCACCGGCGATAAAAAAAAGCGACGAGCCCATCGCGAGGATTCCCCCCAAAGGAGTTCCGAACCATCGGGGCCCAGCCTGCTAGACTCCAGGATGCACCATGAGCAAGCGCTCTTTCGATGAGTCCAGGGGCAGCCAGCCATCCGAGGCCGATCACAATGGCCTGCTGCCCATTCATGAACTGCTCTCGCCCGACGAGCAGGATCATGACCCGACTCCACCCGCGGGTCAGACCAAGAAGCCCCGGAACTTCATTGCCACGGTGGTATGTCATTGCGGAGTTCCGCGGGGTGAAAAAGAGTGTAGATGTTGTCCCTGGAGTAATGCGCTAATGTATGGGCTAGGCTTGTGAGACGTGTCGCTTGAAGAAAACACGATGCGACGAGTCCCGACCGAAGTGTGGGCTATGCAAGTCCCTAGGTCTGGATTGTGTGTATAATGAACGAAAATCTTCAAAGTCAGTCTTGCCTTACTGTCAATTGGGGTGTCATGTTGAGATTTAACGTTGCTAATCATTGGCGCAGACGGGATCAATCCCTCACAATGATCATGAGTACTCTTCATCGACTGGAGACGAAGCTGGAGAACATTCCATCATCTATCCTCAGCGACCTCCAATCGCTAGAAGGCCAATTACGCCACGTAGGTGGCCGCTCGCAAGAGGTGAATCCATCTCCCGGTCGTCGCGATGAAGGACGGCATACATCTATTATGCCGTCCACTGCGACCCCTGGCTTCACCCCAGCCGCCCGAGATGGAGATGACTTTGACTGGGAACAGAACGAGTCCACTCCGGATGCCTCTGGTCGTATCTCCATCTCATTCAGTCAACACGGAGTCATTCTTTGGCCGGGTGCACGCACTATTCTTCCAGAGCAGCTTCTCTCGGCATACGAGCTACTGGGCAAGAACTACGTGATCGAGCTGGAATCGACGCGTCCCCCCCTGCCCATGTTCACCAGTCCATTCCCGTTGCACTCGGGGGAACACTGGCTGGAAGTTTTGCCATTGGCCATGATAAAAGGTTTGGCCGATGCGTTCTTTGCCGTGTTCAATCCATTCACTCCGATCATGGATAAATCCTTCTTTTTCTCTTTTACCCTCGGCGCTGCTATCGAGAGTGGCTTTGGTTATACCATGGAGAGCTGTCTGGTTCTGAATGTTTTGGCGCTTGGTTGCCTGGGCGTGCTAGCCTATCAAGAAGGAAACTATCCACTTCCGGGAACGCAGAGTCATCGCTTTGAGCCACCAGAGTGGATGAACGTGGTTTATGAAGAACAGCCTGGCTTACGGTTCTTCAATGAAGCTCGTCGTCGGATTGGCTTTTTGATGTGCAACAATGATATCCAGAGTTGCCAGTTCTTCCTGCTTTCTTCGTACGTTCATCTCCACAACCATGACTTTGGATCATGTCATGCTTACTACAACCAGTGTCTACTACAGCCAGATTCCCCGTCCAATGGATGCCTGGGCGATGATCCACCGTGCAGCGACATGTTGCCTCTCTATGTTGACCAAGTGAGTATTACAGTATCATCAACAGTGGAGCCTTCACTTTCTGACTCTCGTCTAGCCACGACGTAAGCTTTGATGAATGGGAGGGAGATATGAAATCTCGCGTGTATTGGAACTGCCTCATGAACGAGACAATCCTAGTCCAAGAACTACATCTTCCCCCGAGTGGACTCTCTCGTCTCGAGGAGCAAGTCCCTATTCCCAAATTCATCGCCTTCGAATCGACTGGCTACTCGTCCACTCGGTATCCCTCGTCTACGGTCGTCGACGATTCATATTTCCAGTATCACTTCCTCGCACAGGTGGCACATCGCATCATCTTGACTCGTATCAGGCATTCCCTTTATTTCTATTGTATGTTTCCCTTCTCCTCCTAATACCATGTACCTAGCTAACATATGCCAATCCAGCCGACTCGGGAACAATCCCTCTCCCAGCAGTCAACACTGAACTCCATCACCAGCTTGAGCAATGGCGCAACAATCTCCCATCTGCCATTCAATTCACCGACGCGCAACTCCAGCCATGCTACTCGACCCCAGCTGGCGACTTGTCATCTGTCCACCACTCACCTGCCTCCGCGGCATCTCCAAACCTTGTCACCCCACGCCCTGCAGATCCCAACCGTCCACTATCACCGGCGGTAGCAGTCACCGACGCCATGCTACGCGGCCGATACATGATCGCAAAGTTCCACATTGGCCGACCCTATCTTTACAAAGCACTTCGCATCCCGAACTTGTTAACGGATGACGATCTCGAGCAAATCAAAAGTGGATTGCACAATGCGATGGACTGGCCCGTGACGCAGGGCATCTTCCGAAAGATGAAGAGTTGCATTCCTATCAAGTTTGCATTTTGTTCACAGTAAGTGGTTATCTCATGCAATTCATCATTTTGAAGTCGAGTGTATAACTAATCGTGTTCCGTCACAGGTTCTTTGGACAAATTCTCCTCTTCTACTGTATTGCGCATTCGCCCAGTGCTCGGGTCCGTGAAACGTTACCTAGCGGCTGGGAACGTTGGAATGAGGAAATGATGCGATTCTTGGAAGACTCCGCCCGGACGAGTCCCGCCGTGGCGCAGGATCTGGAGCTTTTGCGCTCTTTATGGCCTGGACATGAGTGACGTGCTTGGGCGTAGTCTTTACATACCGCTACCTAGATTTCATCTACTGGTTGAGACGAGAAGCAGAGGATCTTCACGTGCTATAATGGTTTTGATGTTGAATGTGTTCGTTTCGGGTGGTTCTTTTCTATGTGTACGGTGTTGGTGGTGTCCGGGTTTCCTTCATTTTATAGACTTTATTGATAATGTTATATTGCCCTTTCGATTGGAAGAAATTTAGCTGTGCAGCCCATCTTCATCGTCAACTCCTAGATCTCAAGCGAAATTGCCCAGGATTATTACTTGGGCTGTAGGCGGGAGACTTCAAAACCTCAAATCCGTTGGATCAGCGTCGATATGCTTCCCCCGCCAAGCCCTCGTTAAGGACTGCTTTCTGTACACTGGTTGAATTGAGGCAGAAGGCAGAACTCAAGGCACTGGCTTTCGGCTTTTGAGGTAACTGGCGATATTAGGTCGCTGTTCGAAGGTCTCCTTGAACTTGACGAGCGGCTCCGGGAGGATGGACTAGAAAGTATAAGTAAATCACTTTGGGAACAAAGAATGAAGGCTAATTCGTTGGCGTACCGGAAGGGTGCCTGTTCTCTGATCGTTGTCGATAGATTGATAGACCGCAAAGTCGGCATAGGTGACCTTGTCACCCAGGAGATACGGGCCGTCATGGTCGCTGTAGTACTGGCTCAGAAGGTTGTAGTACTTGGGGACAAAATCATCCTTGTAAGCATCCTCCTTCGTTTTCAAGTTGGCGACCCAACGAGACTGCAGGCAAATTAGAAAAGTAAGCTTACGCCCGAGATGATGGTCACTCACTCTCCAGTCGATGTAGATATCGGCTACCGCGTCAACAGCGTATTTCTCGGCGTTGGTTTCCCCGTCATATCGACCAAGGTCTCGAGCGAGGTAACGCAGGATCGGGATGTGCTAGCGTTAAATTCAGCCTTCCATAGATACAAACCGGTGACTCAATTAGTGTTACGCACCTGGGTTAAGATTATGCCTTGGTACTCGAGTGCGGGCAGTTGGCCCGTCCTGGTTGTCCCCTGGTGCTGGAGAATTTGGCTATTTTGGGGCCAAGTATGATCATACGGATAAAGAACCTCTTTGAATTCGATGCCGGTGTCTTTCAGGAAAAGGCTTTGAAAATAGGTAAGCAAATAGCTCTGATGAGTTGTGTAATTACTGTGAAATTATTAGAGGAGGCCGAGACGTGAGAACTCACTTGACAACTTCACCACGGCCCAGAGGGGCAATATCAAGGTAATGATAGACCGCACGCGAAGTCATGATGATCGATTGCTTGCAGTGTTTATCGAGTTTTTCGTAAGCCGAAAGTTGCGGTGATCGAACAAAATAAGTAAGCCCACTAGCTGCACATGTAGAATATGAGTTTAGGGTGAAGTGAGATTGACAATTCTCCGTGGAAAAGGTCAGCTTTATAGTAAGCGAGCGCATACACTTCGTAAGTAATCAGCTACTTCTTTGAGCGACGCGGGGAAATAATTACCAATCGGCATGATGTCACTCCGGTTGTAACTATTCGCGCATTATTAGTGCGTACACGCTTGACCATCGAGAGGCCGACTGACGACTCGGGTTGCCTAAATGTCCGGGGTGTTACTCTGGTGGTTATCGCAAAAACGAGGGTCTAGAATAAGGCTTAAACCCCGTAGGAACCTAATTTGTTTCAAAACAGCCAGGCAACCTAAGCTAGACTCACTATGGAAAGGTCGGATTTCTCTAGGAACGTATTTCGGGGTTTGAAGCTCTACCCGGGGTCGCATGGGCCGTGCACAATACTAGGAAGTCATGACGACTAATGGAAATGATTCCAAAAAGCAAACCCCGAAAGCCAAACAATATTCTTGTCATCTAGAATATGACCGCCAAGAGGCTGTGTTTGTCAGCCACCATGAGCCCTGGCTGGCCTAAATTCCACGGGACGATGATTCCAAAGACTTTAAGTTTCGGCCAGATAGCCGTATCTCCCGAGCGTCGTGATGGCACAACCCGAACGATGCGTCGCCACTGGGTACTTGCCCTTTGTCAAAGCCACAATGAAACAATCGTCATCGAGAAAGAAATATACAAATCGGCCTAGATAGCCATTTATAACACACTGCTACCCTGAACTTCCCCCATCCTCAATTCTCACAAGAGCAGAACGACAGATTCAATGGCCATAACAGCACTACACGGCTGGCATCCTGGAGAGCTAGCGATCCAGCGCAAGCTCGGATTTGCCGATGCAGTCAGGGATCACTGGTCTATCGTTGGAAACTTCATGCCTGCGCAACACCGGATATTCCATACGTCAAATCTTCCGTTTATTCCCGTTACTATCCAGGACGATCATGGCCGTCCTTGGGCATCCATCGTGTCTGGGTTGACTGGGTCGGTAGGCTTTGTCAAAAGCCCAGATGCGCGAACCCTTTCCGTCCTCGCGCGACTGTGGGAGGGTGACCCACTTTTGGATGCTATTAGGACATGGAAAAGCCTCAAAGGCCGCGATCATATCACCTCTGAGAAATTTCTCACTGCTGGTCTGGGTATTGAGTTTTCGACCCGGCGACGCAACAAGTTTGCGGGGCATATACGAGGTGTTCAGCAGGTGTCAGAATTTGATTACGAAATTGACCTAGCAGTTACGGAGACTATTGGGTACGTTCCGAACATGGAGATCGAGCTTTTGGAATATGATCTTAGCTAACCCAATGACAGGAATTGTCCAAAGTATATCAATATTCGCAAACTTGACCCCTATCCGCACACACGACCTGTTGTTGCGTACCGAAATCAACAACTCTCCCCACACGAAAAACTTCCAGATGAGGTAGTAGACTTCATCCTCCAGGCCGACACGGCTTTCATAGCATCTTTCTACAAGTCAGAGAAAAGAACTGCCGATATGTATCCGTCCCACGCTGGAATGAACGCCCGCAGCGGCTTACCAGGTTTCATGCGCGTCCGTCCATCCGATGGCCGCACAGTGGTTATTCCAGACTATTCCGGAAACCGTTTAGTTACCAGCCTGGGGAATATTGAATCCAGCGGACTGGCAGGATTGACCATCGTTTCCTTCACAACGGGCGACATTCTTTATTTGACAGGGACTGCCGAGAACCATGTCGGCCCAGCCGCGCTCAAAATCATGGCCAGACATGCGAGCCTAACAACCGTGAAAGTAACGGGTTATACCTTGGTCAAAAATGCTCTACCTGTACGACAGCAGCCTAGGACATCGGTCGAACGCAGCCCATACAGCCCCAAAATCAAATATTTGGTGGAAGAAACGGAATCGGAAACGAGTGATTACGAGGGCCATCAAGCATATCTTCAAGAGGCTGTGCAACTATCCTTTGACTTGGCCGTGTTCAAGTTCAAGGTTGCTACGAAGCCCGGCGCATCGGGGATCAACATACGTCCTGGTCAGGCCATCGTGCTTGATTTCATGGACTGGATGGGACCTCCTCGGTATCAACACATGGCAAACTCGGCTCCTGAATCGATCAATGACGATAGAGTTCGTACATGGACGGTGTCGAGTGCACATGAAGGGCAGAATATGACATCGTTCGAACTCACGATGCGCAAAATGCCCGGCGGTGCAGTGACGGGCGCATTATTTGATGCTTTGAAAAATCATCCATTGACTCGATGGGGACAGCCGATCAAATTCGATAACTCGGTGCGTGCCGGGATAGTGGGCATCACAGGCGACTTTTCTTTGAGTCCTGAAAAAGTCAATGAATTATGGGTAGCTGGAGGAATCGGAATAACCCCATTCATCGCAATGCTTCAAGCGCTAGGAGAGCGTGGTCCTGCAGCCCAAGGCAATATATCCCTTGTTCTGGCGACAAGGGAGCCAGAGATTATGCTGCAGTTAATCCAGCCATCACTTGCAAAGATGCCTCCCACAGTCAAAGTGGAACTGGAAATCTTCACAAACGATTTTGATTTCGATACGCGAGTTATCAACAGCCCAAATGTGAAAGTTACTCTTCACCAAGGGCGCGTGAAGCCAGCATTCTGGGCAACCGTTCCCAAAGATAACAAGTTCTTCATTTGTGGACCTAATAGTTTTGGAGACTCGGTAGTGAATGGTTTACAAGCTGCTGGTGTACAACCGAGTCAAATTCACCGAGAAGGATTTTACTGATGAGGAAGATCGTGTTAATGGGAAATAATACATACTGGCTTTAGTTCTGCATTCCATTATCTGTACCAAGCTAAGATGTACTTAAGAATATAATTTTTTTTTCATCCATGGAAAGGGTAGTACTCAATTTAATCCCAGAATTTTGAAGATGGAGCTGAGGAAACAAGCTGCACGTGCAAAATATCTGGCCAGCCAGTGTGATATTTGCAGGATGGGAACAGCGTTGGCCAGGTTCGGTGTTTCCAATTTCAGAAGTAGTCAAAATAATCCAGATCATTCCTCCACAACCCTCATTAACCTTTGTTGGAACGCCGACTTCCACATTTCTTTCACGGCTCCATCAGATGGTCTGCAGACGAAGAAGTATTCCTGAAGAACAACAACCGCACAGTCCCATTTCTCAAGTGAAAGTTCTGTGGCGACTTCACGGAGGCTTTGCAAAACCCAAGTATGGCAGTTTCGTCCTCTTGAGGCCAGACTGCCGATGAATAAGATCCAGAGGAGTAGATCTGGGGCTGTTGTTTCGAGAGAGGCGAAGCTTTTTTGGAGACTTTTTCGAAGGGTAGCGACGAAAATATCTGCACAGGGCATCCCTCCGAAGCCACGGATTCGAATCACAGTATATATCAAGACTGCCAGTCGGAGGGTATCTTGGAAGGCAGGCAAGGAGCGGTCGTGTGCCAGCGATAGTAATTCGTGATTTAAGAGAAGGAGTCCATCATTGTCCATGCGTGTCTGTTTCCATGATGAGGAATTCACATTCTCATATAACGACACGAGCGTTTGCAATGAGCGCAGAGTCGAGACGAGTTCTGAATGGAGATCCGAGGACCAAGGAGAATTGAAGAAACGGCGTCCAACAAACGTCTTGATATCGAAGTCTTCCCGAAGGAAAGAACACTCCCTGTGTACTTTGAACTCCCATTTCCAAGATTTATTTAGTTGAACGGGATGTTCATTAATGAGTCCTCTCATGAGGTCGCAACTGATGAGTGGATTAGATGGCGCCAATTTAAGGAGAGAGTCAATGAACACGGCTGGCATAACTCACACGTATAGTATAGAAAGTGCATCATATCCCAAATTGTTTAGTCCACCCCGAGCATCAATGATTTTCTTGATAGCCTTTTCATGAGCGCGGACTGCTAGTACATTTGCCTCGGCTGCCTAGTGATGTCCTAAAGTCAGTATGAACCACATAATACCAAAGGATGGATCAACAGGACTGCGTTACCTCAACACACATAATATGGGCAATAACTCTGAGTGTGGCCTCGGAATAAAATTCGTAAGGCTTGATCAGGATCCCCTGAAGCGACTTGATTGTTTCCGATCGCAAACGAATGGCATCTTGCGTCGAGCTCTGGATTATCTGAGGCGGTGCACCGCTGACGTAGTGTACAGTGGCCCGGTGAAAGGCACTTGTGGAAAGGAGAATCTGCACTAGGGCTGGATAATTGAGTGCCATCTGTAAATATCGAAACGTAATCTGGTTATCTCCCAACGGGAAGCATAATTTTGTGGCGTGAACTTGGTCTATAGCGGATATTGTTCAGATTCTAGGTCCAATGTCATATAGCAGGCGACATGTAAAGTACCCTTGACTATCGCTTCGAAGATGCCATGTTACTTACAGTGTTGAAGATATAGCGTCATACTCTGATTAGTTGGGCGAGAGAGGTATGGAAAGGCCATCGAAATGCATGCCTCGAGAGATTGGCACAGAACGGGAGGCTGAGTGATCAAGAAACGATCATTTTGAGATTTTTGACTACTTGAGTCATCGGAAGTGTGATCCCGGCTTGCTGCCTCAGATGGTATGGAATCGCTCTCAGCTGGTCGTTGCTGCATCGATGTTTTCAAGCTTCGCATCTGGGATTCTTTCTTCAACCTATGATGCCTCGCCCGGATGAAGGCTTGTTTCTCCCGGGAGGCATCGCGATCTCGGGGATCCTCCTCCTGGGCGTTAATCCAGAGGAAATCTACTGGAGGTTTTTTTTGATCATTCTTGGCTTTCGTCGTAGCCTGCGATCGCTTGGCCTTAGGAATGGTTGGCTGGGAGTCTGGCTTGGTCGACATTATTAGCTAGAGACCAGATTTTAGGAAGAAAAATAACGTCGCTCGGTCGCAGTTTAGTCAACAGCTAGTCAATGTCGGTGCAGCTCATTTATGAAGCTTGGATCAAGACCACAGTCTTCAATTGGGCTGATTTGGGGCTGATAAAGCTGCGCCCGGCCCCGCGCATCCGTTTAACGATCGTCCCCTACAATTGGCTGTGGGGTTTGTGCAACCATGCCAAATGCGACGCCAAGCACGCTGAGGATCGACCAGGGTCGGCGTCCCCGACCCAAATATCCATAGACGTAGGTTATTGGTCATTCTCTGTGGAGTGGTGAACGTATTTATGCAAGGGTATATGCGGTGAGTCTGTTGAAGTCGTTTGTCCCATGGCTCAAATTATGAATGACTCGACTCTGGCATGGACGATAGTTAGCTCGATTTGCTAATTTCTTGCTTATTGACTCACTGAAATGGCCCCCATATGGATCCATTCCAGGGTTAACCTTAAGCTTGTCTTTGTAGGTAGCAGCAGGTTCGTGCGGGACAATCCGTCGTAGATCTATATTTTGGTTGTCAGCACGCACTAAGTATATGGTCCGCCAATGTTTCTGCCTGGTCTTGAAAAGAATGGAAGTTGGAAATTCACCATGAAGGAAAAATAGTGAAGACTGGCCATCTGGAGTGCCAAGTGACAAAAAAGTATACATTATTGATGTGGCCATAGTCATCGTAGTTGGAGAGCACTCATACCTTCGCAATCACGTGCTTCGTTCATATCCACCACCCCCGCGGAGACCTGCGTCATGCACCACGAAATTGAGCTCTTGCTGGCTTACCCTCTTGTTCAAGATGGCTGGAACTAGCCATGAGGGCCCCGAGTCTGATCGGAAGCTCCCAAAAAACCCACCCTTGCCAGATGACGGAGCCGATAGCGATGAGGATGAGTTTCACGATGCGCGATTCCCCGCCGAGGAGGAAGCTGTAAGTCGACCTTGAATGACGGTCGGACGGCTGAAGAACAGGCACCAGTACTGACGCGAATGACTGCAGCGACTGTTGAAAGAATCCCAAACCATCAAACAAGAAGCGAACCAGCTTTTTAGCTCCGCATGCTACGACCAGGCCATCTCTTCCTACGACCGCGCGCTTTCGTCCTGCCCAAACTATCTCGACTATGACGTTGCTGTCCTCCGGAGTAATATTGCTGCTTGCTACTTGAAACTAGAGGATTGGAAGGCTGCAATCGACGCTGCGACGGCATCTCTTGATCGATTGGAGAAGATTATTCCTACGACTGGCTCGGATAAAAACCAAAGCGATGGGGATCAATCGAATGCGACGAATACCACCACACAGGAGAGCGGAGCGGTTGTCGAATTATCTGCGGCAGATGCAGAGGCAGAGGAGAAACAGCTGGCACACTTGAAGGAGTTGGACACGCAGCGTACAAATGTACTACGCATCCGCGCCAAATCTCTTATGCGACGTGCCAAGGCGAAATCCAATCTTGGCGGTTGGGCCAATCTACAGGGCGCTATTGAGGACTACCAAGTTCTGAATTCAATGGAAACCCTCCCACCAGACGAGAAGCGCATTGTGCAGAGGGCGCTTCGTGAGCTTCCTGCCCGAGTCAACGAGGCGAAGGACAAGGAAATTGGGGAGATGATGTCCAAGATGAAGGATGTAAGTGGTGTCCCTAGTCTTACAATGAGCGCGATGCTAACTTTGAATGAATTCAGCTGGGTAACGGAATCCTGAAGCCCTTTGGCTTGTCAACGGATAACTTCAACTTTGTCCAGGATCCTAAGACTGGCGGCTACTCTATGAACTTTCAATCATGATCGGCTCGTATAGATCCTGGCAAAGACAAAAGGCTCCTGGCAATATTCATGACCGCATGTGTTAATGCAGTCAAGGTCCATCTTTGTGGGCTACCTACCCATCCCCCATGATTGCAAACGATCCCCGGATCAGCGAGGAGGCAAGTGCGAAGTGGTAGCCTGGCAGTATTGATAATCGCCCACGCAAACCATTTGGAAATTTGATGGGATTCAAACCGGCTTCTACGACCCAGAGCTCCTACAGTAGGGATATACAAAGCGGGAGTAACAGACTCTTGAGTGGCTTTCAGCCTCCCCAAACGATGAGGCCCTCGGCCCTCTCAATGGCCTCACATTATGGCCAATTTAGCACTGTGAATTTCAGTCAATATGTACCAGAGAGCTAGAAAATACCATCTGAAATCCTCTCATTCGGTGGCAAGACAAGTAGATCGTATGGAGAAGAATGCATAACGTGCATAATTGACGTCGATTACCCGATTCGGCTAGTGCAGACATAATGATGACTAACCTTCACCGCCGTCGTCATCGCATGACAAAAACAAAAAGGAAGCCTTCGGAGCTCCTTTTTCGCAACCCAGCGCTTCTGACGAAATACGACTCGACTTCGCCATTCTCAACTAGCCTGTTTTCACGTTCCAGCAAATCCCACTATCGCATTCTTTGCTATCTGCTTCCTCGAATCCCTGCGCTCAAACGCACCCCATGGACCGGTAGCTTCCACGCCCCGCAAATACACCATTCACCCCAAAGCACGCCAAGTGCAAAGGGCCAGCTTGATTCGGCTACAATGTCATTCACGGCATCGGCGGCTACAGCCTTATTTACCATCCTTGACAGTGACCCTGAGGATGGGGACCGAGGCCGGCATTGGGAAGACCAGACGCAGTATCGGGATTTGTATACCCAATTTGTGATCAGTTTCGCGCTGGGACTGGGCGCATTCGTATCATTCTGTGTAGGCTTTGGACTCATACTCGGGATTATACGTGTTTTGTCGCTAACCCTGATTCTACGGACAGGTGCTGCGACCAAAGTGGACGGAACTATATGCCGCTCGGAGGCGACAACGTTGCGCAGCGTCGGGGCTACCAGAGCTACCCGACAGCTTTTTTGGATGGATTCCTGTACTATATCGGATTACAGAAGAGGAGGTCTTGCACTCCGCAGGCCTTGATGCATACGTGGTGAGTAGGAGGAGATCCGCTACTGCTACTCGCCACCCTTCAATTCTGCTGCTAACTGGTCTCGTGCTATATAGTTTTTGTCGTTCTTCAAATTTGCGATTCGCTTACTTTTATCCATATTTGCCTTCGCTGTCACTATCATACTCCCACTTCATCACACATACACCGGAAAATGGGGAGTTCCTGGATGGGACGATATTTCACCACCAACCAACGACTCTATGAGCGCGATTGGTCTGCTGGGCAAGGACAAAGACAAAGACAAGCTTGTGACCGATCCTGGGTACATCTGGATCTATGTTCTATTCCCCTACATTTTCAGCGGCTTGGCCATCTACATGCTCCTCCAGGAAACAAACAAGATCATTCGCACTCGCCAAACCTACCTCGGAAACCAGACCACAACCACCGACCGCACAGTTCGCCTATCGGGAATTCCCCAGGACTTGACCAGCGAAGAGATGATCAAGGACTTCCTGGAGGGACTGCGTGTGGGCAAAGTAGAGTCCGTCACTCTCTGTCGAAAGTGGGCTGAACTCGACCGGCTCATTGACGAGCGGATGAATATTCTTCGGGGGTTGGAACGCGCTTGGACCAAACATCTTGGATACAAGCGTCCACGAAGGGATGGAAATACACTGCCTCTGACCCGTCAACCTCAATACACCAGGGCTCAGTTAACCTTGGAGGAGGACGACGAGAGATCCCAGTTGCTAGATGGAGTTGACCAGGATCATTTTTCTGGATATCTTCACGAGCGACCAAAGATCCGCATTTGGTACGGCCCCTTCAAACTGCGTTTCCGCATGATTGATGCAATCGACTACTATGAGGAGAAGCTGCGGAAAATCGACGAGCAAATTACCTCCGCCCGCGAGAAAGAGTATCCCCCAACGGAGATTGCCTTTGTGACTATGGAGTCCATTGCCGCCTCTCAAATGCTTGTTCAAGCTACCCTCGACCCGCATCCTATGCAAATGTTTGCCCGGCTTGCTCCCGCACCAGCGGATGTCGTCTGGAAAAACACGTATCTCTCTCGTTCTCGGCGCATGACCCAGTCCTGGCTTATCACGCTGATCATCGGGTTCCTCACTATCTTTTGGTCGGTCCTGTTGCTCCCAATCGCAACTCTGCTGAAACTGGGTACACTACACAAGATTATACCCTCTCTAGCGGAGACATTGGCCGAGCATCCCATCTTGAAATCCTTGGTTTCGACTGGTCTGCCAACTTTGGCCTTCTCCCTCTTGACAGTCGCAGTTCCATATGTCTATGAATGTAAGTGCAGTGCTGGTGATGCAGAACTTCTCAGAGAACCATGGAATGCTAATTAGGTTTACAGGGCTCTCAAATAACCAAGGCATGATGTCTCGTGGCGATATCGAACTTTCCGTTATTTCGAAGAACTTTTTCTTTTCCTTCTTCAACCTGTTCCTGCTTTTCACTGTTTTTGGTACTGCCACAGGATTCTACGATTTCTGGGAGCACCTGCGTGATGCATTCAAAGATGCCACTACGATTGCCTTTGCCCTTGCCACCTCCTTGGAGGGCTTTTCACCGTTCTATATTAATCTGCTCATTCTTCAAGGGTTGGGATTGTTCCCCTTCCGACTGCTGGAGTTTGGCAGCGTTGCATTATACCCCTTGCGATTCTTTGGAGCCCGAACTCCCCGCGAATATGCCGAATTGGCAACGCCTCCAAAGTTCAGTTATGGCTTCTCGATTCCGCAGACCATTTTGGCTTTGATTATTTGTATCGTCTACAGCGTTTTCCCCAGCTCGTGGTTGATTTGCTTATTCGGTCTGGTCTACTTTTCGATTGGCCAGTTTATCTACAAGTATCAGCTCTTGTATGCGATGGACCACCAGCAACACTCGACCGGTCGGGCGTGGCCGATGATTTGCAACCGGCTATTCGTCGGTCTAGTTGTGTACCACCTGGCCATGATCGGAGTACTCGCCTTGCGTGGTGCTATCACTCGTTCTTTGCTGCTCGTTCCTCTCCTTGGCTTCACCGTGTGGTTCTCCTATTGGTTCGCACGAACCTATGACCCGTTGATGAAGTTCATCGCTCTCAAGAGCATCAATCGTGACCAGGTTGGTGGTGATGTCTCACCATCCCCTTCATCCAGCTTCTCGCCCTCATCGGGTATGGATCGTGACGCGCTTCCCATCCGCATTGGCAGCCAAGAACTTGGCCTGCGGCTGAAGAAGTACGTCAACCCGAGCCTGATTCTACCTCTTCATGATGCCTGGCTTCCAGGCCGCAGTCCCGATCAGCTCAACGGTGCGTCTCCGGCTGGACACCCGGACCTTGCGGATATTGTCTCCGCTTGAGTTAAGGGACGCTCCCAATTACCCTGTACATGTTTTTCTTTGAAGTCCCCTTTTTCATTGCTGTATTCTCCGTTGAGCTCGGTCTGATTCTCCTTGTTCCGGACTCCTGATGATATATGACCTCGATACCTCCCCTGTACTTAAGCCCTTGAACAAACGAAGTGAGAGAAACTTAACTAATTACCGTGCATTAATTCTGCACCCGCAAAAGCAATACGCTTCTCTACGTAATGGCCTTGCTGTTACGCATGCCACTCGCATGCTTAGAAATATAGCAGTAAGATAAAGACCACATCATGGGAGTAAGAGAAATGTCTAGAGCGGTGACAATTCGGACGTGCTCGAGAAGACCGATTTGACGATCGGAATAAACACGGATAGATGATAATAGAAGGTGTTTCCTAGCGGCGCAACTAATCAGCACCATCCTACTACATTCTCCTCAACCATGATACTCTCATTGAATACACAGGTGGCTTTGAATCAAAATTGACCTCTTGACTCGTAACAAGAACCAAATTTTGTTGTCTCAAATACTCCAGGAAGGGCTTCAAAAACGGGGTACGCCTGCCACCCAGTCAATTCTCGTCTAACAAAGCTCTGGAAGAGCTCTAAAAGATGAAAAGACCAAAGCCATAATACCAAGGCGTGCCAAAACATGCACGTGGATTAGGATCCCCTTGAGAAAGACTTGTGTACGTCGAGCCCTTTCCCAATGGCTGTCGTCTTTAAGACTTGACAAAAATGCTGGAAAGTGATGAAGATCTTTCACATATCGTAACCCTTGCCAAATAAGGTTGACTGTATTGAAAGCGCAGAGTGTGCCGATGGCAATAAATGAGAAAACCATCCATACGATCCACTCGGCTCTGGCTGGAAAGGGGAAATCCCATCTGAATCCAGTTATTGTAAGTCGAGATACTGTGATGAGGAAGAGCTGTGCTACTCAGACTGCCAGGTTGAGTCTTTAGAACTACCTAGATTATCTAACAATGGTAAACCACAATCCAGTAGACTGCGTAGAATTTTGAATTTTGTAGGAAATTCATGTCACATTGACTGACGGTTAAGAAGCATATCAATTCTGTTCTTCCTGAAAGCTCTTGAACAACCCCCCATACTCACTGCACAGAAAACTCCATGAAGGAAATGTGCCCTGACGCGTGTCCTAGAACAAGCAAATTGCCTTTAACTGCAGAACAGGTCGGCCGATACTCAGAAGGGAGCCATATCACCCTTTTACCGTTAAGCTTTATCCAATGTTCTTGGTCAAGACCAATTTCCAGATTCCGGTGAGTTGAACCCGGCTCATGTTCATCACGGCCCGGCTGAAAATCAAGGAAGCCTATATTCGTGATCAGATGCGAACCATCCTGAGCAAATGCAATATCGTTGATGAACGCATAGCAATTGATAGTCTGCTGTTTTGCGCCTGTCGACACGTCCCAGACACAGACGGTCTGGTCTGCGGAGCTAGACGCTAGTAGACGGCCGTCCAGCGAGAAGGCCACCGACTCAATCATGTTGAGATGGCCCTTGAGAATTCGTTGCATTGTGCCCATCGCTATATTCCAGAGATTCACAGTATTATCTCTAGAGCCATAGGCTAGTAGCTGGCCATCCGGTGAGAAGGCTAGTGACCGAACCCCCTCTGTGTGGGCTTTCAGAGTCTGTTGTAGTGTACCCGTCGCTGTATCCCAGAGACACACGATATTATGTAGAGAGCCAGATGCTAGTAGCCGGCTATCTGGCGAGAAAGCTACTGGCCAAACATCGTCTGAATGGCTAAGAGTCTGCTGTAGGTCACCCGTCGCTGTGTTCCAGAGACGGACAGTCTGGTCTGCGGAGCTAGACGCTAGCAGCTGGCCGTCTGGCGCGAAAGCTACCGAGTTAAGTATATGTGAATGGCCCCGGAGAATATTCTGTAGAGAACCTGTCGCCGTGTCCCAGAGATGTATAGTCTGATCATAGGAGCCAGAGGCCAATAGCTGGCCATTCGGCGAGAAGGCGACCGATTGAATAAAGTCTGAATGGTACTTCAGAGTCTGCTGTGGCTCGTTCGTCATCACTATATCCCATAGATAGACTATTCCATCCGCAGAGCTAGAGGCTAGTGGCGCGTTATCGGGCGAGAAAACCTCCGCCATAAACGACTCTGAATCGTTCTCGAGAGTCTGCTGTGGCGTACTCGTCGTTATGTCCCAGAGACGCACCGCCTCATCCATGGAGCCAGAGGCTATTAGGCGACCGTTAGGCGAGAAGGCCACCGACAAAATCGAGTTGTATGCGCCATCGAGAACATGTTCCGACTTGAGAGTATACTGTAGCGTACCCGTCGCTGTGTCCCATAGACGTAAGGTCTCATCCTCCGAACCAGACGCTAGTAGCTGACCGTTAGGCGAAAAGGCTACCGAATTTACCTCGAGTGAATGCGCCTTGAGAGTCTGCTGTATTGTGCCGGCCCTGATGTCCCAGAGGTGTATGGTCTGACCTGCGGAAGAGGCTAGTAGCGGGCCGGCCGGTGAGAAGGCCACTGACCCAACCTGACCTGAATACGCATCGAGAGTTTTCTTAAGTATGCCTGTCATTACGTCCCAGACACGCACTGTGTGATCTGCGGATCCGGAGGCTAGCAACTGGCCATCCGGTGAGAAAGACACTGATGTTACACGTTCTAGATGGCCCTCGAGAGTCTGCTGTAGTGTACCCGTCGTTATATCCCAGAGACATACCGTATAATCTGCACAGCCAGAGGCTAGTATCTGGCTGTCGCGCGAGAAGATCACCGACGTAACCTGGCCTACATCGGCCTCGAGACTCCGCTTGAGTGTGCCCGTCGCCATATCCCAGAGACGTACTGTAGAATCCCAAGAGCCAGAGGCTAGCAACTGACCATCCAGCGAGAAGACTACCGCTGTGACCGCACCTGTATGGCCGTCAAGAGTCTGTTGCAGTGTACCTGTCGTCATATCCCAGAGACGTACTGTAGAATCCCGAGAGCCAGAGGCTAGCAACTGGCCATCCGGTGAGAAAGCCACTGATGTTACACGTTCTAGATGGGCCTCGAGAGTCTGCAATTCAGCACCCCACACGTCCCTAACTTGAGGTAGTCGGCAAATCCAAGCGGGCAGATGGATCTCGAACTGTTCACGGATTTTTGATGTTCGGGGGGCAAAGATTAGCCCTGCGCAGTAAATTTGAAGTGGGGCCACATCAACTATCTGGAGATTTCTGAGAATGAAGCGTTTTGCATCATGGAGAAAATTGACAATCATCAAGTTGGGTTTGCCCTATATCTATCAGAGAAAAGTCTATGTATCATTCGACGGGACTCACCGGTACAATCTTCAGGAGGAGATTAATCATCTCTACCACATTAGATATCAGACCTAGTAGGCTCATTGCTTCAACCCAATGGAGAAAATGCTCCTGAAGGAAATCCCACACATATCCAAGGTCCAAGGAAGAGAAGTTACTTTGTGAAATATGGTGCACCCAGTAGTGACAAGAGTATTGTAATTCCAGTGGTAAATACTGCTGGATGAATTGATGATCGATCTCAGCCCTTAGCATTCCAGGATCTTGCTGATTGCTAATATCCTTTCGCAGAAATTTGTGCATCGTCTGGAGACAGTATTTAGTGATTTCCTTGTGTTTATTCGGCTCGTCCACACGAAATTCGCTTCGGGATTGCACTAGAAAATCTCGGAAGGACAGGTGTAGAATCGTCACGGGTAGGTCTCGGTCATTAGGAATTCTGAGAACAGACTGGAATGAATCTAATCGATTTCTGATCTGGCCTTCCCGTATCTCAAGAAACTTCGATAGTGTACTTGAGGAAAGTGGCGTGGCGAGAAGAATGATGGTACCGACTATGTCCTGGAACTCCTGCAGGAGCTGCTGCCGCTCCGACTCATCATTGTCTTGGTCGTCATCAAGCAGTTGCTTCAGGATTGGTAAGTATGTCTTATCCATCTTTGACACGTATTTAGCTTGATCTTTTAGAAGATCAGTGAGGCGCATTTTGGGTTCCCATTTTGAATGTTCGATATAACGGCAGACGGTGGCGGCGGAAATGAAAAGTGGGACAGGCATTTTAACGATTTTTTTGGATAATATCGTCGCCGGGCCAATCGTGATAAATCCCTCTGTTATTGTTGATCTGTGCAAATCGATCTTGTAGGAATAAATGTATATCGTGTTCTGTCACTTGCTCCGGTATCTCGTGAAGTGCTAGATCCTGATATTCACGTTCCGCAATCTCTGAAAACCCGAGGCTGATCGGGAGCTCAGGCCTGCTAGTCAAAAAGATTCGAAGGCAAACCGCTTTGGCCTTTTGTAAGAGGGGTAGTAATCGAATGATATTCCGGACATCTTGCTCGTGTTCACATTCGTCCAATGCATCGATCACTATTATAACGGTCTGAGTCTGAGGTTCTCGGCCGACTTGGTCCAGATTGAGTAGGGGTTGAAGGAGGAGTTTCTCAAACTGCTCCCTAAGCGATTTTGACAAAATTTCAGGGTCCTTATCGAGTGCCTCTTGCACGCTAGGTCTGAGCTCAGGAATGCCGAATATGAGCTGTCTAGTTAGTGTCGGGAAGAATTTTTTTGCGTTCTCTCGGTCACCTTCACCCCTTTTGAAGAAGAAGCTGGCGCCTAGGTGGTTTGTATCCTTGAGAGATCGTGCCACAGTGCGAGATATTGTGGATTTTCCTGTTCCAGCCATTCCTTTCAACCAGAAAATGCATTTTTGGGATGGTGACGTAACCCATTCCATTATCTGCGACAGGAGCTGGGTCCTAGTGCCTGGAAGACATTGGACTTCGTCTCGATCGGAGAATGAATCAAACCCTGCTTCCATCACGCCTTCCAACTTCGCAAGGTCCAGATTTTGATTGATGCGATCGGTATTTCCGGCCACACCAACCATCAGGGAGCTGTATGGAGTCATTTAATTAGTCAAACAGAGTTATCATACCATGGTTTAATATCGTGGTCGATAAACGTACGTTTGGTCCACCTGCAAAGACAGAATGAATGAAGACTTATATTTCTCCAGGCTTTGAATAACGCCTTCCAACTCTGCGCGCTTTAGAGGCCATTTCAAGGTTCGAAATCCCACTTTGCTCATTAGCTTCTTTGCCTTCCCTAGGTCAAGTTTGGCTTCCAAAGCTCCGAGGTCGGAGAGACAATCGGCAATGTTGCTGACTAGTCGTGAGGAGGTAGGTAAGGGTCTGCCTTTATCTTGTAGCAGTTTATGCAGATCTTGGAGTGTGCCTTGGAGGCCTGTAATCGCCTGTTGTAGGCTGAAAATTTGGTCTCGGGCATCTTTCACGTCTTGAATATAGCCCCCGCAAAGCTTCGCGATGCTTCCTGCTAGTTGAATGACCGCGATGACGCTCGCCGCCGAGGATAGAGGATCCATTTGGAAGCATGTGCATTAAAGCGGAATTTCGGTAGAGGAAATGGCGATCCGGTTGTTATAACTCAGCTTCGGATTAGAGGTTGTGCTTTTCTGGACAAAAAAGGAGGGGTAGGATACGCGTCGGGCATGAGGCTGAGATCCAGCCAGCGCGTCAACTAACGCTATCCAGTTAATGGGCTAAATTAAGGGCCAATAATAAGACTAACGATACTCTCCCCGCACTAATTAACTACAAACTCCTTGATACAAACTATCTGGGCTCTGCCAACTGGCGCAGCTAACTTAAAAGGAGGTCATATTATATAAGGCTTACGCCCTACACCTGTTGTAACAATAAGCATTTGATTAGAAAAGTCGAGAGTGTTATATTTTCTCGATGGATATGACAGAGCACCTTCGCAAGAATGGTTTTCCTGACGCAAATAACGACAAGCAGCAAGTCTATAGATCTTTTTTCAGTCATATTCGTGGAATTCATAAATTACCCCCAATATATGCTTCAATGTTCGTATAATGATGCATGACCGCCAAGTCGACCCAGGTAAATGACCTGAGGATTCCCAACAATTTCTCCAGACTTGTCACATGTAGGTTACGGCAGAGCTCCTTGAACAGTAGTGAAATTTGGCCGGAATATTCTGTTCCATCAAAGGCAATAAGGGCCAAGCTCGTACACCACAAGATTAATGGGCTCGAAAAGCCTCGGCCAACTATTGATAGGAGTCTTGGGTACAGTGAGCGGAGCATTTGCCCTCTCGCGACTGTTGGCCTAGGACTCGGGAATGTGACATGAGTAGCGTATAGGAGCACCCCAAGGCGACAGATCAGGTAAAGCTCCATAGAACGTTCAGTTGTGCCACCAGTCGATTGGGTATCGATCTGCAGGATCTGGTCGGGTGGATCGTCTTCAGTTGGCAGGGAGAAGAGTCGGTGGTGGACCAGATTCCGGCTGCTAGCGAGGAGATCGAGCAACTGAGGGTCGGACTGTGTTGACATACAAGTTATAACATAAGATAGCTCTCCGACGTGGGAGAACGCTGTAACAAGCATTTCATGCACCGGCGGCTCTATAAATAAAAGCTCACTAAAGCCAGAGCCCGCCTTTTGTGACTTAGCATCATTGCAAATGTCACCATGAACGTAGGGTGCAAATAGTGCGAGAGGAGAAGGTAACTCTAGCTTCTGGCCATAAAAATTCATAATTGGAAAGAACGGTTTTCGGAGAGTATGCACGGCATTCGTGAGATCGGCTACAGAGACCTGCCACGCTAGTGCACCGTAGTGAAGACCCTCGATTCCGCCGTTTTTTTCAAGCAGCTCGCACAAAATATTCCAGTGGAGAGGATCGTAATCGCGACTGCCATAGGCTTCTAGACCATGAAGCCTCGTGAATGTAGGCGTAAACGGATTAGGGTCGCGATATAGCCGCTCGCTCGTCGTCCCATTCACAGCGAAGACGAGAATGCACCCAATGATGCTATCTAATGGTTTCTGCCTTGTATAACTTGCAACTTCTTTCCGCAACGCCTTCAGAGTGAGGCCTTTCAGGGTAAGTTGCTCCTTCAGTCCAACTGAATCCTCCGGTACGCCAGATATTTGGCGTAGCACACCCTCGTGGTATTTGCTAGACCAGAGGAAGCTGAACAACTTTAATTCATCGTTGTCAAAAGGGAAGGCCCATGTTCGATAAAGGTCAGGTAGATCCAAAGAACGGAGCTTCGGAAATATATGCCTGCAGGCGAAACTAAACCTCTCATTCAGCTTAAGCCGAGAAGTCTTTTCATTGATGGGGAGCATCGGGTCGAGAACAGTACATCCCAGGTCATGCACTCGCTCATTTGCGAACAGGGAGTCGCGGGAGCGTGGAATATGACGGCAGAAGCTGCAACGAGCCAAGTCTGCTGGCCCTTCTGGTTGGCCTCCAGTCAGGAATTGAGACGGTGTTTCTGGAACGGTCGTCCGGCGACAGCTACATCTGGCAGCTGCTCTCTGCTTGAGCAATTTGTTTATTTCTGCCATTCCATTTTCCTGCCGCTGAGCTTGCGTCCGGCGTTGCGCTTCTCGGATAAGCTTCGATCGGATTCCACTGCCCCCCACGCCTGTCAGCGCGGGCTGGCCAACAAAAACAAATCGATTTTCTTGGCTCCTGGGAGCTGGTTTCCTCGGCGTGTCCATTGGCTCATTGGCCTGAGGCGTAGATACATAATCGTCAGGTGGGTTCATCAGCCCTGTGGGTACTGTCCTCGTAGCCTCCCAAAGACACCTGCGCGACTACAAAATCAAAGCGAGTCACGAGCGGGGCAAGGCTCTTACCAGTTCGCTAAACTTGTCCCCTTTCGCGTCAACCCTATGACTAATTCGATCCATCACAGAGCTTAAAATTTCTAGATATCACTGCGAAAATTTAATATAAACCGACGAGATAACCCACTTCCGAAGCTCATCAGATGGCCTGCCCGTCATTGTTCTGCGTATGACGATGACTTCGATATCACGTATGCTTCAAAGAACCGCTTTGCGGATTTGGGAAATGGATTTAGCCAGCGCGAGATGAACCCTTAGGCCGACCTTGCATTTTATATTCGCGAACAGGACGATGATGATTCCTCGATTTTTGGAAATCTGTTCAGCACGTATAACGCAAAGGACATTGGGAATAAAATGACGTCTTCGGCAGAGCGGGCGATTTGAGACAACTCAGTTACTGATGTTTGATCCTAATGCAAATTGTATCTCTGTTCCTTTATTGGCCGTTCAATATGCTTTATTAGAGCTATACTAAATTTTATGTTCACATGTCGATGGAATGAACGAACCTCTTTATTAACGAGTCGTCCTTAGAGCCGTCATGTCGTCCTTGATACTATGGAGGTTTAACCAATCCTGGAGCTCAATCTGCACTAGCTCCTGGGTCTGCATCTCGGGTTGTTCTCTTCTTTCTCTTTTAAGGATGATCAGATGTGTGCAGGAAAAGATGATACAAGGGAGAGAGGCCCGCGATGCGGACTTCACATAGCAACCAACTCTATCTCTCCCGCCTATTCCTTGATTGACTGAAAAACGCCCCTCCCATCATGGGCCGGTACGGATTCGGAAGATTTGATGGATTGGACGGCAGGGTTTGGCCGTCTCGAGGGCTTTGTAGCGACCTCTGGGGGTTGGAGGTGTTGAAGAGGAAGAAAGATTGTATGGGCGAGGGCGCCCATGCGGAGGGACTGGGGAGCAGCGACGTGTTTGGCTTGTTTGATTGGCTTTGTTTGCTGCATTTGCACCACTTCCCTTGTTGGATGCGTGGGTGGTGAGCTTTGCGGCCTGATTTCTGAGGCCTCCAAGCCACCAACCTTGGTGGCTTGGTCAGCCGGTTCTACCACCATCTTTCTTCTCTGTCTGGTGCTGGAAAAGCAAGGTACAAATCCCATAATACCCCGTATATGAAGGAAGTTAAATCGGGTTTCTGACCATTGATTGATTGATTGGATACATTATATATATGCATAGGTAGAAAGTTAGCGATGAGATCCTTCTCTTTTAATGCGTTAGGTAGGTTCTAGACAGGCTAGCTAATTTACATTGGGGAGTTGCATATCCCCTAAAGTCCTGGGATTGTTCAAGATATCCATGCCAAGATATCCATGCATGGTTTGCCGCCTAGAAATCCCGTCTGACACGTTGTATCCACAAGGTGATTTGCGAAAAGGCTATTAGATTTTGTGCTTATCTGACTCATCTTTGACTTAGGACACCTACTACAAAGGGCACTTGCTTCCACACTATGCTCACTTGCGCTCGAGAATTGGCGCGCTGAGGCTAGGATACGATTCAAATCTCCACCTTCCAAAACTGGAATACGAATGAAGGAAGCTAAGGTATGTGAACACCCCACTCTACCTAACTAAATCCTTATCTTACGTGATCTAACTTACTGGCTGACCTGTAATCTGTATATGAGTGGTTTACTGATTCTATGCCCTTCCTTCTATTCTGCTTTATCATCATCACTCTATACTGTGGTTTGTAAGTGTCGATGTTTGCAGTATTCTGGTTCGAACAGGGCTAATTTTCGTGGCTGAACTTATATATAGTTTGATGATTTCCTTTTTTTTTCCCCTTACCCTCAAATCGCTAGCACCTATTGAACGGGATCTATTATTTCATATATGAACAGATTTGGCACACTTCCACGATCCATATCTCTTAAGGCGTTGGCTCCACGCTTTCAGCTCAGCAATCGATACTCTCGTTTCACCTCCAAAATGATCTCACCCAACTTGACACTTGGGTCACACCAGTTCACTGCTCCAAATGGAATCACCTTCAACTACCTAATCCGTGGTCAGGGTCCTCTGGTTATTTTTCAGAGTGTCGGATGGGGACCGTCAATGCATATGTACACGAACAGCATGAAGGAACTAGAAGAGGGCTTCACGGTGCTATACTTTGAGGGGCGTGGAAGTGGGGGCAGCTCTCGTCCATCAGCTGATGAAATGAGCACAAGGGTCATGGGTTCAGACTTGGATTCGCTACGCATTCACCTAGGACAGGAGAAGCTGCGACTCCTCGGCCACTCTAACGGTGGTGCTATCGTCCTAGCATACGCCGAGGACTTTCCGGATAAAGTTGAGAAGCTCGTGCTGATCAATCACGAGCTGCAAGGTTTCAGCTCTGATAACTCCGCAACCTATGCCGCTGCTCGTCAGGATCATCCTGTGTACGGACCGGCATTGAAGAATATCTACAAGTTGATGCAGCAGCCTCCCTCAACCGATGATGAGTTTGCTGAGGTATTACACTCAGTTCTTCCTTACTATATGCACGACACAAACAAGACCTCTTTGCTAGCTGATGCGCTGCAAGGAGGATCTCTCTCAGTATGGAACTTTGTGAACCAGCAGAGATGCGACAGGGATTTGAAATTCTCCGCCGTTGAAGGGTTATCGAAGGTTCAGGCCCAGACACTTGTCATAAATGGAAGGGATGATGGAGTATGTTCAGAAGCTGCCGCTCGGAAAGTTGCCGACGAACTTGGCTCCAAGGCGGAATTGGTACTTATCGAGGAGGCTGGGCATGTACCTTGGCTGGAAAAGCCGATTGAATTCTTTTCTTCTGTCAAAAAGTTTCTGAGTTCCTAAAAGACACACCTTTTTTGTCTGGCATTATTATGACAAGATGGAGCCAGTTTATGTTAAGTAGCTAGTGGGGGTAGCCGCGCTAGAAGCCACCCTTAATTCGATCGGCTAGCCTTGGTACCCTACCTTCCTACGCCTTGTGCGTTGTTAATATTATCAAGTGTCAATGTTTATTTGTATCAGCCTGTAGGAATTGGCGACTTGGGGCTAAGCACCAACCTGGCCGGCAATTTAGCGGCCGCTTGCTATCGAAAGTCCTGGACAAATGGCGGATGTTTCTGGTGCTAGAAGCTGTCATTTGCGGTGTCAATTTCGTAGGTCCCGATACTGAATTTTAAAGAGCCGGACTACTGACCGTGACGCAACTTCGACCGACCTTGACGTGCTGCACTGGGGATGTCGTACAAGCAGCCAGCTCCATTTCTAGTGAAGCATGAAGGTGCAATCCTTGGTAATTCTGGGTTAGAAGCAGAGAACAATGAAAATTTTCCTTGATATTTGTCAATAATAATCGTAACATAGCAGTGAAATCATGCTAAAATGCAAGAAGCCGTAGTCTATTGTAGCTTCGCTCCCCGAAGGGCGTCATATCAACCATCCCTCGACACGACCTGTTAGTGCTCCCAGTTTCCTAACTGGGAATGACTGCCCCCCATCAGAATCGAATTTACTGACGGATTCCAATTGCTAGTCATGTATACGGTCACGAACAGGTCCATTCGGACCAAAGGTTCTTCATCCCCAGTGTCCCTAACTTCCAAGTTCACATATACCAATCTCGTTCCATTCAAGAAGATTGGGCGATGATTTTCTTCAAAGCAGCCGCATCCCTAGGTACGAACCGCACCTTGTACTTCTGCGGGATGGCGACCAAACTAGCCGGGTCCGAGTTACCTCGCACGGGATGCCAGTCCGTATCATCATGGGGTTCAATACGGAAGCTGTTGAGTGTCCGCATGAAGACTAGGTACAGCTCACGGTTTGCCAGGAGAGAGCCTGCGCACATGCGGTATCCGAGACCGTATGTGAAAATTGGTGCGTCGGGCTGTTCGAACCAGCGCTCTGGTCGGAAGACTTCGGGGTCGGTCCATACATCGGGGTCTATGATCTTGTTAGTCCGGAGATTGGAATAGGCGTGATTGTTTTCATGACGAACCCATGTTGCAGGCCCAGGCGTTCAGGAAGAAGACGGTTCCCTTGGGGATGACGACGCCTTCGTAGGTAATGTCTCGAATAGAAGTGCGAGGGAGAGCTAGGCGAAGAACGGTGAAGTAACTATGATGTGTTAGCTGGAGTCTCTTTCCGTAACAGATGGGGGCCACACTAACCGAAGACACTCCCTCACCAGAGCCGCGACATAAGCACACTTTTGATCGTCGTCGGCTGAACACATTGGCTCGTTTGTTCCGTACATCTCTTGAATAGCCTTGGCAGCCTTATCCTGGACATCGGGGCGGCTAGAGAGGAGACCAATACTCCAAGCCACCAAAGTAGTAACAGTATCCAGACCGCCAGAGAGCATAGTCAAACTGATAGAGGTGAGTTCTTCAGTGTTCAGCTTAGCCTCTTTATCCAGGATAACATTAGCCTGAATACACGGCTTGTGAGTTCCCTTCTCCATGCGATCTTCCAAGTCTTTGTTCAACGCTCCAAGGTACTTGTCTCGGCGGGCACGCATCTCAGCAGCCTTCTTCGAATTGGTGCTGAAGGGGTTGAGTCGCAATAGAGGAATATAATCCTGGAGATTGCCAGTAGTGCTTCGGAACTTGCTGATTTCCTCCTCAACCTCGGTGATTTCATCGAACAGATCTTCTTCTTGCGATGCGACACGAACACCCCAGTTCAAGGTCAAGGCCAGACTCAAACTCAGTCTTTGGATCATCGGCATCGGGTCGACGGGCTTGCTGCCGCCATTGCCATAGCGGTAGAGTTCTTCCACGAAAGCCTTGGATTCAACATCTAGATGGGAGACGTAGCTTTCGACTGAGGGGCGGTTGAGAGCAGAGGCGGCACCCTTTCTGCGGCGCTTCAGCGAGTCGCTGTATGGGGAGGTACCAATGGTTGTACCGGCAGTATTGGAGACAATCTAAGATTATCATCAATATACGCAAAAAATAGAGATTGTAATAGTCGCTTCTTATTCTAGACTCACCTTGTGGAAAGTATAAAATTCCGGTCGCGAGCTCAAAGCCTGGGCATTTTGACCGAATAGGACCTTTGCCGATGCAGCCGAGTTGACGACCACAACAGGGATATTACCGAGCTGGATCTGATAAACAGCACCAAACTTCTTTGACCATGTGCGATACTGTTCAGCGGCGTTGACTCTAATTTGTGCCAAGTTTCCGATCAAGGGAAGGCCGGTAGGACCTTTGAGACCCTTTACACGGGCAGAAGACCGAATGAATTCGTTCAGGATGACATAGAGGAACGGGACCAGGATAGCGGCTACTCCGAGCGAGTGCCATGGGTATTGGATGACCCTACCCTGAAGTGTGGCGAGAGCTGTTGCGATAGCCATGGTGTATGTTGAGAAAATGTCCCTTGGCGATACATTCAAGACGAGATAGTTTGAAGATCAGGCCCAGGGATATAAAGGACTGCTGGGATATCCAGCTATGGGGCTTGGAGCGCAGGATTTCCGTACTCTTTCTGCGGATGGTCACATTCCAGCTAGGCCGACCAGACCAAAGGCAGTGATTGGCAGTTAGCAGCATCATCCAGTCGAATGAGTGCAGTTGGTCAAGTTGGTTACCCCACATTTCTTCCCCAGACCTGCGTGGGCCGAATTTCCGCACACGCGGAGGAGTTCCGCACTGAGCATGTCCCCGGAAAGTTGGCGCTTTATAGTTATATTATTGCTTCTTGCCACTATACTCGATGATTATAGTATTTACAAAATATACAAAGGTAGGATAGGAAACTAAATAGAATGATGTTTTATCTTACGATGGATAGCTGACGGTATAATCAACCCTCGCCTAACTCTGGTGCTGCAGGCAGTGTGCAATTCCAAAATTCGCCCCCGAAAGGATCTTACCAAGGGGTTTCAAGCTATCATATCTTGTAGATCTGTCTCCTATCATACATGGAAGTGAAGTCAAACAATATTATGACTGTTGAGAAAGGGAAGAGTATGGCGATTTCTATTCTCGCCATGGCGTTCGGAATGCGCAAGCACGACCCCCTAAAGCCGATACGCGTTAGTACGGTTTCCACGGCTTGGGCGTAAAAGCTTCTACTGATCACCATTCTATCTAAGATAGCTACAACTGTTTTCATTGACTCGTGCAGACAGGAACCCTGGCATGTGATGGCTGGACGAAAGGCTGGCATTACCCCTACTCAGCTCTACACTCCAGACAGGAGGGAAGCTCTCCAGGTTCAACAAGGGGATATCCATGATAGCGATTTCAGTACTCTTTAAGCGGCATACCAGACAAGAAGATTGCTATACCCAGAACCTCAATGCGCCTAGCATTATCTGGCATTAAGGTTAGCTAACTGTCCTTGGTGTGGCATCGACGTAGCGTATTTTCATAGGTCCCCTAAGCCAAGTAAACGTACCCAAAACTCGTCTCTCTGGGAGGTTTAATAATCGACGTAGCCTGACTTTTACAATTTCTACCTCCTTCATCTCTTCTCCACATTCACTAACCACCTTTCTAAATATACGAGTGTTTCCCCCTGAGAAATTAGCGGGTATACCCGTCAATGTCCATCCCGCCCCGCACGGAGAATAGCCGGAATAAGGTCACTAACAACATAACCCTCCTTCATCTCACTTTTCACCGCTAGCTATTTCAATTGACCGGGGGTAATTGACTCCTTGATATATCCAACCGGAAAAAAATGGGTCAAGGTCTTGAGCGGAAACCCACCTTCGGTGTCAGCTTGTACTAATTCTAAATATATGAATGGTCCAGAGTTTGAGTGAGGCGTCCTATTTAGTTGACTTTCGCCAAACACTAGACTCTATATGCATCTATAGGCCCAACCTCTACTTTGATACCTGATACAGACAAACCAAAAGGCGATGGCAAGATCGCACACAACAAGAATAAAAGAAACGCGCGGAAAGCACGATAGATCCAAGTCATAGTACAGATTCCACATAGGATGGTCAAGGCAAGATTCCCGGTGGGTCGCCGGAGGTTACAGTGACAACCGCTATTGCCTTCCATGCTGGGAAACATTATGATACTCTTTCAAACCCTGATTACATGACACTCTTATCTCGATATGCATATTCCCGTATTTATCCATGTGTTTTCTGTTTTATTACACATGGGAACATAAGTAGACTATACGGCTATGTATTGTTACAATACCAAAATAATGTGATCTTTCATGATATCTTATCAGCTCGCCGATAGTTAATCTAAGCTTCAAACCCAACATGAGTCATGTTGAGTAATAGAGAGTAATAGAATCGAATTAACCCTGTTCGTCCTATTTAAAGGCATTCTTTAATTTTGGTCTTACTCTTTTTAAAACACTAAGAACTATCATCTTACTCGTTCTTGTATTGTATTTAATTCAAGGTTCACTCTCCCGTAAGTTAATATTCTTACTTTGTGGTCGGATCCTGTGTCTTCCCAGCTCCGGGGCTTAATAACCCCTGCGGGCCAATCATAGCTTACGCTCGGTCTACAACTCATACATTTTCATCGCAGAGACTAACCGAGGACTTCGTTCATCTCCAGTTTATCTATGCCCGAACTTGATCCCTACAACAACTGATTCAATTCACACTCTTAATACTCTCAATAGAGTATAAATCCAACATCAAGAATGGATACCTCGAATGTGACGGGAACCCCCTTGGAATCTTTCGTCATCTTAACACCAAGACTCATTATCCTTCCCACACCGCACGCCATCTCATTAATATCCTACCGAAGGCTTTATGCATCACTCCACGCAGATAAAGGTTTCTGCGAAATGGCCTTTGGGGTTCATTTCCCGCCTAGGCAATGGAGCGACGATGAAACCCGTGATGTGATTCAGACACGCGATATTATGCGATGCTGGAAAATACGCGGCATGGGTGACTTTGCCGTTGGTCTACGCCCGCCCGAGATCTCAATGGGATCCAGCAACGATAGCGAGATTCTGGAAGGAGATGATTTCGAAGGAAATTCCCGTCTAAACATCCAGACTTTGAATGACATCGTCTGGGTTGGCTACGCTGGTGTCCGTGATGGAACTACAACGTCGATTCCACCACGAGAGGCCGATGATCCACCCCTTCCACCATGGAACGAAATGGTTGAGATTCGCTATGGCGTCTCGCCTATGTACTGGGGTAATGGAATTGCGAAGGAGGCAGCAGAAGCTGTCATTCACTGGGCTGTGAAGGCGCGAGGTGTGACGAGGTTTATTGCCGAGACGGAGAGGCCTAACAAGAGGAGCGCTAGAGCTTTGGAGAAGCTTGGGTTTACTCGAAGTGGTACGAATTATTGGAAACAACCTAGTGAGATAGAGTGGGAGAGGAGACAATAAAGGCCACTGTTTTTCTTAACCTTAAATCCCACGTTTTTAAATTAAATTCAACCTCGCGCCCTTGCGACTCAATTCCCAAAATCTAACCCAGCCCAAGGCAAACGTAAAGGAGTTTATTACTCAGACCACTTTGAGATTATTATCGGAGAGAGAGTATAACGATCAAAATGATTCTAGTATAGTAGGTTGATCCAGTCAACAATAGTATTACTATACTGGTGGTATCACATAGGTCATACAGGTTACCTGGCTCTTCAATATACGATCCTCTCTGGTCTTCTATCTACTATCTCTCTTATTCTTCTTCTTCTTCTCCCCGTGCTCAAGATCTTGGTTGATAGCCACCGCAATGTAGACTTTCAAGTTCATCGCTAATGGGCGTGTAATAGGTATATCCAAGTGTGAAGTTCTTTTTACCACTTTTTTATGACAGACTAAACCACCAAAGCAAGACTAATATTTCATATAACAGAATTCCTGGTACCTAGAGCAATTCCGATTTTCCTGGCCTTCACAAAAACCTCTCTAGCATGGTCACTAGTTTGGAATGATCCAGTGCCTTGACTTTTAGTCCCTGAGGTCCCTCCATGTCTTCCGCACCCAGTAGAGCATTATAAATCGCCTCTTCAGTAGCATCAGCTGCACATTCAAATATGGCATTGATCGTGACATCCTGAACTACTCCCACTTTTTGCTCAACTGTCGGCTTCCAGTTAAAATCTGGAGCTCGTGGAATTTTCTCGGCGGTGCTAAAAGCGATGAATATATCGCCTGAACTGTTGGAACCCCATCCACCAACGCGTGATAGCCCAACCGTAGCTCTTTTAGCCAGGCGTTGGAGCTGCTTCGGGTGAAGAGGGGCATCCGTGGCAATCACGACGATGATACTGCCATCTTTAGCCTTTGCTGCGTCTGCTTCTTCCGATTCTGGCCCTTTTTCCTGCTCCTCCATTAGACGCCCAACGGGAAACCCTCCGAAACGAAGGTCTCTTTTAGCCCCATAGTTTGCCTGAACCAAAGCTGCGACGGTATACTTGACTCCAACGCCGAAAGAAACAGCATCAATGACGCGACTGGAACTACCAGTGCCCCCTTTGAAGCCATGACACATCATACCTGTTCCCCCTCCCGTATTGCCTTCCTTCACAGGGTCCGCACTAGCCTCGTCGATTCCTCGTACTACCATATCAGGGGTGACCACCATGGCGCCGATGTCATTTAAGAACAAATCGCACGTCTCCGCCACAACCGGAAGGAGAAACCAATCCACGAGACCGGTGTCTTTATTTCGATACTCCCGAATCGCATATTCGTAGATACCGCTATAGCACGGACCAACGGAGAACGAGTTGGTAAGTATAATGGGTGAATTGAGTAGACCGGTTTCATCGAGCCAGTGCGAGCCCGTCATTTCGCCAGAGCCATTGAACCGGAAATAGCCCGCATAACAGCCGTGGCTGAACCAATCCCGACGTGGTAGAATGGTGGTCACGCCCGTGTTGACTGCGTGAGTATTCTCGGTCGAGGGACGATTGATCGATTGGGTGTGGACCAGCACACCAGGGACATCGGTGAGAGAATTTAATGGGCCAGTGCGATAACGGCCAATATGAAGTTTCGGTAAAAGGTCCTGAACACGAGGTCGCGGAGGAATGGAGATTGGTTTTGACATTTCGCGACTTTGAGATCAACGAATTTGAAAATTTGTCGGTCTTTTCAAAAGAACAAGTTCAAAATTGGAGAACGCCTTTAAATAGGATGAAGGGGGTTGATTAGATTCTATTACTCTCTATTACTCAACATGACTCATGTAGAGTTTGAAGCTAGGCGTAGTTTATTGGCAAGCTAATAAGATCCATATCATGAAAGATCGGATTATTTTGGTATTGTAACAATACATAGCTGACAATACAGGGCCGTATGGCTTACCCACCTTCAGGTAATAAAACAGAAAACAAATCGATAAATACGGGAATATCTATATCTATATCAAGATTGGAGTGTCATGTAAGTAGGGTTTAAAAGAGTATCACTATGTTTCCCAGCATGCAAGGCAATAGCGTCACTGTAAGAAATGGAATTTTTGAAAGTGGTTGATTTCGCTCGAAAAAACCTCGACGTCTACTTCGTATAGAAACAATGGTATAATTTTTGCAGGGATGAGGACCAGAAAAGAGTACACAACTTATTCATAGTGCATCTTGCGGAAGAAGTCCATCACACCAGTGAACACGACGAGAAGGATACCACCACCGGGGCCCAGACGGAGGACCTTGGGGATGAAGCCCTTGTACAGAGCTCCGAAGCCCTCCTCCTTCATGACGGTGCCCACAGCGGGCCAGGCCCAGTTGTACTTGGGGGTCTGGCCAGCAACCTTGGTGGTGTTTTGGATACGGGACTTGACGACGTCCATGGGGGTGTTGAGGATGGTACCGGCAATACCACCAATGGTACCGGCGATCAAGTCATTGCGGGTCTGTTGGCTCTTGTTGCCGGGCTCGGGCTGGGGCAGCTGAGAGCGAACCTGGAAGATACAGCCAAAGTAACCAGCGTTCCAGAGAATATGACGCCAGAGGGTGGACTCAAGACCGTTGTACATGGCGAGGGGACCCTCCTGCTGAACAATCTTCTTCACAACATCCAGCATGCCGTTGTACTTGCCAGCGGAAGCCTTATCTTGCAGACGAATCTTGACCAGCTCGAAAGGAACCACGACAAAAGCCTCGGTCGCACCAGCAGTCGCACCGGTCAGGACAGCCAAGCTCTGGGTCTGCTTCTCTACACCGAAGAGGCCGCGGTAGAAGGTCCCCCAGCTGTCGTTGGCAGCGAACTTGGTCGCACGCTTGGGAGCCTCCATCAGAATGGGAGCGGAGATACCACGGTACAGACGGGAGAAACTATAGCGGTGGGAATGCGCGTGAGATTCGCAAGCCTAATGCGGTGGAAGACACGAGAGGACTCACCCTTCTTGCTTGATGATCTTGCGGAAGCAGTCCAACATGCCATTGTAGTGCTCACCACCAGCAGTGGCGGCTCCAGTCTGAAGTTGCCTATATAGATAGACAAATATTGCGTTAGCAAGCGTGAATCGGGGCCGGATCGGGACCGGATGAGGCATCCGATGGGGGAAGCAATCAGACTTACACACGAGTCTTGACAACGTCCAATGGGTACCTATTCGAGTCGCAATGTTAATATTCACCAGTCCTGCTATTATACTAGGGGATATACATGTGTCGCAAGCTGGATATGCGCTGCGCAGGCATGGATTGGATGGGCAATGGAAGCGTACATCATCAAGATCTGCCGTGCGGGGAGATAGATGTTAGTTACTGGACATCTTTCTAGGGGTCACGCGACTCGACGAAGCCAATATGCAGAGTCGAGCGATGTCTATAGACAGGAAAACACATACCTCGGAGACACCAGCCACCGCACCGGCGGCGAACTGGTAGACGAAGGGGAGGGGTTGTTGCGGCTTGTCAGACATGATGGGCGACCGGCGGACCTGAGAGAGTAGAGTTAGTCCTGATGGGAGGGATGATTGAGAGCGCTCAACAAAAGCATTGCAAAAATTGTAGACTCACCAGAGAGACGAGACGGCAACGAGAAAGAAAAAAGGAAGGAATGGGGAGGAGAAGAGAGGAGGAGAGGAGAAGAGAGAGAAGCTAAATTGCGGGAGCCGGTGTCGGTATCGGCAAGATTCGGTGATTTCCCCGGAAGCAACTGCCAACTGGGATCACCTAATCGAGTAACGTGATTGATTCACCGCAGGAACGAACTGCCGCGACCACGGGACCTGCTGACTCAGCCCCGTGGGGTTTCGATTTTCCCTGGCCAGAGAAAAGAGAATTAAGATAGAACATCAAGGTGAACTAATCATATAGGAGAATGAGGAATACCATGTTAGTAACTCAATCGTTTGATATGTAGTTAGTTTACTGTATGGAAATGGAATTGGCGATGGTTCAATCCATGGATGATTCTCCGTATCCGGCAGGCATGTTAAGGTTATCTCGAAGTCGCCTTAGAAAACAGGCATCTTCGGCATTACTTAAGGCTGCCTCATTCCTTCCACCAATTCTACACCATTGCAGCGAGTATACAGTCCTGTTCTATCAGTATAATATGGTTGGACCCTTTGGGCAGGACCTCGGGTCCGCCAGGCATAGAAATGAATGAAAATGTCAATGGCTCCATCCCTACAGGTGAGTCGAGACTCCACATGTGGAGACAAATATACCCCTCACGGGTCTTTAGCCTGAGGAGAAAGCCGAGTGGCTTCATACGAGTTTAACCGCCGGCTTGAAGATGAAATGATTCAATTATGTACAAGGCCAGACACGCCATAGGTCGAATCTCATAGCTCATCCCAAGGTCATTCTCAGCAGCCATACAGAGACCTTGTCGACCAAAATGCGCCCTATCCCCCGAGCTTCCATGTTTCGTGGTTCGTCCTATTTCGTTTACAGTTTACCCTTCTGCTTGGATAACTCCTGCACCTGCTTCACTCGGCCCCAAGCTTCCAGGGCAAATGGCTTGGCCCGCTTGGCATAATCACCAGCCCGGGCGCTACTGGCCTGTCGAGCAGCGTATCGCGCCGCAATACCCTGCATAATCACAGACCCTCGGAAGGCGAAGAACGCATCTCCCCATAGAATATCATCTGCCGGGTTGTATCCAGAGACCGCCGTATACCAGCGCACGCAGTCCTCCCGCGAGGGGAGGCCAGGAATGTGCCCAGGCTGGAATTCTTCCTTGGAGTGCTCGGCGCCATCCATGATATACGGGCTGGTCAGGTTACAAAAGTCGGACAAGGGATGTCCGACTGTGGCCATTTCCCAGTCCAAAATGCCAATGACCCGCGGTTCGGTCTTGTGGAAGATCATGTTGTCAATCTTGTAGTCGCCGTGCACCAACGTGCCGCGGTCGCGTGGCTGGGTCGACTTCTGGGCAAAGAATTGCACCATATCCTTAAAGTGCGGCAGTTCACCGACGGGCTCCTTGGTATCTTTATCGAGGACTTGAGATTGAGCTTTGGAGACGGTTGTGAAGGTCGCGATTTGTCGATCGTAGAATCCGGAGGGCTTGCCGAAGTTCTCGAGACCAACGGATTTGGGGACGACCGCGTGGAATTTGGCTAACGTTTCGACGGCAGATTTCCATCTTTCCTCCTAGTAAGCAAGATAATTCAGCGCAAAGGTTGAGTTCGTCAAACATACAGAGCGTTCCTCTCCGCCGGGCTCACTCCAGGCATCGCTGGGTCGGTAAAATGACGACCGTCCAAGAACTCCATGATGTAGAATGGGGTGCCAATCACGCTGCTGTCTTCGCAAAGGCAAAGGGCCTCCGGTACAGGTACATCGGTATTCCCAAGGGCCCGAATGACCTGGTATTCTCGGTCGACTCGGTGCGCGGTCTTCGAGAGCAGCTTGCCGGGTGGCTTCTTACGCAGCACGAGCTTCCGTCCATCGGCAGTAGTGATTTGGTATGTTGGGTTTGATTGACCGAAGCCGAACTAATGTAGAGTCCAAAATTAGCGCCTGGTAATACCCCGTTGTTATGACCTTTGGCATCTCTCACCTGCTTCAAATCCAGCGGGGTCTTGACCGCAGGCACGTTCTGGTTGAGGTAGCGCTCCAAAGAGGGCAGATCTATCGGTTGGCGTACTTCGCCCGCCATGATTGCGGGGTGGGGATCAAAGAAAGGATATGGACTAGATGTATTGGGTTAAATGAAGTTCATTGACACGTATATACACCGAGAGAGGGAACCGAAGGGGGTAGATGTCGAGTTGAGCGACCAACAGCCGGGGAACCTCGGTCAACTGTACCTCGGCGGCTCCGAGCGGGGGCCGCGTTTGATTGGTTTGCATGGACCCCAGATCAGATCGGCTTGATTCGGAGTATACAGTGAGTATGGCAGTTGATTACTTCCATGCTTTCCTACGTGTTCTCGAAATTTTGACTTTTGCATACTTCCTTCTTAATAGCTGGCTGGTGAGCGCATCAACTGTGACCACCTTGTTGAGATGGCTCGGTCAAGATTGGGCCGACAACGACCTTGGGTCTGTTTAGAATAGCCATTGAATAGGTAAAGAGTATCAAATGTACGAATCGCACTGTGAAGCACGTGATAAGCTTCTAAATGAGGCGAAGAGTCAATCCCAAGCACTTATTGAGGAATCACGACTCTCGTTAACCTCGATTCGTTAGCTCCAGATATTTTCATGCCTGATACTTTAGGCAGCCTCCCAATGGGAGCCGCAATTGGCACAACCAACGCGACTATCATCTTACCTTTACTCCTCCTCCGCCATTCCTCTTTAATTTCCCACCAGAATGGCCCAAGTTGGACCAGAAAATCTCCCACCGGAGGTTATGTATATGATTCTGGGCTATTTAGGAGTGCCTACCTGGTGGCAGCCCTCGTCCGGCCCCCAATTTTGTTTGTCCAAAAGCCACGAGAAGCCCGACCAACCTGTCTGGTACTCGGTGCAGCGTAACTTGTTACGCAACCTGTGCCTGGTCTGCCGTGAATGGAGGCGACTGGTGGAACCCATTTTATACCAAGAATTCATGCCAGGGCATGGCGGCTCATGGCGTTCCGATTCTTACACCTGGGACCGACGACTAACCTCGTTTATGCGGATCGTGGCTCATCGGCGCGATCTGGCTGCCTAGGTCAGACAAATCTATATCCACAGGTATCTGCTGGCCGACCTCAGTATTGAGAGGCCTGAAAGAGCAAAATGGGCAGCAGCACGCGCGCGCGAGGTGCCCACTCCACGTCCGGAGCCGATCACTTGGCGAGAGGCTAAAGATACACTCCGAGAAATTGCGCGGGCACTAGAGAGCGACGACTTACGGACACTCTCCCCTAGTGATCTACTAGCTGGCTTGATGGCAGAGCTCCCTCATTTGGAACACCTTAGCCTACAAATTGGTGGTGCTGGTTCAATGCTGGGCGCCAAGGGGCTCCGCGCCGCCGAAGTCTCTCGCCTGCCCCTCAAGACAATCGACATTTGCTATGCGGCATCGAAATACGTGGTAGAATGTGCGATGCTGTTGCCTCTTGATGAGTACGTCAGCGACCTGTGGGAGGCCTGTCCCTCCTTGGAGACGCTCAATCTGCACATGTGCACGAGTCTCTGGAATCGGCTCACGCCGTTTCCGCCCCTTCCTAAGCTCACTACGCTGCGTCTCACGCACAGCTGCCAGAGTAAGTCAAACTTGGAACACATTCTATCGGCATCTCAAGGGTTACGTCACTTTTACTACGAATCCACCACCCGTGGCCATTTCATTCCCGGTGATCCGCTTACCCATGACAAGGCCGTGCAACTCGGCGACGCGGTAGAACTTCTTAAACGCCACCGGGCTACCCTCGAAACTCTCCACCTAGATAGACGTCGAGAGTCAATCTTCCCGGGTAGCTTGGACCTTGGACCGGTTGTTAGGTTTCAAAATTTTCCTGCTTTGTACCATCTGTTTCTGAGCATGGATGAGATTCACCTCCGAATTGAGGGGCGAGACACTAAAGAAGACCCGGAACTATGGATCCAGATACTACCACCCAATATCAAGTCTCTTCATTTAGCGTCCACCATCCTGGATGCGCGTTGTCTCGGCGAGGAAAGCCTGATTAGGGGCCAAGCACGCGCGATTTCACGCGGACCATTCTCGTCCTTGCGGGAGGTAAGATGGGGTGCACGACAGAAGAACCAAGGTGAGTGTCAGTTTCCAGTCTGTCCCTTTCAACCGCTACTACCGCATACTTATAAGGACCGCCATATAAAAGTCAAGGAACTGTCAAGTCAGTCGGCCATAGAGGCAATGTTCGCGGCCGCTGGGGTGGACTTTGGGGTCGCGGTGTGGCCGGGAAGTTTAGTAACCTTTTCCGATGCGAGCAAATTCCATCTCGGATACTTTAATGTGGCAACGAACGACAACTATCCCCCGCAGCCCTTGCCAGATGAGGATGAGGATTTATGGTGATATGTGGGATTCCCATACATCACTAGATGAACAGTCAATCAGGGAGGCCACGAGGAAGTGGGAGTTCACTAACTCAGACTGATCGTCGTGGAATGAAGTATCGACGCAATTGATGAGGTCCTATCCCGTATTCCAGGTGTCGGGCTGGTCAACAACCGCCTGTGCCAGGCCACAGGTACCCTTGAACTTCGCATGGGTAGCAAGAAGAGTTTCGCACTGAAGGCTACATGCGCAACGATGTATCGGGGCGGTTCAAAACTAATGGGCTGAAGTAAATCATGGGTCCCTATATTATAGCTACAATAGTTGAACCACACGCTTGGACTCTAGTTTGTGAGAAGTACTTCTCCTCTAGATGGAGCAGTCATGGGTGACCGTGAGGTTGTCACCCGAATGAACTGAATGCTACTGGTATCTCTAACTGCGAACCACAATGAATGGAACACGTTAATCACAATCCATGATATGCCTCCCAATTTTAATTCCAACGGCACGGTTTCACCTTTTTCTTAATCCAATTCATTGGAGTCCAACCATCATTGTCGGCAAGATTCACATCCACCCGCCTGTCCTCCACCAATATTCGTACTGCATCCACCTCGTGCATTTCTGCGGCGTGAGATAGGGCAGTCCGACCTGTACTATCTTGTGCATTAGGATCAACTTCATCTAGAGCGAGCAGTTGCTCCATCACCGATAGTGCCTCTCGGGTCGACGTATCCTGCATGGTGTCTAGTTCAAGCGGTAGCCGACTCGCAACCGAGGTTGCTACCTTCTCCCCTCTGAGCAGAGGGATGATAATTTTCTCCGTTTCTTGTTCGTATGCTTTATCACGAACGAAATCGTCGGGTCTACCCAGAAACCTGCCAGACCTAGCTGCCTGTATCAACGGGGTCATCTTGGGGCGGTCCCTCGAGGACGGGTCCACGCGTCCAGTTTCAAGCAGGACTTTGACCACTTTGCCTGCTCCAAAGAACGCAGCAGATCCCAGTGCTGTCCGACCGTACGACTCTCGGTGATCAGGATCCGCACCTGCTGCAATGAGCATGCTGACAATCTTCTCGTGGCCATTGCTCGCAGCAGCAAATAGAGGGGTAAAATCACACGAGCCCTTGCTGTCAACTTCGACAGCTCCAGTTGCCAACAGATACTGGACCAATTCAGTATCACCCTTTCCAGCGGCATGAAGGAGGGGAGTTGCGCCCGAATTTTCCTTGGGGTCGAGCTCAACACCTGGTGTTTCGAGGAGAATCTTCGTAATGTTGGAGTTTCCAGATTGCACGGCGACAGAGAGAGGGGTCCGCAGTGAGTTATCTCTCATGTTTGGATCGACACCATCCGAGCTTAGAATCATCTTGAAGACAGCTTCATGCCCCTGGTGCGCGGCTGCTCCCAGTGGTGAGTTATATCCGCTCTTGGGCGGCCATGGAGGTGCTTCACGCAGACAGAGCTCAACGAGACTCTCATTCCCACCCCAAGCAGCTGAAGCCAAACTCTGGCCGTCTAGCTTCACGCGACCATCCGCCAGCAGAATTTTGACGATTTCTTCCCGTCCCTCTTGCAAAGCTTGCCTCAAGGCATTGCTGAAGTCAAAGGAGCTAGGAGGGCCAATGCCAAGCTCGTTAATAGCATTCGATGGGATATTGGCTGAATGGTCCAGCAAAACCATTACAGCCTCTGAATGGCCGTTGGCAGCTGCTTTAACAAGTGGCGAGTCATTGTATCCCGAACGCATGTTCAATGCGCTGGGTTGATGGTCGAGTAATAGCTTCAATATTCTCGCATGTCCATTTCTAGCAGCATCCTCGAGTGCCATGAAGATCCATTGTCTGGGGTGAGGCTGGCGGTCCCAATTGTCAAGGTACGAGTGTCTGTCCACCCGAATATCGCCTCCGCGTCGCAGCATCGCCCGCACAACATTTTCAAAGCCATGCTTGGCGGCCCAGTTGAGCGTCTCGTTCTTCTCGTTGCCAGAAATCTGATCATAAATGTATTCACGAAGAAGATTATACCGCCGACGATCAGTTCTCATCAGTGCTGACCTGCTGGCATGGTCTGGTAAATGCTGTGCGATTATGAAATAGAGTTCATTGGGCAGATCGAACAGAGACATCTGCATTTGATTAGCCGCATAGAATTAACTCAAAATGGGACTGGTGCTTACGGCTGTCTCCGGCTATAGTGTCGGTCCCGAGGCGCTCGGTGCCGCGTGTCCTCATGGGCCATACGGAGAGGATGGATTGAAGTCAAGCAAAAAAGGGCCCCACTTACTGGATGGTTGTGTTCAGCCATTTACTAGCCTGATTTGGTTAGATTGGTTTGCTACACCCATAGCTAATTTGTTAAATCATGCTCCTTTGCCAGATAATGTACTTTGTCCAACACATGTATCTTGAATCCCATTCGCTCTGCCTTGTTACTAGTCAATACCTATGTCTTAGCTTGATTTAATGTTACGGATACGTTAAGGTTAGACCTGGACCCCTCGGCCCGCATTTTGGGTTCGGCAACATTATCACCGCCACGGCGGGGCCGCGACTCCCGAGGTGGCTAGGTCCGCCGAGGGTTAACATAGATGGGTTGACTACAGGCAATTGAACTATTGAAAAAAGGGTAGGCACGATTGAATGTCAATCTTGTTTGATGTTTCCGTAATTTGGCGGCTGCGAAAGGCAGAAGATTGGGGTTATCACGCCTATATATATATCCCGTGATATTTTTCGAATTATACCTACGAGCTTTGCAACGATATGGATCCATTGGGCTCGGAGAACGTTGGAAGGTGGCCAAAATAGCCCCATTGCTGGCCAGACGAAAAGGATACATTGCATTGGATATTTTGTCGTTAAGTGCCTAAATTGTCAACCTAGACGTATCAGTCCCAGCCCTGGAGCGTGCAGGATACCCTTCCAGAGGCCAGACTTCAAACCAATGAGGACAATTCATTGGGGCAAGAGCCTCGCTGAAAAGCGGGTTGCATAGATAGATCTTGAACAAGATCAAGGTGAACAGACCTGCTAATTATAAAACTGCATAGTTTATTCTACAGTAATTCATCTCCCTTGAATAGTATGTAGTATGTAGAGACTTGTATACTTGTGATTATAGTCAGGTGACTTTCTTCGGTCCCGGCCGCTTATCTTATCGCTTATCTTATCGTACCCCGAGGACCGGCGAGCGCCGACGAGTTCTCCGCTTCCTCAAAAAGGCGGAGATTCCTATAATCTACAGCTTCTACTCTCGCACTCTCTTACTCGAAGAATTCGCCAGAAAGCGCAAATATACCCGGTGAATCAGAGCTCCCCGAAGCTCCACCATTCAATCACCATGGCGCCCATCCTCACCTCCAATCCAACTATCACACTCGTCCCCGAACCCCTCACACCAATCAACTTCGCGCCATTTGGAACAGTAATCTGCTCACCACTCCCTCGAGAAATCAGCGTCGCTCCTCAACCCTCCTCACTACCCCCCTATGATCCAACCCCAGTCCTAGCAAACCAAAACTCCGCCCTGAAATACAGCCCCATCTCCCCCCTCATCGACGGCTACACCAATGGCTGCCCAAGCGGGAAACCCTCCTCCGCACGGATGACCATGTTCTGCTGCTTCCCCCGGAAACCGCGCATAATCAATGCCAAACAACAACCCGAGAAGGAAGTCTTCGATGTGCGCATTCTCGAGCGTCACCCTTTCACCAATCAGACCTTCATCCCTACCGATTTATCCAGTCATTCCAAGGTGGGTGATGGCGAGGAAGAGCCCATCTTCTTGGTTGTCGTTGCGCCAACGCTTAAGGGCGAGGTAGCCACTGCGAAGAACGCTGCTGGTGAAACAATTACCATCCGCGATCCGCCTGACCTGCGCAATGTGAAGGCTTTCATAGCACGCGGTGGCCAGGCTGTTACCTATGGGGTTGGCACGTGGCATGCGCCAATGGTGGTTTTGGGTCCACGACGAGTCGACTTTGTGGTTGTGCAGCATGTCAATGGTGTCGATGATGAAGATTGCCAGGAAGCTGCCTTTGGTGAGGGCATTGTCGTGGACTTGGGAGTGAAGGGTCAATATGGTCGGCCGGAGAAGACTCCTGCTCGACTGTGGGCGAAGCTGTGATTGGGTTCGAAAAAGAACGAAGCAGGATGAAATTTGTATATTCCCTTTTGAGTGCCTTGCAGTTGATTGCGAGGATGTGATTATTTGGTACCCGGATAGGGCCACGAACAAAACGGTCAGACATCTGTACATAAACGTTCTATACATGTTCAAAATTCGTTGGCTCTTGGCCAGAGATTTCCCCCCAACTTACACATTTCTTGCATAGTGTTAAGTAATTCGATGTCGGCGACTGAGTCTGGATTCGAACGGTCATCTGGACAGCCATTGATCAAGAAACATGCTTGCATGCAACAGGGAGGCGAATGAGAACCGAGTGAATAATTTAATAAGAAGAGTAGCACATTCGGGGTATACATAATATAGATACAAGTATAGTACAATCATTTCGCCAAGAAGGCCTGGAACGCCTTATGCTCAATCACAACATTTCCAACAGCGCGAAGCCTCTTCCGGCCTTCCTTCTGCTTCTCCAACAACTTGCGCCGACGACTGACATCACTAGCATGAAGCTTTGCCAGCACATCCTTGCGGTACGGCTTAATAGTCTCACGAGCCACAATCTTCTTGCCAACGGCCGCCTGGATGATAATCTCGAAAAGCTGTCTGTCGACATGCTCCTTGAACTTGGTGACCCACTGTCTTCCTTGCCAGTTTACCTGACTCATGTGCATGATGCGTGAAACGGCGTCGACTGGGACCTTGTTCACGAGAAGCTGGAGCTTGACGATGTTACCGGCTCGCCAGGCAGACTCTTCGTAGTCTAGACTGGCGTAGCCTTTGGTGTTGCCTTTCAATTTGCCAAAGAAATCATCGACCAAGTGAGCCAGTGGCAGTTGATACTTGAGAATGACCTGGCTGGAGGTGAAGTATTCGATACTCTGCTGTTCACCTCGGTTGGCCTCGCAAAGCTCGATAACCTTGCCGAGGTACTCATCTGGGAATGTGATGGTCGCTAACACGTACGGTTCCTGCACCTCAGCAACCTTCAGACGAACGCTGTCATCATCGGGGAACTTTGCGGGGTTGGTGATGATTTCTTCGGTGCCGTCTTTCCACACAACTTTGACAGGGACCGAGGGAGGAGTAATGATGATACTGGCACCGTGTTCCTGCCGCAGCCGGTCCTCAAATACAGAGCAGTGCAGAGTACCCAAAAAGCCCATTCGGAAGCCAGCTCCTAGCGCCTCGGAGGACTCTTTTTGAACCGTGATACTTCGGTCATTCAGAATGAGCTGGTTGATGCTGTCTTCCAAGTGCTCAAAGTGATCCGCGTTCATGGGATACACGGCGACGAAGACCATAGACTTGGGCTCTTCGAATCCAGGGAGTGGCTCCACAAGCTTCTCAGACCCGACTCTGGTGAAAGTGTCGCCAATTTTGGCCTCTTGACTGCGCTTCATGCCGGGGTTGAAGTAGATGTACCCGACCTGGCCCGCTCGGAGAACGGTCTGAGGGGTCTCGGTGGGGTACATGATGCCAACCTCGCCCACGTAGTACTTGAGACCGGTGACGAACGAGACCAATTGCTGGCCTGGTCGGACCTCGCCGTCAAATACGCGCACTAGGAGAATGACGCCCTTGTATGAGTCGTACCATGAGTCTACGAGAAGCATGCGGAGAGGCTTGGAGGGATCTCCAACGGGCCTGCAGAACGTGTCAGAACAATACAATGCTCACAGAATGGACCAGTTTAAACATACGCTGGGATCTTCTCAACAACTCTTGGTAGGACTTCGGCAACATTCAATCCGGTCTTTGCTGAAACCTTGACTGCGTTCTCGGTATCCAACTCAAACGAGCTCTTCATCTGCTCCAGAGCCCGCTCCGGATCGGCCGAAGGCAGGTCCACCTTGTTGATGACGGGAATCAACTCAAGGCCTTGCGCAAAGGCCAGGTAGAAGTTCGCGACAGTCTGTGCCTGCACACCCTGACTGGCATCGACCAGAAGCAGAGCTCCTCCGCAGCTAGCATAACTGCGCGATACCTCCGCACGGAAATCCACATGGCCCGGGGTATCCACCAAATGGAGCAGATAATCCTCGCCTTTGTGATTGTAGATCATTGTACACGTCTGTGCCTTGACTGTAATTCCTCGTTCTCGCTCGACATCCAATTTGTCGAGTACCTGTTTGTTCATACCGGGCTGAATCGTACCGGTGAGCTCCAGCAACCGGTCGGAAAGGGTGCTCTTGCCATGATCGACGTGGGCGACAATACAAAAGTTGCGATACCGGTCGATAGGAATGGCCGCAATCCGCTTCTCGAGATCCGTGTCCGGGGAGCTTGGAGACGCCTTCGCTCTAGCACTCCAAACGGCTGAATTCGTAAAGGGTCGAAGGGAATTATATCGGGACGAGAAGCCAGCCGAGGCGAGGCTCGCGATCCGACCTTTCGGTGCTGCGCTCAGCCATCGGGCTACCTGCAGACATCCTCGCATCTGGAATCGTGCAATGGCATGGAAGAAGAGAGGATTGCCCTATCTCCTTGCGCTGATCACGATCAACAAAACAGCGAATAGAAGAGGATCGAGACTTTTGACGCAAGGCGGTGTGATTTGCGGAGAAAAAGATCGGGCGGTGAGTCGATCACCGCGGGGACCGTCGAGGTGTAAACAACAAAGCTTCCTGCCTTCTCTTTTCAACTCTGCAACATATCTGCGCTGTTCAGTGATTCCAATTGCTCGCCATGCCTGAAACAAAGGACAAGTCCAAGGTTCACAAGCTGTCCATCCGAGGTCGGTACCCGTTCGAGGGTTTGTTGGTATTATGATGAAGCTTATGAGACAAACAGGATCGGCTAAGCTGGTGTCCGAATTTGTGAGTCTCTCTCCTGCTATGACCCTGGAATGAACAATGGCTAATGGATCCTTAGTTTGAATACTCAATCAATTCAATCTTGTGAGCGGTATATCGTCACCAAAGAACGAAACAGGAGCTCATCGCAATCATCCACCCAGGTTCCAGCGCGCTGTCTACCCTCCCGAGGACTTTACAACGTAAGTTGGGACTCACACCGCGGGAATCTATTTCAATATACTTATACGCTATAGTGTCAAAAAATATGGCCTCAACATGCTCGGTGCGTCCCTCCTTCCCTCGCGGCAACCGACAATCATCTTTCGGACACCCCATGCCCTTATCGATCCAGTCTAACCTGATGATAGTGTCCGCGGATGACCAGGTCAAGGCATATATCAAGAAGATCATGTCACAGCTGAACAAGTGGATGGCTAGTGGAAAAATCTCGAAGCTTGTGGTTGTCATTACCGACAAGGAGACCGGGGAACATGTGGAGCGTTGGCAGTTTGACGTGGAGATCTTTGGCAAAAGTTCCAAGAGCCAGAGTTCCCGCAAGGCCGGCGATAAAGAGAATGCTGTGCCTGGGTAAATATGCTCTTACTCTTTCCGATCCATTCTTAAACTTCTATCCGCGGTGCTAACCAAAGTTGGTTGAATGCAACAGAGACGGCGACGGCCCAGCCCCCGAGCCCGTTGAAAAGACCGAGAAGGAGATCCAAGAAGAGATTCAAGCCATCTTCCGCCAAATTACTGCCTCCGTCACCTTCCTCCCCGTTCTCGATGGCGATTGCACATTCAATGTTCTCGTCTACGCCGATGCCGACTCGGATGTCCCCGTGGAATGGGGTGACAGTGATGCCAAGGAGATCAAGAACGCCGAGAAGGTCCAGCTCCGCAGCTTCAGCACCAACAACCACCGTGTTGGCACTCTTGTCAGCTACCGACTGGCTGATTAAATGGAGGGTGCTGGGTGGCGTTTCATGACCCGATACGAGGGATACAGCTTGCATAGGCGTTTTGGCGGGTTGAGTTTGGTTATTTGATGTTTCAACGTGTATATGTGGTGTCTAATGAATGCTGCATTACTTTTATATGATACAATGCGATTTTCATGATGGCGGATGTCCATAGTACCAGGGCAATCTTTCTATGTTCGGAAACCATTCGTTTCCTCCTCCTCCATCCCACGCAACCAATTGCTCCACGACGGGCTCGGACATCCCGTCGAGACAGAGTTCGTGAATAATTTCTGTTTTCCACCCTCGGATGATGCGTTTGCCAGCCAAGTCTTGGCCGACGCCGTACAAATCACGTCGCCATAATCCGATTCCCCGAAGCGATTCGCCCCGGATCAGAGATTCAATGGGAGTAACCTCTTCAGGCGGATCGATACCAATTACAGATACTCTTGGGTCATGGACAACTTCCTCGCTGGCAAAGCGATGTAGTAAGCCCATAGCAGGAAAGTGACATTCCACAAAACGGGCGCGTTTGAACTCGTGGGTCACGACAGTGACTCGGTTAGGGTATACGCCCGTGTGAAATCGAAAGCGTAGTATCGAGAACAATACGTTTTGATAGGAGTCCGTTGCATGAGATTCTGCAACGACTCTTGATGGATCGATTGTAGATAGATCCGGCTCGTGCTGGAAGTAGTTGTTGTCCCGAACTAGGTTCTATGGTCTCTGTTAGCCTGTTATTCACAATTAGGATTCAGCCGGTCTAACCAGGTATGATTGCCCTTCGCTAAGATCGGTTCGAGGCCTTTTGGTTGGACCACTGTGTAGAAGATATCAATTAGATATGGCCGAATTTCCGTATACTTCCAGGCTTCTTACCCTGAGAAGACAAGTAGTCCATGGGGATCATTTGCAAGGGCTCGTAGTCCAGCCTTGGCATGGTTAATGAAAGTTGGTGTCTCTTCTCGCTGGAACGGCTCAATTAACCTGTCAACAGAAATTGGAAAGATTCAGTGGACAGTAATCTTGTGGGCAACAATTGTTTATATTGAACTTGAGCCTACCATTCATTCTCCTCAAGCCCGTGCGTTGGACCACCAATATAGATTGCGTGACAACAAACGACGATCAAATGGGTTAGACGGTCAGTGATGGGGCAATTTTCAAAGGCCATGCTCCTTCTGATTATACTGTTGGTGGTGGAAAGCTAATTCACGAGAGGACAGCGCAAGTTCAGATCGACCAACCAGGCGGGATTCCCCTGCGTGAACAGCGTGGCCCGTGCGGACGATGCCGATCGCGATGACGCTCTTCCACGATGAAAGGACCAGCAAGAATCACCCTCGAGACAAGATAGATTCGATTGGCTTGTGAAACTGTGGAGGTGAAAACACTGTACAGCCTATCCAAAATCATCGGTAGAAGTTGCAGCTATTGACTAAGTTTCTATCATGCGACCCATCTTGACTAACACGTTATCATGCGTGTTCAAGGAGTGCCGCCCACAAGGCATTTGGTGGGAACGAGGATTCTCTCGTTATTCTCCATCATACAGCAGACAAATAAACAATGGATTTCCAAAACACACGGTGTCATTCACCACTAGAGTGGCAAGTCCGGGGGTCCCGAGGAATGCATTCAATATCAATCAATATTGCCGACACACTCATACAAAGCCCACACCACAAGATATACTGAATCTATCCCTCTCCCTCTCCCATGGACGCATGAACGGAACAACCGAGTTGACATGCACTCTTTTTGACGCGAAAGGGGCGATCGAGATGCCTGAGACCCGCCTGACCAAAGCCAATATCGCTCGCCAGTACGATGTCGACGGGCGAGACCTGCGAACGGTAGATGCAGTATCAGAGGGAATCCCCCATTTCGTCGTTCGACCAACGACAATCTTTATCAGCCTTTTTTCTTTGAGACTTTTGATTCAATCGGATCGAGCACTCTTGATCAGATGTGGCTCCAAGGACGGCGACCCCCATGCCTTCCTCGAGGAGATCTTTGTCACAGATCTTCAGAGTAAAATGTGCGGCAATCATCGTTCTGGGTTCCCGATTTCACTTCCATATGAACTTCGCGTCTTCGAGGCAGCATTAGCATCCGTGACTGCACACTTAGAGGCAGAGCACTCGCTCATCCGCAAGGATATCGAGTACAGCCTGAAAGATCTACAAAGCGAAGACATCACTTCAACCGGACCGAGGACGTTACTAGAGAACGGGAAAAAGCTCGTCAATATCGAACAACGCGCTCGACAGATGCGTACCGCACTGCAAGAATTGCTAAGCAACGACGAAGATCTCGCCGAAATGTACCTCACCGACCAAAAGGCCGGCCGACCCCATGCCATCGAAGACCATCAAGAAGTCGAGTACCTACTCGAAGCATATTATAAAAGTCACGACGCGATTGTTGAATCCGCAGGGGCCTTGTTGAGTGAAGTACACCGTACACAAGATGCAATCTTGTCTGTTCTCGATGTGCGACGCAATCAGATTATGGTCTTTGAGGCGCAACTTGAGATTTGCATGTTGGGATTTGCGGTTTCAACATTCGTTGCAGGCTTGTATGGCATGAATGTGATCAATTATCTGGAAGATTATCCTTATGCGTTCCCGTCCCTGGTAGCGGGATGCGTGATGGGGACGCTGATACTCGCACGGATCGGGATGTCGAAGCTGCAGAAGTTCCGAAGATATCGGCTGTGAACGCAGCGCTCTTGTCAATTCTAGAGTTTGGAGTGACACCAGGGGAGCAGCAATAAGAGCTGGCTCTTCTACGGCTTGAAGAACTTGCGTTGTCACTGATCAGACAAGAAATCAATTGAAGCGATATGAAGTTGAACAAAATTCCGAAAAAAATACAGCAAAATAACAATATCCATGCAAGCCCATGCGTAATCAATCCACACTACCATTCTCCGCCAACTTCGTAATGGAAGATCTTGTCGTTGATTCTTCCGCCGGTAAACCGCCACAGTCGAGCAACAGACTGTCAGTCGTTAGCTCCCATTCCATGAAAGTCCTCGCTCGAATACTTTTATTTTACATACCGCATTTAACCATACGCCGTGCAACATGATCTGAATGAAGGCATACTCGGCAGGGTGCCCATTACCCGCCGGGCGATCGCCCAGGTCGAGTCGAGAGTTGGCAGGACGATACGTCGGCATACGACGATGATGAGTCGGCCAGTCAGCCGGCTGCTCTGAATTCACCGGTACAGAGGAGCCATTCTGCTCAGATCCGCTATGATGGACCTCGTAGTCGGCGAGGACAGACAACGAGCGTGTCGTGGTAGTAGTAGCAGTCACAGACATGATGGCGCGGGTAACGATTCTGGAGAGAGGTTTGATGAATGTCTTCACCCACGTATCAAATGAGTCGGGCTCGCTCATATTCCGGAGATAACTAAGCGGATCTAATTAGTTACCCTTAGTATGCAATAGGAAAAAACGGGGGGGAATGGGGGGTTGCAATGACCCACGGCCAAACTGGGGGAGAGTCGACGGGCGCCCGCATTCTCCCCCACATCCCGATGGACTTTTGGCGCAAGGAAGCCTCGGAGGAAAAATAGCTGGTAATGATAGCTCCGAGCACAAAAATGTGCTGGTCTGATGCTTGGAGAAAGTGGGCGCGTACTTCTTCAAGTGTTCTGGGGGATTTTCTGTCTTGACCTTTTTGTGATTTTGTCGTTTCCGTTCTCCTCTATACTACCCGCCGTTCATCATGGAGCTTGCCCGCATTCTCGCCGCTAATATCGACGGCCGCACTCAGAACACGCGGTACCGCCAAGCGCAGTTCCATCGTCTGCAGGCTGTGCTTGTTGAGCACATTGCTGAGATTCAGGATGCGATTCGAGCAGACTCGGGACATACCCAGCAGGAGATTCGTGCAGAGGTAGTCCTGGCGCTGCAAGAGCTGCGAACACACTATACATCCCTGAGCTTGAAGAAGGATTTGGAGGTCGAGTATCGCATTGCAAATGGAAAAGACAATGCGGAGAACGTGCAAGGTGCTGGTATTGTGTATATCGTGCCGTCCACGCATACTCTGTTCTTCTCGGTCATTTCTGCGTTGACCGCAGCTTTGGCGGCCGGTAATTGCATCGTTTTGGAGGTAAGCATAGTCCTTGGAAACATAATATATGAATGGAAGCTTACATTAGGATTATGTAGCTCCCCCAGACGACCATGGCCCTGCCAGCGTTTTTGCGCCAGATCCTCCCCGATGCCCTGGATCACGACACCTTTGCGATTACGAGCCAACGACCGGACAAGTCATTCCTGGACAAGGCTCTGATGGTTGTGCAGACGGGCGCAGATGGATCCCACGGACTCATTTCACCCGCAACCTCGCGCAGTGTTGCTATCGTGGATCGCACCGGCAAGGTTTCCGAAGCTGCTCAGGCTCTGGTCGCGGCTCGTTTTGCGCTGGGTGGACGCTCACCATACTGTCCCGATGTTGTGCTGGTGAATGAGTTTGCGATGAAGCCATTTATCGAGGCCGTCATTCAGCATGCTTCGAAGTACCTTGCTGGTGAGAATGGTGAAGCTAGACAGGTCTCCACGTCGCCGCGACGACCGGGTGTGCTTGACTCGATTCACAAAGATAGAACTGCCCGCGTTTTGGTATCGGGCAGCAACTGGGGCGTGGTTGAGGTTCAGGATCGGTAAGTCTTAGCTGATGTACCGCGGCGATCTTGATTTGGTGCTAATTCGTGTAGCAACTCTCCCCTGTTGAAAAAGAAGATCGATGAAAAGGTGTTGCTTGTGCATCCTGTCACCAGCTTGGATGACGCTATCGACGTCAATTTGTATGTTTTCTCTTCTATCTTCTGTGATGGAAACACCCTGCTAACTAAAATAGCAATGAGAACCTCGCTGCTGTTTATGCCTTTGCTGCACCTGCTTCAGCCAAGTACCTCACTCAGTTTATCGACGCTGACATCTCCTGGGTGAACCACGTCCCCAGCCACATGCTGAGTACGTATCAAAGCTCCTCTTCATTCCCTAACTTGTCTCGATCATTCTCAATACATATTTCCCCGGATTACGAATATCTTTATTGACATTCATTTCTAGTTGGCCCTGCCCTTCCCCGCAACACTCCTTACAGCCCACAAACCCGCTACGCCACATCGCAATTCCAAAAGCCCCGACCCCAACTCATCAACCCCTCTGCTACCGCCTACGCCACGCATACAATTCTTGAGAGCGAGAATACTGTACGATCTGACGCCCTTTGGCGTGAGGCATTGGCACCTTTGCCCTCGACCAAACAGAGACCTGGATTCAAGATTGGATTCTTCGAGCAAGGTATCATTACTGGCGTTAGTCTCACACTGATCTCGCTCGTGGCGACAGTGTCGACGCTGGGATACTATACCTGGGCGTATGTGAGGATGCGCGGTTAATCGTTGTTTGTGACTATTTGTGTATCTATTCCATACCTTCTTTCTTCGTTGTACGTAGCGTTCATTTACTGTTGTCGCAATATGCACTTATAAACTTGTTTGATAGAAGACCTTGGGTATATACTTGTAGTTGCGTAGTGCGGAATGGAGTACTCGATCTGTCAAGATACAAAGTAATTTTGAAAATTCAATTCGGCAGAAAATATCTTTGAGATTTCATTTTATTTCATAAATCTTCGCATCTATATACTGTATACATTCCCTCTAAGTGCTAGCCCGAACACCAATACCATCAACAACCTCACCCAGACTCTTCCCCCCAATCTCCATAGGCTGGGAAGGAGCAAGAACGTACAACATGCGCGCCCACTGCGGGGTAACCTCCTTCGTAATGGGGTCCACAACGTCAGGAGTAACATTGCGCCAGGCATGGTTGGTACCACGCTGAACAGCAACATCACCACGCTTAAGCAGTCTCGTCTCGCCCGAATCCAGAACAAGCTCGACTTCACCCTCCAGCACGACGCCATAATCCAGCGAAACGGTGCGGTGCATAGGACTCAACGAGCCGGGCTGCATGTCCACGATGCGGCAGACGGTGCCGGTGGAAATTGTGATGCCGGGGGGCTGGTGAGGTAGCCCTTGTACTCGTCGACGTCGGTATCGTTGTTCAGTTGTGCGGGGAAGTGGTCGGAGGTATAGGCGAGACTGAAGTCTGCGCCGTCTGGGATTCCCTGGACGGGCATTTCCTCGGAGAGGGCGCTGGAGAAGATGGCTTGGCCGTCGGCATTGTGGGTGGTGATGTACCGGTTGAGTGGGCGGATGTTCTTGGGGGTCTTTGGGGCCATGATGGGCTGATGTTTTTTTTGAAGAAATGGAAGAAAAGGAATTGATCAATGGGTTGATTGCTAGGTGGTGTGGGTGGTAATCGTCTTGTTTGTACCCTGATCTATATCTCTCGTGCGGAGCGTCATTCTCGGGACCACTTTTGACCACATCGGCTGTGGGGTAATGGCCGCACGGACTTTAGAGCTTCGGAGATAAATGACTTCCGTGTCGGCTTTTTGGATCGGGAACTAGTGGCATGCAGGGCAGGGTCTATTTTGCGCTTTTTATGGTTCGGCATATGGGTACCTTGCCAGTTTATGCAAGCCACGTTGGTGAGCAGCGAAATGAAGAAGTGCCGTAGGTTGACACACGGATATCGGGTGGCTGAGAACTGTACTACAGCTCAATTGCAAGCTCGAATTCGAGGTCAAGTCAGTAATTTAGTAATGATACAGAAATTTCTCATTGAATTCTAATAATAATCCGCGGAAATATTTTTGTCTATTAATTGAAGTTACTATCTGGAGATATCCGATATGGCAAATTAGTGCAAAATAAGAAATATGTTCATTTGGTCTATATCATTCATTTACAATCATTTCTGCCTATTATGTGACACTTCAAGGAATAATAGGAAGAGTCACGTAGTTGTCGCCCAGGCCAAAGTGAATGTGGTTCTGGCCCTGGAAGCGTTCCACGGAGCTATAATATCTGTTAGCACTCTGTCCATCAAGCCACGAAGAACAAAGAACATACCGATCAACAGGGGAGTTATGTTGGAAGATACCGCAACCCTGAGTATCACCACTGGAAATCTCCAGAATAATCTTACCACCCTTCTCAACAACAACGTTGGTAGGCCAAACCTCCACGTCGACCGGGTAAACCTCACCGGGCAGAACGGGCTGCACATCCGTAGAGTAGTAGTTACGATGAGGCAACCAAGGTCTGTTGCGAGTGTTTTGCTCATCGACCTTGCGCATGCTAGCACGCAGCCAGCCCTTGCACAGGGGAACGGGGTCACCAGCGGTACCAGTGTAGAAGACCTCCTTGCCTTCGGGGGAGATGTAGCGGAGAGTGATGAAGAGATCGAGATCCTGAGGGGTAGGAGCGCCGGGGATTGCGCTCATGGACACGTTAAGATGGGCGACGATGTGTCCAGTGATCTCAGTCTCCTTCTCAAATGCTGGAGTGACGAACTGCACCAGTTGGGGGTTGGCCATTGTGCCCAGAGCCTGGTAGGAGATCTTGCTGGGGCGCTCGGCGGGAGCATGTGTGATGAGTTCACGCTGGGAGGTGAGGTAGAACTTGGTGTATTGAGTACGGGCAATGGGCCACTCGTGCTCGATACGACGAGGGAAGAGCTTCTCGGCTTCGGCATTGTTGAAGCCAGCATCGCCCTTGCGCAGCACCATATCGACCTTGGGAGCCTTGCCAGTCGACCAGCCCTCCCGGTCCTCGCCCTTGAGGAATGCATCCAAGAAGCTGCGCTGGATCTCAACCTCCTCGGCGTAGTAGAAGGGAAGGTCGTGACGACCAGTGATGAAGCGGAGGTACTTGAATTCGGAACCGGCGTGAGTCCATCCTTCAACGTTTCCACGAAGATGAAGAAGAATACCACCCCAGTTGGCCACAGACAGCAGAGGCACCTGGATATCGGAGAGACTGTACTCCTTGGAAGCGTAGTAGAGATCGTCGCGGAACTTGTTCTCCACATTGTCGATAGTCTGATCCTGGCGGTTCTGCACCAGCTCTTCCTCTGACAAGTCTCCCTCAATAGTATCAGGACCCCAGTTGCGAGCGGCGCGACCTCCCAGACCGTACTGGTTGCTCACCACCTGGCGATCCCACCAGAACTTGATGAAAGCATTGGACAAGATGCCACCGTGTCTGCAGCGATCGCGATAGTAATCCGACATACCCTCCCATGGAATCATACAAGCAAGACCCTTGGGCTGACGGGCAGCGACACGCCATTGACTGCCGGCGAAGTAACTGATTCCCAGCAGACCGACCTTACCAGAGGACCAGGGCTGCTCAGCGGCCCACTCGACCACATCGAAGAAGGCCTCGCTGGTGCCCCGCGACATGGTATCGAGCTTGCCGACCGACTGGCCAGTACCACGCTCATCTGCGCGCACCACGGCATAGCCCTGAGTGGTCCAGTACTTGGGATCGGGAGTCTCCCAAGCAGAATGCTCCGAGCGCTGTTCGGGGTTGACCTCGCTGAAGCTCTGAGGGTGGAAATCCTTGTAAGGAATGTCCTTGCCATAAGGACCGTAGGTGACCAAGACCGGGACCTTGTCGGAAGTCTTGGGGCGATAGACGTTGCATCGCACCAGACCCGATTGGTCCTTCAATGAAATGGAGACATTCTGTTCGTAGATGTAAGGGAAGGAAGTCTCATCCTTGGTGGTGATGTCCTTGATCTCGTTCGGCATTTTTGATGATTTGCACCGAATATGTTCACAAGGAAAAAAAAAGATAGACCAAAAACCAAGCTCGGTATCAGTTATCATGCCATAGCAGCAGCAACAATTCATATACATTCGTTCCCCCGCTTGTGGCCGCGTCGTTCTCTCCGAGGTGGAGCCGAAATGGACATCCGAGGGCCTCCTCCAAACTGACCCAACACGGCCCCAAAGTGTAACCCGAAGGAGGGACACGAGGGGGCGGGACTATCGGAAGAATGTGACTATATCACTATGGCCATAAATATTTACCCCGGACGCGCGGAAGCTGCGGGACGTTGCTTTTTGGTTTCAGTTGCTATACCGTTAGTAAAGGGTTAAACTGAAGATGGCGATTAAAGAACTGAACGGTGAAACCGCGACCGGAGGCCTTCGTGTCTTGATCGTCGGTGCGGGCATTGGTGGTTTGACAGCAGCTATTGCTTTGCGTCAGCAGGGTCATCGTGTTGAGGTGCGTTTTCTGAGTTGCTCAGTGCAATGAGTATAGGGAGATATAGTTCGGGATTGTTGTATGCTGACCCACCACCTACTTGACAGCTCTTCGAGCGATCGCGATTCGCAAACGAAATCGGCGCTGCTATTCATTTGTCTCCAAATGCCAATGGAGTCCTGCAAAGACTGGGAATTGATGCGACCAAGTTTGGCGCTGTCGAGTGTGAATTGGTACGTTCTACTCCGCTGTGTTTTCGCTTGTGCTTGAACTAATCGTCTTTCTAGTTGCGAGAGTATACCCCGGCTGGAGAGCCCGTTCACATCACCGAAGTAAAGCAGCATGCAGGCATGTGGCGACACGTTAGTACAATTCTGAACCTTTTGATTTGTACATTTTAGTTGACTTCTATGACTAGAGCTGGCTGCTCGTCCACCGTGCCCACTTCCACGAAGGACTCAAGGCTGCGGCTCAACAGCCTGGCAAGGGAGAGCCTGCCGTTCTGCACACTGCCAGCAAGGTTGTCGACGTCGACCCGCACAATGCGACCGTATCTTTGGAGAACGGCGATGTCATCAAGGGCGATGTCCTGATCGGTGCCGACGGCGTGCACTCCCTCACTCGCACCAAGCTCACGCAGGACATCAAGCCCGCCAGCTCGGGCAAGAATGCTTTCCGCTTCCTCATTACTCGCCAACAGGCACTCGATGATCCCGAGACGAACAGCATCGCCCAGGACTTTGGCGCAGTCGATATGTGGGATTCCAACGACCGTCGGGTGGTCATTTACCCTTGCGCTAACAATGAGTTGCTCAACTTTGTCTGCATTCACCCGGATTCAATGACGACTATTGACGCAGCTGGTGATTCCTATAATCAGCAGATTGGAAAGGAGACACTCCTCGAGGTGTTTAAGGATTTCAACCCGCAGGTGCGCAAGCTGCTCGAGAAGGCTGATCCCCAGACGCTGAAGCTGTGGCCTCTCCTCGATATGCCCACTCTGCCAACATGGGTGAATGACCGCCTGGCTGTGCTGGGTGATGCCGTTCATCCTTTCCTGCCCTACCGTGCTTCCGGTGGCGCTATGGCTATTGAAGATGCAGTCTCGTTGTCCGTCATGCTGCCACGAGGCATTACGGCCGCCGAGGTCCCGGAGAGACTGAAGGTCTATGAGAAGGCCCGTCATGGACGTGCCACCACTGTTCAAGAGATGACTCGCGAATCTGCGCAGCTCTTGGCTCCTGAGAAGGGTAAGTCTACTCGCGACTACCGATAGTTTCCCGCGAGAAATAAATTTACTAACATTCATCTACAGCATTCGGTATGGTCGTGTACATCTACGGCCACGATGAGTTTGACCATTCCGCCCAAGTCCTCCGCAAGCACCAGTGGGAACAAAACCCGCACATGTACTGGCGCCAACCCATCGTGTTCGGACCCATGCCCGGTCCCCGACAAGACTTCATGGGCAACGACCGTGCTCTGAAATCCCTCGAGTCCACCTTCCAAACCGCCTCAATCAAGTTCAAGACCAGCCGCACCCTCCTGCAGAACCTCTTCCCATCAGACCGCTACAGCTTTATTTCCCCCGGCAGCGTAGCCCGCGCCAGTTTCTCCCAGACCACCCTGAACGGCATGGACTGGCTGGGCGGTGGTGGCTACCGCCACATCGGACTGTACATCCACGGAGTGCAGTATAAGAAGGAGAACGGCGAGGTGCTCAAGGGTACTTACATGCCGATTTTGTTCGAGAGTCTGGCAGATCCTATCGTGTCTGGCCGGGAGGAACTCGGTATGCCGAAGCTGTACAGCGCTATTGACATTCACGAGCGAAACAGCTCGTACCGGTACCAGACCAGCTGGCAGGGTGCCGTATGGGGACACTTTGAGCTGGAGGATCTAGAGGACGAGGATCCGACCGCGGATAAGGGTACTATCGGCGGTGAAGATGATGATGGAATTTTGGTGTACCGCTATATCCCCAAGGTTGGTCGGGATACTAAGGGTGAAGCCGAGGCAGAGTATCCCGTCTTCGTTCCTCATGCGCAGGAATCCAAGGTTGTGCCTTCGAAGGTGACGCGCCTTCGTCGGACGAAGAATGCTAAGATTGAGATTAATGCGCTTGGATGGGATGCTTTGCCCACTTTGAACCATGTCGTGTCTCGCCTCGGTGAGATTCCTATTGATGAGATTATTGATGCTAAGATCACCGAGGGTCGGGGTGTGCCTGATGTCTCTAGTGCTCAACGAATTGAGTAATGTGGATGATGGGAAACTGTGATAGAATAGTTTGTGAATGAAATGGTTTTTTATCTGTTGACAAAAATTGAATATCCATGTTACGTCTTCTGATTTGAATGGCTGTCCACCAATTGGATCTATAGAAATACAAGACTTTCACCTAGCACAGGGTAAAGGGAACACAAGAAATCCAGAACCTGTAAAAAGAAGACTGATCAAGAGGAATAAGCTGTCCGAGCAGACTCCTCGGCCGTAGCAGCCTAGTCCATACAGCCTTATTCTTCTGTATACTAACTCTCGGCGTGGTAATGCTTGCGCCGAGTGTGGGGACATTCGGGCCGTGGCATAAAGGCGACTTCTAGGGAGAAGTACCCGAATGGAAGTAGAATAAAATGGTATATTTTATTAGATGAGAAATACAGATAGATAAGACATTAATTGAACTCTCAGGTACTCTGTATACATTGACTACATCACTATTCGCCTTTGCAACATACTTGCTGGAGCGGGTAAAAGCAGAGCCCGCCAGCGACTTCCCAACTTCACTCGGTAAACGAGCTTCTCCTCACGTCCTCACAACGCCAATTATCCTCCACCACACTTCCCAGCACGACCATCTCGGGAATACTTGACATTGACCTACGAACCAAGTCACAGACTTCATAATGGCAGCTCGCAACACCCTCCGTCGGTCTCTGCTATACGGTAAGCAGACCACAACCACTCGCGCACCGCGTCTTCCCCGCATTTTCCATGCGGAGCTCCTCGGCTTGCTCAGGATGCTAACAATCGATTCTCCCCACCACGAATAGTCCCCGGCTCATCGCAGCGATTCCTCGATAAGTCCCGCTCTCTTGCGGCGGATTGTCTCACCTATGATCTCGAAGACAGCGTTACACCACACATGAAGGCCGAGGCCCGGTCGCTGGTGCGGAGAGCGATCGATCAGCCGACGCCGGAGAAGATTCGCGAGCGTGCGGTGCGCATTAACTCGGTGGACAGTGGGTTGGCACTGGGGGACCTGACAGAGGTGGTGAGTAGTATACAGTTCCGAACTGTAGAACGCCGCGGGGCTAACCTTGTTCAATCTAGCTGCAATCACCCAACTTGACAACCATCGTCATTCCCAAGGTCAATTCAGCTTCGGACTTGACATTCGTCACCGACGTCATCAGCCATACCTTGTCCCAGCTCCCATCCCCGGAAAAGAGACCTCCAATCTCACTCCTCGCCCTCATCGAGTCTGCTAAGTCCCTCACGAATCTCTCCGAGATCTGTTCTGCCTCGCCTCTCCTCCAAGGATTGATTTTCGCCGCTGAAGACTTCGCGCTGGATCTGAGCATCACACGCACACCTTCATTGACGGAATTCCTGTTCGCGCGCTCGGCGATCGCAACTGCTGCTCGTGCTGCGAACCTCCCGTCTACGATTGACCTGGTCTGCACTGCATACAAGTCTGATAAGGCGGATGGATCTCCGCCAGCCGCGTTGGAGGAGGAGTGCCGCGATGGACGTCGATTGGGCTTCAATGGGAAACAGTGTATTCACCCTTCGCAGGTGAAGACGGCGAATGAGATCTTCGGGCCGGACCCGGCCGAGACTACATGGGCGATGCGCGTTGTCATTGCCGATGACAAGGCCGCTGCTGCGGGACGAGGTGCGTGGACGCTGGATGGTAAGATGATTGATGTACCCGTTGCGCATAAAGCTCGGGCTATCGTGAAGAAGGCCGAGGCTTGTGGTGTGGATGTCAAGGCTCTGCGGGAGAAGTGGCAGCACCAGGAGCCTGAGTAAATCAGGCATAAAGGGAAATGGGAGAACTGTATATGCTGAGCACAATATGGAGATGGTTATGATTCCGTGAAGAGTGGTATTTTTGATATCATATTCAAATAGGAGACGCTCGTCAATAAATAATACACAAATGGCCTCGAAGATTGATGTCTCGCTCCCCAAGGACTTTCCACCGGCAGATATTATCGTACACGCTTTTATAGTCATACAGCGCCTTTTCCAAGGCGGCAGGAGTATTTTTGCTCAACAAATGATGGGAGAATAGATGGTCGACGCGATTTGCAGACGGAAGAAATCTCGATCAAAATGCGAACAATGAGACAATCGGCCGATGTTGATCATGAGCTCGGAAGGAGGCGTAAAGAGTTTCGGCAAGTGGCGGACAGTATGGTAGAATCCCTCAAGACGTTCATTTCTCACCCAGCATCTCCTTGCGCATTTCCTCGCGCTGTATCCTCGATTCCTCCTTAGCCTGAGCACGCTGCGCCTCGAGCTGCGCCCGCTTGCGATCCTGCTCTTCTTGCGCGGCGTACCAAACTAAATCAACACAAGACCCTGCATTAGCCATACCTCCTCATCAATATTCAGGTGTAAGCTCCCAACATACTCGACTTATCCGATTTAGACCACTCCTTCAGCTTCTGGACATAATCATCAAACTCCTGGGCCTTGCGATCGCCCTGCTCCGCGCTGCGCTTTTGCAGGTCCGGGTTATACCGCTTGACGAGCTCTTCGTCTGAGGGGCGGATGTATTGAACGAGTGCTGGACCACCTACACAAAAGAGGATGCCACTGAATTAAGAAACGTTGTTAGCTGGGTTGACTCTGGGCGGGAGCAGGGATATCACTGACCCTCCGATTGCTTTAGCCCACATTCCAGCGCGAGACATGATGGATGAGTTGTGTACTGAGGATTGGAATTAATTCTTTGGGATGACTTGAACGTAGATCGTGGATTTGTATCTCTTGTAAGAAGAAGATGCTGTCCCCGAGTTGAGGGGAGGACGGGGAAAGTTGGCGATGATCATCTCGGCTGCAAACTGAACAAACACCGCGAGCCCGGGGATTTGCTTAATCGCCCTCCTGATTGGGTAATGGAAGTATTCAGGCTGTCAAGACTCGAGATGGCCCTTTGGAATTGAATTTCAACAATTATTGAATGGCAATAAGGAGTAACATAGCAGGTCATAGAAATAGCTTGCCCGGATGAAATCAGTCATATTCCGAGACTTCAGTTTTCCAGAGGCAGGTGTTTTATTTGGGGAATCACTCGAAGAAAACGGCCCCCGCATCGATTGTATGTGTATACTTCGCTTGGAAGGCATTCTAAACATAGTATGACTTGCCTCGTTTGTTGAAAGTCAAGTATAGGTCAACGATGTATAGTGGACCTTGATACAAAATGGGCAACTGTTCACGTGCAATAGTACTCTCTACCAGCCTAGACATAAGCTTCACCTTTTAAGACTCATTAAGCAAAATCAAGCGAAGGTACTCGCCATTAGGATCCGTAGATTATCGGAAGGCTTTAAAATGTGGAGTGAAACTATATTTGAAAGCTATGGATGTCTCTTTCTTATGTGCGTTTGTCAAACTTTGATTTCCCATTTGGCATTATTCTTGGACACAAAAATAAAGCAACAAATCATTCAGAGATCCACGCTTCAACAATATGCTTGATCATATGCCCATCATCTCGTCACCACCTAAAACAAATAGATTTCTCTCCTGCAGACCCCCACGACTTGCCGCTGCCGGGTCAAAGTATCGAGACGTGGTCGGTGTGTCATTCCCATTGAAGGTCTCTCCGTCCGAAGGCCACTGAGACTCGTCATCAAAATCAATACAATCATTTAGAGCAGTTGAAAGATTAACTGGGCCGAAGGCGAGGAGGGGCACAGTCGAACTAACATTTGCAGGGCGATGAAAGTATCGACTCGTGCTCGGCGGCGTCGGCGGCACAGCAACCTCAAGCATTTCCACCTCATTAATAGTCGGGCAACGACCGGGCGGGCGAACATTCAACTGCACGGAGTTATCTGTGTCACTAGCGACAGAAAAGTCGGGGCTAGGCGTATCACGCCGTGGACAGTGAGCCTCCGGAGACTGGGACATGTTGTTCTCCTCGGAGCTGGACTCTGAGCAGCTCCCATCGTCACTCTTGGGTGGCACATAGGATCTGGTCGACTCACTCATGCCCCGCGCAACTCTCCGTTCTTGGTTACCCAGAGCGTAGTGTATTTCTTCCGACACGACGGGCTCCGGCGAGCTGGCCGAATCTAGCAGTTCCTCACTGTCCCGACAAGTATCCCCAAGATTCATTGTCCATGCCTGGTGAATATCCGTTGCGAAATACCAGCAATACTCTTCGGTTACACCGAGCTGCTGCGCTAGACGCACAAGGATCGAAGAATGGTCTTTATGGCCCTGAGTCTGGAGATTGAGTCGTAAGTCTTGGCGCAGACGGCGATGGCATGTCCCCTCCGCTTGGATAAGGGATAGCTGGAGAAACTGCTGGATCTCGAGATCACGGGAGGCTACATCTTCCAGAGTGGCAATGTCAAACGTACAGACAACTGCCTCACTGGGAACATAACCCCAGATCGCGAACTCGCCGTACCCTTTCCACCGACGAACAGTGGTCCCAGTGGTTTGTGCCAATGGCTGTGCATTGAAGACAGGAGTCGGTAGCTTCCGAGGATCGACCACTGAGATTTTGGCATCGTCACGATTTCTCAACGCTCGATGGATCGGGGCCAGTGGTCTCGCAAACGCCGAAATGAAAGGTGTAGGAATGTGTACCCTTGTCACATGAGAAGTGAAGATTCCCAGAAATTCTTCTTGGGATAATTGTCCAGGGAAAGTGACATTAGGGTAGCTTCCTGTGAACCAACCAGCGACAAGGATAGACTCCGTGTTCACGCCCTGAGAGTTGGTGTTCGACCAACGATAGAGCAATGGTGGCAGCTCATCGACACCACATAGGCCAGGAAGGTGGTTCGAATCGTGCATGTTGAGATCAGCTGGAGCAACGTTCTCAGCATCGAGTGTCGGACTTTCCCGCACACAGGGCTCATTGACTTCCTGGTTGTGACCCTGGGGGCTTTCATCAACACGGCTTGCGGTTGGCGTATGATCCTCAGGATGCTCCCCTTCTCTTACGCACCAGAAACAAACCTTGCCGTGGCTGGTGACTAAAGGTTCATCATCTTGACTCGGGTTGTAGGCGACATAGATTTCTGCCCGAGGAGGACTATTCACAACTGGAATGTGAATATCAGGCGTCTTACGGTTGTCGCCAGAAAGGATTGTCGTAGCCTCGCTCGTTGGGGTGCCCGTAGCAACGGTGAAGGGGGATAGGAGATTTTCTGAGGAGGATTCCCCGACGAAGGGGTCCTCAGTCACGACATCATCGTTAGCACCAGCACCAGCAGCAGTAGAGGAGGACTGCTCTCCGGCCTGGCTTGCTAATAGCACAGATGTCAGATACTCACCGAAGTTGTTGTTGACATCAAAATCGTCGTTAGGGATACAGATGGTGTCAAACAATTTCTCCTGGACCCGAAGCCCTAACTCGAATGCAGTGATCCGAATTTTATGGATAATGCCTTGCCATTCTCGGTCCGTTCGGAACTCGGTGTCGATGTGGACGTGATGCCACACTGGGCGCTTCTCCCGTTTCAACCAAGACCACTGAGCATTGAGCGTGACGTATGAGATATCGTTGTTCCCAAAGCCACAGTGTATCAGGTCGGCTCGAAAGATTGTAGAGAAAAGGGCTGAGAGTTGGTCTTTGTTGCACTCAAAAAAACGGTAGAGGCAGCATAGGACTTGCCGATGGTACGTATTCCACGACAGCCTCGGGTTCCTGGCAGAGTTCGCTGTGTTCATCCTCGGCTGAGGCGTCATCGCCGTCAAAAAACGTGAATGTCACAGTGAGTTAACGATAGGGAGCTCGGATTTTGATAAAGCAAGAAAGCAACGGACGTCAAATAGAAATGTAAAGGTCCTAAGATGATGGGGAGGCAGAAGATGGAATGAAGAGGATGAAGGGGGGTGGAGTCGAAGAAGAAAAGAAGAGGAGGAGGAGCGGAGGAAGAAAAGGAGAAACCAAGATACAGGGAAAGATCCGAGGGGCGAGAAACTCGAGTTACCTGGTCTGAACAGGAAAGAAAGAGATATTGCGGAAGTCGAGGCAGTTAATGGAGTGAAATCGGTATCAAAATAAACTGCACTTTCAATTACAGGAAACGCTTTAGAAGGTTTCACTACCAACCATGACCGGGTAAGAACTAATACGTGGACTCTTTGTATCAAGTGATTTCGGAGTAACATAGCTTGCATTTTTACTATTGATCACGAGGGATGAGAGTATGAAGAAAGTGTATTTTACGCATTTAACTTGCCAGCTTCACGATTAATTGTATAGATCTCTCAGGTACACTGTATTAATTCTTGAATACTATGCTGAACTAAGTTGAAATTCGATATAGTATACTTAGAAGGTCCGAATTCTCTCTAGGTAACATGCAATACTGCTAGCAGGGATTCTGGAACGCGAAAGGCAATGGTTAGAGGCCATGCCTATGGCATACTAAATGGTAGTTACAATTTCACATCCTTGGGCCACATTTCTATGCTCATACAGCAGATCAATAACAGTCTAAGTACAGGAATATCTAGAGCATACATTTTCATACGATAAACATCAATTCTTGGTGTTTATTTTTGTGCTTCTTTTGGTTTAGCATAAGTGGGTTGCCTCCATGTACTATCTACGGATGACTTCTCGAAATGTGTTCCCTGTCACCTTGCGATAGGTGGTCATCTTTGTAGTTTCCATGAGGCTCAACCGTACTTAGCAGAGTTACCCTCATCCTAAACGGCGATAAGAGAAGTCATCCCCTGATTTCCCCAAAATAAAGCACCAACTGTTGTCCTGAGAAGACCACATCTAGACCAGTCTATGAGGTAAGCCTTAGAAAAAGGGCAGCCACCGGGGAGGTCGGGGCATCTCCGGAGAAGCTCACGTGGAGCGGTCAATGTTCTGCCGAGAAATGCGTCACCGCGCGATCGGAGAATGCGGCGCATTTCGATGAGCTGCACTTGCTTTTACGCTACAACAGAGGGTCTTTGTCTTTTCTGTGGCCTTGGAAACTACAGGATATGTTACCGGTCAAATAGGAGGCTTCCATACAAGTCACAAGCCTTCCCTATCCATCATGCAGTGCGCCCCTTCACCTCGCTTCTCGGGGCAGTTCCTGCGGCGCTGTTTCTCATCCTCCGCACGGCGTCTGGAAATTCGGGATGTTAGTGCTTTATCACAACGCCTGCTTCCGAAATATCAAGGTCTGTTTCTACTACCGAGAGATATCATTTCCTGACGCTAAAGTCTTCTTTTTGACTAGAAAACCGAGGTGAGCTTCTTTCTCTACAATGGCCAGCACCGCCGCGGAATGTTCTTCTGGTGCGGAAGGACTGCGCTCCAGCAGTAACAGACTCCCTGATTGAATTTGCCAAGTACTTAATCCCTCTCTTTCTATGAGAAATGTATCTCTAACAACTGGTCTCTTTTTCAGTCATATCACATCATCATACCCCTCCATCGCCGTCATCCTCGAATCCAAAACAGCCGCCGAGGTCCACGAGTCCCTTTCCTACCCAGTCTACACAGCATGTTTGGAGGACAAGCCAAATGCTTTCCACGATAAGGTTGATTTGACAGTTACACTGGGTGGAGATGGCACAATCTTGCATGCATCTTCGTTGTTCGCTACATGCCCAAATGTTCCCCCAGTGCTGTCATTCAGCATGGGCACCCTGGGGTTCCTGAGCGAATGGAAGTTCTCTGAGTTCAAGCGAGCCTTTCGAGAAGTTTACATGTCTGGCGCTGGCGCCGGAGATCGTACGCCCGTTCTTGAAACTCGGCCGTCACCGGAAGTAGCACCTGGGTCGGAGACTCAAGAGCCATCTTTGGGTCCAACCGGATGGTCATCTGTGCGGGGGCAGTCTATGGGCGCGACTCGTGGGGCACCTATACTCATGCGCAATCGTTTGAAAGTCGGACTCTTCACAGCAGACGGCAAAGAGACGACTCCGGTCCGAGGCAAGACTGATCATGGTCAAGGAGTGTACGTGATGAACGAGCTGCTCATCCACCGCGGCAAAGAGCCTCATCTCGCAGTGGTGGATATCTTCGTGGGCGGTCGGTTCTTGACCGAGGCCGTGGTTGACGGAATCATCATCTCAACGCCGACGGGCAGTACAGCATACAGTCTGAGCAGCGGTGGGAGTATCGTGCATCCACTGGTCCCCTCCGTCCTCTTGACCCCAATTTGCGCCAGGAGTCTGAGCTTCCGGCCCCTTGTTCTCCCCTTCAGCACACCGATCACGATGCGACTTAGCGAGAAGAACCGCGGTCGAGAACTAGAAGTCAGCCTGGACGGTGTTAACCTGGGTCAAGGCATGGCCGTTGGAATGGAGGCTCGAGTATGGAACGAAGAGATGAGGCATGGAGAGAATGAGTGGCAGGGTGGTGTCCCAAGTGTCATGCGCCGGAGTATGGGTGGTGAAGCTCACGAGGGATGGGTGGGCGGTTTGAATGGACTGCTCAAGTTTAACTACCCCTTCGGTGAGTGAGTCTGTAGCTTTGTCTGTCTATATTTGAGATACCCAATCGCATTATTCTTGAATGATTTCGTTCCTTTTCTGCGATGGATTACTACCAGTCGTTGACTTGGCCAACTAGGTAAACTTTGAATCTTGGTTTCTGTTGTCTGGTTTTTTTCTTACTTTCAATCGCCGAGCCTTGCCAGACCATAACCACTGCATATATGACCAGACATCGATGTATACAATGAGTGCTACCAATAGGGAATCAAAAATATCCTTCTCGCTTACTGTGGATGGTTCGGCGGCATCTTCAACGAACAAATGCCGAACTTTTGGCAGCTCCCATCAAATGCCGGGACCCACACTTCTTTTTTCCAAGGTTCAACACTGCAACTTTGAATTAAAGGCCCGAGCCATGAGGATCAAAGGCCGGACACCCAAATTTTGCCTTCTATTTCCCCACTTACGATGAAGCCGGCGTGGGTTGCAGGGATTTTTCGTGGAGTATACCTCCTCGAGAATCCTTAAATAATTTCTTCTACTAACTGGGTTGGACTCTGCATCTCATCAGAATCAACTGGAACTGCACGAGTGCAGTCAAAATCTTCGATATCGTTCCCGTTTGCGCTTTACTCATGCACGAGAAACCCCGACATGATGTGCAATCCACCGAGAATCAGATCCGTGAAGTGATCGAACCCAGTTCTCAATTGACGATCCCACCCGGGGATAATTCCCCTCCTCCGGATGGAGGATATGGATGGGTGTGTACCGTTGCAGCTGCCACTATCAACGCCCATTCTTGGGGCTTCAACTCTGCCTATGCGGTGTTTCTCGCCCATTACCTGAACAACAACATCTTTCCCGGTGCCACTTCACTTCAATATGCCCTAGTGGGATCATTGAGTCTCACCTGTCTGATGCTCATCTCGCCCGTGGCAACTCTCGCAGTTGGCAAGATAGGAATTCGAGCAACCATGTTTTGTGGTGTGGTCCTTGAAACCGCCAGTCTATTATGTGCGAGCTGGGCTTCACAGATCTGGCATCTGTTCTTGACGCAAGGGCTCGTCTTCGGCATGGGATTGGGCCTCATCTTTATTCCAGTGGCTGCCGTTGTTCCGCAGTGGTTTACTACCAAGAGATCACTGGCCAGCGGGGTCTCGCTGGCTGGCGCAGGTCTCGGCGGCGCAGTATATTCGCTTGCAGCTTCAGCTATGATACAGAATCTCGGACTCAAACTCACCTACCGAATCCTGGGGAGTATCGCTTTTGTCGTGAACACGAGCTGCACGCTTTTAATCAAAGACCGCAATCGCGCTACTGGTTCAAAGCAGGTAGCCTTTGATGCTAAGCTTTTCAAGAGATGGGAGTACATCCTACTGCTCGGATTCAGTGTATTCAGCATGTTAGGCTATTTCATCTTGATCTTCAGCCTGGCCAATTTTGCAAACTCCATTGGCCTCAATTCCTCGCAAGCATCCGTCGCCAGTGCATTATTCAACATCGGCCAGGCAATAGGGCGGCCCTTGATCGGGTACTTTAGCGACACCACCGGTCGAATCAACATGGCAGGCTCGATGACCTTCATCGCCGGTGTATTACCCTTGGTTATCTGGACTAACACTAGAAACTACGGCGTGTTGATATTCTTCGCCATCGTCGAAGGTCTGGTCGCTGGCAACTTTTGGGCTACAATCGCACCCCTCGTGGCGGAAGTCGTCGGCCTGGAGAATGTACCATGTGGCCTCAACCTTATGTGGCTGGTCATAGCCATACCATGCACATTCAGCGAACCCGTTGCGCTAGAGATTTTCTCCGGCACTGGGAGTTATCTCGGCACGCAGCTGTTTACTGGGTTTATGTACATTGCTGCTGCGGCGTGTATGTTGGCTCTGCGAGGATGGAAAATTGCGCAGAAAACGCAGACCATTGATGAGAGCGACTTTACCGATACTGTGGGCGCTCACTGTGTGCAGCAGACCGAAAAGATCAAGGTTGGAGGCTGCGGCTCTAACTGCTTCAAATGGGCGAATGTATAAATTTTGAAGCTCTTCAAGACATAATTCCACAATGCATCCTGTAAATATGAAGGTTGCTGCTCTGTCCATGGGCGCAGGACAGTAATGACCAATTTGAACATAGAACTTAGCGATCCCCCGATTGAACTTAAGCTCAACCCGCTACCCCTGACACACATAGTGGTGAATCATAGGCAAAATCAATAAAGTACCGATATGTCTGGAATGTCTGCGACTCGAGTGGTTTCGGCCAGGTCAATTGAGTTTGAACTTCCGGTCGCAACGGGATACCCTCTGCAGCGATATTGGCATTATGATCGTATAATTCGGGATAACTCGCAAAGAACGCAGGATCAAGTTTGTAATTGGACACATCCCTGTCCATCTTCAGGTAACTAAACACCGCTCGGGAGTACTCTGAAGAGGAGAAGAGGGTGGCCACGTCTGGAGCAGGGAGGCTGACACCAAGTGAGAAGCTGTCCGCATCAGTTGTCGGCGATGAATCGATATTCGGCACAAGATCCGTGACGCGAACATAGGCTTTTATCATTGGAGCCCCCTCAATCAAATCCGACATCCAGGTTTCGACCACGTAACTGCTGACGGTGTCGCAGAATATTTGATCGATTTTTGGATTCGCCGAGTGTAGTTGGATTAGACGATCGCGAATTGATGGGAAAGGTATCCAGTCTATGACTTTTGGGTAGACTGTTTGAAGTTGTAATGCAGTAGGCTTGTATTGTGGATGTATGGCGTTGAAGGTTCTCGTGCACGGCATGATTTGCCAGGCTGTCAAATTGACAATGTGATAGAATCGTGTTTTTGCGTACCAGCGCATGACATCTGGTCGGGTCATGCTGTTGAATAAGGCGAGTACCATGAGGACCTCTTGATAGAATCTATAAGTGGCGTTAGCTTTCCATGCCTGGTTGCCTCCGCAATTGGTGCAATATCTGACAGGCACTGACAAACTACTGGTCTGGCTAGGTAACTTAATTTTATGCTCGATTTTGCTCTTCATGAGCCGTTGAAGAACACTGATGTGGTCCGAGAATGGTGAGTTCGACTCTGTCCACGCCTTTCCTAGCACCAGGCATGATTCTTCGCTATTTATGATAGCGGTACTGTATGTATCTTGGCCCATCTGGTACTCGAAAGACCAAATGCTGGGAATTTGCTGAGCTAAAGAGTTGAAGCTCTCGAGAATGTTCGCGCCGGGGCTCGTCTCTTGTCCTAGTTCATGTATAACCGGTAATTGAGGGGACTCTTTCTCGGTGGTTGTGATTTCAAAAACGCCATCAGACTTCTGAACTTCTAGAAAATTCAAATTATCCGGTCCATTCAAAACGACTTCATCGGTTCTGAAACCCGGTGATGTGCAATCTTCGATCAAAGCCGTTGCATTGTGCGAAGGTTCTCCCAGGTCCGAGTCATCGAGAGCTTTAGAAACTGTTCCTGACAAGCCCTGCATTGTCGCAATTAGACGAGCCAGTTTCGCTTGGACCTCAATGAGGCTTCTCCGTAAAGAGCTATTCTCTTCCTGTAACGAGCGAATAACTTCATCATAGGGCTTGTCGCTGGAATCCGCCCGATCTAGAAGGTCTCTCATACGATCTGCTTGTCTTTGACGAAAGGCTCGCTGGGCTAAGCGGTTACGTAGCCTCCTAATCACTGTTTAACCCCCATTTGACGCGGTACGTGAGCAACTACGCACCTTTTGTCGACATCCTCATTCCTTCGTGGCTTGGCCGCATCTGTTGACGACTTGCCCTTCGTGGAGACCACCATTTTTCACTGAAAGTTGCAAGGGGAGAATTCGGTGTATTCAAGTCTATAAACAATACTAGGGCGATGTCGAATTTATGAAGTTCCATGAAACCACACCATCAGGCGCGCTCTTCCACGCGATGGGTGGAGCCGACGGAAGAGAAGGTTGGTGTTCATCCAGCATCCTTCGGGCTAATTAACGAATCCTGCACTTCGTCGAAGAATTTCCCCGTATCTTTTAACTCGACTTGGTAAGGTCTTATCTTACAAGCCAAAACCAGTGAAGCCTAATTCTCTCCATTTCCGAATATTCGGAAATGGTGGTACTCGGGAATAAATCATCGGGAATACGAACATTCGGGAATAATGATGAACTTGCAGGAGATTTCCCATTATTCAACACTCCCACGATAAGATTCTCAATTTGATTAAGCATAAGATAAGATTAGTTTTATAGAAACATCGACCCTATAGCCAAATTGAGTGTAGGTTAAAGTGCTCTCCACACTACCTAGGTATGTCTTAGTTAGGTCGTTGTATATATCTCGCTAGCTCACGTCCCGACCCATCCCCCATATGGCTCAATCATAGGTGATTTCTTGTTCGTACCCCTCACCATCCCTTTTCTGGACTTAGGCTAAAACTGAGGATACGACAGTCAATGTCCCCGTTTTAGAGATCAAGTATTCTTCAATAGCGACATCCTTGCCTGCCTCCTTTCCGTATCCGGATTCTTTGATTCCGCCAAAAGGCGACTCCGCTGCAGATGAGTTGCCTGTTCGAGCATGTTAGCGACCATTGGGATCTTAATGACTATGTAGTCATTATCGAAGTGGTTTCAGAAAGTTTTACCTGTGTTCATGCCAATCATGCCTGCTTCAAGGTTTTCCAGTAACCTCCAAGTGCGATCCACATTTTTCGTGAAGAAATAAGAAGCCAGACCCATTGAAGTGTCATTCGCCATTTTCACAGCCTCTTCCTCCGTCTCGAATTTGTACAATCCCAGGAGAGGTCCAAAGATCTCCTCCTTGGTACTCAGCATCTCCGAAGTCATGCCGGAAATGATGGTAGGCTCGAAGAAGTAGCCAGTCAATCCAGCAGGCTTCTTTCCACCGCAGAGAATCTTGCCTCCATGCTTCACAGCATCAGCGACGTGGCGCTCGAGCTTCTCGACACCGCGGCTGATTGTGAGTGGGCCCATTGTGGTGCTTGGGTCCGATCCATGACCGACCTTAATCTTTTGCGTTGCGTCCAGCATCATCTGAGCGAACTCGTCGTAGACACCACTTTGAACATAGACGCGGTTGGCGTGTGTGCATGCTTGTCCGGCAGTTCTCCACTTAAGGATCATCAACGCCGCGACTGCTTGTTCGAGATCACCATCGTTGAACACAATGAATGGACAATTGCCACCGAGCTCCATGGTGACTTTCTTCAGACCTTCGCTGCAGTGCCTAGCCACGATACTGCCCACGCGGGTGCTTCCAGTGAAGGTCACCTTTCGAACCAGGGGATGCTTGCAAAGCCTTTCGCTCACAGAGGGAGTGTTTTCATTATCAGTGGAGATAATATTGAAGACACCCGCAGGAAGTCCAGCTCGAAGGGCGAGATCACCTAGCGCATTGACACTCAACGGAGTCTCGGGGGATGGCTTAACCACCATCGAACAGCCAGCAGCCAGCGCCGCAGCAACCTTTCGAATAATCATTGCAACCGGAAAGTTCCACGGAACAAGGGCTACGCTGACACCAATAGGCTGTTTGATGACGAAGGTCCGACGGTCGGAGATAGAGGGTTGAGCGACAGAGCCTCGAATTCGCTCTGCTTCTCCAGCAAACCACCAAGCAAAACCAAGGGCGTAGTCTACCTCTCCCAATGCTTCTGCCATAGGCTTGCCGGTTTCATAGACCATGATCTTCGCTATATCTTCTCGGGCAGCAGTAATAAGATCGTGCCATTTGAGGAGGATCTTTGCTCGAACTCGTGGATTCACATGGCGATAACCATCAAAAGCCTTTTGAGAAGATTCGACATATTTGTCGACATCAGTGACTTCGTTCGTTGGGCAGACAGCAAAGATTTGACCCGATCCTGGATCTGCAAATAGTAACACTAATCAGCATACTTCGTTTCGTTGACAGAGTTCGCGAGTACTGTAGACTTACCCTCGACATTGAATGTTTTACCTGAACTGGCTTGTACCCACTCTCCATTAAGCAGAGATGCTTCGTGGACAAGTGATGGATCATTGAGCTGTAAACTCTTTAGTACTGTAAGAACTGTCTGTTCAAAAGTTCATGAGACGTACCTTTAAGATACACTTCGTCATTGTTGCTTGCTCGACAAAATTGACTAGAGATTCCGAGTAGAGTGCTCAAGATGGCAACAAATTGACTTGTTAGTTACTGCGGGTATTCTTGGGCTACAATGAACAGTATATATACATGGAATTATGCCCTTATTAGTTTCTCATCATTGTCTACTCTATAATCAGGGCTAGATAAGAGAGTATCGGGCGTGACCGACGAATCAACTGTCGCCTTCCTCCGAGGGTGATTAGCTTACTTCAACGATTACGTGTTTAAGGAATTTTTTTTCCTCTGAAGTCAAAGATTTACGCTCGATATGCTTATTCCATCCAGTTATATAATTGAACGATTATGGTCGCTCGGCATGCCCGTCGAGCTAGGATGGTTGGGGCCGAGTGGAGACATTTGCTATCGACATGTAAGCGTTCGATTACCTGAGTGTCCACCCTCCCGACGAGGCCAATATCCTTAGAAATCGGGGTTTGAATGATGTTTGAGAACATTTTCATGGTTCTATAAAGAGGCTAAATTCTTGTGAAAAGAATAGGACCATTGACCACAATATTAGGTTTCTTCCAAGTCAAATGACCCATCCAAAACAGATACACATCGCGGTTATCGGTGAGAGAAGCAGTCCAATGCGACAAAACGCTTTAATGAACTAGTGATCTAACAAGTCTTTCCCCAGGTGCTGGTGGAGTGGGTTCGTGTTTTCTTTCGCAGTTAGCATGGCTTGCCAAAAACCAGCAATCGGCACGACTGAGCCTTTGTTACCTTGCGACTATTGACGGGGCGCTCTACAATCGCGACTACGCCGATATTGATATTGAAACGGCTTTGCCTACACTGGAAGCGAAAGGATCTGCCCTACCTTCCATTTCGGACACAATTGAGTATCTGGCAGGTGCACCACACAAGGTTGTCTTAGTGGACAATACCAGCTCTGGGGCTATCGCAGAGGCTTACCCCGAGTTTCTCAAACGTGGGATAAGCATCATCACACCGAACAAGAAGGCCTTCTCTGAGAGCTTTAAACTTTGGCGAGACATATTCAGAGCAGCTGAATTGGGAAGCTCCATGGTATATCATGAGTCTTCCGTCGGAGCTGGAATGCCCATCATCTCCACATTGAAAGAACTCGTCCAGACTGGAGACGAGGTGACCCGCATTGAGGGTGTCTTCAGTGGAACAATGTCATTTCTTTTCAATCAATTTTCTCCAAAATCTGGCCAAGCAGGGAAGTGGTCAGAAACAGTGAAGAAAGCGAAGGAGCTTGGGTATACAGAGCCCGATCCTCGTGATGATCTCAATGGGCTGGATGTTGCTCGGAAACTGACTATTATGGGTCGCTTAGCTGGCTTGCCGATCGAGTCTCCTACATCATTCCCAGTGCAGAACTTGATTCCCGGAGAGTTACAAAGCTGCGACACCAGCGAAGAGTTCATGTCAAGGCTACACGAATTCGACGACCATATGGAAGGACAGAAGCTGCTTGCCGAGAGGTCCGGAAAGGTTTTACGATATGTTGGGAGCATCGAGATGAGCACGGGAAATGTTAAAGTCGGAATGGAGATGTTTGATCATATGCATCCGATTGCTACATTGAAGGGAAGCGACAATATTATCAGCTTCTACACAAAGAGATATGGCGAGCTGCCTCTAACAATTCGAGGTGCTGGCGCTGGCGGAGATGTCACTGCGATGGGTGTGACAGCGGACCTGCTTAAAGTGCTTTCCCAGATGGGCTAGAGAGTGACATCCAGAGAGCTTTGTTTCTGAATGCGACTGAATATCCATACTTTTAGTGTTGAGTATCTGCAGTAGTAATGTAGAGACCCAAGAAAGTATACAACGAGATGCTTGGACTTCCTATATTTTGACAGGTCTCTATATACTTGGAACCTTTCTAGATAAACGGGCATTATTTGGTTCGTTTCTGGAGAGGTTTTGCCGGGGCTCGTAGCACCCAACTCCTGTTCAGATGTGCTGGTCATTTTGTGGTCATCATCGCGTATACAACGAAATATGCATGCCTGGAAGAGTTTAGTGCTGGCTGTACTAAGAGAAGTCCTTCTGCTTACCCTCCTTGCTTGCTCGGTCTCTGTCTTCCCTGGTCCTCCGAGAACATCTTTTCTCTCTCTCAACGATTTCCTAAAAGGTACGCAAAACACTACGTGCTTCTCGTCTTCTGTTATTTCAACTGTGTATGCGTCTGTTGCCTCTTAAAGCCTATTTGACCGGTCCATTTAACTCAAGCCCTTGAAAATGGAGTCAGAGGGAGAGCACTACGACTTTGAAAGGAATGTTTGGGACGAAGATGACTATGGGACATTAAAAATGTCCATGGCGGAACTTAAGCAGTTCATTACCAAGTCCATGGTTGAGGTATGCATTACGCGCAGTGGAGAATACTTGCTCCTTACTTTACTCGCTTCGTCCCTGCTCACGCTACTTGTCATCGCAGAAGAGTAAGCTGGATGCATGCTTGGACATATTCCTTGTGGAACTTCGGGATATTCCCAACGAAGCCGACAACAAACTCCTGGATTTCTCTGGATATACGGGCAAGAGCAATGATAAACTACAACACGCCGCGAGTAAACTGCGAGAGAACATCGATACTCTCCTTCCGGGGTTCCTGGAACTTCCCACTGGATCCAATATTCTGGAGAATGAGAAGTTAACGGAGAAACTTCGTGATCGAGTGGATCGCCTAGGTAGAGACAGCCTGAGCAAGTCCGAGTTTGGAACGCAGTCCTTCCACGCCGCACAGAAGAGCTTTCTGGATACCCTCGTGTCTAGATACTGTCGCCAGTCATCACATGGACGAACGAATTCGGAGCCAGCTCCATTAAGCGAAAGTGCATTTGACAAATCTTGCCAACAGCTGGGGCAATTTATCTCTGGCGAAAAGGCCTCCGCAACTTTTGCCTGTGGGGGTTCCGTATCCATTGGCGACAACTTACCCCCAGGAACCCACGATGTTTCACCACCAGTTCGCATCTCCTGGACAGCCAAGGATGGTTCATGCGAGCACAAAGCAATGCTTCCCGTCAGTGGCAGTAATCAACTTAGTGCTGAACAGCTTGCTCAACTGGTTTCAGACTGTGAGGTGGCGAGATTTGGTAAAGGGGAGAAAGAGATTGTGGATCCTGAGTACCGCAAAGCTGGCAAGCTTGATCCTACTCGATTCCTGAGTAGCTTCCATCCCGCCAACCTCCAGATACTTGATGATGTTGAGCAGCTTCTTGCACCCAACTTCAACAGTCTGACGGAGAATCAGCTTCCGTTTCGAAGTCTGAAAGCAGAACTTTACAAACTCAATGTGAGAATTTCACTACCATTGTCTGTTTCATATATACTGACGTGATGTGTCTCTAGGTATACTCGGGGCCAGACGGGCTGTTTCGGAAACACGTTGACACCCCACGATCCAAGACACAGATTGGATCTCTCGTTGTTTGCCTACCGTCTGCATTCAAAGGTGGAAGACTAACCGTACGCCATCATGGAAATGTCGTCGACTTTGACTGGAGCGCTCGCAGCGATTCGGTCATACAATGGGCCGCATTCTATAGTGACTGCGAGCATGAAATCAAAGAGGTTACGGAGGGCCATCGGGTTACCTTGACATACAATCTCTTTGTCACTGATTCCGGCTGTGGATCGATTCCTCGGAACGTCAATATCGACCCCAAAACGTTGCCTCTATATCAATTGTTGAGAGATCTTCTTGCCAAACCTGGCTTCATGAAGGAAGGTTTGTACTATCCCGGCAAGATAGAACAGATCTAGGTATTTTCCCAAATGCGGTGCTGATTCTCACAGGTGGAATTCTCGGTGTTCACTGCTCACATGCGTATCCACATGCATCCTCACAAGCCCAAGAGCTTCTCCCCAGGGGCCTTGAAGGTGCTGACTTGGCGGTGTACTCAGTACTAAAGTCTCTTGGTATAGACGCCCATGTGCTTCCTGTTCTCAGAGAGAAACACGATGATGATCTCGAGGAGGTCGCGGTAGGAGATATGCTACGATTTCTGCGCGATGGGGAGGAGTTTGAACCAACATTTGCTCAAATCCCCCAAATTTTGCCTGTCGAATCAGATTTGGAAAAATACTGGAAGATGCTCTACCTCTCCCGCAGACTACATGGTACAAGAAAGATAATGCAATTCGCAAAGGAAAGAAAGTTAATGGATCCTGGGCTGTTCCAGGACAGAAAAGGAAACTACTTTGGGACCGAGTTGCATCGATACTCGGTTGATCAACACATGTTTGATATGGGCGAACCAATCTCAGAGGTGACTTTGCGTCCTGAAGTATCATATTTCTACGTTTGATATGCTGACACGCATTTAGGCAGTCAATAGGCACTGGCCCGCACAGTTCATCCCAGGCATTACCTGGATTTCCGAGCCTTTAAACAAGGAAATGGCGTTTTCGTACCTGGCCGAAGGCAATGAGCCCTCCATTAACACATTCTATTCCTGCGCTACGATACTGGCTGCGGTCCCTCCATTTGACCAACGCCAGCCCACGCGGGAAAGAGATGCTGGCAAAGTGCATACAGACGGGGAATAAAGCCATTCAACTCGCTGATATGGAACGAAGATTATGCCTGTGGGGACATCGCAAGGAGAACTAGTTACCAATTTTAAAATACAAAAACGCTCTGTCGACTCCTTGGTGTTGCCGAAATCGGATGCTTTCAGTTCAACTGGCGGAAAGTTGCTACTAGAATACTTCTGGAGATACAGATAGTGCTATCAAATCCTCGAATCATCGCTATTGTATAACTATTGTACAGGCCCATGGTATCAATTCCTCCTCATGTCTAGACAGGGTCACATGCATTCATTCATAAATCGTTTCATCGTCAAATCTTCCACTGGTGCGCGTTGTCCAGTCCACGAGTACCAGACAAGTCACCTTCGTCCAGATAGCCGCAGATTCTTCCCTGGGGATCCAATTTGCGTCGAATCTCCATCAGACGTCGGGCGTTATCATCAGCCCAGAACTTGGTCTTGCGCACCTGGAAGTCCGAATCACCCAGGTAAGCACCGACCGAATGTCTCTCTACTCCCTTCATCACATTTCGAACCCAAGCTTGGCACCGTGGATCGTCATGCGCATCTTCCCATACGGTATAGAGAGCGAAATAATGGTCCGAATGCATGCTGAGGGCCATGTCAGGAAGCTTTCTCCGACTGCAAGGGTTCATGGCAAACCACAGCGCAAAGGACTTCTTGTGTGGCAGGGTTGTAAATGCCTCCTCCAGCACTGCTGGAACATCAGCGTCGTTTTGAATGTAAGCATTGTCCGCGCAGTAGCGATGCTTCTCCGGATTAGCGTGACCTTGTTTGTCGTACTGCTCTTCAAGACTGTCCTCCTTGCAGAACCACTCCTCTACACAGCCCGCAGGTCGAGTATCTTGAGCCGCACGAAGCGCTTTCTCCGCGTCTTCCGCCTCATCCTTCATGGTTACGAAGAGGATAAACAATCTCATCTCATCGCTGCCGTCGGGATAATGCGAGATTGCAGCGATTTCAGTGTCGTTGTCAAAATCTGGTGAGATAGAAATGACCCAGCTGAGAGCTTCCCGATACATTTCAATTGGGTAAATATACCCAGAGGACCGGAAGCCATTCTTCGGGTACGGGTTCAACCGAAGGTGAAACTTGGTGACCACACCGGGGAAGCCTAGAAATGAAAGTGTCAGTGAAGACATGTCTTTGGTATATATGGTCACTAAATGATACCAGGTCCGGCCCCTCGTGCTGCCCAGTAAAGCTCCTGATTCTGCTCAGAATTACAATGAAGCAATTCTCCCTTGGCTGTCACAACATCAACAGCTTGGACTCGCTCGCATGCCCAGCCCCAATTCTACGAGGCAAAGTTAGCACACAAAGCACCGTCTACCACCATGTGACTTGATTTGCTTACGCGACAATTCCATCCCATTCCACCTTGAAGCAAAAAGCCCCCCAGTCCAACATCGGGGCAGTGGCCACCAGGGAACATAAGCTGGTGATCCTTGATCAAGACAGAGTTCAGTTCTCTACCAGTCATACTCGGCGAGGCACGGGCCATTTTATTGTTCGCATCAACTTCCATGGTCTTGTAGTTGCCCAGATCGATAAGAATCGAGTTATCGCGCACACTCCATGCTGCCCAGGAATGTCCACCGGATCGAACGGCAACCCGGCAATTCTTCTCTGCAGCTAATTTGACAGCAGCCACGATGTCTTCCTGACAAGTCGCTTTCACGACTGCCAATGGAAAACGCTCAGGACGACGATGATTGAACACCCGACCAACACGAGCATCCTCATAGGTGGCGGTATCCGCCGATTCTCGCCAAATGATTTGCATAGTTCGTGGTTTGATTCACAGCTGTACTGAGTGACTGACTGAGTTAGGCATGGAGCTTGATGAAAGTCATCTATTGTCCTGAATGTAGGGTATTTGTATTTGAGGTTGGTCTAAGTCCCCACGGTCTCGAAAGCGTGTCCGGCAATTAGTGAGGGGGATTTCCGACGAGGCGATCTCTCCGTGAGCATGTGGACACTGAACCCCATGGGGTACTTTTTGATGAGGTGGTCCACATCCCGACCGGTCGCATGTCAATTGGTGAAGAAAGGGGAGTGTTCAGACGCGGGGTTAAACTTAACGGGTAAACTTATTATTCATATCAGTACTAAGCGGAGGATCACCAGCTCGGCTCTAGGCAACTATACGAAATCAACGCACACGGAGACGGGAGCAGGTATCGAAATCAGTCACTAAACAGGTTCTCTACGACTCCTACTTTGTTCTTCTCCTTTAGCTATCTTCCTAGCTTATTTTTCCAATTATTAATAACAACTTCTCCCCCCTGTTCTGGCTAGATGTTAGAAATTCTGGGATTGAAAGTTGACGCCTCGGAATCGGAAAGCAATCCGAGTACCTCTTGGTAAGTCGGCAAATCTAGATCAAGGGAAGTGGTGCAAAGTATGATCGTCGAGGCCCCTCGCAGCAGATGCTTTTTTTGGAATTTCTATACCAGACACTTCGTGACATTGGATAATGCTCGGAGCCTACAACTCCGCTTAATAATTAGACGTACGGGCCCGAGATCTAACTAACTAACTAGAGTTCTTAGGATCCACAACAACAAGAATCCCGTCGGTTCAAACGCCCTCCACCAAACGGCAACGAATGACTGACTACCCGTAGCTAAATGCGTGGGGAACCATCTGAGAGCACTCGGTCAACTTGCCGATAATCCCGCTTCTCGGCTAACTGCCGCGCTTGAAATGTAACGTATACGCTGTCATATTGTGGCACGAATTGGGTTTCCAACTAGGAAGCGGTACAAACGCCGAAGATTCTCAATACTCGGTTCAGTCTTACCTTCAGGGAAAAACACAATTTTGATGAAATATCCCTGGTGTCTCCCTAGTTATGATTATTTTCAGGTTTCGTCTTCAATGCTCAAGACACGTTGAGCTAATTCGATTCTAATCGCCGTGCCTGAGCCTTGGACAGATATTGGCTCCCAGTCCATCCCTCATAGGCCTCTGCACGGGACCGGAAAGACCGCACCCAAGACCGCATTAGACCGCACCGCGCGGTCTTTGGTCCCAGACCTTGAGACCGCTGGGCGGTCCTACATTTTTAGGGACCGCACCACTGCGGTTTGGTGCGGTCCTGCGGTCCTGCAAACAAGCAAAACATCTTAGACCCAAGGTATGCATAATTTATGTAGAAGTCGCCTGTATTTTTGAGTATTCTGCTTTCAAATGATATTTAATTTTATATAATTCTGAGGTAGGAGTAAAGAATAATTCTTTGTTTGGTGTCTGTTGATTTCTACCGAAAAAGCGAGGATTGACTGATTTCCTTATGAATAGCTTATGTGGTTCTTGTTTCTATTAAAGATATACAAAATCCTCATCCTGTCTCAAGCGCTTTGGAACACGCCCAGATGAACGCCTCTGAGTAGTCCTCCCTTCTTCTAAGTGGCTATTATCAGGCAGGGGAACCTCATCATCATCATCGTCAAGTTCAAATAGCTGATCCGGGGTAGCCCTTCTCTTTCCAAGCGCTCGCGCACTAGGAAGTTGGATAGTTTCGGCAGAATCTTCAGTAGTGGATAGGTCTTCCTCGTTATCACTAATTGGATCAAATTGTTCCTCTTTCTTCTGGGCGTCCTTCTGCTCTTTCTTTGCTTGCTTCTCTTGCGTAGAAAGATACTCATCAACTAGGGCAAGCTGCTCTGACTCCACGTCAAATTTTGTTGTACACATAAACAACATCAATTCCTTGATTGTCTGCGGTTTCAGTGAGCCCCGGCGATAATGGCAGATATCACGCGCAGAGTTAAATAACCGCTCAACGCCAGAACCACTGGCTGGTGTTGTAAGGATGTCTCGAGCAAGGCTTGCCAGAATAGGATATTCATTTTGGTGTTCTTTCCAGAAAACGAGAGGGGTTGCTTCGACAGTACCTAGTGAGGGTGGTATAAGAGAAGGAGTATATAAGAAGAGGTATATAGATTAACTTACTACTTCTAAGATACCGTGTAAGCTCATCTGGAGCCGTCACGTTTGACTGAAGAGATACAGTAGGTCTCAGAAGGATATCAATGTCAGAGACGTCTTGAATTGTGGGCTGGAGAGTTGATGTAGACTGTGCCTCTTCGTAGCGCTGCCGGTAAGGCTGAATGTAAGCCTCTAGCGACTGCTTATAGCGAGGCCCCCAGTGAGGTTCCCATTCAGATGTTGTGAAGAACTCTAGCTTGTTCCGTGGTCCTAGGATAGTCGCAATTGCATAGAGATCACCAGGAATATCATCAGTCTTTCCATAATACTCTGTAAGCTTATCGCGCGCACGGTCAAGCGCGGACTTCATCACTCTCTTCCAACCAACCTTCTTTCGCGCTAGCTGCACTTTCGCCTTATCAATATGTGTGAATAGGGCGTTATAGATACCAAAGACGTTATGGATAGTCACGTCTGTAGTTGCCGAAAGAGACGAAGTGAATTTGAAGAAGGGATAAGTGATTGACAGAAGATAGTCAACTTGTCGCCATTCATCTCTGTCTATCTTTACATCAGCGAGGTTGAATTGGACACAGAAGTCATCAAAGGCAGACTGCAATCGCCGGGCACGCCTGAGCATGAGGAACGTCGAATTCCATCGTGTCCGAACATCTTGTATAGGCATAAGCTTAGGCTCTTTCGTCTGAAGCCTTATGAAGCTCTCGCGGCGCTGGGGACTTTTGTTGATGTAGACTGCTACCTTCCGAACCTAGAATATAGTGCGAGTTAGTAAAGAAAGAGAGATAATAGTAAGAGATTAGAGAGAGCTAGACCTTGTTCAGAGTATCCACGATCTTTCTATTCTCTTGCCGAGCTATATGCCCTTTCTCGGTCCATTCAATCTCTTCCCTCTCGTTTCCTGGGTTCGCGTCCATCTGACCAAGGAGCTCCTTCAAACTGAGCTGTATAACATGTGCAATACATGGTATACGAATAACCGGTATACTACTAGGTAGCTGTAGGGATTCGACGACCTCTTGAAGGCTACCGAGTAATGTTCCGTTATTAGATGCGTTATCAGTAGTAATAGTTAACACCCTCTCAGTAATCCGATGCTTCTCAAGAAGGTCAAGCAGGACAGTGCTTAGATAGGCCCCCGTATGTGAGCCCTGTAGAGGTTCAAAGCCAAGCAAGAGCTCTCGGTAATTCCACTCTTGGTCAATGAAATAGCCCGTTATTGCCATAAAAGCTTGGCGAAATGGTGAGGTCCAGCAATCTAATGCAATAGAGAGCTTAGCACTATTAGGAAGCTTCTGTAGAAGAGTATACTGGCGTTCTTCCACGATCTCTTGAAGATGACGGCGGACTGTGGTTGCAGTTGGGATTTCGGGGAAGCAGGGAGCAAGCCGGGCCATCTCAAGAAGGGCGCGAAATTCAGGATGCTCAATAAGCTGGAAGGGTAGCCGCGAGGCAGCAATAAAGGTAATTAACCTTTCCATCCAAGCTTGCGGCGTAAATGATGCTTTACGAGACGACAGATATGCCTAGAAGGGGTATTTTATAAGATTAGTAATAATTAGAAAAAGGTAGACTGATTATCCATACCCCGTTCTTGATAGCCTTCCTAATATCTTGCGACTGAGTCGGTCCTCTCCGACAGGCACCTACTTGCGAATAATGCCTATTCATAGTAGATGTTCCCCGGCGCTTATCGGCAGGATGGGCAAGGATATGGTCGCAATTCTTGCATATTACCTTAGGAGACCCATCCTGGATAGTAGCGACCTGGTAGAAGTGGTCCCAACATTCTGCATTGCGTCTACCCTCAAAGATATTCCGTTTCATCTTACTTCCATACTCCGTCTTTAACCACCAGACGATGAAATCCTCATTCGCCATTTCTGTCCAGAGGATATAGTTTTTCCTTTTAGGAGGACCAACGCGTTCGAGTGTTTCTGGGATAACAGGAGGAATCGCCGGTCGGAGTAAGTTCACGTTAGGAGTAGAAGTTGGCGTTTCGCGCCCGTCGAGGTTAAACAGCCCATCAGATGTGAAGAAGGAGAAAGTATCTCGTGGATTATCCTCAAAAGCCGATGAGGGATACTGATCAGAGAACTGAGAGGAGGCCTGACTCTGTAACATTTTGACGAAATGAGTATAGGATAGGACGGGGGAGGTAAAGGACTTAAGGAGATACCTGCTAAAATATTTCCGTCTACTAGAAAAAGCTGAATAAAGGATTTTCTCTAGGAGAAAGCTATAGGCATGATTTAGATAGATCAAATTGAATTGTAATAGTGATTAGGCAGTAGGCTCCACTTTACTACAATCCGATAGGATAAGGGCTACGAAGACCGCAGAAGACCGCATAGAACCGCAGGAAAAACCGCGATAGACCGCATAGAGGGCTGCAAAGACCGCAGAAGACCGCATAGACAGCTAGTAGGAAATACTATGATTGACCGCAGAGGACCGCAGAGAACCATGAGGAGGACCGCACAGGACCGAAAAGGACCGCTAGAAGGCCCATATAATAGTATAATCCTCCTTTTCTTTCTAAGTCTACACTTCATATCAGAGAAACCAATTTTGAAAAGAGATTATTATGATATATTAGTAGTAGAATATAGAATTTCAAGATAAATAGTTAACTAGAGAATCTAAGCTCTCTGATAATACCCTTAATACCTATTTTAGCTGTATGTAGGGGGTTATGTACACTCAACGAAGAAGTCTCAGATGAAGATAGGGTCAGGTACTGATATCGAAATATATATTTCTTACCTCATACACCTAGCCAGCAATAATTATTACTAAACCTCTCTATTAGAACTTAGAAATATACTAGTACTGGCAGGTCTAGGTATTTTAAATAGTAGATTTTCTATATACGAGTATATTTCATCTGTTTTCATAGTGGCTGATGCTGAAATACAGTAAATGTTTATGAAGGGACCAAAACAGTGTTTAATAACAGTAATTAAATGGGATGAATCATCAATTTATGTAGCCGAAAAGAGAAGGTCTTGGTAGAATTATGCAATTGCGGTTCACCGTGGTGAAGACCGCAAGGGACCGCGGTTCACTATGGTGCGGTCTCAACCCCCGAATTCGAGACCGCAAGACCGTGCGGTCCGGTCCGCGGTCCTCGACCTAAGGACCAAGACCGCACCATGCAGAGGCCTAATCCCTCATCATCCCTTGCTTCTGGATCGGCACCATGATCTAGCAGCAGCTTGAGTATATCATCCTTGCCCTCTATCCCGGCTAGATGTAGTGGAGTCCGGAATTTCATATCTGTGGCATTGATGTTTGCTCCACGTCTGAGGAGCAGTTTGATCCCGCTGCCACGGGATGTCATACGTGCCGCACCATGTAATGCCGTCTGGCCCAATTTGTCCGGTGTGTCGATTGTTGCACCCCAGTCAAGAAGGACATCAATTGTTTCGAGGGTCCTGCACAGGACTGCGTAGTGGAGCGCAGTCTTCCCATAGCGGTCATATTCGTCCACGAGGGCTCCCCGGTCGAGGAGAAACTGGCAAATATCCGGGTGCTCATAGTGTGCAGCTGTATGGAGAGCCAGGTGAGCAGACCCGTCGATGTTAAAACTTGTCCCATTTGGGAGTCCGCTCTCCAAATCAAGCTTTTCCTTCAGTAATGCATCAATAAGGGCGAGACGCCCCTTCTTGATGGAAAAAAAATAATGCGTTCCTAACATTATCAGGGCGCTGTGACCGACTGCCCCATGCCAAGAGAATCATGATTGAATCAAGATTCCCACCACATCCAGCTTGAAAAGCGAGAACTGGGATATTCTTGTCCTGCTCTATCTGTGTCCACGGACAAAGATTAACCAGTCCTTGGACCGCCGTCGAGTCACACTTTTCAACAGCGAAGTAGAAAATGCGAAAGTAGTCAACCCAAGCAAAGCGCTTCTGAGCGACTGCATAGTTTACCAAAACAAAGAGTACAGTGAGTACGCAAAAGTATTTGTACCCCCTTAGCCCCACTTTGCTGACCGCCCATACTAATTTCCTACCGCCTACTAGAAACGCGTAGTAAGAAAACACGCTAAACTGCGTAGAACGCGGTAGGTGTAAGATAATTAGAAACCCCCTATCCTACACAGTCTTATACACCTTCCTGACCGATTCTATATGATAATCAGATATCCTCTTCGATTTCTACTGCGATTTCTACCCTAATGGGTCGTTCAAAAGAGCTTACCCCAGCGCTTCGCGAGCGTATATGTGAGCTACACGATATTGGATGGGGATATAAGCGTATTCACGGTCGATACCCATGGATTGCGCTATCAACTATCGCATATACGATTAAGAAAGAGCCTCAGCGGAAGATGGGTATATCGAAGCCTCGCTCTGGCCGCCCGAAGAAGCTTAATGATGAGGATAAAGCCCGAATCCTCGAGGTTATCAGTGAGCAACCCCGAGTGACCTACGAGGACCTACTTTCTGAGGTATCTTATAAGGTTAAGAAGGACTCAATTCGACGGCTATTAAACGCTGAGAATATGCGAAAATGGCGCTGTGCCTGGAGGCCTTATCTTGATGAGGAACGCGCTGCAAAACGTCTACAGTGGGCTCATCGTTATCGGCACTTCTTACCTACTGATTGGGCCCGTGTTTACTGGTCTGATGAGTGTACTGTTGAGCGAGGAATTGGGATACGTCGAGATTGGACCTTTATACGTCCTCGAGATCAATGTAAAGAGCGCGAGGTTCATGGTTTACCACACCGAGGCTTCCAGGTTAAACAGATGTTTTGGGCTGCTTTCTCTGCTACACGACGAACAGGTTTAATACCTCTATTCGGTGATCCTGAATCTGAACGTGGTGGTATAAATCGATTTGTGATTGAAGAGCTATATCGTCGGGTTCTTCCTACGTTACTACCAACTGAGGGTGGCATTTTTATGCATGATAACGCACCTACACATACTGCGTATATTGTACGCGATGCATTGGAAGAACTAGCGATCGAGGTAATAGTCTGGCCACCTCATTCGCCTGACCTTAACCCTATTGAAAACCTATGGGCCCTTCTCAAAGCAGAAATCTATAAGCTCCGACCAGATCTTATGCATATGAAGAACAACAATGAGACCAAGCGAATCTTAGTGGAAACTGCGCAGATTGCATGGCAAAATATCGATATGAAGCACTTAGAACACCTTTCTGAGACTATGCCTAATCGGGTACAGGCAATTATTGATTCAGAAGGGTGGTACACGCCTTACTAGGCAGTTTCTATATGTATTTAGTAGTTGATATGCAATTCATGGAGTTTTGGTGGAGGTTTTGCGACCGGCAGTATATTATGTAATTTAGGGGGTGTGGGGCGGGGGTACAAATACTTTTGCGTACTCACTGTATCTTTGTATCGCCGGTACTCGCCGCATTCTCAAGCATATCCTCCAAAGTATGCTTGGAGATGATGTTATCGGCATGCGGGAGCAAGATCTCAAGTGCAACTGCGTCTCCAGTCTTTATAAGCGGGGATATTTCCCACTCCACACTTTTAATCGGTGCCGCTCCATGCTTGGTCAAGAGATCAACGGTTGTCCTGTGTCCGTTCTTTGCCGCGAGTAGCCCTGGACTCGATCCAGAGATGATGTTTCCAGGTTTCCATCCATTCTGGACTAAGGCTAACACGACACCATCGTGCCCTCCTTGTGCGGCTAGATGTAACGGCGTTGTTCCGAATGTTGCTTGTGAATTATAAGTTGCTCCACGACGAATCAATAGCCTGGCCATGTTCTCGTATCCATTTTCGGCGGCAATATGCAGTGCAGTCCTCCCCTGGCAGCGTCCACAAACCGAGGACGGTCCCAAACGTTTCTCGTAGTATTTGTAAAGGCAGTCCACACACCTGTCGGGATAATTAACGTCGGCTCCATGCTTGAGCATTAGTTTTGTCATGGCAATATCGTCCTTGCCGACCGCTTCATGAAGCGCACCCATCCAACGCCCTTCTTTGAGAAACCAGCGACTCAGCGGGATTCGCCGTTGATGTTCAAGTAGTATCTTGACTGTTCGCTGGTGTCCGTTCTTCACTGCAAGATGTACCGCCGTTGGTGGACACCAAGTTGGACTAGAGTGTCCAACATGTAGTGAAGTTCGGTGGGTGTCTATCTCCAGATCTATTGTCGCACCTCCCTTGAGCAGCATTTTCACCAGCTTTTCATGTCCGGATTCTGCAGCATATTGTAGAGCAATATCCTGTAAATACTTTCGGTTTAGTTGGCTGGCCTCGAGATATTCTGTTACTTTGGCGATATCGCCTTCTGCGGCTGCGGCTGCGATGAGGTGAGTCGGTTGTTGTGCCATATTGAATAAGGCTCCGTCCTTTGACCGTTAACGAGCTAGAAAATCAGCAAGAAAATGATATCCAAATACTCTTCAACTTTTGCTCTTAAAGCTTTTTAATAGGAGCATGTCTGTTGCCTTGGCAATCTCCACGTGCTAATTTTCTCGTATTACAACTGTTGTCATTGGCTAAGCTGTGACGACGTGCTCGGGTAAGAATAAAAGGCTCTGGGTACAGCCTCCTAAGTTAAGCCCCATCCTGGTAGTGATAATACCTCCTAGGGTTGATATTTTGCGGTACTGTCAGCTCATCCAATCATCGTGGCTTTTTTTTTCTTTTGCCTTTCGTTGCTGCCTTTCACCTTGGTCATTTCAGAGGCGGAGCGCGCGAGACTAGTTTACTCTCGCAACCATTTAGATACCATATGACTCCTTACGATACATATCTTCGCTCAGAAATGGCAGCCTAGTAGGGCCCGTAAACTTATACGAGTCTTGGTACTCGATGTATGGCGATAATCAAACAATTTTGAACGCGGGAGGCGCGAAGATTGCAGGCTGCCACTATTTCGATCCGACCCGTAACAATAAGAACGCGTATCTCAAAGTTTGGCAGCGTACATTCGCTTCTGTGGTTTTTGATGTCGAGACTCTCAAAAGTGGAAAGCTAAGCTTGACAATTTGGGATGTTAGTTGCCAGAATCCCATTCGACCTCTACAGACACCTTATTCCCAAGGGACGAGAGGTATCATTTTCGTCGTCGAAACCAGTGACTTAACTCGTGTCGAGGAAGCAAGTGATGAATTGCATAGCTTGCTAGAGGAGGATCTTTTTAAGGATGCGGTCTTCCTCATTCTATCGAATAAGCAAGATTTGCCTGTAAGTCTTTACAATGGCCAAAAGTCCAAAAACAAAGGAGATGTTGTAGGAGAGGGGGAAAAGTTAACCTCGTACTTTGCTATCCGAATCCTCTAAGCGCTTCGGAGCTTGCTAATCAGCTAGACATGCAGTGCGTGAAGAGACATTGGGTGAGTCTGACTTCTAATCTACCAGGATTGAAAAAGCTCTAATATGACTTTGAGTACATTCAAGCAACTTGTGTAATCACTGGTGATGGTCTCAAAGAGGTGCTTCAATGGCTAGGGAATGCCCTACAGTGAGATCCAATCAAACAGAACTGAGTCTAGCTACCTTTTTGCTTCTAAGAAGAAATAAACACATCATCCTAGCTTATCAAATGGTTTCCGTAAGTCTCTAGCCTCAGGTGTGTGAAACATTCTCCACATAATCCCCGCCCCTCTCTGACGGAGTGTAAACCTCCGCGTGCGGGGATTAAGACCCGGAAGATGAGTTCCCGACGGGATGAAGCAACCGAACCAAGCGTTATGGTCGAGATATATGAGTGAAAAGATTGGTGTTTCAACCGAAGAACATCTTCATCAATAAAACCGGCTGCCGTATTCTATATCCATATCCAGCAATGTCGCTACCATCAACCTGCGACATTCTAGTCATCGGCAGTGGCAACGCAGGTTTCTCTGCTGCCCTTTCAGCCGCCCAACACAATCCCAAAGCCAGCATCATTATTATCGATAAATGCCCTGCAGCCTGGGTTGGAGGAAATAGCTATTTCACCGCTGGCGCATTTCGTATTGTCCATGATGGCCTAGAGGACCTGCTGCCAATAGTCAACAATGTGCCTCCAGAAAAGGTGGCACGTATCGATGTACCTGTTTACTCGGTAGCAGACTTCACGCACGATCTCCAACGGATGACCGGTGGTCGGACAGACCCAGCTCTTTCCAGGATACTGGTTGAGGATTCTCGGGACACCATTGGCTGGTTGGCTCGGAATGGTATCCGATTTCAGCTCTCGTTCAATCGTCAAGCGTATGAGATAGATGGTCGAATCAAGTTCTGGGGTGGTATGGCGCTGAAGACTGAGGATGGTGGAAAGGGTCTTGTTGAAGATCACCTGCGGGCTGCGGAGAAGCACGGCATCAAGGTCCTTTTTGACACTGCTGCAACCAAGCTCGTTACCAATCCCCAGACTGGTGCAGTGTCAGGTGTTGAAGTTGTCACTCGCGTTCATGAAAGCAACGACCCCGAGTCTCAACACAGTGAAAGAATGACGATCCAAGCAAAGGCAGTTATCATGGCTGCTGGGGGATTCGAAGCAAACCCTCAATTGCGAGCGCAATACCTGGGTCCAGGTTGGGACGCTGCACGAGTCCGCGGGACTCCCTACAATACCGGCGATCTGCTCCAAATCGCACAACGAGACGTCTCTGCAAAGGCTGCGGGTAACTGGTCCGGCTGTCATAGCGTGGCATGGGACGCGGACGCACCAGCGCACGCAGGCGATCGTGCGGTATCCAACGAATTTACAAAGTCTGGCTATCCCCTGGGAATCATGGTCAACAGAGACGGAGTTCGCTTTGTCGATGAAGGCTCAGATATGCGGAACTATACCTATGCCATGATCGGTCGTCGCATCCTCGAGCAGCCGGGACAGATCGCGTTCCAGATATGGGATGCCCGAACGACGCCATGGCTTCGCAGCGAAGAGTATCGACCGGAGGTGACCCGTCATCTGACGGGAGATTCGCTGGAGGAACTTGCAGATCGATGTGTTGAGGCAGGCCTGGCGGATAAGGAGAGATTCCTTGCGACGCTTTCAGAGTATAATCGTTCTGTGCCATCCGAGGAAGCGTCCAAGGATAAGTGGGATCCTGCGGTCAAGGATGGCCTCGCTACGAAGGGTCTTCCAGTGCCGAAATCCAACTGGGCCTTGCCCATCGATAGGGCACCTTTCCTGGCGGTGAGAGTCACATCGGGGATCACGTTCACATTCGGCGGCCTTGCTGTAAACCCCGAGACAGCAGGTGTGATTTCAGAGGTCACTGGTGGTGAGATCCCTGGATTGTATGCGGTTGGTGAGATGCTTGGTGGTCTTTTCCATAATAACTACCCCGGTGGTAGTGGATTAACATCAGGTGCAGTATTTGGTCGACGAGCTGGGCGAGCTGCGTCGGAGAGAGTGAAGTAGAAAGAGTGGAGGTTTGATAGCCACGTATCTCGGTTAGTCCAGTGCTGGTCATAGACGGAATATCGCATCAACTGAAAATAAAACAATCATCGGTGCCATGAATCGAACCCCCGACCTTCAGATTCCCTATATACTTCACCAAAATGCTCCATCGCCATCCCACGATGCCGAAGTACATACCCTCCGGGACCACACCTACTAAACAATCCCCCTTTACACCACTATAATACCTTTAAAATGTTTTATTTTAGATCTAAAATGGAAGATATTAAAGGGCTCTATCTACCAAACAAAAAAAAAAAAAAAAGAAGAAATCGGCGAGCGGGGGGTTAGCCGCTCGCCCTCTCTCCCCCTTAGGGTGTGCCCGGTCATCCGTGGAGCGGTGCTCGACATCGGATACCAGTCAACCATATTTCCCCTCAATTTTTCCTTCACAGGGGCACACCCTTGGCCAACCAGGTGGCGCAAACCTGGCTGACCAACTAGGCCATATGAGGGGGGAGATTACCTGGAAGAACTGGAAGTTGGTGATAACCCTCAATATCTCAACTTTGCCTGTGCCTCGGCCTCAAGCCCCCAACTGCACAGAATGCCGCACCAGTCATTATACTATTATCTATTCGGTCCATATCGTAAATTCTGCGGTTTTAAGCTGCTATGAACTGTCATATGCATGATCGCCGTCCCTAATTTGAAATATGACGTCGGCAAGGCAGAATGCTGCGACTTGGCCCCCATGGTGGCTGTGTTGACAGTCCTGCGCCATAATCGACAAAAGTCTAAAGTTTATATTAATATACACTCCTTCTTTGTCGCTATATCTTGACTGGTTTTCCTAAGGTTTGATTCCTCTTGCAAAGCCATTTTCCACACATTGTTCACTACCTCCAACATACCACTACTCGACAATATGCATACTCAACACGATGACCGCGATATCCTCCCTGGTGCAGTCACCAAAACACCACCAAAGTCCAACGCGTCTTCATTGACTATGCTAAAAGCATCCGCCGGTCCGAATGAACTCGTTTTTACTCGTATCGGCCCCTGGCGCATCAACATGGAAATCTCAACCAAGAACCAACCCGAAAACACACTATACTCCATCGACATTGCCGGTCTATTCAGCGACAACACCGAAATAACAATGTACAGCGGATCCAAAAAGGAAAACCGTGTCCTCGGTCACTGTCGCTTCAACAAGTTCCGCCCATCTGAGATGCAGATTAGCTCTCATGGGACCTCATCGCGTATGATATGGATCAAGCAACACGATTCTTATCGCTGGTCTGTGCCGCAAAAGTCAGAAGCAGGCGAGAAGACCGAAACGATGGATGAGAAGTACTTCTTATGGAAAACAGTCGAATACCCGGCGTCTTCATCCGGTAATCGGGTATACCAGAATCTGGAGCTTGGTGATATGGACAACTCTACTGTCTACGCTGCGTATTCCGGGGGTGCACCTGGTACCAAGAGTGGTGGGAGTTTGCTTTTGAGAGAGGATATGGGAGAGGATATGATTACGATGGCTGTATTGACTGTGTGTGGTTTGATTGAAAAGGAAAGGCAGACGAGAGCGAGAAAGGGGAACTTTACGATTGGCATGCTGGCCTATTAATTTTAGTCTCCATGTATCCTCGTTGATTTAACAACTGGGAGGTTGACTAAAATATGACGATGATATACTCATGTATACACCATTCACGCCTGAATCTCCGCCTTCATAGCAACGACACCTCCAGGCCCCAGAATCTGCACCTTGGCCACATCCCCATTCTCCTGCAGGACAATCTTATACTCATCACCCGCATATAACGGACTAGTCGCCCGATACGAGATACTCCGTGGAATAACCGCAGTCGGATCGACACCACTATTCCCCTGATCCCGGACATCTCGCCACAAATCCAAGATCGAGATCAAGTTCAATGGGCCGTGGACAACGATATCCCTGTGTCCCTCGACATCACGCGCCCAGGGTAGGGAGTAGTGGATTTTATGCGGGTTGAATGTTAGGGCTGAGAAGCGGAAGAGTGTCACGGGGGATTGGACGAATGTTTTTGAATGGGTGGTGCCTTCGGTGGAGATGTTCGAGGCAGAGGTCTCTGTGAGATGCGATGTTGACGGGGGCGCGGTGCTAGTCGGTGTCGAAGTTGATGGGATTGGTAACGCTTTGCGGAATACCCAATTCCTATTTCTACCGTTAGTATATTTCCATAGCCCAGGATTAAAAGGACATGTTTACCTTCGATCAATAATCGAGACACCATGTTCATTCGAGAATTCCTTCTCAACACCGACAACGATCATATCCTCGCCCGTCTTCTTGACAACCTTAGACTCGGCGCTAAGCACACGCGTCGTCTCGCGGACTTCCTGTCCCACACGTAAGGGATTCGGCTTTCCATCTGCGCCCCGAGGCCAAGAGACCTCCCCACCAGCCCACATGCGTCTCGTAAACGGGAACTCGGGGTTATAGGATGCATCGGTACCATCAGCGCCCAGCTCTCCTTCTAAGAAAGCAGGCGTGAAGTAAACAAGGTGGTAGCCCGGAGGCACGGGGGTGTCAAGTGGAGGCGCATTTGGTGTATTGGAAACCGAAGGCGAGCCCGGGTATAAGGAAGGACGGTTCAGCGTGAGTGTGAGAAGTTGTAATTGATTCGCGTCGAGTGTTTGAGTTCGTGTTTGAGGACCGGACGATTGGAAGCGGGAGAGGAATGAGGCTGCGACTGAAGAGGCGGGCGGGTCTGCGGAGAAGAACCGGGCGGAGGTGGTGAAGGTGCGAGGGGCGTTTAAATAACGCGTTCGCGAGAGGAATTGCGGTCGCATTGTGTGGAGGATGCGAATAGACATGAAATCGATAGAAATTCGCTGAATAGCACTCGATCCTGTGCAATTGCAAAGTTGGAGAATGGGCATCTCCAATCTTCTTAAAGCGCGGGGAAAGCTGCGCGAGCCGAATCCACTCCGAGTCGGCTTTATGCCCGAGACCCACTGCGAATGGCTTCGGCTGTGAATTCGGACTCTTGTGAGGTTGCCGAAGTAGACGAGGTTGAGATAGGACAAGCATTGTTCCACATGATACTTTGGGATAGATAATAGTCACAGCTTACAGCAGAGTAGGCTTCTAGGTAGCCTGGTCATCGTCTATTGATGCCTCCACCCGGGCATGTATCTGACTCTTTTGGCATATCGCGAATATATACATTCAAACCATTTATAGCAAAAGTCTATTTCTTCTCCTGCAAAACTTCTTCCGTCGTCCGAACAACAATATCAAAAGCATTGCGCACAAACTTCTCCTCGGCCATGGGATTCGCACTCACCACGCGAATGACATAAATCCCATCAATCACCGTAGAAGTAATGAAAATCTCTCCACGGGCATTAATCAACTCATATACCTTCTTCGTGATACCATCAGCGATCTCATCCTTCTGCACGACAGTCACACCGCTGGCACTGCCATTAGCCACCTGAGGGTTCTTGATACGGAACACCGTCAAGGCAAAGGCAGGCTTGGTGACGATCTCGAAGAGATCTGACCGGCCACGGACGAGGTCGGCAAATGTGTTGCCCAGCTCGATAGTCTTGCGGATGTGTGCCTTCATGCCATTGAGGCCGTAGCTGCGCATGACGAACCAGATCTTCAGAGCGCGGAAGCGACGGCCCAGCGAGATGGACCAGTTGCGGTAGTCGATCACGGTGCCCATATCAGAGTATGGGTTGCGCAGGTAGGTCGGGGTAATATCGAGGGCGTTGGTCAAGTCGAGACGGTTGCGGACGAAAAGAACGCTGCAGGTGTCAATAATCAGTTTGGTTGAGAGTAGAGAGAAGAAGGATGAAACTAACCTTGCATCAAAGTTGACCAGCAACCACTTGTGCATGTTCATATTGAAACTATCCACGCCTTCCGCAAAGTTCTTCGCAATGTACTGCCACTCATCTGCCACCAGAGCAGCTCCGGCATACGCAGCATCGACATGCACCCAGATACGCTGCCACGCAGGCTTCTCCTGCAGAACAGCCTTGATCTCTGCAAAGCGATCCACGCTGCAGGTGTTGGTGGTACCAAAAGTCATAGTGAGATGATACGGCGTCAACCCATCCTTATCACACTGCTCCAGGACCTCCCGGAGCCGGGAACCAGTCATCTCCATATTCTCCTCCAACCGCGTAGACACGCTGCGGAACCGAGTACCAGCAATCAACGCACCCTTGGCAGCACTGCTATGCGTCTGGTCACTGGCGATAGCAACCAACCTCGGCTGAAGATCCATTTTGCGCTCTTCGTACTCGGTAGTTCCCTCCTTCAGACCCTCTGCGAGGACCATCTCGCGCACGCGTCTCTCGCGAGCAGCCACCAACATCGTCGCAATAGCATCACTGGCACTGTTCTGAATCACTCCACCACCGAGATTCTTGGACGTACTCAAGAAACACTCCGGAAGACCCAGCGCCTTGGCAACCCAATCCATGACAATGGTCTCCATCTCCGTACAAGCCGGTGAGCACAGCCAATTGAATGCCGGCGCCGTGAAAGTCGCCGAGTACATCTCGCCCAGGATACTCGGATACGTCACGCTGGCTGGGTAGTATGCCATGAAGTTGGGAGACTGCCAATGGGTGAGACCGGGCTTGATTTTGGTATCAACATCTTCTTGGATCTTCGCCCAGTCTTCTGGCTCGGTCGGAGGGTTCTCGGGGATCAATGGGCGCAGGTAACCAGGGTCAACGGCGGGGAGGACTCGACGGTCGGGGACGGAATCGAAGTAACTGACGACTACGGAATGACCCGGTTAGCTTCAGATAGTCCTGGGAGCGTCAATTGAGAAGCTCACGTACTATCGTCGATGGCCGAATGGGCCGCAGCCCGGAATTGTTCGCGGTCCATGTCTTGCGATGGAGCAGAATGTATGAAATGTATGCGAGCGGGGGAGACCTGCAGGCGATCCGGCGGCGTGCGGGGCAGAAGTTTATGCAGCAAGACAGACGTAGCACCAGTATCAGCGCAAATTTTAGTCAATGGGGCTTGAAAGTGGTCAAATGTGAGAATTGAAGAAGTAGTTGGAACTGGTGAATAAATATTTGGGGAAGCAAAGAATGTCGTACCAGATTGAACTGGTCGAAAAGTGGTCGTCGGGGAGAAAAGCTGCTCGGAAGCGGAACTCCTTCCGATACTCATGTTTGGCCTGAAAATTGCGGATCGCCATGTCCGTTCCGCTCCGTCAGCAATTCACACAGTCGCAATACTGTAGACAAAACTTCTGTTTCACCACTGAATTGCATTTGAATGACTGGTAGAACATTCTAGACCATACTATATCTTCTTCTGCTCCTACAGCGACCTAAGAGTGGAATATCCGTCTCAAAATGTTGCAATGACTCGGAATGGTATTGCATTCGAATGTCCCTGGTCTTCTATTCTGTCTCGGCTTCCATCGATGCCTCGAGAGTACGGGGAAGAAATTGAGGTGTACAAGGTGTATGGCTTGTCTTGAAAATATATGATGCGATCACTTAATAAAACACATAGAAGCACTTTGATACACATTGCTGTCCAGGACAAGTCATTCGATTTTAGTACATTGGTTTTCAAAATAACTAGATATACATGGTGTTTCTGTATGAATTAAACGGCGACCAGAGCCAAAGCAGCGGCAGCACCACCCGCAACCCAGAGACCATGCGCAGTCATCATGGGTATAGCGGCGTTAGAAGAGTGCGAAGCGCTCGTGCTAGCCGCAGATGTCGAAGTCTTTCCACTCTGCGAGGCAGATCCAGTGCTCGTTCCGGTGGTAGTAGAACCAGAGCCAGTCGAAGTCGAGGTAGCCGTGGAAGCGGAAGCGGAAGCACCAGTTGAAGCAGCTGCACCGCCAGTCTGAGTCGCCGTGACGTGGACGGCTTGGAATCCACCGTAGGGGATGGTTGCGATTCCAATCGAATCGGACTCGGTCTCGGTCATGGTGCCGGAGACAACAGTTGCCCAACAGGTGGCGGAGGTGGTTCCGTCCAGCTTGCAAGTTTGGGAGATTGTCCTGCGTGGGTTTAGTGACATGTCGATATGTAGGATAAATATATGGATGGTTGAAATGCGCTTACTCGTCGCCATAGCTCATGCCGTAAATCACACTGGAGGCACCTGCGGTGACTGTGTATCCAACATCTGGGAGACCGCAGCTGTTGGGATCCTCCTTGGGCGGGCAGTTGAGCAGGTAGGTGGTCATTGAGTTGCTCTAGATGGAGGTTAGTAATCGATTCTAGATATTCCAGGCCGGGCATGTAGATCCTAAACACCGTACCGAACCAAGGATTTTCGCGTCAATTGACTGCGCATCAAAGCCAGGCAGGAAAAGCGTGACGGTGCTGTCAGCGACCGCAAGAGTGGCACCAGCCACGAGAGCAAGAGACTTGAAAAGCATTTTGAAATATGAATAATTAACTTAGAAAAGAGTGGTAGAATGATATCAATGGCGTGGTGTAAACGAGCGTAAACGAGCGTGGGTGGGGACGAAGAAAAAAAGGAGAAACGATCATCGAGAAATAATGGGAAGACCCCAGATGTAATGAATCAGGGGTCTGATTGCATAATCTAGAACCCTGAATAATAAGCACCGTCCATAATCCTGGTTGAAAACCAGGGCGGCTTACGCCAAGACTGAACTATGAGTTGCTGGTGGCCAATAGGCGCCAGAGAATCTAGCCTAGCCTCAGACAAACATCTGATTCTTCACACATTCTTCACACTGGTGGTTCTGCAACCGAAGCGCCCTAGGAGAGGAGCATGAATACTTTACAACTCTGTCGTTGGAAGTCAAGTACCTTATATGCGAAAAAAGAGAGACGGGTGGTGTACCTCCAAGTTTCTGTTGCTCCAAGTTTGCCTCTTCGTCTACGGTATAACATTCTTACGCTCTTCTCCATCAGGCATCGGGATGCTGGCGGCTGTGCTGTGCTTGATATATTTTAGTTTTAATTTATTTGCTAGCCCTGGAATTTAATCATGCTCATTGGTTCACGTGGTACTATAAATGACTCGACTAGTACACCGATAGTAGGGATTTGCCGAACATTCAATTCTTAGCACGTTAACGAAGTGTCCCCAGGAACTGAACAAGTCGGCGATATGTCGATGGACGTGGGCCTGGTGAATTGGTCTTTTCCGCGACCATATGGTACGCCTGCAAAGTATTTGTCTTGAATGCATGAGTCCCGCCCCACAGAAATAGTCGGAATATGCGATAAGTTTCTTCTCCCCAGCCTGCAATGACTTCCTCCTTGGCTGCATCTAGTCTCTTGGCCCATTCCAACATGGTAAGCTCATAGTCCTTGGTTTCTCGAACTATCTCGATGACCTCGAAGCCATGATACAAGAATTCAGCCATGACATCCTGCACAGTCATGAAAGTGTGGGTGCCCCGCCAGATATAATCCCTCGTCCATGAGCTCACAGCAAACTTGGTAACAGCTGCCGATCCATCGAGATAAATTCGTCCTCCGGGTTTAAGTACATCCCAAATCCTGCGAGCAAATCCTCGGTAATCTGGAAGATGCTCGATAACACCGTAGATGACGACATGATCGAACGGCTCCTCGGGTTTGAAGTTTAAAAAGTCCTGTAGAAAGACCTCACCGAGGAGGTTCTTTTCGCTAATCAGATTTTGAATGTACCGAGCGGAGTCCACCGTTAAAGTTAACGTTGTGACGTGTACACCACGAGCACCACAGTACTGCGTGACACCTCCCCAGCCGCCACCGATGTCAAGCAGTCTCTGTCCAGGCTTGAGCTCCAAGCCGTTGAACATGCTCTCAAGTTTATGCTCCGATGCCTCCTCAATAGTCTCGTCCGGATGTTTGAAGAGTCCCTGAGAGTAAAATCTATATCGCTTGTCGATAAACGTGAGGTAGAAATCGTCGCCTCGACTATAGTGTTCGCCAATAGCCTTGGAGTTCATGGCCGTTGCAGTCCGGAAATAGTCGTATAAGAATTGGAACTTTTGTCGCAAAGGCATTTTATCGGGCAGTTTATCTCGCGCATCAAAAAGAGCACCAAAGTCCCCTTCAACTTGAATTTCACCAGAGACATAGGCACGACCGACGCCGAGTTCCGTCATCGGCGTACGGAGAGCACTTTCAGATCGAAAGATGACTCGGTATTTTGGCGCGCCATTACCAACTTTGACAACAGTGCCAGTAGGTAGTTGGATTTCACCTGGGATATCAAGACTCGCGAGGAGGGCAGCAAGCCCAGTGCGTGGCAGCTCCTGGGTAATACCCATGGTTATGGCCTTGGGTAGAAGATAAATTTTTGACCTGCAGGTTTAGCATTGGCTTATCACTGAACTTATATAGTTCGTGGGGCCATAATTATTGTAAATTCATTGGGTCAAGGAGGCGTGTCGGCTCGCGTAATCTAGGTAAGCACTAATCCTTGGTAGTACTTGGCTTGTTCTGCAGAGCGGCCCATAAATCCTCATTCAACTCCACGTAGAACCTGCAGCCCCTCTTCTCTGGTGGTAATAGGAGTGTTTCTCCGATTGACACATCATCATAATTGGTTGGTGACCATACACGATCAAGGCGTGTGGAGAACATGAGTTCCTGTCCTCTCGCCTGCAGTCCGCCTCGAGGCCTCGATAAGGGGCCGTCGGCCTTGGTGTGACCGTAGATCTATCACTCGCGCAATCCAGTTGTTCATAACACGATGATCACATCGAATCATGAATAAAGTGAAAGAAATTCACTAGATAACTTCCTGGGGTCCTTAGGTCACCTCTCCCCGGTGGTGTAAGCACTATACCTTCGCTCTTGTGATAGGATATGTAGTAACTCATGGGACCGTTGATCATGCTTGTGATATCCGCTATTTATGCCGAGTCCTTTTTGCATGAGACTTATGGTGAAATGTAATCATACACCCGCACCCCAGAAAGAATCCGGAACTCCATTGGCAGTTCACCGTGTACTAAATCGTTGAATTTTCGTGCCCAGTCCAAAAGATTATCAGGGCCGTTACCGTCAACTCAAGGTGAAGTCGCGATAATAATGGATATTGGCTGAAGTTGTCACTCAGGAGCTTGCAGTTGAGTGAAATGACCAATTTGGTGAATGAGAAGGAACAACGTTCTGATCAATATCCTCCTCTTTTGCTAAGCTCCACCATGTATTCAATACACAGTCCGATGAGAAGTGCAATTCGATTGGCATGTCGTCAAAAACTGAGCTGTCGTGGCACGTACTCTCTCTCGGCTTGCTAATTAGACCTATTGTATGCAAACGTCAATTATCCCAGATAGGGGCTCCAACACGTCGGAAGGCTTGGAATTTCACATAAAAGAGAGTGTGTCTCACATCTCGGAAGAAACCACACATAAAGCGATATTTTCCTATAATGTGATTCTTTCGTCCAGCCATGGCACGGATCCTTTCCCAGTCCTTGTCCTGGTCGGTGCCATTTGGAGGAGGAGGCACAAACAATTGCGCTGGGGCGATCGACTTTTCTGGTGAAGGAATTGTCACAAGAAAGGGGAAACAATGGTCCAGAATCACTGTATCGCTAGGATACATCACGGCCAGACACTCTGCAATGGTTTTCAATTCCTCGAGGCGCCATTTTAGCCAGCATTCTTGGACATATTGCTTGGTGAATGAGTTGATTTCCTCTGATGACCAGGACCACCGTATATTCGCCGCGTGATGAACGCAATTGAATGTCGCTAGGATCCAGAGAATTCGATTTGCGCGATAAATCTCAGCCCAGGATGGAGGATGGTACTTGAATCGGATAGGTTCATTTTGGGGTTCGGGTAACTTTCTCCTAACCCATTCGTACGCTTTGCTGGGAGGACCGACCACGCGACGAGGCTCTGCAACAGATAGACGATCGAGAAGAAGTTGAACACATACTAAAGCGGCAAAGTGGATCCTCGTCGCTATGCTGATAGCTTCTCGCACAGCTCGAAGAGAATGGATAATGGGGAGAGATAGTGGCACAACCGAAGTCGTACAAGCACCCTCAAGAAGCTCCGGTGGGGCCGAGGGAGTGAATGCTTCTGATTCGAGGGACACAAGATTCCGAAACTCGTAATGCAGTCCCTGGCCCAAAATTGGATCATTCTTCATGACCGATTCTGTGATCGGCTGGTAATATTCGTTCAACACCTGCTCCGCCCGGGCGGATGTTCTGAGCAAGCCATCTAAGCTAGCGCAGTCAGAGCAAAATTAGAGGATTGAAAGAATTATCTCAGGTGGAAGCAGTGATAAAGGGTCCATGATGAGCTAGGAGATCAAGAGAGACCCCAGTTTCTGCCAGATCGATGTACCTTTAAAATTAGAAAGTCTGTGCCGGGAGTGCCAAGAATAAAGGTAAACATCTGGTAGGCAGAGCCTTGGCAAAGAGGCGCTACTGGGCGATTGGTTGGATAGTGTAAATTAAACCGAGACATCTAGGTAGTCTGCCTAAGCGAAAGGGTGTAAATGGGTGAGGCTCAACACGGTCGTAATCCTGTATGGAATTTAAGTACTTTTGATTGGTGCCTGTAAAGCACGCCAAAGCTTTCTCCCACTCCCAACAATTCACGCATTTTCAAAAATTTCATCAAATATCACCCTCCCTCTCCAATCTCTTGCTTCTATAATGACGGGTCCTCAGTCATTCCATCATCTTTCCTGGCCTGAACCCTGGACCCACCCCGAGTTCACAATTCCTTCCGAGGAACGCCTAGCACTTTGGAAATCACAGGGCTGGTTAAAAGATGGGAGCCGTGCCTCTGTGCAACTCATTAAAAACCTCAAGTGGCCTTGGGGTTTTATCATATATCGTACCGTTTATACCCCGGAGTCCGATGAACTATGGTCTGCTTGTCTTGATAAAATCGAAGAATCTATCCGGCTGGAAATCGACATCTTCGGGGGGGAATACACAGACCAAACCCCCGAGAGAATTCTCAAGGACACCTTCAAAAACGTCGTTCTTGAAGATCGGGACCGTTGGGAATCCGCGTCGGTCGAACAGATTCGCGCAGACTTTATCGCGCATTTAGAATCAATTGGGTCATTTGTCGGAGATGATGCTCCTCGATCTACCGTTTGTCTCGTCATCGACGACGCGTGCTTGCAATCTATCAGGAATACATTTGACGAGCCTGAAAGCAATCGCGGCAGTTGGGCGCCAACGGGGTTTGTTGGAGTGATTGATCCAACGTACACAGAAGACAAGAGCTACTGTAATATGCAGTACCGAGGATTCATGAGAGTACGGATTACATGTCTCTTTGAGCTCGTGGCCCGTCAATTGACATGGTGCTCTATGCATGAGGTTTGTCCAATTATGTATTATTATATGCATCCTAGGGTGGTCGACCCGAAAAAGATTCCTCTTTATACGGGGCTTTGATGAAGTATGGAAGGTGGAAAATGTCAGGGAAGTCCAGCTAGTCCTGTTTCTAGATTCCAAATATATAGGAGGTTTCATTCATTATGCTTTTACTTACACACTCCCATTCTTTCCCTTTTCAACTGCTATGGGAGTCGAGTAAATCTGGGCAACAGAAATGACGGATAAAAGATCTTTCGCGTAGCCCGCTGCAGTTGCCGCAGCATACCCTTGCCAATCTTTATTCTTATGTGAATCTGCATAGTCGCAGATGCCTCGCACAACCAAGCAAGGGAAGTTATCCATAAGTCCGGCTGCCTCCATCTCAAAACATAAGATACCCAGACCTTGAGCCAGTCCATCCCGTGTTGAACCATGTCGCATGACCTGGTTCCCAGAGGCGATTAACCCATAGTGTATCTTGGGACCGGGTTGCCGTGAACGCCGTGTAACTAATCTGCTTTGATCACATTTTTCGCATGTGCCTAGAGATTCAATGTGCTCATAGTCCGCTCCAAAAAGCTGGTCCTGCTCCAAGCCCCGGCAGGAAAATTCGGACCTCATGTTTGGATTTTTCGTCAACATTTGTTCCATGTAGTGGGAAACCTTGTTGTCACCGGCAGTCAGATGTTTTGTCCGTAATGTAGCAACTGCGGTAAGGAGTGATTGCGGTGGCTTGTTCAAGACACCTGTCATCTGGATCTTGTGTCCGACATGTTTGCCAAGATCGTGTTGAATGACACCTCCATAACCCCCTGTAGGGCTGCTCACAACCACATCTCCTAGTCGAATATCGTTCTTGACTGAAGGTACGCCCCCTCCAATTCCAACCAACAAGCCAATTCGGACTTGATCAAATGTGTAAAGGATGTGCGTAGCTACCACTGCAGCTGAAGTCGTGCCATACATCCCTTCTGGCAAGCATGCCAACACAATGTTATGGGAGCCAATTCGCCCCAAGCTATAATGATTGGTATCCCTGGGGTGTATGGAGAGGCTTGGGTGAATCTCATCGAGCATTTTCTCTGCTGCTGCCATCTCAATATGTAAAGCGCATATCCAGGCGACAGTGTAATCGCTATGAGTATATGTTGAGTGTTTGCCTTGATGGATGGTATCGGAACGATCAGTGTCGACCCTGGCCTTCTGCTCTACCCAGAATTTTGGATGATCGGCTACAGAATTCATGGGCTGCAAGAGGAGTTTGGTCGCGTTTCGGTAATTTTGGATATTTAGCGTCGTCATCTCATAATCCAATTTGGACGCAATGTCATCCAACTGGAACTCGTTTGTACCGGATGGAGTCACGATACTAGATATTGATTTTATTTTGCTTTGCTCCATAGGCCGGAAGAACCGGTACTTCTTGTTCTTTGCTGCATGAAGGCGACCATTAATGTGGACATCGATTGAGAAGGGCTTCATGTCATGCCGGAGGACCAGGGCCAAGCGCAGACCTCCGCAGGCAACAGTGTCCTCCACCAACCACTCTATGCGCCGGGGAAGACCGCTTGCATCTTCAGCTAATGGCCATGAGAAGCCCCGTAATGTCCATTGAGATTTATCGCCGGATGGCAAAGTCATTTGCTCTCTTTCGTTTCTCGATGGCCGCAGAAGATATGTTTGTCCAAAGAAATTGGATGCATCTTCGTCTCGAATACCGCCTTCTGCGCTGATGATTTTACCATCAATATGCTGGGGTCCAAAGTAATCGGTAATTATGGGTCCCAGTCGCGTTGCACTTGTCCTTCTTTGACTCTCTGGGTTGTGCGACCTGAAAATGACTTCCACATTTGCACTGGCGAGGGAGCAGTCTACGGGCTGGCTGATCTTGACATCCAGGTAGAGAAGCCAAGCAGGCGAGGCCGGTTCTTTCCCAATCACCCCCCATCGAGAATCAGGCATAAAGGAGCAGTCAATCTTGACCGTTCGCACCTCCCTATAAGCCAAGCTTTGTCGATGCTGCTCCAACAGGGTTCGAGTTTCCTGCTGGTACTTGTCGAATCGACGCTTCAAAACATAGCGACTCCACATAATGCCGTACGGCTTATGGCCATCTTTGCCGGCCTTTTCGCAGTAGAGAAGTTTTGGGGAGAGGGAATCCAGAGGGGCTCACGCAAGGAGTGATGTGCGCTTTGGCCACCCGGGCACCACCACTCCTGCATGCTCACATAATTGTGATCTTGATCAACTAATCGACCCTTCATCTGAGAGTAAATTTCATCCCCGCATCGACACGAAGACAGGGTTATTGCCCAAAGGACTATCTGCTCAAGGGTCAAAATGACGGCGAATGTGTCAGAATACCCGGGTCAAGAAGCAGCTCCATTTTCTTTGACGATGGAGGTAGAAGAGGATATCGAGCAGGAGATCGAGAGTTTTGTACGGTTCAAGCGACGCGGAGAGTACGACCGAGCGGAGGAATTATTTCAGCAAACGCTCTCAGCACATCTTTCTCTCTTTCCAATCATTGCCGAGTACGCTGACCTGCTCTTGGTGCAAGAGAAATATCGAATTCTCTCGGAGTTTCTGAATATTCAGATTCAATACTTGGAGCCGGTGCTTGAAGAAGAGGAAGTTGAGCTGCTGCAAATCATGAGATCTCTCGTGCATATTCATACTCGCGGTTCATTACGGACGGCTTTGATACAGGCAGATCGGACGTGGAAATTCCTTTATCAACGGAGTACAACGCTTCCTTCGGGTGCATTTCCCAGTGATGTAGAGGTAAGAGGCTGTTATGAGTTAGTGTTTGTTGTTCGTGTATTGAACATTCGCAGATTCATATTTTTGAGGTCTATATCAGGATTTTGGTCTTTGCCGTGATGAACTCCAACTGGGCGAAGATGGGTGACGTGAAATGCCCATGGACGCCAGCTCAAGAATCTGACAATTGCGACTTTGTACAATGGTACTTGACGCTATGGTGCAACGGGCATGTTTGGAGTGCTTCTCAAGTACTGATCCTTCTCCTACAAGCCCTACCGCTCTTTGGAAAGCAGGATGTTGCGGTCCTATTTGGCAAGCATTGCTATGGAGAAATACCGAATGAACCATCACCCGGCGAGATGAGAGAAATAGATCAGTTGATCGCATGTTCCGTATCATTTAGCAGGGCACAGGCACTGCTCGATCTGTCATTAAGGGTACAACGATACAGTCCTGATGGTGGGAGGTGGAGAGAGATCTATGAGCTAGCAGCCTGCTACCATCATGCCGCAAATTTCACTCCCACGATCTTGTGTTGTCGCAAACTCGAGGCACATATTCAGGAAACCCAATTTGAGCTGGTGTTAGAAGCCCTCGCCAATCATCACCAACCCAAAATATCTCCAGGTCGTGCGTACGATCATTGCACAGTAGCTTGCGGCCAGCGATGCGACCTCATCTCAATTTTTCTCTCTCTCATGAAAACTCCCGGCAGTACCGATTACTATAGCAACGTCTCAGAGGCCCTTGCATCACTGTACTCTTTTCAGCTAGAAGGTCAGGGAACCATTACAGGATTGATTCAAACACTTGACCTAAGTTTTACTCTAATGGGCAACCTCATACCAGCCAAGGAGGAAAAATGTCGGACGGCTCTGTTATCCCCAGCAGCCGATTCTCTCTTGCCACATCGCCGGCTTTCGACTGTGAGGATGAGCCAACACCGGATCAGAAGTTTGAAGAACGACTCGATTTCACGGCTTTGGGATAAAATATCCAATATTGTGTCTCAAAAAAGTCCACGGCTCGATTTTGAGCTGTCCCCAGAGCTGAGTCATTATTATGAGGAGAGCTCTGGGGGGCTTGATATTCCGACATATTTGTGGGCACTGCACGACATGCTCGAGAGCTCCAATGGGAAATCCCCGGGGCCTCTCCATTTGTTGGAAGTCCCCGGATTCAGCAACTCTTATGTAGAAATGATCCGGAACTTTCTACCAGAGCCTATCCTAACAGATAAAGCCAGTCAGATTGCTAGCTATATCCTAGATGCAAACCAGAAAGAAGTCGGGACAAAGGGTTCTGTCGAGGAGACACAAAAAGCAGAGACCCGGCAGGAAAGTGACGCAATGGTCGTTTCTTGTCCTACTGAAACTATGCTGGAGCCGAATATCCAAGCGGCCTCGAAGGTTGAATCTCGACATCGGTGTACTCTGGAACAAAGCGGCATCAGGCCATCTGAGCAGCCACAAGAGCAGCCCATTCCGGAATTGCAATTCCTCGTTCAATCACCGTCAACAGGAAAGTATACAATCAACGATCGACAGAAGCAGACATCCACGGAGCCCTCTTCCACAAAAGATAAACCGACTATTTCTTACGGGGATATCTGCAGGGACTTGCGTGCAGAGCTCATGAGGTGTTTTCAGCGGCCCGACGACTATGACCATCGGTTCATCATTCGAGGAACCGCTCAGGAGGTCTTGCATGAGGAGAAATTGGTTCGACTTTTTCAGTCTCTGCATTTCCCCGACATCGGCTCCGAATTTTCGAATCCCACCTTTGAGGAATTCCTCGCGCGGAGGTTGAATGAGAAACGTCTCCATAACTTCCTGGCCGTCTTAATTTTTTCCATGTACGACATCGAAGCTGTTCAGAAGTTTTCTACCAAGGTCCTTGCCACAGAGTCATGGCCCGCGATAGGGTGCTCGCTACCAACGAGTCAACAGACCCTCAAGCAGTTATTCGGGGAGAATAGCGCCTCGTATCCGTTTCTCGCCAATCAAGCAATATTTTGCCCCGCAGTGATTGTGAAAGGATCAAGAATCCTAGTTCCGAGTCTTGAGGAACAAAGGCTTCCATATCTCCAGGAAGAGCCTCTCGGGCAAGGATCCCTCGCGTCGGTTTTCAAGGTTAAGATTGCGCGAGGCTACTTGTATGATCCGCTCAGTGGTTATTCGAATCAAGAACCTATAGATGTTGCAAGGAAGGACTACATTACAAGTGTCAGGTTCATCCTTCAGCACATACCAGACGACATCAGGAATGCAATTTTTCCACTTGGGAAGAAATGTGAAACCATCCTTGAAAGCCTTGGCGCCTTTTCCATTGAGTCGTCAACTTATAGTCTCTTTATGCCTCTGGCAACCTGTGATCTTGAACAATACATGAGGAACAATCATCTGACGCGGCGCGATTCGACCGCTAGAAGATCGGGATTTATCGAAAACATCCAGGGTTTGGCGGACGGGCTTCACTTCTTACATGCCGAATTGAAGGCAAAAGAATTGGATCGCCTTGTCTGCTATGATTTGGACTTAAAACCCGAAAGCGTGCTCATTTTCTGGGAAAAGACCGCCGACGGGGAGAGGCTTACTTGGAAGATCAGCGATTTCAGCATGAGTTATGTCAAGTATCGCCGGCAGGGCGAAGAACATGATAGGGTGATACATCTCAAGAACAGGTTCGCTCGCTTTCGTCGGCCAAATACGCACAACTCTCCAACCTCGAAAGCCACCAACTGCAGGGGTGAAGGCACATGCCTTGCGCCAGAGTCAATTGCAACCCCTCCCATTATGAGTACCAGTAGCGATGTCTGGTCCCTGGGATGTGTGATCAGCATCGTGTTTACCTATCTGGAAGAAGGTCCCGCCGGCATACGGAAGTACGGGAAGAAGAGAGGAGCACATGAAGGAACTGATGGGTATGATCGGTTTTTCATTCATGACGGAGACACGGCCCAACCTCATCCATTTATCGAAGAATGGCACAGCCGTCTCATCAAAGGCGCAATGTACCGCAGCAGGTGTGAGGGGAAAGCAGTGGAATTGACGCTGAGATTTTTGGAAAGTGCAGTGTTTCAAGAGCAGGCAAACCGGTGTGATGCTCTTAGTGTGAGGCAAAAGCTGATCGAAATATGGACAGCATACAAGGAAGAGGAGGTCGAGAGGGTTGAATATTTTCAGTCCAGCCTTGAAAGATTCATGCGAGATCCTCTGAATCGCCTGAATCGCCGAATTATCCCTCGCAGAGAAGCGCAAGAAGGGCAAAAGGATGACAAGGATTAGAGAATTGTTCCAATATTGCCTGTAAGCTGCAGAGAGTCCCTCAAAGTCAATCTGAGCAATTCAAAAATACAAGAGCCCTCGTTTTTCCACCTCGATTAAACGTCTGGCCATTTCCGTCGCGCGGCATATAGCACGAAACATTCGGTTGAAAGGGCTTGGTTCCAATAATAGTCTTCTGGAATATGCCGGTCGCTTTATGAGGAGGATCAAAAGACAACCCAGTGTAAACATAATGAGGTACCATATTTTCCGTACAGTATCAAGAACATTAGAGAGGAGAGATGTAGAAATAAGCTCGGGGGTTCGCCTTTTAATAACAACTTCAATCGAACAAAATGGTTGGAAGTTCCTTCCATAGCCACTACTTTTCAGAATTAGGGCGATCAGGCAGGGCGAACTTGTAGGCGTAGGAGAATGACGGCCATGACCGCTATCTAGAGAAGTAAGAATAGTCACTGTCGCTGGTGGTAAGGTGATCGAATAATTCATCAAGTGAAAGGTTAGTCTTATTCGGTTTCAGGAACTTTATAACTACGCATGTTAAGCTGTTTACTAGTTTCACATTAGGCGGCGTGAGAAAGGTTCGTGCATTTCATAACTTGAAGTACTGAACATGAGTCTTAATATATCATAAATCTAGTCTATGAATTATCGGCGCAAGACCAGCAAGCCGAACCCCCAGATTCCTTGTAACTGTTGATGATACTCACAACAGACCCGTACGTGCCTGCAACCATCAAGAAGAATCCAGCCACGATAACAAAAATGGACCAACAGACCATCAGGTTCCACTTCATGGTGCGATGGTTCTTGCCCTTGGACCAGTTATCGTACAGCCACATACCACCCATGGGCTGGAAGCACATTGGGGTACCGAGCAAGGCACCGACCAGAGAGACGAGGTCGCCAAAGACGGGGATGGCACTAGCGATGATGTAGGCGACAATGGTGACGCCGAAGGTGCATCCGAGCCAGATGACCCAGTGCTTGACGGTGTTGGCGGTCAAATGGCGGGAGCCCTTGAGCATGCGGACGAAGATGTATTTTCCAGTAATCTAGTCGCATGTTAGTATTTGATGACACATCTTTGGATGGGACATTCCCTGTCGAGGTGTAGTTGGGCTACTTACGTGGACGAATAGCAATGTGCTAACAATCAAACCGGGCAGCGCAAAGCCGTAGCTCACCTTCTTCACGACCGGACCAGCCGAGCCAAGAGCAGGAGAGGAGACATAGGAGCCGCAGTAATAGTAGATGACAATGCCGATAGCGAGGTAGAAGCATGTCACGACCGACTGGCAAAGTATCAAGGCCCGGTTATAGTGTGTTGGGTCGCGCATCTCGGAAGCGATGGAGAAGAAGGCAGGGGTGCCTGCATACGCGAAGATGATTGTCGAGATGGCGGAGATAGCATCGGTGAATGACGAGCTACCGACGATCTTGTAGTCCGAGACCCAAACAGCATCGGCAGGGGCGGCAGAAGGGCGATCTTGAATTCCGACGGCGACGGTAACAATCAAGACTAGGAGGATGATTAGACTACATAAGTATGACGGTAGGAATGACAATTAAAATGGTACTTACTGGAAGTCAGAATGCAGAAGAGACCAATCCAGGCCAGCCACGAGATGCGCCCAAGCGTCTGAATACTCGCGAATAGAAAGGCGACGATCGCAGCGATTGCAACGTAGACTGCAGTACACGTTGCATGCGAGGAGACAGCATTGAGACCGATAGAGATACCCAGCATGCCAGAGCCAGCCACGAAGATCCACCCTATAGATACGTTAACAAAGAAGCCAGTGTCAATGGAAGGTTAGAGGCCAACTTACAAAGACAGAATGCAGAACCCAGCAGGTAACGACCCGGTCGGCCCATCAGTAGCTCACCCACATCGTCAATGCCATAGACTTCACGATGCCTCAACTTGAATGTACCAATAACGTAGTCGGACCACGTCGTAATACCGGCGATGACAATCAAACAGATGACGCCAGGTACGACACCAAGAGCATCAAAGGCGACAGGGATAGATAGGACTCCTAGACCTATTTGGGTCTTCATCATCAAGACGGCCGTTCCTTTCCATCCTACCTACGGAGTGGAAAAATGGCTTGTTAGCGGGCAATTTCAGAGCAAGCACCATTCTGAGTATGACGTACAGCACGATAGTTAGGACCATCCTCAGTGATTTCACCAAAGACAGCATCGTGAGATCCTTCAAGGATTTCGCCAATCTGGGAGGGCACGGGAGCCAGGAAGTCTTCTTTCGTTTTCTCCGACATGATGTGACATGAAATAAAGACAGAGACCAAAGAAGAAAAAAGGAAACTTGGTTGAATTGAATTGAATGAAAAACAAACCCTTGCTAAACTATTGAGATCTGCAACGATGGCAGGGCACCCAGGTAACTTTTAAACCATTTCTCCCCCTCGCGGCTAACCCCGGTTGCCAGGGCCCTTTTCCGGTTGTTATCTTGGGGCCAAGCCTCCCACGCCTTTTTAAGTTCTCCCAGTCTCCAGGGGGGAAGGCGAAAGGCGAATCCAAAAGGACCAAAAGGACCGGAACGGCTTACCGCGATCGGCGAAACGCCTTCCCCGCCAGCCACCGGCCGATACGCAAGATAAAGGGGGAAACTAAACTGGTTATCTATGTTGGTTTCATGCTTATCAGAAGAGCCTCTCCATCTGATAGTCATTTCTTTCTTGCATAGCTTTCTCTCTATCGATTTTTCTTCGCTCTTGCTCTTGAATAAACCGTTCTATCCTTGGCATGAAGCCATCATTACTACGTGGGTCTCTCGTCGGGTTCCATCCCCAGATTCACATAGCCCATCCCATTCGCCCCCGCAATCGAACCGCTTCCAAACTGGTAAACCCACTTTTTTGAGTGCGGGGAAAACTCCCTAGGACCCCTAAATCCCTCATGGTGTGATGGGGCACTGATAGCAATTACGACTTGCGGTTAGTAGTTGGTCGGTTAGTTGCACCACTTACGACATGCGATGTACGACATGCGATGACATCCGCGACATACGACGTCGACATTCCAAGAACGGCCCCCCCCCCTCACATCCAAACCGGAAGGTGATGATATGTATCCACTTAGGACTTTTAGACGGTCCACTCATGATAAGAAGATCAGACTCGGGCGCAGCTCATTGTCATTTTCTTATCGGACACCCCGTGATAGCTGATTATTCACCTAGTTTTGATAGGTTTAATAGGTAACCATCGCAGAAGCCTGCCTGTTCCATCTACGGTAGGAATTGACCCCATCCGCCACGCGTAGGTCTGCACCGGGCACTATGGGATTGTTGGGGTTACTAGTCCTGCACAGCGACCGGCTACAAATATCTCAACTCAGCACTAATGACGTTTTACGAGTGTACGGAGTCCTCGTTGATCCGTGCTCGTCCAACCCTCGGCCAGATTCCGCGTTCGCCCAACGGGTTTGTTTCACTCCTTATGTCCGCAAGTATCTCATATCGTTAATACGTGGCCTGATCGAAAACTATACTCCTTATAGATAGTCTTCCGTCGAGCGCGCCGGGATATACCCCATATATCTTCCTAGGGAGATAGATCTACGACGAAGGATATCCCAGTGGTCCCCGGCCAGAACGGAAGCCGCAACGGAAACGCTATGCTTGTCTCAGTCACGCAACGCCACTGAGCCTCACCTTACCAGCCAAAGACCCCTTGCCCCCCGGACTGGAGTGGCGTCGTCCAACTACGATGTATTGTACCATACCTACAACTGCATGGAGTAAGGAGCCCACCAGTAGGGAGGGTGTTAAAGTAGATAAAGTTGCGAAATTTAGAAGGATCATGCTTAATATCAGACCGGGATCTGGATCGCACGCCGGGGGCGATTGTATTCCGTGTATCTCCTGCATACAGGACGATCTAGGCACTCATCGAATCAAATCGGCTTCGAAGACTACGTAAAGCAAAGCCGACCGGCTGTTGATCCGGAGGAGGCGAGAAGCAACGGCCCGGCGAATGTTAAAAACAGAGTTTCAGACCGAAGGATTCGGTGGCAAATTGGGCTAATCATAACGCTCAGCGTTGGCCAGGGTGCAAAGTGTAAATTGTAGAGTTCAGATGGCGGGAGGTTGACCATGGAACATTTTCGCCCCAGTCCTCAGCCTTCAAATTTCAGCATCCAGGGTCCAGGGGCTGTCTGGGAGATGGAAAACGTGGTTCTTCGTTTTCCTTGCAGATTCAGAGTCAATTGTCTGAAAGCCAAGAAAAGGAATAGGTTTCCATTGCTGATAGTGCGTTGTATTCTGGGGGTGATCGAATTGAACATGAGCGCGACTGGGAACAATTCAAGATGAATTGTCGCATTTCATGTTCAGCCAATGAGTCTATGGAGTAGAATTTGCTCTGCGAAATCTTTCTCGTGCAATAAAACATAAGGTCTGTGCAAAGACTGAGAATCATTTTCTTGGTGGTTGGGTGATGGCAGTTGCTAGATAAACCAGCTTTAAAATACGTAGGTCAAACCCAGAGAAAACTGAAGCTCGTAATTTACATCACGGCTGCTCGTTGGGCAACGGGAAAGTCCGCAATACGCAACTTAGCAGCCCCATACGGAACTAGCCTGATCCTAGTCGGTTCACCAGTAACAACGGGATACTGGGGTGGAATAGCGGCTGTCCCAGTCTGCTCCTCCCAATCGATCAACCACCCATCTACCCAAAGGGCGATAGGTGCCGCGTCGCGTGCCCAAATTGGATTTTGAAGATCTTGATCCGGGTCATGCAACTTCTCAACCGTCACAGATGCGGGATCGATAGCGTACCGCCATTCCGAAGTTGGATCTAGAATCCAGTCGCGAGTTTCTGGTAATATCTGACCATCTGGGAGTGGAGTACGGTCTGTCCAGTTGAGGGGGGTGTGGTTTGATAGGTTGGCGTATTCGATGTCCAGGGCGTAGAGTAAGGGCCCGTAGTGGATTGCTACGGATCCGTTGCGAGGCTCCGTGATTTGAACTGACATCTCGAGGTTGATTTCTAGGTGGGTTTCTCCTTTTTGAATAGGGAGTGTTTGAAGTCCTGCAGACTCTTGTGCGAGAGGCTTTGCCTTTGCGCCATCTATTGAGTAGGTATTCTGTCCCGTACTGTTTGTCCAGGTAGGGATTCGAATGGAGAATTTCATGTCTGTGGCTGACGTGATCGCATAGACTAACTTCCCCGAGAAGGGGTAGTTAGTTTTACACGATATGAGGACATTCTTACCATTGACCTTAGTGTGCAAAGTAGTAGGTCCCAGTAGGGCATGTATGACATGGTCTTCCTCTTCGCGCACATACGAAGCTGCCACGTACTTAGGATATCCCTGACCATGATTCACAGTGCAGCAAGGGAAATTAGGCTCTAGACCGAAAGTGTTGCCGTAAGGTACGACGTTGAAATATGGCTTTGCTGTTAAATTCCGAGACCAGGGTTGATTGGTCTGTTGCACGTATTGGTGCGCCCACCCTACTTCATGTCAGTCTGGTTGGCAACCCGGGGGAGATACACGGCTTACAGTCGGGAGACAATGCCGCTGGCAAGGCATTGAATGCAGCTCGTTCTGCCTTGTCTGCGAAATCGTTGACACCATGGAACCGGAAGAGGTAGCTCATCGAGAACATAATTTCCACTGCCATGCATGTTTCTGATCTGAATTATTTGTGTTTAGTATCCTTTTCACGCTTGATGGTTTGTAATCTTACCCTCGTTGGGGACTCAATCCACCGAGATGTTCATCTGCAGTAATGCTCCCTGCTCTTGTCGATTGATACAGATAAGTCCAATTGACAGCGTCTGCTGTCTGTTGCAGTAATGATTCATTGCCGGTCATGCGATATAGCACAGTCGGATATCGGAGCCCTTGGCACATTAACATTTGTCTAGAAGTTTTGTGAAATTCGATATTCGCGAATCATACCTTCAGCTAGGTTGACACCATGAGTGAATCCACTGGTCTTGATATACGGCGTCCCGATAGTATGAAACACCCCTTCGACGAAAAATGTTGTCCAATCACGGCTACCCTGTCGTCCACCAGCAAACATGAGATCCATAGTCTCCCATATCACCTCGGAGTTATTTCGAGGATGGTTCTCGTAAAGCCACTGCAGTGCCAAAGGGAGCTCATGTGTTCTAGAAAGCCCGAATCCGTATGGATCAAAGTTGTCTTTCTCGGACTTTTGTTGAATCAAACCGGTGAAATTGTTCTTCAGCATGGAATTTGCCAGTGTGGAAAACTTGTGCATCGCAGTTACGATACGATCTGTCTGGGATGTATCGGCTTCGGCGTATTGCTGTCCGTGAAATGGATTAGTTTTGTCATCCACCAGTGGTATAGTATTCTACAGTAAGACTTGAGATAGTCTACTTACCATCAACGCAAAACATAGCAAGCTTCGCGCCCATATCCCTCGCGTCTGCCGTGTAGTCTCCGGCCCCAACCATCCATCGGCTGCTTGGTGATCAATTACATAGTCCAGAAACTGCTGGGCCTGATTTTTCAACCTTGGATCATCAAGGGTAAACGCTAGGGGGACAATATAATTGAACCAGTACGGCGCAGATTCATGTAGCTCGCTATATTCGTACGTCCCGCCCACCCAGGATGAGTTCGCAACGTAGCGGTAAAAGTCGAACAGGTGGCCAGCGAGTCCATTGGCTTCTAAGACGAGTTGGTCTTCAAGCCAGCCAGTGGCTTTGATGGAACCCAATGGAAATGTGGAATATGTGAATGGCGCCAATGCTGTTTGGGATAAGTGTGAGGGAAATCCAATTGACAAAGGAAGTTTGACTCACTGTTGGCTGGCTCTTTTGGCTGAGCCATCGTTGTAGCCAAAATAAAGGCACATCTTATTAACGTCCAGGGCTTCATTTGATCCTAATACCTTCGCGACCACAATTCTTCAAGGCATGAAATGGTCCTTATGAGATAAGTGCAGATTGAAATATTTATATTCCTCGTCTCTTCTTTTTCCCCAGATATACCCCGCATATATACGCCACGGCGAGTAAAGTTGGTGCTCGTTCTAGATGGCACATCACCGCCGCTCCTGGGCCGAATGGGATCTTCCAGGATACATCCACACCTATAGCCGAAACGCCGCACGGTACTGTCTATAGAGCATGCTCCAGGACATACTCGAGAGAAAGAATTACCGGGAAACACTCCGGTATCTTTCCACGGGGTTTGAGGTTATCTTGTTCCAGAGGTCTTTTGCCTGCAGCATGTTAGTGGAGTCCTCCTCGGGCGGTAGGTCCGGTATTTGCCCCGGGCTCCGAGAGAGTTTACAAGTGCCCCAGCGGTCTTCAGATCCAGCGATGGAGTCGATACAATCAAATTAGACCCAACCCCTCGCATTTGCTTATCGTGGCTTCCGTTCCAGAAATTTCGCGAGCCGTGCCCTTTGGCTTTCACTTGTATATCGCTTGACTGGGTGCAATGCTGACTGTTGAAAAGTCGCCCATAACTGGCACCAGAGTTATTGTGAGCTCTCATAGCCTTGAATTGGGCAATTGGCTGCTCAGGACGCACTTCGCACTCTGGTCGAGTTCAATCTTCATTTGAATGGCAGACGTATCTATATCTAGCCCGCTCTCAGACCAGGTAAGTGGCATGCAGGTTTGCAATGGCGATTATAGCCCTCGAAGAACGACTTCGCTGACACTGGTTATCCTAGAGCTCTCCAGCATCACCATGGACTGCCGATACTACCAGAGACAACCGCAAGATCATCATCTGGAACACGGCAATAGATTCCCCATGCATGGCCAGTTTGGTCGACGAGCAAGTCAAACAATTATTTCGCCGAGTGCTAGGACGCTCCACGTCATCCGCAGCGAGATCAATCATGGCACATTTTCCGACCCTCCCCGAGCCAAGCTGGGCAGCTGGAATTCACGAGGTTCTACCAGCGCAGTATCTCCTCGTCGCGCTGAAGGAGCTGACTGTCGTCGCACCGCATCATTCAGGTGTACGACAAGCCGTGAAAGAAGCGGGCGAGCTAGTGAGAGCCGAGGCATTGAGGCATATCAAAGTCATGCTTCGAAAGGACACCGATTCAGATCCTACTGCTAGTATCATGGCGATGCACTCCTTTCTTGCATTGGGCTTGCATGTACCAACATTCTACCGCGTCGCAAAGGGGTTCCTGTTGGATTTCCAGGACAATTCGGAAGGCGCGATATTGCTTCTCAAGGGGCTTGATGGCGGGATATGCCGTGTCCAGTTCACATTTCCCATGTTCAAAGACGTGCTGGATTACTTTCGCCATAACAAGGTGCAAGGACTCGGTCCGTAAGCAACGGGGTCAAGGATGGTGAACTCGGTACTCGATGGAATGGATTTCCTCGACCGGTTCACTTGATCAGGGCTTCCAAACTAGAATACTGCGGTTAGGACTGGCGGTTTTCACGGGCCGTTCGACTAACTATAGTTAATTGTGAGAAGTCCTGTTAGTCACCGAGTCAGCTGTTTAGTTACGAGGTGCTCGCCATGAAACGCACATCAGCTGTGGATAACACGAGAAAATGGCTTGGTCTGTGGCCTTCCCCATTGCGGGTATTCAAGACCAACTGCGCAATGCTGCACGACTCCACTCGCAATGACACACCTGGTTCCCGTGACGAATGAAGCAACTTCTCGTGTCCTAGTGGGTCTTGGGGACTCGCCGTTGTACCGTCAGGCCCACCCGCGAGTTCAAGGGCCCTTGTCTCGGCCACTAATGCGGGCGCGGGATGGCGTTGAGCTGAGGCCATTTGTTGGTATCGAAAGGTCAGAGCTTCATCTCCAGGAGTTCCAGTCCGGATAGAGAAGAATAAATGTGGTTCAAGATGCAAAACAACGATTTATATGGTACAGGTCATCAGCAACTAGCGTGCTCTAGATACTACGATGAATCTAAGTCCTCCTGTTGGCAGAGTCTAGTGGACTCTCTCCGTCTCTTCCATCAACTCCTCCACCTTAAAGTTCTCCGCATCGCCCCTCGTAAACATCCGCACCAACTCGCCCTTGCGACCACTCGCCTGGCCCCCAAAATCGTAGAAGCGCTGCACGGAACTCACCAACCAGGTGGCCTCGGCGGTAGAAACACCCCGGTCAGGCATGACCTGGCCATGCATGAGAACCAGACCCTTGTCATCAGCCAGATCCAAATGGTGCGTGACAGTAGTGTGCGGTTGCGCGAAAGAACCGTGCATCTTGAATGCGCCGAGATTGGTGAAAATCACAGTCGAAGTGTGGTTGTTGACCGACTCTTTGGAGGTCGGGACGAAATCGTCCGCGGCCGGGTGGAATGCCCACTGGAGGAAATGGATCTCTGCAGCAGTCTGTGCCGGTGTTCCATCCGGCGTCTCCATATCCTCCTCGGCTGCCTGGCGAGGCAGAGGGAGGATAAATTGGGGGTTGTGACGGGCGGCCTCGGCGATGCGCAGGTAGGTTTCGAGAGGAATCGCGGCACAGATGGAGGTCGAGCTGTTTGCGAATCGAAGGCGCCAGAGGGCTTCGATCTCCTTTGCAGGCAAGTCGCGGATCTTCTCGACATCGAGGTAGGTGCTGAGCGGTTTGATCGGGCTTCCACTGCCGGAGACTTCTCGGGCGGCTTGCTCGGTGGCCGATGGGGTCTGAGGAGGTGGGGGAGGGTGGAAGGCTGGAGGGGTATCGTGGAAAGACTGGGACTTGGCTTTTGGCGTGGGCGCATCTGGTTCTGGGGTGGCCGCAGTGGCTGCTTTGCGGCGAAGGTCCTTGATTTTGTCGCCGTAGGCCTCTTTCAAGGCGTCGATAGAGTCGAGGCCCTCCCTAGGGGAGAGTGTCAGTACGGGTCAGGTATTTGTTGAGAATAATTTCACACTAGGTCACTTACTGTTTAGCCTTCTCGTCCAACTTACTCCTGTACTTATCCAGGACATGCTTAGGGTCATGATGGGAGGCCAGGAAGCGGACATCGTGAACTTGGGCCCAGCGACGCTGCTGGGGCCGCAAGAGATGGGACTTGCCACGAAGGACGGACTGGAATCCCTGAAGTCGTCGTGATGCCATGCTGTGCAGATCCACTAGGGGTCTTTAATGTTCACCGACTCCGAAGTACACAACCTTTGACTCCAACGATAAGAAATTCGGCGTCGGAATTATGTAAGTTCCGGCCCCGATCGGGATACCCTAGGGATGACGTATGTCCATACTTCAAGTTCTACCTAAAACATATTGTTTGTAAAGTTTTATTCAATTGGGACTACAGATAACCTAGAATGTGTATTTAAAAATTGACGAGGCACCCCGGCGAATATTCAGGATTGAGGAGAAATGCCGGTGACGTCGTGGCTGCGTTGGCCAGTTGCTCACGGGTTTTATTGCAGAATCGCTTCCAGAACAATAATGGTCCCAAATTGACAGAATTGTCGTCTCTAATTGAAGAAAGCACTAGTCTAGTAGTTTGATCATAGATTGGGCATCAGAATATGTTTCAAGGAAACTATGCCGAGATCTAATTTAGTTACCTGTCTATCGATTTGATTAGACCACTCCGATACTACGCAACGATATATATCATGCGACCAGCATAGATTTCGCGGGCACCAATAGTTAACCCCACAATCAAGCCCAGGTGCCATTTGATCAATAGGGACATAGACAAACACGAGCACATCTTTACTCCATGATTCTACCCCAGAAGAATAGCCACGGTGGTTCCAATTGCCCAAGTCGGCTGGACGGACCGAAATCCCGAGTGGCCGCGACTCCGCGAGTGCCGCGACCGGCTAAACTTCGGGCGCTTCGGCGGCCGCTTCTCCGTGCCTGTTTGAGCTGGTCTTCTTGGGGTTTGGTGGGCTTGTCATTCCACTCTCCACTAAGACTGCTTAGATTCTCTCGCCAAAGAGGACTGTGAGCTTGAGATCCCCTCCTTTGTTTGGTACACGTTGGTCATTCCATTCGAAGCGGGGAGACCGGTTCCACAATCTTGGAGAGGCTGCGGTGGTATAAGTATTCGCGCAACTCCCCGGACATTCGCCGTATACTTATTCTCTTTCCAGTTGAGAAACACCTATTGCATGTTCATGTTCAAGTTGGAACAGATTCGAACCGTACTGCCTCTCTCGATCTTTGGATTCTCTCTGTGATTCCTATACCTGGAACTATTCCTACCGCATTTGGCCGGTCGGAGTAAAGCAATTCCCTTGCTTCGCGCTTTCAAAAAGCATCTTCACTCTATAATACACCCATATTTACAGCAAAATGGCCCCAATCGACGTTGAAAAGACTATTGAAGAGCTGACGCTCGGCGAGAAGGTCGCTCTCACAGCTGGTATGTTTTCGAGAAACCCCTCCTATGTTCTACCCGGAATGATGATCATCAGTTTGGGGTTATGATACCCCGCCATTCAAGCCAATGCTGACTCTATTTATTCAGGACGTGATTTCTGGCACACGACACCCATTCCACGTCTGAACATCCCTTCATTGCGCATGTCCGATGGCCCCAATGGTGTCCGTGGCACTCGCTTCTTCAACGGTATTCCGGCTGCCTGTTTCCCATGCGCGACCGCCCTGGGTGCTACCTGGGACACCGAATTGCTTGCCGAAGTCGGCTCATTGATGGGTGAGGAGGCGATCGCAAAGGGTACTCACATTATCTTGGGCCCTACCATTAATATCCAGCGTTCTCCTCTTGGAGGACGTGGCTTCGAGTCCTTCTCCGAGGATGGCGTGCTCTCCGGTACCCTGGCGGGTCATATGTGCAAGGGTATGCAAGAGAAGGGCGTTGCCGCAACGCTGAAGCACTTTGTTTGCAACGACCAGGAGCATGAGCGTATGGCTGTCAACAGTATTGTCACGGAGCGTGCGCTGCGTGAGATTTATCTGCTTCCGTTCCAGTTGGCTATGCGCATTTGCCGGTCGGCTTGTATTATGACTGCTTATAATAAGGTCAACGGTACTCACGTTAGTGAGAACAAGGCTATTATTGACGATATTCTCCGCAAGGAGTGGGGATGGGAGGGCCTGATTATGAGTGACTGGTAAGCTCTTCGCCTCGAAACTGAGCTATATTCATTTGTTAGGGGATTTGTTCTAACTGTCTACCCAGGTTCGGTACTTACACCACATCCGATTCAATCAACGCCGGCCTTGATATTGAGATGCCCGGAAAGACCCGCTGGCGAGGCGAGGCCCTTGCTCACGCCGTTTCCTCAAACAAGGTTCCCCAGTTCAAGCTGGACGAGCGTGTGCGCAATATTCTCAACTTGATTAACCGGGTCGACGCCGTTGGTATCCCCGAAGGAGCCGAGGAGAAGGCCCTCAACCGCCCCGAAGATCAAGCCTTGATGCGCCGAGCAGCCGCTGAATCCGTCGTTCTCCTGAAGAATGAGGGCGGTGCTCTCCCTCTGAAGAAGGACGGCTCTGTGCTCGTCATTGGCCCCAACGCTAAGACTGCCTCATACTGCGGTGGTGGCTCTGCCTCGCTGGCTCCCTACTACACCGTGAGCCCATTCGACGGAGTCGCCGCGAAGAGCCAGGGTGAGGTTAAGTATGTGCAGGGTGTCTACTCCCACAAGGAGCTGCCTCTTCTGGGTCCTCTCCTGAAGACTGAAGATGGAAAGACTGGCTTCACCTTCAAGGTGTACAATGAGCCGCATGGTGCCGAGGAACGCACTCTCGTCGATGAGCTTCACCTTGTCAGCTCCATGGGATTCCTGATGGACTATATCAACCCCAAGATCAAGTCTATGACCTTCTACGTCGACATGGAAGGCTACTTCACCCCCGAGGAGGATGGCCTGTACGACTTTGGCGTGACGGTTGTCGGCACTGGCCGTCTGCTCGTGGATGGCGAGGTGGTTGTCGACAACACCAAGAACCAGAAGCAGGGCTCTGCCTTCTTCGGTACTGCCACCATCGAAGAGCTCGGCGTCAAGGAACTTAAGGCTGGCCAGACATACAAGGTTGTCTTCGAGTTCGGTAGCGCTCCCACCTCCGACCTGGACACTCGCGGCATAGTCGTCTTCGGACCGGGTGGTTTCCGATTCGGCGCGACCCGCCGTGTCAGCCAGGACGAGCTCATCTCCAAGGCCGTCGAGCAAGCCAAGGAGGCCGAGCAGGTCATCATCTTCGCCGGTCTGACCAGCGAGTGGGAGACCGAGGGCTACGACCGTGACCACATGGATCTGCCCCCCGGCAGCGACGACCTGATCAGCCGCGTGCTCGCCGTTAACCCCAACGCCGTCGTCGTGATCCAATCCGGCACACCCGTCACCATGCCCTGGGCTAACGAAGCTCGTGCCCTCGTCCAGGCCTGGTTCGGCGGTAACGAGTGCGGAAACGGTATCGCAGATGTCCTTTACGGAGACGTCAACCCATCCGCCAAGCTCCCCATCACATTCCCCCGTCGTCTGCAAGACAACCCCTCCTACGTCAACTTCCGCTCCGAGCGCGGCCGCGTCCTCTACGGCGAGGACATCTACGTTGGCTACCGCTTCTTCGAGAAGAGCGATGTTACACCCGAATTCCCCTTCGGCCACGGTCTCTCCTACACCACCTTCACCCGCTCAGATCTGCAAATCAGCACCGTTCCCGAGGAAGCCAAGTACACCGAGTCCGGCGAACCTATCACCGCCACCGCCACCGTCACCAACACCGGCTCTATTGCCGGTGCCGAGATCGTGCAGCTTTGGATCGTCCCTCCCAAGACGGATGTCAACCGTCCTCTGCGCGAGCTGAAGGCTTTCAAGAAGGTCTTCCTGCAGCCCGGCGAGTCTAAGACTGTCGAGCTCAGCGTGGAGAAGAAGATTGCTACCAGCTGGTGGGATGAGCAGCGGGAGCAGTGGATTTCGGAGAAGGGTCGTTACCAGGTTTCTGTGACTGGTACTGGCGCGGAGGAGTTGCAGGGTGAGTTTGAGGTTGGCAAGACCAGATTCTGGCTGGGGTTGTAAATAGTGATGTTAATGATCTTGAAATGAGTCGTGATTCAATTGCATAGTATAGAATGAAACCTCATGTATTACTGCCATGTTTGTTGTGCTTACTGCGTAGTCTTATGATGTTGTTACGATCGATGAGCTGTTTAGAGAGAGATGGAGACTAGCCTAGGAATTGATATCCATGGATGCTTTGATTCTATGACCTCTATGGATACACTCTACTGTCACTCTTATCTAGCCCCAGTCCAGAGATGCTCTCCACTACCTTTGACCAGCCTGGGAAGAAGAATCTGGCCATCCGCAGCTTGGCGCAAATACACTCCTAGAAGGGCATTCATACCTGCTGCCTCAGCAGCGTCAACCCACTCCATCAAAGAAACCGTTTCAAATTGCTCCCCAGCACCCGATTCCATCATCGATTGTACCTCGTGTTGCCCGACTTGAATCTCACCAGACTCATAGACAAACCTCACTCCCCCATCTGTGGAAGGTGCAGTACCGGAGAGACGGACACCATCGATAATCTGCGCCGCCGCTGACTCCACTGAGATAAAATCAAAGACACCGCTCCACGCTTCAGAAGCTGGGATCTTCTTGGTAGTCTGACAATACCGAAGAACGTTGCTCATGAGATCTAGCTCTGGGGCATCAGAACCTGTCACGCTCGAAGGACGATGATTCCACACTGGCAGACCCCATGATTGACTGACACGCTCCAGGAACACCTCGCACACCCATTTGCCCGTCGCATAACCATCTTGTGGGATAACAGGAGGTGGGAAAGAAGCCACAGAAACCTCTCCAAAGGAATCAGTGCCTGCGAATCGAGTCACACTCGCAGTAGAGATGAAGTGGAACGGAATCCGCCGCGGCAAGGCAAGTTTGACCAGTTCCGCTGTTGAAGCGACATTCGTCAGCTTTAGTGATTGATAGCTCTTCATGAAAGAGACATCAGCCCCATTGTGAATCACGATGTCTGCTGATTGGAAGATTGAGGATGCATCATTATCTGATAAGCCCAGCCGAGGGGAGCCCAAGTTACCGTGATGAACGTGAACTTTGCGATTGGCGAAAATGGCGGGGAGTTGAGTCAATGGTTTTCTAACTGCCAGACAGTAGATGACATGAAATCGGTCATCGGTCACGAGCTGACGGAGAATTTCTTTGCCAATGAAGCCGGTTGCTCCTGTCAGGACCACGACACCAGTCCCGGAAGGTCTATCTGGCACATCGGCATCTGGAATGATTGGAACTTCAGCAAGAAGAGCCTCAAGCTCTTCCTCCCAGTCCACTGACGAGGAGGATTGCTCAGAAAAAATTTTCTGAATGCGGGATGCCATGCCTTGTAAAGTGCTTGCTTCAAACAGCTGATGTAAGGGGACAGAGACACCAAATCGATCTTTCACATGCGCTTGAAGGTCGACCAGAGATAGCGAGCTGCCACCAACATGGAAAAAGTCGGCATGTGAGTCGAGAGAGTGTAAGCCAACTATGTCTTGTGAGATGACTTCCTGCCATAGAGTACGCAAAGATTCCTCCATAGGGGTGAGAGCTCCATTGGTGAGAACCTGGGGAACGGGCTGTGAGATCGGAATTTTGCTGACAGCCAGCCTGTCAACTTTGCCAGAGGTATTTTGTGGGAAAGCGGCAAGCGGAACGACCATTGCAGGGCGCATATACTGAGGTAGGGGCAAGCTGGCTGGTAAATTTCTCAATAGTCGAGATTCAGCTTCAGAGTTCTCAGTATTGGCGAGAATGACAAAGGCAACAAGGAACGATCCACCGTCGTGATTCTTAGACCCTGAACGAAGAGAAACGATGGCCTGTGAGATAGCACCTCCAGAGCTCTGGACAATGCTTGCCTCTATCTCTTCGACGTTGATGCGAATTCCACCAAGTTTAATTTGATTGTCACCCTTGATGCGACCTAGTAGTGTTAGACGGCCATCTTGGGTGAGCCGTCCTCGATCTCCCGTTCGATGAACTTTGGTCCAACCCTGGCTCTTGAAGTAAGGGTTTGCGTATCGATCAGGCAAAAAGCTATCCTTTGTCAGTTTAGGATCAAGATATCCTTCTGCGATGCCGGCTCCTCCAATGACTACTTCTCCTGGTATACCAATCGGAAGCGGCTGCATGTCTTCATCAACGATGCAGACAGAGTAATTTGGGAGAGTGGAAAGACCAAGGCAAGAATCCAGGGAGTCTGAGTTCAGTTTAGTATACGGAATTTCTTCCGTACTGCAAGCAATCGTTACTTCAGCTGGACCGTAGACATTGAAAAGCCTTAGGTCCGGTTTGGCAAGACATTGGAACCCCTTCAAAAGACCAGTCGTTAAAGGCTCGCCCCCAGATATTGCGAGAGCGAGTGAAGATCGTTGCAATGACGCTTGACCGTCTCGTAGCCAGGCAAGGTATTCTGTTGGTGTTGCAAGGACCGTCGTCACTTTTTCGGACTCAATGAGATCCGTTATCGCGACAGGATCACCACGTGTCGAGTTTGGAGCAATTATCAGTGTTGCAGCGTTGCATAGAGATAACAGAATCTGATACATAGACATGTCCCACGCATAAGAAGACTGGTGAAGCACAGTTTCCATGCCTAGTGGAAAACTCCAAGTTTGACTTGATGCTTGTATCTGGTGCAGGTGCGAGGAATGACTCAGGGAAATTCCTTTCGGGACACCAGTTGAGCCACTGGTGTAGATGATGATTGCAGTCTGGCTGGGTGACGCCACGTTTGGAGGAAGAGGCTCAGATGACGTAGCCAGATCGCCGATATTATGCCCTTCAGCTGAGCTGTGAAACCGAACAAAGTCAGAGGTGGTTGTTGAGTCTGTCAGAATGACAGCAGGCCGTGATTCAGCAACCATCAGGGACAATCGCTGTATCCCAACTTTCTTATCCAGTGGAAGATATACAGCGCCAATACGCCAGATAGCGAGCAACGAGCAAATCCAGTTGATACTAGGCGCTTGGAAGACACTAACGCGGGTCCCAGGGGCAACACCGCTGCCAAGCAGCTTGTTGGAAATTGTGGCGACCCGTTCTTGCAGTTGTGAGTAAGTTAGTTGCATTCCATTGGGTTCTCTCATGGCAACATGGGTTGGGTAGAGCTCCATTATATCATCTATGCGATGAACCAAGGTGGATGACCATGGGGTTTGGACTTCCGGTCCTTCTGAGAGTTAGAATAACGCAGCTGCTTTAAAGGAAGGAGAAATGCCTACCTCTACCTGTTTCAATCGCATTTTCAATATCTGTCTGCGAAAACAAGGGCGGCCATGAAACTTTAGTCGCAGGGTTACGGGTGAACGCCTGGACAAGATTTTCATAGCTGCGAAGCAGAATCTCAGCGTGTTCGAGACTATAGAGATCTTGCTGAACGAGAAGGTTAATAAGGGTGTCTCCGTTTGAAAAATTGACCACGTCCAAATGGAGATCATTAGAGGTCTCTCCCGTTGTAAGAAGCGTTCCTTCCGCTTGACAGCCACAGAAGTGGCGGGACATCTCCGTTCGTGGACGGTAATTGTAAAATGCCTGGAACAGCGGGCTGTGTGACGCAGACCGGGGGACATTCAGCTCAGACAGAATAACATCGAATGGAACACGAGAATGGGCGAGGGCTTCTTGTGATACCCGCTTCGCCTCTTTGAGGGCCTCTCCGAAGGATTGAGACGAGTCCAGCGAGAATCGCATCGGAAGAAGATTGAGGAACATTCCCACGCTTTGTAGGATATCGCCATCAGCACGACTGCCATCAGCAAGCCCGATGCAAAGACTTGGAATATTGAGGTGACGATGGAGAAGAATCTGCCACATGGCAAGATGGAAATGAAACGGGGTGACTTTGAACATTCGACAGCACTTCTCAACTTCATTTGAAAGCTCTACGCCTAGGCGGATCTGTGCACGATAAGTAGCATAGCTTGAGATTGTTGGCCGCGCTGGCTGAAGAGAGAATGGCAGCAATGGAATTGGCTCTGGGAGAACCGCAAATTCGCTTCTCCAATATTCCAGATCCTCCATCCAGATGCCTTCTTCATACTCGCGTAGTTGTCTGGTTGTGAAATCGGGATACTGTAGTGAATGAGGCGACTTGACGATGCCTTCATAAGACTCGTTGAGTTCCAACCACAGGTTTTCAAAGCTGAACCCATCCATGTTGATATGATGGAAGCCGAATAATAACCAATGATGACCCTGTGTCAAGGTAAGCAGCTGTACGCGCATAACCTCGCCCTCGGCGATACTGAAAATGTGCGATTTCATTCTGTGCTTGGCCACATTCACCTCGGCCTCGTCTGTAATAAAGACGTGCTCTAGGTGCAGAGATGCCTTCGCCCAAATCCCTTGCATATGGCGCTTATTTTCATCAGTGAAGAAGAACGTCCGAAGCGCTTCATGGCGCTGGCCAACAAGTTCGACCGCATGTGACAAGCTGTCGACGTTAATCTTCCCCGTCAGCTCAAACGTTGGAGTGACATTGAAGGCGGTCTGATCTTGCACGAGGGACCGGAGGAACCAGAATCGCGATTGTCCAAATGACATTGGGACAGTCCGCTCAATTCTTTGCTTTTCGGGCGCGTCAGACTCACTGTCAAGTGAGGTCAGGGAAGAGGTGTCTTCGTCCTGGTCGGAACTAGAGTCTCCTGCAGTAATCGATGCCGATGAGGTGCTGGTTGCACGATTCACAGATGGAATGTACTCCAAGTGGAACGTCTTGATCTCATCAGTCCCCTGTGACTCGGGGTCACTCAAAAGGCTTTGAAGAGTTGAGGGACGATCGGAAGGTGTTGATTGGCTGGGCGGTTGCGACTCTTGAGACTTGCCCATGTCACTCTCTGCCACATTTGGTACCAAATGTGAGGGGAGACAGCTTGCAACAAAAGCAAGCAACTCTTGGATCGAGCCAGCGTTGAAAATCTTCAACACAGTTACGTCAACACCAAGTTCCTTCATGAAGTAAGAGCGGAAGTCAACGGCATTGAGCGAATCAACACCAAGCTCATCTGGACTCATATCGAGGATCGGCTTGTCGGGATCAAGTTGAAGCGCTGACTGAAGTTTAATGGTAAAGGCATCTAGAGTTCGATGAGTAATCTGTCACCGGTTGATAGAAGGATAAGCTGTTATTACCTTGCAAGGCCTCTATCACTTCAATGTTGGACGTTGCCTCTAACAACCGAGCCTTGAGCATGACGCTGGTCTTGCCCTTCTTGTCATCCTCGATCAGGGTGTTTGATTTGAACACAAGGTGTTGGAATATGGGGTTGGATACCCATTCCTTGGAATCATCGTCGTCGATGCGGAGACCACTGCAGATATCGGCCGTCTCCTTCCGCTCCATGCATGAGAGAACCCCCTCTGCAAATATCTCGTGGAAATCTTGTTCAGACATCCAGTTGTGACCGACCTTGTAGAGATATGATTGTTGTCCCATGTTGAGTTCTCTGGTCACATACCCGTTGCCCACAATGGCCCCAATATTGATGGCATGGCCAGCTAAGCCACGTATTTTACGCTGAGCTGCCAGGCTGGCCATGAACATATTGGCCGCGTTGTAAGCTGCCTGACCGGGGTTTCCGGTCAAAGCAGCCATGGACGAGAAAAAGATCATGAAATCCAAGGAGTCTTCCGAGAACAGCTCGCCCAGCATAACACTGCCCTGGACCTTAGGCTGAAGCGCGGCATTGAAACGGGCAAGGTCGAGATCGAGGAACATTGTGTCTTGTAGGACCATGGCCCCCTGCGCAACTCCACCGATTGGAGGCATTGATTCAACGATTTGACGGTGAGTGCTTTGAACGGAAGTACGATTTGTGATGTCACTATCCCAGTCAGTAAGCAATTCCAGACAGCGTCCAAAGTGAGATGGAAAGGGACATACTTCGCAAAGACTCTGACAGTGCAGCCGTTGGCGGCCATTCGGAGTATCCAGGTCTCATCCACTTTGGGGTTCCGACTAGAAAGTGCAATGTATTTCGCTCCCTGGTTGGCCATCCATTGGCACAGGGAGAGACCTAGGCCACCTGTCAACCCAACCAACCAGTACGTTTTATTCTTGGCGAATTTGACCACTTTGGTAGCGGGTCTGACTTGAGCTGGGAGCTTCGAGTGATCCAAGGTAATCAAAGACTGGGGAACAATCCCCTGGGTCTCAATAAGGTTCTGCAAACTCAGCCGAGGTAGCCTGTTAATATTAACAGGGACGTGGTCCTGGTCTTCCCTTGTCCAAGTCATCTGCATCTGTGAAGCGAATCGATTCACATTGACAGACGAAGATACTTCTGAGATGTCTCGTGTCATGTTTTGTTCATTTTCAGATTTGCACTCCGCAGGTAATATGCTCTTCAATAAAAGCACCACCTCGTCGCCGCCGCCGACGTTAAAAAGTCGAGTGATATTTCGAGGAATCTTGTTAGATAATTCTCGACGTGTTGAGTAGCGATGTACATGGATCCAAGGATAGGAACATGGACTGCTCGTTGTCGTGAAGAAGACAAGTTGCACACCTGCCTGGCGAGCATGATGCGTCAGAGCTGCGGCGAATGAAAATTCTGGCTCCAAAACAGCCAACGCCGTTCCTGGAGCCATCTTTTTGAACATCGACTGTGCGAGAACATGAACATAAAGGCTGAGTAATGACTTTATGGCTTGATCCTCTGAGTCTCCACGCGTTATGATCCATGAGGGTGGCACGTAGACCCGGGAGGCCAGATTTTCAGCGAGCATAACCAGATACCCATTGCCATTAGGTTCTTTGCCAGTCACTAGGAACATGTAGTCTGTCTCAGATACCGAGACAGAGCGCAGAAGGCAACTCGTTACCTGCACTTCGATTCGGTCACCGAACAGTGGAGGGTTCAACATCTTCGTCTCCAGAACGTGATAATTCTCAGCCTTTGAAATTGCAACCGCAGAGGAATCGCGATCAATGGCATCAACGATAAGCCTCTTGGACGAATTGTATCTGTCATTTCGCTGAGAGCTCAACCGAAGCCTGGGAATGAGCATCTTCCCATCTTGGAAGGACAACTCAGGTTCCGTGTACCAAAGCATCCCCCCTAGCTGGTCGCTTTGGTCCCAGACGTCAGTAGCCACGAATTGGAGAAGCTTCTTTCCAATCAATCCAGGATTAGTGTCAGCGATTGATGAGAAATTGAGTGATTGCATGCGCAAATGACGCATTTCCATGGCAATAGTCCGTTGGATGCCGCGGAATAAATTGCCCGCTGGATTTTCGCCTAAGGCACCATGTCCAACCCAGAGAACATTCTTGCTCTGTCTGAAAAGTTCTTGAAAGCCCTTCAAAGTTTCAGGGCTCATGTTAAACAATGCGGGTGAATCAAGCTCTGCCAAGTTGAGGACCGTACCCATGAATGGAAGTTCGTCAGGGCCAATATCCGAAAGCTCAGGATAACTCCGAATCTTGTCAAAGTGCCAACCAACCGCGTTCTTGATATCCGCCACCATGGCAGACGTGTGAGAAGTCTTACCGCCAATGACTGTCAACGATTGGAGATCCAGCCTTTGATGACCCGTCCCAAGAGGGTCTCGCAAGAATTTGACACGATGGTCAACTGCCTTTGTCAACATCACTGAGAAAGGTACCAACTGCTCTGTGTCATGGAGAATTGAGGCATCAATACCGGAGAAGCCGGCATCTTTCATCATCTCGTTCCACTTTTGATGAGATACAAATGGTGACAAGGTTCTTCCCTCCTTATGACCTAGCCACCACCCAGGGAGGCCCGCCAGGACAACTCCAAAACGCATCACATTTGGATCGGTGATTTCAAGTGTGAGCAAATATCCACCTGGCTTCAGGAGACGGCGGATGTTGGACAAGGTGCGTTGAAGGTTCTCAGTAGCGTATAAGGCAAGAGACGCAATGACTAGATCATACGACCCCTCTCCGTATCCTTGTTCAACGACATCCTTTTCTATATCCAAGACTCTGAATGCCATTTTAGCCTGGTGTGGCTGAAATTTGTCTTTGGCACTCTCCAGCGAATTTTCCAAGAAGTCTGTGTAGGTATAAGAGGAAAAGGCTGTGTCCAGTTCGCGGAGAATAGGTTCGGTTGCCTCGCCAGCACCGGCGCCTGTACGCATTGTCAGACCTTTGTCGTAATACCCTCGGGGGTCTAGGGTGAAGACAAACCGATTTCTAGAACATTGACGTGGGGATATCTGTTGCCAATTTGACCAGCAATGCGACCCATTTCGTTCAAGTAGGACTTTATTCCAAGTGTCCCATTATAGAACCGACTCAACATATTGTCCTGCATTAGAATGTCAAGAATGTTGGTCTCTCCACAAACAATAGCCGGGAGGCTTTCTCCCACAGAGCGCATGACCTCGGCGTCAATGCTGTCGGGCAATCTAGAGTTGGTCAGCGCTGTGACCTTAGTATTAGGGAAAATATTTACCTTTGCAGTATCTCTGATATGCTTCCATTAGTGTCATCTGCCCATTCCTGCTTTGCAAAAGGGTGATCGCCAGACTTGACGAGGGTAGTACAGTGGCCAGCATATGCAAGGAGATGAGAATGGTGCAATTGGGCCTGTGGCCTTTCGGTGGCAGAGATTGACATATGAAGATTCTTCAGATAGAAGTGGGCAATGCGTTCCAAATCTAATGAATGAGTACAATCTTCAATCAACCAACTTCGAATGACATCCCCTTCTCGCCCGCTTGGCTCCTCGGCAAGCCAAGTCATCTCTGTGAACATTGGCACATCTGTTGCAGACGAGAGTGGTGACAAAGGAGTGGTGTGAAGTCCCTGGAGTTGAACCACGGTGTGCTTTCCATCGGCAGAGTATATGTCAACATCACCGGAAAGCTCTGCAAACCGGGCATCCGCAACGGATGCGTAGAAGGGAAGAAGTGTGCCAGGTCCAGCCATGCTCACACAAGAAGAGGGGTTGATGCGAATTCGGTCAATCTTCGTCGGGAGGTAAAGCGTACGTAGGCGCCCATCACCAGGGAAAGAATAGGCCAGCATGATTGACTGAATAGCAGCATCCAAGGGGCCCGGGTGAATTATCAAGGGCTCATTAGACTCTTCATCGACGGGTACAATGATCTGTCCAGTGGCTTCATCCATCTTCCGTGTCAATCCAGTTAGAGCGCGGAATGGGCCAGTGTAACCAAATCCAAGCTCGGATACAAAGTTATAGAATCGCTCCTCCTCAAGATGCAAGAAGGAGTGTTGGCTCTCATTGCACGAGGGAAGGGCTTCAGGATCAGGGTCTCCAAGGAGGATATCAACCTGCGCGGAGGCATGCAATGACATAGATGAGACTCCCTTGCTCCCAGCAGAATAGCAGCTATACAAAGCTCTGACGGAATCCTTGCTTGTATCCGTAACAGTGAGAGTAAACAGAACCTCAACACCGGAATTCTCCTCAAGCACCAGAGCCTGTCCGATGAAGACATCCTGAAAATCGACGAGTTGAATGGACTCCAGCCCATAATGTTGAACCAAGCATTCGGTCGCGGCTGAGATATACCCTGCAGCAGGGAAGACAATCTGACCTTGTACCTGGTGATGAGAGAGCCAGGGAATCTCGCGCGGATGGAGATAATTGCGCCACCGGAGCTCCTTCTCAGTGCCATCTGGACATTTCATTCCTAGCAGAGGATGGAATTCTCCACTTCCAACTCGCAGCGTCGACGATATGCGGGACTCATGCCAATAAACACGGTCATGATCCCACGAGTAGGAAGGTAGTCCTTTTAGTAACATCGGCTGTCGGTCATCCCCTGTTGCCCTTCTGTCAAATCCTGCAAAATCAACAGCATGCTCCCCAAGGTGAGCCCACAACGCGCCAAGGGAAGATGCAAATGACTTTTTGTCACTTTTACAGCGAGACAAAGTACCTGTATATGGTAGAGACATTCCGGAGATTTCTTGGATCGTTTGCAATGCCGGTCCCTTCAACGCAGGGTGAGGACCAACCTCGACGGCCATGTCAAAGGGACCGAAGGCAGCGACAGCGTGGCTGATGGCTTGCGAGAACATGACAGGATTGATCATATTGTTGCTCCAATAAGTATCTGCAAGACTGTCATTGACATCATTGATGTCCTTGCTGTAGACACTAGAAATCCAGGCAGTTTTGTTGTCAGAACGAGGTTGGATGGTAATTGCACATCTCTGCATTGCATCAATGTAGGGAGCAGCACAGGGGAGCATATGATGAGAGTGATACGCTTTATCAACCTTGAGAAGTCGGGCAAACTTCTTCTCGTCCTCGAAAATGTCCTTTGCTTCATCGATAGCATTGGCATCGCCAGAAAGTGTGACACTGGCTGATGAATTGCTCGCCGCGACACAAATTCGACCTTCTAGTGACGGCATATCACAGAGTTCCTTTGCATCTTCGAGAGAGGTACCCACGGCCATCATAGCACCTTTGACCCCGTTACAGTCTCGGGCATTCTGCAAAGACCATCCGCGGTAGTAGGCGGTCCTAATAGCATCCCGTGCGGAAATGTAACCAGCCGCATACGCTGCAGCGATCTCCCCGGATGAGTGGCCAACAACAGCGATAAATTCAACGCCAGCGGTGCGCAACAATTGAACGAGCATGACCTGGACAGCTGTACTGAGAGGCTGCGAAAACAGAGCTTCTCCGATGCGAGAGCAATGTGTGTCTTTCAGAATTTCGTCTTTCAGGGACCAGGAAGGACGGTCTTCTTCAGGGAGCGTCTGGAGAGCAAAATCAAGCTCTGCAATGCAATTGGCGGCCAGAGGAGAGCTTAGTAGCAGCTCCGCTCCCATCTGAGCCCATTGCGCACCCTGTCCTGTAAATATACCGAGCACCTTCGGCTGCCTGATACTAGACGTTTGGCTAGGTGGCAGAATATCCGACGGCGATAGTATGGCATTTTCAAGGTTGGCGGCAAGATCGATTGCGGTGGAGCCAACTAGTGAAAGTCTGAAGGGTAGTGTAGACCGGCGACAGTTCAGGGTCCATGATAAACTGCGAAGGTCTATATGGGGATGGGCTTTCAAACAGGAAGAATACTCTTCGAGGCTTGCAAGGAGGGATCTTTCAGAGTTCGCAGAGAAGTTGAAAGGTGTAAGAATGGCAGTAGACAAATCCGCAGGGTCAAGTTGTACATCGCCCTGCTCGAAAGATTCCAAGATGGCGTGCGCATTGGCGCCACCAAAACCAAAGCTATTGACACTGGCCCGACGCGCAGTCTCCGCTGGGAGGTTCGGCCATTCCCTCGCCCTATTCAGAATTTCGAGGTCATCATAGAACGGTCGTACAGATGGATTGAGTTCATTCAAGAGAAGATTTGGGGGAATGACGCCATGCTGTAGCGCCAAAGAAGCCTTCAATACTGCGGCTAGTCCAGCCGTACCCTCGGTATGTCCAATAACTGTTTTGATTGATCCGACATACAGCGGTTCCTCATCAGCATCTGTGCGACGGTAGTTGGCTTTGGGGCCGTAGAATGCCGTACTGATGGCTTGGGCTTCGACTGGGTCTCCAGCGGGTGTTCCTGTTGTTGTTAGCCGGATTAGATCAAGAATATAACGGGTCTGGGCGAGTGCTCACCTGTGCCATGTGCCTCGAAATACTGGGGTCTGTCGCTGGGTTTGGACAAGTCAAGTCCAGCTCTGGCATAGGTTTCATGAATGAGGGCTGCCTGTGCGACAGGATTGGGCATGGTAATGCCTTTCGTACGTCCATCCTGATTAATACCAGTCTCGCGAACAATACACTCGATCTGATCACCGTCGGCCAGCGCGGCACTCAAAGTTTTCAGGAAAATCGCAGCTATGCCGTCACCTCGAGCGTATCCGTCTGCATCTTTGTCCCACATCCGCGAGCGACCGGTCGGCGAAAGCATCTTGAGCTTGCTCTCAGCAATATACTGCTCCGGTCCAAGTAGAAGGTTCGTTCCTGCTGCCACAGCCACGTTGCTTTCACCATTTCGTAAACTCAGCACGGCCTGGTGAAGGGCGACAAGGCTGGATGAACAGGCTGTGTCGATGGTCATGGAAGGTCCATGCCAATCGAAGAAATAAGAAACACGATTGGAGAGGATGCTTCTTGCCGTCCCTGACGCGAAGTATGTTGGGAGGTTCTGGGCATCCCTCCCCAGTAGATCCGCATAGTCGTTGGTCATGAGTCCAACATACACGCCGGTATTGGACCCTTGCAGCTTTTCCATGGGGATACCCGCTGATTCCAGGCATTCGTATACTGTCTCTAGTAGCAGCCGTTGCTGAGGATCGATGGAGTTGGCCTCAATCGGCTTAGTTCCAAAGAACTGCGCGTCGAACAACCGATGATCATCGGACAAGACATAGGAATGGCGCACATTGGTTGTACCATGATGGGTACCATCAGGATGGTAGAAGGCTTTCGAGTTAAAGCGGCTATCGGGAATCTCGGCGAGGACATCTCGAGGTTCCTTGAGTAGTTCCCAGAGCTTCGCGGGAGATATCGCATCACCAGGGAAGCGGCAAGCACTTCCCACGATGGCGATAGGCTCGGGTCGAGCCTCACAATGACTGGACATTGGATTATTCGAGTTGCACCAACGATCAACGGCCCGGTGTGACCAGCGTGTGACTGTTGGCTCGCAACGAGGATTGGGAGTGTTAATTCTGGTTTGCCGAGGTAGAATTGTTCCGTAGGCGTTCAACTGGAGGTTCTCTGAAACAAAGATTGCATAGCAATGGGACGAGGTTTCAATTCATAGCAAGATAAAATGGATCAGGATTCGGATATGTAGCTAAGAGTTGTTTAGCCATCTCATAAAGCAGGATTACATCCCGATCACTCGCGCCAGGGCGCTAGTATAATTGGCGAATCATAAGCTGAAGCGTAGATCTAGAACGTTAGTTTTCACCTTCTCTTGCATATTCCACGAGAATCTTTGCATCTCGGTTCCTGGCTGCAGTCTGGAATCATCGCCATGAGGCTACAGGGGCGCCGGTGCTGATGAATCTAGTGCTAGGATTGGTCAAGATCCCAACGATGACCGACTCCGACTCCGACTCCGAAGGAGTATCGCTAGGAAAGTTGTGCTCAAGCGGTATCTGGATGTATATCAGTGGACACTTTGTATTTCAGCTATGCAAGCATGCTAGATGTAACTTGAATGGAGCATCGAGCTTTTTCTCTACGGTTGCCCTGTTCTTGAGTTCTGGCCCAGGGGTAAGCGTGATGAGCAGCGATCATGGTTGGAGACTCAGGTGAGCTCGTGCAACATGCAACGAAGCAGGAAGAAGACCTAAGCAAATGAAGATAGAGCAAGGCAGGCGACGTTGTTAAGTCGCCAATCGAACTGTTGTTTGGCGGAGACGCGACGTTCTGCCTCAGGCTCCAACCTCCTGTCAGGGGCCACGGGCCTCCATGAGGCCATGCACGAAGCCGTCTTATTTTGTGCAACAAGCTCCATTGTGCATTGTGTGATCATGGATTCAGATCTCAATGACTAGAGCTCATGAATTGCAGTCCTAAACGGGCAAGAGACGTGTATGATCACCTGACACCATACCGCTGGGCTGTGCAATAATGTATTTTTGCAAGCATGCATCCACGCGAGGAACCTAAGGGTCGCGATTGAAATTATGTTGGCGCAAACCCTGATTTTGAAGGACACCTCATCGAAGGTCTCGATATAGAAGACACTGGAAAGACAATCCATGTCAGAATGACCTAGAGATAGACTTGTTGCTCATGGTTAGCCTAATTCATGCTTTCGGCGATCGGACTTTGGTAGGTACCAGACTCAGGTTTCTCGATCACAATGCTCACACATGAGTCATGCGATTACAGCTCAGCCTGAACTCAACAGGTTCGAATCGGGTCATCTTTCCATAGAACATAATTTGTGGACCTGGGCATCTGGGATATGGATAGCAAAAAGGTATGTGTGATTCGTTAAAGTTGTGCATGAAATATGTGTAGGTCGCTCAATTCCTTCAGTAAATATATACAAATTCATCATTCTGCCGATCGGTCAAATCATCGGCCACATGTGCACCAGCATGAGCAACGTGCTGCCCACTCTCAGACTCTTCAGAAGTCTCTTCAATACCGTGGAAATGTGACTGCATGGAGTGATCAATAATCTGGGCACTCTTTCCATTGCGCACTCGGCGGCGGGCCTGTTGCTTGTTGAGGAACCACAGATTGACCCACTGGATAAACACAATGGCAACCATGGTGCTAAAGATGGCAAGACAGGCACGGAGACCGGGGTGATACTCGGGCGCATCCTTCGCGGCGAAGAGAAGGGGTCCGACGATGTTGCCGGCAGAGGAGGCGGCGTTGTAAAGACTCATCGCGACAGACTTCTTGGTACTTCCGGCGGTATTTCCAATAATCCAGGTCACGACCAGAGGGTTACCACCGAAAAGGAAGGCAAGAAGATAGTATCCGGCAAGCAAGGCGCCCTGGTCGGAATTGTCTCGAGGAACCGCGTAGAGAATGGCAAGACCAGCCACGACGGGGAGCATGAAAAATGCGAGGATAGCACCCTTCAGGCGGGCTGTTTGGGCAAGATAACTAGCAAGAAGGATCATGATCGTCTGCAAGGCACCGAAGGGCATGGTGAGTAGACTAGTGGTGTACTTGTCGTAGCCCAGGCCGCCGAGAATCAACGGACCGAAAGTATTGGTGACACTAGCGCCGATGTTAAGGAGCATAGCCATACCAATCCACAGATAGGTCTTCGGCTCCAATGCAGCCTCCAACACGTGGCTAAACTTGAATTCCGTGTTTCCCGTACCGGTCTGGTTGGCACGTAGTCGCTCCACCGCCTGTGCCTTTTCTTCTTCGTTAAGGAAGCGAGCGGTGGTCACGTCGTTGTCCAAACGCCAGTAAACGAACGGTGCCGAAACGATGGTGACTAGTCCGACGAAGAGGAAGATGCTGCAGAATGCGTCAGATAATGAACCTATTTCTCTCATTGGTGAGAGAGACTCACATTTGCCATGATTTCAAGAGATCCGACTTGATGTGTGCCAGACCATACGACAGTGCAGCCGCCACAATGGTTGCAATTCCGTTGGTACCATACCAAGCAGCAATGCGCAAGGGCTGCTCCGCGCGACGGTACCACTGACTCGTGATAACTCCAAACAAGGGCAAGCAACCTGCCTCGAACAAGCCAAGGAAAAAGCGCGCCGCCATCAACTCTTGGAAGTTGTGGCAAGCGGCCATGCACGCCTGAGCAATGCCCCATCCCAAGCATAGGGTGGGCATGAGGATCTTGTGCGGCACCTTCACAATCAAGTAGGATGAGAATGGCTGCCATGCCAACTGGGCGATCGGGGCGATGGAACCGACGAGGGAGTACTGGTTGCCCGTCAAGTGTGTGTCGGTCCGTAGGCCAAAGGTCGCGCCATATCCAAGCACCGTTTTGTCAAGAATTTGTAGGAAGTAGACCCAAATCAATACCACCAGGATTGTACGGTCGGTTTTGCGGCAGATTCGCTTGTTGTCCTCCTCGGTCAATGGGACGTGTGGGATCTCAACCTCGAGGTTCGGATCCGGCTTGGGCACACGAGAGCCTTCATCGTGAATAGCAACTGGTTTGGCCATGTCGAAGAGAATGTTGAGACTGCCACGATGGAAGATCGGACCGAATTTTCGACCCCGGAGTCCTTTTTATCTGTTGGGACACCCCCACGTATCATGAGCTCATGGTAATTGCCATCTTTCACCAGTGGGGGCATTACTTCCCCGCGTTCCCCCACGTCTCCGCTTCTGGGATTTGGGCCAAGATAGAAGGCCAACACGGTGATCCGCTGGGTGGCGCCACAGGCCGAGGTTATGATTGGAAGTCGCTCCCGGAAGACTGCACAGACGGAGGGGCTGGACCAATCCGAAGAGAAACCCGAAGGCAAATTGGCAGGATTTACTTTCCCTCGTTGCGAACTTACCGACTCCGGGGAGTCCCATGCGAAGGTGTGGGGGAAGGCGTCGGGTTCAGTCCGAGTATTCTCCGTTGAAGTTTGGGGAAGGGAAATGTCGGCTTTGACTGTCACACCGCTTCCCCGTGACTTTCCTCCCGAGGCCAACCGGCCGGAATCGATCCCGCGATCCACAACGGAGCTTTGTACACTACAAAGTTCACTACTCTGCTCATATGATCCTCGGGCAAGGGGAGCTCCATCTCTAGTCGTCATCGATTCGCTATTGTCACGACCAAGCCCCCCTGCTTGGCGCCCCAAACATTCTCGCTCTTCACTCGATATGCTTTCTACCTTATCATGTACGCCCCCACGCGTTAGGAGCAAGGACCAGCTCCCTACAGCACAGATGTCTGAGACGTTGAGCGTGGGAATTGATGTCGGCAAATGACCCCCATGACCTGTCAGACATGGCGTTATCACAACGGCAAAAGCAATAGTACGATGTTTGCCGCCGACACCCGTCCAACCCCTTGAAGGGGTCAAGATACTTCGAAAGGATTACCCGACGGCAATTGAAGAAGCAAGTCTTACGATCATACATCTGAATTCGACGCTGGGCCCGATAAGATCCCTCAACCCGACTGGACATTCGTCCCTTTCATATGTACACGACCTCAGGATCACGATATCTGGGGAACCGATCACTCTTCTCAATGATCTTGATATTCAACGGAAGTGAGGCCAACCACATGACGGCCCAAAGCGCCTGGAACAAGATTAGTTACGATAAAAGTCGAGCAGTCTGGCACTGAAACCGACGTACCTGGAATATCGTCTCTACGACGACAACATCCCCTCCTTCAATTGACAAGAACCATGCTTCCCAGCTCACGCCAAAGCAATTATTCGGGCAACGCTTCAGAGCCATCGGGCTGACCTCCTCATATGCGAGTGAGTCTCCGTACGCAAGTGAGTCTTGCCCCGGTCCAGGGACCCTCTGCATCAGCCGATCACGGTTCTCATTGTGATCAGAGCTTTTTCCCCAAATCGCGCGTGAAACGCCTCTCTTACCTCCGGTGGTATAGAGAGTTCCAAAAATTCCCATTCCACTCCTTGAAAGCGCTGCGGCTCGTTAGCCAGCTGAGCGAAGACCGCATGAATCGCTTCGGCGGCGGCAAGGGCATCTGTTTTGAGATATCTACGCGGGATCTTGCCGAACTGGTCGAATGAGCTCTTTTCCTCGGGGCTCAGCCGATACTTGAAACTATGAGAGCTCAGATGGCCCAGTTGAAGTGACGTGCTGTCATACTCGTATACCCATTCGGCGATGACGGACCAGAGTTCCTCCCACTCGGCCCAGTATCGATCCCGCCCGCCCTTTTCTGTCGTGGAGATCGGGCTTGCTATGACATCGAACTTGTCTTTCTTCCATCCATACAGTTCACCGCCTATGTATGTCATCTTTTCATATTGCCCCGGTAGCCGACCGGCATAGGTGAGGTCCATGTAGGCCCCTGCGCCGCAGGCAACACTGATGGCAGGGCCAATTGCGCATGGCTGCGGATCGGCGCCCATCAAGCGCGCGCGTGAGGTGCGACCGGCAGTTGCAAGCAGTGTGACCAAATCCTTGGGAAGGCCGACGGAACTGGGGTCTGTCGGAAAGTCGACCACCTCGGGTTGTTTCCAAGACTGGTCCTTAGGCGGGGTCAGAGTCCTCTGGGTTGCATCGGTCGGTTTCTCCCCCTGAGGGAATCTCTTGCTGAAGAAAGCATGCAACTGTGACCAATCTGGGTGATTGAATATATCACGCAAGATGGCGGCGAAGAGTAAAGTTGCTGTCGATCGACCGGAATTTTGATCGATGAAGGCAAAGTCGTGGAGACCGAAGCGTTGTAATTTCTGGGCGCAAGTCAACGTCAACGATATGTGTCTTTCTTTTGAAATCATTGCCCAAGAAAGCCTACATACCTCACCGGGCTTCCAACGCTCGTCGGTTATTATATTGTACGTTTGAGGGCTGGAAAGGTGCAGCGCCAAAGGCAGCGATACCTGCATTGGGATTGGCATTTCGAGTATGCAACCTGGCTATACAAGGCTCTAGCTTGCGATGATACTGGTTTAGACTTCATGGAGGAACTGGAGGAAATGACCTTTTGTAAATTGCGCACCTTCAGAAGTCGATCACACCCATGAGCAAATCCCTGTCAATAATCCCGAGGTGGCTGTGCACTCTTGGTTCAATGGGCTGCTTTACCGGGCCCCAATGCGCCCAATGCCGAGCCTGGTCAGCGTCCTATTCGAGACTAGTTGAACGGCATCGAAACGCCTCTACAGAATGAATACGAGCAGGAGTACGTGGGGCATGACTTGCTGCGGCTCAAACAAGAAAGCCTTTTTCTGAGGCATGATCTTTTATGAAGCACTCGGATAAGATCCTCCCCTTCATCTGCATCAACCATGGACGTTCTTGGAGTTTCGCTCGGAGCCGTCTCGCTTGTTACTTTATTCAAGACATGTCTGGAATTGTTTGAGACGTTTGAGAACGGAAAGAACCTAGGAAAAGACTACGAAATTCTATCGACCAAAGTTGGCATTGAACGTATTCGTCTTGCCCTGTGGGGAGATTCCGTCGGCCTCACCAGACTTGTACCAGAGCAGGCGAAAAAGTCCGACCAAAATGACGGTGTTGACCCTCGTCTTGTTGAGCCGCGCATGGTCAGGGCTGTTTCCGATATCCTGAATTGTATGCGACGGTTATTCGAAGACAGTGGCTCTCTCACAAGAAGATATGGTTTACAGGCATCTACCACGACCGGGGTGATTACAGCGAGTGCTGGCGATAATGCAGTGGCAACGACATTCCACAAAACCTATGTCCGTATTCACGCATCAGCTTCGCGTATTCAACGAGGCTCGTCTCTAGTCGCAGCTGCGAGATGGGCTATCAAGGACAAGAAGCGCTTCGAGCGCTTTGTTGAAGATCTTCGCGGCTTCAACGATAGCCTGGCTTTGCTGTTTCCAGATATAGATGCAGATGCACGCCAGGCTATGGCAGATGAGATAAAGGAGTCGACCGACCTGAACGGTCTTCAGATTGTTGAACAGGCCGTCTCTGACTTGGACGGAGGGGAGTCGCTTGTGGAAGCGGCGAGCGTCCGCATCACGCAATTGTCTCAGTACACACAGAGCGTTGCTGAGGACCACACGACACAAACTGACGACAGTGCTGTAGACATTGATGTCAACCGTCTTACCCGACAATTGGGTAAGCTCGAGGCTTCGATGAGCAAGAGAGTTGAGCTGCGAGGGGGGCTGCGGTTTACTCTCTCCGCAATCGTGGGGCATGATTATTTCGCCAAATTCTCGTTTTATGGCATGGACAGTAAAGACTGGCTAGTCGAGAGACATAAGGAGGCTCAATATGTGAAGCATTCGACTCTGGCATGGTGTAAGTCACGAGCCTAAGGGTGAGCTGAGCAGCACATTTCTCTAATTCCCCATTCAGCGTTAATGTACATGTCCGACCGAGACAGACATGACCAGGCTGACTTTAGCCGACAGGACACAGAGGTATGACAATACAGATATCCATTCAAGTCATTATCTGACCCTAGCTCACATTCCCCAGTGCCACCGACTCTACGAAGGGAAGCTTCCTGGTACGCGAAGCATTGATGGATATATCGCCGATTTCAACACGTGGATACAGAACAACAATCCCAAAGTTGAGCGATTCTTCAACACAACAGGGCCCCTACCGGATGTCCCATTTGAGAAACTAGTTGAGCGTGCCCGCCGCGCACAGCTTCAAGGCGACCGGTTCTGGAATCCCGGCGAGCGCTCTACAAACGACGACCTCGAAGCGCTTATCGGTCCCCCTCATTTGGGAAACAGGATGCAGGATGAAGTCACACAACTACTGAGCACTCTTAATCGCCGCAGGGACTTTCCAGACGTACTTGACGGCGGCTCGCTAGCTACCATCGCTCTCGGTGCATCAGATAGTCTGTATGGCTTCCTCTTGGAGATGGTCTTAGCTCGTGAGCTACGCATGCGCATGTACCGACTCTCCGATATGAGTTTTGGCAATGTCAGTCGCCGGATCGTCGCTACTATGCACGCTTCAGAGCGGTGGCTTGACGGCGTCCATGTGAAAATGCCTGATCCAAAAGGGAAACCAAACTACGTCGAGCTGCATAGCCTTGTCCATGAGCAACAGGTTGAGGGATTGGTTCGCTTTGCCGAAACCATGGCGTGGCCAGCTCTTGGAGAGATGCGCATCTTCGCAGAGGAGGTTTACGCTGGTATCAGGGCGGGCATGACGAATACCAGCACTCATCTCTGGGACTGGCTATATGGCCTCATGCTGCCTGGGAATGCCTTCATTTTTGCGATCATGGCCGCGCTAGTGGCAGCCACCCCAAGTTTACAGAGTCTGGGGGCGGCCCAGTTTTACGCTTCGGGATTAGTGCTTAAAGACCGATCGTACTGGCGGACGAAAACGGTGTTGGGACGCGTCTTGGGCGGGATGAAGGGGGTCAGAGCGGCCAATGGGTGGATTGGGCCATGTCCAGCTCCGGTGGATGTCCGAGACGAAGCCGTCAAGGAGGGTTGGTGGCCTGTCCACGCAAGAGATGTTGCCTTCACTCGCTTCATGGCCAGGGATCTCCCAGCGATCGGGGATCGATTCGCCCCATTCCTTCGCCGTGAGCCTCGTGAGGAAAGCTCAAGTGCGGCAGAATGGATTCGCAGCATGGGCGACCGTTCAGAATGGGCAGTGCCGATCGGACCATCTGAATCGTCAGATCATGTCGAGTTCCGTGCCCTGCGTCTTCAGAGGATAGGCTGGCACAGCAGCTCAGAGCCACAGCAAGGCACACCTGAGAAGGACGATCAGAGTGAAGAGCCAGAGCCAGAGCAAAGAGCTACTCTCGAGGTGCTTATCAATGATCGCCCGGTAAGCTTCACCCTCTACAGCAACCCCGTATTCATCGCGGCGCCAGCATGTATAGATGGACCCCATGCTATTCTTCAGAAAGACCTTCCCAAGATACAGCACATACTGGGGCCGAGTCAACTTCCCGACCACGTCCACACGGACACGAGGGTGCTCATTATTGACGCTACTGGGAAGGGGGAATGCGAGTTAGTTGCACGGGCATGGTGCTCTCAGAATGGACAGCATGCGATCGTTGTTAGAGGACAGGGAACATGTTTTGCATGTGCAGTTAAGGCTGCGAGTCAGGGTGGTCTTGTCATAGGCTGTGTTATCTGGTCAAAGTCGTGATTACAGAGTGCAGAGAGCATGGCATTCATGAGATTCCATAGCTCTGGGACCTTTGACCAATCTGAAATAATTGTTTTATCACACGAGTTGGACGGAGGCTCAATTCATGAGACCTGAGTCGCTAGGAAAGACGAGTTGAAATCCACTTGCATGATTTTTTTAGAAAGCAAGTGGACGCCATTTGAGTTTCGGAAGACTGTCAGTGTACAAGAATAATGCTTAGCCATGCGGCCTGCCAATTTTCACGCTGAGCCTCATTCCTGCGCTGCTAGATCTATAATCAAGCATTGACCCCGCAACCTCGTATAAATTCACGGCTTACAAGGACGGCCCCTCGACCTCATGCCTAAGCGGCTTGGCAAGAGGCTGTGTCTGTGATCGCCAGCGTGTGCAATGCGCTTACTCTTTTCTTCCCTCATATATGCCGTAATCACTCACTCTAGCTTAGCTGCGAGCAGCAGTGCCAGCAGCATTCCTCATCATGGAGCTCGCAAGTACTGCAATCGGCGTGGTCGGGTTGGCCGCCCTGTTTAGTACTTGTACAGAGACATTGGATACACTTGCCGCGGCTGCCAGATACAGCGTGAATCGTGAGATATTACAGACAAAGATTGAAGTCGAACGACTACGACTCATGGTCTGGGGGGAATCGGCAGGATTGACCGATATCGACCCCAGTAGACCTGAAGACGAGACTGGCTATGACCCTGATTTTCTCAATGAGTCTCTCGGAGGTGCCGCCCTACGCCCGGCTGTGGCAGGCCTCTTAGCCTGCTTCGCACATTACTTCGAGGACATCGAGCAGTTGCAAAGTCGATATGGTCTTGTCACGCAGAAACAAAATCAAGACAAAGAAAGTACACCGGCGTTGGCGGAAGCGCCCACTCGACAGATACTCCTCACCACCTTTCAGAGAACCTACGCGCGTTTCCAGCAACGTACTTCAAAAGTACAGGCAAGCACATCAGCCTTTAAAAAAGCCAAATGGGCTATTACGGATGAACGCAAATTTCGAAACCTCGTTGCGGAGCTTAAGGCAATCAACGACTCACTCGATTCGCTACTTCCAGCCATCAGGGACAAGACGCGAGTACAAATGCGTACAGCGATCATGCGGAGCACTGATGTGGATCAGCTGCAAAATCTAGTCACTGCTGCTGATGAGGCGACAGATCTCATAGCCGAGACAGCGAGCTTGAGACTTGAGATGCTGTCAATATCCGGTAAAGGAGCCGTGAAGCCAGCTCCAAAGGTTGTGCAAGTTACATCGGCATCTAAAGAGTTGAGAGGAGAAGGCTTGAATAATGCGTCTACACAGTCCGGGCCGTCGGGGTCAAAGTCGGTAGTGCAAGATCTAATCGCAGCCACAATTGCAGATGCCCCGAGTCCTGCTTCTGTCTCTACGGCGCCAACAGGGGACATTTATGATGATACCGGAGCATTAGTTGTTCACAAAGCCTATCATAAAGCTGACAGTCTAGCATGCTTCTCCTGGCACGTTGGACTAGGCGAGACTACAGATCTAGCAGAATGTCCACCAGTTGCTGACGCAATGTTTGGTAAGATGTGCAAGCTCTTTTCTCATAGGAAACAATGTGACTAACCCTGGTAAAGATTTACAATATATCCCAAACCACATATCAGGCGTTGCAGAGAGTTTTCTTGAGGTGGACGTCGTGAGCGACAGAAAGTATGCTGGATGGTCTCCTGGATCAGTCTCCTTGATTGGTTTTGCCAGAGAGGCCACTTTCTGGAAAAGGGCAGGAGAACTGGAAAAGAAACCTAATCCTCCCAGCTGGTATCGAGTTAACTCAAAACCACTTTCCCAAGACTTTCTTGATAAGAGATGGAGGCAACTGGTGAAAGAAGGACTTGGAGATGACTTTACGGACAAGAAGGGCTACGAGCAGGTACTGGAGCTGCTCGGCCCTAGCCAGTGCGTCTACCCAAACACTGAACGAAATCAAAAGGTCCCGCGCTGATGGTTCTACAGCTACACATGGCTTGATCCGAAAGAAGGGTACAAGCTGCGACATCAAATCACCGACCTCCTCGGGGCCCTGAGCAGCTCGATAATACCCAACTTCGAAGAGAGGGGCAGTATCGGGCTCGTCGCATTCCACGATCAAACCGTTCCGAATTCGCCTTTTGGGTTTATCGATTTTATGCGGCAGATGGTCATCGCTCGCGAGCTGACACTACGCATCCAGCTGGCCAACCAACGGTGGTATGGAGGGATCACACGCAGAGTTATCTATGATATGATAGCTGCTGATCTGTGGACACGGCATGTGGAGATCAAGCCCGTAGCGGCAGCCTTTGGAATACCTAAAGCTGTATTTCAACGCCAGGTGCATGGCATCATCAGATTTGTCGATGAGATGCGCTGGCCCTATGCGGATGAGATCCAAAAAGAAGCGAATCATCTACTCGAGAAAAACCCCGAAGAAATAGCCTTGGATTTGCGATTGCAAGACTGGCTAATGGGATTGGTACTCCCAGGGGCTCGCCTCCCTCTTATCCTCGTTGGTGTTCTGTACCAGCTGTCCCCGACATTGCGACCCCACATACCGACCGAGAGCGTCAAGTTTCGCGATGGAAACTTTGGTATTGTTTATCCCGAGGCCTCATATTGGAATGTCCGCTCTGTACTAGGCAAGGTATTGGCCCCGCTTTCTCGGGATCAGGAAACAAACCATCGGAAGGTCCACTGTTTAGGTGGCTGGGTTGGGCCATGTCTTTCACCCTCCCTCCCAGAGTGCCGACTTGGCCTTACAGTTTCTTTGTCAACTCGCCAACCTCCCTTCGCTCCACTGGAATTGGACTCTAGCATCGGTGACGCGACTAAAACCACCTTGTCGAGTATTGGTGGGCAAGGCCATGGCGGAGAGTGGATGCTACCGACGCCCCCCGAACTATCCCGTGATACCGTCGCACTTCAGACCGTTCGCCTGTCCAAGGCGCCGAAGGCTGATTTGAGTGCTAAAGATGCACTTTATTATACTGCACGTATTGACTTCCGGTTAGGGCGCAGTCGTACCTTTGTTACGTTCACACTTTACACCAATAGCGTTTTTGTTTCCGTTCCACCTTGTCGAGGCACGCATAAGGTTGATCCTCATGCCGCTGGCCGTTACACGTTTGCGGTTAAAGGAATCGAAGAAATAGCACGAATATCCAAAACGTGTGATGCTGCTACTGATATGGCCATTATGGTCGTGAACGCTACCGGAGGACCAGCCAGTGAGGTATTTGCGCGGGCATGGTGCTGTCAAACGGGGACTAATGCCGTGATATGGAGGAGGGAAGGAGGGAAATGCTGCTTCAAGTGTGCATTGATGGTAGCATCTACAGATGGACTAGGAACGGGGACTTTGATTGCTTGCTAGATATTGTGTCCCTGTGATCACGGTGGTTCATGAACGAGCCATGAATTTAGTTGAACTACTGTATCTCTTGGGAAATGGATTGGTCGTTGATTTGATAGTATACATTTTTGGTTATTAAATGTGAGGTGGTTCCACAGTATCTGGTCGCTTGTGGATCGATTTTCAGCCAAGGTTACTGCTTCAAAGCATCGTGTCCCCAGTTCTTGAGTGAACGATAGCTTTTGCTGTCGGGGTTTTTCTTGGCAGTCTCCTCCTGGGCTATATGACGCTTGCAGTAAGACACAACCTTACGCATATGATCGATATCAGACTCGCCATAGCCAGAGGGCTTTCGACTTGGATTGTGCTCCAAGATATCGACTATCTTCCGACCACTAAATAATGGACGTCGCCAGTTGTAGTTCTTCAAGTTAACCATATTCGGGCATAGTAGATTCCAGAGAGTCGCAAACCTTACCTCTCGTGACCGATAGTCTCACCTGATTCACTAGTCCATCCTGACGACTGCGACTGTTCTTCTTTGAGCCACTCGCGAAGCTCATTCGGGGTCATATTAACAAGCTCATTGAACTCGCTTGTTTAATATCAGCCACAACCTTATTCTCTAAATAGGTATGTGGTTCTTACGCGAGAGGACATACCTAATCACGGTGTCTTTGTCTTTCACCATTCTGACAACCTCAATAGGGTATGTAATAAATCAAATTCTCTTTATGGATCAGAAATTCGCAACTCCAGAACCCTCACTCCTGATATACTGGCGACTTTGTGTCGTGGGAGTGACGTCACCGTTCCTCATTCGCCTCTTGGTTCTTGAACCTTGGAAATCATCTTGGCCAAGTTCAAGGTATGGGGTTACTCGGATGAAACAAAAATCAATTGAAGTTGTGCTTCAGCGTCATGATATCTTCAAATTGGTAGATTCGATGTTGTCCCAACTTGCATGTCAGGGATTCTTGGTCCGAGCTTCATGTCACTCTTCGAAGGTACCAAAAGACCCACAAAATTTGACTCGCACATGCAAGCCAGGTCTATGGACAGGGTACGGGGGGCGTCAAGCCTTTGACGCTCGGGCGTCTGCGGGTCATTATTGTGCAAGTATTATTGTGGAGGTTATGATTTACAATATTTCAAATCGCGTTGGATGACATCCTACTTCGAGATAAGAAAATGACTTGCCCGAGCTTCAGAAGACATCGATAATTTGACCCTGAAGAAACAACCTCCACTAGTTCGCCATATATTCACCCCCGGACCCACGACCGACCGAGTGCCAGGTTTTTGGGTCAGATCCCGCGAAGGGAACTTTTATTTTTCGATTCTCAATAGTCTATTTCCCATAGATAACAACTCTCGTTGAGACTGGCTTGAGCTGGAGATAAGCAATATTGAAAGGCAATGATCTCCGCCTCCACCTCACATGCTATGCCATGTCGATCACTCGAAAAATCACAGAATAATTCGGGCTTCATGAAGTGAGCAAGATCCAGCCAATCCTCTTTTCTGTGGGGAGAGTTAGGAAAGAAATCGATATTATGCAATTTAATCTAAACGAAGCATGCAAAAGTTTATAGTACAGAACCGAAATTCTAGAAGTTCAAGTGTTATGAAGGGCGTCCACTTCGGCATCGAATCATCGAATCACCAATTGATATCATTACTTTTTATAAACATGCCCCGTAAGAGATCAATCTAATCTGCGCCAACAAAAGCAACACATTTGCTTGGGATTGCCAATAATTGCATTCCGAACACACTGGTCCGCGGAGATGGCTCACTCGAATTCCATTGCCGGCCCTTATCTTTGCCAAGAATGATAAGTTGCTGTTCTTCTATTGGCTGCCAGGGTGAACTATGGACGCGACCAGCAATTATGCGACATCCATCACGAACTTGAGCTTATTCTTTATCTTGTCCCCACCCCAAATGGATGATGGGGCTTAAGGGATCTACTCCGGCTGCTTTATCAGAGGCCAATTAGGTGACTCATGGAAAAAGCATTGGTCCCTTGAGATGCATGGACTATATCGTGCGGAGGAAGGATGGTCTCGTCTTTAGCAATGGTGTTATATATGCCAAGGGAATCTTGCATTAAAGGTCTTGTGTTTCTCTCACAAAATATTCTCGAGTCAGGAGGCTTTCCTTTGAAATTTGCAGCCCTGTGTCACCCGAAAGAATCCAAATTTTCTTCAATTGGTTTTGGTAAAGGAGATCAAGTTGCCTACAATGACATTCGACTCCTTCTCACCACTAGAGGTGATCGAGGCTGTGGCCAACACAGGTGTGTACAAGGGTAACATGCGCTTGGACAAGGTGTTTTTTAGCTCCATCTCGGCTGGTTGCTTGCTTTCCTTCGCATGTGGAACTGCCCTAAGCACCAATGCCTCCCCTTGGTTTCAAGAGAATGCTGCGGGCTTGATCCGCACTATCAGTGCCCTGGTTTTCCCTTACGGATTGTGCATGATCATCTTGACTGGCGCCGATCTTTGTACCGGCTCTTTTATGGTGCGTTAATTATCCGTTGCATCTCAATCATATTCCAACCAATGACTTATCAACCAAGTAGTTTACTACCGTTGCTGCTTTGCAACGCCGACTGCCCTGGTGGAAAATGCTCGTGCACTGGGTCGTGACCTTCTTGGGAAACTTGGCGGGCTCTCTATTTATGGTTGCAATTATCTTTGGCTGTGAGTACATCGCCATACTTTCTATCTCAAAACGCAACTGACCTCGCATAAATAGATGGCGAGGTCTTCTCCAAGGACCCCTTCAAGTCGGCCGTCATCAGTTTTGCCACAAAGAAGCAAGTCACTCCTGACTTCCACATGATTTTCCTCCGTGGAATTGGTTGCAATTGGCTCGTCTGTCTGGGATGCTTCTTCGGTTTGCAAGGACGTGACCTGGCATCCAAAATAATTGGTATCTGGTGGCCCATCTTTGCTTTCGTCTCTCTTGGATTCGATCACGTTGTCGCCAATATGACATTCATTCCCCTGGGAATCTGGCTTGATGCTCCTGGAATCAGTGCTGGTCTGTATATCTGGAAGGGCATCATCCCCACCTTGATTGGAAATATCCTTGGTGGTGGCCTCTTCTGCGGTGAGTACACAATTTATGATACCCAGGGGAAGTCACACTTTACTAAACATTTATTAGGTACTTACTACTGGTACATGTATCTACTTGACCTGAACACTCTCCCTATAACTGGATTGAGCAAGAAGACAGACCCTCCCACTCGGCCAGCATCAAAGGGAGATATCGAGGCCGCTGCTGCAGACGCCTCTCCCGCATCCACCGTGCTCCGCGCTTGAGCGGCTGATATGACATCCTTATAACTCTAAAGCGATAGATGAATAAGTCACGCTTCGATCCTTTTTCTATGAAGCAAATGCCCTCGACCAATAAAATAAATTACGCCGAGGAGACACGATAATAGTGGGTGGAACTTTGTAATTAATTTAGGTATACTTATAATTTATGAACATACGTTTTCCCTACATTGCTAGACTTTGCTATAGCCAGACCATCGAAATGTGATTGTGAAGTTGTCTTTCGGGGTTTGAAAAGACTGACTGCCGAAGTATGCTTAGTTTTCGGATCTAGGGTCCTAAGATCATACAATATTATCGAGGACAAACATCTAGCGTTATACGAGGTTGATAGTTGATTCCCAAAATATGCCTTGTGTGGCTGGTGCGATCTTTCCATTCTCCATAGAATCACACAATCTTGCGTGATTGTGGCAGAATCGGGGTTGTGACCGATTAGCCGACGAGCCGACCGTAGGTGCGCTTCGTCCTGTGTTGAACTGCTGCAACATGAGCTCGAAACTTCGGAACTCGACACAGTGGCTGCCGATCGATCCGACCGTCCGATGCGGGGGATATACAACTATGGAATTGGTTCTCGAAAAAATTCATATATTAGTTGAAAGAACGCAGTGAAGGGCGTTTAAAATTCCAGGATTGAAGTTCGTACTAGGACTTGGGTTCACAGATAAATTGAAAGGCATACCAAGCAGATCTCATCATGGCATCAACAGTGGTAGAGACAAAAGCTTCCCAAGCCACTCCCACCACTATCAACCTCTCCGTTTTCCCTGATGGATTGAAGACATCGGGACAACACCCACCCGTCTATTCAAGAGTTCGACCATACAGCGACTTTCCAAAGGTTCACGGCGGACCTACTCTATGGAAGGCTGAGGACTATCGTGAAAATCCGGAGCTTTGGACCCATCACTTCACCGATGAGGAGATTGAAGAACTTGGAGCTGTGACAGACAACTTCATTGAAAAAGACTTGCCCTTGACTGGTATCTCCAAGGTTGGTTTCTGGAACTAAAACAGGAGTGGCCATGTTACTAAACATGCAAGTAGGCGAACTTCCCTCTCCCTAAGCTCTCAAGTCGGCTCGAAGCTTTGCGAAAGGACTTGATTGATGGGAAAGGCTTTTTCCTGTTTAAGGGAGTTCCTGTACGCAAATGGGATCTTCGTAAATGCGCGACAGCCTACATGGGTCTTGGAACCTATTTGGGATACTTCACAAGCCAGAATGGCCGTGGACATGTTCTAGGCCACGTCAAGGATCTTGGAGAGGATCCAACAAAGACCGATAGGGTTCGAATTTATCGTACCAACGCTCGGTAAGTGCAAATGCGGAGGCACCACTGAGTATCATCAACATTTACTGATATCCTACTAGCCAATATTTCCACACAGACGGTTCTGACATTGTGGGCCTTCTCTGCATTGCCAAATCTCTTTCCGGTGGAGAATCAGACATTGTTTCTACACACCACCTATTCAATGTGCTTCAGGAGAGACACCCTGACGTTGTTGAAACTCTGGTGACACCTAATTGGTATTTCGATCGCAAGGGCGAGGTCTCAGATGGCCAAGAGCCTTGGATTCGTGGCAGCATCTTTTACCTTGAGAACGAGCGCGCGGGTGACAACCCTCGCGTCTACGCCAGATTCGACCCGATGAATGTCACTTCTCTGTCTCGCTTCAACTCTGGACCAGACGCTAAGATCCCACCTCTCTCCGACAAGCAGAAGTATGCTATGGAAATTTTCGAGAAGACCTGTGGTGAGCTTTCTCTACACATGATTCTCGACCCTGGTGATATCCAGTTCGTGAGCAACTCGCACGTGTTTCACGCGCGAACTGCCTATACTGACCATCCTGCCGGTGCGGTTGATGAGAATGGACTGCCCGCCCGGCGGCGACACCTGATGCGACTTTGGCTCTCTGCGCCCGAGTCCGAAGGTGGTTGGAAACTTCCGTATCATGACACTCTTGAGAAGAAGCGCGGCGGTATCCAGGTCAATGACCAGCCCCCGGTTTGCCCTTTGGATGCCGAGTAAGCTTTTCTCATGCTTATGAAGATAGTCAACGACTTGAATGTACTTGAATGTATTTTACTCAATTTATTTCAAAATACCTTTCATTGTTTTTGCATGAGTTAATTGCGATTGTAATCTAACAATCAAGAAAACGAGCCGAAATGACATGTCACTGCCTTTCGAAATACTGACTTGAGGTAGAATAGATCATAAAAATGCTGTAACCATACGAATATACGGCTGTCGTACATGAAAAAAGAATGCAACCCCGAAAATAGGGACATTGTCACTAGTGAATTGAGTAAATAAGTCTCTATTGATGTAAACACTACTGAGACAAAAAAATATGGATGGGGCATTTTCGGTATAGCCCGTGGGACCAACGGTTGCATTTCCTGCTTAGGTCTGTTGCGAGAACGGGAATGCCGGTACCCATGGCTCTGCCTGAGTCGTGGAAAAGCCACCAGCCCATGGCAATAGTCCGGCTGCCTCGATACCTGAGCCAACAGCTGTGTCTGCTGGTTGCCATGCCCAACCCAAGTCGGACATGAACAGTGTCTGAAGCTCCTCGAGGCTGGCCTGGCCTAATCCCAGTTCAGGGTCGTGGGAAGTACCGGTATCTACCCCTTGCTGCATAGCGCCACTTGAAGGTGGATCCGTATCAGTGGTGGAATTGGGCTTCGCGCTATTCGGAGCCGAGGAAGTCGCGGCCTTTTCAGGGGCGTGCCTTTCAGGGATAGACTTGCGCGCCATGCGAAATATAGACAATGGATTCAGCACGTAGTCAGGTGCACTCTGGACTGGGGTTCCCGGGACGCTCTCACTGTTATCAAGTTAGCACCTCCAGCTCGAGTAGGAATAAATGGGGGACATACGTCTGCTCCTCCTCTCCATGAGGCTGGTAAGGATCATCAGGTATACTGTTCTGAGCAACAACATCTGAGCCTATACCCGAACGGTCAAGCATCTTCTCAGCCGCAGTGCACTGTTTGCAGAGTAGTGTCAATTCAAAGTTACTATCGATGTCTTCAGCAATTCGAAACTTACTAGAGAGTTGGAAATCATGCTGAGTGATCCCATGACTTTCATAGAGTTGATGTTACTTCGTAAAAGCGGAATCGTTTCAATAGTGATTCTTTTCGTTTCTTCAGCACGCGGATCTAGAATCTGGGTCAAATGATAGACCATGATTCGACAGCTATCATATGTGATAGTCGGAAGCCAAGAATCCGCCAGCATGCGTGATCCATGATGGGCTGTCTCCCCAATGATGCTCGCTAATGTCCTTGCTGCATCAAAAAGGACCTGTTGTAGGTGTCTCAGAAAGTCTTGCTGTTCAGGTGGAAATTCGAAGGCGGCCCGCAACTTGTACAGAGCCGGGGCGCCTAATCGGTATAAGTCACAGATCGTTTGGTAGTGTGCACAATGTAAGACGCAAAGAGCACCAAGTTGCGAAGAATCTTTTCGAATGTATATTGCATTGGGCGTGAACTGCAGGCTTGGTGGTAATGATTCGTACCATTCGCGACAATCTGCATCTAGCGTTGCGAATTCAGATTGAGGATCCCACGGGACCATGGCATCATCAAGATGTTTGATGTATCTACGTTTCTCAACATTAGCACGACCTATCCTTGTAAATTATGGAGGGGCGTTTTACCTTAGAACCCTTTTGCGAACGGAGACATGCCGTACAAAATATGCCATGATGCCCATATTCGGTAGGATGGCGCTGGGGTCAGCTTCTTGGGGGACAAAGTTTAACCAACTACCAGGCTCCAGTGTTTCTGTGAGGCATGGGATCTGCTGGGTAAAATTTCTCTCGTTGCATGGCAGCTGGATTTTCATGTCCTTCTCGTCAATTAGTGTCAGCTGGTCCACTCCACTTCCAACGAGGGCGTCCATCACATAGCAACTCCACATCACTCGCCGACGAGATTCCCTGGCCGTTATAGAAGGGCCAACTTCATTATTCTGACATAGAAGATCGGTATTGTACTCCAGATTGATCTGTAATGCTTGAGTCATGCGCGTAATGATACCACTCAGCATGAAGGCATTTGCAAAGTTGCCCATGCGGATGGCATAGTCGTTTAGCAATACAGCTGCCTGTCAATTTCTTTCAGTAAGACTGTCGTGGAAAACAGCGGGAGGATGGACAGACCCTCAAGTTCTCAATCGTGACAGAGTCTAGCGATTCAAGTATGAGTCTCTGGGCAACTTTCGCCCACTCATTTCCTGCCAGCAGGACAAATCTGGATGGAAGCGGCGATACTGTCTCACTGTAGGAGAGTGCATGGAATCTGAGGTAATCATCAGAGGTGCCCACTTAGTTCGAGGTTAAATTCCATACTTACTGGGCTCCGAGGGCACATATTATATGGAGCAAGGCATTATGCGAATACTTATTGTCTTTATCCAGTCTCTGTAGGAATGTAGGCCGGTGGATGAAAGCAAAGCAGCGTAGGGGGTGGATATTGTTGAAGTATTCTTCGACAAGCAGTCTTATTTTCCAAGGGTCAGGTAGCTGACGGGCGGTTATCCTGCGGAAATGTCAGACCATATTTAATTAGAATTGCACCGCTTGGCTCACCAATCTAGTGATGAAATCTGCGGCTCAACGGTGTCCGCTTCGAATGGGTGGCCATATGATTGGCATGGGGATTGCGGAGTGCCTTGCTTTCCAACAACCTCTGTTGAGGTTGACTGGGGGAAAGTTCCGGATGTCCCTCCAGGAATACCGTCGTCTGGAGTAAGAAGAATATCCTGACTATTCTGTGGCGTGCCTTCAACGCGTTCTACCCAGCTAGGTTGAGAAGATTCAGAATAAGCACAAGTGACAGCCTTGTTTTGACACCTGCGACATGCTGGACGTTCTCCTGAACATTTCGTTTTGGAGGCACGACAAGCTGTACAGGATCGATACGTCCTTTTCCGTTTAGAGCTGACTGTCACATCTTGTGAAGAGTCTCGGGCTTGATGCCTTGGTGATGTTCCATAGCCTAGGCAAACTAAGCGTAGCCTGACACAATTACCACACTCTCCAGGCCGTTCGTCACACTTGACCTATTATGATCGGGAGTTGTTAGAGTATGGCTGTTCTTCCATGTCAGTTAGGATATCTCACTTTACGCGCTCGGCAGGTGCGACAACCTGTGTATGCTATTAACATCGATGTCAACAAATTGCATTCCATCAACGACTTACCGAAGCGCGACCTTGATGCCTTGGATGTCCCGGGACTTGCGCTAGTTGCCATTTGTAATGATATATATCCTCAAACCCCACTGGGACTCTTGCGACGTCGTTGAATGAAAGTAAATTGATGAAATCGAAAAGTTCCGGGCCATCGGCAACATAACGGTCGGTCGGCTGGCAATCCCACGATGTGGTGACATGTAGGCCTTCGATGACGGAATGAAGAAAAGCGGGGAACAGCGGGGCTACCGAGGCGCTGTTATGTTTACACTTGCAAGTTGCCGCGTGGACTGGAGATACTACTGTGGCGCATCTATTTACTCCACTGTCAAAAGGACCTTCATATTTAAGATAGAGGATCCAGGTATATAGGCATCGGACGCTTGGCTAGTTCGAAGTTGGATTCTGTCCTCATGAAGGCCTTCATTCATCCCCTTCCTAGGCGCCCGATGGAGCAATGAGATTATGACAATCTAGAGGCTGTGGCATCACATACCAGGCTGTCACAAAACTATATCGTGCAGAGTTTACGACAGTGAAGAGGCAGATGTGGAATGTCCTCAATGGCTATATTTTGGCCAAAACTTCGAACTGTTCCAGTAGGCAGCAGGACTAAATGGGCATGCTCTTGAAGAACACAAAGTACCCTTCGCGTAAGACGGCTTGTGCTCGCATAGTTTTGCTAGCAAATAGAAGACATCTTTGATATCGATTGAGACAAGCCAACCCGTCTTCAACTCACTTGAAGTGATCGGAAATTTCCCAGAAGTTATTTCTTGAAGCTTGGCATCGTAAGGATATACGCTGCATTCGCGCCAATAGGAGAATTACTGCGTTCTCAAAATCGCAACATCCCGGTGGGCTTCGACGGCTTCAATTATGGTGGGGTTGATCATTTACCGTGATGCTCGCTCATGCGAGGAATTATTTTGAGTCTGATCAGACTCGACTAAGTTGAAACACGAAATGCTTTCCACTAATAGTTTATAGGACTAAAGATTTGGATATTCATACATCAGCGACGGCATAAAATGTTCAGATGCTGCCACTAATTCACCTGAAACAACACGCGCGAGGCAGATTCTTTCATATCCCAGTGTTCGTGCCTTTTTGTTCCGTATGGCTTCCCTGAGGAACATCTTTCTGGTAAGCTTGTCATGCCTTCTCGGTTTGACTGCTGCGTGGTATAATCCGATTCGCAACCCTGGTGGCAGTGATCCCTTTCTTGTCTATACTGGTGGATATTACTACCTCTTGAGTACAACGTGGACCGATGTTGAGATTGCACGAGCAACGACTATAGCTGGCTTGGAGACTGCGACCAAAAAGTCCGTCTATTCAACGTCAACAGCATCGCGATGCTGTAATGTTTGGTCTCCAGAGGTCCACTATTTGGGTGACACATGGTATATTTACTATACCGCTGGGGAAACAACCGATCTAGATGGACAGCGGCTCCATGTCCTGACAGGTGAATTCTTTATGGCCATGAATTAAACCTCGCTGTATGCATATCACTCACGATGATCATCCAGGTGGCTCCACCCCTTGGGACGATTTTACGTATACCGGTCAACTCACCACTGAGTGGTCCATTGACGCGTCGGTGCTGCGGTTCACAGATTATGGAAATTTCATGATGTTTTCGTGCTTCCACGATGTGACATATCAATCGATCTGCATTCAACAGCTAGGATCCGACTATGTCTCGTTAACGGGTGATATTTATGTCATCTCCCAGCCTACCGAGTCATGGGAAACAAGCGGCACGCCCGTAAACGAAGCACCTTCGGCCCTTTACTTCGGAGGCACAACCTACATCTCGTACTCCGCCTCATACTGTTGGACGGCAGACTATTGCCTCGGGCTTTTGACATGGGACGGCTCTACGGATCCTACCGATGCTAGTGCTTGGTCCAAGAGCAGTGACTGTGTTTTCTCCTCGGCAAATGGAAACTATGGGACCGGTAGCAATGGTTTCTTCCAAAGCCCAGATGCAAGCCAAACATGGATTGTTTATCATGCCACGGAATACAGCTCAGGCGCTTGCAATGACAGTAGGTATACAATGGTTCAGTTATTGGGAACTCACACGGATGGAAGTCCAAATTTCGGCAGCCCTGTGGCTTGGACTCATGCTTACAGTGAGCCTAGTGGAGAGTAAGCCTGAGGAAGCTGTCATGGGTATCTCTTAGGTGGTTGAATTACTTGGGTAAATTTACCTTGGACGGGTGTTAGTTGTAGTGATCAATTAGGAATATATATTGTTTGAAGAACGCCCGTCGACATCCATCATCGAGATCAGCAATTAATTTTCCTAAAATCTCTACACAAGAGGCTCGATGTGATTCTAGAGGGTTTTGAGGATAATTTAACAGGTATTTGGGACTCATCGCCGTTTTTCTTAATTTTCACCATATCCGTGAAACTCGGAAAGGTTGTTGCAGTCGGCGGGTTGTTGTCGGCATGATTGGCCCGGCAACCAGCATGGATCTTCACTTCCACCAGCTGTGGCGCGTTGACGCGAAGGTTCTCTGGAGACATTTGCAAATTAAGAAAATGACGATATGTCACCATCTGAACCGATTCTGGGGATCTATATGGTCTCTAGGGGTACGCCGAGGAACCTAGACCGATTTAAACTGCGTCTGTCTCCAAATGGCCCTCGTTACAAATCGGCCTTGGGACTCAAACATCTGCTCTGTCTCGCTCACAATATAAGAATGGACGATCGATGGTGCTCGACGCCGGGGAGGGACTGCTCATGATTTTTCATCACTTCTTTGGTTGTTGAATTTAGCCGAGAATTCGCAATGTTATCTGTATCAGAGATTCCTGCAACACAAACGGCCATTATACAACATGATGGAAGCGAGCTCAGGATTACATCGGGCTTACCCATTCCTGAGCTGGAGGCTAACGATATACTTGTGCGGACCGCGTCCGTGGCACTGAATCCTTGTGATTTTAAGATGCCCCTACGTTTTCCCACTCCTGGACTCTGGGATGGATGTGACTTCTCAGGTACCGTCATCGCCCTAGGTAGTAAAGCGGCCGAGAATGCTCGATTCCGTCTTGGCGACAGAGTCTTCGGAGCTGTTCAAGGGTCAAACCAATCCGACCCGACCTCTGGATCCTATTGCGAATACCTGAAGATTGATCAGGATTTTGCGTTTCATATTCCGAAAGCGGTGGATTTCAAGGACGGACCCGCAATCTCCGGTACTGGCATCGCAACACTTGGGGTTGCCTTATTCTGGTCGCTTCAAATTCCTGGAAGCTTAGCAGACCCCTCGAAAATCCCCGTGGATGTCCTCGTCTATGGAGGAAGTAGTACTATTGGACTCCTGGCTATTCAGATGGTAAAACTGTACGCTGAGTGGATCTCATCTCATGACGGTCGAAGAGTTGCAACTAATAATTGCTTAGATGCGGCCATCGTGTTATCACAACATGCTCCCCAAAGAACTTCGATCTGGTCAGGTCCTACGGTGCTGATCTGGTTTTCGATTACAAGTCGGACACTTGTGCACGAGACATTCGGGCTGCCACAAAAAACACGCTTCGCTACGCTCTTGATCCGTTCGCGGAGGCAAGTACCGTCCGATTATGCCAAGACGCTATTGGCCGAACAGGGGGAAGATACTGTGCGTTGGAGCAATATCAAGAGCATCTTTGTACTCGAAAGACGGTCAAGAACGATCTAGTCATGGGAGGTGCTATCTCTGGCAATGGTGTGCAACTACCAGAACCATATGGAATCCCCCGCGCCCCTGAAATTGGGGACTGGGCTCGATCGTGGTATAAAACGATTCAAAACTTGGCAGATGCTGGCAAGTTGAGACCAAGCCCAGTCAGACTGCTTCCTGGGCGTTTTGAGGGCATTATCGACGGGTTGAATCTGCTGAAAGAGGGTGCAGTCTCCGGTCAGAAGCTAGTCGTTTTACTAGAGGAGGCGGCATAATCTACCCAAAGTAGTTTTCAAAGGAGTATTCATATGCGGCTGTTCTCTTTACTCGTAGCCTCTGTAATCCTGCGCTGTATGTACTCTATAGACAGCAATATCCTAAGAGGGTCAAAAAATGGTTATGGTAAATCACATCTAAAAGGCATGTTGATCAAGGGCTATAGGAAAATTCTATCGACTTACAATTGACTGACTTCATCCACACTCACATGAGAGATTGTACCCGAGGTGCAACTAGGTAGTAAGGCTGACCATAGGTGGGCTAGATGCATTGACGCTTTCTTTGTAGAAGAAGATGATGAATTGATACACGGATCTGTCAGGCGGTAACCCGATTTGCCGGCAGGACACTTTAGCTAGGCGGTAAGCACAGATCACATGACATGAAATTTTTTTCGTCTCCGCTTCCGCCCCTCTCAACCACCAGTACTGTAACTCGGTTAACACCGTCGAATCTACCGAAAAAAAAGAAATATCTCAGGTTTTCTGTAGGAATAGCCGAACGCGGGGGTCGAACCCGCAACCTTGAGATTAAGAGTCTCACGCTCTACCGATTGAGCTAGCCCGGCAGGGCTGGTTGAAGAGAGAACAGATTTATGGCTACATAAGGGGAAAGTCGTGGAGTAATTAATATTCATGTTTTAGCATGGAGCTATATACTCATACCATTTCTGCTCTTGTATTTGAATGATCATGAATCAGCCGAGGCCTTCACGAGTTGACTCAAGCAGTGCATTGTTTCCTTCAATGGTATTCCAGAAATAATACCCTCGTGCGCGATAATCTGTTCTCGAACGGCTGCCAAAGAAGATTTGTCCCGCATAGAGACCCCGGGACTGGCCGCCAGATCAGACTCAGAAGTGAATTCGGGCCGCAACTCGAGGGCTTGTTCAAGCTTTGCAAGCATATCAAAGCCGAGTTCAATGAGTCTTTGAACTTGAATACTTAGCCCTCCGTCCATTCCAATTTGGCTATATTGCGAGTTTGAAAATAACGAGAATCTTGAATCTTCCGGAGGAGGAATGATCAAAAAAATTTGATAAAGTTGCGTGAATATGGCATGGTAGAGTCGGATGAGATGGCAGTATGTTGTTAACATGCTGAGGAAAACAGGCAATCTGTTCCCTGGAAGCGAGATTCCGGTTGTATCTTGGGAAGATACCATTGCTGTCAGATAACCGGAATCGTGGGAAGAGACGGTCGCTATTCCGGCTTCTGTCGTTTCATCCATGACAAGTTTCTTTGGTGATTGGGTAATGGCGTGGGAGTATTGTCCAACGGGCTGAATAGCAGGACTGATGCACGTATAACCGTCAGATTGATATCTTTCAGAGTCAAAAATCCCCAAAAGTCTGGTTGAGTGGTTCAGCATGCGAAAAATTGGAATATCAAGTTTGCCGACCATAGTGCTCATGTTGTCACCAAAGAAGTTCATCGATGCCTGAGCTGTCGACTCCCATTCGAGGAGCTCAATATCCTCTATCAATTCTAGATTCAAATTGAGTAGCCTCTTCTGCGTAGTATGTAGGCTGGTCGAAGTCAAATTGTCCAGACAGTCAATTCGATCATCATAATCCTCTGTAGATGCATTCCGTGGCCTCCAAGTCGGATTCCAGACCCCACACTCTTCTGAACTATGGCGACGCTCCACACAGGGGTTAAAAGTAGAGGAAATTATGCCATCTGTGATGAATTGATTCGAACAACTGGACGATGGCTCGGTGATGAGTGTATTGGAAACTTGAAGCTGATCTCCAATCTGAGTTCCAGGCGCGAACAAATCCATGCCAGTTGATTTCTGGTTTCCCACTGATTAGTACGTATAAAATGGAAAGTAATGATTCTATGCTGGGATACCGACCGTTGGAAAGCTAAAGTTCCAAGACGGATTTGCATCATGCCACTGTTGCGGAGCAGCAGATAAGGAAGTGTTTGATTGCACCGATAGAGAAAAATCATTCAGCCCCGGAGCCATGCTTCCACTTGCGAGATACGACCCTGTATCAAAGTCTTCCCAAGAGCTCAAGATTTTACTATCATGCCTTCGCAAGATCCCAGACTGCAGAACTGGCTTCCGCACCCTCGAAAGAGTTGGCTTATGAAGAGGCGGCATAAAGAGTCGACCATGACCGTAGAAGCTTTCCTCATATTCGCTCGGTAGTGTGGGAGCGTTGACCTTTGACGAAGAAAAGCCAGAGGCCGAATGACTGAGACTCGTGGTACAAACCACTTGAGCTTTGAGACATCTCTCGCACGATCTACCACTCACTTGATCTCGTTCACAACGAAGTTTGAATCCACGACATCGATCACAAGCAGACCGTCGGGACTGCCGATAATTCAAAGCTGGATGCATTGCAATAACTTTGAAATCAAGGGAACTCGCTCATTGACAGAAATTCTTCCGGTAAACAGTAAAAAGCCCCACGTATCCGTATTATGGGCAATATCCATTCCCAGCTTCCAGACACACATGGCTATCTCTTATGTCTATGCTGACATATAGAATTTCTCCGATTGAAATATCATCTACTTGAAGATAAGACCAAGCGTGGGACTGAAGTAGAATAGTCCTGTTTGAAAGTAATGCCTGAGCTGATAGATGGCGAATAAATGGTGGACGTTTTGAGGATACTCAAGGTTTCTATTTCAATGCATAGTCTGCGTTTATCGAAAATGACCTGGCCTTTTAAAAAGCGCTTTCTTAATGGGGCAAACAGGAGAATTTACAGGGTTTCTTTCAAATATCTCAACACAGTTCTTTGCCTGAATTCTGAAAGAGAATTGTACTGAATAGATATCACTGGTCTTCATAACTCAAAGTTAGAAGAACTTACAACCAAATGCAGCCAGTACGGTTACATAATCTAAATATTCGAATCAGGGCAGCCTTGTACATCTTCTACAGAGAACTAAAATTGTAGCTATATGGCAATGATGCTAAAGCGCAATCCACAGGGATTGTAAGGTCCAATTGTCTACAGATACTATAGATTTTGGCTCCAGGTGGACAGTATGACAGTCTGTCAGACCAACCCTGCTCGGCCATCCTTGGGTGTTTACACACGCACATGCATGAAAATTCATGCATTATATGGAGCTGCAGGGACAAAATTGGCAGCAAACACTAATGCATTTTCAGATGGTCGGAGAATTTTTCTCATGACTGGGCAGGGATGCACCTGAGAAAATCGCTTCGTGGCGTCTGGGGTTAGACATTTGCCCCATGATTTCTTCACCGACTGTCCAAGACTTGGTCGTGCACAAAGATGGTGTCCCACAGCAGCTGTAGGTCTGGTTTCAGTGAAGACGAGCAGATGAAACAGGTAGCATGACTGTAACATAGGGCTAAATTCGATAGTTGACAAATAATCGGCAAAGTTCAGCAAAAGTAGAAGATGGATCGTGTAGAGCTCATAGCGCTATTTGAAACATTTCATAATCGTCCGCAGGCTGAGCTTCCCACTGCGGTTAGCCTAAAATGTTTACAAGGACTATACCACCGTCGACAAGACACCTATCACGTCCGGCAAATCTCCTACCTATAAATACTCTGCAGTTTAGTATGGCTTCCCAAAGTGATGACCTGCCAGGAGTCGTGCGACATTCAATATCAAAGGACTAGGCCAACGAGAATCTAATCGATTATAATAAGAGTATTCCATCCATAGGCAAGTTTTGTTACACAATTCCTATTTGGAATCTTACCAGCCTCATAACCACAGTGTTACTCAAACATCTAGAGCACTACCAGCAACATGGGTTCTGAGCGCATGTGTACCATGTGAAAGCCATGGAATTTCCCGCCAACATGGTCTTGGGTGCGAGATAGATCAAACCCCCAAGAATCTAGTCAGTATTGATATGGCTGGGTGTGTTTGGTGTGGCACGATTTAAAAAAGGAGTCCGTGGTTACAAAATGGGGCGCATTTGATGCTAGAACTGTCAAAGTTCCTAACACATCTTTATTGGGAAATGTAGGCCATCTTATTATCTACCACATTGCACAACTGATGTCTTAAGTTATTCCAATCGACCATGATACCATAATGCTGGAAGGGATACTTAAAGTATACACAAGAAGGATGTGACGCCAAATAAACTAGAACCTCCTCCCTATACTATGCCGATAGCCACCGCTGGGGCATTTTCCGCTCTCCTTTTCAACTTTGTTAATTCTGCTGACTTAGCGGAAGCTACCACTAAGGATAGAAACTGGCTATCGGTAAATGCTTCCGACTTCGGGCTCCGGTCAATTGGCAACTGTCTCTAGAAGAAGAGAAAATGATTTACCTAAATTTCATAACGTCAATTATCATCATATTATGATGAACGATGATACTCTCATCCAGCCAATCCATAATGCACAAGTGGAGTAGCAACCGAAGTGGAAGCCGAGGTCCGAATGCGGGGAAATGGGGCATAGGTCCACTTCTCTAACTTCCATACATAAGGTCAGGATGGGATCAAGCTCGATATTCAGAGCTCATACAGTCGTCAATATGAATTTTGAACTTCCAACTGAGTTAAAAGCTCATATTCAGTCAATTGATTCGTTTATCCAGTCTAGCATCCTCCCACTGCAGAACGCGAACGACAACAACCGCTTCTTCGATCATCGCCGTGAGCATGCTCGAACAGATTGGGATCAAGATGGCAACCCACGTCCAGAATGGGAAGCCTTACTGAGTAAGTCTTATATAAAAACCGGATATCAGACACTGAGAGAAGATATTAAGCTCTTACTCGAATATAGCCCAGGCTCGTATCCTCGCTGATAAGGCGGGCTTGTACCGATTTGCACTCCCCAAACAATACGGTGGCCAGGAGCATCCTGACACCAATTTGTGGATGTCTGCCATTCGCTTCCATTTATCATCACATCCCGTGTATGGCGGTGGTCTAGGGCTGGCGAATGATTTGCAGAACGAGCACAGTATTGTTGGAAACTTCCCAGATGTCCTTATGCTTCACCATTTCGGCAGTGAAGAACAACGGCAGACACTTATCCCTGCTCGACTTCGAGGGGAGTTCCGAGCAACATTTGGACTAACGGAGCCTGATCACGGCAGTGACGCAACGTTCATGTCGACTGTAGCAAGTCGCCAACGGGGTGGGTTCGAAATCAGCGGAGCGAAAAAGTGGCAGACAGGCGCCCATCATTGTACTCACTTTCTCATATTTGCGAGGACCTCCGGAGCTGCAGGATCTGCAAGAGGCATCACAGCCTTCCTGGTACCCCGCGATACCCCGGGAGTCAAAATCGCCAGTTATGAATGGACGTTGAACATGCCAACGGACCACGCAACCGTCGAGTTTGATCGCGTTTGGGTACCCGAGTCGGCCGTGCTGGGTACTGTCGATCAAGGCCTAGCCATAGCACAGACCTTTGTGCATGAGAATCGTATACGCCAAGCAGCAAGTTCCTGTGGCGCGGCCAAGTTCTGTCTCGATCGAAGTATTGAGCGTGCTCGTTCGCGAAAGATCTGGGGCGAGGGTAAGATGCTGGCGGACAACCAGGCCATCCAATTCCCTGTTGTTGAGTTGATGACCCAGGTCGAGATGTTGCGCCTTCTCATCTTGAAGACGAGTTGTGATATGGATCTAATTGTGGCTGCAAGTAAAGCAGGAGAAATATCGCAGCCTCCATGGGTCGCTATTGAGCGCCAGCTGAGCGACAAGGTGGCTATGTGTAATTTCTGGGCCAATCGACTATGTTGCCAGGCTGCCGACCGAGCGATTCAGGTATTCCCTGCAACTTACACTTTAAAGGATTGCGCTAATTGAAATAGATCCACGGTGGCGATGGTTATTCACGCCACTATCCTTTCGAACACATCTATCGCCATTTTCGACGCTATCGGATCACGGAAGGTGCCGAGGAGATTCAGATGCGAAAGATTGCCGCGTACATATTTGGATTTGCAGGCCCTCGGAAGAAAGAGATGGAAGCAAAGGAGTCCTCGAAGGCGAAGATTTGATCGACTTACTATAAGGAGGGAGCACATCTATATAGATCTTGTGAATACCTAAGAGCGCAGGGTCGTCACTGTGCCAGGATAGTGACCAGCACCACACGTTTTGAAATAGCATCAACAATAACTTGATCGCAAAAGATAACAAGGCTTTTCCTCGCCATTTTTAGATCAATTTGATTTGTGATAAGAATGGTTAAAGCAATAAATGTTATTTCCTTAGACCTGTGTCCATCCACGGTGCACGTGACCTATACAAAGCATGAGGCTTGGCGTTTATTAATCTCCTCTTCTTCTCTTCCTTCAAACTCCACTTGAGAACACTCCAGAACAACACCAAGCATTTCAGTCAGCAAGACTGTCAGGCAGCATCATATCGGCACCACACAATGTCTGGCTCAACTCGGCTTGCCGACTGGTGCCACCAGTCGTGTTCTCTTTCCTTTCCGGCACCTTTTACCTAAGAAAATTCCTCTCCGCGTGGTGGCTGTGGGTCCTTTTTTGCCTTGGACGGAACCGCACCGAGGACCAGCAAGCGAAAACGGAAATTTGCAAGATGGAGGCAGAGAAAATTCTTGCCAGCTTTCTCCAGACAGTTATCCATCACTGATCGGCTATCCGGGGTGTCAATAGACACTTAACGATTGCCCCCGTTCTTTTGCGCCGTTTCTAACCCCATCGGCCCGTCATGGCAGCTAAAGATGTTGCCCCCGCGCCCGAGATCACCAGCAAGTCGGTGAAAGGCGAAGCTCTCGACTCGGACACCAAGCATGTCGCCCAGGATATCAAACCATCTGATGCGGAGGGCAATCACTCGAAATCGCCTCCCGGAGAGCTGAAGCGCAAGCTGAAGAGTCGGCATCTGCAGATGATCGCAATCGGTTCGTTCATATAACTGCATACCAGCCAGGCTACAATTACATGTCGCTAATGAGTACCGTCTTACTTTCTAGGTGGAACTATCGGAACCGGTACGAACTCGGAAGAGTGATTCGATTTGACGACAATCATAACTGACTCTCTTAGGTCTATTCATATCTAGTGGAACTGCGATCGCATACTCCGGCCCCGCAGGCGCTCTCATTGCCTATATCTTTGTCGGCTCAATCGTCTACTCCGTGATGACCTCGCTCGGCGAAGTCGCGACCTATATTCCCATCCCTGGCGCCTTCACATCTTACGCTGCTCGTCTGATTGATCCGAGTCTTGGTTTCTCTATGGGATGGATCTACTGGTTCAACTGGGCATCTACATTCGCCGTCGAGCTTACTGCTACGGGAACTATTATTCAGTACTGGGATCCAAGTCTGAACATTGCGATCTTTATTGGTGTCTTCTGGGTGTTTATCACCGCCTTGAACTTCCTTCCTGTGAATTTCTATGGAGAACTGGAGTTCTGGTTCTCATCGATCAAGGTCGCAACGGTCATTGGATTCATGATCTTCGCTATTTGCATTGATTGCGGTGTGGGTGCGCAGGGCTATCTTGGATTCCGTTATTGGCATAACCCCGGTGCCTTTGCGACCCATCTGATCGAACAGCCAGTGTCAGTGGGCAAGTTCGTTGGATTTTGGGCCGTCTTGATCCAAGCCGGTTTCTCGTATCAAGGAACTGAACTCGTGGGTGTAGCTGCCGGAGAGACTGAGAACCCGCAAAAGACTGTGCCCTCTGCCATTCGCAAGACCTTCGTGCGAATTCTCCTCTTCTTCGTGCTCACCATCTTCTTCATTGGCCTGGTTGTTCCCTACACCAATGACAGACTGACTACTAGCACCACCAACGCATCCTCCTCGCCTATGGTCATTGCTGCCGATCTGGCCGGTGTCAAGGTTCTGCCGAGCCTGATTAACGCCGTGTTGCTGACTGTTGTCCTTTCGGCAGCAAATTCCAATGTGTACAGCGGCAGCCGAATTTTGACTGGACTCGCGCACGAGGGCTTTGCCCCCAAGTTCTTCGCCCGTACTACTAAAGGAGGGGTGCCATACAACAGTGTCATGTTCACTGCCCTTTTCGGACTTTTGGGCTTCATGAACGTGTCCAATGATGCGGGTCAGGTGTTCAACTGGCTGGTGAACTTGTCCAGTGTGGCTGGATTTGTGACTTGGTCCTCGATCAATGCATGCCACATCGCCTTTATGCGCGCACTGGCCGCTCGTGGCATCTCTCGCGATACACTCCCTTACAAGGCTATTCTCCAACCCTACCTAGCCTGGTATGGTCTTTTCTTCAACGTTCTCATCGCCCTCACCCAGGGCTTCACAGCCTTCATCCCGACATTCAATGTCACCGACTTCTTCATCGCCTACATCTGCCCTATTGTCTTCGCGGTTCTTTACCTGGGGCACAAGATCATCATGCGGCCGGCTTTCGTTCGTGCTGCCGAGGCTGATCTTGATACTGGACGAATGGACTATAAGAAGGAGGCCGGTCCTCCCAAGCCTTGGTATTGGAGAGTCTGGGGTTGGGTCACGAAGTAAGGATGGCATGAACTAGAATGATTCGAAAAAATGACATGTATCTATATTGCACTGAATATACTTGAGAGCGTTATTGCACACCAACGAACTTGGCTTCCAAATTTTGCCACTATTTTCATGTAATCAACAGGTGTGGACTTGAAGTTGCGACACACCTTCTCACTCATTCAGGACTTGAGCCATTTCATAGCCATCTGAGCTTTCGCGCCACCACTGCCACGCCGCCGACAAGTGCGGTCGCTCCTGTACAGACCACAAGCGCACCATACCCACTCCCGTACGTTCCCCATGCGTGGCCTTTCCAATTATCCACTCTGACCAGCGCTTCACTAAGTGGACCACTGGCAATATTTCCAATTCCCCGGCCGGTCTCCATGAATGGGAAGATGACAGTTGCGTCCGCAAGGGGGTTGGCCTTGTGTATCTCAGTTGCCATCCCCGACCACGTCGAAGAAAACCCACCCGCAAGGAGACCGTAGGCCACGCAGAAGACATACAGAGCCGGAACAGTAACGGCAAATCCCCAACCAAGAAACACGGACAGAACTGTGCCGACGGTGGATATCAAGATGACGGTGGTGACATGGTAGCGGTCAGACAGAAACCCGGCGAGTACAGAGCCGAAGACAGATGCAAGGTTTACGAGGGCCACCGTCAGCGAGCTTAAAAACTCGTTGGCACCCAGACTGCGAGCGTACATCGGCAGGTAAATTGTTGGTAGGAAGTATCCTAGCGCCTCGACGGTGTTTCCAAGCTGATAAATGAGATATACCTTGTTGTATAGGAAGTGGAAATTGAGTCGGTCATGTCGGACATCCTTCGAGACTGGCAGACGGGGTTTATGAAAGTACAGGAACGGAGCGGATAGAATGAAAAGAACTGCTGCCGCGACCCTTAGGGTGGTTTTGAACCCATATTGGTCCAGTAGCCACTCAATGATCGGTGGGAACATCACGCCTGATATTCCGGAGCCGGCCTGTTCTCATCAGTAAATTGAAGCCGCCACGACGAAGCTCGAATATTGACTCACCCATACAATGCCAAAGGCGAGGCCTTTCTTCGTGACAAACCACTCAGACATGAAGAGGATCGATGGCGTATAAGCAAGACAGCCACCAATCCCAAAAATGACCCCTTGGGTCAGAATCAGGTGCGTTACATTCTGAGCAAAAGAACCCAATGCAAGCGACAGACACATAATTACAACTCCTATAGTCGATACCCAACGGGCGAGACGGGGAACGATAATCATGAATACGATAGCCAAAGGGGCGATCAGGTATGCAATACCCTATGAAAGTTGTCAGTCGAGTTGAGGGTTCCGTAAATAAGAAGCCGTACCATTCCGCATGTCCCAATAACGGCGATATTCTCAGATACTTTAAATGGTTCGTGTACGCTGTAATAGTCCTGGAAAATCCCAAAGGCATCCGCCCAGCCTGTACATATCAGTAACATGTAGACTAGATTTCGGAGACTGGACTCACCCCAGACTAGGGCCTCAAGCACAGTTGACGCTGTCAAGAATAGCCATGCTTGCATTCCTCCATCGACGGCCGGCAAATTGTGCTCGTAGTGAGATACTTGAGCGCCCTTTTCTTCATATGAAAGTCGAGATGGGTGAGCTGCGAGACTATCACTCCTGGTACTGGGCGCATAGTCTTTGACATCGACCAAACCAACTACATCATCATATTTATCTGTTGAAGGCATGATAACACTCAGATGCTGATATCAGAATCAACACCCTAGACACGTTCTCATGAGAGCATCAGAAGAATTGTCTGAACTTTACTCAAGCGGGGCCATCGTCACTGCGACAGAGTTGAAATAACCTTCAAGGAGCTTGAGCTATGACGAAACAACTCTGAAAGACTTGATAACCATCAAATTCAAGATACCAATAGGCTCACATAAAACGCGCACTTGGAATTCGGGACGTCACTCCCGCTCTCAGCAATGTGGCATCAAATCCCTAGGTCGGCGTAAATGCCCGTCAAGCCTATGAATGAACCCTGAAGCCCAAATCGATATGACTTACTACTCTTGCTCGCCGAGTATGATTATCTGTGATGCAAGCAAACCATTCTCGATAAGCCCAAGTAATTGCATCGCCACTTAGAGCGAATAGCTCACTGTATTCAGTCGATACCAGTTTGAGTGCTTTCCCGTGATTATTGAATACCTCCTACGCACAGACCAAAAAGTTGTACAAGTCTTGCTGGTCGGGTGAGTAGCACAAGCACTGGAATGTTGATTGAGTTGATAAGACGCGTCAATAGGCAAGAGGGTGTCAACGTGAATCGATATCACAAATGCTCTTAGCATGGCCAAATCCGAATCCAAATATCTATAAAGGGCATAATCAGATGATCCACGTCAAAGAGTAGATAGACATTGAACTCAGTCTCAATACTACTACATACAGTCGCTTCTACATCATCTCGCACTTGCATTGGCTTGTATGTAGTAAGTAATTTGAGTGCTGGCAATCCAGGCAAGCGATATGCCACTCTTAGGTAGTGTTACGGTTCGTGACCGGGCGCACTAACCAAACAGGTTAAAAGTACTCAATAAACATGCTAGTTTAAAAGACTAAATATGCTAGAACGCTATGTTCTAGCATGCCCGGGACTGATATATAGTAGCGCACAACGTTAGGCCTAGGTGGACGAGGCCTAGGTCCTAACACTCAGCCTCTTGTGTTACGGAATTTTAAGCCAAACTTGATCAAATCTATCGCAAATACACCGGAGCAGATTTCTTAAAAGTGGGTACCCTACGAAAGGAGAAAACTCGCGGTAGGGCTACATTCCAGAAAGACAAGCTCTGGGTGCTCGACGCCTAGATCGACCAACCAAACAACGGCTCCCTGTTGAACTTTAAATATTCGCCATTCCTAGAAATCTGTCTCGTGAGGTTAACTAAGTCATGTGGAAAAACTGATTATTCTCAGAGGGCTGCGTAATAAGTGTCTCTAACTGAGTGTCCTGCATTTGGCTCCAGCTATGGTGAAGGCCATTGAAATGGCAAGGAGGATCAGATCCATGACACGAGCTGCTCCTGTCAGGATACGTGATAATTAAAATTTACGGATACTGCATTTTGGTCTAGATATAGGTACTGTAGAATCATTTCAGAGGCCTAATTATTTATCAACACTTTGCTGGCCTATGCTTTCGCTGATAAATTGGAATGTGGGTGTTGCGAAAAATCTTTCAAGGGGCGACAAAGGGGTCCGAGGGATGAACCCCCATGATGTTTATATTACAGGGCCCAATATAAAGGCAAGGGAAAGATTTGATAGCTGCCGTTGTCATACTGTCACGCCGATACACGATACCCAAACCCAAAGGACCGAGGCACCCGGCAGAGGCTCTGCAGTGAGCCGATCAATCGGCTTGCCGACCTCACGACCCGAATTTTACAGCGGACTCGGAAATGCCGCGTTACAGACGCCACTAGTGGAGCAACAACGACTAACTGAGCAATAATTGTGCGCGGTACCTTATCTTGGGCTTCTGTGTCTGTAGCACGTAAATCTTATGATTTACGCGCAAAGGATCTTCAGCATACGAGGCAATTTTATGCTGAGAATTCGTTCAATTTGAAACTTGTTTCTCTTCGCCTCTCATCACACCCAGGGTTGTGTATGGGATCAGCTTTACACCATGCCAACGATGGCAAAAGATTGCGATGAAGCGCCATACCCCCGGCATATACCTTATTGGAGACTCATGACCGATCAGGGTTTTGTTACCCAAGAGATCATCGATTATCCCTACGCTGGTGCAGGAACAGAAGAAGATCCGTTCGTTGTTGAATGGATTCCCAACGACCCCAGAAATCCCATGCAGTTCAATCCCCGTGTCAAATGGCTTTATACCGTGATTGTCGCGTTTGCAACCTTGGCCGTCTCCCTGGCTTCCTCGGCATATGCAGGTGGTATATCGGAGGTGCTCAAAGATATGGATGTCAGTGAAGAAGTCGCCACTCTTGGTGTCTCTCTTTTTGTCCTTGGATTTGCGATTGGGCCACTTCTTTGGGCTCCTCTCAGTGAGCTTGTCGGGCGTCAAGTCGTCTTTTTGATTACATTCCTTGCTCTTTCCTGCTTCTGTGCTGGTGCTGCTGGGTCTCAGAACATATGGACTCTGATCATCCTCCGCTTTTTCGCCGGTTCTTTCGGCTCATCGCCTTTTACCAATGCGGGCGGAGTGATTGCCGATATATTTGCTGCGGACCAGCGTGGTCTAGCGACGAGTTTGTTTGCCGGAGCACCTTTCCTTGGCCCCTCGTTAGGTCCTGTGGTGGGTGGATTTCTCGGTGAGAATGCCGGCTGGAGATGGGTGCAAGGATTCCTGGCTATCTTCACTGGTATCATATGGATGGTGGAGAGCCTATGTATTCCTGAGACCTATGCACCTGTCTTGCTAAGAAAGCGTGCTCAGCGTCTCTCTTCTCTCACTGGCCATGTGTACCGCAGCAAAATGGAGATTGACCGGGGCAAGGTATCTGCGCGCGAGGCATTCGGCGCCGCACTGAGTCGCCCCTGGATCCTTCTATTTGCCGAGCCGATCGTCCTGCTACTTTCAATTTATATGGCTATTGTGTATGGAACTCTCTATATGCTTTTCGACGCCTTTCCAATCGTTTTTCAAGAGATTCGTGGCTGGAGTGAGGGTATTGGGAGCTTGCCATTCCTCTCGGTGATGATCGGGATGATGGTGGCGGTGGGACTCAATATGCACGACAATAAACGGTATATCCGTATTCACAAAAAGCATAACGGGTTTGCACCACCAGAGGCTCGTCTACCTCCTTCTATTTTAGGTGGTCTCGCTATTCCTATCGGCTTGTTCTGGTTTGCCTGGACTAATTCTCCATCGATCCCGTGGATTGTGTGCGTGCTTGCTACCGCCCCCTTCGGCTTTGGCATGGTGCTGGTTTTCCTGGGGATCATGAATTATCTCATTGATTCGTACACCATTTACGCTGCCTCAGTCCTTGCTGCAAACTCTATCATTCGTTCGTGTTTCGGTGCAGTCTTTCCGCTTTTCACCACATACATGTACCACAACCTCGGTATACACTGGGCATCGTGCATTCCAGCTTTCCTTTCACTTGCCTGCGTCCCCTTCCCATTCATATTTTATCGCTACGGTCCTGTTATTCGACAAAGGTGCAAATACGCAGCGGAAGCAGACGATTTTATGCGTTCCTTGACCAAAAAGGCCAATGACCTGGATCCCGAGCCCGAGCACGAGATTGAAGCGGGATCTGATCTCATTGGTGTTGAAAACAATCCTGAAATAACGGATTCGCTCCACATCGCGTCAGACAGCGCTTCGACAAGTTCTCGGTCGACATTGGAGCGTACAGAGACAGTCTATGAGGCCAATCCCTACGATATTGACCACGTGAACACGCACAATTCCGCTATCACCCAGCACTCAAGGCGTGTCAAAGAAAGTCGATGGAAAGTCTTTAGCTTTGGTCGTGACTGAGAAGGTCTACATTGTCAATTTAATTAATGTATATTAACATATTCCCCGGCTAGGCCGTCTCCTTTCAAATGAGGGCTCGATAAATGTATATCCTTGGTGTCTTCTTTGTTTCTTTCGCCCGAGTATGGATTGGAAACCCAGAGCTTTATTTTGCAGCACATTTTGAGCTAGTTCCAACATAAAGGACTTAACATGCATGCACGAATGACGATATGTGTGAGTACAAGTAAAAATAAATTCGGACTACCCAGTAAGCTTAAGATTGAGCCATTATCGATTTACCGCTACATTGACCTTTCTCGAGCTTCGGGAAGAGGTCTGAATTGTTGGTCATGGACGGTCCATCGACGGTAAAGGATCTCCAAATATAGCCAAACTGTAAGGCTAGTGCTCAAATGCCTCTAATTGGTCTGCTCGAATAATTTCAGGCAGTATCCCGAATCCTTGCGCGTTCTGATTGGGTCGTTCGTCTATATTGGGGGCCAGAATGTTTAAGGTCGTGCTCAGCCCCTCTGTGTTCTTGGATAAGCATCGTGAACTATGGTGCCTGAAATATACGAGATGGTGCAGCTGTCGAGCCCAGAAGCTATAAATCTGTCTGTAATCTCGCCTAGTAGCCATGAAAATCATCCAGAATAAACAATCATCTTTGCATTCTATATCTTCCTTCCCTTTAGCGAACATATAACAATTACAATGGCACCCACTGCAACAATTTCAGCCTCATCTACGACAATCTCTTCAACAGCGTCAGCGACTTGCCTCAATATTGCCCCTGGAAAGAATGGATATCTCCCACCTGAGTCATGCGATGCCATACTCTACTATGTCCCTTCATTCGCTGCTGCGGTCCTATTTTGTGTGTTTTATGGGATGACCACCCTTCTCCATGGCATTCAGGCTGTGATGTACAAGAAGGCTAGTACAATATACTCTTCTCTACCACTGTCTGGTCTAACAGCTTCTTTAGGCCTATGCATGGGTAGTGATCATGGGCGGAGCTTGGGAACTTCTCGCCTTCATTTTTCGAACCCTTCAAACGCGCCAACAAAATAATGAGAACTGGGACACCTTTTACGTGCTCTTCTTTCTCCTCGCCCCGATATGTAAGCTATCATCCCCAAGATATTCCCTTATGCTTCATCTCCTTACTGATAATTACCTGATTAGGGATCAATGCCTTCCTCTACATGACCCTCGGTCGCATGATACACTTCTTCCTTCCGGATCAGAAACTCGTCGGCATCTCTGCGCGCCGGTTTGGCGTACTCTTCGTTTGCCTCGATATATTCGCCTTTATCGTCCAGGCAGCTGGCGCTATTCTTGCCAGCAATCAAGATAATGGAAGCCTTGTGATGACCGGACTCCACATCTACATGGGTGGAATCGGTCTTCAGGAGGCTTTTATTCTTTGTTTCGCCGCACTCGCAGTTAACCTCCAGCGAAAGTTGATCAAAATGGAGAGCTCTGAGCAAATCTATAATGAAAAGCTCACTCGAGGACCATTTTCATGGAGATGGCTCTTCTATGCTCTCTACTTCGCATTGGGAATGATCACTGTGAGTTGATACAACCTTCACACCTAGTCACGCTTTCAAATGATCGCATCGCTGACGCTTATACCGCACAGATTCGCATTATCTTCCGAATCAGCCAGTATGCGCAAGGAACCTCCCCAACGAATCCAGTCCTCACCCACGAGTGGTATGAATACGTGTTCGATGCCGTCCCAATGCTCCTCGCCTTGGTGACTTTGAACGTGATCCACCCCGGTCGCATCCTCCAGGGACCAGACTCAGGCTTCCAACAAGTGCGACGTGCCGAAAAGGAAGCAAAGAAGGAGAAGAAACAACAAAAGAAGATGGCAAAGGAAGAAAAGAAAATGCAGAAAAAGATGCTCAAAGATGAAAAGAAACAACAGAAGAAGCAAGGCTCGATTGACGACGATGTTATCGACGAAGGATCTCCTCTTCGGGCTCATGCCAGTGAGGAGCATTCGAACGATGACGAGCCGCACCAGCAGCAATGGCCAATTTACGATCAAAGAGATGGAAGATATGAGGATACTAGATACTACGGTCACCAAGTCTGATTGGAATGGAAAGTGATTAGGTATTATAGTCGGTTGGGCTTGGATTTTAGCATCTGGCGCTTGTGGAATACTTTGTGGGATGGGTTGAGGCATAGAAAAGGTTAACCCAATTTTCACATTGTTAGATTATGACTTTGAATGAACATATTTCCCTATTGACATTATCATATTCATTTCAATCAGTCTAGACTGTCGGCATCTTCCAAGATAAAAAATTCATCCCACCAGGAATAATTCCACCCCGCCAAAAGTCGGAGAAGAACCGATGTGAGAGCGCTTCCACTTACCGTATTGGGACTGTCCTTCGCAAAGTGGAGAACAGATGAGTTTCCACCCTCCACCAGCTTCACCCCGCATTCCTCCCATTGGTTCTCCGGTAATTCTGGGGGCTAAAGAGGATAAATTCTTCTGGGGTGGCGGGTCACGCGGTGGTTCTCATTGCAGGTAGATGCCAGCAAGGCAGCATACGGCCACTTTGCCAGCGCATCCATATTCTGCAGGAGGGCAGAGCTTTATGGCAGAAAGTCAACTATCTAAGCACGAACCCATTGTGATCGTAACGGTTGATTTCTCGCTATTGGTGGTAGAAACAGCATTTGTCATGTCTATTTTCACTTTATTTCATTCAACTCGATTTGTGGATTTTCCCACCCATTCTATGTAAGTATATGCAATCCGTGCCAACTCCCAAAATTAGAGACAAAATCGTAAAACATTTATAGCTCAACAAACTCAGTGCGGAGCAACTCATCACCCTTCAACTGGTCAAGGTAGCCCGCCACCTTGCTCGTCAAGGTATCAATATCATAGCCGAAGTACTTATAAGCTGCCTTGCCAGGAAGACTGTGGCCGAAGCGCTTGATGCAGATACCAGCATCGGCGTAGCGCTCCCAGCCGTTGGGGGCGTATGGCTCAATGACGACAGCAGGAATTCCGCGGTGCCGACGGAGAGTATCGCGCTTGTACTCGAGCGACTGCTGCTCGAAGAGACGCTGGCAGGGGAAACTGACCACACGGGCTGTGATACCCTTCTCGGCCTTGAGCTTCTCCGCAACCTCCAAGGCGAAGGAAAGCTCAGCGCCGACACCGATCAGAGTCACGGTCGCAGACTCATCCTCGGAAAGAACGTAGGCACCGTGGGCGACACCATCACGGCGAGTCTGGGGCAGTTGAGGCAGGGTTTGACGGGAGGTGGAAATGATGGAGGATGTCTTCTTAGCCCCGATGGCTGCGATCCATGCACCAGCCGTCTCCTCGCTGTCACCAGGACGGATATACAGGAGGTTGGGCATCGCGCGATACAATGCGGCAAGTTCGATAGGCTGGTGAGTAGGGCCGTCCTCTCCCATACCAATAGAATCGTGAGTAGCGGCATGGATGACTTGGAGGTGTTGCAGAGCGCCCATGCGCACGGCTGGAGCGGCGTACAGATAGAACATGAAGAACGAGGAGGTGACTGGAATGATAGTGTTGGGGGCGTATGCGGCCATGCCGTTGGAAACGGCACACATGGCATGCTCACGGACACCGTAGTGGATATAGCGACCGGAGTAGTTTCCGTTGATACCACAGGTGGTCTTCAAGTCGGGCTATCAAGGAGGTTAGGATGTGAGAAATCATTATGGGACCACAGATTGATACTTACATGCTGGAAGTCAACCTTGCCAGGCCAGATCATGTTGACGGATGGGGAGAGATCAGCAGTTCCGACCATGAAGTTCTTGCACTCCTTGGCAATGGGGTTGAAGACAAGACCAGAAGAAGCACGGGTCGCGGTAGGCTTCTCAGGGAAGCTCTCGGGGATGTACTTCTCCCAGTCTGCCGGCAACTCGCCCTTGACACGAGCCTGGAATTCAGCACCAAGCTCAGGGAACTGGGTAGTGTAATCGGCTACCAGCTGGTCCCACTCTTGAACCAATTGCTCACCACGAGCGGGGAGGCCCTGGAAGAACTGGCGGACGGTCTCACCGATGACAAAGTGCTCCTCGGGGTTGAAGCCGTAGAGAGCCTTCATGTCAGCCACGCTCTTGGTACCGAAGGCAGCACCGTGGGCAACAGCAGTACCGGCCACATGGCTGTCAAGACCGATAACAGTACGGACGTTGATGAAAGTGGGTTTGTCCTGTGCAGCGCGAGCCTGCTCCAAAGCACGAACAATTCCTTCAATATCGAAACATCCATCCTCGACATCAATCACGTCCCAACCACAGGCACGCATCTTCGCATTGACGTCCTCGGTGTTGGTCAGGTCGACAGACCCGTCGCAAGTGATCTGGTTGTTATCGTAGATGACGGTGAGGTTGTTGAGACGCAGGTGACCGGCCAAGGAGATGGCCTCGAGGCCGACACCCTCCTGCAGACAAGCATCGCCGATCATGCACCAGGTGTGGTTGTTGACTACGTCGTAGCCAGGGCGGTTGTAGGTTGCGGCCAGGTTCTTCGTGGCCATAGCAAGACCGACGGCATTGGCGATACCTTGGCCTAGAGGGCCGGTTGTGACTTCGATTCCCTCGTGCTCAATCTCGGGGTGGCCAGGGCACAGCGCATCCACGCGGTCGGAGTGGTAGGACTTAAGCTGGTCGAAGGTCATGGCCTTGTAGCCAGTGAGGTGCAGGAAGCTGTATTGGAAAAGGCAGGTGTGTCCTACACATGGATCAGTCAGTGGTCAGAAGCTGCCATTTGTTGGTGGCTCTACTTACCGTTCGAGAGAACAAAGCGATCGCGGTTGAAAAAGTCTGGGGAGTGTGGAGCGTAGCGCATCACATACTTCCACAGAGACACGCCAATCGCAGCCATGCCAATGGCACCACTGTCACATAATCAATATTTGATCGACTTGAAAGTACTCAAGAGAGATTTCGATCTTACCCAGGGTGACCACCGCTGAATTGCTGGCACAAGTCCGCAATGAGCAGACGGAAGGTCTTGAGCACCAAGTCATGGTCCTTGGATAGCTTCTGCACCAAAGGCAAAGCCGATGGCACAGACTTGTGGACGCCGTTCGTTTCGACAGTCATAATGACACAGTAAATAATCAATCAACAAAGGTGTGTCTGTCTTATCTTCCCACATCCATCTATTCGGGGCAAATCGACCTTCAAATAGGCCTCCGGTCGGCGTCGACAAAAACAACCCGTTCAGGCAGTCGACGAATGGGGTAATGCTAACCGCCTCCGTAAACTCGGCAAGTTGAACCACCACCACCAAGTCACCGTCCATCAACAAGGATACTTTGCCGACGCAGTGGCAGTTACTTAAGAAATCTCCTTGTCCGGTCAAAATTCCCACGCCTCTCCACACTCTCCAACGACCCCGAGACCCTTGGTATTATAGTCTGGAGAATTTCCGATCGAACAAATGGCCCCGTCAGTACTAGTGGATCAGCTGGAGCAGGCACCCGTCGCGGTTGCGACCAAGTCGCTCGATCGCAGAGTGATCACAGCCTCACATCCTAACCCGTCATTACAAGTGACGGCTGATCATAAGCTCAAGTCTGTTGAAGCGCCCATCTATGCGCCCGGGCAGGGAGAGGTGTTGGTACACATCAAGGCCACCGGTATCTGTGGGTCAGATATACATTTCTGGAAGACGGGTCGCATTGGATCGCTGGTGTTTGAGGGTGACTGTATTATCGGTCATGAGGCCGCGGGAATTGTCTTGCAGTGTGGTGAGGGTGTGAGCCATCTTAAGCCAGGTAAGAGATGGTGTTGTGATCGTTTCGTGTATATTTTGTGTGCGATGCTAATCTATATCTTGTGTAGGTGACCGAGTGGCCGTTGAGCCCGGTGTTCCTTGTGAGCACTGCTTCCTCTGCGATGATGGACGATACAACCTGTGCGAAGATGTCCAATTTGCTGGAGTCTACCCCTACCATGGCACAATTCAGCGATACAAAGTGCACCCGGCAAAGTGGCTACACAAGCTTCCCGACAATGTCACATTCGCCGAGGGAGCTCTCCTCGAGCCTCTCTCCGTGGTGATGCACGGCATCAAGACCGCAGGACTCAGTCTCGGCCGCGGTGTTGTAGTCTGTGGTGCTGGTCCTATCGGTCTGATCGCTCTGGCTGCTGCTCGTGCCTCGGGCGCCCATCCCATCGTGATCACTGATTTGGAGCCCTCCCGTTTGGCGTTCGCGAAGGACTTGGTTCCCTCGTGCATCACCTACCAAGTTGACCGAAACAAGGACGCCGAGGGCAATGCGCAGGCTATTCGGGCCTTGTTTGGTCCCACTGAATACGTTGCGCCTGAGACCGTTCTTGAGTGTACCGGTGTTGAGAGCAGTGTTTGTACTGCTGCTTATACTGCCCGACGGGGTGGTACTGTGATGGTTATTGGAGTGGGCAAGGCGATTATGAACAACCTGCCATTCATGCATATTTCTCTCGCAGAGGTAAGTTGGCCTTGAATATCCACCGAACTTCACATATAACTCATACTAATCGTAATAGATTGACCTGCGCTTCATCAACCGCTACCGCGACACATGGCCTCCGGCTATTCAATGTTTGAGTGGTGGTATCCTCGATTTGAAGAAGTTGGTCTCACATGTATTCCCGTTGGAGAAAGCAGAGGATGCCTTGCATCTTTGCGCTGATCCTCGGAACGGCAGCATCAAGGTTTTGGTGGTGGATGAGGAGGAGGCTTCTTTATAGATTATGAACATAGTGCTTATTACGAACATACACAATTACAATTCCATGGAAAATGAATCATAGACCTACAAAAACCACTGCTTATTGTCTTTTCTTTTCTCTACACGACTTTCCTGGGTACTATGAAAAGTGTGATAGGTATAGGGTTCATTATTCTATTTTGAAATTTGGCAAATGCCACGCTAACCCAGAGCGAATGAAATCACCCACTGGGTCAAAAGGTATATGTGTTCAGAATGGTGACTTCGCATGGCAGTAGATAGAAGTAATCGGGACGGGTTCCTTGTTCGAGTGGTCGCCGGGACTGAGGAGGGTGTTTCGACCGGTGCATAGGGAGCCACTAGATGAATGAGCATCAAACTTGGGACCATAAAAGGGTGGTTCAACTTACGTGAATACGCGACAATGCTTTCGAATGGAGATGGTGTATACCTCCCTAAAAGCTTGTCAGTCCAATAACATCCCTAATTTCCGTTACCAGGCGACTCACTCCTCGTCAAGCTCGACACAGTCTTCTAGTTCGACATCCTTGCCATAGCTAGCCTTCTCGGTCTCGATACCAACCTAAAGGTCAAGTCAGTACAGAACCTGCAAAGGGTAGTCATGAGCAAAATCACCTACCATCGTCTTCTTTGCCGCTTCCTTGGCCGTAACAGACAGGAGCATCAAGCTCAGGACAGCAAGTTGCTTGAGGCCGTACATGGTTCAAGCTTGCAGATGCGAATTGCTGGTCAAAACTTCAATGCGACACGGTCGGGACTACCACGTTCGTGGATTTGATCTTGGAGAATTGTTGACTTTGTCAAAGCAGTTTTCCGTGCTTTGGGGAGCGGTCCATTTTGTGGCATCCCTTGCGTGTGCGCAGGGTGAGGCTGGCCAAGTGAATTACAGGGCAAGGGTCTCCCTTCGAAGGAGTGATTGGTTTCCTGGTAGGGCATTGGAATGTGAATGGGGATCTGAACACGTTTGACACAATCGATAGTGTTTCTACAAGTGTACATATGGATGTTATTGGATGCTCGTTGGTTTCGCGAGGGTTGGATAATTCTATGTATACGCTTCGGGATACTTTAGGGTTGTCTGTTGAACTATGTATTCAAAAAAAAAAATACTATATCTGATTGAATTTGACCTCTACCTATTAATCTCAAATATAGATGGAGGAATTTTGTCAAGAGCATGATGAGATTTACCAATCGATATACATAAGGTTACAGGCCCTTGTAGGCCTACGGCGGACGATAGAGGGGACTTCCCCAAAACCCTTAGTTAGCGATCTTCAAACTGGCAGAATCTGGATTTCAGTTATTCTTTGTCCCATATAATCTATGGATTTCCTATATCCCTTAGAAAAGCGATTTCACCACAGGAAACCGATTAAAATAGATTTGAATCAACCAACTAATAAGATTACTTATGGTCAAATTTAAATATAATCTACAATCTCATAATTAATCTCAATACCAATCTCAAGACTAATCTTAAGACTTAGAATCTTATTAAGGCACTAGGATTTAGGAGGTTTGGGGAAGTTCCCTCTATCGTCCGCCGGAGGTTTGTTTCCCCACAATTTCTGTCGTCCGCTTCCCCATTCCTTCTTTTCCTCTCCATTCTTCCTTTCCCCTTCCCTCCTGGCCCTGGCACCCCCCTTGTGTCCAGTTCCTCCAGTAATCTAGCCAGCACACATACCATGCACCATGTACCCGTATCCCAAACGCCGGCGCCTCACGGGTGACGTCCCATTCCCAACCGAGCTCGATAACGGACCAGGACTTTCCTCGCCACCAGCCTTTGCGCCGGGCCTCAACAACGACTGGGCTCTCCCGCAGCGGCATGCGCCTGCATACACACCTTCGGACTCGACCGATGGCCCTGCCTTCCCTTCTCCACTAGGTGCCACCAGCTGGGGCCATGACGGGTTCTTGCATGATCCGGGGTTCCTTGCGTCGCAGGAGGAGCTGCGATGTATGCTTTTTACAATCGCCCAGTCTGCGGCGCCGACGAGGGCGGCGAGTCCGGATGGGAATGGGCAGGATGAGGATGAGAGAGAGAGACGGATGGAGAGGGATCCCTTGCCAATGCGATCGGCGCTTTCCAGTCGGAGAAGAGTTGAGTACTTGAAGAATTACGTGGGACAAGTTGCTCCATGGGTAAGTGGTTCTATCAGATAGGATGGCGTTGGTGACTACGGTCAAGCTACGAAGAAGTGCGGTGGTCTGCGACAGTTACAGGCATGATTGGAAAGGTCGGGTTGGCTCATGCAATGTGATCTTCTAGCTTGACATGTTCGATTCTCAGTGCACGTTTCGCGTGCAAATCCCGGCCCTCGCTCGCACTTTTCCTGCTCTACTCAATGCGATACTCGCCATATCAGCTCGACAGATGGAGCGAAAGGAGGGTATTCAGGACTCGTTCGATAGTATTGAGCTCTACCAGGAGGCTATTCGCTTGCTCAGTCCACTGCTACAGATGCGCGATCCTAAGGTGATCGCAGCTTGCGTCTTGCTCTGCTGCCTCGAAATGATGTCGGCACGAGCGCAGGATTGGCGACGCCACCTGGAAGGGTGCACGGCTCTCTTCGACGCTTTTGGAATCAATGGCTTCAGCAGCGGACTACTGCAGGCCGTGTTCTGGTGTTACGTGCGCATGGGTGAGGCTCAGACAACGTGTTGAAAGCGTATTCCTTGGATGTATTGCTAATTGGGCAACTAGATTTATGCGGTGCACTTATTTCAGACGGGACTCAGAGCACCCTGCTTCGTCCCAGCAAGTGGCTTGCGCCTGACTGTCGGGAAGAAGATGCAGCCCAGCTTTTCCAGGCCACCCAGTCCCCAGATATGCATGCAAATTATGCTGTTTACTTGTGCGCAAAGACCTGCGAGCTGGTTGCCGACCGGACTCAGTTTCTCGAGCTGGGCGCACAGAATGATTGCACAGGTGACGTCTTCCAGCGGCGCTGGCTTCGACTCTGGGATGACCTGCAGCAGTGGGTGGAGGATCGACCACCGGAGCTGCTGCCGGTCCAGACGACTCAAACCAAGCCTTTTCCGCACATCCTGTTCTTGCACTGGGCCGCCATATCCTCAAACCAGCTCTACCACACCGCCTGTATTCTCCTGCTGAATATCATGCCAAAGAGCATCAAGCTACGGTCGGCGCCGATCGTATCAGCGCTGTGGCATGCTCGGCGGATCTGTGGCATATCCCTTGCAAACCCTCACCAGGGGTGTCTGAACAATGCCATCCAGCCTTTATGGATTGCCGGGCGCCTGTTCAGCCATGTCTCTGAGCATGCGATCATCATTGACATTATTCGAAAGATCGAAGCGGAGACGGGATGGGGTGCATGCTGGCGGATCCGCGATCTGGAACTTGCCTGGGGGTACCAGTTGACTCGTCGGAGTCGGAAATCTGGTACACAGCACTCGCCGGTAGCTGGATGAAGGATTTGCGAACTTTCTGCTTCGTCTTATCTTATTGATACGCAAGTATCTAGGCCTCCGGCCAGCCCCATTCCACTTGAAGATCTCGCAGAAGCTCTCCAGCGTTCCAACCAGTGATTTTCCGGATGCGGCCAAAGCCCCGCAAGATTTCTTGCTGCTGCGACTCATGTGTCATGCGGCGCGCGGCTGTCAGAAATGATGCCAACAGACACGGATCCCAGCACTCGCGTCGCTCGTTATTGAGAGCGATACTGCAAATTCGCTGAGCATGCCACAGAGGAGACATTGTCGCCGAACGAATGTCGGCAATGTGCGCCGTTCGCGGACGGCTATGTAATAACAGCAACATGGCTGTGTGGTATAGCTGGTTGGAGAAGACTCCAGCGCCATTGGCAAAAAGAACAACCGAGAAGCTTTGGCTCGGGTCGGCGGCTTGATCGTCTGTCTCAATCTCTAGCATTGGTTGGAAACCCTGAGGCCGTTCCCGGTACCACTGTTCTAGTTCTTCGACAATTCCCATCCACGCATGAAGCGGGGGCAAGTGCGGAGAGGGATCTTCATTGTGCATAAATTCTATAGCACGCGCACAGAGCCAGAGAGGGCGATGTGCGTATGAGAAGACTAGTCCAAAAGGGTCACTACCAAGATCTCCTTCCGCAAAATATGGAGGCGACGGAGGGATTGGAACTTGGAGACTGGTATCTGCGGCCAGCGCTGCTCCGAGATCTTTGAGATAATTTCTTGTCAGTCTTTGCTGTAAGCCCTGAAACCATTTCAAGAAACATACCTAGTCTCAAATATAGCCAGTATATTGTTGAGTTTAGATCTCTCCCGACTGTATGTGCACTCAATGGCTCAATAATGTCATTATCGCTTTCCCTCTGCAAAGACCATGCCGAGGGCATATCCGTAATGCAGTATCTGGCCCTGTCTAGGACCCGCATAAAAGCGATCGTTGTGATGTCCAATTGCCCGTCGAGAGCCCCAGGGCTTCCGATACTTTTCTCTGTTCTCGCCCGCGAAGAATGTGGGCGTAATAAACCTATCGATGCCTGCGAGAGAGAAAGCACCGTTGTTCGGACCGGATGTGAGACCATTGCCAACTGCAAGCCCTGGATTCCAAACATTTGCCCGAGATCACATATATCCAGCTGTCCATGTTAGTCTTGATATGTTTCCCTTTCATGCTGGACAGACATACCCATGGGGCTACCTCGTAGCGATAATGTCGAAGCAGTTCCAGCGTCTCTGTTGGTGACATCTCCGGATTGAGAGGAGCCGGTTGGGGCAGATGACCCGGAGAAAAGGTCACCGAATAATCGGGGAAGTTGATTGGAGTCACTGTTTGAGCGAGGGACGGTTCTCTTGCTGGCGGTGAGATCGTGAATTCCGACAGGTTCAGATCTGGCGCCATCGTTTCGGTTGTACTCGTTCCCAATGCTAATAGCCCGGCGACCGCAGACTCGTCTTTGTCACTGAACATTGCGATTGTGGGTTGCGGAGTTGGTACTCTAGATGGCTCGTCGGCTGACCAGATAGGTAACTCTGAGAGTGTTTCTGGTTCTGCTGGTCTGCCTACGTCAGAATCGGGAGGGTCTTCATGCGGCGGTTGAGTTTGAGGTTCCTCGGCCTGAAGAGAGGGTTCATCTTCTCCATCGTCAAGCTCATCCTTAGCATTCTCAGGGTCCTCATTAACAAACTACCACTTGATCAGCAATTTTCTTTTCTTTTCCTCTATTTTGCTGTCTCGCACTTACTCGAATCACTTCATAATTAGCCGATAAACTTCCCACCTCCGAGGGCTGCACAGTCTGCGCATTCTTCGTCAAAAACGTCAACTGCGGGCCATACTGGCACTCAAAGTTGCGATCGATACAATTTCGACACCGCGGTTTTCCCTCGTCGCCTATATTTCTCGTTAGAAATCGACATTGACCATCAAGAGACATTCAACATACATTTTCGTCGTCGTATGCGACATCGCATACACCCCGTCCGACACCGGGTGAGCCGTCGGGCGCTCTGTTTGGCGTCGGTCATGACCGCTGGAGACGTGGGGAAACTGGAGAAAACGACAAACGGGAAGGGGCGAGCGCCAACGAAAGAGGAAGGCCTACGCACCGGTCACGTGGAGGGTCACATGTGGGGGCGATAAAATGGGAATCGCCTATCAGACAGAGCGTGGGTATTGACACAAATGGCTCGATACTATTCGGATATACACAAGCTGGAATTGCATCAAAATGCCTTGACACTGTCATTCGGAATACATATGCGAATTACACAAGGCTTCGTTTCTTCCTCCACTCCTCCACTATCCCTGCATATGCAGATGGCTCGTACACACCCGTGAGCTCCTTCAAGAACCCTCCTCCTAGACGGTGTGGGTTTAACCCGAGATCGCGCATTAGGATGTCATTGTACTAGAATCCTGTTAGCTTTCATTCCGTATATTGATGATAAGACCGAGGAATCTTCTAACATGAATAGCATCGACTTCGAGCCCAGAGCCAGTCAGTGACCCAAGTACTACATCTTCGGATACTGCTTTTTCCATAACGCTTTGTGGTAAAACATCAAGGCCAAGAGCAGGAGGCTCCTCGGACTTGCAGTCTGCAGAGCTTTCATCCAATCCGCCTGTCAAGAATGCCGCGACCCAAAGTGCTTGAACCTCTGCGACTACCGCGATAGTCGAGGTGAGCACAACGCCCATGCTTGCAAAGGAACGATCTCCGTCAGCAACGAGTTCTGGGGCAACCATCCGACGGAAGAGACGATATGGAAGAGGCTGCGAGTCTCCGATCCATGATGGCGTGCCCCGTTCTGCAGGTGTGCACCCGGTCGCAGCGAGTGTCTTTCTCACCAACTCGTCTGACTGCCGGTCAAGGGCTTTCCAGTGTTCGATATGTCTATGTACTGTCGCATCCAATGGAATCTCAACCCCATTACCTGCCTCGCTCTGATTAACTGTGCTGTCTTTCTCGGTGGTTTTGTGAATGAGACCCGACATGCCCAAGACCAGGCGATAGCTCGGGGGGTCGAAGTTAATCGGAACAATGGGCTTATATCCTGTTGCGTGGATGACAAGATCCACATCTTCAAGACAGATATTGTCATCAAGATATATGTTCACACTGCTGCTCGGTTGGTTCTCTTCATGTGAATTCAACGCCGAGATCTGTTCGATAGAGGACCGATATACCTTCACGTGTGACGACCGGATCGTCTCCCACAGATCGGGCTGGTTGGTGATACCAATACCGGACGCACACGAGACGACGCTGTAATCAATCAGCTATGCCTTTACAAATAAACCATGAAGAGCACAAACCTATTGCTCGGTCGAAGCAACTGCATTTTCGGCTCAGACTGATATTGTGCAAAGTCCTCCAATCCCCGGTCTACCGAGCGCCAGAACCAGCGGATCCACCATCGGCCGAGGGGATTCCCGTGCAGGAGACGTACCAACCATGATCCTTCCATACGCAGATCTCCGGACAGGCGTTTGGGAATCTCGTAACAACATGGAACCAAGTAGTGAAGCAGTCTGCTGCTGACTACTTTGTCACTTCCAACGGTATCACCGTTTAGAAGCGAAGATGTTGGCGGTGTCATCCATGCCGGTCCTGCTCCATCCTTGCGGATAATCCAATGCACTGTCACTGGATCTTTGGGCGCTAGTTGTAGATGTAGCGCGGGATCTTTGCGATGGAGGGTGGCGAAGAAGTGCACCAAGTCAAAGGACGATTTGGCGCCTCCGTAGATCACCACAGATTTGAGCGGGTGGCTCTGGTCGTTATTTGGATGGCTTGACTGTGCTGGTGCTCGGGTCGATGGAAGAGTTTGGTATCCTAGATTCTCGCGAGCCCAATCCCCAACGTCCTTGGCGTGAATGACAGACTTGGAATTCATCATGCTCGACGAGGAGTTTGTTTTGGGAAGATTCGGCACCGAAGTGAGTCCCGTAGCTAGGATCAACCTGTCGCAAACCACCCTGATCTCCCGCGGGGGACTCGACGCGATGTTAACGTTAAGCTCCCATTCTTTACTATCGAGGCGACAGATACTCTCAACCTAGGCACGGTTAGAAATGCGAACCCATTCACAGATTTCACACCCACCTTCCATTTTAACCTGATATGCCTCTTGAGATTCCACTTCTCAGCCCAGGCATGCAAGTATCGGTTGATCTTCCATCCCGCGATGAACTGCTGTCCAACGCCCGTCGCTTCCTCTGGGACAACATGTGACAGAGGGAGGTCACTGAACTCGTACATTCCATATGAGTTCTGGCTGAGCAGGTTCGGGTACAGGCGCTTCTCTGCCCAGGTCCCTCCGATGCCCGAGGCCGCGTCAATAACCAGAAGAGAACATCCGGGTGTATGCTCCACGTTTTGTCTGGTATTGGAGAAACAATTTGGTAGTGCGTGGGTAGTTTGAGTTGTGTCATCGTCTTGTTTCGGAGTGTCGTAGGCGCCTGCGACTTGTAGGTAGGTCTTTGCCGCGATGAGGCCGTACAACCCTAAAAGGGTAGAGTTAGTAGTATTCTCCCTGTATGTTGGTATAGTACTGACCGGCGCCGACGATCACCACACGATCCATGGTGTACGATGGCAGATTGAGGAGGATAGAAAGGGCGAGAAATAAATGTAGGAGAGTTTCATTTTGAGAAATAAAATCGAAATTGGGGGTGATTACTGGGAAGCATTTGCCAAACAACGGAATTGGGCTTGATATTGTTCTTCGTATTGTTCTGGTGGGGCTCACCCATCGTCTTCCAACAACTCCCTATTTACTGGTCACTCAGTGAAAATCGAAGCAAAGTGACAGATCATTTGTCCTATTTAGGTGGTATTGCTTACAAGATCACTCGATATTTTCTTTCAGATATAATTCCATGGCGCCATGAGTTTCCCCCCGATCTCTTGCCCCTGCTCACGGCCCTCGTTGCATCGCTGGAGGAGACCCTCGACAGCCTCCTGCGCCATATGAATAATGTTCATTTCTTCTGTCCGTCCTCCTCGTACCAGCCTGCCTTCTCTGACTAATATCACTCCATTCACCACTGTCATATCCACATCGCGACCAGTACACCCATGAACCACCGTGGTGACGGGACTAACCGCGCTTCTCGAGGATCGGCTGCTCCACGGCACGGCCCCAAGCCCACCAGCTCCATACGGATCCACCACCACAAAGTCGGCCTTTTTCCCTTCTTCGAGACTTCCAATCTCTTTCTCAAGGCCTAAAGCCTTCGCACCATTGATGGTGGCCATCTCCAAGGCAGTCTCGGCAGGAATGAGAGTCGCATCATGTTGGACGCCTTTGTGGAGGATTGCGGCCAAATGCATTTCTTGGAACATGTCGTAATGGTTGGAACAAGGTGCACCGTCAGTGCCGAGGGATACGTTCACCGGTGATGGTGCTGAAAGCATGGCATGCACTGGAGCCACGCCGGATGCAAGTTTGAGATTGGAACTCGGGTTATGCGCGACCGAGGTCTGAGTGCTGGCGAGTAACGGGATATCGATCTCATCGTCCAGATTGACCATGTGTGCTAACACCAGTCGATGAGAAAGCCGATCAGAACCTTGACCCGCTGGTGTCTTTTGTCCACAAAGCTTCGCGTCTCGAATAAACTCCATCGCGCTTGATTGATACGTATCCCGGTATATCTCTCGGTCTCGTGGGGCTTCCGCGCAGTGCATTGTTGCGGAAATTCCATGCCTGGCACAAGTTTCGCCCAGTTCGAGGTAATGGGAGATTGAGGTACCGCGCGGTGTACCAGCAGCAGCCCATACGTGGACTCGACCCTCGTGGCTATCATGATGTGTCTCGTGTGCTTTCAGAAGTTCTGGGATTGACATTGCAAGGAGATCTTGGTCTCTCGGATCGGTGATCGATAGTTGTCGATTTGTTTCGGTGAACTTGACCAATTTTCCCTATCACAGGAGAATCCAGATTAGCACACTATTCTCCTATGGGTCACATTGGACTGGCAGACTAACGAGGCACCCTCTGATTCCCATTTCGCCAGCTACTTCACAAATTGCATCGAAGCCGGCTCGGTATGTTAGCATTGGGTCAAGGAAACATGTCGTCCCAGTCTTTAGCATCTCCGCCATAGTCAGGCGTGCAGCCCGGACTCCGTCATCTCCTTGGAACGATGCTTCCAGCGGCCAAATCGCATCGCATAGCCAGTTATGCAATGGAAGATCCTCTGCCAGTCCTCGAAGAAGAGATTGAACCAGATGAGCATGGGTGTTGATCAATCCCGGAATGATGATCTTTCCATCACAATCGATTCTCTCTGCATCTGAGGGCAGTTCTCCCAGATATGGGCATTTTCCGACCGCGGTAATTCGACCATTATCGATTCGGATGTAGCCCTCACGGATCACCTCGCGTCGTTCATTGACCGTGATGATGGTTGCGCGCTCAAAGAGTTTGCAACTGGTAATAGCTGTTGTCGTAGACATAATGGGCCTAGCAAACAGCGCGCAGTTTTAATTATTTACAGCAGAAACTAACGTGGTAATTCCTAGGACTAATTATCTTTTTGAAGGATTTCCACATTGCGGATAACAGGCGCATCTCGGGTTTCCTCAAGACCTCGGCCGAGGCCAAGCCATCTCGCTTGCTTATCATTCCCCACGGGCCCCCCGATAACTTAGCGTGATCCTCCGCGATACAGCCCGGGGAAGGAGATATGATGCAAGAGATATGACTATCATCTTCCGATTGCCTTACAATACTCGATGATGTGGTATATATCGGACGCCTTCGACGTCCCGTCGAGGAGAGAGATTACATGCAATGTCTGCAAGCCGGCAGCAAAAGAAACTAGGATTTTCTTGAGTCTCGTTGATCAACATGGATTCCACACGGAGGCTACCGGAGAAAGAACAGTCCGATATGCCGGTCACTTCTTCTTTTGAGACATTCGAGACGGGAGATAGAGACTCACGCATCGTCGAGATCTCGCCCCTCGCCGAGACCCGATGGCAATACCTTCGCCGTTACTTTACTACTAAGGATGGATGGATCGGCAACTACGTACGTCGGACGAGAGCTGCATGTCGATGCGAGTCCTCGAAACTAACTTTATTATCAAATCAAGGACTACGCATATCTTGTCACGCCGAACATCTGGCCATTGAACAAAAAGTACAAGGATTATCAAGCTCCGTTCTACGGGTTGAACGATGAAGTCCCAATTCTTCTTACCATCATTCTCGGCCTGCAGCATGCCTTGACCATGATTGGATCAATCGTGTCGCCTCCTTTGGCAATTGCAAGCGGTGCTTTCTACCTCGACGCAGAAAAAAGCCAGTACCTCGTGTCTGCAGCCTTCATCACCACGGGCATTGCAACTGCTCTCCAAGTAACGCGGGTCCACTTCGCTAACACACCCTTCTACATCGGAACTGGTCTTCTATCAGTGGTTGCTCCCACTTTCGATGTCTTGGCTATCGCATTCAGCTATTCGGATATGCGCTATGCGAATGGGACGTGTCCGACAGCATCTGATGGAACCAAGCTACCGTGCCCTGATGCATGGGGCGCAATGCTAGGAACTATTCTTTGCACCGTCTGGATTCAGATCTTGCTCTCTTTTGTCCCGCCTAAGACTCTGAACCGTATCTTCCCGAAGGTTGTCACTGGTACCCTCCTGCTCCTCGTTGGTGTGTACCTTATTTCAAGTGGCATGGAGAACTGGGGTGGTAGCTCCAACTGTGATGGCGGTAGTGGGTACTATGCACTTTGCCCAAACACCGCAGCTCCTAGGCCATTGCCTTGGTAAGATTTTGAGTCTATGCGAGTCTTATTGATATGAATACTGACAACGTACACAGGGGTGATCCGAAATTGATAGGCCTTGGCTTCAGCGTTTTCATCACCATTATTTTTGTCGAACTCTTCGGCTCACCACTAATGCGCTCCGCCTCAGTTGTCCTTGGCTTGGCCATGGGTTGCGCAATCTCCGGTGCCACTGGATACTGGTCGCGAGAAAATATCGATGCAGCCCCCGTTGCTACCTTCCTCTGGGTTGAGACTTTCAAATTGTCGGTAGACGGAGCCTTGGCGTTGCCCCTTTTGATTATGTTCATTTGCGAGGCAGTCAGCTGCATGCCTGACATCCTTGCCACTGCTGAGATCTCCGGGGTAGACATTGATGGGATCGAATTCAACAGTCGAATCCAGGGTGGTATCCTGTGCGACGGTGTGGGCAGTCTGGTCAGCGCCTTGGGCACGGGTTTACCCATGGTTAGCCAGGCAGGAAATAACGGTGTTATCTCTTTGACAGGGTGTGCGGTATGTTTCCAACTACTTCCATATAAACAAAAACATGACCTTCGGCTAATCTAACATCCTCATACAGAGCCGAAGAGCAGGCTGGTGTGCGGCAGCCTTCCTAGTACTAATGGGCATCTTCGGCAAATTCGGCGCAGTCTTCGGCTCAATGCCCCCATCTGTCCTGGGAGGAATGCAAGTCTTCTTATACAGCACCATCGTCGTCGCTGGTGTCAAGGTCCTCAGTTTAGTCGAGTTCACTCGCCGGAACCGCTTCATCCTAACCGCCGCCCTGGGAATTGGCTTCATGGACATTGTCTCTCCAAACTGGTTCGCCAAGATTCTGGCTTATGAGGGGTCAAATGTACGATTACAGGGCTTTGAGCAAGGTATCAATCTCATGGTTGAAACTCCTTTTATCATTTCGGCCGTTGTTGGGGTGGTTTTGAATTTTATTCTTCCGCATGACGGTGGTAAGAAGGTGGAGTTGCTGGATGGTCGAGATGGGCGGCCGGCCCTTCCCACTTAGCGGAGATTTATTGAAGGATTGTATGGATTCTAGTAATAATTATCGGAGATATTGCATAATTAATTAAATGGGCGGCTTGCCTAACCCTTATCACCACTTTCTGACCGTTGTATACCTATTGCTGTTACTTTGTTCGAGGATTTGATCGAGGATACGGATCCCGAGGGAATAGTGACAGTGTCCACCAAATTCACTGTTTCTATTATAATCTTCAATAACGCTCTAGAATTGCTAAGGTCTGAAATGAGACTCACTTCGGTTCAAATGATTGAATTTGAGGGTATAGAGCCGCAGGTATTGTTGTTTTACTTGTTGGTGGTCCAACGTAAAGACGGGCCGTGAAGCGGACCGTGTGAAAGTACCCTTTCCATCGTCAACGGGCGGAAGACGGTCCGTGAATGATGATTATCCCACTGCCAGATCGGCAGATGTTATCTTTGAGAGTACTTAAAGTTGATAGTAGATTACTTTTTTCGTCCTGAAATTCAACTTATCGAATTCAAAATGGACAAAAGTCAAAGAATTGTCATTGTTGGAGCCGGCGTCTTCGGCCTCGGGGCAGCCCTGCGATTTAAAGAAGAGGGTTATACTTCAGTCACAGTCCTCGATCGCTCCATGCCACCTGTCCCGGATGGTTCAAGCAACGATATCTCTCGCATCATTCGATTCGACTATGGTGATGCCATCTACGCAGAAATCGCCAAAGAGGCATACGACTTGTGGAAGACCCCAGAGTTCAATGATGCATTTTACTCCACACCCTGTCTCTGGGTATGCCAGGAGGGTACTGCCGACCAGCCCGTTCAATCACGAGCGCAAGAATATAGCACAAAGACTAAGCGCGTCCTCACTGAGATGGGGCAACCATGGCATGCTGTGACGAGCGTGGAGGCAGCGAAGAAGAGATTTCCTGAACTCACGGGACGCTTGGCCACGCCCGGTTTTGATGGATTCTACAATACCAACGCAGGCTGGGCTGATGCTGGCAAGGCTATCGCTCGTCTCGCTGCCCGCTGTATCCATGCTGGAGTGTCATTCATGACCGGTCCCAACGGCCATGTCACCGATTTCGAGAAGAATGCCGATGGCAGCATCAAGTATGTTTGCACCGCTGATGGCAACACGGTGGAAGGCGATAAATTCATCGTGGCCACAGGTGCATGGACTCCCAGTTTGGTGCCGGCGTGGAACTCGATGCTCGCAGCCGGTCAGATTGTCGGTTATCTTCGACTGACTGCTGAAGAAGCTGTCCAACTTAAGAAGATGCCTATTTATTTCAATTTCTCGACTGGATTCTTCTGTTTCCCGCCACATGATGGCACTGGCTATTTGAAGGTAGCCGTTCATGGCTTTGGATACACCCGAAATAATGAGAAAGCGAATGTGTCGTCGCCTCCCACAAATTCCGTTGCTGCGCGAGCCAACTTTGTCCCGTCAGAGGGGCTGAAGAGGATGGAAGCCGGTCTGCAAGATCTCTTCCCCCATCTTGCATCGCGCGGCTTCGAGAGAACTGGAATCTGCTGGTACAACGATACACCTACCGGTGACTTCATCCTGGATTACCATCCCGAGCACAAGAATCTTTTCATCGCCACAGGTGGAAGTGGGCAGTAAGTTGAGAAAATATCCAGAATTACAAAGGCTTGGTGATGCTAACGCGGTCTTTAGCGCATTCAAATTCCTCCCCGTGATCGGAAAGTACATCGTGGGGAGCTTCGAGCGTAAACTCTCACAGAATCTTCTCGATAAGTGGAAGTTTCCCACGCAATTCCGCGAGCGTTTCCAGGGAGACGTTTTTGGTGGAGATGGAAGTCGTGGTGGCCCCGAGCGCCGCGAGTTGACTTCTAACGAGCGACACACTTTCGACTCGGCTTTAGTAGCTTCTGTCAGACAGAGCAAGATCTAACGACAATACTAGCATGCCCGCATGCCAACCAGTCATGATATTGGATGTTCTATAGAATAGAAACCGGAATTGGGGCTGACCAATACGGCCAAGAAGTTTTCGAGTCATCTTTGTAGTCACAACCAGCGTAAACTCATAGTGCGGCGATGTGCCACGTGAACCACGTTATCATTAAGCCATTATACTCAAAGATGTTCAGACATGAAGTCTCCAAATATCATCCAATCGGGAATATCTGGTACCAATGACCCAGGACCGTGACTTCCACCTCGATCGGGAAATTGCCAGTCAGCTATCGATTCATCATTCACGATTGGCCCGCCCAATCCGTCAATGCCATGATCCTCATGAGAGGGTACGCCCGGGGTGGTTGTATTCTCCAGGTCCCCTTGTTCACCGAGATTCCTTTGTCGCGTCGATCTTGCCGTCGGCTGTTTTGTCATTTTCCTTTTCTTCGTCATCGGTGCTGGCGAAATAGCCTCGGTCGCTTCCAGGGGACTAGACGAGGAAGCGAAATCTAGAATGTCCCACATCAAGGCCTCGTCTTCGGTTGACATTCTTGGCAGGTTTGCTGGTGTGGGCATGCTGGACAAGGCTCCTGAAAAGCCGTCTTGATTGTAGAACAGAGAGCCATAATTGCTATGGCGAGCAGCTAGTTCGTTTATCCGATGTGCCTATGCTAAGGTTAGCTTTGCGTTCATAATAGCGTTTGCTGTAGCACTTACCAATACGCCCATATTCTCCCAGTGGGAGGAGAGTTCCGTGATGAAGTTGACAAGGACCCGGTATTCATTGTTGAGCAAAAGTGCGATTTGCGGGTTCTTGTTCCCAGTATGCTCAAGCTGGATAGTAGCCGCGATCGCAGCGAGATATCCAAAGAAAGGGTCACACAGATGCAGGTCAACCTCTGCCATTTCCTTGATAAATCTGGCAATCCAGCGAGAGTGAAGTAAAGACGTTTCAAATGACTTCTGTAAGAAGGTCGCAGACAAATTCTCACTCAGGTGACGTAGTTTGATCATGGTCACGAAGGGATGGTGAAGAAGACACTGGATCGAATGGAACAAGAATTGAACACAGAGCCAGGTTGACAGGTATGGCCGAGATTGAGGATCTTGACGCGCTCGCCGTTTGAAATCAACGTTCATATAGCGATGGACATCTGCAAATTGGGTCTCGAATATCATCCACTCTGATTCGAGGATCGCAAGAGCCGAGCCGGTCCGCCAGGGGGGCAGAGTACTCGTGGGAAGAGGTTCGAATACCCATTCTGTTGCTTTGCCCCAGAGTGAGTATAGCCTGAGGAGGCAAGCGATAATGCCTTGGTCGACCTTTTGCCCCTGTTTCATTGATTTCTCATGCAGTGTTCCCAGCGCAGGGGAATCTTCCGAGGCAGAAGGGAAGAACAACGTAAAATGATTATCAGAGAGGCACAGCGAATAGTTTCGCGAAGCGTTGTAAGTGCGATCAAGCATGAAAAATGCCCATGTTATCCGCCTTCTGGCTTCAGCCTCGGTCTTGGTGAATGAGGAGAGTGTCTTGCCCTGGTTGAACCCAAAGGACTGGATTGTTCGGAGACCAACAGCAACCGAAGCACAACCACGGTGCGCATTCCCATCTGCAAAGTCTAGCTGGGCGACAAGAAACGTAGCCTGTAGGAAAGACAGGCCCGTCTTGCCCTGCTGGTACTGCGTTGATAGTATTTTCCAAGCTCTCTCCGTACAATATTTCCCCGTTGGTGTATCCAGATTGGGCATTCCAGGAGAGTTAACTGTGAGACGTCGGGTAAGGCCGACCAACGCGAAGGTGATCTCCAATGGCAAAGATCTCGCATTTGCTCGAAGCCATTGCTCGACGAACACGCAATAGGGCTGATCGTGAAACTTGTTGAGATAGACCTCGACTTCGGCTTGGATGAACGCAGTGGAAAGTGGACAGCTGAATGTGTGAGTTGCGTGTGCTCCAGATTCAATTATCCTATCACATACCTTGTCGACTCGTCGTCCACCGTTACCAGTTCACCCAGGTCAAGTCCTTCGTTAGGCTGCTTTCGGATATGCTCTAGAGCTGTGGGTATATCACCATTCAGAGCTTCAATCAAGGTATCGGTTGGTGGAAGGCGTTCTCTGTATCAGATAGTACAAGATGAATCAGTCTTTATTGGTCAAAACCAAGGCAAGTGGTCACGTTCTTACCGAAGTAACGAGGAAATTTCGTCCAGCTTGTGTTCTATACGCTGGACACGCCACGCAGAAGGAACGTCTGGATCAGCACCCTAGATATCATAACGCCAGAAATTCAGCTATGTTTGTGTATTCAGTTACTCCCAGATTACAGCATACCTCGACTGATCCATCTAGATTGGAATTCTCATCATTCGCGGATCCCGTACGGCCTCGGGTGCGACTGGGCGCTTCCTGCGATCCATATGTGCACCTTTGGCCCAGCCTACCACATAGTGAACATGTGGGCTTCTCACCCGGGCAGCGAGCTTTTTTGCGACTATAAGAGTAGATGAGATATTAGCTTCGAGCTTTGTCGTCACGTCCATTACGCGTTCCCTTGAGGAAAGCAATGCACTTACCGACATGGACCACATGCTTGGCGGGTACGTTTGAGGGAAACCTTGTGGATTGTGTAATTATCATTCGAAGTGCTCATTTCATTGTTCACTCGTTCAATAAAGCTGCACTGCTGTTCTTGGAGTCACGACAAATTGAGATGACGCAAGTTGGAGCTCGGTCGGCAGAAAAAAAAGCAAGTAGCGAAATCGGAGACACTCCGACGAACCAGACGGCTTCCTGCGGAATACTCCGCCTCGAGGCCAACCTCCATGGGCCCAGAAGGCCAATAGGCACCGAATTTCCACGGTTATCGGGTCTCTTTGTCTCCACCAAACAGAACCTACCGCGTGCGGGGTAATATTATCGTCGTGAACAGTGCGCCTGCAGAGATAAGAATAGACCACTTGGAGGATTATAACCGCCGCCGCGATACGACGGACACGTGTTGATTATTTAAGAGATTTTTGAAAGAACTTGGTCGTTGCGTAAGTGCTGTAAATCAACTGGACGATTGATAAGCCTGGAAAGGATGACTCGCCAGGAGGAATGCTGCTAATACCTGCTCCCTTGTCAAGTAAATGGAAGGGGATTCCCGATCCAGGAATGCCTTCCTCCATGTTTCACCATTCATTCCATGTTCCCCTCCGCTTCTAAATTTGAACTCCGTATCGCAAACACATCGGCAGCCACCATTCAATGCATCGCGGAGCTCGGTTTTACGGTCCGAACGATCCATGTATTACCAAGTACCGGCTGCAGTATATCGGGGGAGATGCCTAGCTCACACATCGCAGCCCCACCTGCAAGTATATATTCTACGGATTTTGGATTCACTACGCCTACGAAACCGTGTTGTGTTTGTTTATTGTAGATAATTGTAGATACATACAAGGCCTTCGGTGTAGCAAGGGTTGTAAAACGATATAGGCCAATGGATCTTTTATTGGAGTATTTTCCATGGGTACAAATTGTCTATATTCGAACTCATAATCTGAGCTCCGATTATCATTGTTCTTTAGACGGTGCAAAAAAAGTCATTGCAGATCAAGCCGGCATTGATTGGAGGAATGAGTGCCGATAGGCCACGTCGATCGGCCGTGCTTATTAGCACGAAAGCTGGAGAAGCGCCACATTGGAACGAATATTGGAGTAGTCGAGGCAGGAAAAAGTACAGTCGTACAGCCTGCCAAACAAAGAATGAAGTTTTAATTAGAAGTGCTCATGTGATCGGCCCGGGCGCGCATGACAAGCATTTGGGAAGGTTATTGCGGGGAGAGTCACGAGTCGTCCGCCACTTGGAGTCAAATTGGAGACTCTTTGGCCTAGACTTTGGAAAGCTGTTCAATAATAGATAATACAGAAAGAATAATAACTATGTACCTTAGTTGACAAAGGCTGTAGGGCTGTAAGTAGTCTTTGACTCGGTTACCAATTGGACCCTTCCGACCCGTCCTGATGTGGACGAGTTTGGTTTCTTCCTATAGTACGGGACCTCGCTCTTTGTTTAACCTCACGAACTTAATGTATGCACATACTGCGTATATTGGTATGATATAGAAATGTGCTGATTAGTGAGATTGTGAGGCACGCTTATTTGTGTTCGCCGTTTGCCACCCAGTCAATTTTAAAGGCCACTACAATCCTCAAGGCACACCGTTAAATATCACTATTGTAGCAATGTTGCAGTTATTTAAACCATATGGGCCTCTGGAGAGAAATTTCAACACATTTCTCGATGCGCGCAGTTGGCCAAGTTGCTTATCATGCATCTTCTTTCAAGGGCAGAACAGGTGCGGGTATTAGGATCCGACCAGACCGGTGTGGCGTTTAGGAGAGCCGGTCGCGAGGGCCGTTCACCGTGGGCCATGGTCCCCAATTCCAGCCCCTAGGACACTGATTTTAGAACCCAAGCCGCTAGCGCCCGTCCCAATTCAGTCTCCGTCCCGATCCTGTGATCGGAAACTGCCCTGATATGCCGTTGCGACCCACGATTACTCGGTACACCATCATGAGAGCAATAGTAAAGACAGCAGTAGACAAACAGAGAGAGAACTATATATGAAGCTTTTTGAAACCCTGAGTAGAATATCAATCAACAAGACCATCAAAGCCACCTCCTACAATAACCCACCGGCGCAGTGTATACTCCCGATCAATCGATATGCCACCAATCTCGACAGGCGATCTGGGCCTCGATGATGCCGCAGGCAACGGGCCTTCCCAGACGGAGAATTCCCCTTTGAGGGCGCTTCCTGCCTCTTGGTATACCTCTCCTGAAATGTTTGAGCTTGAGCGACGAGCTATCTTCTCCCGCAAGTGGCTCCTGACCAGTCATACCTTGCGCTTCTCCAAGACGGGTGATTGGTTACGATACGATATCGCTGGCTTCAGCTTCATTCTAGTTCGCGATAAAGAAGGTGCCGTCAACGCATTCCATAACGTCTGTCGCCATCGTGCATTCCCAGTTGTCACCGAAGATGGAGGCACCTCAAGAATCTTCTCTTGTAAATATCACGGCTGGTCGTACGGGCTAACCGGAAAGCTCGCCAAGGCGCCGGGTTATCAGGATCTTGAGGGGTTTGATAAGAGCAAGAACGGTCTCCTCCCGATTCACGTTCACACGGATGCCAATGGGTTCATTTGGGTGAATTTGGATGGCTCTGAGGAGCCGGAAATCTCATGGGAAGATGACTTTAAGGGAATCGACCTGCAATCACGATTCAAGGATTTTAATTTCGAGGATTACACATTCGATCATTCTTGGGAATTGAACGGCGACTACAACTGGAAGATCCTGGCCGACAACTATAACGAATGCTACCACTGCTCGACGGCTCACCCCGACGCTCCCTCGGTGGCCGATTTGAGCTCCTACTCCGTCGACACTCAGAAAGCCAGCATTATCCATGACCCAAATACCACTCCGGAGCAGATTGCGGATGGTCTGAAGATTGCCAGCACCTACTATTTCCCTAATGCCTCGATGACAGTTTCGCCAAACTTATTCTTCATGCAGCGATTTGTACCAACCTCAGCTACCAGCTGCTCCATGAGATACGAAGTTTATCGCAAGAAAGAATCCAGCGACGAGGATTTCGAGAAGATCAATTCCATCTTCAAGCGCATCATGTCCGAAGACAAGGCCCTCTGCGAAAACGCCCAGAAGAACCTCAACAGCGGGGTATTTGTCAGTGGCGAGTTGCACCCTCGCCTCGAAAAGGGTCCGCTTTACTTCCAGAACATGGTTAGGGATCTTGTGACCGAGTTCCATAAGCGGGAGGAGGAGGCTGGTCATGAGATCTGGCCTTCACGACAAACACTACCATCCGAGGCTAAGACTAGCCAGGACGATATTGATTTCTGCTCCAAGCTGCAGAGTAAGAGCCAGGCCAATGGAGACTGCTCAACTCGGGTTGGTGGCTGCGGCGGCGGTGTGGCATGCCAGTCTGGCAACCCGGCGTTAGCCTATTAATTCGTTTTCGTTTTCTGACTTCGTTCACGTTTTGCTCGCATTTTAGCCCCCAGAACATTTGTTCAGTCTTTGCATAGATAATGATTGTTTATTACGCCTATAATTATGAAACTTATTGAGCTAGAGTATCAAATTTTGATCAGAGCATTTTTTTAACCTATCTTCTCAAGGGCGAGTAGGTTTTTTTCTAGGGGATTCGAATTAAGCAGATGCCCGCATCGACCCCAAAATTAATCCGCCACGATATGCATCTCAAACGGTTCAAATGCAAATTTCGCCCAAATTATACACTTTCTTATCGGCTATCGACTATTGAGCCCCGCCCCCTTAGTTCTCATGTCGTATCCGTGGGCCCATGGAGGTATCTCGAATAGTGTTTGCTTCTGGCCTAAGATAAGGAATCACAGACCCAACGAACGTGCTTGTATCGAATAACCTTATCTTCATCGAATGATGAAGTGGCCAATTCTCTTCGAGTACTCACCCATTACCCGTGTACTAAGAAAGTATTCATTGGAGCGATAAACAGTCTTTCCGCATCGATCTGCGACAGGGATGCCTTCTGGAGGGGTTCTGTGACGGGCGCAGGATACTTTTGCCTTTTTTAGTAAGGTTTTTAAGTTACATCACAAACCTAGTGCCGACTCACGGACTATTTCCGACCATCATGATCCTGCCGACGTGGTTCTAGCGCCCAGCGCAACAAACTAGGTTGAGTTTGGAGTAAAATGTACAGGCCCCTCCGTAGTCCAGATCACTAGTCGCTGGTTCTCTGCGGGTCACTTTCCACCATATGCAGGCTTTGTTTCTCTCTTTATTGCCCGGTGCTGACAGGGCCATGTTTCCCCGCTCTTCCCCATTTGTGTTATCATGTCCCCGTCATTCCAAAACCCCTCTCGCCTCCCCATCGTTCTTCACGACCTCCTCTGCTATCGCATGTGATGGAAATTTGGCCTTTTTTTGTTGGACCAGACCTATTCTCAGTCTATCGCTTCCGATCAATATAGTCAATTATTTTCGTTCTATCCGGTCAATTCCTGGGGTTCCAGAGTCGCGCTCGTCATATAATGCCACGTGAAGGCACTCGGGGAAGATTACGATCGCATGAGGCCTGTCTGAATTGCAGGTAAGTGAACATCATTAATACATGGATGCTCAACATCATGACTCTGACGTCCCATAGGAGGAAGAAGACTCGTTGTCCTGCTGAGAAGCCAGCCTGTTCAAGCTGTGTTCGCTTGAACCAGCAATGTCTGTACACAGCCGTGCCAAGAGGCTCTCGCAGTGGCCCTTCTGTATGACCACGATTCCGAGGAATCTAATGAGCATAGTACTGACCATTCTAATAGGCTGATAGACTCGCTTATTTGGAGGAAAAGGTCAATCTTATCTTGAACGGTGGCAGGTACACATCCCTTCATTCAGAAATGATTGCCTAATTCGAAAGCTCTGACACTTTTGTCAGGTCACTTCCTCAGGAACCGAATCATAGTGGAAACAACAATGAAGCTGCTGATACAACGTACTCGGCAGCTTCTTGTCCATCATCGGCCGACTTTGGTCCCTCTCTCAATGATCCATTCCTTTTGGGAATGGGGTTCGAAGACTCGAAGATCAACCCGTCTTCCAGAATCTCCCAGGCAGTGGATCTTTACTTTCAATACTGCCACAGACAGCCAATATGGTGCTTTGATCGTGAAGAAGTGAAAGACACGAGTTACATCTCAGAAGAGCTTGTGTGTAGTATTCTAACTCTAACCTCACGTTTTTCACAAGAGCGCGATGAGTTACAGCATTATGGCGATAGCGCTCGGACACTCGTCATGCTCCGGATTGCCAATGGCACTGTAGAGCTTGAAACGATAGAAAGCCTATGTTTGCTCTCGTTCTCGTCTTTCCTCGGTATGTGGCAATCTTCTACTAGAACAAAGTTGAAGAACTAATCATTTTCTAGATGGAAATGGTCATCTGGGAAGGTTCCATCTTAATCTAGCTCTCCAGCTTTGTCGCTCTGCGATGCTAGACCTCCACTCTACTTATGGCATTGAATGCCCCTCCGCTGAACGGAAGAAAAGACTCTTCTGGAGTTTGCAATGCCTGGAACAAGCATATGGCCAAATCAATGACATTCTCAGTGTACCGTCAGAAGTCTTGCGTTCCTTTTACGTTTCAACGGGTGATGACCGGGAGCTCTTAAAGAACCTTGACACGAGTCCACCACCATTACCGAACGATGACATTGGGTGCACCAGCTCATCCGACCTTGGAATCTGGAATTTGGCCTTGCATTTTGGGTGGGTCTGGAGCAGAGTGCGATCATACATTTTTGACTGCGCTCAGAGCCGCTTGAAAGAGCCATGGAGGCATGACTCTCTGTACGCCATGGTACTATCCGACCTTACGGAGCTGGAGAATAAACTTTCACCGTGTCACCGATATGACTCGGTCAAGTTTTATGAGCGCAGGGCCGAGGAGCTCAGAGCTCATCGGGAATACTGGGCCCCTTGGTTGAAGCTGCAGTTCACCTATCATTCCATCTTGACGGTCCTCAATCATCCATTCCTCTACATTGTGGCATCTCAATACAACCACAACTTGACGATCCCCAACACGTTCTGGAGGAGATCATCTGAGTTGGTCCTACTTCACGCTACCTGGATTGTTCGACTTATCGACATGGTATCTGAAAAGAAGATGCGACTGATCGACCCATTTTTCGGACACGCTGCCGCAATTGCCGCGACGGTCCATCTTTACTACTGCTGTGCCTCCGATCCAAGATTGAAGTTCAAATCAAAAACGGACTTTGCAAAATGCAGAAGATTTTTGAAAAGCTTCGTGTCCTTCTCCCCCGCCTGTGAAAAACTGGTATGTTGCAACCACACGAGAATGGACCGGTAATCTCAATACTAACAACCCTAGAACCAAACGCTGGACAAAATGACTCGCATTGCGTCTGGCTCCGAGAAGGTGGACATTGACTGGGAACCGTCAAAAATACACCTCAGTATTCCTCTGATGTGGGAGCTTCTGCAAATAAACTGCACCCCAACTTCACAAGAGACATCCACCGCTGGCTTGCTACACCCTTCCCTCAGTCCTGCCGTATTTCCAGAAGAAGTTGAAAACCCATCATCCACTCTTGAAATCATCGTTGCAATGTCCCCCGACATTACTGTCAATACCGCTGATGGAGGATCCGCCGCCCATATGCCACCTAATTTACCACCACGCGTCGCTACGGCACCTGCATCGCCAGCAAGCACAACTATGGCCGAAAGGCTCGTTGCGCCCGCCGATAGTCTAATGGCCAACACGCCTTGGCTTTGGACCGAGCCTTTACAGTTCATTGATATGGATAACCTTGGCTATCCCGAGTCAGAGTCCACGATGGGCAATGTCGACGGATTTTCCACTTGGTGGGATTTTGGAAACTTATAAGAGTATTATATTCATTCATCCATCTCTATTTCTCACTTGGCGAGCATTTCAGGTCCACAAAGATGATAACCAAAACAGTCTTCAAGATCTCATAAGATCCTAAGGCAGCTAAGTTACTACACTAGCTTCGACCCGAAGCAAGTCCATAACAATTACTGCCCAGATGTCCCCCACGCGATTCAAATCCCCCATCCAATCTATGCCGCCGCGACCATTTTCAACTTCTCCTGCAACGCAGCAAAATTCCTCTTCATCGCACTCTCGGTAAACTGGGCCCCGGTCACCATTGGATACTTTTTCAACGGCCCTTGGATCAACGCGTCCTTGCAGGGCTGATTGAAGTATGCAATGCTGTATCGGTCCCCAAAATAATCCCCAGACTCACACGGGGCCTTAACCCGGTGGAACGTCGACTTGAACCGATCATCCGACCACGACATGAGCAAGTCCCCAATGTTACACACGATTTCCCCAGTCTTCGCCTCCACCTTGGTCCATTTGTCTCCAATGCCGAACTCGGTAACGGATTCCCGACCGGGACAAATCTCCAGCCCACTCTGCCCTTCTTTCTGAAACAGTAGAGTCAGAAAGTCCCAATCAGCATGTGCCCCTGCGCGATGATACTCTTTCCCATAGGCTTCCTCCGGCAACGCAAAGTAATGAAGTAACCGCATGGTGGTTTGAGAGTCCGACCGCGACACATCGTGACACTTGATGAAGAAGTCATCCGGGAATCCCAGGCCCCGAGCAAAACACCGCATAAGAGATTCCGATATTTGTTGCACGCGATGCATAAATGCCAGAGCGGTGGTTTCGAACCCCGGGAGATGCTCGTCAGCGACCCATAATCCCTTCATGTTGTCTCCGAATTGAAGTTGATAGGACTCTTTGCTGTCTGGCTTGCCGGTTGATGGTCGGATTTGTGAGTTCTTCTCCCATCCGACATTGTTGGAATTCCACGGTACGGTCGCTTTGGCGTCGTCAGGTAGGTCGAAGAAGCTCTTTGAAGTTGAGAAAATAGAGTCGATGTCTTCCTTGGAGATCCCATGGTCGATCAATGTGAAGAATCCCACATTTTGGGCCGCGTCAGTCAGCTCTGCCGTAATGGCGTCGATTCGGTTCTCGAAATCGGCGAGGGAGATTTGGGGAATATGGCGCTCGACGTATTGAGTTTGAGACATCGTGCTTGTTTTCGTGATGATCGAGATTAGGTGAGTCGAAGTCCGTCGGTACCTTTTGATCTTTCTAGCACAAACACAAGGATGCGACCGGTTCAGTCATATATAGACAGTCGTTGGCTGTGACTTTTGCTCAACGCGCCGATCCCTGTATTTCTTATCTCCAGCCTCGGCCGACCCCCTCGGCCGAGCTCTTCATTCTTGCAGGTCACCCTCGATGCCCTCCAAACATGATTGACCTTGGGATAATTCCTACACATGGCTCTACATGTCTAACTATTTAAAATTACCTGTCAGGATTAGAACATGAGATTATTTCTATTTACTTCGTAGAGGGGCGAGTTGTTGCTCGAGAAGGCTTCGGCCGAAGTCGTTAACAATAACATTTGGGCCTTGCAGGCTTGAGCGACCGGGAATAATTATCAAATTTCCATTTTCTGTAGTTTGATTCGTCAAATAATGTTCTAATATCCAAAGACCCCGTGTCCCCCCTTCGACGTATCTGTAATGGAGGATAGGGATCAAATAGAGTAGTTTACAGATAAGAACCTCCCCAGTTTGCTGCGTAATCGCGTAAAACCGCCAACCTCCGAGGCAGCAGATAAGACAATCATATCATAGCCTCTGCTCTTCTACTTCATCCATACCCAATTCAAAGGCAAAATGAGCAGCGGTATTCACCGAGCACGTCTAGCATGTGTCGAATGTACGCGTCGCAAAGTCAAGTGCGACAAGATTCTTCCATGTCGTAATTGCACCAGAAAAGGGTCTCGATGTACTCGGCCGCGCGAGCGGGACTCTCCGAACCCGAGCATTTCTCAATCCGAGGGACGAAGTGAGCGCGAAATCCTAGCACGGCCGAGCGTGGATGCTTCCAGGACCATCGAAATCCTTCAAAACAGAGTTGCCCAGCTGGAAGCCTCACTCAGCGAAGCTAGGAACTCGCTACTTCGGCCGCGAACATCCGCGCTCGATGCTGAAATACACGATGCCACTTTCTCGCCGGCCGAGACAATATCCGTCGACCGTTTGACTGTTCCCACACATTACTCGGTACACGTTGAGTCAGATACGAATCCGAAAGAGATAGAAGATGCTGCAACAATACTAGAATTTTTGGCTTGGGGTCGTCGCAAAGATCCGACCTACCAGGATGAGATTGTTAAGCGAAACAACTTGGATCATTCTCCAGGGGATGTACCCGCTGACGATGAATGGGACGACATGCGCATGCCAGGACCTCCGGTCGCTGCTCTTTGTCAAGCACTGCTTCCCACGAGACAAAAGGTTTACCAACTTTCCAAATACCACTGCGAGTGTCTGCTCTGGTACCATGGAGCTTTTCATGCAGCTACCTTCCTACAGGAGCTAGACGAATTCTACGAAAAGGCAAATGGGAAAGTAGAAAATCCTGGAGTTAATTTGCAGTGGATCTCCTTCTTGTTCGCAGTGCTCACGGGATCGATGGCGTGTGCACCAAGGTCGACTGCCCAGGCATGGGGTTTCCGTGAGCGAGAGCGAGATACTTTATCCAAGCGGTGGCTGAAAGCCTCAATAACATGTTTACATCAAGCTGACTATATGGCAAACCATTCAATCTACTCACTCGAAGCCATCGCCAGTCTCACCATCTCAGCGCACATGCTCGGCCATTCCAATGGTTTCTCCGTGCTATTGGCATCAGCTGTGCGAATCGCCCAGGGGCTTGGGCTGCACCAACTCGGAAACGATGATAATTCACAGTCAATTGATTCGGTGAAAAGAGAGATTGGTCGCCGCGTTTGGTGTCAGCTTTGCCTCCAGGACTGGTTTTCCATTCCATACACCGAAAGCTATTTGATCCATCGATCATGTTTCACCACAGAGAGGCCGCTAAACTGCGACGATGAGATAAACGATCTTTCAGAGAACCACCCTACCGTAACGAGCCACTCACGCCTGAAATACAAAATTGCTGCATTAATGCCAGACCTTCAAGATGATATAACCTCGTGCAATACTCTCTACACCCGGTACGAAGAGGTGCTCAAATATGATCGTCGATTACGAACCCTGGCGACTCAACATTTACCATACTACTTACAAAACGTTCCCTTAGACCCATCGTGGCCATGCTACGTAAAATGGGCTCGGCGAAGTCTAGCTATCAGCTCTGCTCATAAGGTGATCATGATTCATAGGAAGTTTCTAAGCCTGAGCTTCGTCAATCCAATGTTTGAGTTCACTCGGAAGACCTGCGTGGCTGCATCAAGGACAATAATCAAAGAGCAAAAAGAAGCTACACGTAACGGGGGACCTATGATATGGATACATCAAGCATTTAGTGTCACGGCAAGCGTAAGTGGTCCGAATTCACCTCTTCGTAACCGAACTAATCAACTGATTATTTGAAGATCATACTATGTCTAGACATGTTCCATCAACCTCACCCAGACCGTCAAGCCTCCGAGCATCGGCAGCTTATCGAAGACGGAATTGAAATTCTATCACATTGTGATACCGATATGATCGCTCGACGAGGCGTATCTCTTCTCCGGGCAATGCTCGAAGCTGAACAGAACCAACCTCGAGAAAGGAGATTTGTGGGTGAACCAGCAGAATCACCTCTTCTACGTGACACCGCCCCTCGAGAAAACGGCTTGGACATTGCAGCCATTATTCAGACTTTTTACCGGCAAGATCGAGCGAGTATTACCGAGCACTGTCGACCAGCCCTTGGAGGGCCATCTCTTTCAAGAACTACAGGGCATAGTCGTTGGCCTGATCTATCAAATGATATCTCGGGGATTATGCCCGGTGTTGATTTGATGATGCCGTCGGGCGTTGATTATGCGGAGGGCTTAGATGACATTCTGAGCTTGGCAACGAATTATCTTAACTAGAGAAAGGATTGCGCGATGGTTACACGACAAATCTAATTTGTTGAATTCATTTTCTTACAAATATGCACCTTTTCAATTTCAGTGCGTAGTGGTGAAGGGGTATATCGAAAGAACCAATTAAATGACATATGTGTTGGTGAAGAAAATGAGGGACCTGCCCGTAAGACAAAGTGTTTGATATGCTCTCCTCGGAATTCAAATGCCCACGAAGCCCCAGAAACCCCAGGGTCTTCATGGTGACTGGATTGAATTTTATTCCGTCTTGCGAACCTGCGTCACTGGAGCTTGATAGACAAGGCGACCATGGCCAAGGTACTGGACGATAGCGAAAATCACCACGACTCCAAAAACGAGAATCGACCAGTTCATATCTACCGGCGTGGGGTTCGCGGCGGTCGGGAAGAAAGTGAAGATGATAGCGAAACAGAGATACGCCACAGAGAAAACATTGATAGGCAATCCGAGCGCTCCAAGAGAGAAACGAGAAGGAGGGATTCCACCGGGCTGGAATCGAGCTCGAATGAATGCACCAATCGATAAGATATACGTGGTAAATAGTGCAGCGATCATGACAGATGCGATCGCGTTAAAGGCAGCAGTAGAGCCGATGTTAATCAAGCTCAGCAGCAGGGTGATAATAGTGGAAACAAGAACTGAGGTAACTGGGATCTGAGTACGACGGTTGACGTGGGCTAGAGAACGAGAGAATGGGAGGGCGTTATCACGGGCAAAAGCAAAGGTCTGTCGGGAGGCAGTCGCAAGGATACCAATCGCACTGCAAACTTCCATGACGAGAATTATTGCGGCCACGCCATTTGTAGCAGCTACGGACCCTGTCGCATGATGGACGGCTGGGATGAATGAAAAGCTGCTCGGTGGGTTAAGAACATCGGCAATCTCGCCCATGTTGTACAAAAGAGTGACAAGCATGACGAATCCTAGGCCACCATTGATCAGGGCAGTAGACACCATGCACCATGGAACAACAAGAGCCGCATTTTGAACCTCCTCTGCTACTGGAAGTCAGCATTGCGTGTACCTCAAACAAGTGCATCCTCACTTACCCATATGAGTTGCAGCATCGGGCCCTGTCCAAGAAAAGATGGGAGTAAGCTGGCCCACTAGACACGCCAGACCCATGCTTGCCCAGCCACCCTCGTTGCCGAACACAGTCCACACTTCAGATGACGGGGCCTGGCCGGGCGACATCACCCACATTGGCACCAGGACGGCAACGAATCCAAAGATGTGAAGGCCCAGGATGATGCCCTCCAGTGGAGGCAAAAACTTCGCGCCGTAGGTGTTGACCAATGTGCCGACAGCAGCGATCGCCATTGTCAACAGGGTTCCATGCCAGCGCTCATAGCCATAGATATATCCCTCAGGGCCAGAGTAGTTGAACACGAGAAGACCCTGGATCAGGGTTCCACAGAGGAAGCAAATGCTGGCGAAGGCCGCTTGCCACCCCAGAACGGACAGCCACCCTTGACGGTATCAGAAACCATGTGCGAAAAGAAAAAAAAAATTGAGAAGCAGTCTTCCTACCAGTCAGATAGCTCAAGAACCGTTGCCAGCGCGGAGCCGCGAATTCGCTGACCCAGTGATATTGACCTCCGGAGGTTGGGGCGCTAAGTATGAAGTCATTAGATCCAGTCCAGCTCCCGATTGAACAATAGTATAGCCAGAGACATACATCGAAGATATCTCTGCCATAGAAATAACAGATGCGAAAAATCCCACAAACGACGCGAGATAGACATAGACCATGCCGGCTCGCCCACCATCAATCAGGCCATAGGTACTCGTGCTGCGATCGTAACATTTCCGGTCAATACGACAATTGCGAGGATGCGACCGCGACCAAGACAATCACTTCAGCTTACAGAAGAATAGACTCCCACGAGGCCATCAACGTCGTTGTGAATCCCAGAATCGAATAGAATTTGAAGTTTCGCTGTGGCGGGTCAGCCCAAAGCGCCATCCCCCCGCAATCAACCATACGCGACCGACCTTAAACTGCTGGGCTTTCCCCAAACGCTCCATATCTCGATCATCCTGGGAATTCGCATCCAGGCCGACCTCATGGGCCAGAACCTCCTTGCCACCCGCCATAATCTGCAGTGGTTTGCATATACACGCAGAAAGACCAAAGGCTCAAAGTAAGCAGAGACAGGGAAAAGAAAAATTGGAGATCATCGGAGCAGGAAAGACGAGTGTTAAGGGGCGTTCTTGGAGAGACCTCGCCGAGCACCAATCACAGACTCGCGACCGAGATGCTCGACGAAAGTGGAGATTTGGAAGATGATCAGAATGCGCCCGTCGAAAAAAAAGGGCTGCTCTCCCGCTAGTGCCAGCGCCACGACGCATCTCCAAGTTTCCATTGCTAGCTATTGGCGCTGCTAGTTTTTGACCTTCCTCATGAAGGCTGGTCTTGAGCCGTTTTGTTGCATCCTTGAGCTTCTTTTTGCACATGATCTACATCAAGGACGCGTTTAACTGGGCCGTTCGCCCGCACGACACCCTCAATCAGCGACTGGCGACCGATACATGGAGTGATAAGCGTTTGATAACACTGTTCTCTGCTACGGCCGTGGGACGGTCAAAGGTAGCTCACAGACCAGGATATGCATATGCAACCCTCCTCTTCATGCATCATCGGAGCAACGCATGGTCGCAACATGGCGTGATCGGCACGCTATCATCCCTATTTGGGCCTCACGGTCGCAGCCAGTGGAGAAACCATTGATCTTGGAACATCCTGGAAATAGCGGGACCTACCGCCAGCCACTGTCTCAGGGAGAAGAAGGTTTGAAACAGGATCCCGACAGGATCCCAGCGGAAGTTAAAAAGAGAGAAGGCACTGCAGAGTAGTACTGGGCCTCGACCACGGGCCGGCGGGTCTGCTGGTTAAGCCTATTGAACTCATTTTTGAGATTAACCACAGCTGATACCGGTGTCAATACTATCGAGAATACCTATAACCTAAGTAGATGCAACTTAGAGTGGTTTGAAGTGAGTGAAGTACTGGAAAAACCCCTCTCTCGAAACCTAACGGGTTTAGCTTCTAGATTACTCTAGGCGGCCGAAAGTGAAGCACTACCCTTAAATGCTTTCAGCATCTGGGCCCTCTCTTAAATTATCGACCTGAACCGTATACTACACACTGCAGTTTAGTTTTGTCAGGCTGGACTGCCTTCACAGAACTTTCGTCTCATTAGTATAAATGTCTGTTCGCTTCAGTTTATGCAGCGACCAGAGCCCCGTAATAACAATTTTGTCTTCTTCCTAGGACGAAGACCTTCCGTTCTTCTGCCTTAACAGCATTCCAAAATAACTCCAAACCCAGCTTTTGGTAGCCTGGTAAAAGAGGTGGTTGGTCGAAGCTTTTCCCAGTGCAGGTGTCAGATGCAGCTGCGAGCCAAAGAGATCATGGGGAAAAACTGTTCCGAAGAAGAAAAAGGAAAAAGACCATAAGATAACCTAAAAACGGCTAGTAAATATATGCGGTCCTGGAGATATCTAGGAGTGAACCCCCGAGAGGAAGGTTCTACCACCTATGGAGGAGAAACTCCTTCAACCTCTTTTTTGAAAAGAATTGTAGTGGGAATAGTGGAAGATGCGCTGTCTAGGAGACAAAGTGTTTACCACAAACCGCGGACAGAGCTTGAGGGGCTTCATCAATCAAGGCGAGGGAAACGCTTCCATCATCGTGAGGATCAATAACCAAGGCGAAGGCGCCTGCTTGCCTAACTACTATGAAAATCCTGAAGGGAGGAGACAGAAGAGAATGTATGTACGAGCGATGTATAGGGAAACAGGCGAGGGAGAGAGACAAGACTTGAATAAGTCTAGGTATACCTAGGCTACTAATCCCCGATATACACTAAGTTGGCAGGGTCGCTGTTTCATGCGTTTGGATATCGCTAACGGGATGTTGTTTTGCAGTACTTTTCTGAATTCTCCGAGGCTTTTGTTGTAGGCGGCGGTGAAGGGGTCACTTAGTCTATTTTGCGTGGCTGGTGAGAGACATCTGAGAAGCTAGGTGCTTGGCGTTGCCTCTGGTCCCTGAGAGAAAATGCGGGGGAAATTCAGGGTCCAGGGCATGGACACTGTAAAGTAACAACATTACGGATCATGCCTATCTCGGATTTCCCTGCCCCAGTGAAACATTGACAGCTGCACGGAGACCACGTCGGCGCCGAAGAGCAGAAGAGCCGAAGAATTGAAGGCGCCCTGTCAAGCAGCCCAGGGAAGATGGCGCTTCTCTCGCTGCTCTATGTGATGACGACCATCGCAACGAGCGTCATGGCTACGGCGCTGACGACCCCATAGGTGCAGCCCAGCGGGTGTACTTCGGCCTTCCAGCTCACTACATCACGGCCAACTTCGATAACACGCTCACAGCAATCACTGTCCTCGCATCTGATGCCGCAGCCCCCAATTTCTCGGCCTGTCAGCGGTCAGGATAGGATAGTGGGAGCAAGACGGATCTTTTTACCTTCAGTCCAGCCGTCCGCCCCCAGGACTGGACGTACTACGAAATATCATCGACCAAGCGGTACTCAGCGGTGTACTGCTGTGCTAGGTATTTCCATGAGCCTCTTCATCTCATGATGTTATAATGGGTAGCTTTATACATTATCAAGGATAAAAAGTGAGGTCTCTAAGGGCGTTAAACCCTGACCATGTCTGACCCTTCCAAGATCTGAAATACTAGTAAACCTACCATCTCGGCGGCTCTCTCCATTTTGTATTTCGGCTCTCTAATTTCCCTTCCTCTCCCTCAGTCACTCTTTCTCCATCAACATCGCCATCAAAGCTACAGTTTGAATTTAATTCGCAACCAGTCGTATTGAAACCACCATCTAGGTCCTCATAAAACTCTTGAATTCGTCACCATCGCCATCAAAATGGCCGCACTACCGTTGAATCCAGGCTCGAAAACATCATGACAGGGGACACTGACTACCGGACCTTTTTCTCCATACCAAAGGAAGATATCACACAGCTCGCCGATGTATCCACTATTTACGACCTCAATCCCCTCAGTATGCCGATTGACCGTACGAAGATGAGACTCTGGCTGGCCGATGCCGAGCGAATCTTGAGGCAGCAAAGCCTCGAGAAATTCCTTGACATCAAAATCCCACGGCCGAAGAAATCCTCCCCTGAAGCAGTTAGGTGGATGAGAACACCCGGTACATCCAGGTCTGGGTTTTTCACGGACTTTCCTTTGAAATTGCTGACCGGGTCGTGTCCCGAATGTATCACATCGACTTTACAGACGAGCTCGTGTATAATTTGAAGCAGGAGTTCCGTGGGCTTTAATGCTGCAATTTATAACTGCGAGGCATTTCTTGGCCTTCAACCCTCTGATTTCTCTTCTGCGGCTGAGTATGTCGCTGCCCTGCGGGATGGATGGGCAACGGTAGTTCAAAGAACCATCATCCCTGCTATCATGGTCATTGTGAAGCTTCTCAAGGACCTGGCGACGAGTACCCTGAATTGGTTTCCTCTCGTCGTCAAATTTTCCAAAGTACATTTACAGATCCTGAACATTACCCCAGGTGACATGAATAGGATCTTCAGAGACGTCCTTGCAGAGCTTCGTTAATAAGTGAACTCACACTCCGCTTGCTCTTCTCTCTTTTCTTATCATTCCTCGTGAACAACTCAATAGACTTGTTTTCTAGACCCATTCTCTTCATTGGTTCTTGATGCGCTGGTGCCTGTAAACACAGTCTTCCCCTTTGCACGGTGAATAAGAAGTCACTTGGCTCCTTATGTCGCGTCACGTGCCAATGTTCTCGTGACTTGGAAATTCCTTTAGGCATGCACGTGACATCTCTCCCACCGCTTGGCAAAATCGGCAGGTGCGACCGGCAAATTTCAGAACCTGCCTCAGGCGGCAATTGCCCGCTTAGTCATAGACTATTGCCCCCGTTCCCCGCTGCTTCCAAGATACTGGAGATTCCCAAAGGCCGGCTATTGTTTGAAGTCCTGTGGCTTAGATCTACTATCAGAATTGCAAATTTTCTCCTTTAAGATCTACATCATTTATGCAGGAAATTGTGTAACGCGCTCTATTAGCAAGGCTAATGTTTCTGCATCGAGTTAGGAAGGGTAAGGAATATATCCTGGTCGAAGTCGATACCTACGGTGATATATATTTCTACTCCTAAGCACCGAGTTCTACTCAAGCAGTAGGAATTTTAGGTACGATTCATATGCAGTCATGACCCGACAAAACCTTAGGTCGGACGGATGACTCGACGACAGCAAGCGGAATCTTACTAGCACTATAGTTATTTCTATCCATCCGAACTATATGCTGGCAAAATGGATCAATTGTTGAGTATTGACAGGCCGTCAATAATGATGCGACCGGCCTCAGTAGGGGGTCTCCACTTCCACTTAAAGCCGATTACAAAGTCACGATGGTCAGTGCGGCAATGGTTAGTCTGGTTACAACATGCTCGGGTTTAACCTAACCAGGCTCTCTAGACCGAGCGTTGTACGCGAGTGCACGATAGGTAGGCCGTTATTAGCGAATGAGCGAATGGTATTGCACGATGTTACTATCGAAGAAGACACCCGACCTATGTATCTACCCTGAATAGATGAACTACGAATGAGCCTTGGCCCGAAAGTATTGCCTAAAATGGGCGAGTTTTCGCGGGCTTCAGTGTGTTCGTTCTCGTACCCTCTGCCTTTCTGGGCGCGAGGCCCACCGCACCAAGAAAGGGGACTCGCGGTGGACAGGCAAGGCTCCGCTCTTCTTCAGGGTCAACTTTTCGGGGTCTAACCCTTCTAACAGTGCAATTCGTGTTCTACTATTCCAACGACAAGGTCAAAAGGAAGCAAAGATGACCGTATCTCACAATCAATCGTATCAGCCAACACAGATCTACCAGCGGGAATGGCGTCTTCTCGAACCGCCAAAACTACGGATAGTCGGAAACTCGGCAGATGGCTGATGAGCCGTCAAATGAGCACATTGACGTTATCTAGATCTGATTGGATCCAGGGGTATAATATAGTCCACAACCAACCTTTTGTGCGCCACATGTCGTTGCTGCGACGGAGGACGCGTGGGCTCGTGGCGCTGCGGTTATTGGGGCTTGGGTAGGGGGCCCGGCGGGGGTCTCGAGAAAATTGAAGTCCACAGCTTTCCAACTGATCGTCCTTACTGGCTGATTTTCGGTGGGTGTTCTCTCGAACCTCGAGCCAAGAATATTTTACGGAGTCGCCAACGCGCCCGCCGGCTAATTGTCTTCCCCGTTGGTTGGTTCTATACGCAATCCCGGAGGCGCTACCGCTCCACCTTCCTCTTGGCAGATAGGAGTTTTTATATAGGAAACCTCCAAATGTCCGAATTAGCACGCGCGTCCAGAGGGGATCCCACGCTGTTTTCAAGCTAAGAACATCCTTTCTTGCGGGGAAGCGCTCGTCATGGAGTCTCTCGTGGTGGCTAGTGGGACGTTGGCGCTAGAGAGACGACAAAAGTCATATAACATAGGGAGTCCAACCTCACAGTTTTCCACTTCTCTTCTGATGCTCTCTCTCCGGATGGTAACTACGCTTCTTTACGCCCAAAGCTTTCCACTACCCCGTTAAGGACCGCGATGCGCCAATGTCCTTGCGGACTTCTTCCGCCTCCCTGAGCCTGTGCTTCTGGCCTGGCAGCAGAGATCGGACAAACGTACCCGGTCGCCGTCGCTTGATATCTGCCGTCATTGCTGCCATTGGAGCCTTTGTTCTATTCTACCTTTACGCGGTACCCCAGCTCAAGAGGTTTCGATTCCGCTCCGAGTTGAGCTGGTATGATCTGGGACTATATGGGTTCGGACCATCCCAGAGTTACATCTCCTTCGACGAGGAATCCCCAATCGTTGAAATCTCACCACCTGGAGCACAATGCGATCCACGATATACTTTTCTTGCGCCACGAGGCGACTCGGTGGCACACCCGGGGCCCATGATCTTGGATGCTCGGGGTGAGTTGGTGTGGATGAAATACAATTGGGGCACCACGCAGGACTTTAGAATTCAGCGCTATAAGGGCCAAGACTATGTCACATACTGGCAAGGTGACGAGGAAGATGGACATGGCCGTGGATCATGGTATATGGTAAGATCAAAGACGGACAATATACATGGAAGATTTACTGGCAGCTAACATGCGACGGTTACGATAGCTCGACTCAACATACGCCACCAAATACATCGTCTCCCCCGTTGGCGCCATGGATGGCGATCTTCACGATTTCCACATCACCGTAAATGATACGGCTCTGATTACGATATACGACCCGATCCCGGCCGATTTGACGTCCGTTGGTGGACCGGAACTTGGATGGCTGTACGAGGGCGTCTTCCAGGAAGTTGACATTGAGACAGGAGAGCTCCTCTTCGAGTGGCGCTCATCCAAATTTTTCCCACCCAGCAGCAGCTACGAGCCAATCAACGACCGGGGTCATGAACGAACCCTGGGCTATGACTATTTCCACATGAACAGTGTCGACAAGGATGACCAAGGCCGCTACCTGGTCTCGGCACGGCATACCCACTCCGTCACTTGTATCGACGGATCTACTGGCGAGGTGCTTTGGACCCTGGGTGGCAAGGATAATGAATTCTCCGACGCATCGAATGGGGCAGCTACTCAATTTGAGTGGCAGCATGACGCGCGCTGGCATGGTCCCAACCAGATCACGCTTTTCAATAATGCTGCCAACGGCGATTACGATCTGCAAAAAATCAGTCACGGCGCCTTGATCGAGTTAGATATTCCCGCGCGCCAAGCGACGTTATTGACCAGCTACAATCACCCCCAAGACCTGATGGCGACCTCGCAGGGCAATCTACAGGTTCTTGACACGGGGAATGTGCTTGTCGGTTGGGGTCACAGTGCTGCATATACGGAGTTCTCTCGCGAGGGCGACGTGCTATGCGATGTTCACTTTGGTGCATCGGCGTATTTCTCTTTTGGCCGGATTGTTTCATATCGCGTTACCAAGGGTGATTGGATCGGTACGCCGGACACTTTGCCTGACGCCGCGGTCGCCGATGACAGTGTCTTCGTGAGCTGGAATGGCGCTACCGAGGTTGTCTCTTGGCGACTTGAAGTCTGGGACGGCGCAGGGCTGGAAAATATGGTGTTTACAACGGTGGATGAAGTCGATCGTGATGGGTTCGAAACCGAGATCCCGCTACATCCCGAAGTTACCACCTTCTTCCGAGTGTGTGCCATCAACGCCGACGGTGATATACTCAGTACAACCGAAATCCTGCAACGCGGTCCCTCCTCAGCAAGAGGAGACTTCTTGACAGTCCATTGGGGTGTAGTCGTTATTGCGATTTTCGCATCGGTCTGTCTCGTTTGTGGCTTGTATTGTGCTGTGAATCGTCAGTTGCGACGGCGCCGGTCCGATGCCTACGGGCTGTATCGATTGGTCGTGCATAAGGATGAAGCTGAGAATGACTCTGAACATGACCGTCTGCCGATTTAGCGTGGGACGCCGGCGTCCTTGATACCCAATTAGTTGCATTTTTTTATATAGAATTGCGCAGTTTTATCGTTTTGCACATATCGAGTTCCTTTTCAAACCAATATCTTCCAATATCATCCTGCTTGAAATGTTTCCTGTAAGTATTGCGAGTGTTCGAGTGTGTTGAGTGAGAGACATTTGCATGGGGAGCGAATTAAAGGAGGCTTGAGGCCCTTGTTTCACGACGAAGACCCTGCTGCTTCTTAGTACGGGAAATATGTATAGGGGGGTACATCTGATAAGCCGATGTCGGATCCCCCGAGATTCCCGGGCCATACAAATTATCTTCAAGTGTGTCTTTCTCTTGATTGGTGCACATGAGATGTTAAATGAGGACCATATGACATGCCACATGCTCTCGAGACCGAAACATTCCGCGCCCAACCTCGCGTCGAAGCGAGGGGAAGAGAATGCAACTTGGCGGCATTTTCCGCGATCGGCTTGGCGGTCTTTTTCCCGTTCGCTCATTGAAGCGATCCACTTTATTCCGACACAGCCATTTTGTGTACTCAACACCAGCGCTGCGATCGCGACCACGACGTTGACTATACCACAACCACCCAAAAAATTGCGAACCCGAAACTTGCAAACACAAAAAACTGAGCCCATCCGGATTTCACGGAAGAAGGGAATTCCCCTCTCTTAGCGAAAAAAAATTCGACCAGCGTGGGACACGAGCGCCACCAAACGCCACCCCACACCAATGAGGAACAAGACCGACGAGTAATCTAATCAGATCCGTTTCATCCACAGCTGAGAAAATTCTCCTTCCGAGCCCATTGGGTCCATCATTTATTCGAAGCTGTCGGACAGATTGAGACTACAGTAAATTGTGCTCACAAGGAACTAACTACCAGTCCGTTCTAGGATTCCATTGGGGAATTTACTTTGCCAAGAATGATTTGGCCAGGTACCTACTCAAAGCGAGTTCCGCCATTATTGCCTCTCGTATTATTTACCACATCTGCCCAGGTCCCTTCTGGCGCCGGGAGGAAAACAAAAAAAAATTTCTGTTGGCGTGGATGGGGTCCACTCCACAAGCTAGTAGGAGGACCGCGAATAACGAAGAAAGTTATCAGATCCTTGCCTGACCATGGATCAGCCCCGAGACGGCACCGAGACAAAACAAAATCAGTCGTCACGGGCCCCAATTATTCGGAGCAAAAAAGCGAGTAACACTGTGTATTTGCCATCTGGTCTTTCTGGCAATTGTAACGGAGGCCTTCGGGTCTAAAATGACCGTTGAGTTGCCACGTTATGTCGGACCCACGATACAAGCACATACCAAGCACATACTAAGCACATACCAAGCAATACCAAGGCATGGGATGGGGACAAGCTAGGCGCTCTTGCCGCGCCTTGCACGGCATATGTCTATCATACTGATCTCCTTGGCACGGCATATTCCATTGCGTGGTAATGATAATAATGCGGACTAGGACCTCCATCAAGTCAGCCCTGCAATGTGGCCCCTTTGGGCTTCGATCCTTGGGAGTATCGCTTCGGCAATGTTAGGATCAGATAAGTGGGGGATGTCGGAGATTGCTCAGCCAGAAGCCATCACCACACACCGTTGTTACTTGCTTCCCTGATTAACCGACCTGGTAAAGGGCCCACAATGACGAGCACAAATGGGCTGTTGTTACCGACCTGATGTATTTTCCCATGTCGGCCTATGCTATTTGGTTCGTAGGATGCATTATTATCTTCCGGAAACGCCCCCATCTCGTAGAAGTTTTCAAGTCCGCTGACACTAGCACAGATCCCCGTCAACACGGGTCCATGCTCCAATGCAGGTAGTCGTCCCGGGCGAGTCGTCGTGTAGACATGCTGCCAAGAAGCCATTCGTTGCTTAGAAGGTAACAAAATCCACCCTCCTAGTCCACTCTAAGTTACTACAATATGGTTTATTGCTAGAACCACTCTCAAGTCCAGACGCTTTGCGTCCCTCGTGGAAGAAAAGACCCCGCCGGCACCACCGGTGACCGGGAGCATCGATTAAATTTCCTGTTTCGCCATAGCTACCAGCAAATCACGATGCGTGATCGAGCTATTCTCCGGTCCTCGGCTTGCGTGGCTTGCTGCTAGTGTCCCCCCGCTAACCCATTTTACGAGTTATCAATCAGTTCATCAGTACGGTACGTCGGCGGGTACCATCTGATTAGCGATGGTAGGGTTGATCTATGCAGTATAAGGTCAGAGATTTCCCTCTTGTGCTTGGGGCATTTCTGTTCATCCATTGTTATCACACTGTGAGATCTCCAACAAAATGGGGTTCGGAAACATCTTTCGCCGTAAGACGACTGAGGATAGCCTCACTCAGGTTGATGTGAACATGACCGAGGAGAGCAAGAGGGATGTTCCTGCTGATGGTGTCGCCGCCGAGAACAATGGTGCCGTCGACGCGGACCAGCCGGCCCAGACTCCGGAGGAGGAGCTTCACCGTGGTGTTCACGATATTGAAGCCATGACCCAAACCTGGTCAAAGGGAGCCTTGATTGCGGTCTTTTTGAAGTATGATCACCTTCCCATCCCGTCAGGCACGCGTCCTGAGGCATTGATCTAACAAATCCTCTCTCCTCATAGTATCTGGCTGCTATACTTCACAAATGCGTTCCAAAGCTCGATCCTCTACAGCTTGATCCCCTATATTAGCAGTCAATGGGACTCCCACTCACTGCTCAACACAATCTACATTGTCGGCGATGCGATTACTGCCGCCTGTTATGTTCCCCTGGGACGTATGATGGACCTTTGGGGTCGTGCGGAGGGCTTCTTGTTCATGACCATCTGTGCCACAGTGGGATTGATCATGATGGCCGCCTGCAACAACCTTGCTACTTTCTGTGCCGCCTATGTGAGAATCTCCAGCAATCAATTGCCAATGAAAGTAGGATTTAGGCGAGGCTAATCTGATCATAGGTCTTCTACTTGCTCGGATTCGGTGGTATGACTTACTGTGTTGACGTTATCACTGCCGATGCGTCCATGCTGAAGAGTCGAGGTCTGGCTTATGCCTTTACCTCCTCTCCCTACATTATCACGGCCTTCGCCGGCCCCAAGGCAGCCGACGATGCTCTGAGCGATAACGGTATTGGCTTGCGCTGGCCATTCGGAATCTTCTCCATCATCTTCCCGATCGTCGCAACTCCCCTATACTGCATCTTGAAGTACAACCTCCGCAAGGCTGTGAAGGAAGGTCACGTTGTCAAGGCAAGCAGTGGAAGGACGATTCTTCAGAGCATCTGGTTCTATATCATTGAGTTTGATGGTAAGTCAACGATCATTCCGCCAAGCATTCTAAGATGCTGACTAGAATTAGCTATGGGTGTTTTGCTCTTCTCCGCCGGTCTCGTCCTTTTCTTCCTTCCCTTCGATATCGCTGGTAGCGCTCCCAGCAGCTGGGAAACTCCGTACATCATTGCCATGCTGGTCGTTGGTTTCGTCTTGCTCTTCGTCTTCATCATTTGGGAGACCTGGATCGCCCCCAAGCCTTTGCTCCAGTACAAATTCCTTTTCAACCGTACTGTCATCGGTGCTTGCTTGCTCGACGCAACTTATCAGATTTGCTACTACTGCTGGGACAACTACTTCACCTCGTTCTTGCAGGTGGTCAACGATCTTTCCGTCGCTGATGCGGGATATGTTGGTAACACCTTTGACGTTGTGTCTGGTGTCCTGCTGTTGATTGTTGGTGTCGCCATCCGGAAGACTGGCCGTTTCAAGTGGCTCCTGTGGATTGCAGTTCCTCTCTACACCTTTGCTCAAGGCTTGATGATCTACTTCCGTCGCCCCAACCAGTCTGTCGGCTACCTTGTCATGTGCCAAGTCTTCATCTCTATCGGTGGTAGTGTGTTTATCATCGTTGAACAGATTTCTATCTTGGCCGCGGTTGACCATCAACACGTTGCTTCGGTGCTTGCCCTGCTTAACGTCGTTGGTACCGTTGGCGATGGTATAGGTGCGACCATCTCCAGTGCGATCTGGCAAAACACTTACCCGAACGCGCTGAGGATGTACCTCCCCGAATCAGCTATGGATAACTTTGAGAATATTTACGAGGATATTGACACCCAGTTGAGCTATGCTGTTGGAACCCCGACCAGACTTGCAATTCAGCGTGCGTATGGTTATGCTCAGACCAGAATGCTTGCTGTTGGTACTGGTATCATGGTTCTGGCCTTTGTTTGGACAATGATGATCAGAAACATTGACCTGAAGAAGGTGCCCCAGGTTAAGGGTATGGTGTTCTAAGAGCAAAAAACTTTTATTCATAGCAACATACACCCGGGATATCATTTCCATGCCATTGGTAGTGGGAGCCCAAAAACCTCTGGGATTTGCTGTATCTTTTATGATCTATCCTCTGAGACCTTGTTACTCATTTCTCTTCGATATTGATAATCCACCAATAATAATGTTCACACGTTTCATGCACTCTATCTACTCCACTGTAATTGGTGTAACCGCGGTGATCGCGGCTTTCTTGTCCTTGACGCTTTCCTCCTCTGACGGTATCGACATTGATGCCGAGCTGCTGGTTTCTGCAACGATCTCTTGGCGTTTATCCCACCACAGACCAATCTGAATTGCAGCAGTCACGACCACTTACGAGGAAAGTCAGTCATGAATACATGTAGGAATAAAATGAAGGGCGACCGAACTTACTTGATAATGCTTGTAGAACGATTGCCCAGAGATAGCCTTTCTTTGCAGCTGGGAAATCCGTGGTTTTCCATACGAAGTTCGGAGCCTGTTCATGTCAATCATGGATCCTCTTGGTTGATACGGTATGACTTACCACTGCTTGAACCACATATGCAAGGTCGTTCGCCATTGCTACAATCAAGGCTCTCTTCTCCGTGTCGTCCGAGCATATCTCATTAGTCCAACTGAGAATTAAAGGTCCGGCTCCGAGCTATCTGAAAGTTAGCGAAGATGGATTTTCGTAATCTCGCAAGGTACTGGAACTGACTCCGATGTTGCTTAGCCAATAAACAATCTTGCGACCCTCTATATTGCTGTACAATGGCATTTGCCTCAATAGCGCGCAGAACACAATCTGAAGAAATTGGAACGAGAAAGTTAGTAGAAAATTTCTAGAATTGGGGGTATCTTGGTAATACCGATATAACCGCTCCGACATAAACAAAAGGCCAGCGTGAGCCACGGCAAGGACCGTCCGAGAGCCAACCCCATATGAAGGCAATGATGATAAAAATACCGGTAGTGAGTAGCGGCACTAATTTATGTGTTAGGGTGACCTCTCACTCGCAAAACTTTGATTTGACATACAATTGTTGATCTGGGCAACTGAGAAGGAAGTGCCTGGGACAGGAGCGGGGTTCGCATTAAAGCTTTTCAACCAATATCCCATGCCAACCTGTGGCCAGCCGTTGTTCCATACGACGTAGAGCAAAGCTAAATTCCACAGTCAGAGAGAGCAAAGGCTGGAATCAGAAGGATGCGAGGAGGACATACGCAGTAGATAGGTATGCCAGCTCGAGAAAATTCGCCTAGCTTTTGCTTTAGTCCAGGGCTCTTTGCCGGCTCGGCCAATCTCTTGCATTCGTTTGACAGAAAGCTGGTGTTCCTCCTCGGTTATCCACCAAGTTTTCTTTCCACCTTGCGGTAAATTCGGGAAGAAGAAATAGCCAGCTACAGCAAGTGGCAGCGTGATGATCCCATCAATAATGAAAAGCCATCGCCAGCCTGCACGGCCTTGAACATCATTTAAATTGGTGTAGGCTGCTGCTTGCAAAAAACCACTGAATAGTTGGCCAATCGAGCCAGCCAGCCAGAAGATCATCGCGCGCTTGCCAATTTCCCGGGGTGTATACCACGACCCAAGCAAGTAGTGGATTCCGGGATAGAACCCAGATCTGAAATAAACGTTAGCCAGGTATTTGTGGTGTCTCGGGAGTATAATGTGCTTACTCGAAAATACCGACAAGAAAACGAAGCGCGTAAAGAGCCTGGTATGACTTCACACTAGACATGCAAATGACGGCTATGCCCCAACCTACCTCAAGCTATAGTAGCTGTCAGCATGATTAATATATCAATTCGAAATTCATGCTTACTGAAGGAATTACCCATCTGGGCGAGACTCTGGTCAGGAGTAAGTTGCAGGGGATTTGGCCGATGACATAGCCCACGGTGAAGACAGATGTACTTGTAACTAATTGATTGCCGTACATCTCCAAGTCTTCCTCCATGCCGCTAAGATAAGCATTGTTTACATTGTTAAGATCAAGATTCTTGAGAAAGTAGCCAATCTGTGGCAAGAGAGGGTGAGTAATGAAACAAAAGTAGTCAATCAGATCTTGCGAAAAAGGAGAGACCTACCGATGCAAAAGTAAGCACAAACGCATCCAACTTAAATAGTAGCCAACGTTGATCTCTCGGCAACTCCCATGTGTCCCAGAGGTAGCCTTTCCATGTTTTTATGGGTTTGACCAGGGTTTCTTGAAAGTGATTGGCCTCTGCGTCCACTGCCATGAGGAATATGCTCTGTAATTTTGGACATGGATATTGATTCTTCTTAAGTAGTTGCGCACGCAAGACATCACTCAATTGCTCTCTATAATCACGTCACTTCTCACTAGAGCCTTGAGATGTTTAACCAGGACAAAGTGGGCTTCGAAAGATAAGAGAAAGTCAGAACTTCGCCTTCCGACTTCATCATCCCGAATATGTATGTTAGTATGTATTGGGTCCGATAAAATCAAGATATCACAAAATCTGTACCGAACTTGTTGAATATCTTAAAATATATAATTTGAAATCGAGATAATCGTCGCGTTGGAAATATTTTTTTTGAAAAAAGGGTAACCAAGCTCAATGGCGCCATAGTATCCACGGATTAGAAATTAATGGACTAAGAGTTTCACGACCACGATATCCAGCGCGAAAACATTCATCCCGATGACGATTGATACAGGTCCAGATCCTCTCTCCATGAATCATATGGTAATGGAATATAATCCAAGCATCTCTTGGGAAACATCTCCGCTGCAAGGAGCGGGGTAGGCGGGCAAACTAGTGCCGAGTGCCATTTTGTCCTGTCACTTTCTTTATTTTGTCATCTGGCCCTGACAGTGAACACTTTCGCCTTTGACATATATTTTTCATTTTCCTGTTAATCATCTTCCGGGAAAACATGTTCTTAAAGCTTAAACTAGTTTGATGGTAAATACAGATATACGAAGAATGACGGGAAGGGTGTTAGACGCGAGGAAATTGTTTAACGTTGAAGTTACGAGGAAGATCCCAATAATGGAACACAGACGAATATTTTGAATGGATATTACATGGAATACGATATTAAAGACATAGCTGTAGGACAGGTTGACCCGCCTGAGCACGGATTTACCTGGCATCGGCAATAATAACCTCCGCGGCCTTCTCGCTGATCATGTAAATCGGAAGAGCGATGTAATAGCCAGGGATCTTGGGGAAGACCGAGGCATCGACGACACGAAGACCATCAACTCCACGAACTCGGAAGTCGGAGTCTAGAACAGCTTGTGAATCATTATCTTCTCCGATGGGAGCAGTGCAGCAAGCATGATGACCCCAAGCCTCCCGTTTAATGAAATCTTTCAATTCAGATTCCGTGGTAACGTTAGGTCCTGGCCAGACTTCTTCGAAGCCTCCATCAAGTGGAACGAGGTCCTCAAAGATTGTGCGAGAAAATTGCATGGCTTCATACACAGCCTGTAAGTCCTTCTCGTCGGAATCATTTGCAGTGACGCCCGCGTCAAAAGAATTGAAGTTGATGAGGGGCATGTCTCGAGGGTCGGTAGATCGAAGTTTCACAGTTCCAGCATTGTTGCGGCTGCGTGACTTCAGGGTAATCCAAGTCCAATGCTGAGCATCTTTGAGACCCTCATAAGAGTAGTTCGGGTAATAACCCGGAAAATTCGCAGGAGCCCCTGAGATGAGAAGATCTGGCTCGTCCTCCGCAACAGAAGACTTTCTAATGATGGCGATGGCGATACCATTGGTAGTGTATGTCCCTTTGAACAGGGGATCGTTTTCCCATTGCTCCAAGCATGGATCAGGAAGGGAGTACAAGAATGTGCACTTGGAGGTGAGAACAAAGTCGGTGGGGGATTTGCCAACGAGGCCAGTCTCGTATCGATCCTGAAGATTGGACCCCACCCCAGGCAAATCTACCAAGGTTGGGATCCCAAATTGAGACAGTTCCTCCTGTGGGCCAATCCCGCTCAGCTTTAGCAGCTGCGGGGTATTGAAAGAACCTGCAGATAGAATAACCTCTCGGGTCGCGTTAACACTACCCGGCGTGCCCGTGGAGGATGATGTTTGAGAGGCACGCGGATCTGCTCGATAAAGACTTTGACCAAGAAGGTAATCGACACCCGTAGCTTTAGGCTTGCTGCCAGTGGTATCAAAGCGAACCTTCGTTACTAGCGTTTTCAGTTGTATATCAAGGTGGTATTTGCGAGAGCCATCTGAGTTGACCGCATTCGCTGTCTTGAGAACAAAATCGCGTGGGCCAGTTCGCTTGTATTCAGGGACATCCACAGCAAGAGGCACTTGGTATGGCCCCTCATCATAGTCACGCGATGGCAGAGGATTGTTAAGATCACGTAACAGAACTCCCGCAAGCCCGGTGACTGTGGTGATCAATTTTCCCAGCAAACTTTGACCTGCAGCAGTCGCTCCTGCCAGAATCAAGGACAAGAGCTTTTGATCCTCAATAACAAGACGCAGGTCTGTCAGACTTGTTGTGAGCCAGCCGTCGAAGCCGTGGCCGACTAGACTGCTGGGCAGATATCGATTGCGCTCTAGCCTTTCAAAGTATTGACGCATATTTGCGGCAGACCAAGAGGTATTGCCTGTGAGGCTAGCCAAATTTTCCCAATCGTTTTCGTACGGGTAAATTGTGCTAGAGATTGGCGTGTTAGGGCATGATCCATTGGAACGGTGTGTAAAATTTGCATTGGCTGAATATAACTCACATCATAGCATTGTGGGCAGAGCATCCACCCAAGGTACCTGCCCGAGGGTATAGAATTCCTAAGGGCTCGGAGCCTGTAGGTGCATTTTTTCCAACATGGAGATCACCAGAGGGAGTCCGATAAGTCATCTTGGAGTCTTCCTCTTGTCGGGTTAAGTTCGAGTAGTGATTCACAAAATAATCCCACTTCATAGGCTCATATTCAGTTGACTGGAGCTGTAGAGCTGGAACTTGTTGCGTGGTGGCATTGCCTTGATCATCTCCCGCATCCAGAAGAAGGACACTGTACCCGGCAATGGCTAGTCTGGCGGCTAATGGGCCACCTCCTGGGCCAGAGCCGACAACAACATAATCGTACTCAACGCTCGTAGAGCGCCTATGGGCTTCATGATGATGATGAGATGACCTATGATTGCTACATTGGATGTCAGTTCCCGTCATCTGGGTTTGCATCAAGATATGAAAGTCAAGTTTCGAGGGCTTTTTATAGACTACTCACGAAGCTAGAGCACTTGGAAGGGTAGCGAGTAGCCCAAGAGCGACGGCTATACGCATGGCGAGTGATGAATGCCGGGAAAGAGCGCAAAGCGGGATTTGAAATCAAAAGTGCAGGCAGGCCTAAAAAAAGATAAAAAACGTGTTTCGAAAGAGTGATGGGGCATTTAACGGCTTCTGAGGATCCCTTTTTATAAGGCCGAAACCAGACCCTGAATGCATTGAAAGGGCGCTATTCCTCACATGTTTACTATGCCGGGGTTGCGGTAATATGGCAAATTGATCGGCACAAGTTTGCTTTTTCTACAATAGCTTGTTTCCACCGGGGCTCTCCTTCGACAGTTTTATTTCACATGTTGCCCCTTAATCCAAGGTTGGGAAGAGACTGCAGCATTAATCCACCGTCACACTGGGCCTGGAGTTGGGACTCAGGCTTGAATATGACGGTGCATTGAAGGATAGACTATACACAACATTGCCCCTGGTTATGGAATGGTGTAGCCAATTAAGAGAGTCTTTACTTCAGAGTTTGCCTCTTAACATGAACTCGTATGGCTATACTAGTATGTCCCTTTAGCCTCTTCGACTTGTCGATCACACGGCATCAGGGCGCCACCAATTTACCGGCAGACTTCAATTCTCTTTAGGCATGTCTTTTTCAACGATCACCATGTGGAACTAACAACCCCTGTCCAAAAGTGGGTCTAATAATGCTTTCTAAGGATTGTGGTTCAACGCCTCAAAATGGCAGCTGCCACTCGCAGGGCTTTGACCGTTTGTGGAGGAGGTGAAGATCCATCGCTAAGACAGGATGGCTGGGCAGTACCCCACCAGTCACTCATTATGTAGCTGTAACCGAGAGCTTCATCTGAAATGATTTCGGGCCCACCGTCTTCAGAAATATTCAAGGGCATGCCTAATTACTCATCTCAGGTGCTATTTCGTGGAACTACGCTTTTCCGTAGGCCGGAAATTGGTGATACGGCTCTGGTACTCGAAGGAGAAAATTTCATAGTCAATGCAGAAGCAGGCTTGCCCGTTGTGGGGGCTTGTTTCAAGTGGTCTTGAATCCTTTGCACCGGGTAATTATTGGACTCCTACTGAGCAGCACTCAAGGTATGATTCTGCCAGATAAGATTCTGAGTAAACTTGAGCCCACCTTCAGAGGGAAGAAAAGTCTATATCAGTGCCTGCATAACTGATCAACCAAAGCCCCGGGAAACCTTCCTATCTTTTTAAAACCTGCGACTGACTAAAAAAAGTTCATCAAGATAGATATGGAGATAAAAGAACATGAACATATTGAACAGACAATATGAATGAGCACTATAGGGACCCCTTCACCCTCGCCCAGATAGCGAAGACTGTGAATACAAGCCGTCCCCACTCTTTTACTACGCCCGTTGGTGGAAGTGGGCTTGGCTAGAGGTCTCTATATCCCCCAGTGGGTAGAACTGCCGACTTTCCCCTTTGCCTTGAACATAGACTGAACCATCCAATCGAGAATTTCCACGAGTATGCGAATTCATCCCGTATGACTTAGTTTGTTCTGTGTCGCCAAAGATTCCAGGGGCAGCCTGGCGTAGCAGAGATCTGATCGCGGGCAGGCAGGCACATATAACTCCGACGTCGCATTCAATAGTGCTCCAATAGCCAATAGTCACGTAATCCCCTTGGGGAAAGTTGTTAGTGGAAAGAAAATCGGGAGAGAGGAGAACGGTAACTCACAGGTCAAGTTATCGGTCGAGGCAAAATGAATAAGTGAATTCAATCGTAGGATGCTAACGAGTGTGACACTAGAGATCAAAATTAGCGAGTGACCTTAATCCATCAACATGACAAAGAACGACACGCACAAAATACCCAGCCCAAACATACACATAACATAAGCCTTCTTTCTTCCCGAAAGATTGAGATGATATAGCTGGCGTAGGGGAAGCGCCATGACAAGTATATCAAGGATCATGTTGATTATTGCGGCGGCCCAGCCCTGCGCGTTGATGTTGTTGCACTGATAATCGCCCTCGCCATCCCAGTGAAGCCACGCTCCAGGAAGGGGTCGGCATTGGAACACCGATATCAAGACAAAGACAACCAAGTAGCTCAGATTCAATCCAATGACGAAGTAAGTCGCCATTCGAAAGCGGCGCTCTGGGAAGATACGAAGATAGAAGCAGAGAATTGAGATCTTCGTCAAGGGCAAGATGCTCAAGTATATCAACTCGTCCCAGAAATAAATCTGATGCAGTTTGTCAGCTCAGGAGTCAAGCTGGGAACCAAATCATCTGTACTTACATAGAGAATATGGGTGATATTGTTCAACGGAAGCGTCCACAAATCTCGACCCAGACCGGTGTCGGCCACTTAAATAGTTAATTAGCCGGTCATGGTCCATCTCAAATCACACCGAGGCATACTTACAAACAACCGAGAGTGCACTGAGTGGAATAACGAGGCACTGTCGATGCGTTAGCCAAGAGTAACATAGGTTAGATCAAAAAAGCTGTACGAATAGTACCATTGTCAATGTCATTGTCCAATCATCCATTCCAAATGCACCAGAGCATTTGAAACGAGCCACCATTCTGAGAATGTAAGCGATTAGAGCTACTATACCACCTCCGACTCCGGCATAAGAGACGAGCTTAGTTCTGTCTCTGATCGGGGCTCCACAGGCCGATGTCGTGACATTTTTCGTAGCTTATATGTCTTAGCGGCAAGGACTGTAATCAAAATGCTGTTTGGGCGATCATACTCAACGATTCACGAATTGTGCAGCTGGCGAGCACACATTCCTCAAGTGCGACAGTATACTTGGCATCCGTGCATAGACATTTCTGGTCTGTAGCTGTACAGGACGTTTGCGACATGGACGACATCATGCAATCCAGCTTCAAGTTGTCAGTCGGCTCGGTATTCACAGGTGAGGGATAAAACTACATACCGCACATGAGGGTAAAATGGCCGCTAGCTGCTCTGTGCCAGCCTTCGCAGTGGCGGCACAGAGGAACGCCACCAGAACTGCTATCTTGAGCACCTGCATCGCGAAGTTGTCTGAATTGTAGGCATTCGCAAAAAATATGATTGCGGGGGATGTAATGGCCAGAAATATGGTGCAGTAGTTGTTTCGATTTTCTCCGAAGCTCAGGGGAGCCTCCTAGGCGAGAAGAAGGATTCGGTCATGACATGCTAATGAAGATCTTAGCGTACTGGTTCCCCAACATCATCCCAGACGCGAAATTTTTCTTGGGAATCAACTTCCACACCCTAAAGTCTTAGGCCAACTTTGTGAGCCCCTAAGGAATAATTAGGGTGTCTTCTTTGTAGATCACGGAGAGTATTTCCTAGACTATGGAAAGCTCTTAGAATTCTTGTAACCCATGTAGGGGAATAATCAGACGCTGGCTGGACTGATATCGCGCTGCCCCTAAGTTTGAGCTACTTGCGAACAGTGGCTGATTCTTGAATTGGGATCAGCATTCTATACGAACGGTGTTACGGAGCACTGCTCAGCGTTTATGCCACACTCTAGACTATTTAGGATGGTGCTGGAGTGATAACCCTGTGTGGAGAAGCGACTGGGCTAGACGCGACTCCATTGCAGAACGAGGAGCTGATGGGTTGTGATCTACATTCCGGGTCCTGACATTTCGCCCCACAATTTCGAAGGGCTTTCAGAACAAACGACATCGTCCTAGTCCTTTTCGGCTAGGAAGATATACCGGAAAGACTAAATGAATGCCGTCGCGAAACAATGCTAATTGCCGTTTAACTTTATTCATTCAAACAAATCCCACTAATTTAGTGACCACCTGGGGCTCCTGCCGTTCCAGGACAAAGATCGCCCCCTTTAGGCAATTTTCTAGCCCGCGTCGGAGAAAACCCGTTAGCAAACTTAGGGTCGACCCTGATCGGCAGTGTCATTCAACGGGGTTAAACCCGACCGCAGCGTATACTAATCTCGGTACTGTGGTTAGTAAATGGGGATGCCGAACCTTTCTCTAACCAGTTATGATCTACTTCAGCGTCCTGTTGCCCAGTCGAGAAGAGATTATGGGCAGAATTTTCTTGAGAATAACTCCAAGAAACAGGGGCGGGCGTCAAAGTCCCGCCAGGATCTTCAGCGTATCTAACTAGTGAGCGGACTTGGAAGACAGAACCTTATGAGAGTACCCTTTGAAATTAAAGATAGCTGTCCCGAGGAAACATTAGCATTGGATCCAGCAGTCCCATGCCAGGTGGGGCTGCTGATTTGTACCTTCCGTCCAAACACAATAATGCAGTATTTTGAAATTCTGAAGCTCAAGAATAATTTCAAGAATAATGGGGTTATGTTCGTGTTAAACCCAATTAGCATTATTTGCACGTGTGATCGACTGTAATGTGCCGAGTGACCATTCAGGGGGAATGGATTAACCAGCAGGAGGTCATCTATACTTGTACGGAGTAAATCCCTCCTTATCCAAGAAATGCCCTATTTTTTTGCAAAGCAGTGAATTTTTTTCCACATCCCAATAAACATATTGTCTCTTAACATATAGTGCTGGCCTGGCTCAGAGCCAGTCTTCCATTCACTATGCGCATTGTTGAGCCAGTACAATTGCTTTTGGCATTGCCATTCATTACTCTGGTTTCAGGTTTCCCCGGAACAGAGAATTCTCACAATGGCGGCCAAGCTCATCGGGCTCTGCACAAGAGATGTCCGTACGCCAGTGCCGAGTCTAATGCCTCGCCAGGGCTCGAAAAGCGATTTCTCTTTGATTCAATGGCGTCACCTGTTGATGGTAGGGACAGAAGAACATATAACTCCATGTTTTATGATCCTGACAAAGGAATAATAGTAACCGGAGAGCACGAATTCCAACCGCCCAACCTTACAGGCGGTGACCAGCGTGGCCCTTGCCCAGGTCTTAATGCGTTGGCAAACCACGGGTATATCCCGCGAAACGGAGTAGTTTCAGTGAGTTTCTGGGACAAACTCCCATAGCAGTGAATGGGGCTAATATTGAAAAGTTTGGGAATGTGATCACAGCAATCAACGAAGGTAGAGTGCTACTATAAAGTCTCTAGTGACTCATCTATTAACCCCCGGCTCATAGTGTACGGCATGGGAATTGATTTGGCAACGGTCCTGGCAATCATGGGCACTGTTTGGACAGGGGATCCTTTGTCTTTGGATCCCAGCTTTTCTATTGGAGATCGCGACACCGGTGTAAACAACCTTCTGGGAAATCTAGGGGGACTCCTTGGTCAGTGTCACTGGTTCTTGCCATTTGAAACATCGTCAACGCCAAGGTATTAATTTCTACATAGGCGAGCCTCAAGGACTTATTGGCTCCCACAATTTCATCGAAGCGGACTCATCCAACACGCGGGACGATTTATATGTCACAGGGAACAATTACGCGCTCAACATGGAAAAGTTCATGTCCTGGTATAATATGTCTGTCGATGGTACATTCGATATGAATCTTATGGCCAAGCGGGCAAAGCTGCGGTTTGAGGAGACAATCCAGACCAACCCGAACTTCTACTATGGACCTGTGACAGGCCTTATTGCACGCAATGCCGGCTACATCTTCCCAGGCCGGCTGTTTCGGAACCATTCCCGGGAGAACCCAGAAGGAATTTTGAGTAAGCAGTCACAAAGAGTCAAATGAAGCAATTTAGACACAATGCTAACTTGATTCAATATAGCCAAAAGTCATCTTCGAAACTTCTACGGCATCTACGGCGAAGATGGTAATCTTACCTACCGGGAAGGATGGGAAAGAATTCCCGAGAACTGGTTCAAGACCCCTGTGGACTACGGTCTCTTGCAGCTTAATCTGGACACTATTGATTGGATGGTGAAGTATCCAGAGCTTGGGAGGTAAGAATATTTTAAATGCTTACATATGTCGGGCCGCTGACACCGTTTTCAAACATAGTATCGGAGGCAATATGGGCAAGGTCAACACCTTTGCCGGCGTCGATCTAGCAGATCTGACCGGTGGAGTTTTCAACCTAACAAATCTGTTGGAGGGTAACAACTTGCTGTGCTTTGTTTTTGAAGTGCTGAAATTCGCTAGCCCCAATGCGCTTGCCAGTTTATACAGCACTCTAGCTGAACCCTTGGACTTCGTGGGTAATGCTTTATCAGTTTCTTTGTTGAACTTTACTTGTCCAGCATTCCAAGACCTTCAAATTGGTGGCAAGCCTTTCTGGGAGGCCATCCAGAACGATTTCCCGGGTGCTTTGAAGAGTGGTCGTGCCTTCTGAACGAGTTCGCTTGTCAAGGTACATTTTGATCTGCAGTGACCCCGGTACTCAGATCAAACCCTGATTGATTCTCGAATTTTATGCGTTAATAATTCATCTTCTATTCAGGCGTGGATGATCCTCGTGTACTATAAGTGACTATCAATTCCAAATCTTATTTGTAATCCTGGATCGAGCGCTGAAGTCAGAATCCGCAGCGAAGATATACGAACAGACTTCTATGATGCAGGGAAATGATGTGTCAAGAGCTCGACACAAAAGAATGGTAGCATGAACAGCGAATTTTGTGATTGGAGAGCAGCAGCCGCTGGAAATGGTTTGCTTCACCCCAAGCATGTGAAAATATAATAAGCCCATGAAAACATTCAAATCATCCGTACTTAAAACAGTCCCTGTTATTAATTTTTAAGAAATATTGTTGCTTGTTGATCATTATTTCCCGGGGTGAGTCCATGAAGCTACCCCGCAGTGAGAGGAATTTCGATTGTCTAATCGGCCCCACTATGAACAGGCTAGCCTCGCCATCCCGGCCCGGGTATCGTGGAAACTTCCGTCATCGGAGGGCTTGTCAGTAAGTTTGGAGGGTCTCGGAGGATCCCGAGTTGCATCGGGAGATCCATTCTTGACCAAAAACGTAATCTCCTGTCGATATCCCACCAAGACCCATAAAAACTCTGGCTCAAGTTTCCTCTTAAGAGTCAGCTGTGGACCCAAGGCCCTCAACGTGGGGAAAATGGCCGGGCCGGAAAACGAATGTGCGGAGGTGACTATTGACCCCAGACAACTCACCCCGTGGAGAAAGAAAAGCTGGGGATGAACCAAGATCAAAAGCCATATAATCCTTGAGATCGGACAGACGTCTTTAGGGCTGCCCTTGGTCTCAATAGTCAGAATCTTCATAAAGTCTCGCGTCAGAGAGCTGGGTATGATGGCCGACGACGAGGTCATCAACACACAAACCCAAACCGGAACAGGAAACAAAGAGCATCGCGATTCGATATCGAAATACCAGGGAGAATTGCGTCAAGATGGGAATAACTTTGATTCTGAAGAGAAACAAACCTATGGGGAGGTGAACCAACTTCCAGACCTCCAGCGGAGGCTAAGAAGCCGGCATTTGCAAATGATTGCAATTGGTGAGCGATCAAATTCCATCCGCAAATATATGATGTCTACGTCGTTGAAGCTAACGTGAATCTATTTTCAGGCGGTACAATCGGAACCGGTTTATTCATTGGAAGTGGTACTGCGATTGCCATTGCTGGCCCTGTTGGGGCACTGATTGCATACATATTTGTTGGCTCCCTCGTTTTCTCAGTTATGGCTGCACTAGGAGAGTTGGCAACATATCTTCCAATCCCAGGGGCTTTTACCGCATATGCCAGACGTCTGGTTGACCCTAGCCTAGGCTTTGCAATGGGTTGGATTTACTGGTTTTCGTGGGCGTCGACGTTTGCCCTCGAATTAACTGCGACCGGTCTAATCATTCAGTACTGGAATGAAACTATCCCAATCGCTATTTTCATTGCTGTATTCTGGGTGCTCATCATTGCACTGAATATGCTTCCAGTCAGCTTTTATGGCGAGACTGAATTTTGGCTATCAAGTATCAAGGTCGCCACTGTCATTGGATTTATGATATTTGCGATATGTATGAATGCGGGAGTGGGCAATGAAGGTTATATCGGGTTCCGCTACTGGGTTGACCCAGGCCCCTTTAATGCCTACTTGGTCGAAAGCAATGCCTCCCTAGGCAAGTTTCTTGGATTCTGGGCAGTTCTTATCAAGGCTGGGTTTTCATACCAAGGCACCGAGCTTGTTGGTATTGCTGCGGGAGAGACTGAAAATCCTCGCAAGAACATCCCGTCGGCTATTCGAAAGACTTTCTTCCGGATCATTTTCTTCTTTATATTGACCATTTTCTTTATTGGAATTGTCGTGCCTTCCACTGACGAAGGATTAACGGCTAGCGAAGGCACTGGAGCTAGTGCGAATAATGCTAACGCCTCGCCCTTCGTCATCGCAGCTAGGCGAGCAGGCGTGAACGTGCTACCTAGTATCATTAACACCGTCTTGTTGACTGTGGTTCTCTCTGCCGCCAATTCAAATGTCTATTCTGGAAGCCGAATCCTTGTGGGCCTTGCTCATGATGGGTTTGCACCCTTGATCTTTATGAGGACAACCAAGCACGGCGTTCCCTACTGGAGTGTGCTATTCACAGCCCTCTTTGGCCTACTAGGGTTTTTGAATATTTCCAACACCGGGAGCACAGTCTTCAATTGGTTGATGCAAATTGCAGGTTTGGCAGGTTTCATCACCTGGACATCCCTAAACGTTTGTCATCTAGCATTCATGAAGGCCTTCAAGGCGCAGGGAATTTCCCGTGACATATTGCCCTACAAGGGTCCCTTGCAGCCATATCTCTCATGGTATGGCTTATTTTTTAACGCTCTGATTATAATCACTCAGGGATTTACCGCCTTCATACCCTCGTTCAGTGTGACCGACTTTTTCATCGACTATCTCAGCCTCATTTTGTTTGCTGCTCTCTATATTGGACACAAGATTGCTTTCCGACAGCCATTGATCAAGCCTGAAGAGGCTGATGTTCATACCGGTCGGCTAGAATTCGAAGATTAGAATACATTGTATATAGAATGCATCTTACGGGGCAAGAACGGAATTCTAATACCACATCCATTCCAACTGAAATTGATTTGGACTGCCCGGTGTCACATTAAGAATCGAGATTGCCAGGTCCTCTTCAGCCTTTCATGGTGGGAAAACCTCATCTATTTTTAAAACTAAATCGTCGCAAATATTTGCGTAGCCATATCGCCCAGAGTAATCAAAAAAAGTTACTCAACTGTAAATTTGACGATGGTAAACGTGGGGCCTCGAGACTGAACTTCTGAATTTTAATCTCAACCAAATACCATGTCCCAACCTTAAATTGCGAGATATGCAAAATATAATGTCAATTGAGGTTACAACAACAATATCGTAGCCAGATACTTCCGATATATATAAATGCATTAGATATATCAATATATTATCAAAAGCACAATTGAAAATATCCCCTTGAAAATAACGCGTGTGTAAAATTCTGATGTTGAGGTGAAGATCAGATGAATGGCGGGCGGACTCGACACTACCTGTGCATGATTCTGGTTAAATCGCCGGCCTTCACGTAGCGATTAAATATCAAGAATATTCAAAGTTGTCTGTGCACTTTTAGAATAAGAAAGATCAAATGGTGATATAACCTTAATTGATGGGGTGGCATGTCTAGCCATTTATAAAGCGGACCGTAGCGTAACGTTATTTTTTACATTGAAAAGGTACTGCAGCCAAGGCGCCAGTAATGGGAGAATCTATACGGGTGAGTAAAAGGGTTTCTATTGGTCTGAGCCAGTCATATAAGCCATGAAAATAGGAGCACACCCTGTTTGCGAGCCTCATTGTCTCCCGCAGACGATGAATCGCTTCAAGTTCACTATGAGCGGGCCTGAATTCGCCTCCAGTTTCTCTCCCGACCAGACAGAATTCAAGTATAGAGACGGCAAGTGGAGAAATTAATCTACTATGTACAATCAGAAACGGAGCGGTGGAGCAGACTCGTCAAAAGAGGCAATTGATGTGCAGAAGCTGAAAAATTCTTCCGACGCGGGACCGCTTATCTCGAATTAAAACTGTTGGCCTAAAGTTTTCTGGTCAACACCTCTACAGCTATCGAGATCACAGAACTGGCCCGCCTGCTGACTGTGCATGGCACGAGTGTTTTAGCCAATCTACTAACTGGATTATTATTTGCTAAGTAGGACGGGGCAAAGTTTAAGGGACGTACAACTCCTTAATGTAGTTAGGTCGTGTGCCAAGGACCGCCACTGATTAGCATCGTGGGGCGTATTTAGGCTCGCTAAAATATCTAGGGCCTTGAATTCGGGGCAGCAGAGCGGGGGCATTGCGCTGGTAGAAAAATGTGCTAGAAAGGAATATGAGTTGCTTGACAAGGACATACGTTATCTGACTCGATAATACTTGAAGCCATGGAAGTAGAGCAAAAAAATAGCATTGCTTTTCAGCTACAGCGCTAATATGAGCTAGCCGTTCTTGTCAGTATCTCCGCCTAGTTTAGTTAAACTGGCAGTGCTTGAAGGGAAAAGGTCAGACGAAACAAGCTAGTAGTCCGCTAGCGCCCGTGTATGTCAGCCCTCGCTCAGTAAGGACAGTGGTGAGTGGAGCTACTGCATAGCCATTATTATGTAGCCACGGACAATGAGCCCACAGTGGGCAGGCATTATGACAAGCTTGAGCAGGCTAATCACATGGTAGTTATTATCATAAGAATGGATAATCCTATAAATGGCTTGCTGCTACGCAATCAGGAACAAGGCTTTTGTCCACTCGTCGGTTCTGGTACAATAGATTCAGTCACGCCATTCGCCGCCGCTATGCCATTTCCTTGGGTAGCAAGCCTTTTGCTGGGCTTCCTGGCTGTCTATGTCATGAAAAAGACAATGCTAGATAAGACGTTGCCCGGTCCTCTTCCACCAGGGCCTCGGCCTAAGCCGTTATTGGGTAACCTTACAGATCTACCCCCGAAAGGCGAACAGGATTGGATGCATTGGTTGAAGCACAAAGAGCTCTACGGTAGACATTCCACTCTTCACATACAAATTCACACTTTCAAAGCATTATACCTTGGTTATTGTAGACGTTCTGACGCGTATTCTAGGGCCAATTAGCTCCCTCACAGTCTTAGGGCAGACTATCATCATTGTCAATGATATGAAAACTGCCGTGGATCTGCTAAATAAACGGTCTGCCGTTTACTCATCAAGGCCAAAGATGGTCTTTGCATCCGAGATGTAAATCCTTCAAAATATCTACTTGATTTTCATTTTCGATACAAGAGCTAATCAAAGGGATAGGGTGGGATGGGAAGATGGTCTCGCTTTCCAAGGTTACACTGAGAGATTCCGAGCCTATCGCAAAGCAGTACAACCATCATTCGGATCCGAGTCGGCTGTCTCGCAGTTCAACCCCCTTCAAGAAAAAGAGGTTCACCGCTTCTTGCTACGAGTACTTCGAGAACCAACGAAATTTATCCAACATATTCAAACGTGAGTCTCACCAGGCAGAAGTTTGTGAAAAGTTGACTAAGTCGACGATCCATCCAGAGAAGCAGGCGCTGTTATTTTGAACATTGCATATGGCTACACAATTGAGCCGTTCCATCGTGACCATCTTGTAGATATCACAAACGAGGCACTTGACCATTTCGCCAAAGCTGCGACTCCTGGAACTTGGATGGTAGATATCATCCCGGCATGTAAGTGTTATGACTCGCTTTACTGATCGAAAATACTCTGAACTAATGCATTTAGTGAAATATATTCCTGCATGGTTCCCAGGGGCAGGATTCAAGCGCATCGCGCAGGCCTGGAGGGGGCAATTGATTGGTATAGCAGACAGACCTTACGCATTCGTCAAGGCACAGATGAAGAGTGGCAAGCATAAACCATCATACTTGTCAAACATTTTCAGCACCCATGGCATCCCAGAGCCTGGATCCGAGAAGGAAACCATCGCTAAGTGGACTGCCGCGTCACTATACACTGGCGGTGCTGACACGGTAAGTTCGGTCACCATTCTTTCTTTGCTAACTATCGAATGCTAATGGAATTAGACTGTGTCATCTATCCAATGTTTCTTCCTCGCCATGGCCATGTATCCAGAAGTCCAACGTAAGGCACAAGATGAGATCGAACGAGTTCTAGGACGCGGGCGTCTGCCAAAAATGGCAGACCGTGCCAACCTTCCGTATGTGAACGCTATAGTCAAGGAGGTTCTTCGCTGGCATCCTGTGGCACCAATGGCCATACCTCATTTGTCCACAGCGGATGATACCTGGGGAGATTACTTTATTCCTAAGGGCTCTTTGATTATGCCTAATATCTGGTAAGCAATAGAATATCCACCGAGAAGCCTCATCAACTAACGTCAAATTAAGGGCTATGATGCATGATCCAAGCATTTATCATGAGCCCATGATCTTCAAGCCCGAAAGATTCCTTGAGGCTCAGGGACATGGTCCAGAAATAGACCCTCACTCCATCGCTTTCGGGTTTGGTCGTCGTATCTGCCCGGGTCGTTTCCTAGCAGATAACACCGTCTATCTGAGTGTAGCGCAGACTCTGGCAGTCTTCAACATCAGCAACGCTATACAAGACGGAGTCGCGATCAAAAAAAGCCCCAGGTTTGAGCCGGGTGTGATTAGCCACCCAGCACCATTCCAATGTTCGATCGCAGTTCGTGGTCCTGCTGAGGAAGCACTCATATTGTCTGTTGAGCAAGAGCACCCATGGGAACCGAGCGATGCATCCGACCTTGAGAAGCTTGGGTATTAAAGCAACATATATGCACCAGTTACGATCCTGTCTCAACCCTAATCATTGAAAGAAGTCCTCGGATGTACACATACTTTTCTCTTACATGTAGATATCATATTCCAGCCCACGTTCCATGGTACTCGTAAGACAACATGACAATCGAGGGCTGCGTGGAATCTGTCTTAGCTCAGTCTAACGTTCTGGTATGGCCGATGATCCTTCTCTATGTTCTGGGTTGATAGCAGTGTACTCAAATTACGCTGTCCTTCAGTTCTATGTTTCCAAGTGGTGACCTTTTATAATATAATACTCCAAAATGAAGAAGTCATTCATATAATTGGAGGCCTCCGTGCACTTTCAGGCTGATTTGTAATAGTATACGTGATTCTTGCTTCACACGCGGGAAATGCGGGGAAAATCCGCGCTGGGATCAATCTAGCCGAGGTACCTCTTCGGCCTTCAAACCGCCAAAAAAGGATTGTTTTTATCCTATGATATTACTCATCCTTCATGTCAACTTCTGCCAATGACAGTCTTCATCGGATATCACGGCAGAGAACACCACCCCTCGTGATCTATGGCAGGGTTGGTCTTCCATAAGATACATTAATGTTGGTTCTCTTGTCAGAACCAGCGAACCAAGCGGATGCGGGGGTCGACTTTATTCCCACGTTTTTCTTTACGCAATATTCGCGCCATTTATGAGAGAAAATTTCGAGGCCGTCCCCAGAAGACCATTTAATTGGAATGAACCGACCAACTCATTTAGAAGAACAGCTTAAAGAGCTTGGGCCCACACAGCCGCACAATGAAGACACACCGGAGGTGCCTCGAGTGTCTGGCCCGTCACGCAGGATAACAGGGCCCTTCCAGGTACTGGGAGCATTTTTTGTGTGTTTTAATGTTTGGTAAGTAATATGGCTCTATTCTTCGCTAGTTCTTATCCATTGACAAAGCTTTATTCAAAGGGGTTTAAACTTTGCCTTTGGATCTTTTCAGAGTTTTTACGCTCTCACCTTCATTCCCTCATCTACAGCATCTGCTATTTCCTGGGTTGGAACTATTCAGTCATGGCTCTTGATCGCCTGCGGTCTAATCTCTGGTCCGCTATTTGATTTAGGTTACTTTCCAACAATGGTGATGGCTGGAAGTTTTTTTTCTGTGTTTGGCTTCATGATGCTGAGCATTGCGCATAAATACTATGCAATATTCCTAAGTCAAGGAATATGCATGGGCCTCGGGTTCGGATTGCTTTATGTGCCCACTGTCGCCTTGATAAGCCAGAGATTCTCCGAAAATCGCGCTGTTGCGTTAGGCGTGGCCACAAGCGGAGCTCCCGCAGGAGGTATCATCTATACCGTCATCTTCAATCAGCTGATCTCTAGAGTGGGCTTTGGATGGACGGTCCGCATTATGGGATTTGTGATGCTGTTTCTTTTTATTATGGCTGCTCTGCTGCTCTCTTCAGAAGGAGGTCTGAAAAGCAGGGTAGTGAGCGACCGACCCAGAGTTCTCTTTGATACCCGAGCACTGAAGGATCTTCCATTCTGGAGCTTCACAGTTGCGAACTTCTTGATCTATTTAGGCTATATGACACCGTACTACATGATCCCAACGTACGCGCAAACCGTACTTCATACGTCACGTTCATTAGCCTCATACATCTTGATGGCATCGCAAGCTGCCTCGATCGTGGGCCGTGTTGCTACAACTATTTTCGCCCACTTTTACGGGTCTATGATTTCATGGGTTCTGTGTGGCATGTTATCAGGCATGCTTTGCTTGTGCTGGATAAGTGCCGATGATCTTCCGCGATTTTTCGTTTTTGTGGCATTCTATGGTAAAGCAATTCCTATCCCACTTCATAGGCTTAACTGACTGGGAAAAAGGAGCCATCTCTGGGGCCTTGGTCCCCCTTCCACCGAGCGTCTTTCCTCATGTCTGTCCTGATTCTCACTCCCTTGGAACTTGGCTCGGCATGGCCCAAAGTATCAGCAGCTTTGCTTCCTTAGTAGGGCCGCCAATTGCTGGGGCATTGGCGTCTATAAATTCTGGCGGAAGCGCAGATCTGAACTTTATGGGTATCCAGCTTTTTAGTGGGATCACTATGACACTCGGCGCTTGTTCGCTAATTGGCCTTTGGTATTTGCTATATAGACTAAGAGACAAAAAAGGCTTCTTCTGAAGTGAGTGCAGGACAGCAAAAGACAATTTTACAGAGCCGATAACCTATATTACCTTGTCACCAATTAATGCAACTGCCTGCATTGCATTCACGCGTACCTCAATGATGAAATCTTGTAATAATTTGACATTAACCCTTCATTCTTACCTAGCTTCAACTGATATATGCGGAAGAATTGACACTTTACTGGCTAGAGAAAGCGTGGGGTCATCACGACTTCGGGGCTCAAGCCGTCCGGTACTATAGAAACGTATTTCTTTTTGTAGAAAAAAGAAGAAAAATGCCATAAAAACCCAAAAATTCAGTATCTACATGTGCTTACCCACAATATTATTAGGTAGCCGGCATGTGGCTTGAGTGGCAATTAGTCAGGAGGGTGTCGCCCGGGCTAGTATAGGGTCATACTCATGGCACTACAAGAAACTTTCGCGACACTATGACGCCAAGCCTACTTAGGAACGCCCTTATAAGTAGAACATGGTATATCCGACATCTGTGTACAGTGGTACTTCAACATTTTGGAACAAGAGATAGCCTTGCCAGAGATGCTTCAATCTCCTATGTTTCTAAAGATCATTCGGGGATCCTTTTAATCGTCCTTTTAATTGGATTTTTAATCGTCTTTTTTCAATCATCCTTTTGGAGTGCCCTAGTAATGTCTCTCTATTCATCTTTTGAAGTATAACTAATAAAATGATTTAGGCCTTTAGTCGGGGTGGTTGATCTCGTGAAGCTTCACTGTATATAACTACCTATGTGATAACCGCTGCTCACTGATGGCCCTAGTATCGTTGTACCATTCTATACCCGTAAGGTGCGTTCCAATTAGGCTTGGAATTGTGGTGTCGCGAAAGTTTTTTGTAGTGCTATGAGTATGATCCTTACTTTACTTTGCGAATAACATCACCCTGCGTGATAACTGGCTATCAAAATGGATACTAGCCGAAGAGTTAACCCCGCCGGGCCGGCGCCAATTATATGAGATCAAAACGGCATACCTGCTCTTCACTGAGTTTGTGAGAGGGGGGTGGCAGCTGCCATACTGGAGGGGTCTGAAGTGGAGTCTTGACTAGCTTAGTTCGAAACACTGTGCTCTAGAGAAGATAGGATGAAGAATATACCCAGGCCAACAGCCATCGAGCCAAATGTAAGTGGAATTCAAATAGAAGAAAAGGCGGGTAAATTTCAGACCGGGAAAAGACGATCTTGATACTGCAGGATGGCTTTAATTAGCCCGTGTGACCAGAGCAAGATCTGAGACTACTACGTTCACATACCCTACACAACAAATATGGTCGGTCTCGTGTAAAGTGCCGTCGTTGCTCACTAGGACTCTAATACAAGCCAGCAATAATAATGCGCTATCTCATAATTTGTGACGAGCTCTCATGTAGTGGAGAGAGGAGACCTAGAAATCCGATGATCCGAAGAAGAAATGCGCTGTCGATTCTAACCATCCCGCGGGAGCTTTGGGGGAAGGGTCCCATATCACCGAAAATTCAGTCATTGAGGAAGTTAGCATATTTTTCGGTGTAAGAAACAGTTGATGCGCTAATCCTGACATGTGATCCACTTCTTCTGCCATCAAGTCATCTAGGCATTTCATTGCCGCAGTGAAAGCTGTGGTCCGCAGGTCGAGGAGATCAGAGATAGAATCATCTCGCATCGAAGCGAAACTGTTTGAATCTTTGAAGTCTACGCCTGAAAGACCTATTGCGTGCTGAATCCAAACCGACTTATTTTGTTTATCAAATTCAGAACTATCCCCTTGATGGCTACAACTGTCTAGAATGTGAGCTGTTAGCCATTTGAACATCAAATGGATTATGGGACCACCAGATGTTGCCTACATTCTCTGATCTGTCGTGACTCCAGAGCCGCCTCATGACTTGATCTCCGAGCTGTATGCCGGTATCGACCGTGTATCTTCGTGGGTTCCGGGTGCCTTTTTCTTGGAGCTTCTTAACACGAGCGCTTGTCAAGGCGACAATGCATGCAAGGGAAACCAGATATAGCACCATCACAGCGCTTCTTCCGATCACGACACGCTTGGCAGGCTACCTGGGCACGCGCACATCGTGTTGGATGTGAATTGAGGGAATTTTGAGCGTTTTCCATAGTAAATTCCAGTGAAAAGATTAGGATGTGGAAAAATGTGTAAACTAGAATTCCAAGGTGCGGATGGCCAACGCCCCTTATATAGACCTCTTGACATTATCGCTACATTATAATTGGCCTCAATAGACTAGCCTCGGCTATATTCGGTGTATTAACAAGCTCCATTTGATAATAATTTTGATCATTATGGAGAATAAAAAATGCAGACTGCTCAGGATAGTCCGCTTGAAAATATCCGATTGCTACCAGGTCCGCAGTTTCGTCATTGTGTCTTCTTGCAATGTGAATCCCAGCTTATTGTACTACATAGTTTTCAGATTGGTCATCGTGGCCGATTCAAAGATTTACAGTGCCACTCCCAAGAGTATGCAAATTCCTTCGATAACTACCTACTCTGCACCCTCCAGTTTCTCCTGGCTCGCAACGCTCGCTGCGTTGCATCGCTAGCCACCCCCACGCGATAGATTCGCTAAGCAGAATACTCCACAGTCGTCGTTTCCGGTTTATATTCGTCAGAGATTTCATGCGAATTTGTGTTCTGGCAGTGTGACTTGAAACGACGTGCCCTCTTCGGCGGATCGAAGATGTTCTTGGCTTCTAATGATGTATCTTGAGTCCAGCGGTATTGTGCCTCATATCCTGTCAAACAATTAGGCGGCCTCTGTGTTGCTGTTTGAGTTTTTCGACAACCAGGAGGGCCAAGGGCAGTGAAAACAAAGAAAATATGAACGACGAGGAATTGGAAACTACATATGTTTAGTGTAATTTTTCCTCTTATTTTTCTAGTTTTCGTTTCTGGGCTTGAGGTTCGATGGATGTCTTCCATGGAGTATTACTAACCAATCTTCTCAAAACTTAAAGACAGAAAAGCGTTTGCGCTAGAGGAGAATTATATTCAGATTGCAGAGATTCTTCTCCTGTCCTTGCTTCTTTTCGCCCACATCCCCGTTGATTCATATTCATAGGGGCGACAAAGACTCAATTACACAATGGTTATATACGGGATTTCTCTCTTATGCCAGCTCATTCTCTTAACTCTACGCAATAGGTGCGTAGAAACTGAACTTGCCAGAGGGGTCATACTTCTTCTTCAATGAATGCAGACGGCTTTGACGCCAGCTATCACTTCCATACAGCTCCTGGAGTGTTTCATCACCATAGGCATAGTTGACATAGGCTCGGAGGTCGTCCTGGCCTGTACCATCCCGAAGAATGTCACGAAGCTGATTGCCCAAGTTGGCTACTTGAGTGTCCAGTCCGGGGCCAGCAGGCAGATAGTTAATTAGCGGAGCGGCGAGGATGTTCTCACTGCGGAACGCAAAAGCGCTAGAGTCGGCAGAAATTGCGTTCACACCCTGCATTGAGTAGCCTTCAAACATGAAGATTGAGTTGTTGAATGCCGAGTTGCCACGGACAGCATTTGCGAAAACCCCATACGCCTTCTCTTGAGCGGCGACGTTGTACGATTGGAGGTAAATCGGGAAGCGGGGGTTTGCAAGAGCGCCCTTTTGGCAAGGTGGGGACGAGTTGGCAATTCCAGTCCAGCCAGCCAGATCGGTGTAGGTTCCTGACGCAGGCTCGATTGAGATGGGTCCGATGTTATGGAAAGGCTGGGTATAAGCACCGTCGACAGTAGTGACACCTTCTTGAATGATGTAGAAAATGATGACCGGCTGATTAATGTCAGAAAGAGGCACCTGTTCCACGCTCTGGAATTCAATCAAACTTACGTTGTTGGGGTCAGCTCCCGGGTTGTTGAGCCAGTAGGACCAGTTAATCAGACCTTCCGGCTGTGTACCGTTCTTCAACAGATAGTCATTTGCAGCTTGATACACAGCCTCTACCTTGTCACCGCTGAAAGTGAGGGTTTCAATTGCCCAGTCACGATGCTGAATATCAAAGACCTTGGTAGTGAGTGATGTAACGATGCCGAAGTTATGGCCAGCACCCTTCATTGCCCACCAAAGGTCAGAGGTTGTGTCAATCGTTGTTAACTTTCCGTTGGCAAGAACGATGTTCATTGAAACAAATTGATCAGCAACCAGTCCATGGTGTCCCTGGAGCCAGCCATGACCTCCACCAAGACCAGGTCCTAGAATACTGACGCACTCGCAAGTTCCGGTCACTGATTTTAAAGATTAGCGCCTCCCATTTTTGAGATATGACATTAGGATAAGCAAGGCACATACCCGCCTGCTTTCCAGCATTCCAAAGCGCGTCCACAACAGCCTTTGACATGGCTCCACCACCAATCGTCGCTGTTTTTCCATCCCCGGCGACGGTGACAGTATCAAGTTGAGTCATGTAAATCTCGATTCCCTGATCCATTTTGCCCAGCGTGGTCAATGATCCATGAGCGCCAGTATACGCGAGGAACGGCAACTCCCGCTGATTGGCGAATTGCACCTAGATGGTTGTCAGTTCAATGACCCACGCTTGATCTTCTCAATCTCATGTTTTCACGAGTGTCGTTTTTCAGGGGACAGTGCAACTGAAGGAATGATAAAGCAGCGGAAGGGGACAGAAGCACCTACGGTCGCAGCAACGTCATTTTCGGTGCCTGGAACGACAACCACATTCACCTTAGGCTCATCCAACAGGGACCATCGGGCAGAGGCATCATCGAACTCGGTTGAGTTGGGATAGTAAATTTTGGCAGAGCTTGAAAGCTTATTCTGGAGCTCTGTCATATCATAATTGCCTCTTGAATGAAGACCGGGGGCGCGATCCCGAGCGACGGGCACGTTCTGGCCGCCCGAGGTGAAAGCCCAGGCGGCAATCGCCATAACGGCTTGCATCTTCAAGTAATACATCGTGAAAGCTCGACCTGAACTGCCGTGACAAAAAAACGCTTGAATTCTGTTGCGGCTATGCGGCCTTGCTGTTGGCTGAGCAGGAATCCCGGCAAACGGCCTCCGTAAAAAGATGGGTGCTAGGAGGCTAGGCGAGCGTACAAACGAACCCCTGTCAATTATTCCGTGGGGGCTCGAGGAATTAATATTTATTTCGCACACTGTATGGGACTTCTATTAGTTAGTTTCTACCCCAATTGACTAAAAGGTTTAATTTAGGCTTGCTGAAGCCCGGGTTAGCAAGGCTGCCATCGTGGGATATTATTATTAAAAGGCCGAACAACCCGTCCACCTCCCTCGGACTTGGCATCGTGCGCTCGCAGGATTTATAAGTTCTGTGTCCGCAAGCCAGAGGGGCGAGTGTCCGTTGATAATTACAATCTCTAGAAGTCAATTTTTGAAGATCTACAGAGTACTTTCCATTCTCCTCGTAGTCTATGATTTGAGGGACACAAAATTGTGCCTGGCAGTACCAGCCGGCCGGTAGAATCCCCCCTGCAGCAGGAAAGAAAGACTAATTCATGTAGGGGTCCAGCACGTGCTACATGCAATATGGAAGCCTAGAAAACCTTCTTCACGATGATAAACACGGCCAGACTACCAATATCTCCAATCTAAACTCTGGGAACAATTTGCTTAGTTTCACACTGAGACGAACCATAAATTGAATTCATCCACTTAAGTTTGGCCCCCAAGCCACTTGGCTGCCGGGCCAAGAATCATGGATGGCCATAGGGATCGGTGGCGCCGCTGTTCAGAGGGCCTGACCGCAGCATTCAGGGTCCACTTGATGGATTTCCGGCCGAGGCCGATACCCCATCGCAGCGTCGATGCCACGATCCCGAGCCTTCCGAGGAAGAAATTATTATTATTATTATGGGTTAGACTCTTGTTCTTTGACCTACATACTCCAGTTTTGTCAATATATCTCAGGCCTAATGCATACTAAGAAATCCGGCTCAGCCAAGAGCTAGAGAAATTGCCAAAGATATTTCCGTCCAGGGCAGACTTTCTTCCTTAGAGACGGTAGTCCGTGAAAAACCGGTTCTTCATATTTCCTCGCCCAGCCTTTTCTTCAGACCGGGAACCAATAAGCATCACCACGTGCTAGTAACCGTTACCCTCTCGATGGGACAAGAATAATGATCTCAGATATGCAACGTGAGAAGGATCGGGAATCGGGCTCCAGTTTTACTAATAGAACTAATCGCTTTTCAAAAGAATCATTCAATTTCGAAATGAGCTGTGGATACATTTTCTTCTCGCAGTTGGAGCCAACTTTATTAAGGTTTCCGAGGAAATGGTCACTTAGCCGTCACGATTGGAGGGAATATTAGTGCTAGAATCGTTCGGAAGATTATTCGAGAAAGTCTGAACATCCCCAAAACTTAGAATTGGGTCTGTGCATGTGCTGCCGATCAGAAGAATCACTTCCAGGTACCTCATTAATGGTTTCTTGGTACGGGCGATAAGCTATTGTATTGTGTGGTGGCTGCAATTCGGGCGTTCTCTCAATATACAAGACCAACTTCTTTTTTCAATCATCCTTGCCCTCGTTTGGCGAAGATTCAACCGCTATGCCAGCCCGCCATTGAGAGGCACATTACCGTAGTATAGCGCAGAAGTACGTGGCTGACCGGTCTTGCCTTCTCTTGTCGGATTTGATTTGACATTCTAACATGCTGACTTCATTTAGGTATGTCTGGCATGATTACTCTAGTTGCTAGAGATGCCGCCTCAGAGGCAGCTAAAGCTGCATACAAAGCAACGGTGGAATTGTGGACGCTCTATTCATTTGGAGTTGCTGTGACCTTGCTTCGAACATACGCCAGAGTGAGGGCCGTGGGTTTCAGGAATCTGAAAGCCGACGACTACCTTATCTGGGTCGCAATTGTTCGTAGATCCGCAATCATTTGTGGGTGCTTGATTCTTACCATAATATTTCTAGGCTTTCTATACCACACAGACGGCATTGGCATATAGTGTCGGCAATGTCGCCCATGGCCTTGCAAATAACAGCATGACAGATGCCCAACGTGCGGCACTCTCTCCCGGGGACCCTGAGTATCAGGCAAGGTATGCCACAGTCAACTGAAGAGCCCGTGAAATAATATTCGAAGTGGGAACTTACAATATTATTAGAGTGATTGGCTCTAAGATTCAGGTCGCAGGGTGGACGACTTATATGCTATTAATCGGGTCGCTTAAACTGTCCATGCTCGCATTTTACCTCCGCCTTACGGTATGACTTGCTGGTCTATGCGACATAGCAAACCTGGCTTGCTAACCGGTGCCAATAGGATGGCTTGGGTCGACGCTACCGCATTCCCGTTTATATTGGATTTGCCCTCGTTTTGGGGAGCATGATAGCCAGTGTCTTGACAATCTTCACTGCATGTCGGCCGTTGAATCACTACTGGCAGATTAACCCGGCCCCGGAGAGTGAGTTTCCTATCTTTTTTATTTCTTCAATTCAAGTCTAATATTCCATTTCACCTCCAGATGTCTGCCAGCCTGCTATCTCAATGCCCATCATTTGGGTGACATTCGCCGCAAATCTCGCTACCGACCCATACCTTATCTTCATTCCCATTCCGATGCTTTGGAAATCGAGTCTAAAGTTGTTGAAAAAGATAGCAGTGACAATCGTCCTGAGTGCTGGTGTCTTTGTGCTGGTTTGCGCAACCATCAAGAGCGTTTTTCTCATTGTGGTATGTCCTGCATTGTTCCCCGACTCACCCGCACATCAAAGCATCTTTCTGATCAGCGCTTTTCTAGTCACCTGTAAGTGGAGCACAAATCGCTGAGGAGTGGGGAACTCGAGAAACCTTCGTCGCCGTGATCACCACCAACCTTCCTATGATATTCCATCTCTTCAAGACCTGGCTAGGCGTGTTTTTTGGAAGTGCCTTCCAATCGTCGCAACGAACATACAAAACTCCCTCTGGTGGGTTCCGCAGCATTGGTGGTGGCGATTATCAGAGTCGAGACCGCCGTGGGCCACCCAGCTCGAATCCTGTTACTGCCAACATGACCTTCAACGAAAGTGAGGAGCGGATTGTCGACGATATCTACTTGGAGGGTTTGAAAGCCTACGCTGGACCAGGCGATGAAAATACTACCCCGAATGCTGGAATCGTGGTCTCCAAACAAATTGAAGTCACACACGAGGCAAGGCGTAGCGCTAATAGCGTACCTATACCGGAGCAAAGCACTCATGAACCTTGGTAATGGAAAAAAAGAAAAATGCGTTGGCTTGATAACGATATGACGGGTGGCTGTTTCATGTTTGCGCTTATATTTGTTACCCTGTACCTATTTATAGACCGCATTTTCTCCTCTACTGATTAAGAGAGCAGCTCTATTCTGTGATTTTTACCGTATCTTTCTACCTTGGCTCACAAGCGTACTTTGAAAGTATTTTCTTTCGGGCTCCAGATACCATTTAGCCTCCCTACAAATCTACTATGATGCTCATGCCGCGACTTCTGTTCACTTTCATACGGCCTGATCTTCTCCAAATATCGTATCTGCCCCCGTGACTAGCTCAATTTGCCACAATACGCAAATGACTGATCAAAAAGGCAATAAAGAGGTTATGCATTCGTCATGGTATTCAATGTACCTACAAGACTCAATGTCCGAAAACCACGGTCTCAGTCTTGGCGTCCTTCGCATGCTCCTTCTGCCATTTCTTCGAATACTGAACACCAAATCCTTTGCTGAAAACATCCCTGACAGCCTCCAGTGGCATACCTTTGCACTCAGGGTAGAGGAATACGATGAACAACCAACCAACGAAGCAGATTCCAGTGTAAAATCCGAAGGCTCCACTAGGCGTCCAGCTCTTCATCATTGAAAGAAAGGTCGAAGCAATGATAATGTTAGTACTCCAGCATGTCACCGTGTTCTGTGAAGTTGTTAGTGTCAAAGGTACAAAGGGACGAAGTCTCGCAGGACATACCAGCATAGTTCCAAGTGCTCTGACTTCGATGGGAATAAGCTCTGTACCAATCCACGCGATGGTAGCGACACCTGAAGAAAAGCAAGCGACGTAGCAGATAATAGCCACAAGCACGACGGGGCCTGGCCACCCAACTTGGTCGGTCTCTAGCTCCAGATTGCTCGTATTCACAGGAATATAGCTGAATGCTACAGCTGTAACCATCATGCAAATGGCCATTCCCAGTACAGTGAATGTCAAAATGATTCTTCGTCCAAGTCGATCCACCAGAACAATGTTGACAATGGAGAAAACAAAGTTTGTAGCTGAGACGGTAATCCCGACCGCAGTCGGATTATTGAATCCCACCATAGAAAACAATACTGAGGCGTAATACATGAGAGTATTGAAACCTGACAATTGACTGATTGCCATGACCATACATGCTGTCAAAACTGCTCGGCCGGTAGCGGGAGTTGTGAAGATACGCTTGAAGGTCACCCACAACGACTCTTCAGTCATAGCCTGAGTAGCCTCGCTTAGCGACAGCTCAATTGACATGATCTTGGCCCGTCGTTGCTCCTCAGTCGATGTAGGGTAAATTCGAAGGAGGACAGTGTTTGCAGCTTCGTGGTTACCATGAGAAACAAGCTGCCTAGGTGACTCTGGGCAGAACACAAGAAGTCCAGCTAATAAAAGAGCTGGAGCGGCTCCAATGCCGACTGTAGCTCGCCATCCCTCGCCCTTGACCTGAGCAAAGCCAGCGCCTAGAGCGCTCGCGAGTAGCTGACCAAAAGTAACGCTCATGTTATTGAACGCAACCATACGACCCCGATATTTTGCAGGTGCCAACTCGCCAACTTCGATTGGTTAGTCGCGTGTATAAGCAAATGGATAGGCAATGGGTGACGTACTGTACATGGGAACAATCATAGCAGCGCCTCCGACGCCCAGTCCAACAACAAACCTGCCAGTCGCGAATTGCTCGACTGAGTACGCGCAGGTCTGAAGGACAGTCCCGGTAACAAACAACACGCAAGCGCCCCATATAGGCCACCGGCGACCAAACCGATCAGCAGTGAGACCTGCTCCTACTGCACCCACCAAAGCACCTCCACTTGTCAATGAAGTCACCATTTCTTGTTCATTGGAGCTCAGCTCGTGGCCTAGTGAAGAGCCAATGGTCACCAGGACGGCGGAGATGTAGCCTGTATCGTATCCTGTCTCGAAGTCAGAAGATATGCTCGCGAGTTGGATGGGAGCCCTACCAAACAGAAGACCTCCGATTGAAACCACGATAGAGATAAGCCACGCCGCTTTAGAAGCAGCCGTGCCTTCAATATTGTTGAGCTCTGACAGATCGTTTCCAAGATCTAAGGGCTTGACATTCTCAATCTCCTCAAAATCTTCTTCTGCACGGTCATCAGCCTTCATTTTCTCTGTGGTGTCTTCTCCGTGCTTGAAGTTCATCTCTGGTATGGAATAACAATTCAGCAAGAATGATTGGAAGTGGAGAGAGAAGTCAATCGATGATGAATCTGTCCAAGGCAAGGTAGACGTTGAGACCAATTTGTAGGCCTTTTATAGACCTGTCATCTCAGCATTCATCGTTGATAGTCTAATCTGATCGGCCGTTGTCCGTACTATTAGTTAAATTCCCCGTGGGTACAAGAATGGCGGGGAATAGGGCGATGTTCAGAAAATACGCAGTAAGGTGGAGTTATCTAGGATCTGGTTGGGCGATACCAAGGCGGAGCCCGATCACAGTTTCACCACACGCGGGAAATAGTTCTCCTTCAAGAGAAAGTGCAGCGCGCCGCAAATGATGACGGTACCCCCACAGAATCTTCCCCGCATTTCCCCGTCTTCTCCGGCTTTTCAGGGTCTTGGGTCCTTCATCCGGAGGTTGGACCTCGGAGGATCTCGTTACGGTCCTTAACCGGAATCACAACATGAGACAATTGACCTTCTGAGATAATTCGGCTCTTGGTTGTTTAATTGCCTTTCTTCGGGAGTCGATTCAAGTGCCGTACCTCTAGCCGTCTCTCCAGACCAAACTACATTTCTTCGAGTGATTCAAGTAATGCAGGAAGTCATTGAGCAAAGTGGATTCGCCCTAAATGAAGTATAATCTAGCTCGCTAACTATGACTAGCACAGTTCCTCCCTACGTAGCTGCCCCCACTTGTTGCTTTGGTTTGGCTTTGGTTTGTTTTGGCTGGGCCTGGCGCATCGATAACAGATCTCGAAAATAACTCTTTCTCTAGAAGGGGCTGGATTATTAATTTGCCATCGGAAAAATATCCCCGTTGAATTCAATCCTCTCTATGGCAGGGCGTGATTTGTTAGAGGGCGCTATGTCATGGGCGGGAATCCCGCACTCCACAGTAACCAATCATTGCTTCACCTGGCTACCCATCCATTGCAGTCAAAAATGAATCGAAATGAAGCTGATCAGACTGAGATTTGATCCCCAGACCTTATCGGGGCTCTACATGATATTTAACCCCGGGCGGGAGATCGTGTGGGCTGGATGTGCTTAGTGTTTTGTCACAATATCGTGGTAACGTTAATCGCCCCACTCAACATCGGTGATCACGACGCGTCACACTCCTACTAGCGTAGTACCCGATCACCTTTCCAGGCATAAGGAACCTTAGAATCTTCAAGTTTCTACTCCCATAAAAGTATGATCTTACACATCCAGATTAATGCTTATGTTTAACCGAGACTAAAGCGACTCAACAAGACAGAGATTAGCCACTAGGGTAGCAAACTGAATAACTGATCAGACTTGAAGATATCTACACCAACTTGTAAGTCGTCATAGAGCAGCCAATCAAAAAAATGTACTATCGCAACTCTGACCATTACGGTAGATATGGTCGCACCTCAATAGGTAGTCTGAGTTCAATGGTCACAAAAATGTTTCTGGCAGCCCAGGCAAGGAGATGTATATCAGGTTCAATTAACATGGGCCAAACGGAGAGACCGAGCCTTAATTAAAACAATTTGACCTTTCATCATCTGGCCCTATTCATCCAGTAGGCATCGTATATTCTCTGTCTATATACTTATTCGCATGTCCTAAGCGATGACTGAGTCGCGACAACATTATTAGAGGGGCAGCAGTCAATCGTGATGCGGCTCAACAAGCCCTTTCCTAAAGGGGGTCTTAGCGCCGAGCATCCGAGCACATACTTAAGCCCCCACTCTCCCACCTCACTCCTACAGCTTACACCCACCACCCTTCATTGAACCCAACAAAGATCATCACAGAATTATTGCGCATCCTGTCCACCATGTCGCTATCAGATTCCGAGGGATCTGATGCCGTTATGGTAGGCCCGGGCGATATCCGTGATTTCAATAAAGAAAATATCCTTCCTCTTCCAACAGAGGACTTCAACAAAATCAGAGGTTGGTTACAGCCAACACCTTATGATCTAGAGAGATCTGAGTTTTCCAGGCATCTTGGATCGTATCTGGTGGGCACCTGTCAGTGGCTTATATCCACAAATACATATCAACAATGGCATGAAGGCGACGCGAATGGCCTTCTTTGGATCAAAGGCATACCAGGGTCGGGAAAATCCGTCATGGCTGCCTCGATCATCGACCAGCTACGTAAAGAAGATGTTCCGGTGCTTTTCTTCTTCTTCCGACAAATTATCGATGCAAACCATCAACCAGTGGGAGCGTTGCGGGACTGGCTATGTCAAATTCTCCCCTTCAGCCCACCCTTGCAATTTAAGTTGAAAACCGAATACCTCGATAACAATCGCTCTATTGATAGTCTTGCTACGATTGATCTCTGGGAAAACATCAAATTTGCTCTTTCTACATTTCCTAAGGCCTACTGTATCACGGATGCCCTGGATGAAATGGACCAAGGCAATGATGACTTTATTCAGGCTTTGGCCGAGTTCGGCCAGTGGCGCCCTGCGAATCTCAAAGTCCTCATTTTCTCGCGGCCAGTTGTTGCGGTTGAATCTCCACTGAGACCCTTTTCCGTATCCTCTCTTTGTCTAGAAGAACAACTTGTCGACATCGATATTGCTGCGTACGTGCAGCACCGATTGCAAGGTTCCGCCGTGCCAAAGGAATACTGGAATCTCATCACCGAGGCCGTTCCTGGCCGAGCGAACGGCCTGTTCTTGTATGCCAGGCTTGCAATGGATGCTTTCTCAAAACCCGGCGCTGATGTCAAAGAGGTGCTCAAGAAGTTGCCCGCAGACCTGAATGTGATGTACAACGAGCTGTTACGCGAGCATGGAAAGCGCTCAAATGTTCCTGGCGACCTTCAATTACTCATTCTGCAGTCTATTACACATGCAACTCGCCCCCTTCGTCTTCTAGAAGTTGCTGAGATGATCAAAGCCACCCATGGTCCAATTGGAGACCGTAGCTTGAAAGATATCAAAGATCTAGTCCGAGCTGCTTGTGGTCCACTGCTTCAGATTCTCCATGACGAGACGGTGTCAGTTGTTCATCACTCATTTACGGAGTTCCTCAAGGGATTCACCCGCTCCGCCACCCTTGATAATTCAACTTATCCCATTTTGGAAGCCGGTCCAACCAACCACCGTCTTGCCATTGCATGCTTAGACTATCTCACATCTGGCTGCCTAGACAAACTTGAGATCAAGAAACGCACTAAGAGTGAGGAGTTCTTCCAACCAAAAAAAGCACAACAGAGTGGAATCCGTCTACAATTTCCATTTCTCGAATATGCAGCGGCCAACTGGTACATCCATACTCGTCGTGCAGCGCTGGCTGGCATCGATTTGTCATCATTTTACTTGGTACTTGACGAATTTGTTGCGAACAAGCAGAGGTTTATCGCTTGGCTGGATATCGACTGGCCGGAGAATGTAATCGAAGGCCTCACTCCCCTCCATGCTGCTGCCAAAATTGGGCTAGTTGAATACGCCGCACACTTGATTCAAAACGGTGACGCTGACCCGAACACCAAGAGTAATCGCGGTGATCCGCCTCTCTATTGGGCTGCTTCCAGTGGCCATGCGGATATTGCAAAGCTTCTCATTGACGGCGGTGCAGATCCGGATGGAGAGGCGCACGAAGGATATAAACCTCTTCATGAGGCCGCCCGCAAAAACCGACCTGAGGTCGTTAAGATCTTGCTTGCCGCTGGCGTTGATCCACTAACACCTAAGACAAGAGAAGCCCCAGGCAGACGCTGTGGCAATGCACCAACCTCAGTTGGTCACACGCCACTCATGTACGCCTGCGGGAATGGACACACCAAGGCCGTAGCCGAATTTTTGCCATATCTCACGGACCCCGATGCTATCACAAAGGCCATTTTTTGGTCCGCGGGCTCAGGGCGTGGGGCCTGTGTAGATCTTATTCTTCAACATGCTACCGTGGACGTCAATTCAAAGTACAGAGGAGAAACTCTGTTGTTCAAAGCCTGCCTCGGATGCGATTTGAACACGATCAAAATTCTTCTAGCAGCAGGAGCGGATCCTAATATATTCTGTTCCTATCCGTCCTGGAATGAGTTTGGGGGTATGGGCCCCATGATGATGGGTGGGTCAGGTCGATCAATTAAGCATCCAAATGAACCCAGGGGCTACACAGCCCTACATGGTCTGATTGGAATCAAAGACCGGCATCGAAGTCGCCTGCCTTCACTGGAGTGTGTTTCAGTTCTCCTCCAAGCTGGTGCAGATATTCATTTGAAATCTCCTGATGGCAAAACGGCCTTGCATTTTGCATGTGTCAACAACATTGATATCGTCAAACTACTATTGGAAGTAGGAGCAGACCCTTATGCGGAAGCCGACAACGGGGAGACAATACTGCACAGCGATGGATCGACGGACAAGGAGCTGCTTCCTATACTGTTCGAGTCAGGGCTTGTTGATGTGAACAAGATAATGGCAAAAAGCAACGGAGGACCTTTGTTCAGTCGCCTTCGAGGCCATCATTTCAAGACCGCTCTGGAGTTTTTAAAGTACAAACCAAACTTGAATGTGACTTTAAAAAATGGCAATGGTTTGCTGCACGTGCTGTTCAATCACTGGGGCTTCGATTCCAAAGATGCCGTTCTTGACGCTTTCCTCTCGGCTGGCGCTGATCCGAATCTCCAAAATGAAAAGGGCGAGGCGCCTTTGCATTTGATGGGACGTGAAACTGGGGTTGAAACGATCTCCAGGCTGCTTAAAGCGGGTGCCAATCTTGAGATCCGGGATGCACTGGGTCAAACGCCCCTCTTCAAGAATGTCACATATTCAAATGCTACCAAAGACAAACCCGAGCTCTTCAAAACTCTTATTGAGCTAGGCGCAAGACTTGATACCCGAGATAACAAGGGCCGAACCCTCCTGCACCAAGTTGTCAGGAACACTGATCGTTTGAAAGAGTTGCTCGGCCTCATGGACTTCGATCCTTCCTTGGTGGACAATAAAGGAAACACGCTTTTCCTCGAGCTCGCTTCCAAGAAGGCCAAGTGCGATAGTATTTCAGCGTACAAATGTGTCAAAAAAATCGGGGTTGATATCGACCAGCCTAATAACAGCGGAAAGACTGTCTTGCACAAGCTGTGCTCGCGGAAACCCAGAGACCGCAGTTGGAAGCCTTCTATCACGACACTCTTTGACTATGTCCTTCACGAGTGCAAGAACCCGAGTCCTCAAGATATCGATGGGATTCAGCCATTGCACATTGCAGCAGCTGTATCTGAGGCTTTTGTTTTCAAGCTTCTTAATGCAGGGGCTGATATTTTCGGCGTAACCAAAGAAGGAATGACGGTTCTCCATATTGCAGCTCGAGCCCGACAAGCTGGGATTATCGGTCTGGTCCTTTCCAAGATCGCCGACCTTGACGATGAAAAACGGAAAGCCTTCATCAATCAGAGAAATATGGAAGAAAGCGCGGCTCTTCACTACGCCTGCTCCTCGTGTCGTCCTGAAACTGTCCGCCTTCTGTTGGATGCCGGCGCAGACCCTAATTTGCCAGGCAAGAATGGATGGACGCCTTTCAGAGCGTGCGCTGAATTTGAGATTGAACAAGCACGATGGAACAGCATCGGGGGCAAAGACAATACTAAAGTCCTCAAGATTGCCAGTATCTGGCTCGGTGCCCGAAGTGAGCCATCAGTATCAGCGAGGGAGGATAGTGAAAAGTCTCTACGGAGCTTGCGTACTGTCAAATACGAATCGGACTCAACACGTCTAGATGAAATTCTGATTGACTTGATATCATATGGCGCAAAAATTACAGGAGACAATGGCTCTCTCCGTGATGCATTCCATGTCGCTGTCTCTAACCAACGCGACTACACCGCCGAATGTCTAGTACAACTTCAGTCTCGTTTTCTCCCCAGGCTGAATCTACTGGAAGGATCAGATGGCGATGGCTTCAACTTCTGCAAGGCTCGTTTGGAAGATATGAGATCCTCGTTGAGGAAGGAAGAGGAGAACCGGAAGACCCGTAAGACCACGCAACGATCAATGAATGATGCGCAGGCTATGCATATGGTCAAGCTGCTACGCCGTGGCGAGTACGTTCTGTTGGAGGAAATGATGCCAGAAATAGATATACTTATGCTGAACTGGCAAAGCATATCTCTCCCGCACGCCCTTGTACGCACCGGTCTGTCAGATCTCCTGGATCGTGTCTGCACTCCTGAGGTCGCATCGAAATTTGATGATCATGAATGGTGCAACCAAGCTGAGGCTGCCAATCACTGTCACAGGAATGTGGCCAAACCGCTCCTCATTGCCGCATGCAGCCGTGAACAGCCAAATATGGAGGTGGTCCGTATCCTTGTGGAAAAGAAGGGTGTCAACATCAACCTGAATTGCAGAAAGGAAAGCCTGACCAGCGGCAAGGCCGTTCTACATGACCTTGCAGAGGGTGCAACTTGGTGGAATGTGCACCAGGCTTTGCCCTACCTCATCGGAAAGGGTGCCAATCTGGAGCAGCGCAATGATGATGGCGAGACAGCTTTGCACATTGCCTTGGACTTTGAAAGGTACAAGGGTGTTTTCTACAAGCAGGCTGTGAAAATTCTTCTCGAGAATGGTGCCGATGTCAACGCTGTGAATAACAAAGGGGAGACCTGCTTATCAAAAGCCGGCACTGATATAGAGCTGATCAAAATGCTTCTATCTCATGGCGCGAAGGTTTCCCCTGCTGCTATATTCTCCGCAATAGAGCTAGGCAATGTTGAATTGTTGGAGTTCTTCCTTTCTCAGGGCGATCTAGCTAACAAGAGGCGGCCCGATCCCGAAACTCCGGAAAGGATCCATTCACTTCATCGAACCTGGATTCCAATCGCCCAGATATACCCTTTGTTTCACGCGGCAACTTTCAAATCTAATCCACGTGGCCCTCCCGAAAATGCGGACCATACCCCTTTGCGAGGGCGCATGATGACCGCCCTTCTGAAGAATGGTGCAGACCCATACGCTACCTTTGTCAGGCTTCATCGAGTGAACGACAACTCTTTCAAGGATGAAGAGGAGTTAAATGAATGGGACGAGAACTCAGAAGAAAAGTGGAATCCCGAGACATGCACTGTCATACATGAGATCCTGAGAGCAGGCGACGTGGTTGAGCCACTGCTTCAGCTTCCATCACTCCAGGTTGAATCGCGAGATGATCAAGGCTGCACTTTAATTCATTGTACCTGTGGGAATGAGCGAATTTGGAGCCTTATCGACCGTGGTGCTGACATTTCCGCCCAAGACAACTCTGGTAAAACCATTGTTCATCGTCTCGTTCAAGGCCAACCTAGTGAGCAAAAGATCAGCACCATCAGGGATCTTTTAACTAGAGATCCCAGACTTGTGCACATGAGTGACGAGGCCGGTGATACCCCATTCCACTACGTGATTAGAGCACGAGACATACAATTTGAATACATCGACCTACTGCTTGAACACGGCGCTGAGCCCGTCCAGCCAGATTCAGAAGGCAACACGGCCCTCCACTTTCTCGCTACCAAACCATTCACTCACAAAGAACGCATCCAGCAATTCCTGAACCATGGTCTAGACATCAACTCACGTAACACGAAGGGCAATACACCACTCTCACGGTATCTTGCACATAGTGCATTGCGACCCGGAGGCATGTTCTGGCGTACAGCCGAGACTGAGGCGCGCAGCGATAATGATGGCCTACTATTCTTCAAGGATCTTGGTGCAGATTTCCTGACAACCAATAATTCAGGGACCTCATTGCTCCATGTGGTTGCTGGTAGAAAGGTTGGCAGTAGAGGTTATTTCCGTGAAGATGAGTTGAAAGTGCCAATCGAAAATCTTGTCCAGTGGTTCAAATATCTCATGGACATGGGCTTGGATCCTATGCTAGAGGATGCTCAACAGCGAACCTCTTTGGATGTCGCTGCTGCTTGTGGCAATGAACATATCCTCAAATTATTCAAGGAGAAGAACACAGAGTAAAGCTCAATTGCTTGAGGTCGGTGTGAATGAGCACGCATTCATTATTCATTGTATCTAGTTATCGATTTTGTTTTTCAGGCCCTAAATTGAATATGCTTTTTTGCATGCACTGCAAATTATCAATCAAACTGGAAGATAGTTTCATTACGCACAAGGAGTGACATATATAAATTTTAACCTATTTAGTTTACTGTCTCAAAGCTTTACCTTAGTGGGAAACGTGAATTTGATAGTTGAGGTAACTCTAGATATTGCTGCTTACATCGATTTTGTTACAAAGGATCTGCTAAGAACTGATTTGAGATACAAATGGCTTGACCTTGTTTCTCCTGAAACAATATATCCTAAGTCTTTCCCAGAAGGTATCCAAAATAGGTGACCCAGATCCCAAAGTAAGACCGGTAAAGAAAGAACTGTAGCAATATCATTTTCTAGGCCACGGAGGAAACCGGGGTTTGACTTGATATCGGATTGATTTAAATTGCTAGTCTGTTCACTCCACTAGTTGACATCCCTATGAGATAATCAACCGAAACGCACATTGCTGATCCTGCCTTTGTTGTTCCCTATCTGAAAGCCCGAGTTGGTTCCTGAAAAGACAACACTGTTGTTGTAGGTAGTACTGGACTGAATGACCTTCACGACAGTATCACTGAGCATTTTGTCCTGCCCAGCAGCGACTTCCTTAAGTATAGGAAGGGCGTCTTTGATTTTGTTCATCTCTGCTACCTCTTCCTCGCAGAGCTTACGCTGAACCGCTTGCACTGCTGGGAACAGCTCAATCAAATCATCAACTAATCCACTCGTGTCTTCAATCAGTCGCACAAAGTACTTCTCTTCGTAGAATGCCACGTCATCTGCTGGGTCTTGTTCAGAATCACCCTGTCTTCGTTTGGCAACCTCGCTCATTTGCTGGTGGAGCGATGCGGAGACAGTGTCTAGTTCCTTTGCAGGGTCCAGTGTTGAAGTATCGGGGTTTTTGCGCTTGAACCGTTTTGCATATGTCTCAGCGTCGGAGAATTGGTCCATGATTCCGCCAAGTAGCTCCTCAACCTTAGGAATGTCGTCGGGCGAGAGTTTTGCCTGCTGGAGACTTTGAATATCCGCCAGGTTTGCCAATCCAACAGACTGGCCCCAGCGAGTGAGGCGTAGCCTAATCACGTCCACCTTTAAGAGACTGGTCTTGAACGAATTGCTAAAGCCTTCCCCCATTTGAACGGATCCAAAAAGCTGGATGACTCCATTGAGCATTCGAGATTGTTCCGTCATTTTTGCCAGTGTCTCTCGTTGCATTTCGCTCATCTCCCCCTGCTTGGATACAAGGTTCTGGTTCTGCTCCAAGATCGCGTTCGTGTTTGACTCTATGGCTGCTGTTCGCTCATCAATCAGGGTGGCATTGGAGACAAGAAACTCAACGTTTCCATTCATGCTTTGGACAACCTCATCAAGGATCTCAACGGTCCGTAGAGTGGCCAGGCCAACGGCTTCGCTCATCTCGTTAATTGCCCCCTCCAACTCCGCGCTGGCCCCAGCCAGTTCTCCGTCGGTTCCATGCATCAAGTTTTCAAACCATTTCTCTGATGCAGCAATATTAGCTGTTGATGCGAATGACAAGGTACGATACATATTAAATCAGGCAACTTACTGAATCGTTTTTCTGCGCAGTATCTTTGTGAAATCGCACAAATTTTGAGTATGCTTGAAAATACACGACTGACGCAACGCTGAAACGGAGGCAGATCGGGCATCTTCTGCTCGATCATGGAAAGCCTGTCAAAAAATCTATGCGTGAAATCGAAAAAGCCCATAACCTTGTCATAATCGGCAGAGACGTCAGCGAATGACTGCATAACCTGTCCAAAGGCTGTAAATATCAAACTGGCGGGCATCGCGGGTGGAAAGGCCTGCGAAACTCAGAATATTAGTCTCTTTATATCTCGCTAGAGGTTCAGTTCAAGGCTTACTGATGCGGCGTTGCCAATATTCTGAACAGTATTGACCACCTTCTGAATCAACCACATGTTGTTTTTCAAAGCAGTTCGCACTTTTGTCACTTTGGACTCATCGCTGCGAAAGTCCTTGAACTTGCTCGACAGGCCTTCGGTACCAGCCATGATTTCATCCATGCTTTTGAACTTCCCCAATCGGAGATTTTTGCCGGTCGCCTTCTCATATTCTTTGATTGATTCTTCCCATAGTTGGGTGATGGTAGCTGTGCTGCTTGAGGACTGAGTGGCCATGTTTACGGGTGTTCCTATTTGTGAAGTGGTTTCCCTTGGGCAATAGATGAATGAACACAAACGGTTGACTCTCGGGCTCAAGTAATTGGCAAGATCAGCCTGCTCATATTAGCTCTCATAAAAGTCTCCCTCGCAAGCCCCCCTGCTGTAAAAATGAGAGTCCAACCCGTATTTTACCCTGAAACCGCGGGGTCTTGATAGCTGAATTTACGCATGTCTCCACTGTAAGACTAGTAATTCAACCTTTCATTGAGTTGATCGCAGCTGACAATCCCTGACTATGCTCCAGTCCTCTTCAAAATGTCTTCAGGTCGCCATGGTAGCGCCACCCCGCCTCTGAATCCACCAAATAATGTCCACGTAACATTTATCTTGCATGAACCCCGCTCTTGGTACTGTTGCGCGATATTTCGCTTATAAAAAGGGCAGAAGCTGAAAGCCATTCCCGGGTCCCCCGCGCCCTTTCTTCCGTACCCCACCATGAGTAGTACAGCTTTCTAGAATGTCAAGTAGGCCCGACTATGTGTAGTCTTAATTCTGCGGGGTGGTATGCATATGTATTCATAAAATCATTGATGCACAATATAGCTCGAAGTCATAGGAGGTAATTGCTGCGGTTTCTCATGACGGATATGCATCTGCAAAAAACTTATTTCGGAAGAGTATAATGTGGTGGACACATTAGCGTCGGTATCCGTATGCATTCGTCGCTGTTTATGAAATTTTCTCGGTGGCTGGCTGTATCAGTGACTACTTTTGGCATGGTGGCTGGCTGAAGCTCTTTTGCTAGTCGTAAACGGTACGCGTATTTTTTTGCTATCGTCGGAATTTGTGTACATACAGCGCCCGTCACAAAGGTCTACCGTAGCGAATGCGTTGACCTCGGACATTCTTTAAAAATCTTAGTACGGATATCATATCCATTGATTGAGGAAAGTTACTAGAAATCTATCACAATGAGATCTCAAGAGATAAATCTGAAGGATAAATTGCATGACGGTAAGTGTCGAACAGAAAGCATTGACAGCCTGAATTAGGTGCCGCCATGTGATTCAGGCACTAGATAACTCCCAAGCCAACCAGCTTGTAATTCATTTCACTACAACAAAGAAGGTATTATCTAGCGCCAAATGTAAAGCCAGTCTGGTTGCCTGTATTCTGACCAAGCTGGTAGCCGTAGTTGGTCGATCCAGCGAAGGAGGCATTCGAGATATTATTGACTGTTCCTTTCTCTTCCGGCTCAGGGAGATCCTCGACCCAGTCCTGGAGGACTCGGCAGACCTTCTTGAAGTCCTTGTCTTTTTCGCTGTCAAATCGACTCATCTGGTGATGATTTCCTGCCAGTCGAGTAGGGGGGAATCATCGGTGAACTTGGCCACAGCTAGATCCACGATCTTCACCTCTCCACCATTGACTTTTGTAGGCGATCCCTCATAAAACGTTTCCAGCTTCAGTGGAGCTCCCTGTCTGAATTTTGCAAATTCTTGAGGGATCGTTAGAACAAATTTAGACTTTTCTTGTAGGTCGGAGTCGCTTGGGACTTCTTGGTTTGCAAGTTGGAAAAACTTTGTTGCTTCGTTGATCGTTCCGGGGTGGAAATGTGGGGTTCCGAGGAGTAGAACTCCCACAACGGAGTTGACAAGCTGTTTCTTCTTCTCGTGATTTGCCCCTCTAATGAGGGCCTAGACAAAATAAAACAGAATTTATCAGTTGGGTCTATCCATATGTAGATAAGTAAAGGGACACCTACATTCTCGCAAACTAAGCCACCTAGGCAGTGTGCAATGAATACAACAGGGCGTTCAGCCTGATTCCAAGAGTCGATAGTCAGTAAAAGGCATAGGACATTCATCCACGGATAGGTAAAAGTAGATATGAACCTTGTCACCGCGCCGCTCTGCCATGAGCTCGCTGAGAAGGTCATCTGAAATATCAGAGATCAAATCCTCCTCGTTCCAAAATGAATCCACCTCCGCATCCTCATATTCGAAAGCCAAAATGCGCGCATTCGATATTTGTCCGGGAAGGATTTTTTCCGGCCAGAACACAGATTTCTCGGTCGTCCAGTGTTTTTGGTCGGCCTTCAAGCCATGGACAAACACAATGCTGCAAGACGTAAATCTGGTCAATATCTGGACATTGTTCATGAAGGCGAGGAGAAAATTTCATACTCCAGCTTAGCATCAGACTGATCCTTGATAACGTTGATAGACATTTCTGAAGATAGTATAGAATAGACTGGTCGAGTCCGCTTTTTGGGCTTTTACGGTGGGCTTAGCCTTCGTATTAGTACTACGAGGCATACCGTCCAAGCCACTACTGGCCGGACTCATCAAGTTTCAGAGGACTCGGAGAAAACAGCGGTATTACGTTTTGTCAACGATAGGGTCTGTACACATATTTAGCACCGGCGACTCCGAACCAAGGATGCCTTGATACATTCGGTTCCGATCAACGGTTGGCTAGGAGAAGTCTGTTGATCTTGGCCGATCAATATCTTGTTGTGACATGAATACCGTACATGGCTTTTCATCACATCCACTTACGCTTTGGTTGTAATTTCCTCTCCCTGGAGTATCTCTTGGAAGGGTAATTGCCAGATAGCAAACAATTATGACTCTGTCATCGTTCGGGTTTCGCAAATACTGTTTTTCTTTTTTTTTTCTCTGCTAATAAAAGCCTCTCACGCAATTTAAATTCAAAATACCTTTTTAAATATGATCCGAAACCCTATTTATGCAGATAGAATCCACGTAGCACCTGTGACGGCCATTCGAATCGTTTGGAGAATTATTTGTGAACTACCTACAAGGATAAATGGACCAGCATAGAGGCAGGGTCATCAGTTCATCAGAATACAACGTCGAGAAGATCCACAGCCTATCGGTTCTCGTAGCCTTGGTTGTTCCCGCCCATTACCCCAAATTAGATCTTTTCTATTGGGTAAAACCAATTCTGCACGTGTGCTGTACTGTGCACATATTTACAGCAAGCCTCCTGCAAGTCGTAATATGCACAAGCTGAACTGTGGGGCTGAGCGCGACAGGGGTACCAGCTCTCAGTTAGATTTTGGGAGTCCTGACCAGCCCCACAACATGAACTTGGATACTTGGTAAACGAAAAGAAATCAGACTTCCCAGTGCTGTTCATTTCACTCGATCCGCTTCTATACACTGTTCTCAATTACATCTACATTCCTTTGCAACCTAAGGAATCTATAGCCATGAGACTACCAGGTTCAAAAGCAGAGGTTTGTATAGTGGTTCGAGAAATCTTTGCGGCATAACTATAGTCGTTTTGACTGATGTCTTTGGGTAGACGCCGGCGCCGTCCGCCGACTTCTCGAAGTCGGAGAATAATGGACTCCAGATAGGCCAAAATTTTGGAAATATGGAGGCTTCATTCTACAGTGATTCAATTCGAGGGATCAACATTGCTGCGGGGGCATCCGTCTTCATGGGTAGGCGTGGCCCAACACGACTTTCCCCTTCATTATCCAAAGAGAAATGAAACCACAAAAGTGGCCACTTAAGGTTTACTGACATTGTTGATATTTAGGTGAACATAAAACCGTTGAAGATAAGCTCCTTGATATTCTTATCGCCGGAGATTCAAAAGACAGAGTCGATATAGCTCAAGCAGCGCGTGGAACATGTGAATGGATCTTCGACAGCACCCCATTCCGCAACTGGGCCCAAACCGACTCCTCGGAAACCGGGCCGCTCTATATTCAAGGAATTCCCGGGAGTGGGAAAAGTGTATTGCTGAAGTTTCTTATCAAGGAGATCGAGAAACGATTGCGTATTGGGACCCCATCTCTTTCGTCCCCAGTGGACGAGAACCCTCCTCCCGAGCTGGGCGTCCCCGGAAAGACCATTGCGGTTGCATGTTTTTGTGATGACCGTGATGAGCATCGACGCACCCCAGTCTGGATCCTGAGGACTCTGCTATACAGGCTAATCCAGAAAAACCGAAAACTGGTGAAGCACGTTCAGAAGCATATCCAGAATATCGAGGACCTAGACACGATGGGTTCTGATTTGGATGAGTTCCAGTCTCCTGATATTCTCCAAAAGATTCTCGAAGAACTCATCCCAGATCCAGAGGTGGAGGTTGTCTATTTTGTCATCGATGGCTTAGATCAGTGTGGGCCCTATCTTCCTGGGGTTGTCCGGCTCGTCAATGAACTTTCTACAAAGATTAATAGCGAAGCCAGAAATCAGGGCCAACAGTTCAGCCTGCGCTGCATAATCTCTGACCGAGGTAGTCAGATCGTCCGCGACAAAGTACTCCCCGAGAATATTATCGATATGCCGACTGAGAATAAGCGCGATATTGACGAAGTCACCGACCATCGGGTAAAGAGCATTCAAGAGTATCGAAACTTCAGTGAAAACATTCGACAAACTACCACCGATCTGTTGAAGGAGAACTCTAATGGCATGTTCATGTGGCTATCGTTGGTTTTGGATGACCTGGGCACTTGGGAGGGTGTCTGGACCGAAACCAAGGTCAAGGAGAAGCTGCGCAGCATACCTTTGGACGTCGCAACCTTTTACAAGTCGATGCTTGAACGGCAACCGCGAGACTCTGTCAAAAGATTGCAAATGCTGCTCATGTGGGTCTACTTTGTGTGCCGACCCATCACTCTGCAGGAGTTGGACGTGGTTTTGAATTTGCAAGAAGAAAAGGAATATACCTGTCGGAAGATTCCAGATGAGGATATCGAAGCATTGCGGAGCAACCTTGAGGGTAATTGGGGTGCTCTATTTGCAGTCCGTGATAACTTCGTACACCTGAGTCACCAATCCGTGAAAGACTTCTTAGCAGATGTCTTCAGTGACGAAGGCGTGCAGGAATATCCAAAATACGGCATGACCCAGGCAGATGCACACCGACAGATGGCATCTACCTGTTTGGCATATTTACAACTCAAGGAAGTTCAGGGACGGGAAGTCCCCAAGCCTCCGGTCAACAGCGAAGGAAAGATCGATGAGTCGCAGCTTACGGCGGTCAGACAAGAATATCTCGATGGGTTTCCTTTCCTCCAGTATTCAGTCGAGTTCGCTGGTCATCATCTGCGAGAAAGTCAAATCGAAGAAGAAATGGACGTAAAGGGAATGAAAGAATTCTTTGCTGACAATTCGGCGGCCTTGTCTACCTGGGTGCGGGCCTACGATCTGCTGAAACGGTGGACAACTGGAAAGTGTAAGTCTTTCTTGTCGATATTCGAGACCAACTGCTAATACTTCTTGATCAAGATTCGGGGTTCAGCAGCAGTACCAGTCTTCTCTTCGTCGCAGCGCGCCTCAATCTTCCCTGGTTAGCGCAGAAGTCGACGACATGGGTAACTTACGCATCACTCCCATCCGCTATATGCGCCCCAGACTATTCTGGCTGGAGCGCCATTCACATTGCGGCGGATTCGGAGGCCGTTGGAATGGTGTCCTGGCTCCTAAAAAATGGTGCAATGGTGGATGTGGAAACCCTTGGCCTTCCTCACCTTGGCCGCACTGCCTTGCATTTTGCTGCATCCAAGCGCTCCGAATCCGGGCCCCAAATGGTCGAGGAGCTGCTAAAAGGAGGCGCGAAAGCGAATATTCAGACCAGGCAAGGAGGGAACGCACCGCTCCACTATGCCATCGATGGTCGTTCAGTTAAGACAGTGAAGGCCCTACTGGACTCTGGTGCGGATGTGAATCTTGCAAGCAGATCCGGTCTTACTCCTCTTCACAAAGCTGCAGCTATTCCCGGTTTGGAAGAGATTGTGGAAGTACTCCTTGAAAATAGCGCCGATCCCAACAAAAAAACCAGCGTGGGCGCCGTCTCAGCGGCCCGAGGACTCGCCAGTCTGAGAGCCTCTGGATCTTTGTGGAATACATACTATGCCGTCAATACATCTCATACCGCGCTCCATATCGCGGCTAAGGTCGCAGATACAGAACGTACAGTCGAGGTTCTGTTAAAGAAAGGGGCGGATCCAAATTCCCGAGATAGTTCTGGACGAACTCCACTGCATATTGCGGTAGTCGGGATAAAGCCCGAGGCCATCATGAAGCTGTTGGTTGATCATGGCGCCGACGTCAACGTACGGGATGCAGAAGGCAAGACCCCGCTCCTTGTGCTTCTAATAGCCATTTATCTACAAGCACAGCATCAGCCTCAGTTGTTGAATGATGATCATGCCTCACAAGAACGAATGATTGTGATGTTGCTGTCCGCCGGAGCAGATCCACTTGCCGAAGGGAATGATAAACAATCCCCAGTCAGTTGCGCCACGCAGGGCAACCTACAGTGGGCCTCGGATCTGTTGACGCGGAGTTCCAATGAAAGAATGACTCCCAAGGCGGGCGATGCCTCGGATCAGAAAGCCGTTGAAAAATCAGAATCACAAGGTGGACAAAAAGAACCCAAAAAGGGAATTCTTGAGACTCAGGCATCGCGATGGCTTCCTAAGAGGACCAGATGGTAAATCATTCGGTCATGTCAGGAGAATTTTGTCAAAATTAGTTTCTTCTTTTTTGTTTCTTCCTTTCTTTCGTTTTCTTTTTTTCCATTTTTTAACAAGCTTGGTCAGTGCAGTATTCTACCTGTAGCAATCGAAGATACTATAACGCTTATTTCAAGGGGCCAGTTCCCATTCGTAAAAGTTATGACCACTATTTGGTAGGCTTGTAGATTATTTAGTTACAAGGTAATAGGGCCTTGTCGGAAGATTTTGAGGGGGTTCATATTATTCTACCTGCCTATCCCAAAATCCCAAGTAGCACTTTGAGCCTGGTCTAGTGCGCGGAATGAAATTTTGATTGAATAATACACTAAGAGGACCTAAAGAACCATTTGTTTAGACGAAGTAAATACTTTGACCAGACTCAAGTTCCAGGACCTGGTGTTGATCCCGCACGGTAATCCACAGGTGTGCAAAGCACCGCAGAGTTATGATCAAGTGCCCTAGGTACCTTGAAGGACTGGCTGGTCCGCGCCGGCGATAAAGAGGGTAGCGGAGCTCGGTGATCCGGATCAATAGCAGAAATCCCTCACTATCTAGCTGTAGGCAGGGAAGAAGGACAAAGACAAGGTAGATAGATGGAAAAAAAACATGTAAAGTTAAAGGAGCGATAAAACAGACTTTATAGTACCACGCACAGGGAGAGAAGGCTATCGCTACGCTAATCCTAAATAGGTACGCCAAACCGCTTTAGGGGCCCCACAGTTACGGAAGAATAACCACTTCCCGGATTCCCTTGTAATATGAACTACTATTCGGAGGAATTGGACCAACCAGATCCGTGTATTCACTTAAGAAAAACTACATATTCTGTTCATTGGACCCTGTATGGACACAATCGTGTTCAAAAAATAAACAAAAAGCAATGACCAGACTGGGGCTCGATCCCAGGACCTTATCGGTGTTAACGATACGTGATAACCAACTACACCATCCGGCCAATTGATATATGGAGTTTCAAACCTATGCTACATGAATCTTTCATTTCCTTAGATGATGTCGAGATATGCCTTTCGACAATTAGATTGGTTCCTCGCATGGGGTAGATAGGTAAATATCAGCCTATCTTTCGTAGTTAGCCTGATTTTACGAAGTCACCCCGGATCACATGCCTCCCAACGTAGACAAAAAGACTACCATATCCGCTAACCGCGGACATGACCCAGGTCCCGATATATATAATAGTAACGCAAGATGTCAGGCTGCGCTATAACACCTGAACGGTTAAAGTTGGCGTGATATCTATTAAGCGTACATTGACAATACTATCCTATGGGAAGGAAGTCTCAAATATGTGCGTCGTGCCTCTGTATTGACGAACGATGGCGAGGTGAACAACAGGAAGCCCTAATCCTCTAGCCATTCAAGAGACAATATGTAGCATATCGAAGCAAATACTAGATAAAATATGTGTTGTTTTTTTTTCCCTTTTTTTTCACATCCGAAGTGAATTAGGAAATAAATAACATTTAACTAACGAGATCGTAGATAAGGTCTTCTTTGGTCCGAAAATTGTGGGCACTTAGGAAAACCATGGCCTTTAATTGAATATCGTGGTTCTTTGCGGAAGCCGGCATCCTTATAACAGATCGCGAGCTAACAAGAGGCCACGGGTTCCCTTTATCCGACCTGGGTAGGGTTGTGAGCTTGGTGTTACGCCGTCGATAGTAATATAAATAAAGCTGTACTATTGACAAAGAAGCCGAAGCTGGAGAGGGAAACAGAAGAGAAAGTGGGGGAAGGGGAAGAAATTCCCCAACGCCTTCTGCATTGTCGTTTTGATGTAGTCGCCTGTTGATGCCGTTTTCGAGAGGCCATTTGCCCTGGCGGCTCAGAGATCCTGAGGATGTCGGGTTTAGGGGACCCATGCAGCCTGATCGGTCGAGGTGGGGGATCGAGGTCGGAGACGAGCTTGAAAACGTCGATGTAGAGGGAGAGTGGTCTTAGTGAGTCTCGAGAAAGGTCTCGTGAAAGGTCTCGTGGAGATGAGAGAGAAGGGAGATTCGCCAGACGCACACTCTTTTACTCTTCGATTTATATGCAATCTGCATGGTTGTTTTGACAGCCGTCTCTTCACTTCTAAATCTCGTTTACCACATCTTTTCACGGTGGCTTTCTCTATATCTAATTGGCCCATTCAGTACTCGCTGCCGGACTCGCAGCGTGGGTGTTGTATGGCCTCCTGCCAGTCTTGTTGATGGTGTTTGGCGCATCTACTCGTTCTTCTTCGATTTGCCTATCTCTCTCGTGCCTCGACCTATCTGTACCGAACAGACTGCCACAGCGCATCCCTTTGTTTACTATGTAATCATAAAAAGGTCACGAAGATAGGGCATGCATCGATTGGTGGTAAGAGGGGGTTGAAACACCTAGTGTTTGCAGAGCAATGTTATCCGTTTTAATTAATTGGATTTTTCAGAATCAGTTCATTTTATTCGGGGCTCATTAAAACAAGCCGGAACGCATAAAATCGGCAAAAAAAAACGTAGACAGACACATGTTACTTGAGACGGCGCTACCGGCATGACTCGGGGTAGAGGAGATCAAAAGGGACCAAGGCCGTGAGTCGAGCCCGGGTCGCGCCCCTTCGAAAAGGCACCCCAGAAGGGCGTGACTCACGCATGCTATCCACTACACACCTTGGCTTTGTTGAAGTTATGAAGAAAACACCATTCTGGAAGCCTAACGCGGAATGTAGATACACGATCAAAATCTACAGAAGAATAACTCACAGATACCGTCAAATACAGAAACTGCCTTGGCCGTGTCGTGGATTATTGGCACCAAGACTGTCCTAGCAAAGTGAATGATTTTACCAGGATAGCTTAGGTGACGTTGTTTGTGAATAGGCAAACAAGTTGTGTGGGAGGAAAAGAAGGCGCGGGCGGGCGAGGTGGGTGGGTTTCCCCTATTTATTTCTCCTCGGCAAGGGATGGTATTTGCTAAGCCCCACAAACAGCCGGTTTAGGCTTACTAGAAGGGAGCCCTAACTCGGATTAAAACGGGCTACGTGATCATGTCAAGTCTGCACTAATTTGAATAAGTTAGCTAAAGGCCAAGTGTGCCACCCCAAAATACCATACTAATTACGATCTCTTAGGTTAGAGTAATTAGATCAATGACTGGAAGGGGGTTTGCTTGATATTTGAAAGTATATACATTCTGTAGTGGGGGGCCTGCTGACGGAGTTTGGTAGATTGTAGTGTGAGGTAATTGGTCAATTCTTTCCTTTGGTCTTGTTGGTGTTTCTTCCTTGCTTTGTTGCTTCCCAGGCGCGCTCTCGTTCAGTTTATTTGTTTCGTTTTGGCTTGTCTGATTGGTTGATCTGAAAGGCTGCGGCGAAAGGCTTCATGGAGATGGGAGGATACGGACACACATTCCCAAGGAGATACGCAGGCTTCCACGTTTTGGCAGTCGTTCTTGTCAATCATTACTACAATTAATTCTCGGCTTATGTGTTTGCATGTTTTCCCGCTCGATTTGCTTGGCCCTGATTGGCCAATCCAGTCTTCTTCTCTCCTCGAGTCCTTGCCCTCGACCGTGAATAGAAAGAGAGCTTTATCGTTGCTCATCCTGGTGTCGGTTTTATATGCCCTCCGACCGCTCTAGACTTGGAACATTGTTTATCTCAATTTGATTGATAAATCATTTAGTCTCCCATCTACCTGATTGGGTGGGAACAAGGACATGTATTTTCACACCTGGCGCACCGAAGACCATGGCCTCATTCCTCCCATACTTCATAGAATCCCAGGAGCTATAGTTAACTCACCATATTTAACAATGGTCACACCGAGCGAAACTCTATATAGCCAAGAGGATCCGGAAGAGGTCTAGGATGTATTGCACGAGTACTCTTTGGAAGATGCGAACATATCGCCATCGAGGTCATACTCAGCCAATCAGGAGCAGATTCTGCTTTAGCGGCACAGAGCAGAGACTGGGATAAAGACAAATTTCAGACAGCCCTGGAAGATACTAAGTGACAGCGGGATTGATTCGCTCACTCGAATCAATAAATCAAGTCCATGATGGCAGCTCTCCGAAATTGCCGTGTATTTCGCACATTGCGCTCCACACCTTATCCTCCAGGCGATCTGATCTGCCTTTGCTTCTGCGGACCTGCTCCTGCCGGTCATACGGCTCCTCCACTCACTTTAATCTACTTGAATACTACCCAGTATATTACCCTGGCCACGAGATAACACATGCCACTCACCATAAAGCGGCATTAAATGTGGCTGATTGAAGGAATATCAGCATGACCCATCCCTGTCGATTCCACGAACCAGGCTGGCCCCTACGTTGATCGACAGACCTCATCGAAATCAACTATGTGCCTCGGAAACAGGCAGAAATAGAAGAGAATAAAAGAATCATGCATATTGAAATTTCAGATAAACAATGCGACTCTCCTAAAAGGTTCATTGTCGTTGTTAGTATGTATCGCTTTCATGGTTGGCAGGGCGATTTCCCAATAACGAAAGGCTCCAAGTCGACACCTCAGGCCACAAAATTGACATGACCACTCGAACCTGCTGTTATTATACTATCCTCGGACTTTGAGCGCTTAACACCAGGCTGACAATCGAATTAATGAGATCTAGCGTAACCACTAGCAGGCTAGACGTCATAAGGTAAAGATCCGAGGCTCAAAGACAACTTTTGATTGGCCGAGTCCCGTGGATGACGAAAGTCGCCGAAGTCTCCCTTGGCTCGGAGCAATGGTGCCACCGAGTGCACGCAAAACCATCGGGCTGAACAGTCCCTTTCAGAGACATCTCCGAAACAAAACCGGTAACTTGGCATCGGTGTGAGTCTCGGTGCGGGTAAATCGGCCCGTGAGGGTCGGAAACTTTTGTTCGGGCTTGATTATAATTTATGCCGCGATATCATGATAGGCTGAGAGCAAACTTGATGCCTGAGTTCGGACTTCTTTCCGAATACACAGAACGTTTCTAGAATAACCTTAATTTCCTTTGCTTCTTGCAATGGGTCCAACAGTGAAATTCTTATCGGAGCACCCACATCGAACCCCCACTGGAACCAGACAACAATCAAGAAGATGCTGAGAAATCGAATGGAAAACCCAGTGAGCTCTGGAACTTCCCTGAATGTTTTAAAAATGAGAATATTCCTTTCACGTTCCTGGTTCCTTTCACAATAGAAAATCACCCACTATCTTCCGTCCCTGCACCGGTCACCGCATTGCATCTACGCATTCACAACACCATGAGCGTCACATTCGAAGTTTTCCGCGGGTCGAAAGAGGGAAAGATCGTTGCAGACAAGACTACCCGCACCCTTCAGCACAATGAGGTCTACATCGAGACCACCCACTCCGGCCTCTGCGGCACAGACGAACACTACTTGCGCTCCGGCCAGGTTCTCGGACACGAGGGTGTCGGTATCGTGCGACAGATTGGCCGTGACGTCACCAACGTCAAGGTTGGTGCTCGTGTCGGTTTTGGATACACGCACTACGTGTGCGGAACCTGTGAAAAGTGCTTGAGCGGTATGTGATGATGGGAATTTCCAGGGAGTTAGGAACTTCAAAGCTGACATGTTCGATTCTGATTAGGCTGGGACCAATATTGCGAGAACAAGAAGGAATATGGCAGCCACGACCACGATCTTGGATCCTTCAGCGAGGGTGTCGTTTGGGATGCCGGCTGCGTCGTCCCCATTCCCGATGGATATGACTTGGCAGATGCTGCCCCGCTGATGTGTGCCGGTGCAACTGTCTGGACTGTCCTGACAGAGTACGGTGTTCGCCCTACCGACCGTGTTGCAGTTATGGGCATTGGTGGCCTTGGTCACTTGGCCATCAAGTTGGCTGCGGCAATGGGGTGCCAGGTGGTCGTTCTTTCCAGCTCCGAGGCCAAGCGCGAGGAGGCAATGGCCTTCGGTGCCTCCGAGTATCACGTTTTCAAGGCCGGTCAAGAGATCAAGGACTTCAAGCCCGTGAATCATCTCCTGCTCTGCGGTAGTGCCAGTGTCGACTATCAATCGTGAGTTTTGAAAGTCCTCCACTGTAAAAGGAAAACAGAGAACTAACCTTCGGAACTTCAGCTTGATTCCCTTGATGGATATTCATGGATCCATCTATCCGTTGACCGTCGACATGACTCCCTCACCCGTCCCTCTGCTTAGGATGTGCCTCAAGGGTATCCGTGTCCAGGGTTCTCTCGTTGCATCTCGCCGCAGCCTGCGCTCTCTAATGCAATTTGCTGCCGATAAGAAGATCACCCCGACTACGATGACTTTCCCCATGGACCAGGAGGGAGTTGAGGAGGCCATGCAGACCCTTCGTGATGGCAAGATGAGATACCGTGGCGTGCTCGTTCGTCAGTAAATATTGAGCATCCTATAGGGCGTTCTGATAGATTATGAGTGATACCGCATAGCAAAGCGTCCATATGTGAAAATAATGAATCCGAATGTTTGATGAGAGATCAAAGTTGTTAGAGAAAGTCTTGGCACGTGCCTCGAAGTATACTTCCTTCCCCTTTCTTTTGCTTCATGATATTGCTTGATTCACCGCCCGCTTCTTATTGTTAGTGATACCGGTGAATTGGAGCTATTTCTGTTTATCCTTGACGCGTCGTTCCGTATTCGACGTACCCTTTCCTTCTCACCTTCAACATACTCTTCCTTCATCATGTTAATACCTTCAATATCAAGTGGCCCCTTCACTTCTTGGTAATTATTTTGCTCATGTCCCCCCTTTTAGTCTTCCCCTCCCTTATGAGAAGCCAAAATTCGCTGACTCTGAGCAGTGAAACAACCATGGCAATCACTTCGCCGGACAATCCGGCCTCGGCCCTGAAGTTGAACGCGCCCCTCATAGGCATCAGCGACGATGATCATGTAAAGGCTTGGCGCCAGACTGCATATCAAAGGACCGAGAAGGGCAACTGTACCTATTGTGAACAGTATGGCCACGGTCCAGCCATTTGCAGATACATCAATCCCCACCGTCGGCCCGAAAACTGGAAGCCTGATCCCAAGCTCTGGGTTTACGAGGAAAGCGCACAAAATGCCAGACCGGAAAATCAGCAGAGGACCCAGCCTGCCAATGCCATTAAGAAAGTCAATCCTACAAACCGAATCCAGTCAATCTGGGCCAAGCGGTCCCAACCCGGCGGCAAACATATTCAGGCTGCACCGGTTGTTAACACTCGGATGGCTCCAGTTGTTTCCACTCGGAAGGCACCAATGGTTAACGCTCAAATGGCACCAGCTATGAGCACTCAAATGACTCCAGTAGTGGCAACTCAAATGACTCCTTCGATGGATTTCCCCGTTTACGGAAACAACACTCAGTCGTTTGATTTAGTTCCCTTGCCAATCAACGAAATCGCCGCCTCGAAGGTCCCTCAGCATCGTTGGGCAGTCATCCTAGGTTATTTCCAGCATATCACCAACAACAAAGACTGCTTTATTGATTACCACGAATACACCCCAGGAGAAATCCCTTACCGATTCCGTGACCAGACTGGTAACCTCCGGACCACCCTCGGCATCGGGCGAGTCAAGATCAATCTCTCGGATGGGATGCGCTTCTACGGCGAACTCATCATGAACGCTGTCTATTGTCCCGATCTGCCTTTCAACATCATGTCCTTGGAGATGGCCGGCCGAGCAATGAATTTGTTCTACTCCGTTTCGACTTACACTCTGCACGACATCTCGACCCACCAGGTGGTGGCAAGTACCTTTGAGCAGGACTTTATGCTCTTCCTCAAGACAACCCATGATTTGATCGCGTGAAGAATGTTTGAGAAACTTCGGATAGTATTCACATCTACCGAATTCTCCACTGAAAGTGTCTTAGATCGCCGCCACCGCTTGGTGGCTGGTGATACCCCAGGTTCATCTTAGCTACTGTTCAAAGGCATAAAAGGAATGACCTATCTTTTGAAAGCGCTGAATCTTTCTCGTATATAACTGTAGAGTAGCATTCGGAGGTTACACCACCTCGCTGTCATCCACAGCACGTACTTTAAATGCATGAGACGTCTTTCCTGTCACAACTCCCACAGTATTCTCAATATTGGGACAATGGAACCGGGAAAGTGCCAGCCGCATCTCCGGCTCGCCGATCTGAAGCTGTTCCAGAATCTCTGCAACCGCAGAGTACAGAATTGGGATGTTGCCATCCTCGATCTTCACAGCTATTCCAAGTGCACCTTCAGCTCCGAGCTCCATGGTCCGCTCGGTCTGCTTGACGCCGATTCCGTAACAACCGGCCGCCCCAAGCTTGCCAATCACCAGGCCTTGGAAGGCTGTCATGAGCTCCGTACAGAAACGGTCATCACCGGCGACAAGCTCGGGATAGGTAGACATGGCGTGGAATACCTGGCTCAGTGCCCGTGTCCTTGCGGTTGTTTTAGCCGCGTTAGAATCCACTTGGCTGGCTCCATCGGCAAAGACAGCAAACATGCGAGCCAAGCAATTCAAGGGAAAAGCAGGCGCTGGGAGATTGCAGCCGTCAACGCCCCATAATGACCCATTCGCTTCGAGATGACAGATTTCATCCACAGCCTCTCTGACTCGTACTTGCATGGGGTTGGTCGGCAGATGGTAGGTTCCCACATCAGCACCGAGAGCCTTCGTCCCAGCCAGCATCCCAGCATGTTTTCCAGAACAATTACTGTAGACCGCAGTCGGGGTAAAATCCGCCTTGATCCACGAGCGGTTGACAGCAACCGAAACCGCAGGATGACCACCACATTGCAGGAGCTCCTCGCTGCATTGTATCTTCGACAGGATACTCCGGGCCCGAGTAACGTGGCGGTCTTCGCTACTGTGCGATGCGCACATCAGGGCCAAATCGGCATCGTCGAGGTTGAATTTCTGCAGGGCCCCAGTTTCAACAATAGCCAATGCTTGAGCGGGCTTGGCTGCGGATCGGGCAAGGGTAATCCTTGACGGATCGCCAACGGCGTATAAAAGGCGACCGCTTGCGTCGACGATGGCGGCGTGGACACCGTGACGGTTTTCGACCACGCCTGCCCGGTCGGTGATCACACAATCAGTGGAGAACAGTGTGCGCATGATAAATTAACGCTTGGTATGAGATGATACGAAGAGATTTTGTCCCACGATGACTATTTTGGGTATTTTTGATGTTCCGCGGGGCAGACTGTCGTGTGCTGATTACGATCGGCAACTCCCGACGGTGACCAGGCCGAGTCTTTTCCAATGTAACGGTATCGAAAAAGAATTGCTCAACTTTGCACTACGATTTAATTGGTAACATACAAAGTACCAGTGACAAAGCTCAAGCCTGAGAAGCTATATCATGCTAAGTAGAGGGATCTCCCCACCAACAGTCCTCGTATGCGAGCATAAATGTCCGTTGGATGCCGATGCTAGGCGACCAAGGATGCTTAGACCCCGAACTCGGCATTTGAAGCCAATCTCGGCTTATGATCTGATTATGTGGGGCCATTGTTATTGTAAAAGGTGATTTCCTGTTGCTTAATGATATTTCAGAGTCCATCTTCACACCGGCAGACGAACTGGGCGAGCTTAGCTTACTGATCAATGGAACTTTCCTAGATCCCATTCTTTTGACAACATCCAGTAGACCTTCAATGAGACTCGATGCGTAGTAGACTAACCACTCAAGTTCTATACAATGAGTTTAGGTTGTTCTGCCAGGACAAAGAGTATTCTCACTGGACCTGAAACTACCACAGCCTTTTTGTGACTTGGGGATGGGCAATGTAGATATGATCTATAAAGGCCACAATCGAAGCACCTTCCATACTCTTGAGTTACCTTTAAGAGGAAGTTTCCATGACAAAATAGTTGTAGCTCGAAGATATGTTTCTGGCTATAGACGGAAATTCCCATAATAAATGGTCAAAGCCCCGCAAGACTATTGAGAATAGAAAGGGCTTCACGGTGGGATCTAAGCTGACATTCATTGTTTACATTTTGGCTCTTGCTAGCCAAATGATTGATAAGTGCTTAACTTCCTCCTACCTCCTAAAATTTCTTCTACTCATTTACCACTATAACTCTAGACATGGCAAGGAACGAGGCAAAAGATAGATTATAAGGGTTGCCTAAACAGTATATAGCCTTCCAGCAATGGTTGAGTATAAGTGGAGACCGGAGATGTCTGGAAGGTGGCGAGGGATCACGAAGAAATCACAAGTCCTCCAAATCTTTGATATTTAAATGATGTTGATTCTTCCCTGACAATATCCAGCCGTTCTCAGATGACCGAGTGTTATCCTCCATCTATCCCCTCACAGAGACAACGTCGAGATTTATGCAAGACACTCCATATTTCTCTAATTTCTACCGCAGTCTACTCTTATTTCAACCCTTACGGATAGGTACTGCATCACTTCGAATGCAATCTCCATCACCCTAAATACGACCTTTGTCACTCAGAATACGACAAAATGGGGAAAGCTAAGGTCGCACCACGGGAAATCGAGCGCCGACACGCTCTCACTCCCCCTCTACCTCCGTCATCCCAGATCACCAAGGACTACCATCAAAGGGCATCAACGTTAGCCCAAAGCGATCGCGCTTCTTCAAGTTACCCCAAGAACTACACGACCAGACACACCGGTACCTTTCCATCTGGCGAAGACCGCTCATCATCTGTCAGCGCAAGCGGTTTAGAGGAGGATCTTTCGCTCATCTCTACATCCAGCCTCAGAAGGACCTGGAGAAAGACGGGCTCCCAGTGCATACCCGGATTTGGCCTCACACTACCCGTGGCCGGCGGAAAATCTTCGGGCTTCTGGTAAGCTATCGACAAGTGTAAGTGAGAATCGATCGAGAAACTTATTTTGTTACGCCTGTATCTATGATTGGAAACTGACCCTCACCAGAGGTACACCAAGGCCACAGAAATCCTTTACGCCGAAAACACCTTCTACTTCAGCGGTGGAATCCGTCCACCCCAGTTTATCCAAATCCTGCCTCCCGCACAACTGAACACGACCCGACACATCACGCTTGAATGCCCGGAATATTTGAGCTACAACGACAGGGCGAGTGGGTTGCTTTGGAGAGAAATGATCAACGCTGCAACTCAATTGAAGGGCCTTCGAGCTGCTACGGTGATTCTTTCTCCTCGGCGAGAGGATTCTCGCGAAGTAGACGACTTGGAGGTTCTCCGAGGAGCTCGATTTGCGGGGCTGAAGATCTTCAACGTGCAAAAATGCCCTGTTTGGGAGCGTAAGGGTTTGGCATTGGGTGCAAATTGAGGATTGCATTACACGACCCAATTCCTGACGATGACGAGGACCTCCAAGCTGCCGCCGCACAAGCCGTAGCTGAAGCTTCCACCCAAGCTGCGACAGCAGAGGAGACTGCCAGACTGCCAGACAAAATCGAGACACTAGGGGACAACAAGCTCGCGCTCGTCCCCGACAAGCTCAATTTCCCATACACCAGTGCTTTTACCAAGTTGCCTTGCTTTCTTTCCAAGGTGACAATTTTCTCCCAAGTTGTTTTGCTCCACCGGAGACTGAGCTTGGCAGAGTAACCTTGGTACTGGCTCCAGCCTTGGAAGTTACCTAGACTGATATTCATCGTTTGGATTTTGGGTCTTGTTAGCCAGATGATTGATTGGGGTTTAAATCCTCTCCACCTTCAGAGCTAACTTCTATTCATTTATTATACTGTTATTAATTGAAACTGGCAAGAAATTAGCCAAAAGAGACGAATTACAAGGAACTTTTAGAGTATCTGGCCCCAAGAGATTTACATAGAACATTGCGAGGTATCGTAGCTCTTTCAGCCGTTTAGCATGTACACAGTATTGTTTCTTCCTTATGGAAAATTCCATTTATGCACGAACAACAAATTTGATTCTCTTTGTTCAGGCAAAACCTTTCTCTCCCTAAGCCTTATTTTACCTTACTACTTCCAAACACTTTCCTCATACCTTCGCCACCGCCCCATCAGTCTGCTTTTACCGACGATAGCAGAGGGCCTGCCCAGGTCAAGATCCGCACTAAATAGCAGAATCCACCGCGACCTGAGTCCTACTCCCTCAGGACCAAGCAAAGCGATCAGCTGGACCTCAAGTCGGCAAATGTCAACCCACGATCAAAGGCAGTCTCTTCTGTTCTCCCTACCACAGGAACTGCTGGACCAGATCTATGGTTATGTTTTAATCTCGCCAGGGAGACTGGTTATCCACGAGCGCCCATGGCGAGCACACCTGCTTGTCCAGCCCTGCAGAATTCGGACAGCTGGACTGGTGAATATTGTTCTCTCACCTCTAATAAGCAGGGATTGTCCCAGCATACTGGGGCTACTTCTGACCTGCCGACGAGTGCAAGTACCCGGAGATACACATACAGCGCTCACCTGACACGCTTCGTAGCTACACAGAGGCGGTTGAAATATTCTACAAGGAGACCAGATTCTTTTTTCGCAATGTCTTGGCTTTCCCCCGACTCGTCGACATCGTCCCTTCCTCCCAGCTAGGGACAATCCGCCATATCACCATTGAATCTCCACAAGATCTAACGATGATTGAATATAAGGGTGGTAGCCTCTGCATTTGGAAGGAAATAGTCAAAGCTGCAAGGCTCTTGAAGGGGCTTCGCAGCGTTACTGTGATTATACCACCAGCATTGGAAGAAGATGAGAACACGCACATACTGCTAGAGGTACTTGGACAGGCCAAACTTCCGGCACTAGATATTGTGTATACCTACGTTTCTTGGGGCTGGACCGGTGTAGAGTAGATGTTCTAAATGATAATTCTGCTGTCGGGGTATGGCAATATGTAATACGGTAGACGTTGATCTTGATGCACTGAGAGGCCAATATGACTAGAAAATGGGTTTCTATCTCCCCAAATGTTCTTTAGGGTAAATTTGACATAGGGACTGTTTGATAAAGACGTTAGGCCGTTGAATACCTTGAGCTAGAGGAAATCGATATCTACAAGCTAACGATATTCCACTCAAAGCCGTAGCTGCTTCGAAACTCCACGTCTCCGATCTTACAATCCGACTGCCCCCATCAAAAATCTTCAGCTATCATCAGGCAACTGATCCTAGTTCTCTTGCCTTGTTCACTTCCAGCAAAGAAGCTGGAATTTTCCAACACTCATTTCCTCGCTCTCCTACCACAAACGTCATTCTCCAACTATCTCCTCACGTCTTCGCAACCATCACGTTCTCCGAATACTTCAAAATGGGCAGGTCTGAGTCCGCACTGCCAGATATCAAGGAGCGACGCGCTCTAACTCCCCCGCTAGCGCCACCGCCACGGATCACGAGGGAGTACAGTCGAAAGGAAATGACCTACCTCCAACAGGCTTCGCCGCTCTTCAAGCCACCGCAAGAGCTCCGTCAGGAGATCTACCGATACGTCCTACTCACGCCGGGAGTATACGTGATCTGCGATCTTGTCACACCTTGTTCCAACTATTACAGCATTTGGTTACTGAGTGATGCAAAGAAAGATAAGAAGACTGAATTATTTCTCGACTTTCTACCAACCAGGGACGACCCCACTATTCTTGGGTTATTGCTAAGCTGTCGAAGAGTGTAAGTAAACGCGAATTACTATTTGATATGATATACAGTCAACCTAGCTCTAACACTCTAGGTGTATAGCTACGCCGAGGCAAGGGACATTTTTTACGGGGAAACTAAATGGCATTTTCCCCTGGACAAGGGCCTCTTCCAGCTCATTGAACGCCTTCCTCCAGCCCGCCTGAACACAATTCGAGACATCGCGCTAGAAGCTCGAAACGTAAGAGGCAAGGGCGGAGATGATGACCTCTCTATTTGGAAGGAAATGGTCAAAGCAGCAACCAGCTTGAAGGGCCTCCGTACAGTTACCGTGTACATCCCACCGTCGGAAACCAAGACGAACACGCAAATGGTAGAGGTAGCCCGAGAAGCCAATTTCCCGGCTTTAGAAATTTTCCGCGCGGATGTTTATCTGTATTGCATTTCATTGTGACTCAAGGATTGCTTGGCGGTTCTGGATAGATGTGGCCTCAAATGTCTACCTAGTTCAATAGCTCATAATACCTGTCCAATCCAAGGCTTCCCAGGGCTTAGTTCGCGTCCTTCATCATTATCACTTCCAACGAGACATTTCTTGAGGATCATGAGTATGGCCCTCTCTTAGAGGTTCTAGGAAAGGCGAAGAAAGCATCACAGATCGAAGTGATCCCTTTATGTAGGATGATAATCGTAAATATCTCTAATGAAATTATGGAACAAACCACTTTAAACACATCCCATGCAAGTCTAAAACAAAAAAAGATCGCTATCTTTCCCAAATGCACGCCAAACCCACAAGAACACGCTAAATGAAAACCATAAGAAAAAGCGCTCACAAGATAAACCAGAGAATAAATGCATCATGTCAACAAATGAAAAAAAGCATGTACAAGCCATATGCGAAAATAGCCAAATCCCAAGAAAATGTATGAAGAAATTGCACCACCCAAAAGCCTAGAAGCTGAACAACCCAGTTCGCTTCTTACCAAACGGATAAACCACCAGGGCAGCAATAAACAAGCCCACGGTAATACCGATAGCGACCTGAATCATACCAAAGCCCAGACTCGCGACCGAGGTATCCGACAAACTGCTCGTGGAAGTACTATTGCCCGAAGTCTCCAGATTATACCGAACCTGATCCGCATACCGGATACCCGCAATAAGCGAGCCACTCGACGCCAGACCGGAGGGCACCAGGACAAAGATACCAGGTAAAATAGCAGTGGCGGCATGACCGTGCCAAAGCCGACTGTACAAGTTACCCAGGACACCGATCGTAAAGGCGCCGACGGTATTCGCGACTTCAGATTGGGAGCCAAGCTTGGTCGTGCTAAAGTAATTGGTGATATACCCCGAGACAGCGATGAAGACCATCACTGGCATTTGCTTCCATTTACCATGGTTGACGATGGCGAGGAAGACGGCGTAGATAGCGACGAAGGGGAACTGGCGGGCGTACACGGAGCCGTAGACGTCTAGATTGGAGCATGTCGTTGCGGAGGTAGCGTTTCGGTCGATGAGGCCGTATATCGTCGTGCCGACTGTGATACCGTAGCCCAGGAAGAGGGAGTAGATGATTGCGTAGACCATGCGGATAGAGCCGGCAATCATTTGGTGGGATTGCAGTTCTAGACTGCTGCAGAGGACCATGAAGCCTGGGAGGATGAGGGCGATGGAGGATTGAGCGAGGGCGGAGAAGCAGAAGAGTTCTTCTGTTTGGCCGTTGCGGGTGATCTTGATGCTTCCTAGGGCACGGGCCAGGAAGGATGTTAGGACTGCGGCGGTGACTTCGAAGACGTTGGAGTAGAGGACGGAGCGAGGGGCGAGGACGTGTTGCATTAGTCCGACTAGACAGCCTAGACAGAAGATGACGGGCATATCGATGGGCCGGGCGCTGAAGGCGAAGGGACCGACAGATGCACTGGCTAGGCCGTACATGAGGACGAGGATCCACTTGTTGAAGCGTGGCTTGCGTGACATGATCTCGTCTAGCTCTTGGGTGGCTTCTTCGACGCCGATGAGATCGTGCACCACGTTCTTGTACACGTTGTGTGTATCCGCCAGACGACCCAGGTCAACGCCCTGTACCATACGCACTAGCTTCACCTCAGCCGTGCGGGTGGTCGGGTCATCAAAGGACATGATCATGCACCCGGGGAGATACAAGAATTGACCCGAGACTTCGAGTACGCGGGCCGTCATCTGCATATACTCCTCGAGGCGATGCGTGGGTGCACCGTAGCGCATCAACGCACGACACAATTGCATGATATACCGCTGCCGAGCCAGAATCTCTGCAATATGCACGGTAACCCGAATCTCATCCTCCAGACGAGTCCGACGCTTACTCTTCTTATGCCTCTTCCCCGGGTATAACGAATCCACCGCGCCGGGCGGGAGACTCGCACGACTGAGGTTCATCGAGGCATCAATGAGAGAGGACGTCGATCTATGCGCAGACTTCTTATACCACTTGATCTTCTCCTTGCGAGGCGTGGCAGAGCCAGAAGTCGGCATTGACGGGGGAATAGACGGGGACAACGACCCGATTTTCTTGGGCGTGGTCGCGCCCGAAGAAACCTGCGTATCGCTATCCGAGTCATCAGTAATGACACTCTCCGGCCGCGACGAGCTCGTCTGGCTAGCGTGCAGCTTCAACAGCTGCGAGAGAATCCCGCTACCACCGGCAAACCCACCGCTCGACCGACGCCGAGCAGCAAAGTCCTTCAACATCCCCTCGGGCGTGGTCTGACCAGACCGCTGGTACGCACCGCGAGGACGACGCTTCCGCAGGGCCAGATTATCCTGGACCTGGGTCATGCTGCGCACCAGACGATGAGCCTCCGCGCTGGGCGGGGGCTCATGCGGTTCCTCGCCGGCTTCCAGCATGCGCAGACGATCCGCGTCGCGACGAGCACGACGAGCCTGCAATTCCTCCATGGGAATCCCCAGGTCATCCGGCAGGATGGACGCACTGAGCGCCTCACCCTCGTCAGCGGGACGACCAAGACGCTCGGTCAATCGCACGGTCTTCTGGCGCAGGAGCTGACCGGCAGCTCGGAAGCGGTCGCGCGTAGGATGAGCATGCTCTCCATCCCGCTCCTGATGCTCACGTTTCTCAAGATCGACGGGGAGATAATCATTGCGACCGCCTGCGCGACCCGCGTGGCGCGAGAATGCCGGGGCTGGCGGGGTGACGGTTCCGGATAACGGGGTATCGGTCAGGTCCGCGGGTGGCGGCAACAATGGATGTTGGGCGGCGTCGGACTGGTCTGAGAAGACTCGGTGGGAGCCATCGTGCAGATGGTGGTATCGTTCACTTATGGAACGACTGATTGAACGAAAGCGCACGCGTGGCGATCGGATTCGCGGTTGTTCGGGTTCGGCATCAGCGAGCGGTTGTACGGGCACGGTCTCGGGCTGGGAATCGGCGAGTCCGGTCTCGTATTGATGGGCATCGACGGTGTTTTCACGCTCGAGACTTTGACGACTGGATGGGGTTATCGGGATAATTGGGTCGATTGGGGGGAGAGGGAATTCGGCATATTCTTCGTTGGGGCTGGGGTGAGGAGCATGAATTGGGTCGGACATGCCAGCGAAGATTCAGGGCTGAGGAGCCCGAAGAGGCGAAAAAAGATGTCCAGTCGAGAAATGATAGAGACCTGGTATTGTATAAAGGGGAATAGGAAACGAATGGATAACTGATAGGGAATGCAATATGGTATAACGATAGTAGGAAAACGGACGATGGAAGGAAGAATGAGCAAGAAAGATGGATTAAAAGAGATCCTACATTAAAAGTTCAACCAGCTAATTCTACTCTAGTCAGATAATCAATGACACATTCCAGACCGGGGAGTAAGAAAGAGATCCACGGAACCAGCGAAAAAGGTTGATCGGTAAAGTTCTTCTGTGCTGGTTTCTTTGGCTCTCGTTCGTTCCAGAGTCCAGAGTTAGCCACAAAGGATCGACCGAAGATCCACCGGAAGTATCCACGATAAGAACTCCTCCTCGGTATATACTAGCTGTATACTACAGTAGCTGTACTAGCCGTACGGATATTCTTCCGATATTCAGATATTTCATGGTCCAAGCGGTGCTCGGGCCAACTGCATGACAGTCGCGCATTATCGTGGCTGATTCAACTGGCCAGTCACAAATGCCCCGAGGACTTCCAGCCGGTTACTGTCATTCTGTCCCTGCAGAGGATTTTCTTCTAGACTACTTTAGCTGCGGCTTTTTATCCAACCAACACCCAGACTCTCTTTATCGCCGAACTGTACGGAGGACGGAGTACTGTATACCGTTTCTATCAGACAGGTAATTCCTGATCGTTGCATCATCGCCCCTTGCAACCCTGCCCACAGAGATGATTCGTAATCCTTCATCATGCGAGGAACTATGATTATCATTCGTAGATTATTATAATTCTTGTTATTATTCGTAGATGCCTGTGATACCAGGGCAGCTCCCCTACGTTCTAGAATGCTGCACACGTACTCCTTGGTACATCCTACCGACCGGGTGGGGTTCCTGGGTGGCGATAGTCTTCCACTACGTATGGACAGGAGTCTAGAAGTATGTACTTCGTTCTAGCTTGGGTCCCTTGAACCACTTCTTCCAGTGGCACCGCGACCATCCGGTTCGTTCCCAATTTTTCTAGAACCTGATAGTTTCATTTTTTCCCGCGGATTCGGTCAAACCTAAACGGATCTAGCCAGTAGCCCGGCTAAACTCCCTATCCTAGAAGGACCCTAAGTTAGTTCCTGGTCTGGTCCTGGCTTCTTAGGCACGGTGGACGAGGAAATAATAATAATGGACCCTGCCCTTATCGAACATTGTTGGGCTGCATTCAGAGCGGGGCAGTTACTCTAGTCTCGGTCGCGGGTAGTACAAGTACCCACGATCAACAAGGCATCAGCGGTGTAAGCCACCTCCTGGAAACTGGTCCCTGCGAGGAAGGAGGGGGATAAACAATAATATGACAGCGTGATGATCCACCGATATGGGATCATCGTCGATACTGCAGCGTTGATAGTTACTCGGTTGGGCGAGGGAGGCGAAGTGGTCGAAGGGCAACGAAAGGGCAAAAAAGTGGAGCGGCAGTTAAAACAGCCTGATAAAAAGATTTAAAGATAGAAATGAAACAGTCATGACTGAATGATAAAAAGAATAATAAAAATGGCTAGGAAACGAGGTATTGGACCCGCCCGGAGGATTCGACGGAGAAGCTTGAAGAATAATCAATCATCTTAGGCGACAATACCCTGTGGACAGTTAGGATACTAGAATAGAAACAAAGTGGCTTTCCACGTGGCGATCAATTTGGGTCATTGAAGCTGATCATCTCGTCATCATAATATAATGAATACACTCGACCATGTAGATAACAGATTCAATTGCTATTTGGTATCACTATTAGAGTCTTTCTTACTGATAGCATCCAAACTTCCAGACCTCGACATGCCATCAATGGAGAGCAGAAAGTGGGCCCGACAAGTCCAGCTGATCGATAGAAATTCTCCTCCCGCCGCTAGAAGCCCACTTAAGGTACCAAACACCGATAGAAACACACAAAACAATGAAAAAAAGTCTGGAAACAAGGAACCTCAATACCCACCCAACAGCACTCGTGCATATCAAATCACTCTCGCACGGTCCCGGGTCCCATCAAAGCTCCCCTTCGCCCAAGCGCCAATAACAAGTAAAACCCATACTCCATCCTCGTCGCAACACCTTCCCTACCCAACCATGATATCACCTCCCCTTGATATCCATCTCCCCAAAGAGGAACAACCTCTACTCACTCTTCTTCTTCGGCAAACTCCACCCATTCAAATACCCCACTCCAGCATTCAAATACGCCGCATACCCCAACCACCCCAAATACGGCGCCATCAACCAAAAAGCCGTCCGATCCGCATCCCACCAATTCACCAGTAGCAGCGACACGTTCCCAATAAGCAGGGCCATATCGCCCAGCGCAGTCGCTGGTCGACCTAGCCCGAAGAACAGCGGCATCCAGATAAAGTTCAGTCCGAGCTGGGTGGTGTAGAGGGTTTGCGCGGAGCGGTTGGCTTCCTGGACGGCTGGGAGGAGGGATTGGGAGGCGACTGTTGTTGCGTGGTGCGAGGCGTAGCCCATTAGACCGTAGAGGAGGGTCCAAGCTGGGCCGAAGAGCCAGGATGGGGGGCTGAAGGGGGGTTGGCGGAGGTTTGTGTAGGTTTCTTTGGTGTTTGTGCCTGGGAGGTGTTAGTAGGGGCGTTCCTAGGCTTATTGGATGTGTGTAGCCATGGTATAGCAGTTGCTACACATGACCTGTATAGTTCTCATTTGGAGGATGTCAGCACGTACGATTGGTGAGCAGCGCAGACGTCGTGCCCACAGCGATGGGTGTCGCGATCGCCAAAAGCGGCGACGCGAAGATAGCTTGAGGCAAAGCGAAAGACCACGGCATACTGGCGATATGGTAAAGAGTTGTAGAATCGAGACTGGTCCTCTGGTGATCCCGGGGCAAAGACGCGGCAGTGACGATCTTAAGAACGCAGAGGGATGTGGTGATCCTGAGCTCCTGAGCTCGATCGCGATCTGAAGATGATCGGTTGCTCTGACGTCATTGGCGTGCCTCGGCGGGTAGAAGCCACCTTCGCTTAGAGCACGATGCCACTAAAGGGGTTGTCAGGGACAAGCTAGAAGATTCGATGTTGGCATTGTGGGGGGATTATTGGTGATGCCTGCGATCGGAGGGGCTGTGGGTTATTAGATCGCTGTGACGCGTGGTCGTCTTGTCTGACAGTATTATTCTACAGTATATATTCTACGGTTGGAGTTGTCGAATACTCGGTTTATAGCACTACCTCACCAAGATTTGAAAGATTCCACCTTGTCATATTCTCATACTCAAAAGCAGCTGCAACTATCTGTTACAAGTCGATTATGTATGAATTATAGTTATTGGGTGACGATGGCCAACAATATCTCCTCCGACTACCCGGATAAGCTTAATTCAGGCTATCGACCAATCAGATCTTCTAGCACGACTATAACGCACCACATCCTAAGCTAAAGGCTCACTGGGATTTAACATCGAAAAGACTTGGTAGTCTTGTCTTTTGTTCTTATCATAGATAGAAAGATTCCTTAGAATGGTCAAAAATATGGATGCCTGGATAAGCTACCTTGCCAGACATCACCAAAGGACCGAGATCGTGTAACTCAGCAGTCTGCAACGTGCTGGGCCATCACGGGGACTTTTTTCGAGAAATGATGCTCTTGTATGTCAGTCCGATATTCTCGCGACAACATGCAAAATCACCGACATGGAGGCATCTTCCAAGTGCTGGAAAATAGACGCCTATCAGCCAACGACGAGTGGCCTTGAGGGTAATATAAAAGTAGCTGTGCTCATAGCACCAAAGTATCAGCAAAGAGGTCAGCTACACTCCATCTAGATCATAAGTAGCACCGGCGAATTTTCAGTTCATCTCCACGCAAAATGCCACTACGGCTCCTGTGTCTCCACGGCTGGGGGACGAGCGAGAAAGTCAGTCCACCCTTTCCCCAAGTATCCCGCAAATCTAACACTTTCACCCAGATACTACGATCACAGCTAAGTACGAACAACCCCATCATTCCCCAAAAAGGATTCTCTTCTAATTAACCGCACCACCTAATCTAGGCAGCCTAATCGGAGATTTACAACGAGACAACACGGCCACATTCCACTTCCTAGAAGGCGAACTCGACTCCGAGCCCGGTCCAGGCATAGCAGGATTCTACGAAGGCCCGTACTACAGCTACTACCGATTCCCACGGACCTTTTCCGCAACGGATGACGACGAATCCGACATCTTCGCCGCCTACGACCAACTCGACGAAGCAATTGCCCTGCACGGACCCTTCGACGGGGTCCTAGGATTCTCGCACGGCGGCACACTCGCCGCGGGATATCTAATCCACCATGCGAAAATGTCGCCGGGAGTGACTCCGCCATTTCGGTGTGCGATCTTCGTCAATTCTTTGCCTCCGTTTCGGATGCATCCTGGTCAGAGGCCGGTGATTGAGGAGGGGTTGGAAGGGTGGATTCGGATTCCGGTGGTGAGTATTGCCGGGGCGAGGGATTTGTTGTTCGAGTTTTCGTTGGCGCTGCATCGGATTTGTGATCAGCAGTGCTCGAGTTTTGTTGTTCATGGGAAGGGTCATAATGTTCCGACGGATGTGAAGAATGTTGCTATCATGGCGGGTGCTATTCGGAAGCTTTCGGTTAAGATGTTGGGGGGTTGGTGAAAGGGGATAGGTGGAGGTGTTGATTATCGTCGTTGTTGGACAGGAAAAGGTACTGGGAGCTGGGTTGTTGGCCTTCTGGTGTATAGAGCAGACAGAACATTTTTCGTGCTGAATCTTATATTTCTGTATGACTCTTGACGTTGCAAGACGGTGATTTTTACTCTAAGACCGCTTATTGAGAGAATGTCTAGTATCAAATGAACCGAAAAGACAAAAACTAGGTCGTCTTTGGAAAGCCAACATCTTCTGGTCGTAAGGTTTTCCCTTTGATCCTCCTTTGAGCTTGATATTCTCAACCCTATACCACCTACCCACGTCTAGACTTTGTTTGTCAACACAGAAAATATGAAAGAGATTCCCATAATTCTGGAGACCACTGGCTCCGAAGTTTTCGAAGAATGTATCACCCAGTCAGACATCGGAGACAGTGAGCCTTCGAAAGGCCCACCGAATGACCTTGCCATTCTCAAGGAAGATGCATCTATGCCGATAGCAGTGATAGGAATGGGATTTCGTGGGCCTGCAGATGCAACAGACACGAATAGATTATGGCAAATGATGCTTGAAAAACGGGAAGCGTGGTCGGCAATTCCGAAAGAGCGGTGGAATAACAAAGCATTTTATCATCCAGATCATGCTCGGCATGGCACGGTGAGTAGCAAATAGACTGTCCGTGGAATGGGTACTTTATCGCTAACTCGTTTTAGATCAATGTGGAAGGGGGTCACTTCATTGCCGAAGACTTGTCGTTGTTTGATGCACCCTTCTTCAACATGACCAGTGATGAGGCAGCAGTAAGAAGCCATCATAAGATTGAAGATTTCAGAAGATGACCTGTGATAGGCCATGGATCCTCAACAAAGGATGTTATTGGAAGTGTCCTATGAAGGTCTAGAGAACGGTAAGAGCCAAAATGAGCCAGCAAGTATATGGTGATGCTAACATATCCAAGCTGGTATCCCATTAACCCGAGTGACTGGCACTCGAACTTCATGTTTCGTGGGGTCATTCTGCGCAGACTATACAGACCTACTTCACCGAGACCCCGAGTGCGTGCCCATGTATCAGTGCACAAATGCCGGCCAATCTCGTGCGATGATGGCAAACCGAGTTTCATATTTCTTCGACCTGAAAGGTCCCAGTGTCACGGTGGATACGGCTTGCTCTGGTAGTTTGGTGGCCTTGCACCTTGCGTGCCAGAGTCTCCGCACGGAAGATGCATCGATGGCTATCGCTGCAGGTGTGAACTTGATTCTCAGCCACGAGTTCATGTCCACGATGAGCATGATGAGGTAGCACTCACACGTCCCTCAAAAGATCCTCCAGACTAATGAGGGTAGATTTCTCTCTCCGGACGGGCGATGCCATACGTTTGATGAAAAAGCAAACGGATATGCGCGGGGCGAGGCAATAGCTTGCCTCATACTGAAACCGCTGGCTAACGCTCTACGTGATGGAGACACTATTCGGGCGGTTATCCGTGGAGCGGGATCAAATCAAGATGGCCGCACACCGGGGATCACTCTGCCGAGTGGAACTGCCCAGGAAGCGCTGATCCGAGATGTTTACGCTCGAGCCGGTCTTTGCCCCAGTGAAACGGAAGTGGTCGAGGCACATGGAACGGGTACGCAAGCTGGTGATCCAGTTGAGATTGGCGCGATAGCCAGATCCTTCGAGCTTGGGCATGACACTGATCGTGTAACGAGGATTGGATCAATTAAAACAAACGTTGGCCATCTCGAGGGGGCGAGTGGGGTGGCTGGTGTTATCAAGGCCATTATGATGTTAGAGAATCGGGTAATTTTACCGAGTCGGAATTTTGAGACGCCAAATCCGAGAATATCATTTGACGACTGGAATTTGAGGGTTAGTGAACTTGTTTTTCTAGTCTTGTTCTCTAACACTGACATATACAGGTTCCACAAACCCCGGAACCATGGGATACACCTGGACCCCATCGAGTGTCTGTCAACAGCTTTGGCTACGGCGGTAGCAACGCTCATGTCATCCTGGAGGATACTTTGGGATATCTATCAGAGCGTGGGCTGCAGCGATGGTTTCGAAGCCCTTCGCGAATCACGCGAAAACGACCTCGCGTCGACGAACGTGCGGAATGTTCAGACCCTCCGCGTCAAAGAGTCTTCATCATTTCTGCATTTGACGAGTCATCGTGCAAGTCCCAGATTGCAAATATTCGCGACTATCTAGAGTCAAATAAGGATCTTGCTAGTGATGAATTCTTAGATGATCTGGCTTTGACGCTCAACGAGCACCGGACGCGTTTCATGTGGAAGGCCGCGGTGATGGGCTCCTCAGGTAGAGTTCTAAGCCATTCGCTATCAAATAACCTTGAAATTCGGTGCTCGGCTCGGAAACCTACTTTAGGGTTTGTTTTCACTGGACAAGGGGCACAGTGGGTGGGGATGGGCAAGGAGTTGCTTCACACATATCCGGTGTTCTCGAAGTCAATATCCAGGATTGACGAGTATCTAGCAGAGATGGGTGCTCCATTTTACGTGTCTGGTGAGTGGGGTTTAATTATTATCTGCGAAATTTGTTACGTGGCTGACAGCTCGACGGGTCAACTAGAGGAACTTTCAAGAAGCCCAGAGGATTCTCAACTGAACCACCCGCTCCTTAGTCAAGCAATATGCTCAGCCTTACAAATAGCTCTTGTCGACCTGCTTGCATTGTGGAATATATACCCTAACTCAGTGACTGGTCATTCTAGTGGTGAAATTGCTGCTGCATATGCTTGCGGTGCTCTCAGTATGGAAGATGCCATGGCGGTGGCGTATTTCCGAGGCATAGCAGCAAGCCAGCTTCTCATCTCTCCGGATATAAAAGGGGCCATGATTGCAATTGGCATGTCAAATGAGGCAATCCGAGAATATCTGGGGAAACTAACTACTGGAAAAGCTGGGGTGGCTTGCATCAACAGTCCGTCCAGTGTGACTGTTTCCGGAGATGCGTGTGCCATTGATGAGCTAGCAGAAATTTTGAAAGACAAATCCGTGTTCTTCCGTCTTCTAGCAGTCGATGTTGCGTACCATTCGCATCATATGGAAATCGTCGCCAATGAGTATCTCAGTTCTATAGAGCACATATCCCCTCGTCATGACCACACACCCGCATCGCAACTTGGGAAAGTCGCTTTTTTCTCATCCTTCACGGGATCCGAGATACAAAATAGCGATATGGGCCCTCAGTACTGGGTATCAAACCTCTTGGGGCAGGTGAAATTCTCCGAGGCTCTCAAGAATCTCTGTTTTGAGACAGACAGTCAACAAAATGTGACAGGTCTGATTTCTAGGAGAAGAGGAAAGAGGCAAGGCGCTGCACAAAAGCCAAGTGTGGATTGTCTTCTGGAGATTGGCCCACATTCTGCACTTGCTGGCCCTGTCAAGCAGATAATACAAGAAGACACTAAACTTCGAACATCGGAAATCAGTTACCTGAGCATGCTTTCCAGAAAAAACCATGCCGTCTCTTCAGCTCTGACCGCAGTATCCGCCCTGGCAACAATGAGTTACCCAGTGAATTTTGAAGCAATAAACTTTCCAAAAGGCAATGGGCTTGCACTAAAACCACGACTTCTTGTGGACATGCCATCCTACAGGTGGAATCGTACACGATCTTATTGGGCGGAGCCACGAATGAGCAAAACCTACCGAAATCGCGAATATCCTCGCACGGATCTACTCGGCGTACCAGACAACATGGCCTGTCCTTACGAATGGCGATGGAGAAACTACATCCGAACTTCAGAGATACCCTGGCTTCAAGATCACAGGATTCAGTCAGACATTATATTCCCTGCTGCTGGGTATATTGCCATGGCAATAGAAGCAATCGTGCAGTTGATAAAAGATTCCGATCATATAGAAGAATTCATCTTGCAAGACGTTCGGATACGCTCCGCGCTGATTGTGCCCGAAGGATCAGGGGTCGAAATTATGACTTTTCTACGAGACTCTGACAAGGGTTTCACGCATGAATCAGACCGATCGTATAGGTTTCATATATACTCGGCGACCCTTGAAAATCAGTGGACAGAACATTGTGCTGGAATCATCTGTGCTCAAATCGATTCGAGCAATACCGATGATGAAACCTTTGCTGATCTCAATGGATTCGCAATCGCGCCCACGACAAACAACACCAGAAATATTTCCGTCATTGACATCCCTCAGCTATATCAAAAGCTACATGATGTGGGTTTAGAGTATGGACCTTGCTTTTCAAACTTGACATGTGTTCATACAACTCAATATGGGGTTTGTTTTGCTGAACTCACCATTCCCGATACTCGAACTGCCATGCCAATGAACTTTGAGAATCAAGTCATAATTCATCCGTGTACCCTTGACAGCGTATTCCATACTATCTTTGCTGCGTTGCCGGAGAACATGGACCTTGAGACCGGTCCGCTTATTCCAGTTTCATTCGAGACGGTAAAGATTTCTCGTCAAATTCAGAGATCAGCCGGGGAAATCCTCAGTATATGCACCCACGTTCAGCCTGGATTGAAAAATAACGTCGTGGCCTCAATATCTGCAACGGATAGTGTTGACGGTCTGAGCGGCATGAAGCCAAAACTATCCGTTCACGGACTTCGTTGTGCCCGCCTACAAGGGTCTTCAAATCATCTCGAGAATAGGAATGATATCCCAATTGCATACGGAATTGAGTGGCAGGCAGACCCGGCCTTCCTTACCAGAGAGAATGCAGCATTTCTGTTCCAGCAGCAAGATACAGATCCAAGCCAATCGCTTCCCTTGCAAGCATCTTGCGAAGAACACACAGCAAGCCTCATCAAGGACACGGTTGCAAAGTTATCCGAAGAGAGTAAAGAGACACTTGACCGCACGTACAGCCGATACCGGGATGATCTTGTGGCTATTCTTCAGGCGTATGACAAGAACCATCAAATTTATCCACCCAACCGGTTCACTTCACTGCAAGAAGAAAATATGGGTGCTTCGTGCGGTATGAAAGATCTGCTTCGCGTTGTCTCCTCCCATCTCTTTTCGTTGCCGCCAACAAACCTGGAGGCGTTCAAGGAAGCCCAGAGAGAGATATGGAATTCATACAAAGAGCTCATTACCGAGAATCTGGCGTACTTTGCCGCAGCAAAGTATGTTGGCCTGATTGGTAATAAAAATCCAGATATCTCAGTTCTGGAAATCAACGATGGAGGAGACCGGCCATACACCTTGTTCTTGGAGGAACTGGCTCCACGTCCCGGTGGTCAACAAGACAAAGTGCCTCACTGCACAAAATATGCATTTGCGTTCAGAGACGAGGATAACATAGCCCGAGCAAGAGCGGATTTCGGTCATTGGGAGGATATTGTGAAGCTTGAGAAGCTGGATCTCAATTCTGATCTTTCTAAGCAGGAAGTTAGCAAAGATGTCTACGATGTCATCATCGCCCCGAACTTCTTCTACTCGGCACAAAACACCAAGAGGGGACTTCTCAAAATTAAGTCACTTTTGAAGCCATCCGGCTACTTGATAATACCTGATACCTTCCAGCCCAAGAGAAGCCTTTTGGATGCTCTCTTAGTTACTAATCTCTACCATTGGCCACATGAGACGGCAGACTCCATCCAAAGCGGAGAAAAGAAGGGGGAAATTCTTCCTGAGGCCGGATTCAGAGCAGAGGATATTATCGAAGGTGCTTTGACTGTTTGTCGCCCACTGCATGAATCAAACTTATCCGACAATAAGATATTGGTCATTCGTGAAGATGATGATGAGACCTTAGTGAAATTCTCAGAAGCACTGATCCAAAGATTGTCGGACGAGACGACTGTGTCAGACATTATGGAAGCGAACACACACGGCCGTATCTGCGTCATCGTCAGCGACTTTAAGAAAAGCTCATTTCAAAGCCCTGATGCCAATATGTTGCAGAAACTAAAGGAGATTTTCTTACAGAGTGAGGGGGTACTCTGGGTGACGAGAGGCGGGACGATGCACGCTACAAACCCCCAGGATGGGCTTGCAGTTGGCTTCGCAAGAACGGCTCGCTCAGAATCAGGTGTTCAACCGATTATCACACTTGATCTAGATCCGAACTTCCCGATACTAGACAACTCTAGGGTGAACACCATTGTCGAGCTCGTGAAGACCCATTTCTTCCAGGAAGGCCCACCAGAGCAGGACACCGAATATGCAGAGCGTGATGGAGTTGTTTTGGTTCCTCGGGCGGTAGCTCAAGATGACTGGAATCGCAACATAACGATGATGAATAAGGCGGTGACATTATCACCGGAGCCATTTCACCAGCCGGACAACCTCCTCTTACTGCGCAGGAATGAGCTTGGAAAGAACGAAGTTTACTTTACGGCTAGCAAGCAGAGCACGGGGATTCGCGAGGGTCATATCGGTATCAAGGTTTTTGCTTTCGCCTTGAGTGGGTTTGATACAGACAGCGGCAAAGAAGCGAGTGATACCCTTGATGCAGTTGGATTCGGATGTAGCGGGCAAGTATGCGAAGTCGGGCCAAATGTCCACGAATTCTCGGTGGGAGATCGCGTCGCTTGTCTTGGAACTGGAACAGCACAAAATTACTACTACGACCAGGCCCCAGCTTTTCAAAAAATTAAAGATGACACTCCGTATGATCTTGCCGCATCATTGCCTCTCGCATATACCGCGGCATACTGGATTGTTCACGAAGTTGCCAGAATCAAGGGCGGCGATGCGGTCCTTATACACGACGCAGCAAGCTGGTACGGGCAAGCGTTGACTGAGATTTGCATGCTAGGCGAGTGTGAAGTCTTTGCAATTGTCTCCACCGATACTCAGAAGGATTCCATCTCAGACACATTCCAAATCCCATCATGGCAGATCTTCGTGGACGGAAAGGACAACATAGCACGACGTCTTTTGGAGTCCGCTGATGGCAGGCTTCCCGGGACTGTGATGACATTTGCTGAGTCTGACAGCAAGATATTCAAGACTTTATGCAAACTCGCTGCACCATTCGGCCATGTAATTCATCTTCGGACTAGGGTGCTGGACCGTCAGAGGGACTGTACTTTGAAATCGGATTTGAAGAACATTTCGTTCTCCACATTCGATATTTTCGATTTTCAACCAAACAAAAATGCCTCAATCTTGGAAATCTGGTCAAAAGTCATGTCTCTTTTCATCCAAGGAAAATTGCGCGGGCCGTCTTCCTATTCTGTTCATAGAGTGACAGATGTGGCCAAAGCTATCAGTACTATCTCTTCAACGAATTATGCCGTGATCGTCACAGAAGGTGATGAAGTTGTGCAGGTAAACTTCGCTTCAATTATTTTCTACATGGAACTCTCACTAATTATTCGAAGGCCACCACGGCAAACGCCCCGAAAACTCTTTTCCAAAAAGACGCTTCGTACCTTGTGGTGGGTGGACTCGGGGGAATTGGACGTGAGATTGTTTCCTGGATGGTGGAGCACGGCGCCAAATACTTGATTCTTGTCAATCGCAGCGGGTTGGCTACAGACACGGCGCGATCTACCTTACGGCTGCTTCTTGATAAGGGCATTGAAGTCGCCGTGCGTGGTTGCGATATATCAGCCAAACGAGCTTTCAGTGAAATGTACAACGAAATATCGAAAACTATGCCACCTATCAGGGGTGTCATTCAGGGTGCCATGATACTCAAGGTAACCTATCCGAGTAGCCAAGGTATTGTGCATGCTGTTTGCTGACATGAAATAGGATGTTCATATCGAGAGGATGACGGCGGAAGACTACAATGCAGTTCTACGTCCCAAATACGCTGGAACCTGGAACCTACATAATTACTTGCCCAAAGATCTGGACTTCTTCGTGATGCTGTCATCCATAAGTGGCGTGATTGGAAATGCTACCCAATCCGCCTACGCGGCTGGATCCGCATTCATGGACTCCTTTGCCGCATACCGAAATACCCTAGGCCTGCCCGCTGTGTCGCTGGACCTAGGTGCCGTTACAAGTGTCGGGTACCTGGCGGAAAACAAAGAGCTAGCAGAGAAAATGACAAAACAAGGATTCCAGAGCACAGATATCAAAATACTCTTGTCGCTCGTCCAGCTTGCGATTTCAGAGCCACCTACTGGCTCTCATTCGCAGATTGTGACGGGCCTTGGGGATTGGAAACCAGGCAAGTCCCTGGCTAATTTCGACGCGCCTCTCTTCTCTCATTTCCGGAGGAGATTCCTGGTAAATGACCCACACGAAGAGGGGGTTGACAATTCCGAGACACTACGTGAGAATATGAGAGCTGCAAAAACTCGGGAAGAGGCCATACTGGTTGTCTTCGAGGCTCTATCCGGAAAGCTTGCTGCGCAGCTGAACATCCCAATAGACAGGATCGACCCAGAGAGTCCACTCTCGGAATTTGGCACCGATTCAACCGACGCAGCCGAGCTACGAAACTGGATTTCCAAAACCTTGGATTCCACGGTGCCTATTCTTGAAATACTCGCGAATGGCTCGATTCTTCAGTTGGCAGGCCAAATCGCTAGCCGATCGCAGTTACTGAATGTCAATGACGAGATGCCATAGAGAAAAGAGAAATAGAGCGTGTAGAGTGAACCACCTGTGACTTTTGGGCCCTATAGGATTTTTTTAGTGATAAAATTATTCGCTTCACTGATGACGTTGACTGCATGTGCTATGCAACATACTTTCAGAATTGGGTGATCTAGAACTAGAAATAATTATCCAGGAATAAGAGAGAAATAATATAGACTGTGTAGTTTAAAAATACAGTATCGGTATCTCGAATCCAGCCATTTCATAACCAGAATGATTACATCATGGCAGCTCTGATCTCCCAAGCGGAGCAACGTGACCTTAATGGCGTCCTGCGAAGACTGTCGCCAACAAATCCTATAGAACCCCTCAGTTCAAGGGACCGACTCACCTCAGATAGAGTTCAAATATTTGTTCCTTGCTATCTTCCAGACACAGATCGCTGATGTCATGATAAGTATGAGCGCGGGGCTCGGGTGGCATGATTGATGTGGCAAGCTGCGCAACGAAAATCGGCCGGGTCTTTTCTACTTCACCGAGTAACAACGAGGGAATCATGCCATGATTGTCGGATATGTCTGGTGATATTCAAGCATTTTGGCTCTTGAGTCACAGTAGAAATAGAGAGAAATCATGGACTCGCAAATATAATTAGAATCGCATCGTCAACTTCTACGCAGCGACCAAATTACCAAGAATACTTCTCAAAACAACGACCAAGAGCACCTTTTATCATGCAGTGCACCAAACTTATCACAAGAAACATATCGCCGGCTCTCCCTCGCAAGAAACCGCAAAAACTACGACCGGTCTTGATCAGAGCGGACAATCCGAAAGTCGCAACCCACAACCCAACCCCCGACTCGGACCAGCTTGCATATCGACTATGTGAGCTGTCCCTACAAAAGATGCAAAAAGAAGCAATAGCATCAGAGCCTGATCTAAGGCACTTCCTAGCATCATCATCAATGCAAAAGATGGCACAGAAGGACCTTCTCCATCGACTTGATACTCTCCAAGGCGCAGTGCCTCTTTATTCAATGCCACTTCTTCCCGGCGCAGATGAGCCGTTGTTATCAGAAGATGAGATATGGGATATGAGAGAGCTTGAGCTAGCGGCCTCAGAACTTGAGAAAGCGAGCAAAAGGAGCGAGATTGCACGGCTTATATGCTTTCAGCATGCTAGCGAGATGTAAGGGCTTTATTTTTTATGGCGTTTTCCTAGGAGTTAGGGCGGCACGGCGACATTATCGGCTGGTCAGATTTATTTCTCAAAAGTCCTTTTCACTGTTCTTCTATTTACCCGGTAACTAAATCTTACTGTCCACACGGAATTCAAAGAGCAGCCCTGCATGGCTCCAAACTCAATACTAGTGGCCATCTCCAGCAAAATATGAAGACCCACAAGAAGCCATTAGCGGGATGCATCCCGTCATACCTATATATTTTCTATACTTGCCAAGTAAAAAGAATTCAGGTATCCTATTGCTTGTTAGCATTGCCCTAGAAGTTTTCCTGGTAGTCTAGACTCCCATTGAGATATAAGCTAGCCAATTCGGCATCTTGTTCCATTTCCACAATCGGGGTTTACGAGCTACATCCACAACGACACACCACAAGATTACATAGCCACATCAAACATTAGGTAATGTTGTACTTTTCGCATTTGTGCTTCTGATTCATCTCATCGCTCGCATGAATCTGGCGCGGAATATCAACCATACTATGTACTATTTGGCTCGTGGACAATGTTTCTTAATTCACCCCTTCCGCACAATCACCGTGCTTGTGACCATCTTGTCCTTGTGCCATGCAGCCTTCCATCTTCCAGCCCTACTCTCTCTATGTCTGGCAGCTGATATCTCCTGATGTCTAATCGTGCTTGAACTTCTTACTGACTTAGAGGATTCCCAGATCACACAGCTGAACGGCATACGTGAATCTTAACCATCCACTCAATCATTCAGTAACTCTCGAGCGGAGAGGGACTTTTTACCTCTTCTGCGATTCCAAGACCATCTCTCCCAGGTTCGCCCTAACCCCAGATCCCCGAAAACATCATAGATGCAAATCTGTGTCTATGTCCCGTTCGGTACCTCCAAGGTGACCTCCCGTCTGATGGCCTTTGATACACCGATTTTGACTTTTCTATGACAGTTCCTTCCTTATCCGGACCTGGTTGATACTTGGGACTCTGAGTATCAGAACTCTTCAAGTTACCCAGTTCTCACGACTCCCTTCCATTCCGATACCCCAAAGCTCGAGCTGTCTCAAGAAATCCAGCCTCATACATCTCCCATCTCTTGACTCTGAGGTGGCCCTTCCCAGCCTCTTCGGAGCCCTACAAACCTTCCCTCACGGACACACTTCCTCCCATTAAGCCTACGTTACTCTCGACATCCTCAGGCGGTTTCACTCACTTTCTCCAATCAACCATGGAACCAACTTCGAGTTCGGCCTGTGATTCGGATCCCTCCCTCCAGACGTGCGTCCGATGCTGCCTGGAAAAGCCTATCGATGATTTTGTGTCAAGAACGAAGGCAAAGCGACCAACCAAATGGTGTCTTGCCTGTCGATACTACGGCAACGAGGTGAGGAAACATCTACCACATTAATTCTTACGCATGAGAAAATAGTAACCTGACTGAGCAGGGCCACAAGCGCTGGGCAGCAAGCAAGAAATTGCGGCTCGAAACAGAGAAAGACCCCGAGTCGCAGGAGAAAGTTAGCAGCGGGCAATCCGTGAGCGAACAAGAAGGCACAGAAACTCCAGTGGTCAGCAAGATGCCACATCGGGTCCGTCCAAGCTCTCGCAGGGCTCCCTATATGGTACCTGCCTACGCAACAAAGACCCTGCCGTACAAGACTCCCGAGGCCGGGTATTTTTCGATGATCCCCGAGCAGACTCAAGTCCCGATGCCAGGCCGGGCAGCAGCATGCCAGACATATCCAATCCCTGGATATGTTCCGTACATGCCCCCTGGTAAGTGATGGCACGCTTCCTTAACCTTAATCATTACTGACGTGGGATCTAGGTCCTGGCACCTACGGTCTCCAAGGAGCACCCGGATGTTTGCAGATTGTCACCCCTCCGCTCAACCCATCCGCCATGTACTCTATAAGGTGGAACTATGGCTATGGAGCATCACTGTCCATGATGCAAAGCCCACAATGGGGCGCATCTAATGATTTCAGTCCTCTGCCCGCCGCTCAAGAAAGCGATGGGGGAGATACTAGCGGTTCCGAAAGTGAAGGCTCCGGGTGTACCACGTCCAATAGTGGAAGCTCCGAACAGGGAACCCCCCAGCATGACAGCTTGAGTCAGGGAGTCCTTGGAAACGGATTTTCTGCTAACACCACGTCCCAAGATGAAACTTCGGTTCATGTGACAATTGGGGAGGAAGATTCTGATAACGGAGACACCGTGAGCGCGGTCTTCGCAAAGCTATCATCAGTGTCATCATCTTCAGGTGTTACAGGCAACCCACTCCGAGTCCAGTCCTATGATTGGGAGGGAGAAAAGGAGAAGATCGGTGAAGGATGTCAAGAAGAGAAGTTCCGGGTCTCTTCTGAGGACCCTGAATCTTCACCAGCCCCCTACTTCATTTGCTTATCCTGTTGTACCCCGAGGCCAAGCCGCCTGGGTGATGACGGCATCTGTGTTTACTGCTTTGAAGATCCGACGCAGTATTGCATCCAAGGAGGTCATGAGGATCACAAAACCTCGTTCATCGACACTGATGGGCGATTTCATGAGGTTTGCAATCGGTGTCGTGCTAATTCAGATCTACGATAATTCGTGGCTTCACTCATATCCCAAGAGGGTGCTTGGCTGCGGATTGTCCAATTCGGAAGACACGACCAGAGTACATGAAAACGGCCCGGTCAGTCACAAAGAAGCGAAGTTGTCTTGCTGGCTTACCTTTATGTGTGCAGTGTCACCCTTATTCTTACCACGTGCTATCTTATCTGGCCGTTCGCTTTATCTTTTATTGAGGTTACATCGTCAAATTAGCATGGTTTTCCGTGGCCCATGCATAGCTATGTATCTTTCAATACGAGCAACAGCCAACAGAATGGGACTAGTGGGCTTTTTATTTTGTGCCATATCATCGCTTCTAAGTGTTGTCACCTTAGACCTATGCACATTAGGTCGATTTTCCTTCAAGGTCCGCCTTCAAGGTCCGCCATGTTGACCCCCTCACTACGAAAGGGCGAGTACGCTAGAGATCTATCAGCTGCATCTGGACTCTCGCGCCAGAGACTCGGAATCGGAGTTAAGCACGTAAGATCTAAGCGGGATCACCAAAAGTCTAGATCTACCCGACCCAGTAAAGATCCTGCACCTAAAGGTTAGGAGGCGCATAGGGGTCTGTCGATAATCGGAACTTCGGGGAGATTATTCCTCCGCATGGCACCCACGCGGGAAGGGCGCCGATGCTGAATCAAAGGGCGAATCAAAGCGCTTGTTCGGATATATGAATAGTTTCAGGTTTTATCCGTGAGTATTTCCACATCCTCAACGGGAAAAGTAGTTGGGATATAGTTCTACGGATCATACTATAACCCTATCACCTAAGGAATTAGGCAACCAGTTCGCTTTTAGAGAAGATTCGAGCGTGGAGCTATAATTAAGTATGGATCACTAGAAATCATGTTTAGTATAGGAGTATATGGAATTGCTGGAAGTTGTTCTTCTTTTGAAATGGTTTCCCAGAGTACCATTCAACAGATGACATTGAAATCTGTGCAGATACTGTATACTCTACCTTACTATCTGAATCTAGTGTACCCAAATTAATTCAGGGTGTACTTTTCGCCATCTTTGATGAGCAAAATCCACTTTGGTTCTCGTCTTACGTTGTCCGATTCCGATCCGCTGACTCAGCGGATCGAATTCAAAGGCCGATTTTCCGAGGGAATCGCAATTGTGACCACTCAACTTTCTCTCCGTGGCTTGGCATGGCGAACGCCACTGATGCAGACGGAATACTTTATCAATCATTTAGCAGTGGATGCAACCACTGGACGGAAGAACGGCGGCTCCTTTATAGTCACCTCAGCTTTCACGGAGCAGGAATAGCGAGCACAAGGATATACCTTGTCGATAATATCGAACATGGCCTACCTAGGTACCATCCAGGAGGTGATGAGTCAGCGGAAGTTGACACCCCTGATGGATACTTCCGAGTATTTTCTTTCGATCTTCGGAGGCTCCACTTGATATTTGGTTCGCAGACAGAGATTTCGGTCCCCATTGGACGTGGGTCGACTACTCGGCCTGATTATGGAGCTCCCGGGACAAACATGTGTTATGTTCAATCGTCTGTCATAATCAGAAACTGTTCACCCATGGAGCAGGGGCTCGACCCTGTCGACGAAGCCCGTTTAATTGGGCACGGAAGCTCGGCGAGGCCTGTGGCCGTGAAATCTTTATGTCCGGACCCACTGCTTGCGATTGAAGCCGATATCTTTTCTGGGATGGGCGTTATAAAGATTTCAGGGCCGCCGCCTACGCGCCCCTCTTCTTACAAACACACGTCTCTCCTTGCACTGTCTTTCGTTCAGCCATGGAGGGACACAATCAACCCTCATCGTCCCATCATGGGTCGATCGATATCAAATATGAAACGGAGAGTGCTGCCACCGTCCTTGGCGATGAGACTCCCCAAAAGAGCAGCCCCTCTCACAGTCAGCACAACGACTGGAGCTTGCTGAGGCAGGTTCAAGAGCAACATGAGCGAGACCTGGCCTCCGGATTCAAACCTCAGGAACTTGGTGTCACCTGGCAAGACCTGAGCGTCGATGTCATCAGCGCCGAGGCCGCTGTCAACGAAAACGTCTTGTCACAGTTCAACATTCCCCAGCATATCAAAGAGTCACGCAACAAGGCTCCACTGCGCACCATTCTGAACAAGAGCCATGGCTGCGTCAAGCCTGGTGAGATGCTCCTGGTTCTAGGCCGTCCTGGCTCCGGTTGCAGCACGCTTCTGAAGATGCTTTCCAACCGCCGTGGAGGATACAAGTCTGTCGAAGGTGACGTCCGTTTCGGCTCGATGACCCCCGATGAGGCCAACAACTATCGAGGCCAAATCGTCATGAATACCGAGGAGGAACTGTTCTTCCCCACCCTGACTGTCGGACAAACCATGGACTTTGCGACTCGCCTCAAGGTTCCCTTCAGCCTTCCCAACGGCACCGACTCTCCCGAAGCCTACCAGACCGAAACCAAGAAGTTTTTGATGGAATCAATGGGAATCTCTCACACTGAAGACACTAAGGTCGGCAACGAGTATGTTCGTGGTGTCTCTGGTGGTGAGCGCAAACGTGTCTCGATCATCGAATGTCTCGCTACCCGTGGATCCGTATTTTGCTGGGATAACAGTACCCGTGGTCTAGATGCAAGCACTGCGCTGGAGTGGACAAAGGCCATCCGTGCCATGACTGATACCCTGGGTCTGTCTACCATCGTCACTCTGTACCAGGCCGGCAACGGTATCTATGATCTCTTCGACAAGGTGCTGGTTCTTGACGAGGGTGAGCAGGTCTACTACGGTCCTCGTGCTCAGGCCCGGCCCTTCATGGAGGAGGTTGGCTTCGTCTGTCGTGAGGGTTCCAACGTCGCCGATTTCCTTACCGGTGTCACCGTCCCTACCGAACGCCGCATTCGTGACGGATACGAAAACCGCTTCCCCCGAAACAAGGATACTCTTCGCCAAGAATACGAAAAGTCTCCCATTCACACCGATATGATCTCCGAATACGACTATCCCAACTCTGATGTCGCACGCCAGCGCACCCAGGACTTCAAGGAAGGCGTGGCCTTTGAGACCTCCAAACAACTTCCCAAAAACAGCCCTTTAACTGTGAGCTTTATTGAACAAGTCAAGGCTTGTATTATCCGGCAATACCAGATCATCTGGGGTGACAAGGCGACCTTCATCATCAAGCAAGTCGCAACCCTGATGCAAGCTCTTATTGCTGGTTCCCTATTCTACAGTGCCCCAGATAACTCGGGTGGTCTCTTCGTCAAATCCGGTGCTCTTTTCTTCTCCCTCTTGTACAACAGTCTGCTTGCCATGTCCGAAGTGACCGACTCCTTTGAGGGTCGCCCCGTTCTAGTTAAGCACAAGAGCTTCGCCATGTTCCACCCCGCCGCTTTCTGCATTGCTCAAATCACTGCCGACATTCCTGTGCTGCTGTTCCAGGTCAGCATGTTCGCGCTGGTTGTGTACTTTATGGTTGGCTTGACAATGACTGCTGGAGCTTTCTTCACCTACTGGATTTTGGTGTTCGCCACTACTATGGTGAGTCAAGTCCTTCGCTAATGTTTTTCGATACCCTCTAACCTTTCACAGTGTATGACCGCCCTGTTCCGTGCCATTGGTGCTCTCTTCTCCACATTCGACGGTGCTTCCAAGGTCTCCGGTTTCCTCATTTCCGCCCTGATCATGTATACTGGCTACATGATTCAGAAGCCCCAGATGCACCCCTGGTTCGGCTGGATCTTCTGGATTGATCCCTTGGCCTACGGCTTCGAGGCCCTCCTGTCCAACGAGTTCCACAACAAGATTATTCCTTGCGTCGGCACCAACCTCATCCCCCAGGGTCCTGGCTACACCGACAGTGCACACCAGTCTTGTGCTGGCGTTGGTGGTGCCATCCAAGGTAACACCTTTGTTACTGGTGAACAATACCTCAGCTCGCTCTCCTACAGCCATGCCCACCTCTGGCGCAACTTTGGTATCAACTGGGCATGGTGGGTGCTGTTTGTGGTTGTTACGATCATTGCTACCTCAAGATGGAAGTCTCCCTCTGAGAGCGGAAGCTGCTTGGTGATCCCGCGCGAGCGACTGGGCCAGCATAATCAGAACGCACCTCTCGACGAGGAGTCGCAGGTTCAGGAGAAGTCCAAGAAGCCGTCTGCGGGTGATGCTCGTGATGAGAACAACATTGATAGCCAGCTGGTCCGCAACACCTCCGTGTTCACTTGGAAGAACCTGAGCTACACTGTCAAGACTCCCACCGGTGATCGCTTGCTGCTGGATAATATCTGCGGTTGGGTGAAGCCGGGTATGCTGGGTGCTCTGATGGGTTCGTCTGGTGCGGGTAAGACCACCCTACTCGACGTTCTGGCTCAGCGCAAGACCGAGGGTACCATCAAGGGTTCTATCATGGTTGACGGCCGTCCTTTGCCTGTTTCTTTCCAGCGCTCTGCCGGTTACTGTGAGCAGCTTGACGTCCTGGAACCTTTTGCTACTGTCCGCGAGTCTCTTGAGTTCTCCGCGCTTCTGCGTCAAGCCCGGGATGTGCCGCGCGAGGAGAAGCTGAAGTATGTCGACACAATTATTGATCTTCTCGAGCTGCATGACCTCGCCGATACTTTGATCGGTCGCATCGGTGCTGGATTGAGTGTGGAGCAGCGGAAGCGTGTCACTATTGGTGTCGAGCTCGTTTCTAAGCCTAGTATCCTAATCTTCCTCGACGAGCCTACCTCTGGTCTTGACGGACAGTCTGCCTACAACACGGTCCGTTTCTTGAGGAAGCTGGCCGACGTCGGTCAGGCTGTGCTCGTTACCATTCACCAGCCCTCTGCTCAACTCTTCGCCGAATTCGATACACTTCTTTTGCTCGCTAAGGGCGGCAAGACAGTGTACTTTGGTGATATCGGTGATAACGGAAACACGGTCAAGAACTATTTCGGCCGTTATGGCGCCCCTTGCCCGACCAATACTAACCCGGCCGAGCATATGATTGACGTCGTCTCCGGTCATCTCAGCCAGGGCCGGGATTGGAACCAAGTCTGGCTTGAATCACCCGAGCACCAGAAAACTACCAAAGAGCTTGACCAGATTATCGATACCGCCGCCGCTAGTCCACCCGGAACTCTCGATGATGGACAGGAATTCGCAACCTCGATCTGGGAACAGACAAAGTTGGTGAGCACCCGGATGAGCACCGCTCTCTTCCGCAACACGGACTACGTCAACAACAAGTTTGCTCTGCACATCGGTTCTGCCATTTTCAATGGATTCTCCTTCTGGATGATTGGCGACAGCGTCAGCGACTTGCAAATGCGCCTTTTCACTATCTTCAACTTCATCTTCGTCGCTCCCGGTGTCATCAACCAGTTGCAACCCCTCTTCCTGGAACGTCGTGCAATCTATGAGCAGCGTGAGAAGAAGTCCAAGATGTACTCGTGGTGGGCCTTCGTTACTGCCCTGGTCCTCTCTGAGATCCCCTACCTCTGCATCTGCGGTGTCCTCTACTTCGTGTGCTGGTACTGGACGATCGGCGGCGACACGGCTTCCAGCAAGTCTGGCGCAACCTTCTTCATGATGCTCCTGTACGAGTTCGTGTACACGGGTATCGGCCAATTCGTCGCCGCGTACGCGCCCAATGCCACCTTTGCCGCCCTGGTGAACCCCCTCATCATCGGAACCCTGGTCTCCTTCTGTGGTGTCCTGGTGCCGTATGGGCAGATCCAGGAATTCTGGCGCTACTGGATCTACTGGATGAACCCGTTCAATTACTTGATGGGTGGCCTTCTGGTCTTCAACGTTTGGGATACCGATATTAAGTGCAAGGAGAGCGAGTTTGCTATCTTCGATCCACCCAATGGCACCACTTGCATCAACTACCTGCAAGACTACATGGAGACTATCGGTGCGCGGATGAACCTAGTCAACCCCGATGCGACCGAGAGTTGCCGCGTGTGTGAATACACCCACGGCAGCGATTATCTGTACAACCTCAACTTGAAGGCGTACTACTACGGATGGCGGGATATTGGCATTGTTGCTATCTTTGCGGTTAGCTCCTATGCTTTGGTGTATTTGCTGATGAAGCTGCGGACCAAGGCGTCGAAGAAGGCTGAATAGATTGGATTAGGGGATTGTGTTGGTGGGAGAAGTTGAAGATGAAAGACATTAATAGATTTTAGACTGGGTTAATCTTACATTTTAGGAGTTTAGACATACATTGCATCTCTACTACAAGTTCTGTGCTGATCTGAGTATCTTTTCAATTTGACAAAGTGTAATGTGTCCTTGATTGTCGTTCACAATCCAATTCGTCTATCCCTCAAAAGTCTTGCTACTGCCGTGTCGGGGGCCTATTCCGGAATAGCTTCAGAAGCAATGGAAAGACCACAAGTGGGTCAATGCCGTTTATCCGGTCATCGATAATGATCTTGAGGATAATTCCTACCAATCAAGATCGAACAACTCAGTTATAACAGTTGTGCTAACCCTGGAGCTACTGCAGTTTAATCCTCGTGTTTCCCGGGGGGTTCTCCGATTCCCGCATCTACCGGGTCTCGTCTCCAATTCAGTCGGCCAAGAGCGTGGATCAATCAGTCTAGACTCGTCCAATCATTCAATCTTGCGGAATGCATTTCCTCATTGATACTCTCTCATCCCCACTATATCTCCATCGGTCTATTCCAAGTGCGACCGCCATTCATGCAGGATTTCTCGCCATGAGTCACAAGATGTCGGCTTGGGATCCCGATGGTCTCGAAGGATCAAGATAAGAGCGATTGACTTCCGAAAGAATCGTTGAAACCCCTCTTTTTTTTATCTTAGCTGAATTATTGAGACTAAACTTGCATCCACCAAGTATCGTCACTCTTCAAAGTCCCGTAATGGCCACATCCAAAACCACCACAATCATCACCACCCAATCCTACCACCCATCACCACCTGATACACCAACCGACCACCTCTCCCTCGCAGGCCCAAGCAATCTACACAACATCCACGATGAAGAAACCCCACCGCAAACCGCCTTCTCCATCCTCGAACCCCCCGCCCAACTATCCGCCATAACAACGCACACCACACACATCCGCCCACTAGACAGCGAAGAAACCTTCCCAGACGGCGGCACCCGCTCCTGGCTCGTCGTCCTAGGCTCCTTCTTCCTTTTAATGGCCAGCTACGGCATGATGAATTCCACTGGCGTCCTCCAGAACTACTTCGCCACGCACCAACTCTCAGACTACTCCACCAGCGCCGTCGGCTGGATCCCGGGTCTATTCACGTTCTTCGGACTCGTCCTCAGCGTGCAAATAGGTCCCATGTTCGACCGGTACGGTCCGACGGGAATCCTCATCGCTGGATCATGCTGTTATATCGCTGGAATATTCATTCTGGCTGAATGCAGACTGTACTGGCACTTTATGCTGACGCTGGGCGTGGTTATGGGCTCTGGTTCCGCGTTGCTGAGTACCGCTGCTATGGCGGCTGTGCCGCAGTGGTTTGATCGAAGGGTTGGGTTGGCGATGGGGTGGGCCATGTCCGGGGCTGGATTGGGGGTGTCATGTTCCCGCTTGTGTTGCGGGTGGCGTTTGCGAGGTTTGGGTATAAATGGGCTATTCGGATGTTGGCGCTGATGGTGGCGGTGATGTGTGGGGTTGGGATTGGGTTGGTGAGGTCGAGGTTACCCAGGGGGCAGAGTAAGTCGAGTATTAATTTGAGGGCATTTCGGGATACGAGGTTTACCTGGTTGACGTTGGGGACTTTTGGTGAGTGATGCGAGAGGAAGAGGATTGTAAAAGTGCTGTGATACTGATCCATTAATAGGACTGGAGTTGGAAGTCTTTGCCGGCTTGGGTTTGTATCCCACGTACGTGGTGATGCAAGGGTTCAGCGTGTCGACCAGTGTGATTCTGCTGTCCGTTCTGAATGTGTAGGTCAATCGATTCATTCGCATCGAACCAGACTAATCTCCGTCCTAGTTTCTCCACAATCGGCCGCCTCATCACCGGCCTCGTCGCCGACAAATATGGGCGTATCAACACGCAGACGGGACTTATCTGCCTCGGCGCCCTAGCCATCTTCACCATTTGGCTCCCCTTCGGCCACACTCTATCAGGTCTATACGTCTTCAGCTGCGTCTTCGGACTCGCATCGGGATCCTTCTTGAGCCTAGCCCCAGCATGCATTGGGCAGATCTCGAAGGCGAGCGAGGTCGGGGGTCGGTTTGGCATTTGTTACTCTATCGTGAGCTTGGCGTAAGTATTGGCCTAGTGTCGAGATTGAAGGCTGGAAATATATACTGATGAAGACTCTAGCACGCTAATTTGCATTCCCATTGGTGGTGAGATGCTCGAGAAAGTGGGCAGTCGTGCGATGGTTGCGTATCTGGGGAGTGTGTTGATCGTCGCGCTGGGGATGTTCATTATGGCGCGGTGGGCGAGTCTGAGTTATCGATGGCGATGGCAGGCCAAGATTTAGACATTTGCATAGCGAAAAGTTCTGTTTAGCGTTAATGAGGCATGGGAATTGGAAAAGTACAGATATTTTCATTCGACTGGAGCATATGGTGGTATCGAATATTGGAGTGGGAATTAATAGCTTCTTGCTCGTTCAGGATGAGCAGGAATGACAGGCATTCACAGATTGGGACGCCGAGAGTCTGAACAAGCTCATAAGAACTGCAAAAGTAAACATGAAAGCGTGGATAGATCATGGAGCTTCCATCAATTCTGTTCCCCACCCTGACTCTTCGCATATTCCTCCCTAAACCAAGCATGATTAGCACAACCCTCTCTCAAGATCAAGACAACTCCCAAAGACCACAACATACAAATGCTTATCCAACTCGGCCATATGTCTCTGCGACTCCTTCATCTTCAACCGCAACTTCTCAATCCTAAGGAATCCCACTTAGTTAGAACACCACTGTTATACCCAGAACCACTCCCACAATAAAAACATACTTCTCCATCTCCTGCCGCCGAATATACATCGCCTCCTGGGCCGCCTCTCGACGCTGGAACTGGTCCTTTCTACAGGGTCGCATTGTTAGTAAATGCATGACGTCATGGAGATCCCGCGGTCGCAGCGACTTTGAACTTACTCCGCTAGGAAGCCTCGCGCTTTGGGAGCGCCGGTATCGCCTGCGCCCATGGTGGATGGAGTTGTAGTTAATGCTCGGAGGAGGAGGGGTGTTGGTGCTTTGGTTTGGAGGATTGGGCGAGAGAGGGATTGCATTGTGGTGGAGTCGAGGTTGGGAGGGTTGGATTTTGGTGTAGCGTCAAGCCCGGTAGAGGTGGATGATTTAGTGGGGAGGAATGAGGATGGTCGATCGCGATGAGGGGAAGGTGTAGTTTATGTAGGACGATTGATTATTGTTAATTAGGACAGTACTTTGTTACTATGTCTGTTAGCCCTGGCAGGAGCTACCTGGAAAGACGGAAAAGGCAGTCCTTTATAGTTGGCCGGAGCTCGGGAAAGTATATTTGAGTACGAAGTACCTCATACCCACGCAAGGGTCCTTGAGGACGGGACGAGTCATAGATTGGGGATTAGATTGATCACCATAAAACCAGCGATTATTTTGAGCATAATACTTGAATTACTTTGGACATGTGGCGCCTCGTAGGATTATTCGAGCGGGGAAATGTCTTTCAAGGGCTTTCGTAGGGATATCTGTGCTAGAATAGTCGAAAGACTGGTCTAGCCTCAGGTATGTAAAGGGCTATTTTAGACAGTCACCACCGATTGCGCTACTTTTGGGATAGTACCAGTCTTAAACGAGCGCTGAAATTCGTAGAAACATTATCGATCATAAAGTATAACCTCAATATAACTATATAGAACGTAACTCTGTAATATCCCACCCTTACAGCACAAACCGGAAACCCTTCTGCAAGCGTCTCGCAGCGGCAACATCAATCCCCTCCAAATCAGCCGTAACCTGCAACCGCCTCAACTCCTTCTCCGTCAACTGCACATCCTCATTCTCCAATCTCTCCTGCCTCTTATTCAACATGCGCAGATTAAAGTACATAAACAGCGCCATAGTCAGGCCCAACACCTGCAGACCAATATTCACACCCATCGCCGTCCAGAACTTGGGCGACTCATCGGACCGGTACGTATACGGCGTCCAGATACTAGCCGAGTTACCGATGGAATTGATAAAGGCGTATGCGGCGGCACGCTTAGCGGGTGGGCGGGGCAGCGCATTGGCGATCCACGAGTACAAGGTACCGTTTTGCGCGAAGACGAACATCATCAGGAAGAGGGAGATGTAGCGGGGGGCGAAGCCGGTAGTTGTTGAGAAGAGGATGAATCCTAGGATGGAGATGGGGATTGGGTAGACCAGGAACCAGAAGCGGACGCCCATTTTATCCGAGGTATACGAGTGCGCAAGACTGTAGACTACCATGAAGACGTACGGCGGGGCAACGAGCAGCAGCGAAATGGTGTTGTTGTAGTGCAGGGTCTTGGTCAGCGTGGGGAAGAAGTTCTGGAAGCCCGCCGCGCCGGTGATACACATGTATGCCACGGCCAAGACATAAGTCTTGATATCGGTCATGGCGAGTTTAAGACCCTTGAGCTGGGACATGCCGCCTTTCTCGTCGACATCGGCTTCGGCGGCTTCGATGGCTAGACGGCGTTCGGCGACGCGGCGCATCTCGGGGGATAGCATTTTCCAGGTCTCGGGGAAATCGGGGAGAATGAAGCAGATGATGATGCCGACGAACATGGTGATGGCACCCTCGATGATGTACAGCCACTGCCAGGCTGACAGGCCGCGATGACCTTTGAGACCCTTCAGAATACCGGCAGCAATGAGATTTCCAAAGGCACCGCTAAGCAGGGAGCCAGAGTAGAAGATACTCATGCGGAATGCCAGTTCTTTCCTCGTGTACCACTTGGAAAGGTAGAATAGGACACCGGCGAAGAAGGGGGCCTCTATAGATGGTCGGATTAGTACATGTAAAACATAGAAAAGAAACAAGGTGCTCCTGGTTAAGATAAAACTTACCAACCAGTCCAAGTAGGAAGCGGCATGCCACAATCGAGCCATAACCCTTGACCTGACTAGTCAGAGCTGACACTAACCCCCAAGCAGTGATGAAAAAGCCCAGATACAAAGATGGGCGACCCATGTAGTTCAGCATCAGGTTACTCGGCACTTGCATCAGAATATATGCCACAAACAAAATCGATAGACCGGTCTGGTACTGTGTAGCCGTTAGACCGAGGTCATCCGTAAGACCTTGCAGCTTTGCAGCAGCATAGTTGTTTCTGTCGGCGAATTAGTTTCCGACACCAAGCATAGATAGAGGGCTCTCCCTACCGATCAATATAATTCAACAGATAAACCAGCACGACCAGCGGCATGATAAGAGAATCAATACGTCGCAGAAGTTTCTTCTCGAGAACTTTCTCCTCGTCCGTCAACTGCGCCAGATGCACCACCTCCTCGTGGGTCATATCGGCCTTTTCGCCCATTGTCTCCAAGTCGGAGATGACACCCGTAGTAGGCGCCATGGTGGATGTAAACGATGAACTTGTCCTCAACAGCGACCGAGGAACAAGAACGGAGAACAGATCGAGACCCGGGACTAGTTGGAAGACGGATTTCTGAAAGTCGCCACTAGTTTACTACTTCGACCGGGAGACGGGGGGATGGCAGATCACTTTATGTCCTTGCACGAGACGAAAGAGGGGGGACGTGTCACCGCGTGGTCTGCATGTGGCCCAGGTCCCAAAAAAACGGGGGCAATGCGAGGAGAATCGGATCATCCAAGTGGCGGTAGTAGTGCAATGCATGTTTAGTGTTTAGCATCATCGCATTAACCCCGTTTACCCCATTACCCCGTACTCTGTTCCCCGTACTTCCTCTCCATCGAACAAAGTGCGTGGGGGGGCCGAGGAAAACCAGCCATACATACGGCAACCCAACCAATAAGCGTGTATCCACCATGAAGAATGCGGAGAGACACGAAGGTCAATGGTGTCATGGCTCTGTATTCGGCAACCCTCATAGGACGGCGCCCCGTACGGGGTCCCATCCCCCCACGGTGGAGGCGGGAGTCATGGAGGTCGAGTCCTGCGAAACAGCGCGCTCCTTTCAAGCCAAAAGCCACTCAGATCCGGGGAAAGCTTCCTGGATGGCACCCCACGGAAGACGTCCGTGTGGTGCGTGACCAGGGGTGTATAGGCGGATCTTTCAGGCTGTTAGTAGTACTGCGTAGTACGGGACTGTGCTCGGAGTTCTTCCGTGAGGCGAACGATTCAGCCATGTAAAGTACATGCAGCCATAGGACCGCGCGTGGGTTTTGAGTTTGACTTGGGCTGGTTTGAGTTTGGGGGAATTCGCGGGGTTGGGGAATGGAAACCGGGCCCCGAGGTTAAACATGTTTAATAGGATCTTGTTTTGAGAGACTGGAATATCGAAAATAGTATGAAGCAAGTTTATAGCTAGTCCTCCACTATGTTCGTAGTTCTCATGAATGGAGTAAATCATGAAATAAAAGTAATAAATCCTGGCGGGAATTCTACTTGTAAGTTACATTTAAAAAGCTCATCAATGCCGAAAGCTTCACCTCGGCATCCGAGCACAGCACAAAGAAGCCAAAGCCGGAGTAAGCCATCTCCGACTCTAAATATTAATTCTGCCCAGTGCCCAGCCATCGCTTGGTCTGATTGCTTGACTAGCCAAGTTTATTTCCGACCCGTAGCCACGCGGGGGTCTCGCACTTTCTCCGGGTGGATCTGGTATCAGACCATATCCCGGTCGGTCTTGCTCCTGCGTTGTCACTGCTGGATATTCATAGGATGAGAGAAACTGCAAGATCTACGATGCTAGATTTGGTGATCCATTATCGCAGACCGCAGGTTCTTGTTTAGTCCACCCGACATGGTAGGCGTGCCGGGAATTCTCCCCGTTCTTGGGTACGAGGTACGCTGCAAGCAATGTAAAAGTACCAAAAGGAGCACGGAACCTCCAGAGAAACAAGCCAGTCATGCGGTGTCATCGTCTTGGCATTCTCATAGCCTTGCTTCTGGCCGTCTTGAGCCACAATCGATGGCGCTTGGTGGTCGCCAATATCGTCTGATACGAGCAAACTATCAGTCTGGGTGAGTGTAACCGAGAGAGCTCATAGCTCCTGCGATCGGCATAGTCGACTCGGCCGACATATCTAGAAGTCTTATCGTTCAGCCGCAAAGTACAAGCAAGGACCCGGACATTCCCAAGCCCGGGTGTGCTGCATGTTGGCTGTGGCCTCTAGGCTCCCGTTACGCTAGGAGTGTTCTCTAATGTTCAGAATAAGATATCCCGCCGAGCTTCTCTTTCAAGAAGAGCTGCACCATCTCCGGGGTCTAAATTATCCCCGCATTGTTTAATGAATATCCACAGTCGCCTCCGTGCCCTCGCGATCCCATATTATGCCTAATTCTTCTCCCATTTCTCTCGGGCAGTTGGTTTCTTCTTTGTGACGCGAAAAAGACCAACCAGTCTAGATGTCTTGAAATTCCTCCGTGGGTTCAACACATTTACTGGTTGTCTATTCTGTGGTCCTTCTTCCTAGAATTCCGTTCGCCGCTTCATATACCTTCTTGAAGCTGAAGGACCATTCAGCATTACATCAGATTGAGTTTCTAAATCTGGCGAAGCTAATGCGTTGCCTGCTTCGCGTCCTTCTCATGCAAGGTCCTCGAGCTAGTCTCGTAGTGGTTGAAAGATCCTCTCAGGCTCAAGAGGCCAGGTGCCACGATTGGCAAACATATCACAGAGCTTTAGTTGATTGAGTCAGCTCATAAGCTAGGTAAGAGGTTTCTCCCTTGCCGTGGGCGGAGATTCACCGTCATTAGATGATGAGCGGGACAATCCCTCATATTTTAGAAGAGGTTGTTTTTCGATGAGCTAGAGAAGCTCTTGGGTAAAAGGCACAAAGGAAGGAAGGAACAAAGATCTTGTGTGCCGCGCTGTTCTCTCTCGAGGAATCCAGGCGACAGATGCAACCTGTGGCCATCAATAAAAAAAAAGCCATATTTGACCTCTTCATACACGGCGTTTGCGTGTTCATCGAAGTGTTAAATCGAATGCATCGCTAGCTTAGGCTTGACCTAACCGGTAGGCGAGAGTGCCTCACGAGCAGCGTGTATGTAGTATATCGGGCGAATCGTCCCACCAATTGAGACAAGTCATTAGCTGCCGGCTTTAGCGACGGGTTTCTGGATATGATCCTTGCGTGGTTTAATCGCACCGAGTTAAGGATCCACGCAAGGCATGGTCTTTTGGTGTGAACACAAGTATATACGGCTTTTTAAATCTTCAGATATTCAATGGTGGCGAAGTCGCGTTCCGTATCACTTTTAAACTACTAACCAAACTAATAGGTGCAGGCAAATATTGACTCAAATTGATGGTATATTAACCTTAATTATTGAATAGAAGGGTTTCTGATAGTTTTAATTAATGGCAGAAAAAGCGATCTACCAGGGGTGGTCGCAGACTAGTATAACGCCACCGTACAACTTGTGCCCCTCTATATCGCTCTTAGCCGTGAGCATTCACCCTTTCGCAAAGAGCTCTCATCACCTCATTAAAGGTGTAGTTGGTCCATGATATCCCCTATCTCACAACGCTGGTGCTAGTGATTACGTTGCGCAGGGCAACTTGCAAGCCTCATATTCGGCGGCACACGTCGATATATTCGTGCCAGGCATGCCTCGGCACTCGTTAAAGACGGCCTGGCATTTAGCGACGCACTGGTTGTCGCCTGTATTGCTGCTCCCACCGCCGGCCAAAGCAGACGGGACGAGCAGCAAGCTGAGAAGAGTACAAACGGTATACGCGTACCTCATGGTCTCTGCTATTTTGCTGGTTGAACGTGAGCCAACTTCCAATCACATAGAAGAGATCGGGTTGGGTCTTACAGAATTGGGTGAATTCGCAAAAGGAGCGATAATATAAGGCAACAGAAAAGCAGAATAAAATTGCTTGGACCAAGTCGGCCGTCTTATAATCCAGCTCACGATTAGGTTTTCTGCCTTAAGAGGTATGTAGACGTAGTGCTGATCGCAATTCATTGTGGGCCTGTGTAGTCCTTCTCTAGTGGAAAGCCTACATTCATGAAATCGATAGAACGAAGATCCTAACTGATTTTAGTAGATTATGTGCCCCGGAAGGGGTTAAACATATATGGTAGGAATGGAATCTAGAGCCCCTCCCCCCATTCCAAAGCGGAAAAGCAATATGGAACTACTTATGACAAGAGTCGAGTCTCTAGGAAATGAGTGCATTCCGCAGCGAATACTACTACTGAGGTTGAAGAGGGAGAAGTCAGGGAAATGAACCCGTTAATTACACCCGCAACTGATTAGTTCGCCCGGTGTCCACTACAGTCAAACCGAGTTTCTCTTCATGAAGTCAGGTATTATTCGCTATACCAAGGTACTTATGTACTTATCAGGTCGCCACGATTGGCTAAATGATCGGCCATATCTCGAGTTTCTGCCCATATTCGATATATCCTTGACTAAATGACATATTTTTCGATTATATTATATATATCTTTATAGTCTATTCATTAATATAAATCACAACTCAGTCAAAGGTAGTATAATTCATGAGTTGCGGTCAAATGTCTTGAGCTGTACGGAGTATATTTTGGGTACTTCTCTAAGGGGGGATTTAGGATTACACGTGATGCGTCTAACCTAAAGAGACTAGCCTATTACCCAAAAAGGCTAGTTTACCTGTATAATAACGAATTTCTGGTCAGAAACCTCGAGATTCCCCGTAGCCAGGAGATTCGTCATTTGTATGGGAAATCTAACTTCTGACAAGAGAAATCGGGTTGTAAACCTAGATATTGGTTGTAAATAGGGTCATTATAGCCAGGTTTTCACTGTCACTAGGTTTGACTGTTGCACGATCCGCTCCAAAATTAAGTTGGGATGCAGCCCAAAAATGCAGATCCACTTTGGTCTCAACGGTCGCAGAATGGATCCGGGAGCTGGTCCAGTACGTATGTACAGAGTACTTCTTTCATGATTGATGGATTATTCCATTATACCAAGTATAACTATGCTCTCTATACACTTGACAATCGATTTCAAACAGACTATCACCATTATTCCACGTAGAATGTTGGGCACACGGGCCTTGTAGGACGACGGCAAGGGTTCCTGGGAGCTCAGCCAGCCTCAACGACGGAAGGTCGTACAGGTCCCGCGGAGCTGATTATCGTTGCCTGCTTTCGCAAAGAATTCTGGACATGTCCAATTGAACTTTCAAAAAGAGTTCAATATACCGTCTAGCTGGAATAGTCTCTTGTTGAGCTGACCATTTACATATCGTGTCTATTCCAACCTCCCCCTTGGGAATACATTCACAATGGAAATCTTGTCTGCCGCCCAATTCCCAACCGTCAGCCCCTCACTACCATTTCGAGCGACTGACAGTCGATGCATCCAATATTCCCACTTGCATCACGCCAATCGCATGGTCATTCGAGCGGGGCCCAGCCACAAAACCTATCAGAATCCCCCGAAAGCTTCAAGCTCCCCCGCCAGACCGGCCGAAAGGCTGGTCAGACTGGGTCGAGGTTCCACCAAACAAGACCCGTGCCCACTCCCTAAGCAACAGATCTCGGACTCGACCACCGGAAATCTGGCTCCCTTAATTCCCGCAGCGCCGTTGGTTCGTGATGTTTTCTCACTCCTCCTTCGTCCCAGTTTCGCGTCTCCATGGTCGGTGAATCGCGACAAACTGCCCCCGACTCGAGAGCCAGGAAGGCTCCGAGCCGCCAGTCACGTTCCTGCAAGGTCTGCCGGGCCCGCAAGGTTAAGGTATGAGAAATCGAAAAGAGATGCTCAGATCGCGAGATCGCAGACGGGAGGGACCGTCCCTTCCGCACCGTTACCCTGTTCCACTGCAAGTCCACGGATGAAGGGGATGGGAACAGCGTAGGGCTGCGATAGGTGTCGACCTTGGTGGTTTTTTTTTCGCATCGTCATCGAACCGAACCCGGACGCTAACCCTCATTTTTTTTCCCGATCTTGTTTTAGTGTGACCGAGTCAAACCCTGCCACGCCTGTTGCGCCCATGGGTATCCATCGAAATGCGTGTATGAGAATGTGCCCGACGAAGAGGCCCGCCCTATCAGCCAAGCCGAGGAAATCCGGAATCTTCGATCGGAGATTCGGGAACTCCGCGCTAGGATAGACGAGAGGAACGATGGTACGTGCACGTCGGACAAGGCTGTTGTTTGTTGCCCCGGTTGACGACTGCCCGCTAACGCATTGATGCTGCAGGGTCGCGCGCCCAGGATCTAGAGCGGCTGGACCAGCTCGAGAGCTTATTTGAGTCTATTCGATCGGCCCCGCTTAGCGTGGTGGATTCGCTGGTACGGGATATTCGGACTGAACAGAGTGGGTTGAAGAAAGATTTGGTCAAGGTCGGTCCGTGGGAGGGTTACGAAGGTATGTTGGGCGTGTGCAATGGAGGTTTCGGCCGATGTACTGACTTGGATGAACTACTACAGCTTACGAGAGATATGCATCTCCCGTCTCTGTCATTGCTATTCGCAAGCGTTCCAGGAATGGTAGTCCGGAGAGCAACTTTAACGATCCAATCTTCGGGGATGACGAAGATGGCGACTTTGGAGATATCATTTCCATAGGCGAGGGATCAGACTCGTCTAGTTCGTCTGGCACAATTTCTATTATGAACATGCAGCGACCAGCAGTTGATGTGTTTGTGGAGCGCTTTGTGGACGCCTTCGCCCCCGAGGTTGACTCTAGACATGGCCGAGCAGGTGCACTTCGTGCGGCTGCCGGAATTCGCATGTTCTCACCACTCATTTCAGATGCGTTCGAGGCGGTATCTGTGGCCTTCTTTGGTAGATCGATCCAAAACAAGCAGATTGAAGCGTCCGGTTTCCGTCTATACCCACGTGTGCTGCGGTCATTACAGGATGCGTTGATTGACCCCGAGCGGTCCAAAGCAGAATCTACACTGGTGACGGTGATTCTGTTACTTGCTTTTGAGGTGTGTAATTCATGTCACTTGTGTTTAACATCACAGGGCATTTCTAACCGCAGCAGAGCGTGGAACGTACAACCCAAACCGGCGTCCCAGCTCATGTTCGAGGTGCAGTGCGCCTGATCGAACATCGAGGCCCCGAGAACCACATGTACGGTGTTGAGCATCTCTTATTCACGGAATTACGACCATACTGGGTAAGCTGCTATCCACTCTACTTTTGCATGCCATTTACTCACGCCATTAGATTGGCGGTGCACTGGCGGCTCGCCAGCCCTCGTTCCTCGCTCGTGAAGAATGGAAGACCGTTCCCTGGGCGGCTGGAACGACCAAAAAGGATATCCTGCATCACCTCGTTGATATTGCGACCGAAATTCCCGGCCTGCTGGCACAGTCCGATGCATTCAAAGAAGCACAGGCCACCCAGAGAATGGGCGTACAGGAGATGGCTGTGAAGCAAGCGGCTCTTTGGAATGGGATCACCGAGTGCACAGCCCAGTTCCAACAGTGGTATATCGACTGGGTTGAATGCTACCCCGAAGGACCAATCCAGGAACTTGAGCAGACCGGAGATCAGGACTTCCCCATCTTCAAACGACGTAACTTGCGGACGGGCGAGATCTATGCACCAACCAGGTTCTCATACCCCAATCTCCTGCTGGCGCAGACCATGTGTGTGTACTATGCCGTCCGCCTCATTCTATCCAGCATTGATACTCGCCCCGAGGACCGAGTGACACCCATGGAGCAGTACGAGTTTGGTTGTGGCATCTGTCGGACCATGGAGTATTATATTCTGACTGCGCCCGGGAACATGATCAATCGTCTTGCCTTCCCTACCCGAGTTGCCTGGGAGGCCTTCCCCGACGGCGGCCCGGAGCAAGCGTTCATGGTGGAAGTGTTGCAACTGGTAGAACGACGCCACGCCCTGGGACTTTGGGGTAGTGCCATGCCCGAGCTCTCGGTGAGGGAGAATTCTCCCCTCAATAATGCAGAACTATAGTTACTCTGGGCGCCACGCTGGAGCGGATGATGCTTTCACGCAGGAACGTTACATTGACTAGCATTTATTATGTATATGATGAGAGATAACCTAAGCGAGCTACGCAATTGGCTGAAAAATAATGTACTCCTTTACTATTTTTGAATCTTGTCATATTATTTGTCAGCTCCTTTCAAACACGTCCGATTGTGAGATCCATCTCGGATCCCGACGAAAGACCATGGATAATCTCCAGCTGCCTACCCCTCTCTTCAGGGAGCAGGCGGAGTCGATGCATCACGTAGATGACAAGTCAAATTGCACCACGATCTCATTGGATCCTCGTGCTACATCTCCGCTACGCCACGATGCCGCTAAACCCCAGCGGGACTGTGGGGTCCAACCCTGACCAAGGGGTTGACCAGTCACAAGTCCACAAGCTCGATGATCAATCGATAGTCCCAGGAACAGATGGATCCGAGCTGATGGGCGCTGAGGAAAAAAAAGGAGAAAGACATGACCTCGGGAAGATCGAGTCTTACCCGCTGCCAAACCAAACAATAAAAAGCCCGGACGGGACCCGCGTCAAGGCGATCTATTACCTGCATAGCTTTTTATCATTCTCAGCTTCACCATTGAAAACAATACAGGGATCTACGCCAAAACGAATACCGTCAAGATGCCCTCCCTCCGTACAGTCCTCGCCTCCTCCCTCCTGGCAGCATCCGCCGCCTCTGCCACGGGCATCAACGACTTCTCCTGCACGTCAGACTCCAACCCAGTCGTCCTCCTCCACGGTCTCGGCGCAACATTCTACGAAGACCTAAACTACCTGCAATACTGGCTCCAAAACCAAGGCTACTGCACATACTCTCTAACCTACGGCGCCTACGACGGCTTCCCCTTCGTCGGTGGCTTAAAACCCATCAGCGAATCCGCCGCCGAAATCGCAACCTACATCAAAGAAGTGGTTCAAAAGACGGGCAAATCCAAAGTCGATCTGGTCGGCCACTCCGAGGGCGCATTCCAATCGCTCTACGTGCCCAAGTTCGAAGGTGTGAGTCAGTACATTGATAAAATCGCTTCCATCGCACCGCCTACCCACGCAACTACTTTCGCGGGTATCTACGAGTTGGCGTACCTATTCGGGAACGCGTCGCGCGCTCTGATCGGCGATGTCTTGGATGTGGTTGGTTGTGCTGCGTGCGATGATCTCGGTCCTGATGGTGCGGCTGTGGAGCGGTTGAATGATGGTACGCCCATCGTGCAGGATGGTAATAAGGTTACTATCATTGCGTCGAAGTATGATGAGCTTGTTACCCCGCCTACGACGTCGTTCGTTGATGAGGATGGCGTGACGAATTGGTGGGTTCAGGATACTTGTCCGTTGGACCCGGTTGGACATATTGGCGAGGCGTATGATTTGAATGTGTGGAACTTGGTGAAGAATGTGTTGGATGATACGCCTGATCGCAAGTTTGTGTGTTTGCTTGGATCGCCTGGGAAGGCGTAAGCCTGGTTTCCGGGCTGATTGGGGATGGGATTGGACATGTTTAGTTTTAGCATTTGTATATAAGTAATTTTTAATCATGGTGTTAATTGCATCGCATAGCCGACATGCTCGGCATTTTGAAATTGATAAGTTTTACAATGGCATTGTCCGGTGTAGGTAGAATCAAAGAATAAAGTGCGATGATCGGCATGATCTGACATGCATAGATTACTCACATTCCGATCCGATCGTGTTTCAGCACGTTTGCTTCTGCAAGGCATGCAGCAGAATCAATAGTTTGATGGGAGTCAGTTATTTATTCTCAAATAGTAAAGCAAGCTGAAGCCTCTTTTAGATCCTTGGGGCCTCTTAGTCTCTCCTTGACTACCATTGATCGTAGTTAAAGTCCTTCTACATCTAAGCGTATAGTATGCTGCATATCCCGGGTATATACTCTATCAATATATTAACTTCAAAAGTGTCAAGTGCCAACGCCCGTCGCTTTAATTGCCTTGCTAGTGCAGACATGCCCCTACAATTCGCTCTCCACACGCCAAAGGTATGGCGTGGTGTATCCCGTCTACTTTGACTCCGGTACTCCGTACGTACTTGCCCATGCGCGCATACAGTCTTGCCTTGCGGGGTGTACGTACATCGTATCAAATATAAGCATATATTTCACCCATTGCTGCTGCCAACGCTACATCAGTGCAATACACTCCCTAATTCACGATCCGATGGGACACAAAGTCGGGAACGCGCCAAGCTTCAAAGAATGACGGGCCAATCAACACATGAGATGCCCATCACCCCACATCTAAAAAGAGTATAGCAAGGATCGATCATGAGATGAGAACGATTGACAACACCATCGGATGATGGCGTCCCTAGCCATCACTCGATCGAGGCTACCGTCTTTAGATCTAGTTAATCGCACCGAAGGTCATCCAAGAGATCACTAGTCAGCGGCATTTCCGATACCCGGCTGGACTTGAAGTTTGAAGTTTGATGGATCAAGATGGATCATCGTACGGAGGGGCTTTCTGACACAAGCTGAGCTGAAGCGGGGGTCAGCGAGTCGGACGTTAACTTAAGTGTTATGGTAGCCATCCCGGGGACATTTGGTATCCAATGATATAGGCAAGTGAATCCTAGTACAAAAGACAAGTGGCTCTGTAGTCGCTGGATTGCGGGGTATAAAAGGTGTAGCTTCTGCCCCTACAAACTCCTTCCTTCTTCCTGTACTTTGTATACCCTCAATCATCCTACCATCAACACCTCCCCAAGAACCCTTTCCAGCACCAACGAACCCTCACCATGGGTTTCTTCGACCGTGAGTACTCCAATAATCGCATCGTCTATTTACATATCCACACTCGTGGGAATATTCCACAGCATCTCATACTAACCGCCCCCCCCCCCCCCCCCCCTTGTGTATAGATGACTCCGATGAAGCCCGTCACTACGACGAAATGACCAACCGCCCTCACGAGGCTAAATGGTCCCACGAGCTCATCGGTGGTGCGGCCGCGTACGAAGCCATGAAGGCCTACGAGGACCACGAAGCTCGCAACGGTACTAGCGACTCCCCCCCACTCTCTCCAAGTTCATTATAGTAGTATGAAGTCGCTGAAACTGGCCTCTTTTCTGCACCTAGGCAAGATTGATAACCACGCCAAGGCGAAGGAGGTCGTTGCTGGTCTTATCGGTGCCTTTGTTGATCGTGAGGTCGAGACCAAGGGTTTGGACTTTATTGATCGGGAGAGGGCTAAGCATCATGCTCGTGAGCGTGCCGAGGAGGCGATGGGTAACAGTGGACGCTGGTAGATGGTGATACTAGCATCTTGATACTGTTCTGATGCTAGGGAGGGAGTTTGATGTATCCGATGGAGCGATGCGCAATACGCGACCATGAATCAATGATTTCTAGCTGGATTTCCATCTCAAGTGCTATTATTGCCGTACTGATTTTGATAGAAGGACAAGAGCCTTGACCGTTTGGGTATGTCTAGAGATCTTAATTTCCGTCTTTCGTTTGGTGAGCCGATCATGCATGCGACTAGCTACTTACAGCTTCAGCATCTGTTGGGCTGCATTGCCTTAGTACGGATACGTACCTGTGCGGTAGGGGCCTACACCGTCATTCCTGTTCTGAAGAGTTTTCGCTTTTGGCATGCCAGTTTTGCACTCTTCCTATGAAGTATATCTTTAGCCTTGTAGTAGGAGCTCTGGATGCCACCAAATAGTTAGTAGCTTCTAGATAAATACCACCAAGGGTCAATTGAATGACACAGAATTCGCGAGAATGCTTTGGCCCTCGTTCTACAGTGATTAATACTAATCGCAATCGGTTGTAAACACCTTAAGCCAATGGCGAGTACAGTTGAAAGTGGACCGTCGACAAGAGTGACAGCTCACATGCCTGATCCCACCGCCCAGAGTCCAACTGCACAATTCCGCGACCGCTTTGCCAAACATGGAGCTGGTAAACTCCACCTTCATAATTCCTCCTGTTCCCATTCACCCCCGTTGGAACATATGATATTCCTAAACACTATCCTCGAGACCACCCTACCCAAATCCCCGCAGAATGTCTGAGGGCCCGTTAACCCCGTTCAGCGGGCCCAACATGGCGAATGGCAGCTCTCCAGACGACCAACTCCGCCTAGAGGCTGCTCGAAAACGACTAAAGATTGAACGAACCACGAGCGAGAGCGAATCCCCCCTCGATGCCCAAATCCGACGCATGACCAAAGAACTAGATGAATTGAAGAAACAAAGACAAGTCGCCGAATTGCAGGAACAAATTTGGGCAGAGCAGCAGCTCTTGGAAGCTTCCCGCAACCGCTTGAGCGTCGCAGCTGCCTCGGCGTCTCCAACGAGCAGCAGCCCAGCTCCGGCTACGTTTACAGCCACGCCTATGGCCCTTGTTCCCACCTCTCAAGCAGTGAGCCTGCCTCCTCAAACCCCGCGGCCGGTAACGAAGCCGCCAGTCGCGCACAATAATTCACCTGCAGCTGCCTCGCCGAACGTCAATCGAACCTTTGTCGCGCCCCAGCCCGTTGTTGTTCAACAACCTCAGACCCCGAGGGCACCAGCCCAGTCTCCGAATGTGAAACCTCAAAACTCGCCTCTCAATTTCAAATGGGAGGGGGGCAATACACCGAATCAGCTTCAGGCTTTCTCAAATCCTTCAGCTAGCAATGGTGTCGCCAATTCCACACCTTCGCGGCGGCCAAGCACGGTTTCTACCTCGGTTCCCGTCGCCCCGAAGCAGCAGCAGCAGCAGCAGCAGCAGCAACAACAACAACAACAGCTAAAGGCGCAGCAACAGAAGGAACAGCAGCTAAAACAACAACAACTGAAGGAGCAGCTGCAAAGGGAACAGCAGCGGAAGCCGCAAGAGCAGAAGCAGCAGCAGGCACGCCCTTGGTTTGACCGTCCATGTACCCCTGTTGCCCCTGCGGATTCCACGCTTAACCAGCTGCCACCATATCAAGGACTGACCCGGGAAGAGTACGCGAACTTCATTGCTGCTCTCGAAGCCCACTTTGCCAAGGCACCGCAATACTACACCAAAGACCGAGAATACCGAAAAGTTAAGCTTGGCATACAACACCTTGCCTCTGCTCCGCGAGACAGTTGGCATGCGCTCGCTGATCACCCCGATACCTGGCAGAATTTCCGCATTTTCTTGTTCAAAGTGGTGGTGCGGAATCTAAAGCCTATCGACCAAGCACGGCTCGCGAACACAACTCAACCCTCCACGCCGAACGTTGGGACGGCCCAGACCCCAGTTGCGAAGCAACCTCCGCCAGCTCAAAGCAGTATGCCGAAAGTGCAACCCGCTCAACCCGCTCAACTAGCCCAGCAGTCCCCGCAAGCCCAACGTAATGGTTCTGTGTCGCATGGGGCGCCAGCAGCTACACCCAACCTCAATGCCAAGAGCCCCGTCGCTACATTCGTGCATTGCCAGCAAAATATTAGGGAAACAGTTGAAACCTTCTCGGGTCGGCTGCGACAGACATCGTCCTTCAATACGGAACTCAGTCTCCATGACCAGATGAGCTTTCTGAAAAAGGGCGTTGTCTCGTCCATTCGCAACCGGGCACATCGTCCGTCTTCCTACTTCAAATCTTATGATGAGTACGTTATTTACCTTCAGAATATCGAGGACACCCTGCCGCAACGACAGGCCGAGCTCAAAGGAGAGCAGCTTCCGCAGATGACTGGTTCTAGCTGGGTTCCCGCTGCCTGGGACCAAAACTCCAACCGCCAGACCACCCAGCAGCCACCCAGCGCCCCTAGGGGTCGTTCACCCACTCGTGCAGTGAATGCCCAGAGCAACGTTTCCCCGCAGGCTTCCAAGTCACTCGCTGGCGCTGGAGACCGATCGCAAGCTTCCCCTGGCTCCTTACCATCCCGACCAGAGAATGGCCCGGCGTCTCCAACGGCGCCAAAATCAGTACCGCGCAGAATGTCTTCGCCGACCCCACCAGAGCCAAAACTCAAACCTACCGATGGTAGAGACTGGTGGGCATGCCGGAATTATATCGGCAATCTGGAGGCACACTTTAAAGATCACCCTCGATACTTCAACACCGAGGAGCGAAAGGTAGCCATTGGTCGGCGATATCTTTGCTCCAGTCTGAGGGGGAAATGGAACGCCTTCGCCAGCAAGCGTCCCCAGATGACATGGTTTGACGTCTGCGTCTTCGTCATCAACCAGTCTGCGCAAAGCTTCGCGCCCGAGGACGCAGCCACTCGGTATATCCGCTGCTCTCAAAAATCTCACCAGAGGATTCGTGACTTTGCCTTGTGGGTCCAGCAATTTGCGCCGCATTACCAGAGGCCCGGATGGGACGAGCTCAGGCATTTGTACGATCGCACCTCGCCCACTATTAGAAGGAGGGCGCGCAAGGATTGGAAGGACTTTAACGCCTTGGCTCCCTTCGTGGCATACCTCGAAGCGGTTGAGACCACTCACCCCGATATACCGAGGGACCACTTTTCGAACAATGCGCCGCCGACCGTGCCACGAAAGCGAAGTCGGGAAGATTGATGCGGGAGAATGAAGGAGTTGAGGGGATACAATTTGCCTGTCAACCTTCAAGGATGTGCCCGATTTTCACTAGTATTTTATGATGGGATATTGAATTTTCATCAGATAGAGGTAGGTCATCGGGTGGACTAACAGTAGATTTCTTCTCTCAAGTGGGCGGCATGGCAAACTGCGCGAAATTTACGCGCATTCTTCTGTTATCTCTCTAGATGATTAGCTATTTATGAATAGCAGCCATTGACAGTCTCGTCAACTATTTTGAGTCCAAGTCTTGACGCCGTGTAGAAATTGCTTTAAGAATTGTCGATGCGCGACTCGTGAAATCCGCCAGATGGCATGTTGTCATCGTCTGAGGCTCTCGACGCGGTGCTACTTACTGCTCAACTCGTCCAGCGTGTGCGTTACAGTGAAGGATCATTTCCAAGGCTGGCTGTGTCAATCTGCTTGATCCTTTCCATTGTTACTATGCAAGCCAGTTTGCAGTCGATCATGGACTTTTACTGCGAAGCTACCAAAGAGACTCGTCTCCACGATGCTATCCCATACTATGATAAACGTCAAGACGATTCTCAGGCAGAGACTGCATCCCTCGCTGATCATTGCGATCGTAATCGCACACCACTACTCTGCCGATCGGCGGGGCTTCGCCAACAATAGTTGGCTGCTAGAACGCAGCCACACAATACACCCAATAGCAAGAGCCTATTTCTCAGCAGCAAAGGGGGTTTCCTTTTTCCTCTGCACGCCCTTATGCACCGAAGAAGCCGAGACATCCAATAAACAAGCCCGAAACCAAATGCAAAGGGCGTGAATGGAGCATCGTGATGGTATCAGCTCCCGACCGCCACATTCCCAGCGTGTGATAGGCCTTGACCAGCCCACTCCCCACCCCCGCGGACCCTGCCATCGGCTAGCCATGGTTCACCCCGTCGAGCTAGGTCTTTCTTATCTGACACTTTTCTCTTGTGTTATCTCGGCCCTGAGAGGGGGTTTGCGCTGTCCCAGCTGTCATCGTGGGCATCTTGAGCTTGCCTGGCGTTGCCTCGATAGGTTTCTGGACTCGGCAGATATCTCCAAGACGGGTGTTTTTTTCATGCTATCTCGTGGGGGTTTGTGAAGCTATGGAGGCTTGCAAAGCGGCCGGGTCGAGGCCGCTTGTTCATCGCTGGCGAGTCCCACGAGAGCGAAAGGCTGCTTCTTGGGTCTATCCTCTCGTCGCGGCGCTGGGTTTCCTGTGGTGGACATTACCAGCTCCAAGTAGGGAGTCGGCTCCAGTGTCTACGCCGATATCAACACCTGCCGCTTCACCTTTCAGCTGGGAGGATATTGTCCCCTCCAAATCGTTAGAGTACCATGATTGTGGAGACGGGTTTCAATGTACCCGGCTCGAGGTACCGATGGACTACGATCGGACCGATACCACTCGAGGGCGAACATTCGCTCTAGCAGTGGTTCGGATTCCTGCCAAAGTTTCCATCGACGACCCTCGATATGGAGGAGCTATGTTGATTAACCCAGGTGAGACCGATAACATCTATTCTGGAAACCCCATCGCGCTAACATGAGATCAGGTGGCCCCGGTGGTCCCGGAACTCTGCAAGCATTCTTTTCAGGTCGCAATCTCCAGACTATCGTTGACTCGGAGAATGACCCGAGTACAATCCCATCCAACGCAAGCGATAAGTACTTCGATATCATCGGCTTCGATCCCAGGGGCGTTGGATCCACTACGCCGGCTGTAACGTGTTTCCCCGATTCGACTTCCCAACGGAACTGGGAGTTGCAAGTTGAAGCAGAGGGGATGCTGGGCAGTAGCCCAAACGCCTTGCAGAGAAATTGGTTACGGACACATGCGCTGAACTCTGGATGCTCTGTGTATGAGATGACTGCTGCCGCTGATGATTCGCAGGGCGATGAAGCTATGATGGAGTATCTGAGCACCACGCTCGTAGCTCAAGATATGATCACCATCATCGAGCGTCACGGCGAATGGCGCGAGAAACAAGGTCAACTAGCCCAGCAAGTCTACGACTTGCAACACGGCCCAGACGAGTCGCGCGCCATTCTAAGACGCACTCAATGGCACGTTGACAGGGAACCCCTCTTATACTGGGGTCGATCTTATGGAACTCTCTTGGGCACGACCTTTGCCGCACTTTTCCCCGACCGAGTTTCTCGCGCAGTCCTAGATGGCGTGGTCAACATGGACAGGTACTACGAGGGACGAGGTCCAAACGTAGTCATGGATGCAGATGCCATTTTCGCTCGCTTCGGCGAATACTGCCACGAAGCCGGTCCAGAGGCATGTCCCTTCTACGCAGAGGGGGGATCCGATACCATCAACGATGCCTACTGGGCTATCGAAAACCAGCTTCTAGACGTATCTCTCCCGGTGATGGCATCTGCCACGCGGGGACCGGAAGTTGTCACATGGACGGATTTGAAGAATATCCTTCGCGTTGCGGTGTATCAGCCCCTTCTCGCGTTTCCCGTGCTAGCCGATCATGTCAGCGAGCTCGCAAAGGGTAATGCAGTGACGATGGCGGATTTCAAGCATCGCAGACATTTTGGTGCTTGTCCGTCTAGTGAGTGTCGCTTAGCGGGGCCGTGGTCCTCCCAATGCGCCAGCGAGCAGGATAACACTCTATACGCGAGTGCAGCTATTCTATGTTCGGATGCGGAATACATGACAAACTATACATGGGACGAGTTTCGGGGGATATGGGCTGCGTTGGCGGCTGATAGTCGAGCTCTTGGGGATTATTGGGCTCAAATCGAATTGTCGTGTGTAGGATGGAAGGCGAAAGCAAAGTACAAGTTTAAAGGTATGAATCAGAACATGCTCTCCGTTTACCACAGTGCTGACCTTTCTAGGCCCGTGGGGCGCACTCACGGCACACCCAATGCTGTTCGTCTCGAATACCCTTGACCCGGTAACTCCTCTGCACAAGTACGTGGATCAATCCAAACACCACAAAACAGAGCGCTAACACAGCCAGCGCAAAACATATGTCCAAGCAGTTTCCGGGGTCTGTATTACTGGAGCAGGATTCTGAAGGGGTAAGTTGAACATTGACTGATGTGTAATTCCTCGTTTGAGCTAATAAATTTGACAATTAGCACACCACCATTGCGGCACCTTCATTATGCGTTGCAAAGGCTATTCGCAACTACTTTCAGACTGGGGCCCTTCCTCCCATTGGCACTCTTTGCGAGGCGGACTTAAAGCCGCTGGTCGGCTCTCGTGGAAAGATTGAGGGGCAAGATCTAAGCTGTGCTGATCGCAAGCTTATGGATGCAGTAATGGCTGAGGTTGAACGGGGGTTTCTCCCACAGATGCAGCTTTGACTGTACTTTCCAGTAATTATGATGTATTTCTGCCGTTTTCTTGTCGGTTATTTTGGGGCTGTTGGATTTTCATTGCCTTTTTTTGGGTTGAGCGATACGGTCATTGTGGGCGAGATGATTTACTTCTACTGTAAAGCAAGCGAAAGCGTACATTATTTATGGGTTTGCGTTAGTGTTAAGCGATTGAATTGAGCGATCTTTATTTGTGTCTTTCATTATCTAGTCCAGCTTATGATTTTGGTTACTTTTAGATTTAAAGAGTTCCTCGGCGATAGATCGCGTCGGCTTGTCCCTTTCTATCTAAAGAAATTTGACGTCGGGATTCATGATCCAATCCCGAGCGGGTCTCAGATCGTGATAGACTATCTCCCAATCGCTCCTAACAGCTTATGGATAAACCAGGATAACCTCGGACAGTACCCCACAAAGTTTGCTGACCCGGAGAACTGGCCGACGTGGAACGCCTGGTGCGGAGAACAAGGGAACCTCGGCAGGGATCCGTCCAATGTGGTTGCAATCATAATCAGCAGAACCCCGCCTGAACGACTTTACAATTGATCACTTCCATTGCAACTACGACAAGGAAAGAATCACCCATCATCACACAGAAACCATTCATCATGGCTCCCCCAACAGCAACCGAGACTGTTAGCAACATCACCGTGCAAGCGCCGCAGTCGAGCCAGGCCGCGGGCGCCGAAAAGGCCAAGGTCAAGATGCAGATGCCCAGCATGCCCAAGTTCGAAGATAAAATGGAGGAGCGAGAGTATCTCAAGGGCCGTCTAGCCGCTGCATTCCGGATCTTTGGCAAGAATGGATACGACGAGGGTATGGATGATGCACTATCTCGCCTTGGAACAGCAAAGTAGGGATGCTCACAGTTCATTCCAATAGGTGTTGCTGGCCATATCACTCTTCGCGACCCAGTTGACCCGACGACTTTCTGGGTGAATCCCTTCGGCACTGCTTTCTCCTTGATCAAAGCTTCCGATTTGATTCAGGTCGACCACTCGGGAAAGGTCATCGATGGTGGACCTAATCGTATGCTCAATGCAGCGGCTTTCATGATTCATTCGGCTATTCATGCTGCCCGGCCGGATGTACTGTGTGCAGCTCATAGCCACAGTTTGTATGGACGCTCATTCTGCTCGCTGGGTCGGCCACTCGATATCATCTCACAGGATTCATGTGCATTCTATGATGTAAGTGACCTCTCGAAACATAACTTACACGCCGGGGAAATGAAAATTGACTCGGTCGGCAATAGGACCATGTGGTATACAAACAATTCAATGGCGTCGTCCTCGCTGAGGAAGAGGGCAACAATATTGCTGCAGCGCTAGGCAATAAGAAAGCCGCGCTCTTGCAGAACCACGGTCTTCTTACTGTTGGAAAGAGCATTGAAGAGACCATTTTCTGGTTCGTGAGTCTGGAGAAGTGCTGCCATGCGCAACTACTCGCCGACGCCGCGGCGACCGGACGAGGGGGCCAAACGGTAAAGATTGATGATGCAGACGCTGCCTTTACATACAAGACTGTTGGCACGCCCCTGGCTGGATGGTTCAGCGCAAAGCCACTGTTTGATGTCATCCATAAGGAGACTAACGGAGACTATCTGGAATAGTCCAGGGATTAAAGCCGCCCCCCCCTCCTTGATGTCAGGGCTATCAGGAGGTCAAACTAGTCCTGGAGCGGGGGACTCGGATGTGGTCTCGGGTGTTTCCCGCCTTTTTCTTCAAGACCAGAATGTATATAGCGATGACAGGGGTAGACCAGGCCTAAAGGACAGGGTCCTCCCCACTTGTCCTCCAATCTCATGTTCTTCACGTTTTTCGCTCGTTGGACACAAGCTCAGACAAGCTCCGTCAGCCTTAAAGAAATATGATCCACAAACCGGAGACTTCTCCGCGTTGGTAGCTATTGTCCGTTTCTCGTTTGGTAGAAATTAATGCGTCAATCACCGTGTTAGTGGTGCGGGGATCCACCGTTTCAACTAGTTGGCGCTTATCCTGACGGTGTTTTACCTTGAAACAACACCTTATTACCCGGTCCCAACGAGCCTATTTGTTTCCGCCACTGAAGTGTAAGGGGAAAATGCATAAATATCTGCGATTTACCCAGGAAAATATGGAAGATCAGCAGTGCTCAACTTTAACTCACGAACCGGTTTCGCGATTACTATTCTTTAAACCATGAAGTTTCTCCTTCCTCTCCTGGCCAGCTCTGGTCTTGCCAGCGCTGCAATTTTCGGCTCGCCTACTACCCATACCAAGCGTGATAGCTGGGGAGGTAGTGTGTCTTTGGGTCCGTCCAAGTCGACCATTATCAATGCCGTTACCACCATTATCCCCGGTACTGCTCCTTCCACCCAGAATGGCGAGCTCTTCCTTTGGCCTGGCATGTCCAATGGTACTGGAGACTTGGTCCAGACTACCTTGGAGAGCTGGCCCGACAACTCCTGGTGTGGAGCTACCACTGGTCAGTGGTGTGTCCGCGCCAGTGTGTTCGGATCTTTTGGTCAGCTGGATGGCACTGCCAGCCCCGTCAGTGGGTCTGAGAAGGTCCGGATTGAGTACAATCTGGAGAGTGATGGAGAGACATGGACGCAGTATGTTGCCCAGCATCAATGAATACTTGATTGGATGTTAACCTTAATGCAGGACTGTCACCAATGCCGACACTGGGGCTCTCCTTTCTAGCTATTCTCTTGCCTCTGGCCCTTACATGACCGGGTAGGTGGCCCAACATACATATAGCGTAGATTTACCACTTGCTGATTTTCTCTAGCTACGGTACCGGAACCGAATGCGATAGTGACTGCACTGGCACTATCGCCGCTCAGCAGTACCTTGACACGACCATTACCCTGGCCTCCGCTGATACCACATTCGGCAATACCATTGCCACTGCCGCTGGGGCTACTTACACTGGATTGAGCTCGAGCCAGAACGGCAAGGTCTGGGTTATTGACACCATCAACATCCCCTCCATGTCCTAAAGTTGGAGTATTTTGGGAAATTATGAACGCTCCTGGACAGATGTGAACTAAGAACACTCGTGTATAAAATGGAAATCGCTGCAACTGGCCTTGCAAGGACATAACCAAAACCCCATCTATACATAAAACACTAAACATTATTGGTACTCCTGGTAATTAATATCTACCATCAACCTCACAGGCCCCGGAGCAGCTGCACCCCCGATCCCATCATGATGTCTGTCCGCCTCAGTATAAGCGTTAACCACCTTCTTAGCCTGAGGGGTAATGATAGAGCACCCTTTCCCATCAGCCATACAAATCCGCATCCCCTGCACATCCTGATGTGCAATCTGCGCCTGAATAGCCGAGACATCCCACCCAGACCAGCCATCATTCTCCGCATCTCCGAATGAAAACTCTCCCCAGGTAGACGTGAATCCACCCCAGTTATCCACAGGCAACCCATCGGTCCCAGGTGCCGCACCCCATGCTCCCTCCGAGTCTTCGTCGAACGCGACATACCGTGTCTCGCCGGGCGCAAGAACAAACGTCAATGCAGAATGACCATACCACCCATCCATCTTGCCATCAGGACCGACCTTGTTCCAAATTGTGATGGTCCAGGGTTCGGTATTTGAGCCAGTGAAGCGAACGACGTATTTGTATCGGTGTGCTTTGGTCGGACTGACGGAGATAACGTTGCTCCCCCAGGGAATTCCAACGTTGCCGTGGTATTTAATATGTGTCCCCGATGGCTTGCTACGTCCGCCGAAGCGGTCGATCGCAAAGTCTCCATCTTTAGGGAGAGCGGTCCAGTCGAGGTTTGCTGGCACGGCAGGTCCGTTCGGAATTAGGATTTGGCTCAATGGCAAGGACGGGAGTCCTGAAAGTGGGAGGTCTGAGACGACATTCTTGGACGCATCTTCGAGTGCCTGTGGGAGTTGTGGAAGGGAAGGAAGGAGACCTGGAGCTGGTGATGCATCGAGCTTTGTAGGAGCTGTTGGTGCAGGGGGTACTAGCTCTATTCTTGTTTCGACGGAGCTGTTCGCGGAAGATGGAACCACATTGCTGATGCTGGCACTAACACTGACAGTTTTGATTTCAGTTACTGTCTTGGTCGTATGGACGGTGGTTGTTTGTTCGTCTTGTGCCGGCACTGGCTTAGCTACGTTGGCAAGAGTAGGCATAGATTGACTCGGCATCGACTGGGTTGGCATTGGCATCGCGTTGGTCCACTCTTGCTTCGGTGGTTCGGGCACTGCAGGCGCCGGGACTGCTACTCCGTTTGTTGGGACATGTATTAATTGCGCGAAGATTATGTTGGTTGCAGGATCAATGGTGTTCGTTGACACGCAGTCTTCGAAGACAGTTTTGGTAATGGTCCGAATTTCTAGCATCATGTTCGCTGGGATGCGGTCCGCCCAATCCACATCACGGGGCTCTAGTTGTTGTGCATGAGGCTTGAGGTGCACATGGTGAGGTCTGCCATGATGGTAGTGAGATGCAAAGGCATGCTCGACTCCTATAACCGCGAGCAGCGGTATAGAGATCCCCCAGCGCATTTGAAGGTCAAAAAGACTTGCTGGTCGTTCACTAAAACGAAAATGATGATGAGTGTCGGATCAAGTCGATAAATCCTGTGCTGCAGAGTATGGTAGAGCTTATTTGAGTCTGCACATTAGAATATTGGCTGAAAAGTCGTCGGCGCGGTGCTGGTGCTGGTGCTGGTGCTGTCGTGATTAGTATTGCCGGTTTGCACGCGACAGCAGACGCGATCCGTCTTTATACTTGGACACGAAAAGGTCTGGCCTATTGGTGATCAAGAATGTTCCTCTCGCGTCTGATCTAGAAAGGGGATCTGATATGGACTGTAGCAGCCCTGAATTCCTTCCCGCCTTGGCTACTGTAGGAGGCTGAATCCAGGGCCACCGACGGTACAACAACACGGTGTACTCCTCATGATATCGAATTTCTATACCCAAAGAAGCGACAACATGAAGGTCTTTGTTTAATTTGATACAATGCTTTCCCAAGGGTCACTCTAACAATAACAAACTAAGTATCCATTGCGAGGAGCTGGTAGGCAGTGGATGCAGCCCCTGCCAGGAACCCCCTGCGCAAGACATTCCGGGCGCACAATGACGAAATACATCCCCTCCACCAGAACGTGGACTTTGAAAATTAATAGCCGGACGAGATTAATTGGATTTAGGTGAATTCTGGAGTCGGGAGAGATCAATCCCGTGGTGTAACAATAGTATCGACTTCCTGACTAGACTACTCTGTATTTGATGTAATCATTTCATTGTCAATCCTAATGGATCCCCTTGCAATGAGCATATGTTCCGACATCCATAATTTCCAGCAAGATACAAATGAGTCCACAAGTTCTAGATCTGGCAGAATTCATCGCTAGAAATGCGAAAAGCACTTGGAAATTAGGTAATGTGGCAGGTCGGGGTGGACTTTGAGTCGGGTGCTCTCTCTTTGTAATTGGAAGATATATATCGCCACCTTCGCGCAGTACCTTCTCAATTCATCCACGCAGTTCCGTTCTGATAGTAGTTAAGATATATTTTCAAGCATTGATAACCACAGACATACCCTACACCTCAAGCAGCTAAACTTACGCTCGGTAGATCAACGATCGGTCATTCACCACGCGGCTATCAATACGAGTTCTGTGCTACAGTAAACTGCTAAGGTTACCCCAAAAACCTCGGAGTCTCCATCACCCGGCGAGCCAATAGGAACAGCCTGGTCTATCGGAGGCCCTGTTTGCCAATTTTCACGCGCTAAACTATAACCAGGTAAAGATGCGCCAAAGTGGATGAAAATCAGCGAATCATCGAACAAACCAGACAAATCCCCGCCTGGGTCGAAAGATTTGCCCAAAAGAGGATGGTCGTGCCTGGGGGGCCTAAGGATCTGGAGAACCACATAAAACGCTTCAATGTCGCTCTTTTGAGACCTCTTTTAGATCGTCAGACCTCGTCGCCACCATGTCTTCTCTACACCCCTTTGATCCCATTACCCCTGGGGAGATCCAGTTGGCTGTTCGCATTCTGGAGGCCGCTTTTCCCGGTGTCAAGTTGCGATACAAGCGCATTGATCTCCAAGAACCCACCAAGCATGAGACCATTCCCTATCTTGAGGCCGAGCGTCTCGGCAAGCCGCGTCCTCGCAAACCGGCGCGTCTGCTGATGGCCTTGTTCCATCGCCTTGACAATGGTTCTTTCTTCAAGGCTATCTTGAATGCGGACACCAAGTCCATTGTGTCGGCAAAGGAGCTCCCTAAGGATGTCCAGGGCCCCGTTGATATCGACGAAATGCTTGAGATTGAGGCACTTTGCTTGGGCCACCCGGCTGTCCAGGCGGAAATTGAGAAGTTGAAGCTTCCGGCAGGAATGTCGGTCTGCCTGGACCCGTGGATCTATGGCACCGAGGATGCTAAGGAAACTCGGCGCTTGTTCCAGTGCTACATGTATATCGTGGCTGTTGACCACCCACAAAACAACCAATATTCTATCCCCTGCAAATTCTCTCCCGTCTTCGATGGCATTACTCACGAACTGGTGCGAATGGATTATCTCCCCGGCGGAGCCGATTCCCAGACCACAGAGACACAGCCGTGGAAGCCAGTGCCCGCGGTTCAGTACGCCCACGAATTGCTTGATGAGCCATTGCGTACTGACCTCAAGCCATATATTGTGCAACAACCTGAGGGTGCTTCCTTCAACGTCATTGGAAACGCAGTCTCATGGCAGAAATGGCGCTTCCGCGTTGGCTTTAACAACCGTGAGGGCTTGGTCCTGCACAATGTGACCTATGACGGTCGCAATACCTTTTATCGCTTGTCTTTCTCAGAGATGACTGTTCCTTACGGTGGTAAGTCTTCTAGCCCATTGTAATTGGAACCAATGGCTGACGCTGTTAGATCCCCGTGCCCCATACCATCGCAAGCAAGCCTTTGACGTTGGTGACGTTGGCTTTGGCATCACTGCAAACCAACTCTCTCTTGGCTGTGACTGTCTTGGTCATATTAAGTATTTCGATGGTTTCCGCACCGATGCCAAGGGTGAACCCATCCAACTTAAGAATGTGATTTGCATGCACGAGCAGGATAACGGTCTGCAGCATAAGCACACCAACTACCGCAGTGGCGCTGCAACAGTCGTCCGCAACCGCCAGCTCGTGGTGCAGATGATCTGTACCGTGGCTAATTATGAGTATATCTTTGCCTTTATCCTCGATCAGGCTGCAAACATCGAGCTTGAAGTTCGTGCGACCGGTATTCTGTCAACCGTTCCTTTCGATAATATGGACGGCCAGACCGTACCATGGGGCACCAATGTGGGACCAGGAGTGATGGCCCCTTTCCACCAGCACATGTTCTCATTGCGGATTGACCCTGCTTTGGATGGATACAAGAACACCATCTATTATGAAGACAGTGTGCCAATGCCCGAGGATGACTCGAACCCCTGGTTGGTCGGATACACCACCGAGAAGAATGTCATCAAACAGAGTGGTAGCGCCTCGACCAGTGTTGAGAAGCACCGTGTGTTCAAGATCCGCAACGACAGCATCATCAACCCAATCACCCACCACCCTATCGCTTATAAACTGCAGACCAGCCCAAGCCAAATGCTTCTGTCCCACCCCAAGTCCTTCGGCGCGAAGCGTGCTCAGTTCGCCACGCGCCCTATCTGGGTGACCAAGTATCAAGACGATGAGCTCTTCGCCGGAGGTGAATTCACCAACCAGAGCAAGAAATCAGAGGGTGTCGAAGTGTGGGCAGCTCGCAACGAGAACGTGGAGGATGAAGATGTTGTTCTGTGGCACAGTAAGTCATCCCAACACTATTTTGGTCTCACGAGAAAATTTGGCTTACACTTTCATGCAGCATTCGGTCTCACCCACAACCCTCGCATTGAAGACTTCCCTGTCATGCCCATGGAGCGTGTCAGCGTCATGCTCAAGCCGGATGGCTTCTTCACTAAGAACCCAGCCTTGGACGTCCCGCAGTCTTCGCAGTCTTTCAACCAGTCCACCCAGCACCCGGAGCCCTCATGCTGCTCTGGGCCCCAGGATCGGAACCAGGTGAAGCTGTGATGATTTGGGATAAACTCACTTGATCATGTATTTTGTTTTCTCGATATCATGACATGCTAGCGACTGGGCACATACTTGAACTACGTATATAGCCCCTGCAATAGATACCTTTCAGACATACCTGCACCTCTCTGCTCTGCGTCCATCCAATTCAAAATGTCTTGTCCTACTAAGTGGTTGCAAATAACAAAGAGATGAGGAAACCCATGATTTTTGGTTGGGAATATGTGGGTGCAATCTGATAATAATACAAACAACAATCGTTACACATTTCTCTTTTCATAATGACCATTTCCTCACTTGGGCTTCGGCCACCCGTCGATATCCCCATACCACCTCGACCGATAGATTTCATCACCAACGTTGATCTTCTTACGCTGCCCATTGACCACAAGACTGGTATGGAACCCACGGAACTTCTGCCATAGTGATTGCACATAGATGAAACTTCCGTCGGGAGCAAGGTTGAAGCTCTTCAAGTCCGACTCGGGCAACTCTTCCCATTCGCCCTCCCGATTATATCCATGACGGTCATCTGTCGTGACCTCAAACCCTTTCATGTACTTTTCAATTACCTCCTCATACTCGGCGACAAACTCGCCTTTCTCAATATCAAACTCATACAAGCCCCGATCATTCGACATGAGGAATTTACGCTGATTCGGAACGGGTACTAGGTCGTGAGGTCCAGCCCACCACGAATATCCCGCACCCCATTCCGTGTCAATGTCATATGCCTTTTCCATTCTGAAAATGAACGCGTCGTCTTTGCGAAGTTGACTCGTTGACGCATCGAATGGATAGCCTTGAATGACTCCATGGGCCGGAATGGGGTCGGACCCATCAGCTGCAACGTCCGTCCCACAAGCCCACAGCATTTGGGCCTGTTCATCCCAGATCATGGCATGGATAGCCCGAAGACCGGTGATATTCTGCAGCACCGGCGGCTCATCGACCAGCGGGTTTGCCATGCTAGCGTTATACACAAGAATTCCATCCCATGGACGCTGTCCCGTGGTCGCAACGGCTAGCAAATCTCCCGGCAAGGGTTCCACGCTATGTGCATTCCAAAGAAACTCGTTATCTCTGCAGACAGCAAAGGTGATCTTCTTGTCCGTCTTTGGGTCATCCGGAGTATGATTGATGATCAATGCGAGATCGCTATAGATGGCTGCAACCGCCGTGCCTCCACGCAGCCATTTGAGTTCAGTTGCATCGTTAGCAGAGGCATACAAGCAGCGCTGTAGCGCTGGCGGGAGCTCCTGATGCACGTCGTCGCGCTCGAACTTCCATTTTACGGTGCCCTCCCGATCATGAATCTTGATCAGGGGCGGAACACCGTACAGACCCGTGATAATCTCCTGCCAAGGCCGATTCTCGGGACGTAACCGAGCTTGAGGCTGAATGGGCGGAATATAATAGTCGGCCAGCGGCTCAAACAGAAGTGGAATCCAACCCAGATAGCCCCCTAACATGATCAGGGCTATGATCTGGGGACAGGAGGGGTGGGAAAAGAAGGAACGAACAGTCTGGACTTTTGTTCTGGTGATAAAAAAAGAAAGACAAGGAGTGTCTTCGGTGGCTTCTCTGACCTCCAGTCTCCACGAGTACCACGACACCCTTGCCTTCTGACCATTCCGACCCTGACACTCGGCCCCTTCTCCCCTCTTATTCTCCTATGCAAGTGGAGACTTACGGCGGACAATCAACCTGGAACGGGAACGAGCGGAGCGCCTGGGAGACGCCAAGGACTCGTTAGCAACCAATTGGGTATTTCCCAGCTCCAAAGTCCGACGTCCAATGCACCCCATTCCACCCTGAACCAACATCCACTGGGGCGGACGATAAACGCCAATTGCTCAAACCCCATAAATGGTCAGTTTATCGACCGCTTTTATGGCTGTCTTTGCCCTGATGCCTTCTTCTTTAGGCCAGGGTGACGCTATTACTGTTGTACCGATTGAACTTGTCTTTTCTCTTTTCTCTTGTCTTTTCTCTTCCGTAGGCCATGTAAATTCTGCCTTAGAGAATCGGGTTTGAGCAATTGGCGCTTATCGTCCACTTCACATCCACCAGCGTCATACTCCGTCGAAACCGTCAAACGGACCCCTCCAAAGTGAATCAAAATGGATCCTTCTGTCTCGGCGATCCTAATCACGCCTTCAGCCTTGCTAGCCACTCCTTCTTGCCAAGAAGCCAAGATGGGGTCCAACTCGTTATCAGCCCTTATTAAATGGTTAAACGAGACGGGGCTCTCGCATTTAATAAACGAAAACGATACCCTGAGCACGCGACACCTTATTACTCTCCCCTTTTTTGCCTAATCGAACTGATTGTTCTGACTTCTTCTTCTGCGCTGATTCTTTGTCCATTCTTTACCATGCAGCCGGTCTCCAAGAGACGGCTGGTATAGACATTGAAAGAAAATGGTGAAAGTGGTCGGCACCGTCTTCTCTTCCTTGACCCACCACCTCCAGCAGGTTTATCAATCTCCCGGTCGGACCCTGGAAGCCTTTTGGGATTTCTCTCGTTGCTATTTTTACGCCCTTGCGTTCTGGTCGCTATTCTCTGCCAAATTCCTACATCTCTACGCCCACCTTCATTCTCTTCCTCCTAGCAAGTTATTCGTCTGGGGAATCACTTTTTACTTTCAAGATGTGGTCATTTTACTGCTCCTGCGAGTCTTTGTTCAAAAAAGCCACACCCGGTCCCGATACCGCGTGGCGCTCGACGTGCTGGTTGTGGTCCCGTTTAGGTATGTGGCCATGTGCTCGCTTGCCCTTTTCATCTAAGCTATGCATCATGATAAACTTTATCAATGGAGGTTCTAACTTTATCTGCCCTGCGCATATAGTCTAATTGTATCCGCTATGGCTTCTGCCAATTTCTCTGTATACGTCTTCACCGGGGCGGAAATCCACTGGCGCCAAGCCAAGTCCTTCACGAACGATACGGCCGCTATACGAACACTCCTCACGGGGTTGACTGGTTTTTTAATTGGCGAGGGATTGCTGTCGATGACTGCAGTCATCTCTGCCCGGCCTATACATAAACTGACTGGCGGTATCCTGCATGTGTTAGCATGGCCCTTTCAGTGGCTTTTTCCTCGGGTGCGACCGTACGTCGTGCGACCGCTCGAGCGACTACGAACCCGAAACCAATCGTCTATCCTTCCCGACCCGGAGATATACGAGCGCATTGCATTGCAGGATGATTATTTGAATGATTCGAGCGATGATGACGAGTCGGACTTTTTGATTGGCGCCCCTGCTGGCAGTGGCACCCAGAAACAGGTCCGAATCACAGAAAGAGCGCTCCCTCGAGTACTTATGCTACTCGCATTTTGTCTATTCGTCGTACTTCGGCTATGTCGACCCTCGGATCCTATGTACTGGTTTCTATCAGGCACATTGCCTATGGCATCCTTATTCGAAGGTGGTCATGGAGATTCGCCTATCGAAATCGGAGGCATCCCTTATCAATACGACTACCTGACTTCGGCTTCGTCTTTGCATCCACCACCGCCATTCTCATGGATGCCGGCTGGTAGTGTGCCCGGCTTTGAGGATTGGGACAAGTCCGATCCATATGCCCTTCATTATAATGCGGAAATGGCCCCGCTTCATATCTCGAATCTTGACCAACCCGTCCTTGAGCCTATCCGAAAGGCATTGGCTGACGGTAGCGTCAAGATCAAACATGTGGTTCTGCTCAAGCTCGAAAGTGCAAGAGCAGATATATTTCCTCTACGGAAGGGCTCGTTCATGTTTGAGCGAATCGCAGATTCATGGGATAATCAGGTCATTCCTGAAGATGTTCTCCGGCGGATCGCAAACTTGACCCCTACTGCCGAGTATCTTACTGGCACCCCGACTGGGTTCAACTCTGAGAGTCAGGAAGGTACCGGAAGGAAGTCATACGGTGGTTTGACTGCGAAGAACGCCTACACAACATCTACCTACACGCTGAAAAGCTTGACAGGTACACTCTGTGGTGTGACCCCGTTGGTGGCCGATTTCAACCGCGAATGGGAGCATCATGTTTACCAGCCCTGCTTGCCTCACGTTTTCGACATGCTCACCCAGCAACCCAGTATTACCAAAGAGACCGACGACTTTACCAAGTGGCCGTGGCACTCGATGTGGATGCAGTCCGTGACCGAAGGCTATGACAACCAGGACAAATTGACTCCGGTCTTGGGCTTCAAGGACAAGAAAACAAAGGAGATCATCGAAAGCCCTGATGCCAAGTACCCGCCGAAAGGCGAGGAGGTAAACTATTATGGCTATGCCGATACCGAACTTGAGGACTATTTCCGCGATGCTATTGACGATGCCGAACGCGACCATGAGCGTCTCTTCTTAACGCATTTGACGGGGACTACTCATCATCCCTGGGGACTGCCGGGAAATGTATATGAACAGATTCTGGGCTCATTGAAGGGACAAAATGAGGATCTGAATCGGTATCTGAATGCCGTCGGCTTTGTGGATAACTGGCTTGCGACTATATTGGGAATTCTCCAGGAAAAGGGCGTGGCTAATGAGACCCTCGTTGTCATGGCTGGTGACCAGTATGTGTAATTGGATTTCTTTGAGCGCTCTGCCTTGTCGGGTCACTTTTACTAACAATGTCCTTCAGTGGCCTGTCTCTACCCAATGACGGCGGTATCACACCCTACGACAACCCACACGTCGGCAACTTCCAAGTCCCCATCGTCTTCGCCCACCCACATCTCCCACCCGTGGAGATCACCGCTCCGGTTTCCAGCAACCAAATCGTCCCGAGTATCATCGATCTACTACTCGAGTCCTCATCGCTTAGCGAGACCACCGCACCCGTTGCCCAGGACATCCGCTCCCTATACGAAGGCCAATCTCTCATCCGGCCCCTAATCCAAGAGAAAGACGGCCGACAAGACTGGCAATTCACCGTGATGAACACCGGTGGTTCCTGGCTTAGTGTCCGCTCCGCTGCCAAGCCACAATTCCGCCTGGTGATTCCGCTCATAACAGACGTCGAGTGGAGGTTCTCAGATTTGAACGAGGATCCCAATGAAGATAAGCCGATCTCTCGGTTTAGTTTGTTGGACTTGGCTGAGACTATTGGGAAGAAGTACGACCAGGAGGTTCTCAATTGGCTTTGGGATGCGGCGTATGTTGCGAATTGGTGGGTTGCTGAGAATTGGCATCGCTATCGGTATGAGCCTGGGACATAGTTGGAGGGAAGGAGGTATTTGCAGACTGCACTATCAAGAAAGCGGTGATACTTCAGATCTCGAGAGGATTGGCTGCAGATATTCAATTATCCTCCTCACTCTATCACATCCCACCAACGCGTCCAGTTTCTCCTCTTCTCGTCAAGAAGGCGATTCATATCGTTGATGACCACGCGCCCCGGAAAGAACCCACGAGATGTGTCTTTATGACAGACATAATCTGGGAACCGGGCACAGACAATATTCGAGCTCGTGCAATCCTTCGGCAAAGAAAACGAGTGTGCATATCCAGCCAGGCTCACGAGGCTTGAGGCAAGGTGTACACAGCACCTACATCGATCACGACACGGGGACCCTGACTTTCCACATCAGACTCTCCGCCCACCAGGGCACTTCTCATCCATTCACGACATAACGGGCATCAAGGCGTTCAATTTCTACGCGTCATCCTCTAACCATCGCGGTTGAAGTGGCGCTTCTAGCTAAGATACATTTGATATTTTCTAGCATTTGGACATATTTACTGTACATACTTTTGGACATACACACATACAAGATGGTAAAGAAAACTCCGTTTCTATCTCTCGAGTGCAGACTAGAAACTTGACTGGATCTATCTACCCGAGGGGCAATCGATGTTCTTGCCAGCTCGGGGAATATCCATCAGTTGGAAAAATGGCAACCTTCTTAGAAGAGGTTGTCGGCCTGGAGCTGCTGGATCCACTCGTCGCTGGTAACGACATTGGTCTTGCGCTTGAAGATCTTGTTGATCAGGAACTCGTGAGTCTCCTCATCACGATCCTTGCAAAGATCACTCAGGACTGTAATCTTGTAGTCCAGATCAGTGGCCTGGCGAACGGTGGAGAGGACGGCGCCGCTAGTAGCGATGCCGGCGACGGCAATTCGCTCGGTATTGTAGCAGCGAAGGATCATGTCGAGCTCGGTGCCGAAGAAGGCGGAAACGCGGCGCTTGGTGATGACAACCTCGTTATCGATGGGAGCAACGGCAGGGTCGATCTCGGTGGATGGGTGGCCCTCTTCGAACAGGCCGGCGGCGGCGACACCGGTGACGGACACGTTGGAGGGGTGGGACTCCGGGTAACCGAGACGGAAGGCAGTGATAACGTGGATCACTTTGATGTTGTTCTCGCGAGCGGCGCTGAGGGTTTGGCTGAGGCGTTCAAGGTACATCTCGTTGTCGCCAGTCATGTCGAGAACGCCTTTCTCGATGTCGAGGATGAGGAGGGTGGTGTTCCCCATGGTGGCGGTTGGAGTGTTGGAAGCTTTCAGTAGTGGTGAAGGATTCTCGGGGTCTGAGGAGTGGATTTGAGGGATCAAGAGATGTGTAGGATGGAAGAGGGATTCAGAAGGAAGAAAGATTGTCGATGGTGGTTTGTTGTGATGCCGGTTCCGCTTTCCTGGAGTCTGCCACTATCCCGGAACCGGAATGTCCCTTTTATCAGCAAACAAATTTCTGATATCTACTGGGATCATTACAGCTATCGTTATCATAACTACACTATTCTTGAGAATACGCATTGTAAAGCATTGTGCTCATTTAGAGGCTGCATCGATATCTGGTGTACAAAATATGAACATGCTAATCTGACAAGGCTTCATTCAATACTTCAACATTGCAAATCATTGCAGGCAATGAGTAGCTAGCAATGCACAAGAACATCCCAGAGAATAGAAAAAATAGAGCCCGATAGAATATCAACCGCTTGAGGAGGGAGTGAGCTTGGTTTGCCATTGTTGCCTTGGCTGGAACCAATTCTTGTCCTGTTGAAGCTTTTTGGTCCTTTCGGGAGAAGAGCCCTTCCGACCTTTGCTTTTGTAGCGTCGACTCGATTGAGCCTGAGAGTTCTCCTTCTGCTCGTCCTTCAAGAGTCTCAGAGGCTCCTCTCTTTCTTTGACCTTCTTCCTTTCCTGCTCCAACACCCTCTCCACTTCTAATATGCGGGCGTTATGTTCTTGTCTTTTTTCTGCTTCCCGGCGCTCCTTTTGCTGCTTGTGCTTGAGTTTCCGCTTTTCACGCTTTTTGCGACGCCGTTCTTCGTCTCGCGTTTGCAGCTCGAATTGCACCTGATCAAATTGATCATTCGCCTGACCATCACCATTCTCAGGTCCATCGGCTTGAGCTTGGCCGTGATCTTCGGCTTGAGAGGTGACCTCAGCACCTGTGGCTTGATGGGCAATGCTCTCAGTATGCTCGTCCTCTCGTTCGGAGTGATCCTTGTCGGATCTTGAGACTGGAGGTAGTGGCAGTGGGTCTTGGGTGTCACTGCCAGAGTAAACAGATTTGGCAGCTAGGACACGGTGGAGTGTACCATATGCTGCAACCATTTCCTTGTATGTCTCCATGACTTTTCTCTTGCACCTTCTTTTCGACTCCGGCGAAGTTGCGTCAATAATACTGTTAAGTCTTTCAAGCATTTTCCTTTTCTGGCCTCGGCACCACTGCGAGTCTTCCTCATCTTCATCACTCAGGATGGCAGCGTCGTGGTCGCTAGAGTCCATTACCGGGCTGGTCGGATGTCTGGAACAGTCATCTGTAGTGACACCCAACCGGTCCTCGTCAACAATCACATTATTGGACTCTGGGGTCATTGCCAGCTCGGGTATTTGCAAATTTAGAGGCTCAACTGTGTCGGACGAAGCCTCGGCATCCCTTGTTACTGTCTCATCTTCTTCACCGTGGAAAAACTCTGAAAAGCCGTCCAGCAGGAAGTCATCACAAGGGAAGTCTTCTGCTGACTCAAAACCACACTCTCGAGAAGGTACGTACTCTTCACTCTGCGAATTATACGTGTCCTCTGAGATAAATCCGTCGAGTCCGTCATCGTCATTTTGCACAGGTCCTTTTTGGGCCAGCGGCGAACAAGGACCCGACTCTTGTGTCCTCTGTGTCGAGGGCTCGGGTGAAATCAAATTCACCGCCATTCCTTGGGGAGGAGTTTCCGGTCTCGGTCTTAGCCTGGCTCTCACAGAAGTGCTTGAGCCGCTGGACTCGGGCACAACCTCTCCATCAATCAAGTTGCGGATGGCCTGCTTATCCTCGCTCCGAAACAAGCATGTCCGTTCCCAGCCCACTGCAATCTCTTTCTTCACAGTTGAATGGGCCATGATTCTCCGAATAGTTGCGGCGAATTCTCGGGGGTCGGCCTTAAACTCATGTGTTTCATCGGCTTCATCCTCGACTTGGGACATGATCCAGTCCGCGTACAAGTCACTGATACGTTGGAACATGCCATGGTTCAAAGGATTGAAGTATTGACCCCCATGACGAGCAATACACACACAAAATATGTTTTTCAACCAACAAGTGATGAAAAAATCAGGATTGATGGGGAACTTGTACCCATCAAGTAAAAGCAATCGGCGGGGAGCGATTTTGCCCGTCGCTCCTGTAGGGTTAGTCTTGGGATCAAAGATAAGGTTGACCCAGTCCAAAAGATGGAAAGGCTCAACCCATCCATCCAGAGTGAAGCAAACAGGAGTGCCATCAAAGTTGTCTTGCAATTGTTTGATTCGGTCCACTTTGAAAGTGATCCACGGCGGCAAAGGTTCCCCGACATGGGGAACGCAACATATGACCGAAGCCACTTTCCGGGGCTCTAAACGTCGACCATTTACAGTCTTAGGCCGCGGAACTATGAGACGCTTGTTCCATCCGGAAGTGGTTGTCACAAGAGCAAGATCTGTCAAGACAAAGACCTTGTCCTCCGAAACTCTGAGCTCATGAAGATCTTTCTGGAATGTTTCGGGAAATTGTCGCAGTCTCGCTTTTTTTGTCTTTTCGTCCTCTGTAGTGGTGTGGAAGTCCCGCGCGCCTTCTATTTCGCGGCGAAAACTTGGGTTTTTGTAGATGCTTCCCCACTTCTGGACATTCGTCTCAACTTTCTCGAAAAGTCTCAAATATGAGTTTGTTATATCGTCAAAAAGTGGCAGTCTTTGCATAGGGAACCGGAACTCCATCCAACGCCGGTTCCAAACCATAGCTCCATTTTCCTGCCGCTTGGACAATTTTGTAAGCTTTCGTTTCATATTGTTTGGGACTTTGGTTTGAGGGGCACGAGTCCGTCCCTGTGCATCATCGAGGGTCATTGTGCTCCGCCAAACCCCTGTATTGTTAGAATCAGGGATTTCTGCCAGAGTCTGACCAACTCTGTGAGTAGTCAAGTTGTTCGTATCACGGTTGCTTTGCGCGTTCCGTGACTCACTAGTTGCACGCAGCGCTTTAGTATTCGGGCTGACCAGGTTAGAGGTGGCTTGAGACTGATGGGGTTTTTGAGTAGCGCGGGCTCTGCTGGAAGACTGTCCTCGATTGCTGCTGGGTCTCAGTTGTACAGGAGCCGGGTGTCTGGATGTAGCAGGCCCTGGCATAGATGAATGGTGAGTTGATGCACGAGGCATCGTTCTTGGTCCCTTATTGGGACTAGGATTCGGGGCTGGGGCCGGCTGTTGGAGAGCAGTCCCGGGACCGCCAGAGCCAGTCCTTTTGTTCAAGATTAGGACAGAATCCAAAAGCTGCATCACCCAAGGATGTCTCTTGCGAACCTCTTTGCTGTGCCTCTCGAATTCAGCCTCGCTCCTGGTTCTTGTCATGTAGACTGGACCGAAGACGTTGTAATCCGAGAGTTGACTGAATAGATTTTGCAGCGAACAACTAGAGGTTGTGGCAGCAAAGACAGAGTCTCGAGAAGGAGGTTTTGGCTTCAAACTAGAATCAATATCAGGGCCGTCACTCAGGGAACAGTGGCAAGGCCCAAAATACTAGCGTGCTTGTGGAATACAAGTGAGCCCTGAAAATGATAGTGGTAAGCAGTTGCAGAAAAACCAGCTATTTCCGCAGAGGTAATGCTCGGACTGGGCTGCGTGACTTACCAGCAGTTTTGAAAAAGATGAGGATGGGAGGGTTGTCACCCCAAAGTCTCAGAAGGATGAGTTCGGTGATTCAAGCTTGAACTAAGGGCAGAACGATCAGGAAAGGTTCGCAGAGGATGTCGACGCAGGGAGAGGATGGGATATGATGGGAGAATATTTGGACCGAGGCGTGAGAGAGTGGACTGGATGTAAGGAATCCAGAGACAGGATAGAGGGCGCGCGTCTTGGAAGAGGGCTCTCACCTTCCTGTTGGTGTAGCTGGCAAGACGCGAAGCAACACACAGATAAATGAGACTGTTTTGAGTAAGCTGGGGTGATGGAAACGTGAAGCTGGGTATCCACAGACGAGGAGAAGGGAGTGATGAAGCGGTTGCAGAAGGATGGGGAAGTAGAGAGTGAGAAGGAAGGACGAAGAGAAAGTTGGTCTGGTAGGCGGCTCAGGGGAGAAGGAAGGTGACGAATGATGCGGAGGAGAAAGAGCAAGACTGAAGTGGAGAGTGGGAAATCCGGAAATGATAGAGGGCAGAGTACTCGACCTGAGAAGATATGGGAAACCTAAGGCAGCACTTGGGCGTAGCTGCTCCTGCAGCTACAACAAAGTCCTCCTATCCTTTTAGATACAGCACGAAAAGAGCATGTAGAGGATTTTATAAGTCACTCATACATTTATAATGATCGGGAAACAATGTCATACCATCTTTTCAATCATGAGGCTATGTTAATGTTGATAGATACTGAACCCCCAATCAACAGATATGGGAGTCAACAAAAAGGCAAGTGATACAGGAGGCAGAAGACGAATGAAAGACTGAATTTTTTAAACGAAAGATAAAAGAGACGGCTCTTAATAAAAATGTTGTAAAGGAAAGGATCTATAGGAAATGAATGAAACTTTTTAGTACCCCATGCTGTTAATCAAAAGTACGTATGGTTGGTTCTTTGGTGAGGTCCCCTATCCGTTCGAGGCTGCCGACGTTGCTTGTTGGGTTTCTCCTTTCTGACCCTGGCCCGTTGGGACGTCTGGGGCGTCAGAGGCCGTGATGAACTTGGCTGGGCTGGATCCTTTTTTGAGCTTGCTTTTGCGAGGGCTTGTAGAGCACTAACGGTCCCAGGTGCAAATCCAGAGAAAATCGGAGCTAAAGCTAGAAGCTTATTCTCGTATGTTTTCCTCTGCTTTTCTGGCGTTTGGGGATCTGAAAGTGCGCGAATTTGCATTCGATAAGCGCTTTCAAGGCCTGCTCCAGTCCAGATATTTTCGGTAGTATCTAGCATCTCGTCTGATTCGGCGCGTTCGTTGTCTCGAGGCCTGGGACCATCATGATCTGTCCGCACAGGGGTATGGGAGTTGATGATCTCAACAGAAGGGGCAATTACCCGGGTGCGATTTGGTGACTGATTTCGGGGTTCCAGGAGGGCTCCAGACATTCCGTAGAAAGACGAGGCCGAAATAGGCCTTTGTCGAGATGGTGAAGATGCTCGGAATATAGGAGTGGCTTCTTCCCGGATCGAAGCCTCTTCGTCAGAGTTCTCGCCATTTGAAGGTATGGAGTTTGATGCCGTATGGACAGAGCTCTCGTCATCAGATATCTGAATCATCTGCGACGGTCGTGGGATACAATGAGCCCGTAATGGCGATTCAAGGGAGGGGTTTTCTTTGGCAACTCCAGCATCCCTTGGTAGACTATTTGCAGGTGGAGGTCGGTTACGAGGCCCCGATGGCCGCTGTCTTTTAGGTGTCTCGTATTCATTCTCCGACGTGCTTGAAGAATCGCTTGTTGACTCGCGAGCGTGTCGACTCTCCTCGGGCTGCTGAGAAGAGCGCGGCGGAGAGATTGGCTGAGTTTGAATAACTTGTTGCCGGGCTGCTGATCTTGTTCTTGCTTTGATCGGAGTCACGGGCGCAGGCGTTGCAGGTATCCCCTTAACATGCTTGCGGAGGGCTTCTTCATCTCTAGAATGGAGATGGCTTTTTTTCCATGCTCTTTCGAGTTGACCTTTCAACAGGTTTCGATCCAGTAGGTGCAGAATGAAATCTGTCACATGTCTCGGGCCTAGAATGAAAGGAGCTTTCGCTTCACGATATTTGGTAGCTGCCTCTTCAGCATAGACCTTGTGCATCTTGGAGAACACACCACACTCTAGTGGATTGAAGAAAGGAGAACCTTTATGCGGTATACACACCAAGTAGATGCCTTTATTCCAGCAGCTCATGAATATCTCTGGAGTAATTCCATAACGGATCCCATCAACCAGCAGAAGTCGCCCTGGGGCGCCAGGACCCTTACTCCTCACGGGTTTGGTCTCTTTCTCGAAGACACATTCGATCCAGTCGAGGAAAAATTCTGCATTGGCCCATGGCTTGGCTGCGAAGGAGGTGGACACATTCCTGTAAACCATTCGTTGCTGATTGACAGCACTTGTCTTTGAGATCAGGTAAGGCGACAAGAATCGGTAGTTATCACTTCCGCAAATTATGGCAGACGTCATCTTCCGGTAATCTCCGTCGTCGCGAGTCGAGGCCTCAATGCATAATCCCTGATGCTCTGAGGAAATTGCAGTCACAAAACCCGTGTCGCCAAACACATAAAGGTGCTCAGATGGGATTTTCAATCCCCATTGCAGTTTATTAAGGAATGCCGGAAACCTGGCAAGTCTTTCTTCCTTGGCCTCTCGGCCCTCGTTCTTCAATTTCGCACTCTTGTAGGCCTTGCGCGCAGCATGAACACGGTCCTTGATAGCGCGGTTCCGCCTAAAAAGGTTCTCATAAAAGTCGTTGGCTACACCGACATCCTTGTTTGGATGATTGACAATGTGCATGAAATATCGGGCAAAGGCGCTCACTTGCTTTTGGTTCTCGAGAGGGAAACCATGATCGAGCCAGCGAACTATCCACTCTGCGACTGTAGCCTCGTCCTCGTCGCTCAAAATTCGGTTCGGACGTTTTGCAGAACCCACATCATCCAGGTTTGAAAGCCGGATGGCTGGGCTGACATCTTGGTGGGTTTGAGCCTCTCGTCTAGAGGCACCTTTACCCTTGGACTTGGCCATCACTACTTATGAGAGACACCAGTGGTGATTGATCGCTCTGGGCTGTCGACTGGAGTCCCGATTCGAAGGGGAAAATGGAAGACAGAGCCAAAGTACGAGCCTAGCTCTGATGAACTGGAGGCCCGACTCGCGCCAGCTTCTTGATTTCTCCCTCCTCGACCTCACAAGGAATGTTGGTTCCAACTGGGATGTTCCAGTTGCTGCCGATCGACGCTACCCAAGACGGGGCCCTCTGTTCGACCCAATGAGAGTTCAGTACCAGCCTACTAATATTGCGTAGTTCAAAATGGTCGTGAGAGCTCACCTTCGCTAGATTGTAGTAGAGTTAGAGCCAGACCCCGAAGACACGACCTCCAGAATAGCTTGGAGCAAGAGTGAATCGCACACTGGCAGTGGGAGAAATTTTTGGAGGGCGAAAAGCTCTAGTCCCTTTTAGGTAAATTATCAACAGTGACAGGTCCAAAAAGCTGTTCAGAGGAAGATTGAGAAGAAAAAACTGTACATGTGACATGGCTTATAGTTAGGAAAGCCACGATTCCACATTATTAGCCTGCCGTTACCGTGGGGGACCTAATATACAGGCCATCCCAATGGAGTTGACCTGGATAGAAAGGGCAATGATCGAGGAAGTATTCGGCTGTGACTTCTACAATACAGACCACTAGCGACGAGACTTGGCCTGAATTGCCCTACTTTCCAAGATCGAGGGATACCGCTTTCGAATTCCGAGGTATACACTAAGGGACTCGGCATAGACCTCATGGTAGAAAATTGGGCTTTTTGGGCTACCTGGAAGGTCTTACAGTATTTGACTCTGATGCTCTCCGCGTTCAAGTCTGGCACGTCTGGGGTTGACCCAGAAAAATTTGCGGTGACAGCCCGAAGAAAGCTCCACTCGCCGATGCCAATGTACCCACAATTCCTCATGAGTCGTCATCCTCCGGAGCCACTGGAAATACTCCAGCCTCTACATCGACGGAGAGCATAGACAATCAATGAATTTCTCTCAATGTGAAACAATCGTAAGGATATAGAAATCCCGGCCCTTGGTTGGCGAGTTAGACTTTTAACCTTAAATTTTCGGTCACTGGGCGCTTACATAAGAAATCGATTACGTCGCCGACGCCGTCCACGGGTTCACTTGGGAGCGCAACCTCCACTTACCACGAAGGACCATCATGGCCGACGACGAGCATTCAGGCTGCGCAAAAACACACCATCGCCATATGGCCAGGCTCTTGTGAAACACGATCTATCCCTACAACCATGGAGCAAGAGCCAGTGCCCCTCACTCATGGCAGACATGGTATGTGATCTTTCCTATCCTCCACTTTCGTCTCGATCTGTGCTAACGTTGCGCAGAGATGCTGACCCCAGTTGCGTGCTTGAACGGTCGGGTTTTTGACGACGATCCCGTCATTACCTACATGCTGCTGGACATGCCAACGGAAGAGCGACTAGCGTACCTCCCGACGTACTGGTCCGTTCTCGTCAAGTCTGCTTTGCTCAACGATGCGATCATCACCGAGGCCGATGGCTGGAAAGCTGCATCTGTCGTTACTCCCCCGGGTAGACATGTGGACAATGTGTGGACTCTCTTCTATGCTGGCTTCTTCTGTGTGCTATGGAAAATGGGGCTTTCTGGGTTCAAGGTACGATGGATCGCGAGATTGAAAGCGGAATAAACAGCTAACCCTATTCAGCGTCTCTGGTCTGAGTTCTCAGGCATGACCGACAATGCGAAGAAAATCGGCCTCCACGGGCAGAAGCGGTACTATTACATCTTCAGCATAGGGACCGAGGTCGAGCACCGGGGGAAAGGTAGGAAACGCCGGCTGTTGTCTTCCAAAAACAACTTACTAACAGTGCTACAGGTCTCGCCAAAACCATCATGCGCGAACACATGAGGAGGGCTCAACTCGAAAACGTCCCCATTTGGCTGGAAGCCACGACACCCAACTCACGGAAACTATACCTCTCGATGGGATTCGAGGAGATCGAGGAGATCACACTTGGGAAAGACAAAGTCGACAGAAATGCGAATCTTCAGCCTGGTGGCCCGGGTGTACCGCTCTGGGCGATGGTCTGGTGGCCTGAACAGCAATCTGGTCATACCTCTTCATCCTAAGAGAATCAATATTCTTTATCCCGCCATTTTCCTAACCTACGCATCGTCTATTGACTACGGCATACATTCATACTACAATACACACGAATGATCTATCACCTGGTGTTGTCTTCGAGAATTTGGATCCGGTCTAGATCTCGGGACAGTCCGCGTTTGAAAGAGAAATAATTACAGTACAGGGCTTCTTTATCAGGGCGCCAGAAGAAATGGTTAAACAAATGAAGGCGGAAAATGAATAATACCGACCAGCTTACAATTCGACTTGCATATTGACCAGCCTAACAGTATATCCGATTAGCAGACACTCTCCAGCAAGTTGAGGTCCTTGGGGATAACACCGCTCTTGACAGCATCTAAAATCAGATTAGCACCCACTCTGTCACCGTCCTGCAGCACAACTATAACTCACCTTGATAAGACCAGCGGTAATCATTCAGCTGAGCCTTCCAAGTCCAAAACACCCAACCTTGCTGCTTTTCATAAGAATGCACCTGGGCAGCAAACCACTTCGTATAAAAGTCCGTGTTCGAGCTAGGGTCCCAATCAGATGTCGACTGCACATCATCAGGGACAGATAAGCTCCATTCACCGACGATGGTCGGGGTATTGCTGTCACGATTATCGTTGCAAGATTCGTTTATATAGCTATCGCGAGAGACGTTGACGCTGGTGTCCCATTTGAGGTACCGGTGGTCGTCATAGGCGGCATAATAAAGGTCATCGAGGTATTGATTTGGGTCTCCAGAGCCCCAAAGCTCGTCCATCATCTGGATATGGAGATAGTCGTTTTTGTCAATGCCGGCGCTGGTCTCGTTGGCACGGATGCGCTAGAAGGAATATAAGTATTTCTGGACGATACAATATTTGTTGGGTCTTACTTCAAAAGCCTTCGGGTAGTAGTTCTGACGCATAGAGGTGGCCTTGTCATTATCCCGAACAGGCTCATTGACAACCTCGAGCATGCCAACGTTCCGGAACTCGTTGACAGTATGAATAAGACCGGTCATCCACTCGAGGAACTTCAGAGCACGCTCGTACTGGTAGTCAACATAGAATCCAGCCTCCGGGGCCATCTGACCCGTAAAAGCATTCTCAGCAATTTGAGCACCAGGGGCACCATGCAGATCCATGATAATGTACATGCCAGCATCACTAGCCCAGCCACAAAGCTTCTTGACGTAGTCCAGACCACCTTGAGGGAAGTGCTCGCTATCCGCGTAGACCAAGTCTTCGCGAAGCCAGTACCCGACTGGCACACGGATGGTGTTCAGACCATAACTGACCATCTCGGTGATATCGTCTTGAGTGATCCAGCTGCCCCAGTGCTTCTGGAAAGCGCTATTGGCAGCGTCCTGGCCGAGGGAGCTCACGCAGTCAAATTCCGATGCTTGACCACCACAGCCCATGTCACTCCAAGCGCTCTCGCCAATCCATGGCTCGAAAACGAATTGGGATCCCAAGTTGACACCACGAATTTTGCCGTTGGATGTCGTGAAAAGGTTCGTACCATCGCTGGCTGTGATTTCCTTGTTGGTTTTAGGCAACCAAGCGGCAGCCAGGGTAGAAAAGGCGCCCAGCGCAATAATCTTAGAGAAGGCGCCCATAGCGATGAAAAAGCAGCGACTTGGATGAGCTGCTTATCGTCGATAGGACGGCCAACTAAGACTAAATATCATTTCCAGGGTCTGGTAAGTACCCCACGATCTACCTTGCGGAACGCCCCTGATCTGCGACTGCGACAGTCGCAGTTTAGGTCAGGGGATGTAACCAATCGGCAGACTCATAGACGTGATATAAGACCAGAAAAGCAATGATGTGCGGTGTTTCAAAGTTGACGATTTCCCTAATTGGGAATTGGCGTCACAGTTCTTGAACGCCACGATGATCTTGGACCCGGAATCGCTGGTTGCGGGTTGCTCTGCTCCACTTGCCCTTCTGGATAACTAGATTATCGGCCTTTACTTAAGCATTTGTTTGGAATTACGGGTTTCTTAAACTCATTCTGAGGATGATTTGGTTTTGATGAAGGCCATAGACCAAAATTTGGGGGCCACACTAGTATTTCGGGCCCTTGTCATGCTAAGGTATTGATCGGCCCTGATAATCAGCAGGATAACGTAGTCACAATTACAATTAGCATCGATGCATTACTACAAAGAGTGAATGGTCGTTCCAGAGAGTAAAGCTGGGCATATTCGCAAGCAATCTTCTCTCAGTTTCCCCTTTGCACGGGGTAGGTAGTATTTGGTCGTTGTTTCAGATTTGGTGGATTGGCTCGGCATTTACTTGCTAAGTGTGAACGCAGCACTCTAGACTATTACAGCTTATGTTAGATGCTGCCATTATCAGCACAATTGAAACTACTGTGCGGGATTTCAACCATTGTGTTTGTTGTGGGGTTTCAACCATCGTATCTGTTGTGGAATCGGTCTAGCTTTAGACCTGATACCTAAGTGTCGGAGTGCCATCCTTCGCCGGTCCTCGACAACAGGGAGGATTATCACGTCGGATAAGATCCAACGAGACTAAACGCCCTAAAAAGGTGTTAGAATATTTCCTCTCAGCCACCCAAAACGCATACCACAGCTCTGAATCGACCAAGTATGAAACTTACTGTTGATGAACAACTGCCAGATCCTAACCTCGGACGATACCACGGCCAAGGTCAAGGATCACTCCATTGGCAATGCCAATTTTAGTGCCCTCCGGATCCATCTTGAGACTGGACACTGACCACGCTGAGAATGATTAGCAACAGAATTGTCTAGTCATAAATGAATTTAAGATGAACTCATTATGATTGAGTTCTAACGTTCCATTGATAATAATTCAAATAGCTCTAGCATCCGTTGGTCATCTTAGCTAGTAGTACCTACTCTCTCATACTATGCTCAGAAATCACGGAACAACGATCCTCCTATTATAATATGCAGTGGTCAGTCAATTCTAGTCGGGTCTGTATAGACTACTTAATCACCAGAATTCAAGATCAGCTATTTTAATCATAGTATCGTACAAGCCTAAGAAGTCCTAGCTGCATACCAAACCCTCTTTACTCAACCTAAACCAACCCACCAAAAAGCCTCAAGTCCCACGACTGCGACCGTAGCCAACCTAAACCTACACTAGAGTATATAGCAATGCAGAATATACCCACCCTCCACCCTCCTCTCCCAGTGCCCACAAAACCCCCCAACCCCATAAAAGCCGCATCCAGGTCGATCCAAATGGCAAAGCAACAAAGTGGAGAACCCAAAAAGAGGACAACCGATCATGCGATCCAAACTCCACCCTAGACCCAAGCCTCTAACAAGCTAAAGCGCCCGCACAAACTACTGTATTCACGCTACGTGCCATTGTTCTAATCCGGACTCGCGGGGAAATCTCGGCCGGCCGAGAGAACTTCAAAAACACTAGCGCCATTCCACGCGGCAAAACGCCCAAACAACGATAGTTACGATACAAATACGAGATTGGAATCATTGGATTGGGGGAGCACTAGGTCCCGTTACTCCCGTAAGGCTGTGAGCTACGAATGAGAAGCTCGAGTTTAGGCCAGGGAGCCGAAGGGGGAAATGAGTCGTGATAGTTTGGACTGTTTTAGGCGGATAGTCCCGGATGAGGAGGGGGTATGACTGCAGCGTTCGTTTCCTGGTATTGAAACTTGGGGTTAGGAGTACGCGGTATATAACTATAGGTCGGGTTGCCGGGTTGGAGACGGAGGGGGAGGTGATTTATTTGAAACGGGGATTTGCTATGATATCACCAGGGTGGATCGGGGATCGAGGGACTCTGATCGCGCATCGACTTTCTTTCCCTTGTCGCAGGACTTGACGGGCTTGCGATCATGAATACAAGAAGATGAAGCATACTGTGGACAACTCGGTTAGGTGTTGTGCGGACATCGCTTAATCACAAGTGGGTGGTGTTGTTTAAACCGCACTGACTAGCTCAGTGCCCATGCAGGGTATACAAGAATAGAAACAGGATCGAGACGGTGAGCATGCCATGCCACCAGAAATACCCTTCCCTGGGTCATACACAGATTTCCAAAAAAATTTCCACAAAATTCCCTCCAACGCCTTGATGCACAGAACCCGACAAAAAAAAGAAAACAAAAACTAATCACAACCCCGAGCCAGTGGACTCTCATACAACTGGACTCGTGCCGCTCATGCTGGGGAACAGCATAACATCCGACACTCGGCCCAGGATATTCCGCATACCCCAATCCTCCATAGGCAACATTGGACCACCAGCTGTGACCATGTTAGGCGGCAGCGCCGGGGTAGTATCGATCGAAGGCGGCGAGGGCAAAATCACTGGCGAGTACGTCTGTCCAGGCACAGGCACGGGAGGCGCCGCCGGTTTGCGCGTGCGGAAAGTCTCCCGAATCTCACGCAGTGCGAGCAACGACGAGGACAAATGCCTGGCCGAATCGGTGCGATTATTATGTTCGGCATCCCCATCTGCATAGACGTGATCGGTCAGGACCTTCTCCAGCCGATCTATCAGCTCCCATGTCTGGGGGCCGTCGTGATTAGCGACTAGCAAGAAAGCGGATGCGATGGATCGCTGCAGACTGATCCATGATCGGGAGCAATGTGAGTTGATCTCGTGCAGCTCGACAAAGGCATCGACGGTGCCAATCAGACTGCTGATGCAGTCTTCACGGATCAGAGCTCGGCGCTGATCGTCTAGGTGTGCATGTCGGTCTAAGGACACTCGACAAATCACGGAGACAAGATACGAGGAATGCAAACGCAACTCCGTGCGCTCTATATGATCGGCAAGCGACCGGCATTGATCGCGGTTTCGCAGGTGCGGGGTCGCCTCTGCGATCATATGCTGGATGCGCTGCTTATACTCGCGAATCTCGTGGTACCGAGGCTCCTGAGTTTCAGGGTACATGCGGGATCGCAGCACTTCCAGCGCCAGCGAAACCACACGGCACAGGGTCTCAAAGTATGTTCGATGGCCCGGCATGGATTTACGATCAAAGGGAATTTCGGGTTGGCTGACCATGGTGATGGATGGTCGGTCATAGGCGAGGGAGAAATGGCTATTTTGGAATGCCATGGTCCACCTGCGTTGCATTAGCATCGTGCGCTCAGCAAGGAACCCCTAAGAGCGGAAACTTACCAAACACGCCTTCGATTGGCCTGCTCCTCGAGTGAAAATCCGGTTGATTCAACATGAAGTCCGAGCACGAGACACATACGCTCCGTCATGCCTATGAGGTGCATTAGATGAGAAGCACGTCGGTGGTGCTCGGTGTGTCAACGTACCAAGTAATGTATAAGAAGCACCAGCGTTCATATTATATGAGAGCACATTGCTGATTATAAGCAGGATCTGAATAACCTCTACAGTCGGCTGCGAAACATAATTCAACATGCGCAGGCATTGATATGCACAAGAAACTATGAAGGATCGTCAGTATAGACTTGACAAGTGGGCCGACGGGGTCAATCCATTTCCTTTCCCGGGAAGACTTACCGTATATCCATGAAGTCAATTCACGATCGGCACTCGGCAGATCGGACAATTGACAGCCCGAGGCCAGCACCGCAAAAAGCAAGCTCAGAAAGGGCAAGTCCATACCAAACGGCTTGACTAACCCATTAGCATCCGGCTTATAGACACCTCCAGCTCGCCGTCTCCCTTCGATTAATCGATTCGTCTTTTGTTCCAACGCGTCGAGGTCGGGGAGGACGGGATACAACACTGCACCGATATCTTTATAAAAGCTCAAAAATCTGCAAATCCTCCATGTCAGCAAGTCCCAACGCCGCATATCCTTCTGTGATTCTTCCGCGCCACATACCGTCGACACTGCTCATCTTCCGGGAGCACCGCACACACCCCAGCAATATTGAAAGTGTAGGGATCAGAGGACCACAGATCCACAAATGGATAAGCGGCCGACTCGTTGCCCAGCGCGAGTTCCGCCAGCAGATCCTCCTGAGGTAGCGCCTGCGCCATATCCTCAGAGCCCTTGGATTTATCTAGAATATCGACGAGCGCAGACCGAGACCCGAGATGGACAGCGCCCGTCCTCAACACGTTGGACCCGTACACGCCCTCCGACCGGGTCGAACTCTTTCGTTCCGAAGCTATCGTCATTGCCTCGGAGCGTTTCCGAGACGAATGTGAATTGAACATGGAGTGCAGACTGCCCAGAATCTGCTCCATAGCGACCATCTTGGTATTGATCTCATCCCACTCTTCCTGCGAGATGTCAATTATCTCTGGTAGGTCCGGGTCATCGCTGGAGGAGGGAATAGTTTGGTCGGGAGCGTAGGAGCCATCGCGCAGAGTGGGAGGAGGGGGCGGCGCAGACGCATCGTAGGATGGCGAAATACCGAGCGAAGAGAAGGAGGGCTGTAGCGGCGTGGAGGACGCGGTACCGGCGGACACGGGCACGGGGAGTTTGGCGGCAGGAGGTGGGCGACCGTAGGAACAGGTGAAGTTGCGCTTGACACAATTGCTGCAGGGCACGTTGCGGTCGCAACGGACTTTGCTGGCGCGGCAGGGTAGGCAGGTCTTGCACTCGCGCGGGCGGCGGCGGATGGGATATGTCGGCATGGTTTCAGAGCCCCGCGGTGCTGGGCGAGCTGGAACGGCTTGCTTGCCTGCGGCGAGCGGAGGACAGAAAAGGGAACGGCATAGGCAGATCGAATGGGGTCGGGAGCAAAAGCGATTAGGGCGAGGCGAGGACGTAGCTGGCCCTCGGACTCGACACTGGGTAGAGGACGTGAAAGTGCGACTAGGGCGACTACTAGGCGACTAGTTGACTGGTCGACTGGTTGACTAGGATGAGAGCAACGTTGAGGGGGCGGATGCTTAGTCCGATTCGTACAAGATCAAAAGGAACGGGCTAGAGCCGCCATGGGCGTCGACCTTTGGACTGAGAATCGACTGGGATGAGGTCCGTGAGCGGAGGAGCGGGATGTGTCGAATTTCTGGGGAAGAAGGGCTTGTAGATTGGAGATTGGAGAATGCAGATTGGCAGAGAAGATCGAGGCCCGCCAAACGTGCTAAACCACTGGAGTAAAGTGAGAGGTCAACTAAATTGATCCGAACTGCCGAGGATGGCGTGTGCTGGTGCCGATCATGAAGTCAATTTTGCAGAAAATGACGGGACGGGGGCCCTAAAGCGGGAGCTCAACTGCGCCGGCAGGGGAGGAGTAATCTAGAGGTATGCGAAGTGCCAAAGGAGTGCTTCCAGAGTGCGAGGCCAAGCAAAGTAGATGATTTCATAGTCAAGTTGAGTTTCCTTGGTTCGTGGCGCCAAAAGCGGACAGTCGCCTGAGACAGCGGGCATCCCAGTTCTCCGTAAGCCAACCAACTTGAACGGGCTAACTTATAATTAACGACAGCTACTCCTGGCCTGATCCTGACTTTAATTTACACTTTTTTATCCATGCTATTGGCTTCTATTAGCTAGTCATCATAATAAATGCATTCGCTATGCGGCTGGCTTGGCCTAAATAGAGCAATCCCTTAACCCGAGTCAGACCTTTAAAAAGCCCCCATGAGATGCAAGTACCTATCAATGCAATGCCAAGAAAAAAATAAAAAGAAAAGAAAAGAAAGTTCAATCATCCGTGTTTCCATAGTCCCTAGTCGCCGAGTCTATTCTCTTCACGGCTGAGACACGACTCACGAAGTGGTCGGGTTGGCCGCTTTTTTCTCCGAGATCTGCGGGACGATCCACCAGTCATGCCACTGCGTCTTGGAGCCAATCTCGGGGATCACCACTTGAAGGTTCAACGGATTCTCCTCGGAAGGAGGCTTGTCACCGAGGAGCGCCTTCTTGACTGTCTCGATTGCAATGCTAGCCCCGATACAGGCCCGCATCATGTCCTTAATATCGCGCCGCCAGTCTTCTTCGATGGCAATCGACGGTTCTTTTGCGGGCGACGAGACGTCCTCAATAAAAGCGCCATTGGCAAGAGTTGCCTCCCAGGCCTTTCGAGCTTCGGTGATGGCCTTGGAAGCACGGTCCAAAATGGTGGCGTCCGTATCACCTTCCAAGGTAGCCTCGCGGTGGTACTCCTCGTAGGGAACCAGTTCAGGTAAGGAGATTGGGATAAAAGGCTTCATGCGAAGCTCATAGCGGAGCTTATCACTGGAGTAGGCGCCGGGCCCACCGGCAGACGGCAGAATCTGATGCCGAGCCAGTAGTACATAGAGGGCGTGAAGCGCGATCGCAAATGCATCGATCGCAATGATATGGGTCGTCAACCTCTCGAGATAGAGGAATGATCTATGGTATGCAGGAGACCTCTGCGCTGAACTTTCTTCGTGGCCACTGCTCACGAGATCGCGCTTTCGAGCTGCCACGGTGAATGTGCGAATGCGGTCAAGGTGACTAAGATGCGTTGAACAAATGTGTGACAGGTACCAGTAGATACCGGGTAGCTCTTCGGGGGCGTAAATAGATAGCTCAAATCCCATCTGCAGGATCAGCCGAAGCTGAATGAGTTTCTGGTGGTAGGCCCAGCTGCTGAGTGGGTAGGAAAAGGTAGCTTCGCCACCCTGGAATTGCAACGCAGGCTCTGCACTAAGATTTTGAAGTTGGAGGTCGAGCTCCTCAGCCTGGAAGTACATAATCTCAGCTCATGCAAGACTGAAGGGTACAAGGGGCTCAAACATACCTCCATCTGCAGATTGTCCCAGTCAACGGCAGTATGACAGATGGTTCGTCGGACCCGACAACGGTTCAGGCAGGCGGAGCGCACGGTGTCAACAAAAGGCTGCAGACATTTAATTAGCTCGCTAGGAGATTGATCGGACTCGGGATTGACCGTACCTGGGCAAAGCGTTTGACGAATCCTTCCATGATTTGTGCAATCCGGAACCGAGGGTCAGAAGGTAGCTCTACCTCGTCAGTATTCGCTCGAAGCAATATACTTGATGGCAAGACCAGCTCAGCAAGGTCGTCATAGAGGAATTGCCTAACCGATACAGCGCCAAGGATTGTCATGCCGTTGACAATCAAGGCCTGCAGGAGAGATCGGATGTAGACTGACGGCTGGGGTTTTCGAGATAGCAGAGTCCACACGGCGGTCTAGAATCAGAACTCAGTAAAAATGTGATCAACCAACTATTCCCATCATCGTACCTTGAAATTGCTTGGGCTGCTGTATCCCAGCATCTGTTGCATATCAATCGCATCTTGGCATAACCGCTTCATGTGGGCCAGAGCATCCTCCTGCTTGATGTGGACGATAGGCCGAGGCGGCACAGTACTGGCGAGCTTGCGTTGAAGCTTCAAGCTGAAAGCTTCTGGCACCGCCTTTCCAAGAGCAACGCTTTCTGTTACAGGCTTCAAGTGGGCCAGACATGATTCAAAGCTATCTGTCGATCCAGTATCCAGGATCTCAAGGTCTTGATCCACAGCAGCCAAAAACTCCCACCGTAGTTGAAGTCTGCTTCGAATCGCATCTCGAAGCTTTTTATCGATCCCCTCCTGAGACTCGACCCAGTTGACCGCCTGATCCAGCAGGCGATAGAAGTGCGATGAGTCAAAAGCGGACAAAAGGTTTCGATTGTATAATTGAGTGACAAAGTCTTCTTCCTGTACCACCAACCCAACCACCCGTCAGCAAAGTTGGTCATCTTCCCAATAGGTCATCATCCCACGCACCTCGTAGAAATATTCAGAGGCCACACGGGCGTGAACAAAGTCGCATGCCTTAACAAGTGCGAGACAATAGGTACGGAGCACAAGGCCGACCAGTGGGTTTTCGCTGGGCACTCGGTCGAACCGGGCGTCCTCCATTGTTCTCGGCACCGGCCACAATAGCTTATCGATATAGATAGACGTAAAAAGGGTCTGAGAAAGAGGATGTCCCATATGCCATGCCATCTGTACCGGTGTCAGCGGCATTCGATCCAAAGAAGATGTAGTATACCCACCTCATGGCAAAGCAGTTGGTCCATCAACCCCACCAGCTCCTCCGGTGTCAGGTCCCGTCGCACATCGTAGTCGTGTTCTAGCGCTTGCGCAAGGTTCTCGCCAGGTGCTATGTAGCCGCTGTCCATCTTGGAGTCCATGATCTATCATAAATTCCACAATATTGTCAGCAATCGGTCTTCTCCCGCACCATTTCTATCCTGGTACGACAATGACGCACCTCCAATGCGCCCACCGCCTCGAAGAGCGTGAACATTTCATCCTTGACGAGCTGGCCAGTCCGTAGTTCTGTGAGATAGCAGTCTTGTTAGTTCAAGGAAGAGTAGAATGAGAATGGGGTCAACTCTACTTGATGCGGCCTCTGTAAATTCGGCGGTGATGTCGCGCGGCACAGCGGACTGCGCAACCGCCCGCGGCGGGGGCACGCGAACCTCGTTATTCGGCAGCATCGCACAGAGATTTGAAGCTCTGCAGTCCGCTGCCGGTTCTTCTCATGGGATGGACGAGGAAATTGAGGGCAAAATCAACCGGCGAGGTAGAAGGTTGCGAATGGGGGAGAGGGGGTTTGGCGGGGGAGGAGGCTGAGGCGGGAAAAAGAAGGGCTTCGGGCTGGACGGGCAGTTGGGGCGCTCTGACGTGCAGACAACAGGTACCGGCCGGAACCCTCAAGAGTACAATTTGGGACAAAGGCTACGATCAATGGTTCTACTACAGATCCTAGGTATTCAGGTATTGGTGCACACAGAGAAGAAGGCGATTTCATGGTTTGTCTGTCTGTCCAGACAGATCTTGTATTGCTACACATGTACAAAAAGTTCAATTGTCTCGCCCGGGGTCCGTCTAAATCATCGCTTGTGTCCGATTCCGGCCCCAGGTCCATCTTTCTGCCAGAAGCATGGCTATATCATGCTGTCTCGATCATGCTCAGGGAGGTGCTGTGCTGGTCGTCTATTTCTCGGCGGCCTGGGCAATGGCCTCGGTGTTGGCCTGGGCGAGCGAGCGGACATCACCCTGCTTGCCGTTCTAAATGTCACAAAACACTCCGTTAGTTCCATCGATCCAATCCGGTAAATTATATCGGGTTCAACTAACCTCCCACTTGGCGAAACGGAGGTCCATCTGACCGCGGCGCTCAGCAGCGAGACGGGGAGTCTCCTTGAGGGAGCGGCGCACCGTCCGGGCGGCAATGGCCAGGTAGCGGTTGTAGCTGTTGCCACGGTTAGCACGGGCGAGAATTGGCGGGATCTGTCGAACCATACGTGAGGCCAGCGGCTTTCCAGGCGGCAGTCATTTTGAAGAGTGGATGTGGAGAGATGGGTGGTTCAATTGAAGGGGGTGAAAACGGCTCGGGTGAGTTTGGAAGCGTTCGACTTCGGAGAATCGGGAACTCTGGTCACGTGAATGGCAGTCCGATCTACAAGTCACGTGGATCCAACATCACCCATCATTTGCCTGTAAAAAGAGCTTTCTTTCCACGACGTTTGTCGATTGATTCGGGACTCGAAAAGGATTTATAGGCTTCAGGTGGTTTTCTTATGCAACCTCGTTTAGTATGGAGATTATTCGCGGGTTCAGCGCTCAGCACGAGATCGTACTGCAATATACCAGAGCCGAGGGAGAGAGAAGACTGATTCGAAAATTCAGAATCACTATGAAGCGTACTGGACCTCTCAGTCTCATTTCATTTCAACGCTACTCGATATGATGTGACGAATAAGTTTTTCCTTGTCCAGTGACATCATGAGAAATGGGGCTTACTATCAAAATCCAGCGCTTATGCCGAGAGATAGTCGTAGTAGACAGGACCCATCATATCAGTTCCTAGTATCAAAATGCATACTCTAATTCTCGGGCAATATCCAACTTTCCACGGAGTATAGGTAAGTCTGTCTGGCTGATCGAGGCAGCAGTAAGTAAAGGTCTTCGATTGCCTTCTAGCTAACTAGCAACCTAGAGCTTGCCGTTTGTTTGCAGACACGAAGGCACATACCTTGTTTACCTCTAGTCACCTCGATTTATTTGGCAACAGTTTGCCCCACGCTCTTCTCTTTATCCCCTCACATATCTCGCACTCCGTCCCCGAGCTCTCACCTCTCACCCGCATTCAACCATCCGTGTACCCAAGACCTACATCTATTCTTACGGTGAGTAGCTTCTCTTTATCGCATCGCACATCTCCTGTTCAGCAAGAAACACCTGCTACAACCTGCTGCATCTCCATTGAAAGCTGTTGAGTATCCTCGACAAGCTTGGTGGCTGATACGAGCAAGTCCGAGACAGGTGAGGCGCCCGAGAACTACCTTTCCACCCTACCCTTTCGCCCCAAGTTCCAAAGACCTATGGATTATCCATATCCTTCTCCTCCACAGACTCGGCTTCTCTTGTTACGGTTCGGCATCACAAAGAGATTTTTGCAAGGTGTCGGTGTCACATCGAACATTTTCATGCTTCTCGGCTCCGCCAGGTCTCCTATATACCGAGCGAGTCGACGAACAGGCTCTCAGCGCTGATTATATCTTGCCGTCTCTGAACAACTTGCCGTTGCCATCCTCGGAGGGCAAATCAGCTCGGATTTCTTCCTTTCATATCCATCCCTTCACAACCTCCAAAGTCCTCTGCAGATCATCTCCTCAACAAGCATACTAACTCTGATTCTGTCTCCTAGTCCATTGATACCCATTCAACAACAGATCGCAAAATGCCCTCCACTCGGAAGGGTGGAGGGGATGCCCCAACGGGCAGCGCTGGCAAGCCGCCACGCAAGGAAAAGCGCCAGTTGGTTCGCTGGGATCGTACGTTCAACTCCATTGTTTCTTGCATAAATCCCATTCATGCATCCTGGCACTTCTATCACAAGTGAAGTGTCGTCACGTCACTTCCACTCCCTTTGCTGGGGTGATGCATAAACATATTCATTCTTTGATGTCAAACTTTGAGAAACGTGTGTGCTGATAATTTTGATAGAGGACCTCGACACCCTCCTGCTCCTCACTGTCCAGTCGGCATGCAACCTGACTGGCGTCAAAGTTCCCTGGGAGAAGGTAGCCCAGCTTATGGGTCCAAAGTTCACCGAAGGAGCCATTGTGCAGCACCTGTCAAAGCTGCGTATCCGTCGTGAGGCCGCCGGCCAGCGCGTTCCTCCACCCCTGCGTCGCTCCGTGACTGCCGCTGCCGCTGCTGCTGGTGGTGGTAGAGCCCCCAAGGCGGGAAGACGAAATGCTCGCAGACGCAAGGGCCGCTCTGGTGCTATGGATGATGAGTTCTCGGATGGCCTGGACGCCCAGGAAGAGGAGGATTCCGATCCAGAGTATTTCCAGGGCAAGAAAAAGCGCAAGTCCGGACGTTATTCGCTCCCCACCTCTAAGAAGTCCAAGATGACCATGGATGATGATGACGAGGACGATGAGGATGCTCTGATGTGCGGCGGGGCCCCATTCCTTCAACACCTCCAGCCCGAACTTGACACTGACCATGCCGATAGCGACAGCGATGACAGTGATGAGGACTTTGACGATGAGTTCGATTCTGACTCCTACGACACCAAGATCAAGGCTGAGCAAGTTACCCCGACTCCTCGTCCATCTCGGGTTGTCAAGCTGCCTGTTAGTCTTCAAACCAAGGATCAGCACGGCATGAAGTCCATCCGTAGCATCGCCGACGCCACTCCTCTCCCTTCGACCACCATGGCAGGAAACCGGAACCAGACCTTCGTGTCCAACGATCCGGCTGTGATGAGCAACAACCCTGTTCCGACGTATGGAACTCAGGGCGCTTATTACCCCAGTCAAATGGGACCTGGCCAGGTCACCGGAAACCCGATTCAGGCTGGACAGAATCCATTCTATTGGCCTATGCCTACCCCAGTTGTCGGTGGCCAAATCCTTGCACCGGCGGATTTCAGCTGGTCTCCACATGCGCCTGGCTATGCTACCGGACGAGGTGGTGGTCTTCGAGTCTCCGGTCCTCCTCCGCCAAGCTGGGACCCAGCTCCAACTACTGCTGAAGATGCCCCAGGCCAGGCTATGGACTCCAGCGCTCTAGGCCCCGACACTCTGGACCCCAACACTTGGTTCATGGACGAGACTCTCTTCGTGAAGGATGATGATGATGAGGCTAAAGGTAGTCACAATCAGCATCCGGGTCAGGAGGAGTACTAAGCCACCCGGTAAAGCGGCGGTTCGTCAATCTCCCATACGGTGATGATCCCGACAGGTTTCGAAGCTGGTGACGCTAGTTATTTCTTCGATGATGGACATGATTTCGTTTCTTTTCTTCTTTTTTTTCGGTTGTTGATAAGGCGAAAGAGGTTCCCGCTCGCTTAACGGGCGCTGGAGCCTCATTGCTTTCAGCGTGACTTTCACGTCAGATGGATTTTGTGGAAGGGCTGCTTCTTTGGCTTGCAAATACCATTTTCTGTCAGATAGGAAGGCGCGACATACTCAGCAAGATCTCACAGCTTAGCATCATTCAATGATCATGTCCTCAAAGATAATTGTTAAGAGCGAAGTAAATAATCGTGTGGTGAAGTCGAGCGAATGGCTTGCTGATTTGAACTGGACGTATACATGGATGTTTTGAATTTGATTGGTCAAGCTCGCGTCTCCAACGTTTATCTCGACTCTTTTTCACGTCATCGAGTTGTTAACTCACCTTGAAGTTCTCCATTTGAAGCTTGAATGAGATGACGGCTCTAGATTTTTAAAATTGGATGATTACCTTTTATGAAAAGTAAGCTTAGGTGATTTTAAGAGTCGATCTTAGTTAATTGATTACTCTATGACACTAGGGTTGGTTGTATATATATATCCGCGGCTAGCACGGACCGATATTTTTCCAGCCAGATCGTTCACCTGATCTTGTGCTAATAGTTACTGCTGAGGCTATAGAGAATCACCTATACTACGAATTAGACTGAGATCCATTCTTTCTATTAATTCTACTTATCGGATTTCTTGACCTAACGGGATCCCGGTCAAGATAATCCGATGGACGTACACTACTAAGTACTCCGGTATATAGCCGGTCACCCGAAACCTCGGGAATGAGACAGACCACGTGACCCTTCTAGCTGTTTCTGCCGCCAAGTCTGGGGATGGGGAAGGATTAAGAAACGCCTGGAAAATTTTCGAGACTTTGGCTTCATCTTCCCCAGCTTCCCTCCCTTCTCTTCCATCTCCCTTCCATCTCACCCCCTCTCCTCACCTCCCAACCCGCATCAATTCCGGCTGGGTTTTCTTTCTATATCTCTATTCTAATACCTTCTCGTCCCTTTTTTTCGTTCTCCTGTTTAGCAATGCAGCGCGCCCTGTCTACCCGGACTTCGGTCCTCTCGGCCGCTTCCAAGCGTGCCCCCTTCGCCCGCTCTCCCCTGAACCTCCAGCAGCAGCGTTTTGCCCACAAGGTGCGTGCTACAATGCCATTGCAATTGGCTTCCGGATGGACTCTCCGATGACTGTCGGCTGCGATTTCCGTCGATTCCGAAGCTCTCCGTGTTTAACCCTGGCTGACCGCAAAGCAGGAGATCAAGTTCGGTGTTGAAGCTCGTGCCAGCATCCTCAAGGGTGTCGACACTCTCGCTAAGGCCGTTACCTCTACCCTCGGCCCCAAGGGTCGCAATGTCCTCATCGAGTCTCCCTACGGCTCCCCCAAGATCACCAAGGGTAAGTTGTTTGTCTCTCGGCGCGACCCTGAAACCCGGCTCGGCCTTCCGCGGCGATTGAGGGAAAAAAACAAAACAAAATGCTAACGTTGCATCTTCAATTCAAATAGACGGTGTTACTGTCGCCAAGGCTATCACTCTGCAGGACAAGTTCGAGAACCTCGGTGCCCGCCTCCTCCAGGATGTTTCCTCCAAGACCAACGAGCTCGCTGGTGACGGTACCACCACCGCTACCGTCCTCGGCCGTGCCATCTTCTCCGAGACCGTGAAGAATGTTGCTGCTGGCTGCAACCCCATGGATCTGCGCCGTGGTATCCAGGCCGCCGTCGATGCCGTTGTCGACTACCTCCAGGCTAACAAGCGTGACATCACCTCTGCTGAGGAGATCGCTCAGGTCGCTACCATCTCCGCCAACGGCGACACCCACGTCGGCAAGCTCATCTCCAACGCCATGGAGCGCGTTGGCAAGGAGGGTGTCATCACCGTTAAGGAGGGTAAGACCCTGGAGGACGAGCTTGAGGTTACCGAGGGTATGCGCTTCGACCGTGGTTACACCTCCCCCTACTTCATCACCGACCCCAAGTCCCAGAAGGTCGAGTTCGAGAAGCCCCTGATCCTGCTGTCCGAGAAGAAGATCTCCGCCGTCCAGGACATCATCCCCGCCCTTGAGGCCTCCACCACTCTCCGCCGCCCCCTGGTCATCATCGCTGAGGACATTGAGGGTGAGGCTCTCGCCGTCTGCATCCTGAACAAGCTCCGTGGTCAGCTCCAGGTCGCTGCCGTCAAGGCCCCCGGCTTCGGTGACAACCGCAAGAGCATCCTCGGTGACCTGGCTGTTCTCACCAACGGTACCGTCTTCACCGATGAGCTCGACATCAAGCTCGAGAAGCTCACCCCCGACATGCTCGGCTCCACCGGTGCCATCACCATCACCAAGGAGGACACCATCATCCTCAACGGTGAGGGTAGCAAGGACAACATCTCCCAGCGCTGCGAGCAGATCCGTGGTGTCATGGCTGACCCTACTACCTCCGAGTACGAGAAGGAGAAGCTCCAGGAGCGTCTGGCCAAGCTCTCCGGCGGTGTTGCCGTCATCAAGGTTGGCGGTGCCTCCGAGGTTGAAGTCGGTGAGAAGAAGGACCGTGTCGTCGATGCCCTGAACGCTACCCGCGCTGCCGTTGAGGAGGGTATCCTCCCCGGTGGTGGTACTGCCCTCCTCAAGGCCTCCGCCAACGGCCTGGACGGCGTCAAGCCCGCCAACTTCGACCAGCAGCTCGGTGTCAGCATCATCAAGTCTGCCATCACCCGCCCCGCTCGCACCATTGTCGAGAACGCCGGTCTCGAGGGCAGCGTCATTGTCGGCAAGCTGACCGATGAGTTCGCCAAGGACTTCAACCGTGGTTTCGACTCCTCCAAGGGCGAGTACACCGACATGATCGCCAGCGGTATCGTCGACCCCCTGAAGGTTGTCCGCACTGCTCTGGTTGATGCCAGCGGTGTTGCCTCCCTGCTCGGCACCACCGAGGTTGCCATCGTCGATGCTCCCGAGGAGAAGGGCCCCGCTGCCCCTGGTGGCGGCATGGGTGGTATGGGTGGTATGGGCGGCATGGGTGGTGGCATGTTCTAAACGTAGCCTCCTCCTTCATCGTCTCTCTCCTTCCCCCCCTTTGCCCTCTGTGAAATGATTTTCTCCCGCTGCATCCTTTTTGCATCGCCGCGCCGTTCCCTCGCGGCTCTGGACTTTTTGTAATGCCCCCGGTGTTGTTTTATTTACCTTTTGTTTTACTACCGTTTACCCTTTTCTTATACCTGTATTTCTCTGTGTCTCCTACACCTCTCTCCACTCTTCCCCTGGGGCTCGAAAAAAAAAGGGTCTGGCGCAAATCCTGTATCATATCTGTTCTCTCCATTTACACGTGGTTTCTAATGCATTTGATGATGCTAGAAGATGGTTCCATTTAAGATAGAACGCACAGACTCGACCTAGTAGGCGGGGATTGGTGCATCTGTACCAAGTACCTACTTGATCGCCAGTCGATCTCGAGTAAATTAGGGTTGTCAGACCGTTAAGGTATAAATTGCAGACCTAAACTTTCCCAAGCAATGTCCCCAGTAATAACAATAATAATAATGTATCATCCTATTTAACCTGGTAGAAATACTGCACTTACTGACCGCCTATAGACCAACGATAGACGAGGATCATCACGTGCGTTGTTGCATAAACCAACAGGAAACTTCTTGGAGCTTTCCAACTTCTCACCTCTTCAGGCTCTGATAACCCTCCAGCTGGGGGCTATCTCAGACGAGCCAGTCTCCTCCAAAAACAGCTCCGTTGCCCATGATCCATGGGCCACTAGGAGCTTGTCCGGCTGACTGGCATTTTGTGATGCGTCACTCGTGGGCCCATTGGCTGTTGTGGTCGGCTAATCGACCGCGGGTTGCGCTCGCCCGCGGTCTAGACCGTCCAATTCTATAGTTTGTTTGTATGAAGCCTGCTTTGGAGTGCCTTGAAACCGCCTCGTTGACCGAGGCGGAGGTAGTTTCAACAGTCGCTTTACCTTTCCTTTGCAAAGGCCCACCCCCAGACTCTCTTAGCCTCTCGCAACATTGCCACCCTCCACTGAGTCCACTCTGGGTACACTCTGGTGCCGCCTGAAACTCACTGGCAACTCCACTGGACGAACTCCGTTCTCTCTTCTCTTTTCTTGCCAGTCTAGTCAAACCTAGGGGATTCTTCGCGACACAAACTGGGCCTGGGGAATGTATGCGCATTCAATCGTCGTGCTGCTGCACCCGCCTGCCTTCTGTTTCTAGAGGAGGACAAGCCCATTCGACCTGGTGAGCTGCGCTGACCCTACATCCCGTGCCTTGACCTGATCGGAGGGTACCTACACGGTCTTCTCTCAACCTGACCAGCTGACACAAACCCGCTTTCAGTGTGATACAAAGGACCCTCAACTAGACACGAGGAACACGACCTAAACACAAGACCCCTTTTCTCCTCAGCCAGTCCGGCGCCCGTCAGCACTCTACTGTCCACAGAATCCACAATGGCAGCACTGGTGGATTCACCGCGGCCGGCTCTGGTTAGCGATGCCGACCTCCTCCAAGCCCGCGCTGCACTGCAGCACCAGAATAGTCCCGACATTTCAGTGCCACGTGAATTCATCTCACTGATCGTCGAAGAACTGATCTATCGCCGAGAGTCCCACTCCGCAATCGCAGACGTTGAACATGAATGCTCTGCGCTTCGCAAAGAGCTTCGCAAACACACCCACATCAACGAGGCCTTTCAGAAAGAACTGCGCGAGATCGGGGAGATTATCACGCAAGTTGCCCATGGCGATTTGTCTCAGCGCGCGCGGCTTCATCCGTTGGAGATGTCGCCCGACATTGCGACCTTCAAGCAGACCATTAACACGATGATGGATCAATTGCAAATCTTCAGTCAGGAAGTGACCAAGGTGGCCCGCGAGGTGGGCACTGAGGGAGTTCTTGGTGGCCAGGCCAATATTGAGGGCATTCAGGGAATCTGGCAAGAGCTGACGGTCAACGTGAACGCTATGGCCAACAACCTGACTACCCAAGTTCGTGACATTACGACCGTGACTACCGCAGTCGCTAAGGGCGATCTGACTCGGAAAGTGCAAGCAGATTGTAAGGGCGAAATTTTACTACTCAAGAACATCATCAACTCTATGGTGGACCAGCTCCGCGAATTCGCGTTCGAGGTGAGCCGAGTGGCTCGTGAAGTCGGATCGGACGGAACTCTTGGTGGCCAGGCCGTGGTCCACGGTGTTGAGGGTACTTGGAAGAATCTGACCGACAATGTGAATCGCATGGCTTCGAACCTGACCCAACAAGTCCGTGAGATTGCCAAGGTGACGACTGCTGTGGCTCGTGGTGACCTCACTATGAAGGTGACCGCTGACGTTAAGGGTGAAATCCTGGACCTGAAACTCACTATTAATGCAATGGTCGACCGGCTCAACCAGTTCGCCTTTGAGGTGAGCCGTGTGGCTCGGGAAGTTGGTACGGATGGCACACTTGGTGGACAAGCCCAAGTCGAGAACGTCGAGGGCCGTTGGCGTGATCTAACGGACAACGTGAATACAATGGCCCAGAATCTCACACAGCAAGTGCGACAGATTTCAAATGTCACACAAGCCATCGCTCGAGGCGATTTGAGCACCAAGATTGAGGTCCACGCCCAGGGAGAAATCCTGACTCTGAAAGAAACGATCAACAGCATGGTGGACGGTCTCAGTCAATTTGCCCGAGAGGTCAAGATCGTGGCGAGAGACGTGGGAGTGAGAGGCAAACTCGGTGGACAGGCCAAGCTAGATGGATCGTACGGTATTTGGCGGTCAATTAGTGAAGACGTCAATATCATGGCCGACAATCTCACTTCGCAGGTGCGAGCCTTTGGCGAGATCACGGAGGCTGCGATGAGCGGTGATTTCACCAAGCTGATCACCGTGTCGGCATCGGGCGAGATGGATGACTTGAAACAAAAGATTAATAAGATGATCTGGAGTTTACGCGATAGTATCCAGCGGAATACGGCTGCCCGCGAGGCTGCGGAACTGGCGAACCGTAGCAAGTCTGAATTCCTTGCCAACATGAGGTATTTGAAACATCCCACAGGTTTGTAGCCATGGAAGAAGTTAGCTAACATTGAGGAACTCTCCAGTCACGAAATTCGAACTCCGATGAATGGAATTATCGGACTTTCGAGTTTAGCACTCGACACGGACGATCTTGCGGCTCCTGTCCGCGAAACGCTCAATATGGTCCACAACCTCGCCATCAGCCTGTTGACCATTATCGATGACATCCTGGATATCTCCAAGATTGAGGCCAACCACATGATGATCGAGAAAATGCCGTTCAGTCTGGGGTCTACCGTATTCGGCGTTTTGAAAGCTCTGGCAGTGGAAACAAACGAAAAGGCTCTCACCTTATCCTACACCGTTGATGGCAACGTGCCTGACTTCCTGATTGGCGATGCATATCGCTTGCGTCAGGTGATGCTGAACCTAGTCGGCAACGCCATCAAATTCACCGACCATGGTGAAATTCGAGTCACGATTAGGCGTGCCGAGAACAGCGATTGCCAAAAGGATGAGACAATGTTCGAATTCTCAGTCACGGATCCTGGCATTGGTATCGAGGAGAGCAAACTCGGTCTGATCTTCGATAAGTTCCAGCAGGCAGACGGGTCGATGACTCGTCGTTTTGGCGGCACAGGTCTCGGACTGGCCATTTCCAAGCGCCTCGTCTCTCTCATGGGTGGTGATATCTGGGTTACGTCCCGTGTGGGCCAGGGAAGCAAGTTCTCATTTACCTCTCGAGCCAAACTGGCAGAAGCTCCAGCAGGATTCTCGGAGCAATTGGCGCCTTATCGGGGCCGGCGAGTTCTCCTCGTTGACAATGGCGATTTGGAAGGCTGTCCCGTTCCCGCAATGCTACAGGGCTTTGGTCTCGAGCCCGTCGTAGTCAATGACAACGAACTTGTTCCCAACCTATCCCGAAAGGACCTGTGTGGCTCGTTCGATGCTATGCTAGCCCCGAGCTTGGAGACAGCAGCAAAGCTACGCGCGGACCCGAATCTCTCTCTCAACCCACTGGTCATCGTGGCACCCGTGGTATCCCTCCTTCTCAAGTCTGCCGGTGAACTCGGCGTGTCATCTTACGTCACAACACCCTGCCGACCCATCGACTTCTGGAGCGGTATCCTCCCAGCCCTCGGCAACCGCATAAATCGCGTTTCCGAAGGTATCACCCGCTCTCTCGCAATCCTCCTCGCCGAAGACAACGACGTAAATCAGAAAGTGGCCGTCCGCATCCTCCAAAAGTGCAACCACAACGTCACAGTCGTCGAGAACGGCCTCCAAGCCGTCAAAGAAGCACAGCAACACCGCTACGACGTAATTCTGATGGACGTCTCCATGCCAGTCATGGGCGGATTCGAGGCCACGATCAAAATCAGACAACACGAGAAAATGAACAGTCTGCCGCGCACGCCTATCGTGGCACTTACCGCGCATGCCATGCTCGGTGATCGCGATAAATGCATTCAAGCAGGCATGGACGAGTATCTCTCCAAGCCGTTGAACTCGAACATGATGATGCAGACTATCCTGAAGTGTGCATCTATGAATTTGGTCTCTGCTGTAGAGACTTGAGATTGGATCTGAGATCCTGGGCACGATTCGATGCCAGGCGTCGATGTTACTGGTGCCCAGGAGGATTGGTCGTGGGTGCGATACGCCCGACACCACCAAACCAACCAGATACTCGATCGACATCTACCCCTATGGATCCACTGGCAATGCGACATACATTCTTACTGAAGGATTCGCCCCATCTATCACTCCGTTAACCTGTGGGAGTATTGGCTGCGAAAAACGGCCCCTCCTCTTTTGTGCCGTGCAAGTTGTATTATTACCGCAGTTCTTGGCCTCTGACAATGAACAGTAGGCATGCTGGTCATCTCATGGCCATCAGTGTGCAGAATCATAACATCATTCTATCTGCCATATCCACTCAGACCAATCATCATGGCAATCTCCCTCGCAATTCAACTGAAGTGCATGCACCTATTCATACAGTGGGCGAGGAGGCGTTGGGGTTTCTGGAATATGGGACATGGCGCTTTTTTCTCCAACGAGTGAAATATCATCACATCTATCTCTTACGCAGTAGTACTATGATCAAATCTTATCTTGTCCTTCACCGCTGCCCGGATTTCAATCTCCAATCAATCATGTAAACTCTATCATCCCCTTCATTCGTATCCATAAGGTTAAATAAGAGCAGTAGAAACTCGTATCGCCGCATAAAGGCGGGGTCGATTACGATAATGACACCTCCGAATACGAGAAGCTTCCCCGGAAACCAACTTGCTGCCTAGCTAACTACTCCTCTACAAATACATAAGTAAAGCCCGAGAACGAAAAGACCTCCAAACCCACCATCCTCCATCCTCGCCTCCCGCAAAATGGACAACTCGGCATCGCCCTCTATTTACCCACTCGAAGGCGGTTGTGCCTGTGGATTCGTACGGTATCGCCTCGAGACACGCCCACTCATCGTCCACTGCTGCCATTGTACCTCCTGTCAACGTGAAACCGGGACCGCATTCGCCATAAATGCCGTCATCGAGTCCACCCTCGTCACTCGTCTCCCATCAGCACCACCCTCAGTGCCCGCATCAAGTACTCAACCCGCAAAACCCGCTGGCCCGCCATTATCCAGGCCAGTCCAGGACTCCGCGGACCTCGAAATTATCACTACACCATCGGAATCGGGAAGAGGACAGCGAATTGTCAGATGTCCAGCTTGTAAAGTTGCAGTGTGGTCCCATTACGGCTCTGCCGGTTCTCGCACGCGCTTTATTCGAGTGGGAACGCTGGATGAAGCGTGGAAAGTCCTGCCTGATGTGCATATATACACGCAGAGCAGGAGGGGGTTTCTCAAATTGGATGGGTCGATTCCGGCGTTTGATGCATTTTATCCTAACATGGGGGACATTTGGAGGAAGGAGAGTATGGATCGATGGGAAAAGGTTATGAAGATTGAAGAGACGGAGTGAACTTGGTGAATCCTTTCTGGGGTTGTGGTTAGAGTTGTGTGAGGTAGATACTGATCTAATCTCATCGAGTTCTTGGGCAATGGACTCTCAGAAGTCGCAACGAGTTCTTGTCGGCGGCGGCTGTGGAGTGAGGACACAAGCCCTTGCACCGGGGCATCTCCTGTCCAGCCTTGATATCCTTGACTCCCCCGTAATCCATGTCAGCCTGTGGCCTGGGCTGCGTAGTGATTGAATCGGCTGGGCTGAGTGTAAGGGTGAGCTTCTGCAACCTTTGAATATAAAACACCACGGAGAAGATAGCAACTTACTGGTTTCAGTGTGCTCGTTGTAGAGGTGCTTGCGGAGCTCAGGTTGATTGTTGAAAGTCTTGCCGTAGGGATACCCCGAGAGACTTGGATTCCGCAACTGTTTATACTCGTTAGCGTATGCACAGTATGTATCCATGACCGTTGCATATCATTTCAAGCACCTCATCAGCATGGACATGATGGGAAATGAAGGCTTTCGTCTTGAATTTGATGCCAAGAGCTGGAATACCGCGTCTTACCTTGTCGGACGTCGCTTCTCCCCGAGTAAGAACGAGATCTAGGTCGGGCACGCTCTAGCTAGGCCTGAGGCAGTCGCAGCGTCGAACGAGGACTCCCCCATACAGCTCGTCATGCGCACCCTAGACACGGGAACATATCCAAGCGCGGCGGACGGCCCTGTCGACCTCATTCATGTCAGCACGATCGCTCGGATATTGAAGCAATATAAAGTAGTCTGCGAGCTGGATGGGGCCGCGAAGCATACCCAAATGGAGATGGTATTTGATAGAGAAGCACTCTTGATCAGCAAGATGCTTTGGGGAGCCTCTTTGGGCATGTGTGATCTTGATGCCTGTGATCTAGAGGTGCGTGATCTGAATCAGCGCCTGCCTTCCAAATTAGGTAGGCGAGGTGATCTGGCTGCGCTCAATCTCGAGTCCTCTCAGGTACAAATATCTCCTGCCCACCAAATCTCTCCACCCTTCCTACACCTATCTACAACCCTCACTCCTCCTCCTCGACGCCCTCCCTCCTTCGACGCCCTCCCTCCTTCGACGCCCTCCCTCCTTCGACGCCCTCCCTCCTTCGACGCCCTCCCTCCTCCTCCGCCCTCCGCGACGCCGTTCTCGACAACTATGACTATACTCCTTATATATACATGTATGTTTACATATACTAACTATTAGATCATTTAACACCGGACGACATCTTTCGACATTTATCGACTTGGACGACTTACCGAACGACTCGCTGGACGATTTCCTGTACGACTTTTTGGACGACTTTTAACGACTTCTTTCGACGTGGGCTTTTGCAGGCTTCTTGCTTTCGAGCTAATTATACGAGGTCTCTGACCTGTGCCCCCTTTACTCTGTTCTTGTGTCCAATGATGAAGGCCAAACTCCTTAGTCACCGCAATCCCTTGCAACGCTCGGGGTGAGCTGGTAACATTGAGAATCTACATGCCTGAGGGTCAAGAACAAAATCAAAACAAATACCAATTGAATCATTTTATGCACCTTCTTGATGATCTGTTGTAGAAGAAAACATAAGGATATGACTTTGTTGATGTCTACGCGATGTGACGCGATTCGGGATGTGTTGTGTGGCCAGTTCGGGAATGGAATCATTGTTATTGTTGATCTGACGTCAAGCGCGTTGCTCCATCATTGTAGAATATCTCTGTAAAGAGCCACTCAGAGTTCTTACTTATGTTTCGATGAAATCGAGTTACGTATCCTAGCAACAGACCTCTTGTGACCTCAAAACAACTTTATTCCACGTGCCAACCTTAATTAAGCTTAAATCACACGTTGAGCCCGCCCTCACTCACCCTCCGCACTTTCTCCGCCAATGCCTCTCCCCAACCATTCGCCTTGGACATCGACTTAACTCGTTTCCTTTTCCTCCGCTCCAACTCTTCAAGTGGACTCCTCTCAACCTGTCGCCGCTGCCAAAAGTCCTCCTCAAATTGCGTCCGATGAATGCTGTATCCGAGGTACTGATCGAAGCGCTTCCGCATCGCCGAGTTATCAGCCGGGACGACGGAGGGAATCTTGCTTTTGAAAGAGTCCCAGTGCAGGAACATTTTTATTGGGGCTGAGATAAATTCTCTCCATAGACCGCGGCTGATTTTGTGCGATTTTGTGACTGTTTGGCGGAGGCTTCCGCTGAATGCCATTAGTAGGGCGATCCCTATGATTGCGAAGGAGGCCGGTGCTGGCAACGGAGTCATTAGCGTTGAACAAAGAACGTGGGTTCTGGTGGCTTACCGCCAATCTCGAGCATCTCGGCTAGAGATAGATTCTCAGGCGTTCCACTCCATTCACGGGCATTGATACCGAAGAGGGATGTGAAGAAGGAGAGCGGCAGGAAGCTGTAGTCGTTAGTCAAGTCTGGGTCTCTCTAGAATACTGGGGTATCTTACATGACTGTGAAAATGGTGAACACCATCAGCGACCGAGACTGATTCTGCGTCTCCTCGGCCTGCCACCGAGCCATCTTCGCTTCGTCGACATTGGCCTGTTTCTGCTTCAAATCAAGCAGAGTCTCAACCGCCTTCTGCGCTAGATGGCTGTTCTCCTTCATATCGCCAATCTGTGTCCGGTATTCGTCGATTCGCATCTGCGCAGCGTCGAGGAAGACTATACCACATCCATTCCGGTCGAAATATTTCATCATGCTCTTGATCACAGTGTCCTGCTGATCGAGGAGTTTCAGAATTGTCGAAAGCTCGTCTTCGATATCGCGTAGTTCGAGAAGAACGGAGAGGTCGTCACGGTTGCGACGGGCTGTTTGGCGATCTCTTGCGTCCCGTTGTGCGGCCGTCATGTTTTTGCCTTCTGCGGTGCGATCGTAGTCGGCGGGACGATTGACGAAGCCTCGATTGCGGAACCGTTTGAAGGATTTGGTTACCGATTCAGTCTAGGTGTCTTGGTTAGTTTTTCATCCAAGCCCATTTTTGCCCCATGAGAAGTACAACGCACCAGAATACTGATCGACTCTTCAAAGATTCGCAGGACTTGCAAGTCACGATGGAGCGTCTTATCCAGCAGAACAGTTGTCGCATGTAACATGATCAAAGCTGCCAGGTCACCCGCCGTCTCAAACCGGCGAGCAAGATCACCATTCAACTCATTATAAATGCTGCTATGCAAATTCGTCTGTTCAAACAACTTTCCCTCTGATGTAGTCGCTTCTTGATTAGGGAAGAACGTAACAACAGTCTTTCGGTCGACGATCCAGAGCCAAAGCTGGTCGACCATCAATACATTACCGTCCATAAACTCGGTAGGCTCAGTGCCCTCTGGATCATCATTTGTTGCTTCTAGGTACTCTCGAAGTTGGTCGTCGATCCGGGCTGGTTTGCGGGTACGTTTCCAGAGCATTTGGTCGTCGTCTCGAGCTACAGTCGAGCGTAGATTGGGGTACCCGTATTGGTCAAGAGTGCGTCGGAAGTGAATTGGGGGCTCGCAGCCTAAGTACTGCCATATAAGTTTAGCCTCGAGGCTCGATCTGTCGATACGGTATGGTACGGGTCTCGATCGTCCCTGGTGGACTCGGTCTTCAACGACCTTGCGGCGTTGGATCAGGTTTCGGTATGTATCCCAATGGAGCTAGAAGGTTAGTCGGTATGTAGGAAAAGGGATCAACGCTCTTACATAAGGTGTCTGCGATAGATGTCAGTCATCGTGATACAATAACAAAGATGGGAGCTTCTGCACTTACATAAAGAGCCAGCTGGGGATCTTCTGCGTCTCCTTCCTTGGCCCCGTGGGATACATCCATCTGTCGGGAGTGAATGCATTTTGGTCGCACGAACCGGGCATGTGGCTCCATATGTCGAGCCCGGTTAAGATTCAGGTACCAGTTCTCATCATTGATAAACTTTCGCAGACTAATGCCAAACAAGTCAGTGGGGATATAATGCTTTGAGGACAATGGTCTGCCATACAATGTCGGTTCCTGACGGTCCTGACATGCTCGCCGAATAACCTGTGACACCCATCCGGTATGCGTATACGGGACATGTATCCACAGCAGCTTTTCCGTGCCCGGATCCGGTCTGTCAAATCGCGGCAGCGATCGTGGTATATCGGCTCCCTCGGCATCCTCGTTTATACGGTCTCGTGTCGAAGCAGGGATTGTTAAAAAGTCAACCTGTCGCGACGGCGATGCAGAGCTCCTACAAACTTCTGTGAGAAATCCATTGACAATCTGCGTCTGGGCACGGGGTTCTTACGAGCCAGGCCGAGAGCTACTCGCGTGGGAGCTGTCGTCTGATACAGTTCGCTTGTGGGATTTGATGTGGGAGAGACCTAGTGCTTGGGCAATCGTTTCCTTCGTTCGGCGCTCCACGGGGGGGGGGGGCTTTCACTCGCGGGTCTATCAAAATACCCATCTGTGGCAGCCTTGGTGATGTGGATGGTTGGGGAATGGAGTGCTGGGTCTATGGGGGGTTGGTAGCTCTGGCCGTGTTTTAAGACCGGCCTCGAGGGTCGTTCATCACTTTCGTGCACAGCTCCATGATTATCGTGGTCATCATGATCGTCATCAGTAAGGTCATTCTCACTAACATCTTCATCGTCATGCTCGGGCCCCTGGACTACCTTTGGGGACGGAAATCGACTACCATAACTGCTCAATGAGGAATCATCCAATGTTCCGGGCTGGATTCGCTCCAATCGCTCACGCAGGCAAGTCGATGGTCCTTTGGACAGGTATTTCTCCAATGAGACCTGTGTGGACCATAGCTTCAGAGGAGTCTCATCACTCACACCAAGGGCAGTGTCCTCAAAGAATCCATTGATTTGGACCATAACTTCCTGCTCCACGTGTAAAGGATTATCCCTCAGCTTGGAAAGCTCCGCAGCCATATTCACAGCGTCATTGAGTTCAGTCAAAAAGGCCTCTAGAGCCGATTCTTGTCCCTGGAAGCAGGATGTCCCGGCATGGTCCGTTCCTATGGGGATCTCGTTCTCGTGCTCGATACTGAGTAAACCAGATCTGATGGAGGTGATCGGGGCATGAAACTCGATGAGATTATTAGACTCTAAATCTTGCACATGCAAAGTCGAGTCAATAGTCTCTAGGAACGACCAGACCTTCATGTCAGCAGAGAGCGCCTTGAACTGGTTAGAAAGATGCCACAGTCTTTCCTGCCGCGGACGAAACTGCTCTCGCAACGAGAGCGGTATGTCATGCTCCAAATACAGCAATCGTCGAATACTCCGTTGATACTCTTCTGCCGACAGATATGTCGATCCCTGATGAGGAGTCGCGAAGAACGCGATGCCATGACAGCTGGTTACGATAGCCTGGCTCGGCTCGGCCCGTGGGGCTAGAGCCAGGCATGCCTTGGCTACTAAACCGCCCGTACTGTGGCAGAGGAAGAATATCGGCCGTCGAGGGCTGTGATGTTTGCGCTGTTCGAGCAGGCGGTTCAAAAGCCGTTGACCCAGGAGATCGATCTTATCACGCTCGCGCAGCTGGCCATGGTTGTACAGCAGCACCCGCGCCCGCGGCATGCGCTTTAGCAGATCAGTCCCCAGCCAGGGTGATTTTGATCCCTGGGCTATCCAGGATTTTTGATGATGGGCCCCGATGGGTGGAATCGCAACAATACTGTGATCAGAAAATTGTCAGTACATGTCACCTGTCGTTGCGGAGAAAAGGGCGCACAGACTCTACGTTCGTCTGCTCATCTAGTTGGATACACTCGAACCACGCCGAGCGAGTCGGCCCTACCGTAGATTGTGAGGGCATGGTGGATCTAATTTGCTTGAATGAGATGCATTCAACAGGGTCCCTTGCGGGGAAAATGCATGATGATCTGGGCAGAAGTCATTTTAAATCAAGAGGGAGGGGGTCAATTTCAGCCTCAAGACGCGATCATCTGCTCGCGCCCCGGCGTGCAGCCCGCTTGGCCCCAACTCGGCAGGGCGCCGATCGCGTGAGTCAAAGCACATCACCCGGGTTCCTTGCTTATTCGCGTAGAAATATAAATAATAGGGAGAAATCGGAAGACAGTAAAGGCGTGGTTATTAACAATATCATGATTGGGTAGTGGGGATTATTCACGAAACTTTGGTATGTACAGCAGATAGGGGTTGCTTTTGGGATAACAGAACACCACTCCAAACATGCCCTGGGAAATAAACCAAACCAAGACAAGGAAAGAAACTAATGCAACACTTTCTCTATGGTTTAGCTGATGCGGTATCATGAAAAAAATAGACGCCGGAACGAATAACGAGTACAGGGGAGAGTAGGGAGGAGGCGATCGAGGAACCGACCGCATGCAAAAATAGAAATACATCAAGGAGGAGGGCGAGGTTGAAGAGGAAGATTAGGAGCTCTCAGAGTGTCGGCGCTCATTCACCTCTTGAGCCATGAGCTTGCCGACCTCGTATGTCGAGATCATAATGGCACAGGCCGGGGCAACCTTCAGGCAGCGTGCTCCCCAACCCTTGAATAAGCCGGCCATGCCTTCTTCTCGGAGGATGTGCATGAGGAATTTTGGAAGAGAGAGCTGTTCAGGAGCGAGAGTCTTGGGAGGGAGAGAAGGACGTTGACCACCGCTGGACGGGACACCGTCATCCATGTGTCGGAAGACTTGCTGCCTCGTCTTGCCCACGTCGAAAGGCGTTGTGACCAATGCTGCCACCGATCCCGAGGCGGCACCGGCAATGAAGCTCTCAAAGAAGGCCGTTGTCGTTGATGGTGGCTCAAGATCTGAATTAGAGAGATGCGGCGCGTGTTGTCGTGTATTCTCCAATGCCTGCTTCACCTTTTCATATCCCCACCAGTAAAGACCGGAGAATGGCACGTCGCGCCACATGGTGAGCGACAGTCCTCGCCATAAGGATGTATAGCCACTGGACTGGGTCATTTGGTACAGGCCCTCCAAAGTGGCCTTGAAGTGACCCGCACCATGACCAGGAGTGGCCTGAAGCCTCGTTCGGAACATCTCAACCGGACTTGTGGCCGATGCGGCTGCCGTGCGAGCTATTGCGCCCGCCACGAAGGGCGCATATACATCCGACACATTCTGCTTGATCGGACTGCGGTCATCTGACCGAAGCCAATCATATCCGGCGAAATAGATGATATTCGCCGGAATACCCATCATCAAGGTGGGACTGAGTCCGCGCCACAGGGTCCAGAAGCCCTCATTCCGGGCAATCTTCCGCAATCCATCAAAGGTCGAAGTGAACGTCCGTCGCTGTGTCTCTTCTACAGCGCAATCAAGGGCGGGATGTGCTGGACTCCTCAGCACGCCTTCTTGTGGCCCAAACATGCAAATCTGCGCATTATCTCCTACCCAGAACACTTCACGGCAACATGCTGTAATTCCGAGGTTTGGAGGGAGGTTCTTCAATGTCTGAGTGGTATGTGTGGTATATGAAGCGGCCGTCGAGGTCTGCGATTGTGATTGTAGCCGTACTCGTACAACGTCCAAGGGAGTGACTGGAGTAAATTGCCGTCAGTATCGTAAACATGTGTGAGGACCCTGCTAGCAGTCAACACTCACCTAGCAAGCCTGTCAAGATATTTCCGGCCGTCGCAGAGACCATGCGCTGTCCAAGCGAGATATTTTCCGTCGAAGGAGTGACGTTCGGCGTCGGGACTGCGCCCGTTGATGCTGTGGACGTCATTGGCAAGGGTTCGTCAAACTTGGATGTCCATGGCGTTGAGTCAAACTCGGACTCAAAACTGTCTCCAGCAGCGCTGGAGTGGTTTGAAGTCGTGGAGATATCCAGCCCGGTCGACATTCGATCGGCAGCAACCGATCTGTTGGTCTGTAAAAGTGAGGCTGGTCTCGCGACTGCTGGGAAGAGAGATGGATAGAAGGAAGCGGTGCGTCACCGAATGGAAGATTTTCGGGGTTTTGCGGGTGGCGGCGGGCGGAGATAAGCGTCCTTTCGTCAACGCCGTCCCTTTTCACCGATTCAACTTTGGAGCAACCAGCTCTCAATCAACCACGCAAGTCGATGGCGACCGAAGTGATTCTTGTATAGTTTTCCTTTGCTGGGTGTTTGCTTGCTCTGTCTGGATCGGTGGAACCCTCTTGGGGCTTATCAGATTGATCGATCTCCGACACCGGACGTGTCGGGACTTTCCCCGCCATGGAGGACAACGCCGAGCTCGAGTCCTTTCGCCGCCAGTGGCGTGAAGAAGTTGCGCGACGATCCAAACCCACAGACTCTGCATCCGGGCCCGATGCTGCCCCTCCATCTGCCGCTCCGATCGCATCTCCGGCCCTCTTGACTGCGACTCGACCTCCACCAACGCGTCATGCCGCGACGGACCGTAAGGATTTGGACCAAGAGGGACCTGCACCGGCCTCGTTCGACCCGGAGGAGCTGGCTCAACAGGTTGGGGAGCTAAGTGTGACACAAGAGGAAGACGAAGAGGAAGATGGATTCACTCGTCGGGCACAGCAGGAGCCCAACTCAGCTCTCGAGCACTTTGAGCGAGCGGTCGAGAAGGAAGCAGCAGGCAACTTGGGCGATAGTCTTCAACACTATCGCAAGGCATATCGGGTGAGTTTGGATAGCAGTGGATGGATAAGGAACTGTGGTTTGGCCTAACCTTTGTGTAGTTGGATGCCGGTGTTGATAAAGCTTACCGCAACAAGCACTTTGCCCACGTTTGGAAGAAGCCCGCCCAGCCTGCACCAGCTGAACCTGCAGCCGCCGCTCCCGTGGCTGCTCCAGCACCTGCAGAAGTCGAGATCCTCCCAACGCCAGAACTAATACAGTCCTTTGCTCATCTTCCTATCCCTCAGGCAGATCCACTCATCGAAGGGACTGACCCGCCCCCGTGCCCGATCGCCAATGTTCCCTCCGAAGTTATAGTTGAGATCCTACGCCATGTTGCTCTACGAGACCCGGCAACCTTTGGTCGGATGGCACTGGTGTGTAAGCGACTTGCATATCACTTTGCACACGAGCAGCACATTTGGAAACGGATCTGCCAACGACCAGAGTTTGGATTCCAGGGCATGCAATACTCTTTCGTTTGTGATACTCTTGGCCGTCCTATCTATACACTGGACGATCAACGATATACTCCCTTCCCAGTTGGAGAACCTGCCAAGATTCCTAGTTCACTGTCGTCCTGGAGCCAGGTATTCCAGTCCTATCCACGGATTCGATTCACAGGCATCTACATCAGCACCGTTAACTATTCACGGCCTGGAGCCACATCTTCATTCCAAAATGTGTCATGGAATAGTCCCATCCATATTGTGACGTACTACCGCTACCTGCGGTTCTATCCGGATGGATCCGTGGTGTCCTTGTTGACCACCACCGAGCCTGTGGATGTCGTGCCTCATATTAGCAAGGAGAATATGATGGCTGCACGTGCCCCTTCCCACAGACAGCACCAACGGCATGCCTCGGACCAAGGCCAGACGCTTTCCGGGGCGACTGAACCTGTCCCGCCAGTTGCCATGAATGCCCTGAGATATGGCCTCCGTGGACGCTGGCGTCTAGCATCACCCGCGGACTTTGCAGATAACGTAGAGGAGCAAAAGACTCCTCCCATGGCGAATCAAAACCAAGAGTCCTTCGATCCCCGTGATCTGATCGTAGAGACCGAGGGCGTCGATCCGAAGTACGAGTACACTATGCATCTCTCCCTTCGGTCTCCCTCGGTATCCAAGGCACACCCGAACCCATCCCGGAACACCAAACTCGTGTGGCGTGGTTTCTGGAGTTACAACAACATCACTGACGATTGGGCCGAGTTTGGGCTTCGGAACGACCGGGCGTATGTGTTCCGACGGGTCCGCGGCTGGGGGCTGGAATGAGATGATGATGATTTATGAACAATTTGAGTATATATTCAAAATATGAGAACATAGAGATGGCCAGCAAATACAGAACAGAGCTTGGTTTCCAGTCTAGAAACACTCCCAACATGTACGAAGAGCTACAGAGAGACTACGAGGCTAGGAAGCATCGCCCAGGCCAGCCCCGTGATGTCAACTTGACTAATGAGAATTTCCTTCTAGAAGCCCCCGGGCGTATACCCGGCCCCACGGGGTTCGTGCAGTAACCACATGATGAATAATACAGAGGCGCTGGGATTTTTCTCTTCATGGGATGGCGACCATCCCATTTCGTAAAAGAATTAGCAGTGAAAAAATTGCATAGATAAGAGCCTACCCACTCGATAAGCGACCGGGACACCTCTGATTAAGCTATATTTTAGGCGCAAAGTAGAGCATAGTTAATTAAGAGGGTAGCCGGAGTGGCGTATCTCCCTAGTAAAACTAGTCGATTGCCCTATACATCGCCGCATCTCAACTTGATATTCTTTTCCCCCTCAACCCCAACTCCAACCCCAAAATACGATCCTCCACATTGTGACATGGCCCAGGCTGTAACCCCCGAACTGTCTATCTTTATTTCATTTTATGACAAACAGATAGGAGAGGCCCCGTGGGGATGTAGGCCCCCGGCCCGGCGCAGTAGGTCATCTAGGCGGCAGGGTCCACAGGAGGTACATAACAGTACTTGAGACAGTATGGGTTTCGGTGAGTGATTCAGAGTACCGGTAAGTACCTCGAACCTCTGCCCGGGCCGGACTGGAACTCGTTCGGTGAATAGCAAATTCTGCTGCTGCTTATGTCAGCAGTGGCTGAACGCCGTCCGCCGAACGTCCGTTCAATCGGCATGCCGGCGGGTGGCGGTCGAAGGCGCAAGCCCTAAGGGAAACTATACAAATTGTGAATCAATACAGCGAAAACCACAAAATTTAAGGCTCAAATAACCATTTTTTTCAAGGGAAACAGATCATTATGAAGTAAATGGATCCAACAGATGTCTCAAAAACGGTATCTCACCCCGTTCTCCACGTTTCCAATCCCAGGTGGATCATACCCTAGGGTATGGCCCATCGCCACGCGCCAAGAGAAAAAAATTATGGGTCGAATATGTCTTCAGTTTCCGTGACCTCCACGTTGGTCCCCCAGAATATTTTCTTCTCGTCATCTTCCGCCTGGCCGCTTCTTTTTTTCATCCATATCTCCCCTATACACAGGTCACCATGAGCGTTGTCGAAGCACCCCATGCAATCCCGGCGCGGGACGTCGAGGTCTATCATGATCAGGACGAGACCGAGAAGGCTTTCTCGGAGAAGCCTCCACCAGTGGATGATCCTTTTGGAAATGAGGAATCTGGGGAAGTCAAGTATCGTGTGATGAAGTGGTGGTACGTATTAGCCGGCTGTTTGAATGGATGTTTTTATGTATAGGAGCAGTCGCATTGACTAACCGATGTTATAGGCAATCTGGAATGCGTGAGAGCCCATTGAAAGAGATTCGTGGGCAAATTGAGCCATTGTCTAACCTATTCATATAGTGATGGTCGCTGAAAACATCTCCCTGGGTATCCTTTCGCTCCCATCTGCCGTTGCAACTCTCGGCATTGTCCCGTAAGAAAAGATCTTCCAATGTTTATACAACACAGTAAAGATATCTGACCATTTTATAGGGCCTTCCTTATCATCCTCGGTCTTTCCGCCATCTCCTGGTACACAGGTCTTGTCATGGGCGAGTTCAAACTGCGGTATCCCCACGTGCACAGCATGGGTGACGCCGGTGAGTTGCTCATGGGTCCCATCGGCCGTGAAATCTGCTACTGGGGCCAGTTGCTGTTCATCATTTTCCTGATGGCCAGTCATATTCTCACTTTCACCGTGCTGTTCAACACCATCACCAACCACGGCACCTGCACTATTGTCTTTGGCGTGATCGGTCTGATTGTCAGCTGCATTTGCGCCCTGCCCCGAACCACTGACAAGGTGTTTATCATGTCGACCGTTTCCGCTGTTAGTATCTTGACTGCTACTATCGTCACTATGGTCTCCATCGGTGTCCAGGCCCCCGACTACGTTCAAAACGATATTACTACTGATCCTACCTTCGTGGACGCTTTCCTGGCTGTTACCAACATCGTGTTCGCCTTCATCGCCCACGTTTCCTTCTTCGGTATCATGTCGGAGATGCAGGACCCGGCCGAGTTCCCCAAGTCCTTGGCTATGCTCCAAATCGTCGATACTATCATGTACATCGTCACCGCGATGGTTATTTACTGCTATGCCGGCCCGGACGTTTCTTCTCCTGCCCTTTCCTCGGCCGGTCCCCTGATGAAGAAGGTTGCCTACGGCCTGGCCATTCCAACTGTGAGATTCCAATCTTGTTGAAAACTTCCCTTTGTGGGTTCTCCGCTGACTTACACTCAATAGGTCATCGTCGCCGGTGTCGTATTCGGCCACGTTGCTTGCAAGTATATTTACGTCCGTATCTTCCGTGGCGAGCGCTCGCACCACATGCACCAGCGTACTCTGCTGGCTACTGGTACCTGGGTCGCAATCGGTCTTACTACCTGGACCATTGCATGGGTTATTGCCGAGTCTATCCCCGTGTTCAACGATCTGTTGAGTCTCATCGTACGTTCCCACCCAACTCCCCTGATTGAGACACCCGCTAACTTATCCCCGCAGAGCGCTCTCTTCGGTAGCTGGTTCAGCTGTAAGTTCACACACACCACTTACCCATCAAGTGACGGCAGAGATACTAAACTATAAATAGACGGCCTGCCCTCCATCTTCTGGATGGTCATGAACAAGGGCCAATGGTTCGCCTCTCCCAAGAAAATCGTCATGTTCACCATCAACCTCATCATCCTGGGAATCGCCTGCGCTATTGTAAGTTCCCCCGATCTCCTGACAGTGAACAACCATCTAATTTCTATCAGTGCGGACTGGGTCTGTACGTCTCCGGCAAGTCGATTCATGACAGCTCTTCCAAGGCCAGCTGGACCTGCGCCAGCAACGCTATCTAGATACGACCAAGACTCGGCGGGACACATCGCTCGTGTCTCGTCTTGTCCTTTTGGCCGACTTTTGTATAGATTTCTGGATACTTGCGTTGATAGATTGATAGATATGTTGCTTTTTGACTGTACAGCATCGATTGGCTGGGTAAGCCTAGTCGTTGTAAATAGAATTGTTTGATTGTTTTTAGATCATGGTCTGATTTTATGGCAATGCATGCCCTTAAGATGACGTGCTTGGAACTGGTAGACATGCAACAGCCAATTGTCAAATCTCATGGATTCTAAGTCAACCTATGCTATGATTGGCTTATCACCGGTTCCATCTACCTTCACGAAAGCAAAAGCTCCCTGGGCTGATTGTGTAGCGTAGATTCATCGACAACCGCTCCAGAGATAAATTTGGAGAGTTAATGAATGAGATGAAAACTCTGTACGATTAAACAGCTCAACATCGGATATTATCGTGCATCGTGATTATATAGCGAATGTAATGATATAGACATAGAGAAGTTTATCAAAGGAAGGGAAATATATGTACAAACACGAAGCCAACCACACCAGGAACCTTACACCTTACGCCTCATCCAGGGAATAACGCTACGTGCTCCGCCAATTCAGCGGGATCTGCTCCTCCTCATCGTCGACAACAACAACCATCCACACACCGACTTGCCCATTGCTAGCGTATAGAGGAGTGCAATGCACCCAGCGGCTGCGTCCTTCGCTGTTGTATCGCGTGACCCATTTGATCCGCGCCGTGACACTGTGCCCTTGTTGCATGGCAGCCATGAGCTCCTCCTTCACGGCCGAAGAGCTTCCGATGCGAGAGAAGAATGACGATTGTAGCATACCCGGGATCTGGAGTGATGGGGAGGTGAAGAGGACACGGAGGGAGGGGTATGGGCGGACGAGGAGGTACTATATCAGATTCAGATTAGTCCCGGACAGCGATACCTGTAGCAAGCGAAGTACTCACATTCTCATAAACACCCGTCAACGATCCCCGGAAAAGAGGAGACTTGACATCCCTGAGACGAATAGCTTCCGCCTCACTATCCATAGACCCATTCCTCGGAAGCCAATGTCGCCCCGCCCGCGAAGCCGCACGCGTATTCGACGGCTGGAAGAGATCACCACCATGCTCCTGTATAGACGAAAGCTCCTTCGGACTGAATAGCTCGCACATCTGTCTGAACTCGTCCTTGTGTGGTGCGATGGGCATTTCTGCGACGCTTTCCTCGTCCGGATCGCGGTAGCGTGATTGGAGTTCGATGAGGGACTCCATTTGTGCGCCGTCGAGGGCGAGGCCGGAGACGTCGATTTGGGCGCCGATGAAGTATTTTACGCGGCCTTTGCTATCGCAGAGCGGGGCGCATTGGAGGAGATTCATGAATGGGGAGCCGTCGCGTCGACTGTCGAGGGTGAAGTTAGTACTGCAAGATCTTGGTGTTGGAGGTATACGTACTAGTTTAGGAATAGCTCTGAGTGGTGTCGCCCTGCTGTCAAAGCTTCGCGAATTCGACGTACGCTGTTGGGGTTTGTCTTGGGACCTTGAAGGAATCGGCAGTTGCGTCCAAGGACATAGTCCATTCCGTATTGTGTTGTTCGGTGGAATTCTGCAACGAATTAGTGCCAATCCTAATCAAGCGCATGAAGATACATACCTTGCGACGCGAAGATGATCGGGTTGTCTGGTCGTGATGGGTCCGTCAAACAAAACACTTCAGCCAGTGCGTTTGAAGTTTCTCTAAACTTCATGGGTAGAGTTCCTCGCACGCGCTCCTCGACAATCTTGCTAGTAATAGTAATGCACCTTGACGTAATGAAAGCAGGAAGCTCTTCGGCGGTCAATGCATTGAGTCCATCTTCCACACGTTGCTCGAGCACCTTGTTCGCTGTGATACCGACGGCCTCGGTATCTGTTTGAACAGCTTGAACAGCTGGAGGCGGAACGTCCGTTGACAGACGGACCAGCGCATTGGCATATTCGAGCGCTTTCAACGCCTTGGCTGCGTTGAGATAGTATGTGAGGGTTGAAATGGAGCGCGGTCGCTCGTCAAGAAGGAATTCCCGGAATCTGGCGAGATATCGCGGGTTGTTAAGAATGGATAGCATGTGCTCCGTTCCAAACATGACCTCCGAGAGGCGCTCCAATTTATGAAGCGGCGCATCCACACCGTCCCACGGCGCAATCAGGTCATACGAAGCACCATCTTCATTCACAGGATTAAACTCTTCTGCGCCGTCGTAGGGATTGATTTCCTGCAGCAGAGGGAGCTCGTTGGTTGTGACAGTGCGGCGCATATTCTTGATTGAAGACCGGGGCGTGGGATAAGCTTGTTCTTCTTCGTAGGGCGCGTCGGGTGCGTCGGTCATCACTTGTTCTTCGGCGATAACATCAAGACCCTTCGTTCGGCTTGGAGGGCGGGGGAAATCGTCGAGAATTTGTTCATTTCTGATCCGATCGATTAGTGGAAATCTTTTCCCCGCTTGACTCAGATCGCCACTTACCGTGAAGTTCTCCCCGATTCGGAGATCCATTCATGATACTCATCGGGCAGAGTCTCCGTCAACGATCGCAACGACTCGGTATCGAGGCATGATAGCCCTTCGTGGAGGTCTGTCATAGACATGATGAGCGCTGGAGATGACAATGTGAACAGAGAACGGCAAAAGAAATACAGTCTCTTCAGGTACTGCAGCTATGCCTCGCATCGGATCTTACCCTGTCTTTAATACTTTCATCGCTCTGGACTCACGGACACGGGAAAAGGGTGATGCATCAGTTTGATCGCCTCCGGTCTGTCCACAGTTCATGTCTTACTGCACCACAACCCTTTGCAAAATCTGAAGCATTGATAGGGAAACGGCAGACACGAACTCCAACATTCAACTCCATCAACACAGGTCACAAACTAGCCGGCAAACCGATCGATCGATGGAGCACGGTACCAGCGCACGAGATCGGAGTCGATCCGCGGGTGATGATGCAATTGTGCAGCGTCAAGGAGAAGTCAAGGGGAAGTTGGCGCGAAGAACATTCTGAGATCGGCGCCAGCTCCCGAGTCTATCGAAATTTGCGTTCGCACATTGAGCGAGACTATTGGTCGGGGATAGTTTGGACATGTCCATTGTTCAAGCCATGCGGCACCCGGAAATGGGGTTACAATGGCGGGGATCAGATACAAAAGTACATTGGACTTTGGGGGGCCATGGAAAAATTTTCAGATCGCATTCTTCTGTCTGTTTGAATAATGTTCCGCGATTCATATTGACCCGATCTGGTGCTTTGTGTCTGCTTGCATCGATGCTGCCCTTGTAAAGTATATAGATGTGCATCTAACCCCCCCCCTACCTGGTACAGTCCGACCTTACAGATCTTGAAATTGTCCCAAAGATCAAAGGGCCTAGGCGGTGACGCCGTAGAATGTGCATCTGCGGTCTAGACTCTGCCTCCTACTTGTCAATTTGCTTTGACCTCCGTTTGCCTGGTCAATAATAGTTCCCAGCTCCTTGGGAACGGCTACGTATAGTTTGTGCCTCTTTTCGTATCATTGCGGGCCGCAAAAGCCACCACATTCGACGCCTTCTCAGCTATGTAACAATAGCTTAAATCTACAGTTAATTTTTTTGGCGTTATCTCTTTCAAAAGTACGTCCGTCTCACCTCATTTCTACAAAGGGGAAATGCTTGGGCAGGGGTTGTGCCTTTTGGAGATATCTTCTCTGCAGTCATCCCCATTCGTACCGGAACGGACAGGAGGAAAAAGGGGATGTACATGAAGATAAAGCAAAACTTGAATATTCCTACCCAACAGTTGGGTACTGAATTCAATATCTGTACTGTTTAGGGGTCATGTAATGCTCGTGATGCCCGTTATGTCCATTTGGGTACTAAGAGAGCGCAAGCTTCTAGACTTTCGAGGGTCTAGAATCCCTAGGGCAGGAATTACATACATGACTGTTGCGGTCGGAACTGCAAACAAAAGATAGAAGCTTCCAGTCCATGATATACATCAATTATTGGCAGTTTTCAAACCCGAATTCGATCTATATGATGTGTTTCTTCAATGCCGACTTATCGTTGTTGGTACTTGGGCATTTGGATCCACGGAACGCTGGCAGCCATCCTTATCGATAAGCCGATAAGCGAAAATTTTCGGGACGCGGAGATGCGCCTGGACCGGTTGTTTCTTCGTCTCGGACCCCATTCACCATGCCTGAGAAGGTGCACACCTATTTTGGTGACTCGGACAATGAGTCCTCTAAGCAGGCTCCTAAGGTTGCACCGGAACCGACGATAGTCGAGGATGTGGGCCGCAAGAAGAAGCGCAACAAGAAGCGGAAGCGCGACGAGCCCGAGGAAGCCCAGGCACATCGCAACAATGTGACAGTACAGGCTGAGCAACCTGTCAAGGCTGCTGCGCCGGTTACAGAGAAGCCTGTTACAGTATCTACTGTGAACAAGGAACCTGAACTCAAACCCTCGCCCGACCAGACCGCCGCCCCGAAATTCAACGCCAAGTCAAGACCTCCCAAGACCTTCACCGATACAAAGACCAACTTCACCTCCCTCCGCGAAAAAGCGAACGCCCTCTACGAACTCCGCAAGAAACTCCCCATCTTTGCCCATGCCGATGAAATCCGACAGAAGCTCCGCGACCAAGATGTCATGCTGTTGGTCGGTGAGACCGGTTCCGGAAAGAGTACCCAGATCCCACAGTTCCTGGTGAACGAGTTCTGGTGCCGACCGACACCCGCCAAGGTCTTGAAAGAGGATGGGACGGAGAAATCCATCACCGTTGGTGGATGTATTGCGATCACACAGCCTCGTCGAGTCGCGGCGATTTCGCTGGCACGTCGTGTGGCTGAGGAAATGGGTACACCACTTGGATCTTCGTCGCCGGCTAGCAAAGTTGGCTACTCGGTGCGATTTGATACGTCTACGTCGCCTAGTACGCGGGTGAAATTCTTGACTGAGGGAATGCTGCTTCAGGAGATGCTGCATGATCCTTGGTTGACCAAGTACAGTGCTGTTGTGGTCGATGAGGTTCACGAGCGTGGTATCAATGTTGATCTAGTTGCGGGCTTCCTCCGGAATATGGTCTCTGGGAAGAAGGAGGGCCGCGGTGGGGTGCCACTCAAGGTGGTGGTCATGAGTGCTACGGCTGATATGGAGAGTCTGATGGGCTTCTTCCAGGAAGGGTTTAAGGAGCAGGAGCAAGAGGAAAAGCAAAGGCAAAAGCAAATATCCAACGGGGCCGAGAACGGTGATAGCTCGGAGGAATCGTCAATGGCGATAACGGCTTGTCATATCAAGGGTCGACAGTTCCCTGTCAAGACCATCTACTCGCCAGAGCCGGTGCATGATTTTGTCGATGCGGCTTTGAAGATTATCTTCCAGATTCATTACAAGGAGCCTATGCCGGGCGATATTCTGGTTTTCCTTACGGGTCAAGAGACTGTGGAGAACTTGGAGAATTTGGTGAACGAGTATGCCATTGGCATCGATCCGTCATTACCTAAGATTCTCGTCCTCCCTCTCTTCGCAGCTCTCCCTCAAGCTGCCCAACAGCGAGTCTTTGCCCCCGCTCCACCGCGCACCCGCAAAGTTGTTCTTGCTACAAATATTGCAGAAACCTCCGTTACGGTGTCTGGTGTGAGATACGTGGTAGACTGCGGCAAGGCAAAGGTCAAGCAATTCCGCACCCGCCTTGGATTGGACTCGCTGCTGGTGAAGCCCATTTCCAAGTCAGCCGCGATCCAGCGGAAGGGCCGTGCTGGTCGTGAGGCTCCCGGCCAATGCTTCCGGTTATACACCGAGAAGGACTACCTAGCTCTTGACGAGACAAACACTCCAGAGATTCTGCGTTGCGATCTTACCCAGGCTCTTCTGAATATGAAGGCTCGTGGCGTAGACGACATCGTTCGATTCCCCTTCTTGACCCGACCACCGCGCGAGGCTCTCGAGAAGGCCCTGCTTCAACTTTTGAATATCGACGCGCTTGCAGACGACGGTAGCATTAGTGAGATTGGTCTCCACCTCGCGAAGCTCCCTCTCTCACCGACCCTCGGACGAGTACTGTTGGCAGCCTCGGAGAATGGGTACGACTGTCTACTGGATGTCATCGACATCATCTCTTGCCTGAGCGTGGAGAACATCTTCCTCAACACCACCTCTGAGGAAAAGAAGGAAGCAGCCGAGACAGCCCGGCGGGATCTCTACCGACGTGAAGGCGATCATCTGACGATGCTATCCACCGTGCGGGCCTACGCGGGCGAAAACGTGGATCGCAAGGTGTGGGCAGAGCGACACCTGGTATCCCATCGGGCAATGCAGTCCGTGATGGTAAGTTAATCTCGGTACTTCATGCTAAGCCAACAATCTCAAAAAACCCCAATCTAACACATTATCTTTCTAGGACGTCCGCAAACAACTCCGCTCTCAATGCCGGCAAGCTAAAATGCTTCCGCGCGAAGAGCGAAACGATCACTACCCCGATCCATCCCCCGATCTGATTCTACAAAGTTTCTTGAGTGGCTTTGCGACGAATACCGCCCGGTTGGTGCCCGATGGTAGTTACCGCACGCTTGTGGGAAACCAGACGGTCGCGATTCACCCATCGAGTGTATTGTTTGGCAAGAAGGTGGAGGCCATCTTATATAATGAGTTCGTGTTTACGAATCGCAGTTATGCGCGTGGAGTGAGTGCGGTGCAGATGGATTGGGTTGGGGAAGCCTTGGCTGGGAGATAGTCCAAGACTGGTGTGGAGTGTATATACCCATGAGCGAGAGATCTACTTCTATCTATCGACCTGTGGTCCCTAGATTATCTATTATGATAGACCAGTCTTAAAGACATTAGAATGCAAATCCTCTCAGCCTGAAAGCGGGGGATATGGATGATCTACACCTGGAAGTATACTTTTAGGCGCATCCTTGCATCCGTCGATCCCTTTCGCCACTGAATTACCTCCACGTCAGAAACAGGCCACGGAGAAACTCAGGAGTAACAAGTCCTCCTTGGTAAATCCGGCCGGTCCCGTTGATTATGATTCACTATTTGGTAACAAAGTACGGGGCTAAAGTAAACAGTTCTACTAGTTATACTGTACTATCTCGAGTATACTCCGTAGCGGGCTCAGCTGCTGCGCAAGTCACACGCGAGCAGTCACATTTTGGGCGGAGCGGATAAGTGGAAATCCTGGGAATCTTATTTCTTATTTGCCTTGTCTAAACGGTCCAACTGGAACCCTATTACGATTGCTATCATCCAAATCCCAACATTCCCAACCGGATGGCGTGTTAACTAGTGGTCCGATCTCGCAAGTTTGCATCATCCGACTCCACCGCCTTATCATTTCTGTGATTCTGTTATCAACGCATCATCATCATCTCCATCCTGCCTTTTGACTTCTTCCCCCTTTCCAACGAACCAGCCCTGGTTCTGGTTCTGGTTCTCTCCCATTTCCTCTACTTCTTTCTTTTCCCCCTTGCTACCCACCGACTCCTTCTAGTCGGATCCTCCCCCTTCTCACCGCACTCGCGGTCTTGAATTGCGGGGAAGATCCACTATTCCATCATCCACCGCTTATCTGGCTCTACCTTCCTCCTCCCAAAGCCATTATCTCATTCCAACCACGTCATGGCTTTCCGTGTGCCAGCCCAGGCACCACGCCGACGAACCTCATACTCTACTTCCCAACGGCCTCCCCCTCTCGATCTCCCTCCTCCCACGTCTGAACAGCAAGAAGATGACACGACGCAATGGGTGCTCTTCTCCCCGACCGCCCGTACGCACACGACCTCGACGGAGCACACCCGCACCGTCGGAGCATCACGTCTGAGTGATTTTGGCTCGTTCGGTACTGCGACTCGATCTGCTGCTGGACAGGAGGGCGAGGGGGAGGTTGAGGACGAGGATGACGACGCGCTGGACGATCAGCTTGACGAGGACGGCACGGAGCTGGACAGCTTGGACGATGGGCTGCATGCTTTTCGTGCTCCATCCTTGGCCCCAGCTTCCCTTTCACGGGTTGATCAGGGGCCACCGGCCATGCTCCCGGCCCATGATGGGCTGGGAAGTTTCCAAGCATCCAGCCAGTTGGCCCAGGACCAGCTGTGGAAGCACGAGCAGTATAATCCGCAACGGCGGGAGCAGGCTCTCCCTCGTCATCGTCGGCGCTCCAGTGTCCAGCGACACCTGGATACGGTGAACGAACAGGAGGCCCATGTCGAGCGGGACCGTTGGCAGAGGATCGAGCAATGGCGGATGGACCAGAGTCGGGCTCTCTTGCAGGAGATTGAGCGGGAGACACGTCGACATCGGTCTGGTCGTGCGAGCGTGTCGACCATCCCACGCTCCGTTGACTATGCCTCTCCGCCTGCGATCCCAGAGACCCCCGCTGAGATCGCTGCTCCTGCAGAGCCAGAGGAGATGGACGAGTCGGTCTGGCGTCGCATCACACGCAAGGTCATTCAAGATCTGATCGGTATCGACGACTCTCTCCTCTCCGTCATTCTCGGCGAGTCTCTCCCACTAGACGCGCAAACTGCCAATGACTTGCCAGAGCTGGATATGGAAACCGTGCTGGCACGTGAACCCGAACCCAATAGTGTCGATGCGCCTCTCTGGCAGACGCAGGTTCTCCAGCGAATCGCCCACGAGCTGGGTATTCTGGTGCACCAGCTCTGCGAGCATCCCGGTGCTTTTACCTCATACTACCAAATGACGAAAGAGATCTCGAGTGAATATGCAGGCATGTCACTCAACCGTCTGGCTGACAGTACCACCACCTCCGTACGACCCTCCGAGCCCACAACCCAACCCTCAGCGGAAACTACACCCTCCGAATCCATGCCCTCGCCACACTTCACCCCAACTCTCCGCGATCCGAACCGCGAACACGAAGCGCAATGGGGCATCGAAGACGATGATCCCGCGGGGGAACCCGTCTCGGAATCTACCCGTCTCCAACAGGAGCAAGAATACTGGGAACGCGGACTAGACGTTATGATGGTCTTCCGCTACCTACGCACCCGCTTCAGTCGCCGTGGATACATGTCCGGCGAGAAGTACACCGCAACCCCGACTCCGCGCCACACACAAGATGCATCTCGCCGCGCTGCGATCATCCGCCAACATCACCCACTAGTTGCTCGTGCCCACTCCCGCTCGCAAACCCAAACCCGCCGCCCGTCCCAGCTCTCTGGTCCAGCGGGTGTCTCATCGCCGCTAGTTCGGCCGCACTTGCGTCGGCCTAGTTCTAGCTGTGCTAGCCAGAGTAAACTCTCGGCTATCTCGAGTCGAAGGACGCTGACGGGCTCGAGCAGGAATTATTGGGATATCGGCGGGTCTGTGGAGAGTAGTAGTGCGATTGGTGTGGGAGCTGGGCTCGGCACGTGGGGTGAAGCTTGATCTGTCAATGTCGTCGTCTATATTCTTGCATATTCTCTTCTCTTCGTTTCTATTTTCTCGGTTTATGGTTCAGAGCGGGTTGGAGTTTGTGGTGGCCGGTTGGAAATACATAATCTCAGAAACGACATACATGTGACGGCGAGGTGGGTGAATATTTCTTGTTTTGACTCGAGGATCTCTGTCTATATTCGGATGTTGGTGTTTTGTTTCATTTCGGCTGTTCCGGGATTGGGTACTCTCTTCTATCATCTATATTCATCTTGCATGCATATGATCATTTATACGTTGACTTGCATTATCTACATTATCAATCTACAGAATATAATCTTCGAACATCATGTCACCCTGCGCTTTCACGGTTGCTTAGAATATGCCTATGCGGCTCTACTATATACTATAACGGCTATTTTTAGTTCTCGTATAGTGCCGAACAAAAGTATTGAAATAAATGGTCACGTTGGCGCCACAGTGCGGGACACGAGTCATCTCAGCATGTCTGAACGAAGAGTTTCTCGCATATCTGAATCCAACCACCATAATGGGGAAACAGCGCAGAGTCAAGAATCGAAAACCTTGGGTTTCCAATTCTCAATCTCCGCAAGGCTTAGCAGCCCACCGGTCCCGAAGGACCCATGCTCTTGACAACTTACGAACCTTTCTGACAGCCCTAGTTATCGTGCACCACACAGCAATTCCCTACGGGGGCGTGGGATCGTGGAAGATCCGGTCACGTTGTTTCCCCGAGGAATCAGTCGTCCTAGTCGTCTTCAATGTGCTGAATCAGACGTTCTTCATGGGCTTGTTCTTTTTCTTATCAGGGTATTTTACCCGTGTGCAGATATCCAAGAGCAACGTCCCAGGGTCCACACTGTTCTATTCGCGAGTATGGCGTCTTTTACTTCCGGCGATTCTTTATACCGTTCTCGTCATGCCAACTTTGGATGCTATAGTCCATATGTCAGGGTATAACCCCCTAGAAGGACAGACAAGTCTGTGGGAGGTGTATGTCTCCTCCTGGAGCCAGATTCGGGGAATCCAAGGACAAGTTTGGTATCTTGCTTTGGTCGTACCATTCGACACGGCAGTCATCCTATTATCGCAGATTTTTGACAAGGGTGCAAACCAGTTTCTTGCTTCGACATTCAACCACAAACGGCTCCTCATATCAAGTGCATGGACCACATCCATATTATCCAGTTTCGCCATCCGAATCGTATACCCAGTTGGGTATATCTGGTCTCCGCTGGGCCTGCAGCTTGCCTATCTACCACAGTACATACTCGCCTATACCAGTGGCAATTTCGCGTCGATTTCAGATGATTACTTCATCCTGGACCCGCTCCGCAGCGGGGTTCGCAAGCCATTGAAGAGACTCGTCTCCGCAGTGATATTCTGCCTGGCAAGTCTAGCCATGCTCACTGCCTTACAAGAGAAATTCCTCGGGATCAACTCAGAAGAACTCATGTCTCTGACGCGTGGCGGCTTTAACGTCCCGGCTCTGATGTATGCAGCGTGGAATGAGATGGGCTTTGCACTGGTTGGATTTTCTTTACTTGCCGTGTTCCTTCGATACTGTGACACCCCTTGGCTTCTTTGTGGCGCGTGGCTTCCGCGGTATTCTTATGCTGCGTTTCTAATTCATCCTTTGGTGAGTCTGGTGGTTGAACTTGTGGTTGAGTCTGTCATGGACTGTGGACGGGACGGTTGTTGCTTGTATGGTATGTGGGTGTGGGCTGGCCCTGTGATATTGACTCTTGTTGTTGGATTGGGTAATGTCTTTGCATCGTGGATTGCTGCTTGGGCGGTCATATCGAGGATACCTTACATTGGTACTATCATATAGGTACACTGATCTGATTAGGAACTGTGTGAGTGATCTCTAGTTTACAGGATTAGTATATCAGTGATGATGGTGCCAGAAACTAGCCCAAAATTGCGCTATGAGTATTGAAAGTAACTCATTTCGATTGATGTGCATCTTCGAAATCATCTGGGGTAAGTCAACAAAGTTTTATAAGATAAAGGTGCAACTCAAAGACTTGGAAGTCGAATGCACTCTCCGGGTCTATCCCTGTTTGTGTGCCATGTCGTTATGAGATTTCTGTATGTTAAACTTGATTTGGGACTCATTTACATGCTCCCTGCATATCTATATCAAATGCACAACCTGTCGTAGGCTTCAATGTTCTGTTGACTGAACAAGAGAAATTTCCACAGGAATCCTCCCATTATATTTGAAAAAGAAAATCAGTATATACATAAGAGTTTAAAGAATTATGCAAAGGCCAGTCCCTTCCATCCATCCGCTTTGCACTCAGCACACTTCCGCCGATACTCCACCGCATGTCCAGAATATCTTGCCACACTGCGAACAGTCTTGCCCTTGATATTCTTGTTCACACCAGTCATCCAGCTGTCAATCTCGTTCGCGAGATGACCCTTGCTACACTCAACAACATGCTCCGTCCACCCTTCTACTGCCTCTGCCGTAGGTTCCACATAAGAGTAATCGTTATCCTTGCAGTATTGAAGTAGATCGGAAACGACTTGGACCGCATGTTCGATGGTGCGTGGGGCGTTGCCGAATGGCTGGTGTGGTCCAAGAACCATGAACATATTAGGCATTGAGCGAGCGGTAATACCGAGGAAAGTCTGTGGCCTATGATCAATCCACACTGCCTGTTCGCCATTCTTTGAGTCGCTGTTGGCGAGAAGAGGGCGGCCATCCTTGCCGTGCCATTCGATGGCACTGAATGCACCCGTGATAGCATCAAAGCCAGTGGCGTAAATCAAAACATCAAGCTCATGCACCTCGCCATCCGAGGTTTTAATTCCAGTCTCTGTAATATGATCAATCGGCGTTTGTTGAAGGTCGACTAGGTGAACATTTGGCTGGTTGTACACCTCAAAGTAACCACTCTCCAGAGGTACTCGCCGGGTACCAAAACCATGGCTCTTGGGAATTAAACTCTCAGCAACTTTTGGGTCATTCACACGGGCTCGAATCTTGTCCGCGATAAAATCGGAGTACATCTTGTTGGCCTCGCGATTGGTATAAGTGTCACTGAAAGTACCGAGCCACTTTGCAAACCCGGGCTTTGCGTAGATCTCTTCCCAAAGAGCAAGACGTTCCTCTGGAGATACCTCCAAGGACCTGCGCGGGTCAGCTTGATGCATGAAGCAGGCTGGTGTCTCGTTGCAGAACTTGAAAAGCTCGTCGTAATTCTCCCAGTGCGTCTGCATTTGTTCAAGGCTGATTGGTTCGTTGCGTAGAGGTGCTGACCAGTTTGCCGTTCGTTGGAAGACGGTCAGCGATTTCACGGTAGGCTCCTTTGAAACGGCAGTAATTGTCTGAATTCCAGTTGCTCCGGTACCAATCACGCCAATCCGCTTGTTGCCAAAGTCACGGCTGAGATTGAAATCTCTCGGCCAACTGGAGGTATGGAAAGCCTGGCCCTTGAAGGACTCGATGCCGGGGATGGCCGGCAAAGTTGGCGATGACAAGAAGCCCATGCAGCTGACGAAGAATCTAGTCTGGTATTGCTTGCCGGATTCATCGGTGAATAGCCATGTGTGAGCGCTGTCCTGCCACCGAGCAGACTTGATGCGTGTGTTGAATTGGATATTCTTGGCCAAGTCATGCTTCTCAGCAATGCGCTCGACGTATCGCAGAATCTCCGACTGCGGTGCAAACGACTCCTTCCAGTGCCACTCATTCATCAGCTCCTTGTCGAAGGAGAAGGCATAAGAGAGTGACTCAGAGTCAACTCTGGCACCGGGATATCTGTTTCAAATGCGTGTAAGAAACTATGTATTCATGACAATGATACCCATCTCTTACCTGTTCCAATACCATGTTCCACCTACAGAATCGGCTGCCTCGATCACCTTGATGTTCCACGAGGGGAACCGTTTGCGCAGGTGATAAAGACTGCAAACGCCGGACAAGCCGGCGCCGATGATGAGGACATCGTAGGACTCGATTTGCACTGATCCCATGGCAACTATGTCTTGTCGAGAGGATTGACTATCGTTGGTAGGTTGTGATCATGTTGTAGGCATGACCATAGATGGTCTTTATAGAGTGAATCCATGATCGTGCCACACCATAGATCATGTGCATGACAGTGGACTGCACATGGAGCCTGATAGGAAGCATCGGCGATACTTGCTTGTCTCGAGGCTTATCGCTGTCCAGTGAAGTGGAGACACGATCAGCGCCAGCACCAGCGCCACTCGTTATCGCCAGGTTTCCCCCGCATCCGACCACGTGACGCTATAACTTTCCTAAAAGAACTGGGGAGTAACACAAGCAATGCTGTCCTTTCTATTTTCAGATGGCTTGACTTCTGGGTGAGCCGGGACTTTTCCCAGAAAGCCTAATGCGTATCTTTCTGTGGTTGAGAAACGGAGTTCCCTGCCTGGTCGAGAATATCCGCTTTGCGCTCTGTTGTTGGTCATAGTAGCATTCAAATGCCAAATGCCTATTCCCAAACCTGCACCTATAATTCTACTCAAGTGGAGTTGATCAAGGAAACCCGCAAGCTGACAATGTTATGGAAATTTTCTACGTTCAAAAATCAGAATTTGTGGCAATCAATTGAAGAAAACGTTCATAAAGCTCGATGACTGTCATGTTTCAACCTGGTCCAATTTTGTCTACTTCAAACTGTGAACGTTATGCTCCGTTGATGTAATCTCATTTTGCTAAGAATCAACATATTTCATGAATACATCATTGAGTAGACTCATAGCTTTCCTGTAGATTAAGAAATAAACTAAGTCGGGTGTTGATCTGCTTTAACAAAGCCAGCCTCCATCAACGTTGTACACCGCGCCCGTCACAAAGGATGCCTCGTCGCTCAATAAGAATGCCACAACGGTTGCGACTTCAATTGGCTCTGCACGTCGCTTCTGTGCTGTTGCCTGTAGGCCTCTCTTCACATCTTCAGGATCTTCCCCCTGAGACATAGGAGTATTAACGGAGCCTATAATCCACGTTAGCAGTCGGTTAAGCTAAAGGTTGAGGTATTGATCTCATACCTGGGGAAACACAGTTGACTCGAATATCTTTGTTCTCTCTAGCTGCTGTTCGTGATAGTCCAATAACCGCTGCTTTGCTAGCACAGTACGGGGAAACTCCAGGTGACCCCATCTGACCAAAAGCACTGGCTGCATTAACCTGCATTCCAAGTCAGCAAGATCCTGCAAAGTAAACCCGACGTGGCTACTTACGATGCTACCTCCAGCAGTCATGGCTCTCAACTGTGCCCGAAGGCAATAAAACAGCCCAGTCGAGTTCACACCGAAATTGAAATTCCAAGTCTCGTCTGTTGTCTCTGTGATTGGCTTTGCCGGACTAATCACTCCCGCCATATTCACAGCGCCATCAAGTTTTCCCAATTTATCCACAGTCGATTGAATCCAGGAATCTACCTGACTGCTATCGCGTACATCGACTATCGTATAGATATGCTTTTCACTTCCCGGTAGTGACCCGATCGCCGTTTGGAGTGCGGCCTCATTGATATCTGCCATGGACACGATTGCGCCACGAGATGCGACCAACTTCGCGGTCGCAAGTCCCATACCCGACGCTGCACCGGTGATGGCAATCTAGAAAGTTTTTGTGATCAGCAATGATTCTCAAATGTTTGTCGTAGTGACTTACGACTTTGCCCTCGAAAGATGCCATTCTGTAGTCACTGTATGCCAAAATCTGGTCTCGGATCGCAACAAATGCCTTATATGCAATTGTCCTGATGAGAAAGATAAATAAATCCTCCTCGCACTGAATGGCAACTCGGAGTATCTGCGCCTTGGCCAGATGATCACAATAGACTTCCACAAATATGAATAGGGCAAGTATAACCTCACCAGAAAAGGCAGGCTTCCGCTATCGCAGCCCCACTCTTATCTTCCCCGCAAATCGTCGGACTCGTCCCGAGACTCGCAACGGGCCCGATAACCCGTGGATCTCTGGATCGTTCATCCTTCTTGTGTATACGTGCAGCTTGCATCATGGCAGGAAGAATCGAACGCGCAGAGATCAACTCACATACTCGCTCCTTTACGGGCTGTAACACGGTATGTATATACCCGTCATCAATGGCGAAGTGCTCGTGTCTAACAACGCAGTAGTGTCGGAGTCGCCACGTCAAGTGCGATGAAGGGCGCCCAACATGTTCCATGTGCGCCTATTTCGGCCTGACCTGTGCTGGTTACGGAAAGAACATCTTTTTCGACTCGAAGAATCCAGACGCGAAGATCCGATTTCGAAGACCCTTGCTCACTGAAGAAGAACGCGAGCGTATGAGCCAATGGCTAGTCTCCAGTGCTCCACCCAAGTCAACATTCCAACTGCTATCTCGAATCGACGATGAGTGCGAGAACTCCGTCCCCTCGGGGGAGTTTCAACTATCTCTCGGGCCTTTTGGCGTTTTCAAAGTGCAACCCGACCGTGCGATCCAGAGTGCGACGCCCGACGAACCCGAGTCCTTGCCAATCGAGGAATTAGAAGATCCTGGTACCGGTAGTCCAGAGCAGGACGACCTTCCTATAATGAGCTCTTTCCCTGTCGATATCGGATTCTCGCAACTCTCGCCATCGTTTATGCAATCCTTGCTAGAACCACCTGAGCAAAGACCGAACTCAAGCTCTCCAGATCTACTAGATTATTTGATGGACCAAGGCCACCTCGACGAGACATCTTTAGTACAGCCCCAAAGATACTCGCCCACTCATTTGATATCCGATTCATATTGTCACCCACATATATCGCCCGACTTCCTAGCCCCCAGCCCAGATTCGTCTGGTTCAGTTCCACAAGATGCAGTCTTCTTGATCAAACACTACTCTTCAACTGTTATCAGTCTCATGACACCTGTTCGGCATAAGAAGACTCCTTGGCATATACTCTTCATTCCCCATGCCAAAGACTGTCTAGCCGCTCTAGCATTGGGCGAGGACATGAGCCATGCCAGCCTTTGTAATTTCTACGGAACCCTAGCCATCAGCGCCTTCAGTCTAGGCGGCGTTTCTCGATCAGAAACCTGGCTCGAACAAGGACAAATGTACCTCCGAAAAGCACAGAACCACGCAAAGCTAATGCTTTTAACCGCCTATGATATCCCCAAGCCCGCCAAATACAAGTCTATATTGATGGCCATCCTCACGATGGTGCAAGTATCCACCTTCTCCGGTAACCGAGACCAAGCAGAAGGGTACTTCCTGGAAGCAGAAAAGTTCATTCGATTGAAAGGACTAAAACGCAGAAAGTCACGAAAGGTACGCCTTTTACATCACTGCTACGTTTTCGAGCGGATGTTTCACGAAAGCGTTTTCGTCTGTGCTGCGAATTCGTACCAACGGCAAAATGTTCGCCGAGTGATTGAGTCGAGCGGACTTGCACCTGCGAGCGTGGATGGTCTCTCCTTCCGTTTATACAAATGGAAGAATCTGCATCAGGAGATGCTTCGCGTGCGCGACCGGGAAGAAGGGGAGAATGATTTGCACCTTGAGCGCCCAGGGCTCTTCTCAGCCACCCTCTACCCCGAAATCTTCGGCATCCCGGAGGCCTGGCTTCTTCTTTTATCTTGTGTGATTCGCCTCGGGACAGAGAAAGATGCCGCCGAAGAACAATCCAACCCGAACGGCCTCAACCTGAAAGATTTCATCAACCGTGCAAAGGCCCTGGAAGACTACATTAATCAACTTCAACGTCCCAATCAAGCGACATTCACATTTTCATCACAACACTCCACCATCGACGAACACATTCTCGAGAACATGCTCGAGGCAATGCGCCTCGCCCTTGCCATCTACTTCTACCGCCGAATATACGATATCAATGCATCCATATTGCAAGAAAAAGTAGTCGGAGTGCGCGACTGCCTGCTTCAATGCGAATATGCCGATTCAAGCGTAGTCCACGGTTCTGCAGGTTTTATTTGGCCAGCCTTTATTGCGGCCTGCGAGGCTGAAGATCCGGACGTGCAAGAATCATTCGCGACGTGGTTTGAGATTTCTGCGAGCCGAAGCGGGCTGTCTGGGTTCACACGGACTTTGAGCTCGATTCGTAAGATTTGGCAGGAGAAGCGTGGTGGAGGGTCTAGTATGACTTGGTTGGATTTGATGAGGAAAGCGTTGCCAGTGCAGGAACACGGGGAGTGGGAGGGTTTAGTTGGAAGTAAGGATAGTTGACCTATTCGTGTAACAAATTTTAGCATGTATGTATATGATCATGATCAATGTTAGCAACTCCTCTTGGATGGTAGAGGTTAGAGGCTCATCTTGCGGGTATAAGAGGAGGAAATTCTGGGCTTGTCTAGTCAGAAACTGCTATAGTTCCCTAGACATGTGTCCCATTGACTTGCGTTTAATTTTGCCCGTCCGCTCAAATCAATAATTTACAAAAAGACCATATGAATTTCCCCGCATCCCAATTTTGATGCTCTAGTACTTGCCTGTTTTTGGTTTCGTATACCCTTGATAAGACCGACAGCTGACTAGTGGAGTGGGTTCATCAAGTTAGGCAGGCTTCCGCGACAACCCCACCACGGAGGCACCACCGAGGTATGTGCTGGACTATGCTCGTTCAGCTACTTATTTCAATAGACTCCTCGAGCGATCATGAATTTGCTCCTATACTTTCTGTTCTCATAAACTATTTTCTTTCTCATCTCGATTGCTTTCTCACATAATCATAATGGATGTCCCCGGCATCGCATTGATCACTGGCGCCGCATCAGGCATCGGACGAGCCTGCGCAAAAGCTTTTGCCAAAGAAGGCGTATCCGGACTAGCTCTGGTTGATCTGACTGAAGAAGCTTTGACAGCCGTCAAATCTGAGATTGAAGAGTTACAACGTACTCTCGGCCAAACCAACCCCTGCCGAGTCGAGATCTACCCAACCAACGTCGCAGACGAAACACGCGTGAACGAAGTCATCGAAACGGTCTCGCGGACATTCGGTCGCCTTGACTATGTCGTCAATGCAGCGGGCATCGCAATGAAACACCAAGGTGGTGCAGCCTTTGCCGAAACCGCAGATTGGAATCGAATTCTAGACGTCAATCTCACGGGGACATTCTTCGTTCTCCGTGCTGCGGCAAAGATTATGTTGAAGCAAGAACCTATCAAGTCCAGTATCGACGGTCGCTCCTTGCAGCGTGGGTCTATCGTGAATTTCTCCTCGATTCAGGGTGTCGTGGGTATTCCCTTGTCGACGGCGTATACTGTGACCAAACACGCCGTGATCGGGTTGACGAGAACGGCTTCGGAGGACTATGCAAAGGAGGGATTGAGAATTAATGCCATTTGCCCTGGATATACGGAGACACCACTCACGACCAAGTCGCCTGCTATCTTGCAGGCCATGGTGGAGCGTGTTGCGACCGCAGTGCCGATGGAGCGAATGGGACGACCGGAGGAGATTGCAGATGGAGTTTTGTATCTCGCAGGAGGTCGGAGTTCTTTTGTAACGGGAACTGCATTGATGGTTGATGGTGGATACACGCAGCGATAAACATGTAAATAAAGAAATATAGACGATTTGAATTGAAAGCCATTCCATTCGATGCATTTCTGTATAGTTGAAGGCAACCAATGAGAGTCCAGAATGGCCGTGATAGGCCAACACCACATCGACTAGTCAATATTGCACGATCATTGGACGATAGTATTACCGTTTTCCCGTTAGCTTACTCTTCACCAATGAGAATTAAATTTGACGTCCTGATTGATTAAGCTGGCAAGCAAACCCCCATCGTGGCGCCTGCGAATCGCCGCTTTAGGCCGAGTGACCTCACCACCTCCTCCGTCTCCTCACAATTGCGGAGAGATCAACCACATCATCGACCACTCGCATCGGAGATTCTCTCCGCATTCCAAGCATCTCGCCCAATCATGTCGCGGACGAAATAAGCACGTCTAGCCCTCGCTTCGTGCCAGCTTCTTACAAGACTCTCCCGCACCATCGTAAGCTACGTGTGGCATAAACATGCGCAGCTTTGGATCGTCCACCTCGACCTGCTTAAACCCTGCGCTTCGTACCATCCGACCGAGAGTTCAAGTCACCGATTTAAGGAAAGCGACCGGCCTATCTATAACTACGACCTCTCGACTTCTCTCAACGCGATTGAACCCACGAGGCCGTGTCTCAACCCGCCCCATCCCTTGCCAGCTCCGTCCCACGTTACCCAGGGCCACCATGAGCAGCCAGCGCGTTCCAATCGAGTCCCAGCGTGTGGACGCACCGCTTACCTCCTCAGCGACTTTCCTCGTGCTATCAGCAACAGATAAACCAGACTCCATCAAGACGATTCGCTCCGTCGTCGCTGGGTTGGACGACCTCGCTAAGAATGTCTCCATTCGCGATCTGAACGCCCAATTCGCCTGCACGGTCGGCATTGGCAGCGACATCTGGGACCGGTTGACTGGTCTACCTAGACCCGCCGAGCTTCGTCCGTTCAAGGAGATTAAGGGCAATAAGCACACGGCTGTTTCGACGCCTGGCGACTTGCTATTCCATATCCGATCCGAGCGACGAGACATCTGTTTTGAGTTTGAGAGACAATTGATGGACCAGCTTGGCGATTCGGTGTCTCTGGTAGATGAAACTGTGGGATTCCGGTACTTTGATGTCCGCGATCTACTCGGCTTCGTGGACGGGACAGCCAACCCCATCGGACCGGCAGTTCCTCCGGCCGTCCTCGTCGCAGAGGAAGATACATCCGCCCAGGGAGGCAGTTACATCGTCATCCAGAAGTACGTACACGATCTAGAGTCCTGGAAGTCTCTCTCCACAGAGACACAGGAAAAGATCATTGGGCGCACCAAGCTTGATAATGTTGAACTCGACGATGCCGAGTCTGGACAACGATCGCACAAGACCCTCAACACTATCGAAGATGAAAATGGCGGTGAACATGATATCTTGCGTGATAACATGCCATTTGGATCACCCGGTTCGGGTGAGTTTGGCACGTACTTTATTGGATATACGCGCCGGTTGTGGGTTATTGAGAAGATGTTGGAGCGCATGTTCATCGGGCACCCTCCTGGACTCCATGATCGAATTCTGGATTTCTCTACGCCATTGACTGGAACTACGTTCTTCGCCCCATCCGCGAGTCTACTGGCAAGCCTTGATTCGGATTGATAATACGGGCTTCGCATACAAACAGAGTTCATAAAAGTCTTAGTATCACTCTGTATATAGAGAGTTGTCCCGAAGAGATCCTCTCCAATTACATACAATTACGGCGGACGATAGAGGTAGTATGACCGGAGGGCACAGATAGGTCCACGGTGTCTAGTCTAAGCACTGTTAATTAACAAAAAACTGCATGTCAGCTGACTTTGAATGGGCTAAATTACCGCGTGATTCCATGGTAGACCTAGGCCTAGTCTACCTACCGACCAGGCTACTCTGGCATATAGCACGTTGGTTCAAAATGCTTCGCGCTTTCTTCTCTTGTTGTAGACATGGTCTTAACGCAGAGCTGGAACTTCACCATTTCATGTCCTTTTGCCTCCAACGTTAGGCTTTGGATCCGCTTGTTAAATTTTAGACGTAACTTTCAGCTATTGAAAATTTATATCTCTATACCTTTCATATCGCGTTTATCCTACTTGATTTAACAAGGTGTGGTATGCGTTTGAAAAATCGCTCCGTTAACATTTCTAATCAACCTGTCTATTCCGTTGGCCCCCTTGGAAATAAGACCCTCTCGGGGCATACTTATTTTGTTGTGTTCATGCCAGATATGCGTACGTCTAGGTGGACTAGCGCCCGCTAGCTCATAAAAGTACGAATGCAAGTAATCTCAGAGGTCAACTGAAGGAAGCGGGGCGTAGCCTAGTTTTTTTACCCTCCGATTTGGCCATTCTGTGTACATATAGGGTGTTGGTTCCGGGGATTTTTTTTTCATCCTACTTAGCACGACATTTCGCTATTTTGCACTCAGTAACATTGGCTTTTGAATTATGTCGATCCCGGAGACACCAGTTAAGTATGCCCAGACGCCAAGGCTGTTTACAGGGAAACTTTCCGCATCATGACAACGGCCAGCTCATCCACACAAACTTGCAATGGCACCTTACACATCTGCCTGATAGACCAACAGTCCTGTTAAACTTGGTGGATTGTATCGATGGATCTCTCGTCGATTCACTCAACCTCTTTGGCAAAAGGGACATGGAGGCAGATTTTCAACACCCAAAGACATCAAAAGGAAGCTAGGAGGAAATAATAATGGGAAAGCAATATCTGTGGTGTTCCAGGCCGCCCAGGAGATTGTCTAGAGCTTTCGCTGAGCTCAAGCAACGTTGACACAGGAATCCTGTTTCGTACGCAAACTTTACCACTAATAACCGACGAAATGCCCCGTTCGGCACTAGCGGCTTCGGAAAGGGGCTAAGAGAATTTCAATCTTCAGCTCAACAGGTGATTGATTGACTTGGGTTTGCATGCCTTGGACGATCCACAGAATTGAAGATTGTTGCCCGACTACCCATTCCGCGACCAGTATCCCAGCAGAACCCTGTCTTTGCCTACTCGTGATCATTCGACTCGCAAGCTCAGTTCTCAGGGATGAACGTGGCGTTTAGTGCCTGTCAGCCCTGCCGTCAGAGGAAGAGGAAATGTGATCGGATCGCCTCCGGTTGCAGTTTGTGCACGAGGTATACCTTCCCTCTACGCGAGTTGATGTCGTAGATCCCTGCTCATAGGTGACGGCGAAAAACAAGAACCTCCCGTCGATGCATTTATCCCGCCCGCGCTGTGGAAATTTTCCACGAACATGCGAATTACCTGGCTCAGGATTCCAGGCTCCATGAAGCGGCAGCCAGTCGGCTTTACTCTACATGGGCTATTGAATCGCCTAACATCCCGGAGCACTATCCCATCGATTTCCGCTGGTATATGCCTGAATTGATTCGGTGCTGTGCGTTTTCCCGATTGTTTCGTTTATCCTCCTCCCCGGTCAGTACTCGGCTGATTGACCATGACAACCGCAGTTTGTGAAAATGTAGGTGTTTCCCGAGTTCCTAGTGACAAAGCCAGTTCTGCCTACTTGATGCAAAGCATTTGGATGAAAAGCGCCCTGAATGATCCCTGCCTATTCCACGCCACTCTCTTTGCAGGTTCCTCCTGTTTTGACCTTCTCCGCACCGAGAAGCAAAGCCCAATCACTCTATTTCATCAGAATGAAACCATCAGAATCATCAACCAGCGCCTATCGAACCCGACCTGGGCATTGAAGGACACCACTATCCTTGCCATAACACCGCTCGCTCTATTCTCAGTAAGCCTTGAGTCTGATTTATGATTCAACAAGTGATTGACGGTCTTTAGGCGCTGAATGCCGACCAGGCAGCTGCTAATATCCACCGGATGGGATTAGAGAGGCTGGCCGAGCTCAAGGGCGGCCTCGACAAGCTGGGTCTTGACGGACTTACGTCAACACTAATTAATAGGTTAGTCCGATAGCTCTCATACCATTAGCATTATGGACTAACTCGCAGAAGGAACACGGCGATTTATCGCATAGCATTCGACCCTGACAGCGGAAATTTGGTATCGGAACCTCCAATTGGTCTAGAGGTGCGAATCCTGAATCCCACGACCGAAAATTACTCCACGCCGCCATATATATCCAAATCATTGGTCAAAGAGCTCTTCCAAAAGATTCATGATTTTAAACTCGACTGGATTTCCAAGCAATCAGCGACCGGCCTGCACCACCTGCTTGCCAACCATAACAGGCCATATTTCAGCGTCAGTGCAACAACACCACCGGAATTGCAGGACCCGATTTACCACTGCTGCTTCCTCGCCACGCAGATTTTTGGGGAAATGGTGAATGGTAGAACGCAATTTCTTGATGCACTGGTCGCCAATCTGAAAGCATCCCTGGCCTTGACAGATGAGAAACTTTGGCTTTGTTATCTCCCTATAGAGTATTCGTGGGTATGTTTCACGGGAGCAGCCGCATCGAAGGATGCGAGGTTACGCCTCTGGTTCTACTTCAAGCAGTCATCGTCCGTCAGGCTAGTCAAGGTAGTCGAGGAGTCTTGGTACCTGGGTGAATTATGGTCACATGTTCAGTGGCTCAGAATAATCGGGCTGCACCCTGAGCCACCCACCTTCACTACACTTGAATAGACTAATATCTTTCATTAAAGATATATGGATTTTCAAAGGTCCGATACGATACTAAATAATATTTTAATATGATACCGTGCAGAATGGTGAATGGTAGTTTACCCCGGCGTCTACAATATGGGAAGGACACAGGATGTTCAAGAACTCCTCTGTACATCTCTGTTCATGGCAGATGAGAAGCGCTTCTAAATACTCCGATATTCATAACAGATTCATGGCTATAAAGGGCGAAAGGTTACTATAGCAATATAAGAGTACGTTACATCCTAGCCTTCGCTCCTAGGAGCACCAGAAGAAAGTACGGTTAGCGTCGGAGGATCTCATTCAACGGAGAGATCGATAAGATTGAATGAGGCAATCGGCCGGGGCGTTACGGCGAGCAATCAGGTTGCTCCGTGAGCTGCTCAGGGCGGCGAGGTGACTAACTCATTCTGTTCTCCGGGAGCCGAAATGAGTAAAATAGATTTAAATCAAACAACTAATAAACTTACTTAAGCTGAAATTTAAATACAACCTATAATTTCAGGACCAATCTCAGGACCAATCTTAAGACCTAGAATCGTATAGCTAATCTAAATCACCCACGTTAGTGTATATAATACTAGTAAATAATGCTATAGATAACGCTTTAGTAACGACCTTATAGCAAGTCATATAGTTAGCTATCTATGTGTGGACGTACCTAGGTAAGAGGACTTAGTCCCCTCTATCGTCCACCGTAATGCAATTCAATCTAGTCTGAAGCCTGCACAACTTTGGCCCAATCCGCAAAGCCATATGCCCCAGGTACACTCTTCCCATCAAACAGACTTGCCAACACCACACGGTCCGACTGCTCACCCTCCCACGGCTCTCTCCCATGCTGCGCAATCACATTATCATAGACCAACACATCCCCGGTCTGCCACTTATGCAACACACGAATCTCATCCGTAATCTTAGCCAAATGGTCCAGATACTTGTCTGGTATAACGCTCCCATCTCCATAAATCTGCTGCGTCACGTTCCTCCTTCCACCCGAGTTAGCCTGGTTCATCCTCCAATACGAAGCCAGTCCAGTAAACAGTGTGGGCAGATTCGTGTCAGGCTGCGTCCTAATCGCTGGAAGTTGATGCGTCAAAACAAGCCCATCATCCGTCCACTCCCATGTCGTATACTTTCCACGCCCGTACCGCGCAATCTGCGCTTCGATCTTGCTTCGCTTAGTCTCCTCCGAATCACCATCGACTATATCCTTGCCAAAGGCCTGCTTAAGCGTAGATCCGCCCTCGTATTGCTTGTCGTACTTGTATGTGACGCGGCTGAGGATACCCTTCTCGGCAAGCTCATCGATAAATTCAGGGATCTCTTGCTGTGCACGGTGGAATAGCTCCAGCGACGAAGAAATCGGAGATTCCCCGCCCTTGCTTGGGACATGATGTCCATAGAAGAAGATGTACTCCGGAGCATGTGGCACCTGCGGGGACTCGTTGTGGTTGTAGATGAGGACCTCCTTGGGTGCTTCATTCGCAGGCGCAACGTTCGGTGCGAGCAATGGTCTGTCCACGACTATGCCGATAATCTCGTGCGGCTTATATCCAAAGGCATGGGCGAATTTGCTGAAGTCCTCTGCGTTGTGGATAGGAAGACCACGGAAGAGGAGTGTGCCATGCCGAGCGAGTTTCTTAGTAAAAGTTCCATCTCGTTGTTGGAGAGACTTGATAGTCTCCACAATAGATTCAAGGCTTGGTTTCCGGGACTCCTCTGTGAGGCGGAGTGCGAGGGGAATCACAGTGTCTTTGGGGTGAGGAGGCCCCAGGACACGCTGGTTGGAGGAGGGTAGCTCGAAGGGCTCGAAAGAGACGATAGATGAGTCTGGATCACTGACTTGCAGCTTTTCAATATTCAGGGACTCTGTAGCTGTCGCCATATTTTAAATCTGATCTCGAGATAGTAATAGGTCGTTATCAATGATGTATGTTGGGTTGCAAAACACAGCGAGGATTGTCGGACCGTCCGACTTAAATACGCTGCATAATCCCAGCAAAAGAGGAGAAACCCCTCCTCATCTGCACCAAAATGACGACAATGCTATTGGGCCATATTTTTCCAAATATTAGATCACGGTACTTGTCATTTCTCGCTAACATCTACCGCGTCTAGTAATCCTATTATGCCAAGATAACCCCCGAGGCTATCGTTGGATTGTGCCATTCCGACGTGGACATACGTGCTTGCGGGGAGGATGGGCTCGACGTCGGCAATGAGCCGAGCACATGGGACGATAAAGTGATTTCTAGTCGCCTATTTAAAGCTGGAATTTAATTGGGACAGTTCCCGAAAATCCAGATTTGTTTCGTGCAACTTGCTACTTTCATTATGGCTATCTCAAAGGTGGATCCCGGTATACAAACCAGTATCTCGACAGTCCCGGAGAACAAACCAAATACTCCGCAAACTCAATCTCGACCACCCTTTTTCCGGAGCACACTCTTCCAAATTCTTATCGTTGGTCTTTGCGCCTTCTGTGCTCCGGGAATATGGAGTGCCATGAACGGGCTGGGAGTAGGCGGGTCCCAAAGCCCGCAACTAGTCAATGCCGCGAATGCCCTCCTCTACGCCTTCATGACGGTGACGTGTTTTGCGGGGCCATGGATTACCAACATCATCGGCTTTCGCTGGACTCTCGCCCTGGGATCAATTGGGTATCCGCTATACGCAGCAGGGTTGTACCTGAACAATCGCACCGGTGCAACCTGGCTCGTGTACCTGGGCTCCGTGACGTGTGGTCTCAGCGCGGGATTTTTCTGGAGTGTTGAAGGTGCTATTGCAACTGGCTACCCTGAGCAGCATAAGCGGGGTCGTTATATTGCGACGTGGTTTACTTTTCGCAATTTTGGAAATATCATCGGCGGTGCCGTCTCGCTGGGGATCAATCATAATGTCAATCATCGTGGCAAAGTTGGATATCAGACATATCTTGCTTTCATCGCCATTCAATGTCTAGGTCTGGTTTTTGGACTGTTCCTCTCCAATCCAGAGAACGTGCAAAGAGATGACAATACCAAGATTGAAGCACCTCGCGGCATCCACTGGCGAGAGGAGGCCAAAACTATGTGGCGATTGCTGAGAAGCAAGTCCATCATACTCCTCGTGCCACTATTCTGGTACTTTGGCTGGATTCAGGCTTACCCAGGTACATATCTGGCGACCTATTTCACGGTGCGATCGCGAGCACTGGGTAGTTTTATGTCTGCCGTAGTCGGTACCCTTGCGACCTGGCTCGGTGGTTCCCTTGTTGATCTCCCATGGCTGAAGATTCGCAAGCATCGCGCTGTCATCACCTACATCCTCATTGCCTTATTGAACAGCGCAACCTGGATCTGGGCAGTCATTATCCAGAACGAATACAGACATACCAACCCTGTCCTAGACTGGGGCGACCAGCGTGCGTTTGGTCGTGGTTTCGGGCTCTATCTCTTCGAGCGGATTAGTCTCGGCTTAGTCGAGAACTACATTTACTGGTGCATCAGCAATCTTTCAGACTCGCCTGGTGATCAAATTCGATATAGCTCGCTACTCAGAGGTATCGAGACAGCAGGAGTTGCTGTAGGATTTGGTGTGCAAGCTGTACCCACCGCATTGATTGCTACGGCAAGTATCAATTTTGGGCTTTGGTTTTTGGCATTGCCGTTTAGTTACTATGCTACTTTGCAGGTGGTGCGCAAGTTTGAGAATTCGGCGCAGAAGTCTGCTGGTTTGCAGAGAGAGGAAGAGGGTTTTGCGACAGTCGTAAATAATTGATGCCAATTAGTATATCTGTATCTAGGACATGGCTATAGGTACCGATAGATGGTCTCATATCACGAATTTAAGAAAGACATTCTTCATTTCTGGCCCAGGTATCAACTCGAAGGCCGTTCGCACCAATTTCTAACGGGCATATCAAAACAAAGTTCAGTGTTTCGTTAATGCAATATCTGCTAAGGAAACTCGCATGCTCCTCGGCTATGATCCTCTTCCATCCGAGTTAGACAGTGTACTTCAGATCTAGATCTCATCTGCGCAGCTAGGAGCTGTCATGTAAATCGCCATTCTCGCGTGTTATTGCACCAGTGTTAGCACAATAAACTAGCGTTCCAATACTCTGGTATCGCATCCCATGGCGCTCTGAGTCAAGTTATCTACCGACGAGGGTGATCTAAATTCACCATCCCTGCTTCAACTGCATGTCGAATATGTAGCTTTCAAGATTAGTCTAAGGGATAAACAGCTAGTCAAAATTTCCATCTCGATAAAAAACATGTCCTGTAGGTGCTGTTGGTCTTGTACTTTTCGTGTTGCAGCTTCCCAGTCTGGCGAATTCTACTCCTCAATGACGTGATGCCCAAATCTGACGCCTTGCAAGATGTACATCCATGAGGCGTTAATTTACATGCCAACAAAACACCAATCTCAACTGCCGATCCCCACTTCTTGTTTCCCCTCGCCAAAACAACCCCATGTAGGTAGGCGCGGTGGTGTGCTCTGGTGAATGGGGAGTCTTCTGCCAGGGTTATAAGAAAGGCTTGGCCATGCAGCATATCATTCTCACAGCATAGATATTCAAATTCATATGGTCAGAATGTCGAGCTCATCAAGTTCCATTCAAGGAAAGGATAATACCATCACAGATGTGTCTGCTGTGAAAGATACCTACGATGGTAGCGAGCCCCTACGTGACATCTCGGGTGATGTTATCGAAGATGGTCTTCGGAGAGGTCTGAAGGGTCGCCAATTTGTGATCATTGCCTTGGGTAGTATTATTGGACCTGGATGTTTCTATGGACTGGGTTATGGTATCTACGAAGCTGGCCCGTTGGGTTTACTTATTGGATTCTCCGTCGTTGGTATGTTCCAGAGCGTGAATATGTCGACTACAGCTGACTGGACCACAGGAGCCTCTATGTGGATATTGATGCAGAGCGTTGGTGAAGTTGCTACTCTTTTCCCCGTTCATGGTGGGTTTGTTGAGGTGAGGCTTCAAACTTGGCTCTTGTTATCAGCTTTTGACGCTAATTGGCTTTTTCCCTGTAGCATTGTGACCGATTCGTGGATCCGGCACTCAGTTTCGCCGTATCATGGTTATACTACTTCATGTGGAGCGTCTTCCTGGCCTCGGGTAAGTAAATAAGTATCACCATGAAATTATATTAAAGCCTAATAAAGCATCAGATTGGAACAATGCAACTGTCTTTCTCAAATTCTGGATTCCCGAGTCGGCCGTGCCTGTCTGGGCTTGGTATATCCTCATCTTCGTCTTCTTCTCCATACTAACAACCCTGGGGGTTAATTTTTACGGAGAAATAGAGTACTACTTTGGCATGTTCAAATTCCTATCACTAATCGTGCTCTTCTTTATCTCCATCCTCGCCAATGTCGGTGCATTTGGTAATGGATATGTGGGATTCCGATACTGGAAAGCACCTTACGGTATGCCTTCTGTGGACTCGTGTTTACTCCAAAAAAGAACAAACCTAATCATAATTTTAGGTCCTATCCAAAATGGAGTCAATGGCTTTGGACAAGTCTTCGTTATGGCAGCTGCCTACTATGTTGGAACTGAGATCGTGTCTGTCGCAGCAGGCGAATCTAAAAACCCCCAGCGCGACGTTCCCAGAGTAAGTCCAGACAGCGAGAAATAGATACCCAGGCACAGAAAATATTGACAAAGCTCCCAGGCTACAAACTCTATTCTCTATCGCATCCTTGTCGTGTTCGTCGGAATGTCTTTCTTCCAAGGCTTGATCTGCCCATCTACATCCGACGACTTGGTCCACCCAGGATCCAAAACGGCCTCTTCCCCATTCACCATTGGCTTCACACTTGCCGGATGGAAGTCATCCGCTCATTTCGTGAACGCTATTATTCTCATTGCATTCGTGTCGGCAGCTAACGGAGTAGTGTACATCCAATCAAGAACACTATACTCGCTAGCCTTGAAACGCAAAGCGCCTTCGTTTTTCGCGATAACAACTGCCAGAGGAGGTATGTTTCACCCAATTCTTTCCTCTATCAGAGATGGAATCTAACAACCCCTCCCAGTTCCATACGTTGCGATCCTTTTCTCAAATATGTGGGGCTTCCTCGGCCTAATGTCCCTACAAACAACGGCGGGCAGTCTCTTCTCCTACTTTACCTCCTTCGGGGGTACAGCTGCTTACATCGCCTGGGCTGTGATTACATTTGTGCAGCTCAGAGTGCGTGCTGCTGCTAAGAGGAAAGATATCGACGTGAAAAGTTTCCCGTTTACTGCACCTGGCCATATCTCGATCTACTGGGGCAACTTCTTCTTCAATATCTTCCTATTGTTGATTCAGGGATTTACGGTCTTTGAGACTCCGTTTAACTACCAGTCGTTTATTGCATCGTATATCAGTATTCCGGTGTTCTTTTTGATGTTTGTTGGGTATAAGTGGTGGTTCAAGACTAAGTGGTAAGTCATCAACTCTCTTCCTGCAGGTTGCATCCACCAGTCAAGTTTTAGGTTGGCCGAGAACTTACATTTGGACTTTTGTTTACAGGGTACCCCTTGACAGCATTGACTTCTCAGGAAGACTTCAACGGTCGACGGAAGAGCAGGAAAACGTACAGAAACGACCGTGGACTTGCAAGATTCTCGATGTGCTGAAGGACTAGTTGATCTAGCGGAACCGTATACCATTCAGATGTTCAACCCAGCTGCACAACGCAGCTATACTGAAATAAATCTATGTTATTGAGTTCAAATAGTTATCCTTATCGATAGCAATCCCATCTCACATTTCAAGGGGCCGGCACTTTTGTAGGTAGCAGCCGCTACATTCCTCAGCGGCGATCCCATACCACTTATCACCCAGGTATCAACTCTTGTTTACACGACCAAAGTATGCCCGCAAATATTCAATCAAGAAGATTATTTATGTCAGGAGAATCCTCCCCTCTCATTCAACAACGATCTACTCTTCCTACCTCCCCTCTTACCCTAACAACTCCACAACTTAATCAAACCCCCACAAAATGAAGCTCTCCATCTTCCTCCCCCTGGCAGCCTTCCTGACCATGACGGCCGCTGAGGTCGCACACATTAACGATGACTGGAGCCCATGCTTGGTACCGCTCTCCATCGATTGACTTGATTCCACAAGGACCTTATATACTAACCACCAATGCAGAACCGGTGTCTGTCCGAGGGATCCGCCGTCGCGGGGTGTATCTCGCAGTACGACACAGCCTGCACCTGCACAAGCCCTGCGTTCAGGGATGCGGTGCAAATGTGCTTGGAGCTTGCTTGTACGGCAGATGATGCAGCAAGTATGATCTACCCCTTCCTATACGCGCATACGAGGATTACCTGCTAATCATTTTATTGTTGATAGTGGCGCTAGAGCTTCATGAAGAGCGCTGTGGGACGCCGCCCAGCTAGAGCGGTGTTTGGGCTCTTGGTTTAGCATGTAAAATGTTTTCTAGGGTATTGGATATAATATTTATTTTTTAATATGGCTTCTCGGAAGTGTGAATGTCCTTGTAGAGTGAGTAAAGGGATCATCGACGTGATACAGTAGTTAGCTATGTATTGAGCTCCATCGTCAAGTGGAGATCGGAGTCTCGACCAAGGGAGTTCCTCGACAGATCGTCCAGAATCTAGTAGCTAGATGGGGCAGAAGTCTTGCCATAGGGCAAACTAGGGTCGCCTTGGAGAAAGCTAATCGGAGCTTAAGTGGAGGTACTGCGTGCTGTCGGATCCTACACGGAGGCTTATAAGATTACAATGACACTCTCTCCATTACAAAATACAAAGGCCAAGTTTAAACCCATGGAATAAACTCCATTCGCACGAGAAAGATATCAAGCTAGGTAGGTCGGGGAAAAAGGAACATTGAAACAGGGCAGGAAAGAGGAAGGTTTTAAGAGTAACATCCGAACTTCAAATTTTTTCGTTCTTGAATTCATATTCTGGATCAAACCCAAACAACCTCCATCTAAGCCTGAGACAGGTTCTCGTAGGCGTCGGGGAAGCGGCGCATGTTCTCCTCGATCAGACCGTGGCCACGGAGGAACTGGACGTAGGCACCATCCTGCTTGAGCTTGCCCTCCTGGCGGAGCTGAACGTACTCCTCGCGGCGGACGGGGGTGAAGCCCCAGTTCTTGGAGACGATGATCTTTTGGCGGCCGGGGAACTTGTACATGGCACGGCGGAGAGCCTCGATGGCGGTGGCGCGGTGGGCGTCACGGGTGCGGACGGACAGAATGATCTGGCCGATGTTCACACGGGCAACGGTACCCTGGGGCTTACCGAAGGCACCACGCATACCGGTCTGCAGACGATCGGCACCGGCGCAGGAAAGCATCTTGTTGATACGGATGACGTGGAAGGGGTGGACACGCACACGCATGTGGAAACCTTCCTTACCGGCGATCTTCACAAGGTACCTAAAGGGGAGAGGGTTAGAATCTGGAAATGGTGGAAAAATTCGATGTTCTCGGTGGTTGCAATCGAGGAGTCGATCGAGTGGAGGGAGGAAACGTACTTGTTGGCGCAAATACGGGCGGCCTCGAGGGCCTCGGACGACAGCTGCTCATACTCGTTGGAGACCATGTGCACACAGGTGGGGAAGTCGTCAACGTTGGCCTTCTTACGGCCCAGATCGAAGATGCGGATCTTGGGGTCGGGAACACCACGGTTGAAGCGCGACTTGGGGTACGGCTAGAGAGGAGAAAGGATGTCAGTGAGACAGAATCTTTGCCAAGCCCATGAATTTCATCATTCTCCATTCTGCTCAAAGAAAGCTTGAAAAATCTCCAGATCTTCTCCTGTCCAGTTCCCAGCAGCGGTTGTTTCCTCGCATTTTGGCACCTCCCCAGCGCTCTCGTTGACGATCGCGAGGGGTTGTGCCTCATGCGCCCGTCCTCCCCCACAACCGAGCCTCCCGCACACAGAAAAAATCATCGGATAACTCGAAGGGCAACGCACCTTGTTCTTGCAGTAGCGGTAGCAGCGGGCGGGACGGCGAGCCATTGTGAGTGCTGGAAATTGGCGATATGCACTTCCTGCGAACTGGGTTGTTGGATGTCGTTGGGTGTCGAGGGATCGAAAGGGAAAAAGAAGGGAAAACGGGCGGGTCACGGGATTGTTTGATTTCCAAGCAGGAGAGTGGCGAAGCCCTAAGCCCTAGTGTGCGGGCCAATCAGAGTGGACGGCAAGGACCCACTTGTCGTGCTCATAGCCGGTTCTGGTTACTCTACGGAGTACAATCGCGAGTCAGAGTGACTCTTCGAAGATGATCAGTACGTATGATAGGACGAGAGGATTCGTACTTGATACGATAATATGTGAGAGATATGATCATCGGAGCCTTTCGTCACTTCTAGTGCTTACGATATGGCTCTACGCTCGGCTTATAAATCTTCCCGATCTCTACATCCCTATATCTCCGTCGGTCTCCTACGTCTCCTCCTTATTAATCACGTCAAGGATAACAGAGTACCAAAGTACTCGTCCACTGGTTCGGTAAATGCCCGTTGGTTGGCTTGTTCTTGGAGCTCTCATATAGTTCATAACTATTCGTAGATGCGCCCCAGATCCTCCGCAAGGCATTCACCACACGCCATTCCAACAACGTTCGCAGGCATTCGCCTCCCCCAATCCGTACTCCCACAGACTACCCATTTACTGGGTGCCAGTGAGGATATCGGAGTCACCGGCATCGAGGATGGCCATGGTGGCGCAACGGAACAGCTTACCGCAGGCGGTACCAAGCTCGATCTATAAGTGAATGTTAGCATAATTGATCCGGTCGGAGGCGCAATGTTATGCGCAATTGTCGCCTTGGTGTCTTTGTGGGTGTCGACTCACATTGTTGCCGGAGAAGTGGTGGACAGGAGTCTTGGCCAGCATGGCGTAGTACTCCAGCTCGGACTTGCGGAGAGGGGGAGTGTTGGCAGCGATGATGACCAGCTTGGCCTTACCGGAGCGCAGAGTCTTCATGGTAGACTTGGCACCCAGAGTGACCTTACCGGACTTCATCACCAGGGCGAGCCTGGAGTTGATCTAGAATTGCAATGTTAGCAATCTGATTGCATTGAACCTTTAAAGATTGCGATCGAGTCGATCAATCATGTCGATGGGGTTGACTCACGTTGTCGGAACCCTTCTTGGACTTCTTGTTGGGGGCCATCTTTACGCTTTGAAGTACAAGCCTTCAAATTGATATAGAAATGTGGGATAGAGAGGTGCGCTCCGGCCGGCGTGGATAGTAGAAAGAAAGAGAGCCGTGCGATTGAAGCCAAACTGCAGAAATGTGCGGGCTACTTCGGAGATACGGGTTGTTCCGCTCCGTGGGTTGACCGCCTGCAGATTACCTCATTACCTCACAGGCCACGTGACCATTATCTTTGGTGGGGCCAGTTCTGAAACCGACAATTAGTGCCTCAGGCGGCGATGATCCCGTAATTTACTGGGGCCAATTTACTTTGAAATTCGCCTCGACAACATCGATATGGTAATCCATATTGGCAAATATGATGCACATGTCTCCTTTCTATGATTGTTTTCAAAATAGACCATGAAAATCCATTCAACAAGCTTTATGGTGGCCTATCAGCATATCTATTAATATCAATACATGTGTAAATGCATAACATCAAGTGTTGTCCGGGTTTCCTATGAAACGCAACTTACCATATTTGGCAGGCTTGCAGGGTCCCGGCCGTTCGCAGTTTGTTGTCCTCGAAAGCAAGAGACGATCCTCATTATTCTTCTGTTCTTCTCTCTTCTCTTCTGAAACCCTTTGTCCATTTCCCGGCATTACATCTTTAACTTTCTTCACCTTCGTATCTTCACCTTTTCAGCCTCGTATCCCGCCCCCGGCCCCAAAAACCACCGTGTCTACTCTGGTATTTTTAGTACAGAAGGTGCTACTCCATACTACTCCGGACAGAGTAAGGAGATCCCGCATTCCGCAGCAAAATAAAAAAAAAGAGTTCGTCTCCAGACAATCGTCCCATGTCTCCCCCATTCATCCCTTTTTTCTGAGTCCTCGCCCTTCCCCCCTCATTCCAGACTATACTCTGTGAATCCCGCACTAGCTTCGAATGTTTCTACGGCTTCGATCCGCCATGTGGCTCGCAATCAATCTCTGACAGCACCAACATTCCCGCCAATCTCTCTTGCCCGTCGCATCATCGCATCAACCTAAACCCAAGTTACCGTTAGGGCGGCCCACTCGCCCTTTTTTTTGACCGCTTCCCCCAATTGATCCACGACCACCAACACCTTCCCACCCTCTTCCCTCCACATCCCCCCCGGCCAGTCTATTTTCGGACTCGAAAGGCAGATTCACCCAAGATTGGAACCCGCCCCATTTGCCTTTTCTATACAATCAACGGTGCCACGGGCCCCGGGACCCTGCACGATGTCAGCAACGCCTCGCAAGCCTGGAACCCCCGGCAGCAAATCATCGACCGCAGATCCGCCCTCAACCAACGGGTCCACCACACGAGGACATGCACGCTCGCCCAGCGCTGCTACCAACGGCCTCAACCGCTCTCCTTCCCTTCGAGGTTCAACGCCTGTCTCTGCGCGCGCCGCTGCACGAAAACCCGGCCGATCAAACCTGAGCATGTCCAACGTCCCGCGCATTAACAACGACCCCTCCGACGAGGAGGCGCGGGCCCAAAATGCCGCTCTCATTGAGGAGCTGCGGGCGCAGCTCCAGAAGGCCGAGACGGCTTCTGAGCAATATCAGAAGCAACTGGGTGTTTTGCAAATGCGCCTCGACGAGGCCGTTAGTGAGCAAGGAAAGCTGGAGGACCAAGCCCATGAGAAGGATACTCGACTGGAGGCGTTGAATAGCGAGATTCGGGATCAGGCCCGCCAGATTCGGGATCTTGAACAGAACCATGAGTTGGAGCGGAATGCGATGCTGCAGGAGAAGGAGCAGCAGACAAGTCGGGAGGAAGAGTTGCAGGCCACTATCCAGCGGTTAAAGGACTCGGTGGCGCAGAAGAGCATGCCCGTAAACGCAGAGGGTGAGCGTCAGATTTCCAGATCCTGTAAGAAACCTCACTTGTGAATTTCTTCCAGCTATTATGAAGTTGCTAACGTTTCTTGAATAGCGAGCTTCCGTAACAGATCTTCGCCCGATGTCGATGGCCAGTTCGCCCCTTCGTCGCATCTCGAGCGCAGCCCCTCCCGCAACAACTCCAACCTTCTTCTCCAGAAAGATAAGCTTATCGAGTCTTTGCGACTCGAACTGGCTGAACACCAGATCAAGTTGGTGGAGATGGAGAATGCAGGTGGAGGTCGGCAACGTGAGCTCGAGAAGGATCTTTTGGAGGCTCGGATGGCGAACGCTCGTCTCATGGAAGATAACGAGAGCTATCAACTCTTGCTTAGCGAGAAGACTCTCACGGGAGACTTCCATAAGGGTGACTTTATGCAGCATGCTCATCCCGATAAGCAGTCTAGCAGTGGATTAGGCTCTCTCGCAGACGAACTCGAGTCTGTCGATGAAGCGCCAGAGACCGAAGCCAGTGGCAAGTTGGACGCCGAGGTCAAGGCTCTCAGAGATCAGAACAAGGCTCTGACACTCTACATCGAGCGGATTATTAGCCGCGTGTTGCAGCATGACGGTTTCGAGCACGTTCTTGACCGGAATGAGGATGAAGGTGGTTCCAAGGCTACCAAGCTCGGAGAGAAGGAGTTGCCCCCTACGCCTCCAGAGAAAGATGATGCATCCAGCCAGTCCTTCGTACAGCGGGCGAAATCTGTTATTGCAGGACCTCCTCGCTCCCAGCCTCGATCCCGCCCAACCAGCATGATGCCCCCTCCCTCATTACCACACACCAGTGCCAACGAGAACCCGGATACGGCACCTAGCATCCCAATCCGAACTCAGTCAGTGCGAGCTAGCCACCGTCGTACTCGCTCAGAGCAAGTCGATCCTAATGCTGCCTCTGTTGTCGGGCACATGTACCGCGGCCGGAACTCTGGTGGACCGATGAGCCCGACTGGCATGGGTCCCGGGTCGCGACAAAGCATGTTCTCCGGCGCTGCCAGCTATATTTCCAGCCGCGCGCCATCAATGTCAAGTCAACCGGATCGTGGTGGACGCAGCAGCTCGCCTAGTGTGATCAGCGACATCCACGGCGACACCAACTCAACGGGAGCCACTTCGAGCCCTCCTCGCTCTAGCAGCGGCATGAACAACTACACAGGCGCAGTGATGACGCAGAATAAACTGCGGCCCCTGCGTTTGGTCAGCGACGCTGCCAAGCAGGAAGAGGAAGAGGCCGCTCGCAAGAAAGCCAACCGCGCGAGCTGGATTCCGGGTTGGTTCAAGGGTCCCACTAACCCGGACGAGCAGCCACAGTCGCAGCCGCAGCCTTAGACTCTTTAATCACGAATGTTCTATCCATTGAACGCTGATCAAAGATCTGCTCTACGTGGCTCTGTCGCAGACTGGATGACTTGATGTGATCTCGAAACTGTCTTTACCATGTTTTACCATACCCCTGTTCTTTGTGATGCACATAATGTCTCATGTCTTGAAATGTAAAGCTCGACCTCGAGGAGGATGTCGAGTTGATCTGCAGAATTTGAATTCGAAATGTCCCCTTTCTTCTTATTTCAATTTGCCCCCGTGGTTACGTAAGGCATTTATTATTATTTTCTTCGATTATCTTGCTTCCCTGGTGGATTTTCATGTATTTTGCTATCTTTCTTTTCGTGTACCTGTGGTTGGCATGTCGTGACCATCTGGCTACTTTGGTTTTATGTTTCCGATATTGATATGTAGATAGTATACCCCCGCCGTTTCATGTCTGCTGCAAACGTTGACCTCTTATATGATACCTATTTACGAGTGAATTAAACCTTTCCATAAAATAGTTCAAAATAAAAATCCAAGCTCATCAACTATTCCCATCTGTCTGACAAGTTAATTGCTGGCAGCCATCTTCCTCGGAACAACATTAATGCGATCTCCGCCAGCGGCCAGACTGGCACCAGCTCGCATCAACAATCCAAAAGGAAACAGCCCCCTCCAATTGCACAACCACCACTCTCCAAGAGCCTTTCACCATGCCCGGCCCTCTGTCACTCTTCTCCGTCAACGCGGTCCTCATCATGTCCGCGGATGACGGATCCCGCATCTTCACCAAATACTACTCCGCACCTCACCCGCCCACGGGCACCGCATCCAACTCGACCGACTACCCCGGTGCCAACCCATACCCGACCGTCAAGGAGCAGCGGGCCTTTGAGAAGGGACTTCTCGAGAAGACAAATAAATCAAGCAGTGATGTCATCCTGTACGATAACCGCATTGTGGTGTTCAAGATGGAGAGCGACGTGATGATCTACGTTGTTGGAAGCGCGGACGAGAACGAGGTGCTGCTGTACAATGTCGTGCTGTCCTTGCGGGATGCCTTGGGAATTCTCTTCAAGTATGTGAACCTGCTTTTACTCGGTTTGGAGGATTTGTGTGCGGTACTGTGGCAATTGGGAGCTTGAAGCTAACCCGCAATCTTTAATAGGGGTGCTACTGACAAGCGCACTATCGTTGAGAACTACGACCTTGTCTCCCTTACTATCGACGAGACTATCGATGACGGTATTATCCTCGAGACGGACCCCATCATGATCGTCTCTCGTGTCAGCCGTGCGCCTGCCGCTGATGCGCCCAATATGAAGAACATCGACTTGACCGAGCAGGGTCTCATGAACGCCTGGGAGTTTGGCAAGCGGCGTCTGGCCGAGGGTCTACGACACATGTAAAGTGCCGTCGGCTTGTTTTTTGATCTGAATTTTATGTTTGGAGTGGCAACCTGCTGGTTGTGTGATGAACTCCTCGCCCGCGAAGCATTCATCTTGTGTTTTCTCGTTTCTTGTTTCAAGTTCTCTTCCTGGCTGGTCCTGGCGTGATATGGTTTCTTATTTTTGGTCCTAGTTGGCTGTTCCTGGGACTATGGACACTTCTCATAGATTTGTATGCTTTTCTCTCTGCATCTTCTCCATCAAAAGCCCTACCTGTGAAGTGGGGTGGTACGGCCCTGTGTGTGGGCTGCATGGTAATACTGGCGCATATGCCGATGACTGCAATGAAAAAAGACGATCCCATAATAATTAATCCGTGTTATCATCTACTATAACCGAGTTTAGTGCATTGGCTCTGACTCAATTGCCGAAGTACTTTATACTTGCCCAAGTGGGTAATCGCGTGTCCCAGAAGAGAGCCCGACTCCGAGCGGTACCTGCCCCGCATACGTCACGCTCGAAAATTCCTTTCTTTCGACAACTCCTGCGCCCAAAATGAAGCAGAGATTCTCGTCGCTAGACGTCAAGGTATTACCGCTCCGGCAGTACTCACAGGCCTACAAACAAAAAGCTTACAATCCATATAGGTCATCACGCAGGAGCTGGCCGCGGAGCTGGTCAACCTCCGCGTGTCCAACATCTACGACCTCTCCTCCGTACGTCCAATCCCATTGCGAGTCCTGCTATCAAAGCCGGAAAAAGCAAGCATCTATCTAACACCTATTCCAGCGCATCTTCCTCTTCAAGCTTGCCAAGCCAGATCACCGGCGCCAACTAATCGTCGACTCCGGCTTCCGCACCCATGTCACACAATACTCCCGCACCGCAGCGTCCGCCCCCTCGCCCTTCGTCACCCGCCTGCGCAAGTACCTCAAGTCCCGGCGCATCACCAGTATAACCCAGATCGGAACGGACCGTGTCATCGATATCTCCTTCAGCGATGGCACATACCACCTCTTCCTCGAGTTCTTCGCGGGCGGCAACATCATCCTCACGGATCGCGAGCTCACCATCATCGCGCTATTCCGACAAGTCTCCGCCGGCGAGGGCGAAGAAGCCAAGCTAGGGATAAAGTATACCGTGACGAATAAGCAGAATTATGGGGGTGTGCCGGATATCACGGACGAGCGGGTGAAGCAGACGCTGGAGAAGGCTAAAGCGGTATTTGCGAGTGAGGCAGGTGCGCCGAAGAAGTCGAAGAAGAAGAATACCGATGTTCTGCGGAAGGCTCTCTCTCAGGGGTTCCCGGAGTATCCCCCGCTTTTATTGGATCACGCGTTCGCAGTGAAGGAGTTTGATCCCGCGACGCCGCTGGATCAGGTCTTGGGACACGAGGCTGCCTTGCAGAAGGTTAGGGATGTGCTTGAGGAGGCTCGGCGGGTATCGGATAGCTTCGGCGTTGGCGAGAATCATCCTGGTTATATTGTTGCCAAGGAAGATACGCGAGCTTCCGCTGATGGAGAGAGTGCCTCGAAGACGCCTGGTCTGTTATACGAGGACTTTCACCCGTTCAGACCGCGGCAGTTTGATGGCAAGCCTGGAATCACCATCCTCGAGTTTGACCGGTTCAATGCTACGGTTGACGAATACTTCTCGTCTCTGGAATCGCAGCGTTTGGAGTCCAGGTTGACGGAGAAAGAAGAGGCTGCCAAACGCAAGCTAGAATCTGTCCGAGAGGAGCACCGGAAACGCATTGACGCCCTGAAAGACGCACAGGAACTGCATATCCGCAAGGCTGGCGCCATTCAGGACAACATGTACCGGGTTCAAGAGGCGATGGATGCGGTCAACGGTCTTGTCGCGCAGGGCATGGACTGGGGTGAAATTGCCCGTCTTATTGAGATGGAACAAGGTCGGGGGAACCCTGTTGCGCAGATCATCAAGCTTCCGTTGAAGCTGTACGAGAACACCGTCACTCTTCTGCTTGCGGAGGCTGGTGACGATGAGGAGGATGACGAGGAAGAGCTTGCCTCCAGCGACGAATCTGAATCAGACTCGGAAGGCGAAGAGCGGGAGGAGAAGCGACGTGCAGACGCTACCTCGAAGATGTTGTCCATCGATATCGACCTCGGTCTAACCCCTTGGGCAAACGCTTCGCAATACTACGATCAGAAGAAACAAGCGTCTGAGAAGCAGCAGCGGACTGCCCAGTCATCCTCAAAGGCTCTCAAGAGTCACGAGAAGAAGGTCACGGCCGATCTCAAGAAGAGTCTGAAACAGGAGAAGCAAGTTCTACGCCAGGCCCGCGTGCCCTTTTGGTTTGAAAAGTTTGTCTTTTTTATCTCCTCGGAAGGCTACTTGGTTATTGGGTATGTATTTCACAAAGCCACCGCAACAAGACACTTCTGACAGCCTATCAGTGCCCGCGACGCGATGCAGAGCGAACTCCTATACCGCCGCTATCTCAGCAAAGGCGACATCTTCATCCACGCCGACCTCGAAGGCGCCCTTCCAATCGTCGTCAAGAATCGTACCGGAAACTCAGACGCACCAATCTCCCCCAGCACCCTCTCTCAAGCCGGAAATATGTGCGTGGCAACATCCACGGCTTGGGACTCCAAGGCCGTCATGTCTGCGTGGTGGGTGCATGCGCACCAGGTCTCCAAGACTGCACAGGTGGGCGGTGGCATCTTGCCTACGGGTCGATTCGAGGTGAAGGGCGAGAAGAATTTCCTTGCGCCTTCGCAGTTGGTTCTGGGATTTGCTGTTCTGTGGCAAATTAGCCAGGATAGCGTGAAGAATCACAAGCAGCTGTTTGATGTAGCGGCGGAGACTGTAGATGCAGAGGTTAAGGAGGCACCCCAGGATGACCGGGGGGCCGCTACAGAAGAAACTGCTCTCGAAGCCGCTCCTGTGGAAGATGCTACTACTACTACTGTCGACGACGAGGCTCCTCAAGATGAGCAGCAGGAAAACGATGCTTCTGGGGATGAGGAGGACGCAGAAGAAGATGAGGAGGATCAAGCTCCAGCTAGAAACCCCCTTCAGCGTGGCAACTCTGAACTCCCCATCAGCTCGGAACAGCAATCGCCCGAATCCGAGGCAGAAGAGGATGGTGACAAGGAAGATCCAGAGCTGGAGTCCGTGCAAGAAGAGCAGGCTGCTGAGGAGAATGACGAGGCGTCGTCAACTGCCAACCACGATGATGAGCTCTCACGACGTACCCACCAACAAGACAAACCCCGACCTGGCAAGGAGGAACCGGCTGCGCCGCGCATCCCCCAACCCGCGGAAAGAAGGCGAAGGACAAGCGTGCAGCAGCCAAGTACGCCCAGCAAGACGACGACGAGCGCGAACTAGCCCTCCGCCTCCTCGGTTCCAACAAAGGCAAAGCCGCAAAGGCCGCCAAGGCCGCCGAAGCCAAAGCCCAACGTGAACGCGAAGCCGAAGCCCAAAAAGCCCGTCGTCGCGCACAGCACGAACGCGCCGCCGAAGCCGAACGCAAGCGCCAGGCTCTTTTCGAAGAAGGCGGCGACGATTACAACGAGGAGATTGCCGCCGCCGAAGCGGCAGATCTCAGTTGGTTGCCCGCACTAGTTGGCACCCCTTCACCAGATGATGAGATTCTGGGTGCGATCGCGGTGTGTGCCCCGTGGGGCGCGCTGGGACGGTACAAGTACAAGGTGAAGCTGCAGCCTGGCGCCGTCAAAAAGGGTAAAGCCGTCAAGGAGATCGTTGGACGATGGGTCTCTGAGACGACGACAGGCAAGGTGAAGAAGGAGTATGCGGAGGATTTGGGGATTTCGAGGGTTGATGCTGAGAAGTTGCGGGAGAAGGAGGGAGAGTTGATTAAGGGGTGGAAGGAGACGGAGATTATTAATACGATGCCGGTTGGTAAAGTGCGTATTATGACGCCTGGAAGTGGTGGTGGTGGAGGTGGAGGGGATAAAGGGAAGGGTGGTGGGAAAGGTGGAAAGGGTGGAGGTGGTGGGCGAGGAGGAGGGAAGGGAGGGAAAAAGAAGTAGAGGTGAATAGAGCTGGAGATTGAGCGAATGATCTGTATAGGTACTTGTGAAGTAGTCGACGTGCATGTTATAGAGGCGTTGAATGGACACGAGTACTGGTACTCCAGTCAACGGATGCAATAAGAATTCTTAACCAATATTTCTCATCTTTGATTTTTATTTTGATGAACTTGCAATAATTGCACATAGATATCGAATCATGACGTAAAAAGATCTTCGAGGAAGCCATGGATGCTAAGGTTATTGTTGGTAGAATATATGTACATCCATGTTCTATATCTCGATCTATATATCTTGGCACGATTGGATCTGCGTACAGCCACAATATATATTCAGCCACACATTGTTATTTCGACTTTAAGCTATAGAAATAGAGTGGAACTTTTGTATTCGAGAAGCTATTACAGCAGGAAGATAAGATTGAAACCCGCTTAAAGTAAATAACCTGTTGTTGTACTGTAGGTGGGTTGAACCCAAGTTGAACCCCTTGTGGCATGGTGCCCCCAAACCAGGAATCCCTGGCAATGTCACTTGTTGTAGGAAAGAGCCACCTCGTTTTTATTTTCTCACACTTCTTATTCTTCTTCCACTACCTTCATCCTCATTTCCACTCGTATTTCTACCTAACGCGTCAAATTCATGTTCGTGCCTGACGTGCTGACTCATCCGACGTCATTTCAATCGTGTCGCAATTTTTTTCCATCGATAAGGACGTCAAAACTACACAGCCAAATCGATTTGATGCACTGCACGGCCCTACGAGGCATGATCGTCGATTTCAAGCCCTAAATCATACCCAGACAGCCACGTTCCAGCACCAAAGCCTATCACTCTCTCCCGAATTCAAGCCATTGCTGTGTGAACTCGGGCCCCGTGCGATTTCCGCCCCTCCTCGCTGGTCCTGATTGCATGTGCGACGAGCCCTGCGTCATTGATCGATTACTGTATCAAATTTAAAGATACTCGCTCGGCACCCGCTTGTTTTATCAAGCTGCTGTTCTCTCGACTCTTTGCTGGCACTGGTCAGCGCCGTCTCGCCCGTTTCTTCACCAATACCAGCATTACCACCGCCATGGCGACTCCCGAGACGCGGGTCGTCTCCGTCCAGCGCCTCAATGAGGGTCCCGGATCCCGGTCTTTAGCTGAATGGTGGGCTGAAGAGAGAAAGCTTCAAACTCCCGAGGCCAAGGCCATTGAAGAAGCTGCCCAGATCCTCCGTACCAGCGATATCCCCGTCGCCTTCCCCACCGAGACAGTCTACGGTCTCGGCGCAGATGCCACACGAAGCGCCTCCGTGCAGGGCATCTACCGCGCAAAGCAAAGACCCTCGGATAACCCACTCATCGTGCACGTCGACTCTATCGAAATGCTAAACCGCCTGCTCAACCCCTCCCCGCAAATCCCCAGCAGCCCCAGCTCGACCAAAACCCCGCGCATCTCCATCCCAGAGATCTACGAACCACTCCTCGACCGCTTCTGGCCGGGCCCTCTAACAATTATCCTCCCGAACCCATCCGGATCCGACCTCGCCCCAGAAGTAACCTCCAACCTGACAACCTTTGGCGTCCGCATGCCCTCCTCCGCACTAGCCCGCCTCCTCATCCACGCAACTGACCGTCCCCTCGCCGCCCCCTCAGCCAACGCATCCACTAAGCCCTCCCCAACAACAGCCCAACACGTATACCACGACCTGCACGGCCGCATCGAACTCATCCTAGACGGCGGCGCCTCGGGTGTCGGCGTAGAAAGTACCGTCGTCGACGGCCTCTGCCACCCACCCGCCATCCTCCGGCCCGGCGGCATCGGCATCGAAGAACTACGCACCTGTCCCGGATGGGAAAGCGTCACAGTCGCATACAACGACGGCACACTAGACGTGAAAGAAATCCCACGGGCCCCGGGCATGAAATACAGGCACTACTCGCCGAAGGCGCGAGTCGTCCTCTTCGAAGCAGACTCGCATCTAAACGGCGTAGTGCGACACGTGCAAAAGGATCTACAAGATAGCGCGATCGGCGCACACAACATCGGCATTATCCGCACGCGCAATTGGCCCCAGGGCCTTGGGCTCGCTGCATCCGACGTGCTGGCGTCCACGATGAGACCTGTTTCATCGGCGATTGAGAATCTGCATAGTTTCCCCGTCCCCGTGCAGGAGACGGGTAGTCCTAGTAGTCGGACGAAGATTGCGTATGATTATCATCTCGGATCTGATACGGGGGCGATTGCGCATGGATTGTTTGCGGCGCTGCGGGCGCTGGATGAATTGGATGTGGATGTTATTTATGTGGAGGGGATATCGGATCGGGATGGGGATCTGGCGGCTGCGGTGATGAATCGGTTGAGGAAGGCTGCTGGGGCGGAGATGAAGGTGTAATTTGAGAATATGTTGTATTTAGACTGTTTATACACCATTTTCATTGTTCTGTGCTACGTGGAGCTTTACGTATTTCCTAGCTGGTTGGATTGCGGGGTATTGGAGATAGAGTTTGGGAATAGTCAGGGTTGGGCTAATTTAGTTTTGTACTGTGCATTATGTACTACTAAGTGGTATTGGATTTAGAATCTGACATGCATACAATAGTTCATATTTCTCTTGGACTTGCCGGATTAGAAATGGGCGGTCTTTTGGAAGTTGAAGTCCATACACCTAGAAGTCCATAGTTAGTAGATAGTTAGTACTGTGGTAGAAGGAGAGCAGTAAGGAAGGACTATGCTTAAAGATTACAATAATAGAAATGACTTATTCTCTTGATAATCAAGCCTATAATATATCCTGTAATATATCCAGTCTCCATAGAATATAATCAATCGGAGACCTCCGATCCACCACGACAATGTCAGTCTTATCGGGCGTGAGTTGACTCGATTCACCCGCCCGATAAGCCACACTAAATAGTACACTACGGTGAGTTAGAGTGGACTCGAGTGGACCTTTTTGTTTTCTTTCTTCCGTTCGTCAGTTTAAGAAGTTTAAGCCTGGCCTATCCCCCCCAAAGCAGTTAGTCTAGTCCGAACAATGAAGAAATCAGAGCCACTGCCCCGCTCAATTGGGATAACCCCCGAGATGCAACCAGTAACAAGTCCTGGCGGGGAAAAGAAAAAAAAAGAAGTTTCAAGCCTTGAGCCTCGGCGGCTCCAATTTCTTCGTATATATGGTGGTCCTATCACCCACGTAGATCGGATTCTCACCGCATCCCCTTACTATTAGCATCCCTACCTTTCCAAAAATGTGTCAATCCCCCTCCCACGACTTCATCCACGGCCTCCCCAAGTGCGAGCACCACGTCCACCTGGAAGGCTGCCTTACCCCAGAACTAATCTTCCATCTGGCCGCCCGCAATGGCATCGCTCTTCCCGCGCCAACCGAAAACCCCGCCTACGCCTCCATCGCCGCCCTAACAACCCGCTACGAACACTTCACCTCCCTCGATGACTTCCTGTCCTTCTACTTCGAAGGCATGGCCGTGCTCCGCACAGAACAAGACTTCTCCGACCTCGCCTGGGCCTACTTCACAAAGGCGCACGCCGACGGCGTCCACCACGCCGAAGTCTTCTTCGACCCGCAGGTCCACCTGAGTCGCGGCGTGACGTATAACACGGTCGTAGCCGGGTTCGCGGCGGGGTGTAAGCGTGCGGAGAGCGAGTTGGGACTGAGCACGAGGTTGATTATGTGTTTTGTGAGACATTTGCCGGTTTCGTCGGCGACGGAGGTGTATGAGGAGTTTTTGGCGAATGGGCATTTCCAGGCGCAAGTCGTGCATGGACTCGGTTGGTCTTCGTCTGAGGTTGGGCCTCCCAAGGATATGTTTAGGGAGATTTATGCGTCTGCGGCGGAGAAGGGGATTCCCCTCACCGCGCATGCGGGCGAAGAAGGTGATCCGACGTATATCAGTACGGCGCTGGAACTTGGTGCGCAGCGGATCGACCACGGTATTCGACTCATCGAGGATGCCGAGTTGATGAAGCGCATTGCTGCAGAGGGGATCCTGCTTACGGTCTGCCCGTTGTCGAATGTGCGGTTGCGCTGCGTGACTAGCGTGGAGCAGGTTCCTATTCGGAAATTCCTGGAGGCTGGCGTCAAGTTCTCGATTAACAGTGATGATCCCGCGTACTTTGGGGGTTATATTTTGGATAATTATTGTGCGGTGCAGGAGGCGCATGGTCTGTCGGTGATGGAGTGGAGGATTATTGCGGAGAATAGTGTGCAGGAGAGTTGGATTCCGGATGAGAGGAAGGCGGAGTTGTTGGAGAAGATTGAGGGGCATGTTAAGAAGCATATGGTTGCAGTGGAGGTTTGAGGGAGAGAGGAGAGAAATGTATAGATGGTGCATGATGATACCCTGTGATGATTCAACATTTTGGATGTATATGGTTTCTTTTCAACGTTTGGCATATACTTTGGAGGAGATATACGAATGAGCATTGATTGTATAATATTGGCGAAGAAGGCGTAAAGAATGAACCTAGTATGTTGAAATAAAGTAGAGGTTGATTTAATCTTACTTTCTGAGCTCATTCCTGCGTAATCAATAACGTGCTCGCTGCACGATGCCCGAGGCGACTAAATTAGTGTGTTGAACTAAGCAATTCACCCTGGATTAGGTATATTGTGAGTTCGGACGATGTATATCTACATAAGGTCAAACAACATTCCAGATTGAAAGCCGTCCGATTCCCTCTTCTAGGTTCCGCAGTATATGAGCCTCTTGCTCGACCAACATTCCGCCCGTTGTAGCCATTCAGTGATTATCATCTTCACACCTCCTCAATGACGTGGCCTCGATAACTAACATACATCCTGATTCTACCGCTAATTGGAAATGCCGACCTCGTGCAGTGCATACCCAAAATATCAACCGTCTGGTCACGTAGGGTTAGATGTGGAGTCCATCCGCCCCAAAATCCAAAGACGCACTCTTGATATGTCGATAATCGGTTTCTGGAAATGGCCGCATTCCAAAGGCGATCCTGTTTAAATTGACTTGTCGTTGTAGATTGCCCAAGGCATTCCCGTCGAAGGAATACATACTTTCAATGTTTAGACGACGTTCTGGATGTGGAAGTAGCCTGAGAGCCAGATCAGAACTGGATCCAGTCAACGAGTATCCGCTATAATCGATATTAATATCGAAAAGGCGTGGCAACTGGCACATTCGTAGCAACACCTGACGCCATGTCCCGGAATTTAATTTGACATGCGAGAAATTGACATATCTCATTGTCTCGGAAGATTGGTTGATAAGTGCAAGGAGACCATTACACGAAACGGAAACTCCCACGAGACATAGATTTTGCAAGCGGAGAGAAGGCGGGAAGGCTAGGGAGTCAAGATTCAGAATGTCCGTGCTTTGTATTGCAAGGGATCGTAGATTTGGCGCAATTTCAATCATTCTAAACAGATGGGAGGCATAAGTGTTATTAGGAAGCGCGGCATACTCTGGCAAAACCGGGCTTGTCCAGTATCTTTGGTCCCGCTGACTTGTGTATTTTTGAACATATACCCCCAGGTGCCGAAGAGATCGTATGATATCCTCGATAGGTATCCGCACAGAACTTGTCTGGTTTGGGAAGAAACGTCCGAAATCATAGGTTATTGGAAACTGCACCTCCAATTCTCTGAGATTTGAAAGCGGAACATAGCGTAACGTCGAAACAACCGCCTCAATATAGCTTTTCCTCTGGTCTTGTGACAGGCCCGAGGGCGGTTCGTGAAACTCAAGGGCCGCGAGGTTAGAAAACTTGATCAAACAAGATGACAGGCATCCGAACAAGTCCTCTATGTATAAGGCAGTCATAGCATTGGAGAGAGAATGAGGGCTGTCGTCTCTAAATCCGATATCAATCTGAAGCACATCCACAGAGTATTTGCTGTTTGACAGTTTCATAAGTCTTTCTAGAGATGGAATTGTTCCCGAGGAACTGCATCTCGCATCAATGTGCTGGAACAGCCGGGACGAAGCGCTATCATAGAAAGCTTTGTTGACAAGACGCAGAGCCATCAAGCATTTTCGAGTATGCCGTTGAGGTATCGAATAATCCCTTGCGTCGTCGTCGAAATATATAAAATCGCCATAGTCATGCCAGACATAATATACAATCTGTAGATCAAAGTTAGCGCTTTAAGCCCAGCGTAACGGTAGCAAAGGTCTTACTCGGTCATATATTTCCATCGGAATCCGCATTTTAATTTTCTGCTTCAAAGATCCAATTACTGTAAAGCGCAGATGACGAAAACTTGAAGTTGTTAGTAGGAGAGTATCAGTGATGGCGACTCGATGCGGGGTAGCCTGACTGATTGCTATGTCCTCCTGTTCCAGATCACATGAGTGGTTAGTTAGCAATCGACAACACTCTGACCCGTTTGGAGTAGTAGTTCTACGCAAGCCTGGGTTATATGTGAGTGAGATGGTGCTTTTCCTTTGGGATGAGTTCCGTGTTTAGGCGATAAAGCCCGGGTCTTAAGCGGGCTCTTCGGTCGGTCGAAAAAGGTAACTACAATATGAAGTTTATATAGGATGATGGTTTATCGGCGCCTAATAAAACAGGCAACGATTCGAATAACATCAGTTTCTGCCTGAATAATCTGGCCATCAACCCCCTCATGAGGTACGAATGTCGACGAGCTGACGACAAGTTGACAAGCAAACAACACGTTAGCTCAACTACACTCTTCATGTCCTGCATCCTCTACACTATCCGGACATATCCATTGACCAAACCAACTCTCCTCTTCCAGACTCTCCGCCGAACATATCAAACTCGCCGCCCCTGCGCCCTGTCCAAAGCTACACCCAACCTAAGAATCTTTACACTCCACCAACGCGCAACCTATTCCTCCTCTCTACAATCCACCCACAAAATGTCAACCACCACACCAACCCCCCGCTACAAACTAATCTTCTTCGTTCCCCCCTCCCACCTCGACCCCTGCAAAGAAGCCATCTTCGCCACGGGCGCAGGTACCTTCCCGGGCGGCAAATACACCAAATGCTGCTTCCAGACACGCGGACAGGGCCAATTCTTGCCGAATGAGGGGGCGAACCCGGCGATTGGAGCTGTGGGTGTCGTTGAGCAGTGTGAGGAGGTCAAGGTCGAGATTATGTGTCTTGGTCGGGAGGTTATGGTGGATGCGGTGCGGGAGTTGGTTAGGGCGCATCCGTATGAGGAGGTTGCGTATGAAGTTTATCGGATGGAGGATGTTTAGATGGGTAGGGTTTGGATTGGGATGCTGTGTTAGTTGATGTGGTATTGTAGGTGTAGGGATATCATGATGCTAGAGAGGAAGCTCGTTGTTGACTCGCAATATCCATAGGTAGGAAATCGGGGTTCTGCAAGATTAAATCTGGAGTAATCTCATCATCAGCCAGCATTGTAGTCAATTGAATCGTTCATTGATTAGTTGTCAATGGTTAATGTGTAGTGAAAGACGAGGTCCAAATGTTCGGTGGAAAAGGCGGGAGTAATCTGTCCACGCTGATTGGCTGGCCGCAAAAGGTCTCTCGGCCAACTTCGACTCTTCCTCTTCTCCTCTCAGGTTCAGCTTCATCCGCCCCAATTGATCCCTCCCTCCTACACATCATGGCCTCGAAACTCCTTCCCCGGGCCAGCCGGCTGCTGCGCCCTACCTCAATTCCTCAATACAGATCCTTCTCCGCCGCCCCGCAACGGCTGAGCGACTCGCTCATGGTGGTACGCATCTCCCCATTCCAGGGCACAATCACCCCTCAGACCTTAAGCACACACCCAAGACCGAGTTAGACACTCGCGCATAGTCATCACGATCAAAAAAACACCAATTACACAATTAGCTAACCCTCAATTTCCCTCCCGATCAGCACCGCAACAAGCCTAACAACAACCCGACCATCCCGTTCAAGTTCTCCGAGCAGAACCTCAAGGTCGTCGATGAGATCCTCAAGCGCTACCCCCCCAGTACAAGAAGGGCGCTGTCATGCCCCTGCTGGACCTTGGCCAGCGCCAGCACGGCTTCACCAGCATCAGCGTCATGAACGAGGTCGCCCGCATGCTGGAGATGCCTCCCATGCGCGTCTACGAAGTCGCAACCTTCTACACCATGTACAACCGCGAGCCCGTCGGCAAGTACTTTGTGCAGATTTGCACCACCGTAAGCAACCCCTTGGCAATATCTGCCTCGCAAAATCCATACCTGTACACAGTCAATTGACCATTCCTCCACACCCAGACCCCCTGCCAACTCGGCGGCTGCGGCTCCGACGCCATCGTCAAGGCTATCAACGAGCACCTCGGCATTACCCCCGGCCACACCACCGAGGACGGCCTCTTCACCTACATCGAGGTCGAGTGCCTGGGCGCCTGCGTCAACGCCCCCATGGTCCAGATCAACGACGACTACTACGAGGACCTGACCCCAGAGTCCATCAAGACCCTCCTCACCGCACTCAAGGAATCCGCCACCACCGGTGCCCAGGTCCCCACGCCCGGCCCTCTCAGCGGCCGCAGCACCTGCGAGAACAGCGCTGGTCTGACTAACCTCCGCGAAGTGCCGGAGTGGAGCCCCGAGTTGTTGATGCGCAAGGACGGTGCGCTGGACGGCGAGGCTAAGCAATAAGCGAGAAAGAAAGAAAGAGGAGTAGTTTCCCCCCTTTATTTTTTCTTCTCTCAGATGGTTTCCTTTTATAATGGCGGGGGCCTTTTGCCGGTTACAAGCCCCATTTCGCTGTGATTGCTTACTGCTTGCTACTCAATACTTAAGTCAAGTTGAGTTGGGCAAAGCAGGGCAGAGCAGAGCGAAACAAAAAGATATTAGACCTACCGGACGCCCCCCCTCCTCCTTCTTCCCCCTGCAACCCCAGTTCTGCATGATATACTCTGCGACCACCCCGGAGCGCGTCCCGTTTGTTTGATTTGTCTACCATGTACAGTACGTGGCTCTGGATTGCAGAAGATCCAACCGAGTCACTAGTTATCGGCGCCAATGCTATGCTTTTCAATGTCATCGATTTCTTTTTCCTCTAAGTTCCAACTTGACCCGAAATTTGACTAATAGGCCATTCTTAGGTAGTTTATTATAACTGTAGCAGACTAGGACAGCACTACGATATCTGAACATTGATTGCGCCAAGAGATTTTTTTTCATTATCTCTTGGCCGGAGTATCTATGTACTCGGGTCTAGTCATCATCATTATGTCGTGTCTCATAAAGAAAAGCCTCAAGGGTATAAAACTCCAAAAGGAGCAAGAAAGAAAACGAGGCAAGAGAACAGACATGAAAACGCAAAAAAGGGGAAAAAAGAAAGAAAACCCAGAGAAAATCCCCCAAGGGGCGAAGAAACACCCAGAAAACCAGAGACCAGGAAGCCAAAACCAAAAAGCCATCACCCAGAAAGGCAAAGACCAGAACACCCAGAACCAGGAACCAGGAACCGCAGACCAGCAAGACGAGCCCAGGAAAGCCCAGACAACCAAAGCACCACGACAGACCAGGCACCGAACATCCACCAAGGGAAGAAAAACCTTCTACGCCTCAAGGAAACGAGGCACCACTGCATCTAGCATAGGGATCACCACTCCCAAACGAACACGAGAAGGTAGAAACTGTCACGTCAGTTGAAGACCCAAACGGTATATGTATACTTGCGAATCACCCGTCCCTCACCCCGAATCACCAGAGTCCGCCGCGAAAGAAGGCCAAAGTCGAACATCATCATCCCAAGACACACAGGGTCAGCTGCCGCAGATCGGTTCTCACCTATAAAAATCCATAATCCGGCTCCACCAATTCGTCCATCACAGCCATTGTTTGATTATCCGAGACTGCGTAGCCTTTCCCCAAAGCACGAAGAACGGGTTTGCTACCGTCCTGCAAGTTGGGACTTGGGGTAGTCTCAACCTGCGGATTGAACTTCGGCAGCGTCGATAGTGCGGGTCTTGTCGGTCAGCTTTCGGGGTGAGGTTGAAAAGCTGATGGGATCCGACTCGAAAAATTACCCGACTATCACTCGTCTTCGACTGGGTCGGGCATTGAACTTGAGGTGAACTCGAGAGTATCGCCTTCGCAGCGCTCGTCGGATGGCTGGACCTCGGACGGTGGGACTTGCAGAGTCGTGGTACCGCGTTGTACAACGACGGTACGGGTCCTCTCTTGAAGGACATTGACGTCGACGGTTCTGCGCGTCAGGAAGTGGTAGGCGTGGACAGTTAATTTCTGTCCGAACCGGCGGCATCGGCCGATTGCCTGGGTCATACCGGAGTCGTATTCGTGTTGACTGGATGCCAGGAGAGGCGAAAGGAAGAGAATATGGTTGGCGAGTTGCAGGTTACTAATTGATAAGAAGTCAGTATCAAATTCGATGGGAACTGAGATCGAAACGAGGTTTAATTGAAAGATTCTGCAGGTGGTATACTTACAGGCCCGCCGCCATCTCACTACCCAGGCGCAAGATAAGCACCTTGGGAGCGGAAGCCTTCTTGTTTCCTCTCTTCCTCTTTTTCTGACCGCCATTCTCCCGGTCATCCAGGTCCGGCTCGTCGCCTTCGACCATCGCCGTGTCCTCCTCCTGCTGCTGCGGCAAGGACTTTGCCTTTTGAGTGACAAAGTCTGTGATAGCCGTCGCCCTTCCGGACTTGGCTACACAGTGCAAAATGCCCGCAGCAGTGAGGGCACGAGAGGCATAGGATATGGCGTCTTCGAGCTGAACAAACAACACTGCTTTCTCCTCCGCTGGGATCTTCTTGATGATGTCGACCATGCTGTTGAGCTTGCTGCTCTCTTGACCAGCACTGGCCTCTTCCACGGAACGCGCACTGACTTGCTCTGAAATGCAAGCAGTGGCGTTGCATCCATCCACCACGCAGACGCGTTTATTGCCTGCCGGTCCATTCATCACGGTCATGCAGCCCTGGCAAAGACGGTGTCCGCAGGTACGGACGACTGCCATGCCGTCTTTGCCCTTAAGATCGTACGATCCTAGGCACTTGTCGCAGTTTTGGGGCTGCTCTTTTTGCAGGCTCTGCACGACGGTGAAGAACCGGACCTCTCGACTGCGTTCGACGATCTGTTCCATCGTCTTGTTGATATCGCAGACGAGGTCCTTGTTCAAAACGGTTTCGGTCTTCCAGGCTTGTAATCTCGCCTGGTATTCCTCTTCCGATACAAGGACGGCAGGGCGGTCGGTGGCGGATTGATTATTGCCGGACTCTGCGCCATCATCTGTTGATGGCCGTGATTCGGCGGGTTCATCGACATATACCTTCTTCAACTGTGCCTCTTGGACCTTGGTTGGTCGGGCCTCGCGCAGTTTCTGCTCCACCTTCTCCAGTAGTTGGTCTTCGCGGTCACCTTGAGACCAGACAATATTCATTCTCCCCCAGACATTGTCTAGGAGATCTCTGATCGAGTTCACGGTGTCCGCATCTCCCACTACATCCACGAAGTGTTTGTGACCCTCACAATTTGGATCGCACTCAACGTCACTCAGCAACTCTCGCCAACCCTTGTCGCTTCGTTCCCGTGCGTTTTCCAGCACCAGGAACGCCATCTTTGCCAGTGATGTCAGTCTACCCCATTGCCCAGCGCGAATCTTCTGCTGAGCCGCAATGCGCTTTGTGCAAATGTCGACGTTCCAGGGATATGGTAGCATCCCTGCAGTCGTGGCACATCTCAGAAGGGCTTCGGCAGGCGATTCGGATTCCAGGAACACATTTAGCGTTGTGCTCAGGGCATCTGACCTGGTGATCTTGCGGAGCCGACCATCGTCTGCCACAAATCGGCTGTACAGTGCCTGGTAGATTGTCTCCTCTTTGGGGAGGAGATCAGACATGATGAGGTGGGTTTCCATGGTCAACGATCTGACATCAACTGGGTTCTGGCGAGCGAAGCGATCAAGGAAGGCCTGTGCATGGCGATGGCGATTTTCATACCAAGCCATGCTACGAGGAGGCTGGTGCATCTCAAAGGTTTCCAATGCGGTCTGGTCTCGACGAGCTCCCTTTAATCGGAAGTTTGAAGTAGGCTTATCACCGTCGTTGTCAATGCCCAGGTTGATTCCCAGGTGACGTGCGATATCCTTGACGTCGGCAAACTCGCCCAGTGCGGGCGTACCAGAAAGAATCCACTTGGAACGGGAGATGAGTGCGAGGATAGGGAGGGTTCGATATTCGCGGGAGTAGGTGTATTCATCAACCACTATGCGGTTGAAGCTGAATGCGTGGAGTGGGAGGTATTTCATGCCCTCCAGCGAGGGATTGCGTCGACTTGTCGGGGCGGGGATATTGAAACCTTGTCGGTCATCCCACGGCCCCTTCTTCTTGGGTTTCTTCGTCTTGTCTGGGTCTTTCGAGGACTGAGCACGTTTTGCCTTTTTGGGTACAGGCTCTTCGGCGTCGTCTTCCTCTTCCCCTTGCAAGTCGAACTTGCCGTCACTTTCATCAGATGAATCATCATCATCATCTGGAGCGACTGGTTGCGGGTCGCGCGTCCCTGCTGGAGGGCTGAAATCCTTGGATAGTTGCACGAAGGGATCTGCCGAGGGATTCGAAGGAGCTGGGCAAGGGCCAACACGGCTGGGAGCTTGGCTGGCAGAGGCGTGGAAAGACTCCAAGGACTGACCAGGAGCGCCAGTCTCAAAAGTACCAGTCTTAATGGCAGCGCGTTCCTGTGCTTGAGCAGCAACAAAGGCAGCACCGCGCAGACGACGAGAAGGTACATATGTGGAGTTTGCCTGTGTCCGCTTCAACTCCAACCGCCGAGCCCATACATCCTTCAAAAACCCCTCGGGTCCCATTTCTTGCAACACTTGCACCACCTGGCGAAGAGATTTGTCTGCATCCTTGAACCAACTGTCAAAGCCCCGGCCCGCTTTCATGGGTGCTTTCGGGGTGCCCGTAAAGTACCGCATGGTTTGATAGTAGTCCGGGTTGTTGAGAGCTGTCCATGAAACAAGGATGATATCTGCTTCGCGCATTGCCTTCACCGAAACCTTGCCGAGTTGAGCTGTGTTTGGGATGAGCAGGACCTTATATCTGTTCCCAAGGAATTTCTTGATTTCGCTGTCCCACTGTCTGAAAACATTGGATGGGAGGACAAGGAGGGTGGCCTTGGTCGCAATCTGCCCACTTACTTGAGGGGCTTGTTGCAGGCGGAGAGAGTCCTGGTGATGTTGGGCGTCAATCAATCCGAGGATGATTGCCGTTTTGCCATACCCAACTTCATCACACAGGACGCCGCCTCGCACCACTCTGGGCATGGTGACTTTGGCCTCGGCTCGCCACGACATCAGAGGCAAAAGGGCCTCTTCCGTCTCCTCCTCCACAAACGGCGAAATGTGATCGGCCTCCTGGCTAATCATCCAGCTCAGAGATCGGAGCTGGTCCTCACGCAGGTTGATCTTGAAACTCGGTGGTTGGTGAGAGGCAACATCTTCCTGGTTGTCAAGCAGGGTGAATGTCGGGTGACTGGTTCTTCCCCAGTCATTCGTATTGCCGACCAGCCGCCATTGGAACTCAATGCTAGAGTGATTGCCGCGGTTAACAAGCCGGCCATAGGCTTGGTGTGCCAGTGACTGGATGTTCAAGGCGAAACGCAATTCGGCGTTGCCGGCTTCATCAACTCGTCGCAAGAGGACGAACGGGGCTGGCTTGGATTTGACGGCGCGCTCGTAAGTGGCAGCGCCTCGCGGATCCTCGTACGGGATGACATGCTGCCCCGCCTTATCACGACCCCAGATAATACCAGGTACTGGTGGGTCGCAGGTAGGGCAGAACGTTTCGTCGTCACTTGGGCGTTCTGCGCCGACGGTGATCATGTTCCAGTCCTGGAACTCCGTGCGGCTGGCGATTTTTTGAACCGCCCAAGCAACATCCCGCATTTCGGATGACGATTTCCCGAGAGCCACTGCTTGCCAAGAAGCAGAAGATGTTGGTGGTGCAAGTTTAGGCAACATTGCCTGTGAGAGGTTGAGAGACTTCGCCGGCGCTGTCAGCGAGACCAGCGAAGTGTAGGAGTGGTGACAGTCGTTGCCCCCAAGGTACACGGTGTAGCCCGGCTGTAGACTGCGATAGACGATTGAGTCAGCCTCGAACGGCTGCAATGTCATCGCAGCAGGGGCATCACACCAGCCTCGGTAGAAGGCATCGACTGTGGTCGGTTCGGCTGTGACGGCCGTTGCTCGCCAATGGTGGGATAGTTCTGCGATGGTGATGCGCCTCGAGTACCCAGTAAGACGGCTATGCTCGAACGAAAACACGCACGAGTCTTGTTCAGGGAGGCCAATCTTAGAGGGGTCGAGGAAGAGGTAGACTGTCGGGCAGTCTGCGGTGGCCTCCTTCTTGTACAACGACGCCAGCGCCGTTCCACAGTCTGGAAGGTAGGTGTAAACACCACGGACATCCGCGTTAAGCTTGTCCACATCATCATCGTCGCCACCAACCCGGACCTGGGTCCACACCTTCATCTCGGGCGTCGACAATTTGGTGATGCCGATTGCTGCTTGGTACGCCGGTACCTGTGCTCCGTCGCCGGAGAAGGTCAACGGGAACCGCGTACTCAAGGGAGCAGCAACTTGCCACGAGCCATTCAGAAGGGTGCCCGGAGTCGGGGTCATGCGGGCAATCGGTTTACCGAAAATTTCTCTCACAAGGCACTGTGCCGGAGAACGTCGTGGGGCTTTGGCGAAGTACAGCCACTGGAGTCCATCAGGGCGGATCTGCAACTGCATGCTGGAGTGCTCGCCTTCGTAGATGACAGTCCAGATGTCGGACCGCTGGATGTCGTAGAACCGGACATCTTCGGCGAGAGCAGACCGGACGGTCTCAATAAAGTCCCGTCGGGCGAGGTCTGCGCCGATCTTAGCGGTGGTGGTGGTTTTGTCGCCACTTGGACTGCCACGCTTCGAGCCCTTACCTTTCACCACTGCAGCACTCAGCTTCCCTTCAGTCTTCTTATCAGCAGACATCCGGGAATCTTGGGTGATCTGAGGCTTTGGCGAGTGGTCGGTAGGGAAGCAGGCGAGGAGTTTGTCAAAGTCTGCTACGGACAGACCGGACAGCATGAGTCTCATGGGCAGAACACCCTTGAGGAAAGCAATGAACTCCACTGGCGAACTTCGCCAGGAATTGGGCGCCGCCAGGGATCGATAGGCGTGCGTTGGGTTACCAGCGCAGGAGCCGCAGGCACGGTGACCACACAGAATGCAGTCCCTGAGGTTGTCCTTGACCACGGACTGACCTTCGCAGATGCAGAACTGGGCACTAGCAGCCCCGTTCTGCAAAAGCCGGTCATAGTGGTCGAAGGACCTTGGCGAGTCCTCAGTGTTGACCCGGACAAGGATGTCGCCATCCTCGTCCACGTATGCAAACTTCGTCGAATCTTCGTCGACGGGGACACGTGCATCGGCTGGTTTGTCTGCGCCTTTGTCCAACAAGCCATATCCCAGAATGAGGGCGGTAATCATCGTCGCACATACTGCGGTCGATGTCATGGCGTTCCCAGCTAGGTCCTGCAGGTCTCGTTGCGATTCGCTTGTCAGGATGATCCGGTCCAGCGGAAGTCCCTGCAGAGAGAGAGCCTCCAGACCAGACAACGGACCTCCACGCGAAGTCACAAAGGGCATGCCACATGGCGTCAGGCAGCCAGCGACCCCGGACGAAGTGGTACTGTCGTTACCGCGATCTACACCCTGGGAGAGATCGATCCAGCGCCTAGTTCATATACATGTCAGTTGTTTGTTCAAATCTAGCGGGAATTCAGATCACTTACTCTTTATGATTGAAGTCGAAGTCTCGCGTGACTGCTTCGAGAAACTTCATATCGAGGGTTTCCCACACGCGTTCGACTTGTGAGTTGAAATAAGAGCGCCAATAAAAGTCTGGCGGCGTTGCTCCCGAAATTCCTGCCTGGGAACGGCTAATGGGCCGTTGATCTCCTATCTCCGCACCGCTGCGGAAATCCGCATGCCTGATCTTGTACTTCTCCCAGCTGACCTCGGCCCGACTCGAGCTGGCTTCGAGACGGGTGGTAAGGTCCTTGCGAATCTGCTCAAGACGACGGTCAGTCTCAGGCAAGAGGAACATGCCGGCGGGCGAACTGGCTTGGCGAGCGAGCTGTGTCATGCAGTTCTTGAACGAAGAACCGAACTCAGCCAAGCCTACGTTTGCCGAACCGGTGCCATCCAGGCGGTGCTTGTCGATAGCGATCAAATATCCTCTCATACGGGTGTGAGGGATATAGTATTGTTTCGAGTCGAGAATCACGTGGACAGCGTGATACTCGATCTGGGCCCAAACGTTGATGAAATCGTCCCAGGGAGCTTTGCTGACGTTCTCCAAGACAACCAGTCGGGGACGGTACTTGCGACAGTACCGAAGTAGAGCGTTGAAGGTGCTGCTGGACTCGCCTTCTTCACTCAGGAGCTTCCGCTTGTTGTTCATCATCGAAAAATCGACGCAAGCAGTCCCAGCAATCAGGATGTCGAGGTCACCGGGGATCTTTTCCAGTGACCCGTAGGCCGTATGGCTGTGCACATGGTCAGTTACCGGGGTCCTGGGACTCTGGAAAGGGGAATTGCGAGATGAAAAACTTACGCCTGGTCATTTCCTAGTTCCAGCAGATCACGGAAGAGAAGTGGTGGCTGGAAGTTCCGTTCAATATAGGCTTGCTTGAACGGAACAATCTCACAACTGAAAATGTGTGAGAATTTGAAACTCTGGTCTGCACCAAGTCCTATCATGGGAAATCGAAGTTAGTGACATGTAACAACGACAACCAAGAGCAAGAGAAAACGAAGGGGAGACGATGTGAGATCAGATAGATTTGTGAGGAGGAGGGAGAGATTGGGTAGACAAGCCCGATCGGGCAAGCGGGTCTAAAAAAGTTCCGGAACCTCGGAACGGACCCGCCAAGACCCGCCAAGGACCCGCTCCGGACCCGCATCGAAATCCGGGGTAAAAAGAAAAGACCGAAGAAGCGACTTACCCTTTTGGAGTAGTTCCATTGCCATGATTGGGCTTTCAGTGCCCGAACAGACGGTACCAACTCGTAGTGGCCGGTCTCCGATATGCTTCAAGAATACTCCAAAGCCCAAAGACATAGCCTTGGCAGCGAAGTCGCTGTAGATCTCTTCCAGCGAGTACATGGGGGGCAGGTTCAGAGCAAGGTAACGATTTTTCTCATCAACCTGAGAACGAACAATCTCAGGAATATCAGAGATGTCCTCGGGGTTTTTGGCCTGCGACCCATGGCTGTTGGCATCGGAGGTGCTGGCTACGGGGATCTCCGCCGGAGAAATCTGACGCGGAGGGACACGATCAGTGTCAGACATTTTTGACTGTTCAAGTCAGCAGATGCCATATTGTCAAATTGGACTTGACCCCTCATCCTGGAACTTTTCATCTACTTACATGAAGCAGCTGAGGCTGGCGATAATCCTCGAATGTAGGGCAAGTAAGGTCACGTGCGTGTAGAGCGGTGATTGGTGGGGTCCGGGAAAAGGAAAGTCCGGGTTCCGAAGGAGGGGCCCGGTTTTGATTGTTTTTCTGCCAGCCTCGTTCTAACCTATTTTGGACGGACCCCCCAAAGACACAACCATCTATATGCCCCTTGCAATTCTCCCCCCAGGTAAACACAATTAGGCAGAGATTGTTACCGCAGCATTATTACCCTACCAAAAAGATATCGTGACGTGTCTCTAGAGTTTAAGCTCTATGATCTTAAGCGACGTTGCCTTGGTATACCTATGAAGATACATAGATGACTGTTGAAGCTTTGGGTTAACTAGGTGTTACACGGATCTCCACATGAGGGGAGCCTACAGGCAGCGTAGCTTCTTTAGAATATTCACAGAGGGCTACGAGATCATGGTCGGAGTATCATCGCGAATATAATCCATGAATTCTCGAGATTGGCACTTAGTATATCAAGCCAATTCTATAATGCTCGGACGAAACGATTAATATTTAGGCATACAGGTAGTTATGCTCGGACGAGATGGTTAATGGTTAATATTTCCGACGAAAGGATATACGGTTTAGGTATACAGGTGGTTATCCCGCGGCTAGCCACAGTACCAAGCAGCAATCACGCTGGCTCGGACAAATGTATGAAAGCATGAATTGGAGGATGGATATGATGGATTTGTCCTTAGAGGTAGAGGTACAGCTAGATTGAAAGCTGGTATGCAAGATAGCCCATGAAGAAAAAAAAAACAAACCCAATCCGTTGCGCCGACTTTCGCCTCGTCAGAATTATTAGAAGACATGGAAAGGGAAAAGAACATTGGTACATTGACCATGCTAGACAGAGTAATTCAGGTAAGGGGACGACCCATCGCATAGACAGAGATTCAGGCAGCGGCAATCAACGCATACCGCCCTGCATCAACTGTTGCCGCAGCAGCATGATTTGGCTCCGCTCCATTGGAGGCAGCGCATCGATTGCTGACTGTGGCATGCTCAAGACTTGCTGGAGCAGCTCATCCTGGCCCGGTACCTGGGGGAGGGGCGGCAGCTTGTGGAGGGGGAGGCGCAAAAGGACCGCCAGCCACAGGCGGTGTTCCGACTTGGCCAGGCATACCGTATTGCTGGTACTGGGGAGCAGCCTGGGGAGCAGCTTGAGTCTGCTCTACGAGAGATCCCAAAAGCTGGTAGTCAACCAGGTTCATGAGCAGTAGGGCCTGGAAAATAGCATAGGCAAGCTGAGGGGCTTGGCGCAGGAGTTCCGTGGCACGAACAGGATCTGCGACAGCCAGAGACTTCATTTGTGTGAGGACATCGAGGAGCTGGTTGGGAGGGAGAGAGGCGAGGGTTTGCGAGATGGCATTGGGACAGTCGAGATGGGGTGGAACGTCGACACCCGGGGGTAAAGGAGGAAGTGGTGCTGCTCCAGGGATTTGTTGCATTTGTGGTACAGAATCTTGCTCCATTGGCTGTGTCTGTTGAGAGTAATCGGCGGGGATGGAGTCTTTCTCGTTGTTGTGCGGCCAGTCGACGCGAATCTTGCGGCCCATGATTTCGTAGTCATTCAAGTTGCGCACGGCGGAAGCCGCAGCATCTGCGTCGGCAAAGTCTGCAAATCCATATCCCTTGGGCTTTCCAGTCTCCGGGTTCATCATCAAGCGAAACTTGGTTACGGTGCCAGCTGTGCTGAGGATGTCTTTGACCTGCTCCTCGGTGAGATCTGAGTGAAAGATTAGCTATGCATAACAAGTCCCATTTCACATTGGAGCCATGGACATACTGTAGGGGATGTTCCCCAGGAACACGCTCTTTCCTGACCGGTCGGGGGCCATGGCTGCGATAGCTGTGATAGCAGTGAAGCGGTTGAAGAGGCGTTGTCGAAAGTCAAAGCTGCGGACGCAAGCGCACGAGAGAAGATCCGCGGTTCTGCCCGACTTTAAGCTTGACCGCCCACCACTCGACCTTCTTCGGACTCCCGTCTTCATCCATCTCATCCCCATACCTCTACAAACAGCCTCACAACATGTCGCAGAATCAACGAGAGGCCTGGGAGCGTGTGCAGCTCATGCTCCAAAGGCGTAAGGGTGGTTTTGGTGGGATTCCCGGTGGTGGCCGTGGTGGCGGCATGGGTCTTGCTGGTCTGGTCCTGCTCGGCGTGGGCAGCTGGGCAATCTCGAACTCACTTTTCAACGGTATGCTGTCTATGCGTGTGTCTATGGGTAATCTCAATCTAACCTCCTTGTCTAGTTGATGGTGGTCACCGCGCTATCAAGTACTCTCGATTCAGTGGTGTGAAGAAGGAGATCTTCAACGAAGGTATGACATCCTTGCCTATGGAGCATACGAGCTCGGAACTAATCTCCCGGGAACTCCTGTAGGAACTCATTTCCAGATTCCCTGGGTCGAGACTCCCATTATCTACGATGTCCGCGCGAAGCCGCGCAACATTGCGTCCTTGACCGGTACCAAGGATTTGCAGATGGTCAACATCACCTGCCGTGTCCTGTCCCGTCCTCGAGTCGACGCCTTGCCGCAGATCTATCGCACCCTTGGTCAGGACTTTGACGAGCGTGTGCTGCCCTCGATCGTCAACGAGGTTCTGAAGAGCGTTGTCGCCCAGTTCAACGCTAGCCAGCTGATCACCCAGCGTGAGAACGTTGCCCGTTTGGTTCGGGAGAACCTGGCCCGCCGTGCCGCGCGCTTCAACATTGCTCTTGACGATGTTTCCTTGACGGTATGCACACATATGTTTTCTAGTTGAAGCGATCTGGCGTCCAGCGCTAACACCTACCTTTCTATCTAGCACCTGACCTTCTCCCCCGAGTTCACCGCCGCCGTCGAAGCCAAGCAGGTTGCCCAGCAGGATGCCCAGCGTGCCGCATTCGTTGTCGACAAGGCCCGCCAGGAGAAGCAGGCCTTCATTGTGCGCGCCCAGGGTGAGGCTCGCTCGGCCGAGCTGATTGGTGACGCGATCAAGAAGAGCAAGAGTTACATCGAGCTGCGGAAGATCGAGAACGCCCGCCAGATTGCGCAGATCCTGCAGGAGAACGGTGGCAAGAACAAGCTGTACCTGGATACCCAGGGCTTGGGTCTGAACGTCAACGCGACTAGCGAGGATGTCAAATAAACTACATTAATCGGGGCGCACGGGTAGTGGAATCATGTACAAATAGCTTATTCAGTCGCATCAAAATGCGGTCTCTTCTCTTCAAAGACTTTTCTTCTGCGATAGTAAGATTGAGGTATCTACCTTATGCATCAATTGGACTAGGTACCTATCCTGTAGGTACACACATGGATGTTGCACAGTCTGACCCTCGACGAAGATATATTTTCAGCGCGGGGACAAAGGCGGCGAGCGGAGACTCCACCCAACTTTTTTTTTTGAGCTTCCGCCACTTTCAGATTCTAGAGTGATCGATCAAGGAATCAAGTTGCCTTGGTAAGTATATGCTTATTCAAAGACAATGTCCAAGGAAAACTTCAGCTCAATGCTAAGTCCAATTTGTTCTACGACTAACAAATTTCTAGAAACCCCGCCAAAATGACCGACCCCACCACCAACGATCCTCAAATCCATCTTACAGAGATCGACGTTGATCTCGACGTGCAAGAGATTCTACTCGCAGCCTCACAGCACGATAACACCAAACTCCGACGCCTCTGCCGTACACAATCCTCATTGCCCGATGCAGCGAACGTGAAAGACCCGGAGACGGGCTACTCACCCTCTCCACGCGGCCATTGCTGCATGCGAACCGGACGAAGACGACAAGACGAACGGCGAGGCTGGATCTGCCGATAAGGAGCTGTTGGCATCTGGTGCGGAGACGGTCAGGTTCTTGTTGCAGGAGGGTGCTATCTGGAATGATCTTGATAACAAGAATGAGACGCCGGGTTGTTTGGCGCGGCGCATTGGGGCGTTGGAGCTCTATGAGTTGATTGTCGATGCCGGTGTGCGCGCAGAGATGCTACTGAACCGACTGGACGAGTATGCGGCGCTATCAGACGGCGATGATGAGGATGAGGATGAGGGCGAGGGCGAGGGCGAGACTGCAGAGACCACCGAGGACAAGGCAGAGGGCGAGACAGCACCCGAGCTTGTCGAAGTCTCTACAGAACAACCCACCGAATCTGAATCTACTACAGCTAACCCCGATGTTAACAACCGGGGTTACCTCTCATCAACCCTCTCCATCAACAACGACCGAATCCTCGACTCGGACCAAAACGGCGTTATGATGCGCTGGGAAAGCGACATCATGCTCAAATCCGCCAAAGCCCTCCTCCCCCGACCGGGCCTCAAAGTCCTGAACATCGGTCACGGCATGGGTATTGTGGACGGCTTCTTCCAAGACCAGTCCCCTGCCGAACACCACATCATCGAAGCACACCCCTCCGTTCTGGCCGACATGAAGGCCAAGGGATGGGACACCAAGCCCGGTGTGACCATCCACGAGGGCCGTTGGCAAGATGTTCTCCCCGGCCTTGTGGGCGAGGGTGTCACATTTGATGCGATCTACTACGATACCTTTGCCGAGTCTTATGCCGATTTCCGGGAATTCTTCTCCGAGCAGGTCATCGGGTTGTTGGAGCAGGATGGTAAATGGGGATTCTTCAATGGAATGGGCGCTGATCGGCAGATCTCGTATGATGTGTATCAGAAGGTAGCTGAGATGGATCTGTTCGAGGCTGGATTCGATGTTGAGTGGGAGGAGATTCCAGTGCCCAAGTTGGAGGGCGAGTGGGATGGTGTGAGACGGGCGTATTGGGTTGTTCATAGCTATCGACTGCCGCTTTGTCGGTTTATGGACTAAGCGATATACAGACTACTGAAAGTACTGTAGATAGCATGGATAATGAATGATTTGAATGTTATGAATGGCATAGGTGTCTCGACGCGATCTTTCAACAGGCCTAGCAGCTCGTCAACTTTTGAACTTTGCCCAAGAGAGCATATTCAGTCCAAATTGCCTCGTGGAACCAATTATCTGGAAGCTGAGATTCTTCCAGGCTTGAGTCTTTACTGCCTTTTGTCCGTTCTCTTCCTTCTCCGCGATATCGGTGCGCCTCTTCTTCCAGTGTCCTGTTTTTGTTCTGCTTAAGGGTTGGTTTCGACGCTATATCTATTCCGAATTTATTCACCAATATGAAGAAGCAAGCCAATATCCCCGAAAATCAACAGCAACGCCGTCGCCAACTAGAGAAAGGCGTTCTCCAGGGTGTTACGAACCGTGGAAACTCCGCAGTGCGGCCCGACCCCTATTTACCCCGGATTCTAGAAAAATAGGAGCTGACAGCAGACAACACGAGAAGACAGACACCAAACGTCCTAACTGTTTGACGAGAGCAGATACCTGACGTGCTCTCAGCATCAGGGACGAGGTACTGCAAGAGTTGAGGCTGCCTCGGCGGCTATGGCAGTGGCTGTGCATAACAAGATGTCCCATGCTCAGCTGAATCTGCTAAACCCGCTTTGTCCTCTCGATTCAGCGCAAGCGCCCTCCTCATCGACTGCACACGTTGATGCGAATGTAGGATGCCTACATGTGTACATGTGTTTGGCAAATTCAAGTCCTCGAACCCCTCTTGACACTTCTCTCGAGAACCACTGATAGTTAGCGAGGCCGCCTATACGTTTGCCTCTTGAAGGCGCTGTGGTTTCTCGATCCAACGATGTCGGGCAGAAATCACAAGGCTGGACAACTGGATCAAGACGCAGATGCCACAATCTCATTCTTCGACGACAGGAAGAGAAGCCGATGCGATACCAATACCGACGATGATAGCCCGACGCCCAGTACATTGAAGAGACGCCGGCCGGACGACGACTGCGATAGTGGCGTTAGAAGATACCAACAAGGCTACACCCCGGGCACGTTATCCCATGATGACTACACAGTTGGCTGGATCTGCGCGCTTCCTATCGAGATGGCTGCGGCAAGAGCTATGTTGGACAATGTTCACGAGGAGCTTCCACACAGCCAGAATGATACCAACACATATATCTTGGGGAATATTGCCATGCATAACATTATCATTGCATGTCTGCCGTCGGGCCATTATGGCACAAACAACGCAGCGACCGTGGCGAGCAACATGCGCCGCAGCTTCCCTTCTATTCGCGTAGGCATGATAGTCGGGATTGGTGGAGGGATCCCCGGAAAAGCAGACATCCGACTCGGCGATGTTGTGGTCGGCGATAAAGGAGTGGTGCAATTTGACATCGGCAAAGAGGTTGGAGAGGGTCAATTGAGACGCACAGGTACCCTGAACAAACCTCCACACGCACTCCTGACAGCCGTCGCCAAACTACGAGCGGATCGTGTATCAAAACCCAGCCAAATACCGTCTATCCTTTCGAGGATGCTTGAAAGATACCCTCAGATGACTGAATACACCCACCGTGGCTTACTGCAAGATCGTTTATTTGATGGCACATATGACCACATCCAGTCGATGGAGAGCTGTGAGCAATGCGACACATCCAGATTGGTGAAGAGGCCTTCCAGATGCAACACCAATCCGGAGATTCATTACGGAGCCATCGCCTCTGGAAACCAAGTCATGAAGCACGGAAAGACTAGGGACCAGCTGGCGCAAGAACTAGATGCCCTGTGCTTCGAGATGGAAGCAGCGGGAGTGATGGATAGCTTCCCTTGTCTGGTCATCCGCGGAATATGTGATTATTCAGACTCTCACAAGAATAAGCAATGGCAAGAGTATGCAGCAGCAACGGCTGCAGCATATGCAACAGAGCTACTCTCCGTCATACCGGCCAACAGGGTCAAGAAGATGTCAAATGTACTTTCAGCTGATTCAGGTTGGTATTTTCTAACTCTGCGTGTAAGTAATATCTCACTCACATCTATATCCAGATCGCCCAAAGCATCTCTTGAAGTCTCTAAAGTTTGAGCAAATCGATGCTCGCCGCTCAGGCATTAAGTCTAACCATGCGGAGACATGCCGGTGGCTGTTGGAACATTCCGATTATCTAGACTGGCTCGATCCAAAAAAGGCTGTCGACCACCATGGCTTTCTATGGATAAAAGGAAAACCCGGTGCTGGCAAGTCAACAATCATGAATTTTGCTTATACCCAGACGATGAAAGCCAAGGAGGGCACAGTCATCGCGTCGTTCTTCAACGCCAGAGGCGATGTTTTGGAGCGGTCAACTACTGGGATGTATCGTTCTCTACTGTTTCAGCTTCTGAATGCGGTACCAAGGCTCATCGAGGTATTCGACGTGCCCGAACACAAGGGTAAACTGGACGACCTGTACGAGACTATTGTGAATCAGAGCAGAAATCCCGAGTGGGAAGTGGGGATACTCCAGGGCTTGCTGCGGAGCGCAATAGCGAGGATCGATCAATAGCCTTTGACGATCTTTGTTGATGCTCTTGATGAGTGCGACGTGGATCAAGTGGAGGAGATGGTGGAGTTCTTTGAGCATTCCGGAAAGAGCGCTGTCTCGAGCGGAACACGACTCAAGATATGTTTTTCTAGTCGCCACTATCCACATATCGACATCCAGTACGGCCGAAAATTGAGCCTGGAACTTGAAGAGGGACACGAAAAGGATATCGCCACTTACATCCAAAGCAAGCTCAGAGTTGGGAAAAGCAAAGCTGCCGAGGAAATCAAAACCAAGATGCGGAACAAAGCAGGCGGCATCTTCATGTGGGTTGTTCTAGTTGCCGGTATTCTCAACGCTGAATATAAAGGCGGCCGCATTTTCGATGTGAGGAAGCGGCTTGATGCGATACCAACAAAGTTGAGCGACCTCTTCAAGGAGATCCTGTGGAGGGATCAGAAAAACCTGCAAGATTTGCAGCTCTGCATTCAATGGATTCTTTTCGCGAAACGTCCTTTGAAGCTGGAAGAGTACTACTTCGCAGCCGTATCTGGATTGAGTCCGGATGAGTTGTGTGAATGGGATCCGGAGGACATCACCAGAGACGACATGAGCAGATTCGTCCTAAGTTCCTCGAAGGGACTTGCAGAAACAACCAAGTCGAAGAGACCGACAGTTCAGTTCATCCACGAGTCGGTACGGGAGTTCTTCCTGAAAGATGGTCTACGGGAGTTGTGGTCAGACCTCACAGCAGACTTTCAAAGTTTAAGCCATCGCCAACTACAACAATGTTGTCATGCCTATATTAAGCTCGATATCTCTGGCTATGTGCCCTTCGGAACGCCACTCCCAAAGGCATCCTCTGATACGGCAAAAGATCTGCGAAGCTCAGTGTCAGACAAGTTTCCATTCCTTGAATACGCGACTCACCATGTTCTCTATCATGCCGACGCTGCGAATGCATTTCCACAAGAAAGGTTCCTGAAAGAGTTTGACCTTGAAGCTTGGATTCATCTCGATAACCTCTTCCAAATATATGATATCCGTCGCCACACGCCAGCTGCAAGTCTTCTGTACATTCTTTCGGAAAACAACCTGGCAAAACTCATTCAGACAGCACTCATTCTCGACCCAAGGATTGATATTGAAGGGGAAAGGCATCGATATCCTCTTTTTGCTGCCTTAGCTAATGGCCAACGAGATGCCGTCAAAGCACTGTTACAAAAGGAGGCAAGCTTTCCTCAAGATGACGTTTCTGCACAGCTGGAATACGGGAGGAATTTTAAGTCTCATAAAGGCCAGACGCCACTGTCATGGGCTGCTGAGAATGGACATGAATCCATTGTTAAGCAATTGCTCGCTACAGATGGGGTTGACGTCAACGCGAGGGATAGCACTGGCCAAACGCCACTGTCATGGGCTGCTGAGAATGGACACGAATCCGCTGTTAAGCAATTACTCGCTACAGATGGGGTTGACGTCAACGCGAGGGATAGCACTGGCCAAACGCCACTGTTATGGGCTGCTGAGAATGGACACGAATCCATTGTTAAGCAATTACTCGCTACAGATGGGGTTGACGTCAACGCGAAGGATTACGGCGGCGGGACACCACATACAACGGGCCGCTGAGGGCGGGCATGAGACAATAGGCAAGCTACTTCTTGACACAGGCAAGGCCGATATCAATGTGAAGGATAAGGACGGCCGGACCCCGCTGCTATGGGCCGCTAGCAACGGGCATGAGACAATGGTTAAGCTACTTCTCGATACGGGCAATGCCGATGTTAACGCGAAGGATAACGACGGCCAGACACCACTGATGTGGGCTATCGCGCACGGGCATTGGGATATACGCATGCTACTTGAATCAATACATTAGGGCACTCTTTCTCTTCCTCAGTTCAAAATAACAATCTCTTTCCCCATAACACGGTGTGATGTGAGAGGGGTCCAGGAATGGCATGAGTATATCGTAAGTACTTCCTAGGCTTTTCTATTGTCCAGGTTTATTGAATCAATTAGCTTGTTGTTGGGAATGCCAACAATAGCACAAGACATGTCATTTCTCTCATGCCTTTTTCTTGTCTATCCAACCAAGGACAAAATTTCCTAAGCGCTCGTGTGTACCCCACGCTATCCAACCTTCTCTATTTCTAGCTCTTGACGTTGGGATCTTTGCTCTTCGTAGATAAGTCAGTACAATACATGCCAAGAGCGGCCATCCCCTATTAGGCACCTGAAACATGATGTTAAAAGTGAGTATGTGAACATCCGTCGACTACTATCGAGCCAAGATGCATTAATTTTTGCATTGTCAGTGAATGGATATCTTTGCGGGAAGTTTCAATACCCTAAACCTTCTACTTAAGGGGTGGCTGAGCCCATATAAGGGGCACTGGGCTCGATAGGCTGAAGTCTACATCCAGCGGTCCCTGGATGACGACTTCCATTCTCTCCTGCGCCTTTATCGCCCCAGAACATACTAGGATGCCATTCATCCACGAGTTCCACCACGGTCTTGATATGTCCGTAGGTAGCAGGCAAGTAACCTGCAGGTTTCTGGCAACTGACAAACCAGACGAACCCCATGAATAAAGCCCAAAGGACCGCTAGATATGTTATCTGCGGAGCAAACATGACGACACCACCTCCATAATCGACGAACATGGCTAGACCATATACCCAATGCAACAGGGGCTTGAAACACATGAGAATTGCAGATTTCCAATTACGGACAGCCAACCACCATGTACTTCAATCAGGATCGGAACCCTTCGTACTGCTAATGGAACGACAAACCGCCTCATCGCGCGATAATATGACTTGTAACTCCACGCAATGTGTGCCAACTGTGAGGAAAGACTGGATGATCAGGGCGAAAAGAACGGCAGTAAATAACTCGGCTTCCGAGAGAGCGTCGGCAGAGTGAATGCTGAAGAAATAAAGATATGTATATGGTGTTTGAGTGCCCTACCGAAAAGAGGACGGATTGTATGGGGAAAAAAAACTAGCTTGTGCTGGGCTTAGTTGTATATCCGTTCTAAGTGATCAAGGCGGCCTAGATACAGAGGGCAATAGTCACTATACTCGCACCTACTAACACTCGTAGCACAGATGGGTACGCATGATATGCATTATCCTATACTAGAAATGGTTTCCGAGGTCCGTCAGGATGTTTGCAATCATATACGAACATTACACAATCGCGAGATCGCCCATAATGCACCTTCCTCAACAGCCACGGCCAAAGTGACAAGTGGACTTGCATTCCATGTTGGGATAGCTGAGGTGACGAAGTGCCCCCACCGAAATATTCAAGGCCGTTGCAAAGTTCGCTGATGGGATAGCATTAATCGTCATTGCAACGAAAAAAGCAGATCTTTTGCAACGAAATGGCAAGAAGCCAGGAGGATATGCAGGAACGAAGCCAACTTGATAGAGAAGTGTGACAAACACGCCGATGATGAAGGGGCGCGCCGGCTATCCATCATTGAAGGTGAAATGAAACAAGTTCGGTGTTGACGCCTGGACGCATGTGTTGCAGTCTTTTATGATAAAGATCATCTATGCCTTGAATTCAAATAGTACTTCACATTGATTCCGTCAGCTATTAACAACATATCAGATGACAAGGAAAGTATCCATGAATTGAACACTACAACGATCGATACCTTTGGCCATGAACAACTTTGTTCGGTGTACATTGCTGCACAATTTCTTAACATTGATCTCAAAGTTGACCTTGCAATCATGGAAACCATACGCATCTATCGTCGGGTTTTGGGCACATCTGCTGCACTTAACATGGTTCCATCGACCTTGAGGACAAACAAAATGGCTACGATTTTAGCCCTCGGTACCGTGATGCTGGATTCATTTGGCCTTTCTGATATCAGAACAGAAACGTTGTTTGAGATTGTAAAGTTCACTATGTGGGAGCCTTTGGCAATCCCTGCTATCTCAAAAGTCATTCTCATCTTTCCCGTCGACTTGATCCTGATCTTGTCACATGCCTTGGGCAAAATATTGCTCACTTACACTGACATTTCATCGGACAAAGGTATCGAAAAGGCTACACTAGAAGCCTAAACACACCCACGCCGTGTCGGGCCGTAAAGTTACAGAGGTGAACCCTACAAGCGGCGAGTGGCGGCAAGCAGGCGAATGCCAGCAGAGGAGGGCAGGGCGAAGCGCGTGAGAGTACAGAAAACCGTTATCACGTGGGCGAAACAATCTACAGTTGTGTCTTACGAGCTGCGCTAGGCGTCGGCCTTTGGCCTTCGTAGGCTTCGAAGGGCTGTGGAGAAATACGGAAAGCTGGGCGGGCGGAGAGACGCATAGCCTCGCAAAGATAAACCACCAAGGCCGCACCAATAGAACCAGACATATAACTTTCGCGCACTAACCCCCTAGCACGCGAAGCACGCCACGTAGGCCACACGTCCTCACGTGGGGGCACAATTTATATAACTGTCTTAACTTATCTTACGACTTTTCTACCCAGCAGTTGTTGCCCCCACTTCAGCCGCACCTGCATACCCAGGGGTTCGTGTGAATCTTGGTTTCTAGCAGTCTGAGGCGGGTACTCATTTTATTTCTGGATAATGGAAGCGGTTGGGGCTGCTTCTGCCATCCTCGCAATTGCAACGGCCGGAGTGCAATGCTCCGTCAAACTCGTGACTTTTGCAGGACAGGTTAAGACAGCGGCGGAGCAGATTACTATGGTAGCCGAAGAAGTGTCGTTAAATGCCAGTATTCTACAGCAACTGGGCGAATTGGCGAAGGAGAATGTCGAAAACGAGCCCCCAGCATCAGACGATAATGGCAACAACACTGCCAACAACACTGTGGAATCGGTCCACGATACAAAGACGACAGTATCAAAGCAGAGTATCTTCAATGCAACCGGGCTGGAAACAGTTACGAACCTAGCAAAAAAATGCGAAGAGATCTTCGAGTTGCTGAACCAGTCCTTACGCAAAGCCAGCAAACAGCTGCATGCGAATTCTGGGACATCGGGCAAGGTCAAGCTCAGTCGCACAGAGATGTTCAAATGGCCGTTCCTAGCTCCGGGGATGGATACGATGCGGAGCGAGCTCAGGAATGTCAAGGGGACTTTGATGTTGATGCTTCAGGTCGCTACGCTGGCTTATTCGAGAAGGATGATGGAGGAGTGAGCTACTTCTACTTTCTCCCGTGGAATGGTCTGAGGTTTATTGCTAATATTAACAGGTACGGTGGAAATATTCAGCGCAGCACGGCGATTCTTGCCTACTCCAGAGAGGATCAGGAGTTGCTGGTTCGGTCTATTGTTGCGGCGCAGAAAGCCCAGTTGGGTAGTCCTGGGAAGGAAACTTCAGAAGCTTTCAATGTTAGGTCAGTTATGGAACGACCATTGGAAAGAAACCGACCCCGGTTTTCCCAACTTTCGGGGAAGCAAGGCCCGGCCACGATGGATCCTGGACTAAATGGAACATCGGAGAGCGCCCGACAGTATGTGCATCTCGTCGGTTATGGATCCGCTTGACAAAATTAACGCTCGCGGAGCAGGGACCGAGACCTTAACTTGGAGAATAATATCTACGATGAACCATCCAGGTATATGCTCCTAGAGGCACATTGATACAAGAGACTGACTATACTCAAGGGACAATGGATCGGGTTTCAGCCGGAAAGATGATTCCAACAAAAGGTAAGATCAGGTCTGACTGAACGATATATCAGAAATCTTTGTTTCATTCTAGGATACCTAGACAACCATCACCCTCTCCGTCCCAAATCTTTGCCTCATCGCCATCGCGCATCTTCAGCATCCATCTCATCTCCCCGAGAGCGTCCATCACAAACCACCAAATCCATATCACCTACGACGCCCGCATCATCAAACTCCCAGATTCGACGATCGAATCCAAGCTCCAAGAGTGGAAGGTATCTTTGAACACGACCGTGATGGATCAGCTGGCTGCTCTGAATACCAATGAATATGAAGCGCTAGATGCCACGAGGAATAGCAGCGACCGGACCATGTTGCAAGAAGAGACACTCGAGTGGATCCAGTTTGGCGATTACCATACCCTAATTCAAGGCATTGAATATCTCAAGGCCAGAACCCTAACGATGATCATGAGCGGGGTGCCTCAGCCGACTTCACGATTCCAAGAGGAGAAAAAGCAAGGAGAGGAAGAGACACGGACAACGTGGATCAAGGTATGGTGGAACAGCTCTGGCCAGTGCTTCAATGACCGCTAACAGAACTAAAACCAGGTTCATCGCAAGCACCTCTCTCCGGAAACACTAATAGAATATGGACTGCCGTGGGATTGGCACGAGGTAAGGATAAAGCCTTTGCGTGCTGCCACATTGCGGTTCCATCACTGACTTCCCCTAAAAAGATCGATACCGACTATCTCGTCATCAAAAGATGGGTCACCGAGGACTTTCAAGAAGAGCTATTTGCTCATACCCGAAGGCTACGGGAGGGTAAAATAGTGGCACAGACCTCGGCCACTATGACTGAGTTGAGGGTCAACGACCGATACAAAGATAAGATGTATCTCGCTCGGAAGAAGCCTCCACCGCGACGCAGCAGTGATTTCGTGTCGAAGATCAGACAAAGCATACGCCTTATCAGCACGCGAAAGCAAGAACAGAAGGGCATGGAGCAAACACTAGATGATGAGGCGGAGGCCGGCACAGAGGACGACGAATACCGGGAGCGGCTTTGCAGGGAGTTCGGGTACACCAGAGAGGAGGTTGAAACGATGCTCAATCAGAAGACAGCGGGTGGAGAGAAGAAAGAGAAGGTTCAAAAGGCCGAAGAGGAAACAAACGAGGGCGAGTATGATGAGGCCTTGTCAGAGAGCGATGATGCAGAAGGCATTGTTGATGCTCTATTGGCTAGATATACTATGTAGTACTGTAGAGGCAGTGATTGGAGAAGGAATTCCAGTTACAATGGTGGTCTCGGATGAGCTGTTAGGATATGTGACCTTCGAATAAAGCATTGAACTAGTCTTTATTTCACTAATCCATTGATATTTCAACATTTGTATTCACCATATGAGTCTAGCAGTCTACTTCCTATAAACTGCAAGCTGAGAGGGAAATGCGATCAAACTTCCGTAAGACGCGATTCCACTTGGTCAGAAAACTTTTCGCTTCCACCTACCAAGCTATCATCAACTAGCCCGAGGCACTCCCTTAGCACCAATCCTCCAATCTGGAATAGCTTGGTTAGCTACGAAACATCTAGTATGTTACATTTAAGGAGCCTACCAACTTACTTCGCTCCTCTATAAAGTTTGACGAGTTTGGTGAGCAAGTCAAATACTGATTTCATCCTCAGTGAGCAGATGGCCACCGACCTCCCTAATTCTACTCATTGAATACAAGCAGCAAGAGATTGAGCACGAAGATGGAAGGAAACAACCAAGAGTTGTCAGACATTATCCGATAAATACTGTATGTCGAACGCTCAGAAATAGCTATGCAAAGGCAAAACAAAGAAAAAAGAAACCACCAACACGTCAAAGGCGAACACTGAACGCCCCGGAAAAAGAGATGCATCATGTTACAGTTGAATCAGATCCACCTCCGAGAAATCCGGTGGACTGCGGCTAAAGATCGTTCGACACTTGCCATCAAGGGCTTGGTACTCGTTACTGATCCAGATATGCTTGCTGAACCGTTGTGTGCGGTAGACCTCGTCATCACTAATGCCGATGTCGTCTCGAGGAATCCAAATCACGGGCCGCTTAGCGCGAAGGGCTTCATGTTGGAAGGCTCTTTGTACCAGTTGATCACGTTCATCTGGAGTGAGATCTTCTAATTCGTCGTGAATACCCGCAAAGAGGGCATGGCCCACATTGTTAGTGGCTGGACCTTGTGCTTCGGTATCGTGAACCATCTTCTCGCGGAGGGCCTTGATAGTAGGACTTGGGCCGGCTGAATTCTCTCCAAAGAACTTCGATCGCCGATCAGGTGAGCGGTTGGCCCAGGATGGTCGCTTTGTGTCAAGTTTAGGTGTAGTCAAAAGACCCGAATCGTGACGCTTTCGCCCCTCACGGTCTGCCTCCAGCGCCTTCAGTTCAATGTCATGCGCATCTCGGTCCCGGTGATGTTCCTTGCGCTCCCGATTCGCGAGGCGATGCTCAATAGCATCATCCTCGTCCTCGTCCTCGGCGTCAATGCCAAGACCGAGTCGGGCTAGCTGAGCACGGTGGAATTCCTCATCACGGCGAACAGCGTCATCTTCGAGAGTGATTGGCAGATAACGCAGAAGTGGACCAAATGCCTCATTGAGAAGGATTTGGAAGCCAATGGTCATGATAAGAACGATGATCATAACAATAGCTTGACCCTTGCAGGAGACTGATCCCTGCGTATCTCGCACGAGGAAGAACAGGCCGATCAGGCACACCTCCATGAAATACAACCCGGTAAAAAGCTGGTTCACGGCCCGCGGGAAGAGGAGACCACCAGTATCGAACCGGAATTTGGTCACGTAGAGTGTGTTGTACCGATAGACAAACCAGAAAAGACTGAATGTGATAATGTTAAATACCATGATGAGTGGAGCAACGACACAGTAAATCAGACCTAGCCAGAAATAAAGTTAGTAAGCCACTTAACGTTTCGTGAGACAAAAGGGTGTGTGGCGTACCAATTGAAGCCAAGGTGGTGTAGACGGGGAAGAATGTACCCCACTGCATTTGGTTCAGATTTGTCGTTCGAGCCCACTTCTTCCTCGCGGTGGAGTCCATGATCGGGGCGAGAATGAACCAGCTAATGAGGCCGAAGATCTGCACCAGAGCACCTGCACTCACAGACATGGCTTGCAGAATCATGTAGGAGAAGAAGTAGTTACTGGATCGGGGAATGTTTGTGGCAAGTAGCTCGGGCCAGCTGGTCACATTCGTGACATTGTCAATGATTGTCGAAAAACTGGAGGCAATAGTGACGACCAGGAACAGCTGCACAAACAGGAATGCAAAGTAGTAGTTCTGGACGGTCAACTCAATAGCCATGCCGGTGTGTAGGCCTTGAGCCTTGCTCAGGAATCGGAGTATCAGGGGCAAGATGGCCATGAGAATGGCTAAGCAAAGTGCGGGCAGAACACCTTGGATAGCAGAGATGAACCACGAAGGCAGCTTGTTGAGCCAAGCGAGCCATGTGAACGCTCCCTCGAGGTATGACAATTGCGACAGAAGTCCCGTGAATGCAACGGGGAACGCCCATCCAATTACCATGGCGATAACTAGAGTCACGATGCCAAAGGTACGGAGATAACGTTCCCACCATTTCATGGACATGTTGTCCCAAATCACGTCGTCTGGGGAGATTTCCACAATTCGAGGAGCCATCTGCTTTGGCACGTGGTGAGCGACAGATTGACATGCCATATGCGCCGCAACCTGATGGTTGAATTGAATGAATGCAGAGTTCATCAGCGGGAATCGTTCCGGATGCTGTTGGTCAACCTCAATTTCAAGGTTCAATCGCGCAAGTTCTTTCCGACAATGGTCAATGGTATCGACTTTCTTGCCAAGAAGCCACAACGAAGGCATCCATTTCCAACCAAAGATGGGAAGACGGTGCGTCTCTCTGTCCTTTTGCCGAACATACTGCTTCCAGAGTGGCTCTCCATAGTCTTCATTATCGAAATCCTCATTGTAGGCGATGGGATACTCTTCCCCCTCGATCTCATCACCCTCCTTGTGGCTTTTACGTCGATCCCCGAGTTCCTTACGTGTCTTAGACTTGGTCGATCCACGATGAGGGGTATCAGTTGTGGGAGAATCAGGGCCCGTCAGAGGATACTCATCGGGCTCCGGTCCAGATCTTTTGGAGTGTGTAGATAGGTGAGATGACATGCGATCCTTCCAAGACGGCCGCTTCTGAGGGGTAGGTCTTGTCTCTTGGCACATGCTGCCACTCTGACCTTCTTGGGGCGTTCGGGGCTTTGTCGTTGAATCAACAGATCCCATAGGTAGGTCGTCGGTGGGCGAATCACCTTCAAATATGGGAGGGCTTCTTCCACGAGGCGGCAGGTCATGGTCGGTCGTCTCCACAAAGCCACCGTTACGGCTCAATGTATTGTCAAAACCAACCTCTACCTTCTTGAGACCACCTTTGACCGTTTTCCCTAACTTCTCCACTCCGTGTCCAACCAGGCCAGCCGCCATAAGTGCCGGATCAAAGACTCCACCAGTACGCGACCCATCAGATTCACCACGCTTATGCGTCTCGGGGTGTCGATGCAGAACCTCGCGCAATGTGTGGGCCTGATGAGGGTCACCGGAGCTGATTCCAGGGCCCATAGCCATTTGAGCAGCTCGTTGGTCAGTTGCGGCCTTTTCTTCATTTGCAATCTCCTTTTTGCTTTTTCCGGACTTCTTCGCCTCGGCCTTGGCTTTCTTCAGAGCAGCCTTTTTGCATTTGGCGATCAAATCCGTCTCAGCAGTCTCAAGCTTGAGTGCAATCTTATTTCGCTCCTTGACCTTTTCATTCAACTCGTCGAAGTTGCGGTTGATCCAAATGTTCCGAATACCACCGGGAAACACATCAAACAAATTGTCCAATGAGTCGACATTCAGCCAACCGTGAGGGATGGCTGTGACGAGCACTGTTGTTGCAGAAGCACGTAGTCGATGTTGTGGGGATGTCATGTAGGCTTGACGCATACGGATATAGCCTCGCAGCTCGTCGAAGAATATGGCGCAGACATAGAAAACCATAATCACTGCCAGAATACAGTGGGCCCAATAGCGACCGGTGTGCTCAGGTTTCACGTTGCCCCAAGCCAGTTGATCCAAGCCAGTGACATTCCATCGTGGGCCAGAGTCAGTACCGTTTTGGAATGTCTTACCCTTTCCTCCCACACGGTTGATGGGCAATAGTATTGGCAGGATCAGAAGGCCCATAGGAATGAAGATTTTGAGCAGCATGCGTAGGTAGCGAAGGAAGAAATAGGCATCAAGACCGCATTTTTGAATAAATTCCGAGCTGGAGGTTCGGAAGACTGGGCCGACCCAGCGAAAGAGGCCTGGCGGAGATGGTTCGGTGCGCTCTCGGTCTGGGACTAGATAGGTTCGTGGTTGGCTAAACACAGGGAGGTTAGCTTTGTTTCTCTCTTTTGTAAATGTTCTTTGTCTCCTCATGAGTAACTCACTAGATGCGGGTTAATTTGCCTTTGAGTAGCATGAATAGTAGAAACTCGACTCCAAAGACAATCATAGCCGTCGCCAGCGAGGCCAAGAAGCTCTTGAGCGAGACACCCTCCTTCGATTTTCCATTGCCGCCAGTATATGACAACGCCTCCTCAAGGGCCGAAGTCATGGTGATCAGCGGTCAACCTGGGGCAAAGATGTTGAAAAGTGACGAAGACGATCAGATCCTGGATGCAAGATCGGCGTCACCCGAGAAGAGCCCGTTGGAGATCTTATCTCCCCCCGCACGAGTTGTTTGCTTGGTAGGTTCAAATCGGGTCTGTAGGAATGGTGGAAGCGCAGCGCATGGTCGGTCGGGTGTTGATAGTGAAGTGAAGAGTAAATCTCTCTCAACGAGGAGAAATGGGGCTTCAAAAGGAAAGGCGAACAACAAAGACGATCGGCGGCGGGACTGCCCTACGAATCGTCCTCGCTACCCACTCGTTCGTACTCCGTAATTGTACCCACCACAAAGAAGACCAGCTTTGGAAAAAAAGTCACACAATAATGACTACAGTGGCTTGTGTTTGGGTTGGCGCCCACGGACCTGATAGCTCCCCCGCGACGGGGCAAAAACAGGGATGATTGGAGGGACTGTGGAAATGCCGATCGCCCTGTAGGATGACATCAGGCGTCTGGTGAAACAGCCAAGCAGATCCCGGCGGCTTCAGCGAGAGCGTGGGAATCGCAAGCGATAGCAGGCTTTGGAAGTAGTAGACTTGCGAGTTGGAGAATCTTGTAGCCTGCGCGAATCCAGCCATTGAATTGCGCTTGCGACTGCCAAGTCGTTTCATTTAACAAAGCAACTGCGAAACGGCCAAAAGAACACAGACCAAAAGGGGACGGACGACGCCACGGCCAACGGGTCCAAAAAGGGAAAGAAGTGGAGTCCAAATTCCCTGGAAAGTGGCTGTGCATTGATGAAGGGACAATTGGCATTACCCAATCAGGGATCAGTGTGGCTCAGGCACACCCCCTTTTTCCCAATGTATGTCACGTGACCCCATCATGTTTCTGCTATGGTCATGTGACCTTCACTCGACGCGCCGTCCCAAAAAGGAAACCACTTAACGCGTGTTCGTGTCTCTGCACGCGTCCCGCCGAAAAAAGAGCTTTTGCTCTCCCTTTCTCTAAACACTCGAAACTCCGTCCGTCGTTCTCCACCACCACAACCATCTCAACCCCCCGCCCTCCCCTCCTCACCACCACACACAAAAACACATACACACAGGCATCATGTCTTCGCCGGCTTCTCGGAGGACTCGTGCCTCTAATAAATCATCCACACCGTCAAGATCATCTCGGGAACCGCCTAGCAGCCCAACGATGAGAGAATCGACCCCCCGTGCCGCCCGAGCCCTCGCCGCCGAGCGCAACATCCCATCCTCCTCCCCAGCAGCCTATCAGTCCTCTCCTATGAGGCAACGGAGTGCAGAGACGCCAGATGTTCGAATGGGCGACGCAAGCTCGCAGGTTGATGATGGAGATAGGACTCCACGAGCGAACCAAGGAGTTAGAGGTATGCGATCGAAATTTTTCTCTCCATATCTGCCCCATCATACTGTCCAGCAATTGTGCCCCCAGATATTGACATCAAGACAGATTCTTCTCCTATCAGTTATATTGCAAGCTCCAGTCCTGCCCGCGGTCTGGGTCGATCAGATATCCGGTCTGACATTCGCTCCGATGCCCTGAGTACCAGCAGTGGGCTGTTCGTCTCCCCTAGCGGTGGCCGCCGAGGCCCTCGTCGCAGTGACCTTCACTCTAGTGGTCTGAATTCGACCCCTGCTCGTCGGAATCGCATGTTTGTCGGTCCCAATGGCATGCCCGCAGGCGACAATGCCCCTCGGTCTGATGCGACCTTCTCTAACATCAACCCTGGCACCTCCGAGGCCGAGGCCATGGCAGGTAACTCTACTCGTGTGATCTGGGGTACCAACGTCTCGATCCATGATTCCATGTCCGCATTCAAGAACTTCCTGTACAACTTTGCCACGAAATACCGCCTTTGGGCCGATGGTGCGTCGGATAACGAGGTTCGCGTCATGGGTGATGCGGCGGAGAAGCGCGAATATATTACTATGATGAACGACATGCGCCGACTTGGTTTAACAACATTCAACCTTGATTGCAAGAATCTCAAGGCCTATCCCCTTACACAAAAGTTGTGGCACCAGCTGCTCGCATACCCGCAAGAAATCGTGCCTTTGATGGATCAGGCTGTCAAGGATGTCATGGTTGATTTGGCTTTGAAGGAGATGGATGTGTTGCGGTCCGAGATTCAGCGTGGTGGCCAGACCCGTGACCGTCGTGGCCAGTCAATTCTGACCTCGGATGGTGTTGGCCCCGCCGCTGATGTGCCCGATCTGGTCCAAGAAGTCGAGACCGTCAACTACAAGGTCCTGCCATTCGGCCTGGACCAGAGCATCAACATGAGAGATTTGGACCCGGCTGGTAAGTCTTGAGACATTACGCTTGTGACTTGAAGATTCTAACTGGTAATAGATATGGACAAGCTGGTCAGCATCAAGGGTTTGGTCATTCGTACCACTCCCATTATTCCCGACATGAAAGATGGTATGTCAGCAATGTACTCTTTCCCTAATCGACTCCTGCTAACCCGGTTTCAGCATTCTTCCGCTGCAGCGTTTGCAGCTACGGAGTCACTGTCGAGATTGACCGTGGCAGAATCGCCGAGCCCACTACCTGTCTTCGCGATTCTTGCAAGTCTCAGAACTCCATGCAGCTCATTCACAACCGCTGCAACTTCTCTGATAAGCAGGTCATCAAGCTTCAAGAAACCCCAGACAACGTTCCCGATGGTCAAACACCTCACTCCGTGTCTCTGTGTGTCTACGATGAGTTGGTCGATGTCTGCAAGGCCGGTGATCGCGTTGAGGTGACTGGTATTTTCCGTTGCAACCCGATGCGTGTCAGTGCTCGCCAACGCTCGCAGAAGGCTCTCTTCAAGACCTACATCGACGTCCTGCATGTGCAGAAGGTTGACCGCAAGAAGATGGGTATTGACGTGTCCACCATTGAGCAAGAGATGTCCGAACAAGCCGCCGAGGCCGATCAGGCCCGCAAGATCTCAGCCGAGGAGGAGGAAAAGATTCGTCGCACTGCCTCCCGTCCCGATATCTACGAGTTGCTGTCCCGGTCCCTGGCTCCCAGTATCTACGAGGCGGACGATGTGAAGAAGGGTATTCTGCTGCAGATGTTTGGTGGTACCAACAAGACCTTCCAGAAGGGTGGTAACCCACGCTACCGTGGTGACATTAACATCCTGCTTTGCGGTGACCCTTCTACTGCCAAGTCTCAACTTTTGCGCTACGTGCACAAGATCGCTCCCCGTGGTGTCTACACCAGTGGTAAGGGTTCTTCGGCGGTCGGTCTGACTGCCTATGTCACCCGTGACCCTGAGACCAAGCAGATGGTTCTCGAGTCCGGTGCCCTGGTCTTGTCCGATGGCGGTACTTGCTGCATTGACGAGTTCGACAAGATGAACGAAGCCACTCGGTCCGTTCTCCACGAGGTGATGGAGCAGCAGACTGTGTCCATCGCCAAGGCTGGTATCATTACCACTCTCAACGCCCGCACGTCTATTCTGGCGTCTGCCAACCCCATCGGCAGTCGCTACAACCCTAAGCTTCCCGTCCCTCAGAACATCGATTTGCCCCCGACTCTACTCTCTCGTTTCGATCTGGTGTACCTGGTTCTGGATCGCGTTGACGAGACGGAGGACCGCCGCCTGGCCAAGCACTTGGTCGGCATGTACTTGGAGGATACTCCCGAGAACGCTGCATCCGAGGAGGTTCTGGTAAGAATCTCCCCTTCTACGAGTAATCGACGCTCTTTTGTTGCAATCCCCACTAACATTCCTTTCTTAGCCCATCGAGTTCCTCACTGCTTACATCACCTACGCCAAGACCCGAGTTCACCCCGTCATCACCCCCGAGGCTGGTGCCGCCCTGTCCGACGCCTACGTTGCCATGCGCCAGCTCGGTGATGACATTCGTGCCTCCGAGCGCCGCATCACCGCCACAACCCGTCAGCTGGAATCTATGATTCGTCTCTCAGAAGCACACGCGCGCATGCGCCTCTCCCCAGAAGTCACCGCTGCCGACGTCGAAGAAGCCGTGCGCCTGATCCGCTCTGCCATCAAGCAAGCCGCGACGGACGCGCGCACTGGCCTGATCGATATGGGCCTGCTGACCGAAGGTACTAGTGCCAGTGAGCGCCGACTGCGTGAGGATCTGAAGCGGGCTGTGCTGGCACGGCTCGAGGAGCGTGGCGGCGTGGCTGGTACTGCCGTGCGTTGGGGTGATCTGTTCCGCGATATGAGCGAGTCCAGTGACGTTGCGCTGGATCACCACCAGTTCGGCGATGCGGTGCGCTCGCTCGAGGCTGAGGGTGCCGTGCATGTCTCGGGCGAGGGAGCCCGACGGAGTATCCGTCGTGCGGCGACGGGCTTGTCCTAGAGGGTGACTAAAGTTGAGCATGGATTGATCATGATCTGATTGCGTTGCGTATTTTCTACACTATTCTATTCTGGTCATGTTCTTGTTGTTTCTTTCTTTCCTACGATGCAATGATCGACCGGGCTGCATATTGAGCCCAAGGCCATGGGGTGTTTGTTTTTGTTATGGAGGGCGTTTGGCTGTCTATTGTAGTAACATTTCAAGAGAAGATACATATGCATTTTTTATAATGAACCCCCAACAAGCTTCCACTTGTGTATCATGATTGTAGTTACCTCGGAATATGAATATATAGCCAGTCCTATAGATAGAATTGTTGCTGCCCTACTTACTCAAACATGTAACTAAGTTACGGATTGGGTTTACAGTTCACCCGGTGGCCAGGTGGAAAGATACCTGAGCACTTGACCTAGGTAGTTTTGGGAGTAATCCGTATGTCATCAAGTAGGATTTATAAGTTTTCTAGAGGTAAGGTTGAGTTGGATTAGGAGGAAGAACTACATATATCCATATGAACGCTCATTCACATATATATTTAGGGGATCGAGTCCTTCTTGCTGTCAGTATATTCCTCTTTTATTTTCTATTTGAAGTCAGTGAAAGGAATAGAGACAAATAGACCGCAAAACAGAAATGACCAAGCCAAATCGTAGTGTCACTCGATCCCCTGTCTATTTACTGGCTCTCTCCGACACGGTGTTTCCCGTGTCGCGTGAGGGCCTTCCGCTTCCGGCGGAGTGGAAGTGGACCGGCACTTCGAGTTTAGCCGAGATATAGGCGTAGGCAGCCGACTTGCAGCATACATAATACACACTGCTGATAATAATATTTTGTGGGTAAATAATTTACTGCAATATATTATGTAGTAGTATCTAGTCATGACTATACGTATATATACTCTGGTTGAGCTACTCAAAAGCTTTGATTGTGTATCTGGCGCACATTTCTGTTTAACGGGTTCTTACGTGTTGCTCTCTCTAACCTGCCGGGCAAAATCCAGTGTTCTCCGTAGAACTCGAGAGCAGTGGGCCTCGGGCTAAATCAACGGGGCCCCAGTCTGGCGCCTCGCTTGGAATAGGCTGACTGTTACGGTAGTGGTGGCGTAAATATCTGCGCAGGGCTGGAAGTACTTGAGATAGTCAGAAATTAGGGTTTAAGGGTAACGTCCTCCTCCTAACGAGATATGATCGTCCTCTTTGCATATACTCTATTTGGATATTAACCAGATAAGAGAAATTTACCTGTTATGAACTGCAGTAGAAAAGAAGAAAACAACTGCCACCTCCACGTCCAAACATCAAGAGTCCCACCCACGGACCAGTTCCCCCCGCCAGTGGATCGGAGCAAATGGGGAGCTACGGCCTGGCCCCGAGCTTCGGGTTTCTCACACTGTACATACAGTATGTAGAGGCTCCGAGGATGAGAGAACCGTTGGATTGGCATTTGATATTTTAATAGGCCCTGGTCAATCTCCAAGTGCAACCCTAGGTAGATGTCGGATGGTACCTGTGCCGGGGTGTTGGGAGTACCCTGTGTCTAGGTCTATAAGATATACTATACTACAATGGGCGAGGACGATTGTCTGTGTATTTTCCGTTCATCAATGATGTCAAGTCGGCAAGTCCCGTCGGACAAAGCATAATGATCGGAATGATTTCTACCTTGTTACTCTCAAGTACTAGAGTAGACTACCGACTAGCGTGCAGCTGGATGGAGTGTTTCATTTTTAGTTTGTTTCGTTTGCGCCCATCGGGGAGAGCACGTGCGAATCTCGTGACGTTGACTGGCCAGATATGGATGCTGACTCATTAGCGGTGCTGCACCTCCAGGATAACCGCAGCCAATCAGAACCCGAGAAATCCAGAGAGCTCTCATCGTGCAGCAACGAGTCTCGCTCGCTGGTCAATTGGTCTCATGGAGCTACGCCAATTTATTGCCGGTCACACAAGGTTATACACAGGAATACACACTAACTGTGAGAAGCTGGAGCATGCATTGGCGGGTTCCCAAGAAACTCACGTTCCAAGCTCTTCTCCGGGTGGAATTGACCGAATGGGTCCTCCCCCAGTCTAGCCGTTCTCGGGCGGCCGATAGAGTATCGCCGCCTCTTGCTTTTGACTCTCTCATCTCGCCCACCTGGAATTTTCCTCTTCTTGCCATGCTTGACTGACCCCTTCGAGCTTCATTCTCCCTCAACTTTGCCCATAATGAGGTACAGTCACCCCCCATGATCCTCCCCCAATTGCAATTCTCTGGATCTTCGCATATTACCAGCCACCCCTGCCGATTCCCGCGCTCTCTCTCAGATAGCTCTCCCTCGCCCGCAATCCAATCCAATCCTCCGATCCCCCCACATAGCTTGCTAATCATGGCCCAAAACTACAACTGACATCTTCTCCTTCCAGGTTCGGTGAGCATCTCCGATCTTCTATGATCAAGGAGTACTACCCTCACTACATTGCCTACGACGAGCTCAAGAAAGCCCTCAAAACCGACTTCGTCACCCAACCCACCCCGGACAACGTCAAGCCCGCCCGCAAGGAATGGACCGAGGATGACGAGACTACCTTTGTCACTTCGCTCGAGTCCGAACTCGAGAAGGTTTTTCTTTTCCAGAAGCGCAAGTCTGAGGAGATCGTCGAGCGCATTAAAGAGAGCGAAGTCGAGGTGAATGACGTCGTCTCCCGTCTCGACGACAGTGTCCGTCGCCAGAGCACCCGCGCCTCGAGGCCACCACCCACCGACGAGGATTTCCTGCTGCTGGAGCAGGTGCTCTCCGATATTATCGCCGACGTGCATGATCTGGCCAAATTCACTCAATTGAATTACACTGGCTTCCAGAAGATCATCAAGAAGCACGATGTAGGTGGTCCCAATTGCTCCGTCCTTGTCCCCCTCCGCCCGCAGAGTTCTACTCTAAGCTGTCGCCCTAACCAAGATTGATCCCCATTGCGCTGTATACAAGATAGTAGACTGACAATTCACAGAAAGAGACAAAATGGTACCTCAAGCCCGTCTTCGCGGCCCGACTCAATGCCAAGCCCTTCTTCAAGGATAATTACGACGCCTTCGTGGTGAAGCTCTCCAAACTCTACGACCTGGTTCGCACCAAGGGTAATCCGGTCAAGGGAGACTCGTCCGCCGGTGGATCTCAGCAGAACTTTGTGCGTCAGACCACCAAATACTGGGTGCATCGCGACAACATCACCGAGTTGAAGCTGGTGATTTTGAAACACTTGCCCGTGCTGGTCTTCAATGCTAGCAAGGAGTTTGAGGAGAAGGATACCGCTATCTCGTCCATCTACTACGACAACCCAGATACCTGGGAGCTCTACCAAGGTCGTCTCAAGAAGACCGAGGGTGCCGAGGCCATTCGTCTGCGTTGGTATGGTGGCATGGAGAGCGACCAAATCTTTGTCGAGCGCAAGACTCATCGCGAAGACTGGACGGGTGAAAAGTCCGTCAAGGCCCGTTTTGCCCTCAAGGAGAAGAATGTCAATGCCTTCCTGGATGGCCGCATGACTGTCGAGCAGGTCTTTGACAAGATGCGCAAGGAAGGCAAGAAGAGCGCCGATGAGATCAACGATCTCGAGCAGCTCGCCCGTGAGGTTCAATATCGAGTCATTACCCGCCGCCTCGTCCCCGTTACTCGCACCTTCTACCACCGTACCGCCTTCCAGCTGCCAGGTGATGCCCGTGTGCGTATCTCTTTGGACACCGAGCTCACTATGGTTCGTGAGGATAACCTGGATGGCCGTCGGCGTGCTGGAGCTAACTGGCGTCGTATGGATATTGGCGTCGACTTTCCGTTCTCACAGCTTCCGCCTGAGGATATTGACCGCTTCCCATACGCCGTGCTGGAGGTCAAGCTGCAGACGCAGGCAGGCCAGGAGCCGCCGCAGTGGATCCGCGATCTTACGGCATCGCACCTCGTCGAGGCTGTGCCCAAGTTCAGCAAGTTTATTCACGGCACGGCCACTCTCTTCCCTACCCGTATCAACCTCCTGCCCTTCTGGTACCCACAGATGGACACGGATATCCGCAAGCCACCGACCCGCCGCTACGGTATCCACCGCCCCCTGGCGAGCACCTCGCTGTCCGCGAATGACGAAGACTCGGACGACGATGATTCACCCCAGCTTACCGAGAGCGCTACCCTGAACGGGTCGCGCGAGGGCTCAGACGACCGGTACCTCTTCACTGAGACTAACGGGAATGAGTTGGACATTGAGGAGCGTATTGCTGCACACCCCTTGCCCGGTGATGAGGATTACCCGCTTTACGACTCGGACGATGAGTATGACACTGTGGACTCGGATGAGCTGGAGGAGGCACGCCGTGTTGGTGGTGCTTATTATGCAGAACAACTGGCCAAGTATTACGTTCTGAAGACCAGGCGTGCGATCGCACAGGGACTCTGGGCGATCATTCCCCGGCCTCGGGCTACTGTGATGCCACCCCAAGAGGCTCGTGGTATCCAGGTGCTTGGTGCCCAACGAAGGCTGCAGCGTTTCCAGGCGCCCCCTGGCAAGAGTAAGTCTTTCCCCTGACGCTTATTTATTCCATGCTCTCTCAGTGTGGCCCCCAACTAACACGATATAGAAATCTTCGTCCCTGTTCGTGTCGAACCTAAGGTTTACTTCGCTGCTGAACGTACGTTCCTTTCTTGGCTAGAATTCTCCATCATCCTGGGTGGTATCGCTGCCACCCTCCTCAACTTTGGCGTCGACTCCATCTCGCTTGCGAGCTCGTGGGCCTTTACCATCCTCGCCGCCGGTGCCCTCGTCTACTCTTTGCTCCTGTACGTCTGGCGTGTGGACAAGATCCGCAAGCGTCGCGATGTCAAGCGAGTCTACTACGAGAAGTGGGGCCCTACCATTGTCAGTGTGGGTCTCGTGGTCGTTGTATTGGTGAACTTTGGTCTGCGTGTCAAGGCTGGTGGATTTATGGCTGGGAAGTTGCCTTTGGATGGTAGACCCCGCCATGGCGATGAGCTTTGATTGTTACGTTTGGGGAGTTGGGTATTGGAGACCTGACTTTGTGATTCAGTTGCTTTTTGCTTTGGCGAGCGACAGCCGACTTCGGCCGTTGAGTGGCCAGTATGATGGGGTCACGTTGAACTCTGTATTTACCATGGCGTTGCATTTTTTTTCTTCTGAGTGTTTTCCATTGCTTGGAGCTCGTGGCGTTGGCATTTTGTACAGAAATGAGATGAGTAGCGTGTATGTCAATATTATGGAATTTGCATGGAATTCGTATTTGGGTCACGGTCTAATTGTTTATTCTATCCACCAAGGAGGGATTGTGTTGTAGATCGGTTAAGGGAAGATCCGATATAAGTCAATCGTAATTTGGTAACTCCCTCCTTATGCTTTAATATCGTTGATGCCACTCTAACTTGGATTTCTTTCTCTCCACACCCTATCCCCCATCGTCGGGGCCGTATACTGTGACGGACAAGTGCTTCATATGTCAACCCTTATACACTATACATATATACCACCTGATAAGTGACTTCCTATTATGAGAAAACTACTGGCGAAAGCATCACCGACCCTATATCCACGATCATCCTTGAATGTCCTCCTGATGCGAGATTGTACCCTTTTCGTTTATCTGGGTCTGGCACCGGCTCCAGGTCAGCAAGATGAGCTCTACCCAACGTATACATGGATTTGAGTATCCAAACCGATTCTATCATACTATCTTTCTTCTCTTACTCTCTTTGCCTTGGCATCATCTGTCTGTCAAGTCTGCATCTACCGTTGTATCTTTTCGTCTGCGGATATACAACACTCCCCTTCTTCCAATCGTATTCGCCGGAGGGGTCATGCATTTGCACTGGATGATCGGTATTCCAACAACATGCGGTGAGATTCACGACAGCGCCGATGGTAAGATCATAGGAAGGTACGTATTACTGTAGACATATGCTTCACTGGGTCTACTTCTACTTGCCAAAGCGATCGTTGATTTCCACGGGAGGCTGATATCAGTGTATATTTTCGCTCTTGGCAGACGGAGCTGATAATTGGTGGACCCTCAAATTCTCTACTGTATCAGCCAGACCACTGGGAGGTCCAGTTGAAGGATATCATCGCGGAGATTGAGAGATATCTGGTCGATCACCACCTGCTGGATAGACCATCCCTTCGAGCGCAAGAAATGCTTCTTACTGGTTCTTCCGTCTTTCCACTGTCGACCTTCTTGATTCGATATATTCGCGACACGGCTTCACATCAATGCCTCACGCACCTAACCCTTCTCTTCTGGCGATGTTCAGCACTTGAAGCTCATTGATACAAGATCTGGCTTCACCTTCGGGCAACGAACTCTTGAAACAGCCGGTCCAATATCAAGACTCTCCGCTTGTATTCACCTATGCTCTTACCAACAGAGAGTACCCCGTACAGAAACCACGAACATCTTAGACTTTGCCTCTACCGTGCTCGTAAGACTGACCCCCACAAGTATGATGCGGCTCAACGGTATGTGCCATTAATCCACATATGCTTCGCGTTGCTTACTCTTCCGTTACAGAATACTCTACACTTCCATCAAACTCAACATGCACATCACGTACGCATCTCTTACAATTCGACATCACTTGATATCGATATTGCCTCGACGTACACAGCCGTTAGGGCAGGCTCGGCAAAAACCTTGCAGCCTCAACTACGAGCCAACGAAATCCTCGAAGCCTCACATTCTATGACACTGCGTGTGGGACTTGGGGAAATTGGCACGGACAACGTTGAAAACAAGTCTGACGCCGATGTATGCGAGGGTGGACTTGTTCGCCGAAGAATCCACCAGATCCGAGCTTGCGTTCTGCTCTCACTCGGACCCCTCAAGGATGACGCCTCTTGCCCAGACACGGTATTATATGGCGTGTTTCTATACATCGCCGCGAAAGAGATCGACCGCTGACACCTTTGTTCGGAGTGTTTCCACGTGCGACATAAAACATGAGTTAGACCAACATCGTCCCTGAAAGTGAGATTCTGAAAAAGCAGCGGATGAGGTTTCTTTGAAGAAATAATACCGAGCGGTATGTATCACTATAAATACCCGCTGTGCTGGTCACTCGAATACTGTATAACACTCTTCGCAACTTTCCTATTCTGGCGATAAACTGATATTTGATGGTTTTCTATAGTGCAATCTTCGACCACACTGAGGTTGGTTACTCCGGTGTTGTCGTGACCGGACTCAAGCTTGAAAACCTCGCTATCCTAGCTCTAATACCCTGAGAATGAGTTAATCTCGGGCCAATGGATCCCTTCGCAGCTGTGGCACTGGGTGGTTGCCGACGGATGGACTTACTGTCCACAATTCTACAATTTGACTGTTGAATAATTGTGGTTGACTGGCTTGATGAAAATAGATGAGGATGGATATGGTGCAAGTAAAACTGGCTTATACCGGGAGAGCAGTGCTTGAGAGTAGTCCAGAATGTATTGATAATTCAAGTCCACTCTTCTCTCAATCCAAGACTCCGTGGCATATTTCAATCAAAGACGTAGTCGTGAAATGAGATCTCCTCCTGGCGAGCCCACCAAATCCTCCACTTGAAGACGTCTCCCAGGATTTTTCTTCCTTCCTTCACCACCCCTCTCCCACTTTCTCTCACAAATTTCCACCCCTGACCTATTTTTCCTGTACATATCTGAAGAATATCCCATTATGCAACCGGAGTCATTCATTCACGGAATGAACGATATGGAGAAAGCTCTCGAGAACGAGGCTCCCCAAGTTGACCTGGGCATCAACAGCGCTCCGATCTCACTTTCGAGTATTGCATCTCGAATGAGCATCAGCGCATTATGTGAAACGGAAGATCCACTGATTTCCATGTCCGCTATCGCGTCCCAGATGCGTTTCGGTGGAGTCTATGCGGATAGCAGCCTGCGTGAGTCTCGCAAGACTCCCGAGCCGGCTGCTGTCTCAGAGCTGTCCGAGTCTCCGCTCACGTCCACGGCTCCGAGCACACCTACGGTCAAGTCTGACACTGTGGCCTGCCACGATGAAGATGAGGAGGCCCCGCGCTCGCTCAAGCGGAAGCGCCAGCCTGTTAAAATCTTTTCAACACCCTCGAGCTCTACTCGAACTACTCCTGCGCATTCCCCTGATTCTGTGGTGCCACCTTCGGGATCTTCTGATGTCTCTCGAAAGATTCGCTCCTTGAGGTACGTCCCAAGTGAACTCTAGCCACCCATAAGTTGCCTTTACTAACCCCTCTCATAGAATAGAGAGCCCCATTGCCGATGAAAGCCCCGGCCGCCCTCGACTGCGTTCGGAGGCCCGGAAATTGAAGCGAGAAGCGGGTCAGACTGAGGACAACACTCGCTCTATGCAAGCCGAGCTGTCCAGTCTCAGAACTCAGGTGGACCATGAAAAGCGCGAAAATGCCAAACTGAAGGCGCAAGCCACCAAAGACAAGGATGGACTCAAATCCTTGCGAGCAGAGTTGAAAGCATTGCGCTCCGAATTCGCAAGCGAGCGTTGCGAAAGCTCCGAGCTGAAAGGCCAGGTTGTCGCCCTGCGCGCTGATCTTGACCTCCTTCGTTCTGAGGTCCAAGGGGACTCTACAGGTGATGCCAGCATCATCCCTGAGACACGCCGAGACGTTGACAAAATTCTCCTAATGAATGACATGCTGCGCAGAGTGATCCAAGGCGAGCGGATCAATACTCAAGAAATGCGGAGCAAACTCAACTCTGTTCGGGAGAAGGTTGGGCCTTTGATGGCCAAGGTGGATGACATTCAAGAGGCCGTGAATGAGCTCCGGGCCAACCTGACTACCCATGATGCTCCAATTGAGCTTATTATGGACTTTGTGCGAAACTTCCATCAGTGGTGGGTTGGAAGATACCACGCACGTCTCGAGGCTCGTGGCCAGGCAGGTAATGATTCAGCTCCAGCTCCAGCTGCAGGTGTTTGAGATGATGGTGTTGCATTTGATGAAGGTTTCTATTGTACTATTCTACACGTGTGAAAATATTCAGGCCTTGTGAAAGTGATGATACAGCTGCCTTGAGAATGTGATTCTTGTGAGAATAATGACTGTTTACCTACCACTGTATACTGAGGACTGGATTGCTCATAAGGCTACAGTGCACTATCTATCTGTCTTCGCTAGTCAACCATCAGGCAAACATCCAGCTGCCTTGGTGATGACCATGTTGCCTGGGACCTCTCACTCTGCTGCCTGACTATACAAAAGAAAACATTTAAATATCTCCCTGTGCCCCTGGGGTCCTCTCCTCCACGATTCCTGCACATTCTCCACACCTTCACCCACACACCCACACACCCACCACACAAGGCTGGCCCTTGTGAACAACATGTCCAATTTCCAACCCTTGCAACAAAATGGTTGACACCCAGAGCCCAGACCAGGGCAAGAAGCGCAAGAGGCCCGAGGCGGAGGAGGAGACTTCGACTCGCACCAAGCGAGCACGGTAAGTCCACCTACAAAATCCGTCTTCTACAGAAGTACAGCATGCTAAGCATATGCCACAAGCAGCCACGAAACCACCACCGAGGGTCCGTCCAAGCGGGCCACAGTGGAGGAGAGCCTGCCAGAGGAAGCCCCTCGCGATACGCAGGCGCAATCTGAGCTGGCCACTCTGCAGGCTCGAATCCTCGAATTGGAGGCGCGGGATCGTGCCCGAGCCAAAGAGCTCGCCTACTTCCAGGCAGCCCTCCGAGACTGCCGAGAAGAGGTTGTCTCTCTCCGGGCTCGAGCCCAGGCCCGACCCCCGGCCCCATCTCCACTTGAGGACCAGGTGAAGTGGAACCGCCTGTGGTCAACGCTCACCTCGATGCGACAAGTGATGCGAGAGGAGGGCGCGGCGGTGAGGGCTCAGCAACGGCAGCTAGAATCTCAACAACGACAGCTGGAGTCTCAGCAGCGCCTGCTCGACGAGAGAATCTTGTTTGATGGGGTTGCTATCCGGGGGGAGCAGCGCGAGATCAGACGCCTGCGGACTGAGGTTCGAGAGTCGACCGAGAGCGTGGTGGAGAGCTTGGCATATGTCTACCATCAACTGCTGGCTCGGTTTGGGGAGGCGATGGGGTGAGGAGGAGGTGTTCGTTGGGGGAGCTGGTAGAGGAGACTGATTCATTGCTTGCCTTGAGCTGGTCTCGGCGGTGATAATCAGATCTTCCTGATCGGCGGGCAGAGGGGGAAGGGGAGGAAGAGGAGGACGAGAGCTTGTTTGAGTGTGGTGGCTTGGGGAGGAATGGAGGGGCTGCTGGTTTGGCTTGATGATGGTCGAGGAGAATAGAATGCTGGTCATTCCCTGGAGAATCTAATTCCGCCTCGAAGAATAAATAGTTCAATTCTTGAATAAGAATTGTTGTGGCCGCCATGATTATCTATATTCCAAGTCATACCTATTGGCCATAGTCTAGTAGTGTGGAACATATTCGAAATTGGAAATCTGGATTTTGATTGTAGCTGTAGCTAAACTAAAGAGATCCCGATTGGATCAGATAAGATCGTTCTTTAATGCACAGACCAACTTGCGCTCCAAGTGGATTCACCCAAGCGGGTCCATGGAATCCTTCTGGAATCGCCCACGAACCACATTCCAGAACTATGAATTTTGAACAAAGAACGAATCAAACCCCAACAAGGAATCGAGACACCATCTACTCCTCCCTTGCTCCAGCACCAGATTCAGCCCGCATGGCCGCATCGCTCTGGAGAGAATGGGCCACCTCCCCGAGAACCCTGAGATGGCTACGCACGCAGTTCTCATCGTGGATGTGACGACGAGGTTGGGCACCTACTGGAGGTGCTTGTCCCCTGACGAAACAACCATATTAGTAAAATATGTACATGGAATGGTGAAATGTGTGTTGAGAGTGTAATGGATGACTCACGAAGACTGTCACGAAGCTTCTCGGACGAGTCAGCCAGGTACTCGAAGCCACTCTGGTGACGGTCGATCTGCATCTGGAGGGACTCGAGCTTGGCCCGGATGGAAGCAAGCATGGTGTTGATCTTTGAGTTCTCGGCCTGAGCTGCCTTGAGGTCATTCTCAAGCTTGGCGATCTTGTCGGCCTGGACTTCCTTGAGGGCGTTCTCCAGCTTGCTGATCCTGCTTGGCCGTGGGTTAGACAGTGTGCTACAGGATGAGGGTACCATAACCTGGGGTTATGAGACTCACCGCTGGCTCTTGGTAGCCTTCTTCTCAGGCTTCTGGATGGCTCCAGACTTGTTCTTTGGTTGGGTCATTTTGACTTGACCAGGAAGCAGGTTGAGGTTGATAATGTTTTTGATAGATTTGGAGATGGAAAAGAACGTTGGACTTTGTATTTGATGAGTAGAGAGATGGTAAATGGCGAGGACGAGGATGAGAAGGACAAAACAGGATGAAGGTATACAAACGCGTCAATAGCTTTGGCACGTGCGCCATATTCACGCGCAATTGACACCCTGATAGTCCATTTTGGGTTAGCGTGAAGCAATTGTGTTGTATATCATCACCGAAAATCACACCGCCCAAACTTCTATCAATAAAACTTTCTTAACATCCTCAAATGTGGGCAAACCGCCCTCGCTAAGTGACGGTTACCGGGATATATCCCGCTACATTGTGACTGTTCGAGCTTCGTGTGGGGATTACTGTTGATGTCTATCCTGGACAATGGATATGAATCAACAGGCTTTACCAAGGGTTGATACTACACACTCAACGAACAAAGAGAGAACATGGAGGGCAAATTTAATCAGGTAAAGCGGTCCGGGCATCAAAAAGATCTTGCTCTATATCTGGGCAATCATATACATCGAAGAATGGCAAGGTTAGAGGCCTCTTTGTGTTTGGCGAGACTGACGCGAATCATGTTATTGCTGTACAGACAATTCCCACGGGAAAAATATGCCCTGACCATGAATTTTGACTGTGGAATCTCACAGGGAAGTCTGGAAGTGTGATGGCTTCAATTCAATGCGGCAATTACTAGAAATTATCAGTCTAGGCACTCAAATTCCAAAGCTTTCTACGAGTTAGGACAAGCTTGGTGTGCAGGACCCGCTTTTCTGGAACCACTACGACATCACATCAAACGATGCCTACTCATACAGAACGAGGAAGACAGCGACTCAGCGGACCTGAACAGGCGAGAGCAAACATGGAACTTCCCGAAATGGTTTAGCATAGACTGCTCCTGCACTTCCCGTCAACCTTGCCTAAGACTTTTTTAACAACCCTGTCTCTGCAAGACCTTCCACCACTTCTCACGACTCGGTGGTTGACGACACCGCTCAGACAGACGTCTGTCTTTAACTTAATCTACAAAAAACGACAAATCAAGGGCAGCCTACGAATCTGGAATTCACAAAGACTCAGAGTGTTGACCCTCATTCCAGATGGCCAACAACCTGATGCCTCATGTCAGAGCCTACGTCCAGGTCTTCACCACGATTCCGCTGTTCCCAGCCGCCATCGAACAGATTGAAATCTACTACCCAGACTTGGGTATTCGCAACGCGGAGCAAGAGTACGTACCTAACAATTATGACTCTTGATCAAAAACACAAAAGACCAGCTCTGACGTGAGAGAATCAGATGGGCCAACAACATGCGCCTGCAGCTGCAGACGTGGTACACAGTGATGCGGCTCTTCAGCACCATCCAGGATGCCGAAGTTGCCGAGTCTGAAGATAGCGGCGCCGACGACGAAAGCATCGACGACCTCGACCGGCTCTATTCCCAACTACAAGAGGCACATGATGAAATGACTCGGTTGGGCGTGGAGGGCCAGATTCTTACCAGCCGATACCAAATCCTCTCGCTCCAGGCCCGTGACCGGTTCGAACTCGCTATGCTACAAGCCAATGGAGGAGTGCGAGGAGGATATTGACAGGGAGAGTTGGGGGCAACTCGAACCCCGCCACCTGCGGATGCTGGATGGGGCAGAGCCAGACGGGGACGAGGATGAGGAGGAGGAAGAGGAAGAGGAGATGGTGGAGTTTACGGAGGATGACGATGGGGACGAGGGTGACGAGGGCGACGAGGGCGACGAGATCTGATCTAGACAGATCAATGTGTTGCAGAAAGATTTGCAATGTAGAATAACACATTCTACGGAAGCGAGATTATTGCTGCATCGTCCTTTTTTCAGATACTCCCATCGCGTCCCGACATGAAGTAGTTGATGCCCTGACAGTATAGATGAAAGACCACAAAGTCCATGAAAGTACCATTGACACTGTATGAAGTCATCGTTCATATAATCAAGTTCACGTCAGATCGCACGCAATATACCTTCACTATTCATATCATATCGCACTCATCGAACGCTCATTTGAATGTGATCTCGTGAATGAGAGTATTCTGGCATCTATGGGCGCCCAATAATGACATGTATAGCCCATCTCACTGCCCATAATTATTGATATCCACGGGATTCCAGCATTTTGGAAATATTGTTGACTACTCAAGCTACAAGTTTGTTATTTCAGTTTGCCATTCCATGATTCGATGGGCCAGTATGTATCCGCGTCTGTTCCTTATGCAGAGCCTTCCTAGCGAGACCTCTTTAACCCAATCCATGGAAGAATGGGGTATAAGTAACTCTATCCCCGCTAGAAATAGGCATAAAGTACTACGGAAATTGACCTTCAAGATATTTAACTCCAATCTGAGTGCTCCCTGGGCTTGGCGGGAATACAAACCCCTTCGAGTCCCGAGGCTCTATACCAGGACAGTATCTAGATCCAAACTAAACTCGAGCAGATTATCACACATACTGCCACTGCATGTAACCGTATCTCTCGAAAACAACTGCACTTGTACATCAAAAACCTCTCATGGTTGATGGCTTTGAAGACACAGATCACTGATCCAGGAAAAGTAGATCTTAGAGGGTGAATAACTCATACTGATTTAACTCAATTGACTTCATATAAGAAGTCTGCATGGTGCTATGTGTATGGAGCAGTGCATGCAGTCCGCATGCTTACTATGAGACACGACATGAACCTGCAGACAATGGGCTTGTTCTCGCGCTTTCTATAACTTTCGGTAAGGCGGCTGAATGGACGGTCATTTCCAATTGAAAAGGTCGAAACATAAAAGATCCCAATTAAGTGCATTGAGGAAGGATGTTACAAGAGTTCGAGGGATATCCCATAAATGGACTTCTTTTGCAGGGAATGCGCGAGCTTCGACATTGTTATGTCTGCATAACCGTACTACCTGGGGCGGACGATAAACGCCAGTTGCTCAAAACCCATAATTGGTCAGTTTATCGACTTTGCCCTGATGCCTTTTTCTTTAGGCCACCGATTTAACTATACCCCTTCCTTCTCTTTTCTCTTGTCTTTTCTCTTCTGTAGGTCATGTTAATTCTGCCGGACCTTCTGCCTTAGAAAATAGGGGTTGAGCAATTGGCGCTTATCGTCCTCCTCACTATATATATATATATATATATATATATATATCGGTGTTGAGACCGGGAAATTCAAAAGTAGCCATTCCATTCTGAAGAGTAACGATACATGATAAAGCTAATAGAGGACACCATTCTGGAACGCAGTTTGAGCGAGATCATTCTTGGAAGTTAAGAGATACAGAATGAAATCTTTCGCAGGCACCACACCAGCCACAGAAACGAAGTCATCAGGAAAACAGACAAGCAAAGGCCCACAGTGCCCCGAGCCTTGATAGAAAATGCAACTTCGTTATTTCTGAGAGAATCGGAACTGTCGACAAAGCCACCTAACACGTAAGGCTATCATCATCCTTGCTGAAATGTGCCCAGAGGTGCTGCATCATCATGCTGGGAGAGCGCCTGATGGCCGAAGCCATAAAGCAACGCTGGGAGCGGAGCTCAGGGGAGACATGGCCATAAATCAAGGAGACTGCCACGCTGACCATGTGTTCGTACCAAGGGTACATCTCATGATCCTTATCAAGCGGAACGCTGGGCTCACCAACGACAGGCCAGACCTGGTGCATACGCAGCAAGATCTCCATACCAAGGATCCAGGTCGAATAGTTGGTCGGGCCAGTGAGGCTCTCCAGGGGGAACTCATGATAGTGCTTATCCTTGGAGTTGTCGATAAAGGTCTGCACTTGGCGAAGGGTCTTGGCCTTCTCCTCAGCGAGGCGGTCGGGGCTCATGTGAGCGAACTCATCGTACTCGACCTTTACCTCCTCGAACAGGTCCTCGTCGGAATAGTCGTCGAGGTAGGAGGGGTCCTCGGAGTCGCTGTCCTCGGAAGAGTCGTCGGAGTCGCACGAGTCATTGGAATCACTGGAGTCGTCAGAGTCGTTGATATCATCATCGCTAGAGTCCTCCGAGTCGGAAGCGACGGGCTGTACGAGGCCAGGGAGCTTGACACCCTGGCCAGCCTTCGGAACTCCAGGAGCTAGAAAGACGGGGACAAGGGTTAGTAACTGACTCTCGTGAAGAGGAATATTGACAACTGCATATATTAGACTGGGAACATGGAGACGTACCTTTGGTCGACTTCTCCTTGGTATCAAGCTTGGCCTCCTTGATATCCTTATTCTCCTTAGTATCGGGCTTCTGATCCTTGGCGTCCTCCTTGTTTTCCTTGGAATCGTTTTTCTTCCCCTTGCCATCATCCTTCTTTGCAGCAACGTTCTCCTTCTCATCAGGCTTCTTATCCTTTCCAGTGGCCTTCTCAGACTTGTTCTTAGTCTTCATCAACACCGCCGGCTTGGGAGTCTTAGCCTTGGCACTGGCATCGACTGCGGGACCCTCAGTCTTGTCGTTGGGCTTGGCCAGTCCCTTGGTGACCGAAACCTCAGGGACGGCAGAAGGCTTGGTAGTGGATGGAGATGGATCCATTTGGGAAGTCTTGTTCGAGTTGGCCTCAGCAAGGGTAGGGGACAGACTGTTTGCCGGCTTCTTGGACTTGTCGGGGGTAATCTGAGAGACACGACGCTTGCGTGAATGACGCTCGCCGGGTTCACCAGAGGGGGAGCCAGCCATGGAAGATGGATGGGGGATGGAGTAGATTAGTGTTGATGAAGGTAGATGGATGGTTGAAGATGAAGTGGAGGGAGAAAAATGTGTTGGGGTTGGGGAAGTGGTGGTGGAGGAGGATGTGAGAGTTGGAAGATGGAGAAGTTGAAGTGGAGGGGAGCAGGCGATTTTGTAGATGAGAGATGGGAAATTCCGTCTATCGCATAACTCACTTGTAGGGGATTTCCATCAAACTGGGTTTTACCAACTACAAAGACCTGGTGTAAAACAATGAATTGGTCATCAGAGGTATTACGACCATCTAAGTCGTTGTCAGAGACTGTGGGGATATGAATGCATTGAAGCCAGGCTATGTACATTCTAAGGTCATACCCACACTATGAGACGGCGATTGTCTAGCATCGATCATCAATCATGAAACTTCAAGGATTGTAGTTAACCACTGGAATCGTAGTGTCATCTAGGCTGACGGCGTCGGGGTTCTTAGCTCCAACGCCAGAGTACTTGTTGATCCAACCCAGGACTTGTTGATGCCACACCAGACTGTTCTCCTTGTTCGTGACCCTGCGGATGTATTAGCTTGCTGCAATTCAACAGGCCGGTACCAACAGCCTCATAGTTCCACGCGAATCAGACTTACCAATGGTTTTCATCGGGGAAGTTCAGCAGGCGACTGGGAACACCGCGCTCCTGAAGGACATTGAACAGACTCAGACCCTCGGATTCAGCAAGGCGATAGTCTTTTGTGCTGTGAATGACCAAGGTAGGGGTGCTGAACTGCAGAATATGCTCTGGAGCGGAGGGATCCCAACGGCGGTAGTTGTCTCGATTAGCCCAGAAGGTGCCGTTGAACTGTATCGTGTTAGATATTGTCTCACAGAACAAAGCTAGGAATGGAACAACTCACATCATGCTCGGTGAACCAGAGCTCTTCAGTGGAAATCTTGGCATCCGCAACAAAGGTTCCATCGTGGGTGACAATGGCTTTGAACTCCCGTCCAAGCGGGTTACCTTGGATCCAGTTCATCATGAAACCTCCATAACTGGCACCCGCAGCAACACCATTATCCGTGTCAATGAAATCAAAGTTGTCTCGGACGTACTCCCAGGCCTTGACCAGATCATCGTAGGGATAGCTACCTGCGTATTGTCAGCATGTTGTCGAAAGACCACCAGTAGAAGGTTGAACCTTACCCCAGTTGTTTGTGATAGCATCGGTCAACTCTTGTCCAAAGCCAGTACTACCAGTCGGGTTGGGTGCAACAACGACATAGCCTTGGTCTGCCCAGACCTTCGGATTCCACCGTGTACTCCAAGAGTCAGCCCACGAGCCCTGGGGTCCGCCGTGGACATAGAAGACCAGTGGGTATTTCTTGGACTTGTCAAAGTTGGCAGGATAGATAAGCCAGGAGTGAATCTTACTCGGTTAGTGCAACACTCTTCGTATGCTCGAGATGGTAACTTACTTTTGTCCAGTTTCCTTCATAGTAGAACTCATCCAAATCAGCAGGACCCAATCCCTTCAAAGCAGGATCAACCTCATTGGCAGAGATGAGCGTGGAAACAACACCGTGCTTGGGGTTCGCAGTGTACACAGTCCAGCTAGTCCAGATAGCCGAGCCGGTGATCAAGAGATCACCATTAGGGAGGTGACGGAAGCCCTTGACGGAGCCGGTGCTGGTGAAGTTCTTCGGCTTGTAGTCATCACCAGCATCGGCAGGAAGGAAGAAGAGACGGCCACGCGCGTGATCCTCAGCATTGACGATGAGATTCTTGCCATCGGCGGCCCACTTGACTGAATCCGGAGAGCGGTCCCAATCTTTAGCCAAGGCAGGAATAGTCTTCTTAGAGCCAATAGTGTAGACGTAGAGCACACGGCGATCGGACTCATATGCAATATTCTTCATCTGGAAGTATGCAATTCGTTTACTATCCGGCGAGAAAGATGGGCTGCTGGAGTCGCCCTTGATGCCATCGGGAGTACCGGGGCTGTCTGGGCCGTTGATTGCCTCTGGCTTCTTGGAACCATCATGCGGAACGAGGTAGATATAAGATGCGGTGTGATTGGCTCGTGGCAGTTCAGGAGCTTTGCTCTTGAAAGCAACCCACTTTCCGTCTGCAGAAAGGTCGTAATCAGAGGAGTCACCGAAAGGAGGGTACGGTGATTCCAAATTCTTGACACCAGCAACGAGATTCTTGAGCGGCTCGTCAGAGCTATAGCGGGAGTTGGCCCACTGTCCGTCCTTTTTCTTCTTCAGGGTACCAGAGAAGACAGCATTGAAAGTAGTGGTCAACCAGGTATCCCAATGGCGAACGTAGATGCTGTCGTAGATGCGAGCAGTGCTGAGCGGCGCAGTCGCCAGCTCCTCATTGTACGCAGTTCCATTTCCATAGGATTGAGCATAAACTAGGAAGTTGATGTCGCCTCCCTTGGTAAGCGCAGTCTTAAGACCCGAGAATGGAGCAGGGAGAGATGCTGCCTTGTAGCGACTAGAAGATGATTAGCGGAAACTGAGCAACAAAGAGCAAGAGCATGCACCTACGACTTCTCAAAACTGGCTGTGTCAGATACCCACAGCTCGACACCACCAGGGATATCAGCGTTAGTGCCGTTGATGTACAACAGCCCTGAATTATCGGTACCCAGCCAGATCAGCTCGGAGACGTTGCTGTCATTCGTGAGCACTGTGATCTTTCCACTGTCGAGATCGATCAAGTTCCACGTCGACGAAGTTTTATGTGTCTCCCACGAGTACTCTGAGGATGAGAACAAAGCTACCTCCTGACTTTCCGTTAGCACTAGGCATACCTCTCTCCAAAAGGATGAAAGATCACTTACTCCTGAAGGATTAGGGAGTGCCTCCCCACGCCTCGGAGCTGCAATTAGCCCTCTAGAATGACATTAGTTCGTGATCTTCTGCCAATTGCCATATGCAAATAGACACACGATACAAGAAGCACTTACTCAGGCGACAGCGCCTTTACCCCCGACACAACAGCCCCCAAAGCAAGGGCCGCCCATTCAAACGAGCGCATCTTCGCAACGAGATATGCGCACACACAACTAAAGATAAACGTAACAAATAATAAACGAGCGATAATCCAGGCCCGAGACGTGCCTCTGCTTAAGTATCTCTTCCCAGCGGGGACCATCGGTGCCCCGGCAGTTTCCCCAACGGTGGAAATGTTACATTCCACGATGCCAAGAGTGATAAACAGGCAGCGGAGGGTCCTGTTTGGCCATGACGATGAGCTTGGAAGAGGAGAAGGTGCGATCTGCTCTGTCGGAGGGTGGATAAGCAGAGCACTAAATCCATTGGAAGGTGTAATTGGCTCGCGATGAGAACAAAGAAGGAGTGCTGATGGCTTGGGTTGCAGCGCCAAGCCAAGCGGGGAGGCCCGCTGATACCCGGCGGGATCGAGGAAAGATAGAACGGTATTGTCCGGGAATTAAGAACTTTAGACAATCGGAAAATTATTGTTGTTAATTGGTAATTGGCAGGTTAATTGACTCTTGAATTTAAAATTGCACCAAATGTCCCTGAACATGTACAATTGCCGCTTTGCTGCCGGCGATAGTCGTCCCTTTGTTCGAGGGTCCATCTAGTCCCACCATGGTGCATATCCCATGCTAAATGGTGTGATGACGGCCGAGACATTACTCTGACTACAATGCAACATTCAAGAGAAATTGATAGATTGATTATGGATTCGCAAAACGCCTAGCAGAATGCGTCTTAGTATTCAAAGTCATCATCAACGCCACGCTTACCAGCGTTTTCCTGCGCCACCGATTCTTGCTTCCGATACATCTCCGCCACCGCGCGGGTTGTAGTGGCCTGCTCTGGCTTCTTATCCTCGCGGGACTTGATGAATCGGGGGAACCGCAGTGAGACACCTTTACCGCCACCAGTCGTACCGTCGAATTCATCCGCTGCGGCCTTATACCGAGGGCTAAGGGTCAAATCGGCCGTTTTGACTTCCCAGACCAGACGTGGCTCAAACCACACATCGGGTTGATCCTTGGGGACAGTGGAGTGAGAGTAGAAAGGCTTGGGCCGGTCAATGACCAAGGGAGTAAGCTCCTTGTGGAGTTCCTCCAATCGTGCTTCGGAGAAGCCGGTACCAATGTTGCAAATGGTCTCGTACTTGTCCGTGTTGGGATTGTAAGCAGCTAGAAGGAATGCACCGTACACGGAAGTACGCTTGCCCCGTCCATAGTAAGCGCCGAGAACGACGAGGTCGAGAGAGTCGCCGACACCAGCAAGATAGTCCTTCTTGACCTGCACGGATAATAAGTTAGTCTCTACCATAATGTTGGAAGGTGAACTATTGAATCATACCTTCAGCCAGTTGCGACTACGCTTGCTGGGCTCATAGCCACTCTCTGACGTGTCCAGCATCTTCACCATCAGCCCTTCACATGAAGCCTTCACACTTTCATCCAAAAGATCTTGGATCTCGTCGAGGACATTGGTATTGCCGAATTGTGCAAATTGGAACTCGCCTTCCATGGGTTGGAAGCACTTGTGCAGTAGCTCTCGGCGTTCACGGAGTGACTTTTTGACACATGGCTATCACGACCGCATTAGTGACTATCGCAAAAATCTTGCCAACGGGGCTTACTCACCTCTCCATTGAAGAAGAGCAAATCGAATGCAAAGACGCAGACCTTGACCTTAACGTCCTCTGCCTTCACATCCTTCCGTTTGCGTGTCATAAGCTGCTGGAATGGGAGAACCTTCTTGTTCATAGTATCCCAAGCGACAGTCTCGCAATCTAAAACAAAGCTGTTGACATCTTCCTTCACCCAACTGTCAAGCTTACCTAGAACATCCGGGTACTTCTTTGACAGATCCTCAGAGTTGCGAGAGAAGATAGCACTGAGACCTTTTTGATCCTTTTGCAGTGTAGCAACTGACCCAGGATACTTATGGATATGATCTGGAGCCACAAAGTGGATCTGTGCACGCTCACCATCGTATTTGTATTCACAGGTAAATTCTTTGCCCTCGAAGCGGTCAAGGACTTCAGTAATCGACTTGGTCGGCTTGGCAAGCATGGGCTTCAAGGGGACACCGGGCTGAAGCTTGCACACCTTGGGCAGATCGAAGAGACCATGCTCCAACATAGCGGGAATGATCACTTCGTAGGATGGCAGCTCGCTATATACTGACTTGAGGACCGACTCACCCTCAGCCAGCCGCTCTGGGGTCGGAGCCTTCTCCCCTGCAACTGCGGCTTCGTGGGTGACAATGGCCTGAGCCAGCGCTACAAGAACGGTCCTCTCTGCGAGTCCCAGTCGCAACTTGCCCTCAAGGAAGCGGACGATGAACTTCGCCTCGCTAGGGCCACCCTTGTCCTTGGTAATATCAACGCCCTTATTGCCCTTTCCAGAAGTGGCAGAGTCGGCCGCGGACAACAACTTCTTGATACCAGAAATTTTCTTGTCCTGTGATCCATGCCCTTGAACCTTGGCAATGCCCAGCAGTCCCTCATGGACACCTCTGACAGTCAAGGGCTTCGGCTTGAACATGGTGGGCTGGTTGCCACGGCTCTTGGCAGCCACCAAGCCCAAATCACCGATTTCATGCTGGTCTGCCTTGATGACCTGCAGGCTGCGACCCGTACTCTCGCCGATAGCTTTCATAATCAATGACTCACCAATCCCAAGCTCAATGCCGGCATAATCGGCGGCGAGCTTGTTGATCATGAGTTGCACTGTAGGAAGCAGGTCATTCGGGGTCAAGCGCAGCACCTGCTGAAGGAAGAGAGAACAATGGGCAAGAATGATCAGGCGTTTCGTGGTCATCTCAACCAACGAGAAGGTGGTGCACAGAGCAGCATAGGGGACTGGATCGCCTGCCTTCCAGTCCGGATATGGGTCTTTGCCGGTGGCTTTCAAAGTGGCCTGCACCTTCGCCATGGTCTTCTTCTTCGCTTCTGGCTTGGCCTCTTCTTCAGCCTCGCTCCCGGACTCCATCTCCTCGTCATCCACATCTGAGTTGGGATCCGCTTCCGGAGTCTCTTCTCCGGAGGCCTTCTTCACAACAGGTTTGGGTGATGGTATTTCGGATTTGATGGGGCTTGATACGGACTTGGCCGGGGACTTCTTGGGTGACTTTTTTGGTGATCGCTTGGGGGAAGGTGATCGTTTTTCTGCCGAAGGGGAACGTTCTTTTGTAGCTTTGCGCCGACGCTTAGAGACCGGTTGGACGTCCGATCCGTCGCTATCCCCTGCATCCTCGGCCTTTTCTCGCTTCAGGTTCTTGCTTGACTCCACACCATTGGATTCGGCGTTGGGGGCAGGCTCAGCAGCACTTGCGTCCACAGATTCGGTAGCGGCATCAGCAGTAGCTCTTTGAATCTTTCCGCCGAATGCCAATGTTGTCTGTTTCTTTGGTGCTTGATTGGCGCCCGCATTTGAGCCGAAGAACCTCCTAAAATGACCGCAGCATGTTAGCAAATTCACTGGCAATAGATTCGGGTGGATGGAAAATTGAAGACTGGCGGGTGAGCGCCGCAGTGAATCTTCTCTCCACGCACCCGATGGTCAATTGAGAATCGCGCACGTACCCCAACGTCGCCTGCTTGCGACTCTTGTCGTCCGCCATACTTGTGGAGGGGATTAAAATCTCGGCTGGCCGTAGTATGCGCGAGGAAGAAATCAAGGAATATGGGGCGATTGATTGCGATAGAACTCCTCGTCGTGGAGAAGATGCTGATAGAAATGATGTCTTTGTGTACCGCGTGACTGTCAAGAAGTTTGGTTCGGAGCGCGACAGCAAAGTGAGCGCGGACGGAATCCGCAGGCCACGCATAGAAGAGCTCAAGGGAAAACGGCCGCTGGCTCAATGCAGTCCGGGGAGGCCTCAGTATATAAGTTTGGCCAAATGGGAATGAAACCAGGCAACAGACACCAGTTTAACTTAGCTTTCGCCAGGCAGCCTCGAGCCTCTTCTCCGCGCGACGTGACGCGCCTGTCACGTGGAAGCTATCTTGCCAAGATAGGAAGCTGATAACTCACCGCTTTGGTGAAGTGGCAGATCAGCAGGCGGTGGGGTATTTCCACGGTCATGGCCGGCAGTCGCGATCGTGAGCACAACAGATTAAGTCTCAAGATGGGTTCTTATTGCTGTCCATTCTAAGGCCAAAATCTACCGGCACTGTGCTTCAGATGCTATTCACACTTACGAGGTTTCACTGCACCCCTAGCCACAATGGCCGACCTACGGCAGGAATCCTTTAAGCTGGTATGCCCATCCCACCACTAATTATTCCTCAGCAAGTGTCTTACTTCCCATAGCTACGAGAGCCTTGTGTTGAGCTCAGCTCGGTTGGCTTACGGTTTCGCGGGAATCATGCCTTCGCTGTGGATGTTACTCGAGCTCTTGAACCCGTGCACCGGACTCTAAAGGAGCTTGCGGCGAAGAACACACTGGATGGCAAGCTTGCCGAGTATGCCTTCTTTCCGCTCTCGCATATCTTCAACGAAACGCATCGCCTTCCAGCACGATGCCTCGAACTAGCTGTACAATGTCTACACCTGATTATATCGGATGGCTGGCGAGAACAGTTATCGCCGGCGCTGGGAAAGCAGTTGGTTATACTGTTGACGCTGATGGTGGGAGGATCTGCGAATAAGGCTGATGGGCAACAACCACTGAAGGCACAGGTAGCGGAAGAACTATCCGTTGCGTGCTTTGATTGCCTTCGTTCTATCGTTGATATGCTACGAGGTCCCGTCGCTGATAAAACCATCTTCCACGAAATTGGAACGGCTACGGTTGTCGATCAGACTGTGTATATCCTGCTCGAGGGAGTCGTGGATGAAAGGTCCGATGAAATCGGGATTTCCGCTGCCAGAGCACTTCAATCTCTCTATACCCGCATCACAGACCGTGTCGTCTTAGCCAGCATCATGCCACGCACTGTTTCTGTACTAGCAAAGGTGATCCGTCCTACAACGCAAAGTCGGCGGTCCTACAAGCTCTTGGAAATATGCCTGGAGGTTCTGAATCGATTGCTCAAAGTTGTCCTGAATGATCATGCAGTCGCCAAAACAGAAACGGCGCCCGTTGTTCCTGCCGAATCGGACAAAGTTGCTCTTGATGCTTCCTGGCTAAAAGCTACGACCACCCAAATCAAACTGGCGCTCGTCAATGTCACTCAAATACGACGCCACCAAAGGCCGGAGGTCCAATCTGCCTTGTTGGATCTCTGTGTGATGGTGATTGAGGACTGTCAGACCACTTTGAAGGATGCTGTTCCCATGATGGCTGAAACCATTGTCGTCTTAGCCGATAACGAAGGCGATTATCCGAACCAGGCTTACCTTACGCTCATCCATCTTGCCACGACTTATTCGGTCGTGTTAGACTCGCTGAAGGAATCGCTTCATACTTGGCTCACGGCATTCCCGCGAATCATGCAAAGCAACGACGAAACAGCCAAGCAGTGGGGAATCCGACAAATCTCCACTGTCTTCCAAATCCTGTCTCAAATGCAATCTGGGTCAGACCTGCTTACAGGCAGTCTGGCCTCTGGTTTGTGCGATAGTATGGGAGCTGTCGTAAACCATGGCACTAACTCCCTGCAGTCAGTATCGACCCCAGGTGATCTGCGCTGGGATGTACTTGCCTCCGAATCCAAATCTATAGCCTTCCCACCTGTGCTACTCGAGCATCAGAGTCAGCAGCAAACATTAAAAGACATGCGGGCGTTTATTATGAGGCTGAATCTGTCCGAGTCAGGCAATGAAATCACGAGGTCCATAATCAACCGCCTGCATGCTGTATCAGAAGATTCAGCCGTTGCCCCATACTGGCTAGCCCTGACCTCCTTGCGAGCCCAGTCGCAGCAATCCGCAGATTTTGATGACTTTATTGCCGATGATCATGTAGAGGGATCTAGTTCACTCGTGAAACGTGCTGGCATGATCGAAGAGTTGTACTACACTTCACTTACAATTCTGAACGATCTGCCAGTCGACGGCTCTGGTGATTGGCGAATGTCAGCTCTCGCGTTGGAAGCCGTGGCTCTTCAAGCCCAGCAATTAGGAGAGGCATTCCGACCCGAACTCATGGATGCCTTATACCCAACACTGCAGCTACTCGCTTCCAACAACACTACTCTCCAGCGGCATGCTATGATATGTCTCAACGTCCTCACTCAAGCATGCAACTACCCTGACGCTGGCTCCATGATCATCGAAAATGTAGACTACTTGGTTAATTCGGTGGCTCTCAAGCTGAACACGTTCGATGTATCACCATACCCGCCCCAAGTGCTCTTTATGATGGTCAAGCTATGTGGTGCACAACTCGTTCCATACTTGGATGACCTAGTCGACTCTATCTTTGGCATCCTTGATCTCTATCACGGCTATCCCAAGCTTGTCGAAATGATGTTCAAGACATTGGCTGCTATTGTGGAGGAGGGATCACGGAAACCGGCTCTGTTGACGATTGACAGTGGCCGAGAGACGGGACCACACGACAGTCGCAAGTCACAATATCAGCATCTCTCTATATCAACGGTCGCGAATGATATCGCAACCCGAAAGACCAAACGTGTTGAAAACACCGAAAATGACGTTGAGATTGATGGCACACTCTCACACCCCCAAAAGCCTTGGTCGGAGACTTACGAGAAGCCCCCACCCGAGCCGGAATCCATCGAAGAGTTATTGAAGCAAGCTGAATCTGATGAACCACTTCCTCCGCCCAAGGAACCAGAGGATAGCGAGAAGCCACTTAGCAAAACCCACTCTCTGCTTCTTCACATTGTCAAATCCATCCCCTCGCACATTTCGTCTCCTTCGCCATACCTTCGACGCGCTCTCCTCTCAATACTCATTGAAGTGCTCCCATCTCTGTCTCAAAATGAAAACAGCTTCCTGCCTCTCATCAATGACCTTTGGCATTCGGTCGCTTCAAGAGTCATTTTCCCATCATCCCTAACGGGCGATTTCTCCTCATCCGCCCTCATCAACAGATCTCCCGCAGAGTCTCGAAGCTCTACCAACCAGCCCGATAACCACACATTCCAAGAGGAGACCTTTGTCATTACAACGGCTTGCCAGGTAATTGAAGCCATGTGCAAGGGCGCTGGTGATTTCATGGCCTCGCGTGTTGAAACGGAATTCCCCCGTTGGCACCGACTCTACCAGCGCGTCTGGGCCCAAGTACGGCAGGATGCCGAGGTGGCCAATGAGCGACGTGCTCGACAACAAAGGAAGGCCAACGTCGCCCCGACCGCTGCGGCATCAGCTATGCAACCAACAGGCGCAGCAGCTGAGGGCATGTTCGCACTGACACCATCTCTCGCCTTGTCGCCGACTGCCTCCGGCTCGCGCACATTCACACCCCAACACGCTCTGTGGAGGGCTTTAATCTCCCTGTTCATCACTATTCTTTCTCGCGTCCGGCTTCCTCTAGAAGCAGGAGATCAAATCTGCGAGATTCTGGGCGCATGGATCGCACTCTTTGTTGGGCCAGAGTATTACTTCCAACCACCAGAGCGAGCTTCCCCATTAACATCAGATGATGTCTCAAGATCGATGCTGGAATCAGTGGAAAATGCTATTCATGCAATGGAGACTTGGAATCCTGATCTGACTTGGTTCGTCATGACCTCACATCGAGCCAAGCCATCTGCCTCGCGTGTGTCCGAGGTAGTTGATGTCATTGAAGTTTTCGGCGAGCCCTTACAGTATGCGGTGGTAGCATTCTAGCTACCTGTTGTAGTATCAATAGACGAATTATATGTACAAATTAAACACCATCCGTTGATGCCCACTTTTCTTCTAGATGACTAATCCGCTGAAAAGTCCATAGTTAACTAGTTAGTTTGGCCGCTCCCGGGGCGACAAACGAATACAGTGCGCCCGGTAGTGGCCACACGGCCAGTCGGCTTATCACCTAACACGCCTTCTCTTTGGTGATCTGCTTAGTTATCCCTGCCCAGACTACTATATGTTTCCTAATAGGCTCGAGGGAATCTAAAGTAAGCATCTATTCGGCAATGATCAAAGCAATATCTTTACAATCAATGTGTGAAAGAGGCAGAGACAAGAATAGCCTGGAACTCTAGTGTTAAGGCCTAAATGAATGAAGTTCAAGGTACAACGTGTCACTAGAATAAAGAGCGTATTTGCTTACAATAGATAGTCGCTGAGAAAGGAATGCATTGTTCATCATTGTTGGACCAAACTCGGATATGGAGATGTCACCAATTCGTAGACAAAGCGGTCGAGATACACGGCCATCAAAGCCTTTCAAGTCATTCTATTTTAATTTGTCTCTTTAGCTCAACAGAATATTTAAGCTGCCAATTCCTCAGTATAGTCCTCATCTCCAAATCTTCAAGCTCCAGGCCTCCCTCACCCAAACCCCCTCCATTCAAAGCGCCTTCTACAATAAACCACAAGTTGACAACCTACCAAAATATCTATCACCTATCCACCAAGGTAACAACCCAACTATCCACCATGTACGTGAACATCTACTACGAGGCTAGCGACTGCCACCTGAGCGACTACGACCTTCTGCAAGGCATGTTGTTGTGCCTCGAGGAACACGAAGCCAGTCTTACACACGACCCCGAAGACGAAGAAATCGAGAACTGTTTTTCTTTCCGGGTTCCAGGATCTACACAGTCGCAGGTTTACCTTAATGCGATTAACAGGGTGTTGTCGTGGATTCGGCACGTGGATACTCGTGGACTCCCGTTTCATCGCGAGGATGTCTTTCAAAGTGGGCTGGGGTTGAATTTTATGGCGCCACAGTAAGTTGATCATTTCTTGCCAGGTGGAGTTTGGGTTGATCGGTGGCTTTGATTTATTCATGAAATGGAATATACTTTTCCCTTAGATTTTTTCATCGTACTTGTAGTGTGTCCTATCTGCTGCTCTAGGTGAGCTCTAGTAGATACTCTAAAAACACAGTTCTGATATCAGTGACAGTCTGACTCGACCGGATTGAGAAGAACATGATTTGACATCGTCATAAGTTCAGGGCTATAGAATCTATCACTGGACCCCACTGAACTGGCTATGGTGCGTCTGTCATTCTCGAATCAAGGCGGTTGGTTCTGACTTGGTGGCAAGCCGTCAACATAGCTTTCATGATAATCATCACAGGTCTCAGTTCTACCCGTTCCTCAACGATACTCTCGACATGGTCACCGATCCAGGTCACTAAAGAGAGATCGGTGTCGATCTCACCACGCTCAGGATTCCCAATGATATCCAAGCAGAGGATGAAAAAGGGAATGAACTGGTGAAGCAAGATGAGGCTACATATTTTCGGTTAGTGATGGCTTAAAAAGCATGTTACGGAAAGATGTTGCTGATCACAAACCTTATTCCCCAATATGCATGTAGACTTGATCCTAACAGAGACTGGAACATTTGTATGGACTTTCTTGAGAAATCAACTGTTTGGTGTGGTAGTCGGTGTTTTTCCTGGCCGCATTTCTTGGACTGATGGAGAATTATGAGGATTTTGTAGCTACTAAAGATCATATCACCGCAGAACCATGTATCGACTTGGGTCTTTGCCATTCGAAGAAGTTCATCCTGCACAAATGTGTTAGCAATTACAATATTTCGACCATAGTTGGATGAAATCATACCGTATCCCAATCACGCTTGATCAACTGCACCTCCTCGAGGAAGCTGTCAACGGCTGCATCATGCGAGACCGGGTTGGGATCTGGCCCCAAGTCAACCCAGTCTAAATACTTCATCACCACCAGAGCAAGCCGCATAGAAGCCAGAAAGTGGATTTGGATAAAGCGAGAAGATTCATCATCGACACCATCAATTGTTGGATCTGGGAAGTTAACCTTCCATGATCCTGGTGGGATAAGAGTCGGTTTGCCGAATGAAAGTCTGAAAAGACAATCCGTTCGAAGTAGATGCCAGAATTCGAATCGTTTTCGATTTTTGTCTACTTCTGTGTCTTCGGTCGACGGTTCGATCGATGGCTGTCCGTCCTCGCCGTCTGGGTTGCCGTCGACGTAGAAATATCCCAAGGCTTTGGCTATCGTGAGAGAATGACCGAGCATCTTCCAGGCCAATTCACTATTGCAGCCCTCCAGTGCCATTGATACCTGGTAGACTGTCAGTCCAAAGTCATTTTAATTCAAAGAACATTTCTCGACTTACCATCAGAATTGCTGCATAGAGATCGGCAGGGGTATTCTGAATGTGGTCCTGCCAGCGAGCAGTCAGGTCCAGACACTTCCGGTAGAGAAATTTGATCAGGCCGCCATTATCCTTATGAGAGCCGGGGTCCAGGATAATCCCTTGTAGTCCAAGGGCGTGGTAAATGATCTGAGAAATATAATCAAGCTGAACATGAGGGTTTTCCAACAGATCAGGGATGGACAGCAGAAAACCTTTGTCGAGAGGTATTTTGAATCCTTCGAATTGGTAACAATCATAATAATCTGAAGGGGGTATTAGCACAGCCTACAGCCAAGGATAATAGATAAACTTGCTCTGAATAAATTTCCTTGCAATCTCTTTTGGCATATCAACATCCGCGGATATCTCATTGGTTGGCGTGTCCTGCAGATGTTCGATTTGTGACATTGCAACAGCAATGGCCCGGACGCAATTTTCATTTTCAAAGAAACATGATTCGACCGCTCGCAAATGGCTGAATACATTTGAAAGAAGTAGAGCCCGGTTATGGGGATCATTGATGCGACTCAAGATACCACCGATCACACCGGGCGCGACTGGGTCATTTGAGCTCTCCGGGAATACAGCTGGAGAGTTGTCCGAATTGACGGATGGACGTGACATCGAACGATCAACATGTTCGTCAGTGTCTGAAGCTGTTTCTAGGCCACAGTGTTCTTCCAGGCGTTTAAGCCTATTAAGAACGTCTGCTAGAACATTGTTCTCACTAATATCGTTACTATAATTAGCTATCAGTCAAAAGGTCCGAAGTACAGAAGACGAATAGGAGGTTAGCATTTACCCTTGTTTCTTAGCTCGCGGCTTTCTGGAGCGGTATGTACAATCGGCTCCAATCGATTTACATTTACCACATCGAGGGGCAACTCGATCACATCGAACCTAGAATCTAATTACTTTGGCTGGTCGTGACGCCAGGGGTTGTACAGGGTGTTACCTTTTTGAATTGGCAGCGACTGCACTGGGATACCTTGGTCAGGAAGCGACTGGAACGGGTAGATGCAAAAATTGCTTACCGCAATACTCTCCAATGTGCGCCGGTCACTCATATTCTGCTATTGTTTTCAAAATCAGTCATGAGGAATTGGAAGGATGAAGAAGCGGGAATAGCAGAGTCCGAAAGCCCGGGAGAAGGAACAAAGTGGATCCGGTGGAGCCGGGGATTCGGATAATTCCGAAAGTCCGGGATGGTCCGTGACCTCAAGTTCTCCACTTTTGACTGCCTGAGGGTCCTCAGGGTCGGTACATACAACCAAATCCTGTCATTCTACTACTCTTCAGCCTAGAGCTACCGTAACCCTGGCCTATCAAATGTCAGGCCAAGTTGCTGATTTCCCTACCCTGAATTTGGTAAGTCTCGTATTCCCCGTCTTCAAGGCAGACCAATTTATACCACCATTCCTTAAATATAGATCGAGTGTGACCCCCTTCCCTTTCCTCCATGATTCATTTCACGCATCATACATTCGCTCCAACTTGGAAACATGGGGCTTTCCCCGACTATCGATCAAGGAGAAGCTGTGACAGAGGAGAAAAATCCGATCGGCGAGTCGCACTCGGCTTCGACAGATGATAAACCCAACGATGAGGCTGCTATTGCCAAGGAGGATTCTGTGGCAAAAGCTCCGGCCGAGCAAGCTACTTCACTCAAAGACTATTTCGTGCGTCTCCAGCTTCAGATGGCACTCTGGCTCCTAGTGCGATCTGTTACTAATAAAATGCAGAGAGTCCTATCTTATACGACCCCCAAAGATCGCGTGGTCCTCGCGATCGCCCTGATATGCTCTATTGGGTCCGGTGTGGTACGTGGCTGGCTATATACTTCATATCAAACCGGAGGAACGCAGCACTGATCTTGCATTAGCCCTTACCAATCATGAACATTGTGTTTGGTGGACTGGTCGGCGAATTTAGTTCATATTTTACACCAGGATCATCGACCACGGAAGCGGACTTCAAAGCGTCGGTCAGTAGGCTCAGGTAGGCCAAATCTTCTTCTGTTCGAGGATGCGACCAAGCTAACTGTCGGGAAGCTTGTATATTGTCTACCTTTTCATTGCAAAGTTCACCTTGACATATTTCTCCATGGTAACTATTGAACTCGTACCCCGCGATATTCAGTCTTATGAGCAATCTAACTGGTTCCATTTCTAGTACTGCTTTCGCGTCATCAGTCTCCGGGTTTCGGCTGCTTTGCGTTTAGAGTACATGAACTCGCTTTTCGCTCAGCCGATCAGCAAACTAGACCAGGTTTCGGTTGGAACAGTCGTTAACGCAATCACCACTCTCTCCAATTCGATCCAGCAGAGCATCTCAGACAAGCTAGCGATACTCTTCCAATCTACCGCCCTCCTTATCGCTGCCTACATCATCGCCTTCAAATACTCATGGGCCCTGACTCTTGCCACCAGCTCCTGCCTTCTCTTCATTCTCGTCGTCTGCTGCTTGACGCTACCCGCTATCTCTCAGATCCAACAAAAGGTGGACAAGGCGGATGAAAAGCATTCAGCGATTGCGGCAGAAGTATTTGGCTCAATCCGAACTGTCATTTCTCTGGGTGCCGAGGCACCTTTGGCAAAGAAATATCGCCAGTGGGTAATAGAATCCCGGAATCGAGGCCGGAGCATGGCTATCATGCTTGGAGTCCAGTTCGGTCTCATGTTCTTCGCTATTTACGCTAGCTATTCACTGGCTTTCTGGCTTGGGCTGAAGCTCTATCGCGAGGGTCACATTGCAAACGTGAATACAGTTATCATGTAGGTTGACTTGTACTACCTTTGTTGTTATTGCTAACCGTAGTTGCCAGTGTTTTCTTCTCGATCATGATAGCAGTTAGTGTTCTTGGCGGCATTGCAACGCCGTTAACGATGGTCTTCAAAGCCGCCAGCGCGTCAACCTCATTTTTTGACATCATTGACTCTGAGAGGATTGTCGCGGGCGGTGTTCAAGATTCTGAGGCTTTGGCTCACGGTGATATAGATTTCCAAAATGTGGAATTTACGTACCCGACGCGACCAGAGAGCAAGATTCTCCAGGAAATGAACGCTCGATTCGAACGAGGAAAGACTACTGCGTTGGTGGGCCCATCGGGATCCGGGAAAAGCACCATCGTTGCTCTTCTAGAGCGATGGTATACCCCAGAAGGTGGGAAGATCTCTCTCGGCGAGCGGAACATTGAGGAGCTGGATCTCAAGTGGTGGAGATCTCAAATCGGACTTGTACAGCAAGAGCCATTCCTCTTCAATGATACTATTTTCAAGAACGTCTCATTTGGACTTGTCGGTACAAAGTGGGAGAACGAGCCTGATTCTGTGAAGGCTGAATTGGTGGAGAATGCATGCAAAGAAGCATTTGCAGACGAGTTTATTGAGCGTCTTCCAAAGGTATGTTTACAGTGCTCGTACTGATTATTCTCCGACTAACCCTCCAGGGATACGACACCATTGTGGGAGAGAACGGCGCCAAATTGAGTGGTGGTCAACGACAGCGCCTAGCTATTGCCCGCAGTATTATCAAGCAGCCGACCATCTTGATTCTGGACGAAGCTACCAGCGCCATTGACGTGCGTGGAGAAAAGATAGTCCAGGCAGCTCTGGATCGCGTCTCTAAAAATCGTACCACAATCGTCATTGCACACAGACTGTCCACCGTTCGACGTGCCGATTGCATTCTCGTTCTCAGGAGCGGTGTCATTGTTGAGCAAGGAACGCATGAAGAGCTTCTTGCCATGGAAGACGGGCTTTACCGAGGCCTCGTTAACGCTCAAAAACTCGAAATTGCCGCCGAAGAAGAAGCTGAGGTAACAGAGGTCACAGAAGCCCTGGTAGAGGAACTTGATCGTTCTACTACAATCAAGTCTGAGCAGGTACAGGAAGACCGGAAGGAGAAAGTAAAAACGCGTGGCTTTTTCCGAAGCACTGGGGTTTTTATCTACGAGGCCAAGACACATTGGTTCCTTTGTCTGACTGCTGTCCTTGGGGCACTGGGAGCTGCATGTATGTTGTGTATCCTTAACTCTCCTCGTCTGTTTTACTAACTCTCTCATCAGCCGCTTTCCCTTTGCAGAGTTGGCTTTTCGCAAATCTCATCGATGTATTCCGTCTCACTGGACAGGAACTGGTCGATGGTGCCAATTTCTGGGCCCTGATCTTCTTCATTCTTGCTCTGGGAATTGCTCTCTGCTACGCCACGGTCGGATTCTCGGCCAACCGACTTTCTGTTGTGAGTGATTGATGAATTGATATGAGATACAACAAGATGATCTAACACAATGTAGGAAATATCATCTTCCTGCCGAACAGAGTACTTCCAAAACATCCTGAAAAAGCCCGTCCCGTTCTACGACATGAACGAAAATGCCTCCGGCTCACTAGTTTCACGTCTATCCACCGACCCCAAACAAATCCAGGAGATGATCGGGCTGAACGGCATTTTCCCAGTGATCTCGGTATTCAGTATGGTAGGCTGCATCTCGATCGCTTTTGCGTTTGGTTGGAAGCTCAGTCTCGTCACTGTCTTCGCTGCCCTCCCTTGCGTGTTCCTAGCCGCCTTCATGCGCATCCGGTACGAGCTAGAATTCGAAGCTCTTAACGCGGAGGTATACTCGGGTTCCTCACAGTTTGCAGCCGAAGCTATCCATGCATTCCGGACCGTCTCAGCGTTGACCATGGAAGATTCGATCCTAAATCGATACTCGACTCTCTTAAAACAGCAGCAGAGCAAAGCCTTCCGCAAAGCATGGTTGGCAACTCTGGTCTTTGCTTTCTCTGATAGCGTTGAGCTCTGCGCCATGGCACTCACCTTTTGGTACGGTGGCCAGCTTCTTGCGTCCAGGGAGTACCAGCCCGCTTCGTTCTTTGTTGTGTACATGTCGATCATTCTCGGTGGGCAACAAGCGGGTCAATTCTTTAGTTTCGGGCCAAACATTGCTCAGGCTACATCTTCGGCGAACCGGATTCTGAACTTCCGGCCAGCCTTGGACGAGATTAATGCCGGTCCCAAGCAACACATGCCCGATCAATCACGCAGATCCGGAGCTCGTGTCGAGTTCCGAAATCTTGCATTCAAGTATGAGTCACAGGAAGTGCCTCTCTTCACGAGTCTTGATGTGACTATCGAAAGTGGCCAATTCGTTGCATTCGTGGGAGCCTCGGGATGTGGCAAAACCAGTTTGATATCGATTCTCGAGCGATTCTACAATCCGTTCCGAGGCATCGTTTTCTTAAATGGCGAGGATGTCAGCAGTATTGACCAAGCATCATACCGAAGATCGTTATCCCTGGTAGCCCAAGAACCACAACTTTTCGATGGCACGATCCGTGATAACATCACTCTCGGACTTGAGAGCTCCGAGTACACGGAAGAAGAATTAATCCAAGCCTGCACGGATGCCGAGATTCACAGCTTTATCACTTCCCTTCCGGAGGGGTACTCCACAGAGCTAGGGATTAATGCACAGACAGCTCTCAGCGGAGGCCAGCGACAGCGATTGTGTATCGCCCGGGCTTTATTGCGGAAGCCGTCTCTGCTTCTCCTAGATGAGGCGACCTCGAGTCTTGACTCACAATCGGAGAAATTAGTTCAAGCTGCCCTGGAAAGGCTAGCTGCTCGAAGGAGTATGACAATTATCGCGGTCGCTCACAGACTGGCGACTATCCAGAAGGCAGATGCCATCTTCGTCTTTGGGGAAAGTCAAAGTGGGAAGGGATCGCGGGTCGTCGAACGGGGCTCGCATCAGGAGTTGTTGCAGAATCGGGGAACATACTGGCAGATGGTTTGTGTCACCTCCTTTGTTTCTTGTCACCTTTTGAGAAAACTACTAACTTGTGTCAATTTTATAGTGTCAGGCTAATGGGCTAGATCGATAATAGCCTTGAGTGATGTCGGTGTACGTTATGTCTCCGCTCAAAATATGTACACCATAGAATATTTATCTTCTCCACCCACTGACAAAATCCTTACTCAAATCAATACCATGTCCAGTTTTGGGAAATTCCAATTTATTTGAGCAAACGTAAATGAGTGGTATTTTCAGACGAGCCTCACAGGCCACAGCTTAATGAGAACATGGGTTGTGTTGGTTTAGCGTGGGCTCATAAAAAGGCCGGATGCAACTCAATTGCCTAATCAGGAAATAGCTAGGAGATCAGCCTCAACTGGCGGCACAAAAAAACTCCGACACCAATTTATGTTCTCTAATATTTGTCCGGTCTCGGATTTGGGTGCCTATCAAAGTTGAAAAACGGTCGTGCTGTTGAATCGTGGTGTCAAAGAAAGTAGATGAGTATATTTAGGCGAAGATCCCGAACGCTAGAGGGAACAGCGACTCTGTATTCGTATCCAATTTGCCTAGAATCCCAGTTGGCTCCATTTGACTAAGCGGAATGACGAGGTCGGTGCAACTACCTATGCTACCCGATAATACCTGTCTATAGAAGGACCCTTGTACAAATGTTACACCTCTTAATATGTCGGCCAATAAGGAATCGTGTGAGAAATAAGTCTGTGATAGAACCCTGACTTAGTGAGTTAGGAACACGAGATCACACATAAATAGCAAGTCTGGCTTCTTGAGGTTTATCCAGAAACTTGAGCTGTCTTGCAGTTTTTGAACTCAGATCACTAATATCCGCTATGTCAAGGTCTTCAAAGGAGACCATGGAGCCGTTGACGGCACTAATTGTCGGTGCTGGAATTGGAGGGCTTTCGGCGGCTATTTTCCTCCGACACCAAGGGCACAAAGTGCTGGTATGTCTCGATCGGAACTGTATCATTCTGGATATTGACAATTACGAAGGTTTTTGAGCGATCAAAGTTCTCGGCAGAGGTTGGCGCCGCTATTCACGTCGCTCCAAATTGTCAGCGGCTATTAACGCGCATGGGGATTTCAACTACTGATCATGGTGGAACACCCTTGGAAAGAGTAATCAATCTTTCTTGTCGAAACTATATTGCTCCTGATGTTGATCTCACGCTGACATCATATTTACTGGAAAGTTCACCATGTATAAACACACAGGGGAAATGTCAGCCACGTTGCCTCTGACACAAGTGATCGAGAAGGCTGGAGCTGTATGTGAATGAATTGGATAAGAGCAACTGCGGATTCTAACACAATTAGAATTGGGATCTAATCCACCGCGCGGATCTTCACTCGGCGCTTCGGAATCGCGCGTTATCGAGGGAGGGAGCGGGCTCACCTGTGCAGCTGTTTTTGAACACTCGAATCATCGACATGGATGTTCAAAACGCAACTTTGACACTTGCAGGTGGTGATGTAGCGACCGGGGATCTAGTTATTGGTGCTGATGGAGCTCATGTTTGGAATATCCTTCGTCCTCATAGTACTATGTCGTGACCACTGATTCCTCGCTTCCATAGTCTTGGACACGTGCCTTCGTCGCCCCAGAGTCCCAACCACAATTTCCATGGGGAAAGTGTTGTTTCCGGTGGCTCGTTCCATATGAAGAGCTGAATGAGAAATTCCAGTGCGACAACAGAAATACTCTGATCGAGTGGACTGGCCCAGATCGGAGAATCATCTGCTATCCTTGCTCGAACCATTCAATAGCAAACTTCGGCGCTTTTGTTCCTAGTACCGAAGTGACAACCTCAAACCGAGGTAAGATAAGCCCATGCAGCCAGCGCGAATATGTCTTGTCAAAATGACTTATCAAAACCCACAGAGTGGAATAATCGGGCAAGTAAAGAGCAGTTACTTCAATGCTTCGAGAAGTTTGACCCGTCGATTCGACAAATCTTGAATCAGGTACCAGAAGATGGACTCAAGATTTGGGAGCTTTTCGATATGCAGAATCTTCCTAGTTGGGCCAATGACTGTAGTGCCCTTCTGGGAGATGCTGCCCATCCATTCCTACCTTGTAAGTAGGATATTTACTTCTACATGATCTCGCTCCAAGGCTTTCTGTACTAGATGCCATGTTTACTAATACACATACCAATCAGTTATGGCTCAAGGAGGAGCAATGGCAATCGAAGATGGCGCGTCAATTGGCGCCCTTTTCCCTTTAGGAACAAGTAGAGCAGATATCCCATCCCGATTGCAGATGTATGAGCAATGTCGCAAGGACCGAGTTGAACGAATCCAAGACTTCACCCGTCGCAGTGGAAGGAATAATGATGGCAGTGAAGGTCCTCGTCCAAAAGGTAATTATTTGATTGAGATTCTCTGTTCATGGCTTTATCTGACTGGTATTCACTTTATAGGCGAGGAAGTCGCAAGTTTCCTTCCTTTCTGTATTGACCATGATGAGTGGGAGAATTCGTCAAGATTCTTGGCTGAACAAACTCACTACTAATTGAGGAGCGTATGGAAACCCTGGATTGGAAAATACAAATTAATTAAAGACCTACGGGGGTTTAACGACCTTTCTATGGCATCTTACAGTTTGGAAATATGTGTGGTTTGATGTATCCATTGTACAACCCAGAGGTATGTACTCAGCCATGCAACTTGAAATTCTATGCTCCTGAAGACTACAGTGGCGAGGTCAGTGGTACAAAATATCATCTCTCGCTGGGCTTCGATATTGGCGGAGAGCCCTTAGCAATGGAAAGCATACATTATCAAGACGGGCTGCTTGGCTATCTGTCTTCCATTCCAGCGTAGCCTCGTTCCACAAACGAGCTCATGATGCAAAGTCTAATCCAAATTTTGATTGTCACCATGGAGAATAGGCTTTTTGTTTTTGCAAACAGTCTTGAGCTCTTGGCATGCGACATTCCCATACTTCTGGAGAAAGCCACGCATAGTGTCACCACAACTTGTCACGATCTGGTTTCCCACATTCTGTCCTGAAAGTTTCATGACACGGAGAATAAGAAAAACAATTTCCGATATGTAAGATTCGTCTGGTGGATAAGGCTCCGTGACATATTGTACAAGTGTCTTATGCACCGAGGGTCGGATCAGCCTCAACAGCTCAATAGAGCGTTGATGCATCCCAAAGTAGTTGAACAAAATGATTCGCTCTTGCTCAAATAGTTTGAATTTCGAAAATTCCAAAAGTGCAATTGTATTGAAGTTGTGATTTTTCGGCTCGTTTCCCTGCATACCTTACTTTGGACTGAGCAGTTGGTCTTCCTCGCCTTAAAATTCAAGCTATATTATTAAAATATTCTGGTCACTCTCCTATCCGGTGTATGAGATGGGGTCTCTGAAACATCATTGCGTTCATCAAATTATCGTCACAAAGTAGCTTCCCAGGTGTCCCAGGCGGCTTCATCCAACTGAGCCTTTGTTAGCTTTATGGGCTTAGGCGCACCTTGGGCATAACTGAACACCGTCCAACCGTCCTCATCTCGCAGGTTCAATTTCATTTTCCCGGTTTCCATAAGTATTCGAACGGCATCAACATGCTTCCTTTGCACGGCAAACATCAATGGTGTTTCCCCAGCCTCGTCCTGGGAATTTGGGTTTACATCATTCCGTTTCAGCAGTTCTTCCATGACACCCAATGGATCGGATTTGGGTAAAGATTTAGGTGCCTCTTTCCTCGTAGATGCGGCAATCGACGGAACAAGAGGCGCTTGTCCTTTCAATAGTCTGCGAATCTCTTCTAGCGCTAGTCTTTCCTTTGCCCGTGTCTCTTCGTACCCATTTGTGCTTGAAATGTAGGGTAAACGATATGCCGCATGGGAAAGGGCAGTTTTCCCGTTGTCAGCGGGAGTATCAGGCGCTACTTGGCCTGTTGCGAGTAGCAGCTTGACTACATCAACATGGCCAGACTCAGCCGCCCATGACAAGGGTGTTTGACCGTCCTTATCTTTGCTATCAGGGTCCACTGCACCAGTGCCAAGCAAAAAACTCACAGCATCCGAGTGCCCATTCCCGGCCGCGAGAGACAATGGCGTGCGGCGGTTGTAATCAAGGGCTTCAATGTCAACCTTCTCGGTGCTGAGAAGAAGTTGCATGACTTCTAAATGGTTAAGCATTGCCGCGGCCGAGAATGGAGTGGCTTTATCCTTGTTCCTACCGTCGGGCTCGACACCGCTCATGTCGAGCAAAAGTTGAACAATAGCCGCGGAGCCACTTAATGCGGCACAATACAGCGGGGTTTGACCGAAACTTCCCGCGCCCTTGGGGTCTTCATTGCCTTCTTCCAATAAGAGTTTCACTATCGCCAAGTGTCCTGCTGTGGCAGCGGAACAAAGGGGTGAACCGTCGTCATAACGAGATTATGGTAGCGCCTTTCGAAGACAAAGCCTCACGAGGTCCTCGTTACCCCCACGTGCAGCTGAATCCAAGCTCCGGTGTCCAAGGGAGAATCGGCTATCAGCCAGGAGGATGTGTACGATCTCTTCCCTTCCATAAGACAGCGCTACATCGAGCACTGTTAGTCTCCGAAAATCCCAATGGTCACCGTATTCTTCTAAGTCACGTATATGCTTAGGTACTGGGGTCAAAAAGCGAAGTAGGAGGTTCAAAATATCCACACGCCCGCTGAAAACAGCGCTAGTGAGTGCTTCGTCAAACCAACGCTTGCCGTGAACGATGCTGGGGTCATGCTCCAGCAACAACTTCACTATTGATATGTGCCCTGCTCTCGCAGCGCGGATTAATGGATCCTTATAACCCTCTTTGGAATACCATGAAGCTTTCCCCCGAAGCCGTAGCATCGCACGCGCCAGCTCTAAATTCCCATGGATAGATGCCCATAGGAGCGTTTCCTTGCGTCTTGTTTTGCGCGTCAGATTGTATAAACACTCCAGAATAGGCGAGAGATTGTTGAAACACCGATGAGCTTTCATAAGACTAACGACATCACGCTGAGTTGGCAGATACCGTGCAATTATGCAGATGACCTCATTTGGTAGGTCAAGCAAAGTCATCTATAAGACTAGTAAGCTACCATCATGTGAGAGGCCATTGCGATTACTCTTACTTCCTGTTGTCTGTGGCCTCTGGCCTAATGGTGAAGATGAAATTGAAATAGAGAAATTGAACGCTTCCGGTATGGATAATGGACCACGCGCCCGGACGATGAACTGGGCTGTGAGGAATGGTTGGAAGCAAATGGGGTTCAAGATTGGATTGATGGAACTTCAGAATATGTTTTCACGATAGTTTCAAATGCTATGACTTCTAGATGTGGGGAAGATTTGCAAGACACACCTCTTGGTAATTGTTTGGCGGGGAAGAGGAGCTGAAAAGGGATAGAGGAAATAGAACCAGTCTGACGCTAACCTCCATTTGGACTAGCGAGCTGTCCGCCGGGGGGCTCAGCCTGATGTTCGTCGTGACTGGAGGCTTCTTCGGTAATACAGACAAATGTTGTTTGACAATACGACACAGCTACGTAGGGCTCAACCCCTCCGTATTATATAGAGAATTTCTATCTACACTACCATCATCTTGTGTCGACAATAAGTGACTATATTATAGACCGCAAATGAAGCTCATGGAGCATTTGCGGTCTAACGGTGTTATGCCTCAAATCGGTACTATACTTCACCTAAGAGCCCGGGGCGCCATCACCAACCTGGCTGCCAGTAGTGTAATTTCCAAAGCAAGCCTCCTGGTACATAGCCTTCTTCTTCATAGTCGGCACCGCCTTCAAGAACTTCTCAACGGGGCAGAAGCCATTCTTAGCCTTCTCACAGCCAACAAGGCCATTCAGCGGCAGAGGCGCGTTGTTCAACAAAAAGCGAATGTAATCTGTAGTATGAGCAGTAGACTCAAGCTGTGGGTTCTCATACAGAATAGGGTCCAAGTCGTCGAAAGAGGTGTCACCGGGACAAGTCCAGATTTCGGAGAAGAAGCGAGCGCCGAAGGGGGTCATATCGGAAAGAGAGAAAGTACGGTTGGCAGGTGCGTGGTCCACGTTGCCCGGCAGACCATCGGGTCCGTAATTAAAGTGCTCGAGGCCGAGAGCTGAGATAACGGACAAGATGATGTCGTCATGGGACATATCCATGTAGAAGGGTTGTCCGAAGGGGAACTGTGCGGTGTTATCGTCGTAAGTATAGTTGATGCTGGTATCGCTGGAGGTGATAAGCTTCTGCTGGAGACGAGCGGCAAGCTCCAAGACATAGCCGATTCCCTGGGCGCGACCAGTGGGGGAGCCATAGGCGTAGTCGCCGTAGTACTGGACATCGACGTTGTAGGCAAAATCCTTCCATTCTTGCTCAGTGAAGAGGGAGCAGAAGGATGAGCCGCCGAGACTGGTGACTTCATATGCACAGAGGTTCTGCATGGCCAACACGTCCATTGCAGTCAGGTTGAAGTCCTTGGGGAGGTAAGAAGAAAGTCGGGCGCGTGCGTCCTTGGTGTAGCGGGAAATGAAAACCTCCGCATCGTCGTCGCTGATTGTGTTAGAAAGAATGCATTAAATTTAGGAATATTGGGCACTCACCCCTCGGTCATGTCACCGGGGCAGGATTCATATGAAGCCAGAGTGTTGTTGAATGGGTAGACCTCGGGGATAATGACCAGGTCGTATTGCTCATAGGAGCTGTTGGCGCCGCTGTTGCCAAAGAAACCGCCTAGAAATCTATGTAAGCATGCTGTTGTAAGATATAAGCTGTTGAATCCACATACTAAGCCACCAGCGAGCACTCTCCAGAATTCGAGACTGAGAGGTAGTCCGGAAAACCGGCTTAGGACGGGCGGTGCCATTGGGGTAAACATTCAGAGATGCATTCCAGGCGGCCACATTATCACGATCGGGACGGTACAAGAGACGACCGTACTTGATCCAGAAGTGGGCACCAGAAGTAGCCTCCGTAGCTGCACCAGTCTCCATGAGGATATCCTCGCCAATAACATACTTCCAGCTGTTAAGGAACTTAAGCGGACCGCTAGCGACGGCTTTCCCCGAGTGTGCCTTGGAGTAATTGGTTAGCTTAGCCGCAAAGTCCTGCATACCCTCGCCATCCAGGGGGTAGTTTGTGGGGTATCGCTCGGCATGGCGGTGCAAGACGTGCACTTGGGAAAGCTCGCATCCTGAGGGCATCCCCTTGGGAAGTCCAAAGCTGTCTGCATCTTTGTAAGGGCTGAGATTGGCCCAGCTTCGGGTCATGTCAAAGCCCGACGCGTAGGTTGCACCGGTGGGTGCTGATGCTGGGGCCGATGAAGAGGCCGCAGCGGCCACGGAGGCCAATGTAGCGCTAGCAAGAAGCTTCATTGTCGATGAGCCGGTTGAGCTGGATTATGATTGAAGTTTGACGGCGCGTTGTCCTAAACTTAATGCCAGCAACACGCGCTGGAATGCGGAAGATAAGATTGACTTCTATACAATGGAGCCGAGGCGATTGGCTGGAGGGCTGGATTGCAGCTCTCCCTTTGGTCGGTCGCGCTAGTAGAAAATGTATAGACTTGGCAACGACCAGGAAAATGATATGAGCCCCGTGATCGGTTCAATTGGCGATGGGGGGCGCTACAATTTAAATCTCAAATTCCAAAATGGGCGGGGACATTTGGGTGAAACCTCGTGGCTCCTCATGCTGATCCTTTCCCTCGGACGATCGATTCTTCCGCGTTCCTGGTTCCCTGAGTGACCTAGTAGACCTCGTAATCCTGGGAAACGTTAACTCTTAGTGTACTAGTCAGATGCTGGTTAATCAAGGTCCCAAAGTCAATTATTCATTTATCGTACCTTGGATCCTCCTTCAATTCCACTTGAAAGCACGCGACCAATAACTAGAAACCAACAGTCTCCGAAATGTCTTCGGCGGAGCCCCGCTGCCCGGTGCAACTCCACCAAACTGCGGGAATTTTCTCCAGCTCGTGATAAGCATTCATCAGCAATTTAGCATAGAGAGCAAGTGAGTCAAAACAATTTTGGTGGAGAATCCCAGAGGTTGTTCGACTTTGAACAAAGAACAAATAACAACAAACTTAGTCTATACTCGGTCACGTGCCTCGGCGTGCATCCGTGACTCTGGCCGACGCCGATGACATCATTGGCTGCATCCAGGTCCAGGCGCTTTGTCAGGGCTCTCTTTCCCGGAGTCTTTGGCACACTCCATCTTCGATATCCTTACACCTTTTCGGTTGGCACTGTCTCTGATCAGGCTTAATTGTATTCAAGATGCCGGACAAGCTGAAAAATATGGCCGTCGCCGAGGCCAACAGCGCTCGTGCGGCCTCCCAAGAAGTTCTCAAATCGGGCGCTTATCTGTACCCGATCAAGGTATGCCTCCCCTGTGAAACCCACTGAACCGAAGCTGACATTCAAACTAGGGCATCCTCTACTTTGCAACCCATAAAGACCTCTGGGGTCCCTTCATGTCTCGCGTTGGGCGCACATTCGGCCTCGGAATGGGCGTTACGTCATTCATGTTCTTCTTCACCTACGTGCCCCAGATGGCCATCATGGCCTTCACAAGTGGTCCACTAGCCGCGCTCTCAGCAGCTTTACTAGTCCTCACTGAGAGCGCTACCATCACTAACATTCTGTCGCGCTCCTTTGTGGTCGAAGATGCTCTTATCGATACATTCGATGGGACACTCATTGCCCGCGATCAGGAACCCCTTGTCGCCCAGGGTCGTCAACTCAAGCCTCGATCAGGGGGTCGGGATGCGGTGGCAAGACTAGGCAAGATTATTTCGCGTCCACTTGCTAGGTTCACGCCGCAGGCTATCTTCAGATCGCTGATTTACTTGCCCTTGAACTTGATTCCGGTTGTCGGGACAGTGCTATATATTACGGTTCAAGGCAAGCGTGTTGGACCAGCACTGCACACACGTTATTTTGAATTGAAGGGTTGGAATGCCCGACAACGGGAAGACTGGATCGCGAACCACAGGGGCGCTTATACTGGGTACGTTAACAATACGTTGGATTTTGGTTGTTTCTGAAGACACGCATATTTCTAATGATTGGTTAGACTCGGCATGGCAGCATTTGCTCTCGAAATGGTCCCATTCGCCTCTATTGCTTTCTCGTTTACTAATGCAGTCGGGGCGGCACTGTGGGCTGCAGATCTGGAAAAGGCATCGAAATAAGGACCGGCGAAGCGGGCTATGACTGGAGAACATTTTTATAGGACGCACTTCCCAAAAAAATGTAGTAATATTCCATGCAGAAACAAGGCCGGAAAGGACATGTTAGATAGTAGATTGGAGATTCGGTTCCTCCAGTTCCTCCACCTTCCCCCTCATACTTGATACTACGTAGACACGGAGATGTGACCAGCGCAAGCTCATGCGGATCCAGCTTTGGCTCGCCCAGACTATGCAACTGGAAATTGTGCAGCCATAGTCGACAGGTCGGGTTTGAGGCATGAAGGGCTTCAAGTAGACACAGAGCAAATTGATATTCGGCCGTATAGAAAAAGTCTCGCAGCGCGGGCAGATTTCTCACTGAGTGGGCCAGTGGTCTCCAGAGATCGTCAGTCTTGGGGCTGCCGCTTGGTACCCAAAGAGGCTGATTGTCTATGGTCTTTTCGCTTAAAGGGTGGGAACTGAGCAAATGGGGTTTGCGGTGTATAACTGTCAGAGGGTTTTCGTAGTCCCCAGCGCCCGCTCCGATTCTAGGATGAGGCATCGAACATAATGTTAAACTCCCCGTCGGTCGAGATTCTCGAATAGTCGATTAGGTTCTCTGGCAAGCGTTACTTCAGACTCATCCTTTAGCCATACCCGCACAGTCTTGTAGAGATGTGATGCAGTGACCGCAAAAGACGCTTTGCTGGTGCAAGCGAGAGCCAGCAAGCTAGAAGAATCGGCAAAGTCCAGGTCAACCAGGATCATTGACACGATCTCGGGTGGGAGACGATCAAATGGTGTGAGTGCCATTCCGAAAGGGGAGCTGGAATCGGTTAAGAATTGATCCTATCAAAGTTGCAGGCTGGGATTGATAGATTTCAGGGTCATACTCACCCGCCCCGTGGATTTCTCTAGCCCGCGTCGTCGGCGAGGTCTCGCGCAGTGTCGGGTAGCTCTTGGAGCGTTGATCTTGTCTCATCAACACAGCTGCCGAAAAAGGCAGATGGGTTGGGAGGTGAGTTGGGAGTGAGTTGGTAGATATTTGGAGATAGTTAGAAGCGTAGAGAAATATTTCCGTGAGGTGTTTGAAGAAAAAACGAAGTGAGAGGAAGAGAAGAATGGAGTAATTCGGCATACGAAAACGAAAAGTCGGGTGTCCGAGGCTGTGAGGCGTAGATGAAGCTAGGATCATACTCATATACAAGAAGCTTTTGTGACACTACGATGCTGTCTAATCCGGGGCGCACCTCACTTTCGAGTATGCAATAGTATAACCATACTAAAGAGATCCTCATATAAGCTTGAACCCATGACTGACCTTGAAATGGTCTTATTAGTTATACTTTATAAGATAAATCGAAGGATCCTACTAGGGCTCTCTGAAACGAAAATTGGAATGACCTTTAGAAATAGAGGAGGTCAAATAGTATCTAGCTAGACCATTTTTTCCAGCTCTTATTTCAAACCCTTGAACTATCTCTATACATACATAAAGGCGTAATATCCTACAGATATCGAATAGTATTGTATTTGTAAGGTTGGTTAACGAGTAGGCTAAGCGTTGTAGTGTCACGAGAGATTCGTGTAATGCCATGAGAATGAGCCCAAAACTGAATAAGCAAGTACAAAATCGAGACCCTCGGCGTGAGAATGCGGTGGATATTACACGATAATTCAAGCTGATCTCAGTTATCCCGGTTGATTCTACTTGCTTATCTTCGAAGCCAAGGTATGTTCCAGGCTTTCTTGCCAAAAGGTGAAGTAAACCATACCACCGGTGCAAGGCCCAGGGAGCTTCCGGTAGTTGCAACTATTACTGCCTGATGATATAAATAGTTACAGAATTGGATAGATACTCGATTTCTAGACGCCAAATTAGATGGTTATTCCTCTGAAAAGGTTATCCAGCTATCACGGTGGGACTTCTATTCCACACATGAGCGCCTAGGCAGATCTGAATGTCAAGTTATATACATGCTCATTTGCAAACAAGGGAACAAAGTCTGCAGTATAGTACCACGTAGGTTTCTGCATGGCATCGTTGACCTGTAGACCATTCACAGTCAAATTAATGAAAGTAACGTTGTTGATCAACCGACCCTCATCGTATCCAAGGAACTGCGAAGGGTTCGCATGATGACCGTTATAAACAAGATCCTTGATCACAACATTGCGAATCCCCCGACCAGGCGATGTGTTGTACTTCGTGTTATCCATGATTCGAAAATTCAACAACTGACCCAGTTGGAAATCTTCAACTCGGACGTCTTCGATGTAGACATTCTCGATGAGGTTGCTATCGCCCGCGTTGATTGCAATGCAACCTTGATACCACATCTGGGGCTCGTGGTGGTTGAGAATGTCAATGTTTCGGATCGTCACCCCATCCATGGTCTCGGGATTGGGAGTGTTTCCGTGCGTGCCAATGTTTATTGGGTGCGCGTAGTCTGCCCAGAGTGATGAGTCCTGTACGGTGATATTCTTGGAGTCTCCATAGTAGTTCCATCGATGTTGGTATATGGCAATATTATCATCCGAGTTCCGCATAAAGACTCCTTCGATCAAAACGTTCTGCGAACAGAAGATATCAATTCCGTCGCCATTTCCCTTGGAAGAGAATGAGCGGATACCGGATATGGTGACATTTTCCGAACTTCCTGAGATCACTGCATAGCCGTTGGGATTCAGCATGATGACATCCTTAACCATGATATTCGAGGAATATTCGATCAGCACAGTACCAGATGATTTGGCTGCAAGAATACCCCTGCCTATGATCGCAGAGTTGGACACATTGTGAAAGGCAACTTGTGCGGTAAGTATGCCTCCCCCTGCCAGGTAAACTGTTTTGCCTGATGGGACAGACAAGGTCCCGTTGTTGATTCCAGTGCCGTTGTTGACACCGGGACCGAAATAAATCACATTTGGGTCGTCCATAGATTTATCGCTCTCAAGAGAGTTTGAAAATAGTTGAAGAGTATCAAACAAGTCATCATTGATCTGAATCAGGATGTTCTCTGGTTTAGACAGCGAAAATTCGATCGCGCCGTTCGCGACTCGAGGACGGATACCAAGAGAGTGCGGTCGGATATCCACTGATTTAAGAGGACCATTATGATACTGAACTCGGAATTTGACTGGCTGAGAAAAATCCAAAAGTGCGACCGAGGTGTTGTGCTCCATACCCTTGCCAGAGGTTGTGTTGACTTGGGCAACCTTAGCGAAGAAGGTATTGACTTGTTGAAATGGCCCGCTCGCAGACTGAACAAGGACGGAATAAGAAGTCCCGTTAATAACACCAGGAGGAACAGGATATGTCTTGATAACATCATTGTTGTTGAGTGCCAAGGCCATGGACGAATGAAGCACGAGAGCGAACATGACGGTGAGCACATGGCACCATCGCATACGGCTAGCTGCACCACTTTGGGACGACATTTTGAAGGAGTAAACCTCTAGGTTTCCATAAAATGAGAAAGCGAACTGAACTATGTTGGTTCCGATCAGCTCGATTCCGGCTTTTATATCATACAGTACTATGTTCCATTATAAGCACCTACTGGGACGGAGATGCCCCGGTCAATGCCCCGGATTACCCCAGTCAATGAGAATAATAACGCGGGGTTCAAGATCACCAGAAAATCTTAATTACAATCAAGCAGGGTCCAGGAAGACACCCACTTCTGTTTGCGATAAGAATAATCTAAAAATTCAGCGGAATACGATTGTAAATAATAGATAGTTGTGACAAGTATCGCTACCAGACGGCGCGCTCCGCGATAACCACTACGATGAACGCGACCCCAAAGTGCGATGGGTTATGACGAGCCAGATTTTCAACACCGTGCAATTAATTGACATAATCTAGTTATCTCACATCAACCCAAACGAGTTCATTCACTTAGCAGGTTTATGTACCGAAGTTTAAGGTTGTTGCTTTGAAGATAGTGGCTAGGATGTATATCTTGCAGGTGGTTGGCTTCTACGGCCGCTCAGCACTCCGTAGCATTCACGGGGAAAAGAGCGGAGGTCGACCGTGGAACGGAAAACTTATTATCAATTGTATTCAACGTCTGAAATCCGAGGACATCGTCCTCGCTAGGCCGAAGAGCCCGTCGGTTGGCTCCCGGGCAATTGGCTGCTTTTATATGATTCCGCTAGATTGATGCCTGAGGCAATAAACGGGGTTTGGAATTCCATCCTCGGCCTTTTCTCCTCATTTCCCTCCCTTCTGAATCTTTACACCTTATTGCACGCCACAAATTGCGCCTTTTTTGAGCAGTTCGGCTTTCAGATATAGAAAGAGACTATGAAAGTCCTTCCGTCCCACATGAATCATGCACTGCCCTAGTGTCTTTGTTGATGATGATCGTCCTCCAACCTCCCGCAATTGCGACGGGTGTGCCCAGTTTAGGCGATGTTTAACGAAAGCCTCGGGGTATTTAGCCAGTGCGGCGAATCAGAATGCTTTGACCCCGGGTATGCATCGAACCGGTTGGGGCTGAGATGTTAGCGGGCTTGGCAGGGCAACAACGGCCGCTCTGGTTAAAACCCGCCAGAGAGCACCTCGTCAACGGTGAATTTGCAAATCTCACATCATGACCGAAAAGAAATCCAAAGACGACGGTACTCCATTTGGAACAATCCACCAAGCCGCCTCACGCGGTCGCATTGAGACGATAAAGGTGTTACTAGAAAGCGGAGCCGATCCCGACGAAGTGGATGAACGTGGATGGGGGCCGCTTCACTTTGCCGCCGATAAGGGCCACTGGAATATCGCGAGGCTTCTGTTGGAGAAAGGTGCAAGTCCCGGCTTGATCAATGGGAGCTGTATGACACCACTTGACTATGCGGTTTCCGGGGGATATCTGGAAATTGTTCGACTACTTCTCGAATGCGATGCTTTATTAGCGGACCGCTTCACTGGGAAAAGCACCCACCCACTCCTTGTTGCAACTACGCGTGAAGATATACCTATGATCCAGCTTCTCCTGGGCGCAAAGGTTCGCACAACTGTCAGCGATATGCATGGCCGAACACCTGTCCATTTGGCCGTCAAGCAAGGCAATCTGGATATTTGCAGACTTCTCGTCGAGCATGACGCGCAGCACCCGCCTTCGGGCCTGAGTCGAATTTTTGCCAGCAAACCAGCCGCATCGAGAAAAGACTCCAGTGATCACTTCCCCCTTTTCTACGCCGTGGAGAGTGGAAATTGCCCGATGGCCAAGCTATTACTGAGTACTTCTGTGGCCTCTCCAAAGGCGTGTGATTGGCACAAAAAACGGATCTTTCACCAGGCTGTCAAGTCTGGCAATCTGCAGATGGTCGAAATATTTCTGAAAAATGGGGCCCCAGTCAATCTCAAAGGTCAGGATAGTACAAGCGCTCTTCATATTGCGGCGTACGAAGGCGATGTGAAGATGACAAGACTCCTCCTGGAGTGGGGGGCCTCCACCACCAAGAAGGACGGTGGGCTTTCGACTCCGGAACAAGTCTCACGGAATGCGGAAGTGACTATGATCTTGAAGAATCACAACACGAAACCTGGTGGCTCAAAAGTGAGTAACCAGAAGTCGAAGCACTCTACCAAAGCGGTCTCTGCGCCTCCACCAGAATATTCGGCTTCCCCTCCGAGTATGATATCAAAGTCGAAGAGTTAAAAGACTACGACTTTCATGATTACATATCCAGGTACTATAGTTAGCGCACACTGCTGACACACTCTGATTCTTGGAAATATATCCATACCCCCGTCATCTTCGCTTCCACTTCGTCAATCCCCCCAGCTACCGCAGCTAACTATATGTCGTGGGCGGCCATTGGCCTGGCATTCAACTTCTTTGTATTCTTTTGCCTCACGTATCCTGGTGTTTCGTTAAACTGGTGGGGCAACAACATTGCCGACGTGACGGCGGACGGCCTGGGAACGCCCCTTGATACAGTGGAATCAGGTAAAACATTTGGGCCTTCTTCATGGGAATATAATAGGGAACTCAACTGGACAGGGGAATTGGAGGTTAGTTTGAAATAAATGAATCTTCAGGTGTTAAGTGCCTTGAAACGAAGTCTATCTTCGTGCATCAGTTATATAAATACCGTCTTAAAAAATCATAGTCTGCCGCCATAGAAGGCGAATCTCGTATTGAACTCGTATTCGATGACTCGCTACCTGCCTACCTAGTCGAGGCCTTTCTAAGGGGTTTTGAACACTGCAATCCATCTGGTACCTATCAGGCAGCTTATCAACGTCCGGGGCTGGCCATTTCCCAACCCCTAATGGCTGTTAACGCTATTTTCCTAGCCTTAGGATAGCTATAGTGGCTGAGGATTAAAATAGGGCTTTTTCGGATCTAAATACTCCAAGGTACCTTAAATCATGGGGCTAGATCACTTACGTTACTTATTGGCTCTTGAAATGGAGACTTACGTTTTGGAAATAGTACCAGACCCGGCACTGTCGCTCCCTTCCGTGATAATCAACCCCGGATGAGCCAGGTGCTCTGAAGGTGTCAAGCTGGTTTGAAATGATAGGTAAATGTTCGGGCAATGCTTATTTCATTGGTAATCGCGTAAAGCCTGATCCTTGCTCATATGATGACTGGGAATAAAGAGAGAGCCGAGGTAGATTCACCTTTACGATTGAAGGTGGTTGGCAGTGAACAAACAAAGACGAGCCAACAAACAGCTCCACCGTGAAAGCACGAGAAGCCACAATTTTCCCGTCTTTCAACTCTGATTTCACGAACCTGCCACCAGAAGGCTCGAGTGCTGCATTGAAGCGCCTTTCTTTGTTGCTTCTCAAGGTCTGGTAGCACGTCCTCGGAGCCGGCTGAGCTACGTGGAAACTTCGAGTGCTCCTTGGCCGTCATTGAGGAAGTTAAGCCGAAAGTACAGCGATGGCTGTCCTTCGTTGCACTGTCCGACAGAACTATTCTCTATCACTCTTGAACTGAATTGGCATTTTTTATACACAATGAAATTAACTTCACTCACAATGGAAGTAACTCCACTGTTCTTGAAAATCATATTTGGTGATTCAAGTAATTCCGTAGACGACTGTTTGGCTACCTTTTGCTCGTGCACTCTTCTATCTAGAATTCGAACTAGACCCCTTGAAATGGGGTCAAATAGCAATATTGATAAGAAATAACGCATCTGCAATTATGATTTTCGGCACTTTGCCCAAACACACCATTAACGGGTACTCGACAGTTTCTTTCAAGTTCTGGATGCATTCTAATGTTCTCTCCTTTGTTCAATCGCCAGCACAGCTAGTCATTTGTGCTCAACATTTAGTTATAAGTTACCTTTAAGTTGATCCGAATGACCTTTCTCTTCTTTATACCTAGACATGCGCCATCTTTGTGTCTAATTATAGCTGGCAATGATATATTCAACAATCCCCTCTTGCACTAGAGTCGGACCTCCATCTATGTCGTTGTACATTTCACCTTGAATCGATCTACACTCCTTCTTCGTTGATCCGTACACCTTCTTACAATGCCTACCAGAGGGTCAAGACGGGGAAACGGGTCCTCAACCACAAGATCCTCATCAAGCGCATCATCCGGGCATAGCAGCCTCGCACGGATAATCTCGGAGTTGAGAGCCACTGCGGTCCGCGCGAGAAACTTTCCAGAAGATCCGACAGTGACCCCTTTTTCGGCTGGTCAGTTCCAAACTCTGTCAAACCATCTTCGCAACCATCTTGTTGAGTTTGACCCGTTCGAACGTGTGAGTACATACCTCACCCGTGCCGACGTTTTCCAAACGGATGTATACAATGCGGTTCATACTCTCATCAATGGCATCCATGAACAACGGGGAATGAATCTTGAAACGCTGGATTACCTTATGGAGGTCATTGATATCTGGTCCAACAGACCAGCCGGCGAGTTTTCCTGGGAATTCAGCCGTCGACTATGTTTCTTCCTGCTACGGCTCGACCCATCAAGTGCCAATCCAGTGCGCTTTCAATTCTCCCTCTCAATTCCACTAGCCGCGATGTTCATGGAATTCCTTCGCGCAGACTATCCCAATCCCGCTCCTGCACCTCCAAGCCCGCCCCCACGATACTCTGGAGATAGGCGCATTGTGATTGTGGAACAGCCTTGGACATTCTCCCCCGAATCTGAGACCCCAGGTCCACCGTATTCGCCAGGCAAAGTCGCCGACCTATTGCTGCCTGACATTCCCCGGCGACAGTTGACTACTGCGATTTTGAACGAGCATACAAAGGATTCGGATACCAAGCAGGTAACATGCGTTATCTGCACGGAGAGGATAGGGTTACGAAATATGATGACTCGATTGCCCTGTGGGCATATGTTCCACACGCCGTGTATCGCACATGTTTTTTATTATAGGGACTATGGGGGAGAATCTCGTCCGTGTCCCTGCTGTCGCTATGAGTGTGGGCCTGTGCCTGACTGGGAGGAGATTGCGGATGCTAGAAAGCGATCTAGAGAGCTGGACCTGGACTATTTGGGAGAGGAGCTAGGGGAGCCTCTGACAAAGAGGACACGGCGGGCTTAAGAGCTTGACTTAGAGGGCAGGCGTTGCGGTGTCTTTCTTGTGTTTTTTCCCATTGTGTTTATTCGTTTTTTCATGCCCAAGTTATATTGACTGCTTGGCTGAGATCTATTGTCTTTTTGAATTTTTTCGTATCACTCTTAAATTACAACGTTGCCAGATTTGCGGAATATACCGAACATCCTTGTAATCTTGATCTCATGTTACGGTTTCTGCAGAATATATCATACTGGTCAAATCTTGCCCTCAAGTCAAGGCAGATTAACTGACGATTATCTGGTGTAGAATGCATCAAAACATAGATTCCATAGGGTTATTGGACAGAATTAGACACCAGGGCCTCGGACTTCCTATTAAGGCAGGTGCTGCAGGGTGGCGCAGGACAAACCAGGCAAACAAGACGGACGACGGCAATGGCGTTGGACTCATCATCACCTGACCAGCAATCTCGACCAGGGGGGACTATACTAACGACATTCTACCATATGCCACGCTACAGCTTACAGGAAGAGCTATACCAATCATCACCAATTGAATTTGATATTGTAAATGCAGCAATAAGTAGATAAGAGCAAGAGCAAATGTCCTTTGAGCAACCATCCGTTCCAATTTGTGAATCGCGCGTCCCCAATTACTCGTTCTCCGTAACATCGATGTGGGTAGACTTGAACTTCCGGGCCGAAACCTTACGGTTGAACAAGATATCAATCTCACGGTACGAGCGGCCCTTGAGTTCAGGCAAGAAGAAGTACGCCAGGATCCAGCAGGTAATAGCGGTGCATCCCCAGACATAACCACACTTGCCAGCAAGGTTCCATCCGGTCGAGTTAAGCATCTGGGAAGAGAGGAAAATCATCGGGATTTCAGCAATGTAGTACGCAGCACGACCGACACCGGTGCTCAGTGCGCGAAGGCGAACGGAAGAGGTCTCGGCAATGATGGTGTAAGTAATGGGGCCCATGGTACCGGCGTACACGAAGGAGATGATGACACCGAGACAGGCTTGGGCGTAGCTGGTCGCGTGACTCTGATGAACCGAGCCAAAGATAGCGAGCATGAAGAGAAAAGTAACGTTAACGGCTGTGCCCCAGAGATAAATTTGGCGACGACCGAAATAGGCAGTAAGCGGCCAGGACAGGGCGTTGGCGACGAGCCCAAGGCACGAGTTGATCAAGTTGAGCATGAAGGACTTGTCGGTGGAGATACCGGCTTGTTCGAAGAAGTATGTAGCTTGGTTTGCGATGAGGTTACCGGCGAAATTCTGCGATGCATACATCATGCAGATGATGGCTGTTCTGCGAAGGTCGGTTCCCTTGAACAGGTCTAGAAGAGTTGGGCTGCCACCCGCCTCGGACTCAAGTTCGACGGTTCGCTCGATCATGGCCAAGGTCTTCTGGGCCTTGTCGCCCTTGTCGCCCAGACGTTCGATAGAGCGAAGGGCCTCGTCCTTGCGGCCGCGACGGATGAGCCACCAGGGCGATTCGGGTGCGAAGAAGATCAGCACCAGAAGGGGTGTCTATGAGTTGATATTTGAGTTAGTAAGCTTTTCTTATATTGTAAAAAAAAGATGATCGGGAGGTGAATGAAACTTACCGGGAAGAGCCACTGCAAGGCAGTTGGTAGTCGCCAAGACCACTGATCCATACGGTTGTTGTACGCATAACTCGCGCCAGAGACGATGATGGACCCAATGGACCAACTCATTTGCAAAGTTGCAGTGGTGGCACCGCGGAGGGAGAGTGGCACAACCTCACTAGCATAGGCGGGAGAGTTGGCAATGAAGAAGCCCCAGGGGATACCCTCCAGCAGTTGTCCCGCAACCATCATACCAAGAGAAGTAGAGAAGAAAGAAATGAAAATCGTTGCATTCATGAGAATAAGGGCCAAGATGGTGGTCCATCGGTAGCCAAGGCGATTGGTAACTGGGCCAGCTGCAAAGACACCGACGAAGGCACCACACTGACCGGACTGGAAGAGGGCACTCTGCCACCGAGTTGGAATGGACCATTCGCCTGTAGCAGTCTTGACGCCGAACCGCTCTTTGAAATAAGTCAGGGCGACAAAGTTGGTGTTCAGGAACATGTCAAAAGACTCCATAACGATGGTGAAGCAAAAGATGAAGGCCCAAATGCAAGCCTTTGGGTGGGACTTGGCTGCCTCCCAAACGCCCATCTCATGTTCCTCGTTCTCTCGCTCGATGGCCTCATTCATGAGATCCTTGTTATTCAAGACCTCATGGTGGTCGAGCTTCTCGCTATGATCGACATGAGGCTGGATCTCAGTCTTCACATCGATGGCCCCCTCGACCTTCGTCTCTTCGACGGCGGACGACATTTTTGCTAAGTTCGCTCAGAGCAGCTGATGAAGCGAGGCACTCAAAGAGAAATCCGGGGGTTTGTCAGTCGGTGATGGAGTGTTGAAGAAGAAAGGAAAGGCACGCAGCGATCGAGGTAGAAAGAAGTTTGCCGGGGGAGATATTTTATATCCCATGCACGCGATCTAACTAGCCCGAATGGAACTTTGACCTTTTGTTTGCTTTGCGGGGTGCGTGTGATACGTGGATAGACTTTCAGGTCTGTAGGTGAGGGCCAATCAAGGTCGACAGGGGTTAAGGGGGTTAGAAGCTCCAACCTTGAGAACGAGCGCACAGCTGTTGACATGCAAGAAATAACCGAGGCCAAAGAATAGGCAAAGACTACGAAAACAAGGCAACGTTTCCTACTGGCTAGAATGTTAGAACTGCGGCCAGGATAAGGCGAGCCACCCGTTGAGCGGTTGCGAATCTGGGCGTCCGGTGGCGTTTTGAGGAGCGCTGTGAGAGGAGGCCTGAGATACCCTAAATTCTCGGGCGATTGAATGGAGAACGCCCCTCTGGTACGACCCGGAGGCCCATCGGTCGAATCATCGTCGGAAAAGCTTCGGGGTCGGTGCTCCCCCCACGGGACTTTCTCCAGATTCGAAATGGAGTTGCTCATTGGGGATCCCCGGACCCCGCAAAAGACGCGTGGATACGGACTCGCTTGGGTTCTCAACAAGCTTGACAGCGACATCTAACTGGATATATTCACCGGTGGACAGGGAATTCGGAGAATGTGCACAAGGCTCGTCTGACCATCGGCCAGCCACCCGAGAAGAGAGAAAAGAAGCTTTCTAGGACCGTGAAAAGCCTTTGCCGAGCCGGTCATGCGGGAAAGGCCGTAGCAGGGGATACGGCCTCTTTGACTTGATTGAGCTAAGCGTGGTCAAGCTATTTGGAGGCTCTGGTTGGTGGAAACACGGCATGGACTATGCCTTTGCTGGACTAGCCTGGTCGCGTTCCTAGTCTGTTGTAACACATCAGAACACAGACCACAAGACCAGTAGGAGAAGTAGAAGGCCAAGGAGAGCATCGACTGCATCAACTGCATATCCTCGTGGCATCAAGACCGAGTTTAGAATCGGACGAGTCTGTGCCCGGGAAAGCCGATCGGTTCCTGCTTTCACTACAAGAGGATCGAGCTTGCACTCACCGAAAAACGTCCCTGGCTGAAAGCCACACGGGTAAAAACTGTGCCATTTCTCCGGTTTGCAATCTCGCCTATATCATAAGTTGTCCAGACAAAGTGTGGCTTGAGTTCGGAATCATTGAGATCCAAGAAAAGTGAGTTGTTATTGGCCAAGGAGGAAAAAGAGGCGTGACAATCCTTCAAGGTGGAAGGCGGTGGAAATTGGCACTTTGGGCAGGAAAGGCTTCAATCGAGTCCTAGGAAATTTCTACTACAAACAGAGAATAGCCAAAAAAGGAATGACTGTTGATTCATAGTTGACACGAAACCCAAGCTATTGTCCAGTCGGATTCGCCACTTTCCGCCGTTACTTACCCCATCCTATCAGACCTCCCTCAACTCGACCGAACTAACCGAGCAGTTCCTTGTGTCGCAAGTCGGTTAGCATTATTGTTTAGCATCGCTTAGAACTTTTAGGCAGACAGATCCGCTACTGAATTCGGCTTTAAGTCTAGGCAGCCCAAGGAAGGTCATCATAGCGCCGAATCCGGACTTGTGCCTAGACTCTGTTGGGTAAGGAACGAGAGTAAAGCCGATTAGTAACTCGGTATCCAAACCCAAATGCACCTAGCACTATAAACATTTATATTGAAGTACGCCTCTACCCTTGGAAGTGGCCCACGATTCTAAAACAAGGAGCAACCGCCACGGTTCGCGGATTTAGCCGAGATTGTATGGCTTAGTTCGCAAGAAATATATTAATGAAGCGTCATAACTATCTGGCGTGGATTTATCCAGCAAATCGTTTCAGTAGATACAGACTGTGAACTAGTAGTACATTTGCTCTCCAAATAACTCTACTATAAAACCCCAACACTGCCGGCCTGAACGCACCCACACAGGCTAGGTAACTTATCCCGGACTTGTGGCAAGTAATTCCGAGCCTCCATCCACCGCGCTGTCAATTGAATAGATAGCGATCAAATATCCTAGCCCGCGTGTCTTCGTCGTTGTCGAGAATCCCAACCCTCTAACTAATCTTTCTCCCTTCTTTACTGGGAATGTGATTTCCCTTTGGCGGGGGTTGACCTCGACGATTGACCCTTGATTGCATATTCCGTGAAGCGATGGATGGCATGAACATGGGAGTTGCTGCATTCCGAGATACCAAGGGCTTGTCTCCTTCAAGCCCCATTCTATCGACTCGAAGACCTAGTCGAAAAAAGGTCAGCAAAATCTGGTCCATGTGTGTAGCGATGATTGTAGAGAGGAATTCCAAGGCCTCCCCAGCGAGACAATACCAGTAGGGTCTGTAGAGACCGAGCGCAACCTCGTGCGTATTTCAACTGCTTCAGGAGACAGCCAGTACAATGAATTGGGTGTTTTCGATCCCTCTTGCACATAAGATATGTGTTCTGGATTGCTATGATAGTAGTGAGGCTTTGTAGTCGGTTGCGGGCGTCGTCAATATGGGTGTTTTTTGTGCCAAGGGAAACATATATATATCTATCATACCGAGAGATCCTGAGGTGGAGTCTCTCAAGTGGGTAATAATAGCCCCGGTGAGGGTGTAGAAGTCCTATTCCCGGTCTTTGTATGGATGATGTGAAATGGGGGGAGGTGGAAAGGGGTATTAAGGTTGTTTGTGCTGTGCTTCATTGCCCTTGTTTTGAAAGAGCTTCGTTGGCAAAACAAGGCGGTTGCATTTAGCCTGGGGTGTCGGAACTCCCCTATAGAAGGCTTCCTCCGGTTGTTTCCAGGACCAGTGCTTGCTTGGCCTATTTATGCCGCTTCTAAATCATTTCCCTTTCTTCTTTTTCTTCTTCCTCCTCCTCTCTTAGTCGTCCGCCTATATATTTGAAAAGGAGTGATTTTCTTCCCCGATACCTCTCCTTCCTTGCACTGAGCTAAGATTGTCACCTGCCAGCTTAGTAACGTGTAGCTAGCTGCACGGAACTTGCGGAGGTAGCTAGAGGTAACCGGCATGGATAAGTTGCCCATCCTCGTTAGTTGAGTGCTCCAGTATTGGTATCGGCTTTTTTCTCCTTCCCTCTATGTCAAATTCAAGAGGCACTCTGATGGGGCCCTCGTTATGCACACGGACTGCAGCTTCATGCTCAGGGATAAACTGGCCTACGTGGCAATGAAAGAGCTCACGCAGAAGCAACGAGCTGAGTATCGTGGTATCTGGGACAGGAACGGCGAGCCTCGCGCTGCTCGAGACCCGCCATCAGTATCGCACTAAAATACGCCATATTTACCAGATGAGCGATGTTAACGGTGCATTTGGCACGCTTCGTGCCCCCTCAGTGCCTTTTCCTACCTCTTTTATCGCCCAAGACCTATCCATTTACTCCGTTAGTACAATTCGACACGTATACACCGGCCTTCGGCTCATCAATACTGGGCAAGGCAGCCCTTCGACTGCTTCGATATTCAGTACACTTTAGAGTTCGGTTCAACAAAAGCCCCTGTACCCGAACACAGTTCCCAGTAATGCATGGATATGCAATGACTGTGCTTATGGCACAGGGTCTATCTCGTGACCCTGTAGTGTTCGTCCTCAATGGGACCATCAAATGGGGGGAGCACTCGACTGGACTACACTATGTAGCGATCTCCCACGCACGAGCCTCCAAAGGTGAAATGATCGAGCAACATAGCTTACGAGCCAGTAATGGACTAACAGTAGTTCACAGATGAATCAACGACCACGAATAATTTTCGACAGAGGTGCAGTCCGCTCATGGTGCGCTTATAGCGCAATGCCACGACGAAATCCTTCGGGCCGGGGATTTCAAACCTCAATCGGCGCCGATAACTATTATTCGACATATACAGAAGAGCAACGATACAAGAAGACGGACCAACGAAGACAACGGAAGACTGCCGCGATTGGTACGTTATTCCGCTTTTACGATGTACGTTTTATTAACATGCCTTTTCCTAGTATACGCCCACATAACCCAGAGCGGCCCCTAGGGCAGGTCTTCGCATATAGACAGTGAGGCTTTGTGGCCAGAACGCAGAACGTATGGCTTGGGCCATCTCTACAATCTCGAACGTCCCGGCGAGTCCGTTAAGCCACACAGGCTTACACATGTTATGTCGCACGTAGCTACGTCAGTGACCTGCTCTGTCATATTCCACCTAGCCAATCTTCGCTTTAGAAAGAATCGAACACTTTACGACCCATCACTCAACAGAGTAGGTCTCTAAACCTGGGAAAATTCTGGCGAAATAGGATTTTGCTTTATTCATGAAATATCTTTCTGAATATTTTGCGCATCATATTTCTTGGTAACTCGACCGTTATCCCGTAATTCACGATCCAAGCAATGACTGGAGAACGACTATAACATGTTTGGCGTTTTAGAATTATGAAACTACTCTATATGTATGATTCATGGGCGAAATACTATGACCCGGGGTATGTGCCCCGACACCACAAATCCCTCGGTTCTCAGGCTACCAAAGAGCCCCCGGAGCTGAACTCTTACACAGTAACTGGAGTCATTCAAATAGAAATTAGCGCTCCACCATCCCTCATAGACATAAAATGTAAGGAGTCTGACCAGCAAATGTTCAATTATTAGATATGCGGAGATACTTGGACGCTACATCGGTCCAGCCACGCCTCCATTATAATCCTTGAGCAGTACAATAATGAATCACCTCGTCACAAAGCTGCTTGCATCACTTCTAAAAAGGTTATCAAGCCTTCTCTATTCGGTATCTAAGGAATGCCCAGAATTAGTCACGCTTTGGAATCATTCCCGCTTCCTAGCCACATTATTTCTTAACAACAATATTTACTCACTTCATTGAACCAACAAATGATATGATTTCATTTTAAACACATTCATAAATAAGAATGCAAGCCAACCATATCATCAACCTAAGCTGCACTAGTCTATTCAACTGCCGCTACACTAACCGCGACCGAGGTACGTCGAAACTCAATCGGCAGACATACAGCAACTGCCGCACCCTTTCCCCGTCAGTGGACCACCAGGATCTAAACATGCTCTAGCCTGCAAATCCGGTCGGATATCTCCACAGCTTCAGGTAATAACAGTGTTAATCAAGCATTTCCGTAATGCGGGGTATAGACGATCCGGATATCCCGAAGAAAAGCCGGGGTTTATTTAAGTAAAAACCACTGCCAACATGGAGTGATGTTGAATTTACTATCTAGTACTGTTGAACAGTTGAGTATCAAGATCTTCAGTCAATATGAGGATGCTATCCTTCACTCGCAATGGGGCCACAACGGCTCTGCAGTTCCTTGCTATTGTCTTGTTGGCCCAGATCGGCATGGCAACCAAGACCCCCGAGCCGCCCAAACTGTCATTTCTCTACACAGCATATGTCGAGTGTGAGCCAAATCTCATGAGCACTATTGCTGGGCCACACGGTATACGCAAGTCTATCCCCATTGTTGGTGGAAACTTCAGCGGCCCTCATCTGTCAGGTACCCAAACCTCCCATGCTTCATGCAACCCGCCTCGATCAAATCCGTGTCTAACATTTGTGATATAGGCAAAATCCTCAACGTCGGGGCTGACTGGGGCCTGACCGATCCTCGAACAAACGTTTTCTCAGCAGATACTAGATACAATCTGCGCACTGATGACGGTGCTGATATCTTCATTCAAACATCTGGCCCCAAAGCTCCCGATGGTCATCTGCATCTACGTCTTGTCTTTGAAACGGCGAGTCCGAAGTATTACTGGTTGAACAATGTCGTCGGTATGGCGCCTGTCACTCTCCAAAGACGAGTATACCGGTTTATAGTTTTCATTGCTGACATTCAATCTAGCGATCGGCATATTGACATCTGGTCTGCCATCTACGGGGAACTTGAGCCTGCTGCGAATTGATGCTTGGAATGTAAGTTGGCTCGATGCGCTCGGTTTAATGTTCTGCCTGCTAATTATTGTTACAGTTCGCTTCGGACTGGAATGCGACACAGTTTGTGAATAGCACTGCTGCTGTGTGATAGAACAAGCAAGCAGGGTTCCTTTCTGATGTACCGAGGGACCGAATGAATGGTATTTTACGAACGTTGCGGGTTAGCCTTTGCCTGGTAGTTCAGGGTCTTGGTTGTGATTCAGCCAATGAACAAGGCTGAGCTTTAGTCTAAACCTCGACAACTACCACAATCTACTGCATACTGTTCCTCCAATACAAAACTTGCCCAGGAGGACGTAAGCTTCAAGTATAGCCAAGTCAAAATGGTTCTATACTAGTATTGCGAACGATCTCTACTAATTTACAGTACTGGAAAATAAGTGGAGGTCAAGGAGTGGCGATTGGTGAGCTAAGCTAGATAGAACCTGCGATCAAGAATGTACTGAACAAACCCGACATCGAGGCAAAATGTATCCCGAAAGCAAAATGGCATCAAAGCCAAAGAGCGAAAAGATAGTAATCACGCGAAACTTGAAGTCGATAGCAGTAAATCAGCAAGAAAGATGTGTAACACAACGATCTGCTAAATTTACTCGCTATCCTCCTCGCTGTCCTCCTCATCCTCGCTCTCGGCATTCTCCAGCCACTCCAGGAAAGGCTGGGCAGCCTTGCGGATCTTCTTGCTGGTAGAAATGTCGACGTACTTCTTGCTAGCCTTGGCGCCCCAGGCCTTGAGGGTTTCCTCAGACACGAGGTCGTTCTGGTAGTAGGCAAGCAGAATGGCGGGCACCTGGGTGACCAGAGCGGGGCGGTCCTGGCCGACGAAACGCTCGGTACCACCGAGGAAAGCCTTCTCGTGGCGCTCGGAGGTGATCATCTTCTTGAGGAGCGGGGCGCGGTCCTCGACCTGCTTGGCGATCTTGTCGTCGAAGATGCTCTGGGCCAGGACGGCAACGGTCTTGTGCTTGGACTCAATGCCGAACTCCTTAGCCTTCTTGTAGATGTCGATGTCGCTGACCTTGGTGACGCCACCCTTCTCCTCGGCAGTCTCCACGATCCAGCTGCCGAGCTGCTCGTAGGAGGAAGGTCCATCAGCCTCGTCATCGTCATCTTCCAAGACGAGAGAGCGCTTCAGGTCCGAGGGGAGGTCCTTGGCACGAGCCTTGACGGCCTCCTCAGACACGTCGAAAGCCCAGTCGTCATCCTTAATCTCAACCTCCGCCCCGATGGTCTCAGCCTGGGACTTGATGCGGCGGGTGAGCTCATCATCGCTGCCGGCATCCTCGGCATCACCATTCTCGTCACCGTTCTCGGAGTTGTTGCTGTCGCCAGGGCTAGCATCCTGGTCACCGTTGGCAGCGGATTTCTCCTTCTTCTGCTCACGGCGAGCCTTCTTGTCCTTCTTCTCCTTCTTACCACCCTTGGGGTTGTTGCGGACGATGAAGGTGCTCAGCTTGAGACGGGGGTCGACATCGGTGCGCTGACCGCAGGCCTTGCAGTCCAAGGTGATCTTCTCATCCTTGATGATCACATCGGTCTCGGGGTTCTTGCACTTCTTGCAAAGCACAAACTTGGAAATGAACCCATCAAGATAATCCTGGAGCTTGGGGGCGTCGTGGGCACCGTTGATGATCCAACGGTCATCGGAGGGCTTGGCATTGGCCTGGGCACCGAGTTCGAAACCGAAGTACTTGATGACGTACGCAGGGGGGCGGCTGAGGGAGTGGGCGACGGAGGCCAAGTTGACAATGACGGTCTTGATACCGTTGCCCTTGCCTTCAATCTTGGACTGGATCTTCTCCATCTTGTAGCGGTAGAAGGGATCGGTAACATCCCGGCGAATGTTGACGGTAGCCATGTTTACGGTTAGAGGTGGTTAAGTTGATAATTTTTCACGAGAACGGAAGGACGGGATTGCGAAAAGGAATTGTGACGGAAATATTGTCGACTGAACAAGACATGCGTGTCAAGTTCGGGTTTTTTTGGTTTTAATTTTGAGGGGTGAGATGGTGACGGTTTCTGTTGTGGATGACAGAGTCACAGTGGCAACAGGAAGTCCAGGGAGAGGGTTTCAACCACAGGACCGGAGGTGTATGCTACAAGGTTTCGGCGCGCGAAACGTTTGCAGCTTGAGCGGCAGGTGGTGTTCGAAATGTTGCACGGAGGACGAATACATGAACGAGTCGGCAGCAGACTTCCTGAGTTGAATTCTCTTGGGGGCGAGAACGACCAGAGGTGTTCTTGAGGGAGACCGAGTTAGAGGCCGGAGACCTAGTGGTGGACTGTTGTAGGAAGTGGATAATGGCGGAAGCCAAACTAACCAGCTGAGTGTGAAGAGACGTGGAAGTGAAGGCGTGAACTGTGCAAAACAGTCGACGCAGATGTAAAGGGGCTTCGCAGTAATCCTGGAGGCCAGACAGATGAGTGGGAGATGGAAGTTTGAGAAGCAGAAGTGGGCAAAGAGGAAAAGAGGATTTTAAGCGGGTCTGGCTTATGTCATCCGGCACGTGTCTCGGATTTAGCAGGCCGTTGAAGATGAAGTCGGCCCCGAGTATTCGCCAGTTGGACGAGAGACTACTAGTCCTCCTTCAATAGTTATTGACATTTTAGTTAAATAGGCAACCCTAGAAACAGAAACTATAGCTTCTTTTTGCTTCTTTCAAACTCAAAAATACTCGTCAATAATGGCCAGTGCTGTGCGATGAGGTCAACCCCCCGATGCCCCACCATAGCCCCAACCGCGGAATCGCCTGGTTCGTGATCGGCCGGTCACCGGGACTTTCGTGCCTGGCATTTCTTCAGTTTTGTGCATGAAACTATCGAGCGATCATCCATCACCTTTTACTTATACATACTAAAATCCGGAAAACCAGCTTGCGATAGATAAGTGGGATTGAATATCCCCAAGGATCCATCATGCCGGTCGACCTATCGCTGTATCTGGTCACGGACTCGACCCCAGCTATTCTCAAGGGTCGCGATCTATGCACGGTCGTAGAGGAAGCTATCAAAGGAGGTACGGAAGAAGAAATTGATTCACTGTTCGATAGCTATCAGGCCATACTAATTCTCGCCACCAGGTGTCACGATTGTCCAATACCGGGACAAGACCAGCGATACTGGTGATCTCATCGCCACAGCCAGCAAACTTCACCAAGTCACCCAAAAGTATGGCGTGCCACTCCTGATCAATGACCGAGTAGATGTCGCCCTCGCTGTCGGTGCAGAAGGTGTGCATCTGGGCCAAGATGATATGGGTCAGTCCCCAATCCCTTTAATTACCCCGCCAAACTTTTTTCTCCGCGGGATATTAATAGCCCGGGGATACAGTGTTTGAAATGGCCAAGAAGCTTTTGCCCAAGGGTTCTATCATTGGAATCAGTACCTCTACGGTGGAGGAGGCGAAGAAGGCTATTGCTGATGGAGCCGACTATATTGGTATCGGAGCGATGTTCGCCACTCCCACGTAAGTGTTGAACACGGATGTATCCGCGCAAAATAAGCCGTTAACAATAGTATAGCAAGACAAACACCAGGTCTTTCCTCGGTACAGCTGGAACGCAGGCACTTTTGAACTCAATCGGGGATTCATCAATCGGCACCGTCTCCATCGGCGGTATCAATCACACCAACGTGCAGCGCGTGCTCTACCAGTCCAAGTCTCCCGCAAAGGGACTTGACGGAGTCGCCATCGTCAGTGCAATCATTGGTGCCGAGGACCCGAAGGCATCTGCCGAGAAGTTTGTCAATCTGATCAAGAACACTCCCTTGTTCGCTCTAGCCCCTCAGCCTTCCCGGGCTAACGAGGTCGAGACCCTGCTGCAAAACGTGCCTGCTGTTGTCCGGAAGATGACCGAAGCACACCCGCTGGTTCACAACATGATCAACTTCGTCGTGGCTAACTTTGTGGCCAATGTTGCTCTCTCAATGTACGTCGCTTCCCTCAAAGCTCTTATTTGTCTTTACTGACCACTACCAGCGGCGCATCCCCTATCATGGCACCTTACGGTGACGAAGCCAAGGATCTATGCAAGTTCGACGGCGCCCTCCTCATCAACATGGGCACATTGACCAGCGAGAGTGTGTCCAACTACCAAAAGGCCGTTCAAGCCTACAATGAGCGCGGTAACCCTGTCGTCTACGACCCGGTCGGTGCTGCCGCCACCGAGATCCGCCGCAACGCCGTGTCGACCCTGATGGCCGGGGGATACTTTGATCTGATCAAGGGTAACGAAGGCGAAATTCGCCAAGTGTGGGGAAGCAATGCTGTGCAGCAGCGTGGTGTCGACAGTGGACCCAGCGAGTTGGATGGCCAACAGAAGGCTAAGCTGGCGCGAGACCTGGCCCGGCGAGAGCGTGAGTTCACCTAAACTCCCTTCTCCCAGATACAGTAAGCTTATACTAACCCTTTGCAGGTAATGTGGTCCTGATGACCGGTGCCGTTGACTACCTCAGTGACGGCGAGCGCGTCATCGCTGTGGAGAACGGCCACGCATATCTTGGCGGAGTGACAGGAGTACGTTCAGCCTTCCCCCTACGAACTCCATATCAGGAAGTCCCACTGACTATTATTCTGTTCTAGACTGGATGCGCCATTGGTTCTATCGCTGGTTGCTTCCTGGCCGCCCATCGTTCCGAAAAGCTCCTTGCCGTGCTTTCCGGGCTCCTGATGTTCGAGATTGCTGCTGAGAACGCTAGTGCTAAGGATTATGTTCGTGGAACGGGCAGCTTTGTGCCTGCCTTCCTTGATGAGCTGTATGCGATTCGGACGGCTGCTGCCAAGGGTGATGATAGCTGGTTTGTGGGCCGTGCTAAGGTGCACGAGGTGAAGTTGTAAATTTCTTAGATGGTGGTAAAAATGAGTATATGACTAGATGAAAATTGGCTATATTTTGAAAGTGAGAAATACTACAACGATTGGGCAATACTGCTCAATCTACTACTGCTAAGATCAGCTCAATGCGACGGGAGTTGTCGCCGGATGTGGTAATATGCAACGCTGACAGTAGGTATGCCCAATGAAAGTCAAAAATTAAGAGAATACTCACAGTCTCCTATAAAACGTGATCCAGTATCTAAAATTAATGTATGGCTGTGCAAGTATGGGGACATCGGGGGCCTAACCCTGGCACGGTAAGGCCGAACCACTCATTATTGGCCCCCAAAACTCCGAGTGAGTTTCATCCAGTAGCCATCGTTGATCTTCAACAAGTATACTCGATCAGGATCTTATCTGAGATCTGTCTCGTCAGAATTTCTCGACATTTAGGTTAGGCGCCCGGCAAAGGCGTCCACCTTGTTTGCGATGTCCACGGTACCTGCGCCAATTCAGGACATTGATTCGTGAATGGGAATGGAGGCCCAACGTAACCCAGGCTCAGCTCTGCAACATAGCCGCGGGTAAGCTGTTGCTAGCTAGGACCCTTTCTAGAATGTGTAATTATAGATCATCAAAAGCGAGGGATCTTTGGATATAAAAGACCTTCGAGGTACCGTCCATATTCTCCATCATCAACAAGCATCTAAACAATCCAATCTTCATACTATCTTACCAGTCACAAACACTCCCAAATCTCCACATATCAAAATGAAGTTCACCATCCTTGCTACTACCCTGGCCGCTGCCACCACCGCCATCGCCGCTCCTTCCACTGCCAAGCGCGATCTCTACCCTATCTCCGTGACCGACCTGACCGCAAGCTACTACGATCAATCCAAGCCCGAAACTACCCTGGTCAACTTCAAAATGAGCGACCCCAACACCAACATCGACACTTCCTGCAATGCTCACTGGTAAGTCCTCCATTCACTCACTGCCCTAGACTCTGGGCCAAACATAGCCCCGAAACATATACTAACTCCCTACCTATAGGTCCGTCGGCCAAGCAGCAACCATCAAATTCAACTGCTCCGACCCAAGCTACCAGCTGAGCTTCCCGAACGGCATTTACAATGTCGAAGACTTTTTGATTGAGATCTCACGTCCTGATGGCTCCGAGTCTGGCAAGGCTCGTGCCTATGGTACTTCGTGGAAGTGTGAGAAGCATGACGGATATCCCTCTGAGACTTGTGCTTGGGATGGTGTGTTCCATGTTGGTATTGGCCAGTGATTGTAGATCAGATCACGAGCATATTTGGCGTCATTTTTTTTGGTTTTAGATTTTCTTTTCTGGGGGAGGGGCATTAGATCAAGTGTCTGATGAGCTTTGTTCTTCACTTGAACTTTTAATCCATTGATTTTATTTTGAAGTTATCTTATCCCCCAAGCACCAGGGGCGGATGAGAAGGTCTCAGCCCCAATAAGAAAGAATATTGATTTAATTTTGACTTAGCGAGTTCTTCTTGTTTAAAGATAAGCTGTCTACCCTTTACTAAACTCCATCTTGACGATGATTCGGGACATACTTGTATCATAGAGTAGCCTCAGAAAGACTAGCTACCGAGTCCTACTCCCCATACCCATTCATTCCGCAACAAATATAAAAGTAATGTCCAAAACACGCGCAACAATCCCACACTCTCAACACCCCCCTCCCAAAATCACGGTTTCTGATAAATCATATCACACTTCAAAATAGCATGACTCGACCACGTAAACCCACAATTCTCCGTAAAACTATGATCGTGATCCCAACAAAAGTAAATAAAATCATCCCCCATCAACGTCCCCTTCAACGCCCTCTTCTCACAATTATCATACGCCTCCCACTTCGCCGTTCCCAAGGGAGTCTTGACATCCCTGGAATCGGTCGACATTTTACAAGCGCTTTGGAAGGGCGCCGGGTCATCATAGCAAGAATTGTAGTCATTCTCCTTGCCCCATTTGAACGTGTACAAATCTCTGCATTGGGGGAATCCGCTGCCGGAGGCGAAACAGCCGTTGGAGAAGATTAGGTAGCCGGTCTTTTCGGCGGCTGGCATGTCGCGTCTTGCGATGCCGGATTCGGTGATGCGGTATATGTCTGTTGAGTTGCCGGGGATTGTGAGGCTGGTTGTGAGGTGGGCAGTGAGTGCTGCAGCGAGGGTGAGGATGGTGGAGGTGCGCATTTTAGGCAGGATAAGCTTAAACTTGAGTTGTTTGATGGAATTGGAGGATTGTGTGGTTGGTGATAGAATCGATTGTGGGGTATTTGTCGGGCCTTCTTATAGATTTGAGAGACTCAAACATATCGCTCTGTTTACTATTTTTGCAATTAATGTTGGAAGAAGTATTGAATTTTGGTATGGGGAATGGGAACTATAGCCCACGGCTAAGGTTTAGGCCAAGAGTTGGGGGTTTTTGGACCCGATCAAGTAACTTGGTCTGGAGAAACAGTGCGCTGCCAAGCACGAGGAGTCCTGGCTTTGATGTCATCAAGGGGGAGGTTGAGATGAATAGTAACGAAGGGTATACAAAATAAACACTCTTTGGCTATTAAAATGGATCAGGGCACGGGAATTCGATTACTGCGCCATCTGCAGATCTTCGTATAGCGGCGTTATGCTGGGCCAGATTCTGGATTAGCTCTCTTCGACGGTGTGTCTCTTGGCTCGCCAACGCAGATCCTTTGTCTATATTAAGAAATATCTTGGAACAACCTCAATGTATGAACCGACGATTTATTCCCTGCACTTTGTTGAATATTCGTTTACACATTTCTAGCTGATGGGTATAGGAACATCCCGAGGCTGTATACGGCGCAAGCTTTGGAACTCAGAAAAGAAGAAATTCTTTATTAGCAACATAAGTGTATATAGCCTTAGGGATGATACAGAGCTCTTTCAATATCTACAAGTCCAATATACTATCTCCTATTTCCTGCATTCAACTAGAATCAAGTATCAAAGCCTCTATCCACCCAATCAGCCACTAGTAACTAGAGCCATTCCGTTCCCCTCGGGCGATTTCCCCGCATCTCCGAGTTCCCCGCCCGGCAATCGCCGCTTCCAACTTCTTCCCTTCAACAACACCCCCAAGAAGCCCTCGATACTACAATCAACCCTTCAACAATCCCCAATCAATCATCATGTCTGTCGTGTCTCGTGCCAGTCGTATCCGTGAGTACTCCACGCAATCCATTGGACTCTAACAAGCTAACATACACCAGGGAACCCCGCATTGTTGTGCGTTACATCATACCAACCTCCATTAGGTTATATCCCTCTATCAACATCCAAACTAACACTTCAACAACAGCGTCTGCGATATCCAGGATAAATTCCGCAATGCAATCTACGAATTCCCCAAGATGTATACTCCCCTTGTCCCCTACCCCTCTATCTCCCACCCTCAAACCCAACGATCCTAACACAACCACCAGCATCGCAACAACCGACAAACTCGTCCGCGCCGCAAAAATCCTCTCAATCCCAACCTACATCTCAACACAATCCCGCTCCAAACTCGGCCCCACAATCCCCGAACTAACTACCCACCTCTCCGGCCCCCACATCCGCGCCGACATCGACAAAACCCTCTTCTCAATGGTAACACCGGAAATCGAAAAACTGCTGCCCGTGAAAGCAGCAGACCCGCTAGACGTAATCCTCGTCGGCATCGAGACGCACATCTGCATTACGCAGACGACGCTGGACCTGCTCGAGCGCGGACATAGAGTGTACGTTATCGTGGACGGGGTTAGCAGTATTAACGCTGAGGAGAGGGGGATTGCGTTGGCGCGGTTGAGGGATGCGGGGGCTGTGGTGACGAGCAGTGAGAGTGTGCTGTTTGAGATTTTGGGGGATGCGGGACATGAGAAGTTTAAGGAGATTAGTGGGTTGGTTAAGGAGACCAAGGAGGAGACGAAGGGGGCTTTGGGTGCTTTGGGGGTGTTTTCGAAGATTTAGGGATGGATGTTGTTGGTGATCTATGATTTTGTTGGGTCCATGGTGAGGGGTATACGGGGTTAAAGTATAGACGATTGTTAGAGAATGATTAAGTATGCAAGTTTTCAGATGTGAGGTCAGTTTTGATATGATTGTCTTGTCATAAGAGTGGCATTGTCAGCCACTGCCGAACACTGCCGAACTAAGAATAAAGACAAGACGAAAAAAAGAAGAAGACCTCAAGAGACTCGAAACCATGCGCCCGCTCCCATACCCCCGAAAAGCAGAACCTCACTATCGATGAGATAGTGAGGTGAAACAGACCCGCTCGCTAAGACCTAAAGAAGGGTATCGAAACACAAAAGACGCAGGTTTTTAACAAAACCAACCGCGCAAGTTTTCACTTGGCGGTGGTGGTGGTGGTGTTTAGCCACCCGAAAGCCGAGGCACCACCGACGGGGTTTGGAGCCGGCGAGTTGACCGACCCTTCCGACGGTGAGCGAACGCCAGACTGTCCACCCCCAGTCCCAGCACCAGCCCCAGAGCTCACCCGAGTCATCGACTTGGTGGGCTTGAGGACGGTCATGGTGCGCGGCTTAGCCTTGGTCCCGGCGTTGGACTCGGGCTTCGGCTCGCGGCGCCATGACCGCCAGACATCTCCAGCCTCAGACTTGGCCGAGGAAGGCCCAGCTGGGGTCGCAGCTGTGGCCTGCGCAACCACCACGGCAGACGTGCCGGTCTCTTGCAACCGGGGTTTCTTCCCCTCGTCAGCCTCCCCCACGGAAACACGGGTCGAGGCAGGCGCAGAGATTGACTGCTGCGCAGGGCGGGCCGGCTCACCGATCACCCCAACAGCGCCTTGCTTGGTGACAAGGGCCTTTTGGGGGTATTCGGGGTGGCTGGCATCGGCGGCGGTGTGGAGGAACTTGTAGACCCAGTCCTTCTCCGGCCGAACGAGGGGGATAGAAACGCGGTTGCGCTCATCATCAACCAGCATGAGTCTGTCCTGCGAGAAAAGGATGTCTGCATTGTGAGAGCGCAGGACATCACTTCCCAGAACAATCTCAATAGTCTCGTCCTCTGGGTTTGTCTCGCGCACGAAGAAACAAACCGTCACCGCTGGAAGGTGCGGTGTGGGACTGTCAGAGCGAGATGAGGACTGTTGGATGCTGGCCTCGGGAAGGTAAAGTGCCAGCTTGATGGAAGGACGGTCGTCGCCGTCGCGAACGACCTTGTCCTCCAAGCCAAGCTTGCGAACCAAACCCGAGCCGAGTGATGAGACAAAAGAACCTGAGCAGATTGCCGCGTACAGGAGGGTCTCATTGGAGAAGTTGGTGGTTAGCCAACACCGGATGATGGCAGGAACCGGGCCGAGCAGGAACAGTCCCGGAGGTGGGGCCAAGGACCACTCATAAGAGGAGCCCATCAATCGGCTGCTCGTATCAAGACGCAGACTGTTCGTCCGGGTCGAGTACAAAGACAGCCCCGAGGAGCACCGACGGCCATCCGACTGGTGAGACAGGGATCGCTCGATCATTGGGTGACTGCCCAGGCCACTGCCAGTGCGCAGTGGAAGCTCCGTGCTAGACCGGTTTGCCTGACCGTAGGATCCAAGAATGGCACTCTCGTCGAAACGGACACTATTAGCCCGCGAGGCACCCCGGCGTGGCTCATCATCACCATCAAACCCGCCAATTGCAGAGCTGGTCATGGTGTGTTGATGTCCTTGATCAAAGCCTTTGAACGGCTCGGGAGGGGAGTTTGGTGCAGACTCTATTCAAAAATATATAGTTAGCTCGGTCCAATATGGTCATAATCATCCGAATATAAAGGGATAGTAGCACGGGACAGTACCTGTAGGAATAGACCCGCCAATACCAGTATGAATCGGGGAGGGAGAAGTGCCCCAGATACTCTTCATCCTCGCATTATCCTCCTGATTTCTTTCCAGTCGTGTAATTCTGTCACCCTGATAAGCCTGTGCCTCGTGCAGGTCCTTCAGGTCATTAACGACGCGCCAGATATCGTCTCGGGAGGCGAAGGGGTACTGAGCATCCATCACTAGGCCGGGTAGATAGACGGAAGCGAATATTGACCAGTAAGATAGCCGTTTAGCTAGCAGGACTTAGCACGACAGCTTGAGAGCTCAAGCGGGAAGCAGGCTGGTGTTCTCAGCACGTAAGGCGGAAGCGAGAGCTTTGACGTGGACGGTCCAGCTTGCGTGCACTGAATTTCTCGGTCGACACTTTCACCAATAGCTCACGCGGTAAACTCCTCCCACCTTCAGTGAGTGTGACGGCCCACGGGGCCGTCCACGCGCTGTACGGTACAGAGAGTAGTGGTTGTGGCCAGGATATGCGGAGGTGATGGGGGACGGTGCGGAACGGGATGTTTGAATAGGGAGCCGGGGGCCCGAGAGGGATAAAACGAAGCCGTGTATCGAGGATAGATGAAATTCAGGGTGCTTCGGTCAAGGACGGATGGTTTCGAGAGTGTTTAGAGATGAAAAAGGGTGAGGAGAATAAAAGAGGACGCGAAGTTGCTTCGACCGTGAAACGAACCGGAGGGTGTAGCGGAGGTGAGGAGGTGAGGAGAAGCAGGTGTGGCGATTGTAGCAAAAGAGTGTTAATGGGGAGGAAGGGTCAGTCGGGGTAAGGAAAGAGACGATGCGATGACGATGTCGCCGGGGTCGGTAGTGGTGAGTGAAATAGGAAGGTAAGTCGGTTAGTGCAGGTAGGATTGGGGTTATGTAGGTGGTAATGATTGGGATCTGGGGGGAAGGTAGTGGAGAGGGGGGGCGTCATGGAAGCACGAGGGGAGAAGGCGATCTAGACCGCTTCCGTGAGCTACTCCACTAACGGTCTTGATAGACTACCACTTACGTTTATCAGTCTCGGGCTTTAATGCTATTTAAGAGTCCAAGTTAGCTTAGGATAAGTCATTGACCACATATTGTCGTTGATTTTCTTGAATTTTGTTTATTAAGCCAAATCGCGACTTTAGAGTCGTGACGCGTCTCGAAGAAATCTATTTTTACATTCGCCTAAGACATCCATCACCGAGGGGCCTCAACATATCCAGGAAACACCATTGGCAGAGCTGCAGGATCTTGATCTGGCCAATTGGCCCGAATAGTCTTAAGCACCTCTTCATAGACGATCCGGTATCCATCCCCCGTGAGGTGCAGTCCTATATATCTCTAGTTAGTGCTGTCACCAATGAACACAAGGAACTACAAGACAAGATCACTACTTACCATCAGTGAACAACTTGCTAAACTGCTCATTATTAGGCGCATCTCGGGAACCAATCAATGCCTGACACTCTTCCCAGCCAACAGTCGACATGAACGAGGTCCAGATATCCGCCACGGGGATATTCAGCGAGGCACCAACCTCCTTAGCAGCCTCGGCATAGATCTTGGTCAAATGAGCGGTCCGGCTAGGATGGGGAGTATCCTTAGCATTATCAAAGCCCTCGAGTTGGTACTCGTTGATAGGCGGGGGAGTAATGATGATAATGCGGGGATTCTGGGCCCGGGTAGCAGGGTGCTCAATGAGCTTTTGCAGATTCTCTTTGTAGGTTTCAAGAGGGACATGCTGCATGTGGGTGGGTACACAGGCGTCGTTTGCCCCAAAGAAGATAGTCTGGTTTTATTAGCGACGATGGTAGAAAAGATGGTGCTTGTATTAGCTAGGTGATCGTACCATGAGCCGGACATTGGCGATCTGAGGAGAGGGGAAGATCTGGGGGAGGAGCTTGATGGCATGAGCGGTGGTATATCCTCTATTGTAATTGTAGTTAGTGGACAGATCTCCACAGATTGATCGTGGTAGTCGTCTGCGCTCACCCGAATCCCCGGTTAATCACATCCAGACGACGGCTGTAAGCTAATGAACAAGTACATTAGCCTTATCCCATCACATCTCGTAGGATCAAAAACGCACCGTCTTGCAATCCTGCACCGAAAGCAAATCCAAGAGTCTGGTTATGGGACATCTCGGTGATAGAGTCTCCGAAGAGGATGAACTGGTCATAGGGCCGGCCGGCATCCTCCACTTCGATAGTAATGCCCGTCATGATTAGGTGTTGGGGGAGAATTGGTGGGAAAGAGCAATGAGCAGCGTTCCTTCAGAGGGACTCGCTGAATTGACTGAAAATCTGGCAGGAAACGGACCCTTTTAAAGCGAGGATGGTGGGGTTTGGAAGCTCCGTGACAAAAAGGACGGAAGTGGGGGTGCTTGTTGATTGCGCGACGAGCTTATCGGCCACGCGGTGTTTCTCCACCAATGGCCGACCGGATTCCATCCTTTCAGCCGGATGCCAATGGTCTACAGAGAATATCATAGTCAACATATAGACAAATCTGAGGACTTCTAGGTTGATACTATATAAGTAGGTAAAATATAGTATCAATGCTTAGCTCCAAGCTAGTGGCAAATCGTATCTGATCACTCTATGCCCCCGCCAATGGAGGGGAACCAACTGTTCAGCCAATAGCCATCAGCAATGGGCAGACCAACGAAGCTCCCCATACATACTCCGTACTCTATAACAGAACGCAAGTTAATATGCACCTATGCATTCCCTGCAGGTTGAGATCATCCAAAAGCGGGCCGTTAGGATGCCGATCGGGGCTCTGAGCGTCCTCAAAGCTTAAGTATCCCGGCTAGCAACATCAAGAACAATACCCCAGTTCAGCCACCATCATCATCTCTCGGGCCTGCGACGACTGTCAATGTACAAGAGGTGGAGTGTGATTGGACTCTATAGCAGCTTCTCCGGACACTCAATAGTCAATACCCTTGGTCATCCACTGCCAAGCAATCAGCCCCAGCGATCGCCCTAGGCGGAGACAATGGGCAGGACATGGGTGGCAGCTGGGCGTATGGGGGGACACAGGGACTGGCGTAGCACGGACAATCATGTCTCAGCATGACAGGATAACTAGTTAACTGACTAACTAGCTACCTTAAGTCATGGTAAGGATCCGCCAAGCCCGGGATGAACTCGTGAAATGGTACTTTGTGTGTCCTCGATCCGAGTCCAGTCTGTCTCAGATGGCAGCATCTCACTAATCGAGGTCAGTCGTCGATGTTGCAAAGAAACAGTCAGATGGTTGTTTGGAACGCCCTGAGCACCTTTCATCTGCTCATCTGCCCTCCATTCCGAGTTCTGGGCACTGGGGGCTGATCTCCCATGCTGAATATGATTAGTCCTGCGAGTCGGAAGTGCGTTCCCGGACAAGATTGTTGGAGGAGACCGTGTTGAAAATAGCCATGATGGCCAGAGAGTAGTTAGCAAGTCAATGCGAGGCCACACGTCGATCGGCGGGAAGCGCGGGGATGAAAGTAACCGCCAGAGGCAAATTTGGAGATCGGGCCCTTCATGAAGCTTCGAATGAGAGGGCGAGTATTCGAAGGGGTGGAATGTTCAGCGTTGTGTTTAATATAAGCTGCATAGGGAATTGCATTTGAGTGGCCATACTAGTAACGGATAAACGCTGAATATGATCTGATGGATGTCGACTGGAATCTGGAGAAAGCGGAGAGTCGACTCACCTGACGTTGTTCAGTCGATCATCCGCCATCTCCCACTTTCTCCTCGTCCTTTTCTATTCTTTACTCTGACAAACCCTTCTTGACTCTTTGTTTCTAGCTGTTTCTGCTTTTCTTGATATCTCCATTCAAGGGAAGTATGCCCATCTGTAAGTCAACAACCCCTGTTCTATATTAAACGTTTTATACATGAAGCCACAATCGCGTGCTGCCCAACCAGGGTATAGCTTCTCCCCGACCCAACCTTGTGGAGCCCGTTCCCCCCGTCTTTTCTGACCGCAAAACAGAAAACTAACTCGTTCCACCCCCCCTCACCAGGCCCTGACTCTCAGCTTCGAAGCATAGCGGCTTCTCACCAGCGCCATGCCTCGATCTGTGCCACAAGTCAGCTCCGCCTCGCGTGAGCAGGACGAGGGCGACCCGGAACCGACCGCCCCAACCTCCCGTACCGCTCCCCCGTCCCCGACAGCTTACCGTCGAGCCCAAAGCTATCTCTCCGAACCACACACGGGCTACCAGTCCCTCGAATCTCATCTGGAAATTGGCGAAACGACCAGTCTTCTCGGCCCGGAGGCTCAACGTCGAGCCCCGCGACGATCATACACAAGCGTCTCCGGCGTGTCGGGGCCGGACTCGTTGCGGTATTTGCTGACGGCGGGTAGTCTTCGCCGTACCGCGAACCACAGCCGGACCAACTCACAGGGTAAACGGTTTAGCCGTCGAGGGAGTTTTGGCGATGAAGGAGGTCAACCGGCGAGTTTACCAGCGTCAACCAAGGACGGGCTGACCGCCTCTTCATTCCTCGATGAGCGGACGTGGTACGATCAATTCACCTCGACCGACTGGGTACACGACAGCATTGCCGACGGAGCGCGTCTGCGACAGCTTCGACAGCGCAAGGATATTCGCGGGCGACTACTGGCCTGGTTTGACGGCGCGCAAGGATGGGTCTTGGTCGCGGTGATCGGATGCATCACGGCGGCGATTGCCTACTTTGTGGATATTACGGAGGACGCGATATTTGATATGAAGATGGGCTATTGTGCACACCAGCTCTTTGCGAGCAAGAGCCAGTGTTGCGGTGAGGGGGCCTCTTGTACTAATTGGCGGTCATGGTCCCAGATCTTTCGTCCGTCCAGCACGGACAATGAGTGGGTCGACTTTGCTCTGTTCGTCGTATGGGTGGTGATTCTTGCTATGATCTCGTGCGCCCTGACTATGCTCACCAAGACGGTAGTCCCGTCATCGATTTCGTTGGCTACATTGGATGAGAATCTGGGTGCAGAGGGTCGTGGTACGAAGCGTGGAACGGGCACTGCTGGCTCTGGCTCGCCAAACTCCCAAACCAGCCCGCATGGGACGTTCCCTAATTACCCGCCCCGTCCGGCGATGATTTACTACTCCGCTGCCGGCAGTGGAGTTGCCGAAGTCAAGGTGATCAACAGTGGATTCGTGCTTCACGGGTACCTGGGCTTGAAGACCCTGGTAGTTAAGACGATTGCTTTGATTTTCAGCGTCTCGTCCGGTCTAAGTCTGGGTAAGGAAGGCCCCTACGTGCATATTGCTACTTGCGTCGGTAATATCTGCTGTCGACTGTTTGCCAAATACAATCAGAATGACGGTAAGCGTCGAGAAGTGCTGAGTGCAAGTGCTGCCAGTGGTGTTGCCGTCGCCTTTGGTGCTCCCATCGGTGGTGTGCTTTTCAGTTTGGAGGAAGTCAGCTACTATTTCCCTCCCAAGACCTTATTCCGAACGTTCTTTTGCTGTATTGCAGCTGCTCTGTCCTTGAAATTCCTCAACCCATACGGAACTGGCAAGATTGTTTTGTTCCAAGTCCGTTATAACACGGACTGGGAGATTTTTGAAATCATCATCTTCGCTTTCCTCGGTGTCCTTGGTGGTGCCCTCGGTGCATTTTTCATCAAAGCCTCGAGCTGGTGGGCTCGGACATTCCGTCGCATCCCGGCTATCAAGCGTTGGCCCATGCTGGAGGTGTTCCTTGTTGCCGTGCTCACGGGTTTGGTCAGCTTCTGGAACCGATACACCAAGCTGCCCGTGACAGAACTGCTTTTTGAGCTCGCCAGTCCGTGCGAAGGAGAGTCGCGGTCGAGCACGGGACTTTGCCCTCGTGAAGACGGCATTCTTGAGATTATTCGGTACCTGCTGGTGGCATTCGTGATCAAGAGTCTTTTGACCGTTGTCACTTTTGGCATCAAAGTGCCGGCCGGTATTTATGTGCCATCCATGGTTGTTGGCGGTCTCATGGGCCGAATCGTTGGACATGCCGTGCAATACTGGGTTGCGAAGAACCCTACGTTTTTCTTGTTTGACGCCTGTCCCAATGTTGCGGGGATGGAATCTTGCATCACGCCGGGTGTCTACGCGATGGTCGCAGCTGGGGCTACTATGTGCGGTGTCACCAGGTTGTCCGTCACCCTCGCTGTCATCCTTTTCGAATTGACCGGAAGTTTGGATCATGTGCTGCCTTTCTCGCTATCCGTTTTGTGTGCCAAATGGACTGCGGACGCGATTGAACCGCGAAGCATCTACGTAAGAAATCACCCTTGTGATATGGGGTTTGCCCGCAAAGTACTCATCGTGTCTAGGATCTACTTACCGATATGAACTCCTACCCCTTCCTCGACAGCAAACTCCAGCCTCTCTCCGATGCCGAGCTGGGCGATATCGTGCGCCCACCCCACAAACGCCGAATCATCGATATATCCAACTCCCCCTTCGTGCCTGCGCCCGCCCTGCGCACGAAGCTCGAGCATCTCCTGATGGCCGGCGAGTTGGACAGCGGCCTGCCAATTCTTCGAGATGGCATCTTGACTGGGCTTATCCCCGCGCCAGATCTTGAATTTGCGCTTGACAGCCTCGGTGACGATGAGGATAACACAGTTTGTCTGATGGCGATGGATGCGTCGGTCGCTATTTATGATAGTGAGACTGAAGATGCGGTGCAAGAGGACTTTACCCGATTCATTGACCCCGTATGTTTATCCGTTCCCAACCCTGTCCTTTCGATGCTAATACTTTTGATTTGACAGGCACCGATCTCTCTGGATGTCCATTCTCCTATCGACCTTGTCTACCAGTGCTTTGCCAAATTGGGGCTCCGGTATCTCTGCGTGTTGCAGAATGGCCATTATGCGGGCTTGGTGCATAAGAAGGCTTTTGTCAAGTTTATGAAAGAGAACGAGAAGGCATAGTTGATACTGCCTAGTATTTGAGATTACGCTCTCATTTCAACAATTTTGCATAGTCATCTCATTCTTGTCCATATTTGTGATTTATCCTCGTGTTTTTGATCTTTTGGGTTCTTTCTCAGAGCCGCATTGGCGGGCGTTTCTCCGGCATGTCGCCGTGGTGGTTTCTTTCTCGCTTTGAATATTCTGCATCTAGCATTGCATATACACCTCACAGTCTGTCTTGTGATCTTGACCTGATAAGCTTTGGTAATTATCCACACTCCTTACTCTTGTTTATCCTTGCCATAATTTTCCAGTCAATTTCCATCCAAGATTTCTTCCATAATCGCCCTATGCGATGTAAGAAGGGGGGTAGCCCGACTCCCAACACTCTCAGGAGAAGCAAGAACCGGTCATGTGGCCTATAATTTGAAATTGGCTGGTCCGTGTCAGACCATGAATGCAACGGGGGATCTTCGCCAAATAGCTCCATTAATAATCCCGTACATTCGTAAGGTTCCTTTGGTACTTTTATCCAAGCCGCTAAGCGACCAAATTTCCCCACGTGTCAAGAGGCTCTATCCAATCACCCCCCTAGTTGTAGTTAAAGTAGGGCTGTGACCGGGTTCCGGGTTCTGGGTTCTGGGTAAAGCCATGATTCGCGCATCTCATTTTTGGATCGATTGGACCGGGATAGGAATTGAATCCTAGAGGCTTAGACTACAGTACCAGTACCCCCATAGTAAGAGCTACTACGCTGGTTTTAGACGGAGTTGATGTGTCTTCCGTTATGGATCCGTTTGTATGGATACGGAGTACATGTACATAGTCAGCTCCGCCACGAGAAGATAGGGCTAGTTTACATCTCTAGTATGAGTAAGATGGCATTGTAAGACAGTAGATAGTAGATCCATAGTAACTTGCAGAGTACATATTATGTAGTCCCTCTGCACACAACCCTGCGAGCCGTTGTCATTCCTCGGTATCCCCTCCCATCGGGATTGCTGTAAGGGGTAAGCCCAGGTCCAGTCCCACAGGCTTGGATCATGATCCAATCAAATATACGTCGGAACATTGACTTTGCAGAGCCGGTCAAGGGGGTAGATTGACTTCCACAGAGACTGGGAAAAAAATGACTCCAGAGTAAACATTGAATTGATCAAAATATCCACTCTATCCACTTTTTACCCACTTTATCCCCCCATAAAACCGTCTGCCGTCCCGGGGGTTAGTGTCACGGGGTCAAAGTATTGCGATCGGTGGCTTGCACTAATTTATTCGCTAACGATAGCTATGGGGAGAGTGTCAGACTAGAAGCTGCTGTAGGTTTGTTGTTTGTTTTTTGTATTTTTTTTCTGAAATCATGTCGCATGTCTCGCGTTTGTCAAATATCAATCTCGTCTGATGTGTAAAGTAGTTTATTTATTTTGTGGCGAGGGGAAAGCTCTGCAGGGTGTCATCTGACCATCTGAAATGTGAATCCGGTCAGCTTCTTTTGGTTTCAAATGTTTCCTCGCCCTTGAATCTGATTTATTGAGTTCCTGTTTTGCCGCGAGAAATTGCCCTATCTAGTACCTACCGTAAGAACTAGAAGGTTACCTACCCTACATGCGTACTCTCTCCATACTCTATGAACTATCAACAATTGCCCAAACTGCTAAAAATTGCCAGAATTTTCAAAATTCATCCCGAGTCTGGACCCTTCTCTTCCCCCTTTCCGCCATGTCCGCGCTCTCACCGATCTTTTTCGCATGACATTCTTAGATTGCTAATCGTTTCTCCTTTTTTTTCCTTCTCGGCTCTAATTTTAGGGGGTTTTTTATTTTTTATTTTCCCTCCACAAAGCAAAAATGTGCACATGACCGGTTGTTGTTGTATTGATCCTAGACCGATCCAGATCCCTAGAATCCACACTTCCTCCCCGTTTCCTAATGCGGTTCTCCCCTGGATGTTTCCGGAAGACTTGCGGATACTCCGTACATGCCGGGAGTTTTTTATGTATATATCAGGATTGTCCAATCCTCGGTGAAGATGTTGCGGTGTAAGGGGCATTGAGATATCTGTTCTTCAGTACTTATATTCAAGGCCCACCTGACCAACACAGTATACCTTTTTTTTCGCATTCCATACATCCATACCTTTATATATATACCCAATTCCCCAATTCCAACCTTCCTCTACCTCTCCTCTTGTCTATACAGAATCCACACAATGTCTCTAGCTCGCCACGTCCTCCGCTCCTACCGAGCAACCCCCAACACTCTATCAACCATCTCCCGCCTCCCAATCAACCACTTCTCAACCACCCGACCCAACCGCCTCCAAACAACCGACAAAAAGAACCGCATCCCCGAAAAAGAAGTCCCAGTCACAGACTACGACGCCGGCCACAGCTCCGCCCACAAACACACCGTCCACGTCTTCCAAGACGGCGCAACCCCACACACAAACATCCCCCCAGCCTGGCAAGAACAAGAATCAGTCAACCCGCTCACCCGCGATGTCTACGAGCAAATGCCCCACACAATGCGCAGCATGTCCATGTTCGGTAAAACGGTCATCATCACTGGCGGAGCCCGCGGTCTGGGAAACCACATGGCTCGCGCGTGCGCCGAAGCCGGCGCGAAGAATATCGTCATCTTCGACGCGAACCAGGAACTCGGCGACGAGGCCGCGGCCGAGTTGCACGACAAGACCGGTCTGCCAATCTCCTTCTACCGCGTTGACGTGCGCGATGCCGCCGCCATCACTGCTTCCGTCGAGGCTTGCGTCGAGAAATACGGCGTGCCAGATGTCCTGATTAACTCTGCTGGAATTGCGGACTCGAACATCAAAGCTGAGACCTACGACGTCGCCATGTTCCGCCGTCTAATCGATATCAACCTCACAGGTTCGTTCCTGATGTCCCAGGCCGTGGGCCGCGCCATGATCGCCGCCCGCAAACCCGGTAGTATCATCCTGGTTGCGTCCATGTCTGGATCCATCGTGAACTACCCGCAGGAGCAGAGCTGCTACAATGCGTCCAAGGCTGGTGTCATTCAGTTGGGCAAGTCGTTGGCTGCGGAGTGGGCGAAGAATGATATCCGGGTTAACTGCATCTCGCCCGGTTACATGGATACCGCGCTGAACAGGGTGCCCGCGCTGGAGGCGCAGAAGAAGATTTGGAAGTCGTTGACTCCGCAGAACCGGTTGGGTAATGTGGATGATTTGAATGGGCTTTGTGTTTTCCTTGGTTCGGATGCGTCCAAGTTTATGACTGGCGCGAACCTTATCATTGATGGTGGTTATACTTGCTATTAAGCAGGGGATGCGAGGAGATGCTGGTGGTGAAGGAAGAGTATAGTGGCGAGCGGGTTGGTGAAAATATACGAGTACTTTCGGATGGTTGGTCTTGTTGATTTTGAGAAGACTTTTTTCTTGGACCGATACCTACACAGGGGGTTTTTTGTTTTATCTTTTTGAGAGTTTGATATAGAAGATAGAGGGTTGTACCATGGATAGATGTCAATCTTAGTTTCTATATTTACCCCACTGCCTCCACTTTATGGATACTCGCGATAGTCACGATGGCCCGCGCCCCCACGCCGGGGAAACGCCAATTCTCCATTCCGACTTTTTAGTCGATCGTTCTAACTAGAAAGAGGTAGACTAGGAAGAATGCTGGAAAGAGACTAATACTTCATCTCATGATACATATGGAAAATGTTCAATTGTCAAAATCTAACGAAATTCAAACGAAGAACGAAAGTCCACGCAGTCAACGGCTTCCATGGTACTGAAAAGCTAGTCGAGCTGCTGTTGAGGCCGGTAGACCGGCTGTAATATGACGAGGATTAACCAAGCTTGGAATAGCAATCAAGAATATTCATAGTTAGAACTCCCTGAAGATTTATATTCCTCGACAGACCCAAAGATTGAGTTTCGCAGGACAAAAGGACCAAGCCCTAATACTCTTAGGCTTGGAGTAGCGATGGAGAGAGAAAGGTGAGAGGCAAGGCGGAGAAGAAGAATAGAAGAAGGATATACTTCAGTACAATCACAGACCAGAACTTTATAATCGCTTCATTCCTTAGGTACTTTGGAGCTATGCGCTGTAGTCCGTATGCTTCGATCCAATTTATGCGAGAAGCTTGCTTCTACAAACCACAATTAGGTTGGTTTACTTTAGTCTAAGCAGGTGCAAATCTCAGAAGCAGCGAACCTCAATTCCGTTATGAATCCGAGGCAGCGTCTCGGATTTGAATCATGATCAACAATTCCGGCGTCTTTTCGAGTCATTGCTTCAACGACAACAGATTGGCCCAGTCAAGACCTAGTAAGTGGGCGATTAGTGGCGTAATTTATGCAGATAGGCATTACACGGGACAGTAAGAGGTCGATTCATAGGCAATGCAATATTCTATCTAAACTTTTTCACCCGAAGACCACTTTTGGATATCAGTCATAATTCATCAGTCCAACCTCTCATACCCAACCATCTGCACCTCCACCTCTCCATCCTGAATCCACTCCCCAGTAACCGTCTCCCCAACCCACTCAGAAACCTCCTCTGCACTGGCAGTCCGCCAACCATCCTCAACACCCAATCCTTCCACGGGGAAGAAAGTATCACACTCAAACTCCTTGGCCACACCATCATCCCCAACCTTCCGCATAACGTTCGTCATAACAAGTCTGACAGGCCTCCTGAATTCCTTCTCACCGACAGGCATCTTCATCCGCAGCGCGGCACCGTAAATCTCCGCACCCCCGATAACATAAATCTTGCCCAACCGACCAGAAGCACCATACACAGCGTCCAGCTCTGACAGGGCAGCATCTAGACTCTGTGTCACCAATGCATCGGTGATAGGCTCTTCAGAAGCACTGGCCACAGCCTCCTTCCCTTCAGCCTCGGCCTTGGCTCTAGCAGTCTCCGCCATCTTCGCCCTCCGCGCCTCAAGCTCCTTCAACACTCCCTCCCGCACAACACCGGTCGTATCACGGGTTACAACGACGCTAATCCGCTTCCCCAGCGGGCGGAGGTTCTTGGGAACAGAGTCGTACGTCTTGCGACCCATGATGATTGCGTTCGTGGTACCCGGGACCGGGGCGCGGGAGGTTGCGCGCGCAAAGAAGGACATGTCTGTTTTGATGCGTGGCCAGGGGAGGGTTCCCTTGAGACCGATTCCGAGGCGGGTGGGGGAATCATTAGGTGTTGAAGACGCGACGCGGATTGGGGTTGTGGCGACGATGAGGGTGAGGGGGAGGGAGTGGGGGATTTGGTGGCTTGTTGGGGGTGGCATTGTTATGGATTCGGGTTGATTGTATAGGTCTGTGTGAGGACAGATGGATTTATGCGCGTTGGTATTGGAATTGGATTGGAGAGATTTAGGTAGAGTGAGGAATGGCCGTGGTGAGGTTGTGGTTGCGGGACGCGGAGAGTGGAGATGCGGAAAAGTTGGGACGTGTTGATCGTATGCGCTTATCGGGCTTATCGTACGAGCCTGAGAGGGGTTTTGTAGGGAGAATATCGAGGGCTGAACTTGTACTCGATACACCTGGAATAACAGTAGAAATTAGATTTAAGTGATATTTCCTGCCTGACATGTTATATTTTGGTTCTCTAACTGTGTTATCAAAACGTTTACTATCCATCGCTCTACTACCATGGCGGGAGAGGGCTATACAACACTAGACCTATCAATCTACTCTGGTAGTGCCAACGCTCATGATCTCTCCTACATAATATGAAAATAACATCAACCAATTAATTAATTTCATGGCAAAAGTTCTCGCTCAAGAAAGCGTCCATCAGTTCATAAAATGTGAGACATGGTGGGGGCGTGGAGTTACTTCGGGGCTTAATTGGGGGCTCTTTGGCAAGGCTCCGCCCAAAAACCCTGATACTTAAAGGAGTCCCCCGCCCGTGAGGCTCTCCCAACATTGCAGAATCAAGCATAATGATGGTCGCATGGAGACTTAGTCTGCCGTTTTTGGCTGCCGAGGTGCTTGCTAACACAGCTCTAGCAGCACATCCATACCGTATGAGATACCTCCACTGTAAATATCCGATATGAAATACCTATTGATACGATAACAGCACTCGGTGTCAGTTTCGGCCAAAGGAACATGTAAGTCATAGCTCGTTCATGAACAATTCAAACTATGTGCTAATAGCAGCAGTACCGCCGCTGTGATCGACGATAATGGCTCGCCACTACTCCTGGCCAACATCGCTGGCACAAACGCATACCGCCAAATGATGCGCGACTCAATCGACTACGAAGGCCTCCAATGGGAAAGCGATGGCGATTGGTACTTTTCCAACGGGAGCGACCCAGTTCAAATTCCCGAACCAGGAAACAAGCTCTTAATGGAAGCAATCTTCCTTGAAAACCTTGTTGAGATACGACAAGTCGCGACGCAGAAACTCGGATACGCGCTTGATATGGCTTCTATAGTGTATCCGAGACATTTGAACGATACCGCGCGGGAGATTTTTCAGAAAGTCGTCATTGGGAATGAACCTGGTCTTTCTACTGCGCGACAGCTAGGTGATTCGTACGACGGTGCGTTCCGCGCATATGATTTCCATCTAGGTGAGAGCGATGGTCTGGTTGGTTTTGTCGATTACGATGATGAGTATGTGGATCAGGCTGTTGGGAAAATTGCCAAGGATCGTGCTATTTGGGGTGCCAATGGGTGTAATCTGCGTTTCCGGGGTATGGCGAGACAGGATGGCGCGTCGAGGATAACAGATAATGACACGGTACGTTGCTGCGTCGATTTAAGGGCTATTGGTGCTCTAGAAACCACTAACTCAATGGTTACTCTTGCCGCAGGAACGCGCTCAAAAGATCAACGAGCTTGGTATCTCACTAGGAGATACAATCGAGGTATTCGCAAATATGCAAGGCACAGGGCCAAAAGGGCTTATTCTCTCTGGAGAAGGTCCACAGTTGGATTTCAAGTATCTGCGCGAGAGCATTGCCGCTGCTGTTCCTGATCACGCAGACAAGATTTGCGATTCAATTGATCCCACGTTCGTCGGGGCCGTGGGTGCTGCGAAATGGGCCAAGTTCCAGGTTGACCATGCGGATACCTTTTTCAACGAGCCGGCTGGCCATGACGAGCTATAGGATATAGAATTTAGTGGAAAGGCTCATAAAGAAAGCCACGCTGAGGAAATTGAGCGTGCATATGATTCAAACTATTCATTGGGTATCAAACACCAAAGTCCCCGAACGCCAGGCCTGTACTTGAATATGTCCCCAAAAAAACGGAAAATCGCCGGCTATGTACCTGATTCTGCCCAAAAACGAAAAACGAAAAGAAAGGGAAAGGAGAAAGAAAAAAGCAAGAAGCAAAGGGGAAATGGAGAAGGGAGAAGGGAGGAAGGAGAAAGGGGAAACGCCATCCTAGTCCGTAGACATGATGCGAACGCAAAGAAATTCCCCGGCGAGATTAGCCCTGCTTCTTGTCCTTGTCCTCAACTGGCTTCTTCTCCTCGGGGCAGAGCTTCGAAAGGACACCCTTCTCGACAGCCTTCTCGACCGCCTGGACGTCCTCCTCCAGCTTCTTGCGGCGCTGGACATCTTGCTCGTTCTCGCCGAGGGTGTCAAGGTTGCCGTAGTACCAGGCCTCCTTCATGGTGCGAGTGAGGCTGAGGATGTCCTCAGCAGCGCGGATCTATAGTCATGGACAAAAGGTTAGTTCAAGTACTTGTCACGCGCCGTAAGCTGGTCACAGCAGAGACCCCGCGGGATTCTCCGTGATCGAGATTCTTGCCGGGTTTGGAGGGGATGCTTGCCAGCCCGTCGGTCTCGACTTCCAGCTGATTGGCCTCCACGGCCGTAGCAGTGTGACTGCTGTTGTCGGCCTGGGTAGACGTGATTAGCTCGAGTCCTGAGAGAAAAGAGACGTGTGTGGAGCTCAGAACTTACACTGGCAGTGGCCAGGATGTTCTCAAAGCGCTGTAGCAGCTGAGAGACATCGTAGTTGATGCGTTCTGCGGGGAGAGCTCAGATTAACTACGCTGCTCGAGGAGCAACACACGTGCTCGATGAGAGATGCTGTTGATGATGGCAGAGATTACTCACGGTGCATCTGCTTGAAGGGTTGATCTTTATCCATTTCTCTGAGGGGAAGATCTTCAGAGGTTTGGGATCTTGGCGGGATGTCCCAGTCGTCGTCGCCGTCGAGGGAGGGTAACTGGTTTAGAGGAGGGGTGGAGGGAGCTTTCTCCATTGTTCTGGCAGAAGAGGGCGATATTTGGGCGGTGGGTGCCGGCGGTGGGGAAAGCGGTGAAGGAAGAGGTTGAAGGCGGTGGGGATCCGAGAAGGTAACATATTTCTGGGGCTGGCAACTGGCCAGTAGAAGTCCCATTCAAAATCACACTGCGAAGGCTACGACTACAGTACAGCAAACAAAGGGATAGATGTAATTAACTAGGAATAATTTCCACTGAAGGATATTTCATTGGTGATGACCAGAGCTTGGCTCGCTATTACTTTGCATTCGAGAAGCGGATGGTGAGGAACTGTGAAATTGGCCGGCCAATGACACCATAACGGGATGATTCCTCAAAATCACCTTCTGAATCTACCTAAAGCTGCCTAATTCCCAATAGTCCTGCTCGTCTTCGAGTTCTCTCCTTGGGAAAATGATGTTGATGGCCTTAGCTTCGCAGTATGAGTGGCTTGTATGCCCAGCAGGTGTAGGGAGGTCATTAGGATGGTGGTAAAAGTGTTCCAGTAGACGTGTTCAGTTGGGCGCTCTAATTGAATGTAATAGGCGGTGGATGACGTTTTTAACGGACATATTTTGACTGCAAAGAATTGAGTTAGCCCCTGTGTACTTTTGGTCAATTGAGACGTGGAACATACCATGAATCTCTTGTGGAAGTCGGAACGCAACAAGTCCTGATAGCAAGTTAAATTAGCATGCCAGCTGATCCATGGGCATTGATATAGACTCACGTTGACAAACTCCTTGCCTTCCTTCTTCTCTGTGCCTCGGGCTTGGTTCTTAAACACAACATCATCATCCCAGCGCCGCTTCATGTTGAAGTCTTGCGCATTGAGGAGGGGATTGCCTCGGGCGATATCCACCTCCCGCTGCTCTTGCTCTTCGGCAGCTCGTTCTTGTTCCTGTAGAGTCTCAGTATACCAATTCCAAGATTGGAAAAGTTCGATTTCTCTCCAGAGATCATACCTCTTTCTCTTTTTGTGCCTGTCGCTCCTTCTTGATCTTCTCCAGTTCGCGCATTAACTCGGCTGCCTCGTCTTCATCATCACTGTCTTCCTCTTCGCTGCTGTCCTCTTCTGAACCGTCGGAATCGGCATCTATGTCGCGTGTCTCTTCGAGAATTCGTCGTCGTTTGGTCTCCGGATCTTCCTCCGCTTCGCCATCGGCATCCGTGGGAGCAGCTTCGAGTTGGCGCTTTGGAGCAGTTGGCTCTGCGGTGGTGGGTTCTTCAACGGGAACACCATTCTTCTTGGCAAAGTGCGCAGCCTCGGCCTTCAACAGCTCAGCGCGCAAGTCACGGACCTCATTATCGGCATCGCCACCTTGTCCAGGTTGCCTTGTGGAGCATTAGCTATCCCGTAAGACATCTCGGAAGTCTCACACAGCTTACCGAACTTTCAGGAGTGTATGTGCAGGGAGTAGTCGCTGGTGGTAGGCGGGGCCTCGGAGAGCCTCCTTTCCTTGTGCCTATTCACATCATATTAATCCTTGTTCGTAGTAGTCAAGCGCAGAGTGTAGGCGCAAGTAGGCATACCGGGTCAAATGTGGGTCTGTGAGCTATAGAATGTCAGTAAACGAATGAGAACAAATTCAATGAGCAGAGCTATAAACCTACCTGTAGTCATCTTGGGGTTTGGAGAGTGAAGATAAGTCGTTGTTGAACGGAAGCTTCAGATGCAGATGCGCGCGCCGGCCAGAGACTCTTCTGTCTCTCTCACCGCCTTGACTTTCTTCCCTTCTTCACCGCCCTTCCTCCCCTCACCGCCTACCACAAACAGCATCCATGGAGCCAGCACCGGCAAAATTGGTCCCAAAAAAGTCCCCTCACCACAGACGCTCTCCCGCAATAAGCTTCGTTCCAAAAATGTCAAAGGAAGCTTCACTCTCGGTCGCAGAGCGCGAGTTCATCCTCGAAGCTCTGAACCAGGATGTCCGCCTGGATGGCCGAGGATTGGACCAGTTCCGTCCTTTGAAGATCTCCTTCGGCGATGAATACGGACATGTGAAGCTTGAGCTGGGCAAGACAAGGTATGTACACTAATATTTTTTATTCATTGCTGCATAGTACTTGTATACTGATCGCAACTTCTAGCATTGTTGTCCGCATCTCCTCCGAGGTTACAAAGCCCCGTGATGACCGTCCATTCGACGGCCTGTTCAACATCAATCTCGAGCTGTCTGCTATGGGCTCACCAGCTTGGGAGAACGGCCGGTATGCTTACAGCCAAGCGCAATCCACTCAGCTTTCACTAACTCGTCTTTTTTATCTCACAGATCCAATGATCTCGAGGCCTCTGTGACCCACGTCCTCGACAGCGTCATCCGTCGCTCAAACGCCCTGGACACTGAATCACTGTGCATCCTCAAGGGTGTGAGCTGCTGGAGCATCCGTGCTGATGTGCACGTCCTCAACTACGACGGCAACCTGACCGATGCAGCCTGTATTGCCGTCATGACTGGTCTGCAGCACTTCCGCCGGCCTGATGCTGTGGTGCGCGATGGCCAAGTTGTCGTCTACGGAGTGGAGGAGCGAGTCCCCGTTGCGCTCAACATCACACATAAGCCTCTCTCTATCACCTTCAATGCATTCAACGAGGGCCGTAACATCGTCATCGACGCCACACGCAAGGAAGAACAAGCTTCCGAGGGAGAGCTTGTGATTGGCATCAACAATGGAGGTGAAGTGTGCTTCACGTCCAAGTTCTCAGGTGCCCCGCTTGATGGGATGGAGGTGGTGACTCAGACCCGAGTTGCTCTGGACAAGGTCAAGGAGCTCAATGCTCAGATTGAGAAGGTCATGCAGGCCGATCTAGCTAAGCGGGCCAAGAAGGGCATGGCAGAAGAATCTCGGGCTGAGAATGACCGCTGAATCCAGAAGCGAACGACCAATCTGTTTTTTTTGTATGATTAGAGCCTTCATGACCTGGGAACTGGAGTTCTGCATTGCCTTTTGTTTCTTCTTCACGAGATGCTGATGCAATCGTTAATGGGTGGTTCATATTGTGTTGATGTTTAAAGAGAAATAGTTCAGCAATGTACCTAAAATGATCCACCGAATGAAATCAGTCATTCACTTTTATGAATAATTATGCTGTAGCATCTGGGATATGTACTATTGATGCCGAACATTCAGTGCTGCCTAGCTACAGATTTATAAAGTGGCGGTGGCAGACAATATATTCCCGGCCATCATCATTGCCAAGCCAACATCTATTCTTAGAGCACTTCGTTTCATGTAGGCACTCCTCGTGGAGTAACATGCTTAACATCCACTACTGATCTAATTATTGCATAAGTTTAATCCCTGTCCTTCTCTCCTATCGGCGAGATTGTTAATTAAGGATTTCGACTTCATCCCATCTCCCTGTGCCGATCAGTGGCTGGCAGTAGTTTACCGCCCGAGCCAGAAAAGCGGGACGATCAAGTCAACACCCCCAAAGTTACTTTGGCCTCCGTCTGCTAAGCCACCTCATCCTCGTCAAAACTGTCCACTTTCTTCCCCTTTCACTTTTTCCACCACTTCTTTTTCGACTATTAACTCCCTTGCTTCATCGCTTTCCCCCTGCAGTTTCTGTGGCGCGATTATTCCTCCACCATCCTCTTGATCCGATCAATGCCTCAGGGGCATCGCCTCCACTGCTCTTAGTGAGGCTGTCAGCTTCCCCGCGGCAGCATGGCCAGCGGTAGGCCTCCAGGGCCGAATCATCCCGCTGGTCACGATGACGACCTGTTGTTGAGGTCGAGTCCGAGTCCAGGACCGATGTATAACACTGGTCAGCCCCCGCCCGTCAGCGATGAACACCTTCCGCAATTTATCGACCAGCACAATGCGCAACCGCGGCCTTCCATATCCAACGACCAGTTCATCGGCGCCCAGGTACAGCAGCATGGTGTGTACAACCAAGGAGTCGCAGGGAATGCGCCTCAGAGTAGATTCCTTCAAGAGTCGCATGGCGCCGGGTATCGATCCGAGTCGAATACCGACCTAGCCTACGGACAGGACCCCCTCGACAGATACGACTCGAATCTTGATCGTTACGATTCACGATACGAACAGCGTGGCTACCACGATGGCGGTAGCTATTACGACGATCCGTTTGACCCGCAGATTCCGAGCGAGAGCCATGTGCGGAAAGCGAATGAACGGAACAGTATTCTGGGGCTAGGGGGCGGATTGATGGGAAAGGCAAAATACATGTTTGGGATGGGACCGCAATACTCGGAAATGGACTTACCTTTGACGGAAGCTGGCGCGAGAAGAGCAACCGTTGATAGCACAGGCGAACCGGCTGCTGCCCCTAAAGAGCGAAAGAAGTTCCGCGCATCCGATATTACCTCGATTTTCGGACGCCGCAAGGTCGATCCGGCAAGCTTGGGTCCTCGCATGATCCAGGTCAACAATGGCCCTGCGAATGCCGCCCACAAGTTCGTCAGCAACCACGTCTCGACTGCCAAGTACAATGTCATCACCTTCATTCCGAAATTCCTCTTCGAACAATTCTCCAAATACGCCAACCTGTTCTTCTTGTTCACCGCCGTTCTCCAACAAATCCCCAACGTTTCTCCGACCAACAAATATACCACCATCGTCCCGCTGGCTATCGTGTTGTTGGTTTCTGCCATCAAGGAATTGGTCGAAGACTACAAGCGTCGGATGTCGGACAGAGGGTTGAACTACTCAAAAACGCAGGTCCTGAAGGGTTCCTCATTCCATGAAACGAAATGGGTAGATGTTGCAGTGGGAGACGTGGTTCGAGTCGAGTCAGAGGAACCATTCCCGGCAGACTTGGTCCTTTTGGCATCGTCCGAGCCCGAGGGTCTTTGCTACATCGAAACCGCGAATCTGGACGGAGAGACCAATTTGAAAATCAAGCAGGCCATCCCCGAGACCGCGCATCTCGTCAGCCCCAGTGACCTCAGTCGCTTGAGTGGACGCGTTCGATCGGAACAACCCAACAGCAGCTTGTACACGTACGAGGCGACATTGACCATGAACGCTGGTGGCGGCGAGAAGGAGCTCTCTTTGGCACCAGATCAATTGCTGCTTCGAGGTGCAACCTTGCGAAACACTCCTTGGATTCATGGCATTGTCGTCTTCACTGGCCACGAGACCAAGCTGATGCGAAATGCAACGGCAACTCCCATCAAGCGTACTGCTGTGGAGCGGATGGTCAACGTTCAGATTCTGATGCTCGTTAGCATTCTCGTTGCACTCAGTGTCGTCAGTTCCGTCGGTGATCTCGTTGTTCGTCAAACAGCTTCCAGCAAGCTCGCCTACCTCGATTACGGATCTGTCAACCCAGTGAAGCAATTCTTTATGGACATTTTCACCTACTGGGTGCTTTACTCCAATCTGGTCCCGATTTCTCTATTCGTCACCATTGAGATTGTGAAGTACTTCCAGGCATTCCTCATCAACTCCGACCTCGACATCTACCATGACAAGACCGATACGCCCGCCACCTGCCGCACCTCATCCCTGGTGGAAGAGCTCGGCCAGATCGAGTACATCTTCTCCGACAAGACAGGCACGCTAACTTGCAACATGATGGAGTTCAAGCAATGTACAATTGCCGGTATTCAGTATGGAGACGACGTTCCAGAAGACCGCCGAGCCACCGCGGATGATGATGGCGAATTCGGTATCTACGACTACAAGACCCTTCGCAAGAATCTGGAATCCCACCCCTCTCAGGGCGCTATTCAGCAGTTCCTGACTCTTCTGGCAACTTGCCATACTGTTATCCCCGAATGGAACGGCAATGATCCCACTCAGATCAAGTATCAGGCAGCCTCGCCCGATGAGGGTGCCTTGGTAGATGGAGCTGCAATGCTGGGTTATCGCTTCACCAACCGCAAGCCCCGATCGGTTATTTTCACTGCCAACGGAGTGGAACAGGAGTATGAGTTGCTAGCTGTGTGTGAATTCAATTCTACACGAAAGCGTATGTCAACCATTTTCCGCTGCCCCGATGGCAAGGTTCGAATTTACTGCAAGGGTGCCGATACTGTCATTCTGGAGCGCCTTCACCCGGATAACCCGACCGTTGAAATCACCCTTCAGCACCTTGAAGAATACGCTTCGGAAGGTCTACGAACTCTGTGTCTTGCCATGCGCGAAATTCCAGAGGATGAATACCAGCAATGGTACCAGATTTTCCACACGGCCAACACCACCGTCGGTGGTAATCGTGCCGACGAGTTGGACAAGGCGGCCGAGTTGATTGAAAAGGATTTCTATCTGCTGGGCGCTACTGCCATCGAGGATCGACTGCAAGACGGTGTTCCAGATACCATCCACACGCTTCAGACTGCCGGCATCAAGATCTGGGTCTTGACTGGTGACCGACAAGAGACTGCCATCAACATCGGCATGTCCTGCAAGCTTATTTCGGAGGACATGACGCTTCTCATTATTAACGAGGAAAATGCGGAAGCGACTCGCGCTAATCTTCAATCCAAAATGGATGCCGTCAAAAGCCAAGCAGGGTCTGGTGACATCGAGGCCTTGGCTCTGGTCATTGATGGAAAGTCTCTCACTTTCGCCCTGGAGAAGGACATGGAGAAGCTGTTCCTGGATCTTGCTGTCATGTGCAAGGCTGTGGTTTGTTGCCGTGTGTCTCCCTTGCAGAAGGCGCTGGTTGTCAAGCTTGTCAAGCGGCATCTGAAGTCCTTGCTTCTGGCCATCGGTGACGGTGCCAACGACGTGTCCATGATTCAGGCCGCGCACGTTGGTGTCGGCATCAGTGGTATGGAAGGTCTTCAGGCAGCTCGATCGGCTGATGTTGCGATTGCTCAATTCCGATTCCTCCGAAAATTGCTTCTGGTTCACGGTGCCTGGAGTTATTCCCGCATCAGTCGAGTCATTCTGTACTCTTTCTATAAGAACATCACGTTGTATATGACACAGTTCTGGGTAAGTAGTTCGTCCTCTTGATTTGTCTGAGGTTCCGAGTCTAACATTCATCTATAGTATTCCTTCCAAAATGCCTTCTCTGGAGAGGTCATCTACGAATCATGGACGTTGTCCTTCTACAACGTGCTTTTCACCGTTCTGCCACCATTCGCCATGGGAATTTTCGACCAATACATCTCCGCCCGGTTGCTGGATCGTTATCCCCAACTATACCAGCTGGGCCAGAAGGGTGTTTTCTTTAAGAAGCACAGCTTCTGGGCTTGGGTTCTGAACGGATTCTTCCACTCTTTGCTCCTTTACCTTGTCTCCGAGTTGATCTTCTACTGGGATCTGCCCATGGCTAATGGCCAGGTTGCCGGCCACTGGGTTTGGGGAGAGGCGTTGTATACTGCCGTGCTCGCCACTGTCCTCGGCAAGGCTGCTCTGATCTCCAACATTTGGACCAAATACCACTTCATCGCCATTCCGGGATCCATGCTACTCTGGCTGGCCTTCCTCCCAGCCTATGGTTATGCCGCCCCTGCCATCGGATTCTCAAACGAATACTACGGCACCATCCCCGTTTTATTCAAATCCCCCATCTTCTACCTGATGGCAGTCGTCTTGCCATGCATCTGCTTGATGCGTGATTTCGCCTGGAAGTATGCCAAACGCATGTACTACCCCCAGCATTACCATCACGTCCAGGAGATCCAAAAATACAACGTGCAGGATTACCGTCCTCGTATGGAGCAATTCCAGAAGGCCATCCGCAAGGTTCGCCAAGTGCAGCGCATGCGCAAGCAGCGCGGCTACGCCTTCTCCCAAGCCGACGACGGCGGTCAAATGCGTGTCTTGAATGCCTACGATACCACCCAGGGTCGTGGACGGTACGGAGAAATGGCGAGTTCCAGGAATCCGGGATTATGATCTATGTTGCTTTTTCCTTCAGCTGCATTTCTTGCCTCTGCGCGCCTCCCTTTTTTCTCGCATGAATACCAAGAAACTGGTGATGATGTAACTTTGTGTACTTTTTATCCTTTCTTTTCTAACTCTTCCAGCCTGGGTTTATAGCCGTGCTATGATATCTGCCTGGAGAGGGATGTGACATACTACCTTGTTGATGTGATGTGATGTGATGTGTTTTTAGCTTGATTTTTCAATTGAAGATGTCTCGGGAAAATGTCCGAGTCTTTGACTTCAGTCGTTCAGCAATGTATATCTCCTTGACCGTATTTATTTACTTGTAGATATTGCTTAGATACTCAGGTGTCGTGGACCTTCAAATCGCAGTCCACCAACATTCGGAATGAGACTAGGCTAACAGCAAACCCAGCATGCCTTCAACGAGTACATCTCTCCTGTGGAGGCCTCCATCCGATTCCTAACCGCTCCATCAACAACCTCTCCCTCTCTTCCCACGTCTCTCCACCGTGTTCTAAATCCAGCACCTGGCCACCAGTGGTCCGTTCGCGCACTCCACTAGAGTCGAACTTCCACGAATGTGCCTTTTTCACATATCGCCTTAGGTCTCGCTGGAAGGTAGTATCCCCCGACCATCCCAGCACAGCACAACCAACCGTATGCCAGGGCGAAATGATAATATCGACACGTTTGTGGTGATTTGGATTCTTCTTGCGATTGCTTGAATCCTGTGGGTTCGTGGGACTGGAACCCTCAAAATTCGGGTCCTGCCAGACGACCAAGGCTTTGTCGAGGGAGTCGAAGTGTTTGCCCGTTTCATCGCCGCGGTAGGGAAGGGTTTGTTGTTCGCGATGCGAAGATGTAAGATGCAGTGCGAGCGTATGTGTGACATAAAGCTCTGCCTCGAGGCTAGCGACAACGTCCACGACAAGACTGTGAGTGATATCCTCGTCGCGGTGTGTGAGGATCACGTCGACGTCGCCACTAAGCTCTTTGCCTCGGCGATACCCACCAACAATAATACACTCAATCTTGTCGTCCGCCTCAGGCCGGACTTTGTTGGCGTGTCGGCGTATGGTTTCAGCAATCTTCTCCGACTCACGACGGGAAACACCCTCTTGAAACTCGTCAAAGAACTTCACGCCTATTTGCTGGACACGAGATAGAGAGTTCCATCCATGTTCAACGATATCGTCCAGATCCCGCCACCCACGGTGGTAGTAGAAATCCCTCGCAGTCTTCGCTCCTACTCCCCAGATCCGATTGAACGTGTCCAGAACACGGAGGACGGGATCCGTTTCCAAAGCGTTGGCTGCAGCAACAGTTCCGTCATCGTCGGTGTGTTTACAGCCACCATGTTGCTGGAACTCAGCGAAGAGATTTGCGATTTTTGCTTCACAGCCTGGCAAAGATAGGATCTCACTTGGCCGTCGAATGACGTGTGGATAGGCAGAAATTGCTGCTATCGAGGTACTGTACGCTCGCACTCCAATTTCGTCGAGAGTGAGTTCCCTTATGCGACGGATCTTGACGAGTTGGGAAATAAACTCTTCATTTGGTGGGTGTAAGGGTACTGAACGCATGCATGAGTATAGGACTTGATCGCGGACCCAGTCTGGTTGAGGTGGTAGAGGAAGGACCTCGTCGTGCTCGGAGGTTGTCTGTCGGTATAGAGTCGGTGGTTGACGCTGACTCCCAATGCCGTCAGGAGGTTCTTTGGATCGGCGAGTATGAAAGTACTTGGATGCATCCGACGATGGTTGCGAGGCTGCGTCTTCTTTGGCGCGCTGTAGAATTGCACTGGGGACTTTGTGCGAAGGCGACTTTGCTGGCGTAACAGGTGTAGGACGGGCGGTCTTTTGCCCTTTATAAACCACGAATGAATCCCAAGGGAGGGCTCTTCCTGCAGCGATTGAGTGGTCTAGCCATTCCACTTTTAGAAGAGTGACTGTATTCTCGGGTTCTTTCGGTGGTTGTATAAGATGTTTGCCCGGATCATGTCGACTCCGGACTCCATCTTCTTCGGACTCTGACTCTGTGCTCAGGTCGACAAGTTCAATGCCCGCATTGACAGCTGAGTTGGTAGTCCTTGTTTTCCTCCGCTTTGGAGGTGGCTGCTCATCTGGCTGAGATATCGTTGATGGTGATTCGAAACCGATTGGAATTTCCTCAGTCCAAACTCCCCGAGAACGAAGCTCGAGCGCAGCTCGCTTCTTCTGGCTAATCTTTCCCAAAATGATGGTGGCTTCCGTAATATCATAAGTGAGTATACCTCCATACCGTACCAGTTTGTTTTCAGTTTCATGTAACATGTCGATTGGTAAATGTGTGGGGAGGATGAAGATTGCAGGCTGTCCTGAAAATATCGTCTCTTCGGTGATTTCTTCGGCCGGTTCATGCGGGGATGAACTGCCGAAGAAGGGATTCGACATTTCGTCAATATATGTGATATATGTTCAATGATAGATGTAATATATGGCAGAGCCTCATGTGTATGATGGCATGATAGATTCTTGTGCAACCCCACCGTGTCACCAAGTGTTTATCCCTGTCGCGTATAGCGGTGGATGCTCGTGCATATTGTGGGGAATCGCGGTTAAGGATGTCAATCAAAGGTGATAGTTAAATGAAGCAAATCAGAGGCATCATCAAATAGGAGAGTATGAAGCAGCACATTTGTGCGTCCCTCGTGTTTGGAAAATGAAATGTGTTTGACTGGAAGATACGAGCATTTCCTGCCTGACGTCACATGTTTCTGCCTAAGGCCAGAATGGAAGTATAGCCCGAATAGATTCTTAGCATTTAGCAACAATAAGTCTGCCTATAAAAGCAATTCTATCTAATTCAGCAATAACAAAAAAAATTCGATCTAAACAATCTCATCCTCAATGCGGCGTTCGTTGGTTTCCTTCACCGAAACACTAGACGTCGCTCCCTTCCCCACCACCTCAGTCTGTACCCCCTGAACGCTGTCACTTCTTTCGTGGACAATGACTCCGCTATCTTCGTCGTGTCCAATGTCCTCTTCATGATTTCTCTCCTCGTCAGTGACTAGAGGTCGCCCGTGGCGACGGGCCATCCATCGCCGCCATGGCTTATATAAGAGCACGCTCAGTCCACCGAAAATGATGAAGCAGCCACAGATCGATCCACCAATGACATCGTAATAGTCTCCCGCCGTCTGCACACCATCCCAGAATTTACCAGTAGCATTGGTGACATTCAGGATCATAGTGAGAAGTTGGATCACGCCGATAACAATGGCAACTATGACCGTCAGGGTGGTGAGCACGATTGAATAGTAAAGGAATGCGATAGGATCGCGATGATTATCATGAGACTGAGGAAGCTCATCATCGTTGTCGGCAGAATATTCTGAAGTTGAGCTCGTTCGCTTGGCAGGAAGGAAGTTCGCCGAGGGTTGGATGTAGAGAGAGAACATCAGAGCGCCATCGATCGTATCGAGGAGGCACATGCCTGCGGTGAAAAGTGCAGGGAGGATCAGAATGACCCAGAAAGAGGTGCCTTTGGCAGCCTCTACTGACGAGATGCCAAGCAATGCAATCTCTGATGAAGTGTCGAAGCCCAACCCGAAAAGAATTCCAAGTGGATACATCTTCCAGGGCCTGGGATTATATTAGCAGAATGCTATCAAAACCAGCCTTGGGAACGACGTACCGATCAATCAATTTGAACATCTTCTTCAAGATGGAGAACAGAATACCTCCACCTTCAATTTTCCAAGCCTCGTCTTCCTGGCCCTCGGGCAAGTTATAGACTTTCTGCATCTGTTTGATCAACTTGTACAGGATATAGGCGTTCATGATGCCAAGCAATATCAAAAAGGCCGCGCTGACAGAGCTGCCAATAATTCCACCTATAGTGCTGAAGCTGTCGAATTTTGACGAGACAGCAGCGGCAGTGGCAGCGACAACGATAGAAGTGATGATGACGATCCTACTTGACTTAGACAACAGGAACAATCTTGAAGATCGATATGAGACTTACGTCGAGTGCCCGAGCGAGAAGAATGTGCCCACTGTAACAGGTTTCTGTCCGGTGGCGAGCAGCCTTCGGGTCATCAAATCGATGGCCTATTCATGTATCAGCTGGGCACTGTAGTACGATATTCATAATGTGTAAACACGTACCGAGATATGGTCTGCATCAAAGGCATGTCTCAGACCAAGAGTATAGGCAAGTACAGCCGTAGAGACCAATTTCCTGAAATCAAGTCAGTCTCAGAACATACAAGTTGGTCTCGCCTATTCAAGGTCGATGAATGATGAAGACGTACGGGTGATAGCGCTGGACTAGGTTAGTGAGATGTATAAATCTTGGGTAGTTCAAGCTCTTACCAGTACGATAGCTGCAGCAATCCAGACGATAATATTAATGAATGCAATAAACAGGATAATGGCGATGGCACGAAGAGGAATCTTCCTAATCCCTGGCAACCGCCTATGCTGGCGCTCAGCCTTGTGGATGAGCGGCCTTAAGTTCCATTTGCGGTCGCTATCCATGAAGCCGCTATGGACGCTCTGTGCGTCTGCATTCATATTGTGCAAGCAGTCGACTTCGTTTCACTGGATTAGAAATTCTCCTTCTGCCTCTGTGGGTCCACTCCAGAAATGGGTTACCACTACTGGCTGGTTCCAGATGAGGGGCTGATATTGAATAGAGAAGGAAATTTTCTTGAGGACCGCCGGAGATGTCAATTATTATACTGTAGACTGCAACCTTGATCTGCAGGCAGGTTGCAAGGAGAAAAAAAAATCTGCTAGTCTTATCGGCCGTCACTGTCGCGTCGCCAAGGTCCCCCGTCAGCTTCTCCGTTGCTTGGGGGTTCTTGGCGGGGAGATTCGGCAGCGTCCTACAACTTTGATGTTGCAAAAGCGGCTTTGCGAATACAGGAGACGGATAACCTGCACAACTGGACTCGGAGTTGTCGGCAACGCTTTGAACTAAACACGATCCTTCGAGAATTTTGGGTCTTACTAACTACAGGAACTTGTTTTGTCCGTTCTCATCTGGTGGGATGTCCACGTGACATGGCGGGGCAGCGGAGAGTCCCGAGCCTGCGGAGGAGCATGGCTGATAGGGAAGATCGAATTACTCACACGGCTCGTTCCGATGTGATAATTTCTCCTAAAGAATGTCCACTTGAACTCGGTTGAGCCCCACAATTGGCGATACCTGAAGCACCTGTTTTGATGTGGTTGCCGACCGTCGGGTTCTAAATAGGCTGTGGATGGCCGCTCGGCGGACTTGGCCGTGAATAGAGAAAGAAACGACGCCAAGAAGAATGAGTTTTCATGGACAATACCAATCACATTTGCCTGTGATAGATGTCCCAAGCTGCTCACTTGAATGCGAAGGAAGACTCTTGGCCTATCATCTAGCGGATTGGTAGGTAGGTTTCAGGGAAAGATCTTACAGGTTGAATTAGACCAGATCAGTAGGAAACCTGAGATTCTCAAACTCGCTTCTCTGGACTTACATTTAAGACCTAATTTAATGTGGTACTGGGCGATCGATCCATGTTCAAAAGTTTTCAAGTGCCCCGCCGTGTTAAGCTAAATTCTACATGGCTTTGAAAATATATATTTTCACCACCTACTTGTTCGGCGATTGCCCGTCTATTTTGAGTACGAACGGACATCGAGCAGGAATTCCATTTCCCATTCTTAATCGCAAGTTTTCTCCTGTTATATAGCTGGTGATCGCCTTCACATTCTTCCAAATCTTCCAGTAATTGAATTAAATACAAGATACATTGTCAACCCATGAGGCTTTAATCGTAATATTTAGCAACCACACCTCCAATAATAGGTTGATCTCCGATTTCACTTCGTGCAGCGCCTTTATCAACTCCCTTAGCCACTCTGGCCTTTACCCACTCACCGGCAGTGATACCAACTGCACTATTATCCGTTGTTTGGTCATATCCTAAGCGGTGTAGCACCTCGCTGACCACCGGTCGCAGCTCGAGATCATCCTCAGGTCGAACAAAGTACAGAACACCCAGACGGTCAACATTCCTCTGGTCCGGCGGAGGTGCGACGACACGGTGTATACTGCTCTTCAGGAAGCCATTGGTGAGGAATTGAAGCGAGTCTGCAAGATTCACTGTGATGCTTCCAGGGTAGGGCTTCACCCACTTCCACTCTCCCTCCGGGGTGCGGACTTGCAGTGCAGCGACTGGCTGGCGGAAAAGTAAAGTCAAGCTGCCAAAGTCGGTATGGCCCTTGGACCAGACACTGGCGGCTTTCTCGTTTTCCTCATCACTCCGGCGGTGGTACTTCATGTACCTCAGGTGACAGTCGCTTTTCTTATCGTAACGGTGCACCTTGAGGAAATAATCCTCGGGTAGCTCAAGGATGATGGCTAAGAGTATGAGAAGCTTGCGTACGATTTCATCATTGATGTGGCGTGCAAAGCTCTCAATAACAGGACGATTGTGATTCACAATGTCGGGCTGGGGGCGCTCAAAGGCGGGGATGAATTTTGGAATGTTGTAGATTTCGGTCTTGTCGAAAACACCCGGACTAATTTCCTGTAGCATTGGGTTAGGAATGCCCATCCATATCTTGCCATATGCTATCTAATGTGGACTCACTCGCAGACCCATCGGCTTATATCCATTGTAGCCACCCTTTTCTAGCTCGGCACGGTACTTGAGTTTCTCCTCTAGTGGGAGTTTGAAGATTTCCTTGCCAATCGAGAATTGGCGGTCAACCTCCTCCTGTGAGAGGCCAAAGTTGATAATATAAAAGAAACCTAATGATAAGTTAGTGTGGAAATAAAGTTGGCTTGTTATGAGATAGTGCAATGCTAACCGATATTTTGGATAGCTTGGAAAAGTTGCTTGGCTAGCTGTTCCTTGCCACCAGGCTGGTCAAATTGAGATAGATCCAAGGTGGCGAGATCTGCCCAATCCACTGTTTGCGGGGTACGTGTTAGATCGGTTTCTCATGAGGCATTGAAATCTTAATGACGCGGCTAAACATACGATCATAGGCAGTCTCAGGGACCTGGTAGTATGTCGGGATGTCACTCCCCGTGGAAATGGGGACAGGGGATTGGGCCAAAGCTGCCATGGTGAACTTTAAACACAACTTATGATGGTTTTATTTGGTCAAAATTTGGTTCAAGGGAGAGATCTGATTTTGAAGATAGCTGTGTGCATAAACCGTAGTACAGATGAGATATCGGGCTTATTTGAACCTCAATACCTCTAGAATGGAGGTAGGTTCTAAATTGATGAATTTTATTATTCCCGGTTTGATTCCAATCGGGCCGTTTTTGAGCCATTCATAAAATGTCCCGCAATGTCTATACATATGAGCGTGCTTGGTTGATCCCCACTTTACGCCACGTGGATCTTAGATTTCATCATGATATCCTCCGTTGGCGTGATCGGTTTAATGATCCCCCCTGTTTCGGCACAAAGCAGATTATACAGCGACCTGAATCAGATCGAATAATTTTGCAAGAGAAGGAATGAATCAACTAAATTAATCAGTGAGGTCCTGTCGTCTGCCTTAATCTCTGGACGCCCAGCTAAACTAAAATCAACAAACAAAATATTAGCTATGTTGAACGTTCAACAACTGAGTTGTTTTCTTTTCGAATTTACACTTTTTCCATGGTTCTAAATGAATTTTTCTTGTTTAGTGAGAGCTTCTGATGTATAGACTATTCATCTGATTCTTCAAGGAATGCAATCGGGGTGTACCTTTGATATCGAATCACGGCCTGGGCCCTGCTATTCGCAATACTTGTGGGCTATGATAAATTCTGCTTTGCTGGGGCTTACTAGCTACACTTGAGCTTCTAGAGTGCCTTCGGAGGGTTTCCAAGCCTTTCAACACAAACAGAAGACTTGTATACCAGTGAAATCCTGCTTGAGATTGTTTACTTGTCAATAACAAACTATTGACATACCTACAGCTGTCGAGTGTTATATCTTGACCATGGCCGACAAAGAAAATGCGCAGGCCACATCGCGGGACTTGGGAAGAGCAACAGCCACTGATATTGCGTCGACCACCGAGAGCGATCCGAACAATGACCTTCATTTTGTTAGACGTGGCGAAGCCCTGGCAGAAGCCTCATCGAGCCAGGAAAGCATCGACGGCTACGATCCAGATCTTATGAGCGGCAGGACTCTTCTCACGGCAGAGGAAGAGAAACAGTTGCTACGCAAGATTGACTGGAGACTTATGACTCTTTGCTCCCTTATCTTCATGTTCAAAAACTTGGACAGTAACAATGTGCGTATTACTATCCATCGTGAATAATGGCACACTCCAACTAAAAACCGCACAGGCATCAAATGCTAGAATCATGAATAAGGGGACAGACCAAAATATTATGACACAACTCGGAATTACATCCAACGAGTACAATCTTGTTACGGTTCTTTACTATGTAAGGAAGGCATTGGCACTGTTTGAACCCAGGTGTCACGACTTGTTACTGATTGCGGACTCGCCAGGTCCCATACATTGTACTCGAGGCGCCCTCAAATCTTTTACTGAAAAGATTTTCGCCTTCAAAATGGCAGTCAAGAATCATGATCACCTGGGGAATTGTTCTGATGTGCAATGCGGCTGTCAAGAACAAAGGTGGCTTGTTTACCACACGTTTCTTGCTGGGCGTGGTATGTTTCCACCTCGAAGATCCCCATGACCTTGAGGACCAGCCGAAAAAACTTCTAACAGAGAAATAGGCAGAGGCTGGGCAATTCCCCGGCGTCATCCTCCAGATGACCTACTGGTACCGCCCGGACGAGATGTCTTTGCGACTGCTCTATTTTTGTAAGATACGTACTCCAGTCTCAAGACAGAGACGCTGTTGACCCTGACACATGAATACAGATATTTGTGGAAATGTCTCTGGAATTTTTGGTGGCCTTCTTGCGTTTGCATTCGACACTGTATCTGGAGCCGGGGGCCTTTCTGGATGGCAATGGTAAACAGCTCTTCACGCTTCCTGTTACGAGTCACAACTAACCTTCCATAGGTTGTTCCTTACTGAGGGCATTGCGACCGTCATTTTCGGGGTTGCTATCTGGTTCCTGCTCCCTGACTGTAAGGAAACATGTTTTGTCTTTTTCACAACAAATATCGTATTTACCGCTCGCTAACTCCAAAAACGTGATATAGTCCCCGAGACAGCAAAATGGTTGACCGAGAGGGAGAAGAAGTTTATTCAGGCTCGATTGCCTTCTAATGCTCCTCGAGCGAATGAAAAAGACTTCCAAATGCGGGAAGTCATTGCATCTCTGAAAGATGTTCGGCTGTGGCTGTTCACGTTGATCTGGGCGACCTTTACTGTGGGGACCAACGGCGTAACTTTCTACCAATCCACCGTCATTGCCAATCTCGGCTTTACGTTAGTTTATTTTCTCTCGCGTCCTTTCGATTTGACCAGAACGACTGACTACCTCCCAGGAGCATCGCTGCAGCACAGCTTCTCAATATTCCCATCACGGTCTGCGGTCTCTTGTTCATTGCTGCTACCGGTATCACAGCAGATCGTAGCCGGATACCACGACCGCTCTACCCACTCTCCTTCCTCATTATTATCATCTCCTGTTATGGCGTATTCGTTGCCTACCCAAGCAATGGGGCAGTATATGCCGTGACTCTGATCGGCAATGCCCTGACTGCAGGATGGTACCCTGTCATGTGGTGCGTTATTTCTCTCAGCCCCACTGTTTTGATATTCTGCTGACATCGAGAGCAGGCCATGGCGAGTGCAGACCACGTCTAGGGCCACAGGATCTGCTTTTTCTATTGGCTTTGTTAACAGCTATGGTCAAATTGGGGGTGCTATTGGTCCACAGTTGTTCAGGAGCCAGTATGCACCGCACTATACTGTGCCTTTCTCCGTGGCCATGGGCCTCGTAGGTCTTTGCGCGGTCTTGACTCTAGTGACTTGGTGGGTGACGTGGGATACGGAACGTGACACCAGGCGGTTGAAGCTGGCCAAGATTGCAGCAGAGAAGAGAGGCGAGACAATTTTGGAGGATGTCGTGGACAATGACCTGAAAGGCCGCTAGCGCACAAGCCTCGGACGAGGGCTGATATTATACGGTCCCAACGTTTCAATAGTAGACGCGAGAAACATTAGATCTAGAAATGCCTTGACTTCCTCTCCTTTACATGGCCTCTGTTAATTTATCTGAAAATTCTCTTCCTTAATGGTCCGCTCATCTCCCTTTCACAAATCCTTAAACCTCCGGCTGATAAGTTGAATTTGAAATTTTGTTGCAGATTTAAACGTGTAGAAACCGACTGCATTGCAGCTGGCGAAGATTGGAGGCGCGTATACATAGAGTGCTATCTAGTTCAATCCTCAGGGTTGGCTTATGTCAATGACTTTCAAGTGTCGAACCCTCGCTCATCAAAATGGAACAATCTCGATCGCCATTCGCCGTCACTTAATTACTCCAAACTTGCCTTCGGCCAATCATTGACGCCTCTAAAAAAGGTCCGACAAGCGAATCAAAATCACGCGATTTGACCCGCGGCAAAGAAAACCCTCCGGCTCCATAGAGACCCCCTCACAGTTTGTGGGGCATGTGAACATGTGATCCTTTAGATCCAACTGAATATTGTTCTCCTATCACAAGAAATCTTGCGTCACAACAGCGTCGGAACTCGTCTTCATCCGTCGCAAACAATGACCTCCTGTGAGCACTCAGCTCCCGCAAGAGCTTCGAGCGACCCCTATTTTGATCTGGGAACATTCGGGCGGAAAGTCACCACCAATTCCCAAGAAGCGCAGATATGGTTCGACCGAGCACTCGTATGGACGTACTGCTTCAATCATGATGAAGCAATCCTTTGCTACCAGCAGGCGATTGCCCATGATGAAAATTGTGCGATGGCCTATTGGGGCGTATCCTTCTGCTCAGGGTCAAACTACAACAAGACATGGGCTTTGTTCGACGACAAAGATCGAGTCAATGCAATTCAAAGATGTTATGTCTTTTCACAAGAAGCTCTCAGATGCGCTGAGAACGCGTCGGAATGGGAGCAGGCGATCATTAATGCCCTTGCCAAACGGTATCCCAACGATGACCCAAGCAGGGATCTTGCCGCATGCAGCAAGGCATACGCCGATTCTATGAGAGAGGTCTACCTGCGTCTCGGACTCGAAGACTTTGATATCATCACCTTGTTCGCGGACGCATTGATGAATTGCGCCCCTCGCAAGCTATACGACGCCTCGACGGGACTCCCGATAGCCTCTTCACCTGTATTCGAAGTGAAAGACTTGCTCGAAAGAGCTTTGAAAATGCCAAATGTCGAGAAGCATCCAGGTCCTGCGCACATGTATGTTCATCTGATGGAGATGTCGGCAACTCCTGAGGCTGCTCTACCTGCGGCTGAGATGATTCGTGAAATATTTCCCGATACCGGCCATACTTTTCATATGCCCGCGCATATTGATGTCCTTGTGGGTGATTACCGGCGCGCAGTCGAATACAACTTGAAGGCGACCATCGCAGATGACAAGTTCTTCAGACAAAATGGCGGCCTTACATTCTATAGCTACTATCGCCTACACGATTACCACTCCCTTATTTACGCCGCGATGCTTGGTGGAATGTCGAAGGCGGCATTGTCAGCGACCGATCGAATGGAAGCGACTATCACAGAAGAAATTCTTCGGGTAGAAACACCTTTCCTTGCAAGCTGGATGGAATTCTTCAAGGCCGTCAGAGTTCATGTATTCATTCGCTTCGGTATGTGGGAGGAACTTAAGAAGCTCGACCCACTAGAAGATAAAGAGCTTTATTGTGTCACCAATGTCATGAGGCACTATGGAAAGGCCATCGCCTATGCGGCTACCTCTGAAGTTGAGAAGGCAGACAAAGAAATCGAACTCTTTAAAGCTGCCTCCAAACTTGTGCCTCCTACACGCCTCGACTTCCCCAACAAAATTGTCGACATTCTCAGAGTGGCTTCCGCTATGCTTGATGGCGAAATCGAATACAGGCGGGGAAATTACGACGTTGCTTTTAACAGATTGAAAGATGCAATTACTTTGGAGGACGAGCTACCCTTTGCGGAGCCATGGGGTTGGATGCTTCCAGCAAGACATGCCTATGCGGCCCTATCTCTGGAACAGGGCAAGGTTGAGCAGGCTGCGCAAGCTTATGCGGAGGATTTGGGACTCCTGCAGACACCAGGACGAGCCCATCACCATCCAAAAAATGTCTGGGCGCTTCATGGTTATCACGAGTGCCTGGAAATTCTGGGTCGGCACGCAGAGGCAACCATTATCAAGCAACAGCTTTCTCTTTCTCTAGCGGAGGCAGATGTACAAATCACATCTTCATGCTTTTGTAGGCTTGGGAATAACTCTTCGTGCCAAAAGGCCAAAGCCAACGGTTGTCATGATGGGAAATCACACTGTGCAAGCTAGAGGGCTTAAGCAAATGGAATGAATTGAAAATTCTTCGCTAAGTGTTGTAGTCAAACATGGAAGAACATCACCAATTTAACAATCAGGATAAACTCTAGCCCATGACAAAATTCGGGCAAGGGTTTCATGCCCCTGTGGAGCACAGTGGAAGAACTGGATTGTACAGTAAGTATTGTATCATTGAACGGCATCTGCGACTTGGTTGATCATCTCTTGAACCTCGTCAACAATGCGGAAACAAGGCACCAACTTCCGCCCGATAGGATCATGTGGACAAATATCAAGCGGGTCATGACTATCGCCAAGTTCCTTCCTGCGACATCGCCCCTCAGGGTTGGGACAAGCTTCGTGGCCGGCCATATGGCGGTTACGTTGTCGCTGTTCAAAGCTCTTTCCCAGTACAACCAGATTTTGAGAATCGGATTGGAGTCCTTGCATGACGATATCGCGAAAATTCTCGCCGCTGATATGTAAACCCAACCCGGAGGGAATCCCCAAGCCAGAGTCGAGGTAGACGGTTTCACTCTCGTTCTTATCATCAAGCTCGGAACAGTGTTTGTTCAGCCAGCGAACGTATTTCTGGTAACTGGCCGTTATCTCGAACAGGAGGTGTCCAATGAGTAGTACATTCTGTACCGTTACTCGAGGAGGTTTTGATGTGTCGTAGCAGGCAGAACAAGTCAATAGCCTCTCTGCAAGAGATACCCCGGTGCGAAGTGTTTGAATGACATTGTGTGATATTTCAGCTCGGCTCAGTGTCCGAACGATTGTTGAGACCTCCTCATCACATGTGCAAGACTGGGAGAATGACACAGGAGACACATAGGCATCCGTCGCTGTGAAGGTTATCTCAGGGTCATGTAATCCGTCTTGTCGCAATGTTTGCCACGATTCAATAGGCAGGGGTAGATCGCCATTGTCGAGCATTTCCCATCGGAGAGAATCCAACCCGCAGATTCCAGGAAGTGTGCACGACAACGAGTCAAAGTTGGCACTTTCTATCAGCGAACTGACGCCATCTGGTGAAACTAAGTCCATCTGGGGCATGGCAGTAGAGAAATTTGACGAGCTTGAGAAGGATGTTCGCTGCTCTCTGCTTGGTAAATCTCGCAATTGGCTCTCTTGTCGGATTCGTTTCCTAGGCCTCCCAGGAGCACCTTTGTCTTTGAATTTACAAGGAAGCGATAATCCCCGGCAACGAGAACAGCCAGTCTTTTCGCCTGAGCATCTGAGCTTTCGGGCTCCTGTCGCTCTTTAGTAACCAGCCTAAGTCGCTGGGCTTGGGGACACGGTATTCGACTCACGACATGCTTCACAGGACTTTCGTTCCTGTCGAGTGGTATTCATGCTATGTAGATAGTGTCATTCGAAGCGTCTTGCGAACAAAGGAGGAGCCGATGGGAGACTGCGGAGTTGGTCATCCCTCGACGAGATGGCGTCAACTGGGCGAGCGGGGTCGTACAGCCAGCCGGAGCAGCCTCTTGGGCAAGAAATCATCGTATGCCCACAGTTTGGTGGCGATTTGGTTGAAAAGAAAGCACAATTCTACACTACTCAGCACCATACCTTTCATTCTCTGCATTTCACTGAACAGTTAGTTCATTGTGAGGTCAATACTCGTCGAGTCACGTGACAATTATGCTATTCATCGAAAATCCGGGGACCTATTTAGCTTCCTTGAAAGAATCAGTAGTTCAAATGGAGAAAATTTGACATATGATGTCCACGCTCATGCTCAAGTTCGTTGCATAGGCGCGTTTTGGCTATATCTACGAGAACAGCTGAGTCCCCCTCGATTGTTTGGGCTACGCGGGCCATTTCCCCCACTTCAACCGAAATCGTCCGAGTAGCTCCAAAACCATCCGAATAAACTTTCTACAGCTTCTCGCCAAAACAGCATTTGTATAGGTTTTACACATCCTATCCAAAGCTGGAACCTCAAATCCGCAACTGTCACATCTTATCGACTTCATATGCTAAGCAGCGGCGATGATTAAAACTATATCTGCCAAGGATTTGCGCCAGCATTGGGTGAATCGTGATGAAATTGCCCTCCTCGACGTTCGTGAAGAAGGCCCATATGCAGAAGCTCATCCTCTTTTCGCTTTGAGCGTGCCAGTATCAGAAATTGAGAAGAAGCTACCTCCGCTGGTTCCGCGATTGTCTGCCCCGATTGTGGTCTACGATAATGGGGAAGGTTATGTCGATTGGGCGGCAAACCGAATATTAGCCCTGGGTTATCAAGATGTTGCCCTGCTTGAAGGGGGGCTTTCTGCATATGCCCTAGTTGGCGAGGTATATCGGGATGTCAACGTGCCGTCTAAAGCATTCGGTGAGCTGGTTGAATCTATCAATCACACGCCATCGCTGTCTGCACGTGAAGTCAAGAATATCTTGGAGAGTGACAGTGATGTGGCCATCCTGGATGCCCGGCGTTTTGAGGAGTATAACACGATGAGTATCCCACGTGGTCGCAGCTGCCCCGGAGGAGAGTTGCTCTATCGTGTGCTCGAGGCAGTGCCGTCCCCGGAAACAACAATTATCGTGAACTGTGCTGGTCGGACGCGAAGTATTGTTGGAACGCAGTCATTGATCAACTCTCGAATTCCCAATAAGGTGGTCGCTCTTCGAAACGGAACTATCGGCTGGACATTGGAGGGCCTGGAACTCGACACCAAGAAGATGGAGCAGGCTCCACAGCCTTCATCGGAGGCGTCGCAAAGGGCACGAGAATATGCTGCATCCTGGGCCGAGTATGTCGGCGTACCTCTGATTGAAAATAAGCAACTTGATCGATTCATTGAGGAGTCGAAAGATCGGACTCTATACCTGCTAGATGTGAGGGACCCGCAAGAGTATGCCCTTGAGCACCCCGTCGGATTCCTAAATGCGCCGGGTGGTCAACTGGTACAAGCTACAGACGAATGGGTGGGGGTGCGAGGGGCTCGCATTGTCTTATACGATACGGACGGTGTGCGAGCGCGCATGACTGCCAGCTGGCTCGTACAGCTAGGATGGGAGGCATATGTTATCCGAGAATCATTCGTACTGCTTGATAATATCCCGATACCTCAAGGCCTTTCATGGCACTATCCAAAGACCGGTGCGATTTCAATCGAGCATATTCGAACACTCACTGAACCTACCATCGTCGATCTTGCCCGCAGTCCGTCCTATCGCAAAGGCCATATTCCCGGTGCATGGTTTGCTTCTGGACCAGAACTCGCCCGAGACTTAAGGACTGTTAGCGGTGATGGCCCTATCGTGTTGACTTCCCCCGATGGAGAATTAGCTGCCATGAACCTTCAGCCTGCACAAGCTGCAGTCTCACGACAAGTTTTGTACCTGGTCGGGGGAACTGCCGCTTGGGTGGCAGCTGGTGAACCACTCGAGACCGAATCCCGGTGGCTTTCCCAGCCGATTGATGTCTATAAAAGGCCCTATGAGGGCACAAGTAACGCCCGCAAGGATATGCAAGGATACCTTGACTGGGAGTATGGGCTTATTGCCCAATTAGCAAATGACGGCGTGAGTTGTTTTCATGTTGTGCGTGACCGGCGTGGGGAGTCTAGTTAGAGGGAACCGACTAGATTCTGCAGAGACAGATAGGAGACATGTCGAGCAGTAAGTCAAAATTTTTACTATTAGAATTGATGCTTTCAATGGCTCAGACTATTGGACTATTGTTGACTGAGCTTCCTTAGTGCATAACAGTGATGAACAATTCCAATTTCCATTTTGGGAACCAGAGAGTGGAAGGAGAAGTGGGCGAGACTGAAAGTGCTAGTGCGTAGCTGCGTAGTCTTGGATCTATGAGAAAATGTAACGCTCTTTTTTGTCAATGTCGATCGTGAAATCTCCAATTTTGGAGAGTGGCTTACTTTTCTCCGACAAGGGAAGAATAAAACTTCTTGATTTGACATTCATGTCTTGAATACATAGCGCTATCGCTATGACATAAGTAGTCAATTATGGTCTTGTCAGTAAGCTAAGGTAAGCCTGGATGAAGTTTACCCACTACGATCGACAAGTGCATAATATGCTTCGGGGGCTGCCAAACTATTTGTAGGAAAGGAATGAGGATAAACCTTGTTGGAAATCCCCTTTCATTGTCTTGAGGTCGCCTGATGACACCTATGATGAGGGGGGTGGGGGGGGGGGGGGGGGGCATGAATAAAATCGCTGTACCCCATCCCACGTTCTGGGTATGTACTGTAAAAAGGTCCCTAGGGTAACAAGAATAACTTCCGGGATTTTCCATCATTAACGTTGAGGGATCGCCGGTAGTTGACGCACCTTAACACCGGCTCACTAAGTCCGAAACCCCTAGATCAGGGGGTATGGCATTTCGGGCAAACCCGCCCGTAGATCAATGACAACAAAAGTCATTGTCCTGCGATCTCTTTTAAGAAGCTTGTCGTTCGAGTTGCAGGCGAAGGGTTCGGCGCTTTGATTCGCTCTCGTATCCAAATGTCTAGACATGGTTAGGGGCTTTCGTCAAATTACGATCGTCTGGGCCCAAGGATCCAAGTGGATCTCACCTGCCAGCTTTGTGGATCAAATGCTCTTATTCGCTTCTGGGCCTGCTAGTACGAGTCCCGTTGCGCTAACTGTCTCGAAGTTCTCGGCGAAAGGTGTCGCTCAAGGAGTCCGCATCGCCGGAGTCCACGCTCGTACGGGCCAAGACGTGACGAAAAAGTGGTAAGTTGATAGCTCATGAAGCGACTGATTTTTGGCCACTTAGTCTTTCGAACTATCGGTGTCTCCGTTTTTCGTGGACGAGGGGAACTTGGGGTAGTTGACAGCGACTTAACTGCAGCTTTCCAAACTGTAACCACCTCAATTATTATCGTTCTATTTCATTATGTAGAAATTATGTGACTAGTTATTAACTCAAGGTTTGTATACACTGGTATCAGACAAAAGACCTCCAACTTAAAGCAATATTCGCACCATAAACCCCTCTCCGAACCTCATAGTCATCGATAGCTTGACGGATACCGTCAATATGAGAATATCGGACCTTGAAAATCCAGTATCATCGTCCTGATAATCGACCCTCCCATTCTTTGGGTGATGTCGCTGTGTGATCCGTGCCCTGTCCTTCCTCCGTGGCCCAGGGTTCACTGCGCACAATAGTCTCCGAGACGACAGTGATATCTTTGGAGGTAGGTTCGGGCTCAGTGAGAATATGTTCATCACTACCCCATGCTGAAACCTGCGTATGCGTTGGTGCTGTGATACTCTTGCTCTTTTTGGTATTGCGCTCAGCTCGACTGGCCAAAGTTTGTAGACCACGGCTGGAAAGTGGGTATGACTGCCCTGTGGGTTTGCCAGAGGAGCTGAAGAGTTGGGAAAGACCAATCTTCTTGAAACCCTTGCGGATCAGTGGTTGGATGATGGGTAGGTTGGATACCACGACCGAAACGAAGGTTTCGCGACAGGCCCATTTAGAACCGGATACGGCACCTTCAGCACCAGACTTTGATATCTCAGATTAGCGATCTATATATAATGGCGCAATTGGGGCGTATCGTGGCGGTGCTCTATGAAACTTACAGTCGTAATCATAACAGCCCGAATGATTGCTGCCGTGATAACGAACATAGCGCCGGAGAACAGGGCCATGAGAGGAATTTTCCTTTTCAGACCGATCTTGACCTGCCAAAGCAGGGGAAGAGGGATAGAGAGCAGATAAATGTCTGTGACGACGTTGAGAACCACGACGACGAAAACATATATGCGAGAGTTCGCTGGCTGGCAAAAGTCTATACATCTGGTCAGTAAATGATGGGCGCATGCCTGGTATGGTGATACTACACACTTCCGGGATCAGGGTATATTTGCCAGAACGCATGGAAGGGCTGGCAAGACAAAAGAATGGACAGTTCTGTTGCAACCCATGTCACACCAAGGATAATATATGCGAGTCGAATTCGGGTGGGGAGGTGTTGGAGGCCAGTCGTCAAGCGCGAGTAAAAGACTGTCAGGGCAAACTTGACCAGCCATAGAATAGCCACGTATAATGACCACCCAATTACCTGGATTTTGGACCCAGCGACGCGATTTGACCACTCTTCTGAATCTGGGCTAAGTGATGCTCGTTGTTCAGATGTCATATAGCTGTTGGTCAGACCATTGAAATTGGCACCGACAAGGTACGCTGCCACTGTTTCGAGAGTGAAGAAAACCTGTGAGATCGAATGTTCTCAGTCAAAGATTCGTTGAATGGCTCAAACATGAAGAAAGAAACATCTTACCCCCGCCAATGGCATAAGATAATCATCGAGCTGAAAATTTGTCGGGCCCACGAGTTTCCACCGTACAGATACACGCACGACGATTGTGGACAGAGCCAAGGACAACAATGTCCATGCCTCAACATTTTGCGCCATTGCTGCGAGTCATCCGTCTTACGGAGAAAAACAAACATTAAGAAAATGACATTGAGGACAGGAGTTGAAGATAATTAAAACAAACGGCACCGAACCAGCGCACTGGGATTTCCGAGACGTCGCGATTCCGCCCACTTGTGGAGAAAGCGCCACCACTTCCTCTTTGGGTACAAAGACTCATAATCAGGTCTAGAACTGGATCCATTAAGTCGATCCTCGTGTCTGTACAAAGTACAGAACCCAAAAAAGCACACTTCTTGGCACGGACGGATCCAGTAGTTGCATATAGATTATAACTCCCTTTTGGGACAGTCAGTAGGGATCATACTATCTAATTTGATCTAAGTTGTAACAACATAAGTACAATGCCTTTAGGCCGCCCCGAATTTTCCATTACACAGAATCAGAACCCCAATTTTGGCCCCAGAAAGAGTGCGCTGCGATCAGACTACTGTACACTAATAAAAAAGGTTCGTTAAAAGCTAAAATTTGAACACAAACCTTTGTGGCCGAGATTGTGGATCTTGGGTCACAACGTTCACCCCGTAGTCTTTGGTGGCGATTAGCCGTCAGTTTTGACTTCAGTCAAATAGCCTAGTGTTTTAATTTCCACTGTATGAAATTTGGTGCCTTTGCCTCTCCACACTACTGCCAGGTAGGCGCTCGCCACAAACTCTCTCGCCTTACTTGATGAGCACTGCCTCCAATTCAAAATGGATTGCGAACAGAGACGGGCTATCTAATTTCTCAAATATTGAATCTATGCCAGATCATACTCACGAACCAACTTCTCTGCACAAGTCGCACCAGTGACATACGCAACAGCTTGGACATGCGCATTTACCAAAACCGGCACCACACCCATATCAGTCACGCGTAGATTCTCAATGCCCGTGACCTTGAAATCTGGATCAACGACTGCATCCGGATCTCCCTTCTTACCCATCTTTACAGTACCCGTCATATGCCAACTAGAAGAAATGTTCTGCCGCCAGTACTCCAGCAGATCCTCATCTGAATCGCCCTTTGGCATTGCCATCTCTGCCACGTTGTCCTTAGTGTAGGACTCGTGTTTGATGATACGGAATGAGTCCCGTAGGGCCTCAATCGCGAGTCGCCGATCGAATGGGTGAGCTAGGAACTTGGGATTGAACGAGAGCGGAGCGTCTGGGTCAGACGACTGCAGAGTCACTTCGCCGCGAGTCTGGGCATTGAAGAGGAAGACGAGAAGACAGGAGTAGTTCAGTGCTTCGGAGGGGAAATCCGGGATGAACCAGTGGACAGGGAAATGTGTGATGATTTCATAATGCGGCACCGTTTCCTGGAGCAGGTATCTCTGTTCATCCGTGGGAAGAGCCTTGAATTCCGGTGAAGAGACAAGCTGCTCAGCCAGCTTAAACCAACCGATACCTAATTCACAGGCAAACTTCGCCCAGGGGCCTGTCCCATCCTCTTGCCACTGCTTTAGTGCAGCGTCCATAGCGGCTTTATCGCCATAGAACGCCTTGCGACCAGTGCTCGTTTCCGAGCGGGTGTTGACCATCGGTACAAAGCAGTGATCACGGAGACCTTGACCCACAGCGGGGACATCAAGAACAACGGGTATATTGTGCTGCTCCAATTGAGCGGCGGGGCCAATACCCGAGTGCATAAGGATACGAGGGTCGTTCAATGAGCCAGCGCTCAAAATAACTTCCTTCGTAGCAAAGTCTGTTCAGAATTGTTAGTATTCGGGAAGGTCATGACAGGGACAGGCTGGAGGCTTGCTCACATTTTGTCCCATTAGACTCCACACCGACGGCCTTGGTAGCTTCCAGGAGTACACGCTGCACAGGTGCTCCCGTGATGATTGTGAGGTTATCAAGCTTATCCTTCACCAGATCCCCCGCCGTCGATCGTAGTCCCTTGTGGGCTGAATTAATCAGAACTGACATTCCAATTGGATTGCCCGAATTGTGATCGGGATTCAACGGAAATCCAACTTGCTCAAACACATCCAAAAGCTCCGTCAAGTCCTTTTCCCATTCCTGCGCAAAGCCCACATGCAACGGACCCTGGCTCCCATGATCTTCCATCTTTGGATCCGCATACTTCTTGGCTACACCGTCGGGGGTCTTCCCGTGGAACGTCTCTAGCTCTTTGAACCTCCGCTGAATGTTTTCCCAAGCATAGGACTCGTCGCCAGTAATTCGCGCCCACTCCTGATAGTCGTCGCGGGCGCCGACGCTGTACACACCGAAGTTGATAGCACTCGACCCGCCCATGCACCGGCCACGGCTGTAGTCAATCTCCCGATCGTTGCAATCGCTCTGTGGGGTTGTCTTGTACCCCCAGTTCATGGACTGGTTCTGGAAAGTGATCCATCGTTGGCCATCCACGCGGAGGTTGCGATCTTCATTATGATCGCCTGCTTCTAGAAGAAGGACACGGGGCTTTGCGGCGGAGTTGGCGAGGCCAGCGGCAAGAGCGCTGCCTGAGGGGCCACCTGTTCGATGTTTCAGTCAGAGATTGTTTGACTATTGGTGATTTATTTATGTGGCAAATGAATTAGGTTCAAACATCATGTTTGCCTCTTTCGCTTGCACCGGTTGCTTCCTGGTGTATCTAAGCTCCGGTTGGTCACTTACTTCCGACAATGACGAAGTCAAAGGTGGACATGTTGGGTATTGACCTGGTAAGGACAATGCAGTTCTCAGGAGGCGAAGGCAAACAAAAGAACAAAGGTGATCAATAATAATACTCACTAGATTTGAGTTCGCTAATATGAAATCATTAGAAGAAAAAGAAAAAAAATGATGTGTCCAGCGCCGTGGCGCTCCCGGCAGCGGGGAAGACAAGGAGGGGAATTCCACGGAGTATAGCCGAGATTCTGGGGGCCAAAACACCCAAATTCGACTCTCAAACGGACGATCTCGAGGACTTCGAACAGGAGTAGTTGATCAGCGAATGAAATGTCTCATAATATCTCCATAGCACCCGCATTGACTCTGAACCGTCTCATGCTCCTCCACTTTAATGATTGCCGTACCTAGTGGGTGGAGTTCATGGGACCGGCAACGTATCAAGAGGGGATGTCGTGTGCAGGCCAACGGTTAGACTATCATGTTAAAATGCCAATTGGAACCTAAAATCGCCAAGCAGCAAGTGCCACGTCTATAATGGAGATCTCTTTCCTAAAACACGTCCTTCGAAAGCGTCTTCGGAAGTTGCATAACCTTACTTTACGCAAATTAAAAGCTTGGTTACCGGGCATGGATTTTACTTGAAAACCTTCTCTAAAAGAGCAGGATATCGATTAAGGTGTTCTCACTCTATGGGTTTGAAAATAAAGTGTGACAAATACAATGTTCTGTCTTTTTAAAGCAGGCGCCATAAAGGAAGAAACAATATTTTTAGCAAATACGGGGTAACGAACTTGGTGTGCGCCACAGATTTCCTGTAGCTCCGCTGACCCATAACGCTTTCCGCGTTGTGGGCAGGGGGCCCGGATTGTGGGTACTGTAGGTCCGCTAAGGGTACAATTGACAAGGCTCGGAAGTACGAGCGCATCAGGTAGCCCGCAAACTATCGAATGAGGATTCACGCTGTCACCATCTATGGATCCCTATTTTATTCTTAATCCCGATGCTAATTTACGTCTTTCTCCTAAAAATCTTCACGAATGTTAATTCGCATTACTCAAACTTTGGCAACTAGGATAGAACACGCCGCTTTATGTACGCCGTTGGTTAAGCCAAGATTTTTGCATCCCAATCAAACAAGTCCTGGGAGTTAGCGAATAAGAGAAGTGCGCGGCAGTTTTGGTATATTTCATGCAGGTTTGAAAGAGGCGTTGGCCCCATTGTTCATTTACAGCATGATTCTCTGCATGTCAAGGAGGGACATATGTGGGCCTTGCCAAGGCGCCGAGCTCGAAGATAATAGAAATTTCGATAATGTGCAAATCGTGAAAGCCGATATATTTCTCACGACTCGAATTTACCCACAATCAGAAGCTCTAGCAAGAATCTAGCTTGGCAGCTAATCATAGTACTGGTGATGCGTAACTAAAGCTGCTTTACAGAAAGGTGTTGGCTCGCGGAGGAGATATATAGAGTGAACTTATCGCTCTGCATTGATCTGCAGAATTAGACCGAAAGCTAGGGTCGTAGCAGACTCAGTGCTCCTCCGACTAAATGCAAACTTCCAGTGACAAAGGCTTCCATGCCACCTTGCTCTAGACTGATACTCTCCGCAAGTCGTACAGCCTGTTCGATTGTTGGCTCAGTTGAGACGGTGGAATTAGGTGTGGAATTCCTTCCAAAGGGAGGAATAGGTCGAGCAGAGGTCGGGGAAAGGAGTCTCTGGAACCTTGAGGGTTTTGTCTGGCAGGAAGACTGTTAGTTCAACGTCAATATAGAACAACTTTTCTCTTACCGATTCTTGTGGATCCATCTTCCCTCTCTTGATAGGTTGTGAATATGACATGATCGGGCACAGCATTGTTCTTGGACAGAGCATGTGCCAGAGATGTCAGAAGATCTACTCCATCACGTTCTTCAGAAAAGTGGCTGAAGATGAGGACACGGTGTCTGCGTAGGTAACTGGTTAGCGATAAAACGAGGCAGTAGTAGGAAGGAATCTCACTTTGGTGACTCGGTGGTGTTGACATTGTTTGCGAACCACTTTGCTGCTTGCTCGAGACTAAGTGGGTTATGTGCGCCATCCAGGTACCACTGTGAATTTCCACTCTTAATAGTCTCGAACCTGCCGAGCCACGAGAAGTTATCGATACCTTTGGCTATATCGTCCGAGCTAAGTACTTGTTCAGGATCATTGGCCTGCAAAAAGGTCGAGGCTAACTCGAGGGCCAAGGAGCAGTTTAAGCGTTGTACGGGAACGCTAAGCACTCTGTTATTGGCAGGTAATGTGTCCGAAGACGAGACGAAAGTCAGGGTGGTGTTTTTTTCGGCGGCACGTTTTTGTAGTACTTCGGCAGGACCAGGGTCTTGTACGACAGAGAATGCAGCTGCTCCTGGTTTGAAGATACCTGACTTATGCCAGGCAATGTCCTCGACTGTAGGGCCTAGTTGTGCGACATGATCAAGCCCAAGAGAGGTGATACCAGTCACGATGGGCTTCCGCACCACATTTGTAGCGCAGTATTCTCCACCATGGTGCGTTTCGATAATTGCTGCATCGACACCTTCTTTGATGAAAGTGTGGAAAGCCAGTAATAGCAGAAGCTGGAGATAGCGAGGTTGTCTTGTATACTCTGGCTGCTTGGGAGAGGCAAGGGTCTCCCACACCTCGAAGAAGTATTGAGTGAAAAGGTCTTCCGTGATTGGTCGATTATCGATCTGGATTCTCTCCCGGATGCATTGTAAATCAGGAGAGGTGTATAACCCGATTCGCTTGGGAAACCCGGTTCTCAGACCGTGGGCATGGAGAAAGGACCTGGTGAAAGCGCAAGTACTGCCTTTTCCTTTGGTCCCGGTAACATGAATGATATTGAGCTGGTCAACGTCATTTTCCTAGATCGAGTCAGAATCGCTAGTTCAGCAATGGAGATAGAATTTTAGTAGACACACTGAGTGACCCAATGTCTGCAGCCATTCTTTCATTCCCACCAAGCTGGGAATGCCCTTGACTGTTGGGGCACCACTTGGAGTCGGCGAGTCTTGGGCCGTTGTCGGCGCAGGTGTCGTCGGTCGGGCCTTCCGCCTTCGCGTCTCCAAGAGTCTCAACGCGTTCTGGTTCGGAATTAGATGGCAGTCATTTCAAAATACCGATTGAGGAGCGGCTTACCTCATAACTACGCTTCATATTGGAAGTTAGGCTAGAGCTAGCCCTTGGAAAAACCGCTGATACAGTCATACGCGTCGATGCTGCCGATTTTTAGTCCAGAGATTCGGTAATAGGAGATCGATTTCCATGATTGGACCGCGAAGGGGGTTGGATGCGCAGGTGGTACCTCCCGGTCACCGCAGCTGTACAACAGAAAGGGCAAAGTTCCCCACTGCCCTTTCAGCCACAACCCAAACAGTGATCAACACGATGGCTAGAGCTGGTGGTGATCGATGCAGCATCCTTGGGAGAAAGGAGCCCTTCCTGGAGAGCATTGGCAGTGATACATGGCTACTGGTGCTCTTGGCTGATTTCGAAGATAGTGACAAAAATCACCTCCTTCGTTGCCTTCGATATCTGGCAAATCGGCCCAGTTTGCCAGATGAGCCTAGTGAAGATGATCTCGAATTCGATGAAATGGGGAACGAATTCGATGACCATTTTGACCGCGAAAGTGGGCACCAAGAGGGTGGCCCCCTCGAGGACTTGTATGAGGCCTCGTATGAGGATGAAGGGGACGAAGAGGACGACGACCATTATTTAGATCTACAAGCGAAGCTCAAAGTCACACCCTCGGCTCCATCGAGTTCCTTGCTCTGATCTCTCGCATATCAGGGGCCACATCGGGACAGTCAGGCGAATCTCTACGCTCTCGCTGTCCTAGCACAACAGTATGGTCACTCGGAAATCATCGTGGCCGATGAGTTGACCAAAAGCCAACTGAATCCTGAGATGGATACGAGAATCTACACTAGAAATCTAGATGCACCGAAGCGAGGGTCTGAAGTGATCCTGATTTCGGTGTTTGAAAAGGACGGCGCATCAAAAGAACTTTCTGTCTGGGCCAGGCGGGTAAAACTCGAAGGTTCTGGCGTTGTCGCTCAATTTGGAGAATTCCAAGGGCATCGCGGGGTTTCTATGGCACAGATGTTTGCAGAATCGCAGATTGCATGGGAAATCCGAGCAGTAGCTATTCCTGGAGAAGACCGTTGGTACAACGGTCGTGACCACACCACCTTGACTGGGCCCGATCTCAAAGATCGGATATGGACTCACTATGGCCTCGAGGTTCACGACCCGGGTCGCCCTTTAATCACACCCGATCTCGTGGGTGCATTAGGACACAAGAGCCACCTATACTCCCAGCGGAGCCCTGTAGGCAAAATCCTCTCGGCTCTTCCCGGAGAAGTGGTTTTCAACATCTTCGACAACCGCGGAGTTTCCTCACTGGTTCAATGTCCAATTTGAAAAAGGTTTCCTAGTGAAAAGCATCTCGTTTTCTTTGCGTCGTTCCCAATGACACCACAAAAACAACAGGAGATGGAATCACTCATCCACAACGAGCTACAAACTTGCCAGGAAAGGGCAGAAGAGTCACCGTCACCGTTATCCTCATCGTCATCGTCATTCACTTCAAGCTTTGAAAACGAAGCGCTTTCTCACCGGGCTAGCCGTATTCAATCGCTACCTCAAAAAGGGCCCTCGCAAATCACGTTTGAGTTGATCCCCTGAGAGAAGCACGGTGCCACGACTCGAAGAGATTTTATGAACTTATGGGTGGAGTACATGACCTCCACAGTAATGTTCCAAAAGAGATTCAGCCTGCCGCCACTGCACATACTCATGGAACCAATCACCGACATTCACTCGCCACATTTTGCTGAAGTACTCGGTGACAACAAGTCTGTGGCAATAGCTTCTCGAACGACGCTTGACAAGATCATTACTGTGACGCGCAGATTCGGAAATTCCCCCAAAGGCAGATTTCACAAGCTCCACATGTCTTGCCTACGTAGAGAGAATATCAGTCGCCCTGACAAGCCGTTCTATCGGAACAAGCTCCCCTGGCAGTCTCCAACGTCATATTTCTACCAGGATAGATGATTGCCGATATTCTATCTGACGAGTCGGTTGGCAGACAAACAGGATTTTAAGATTCGGGGGAGATCTCAAAAGAAGATGATCTGGGTGGGGTTTCGGAATCTGATGACGAGCTTTCAGGATCTGTTTACTACTCAGATCTGGAGTATACCTGTGGCTTTGCCCCCTGGCAAAAAGACGACTCTGATGGGACTATTCGTGATATCTGGGATATTGCTCAGATGGTGCACAGGGAGTCCCTCTGGAGAGAGGATGACTATTTCATCTGTATCGATCAACAGTCGGCCAAAGACATGAAGGTTATTTTCGTCGTTGCTGAACGCCGCAAAGTCCGCCATCGATGGCCCCCGTGTGAAAAGTATGCATCTTCCCGACCTGGCCGGGTTTACTTTCGTTCGTATCCCCTGCCGAAGGGCCTTTCATGAGACCGGTGCGATCCGGAGAATTCGTCGAGATCTTGGACACCTACGTCGGAAACACTTTCTGAGGCCTGAGCTACGGCGAGTTGACCGTTTGCAGAAGAACAACCAATACCCATATGTTGATGAGGATGGAAGCCCCCTTGACCTGACCGAGGATGTTGATTCTGAAGCAAGTCCGAGCCCATCCACCTCCGATGAAGAAGATGAAGGTGATCATGAATATGATATTGATTTGCTCGACCCGGGTGGAAGGGAAGTTTTGTACGATTCGTTCTTTTTTTCATGATGTTCGCTGCTGGTCAAGATTCAATGTTTCACAAAGGCCCGGTCAAAGAAGAGACCTAAAAACATTTTCGTAGCTGAGAGATCTATCGAAACCTTTGGCCTCTATTCCTGACTTCGCACTCCTCGCGTGGTCATTCCACGATCTCGTCTTTCGTAACAAGCTCCAGCTATTCCCTGCTGACTGCGCCCTCACGCTCATATTAATTACACGCCGGAATTATGGGCACCCTAGTGAGCGGTGGAAGGCCTCGTCACCTGTGAAACTTTCTAAAATTGAATGCCTTGAGATCTCTCAGCTAGTCACTGGAAAACGTGTTCAGTGGATGCAGCGGTGTTAGTTACGGTCCCTCGGGAGTCATTCAGGTTCTGCGAGATCGGTACGTTAGTGTGCTATCCACTGAGCCAAGTTCGAACTTGAGGCCAAGAGATTGGCTGATCTCTACATCAGGGCATAGAGAGATTCTTTACTCAAACCCCATGATCCTGGTGACGCCCAATGCAGTGGTGCAGACTTCCTCAGAACTGTGTCCCCGGTAGCACTGATTGTATCGAGTATCACCAGCTTTCCCTCGTCAGACTCTAGCGAAAATGGTCGTCGGCCAAGCCGCTCGACGTGGTCACCACATCCTGAATGCCTTTTGTCTTGCTACAGTGGGATAGTTTTACATACACATCGTCCCCAGGATTCGAGACTGCGCGGCGACAAACGTAAGCAGGGTTGGACAGAGGATAGGGATCATCGTGGTACGTTATTGAACCATGGTCTTATCAGGAGATTTTGCGACCGCTACGATTTCGTTGGTTAAGGCGTGGATAGTATCTTGCATGATTTTCGAGGCAGAAGTCGGATAGCAAATGGGTATCATTAGACTGGCGAGGGCTGGATTTTCAGGAAGCTCGACGATGGGCCCGGTGACTATTATCTTGTCGATAAGTGCCATTTCGAGTGTGTTGATACAGGAGAGAAATGTCTGAGGAACCGATATAAAGACATAGAAATATTTACCTTTGTCACTTTGGGCTTGAGAAGAGGTTGATGGTATTGTAAATGTAAGTACGAGTATGTGCCTGCATATTGTATGTATAACACCGTTTCGGGTACGTCGATCCCCTAATTTACAGGTGTCGATCTTCCCCGAGTGAGGCTATACCCAATTAGTATTAAGTGGCGTCATGGTTTGGAGGGGAGATTGTTTCTTCTCGCACGCTGCCTCTTACTTGAAGAGTCAATTGTCCCTCTCCCTACTCTGGAGCATTTGATAGTGTTCAGTCAAATCATTAGTCAAATAATTAGTAAAGATTAGAGTTGGAGGCATCTACGTTATCTTAATGTAACATCACCAAAATGAGCTGCATGAGCCACGTAATTAAGCGTGTCCATCTTGTCACAGCACTAATGCAAGATCCCTGACCCTGTTCAAAATTATTTTCTCTCCTATCACGTGCAATAATTCTCAATTGTCCCGTTGCTTCTCAGTGACTCAACTTTTTTCCAACGTACAACTAACTACCCAGACGTCAATTACACAAACCACCTCAAGATGATATCCCTCGCCATCTTCGACTTCGATGGCACTCTCTTCGACACACATGAATCCATCTCTCAGACAATAAAATTGACCTTCGACTCCCTCCTCCCCACACATACCCCTCCTCAATCTGAAATCCACCGCCTCATCTCCAGCGGCGCCGGTCTAGCAGATACATTTCAAGCTCTGCACCCAAACCCTTCTGAATTCACGTCTATCATTGAGGATCAATGGATTGAGAAATACCGTGCGCTTTATGCAATCCATGGCCAACTCCTCATCAAGGCCTTCCCGGGTGCGAGAGAGCTCTTGGCCGAGCTGAATGCCCACAAGGTCCCTATCGCCATTGTGAGTAACAAAGGTGTGGCGGCTGTGAAAACTGCCCTCGAGCGCAATGGCCTGGAAGGCTTTGTACCCGAAGATTTGATCATTGGGGATAAGACGCCTGGGGCAAAGCGCAAGCCGGACCCTGCCAGTTTTGTGGATGTCCTCGTCCCCGTTCTGCGTGAGCGATATGGATTACCGGACATTGAATCGAAGAGTGTTCTGGTAATTGGTGATACAGTGGCGGATCTTGAGTTCGCAAAGAACATTGGAAGCAAAGGCTGCTGGTGTCGGTATGGGTATGGAGATCGAGAGGCTTGTCGGAAAGCGGGCCCAGATTTCATTGTTGATGGCCTTGGGGAAGTTGTGGGGATTGTGAAGAACTAAGAATTTCCTTTAGTACAGACGCAAAAAGTCCCAGTCAAATAGCTCCATGCAGTATTACTGAGCGTCGCATTAACCGAAACACCCTATTGTCGCTTTGAGAACTCCTGAAAGACAGCCGCAGTTTTGTCTTTCATTTGTTCCCTCCCGTGATAAACTGCATAAAATGTCGGATATCCTGACTCCATCAAGACGTATCTCACTTGGACAGATTCTGAATCTATATACCGGGGGTTCTTCTATATCACACATATGGCCACTTCATCCTCGCCACATATAGTATCGAGTATATTACACCGAGCACACGTTCTATAAGCATCTATATTGTGGACAGCACTTGCTGTCATAACTTTTTGGAGACTTTTTGCCAACACGGCTCTCTATAAGTCCTTTCTTTCCCAATATTCCTTCACTACCATCTCTTCATTTCAGACATCATTCTACTTCATCTCTTGTGCGTCGTTCTTGATCACATTCCAAAGGCTATTGACAGAATATGTCCAGAGGTCCCTGATACCCGAGGCTTCTCGGCATAGTTGAACAATTCAATTCACGGCAAAGGCCCTCTTCGTGGGATTATCGCCACAGTCGTCGGTCACTCCCAACGAACGTCTCAGACATCCTCAGTTCTCCACCGACATGGATCCTTCCCCTTTGATCGATGATATGTCAAATTGCTGGCCCAACTCATACGTACGCCCTCCGCCTCCGCTCTCACCAAAAGTGAGGCGGCCCGCTGCAATATAAATCGTGATTACCTGTCTTGGGGTTTACACTGCAGGCTATGTCCGGCAGCCAAATTGGCATAGAATCCTTTGCAACCTGTACTGGAAGGTGTTCCGCCATCTCTTGAAAAAGATCTGGTCAATGAGGGAATGTTTAATCATTCCAATAGACCTGACTGGGTCAACTGAGCAGACCCATGCCGTGACTTCGTCCCTCTGCTGCTTCGAACTGATCGATGAATTGTGCAATGAGTCTTTCAGGGGGAAATCTCCGCTCCAGAGCACTTGGTGGTATTCAGATATCCAATGGTACGTTCAAACCCCAAGCTCCGAAGACCGTACTTCGAAATGTTGACCCGTGTTCCATAATTTAGGTTGTCGACCGTCATTGCCCGAAGTGGAGCTCCCATCGCCGATATTCGCGAAGCTTTGCTGTCGATTGAGATTTTCGGAGACATGAATGCGAAGATTTCCCAGGATGGGAAAAGAGTCAACCCAATTTCCAAGTCCAACAAAACACCGCAGAACGAGAGGGGGGACTGGGAGCCGATGCTCAAGTCTCGCCACATGCCAATATCTTTGGTTTCTGGCTACCACGCGGCTTGAGCAGCGACCACAACAAGCGCACCGAGGAGATTAACGCCCGAGTCGCGGGGACCGAAAGAATCGTGGAGGCCTACAATGATGCAATGAGTTTCGAACTCACCTCCTGGCTCTGGCAATCGATGTTGAGGACGATGATATCCCTTCACCAGCCTGATTGCACGCACGGTCAATATTGCTGGTCTTTTCCGTGCCTTTCATCATTCAAGCAATGACAGATAATTTTCTCTTGAGGTATTGTTAAAGTAGCATGTAAAAGTTGGGATTTCCCGACCCATAATAGTATCATCGCGAAATCGCTCTTTCTACCCGCCATTCCAGGCTTATGCAGCTTCTCATAGCTATATTCCACACCAATCAGCTACCTAGTAAACTAGATCTCCTCTCCTCTACACAGAGCCACGCTCAGAATTCTCGATCAGCTCTACCTGAGCCTTGAGCTCCTCCCGCTGTCCGTCCTCGCCTTCATTCAGAGCAGACAATTTGCCTGCGACTCGCACAGTCTCGAAAATCGATAGATCTTGCTGAAACAAATCTTCCAGTTTCTCCAGGCTCTGGCCCATCGTTTCTGGGTAGAAGAAATAGACGGACCCGATATAGGTAAGGCCGATCGCAGTATAGACGAGGTAGTATTTGTATTTGATATTGGCCAAAGCAACGGGTGTGACCATTTGAACGACAAAGTTCCTGTAAAAGCTTTTAGCATAGCCCAAAATGTTGGCAAGATGATTATCATACCATAACCAGTGATTTGCGGTCGAGATAGATGTCATGGCGACCCGAAGTCTAATCGGAGCGACCTCGGTACAGTATAGGAAGCTCGGTCCAAGGAAGCCGATGGGGAAGAAGAAGTTGAATAGGAACACGAAGAAGGTGCTGGCAATTGCCGCACTCTTGTTGGTGCTAGAGAAGCTGGATGTGATTGCCATCGACATCATACAGAGTGTGATACCGACTCCGCAAAACAAAAACAGCTTTCGGCGACCGAAGCGATCGATGGTCAAAAATGTAATGAAAGAAGCTAGACATTTCCACGTGAGAGCGCTTGCGGCCAGAATCCGAGTAATCCCGTCTGAGAGATTCAAATTACTCTGAAAGATTGTTGTCGAGTAGGTGCTGATGACTTGTGCACCAGTCATCTGAATCCAGAACTGCAGGCCAATGCAAAGCATGAAGCGGTAAAATAGCTTGCCGTCTTTCATTCTGAAGATGTCCCTGATCGAACCAGCATTTCGAGCTGTTTCTTCCAGGGAGAACTCAATAGCTGCAATCTCCCGTACGATATCGTCATGGTCTCTGTCAATATCTCTTATTCTGGCAAGTTCCGACCTCGCCCTATCCGACTGACCGACACGAAGGAGCCATCGAGGAGACTCGGGGAAGAAAAAGATAGACATGGCTAGCACGACAGAAAGGATGGATGGCAGCGCAAGTGGTACCCGCCACGCCACGGAATGTTGATGGATGTGCGAAAAGCCAAAGTTGATCCAATAGCTCGATGCATAACCGCTCGTGATGAAAATTCCATCCACAACAACGTGTCTTCCTCGATTTGTTGCTTGGGAAGATTCGGACTGCCACACTGGCACCATAGTGCTGAAGATTCCAATGCCCATGCCCGTTATAATTCGGCCCACAAATAACTGTGGAAGCTTGAATGAGGTGCATGAGATAGCTTCTCCAATGAAGGTGAGGATAGCTCCAAGGCAAATCGTCTTTCGCCTGCCAAGCACATCTCCCATAGCAGAGCAGGACAAAGAGCCCACCAATGCTCCGAGGGTGAATGACGAGACATAGACTCCCTGAATCACCGAGCGGTATGATTTCAAAGCACCGGTGGCATGTTTCGTATCGATTTGTGGAAACGTATCTGTCCAGCTCTCGAATGATAGCAGGCCTCCAACGACAACCTGGTTATAGCCGAAGAGGAAGAAAGACGGGAAAACGACAAGGACAATCTGCGCGAGATAGAGATTGCGCCCGCGAAGCATTTTGTGTGGTATAAAGGTGGAACGAACGAAGATAGTAGGAAGGTGCCCACGTCCAGGGTTTATGTAGGCATTGCTGGATCCCCCATGCCGTGGGGTTAATTCTGGGGGGATTGAATGTGCGCGGGGTCTCCAGGCCAAGAGTGCCGTGGGAATGTCATCGTGTGGGGGCAATGGGTGAGATTGGTGAGCACTTCAAATCAGAAGGTTGGGATTTGACTTAAGTGGAGTTCTACTTTCAACGAAGTCCGGGAAACAGCCGACTGATCTGTTTGTCACTTGCAAATCTAGCATCAAGTTGTTCTCTACGCCTGACTGCATCTATATCTACGACTTATAGTATATTATTCGTGTTATTAGAAATACATTGTTGATATACGCATCGCACTTATATGGACTCAATGAGGGAATGGGCGCCGGAACTTCCTATTATATACAGAAGACCGAATACTTAACGTAGATATTGAGTTGCCGAATAAAAAGCCAAAAAGCGCCATCAAAAACGCCAAGTGACCAAGACTTGAGTCAGGGAAAAACTTGGATTGACTTCGCGTCCATCTCGAATATGGTTGTGCTGCATGCTTGTCTTTCCCATGAAGATCTCTTGATGCCTGGCATTCATCTGGTGGAAATATTTTAATTACCCTCTCCTTTCAACAGCAACATTAGCCACAAGCCCCCCTCATCGTAATTTTATAAAGTTTGTGGACGCTTTTAAAAGGCGGGTCACTGCCGTGATTTCTTCCGTAATGTGTGGTTCGACTCGGCATATAGCCGAATTGCTGATTGGACCGAGAGAACCCGGCTTTAACGATTTAACTAACTGACCGACCGAGCATACCGCAAGTACCGAAGTAGAGAATTTAGAGCCATGGAGGTCCCGGCTATCCCTCGCTTAAACGGCAGTAGAACCTTACAAAGAAGAGTCCTAGTCTTGTCGGCTAGAAAATTCAGTTCATGAATGGTAAAACCATCAAGGCTATTCTTCAATGCCATACAATATCATGATTATACATCAGAAGGCTATTACCGCCATTGACTAATCTTTAACCATCGGCACGGCATCTTTTCGCCCTGCCAAGATCTCGCTGATCCCACCTTCCAGAGTGCAAGTTACTACACTTCCGAGAAGCCGACATTTGCGACACGCAGCCTTAGTCAAATCTCATCCCACTAATAAACGGGGCTTTTCCAGTCAGGCCGGTTGATCTGAGGTGCCGTATATGCAGAGTATATGGCCTCGGCTATGCCACCTGGAGACTTCGTAATAAGAACACCAAGCAGAGTGATAGGGCCTTCTTGAAAGTTCCAACTGACATAATCTCGCTTCACGGGAATCCCCGCGGGCAATCCAATTTCTTGAATCTTTGGGAGTTTATCTTATGAATATAGTCGTCTTAGCCGACTTGGCATTGACTTCAAGCCATAGCGTACACAGTAGGCGATGGTGTCCACTTGGTGACCGTTGGCTGCAACCGAATATCCTGACCAACGAGTATGTTCCACTCATTGCGCGTGATCGGGGTAACATCCGATGCCGAGAGAGGAGTCTTGGGCCCGCGTCTGACAGAAGGCGGCTTCATGGTACTTGACTTTAGAGGACTTCTGACAGGACTGGGATTCGTCTTTGGCGCGACTGCTTTTGCGGGCGTTGGTTTTACGGTTGTTGGTTTTGCGGGCAGTGCCTTGTTTGTATCTGACTTGGACGGCTTAGGCTTTGCTACTGGTTGATGCCGGACACGAACAGTGCGAATCGGGGCTGTGTGGACTGGTGACTTTCGAGAAGACTCAGTCTTGGTTTTTGATGGCTCAATCTTGCCTTTTGATGACTCAATCTTGCTTTTTGATGGTAGGACGATTGCTTCTTGGTTGTATGTGTGTTGATAGGCTGTGGCGATGACAGCGAGGAGGTCATCCTTGACATCTAATTGTTCATAGACGCGGTGGAAAAAGGCCTTGCTGAAAGGCCGGCCTTGGAAATCCTTGATGATGCGGTGTAGTAGTTGCACGCAAGAAGTCATGGATTGTTCGTCAGTTCGGGAGAATGGCCGACTTGAGAGAATGCACATGCGGCGCTTGAAGATATAAATTCGGTCCATGTTCAGAAGAGTCAGACCTTCTTGGCTAAAGATGACTTCATTCTGGAGGATTGATTGTTGGACAAGGTACTCATTTGCGTGGCGCTCGTGCTGGCTGCGGCTGAGTGCTTCGGTCCAGCTTGGGCCAAGAGAGAATTTCTTTGCACCCTTTGCAATTGCTCGCTCTAGAACACGTCGTGAAGGGGTATCGAGGGGTGTAATCGGGATGACCATCAAATCGGAGGCCTGGCCAGTTGGGTATGGCTTGCCACGACCGACCAGAAGTGTGACGTGCATTGTCTTTTGTTGCAACTTTGAGGAGATATATTCGAGGGCAGGAAGAATAGATGGAAGGACGACTTCAGAGTCAAAGTTGAAGTCTGGGGAAAGAGGAGGAGAGATCATATCGATGGTGAGTAGACGAGTGGGCGAGCTGGGGACATAGATGCCCGATGGTCGAGGGAATCGCATAACACCCATTTTGGTATTATTTTATAGACACTTAAGAAATAAAAGACTAAGGGATTGTTATCAAAAGGCTCTTCGAAAGTTTTGAAGAGATGCCCCTTTACTGGAAGAAATCCAGATTGGCCTGAAGGCAGAGCAAACCGCGACCTTGAGCGACCTGATATAACTATTCTTCCTACCAACAATCAACCAACATCAACTTCCCCGCACGAAATTGACAGACGCATATCTTAAGATAGAATTCTCCCAAATTATCCTGATTTAGCTGCAGAGCTGTTGCTAATGATAGCAAAGTCATGTAACCCATCATCCAATCACTGTTCCTGGATTCCCCCTTTTCGCTGGTGGGGTAACTCTAGATCCAATCAGGTCGGGCGACAGTCAACACGACAAAAATAAACCAACAGTTTCTTAGCCGCCGAGGCGTTCACCTACCAATCACCGGGCCACAAAACCTGCACTCTGAAAGCCTTATGCAGGTCGTCACACTCGAGCACAGGGATCGAGAACGCATTCGCCATCCACGGCGGGTGTTGGTTCGCGATTGTTTATTCTTGATAGCTCGTTCACTTGGTTCGGGCACAAGCTGACCGCATCGCATAATTTCCACCGTCCAGGATCCCGGGTCCATGAGCTCCTGTCGATAGGTTATTGTGGTGGTTCACGAGCCAACAACGAGGTTGGCTTCTAGGGATCTCGCCTGCGTTATGAGGCATTTTAAGGTATTCTCCACTGTATCTTCCTAGACCTCGCCAACTACCTCGCGCACGCGACGACCAACTAGATAGTAATGGGCCCTTCTGCATATGACTTCCGATGATGTGTCTTCGGAGTGCATATCGTGGGCATGGGCAGGCACACGGCTGAACATGACCAACTTTGGACGTAGATATTTCTTACACCGTCTCACTGGTATTTCTTTGGTCTTCAACGGTCGCATCGTGGTCTAAGTTCAAGAGGCTATCGCGAAGGACGATTTACTAGTCTCTACGATGCGGTTCCAATAGAATGAAGATGGAAGAGCGCGCAATTAACCGCTGTCCTCTGTAATGATATCTCATCTGATCTATCTCGGGCCCTCTCTGCCTATAGCATCGCTCTCGAACAAAGGCATGTATTCGAAAGATCCGATCGCGACCGATGCATCCTCGTATGACCCAAACAGCGGCTAACCCACCATGTCGGTATCTGATCTAGAAGACAGATGCAATGTCGAGTCATTGAACAACGCATCAAATGTGTAGGTTACGGCGATAAAAGAATGGGGAAAGAAGCCCGTGAGTGGAAAACTATCACCAACCCATGTTATCGACGAATGCCGTGTTTTCTAGAGCCGCATGGGGCTGAACTACTTCCAGACTATTGAATTTATGCATACTATGAATTCAAGGTGCTCATGAAATCGGTCTATTCTGCTCCAATCAAAGGAAGCTCGTTGCCCAGTTGTTGGTGTTGTTGTTGGTGGGGGCCAAAATCAGGCGGCAAAGTGAGGAGTATTCAAGGTTAATTAAGCATCTTTTCTCGCTCCACTTATCTACCCTAATATCTTCCCAGAAAGAAGTCGCTCACGTAACATTGTCCTGATAACAATTTGTCAAACAAATGATTGGAAAAGGCGAAGATAGGTTTTTCAAATCTCAGCCCCAAGGTACTGGGCTATCGACAAGTCATCGCGCTTTTGACTGAGGATATGATCTGGATGGACGCAGGCTGACATCCCGGGCTTACAACTTCCAATTCTGGAAAGTGTCCCCAATCCAGGTATACACACCAATCTTGCCCAAGGAGAAATTACAGAACCATGTCAAAAGAGGCAGTAGATACATTTGACAGCAACTTACGTGAGACCAGCTAGATATCTTCCCAATGCCTCCTGCACTATCAAATAGTATTTCCCAGCGAGATATATATAGATGAGCATTGGATACGTGCTCGGCTGACACAAACCGCTTTGAGCGTTCCTACAATTCACCTTGCAGACAACCCTTCAATTTAGACATTGTTTAGGGTTTGTAAGATTTTTCCAGCAAAGCATTGAATCCATGGAAAGTTTTTCAGGCCCTAAAGAGCAAGTTCGTTGCCCGGAGCGTTCGGAAAGCATAGGAAGGTTGAGATGGAGAAAAAGCGCTCATTCAAACTCGACTGTTGAATTCAGCCTTTACACTCACGGAAATACACGGCGTCAATTATGTTGAGAACAAGCCGAGGTTCTTCAAGTCGGAAAATTTTGACACATAAAAATAAGAAACTGTGGATGAGGCGTTGTGGTGGAAGAGGCACTTTTTGCTTGTGGGGCTTGGAAAGCTTATTCTCGGGGATTCAATCTCAGTGCGAAGGATGCGGACGGAGTTCACAACCTGGGTCTGGGCCACTGAGGAAGATGAAGGCTATGCAAGAATGAGTCCGTAGCTGGAATAGGGTTCATCTTGTCAGGCCAGTAGGAAAAGACATGAATAGGTTCCGGTTGCCGATCCATAATGAAGACTTCTTACAGTTGTGCCTAGACTTCCAGCATCAGACTATCAGAATCTACATATTCTACTTACGCAATATACTGGGGTGGTCGTCTAGAACCGTTGATAGGCACACGGCAAGGCATTTTCATCTTTTCGCACCACGTGGGCTGGCCCGAGTATAGTAAAGTTTTCACCGATAAATACGGAGTAGTGATAGGGAATAATCCATCAACATTCATCCACATTCCCGAGCGGCTGTGAACCGAGATCACGCGTATTCCAGAAAATTCGCTATCAGCCCCGGGTTGTCCGTTCCATGGATGTCATGCTGATTGCAAAGAGAAAATCATGAGAAGTTTGGGAAGGACCCCTGCCGTGCCACTCGTAACTCTACAGCTAGGATGACTGCCAAGGCAACCAAATTGACCAAGTTGTTTATTAGCGGGAGTGGCAATTGGTTGGAGCGGCAGGAGCGGGGCTGTCTGGAGTCTTGGCAATGCCACCCGGGCGCAACGCTGGCTGATCGCCAAGACTCGCCCCCTCTAAACCCTCGGGACAGCCTCACCGTCTGCACGAAATTGGCTGATTCTTTTTTCTGTTGACAATTATTTTCACTTTGGCGAGGCAGAATTGACCGGTCATCCGATCGAGAGAGTCTTTATCAAAATATTGTGTTAGCATCGTAGGTAGGTTTATGCATAGTGGCGGATCAACGAACTATATGGACGCCTTTTCTACGCCCTAGACTTGACCTGGCTATATTCGGTCATGATCGACGTCTATCTATTTCACCCAGTCAATATTTGCTTCAGTATCTTGGAACCGACTGGACTTTGACTATCATTGACCCTCAGAAACTGCACAAAAGAATGAAATGCCGACGCAAACCGACCCGCTCCTCTCTATCTCCGTTGTAACCCGGCCAGTCGCCGTCGAGTTTTTAGGTGGATTAGTCTTTACTTCCGAGATCTTGGCGGCCCGGCGGTTGGCTTGGCCTGGGGCGCGGCGCACGAAGAGGTCTTATCGCAAGCTTTGACAAAGGGAAACTCAGTAATTTGAGAAATGGCTCTCCATCTCGGTAATATTGGGGTGAATATGTACACTAGCGAGCTGTCCGTATGAGCAGGTACTATATGAGATAGCAGATTAGCCTAGGGGCGCAGTGATATAGTAGAGTTTATTCATGCAGGTTCAAGTAGTACGAGACACAGCCGCAAGAGGAAAGCCTCGCGACCCCCGATCGGCCAAGCCGCAGCTGGAAATCCCCGGCCATCTCATTTTTTTCCTTTGGATCAATCCATATGGTCGCTTACAGTGACATCCCTATCTTCCGGCCTCCACAAGGTGGATCGTGAAGGGATTTATACCTCGTGGTCCCTATAGATGTTACCTAATTGATTCCTTCCCCATACCAAACTCGGGCCGCACGTTCAATCTCCCCTCAAGGCTTGGCTTTCCCCAGTCAGCTTATTCTGGTCTAAGTTTTCTATTTCTCGGTCTCGAGCGGGGCGAGGGCTTATCTCTATCCTCGGGGCATTCTTCCATTCTGATTTCTTGGCTTGCGGAGAGGCGCAGGGAGCTCACACTTGGTATACCACCCCCGGGCCCTTTTTAGAGGCGCTGATCACCTGTCATCTTTCGTATTTCTCTTCCCTTTTTTTCGTTTGCCTCTATTTTCTACTTCTCTTAAGATCTTTCCTTTCCCCCGGTTCTTTCCTCCAGACACGTCGGATCTGGTTCACGCAAACATCGGGGTATTCAAACGCTTGCCTCCTCTACGTTTGCGCCCAACACATGGCGTCGCACGAGGTCAAAAGCGAGGGCTACTCCTCGGAGGCCCAAGTTAAACACGAGTACAGTGGCGATGAAGTTGGCAGAGTCGAGGAAGGTGGTCTTTCCGATCCCAACCATGTTGACCTGCACCGCGCCCTCAAGGCGCGACACATCACTATGATTGGTACGTGAAGCATTGTCCCTGCGGACTCGATGAGAATCTTAACTGACGCGGTGCAGCCATTGGTGGTGCAATTGGAACTGGTCTGATTATCGGTACTGGAGATGCTCTTGCAAAGTAAGTCATGGACAATTTTCCTCCCATTCTCGACTACTTGAAGCTAACCTCGGCCTTTTTCTCTACAGGGCTGGCGTGAGTCGTTCCTTAACTTCTTGAAATTTGTTCTCATCTAACCTTCACAGCCGGGTTCAATCCTGATCGCCTACGCTTGGGTGGGTTTCATCGTGTACTTGGTTATGTGTGCTCTTGGAGAGATGGCCGCGTGGCTTCCTCTTCCCTCTGGTTTTACTGGTTACGCCGTGCGATTCTGCGATCCCGCGCTCGGATTCACTCTTGGTTGGACGTGCGTACAATTCCTGATCTTGAGCCTATCACGGTTGCATGCTAACGTGGAAGGTGCACAGATACTGGTTTAAATACATTATTCTATCGCCAAATCAGTTAACGGCAGGCGCCCTCGTCATATCTTACTGGCTTCCACAAGACAGAGTCAATGCAGGAGTCTGGATCACTGTATTGTTGATCGCGATTGTATGCATCAACTACTTCGGTGTGCGCTTCTTCGGTGAATTCGAATTCTGGCTGTCCTCGTTCAAGGTTATCGTCATCCTGGGTATCATCCTGCTCTCGTTCATCCTCATGCTGGGTGGTGGTCCCGACCACGACCGCAAGGGTTTCCGCTACTGGAAGAGTCCCGGTGCTTTCAACCACTACATCATGGAAGGCGATGCTGGTCGCTTCCTCGCGTTCTGGTCGACCATGGTCTCGGCCACCTTCGCCTACCTGGGCACTGAACTGGTCGGTGTTACAGTCGGTGAGGCGCAGAACCCGCGTCGCGCCATCCCTCGTGCGATCAAGTTGACTTTCTGGCGTATCCTGGTCTTCTATATTCTCTCCGTTCTTTTGGTCGGTACCCTGGTGCCATACAACGACAAGAAGCTTCCCTACAACAACTCCAAGTTCGCCAAGTCGAGCAGCTCCGCTGCTGCCTCGCCCTTTGTTGTTGCTATTGAGAACTCCGGAATCCCCGTGTTGTCCCACATCATCAACGCTTGCATTCTGCTGTTCGTCTTCTCCGCCGCCAACTCTGATCTATACATCGCAACCCGTACCATCTACGGTCTCGCTCGCGAGGGCAAGGCGCCCAAGATCTTCGCCCGTACCGACCGTCGCGGTGTCCCCGTCTATGCGCTGGCCATCTGCTCTTCCATCGCTCTCATCGCCTACATGAATGTTTCCAGCGACTCCCAGACCGTGTTCAAGTACTTCGTCAACTTGGTCACCATCTTCGGTCTCCTGACCTGGGTCTCCATCCTGGTCACCCACATCTACTTCGTGCGCGCCCGCCGGGCTCAGAACGTCCCAGACTCTGACCTGGCCTACGTCGCACCCTTCGGCATTGTCGGCTCCTACGTCGCCCTGGCCTTCTGCATCCTCATCGTTTTCACCAAGAACTACGACGTCTTCACACACAGCAAGAAATGGGGCAACTTCGACTACAAGAATTTCATCACCGCCTACCTGGGTATCCCTCTTTATCTGATTTTGATCTTCGGATACAAGTTCGTTACCAAGTGCAAGGGTGTGAAGCCCGAGGAGGCCGATCTGTGGACTGGCAAGGAACAGATCGACCGTGAGGAGGCTGCATTTATTGCGCAGCACGAGGCCCAGATGGAGAAGAATGCGGGCTCACACTGGTTCTACCGTAAGTTTGTGTCTTGGCTGTTCTAATTGGATCTCACATTTGGATGTGGGCGGCGCGTTTTTTTGGGTTATGCGCTTTGCGTTTATGGTCTCTCTTATGACTCGGTAAATTTTTAGCCGTTTTGTTTTTGGTGGTAGACTATGAATTTACGAGATATGAGTTTAGCAAATCATTATCGAATGTTACTTTTTCTCAAATATACTGTATTCAACTTCATCTTCCACTGCCGGGCTGGAAGCAATCCGGATATCTATCAGCGAATGCTACTGACAGTGAACCAAGCTATTCTTGTAACTTTGCAATTACAGTAGGGACTCCAAATCTCTCCCTCCCACATAAATGACCAATCAGCGATAATGCGCCCGGTTCCTAGACCCTACCAAGGGCATCACATCCGCAAGGCGTGACTTCAAAAAGTAACCAATAACAGTAGTCCCACGCGGGAAGAACTACTAGATCCTATCAGTTATTTTTTAGGCGCCTATCACCCGCATTAGCTAGCCTACCCTTCGCTGGTTATCAGTGCCACCGAGTGGGACCTTTTCCGCATCGGGTAGGTTAAATGAGTACGTAGAGATAAGGTTGTGCGGGGTAAACGAGTATTCGTGGCCGCGCCTTGCTTTTGCTTTTTAACACCAATCAAATATCTTACTTATCATGCTAAGATGGGCATTTCTAAATGTGTCGTGAGTCATTTGATATTGATAGCTCGGGCCGGTCACTCCATATATCCTGACCTTGAGCGTGATATTTAAGGGGACACCATCCCCAAGTCTACCATGTTCCTTGAAGAAAAGCGCATTCTCGCTGAAGTAGCAACAAATTAATCTACCGGTGATCTTATTTCTCTCTTCAAATTAACTCTTTCTTTCATGACGATGACAACTATGACCACGGCATCTCTTGTACAATGGCCCGGATGGCCGACGATACTCTGTTTCAGCGTGTTTTCAAGTTTGATCCTGCTGTTCACTTCAACGAAAAGACGTCAGCGCTCGATTTTCCCGCCTGCAGTTACGAGCAAAGATGTCGAGCCGGATTGTTACCCACCAGTTGAAGCCCTCCCAGATTTTCACTGGCAGACTCAAGAGCCAGTAAAGATTCGACCTTTCAAGCCAAAATACAACTTGACCATGAGTACGTGGATGATCGCGATCCAACAGGAACACGCTTCTGACTTGTCCTTTTACAGGCATCCAGGAAGCCAATGTCAGCGAGCTGATTGAGATGGACAAGAACTATCTCGAGCGCATCACACTACGAAAGAAGATCATGGCAGAGCATACCGAGACCGTCCTCGGTGCTGCAGATGGTGTCAAGGCAGCCGTAGACGAATTCTACATTTGGCTTGTCGGAACATATCTGCCAGCTCGATATCCTACCATGTTCACATTGTATCCAGCGACGGATGGGAAGCAAGAATATCTGCACAATCTGGTCACAGACGAGCAATACCCCATTCTCCCACACTCTGATCCGAAAGATACGCTTCGTTCCATGGGTGGACTAATTGACGACGACCTTCTCTTTCTACTACCATCGGAGGACGGCGATAGCGTCAAGCTCAAGGGCTTTGTAACCTGTTGTCCGAACGGCTTCAACACGGCGCAGAAGCTAAACCTTAAGCTTCGAGATATCCATACCCCAGTTCCTCAATACAAGGAGAGGTTGGAGAAGAGCATGGACCGATTTTTCGATAGAATCAAAGTCGGCAAGTTTGTTAAGCGTGCAAATGTATGTCGTTCACAAAACTGGAGGGGTGGTTCAGACCAGCTAATTGATGCTTGCCAGTGGACCATTCAAAATACCGACCGATTATTCAGGGCAACTGGGAATCATGGGTATGAGGGGGAAGAAACCACTAAAGAAGATCTAGACCTCGATATTGTAAGATCTCCCCTCAATTAATTCTGATCTTTGTCTAACCATCCCAGGCCCGAGTCCGCGTCGAAAGGCAATTCCTCCATCGTCTCCCTCAGACTCGAGCGCTCCTCTTTTCGTTCAAAACACTGCTATACCCACTTTCAGAAATCAAGGAAGAGGGGCTCGGCGAAACTCTTGCAGAGGCTATAGATGGTCTGGGAGGAGGCAACGCACCTGGTTTCCATTTCTATAAGCGGGCTGCGGTTTGGGGAGAGTCTGCCAAAGCATATCTTCGAAGTTGAGATTCGCATGTGGTTTACTGACCAATGTCAGCCACACGCGTGTCATACATTAAGAACTTGAATTTTCTAAACATTTCCACGAAAGCTGTGATTCGAGACATGTAATTACCGGCTAAATACTCGCTTTAACCGTTCAACATAATGAGCAAGTATTGCTTTTCTTTACAATTTCGACCGGGAATTTCTGGGGTAGATATGTAGTGGATACAGTGTCCACCCGGCTGTCCACTTCAGCATCACAATGTCCACCTTACAAATCTAGCGGGATCTTTACACGACTTCTGGAGATCCTTATGGTCCGCTAGATCGGAAAATCCGAACCCGAGTCTGGACTCCCGCAGAATTAGGTTACCAAATCTGGCTTAACACGCAGCACGTAGTTACCTAGTTTAGATAGGGCGACGTAGATAATTACAAGACGACTTTCCATCCACCTCATCACCTTAGAACTTTGGACTTGACTCGCATGAAGCTTCACCTCCCAGGATTACAATGTATTTATTGGAGAAAGTACGATTTAAGATACAGAAACCCCTTCTAGCTGCACAACACTATCACTTACGGCATGACTTGTCGTGTTCGCAAAGATCCCAAACAAAGTCCCATTAAAATCACACGCCGTCATTTCCAGTGCATCAACAGATCCAAGTAAAACCCATCCTGTCTCATCCTCCATTCGAATGGAAAACTCATACGCCAAAGTAGTCGCAGAAATCCGCATGTGGACCTTTTGACTCGTTATCGCAATTTCTGAGATCACCTTTGGTTCTCCTTTCAATTTGAAGCATGCCTCTAGCGTGACTTTCCCTGTGTTGCTATCGTAGCAGATATCGACGTGGCGAACATCTTCCTTGTAAAGCATCAATCCAGCCCTCGTATTTGGACTAGTAGGGACGTGGAGAGCTGCGGTTGCGGTGCAGCAAGAGGATCTTTGCCGTTTTCCGACGAAAGTTGTTGTTCCATGTGTTGCTGTTAGGTCTCGCATAGATGGATTCAGTGCAACCACGCTGCCATCATCCGAAAACTTGTAGTGGTCCAGGTTCGCATCTCGGATGTAGACATCATCAACTCGCTCTATGGGCGTGGGAATAGGCTCCTTCTCGGGGAGGCCGCACCGCTCAAACTGCATCTTAGCCCGACCAAATATCGGCCATTCCCCAGTAGGCCATTCCACAGGGATTAAAAATGTCTCTCGTCCGATCGGTGTTCGACCACCAGTCTCGTTCCTCACCCCTAAAGCGACAGCCCACCAAGCCCCAGAGCCATCCTGAAACAAATCAGCATGCCCAACATTCTGGACATACTCATCCGTGCCTGACGCGGTAAGCACTGGATTATTCTCATAAACCTCAAAAGGACCCCAGACATCTCTAGAACGCGCCATGACAACCTGGTGATTCTCAAAGGTCCCACCATCCGCAGCTAGAAGGTAATAAAATCCATCTTTCTGGTACATATGTGGTCCCTCGATATCACTTTTCCCATCGTTGCTAGTCTCAGCACCCTTCCAGATAACCCTGATTTCAGAAAGTCTCTTCCCAGACGTGATGTCGATCTCGAATTGCCGGATTGAACAGTTTCGATCAGCCAAAGCTCCCTCTCTCCATGATGCTTGGACATAAACTTTGCCGGTAGTGTCGTCGAATAATAAACTGGGGTCGATACCATCGTACTCAAACCAGACCGGGTCACTCCACTCATTAGCCCAGATGTTTGTGGATGTAATGATGAAATTGTCGGTGCGAAGATCTCCACCCTCTTTGCGCGAGGCGTTCGTGCATATTATGTAGAATACGTCGTTATGCCACCGAATAGTCGGCGCGAAGAGACCGAGTGTAGCAACGAGGTTCTTGTTGGGACCAATTGGGAATGCATCTGTCGTCGCGTTGGATAGGTCAAGTTGACTTGTCTTGTTGATTGCATTTCCTTTCTGGGCATTAGCAATGGTTGGCCATTGGAGTTGGGTGTACTGCTCAAGCAAACGCACCAATATGTGTCCAAGAAATGAGGTCCCTTGAGGCATAGATTGGAAGGCCGGGGAAGATATGAAATGAGGAGTTGACAATGAAATAAGTGTCCTTGACGAAGACGATGGATGGGTCTGGTGCGAATCCAGGAATGATGGGGTTTCTGTATACTGTGGACATGGCGTGATTTGTTATTTATGATGTTAAGGAGTCAGAGAAATTTCATGAATATATTCCCCTCCGATGGCTTATATATAGGTCAGGCTTCAGCGTTTGGAGTGAGGGGGTTTGGGGTAGTAGTGGTGGAGAAAAGGTAGGTGGCTTCGGATATCCCGTTCCTAGGAGTGGACATTAAAGCTAAACTTCAGAAATGAGTTGTCGGAAATTATTGAGAACCGAGAACTCCGAAGGGATTCTGCAAGGCTCAATATAATCATTTTGCCTGAATGCTAGTTGGAATGATGATCGTGGTATCCACTGACGAGAGTGGACAGTGGACAATGTGGATCAAGTGGACGTAGTGGACGTGATGAACAGAGTGGACAGGCCTGGAGACTAACCTAAATAGGGAATATCGGGGCCTGGTACAGGTTATTCATGATCCTATTTTCTATTTCGCATCTACTGATTTCTGAAATGGTTCAAAATAATCACATTTTGGTTCATGTCTCGTCATATCCAATGCCTAGATCGCATCAAACCGACATACATCCCTAGAAGAAAACCCAATATGTACAAATCAGAAAAAAAGTATCCTTATCAAAGATCCCCCAAAACGCCCGACATAAATACATGCAGATCAATCATCTCAAATTTCACAGGGGTAGATGAAATCATCTACTTCTTCGACAACGGCTTCTGTTCGAAATTGAACGGAGGCTTGAAAGCTGGAATCTCGTCATCGTCATGTTCGACAATCCTCTCGCCCCAGACGAATCGACCGAATGTCAACACCGCGTGGAAAATTTCCTTGCCGGTGGGGACGATATGCTCGGGCGGGAGCAAGAAGCCGTAGCTACCGCGGTCTCGCAGCTTGATCTGGAATGAGTATGTAGCGTGCAGCTTGTGGTAGAACCAGTCGAGGGCACTGCCTCCAGAGCTGATATTGGCGGCTTCGCCGTTTGGCAGGATACCCTCACAAGCGGATGTCACATCGTAGGATTCGTGGGTGGACTGGCGAATGGCCTTGGCCAGACCGAGGCCCAGTTCCTCGAGGCTTTCCAGCGTCGGAGGGACGGAGGCGCAGCTATATGAGTAGGGATACAGGATCTGCTGGGAGTACGAGTGAAGATCCAAAAAGCCTACGATATCGGCGCGGCCGCTATCGGTCTCGTTCTGCGCCCACTGGGCCAGCCGGTGGGACTCGAGGGCCTCGAAGGGCTCTGAACCTGCGTAGTTTTCAGAGCAAGGGTTCGACCGAGTGGACTCACCGTCCCATTCAAAGTCCCAAGCTCGGTCGAGGTCGACTCCCCGGCATAAAGGCAGACCGGTAGATTGTCGGTTCTTGCGCCAGAGACGATCCGACTCCCACGAGTAGACGTAGCCATCCGGGTTGAGGGTTGGGATCAAGACCCATTCATACTCATGCAGGAGACGTGTCACCTCGGCTGAATGGCCATACTGGGTGATGAGGCTGTATGCGACGTAGGTAACCGTGGAGGTACTGATCCACTCTCGTGCGTGGGAACCGCCCACTACGACGATAGTCTTGCGCGGGCCGGTCGGCTCCAACGCAGAACGTGTGGTCCCAACCCGCAGAGCATGAATATCGCGTCCCTCGTAGGATAGTCCGATACTGGTGAATTGGGTATGTGTGGGGAACATTGATGCCATCAGTCGCATCCATTGCACGACAACGGATAGCGGCTGATAGTCAAGGAAAAAGACGTCGCCGACCGGTGCGGTGGCAGTCCGCCTGCTCCCGGATCTGAAATCGGGTTCCGTATCGGACGAATGGTGCAGGTGTCTTGGGTAAGTATTGTAGATCATATCGACAAGGTCGTCCATGAGGGGGGTATGGTTTGAGCGGAGGGAAGGGGGCAGCAGGTCGAGGAGAGAAGGAATCTAGTCCAAAGGGTTAGGCTAAGGATACGAATGACGAAGTGTTAAGGCGATCGAGGGCCATTGTACATACCATATCTTCCGCAAGTCGAATATCTACATATTGCGCGGTAATGGCCCAGACATCAAGCACCAATACCCTCGAGGCCGAGGCTAACGCCTCCGCATCGTCGGGATGACGCAGATGAAAACGGACAACGACATCGCTGCCATAGCGATCGCGCACGTTGGAGGGAATACCGGTGTGCTTGGGACACGTCCGGGGCAGACCCCAGACTGATTCAATCAGCCAGTCACGCAGGCGAGTCCATGGACGGCGCGGGTCGGAGGGCTGGTCGAGAAGGTTGATCGGCTGGAGTGGCGGCGGAGCACCGGGAGCAATGCTGGAACCTGCGGGGACTGCCAAGATGGGTGGGCAGAGGGCCGAGAGGAGCAGAACGGAGGGAAGGACACGCATCGTGGCGTGGAGGAGGTAGAGGGCGATGCCAGTCGAGGGTGGGGGGTGGTGACAAAAAAAGATCAAGAGAAATGGAGGGACGAAGTGGAGTGGAGAGGTGTCAGACTGTCAGCCGGGAACAGTGCGGAGAAGGCGGGAACGATAAGCTAATGGTTGATTGACACCAGTCGGAGCAAGTGTATAGGTCATAGTAGGATGAATAGGACAATGTAGAAAAGTATACCGACTGTTTGGAAGTTCTGACAAAATAATAGAGAATTGAAGTTCATGAGCTGTGAGCTGTTAGCTCTTAGGCAGGCGAATAACGGGAGGGGCTTGGTGGAGAGTGGCTAAAGGCATGAGTACGAATAGGGTTTGTAGGCAATACGTCAGTGGCCAAGGAGAGAATGGGGCGAACCTGAAAGTTGATAGAGCTAGAAGTTTAGGATAGTAAATGGTAAAGCATGTTGCCTGGGATGTATCAGATAAACTTTAAAGAAGCAAAAAGATCTAGACGATAAGGTATCCGAGGGAATTGGTTTACAGAGAGTGGTGCACGGATATATATATAGATGATCAGGATGACCGAGACAGTTCAATTAGTGATTAGGTATATCCATAATTCCATGGCATAGAATGTCTTTATAGAGTTAGAAACTACGTTCTTCTAACCTGTAATTTAACCTAAGATCTGGCAAGTTGCTACTACCTTCTAGTATACTTAGTATACTTGGGTACCTTCTGCGCGAACATGTTCGGCTTGGAAGTGTTCTAGAAGCATCACCTTAAACCAATTAAGTGTAGACCCGGAAGGGCCGGACTGGTGTAGTTCAATTGAAAGTGTATACTTCGTATGCATTGCATTATTGACTCGAGATTGATTTATAGGTGAACATGGAACAAACACCGCCATTGTTTAACATTGAGTATATCGAACATTCTATAATTATCGCACTCTTCAGTCTAGACCGCAGAATATCGGCAGAAGATCCCCACTCCTCCGGCCACGCCGCAGTCTAGAATGTTTAGAGTCGTCTTTGCTCCATCGAGTCTCGAATTAACTCAAACTTGAGTTGTCGTAATTGTACTATGATCCTAGTGGGTTATTTTGTACTATTATTATATTCGAGGAATAGTAGTACTAGTATGGAGAAGTGTCGCAGAAGTGGACGATCCAAGATGCTATCAATAGCATCGATCCACATGAATTATAGTATATCGACATGTTCTATTTCTCTACAAAGTACCAATTGTCCTAGTAATATAGTACCAACTCTCCTAGTATCTCGTCTAATAAACCGGTTCTCTTATAGCCGCGCTCAGGGCGCCTACTACCCCGAAACTCGTCTGCCTTAAACCCCTCCCCCTCCTCCTCTCCAAATAATCCCTCCTCCACGTCAAATCGGACTCGATATTCTCCTCCAGAACCAAATCCACTCCGATCCCAGTACGATCGTGGCGTGCAGGTGCTTACAAGATCCGTAATTCTTCAAAAACTTTGCGGAGTTCCCCAAGCACCGCCCCTCCCTTTTTCCCAACTTTCCCGCGTTCCCCTTTTTTTTTTCTCGAGCTGACGACGGGCTCACTCCACCTCCGATTCCCGCGTTCTGGAACACTCCACGTCGCCATGCTCTGAGTTCGTCCATCCCTCGACAATCTTATCCCCCTCGTTTTTTCAACCAACCTTCTACGTTCTACCAGCTGGGCTTTCTCAAACGGGCCACGCATGGGTCGGAACACCTCGGTTTTTCGCAGCCATGCATTGGAAAGGCCTGCGACTCGTTGCCGATGGGAGCTCCAAGCGCCAAAGTACCATTGAATCCCAACCCCAGGCTCGTCGCAGCGAACACCTTCCACGTCCCTTGGCCCCCATCAACGAACCTAGATACTCCGAATCGACCCCTCGTTTCTCGGACCTGGTTGATTCACGGGATATTAATGCGGACGGCGATGGGACGGCGCCACGATTGCAAGTCCCCGGTGAGAGGGGGCCAGAAGCTGGGGTCGCGCGGGCGGATTTCGCTGCAGGCCCCTCGACAGGGGATACCCCTAGCTTGAGGAGGAATCGATTCAGCTTCATGAGACTGCGTCACGCCTCGGATCCACAGCTTTCCAAGTCTTATGCAAAGGCAGAGGATGCTCCCCCGGTGCCTTCGCTCCCGCGTAAGTACAACACCTCCCCTGTCGCTCGACATGTTCACGACGAGTTTCTACATGCTGGACCGCTGGTAGCGACTTAGGCTTGCGATCGCAGAAGGATACAGGAGAAAGTGGTGTAATTGAGGGCCTGATTGCTGACATACTCTGAAGCTCCCAAGATCATCACCACCGCCCCGACTAGCCACGAACTCGACCAGCCTGTTAAACAGCGGCATAAGCTCAGACTTCGTCCGTCCTCTCGCAAGCACTCTATGGATGAACTATCCCGAAGTTCAGGAGACTATTCGCGCAAATCGGAACGAAAGCATCAGGGATCGACCGACTCCCATATCGCTGACTCGAGTCTCTCGACCTATCAGACATCAGCCCCGGAGGAGCCAGGGAGACTCTCTACCACGTCCATACGAAGCGGAGGTCGAGATCAGACGTTCAACGACTCCCAGCAATCGTCAGTGTCAGCCACGGATACGCGCTTCTCAGAATCCTCCCGGTCAGATCAGAGCTATGGAGACCAGACCTTCCGAACAAACTCCCCTCGCGATGGCCAAGGCTCGGCCAACAAGCGATTCCGCATGCCCCGATTGAAGCGACACCGTAGCCCCTTGTTCCCACTACCTCCGAAGCTCCCACCAACATCCAACAATTTCCCCCCGGCCGAAACAGCGAAATCCGATACCTCAGATCATGATCAGATTTCACCACTCCCGTCTCCACAACGGTCATCGGTTGGCCTGGCTGGTCCCAGCGCACCACCACTTCTCCGGAATAACTCGACAAACTCGGCTCGGTCCATTCGATCAAATCCCTCCCACAAGGGCCGCGGCAGGTCCTCCACAATGGGTTCGCTTGCTGAGAACAACGTGGATGAAACATCGCCAGTTCCGTATTTGGCATCGTCTGGACGGACATCCACTTCCACCAGTGGCCGAAAGAGCTTCGGCGACATCTTCAGCATCTCTCAGCGATTGAGACAGAACTCCGAGCCGCCGATTCCTCGCAACGGCTCCCCCGGAATTGGTGGAGCAGCGACCCCTATCAAGGCGGATCTTCCGCCAATCCCTGCCCGCGAAGAAGGAGAGACGCCAGCCGCATACCTGACCAAGCTGGAGGAGAGTCTACCGCGCGGCATGATTGGAGGTATTCTGGCTCAGTCGGACGACGAATTCTACAAGGTTGGACTGCGAAAGTACATGCGGTCATTCTCGTACTTTGGCGATCCAATCGACATGGCTATTCGGAAGCTTTTGATGGAGGTGGAATTGCCCAAGGAAACTCAGCAGATTGATCGATTCCTGCAAGCGTTTGCGGACCGCTATCACGAATGCAACCCCGGGATCTTTGCTTCAACCGATCAAGCTTACTTCATCGCATTCTCCATTCTCATTTTGCACACCGACGTTTTCAACAAGAACAACAAGCGTAAGATGCAGAAACCTGATTATGTCAAGAATTGCCGAGGAGAGGGTATTGCAGAGGATATCCTCGAATGCTTCTACGAGAATATCTCATACACCCCCTTTATCCACGTTGAGGATGCAAACCTTCGCGATCGTCATCTTGCGAAACCCCGGCGAGCATTGTTCAAAAGCACCAGTTCTGACCATTTGCCACTGATGGCGAGGGAACCTGTAGATCCATACACACTCATCATGGATAACAAGCTCGGAACCCTGAAACCCAGTCTGAAGGATGTGATGGATCTCGAAGACACTTACAACCATGTCGGAACCAGCGGTACGCCTGATATGGACGATCTTCACCAAGCTTTTACCAAGTCTGGCATCTTGCAGATCATTTCTCTCCGCTCGAGGCCCGATGCGTTCATGCAGGCAAGCCTTGATAATCCAGCTGACTCACACCCGGGTCTGGTGGATATCAAGGTGGCCAAGGTTGGGTTGCTCTGGCGGAAGGATCCTAAGAAGAAGCGAGCACGATCGCCCTGGGCCGAATGGGGCGCGGTTTTGACATTCTCCCAACTTTACTTCTTCCGAAACGTGACTTGGGTGCGGACGTTGATGGCTCAACACGATGCGTACGTGAGGAATGGTCGCAAAGGCACTCTTGTTTTCCGGCCTCCTCTGGCTGAATTCAAACCGGATGGTATCATGTCTACGAACGATGCCGTAGCCCTGCTCGACGACAGCTACAAGAAGCACAAGCACGCTTTCTCGTTCGTTCGGCCCAATGCCTTGGAAGAAGTCTTCTTAGCAACCTCCGAGCCTGAGATGAATGACTGGATTGCCAAGCTCAATTACGCAGCCGCCTTCCGTACCACGGGTGTTCGTACTAAGGGTATGATCGCTACAAATTACGAGGGCCAACGGTACCGCAGGAGCCAGCGTGTAGGATCTGTCTCGTCGCTCGGCTCAAACCGGTCAGGGGATAGAGAACCCGAATCGCCTAGCATTGACAATGATATCGTGGCCGAGTTTGTCGCAGCTCGTCGACAACTGATGAGCCAAAAGATCCGTGACACCAACGAGAAGCTGTTCGTTACTCAGAAACAGCTGGAAGATCTTTTGCGAAACGCTCGGCATCTGCAAGTATTGACCCCCGTCACTCCCCGCGCTCGTGAGAATGTCATCATGGCAGCAGCCCGTATGGCTGCAAAGCTCAAGTGGGTTCGGCAGGACATCTGGCGCAACAAGTGCTACCGTGAAGTTCTTCTTCGGGATCTCGGGGAGGAGGAGACCGCGACGGATGAGCGGACAGGGTCTGTGGCCGGACCAACGGTATCAACCGTGACTGAACCTGCCCGGGTGGCTTCCGTTTCTGGGCCATCTATCGCCTCTGAACCCAGCATTCGCGGTGCACCCAGCATTGGGCACGCGACATCGAGCCACGATATCCCTGAAGAACCTGCCGTGTCGACCCCCGTCGAGAAACCTTGCATTGATACCGGTTTTCTGAGTGAGCCCTCGGACGAGGAGATGCGACGACCCAGTATTCAAACTTCCACCACCTCATCCGACGTTGGTCGAGTTGGGCGGCCCCTCTCCATTGCCATCGTGTCCGAAGGCCGGTCTGACAGTGCCTCGCACCTCGAACGGGAAGCCTCGGTACTCAGCCGTGGGAGCAAGTTCGATGGTGCCAGTCTCGGATCTCGGGCCTCCAAAATTACTTCCCCCGTTAGCTACGATGATAGTGAAGAGCGTCTGCTAAGAGAGACTGGTCTACTTGACCTCGGTGGCTCGCCCCCGCCACGCAAGCCTTCAGCTACCGTACCGGAAGATGAATCGGAGAGCAAGCCCGAGGAGTCTTCCGAAGTCTCTCAGAGTGACAACAACAGGCCCAGCCGTGTCCGCCGCAGCCTTCACCGAACTCTTCGCGAGCCACACCATGTTCACCGACATCACTCGCGCCATAAGAAGAATCGGGATTCCGTATCGAGCCTGAATGGTCCCGAGGACGATGGAAGTGAGAGCAGTGGACTTGCCCGCAAGACACCCAGCTTCACCGTGCATGGCAAGAAAGCTTCCATCATTACCTTTGGCTCAGAGTGGCAGAACATGCCTCCAGAAGAGCGTCTTAAACTGCGCAAGCCTACTCCTCATGAAGAGCCACGCGCTTCGGATCCCGTCATTGCCGGCAGTGGGGAATCGGTGACTTCGGATAATCTGCCGGCTGACCATCGTCACTCATACATGAGTGTCAGCACGACTACGGGACTCAGCCTGCGCAGCGATGATGAAACGATCGATTTCTTTAAGGATGCCCAGGAGACGTTTACCCCAGACTCTCCTAAGCGTCCGGTATCGCAGGCCCCCGGCCAAGAGCTGGAACAACCCCTCGCACCCGACCAACCTGCACCAGAGCTGGAGAACAAACTCCCATCAACCTCTGGCACTGGGACCGGGTCTGTCATCTATGGCAACCACCTGACTGCACCTGGAGAAACCACATCACCGTCGTCTACCTCCCTCAATGAACGAGTGGTCGATACCCCGTCCTCTGAGAATCTCCGACAACAAGCTGTCGGTGCATGAGCCTACCTCCTGACAATTCTTCAACCTATTCACCTATCCTCCCGTTCTCTTTCTCTCTCTCTCTCTCTCTCTCTCTCTCTCTCTCTCTCTCTCTCTCTCTCTTCTCTCTCTCTCTCTCTCTCTCTCTCTCTCTCCACCGCCTCTGCATCACTGTATAGCTCTACTCAATTTCCTTTCCCTGGATCTGCTCCTGTTGTTTACATTACGACTATTATACCCCGATTCAATTTCAATTCTTATCTTGCACAAGTGGTTCTTTCTTCCTTTCATCATGTTCCCTTATTTCATCCTCGGACTTTGTCTCCATTCTGCACTGCAATTGCATAACAACAGCATTGAACCCGTGCATCCAGCTCGGCTCGTACCTGCATTCCACTGCGTCTTTGTCGGTCCACTCTAGTCCATGTTTCTTTCTTTTTTTCTACCTGCTGGGGGTCTGATTTCGGTTTGGGTTCTGGGTCTTGGATGGATTGCATATTGGGGTGATGTTCGTGTCTTCTCTCTTTTTGGACACCCTTTTCTTGAAACCTTTCAATCTGCAGGAATCTGGTCTGGTTTACTTGCAATGGAATGGATGTAACGTAACACTCGTTTCCCTCGGTTTTTCTTATGGGTGAGGATAACGGGGTTAAGCTATGTTAGACAAAAGCATTTATCATTGAATATCTCATACATGAAACTAGTGTTACATCACTTCTACTCCTATGTCTGTATAAAGGCGGTGCTCCCAGCGGTGAATAAAAAAGAAATACTGCCACCCAAAAACACCACAATTACTTCATACTCCAACCCCAACAGCTCTCCCTCCCCGATTTCCCCACCCCCATTCACACCCCGTCCACCATTGTCAAAAATGGCACATTCAAAACGCAACACCTCCCTCCCGCACTTCACATCCTACGAACGCACCCTCCTCCGCTCAACCTGGGGCTCCAAACGCAGCCACATAAGCCGCGACTCCTTCCTGCCCTTCGCCTCATGTCGCCTCTGCCTCCAACCCGCGCGCGCGCCGGTCGTCGCGTGCGCCACGAACGGGGATCTGTTTTGCCGTGAGTGCGCGATTAGCGATCTGCTTGCGCAGAGGCAGGAGATTAAGAGGTTGGAGAGGGAGAGGGAGGAGGCTCGGAGTAGGATTAGGGAGGGGGAGGAGAGGAGGGGGGAGGAGGCGCGGGTTAGGGATTTGAGGGATTTTGAGTTGGTTAGTATGGGGCTTGAGGGGGGGGAAGAAGAGGAAGGTGGAAGGTGAAGAGGTGGAGGGGAAGGTGGTGGAGGGTCATGGTGAGGGTGATGGGAAGAGGAGGAAGGTTTTCGAGTTGGATATGGCGCAGGTTGCGAGGGAGGAGCAGGAGAGGTTGAAGAAGGGGATTAAAAAGGAGAAAGTATGGAAATGGCACTCTCCGCTGTCCAGGCTGGACTTTTCAAGTGTCCGCGAGGATAATGTTTCAAGGTTGTTAACCTGTGCACGCAGGACTCGAGTAAATCAGCACTCCCATCTTTCTGGGTCCCATCTCTCACGCCGTCGACGGATCACGATGAAATCACGGCTAACAAGGCCGTCAAATTAACGCCCATGTGTCCCGGCTCGAATGAGACGCACACGCATAGCTACTCTCTCAAGTCGCTGGTCGATGTACACTTTACCGAAGAGAAGGACTCGGACGGGACGGTCTCGCGCGTGTGTCCTAGCTGCAAGAAGAATCTTAGCAATGGGTTGAAAGCTATGCGTATGTGCCTGACACTTACTAGCGCATTGACATGCCCACGTTGGCGTTGACTTTTTACTGACCATCAACTCTAGTGACGAAACCCTGTGGACATGTGATCTGCTCACCATGCGTTACAAAGTTTATGACTCCACACGACGTTCCAGATCCCCATGCCTCCAAGGAAGAACAGGCGAAGACTGCGGCGCTTCATGGACTGGTGCTGTGTTACGTTTGCGAAACGGATATCACGCCTAATGGGTCCAATGGGGATGCGGGGACGAAGAAGAAGTCTAAGAAGAAGGAGAAGGATGCTATTCTGCCTGGGCTGGTGGAGATTAGCTCGGAGGGTACGGGATTTGCGGGAGGTGGAGGGAATGTTGTTACTAAGAGTGGTGTTGCATTCCAGTGCTGAGAGGAGGAGTACCTGGACAGGCCCACTTAATGGGGAAACGAAGAGAATACAAGTGGTAGACAAAAGCCTTCAATTGCAAGGTTAATGTAAAATATACCGATTGATATCACTCCCCGCGATAGGAGACAAGAAACGCCCGAAACCATGCACGAACAATGTCCTAAATATACAAGGGGCCACTCGGGCCTCAAACAGCCATCTCGATATCTCACACTCCATCCAAACCCCAACAACCTAACTCCCGCATCTAATTGCGCTTCTTAGCATTGTTGAACTCCCGCACAACAATTTCACACTTAATCTCCTGACACAACCGACGGCGACGACTAGGATCCAACTTGGCCGCAAACTCCAAGCCCGACGCCCTCTCAACCGCCTCGAGAGGAACCTCAAAGTCCGAAAGACTCTTCTCATTCGGGATGCGCGCATTCGGCAACACAAACGCACCAAGGGCAACCTTGCTAGTCGGCGAATCGGTACCATACTCCGCATAAATCACCTTATAAAAGTGCGTCGGCACCGCAACGTTAGGCGGGTTCCCGATAACCTCGTAGTTCACACGCCACTTGCCATCGGGATCGCGATGGGGCAGATACAAGGGCCCCGTCACGACGCGAACGGAGGGATACCGCGACGCAAGCTTGCGGCAAAAGTCCTCGAAATGCGCCCAATAGTCGCGGTTGAATCCCTCGCCGACCTGCGGACACATATTGCTCAGGTAGAAGGTATCGTCCATAGCGCCCTGCGACCACTTCGCGTCTGCGGCGGGTACCTGGTGGCCGCGGTCATAGCCGGAGCGGAAGTAATCGGCCAGTTTGGCGCGGAACAGGGCCGGGATGGAAGTATCCTCTGCGAAGGTGCTGTGCTTGCGGTCTGCGTTGTTCTGGGACAGCGATTGCGGGGTGATGTGCTCGGCGACCCAGGATGGGTTGCGGGTGCGACGGTCGTAGGCGCCGTGCAGGGGCAGCGTGGAGAGTTCGTCGGCGATGGGACCGGGGAAACCGTATTGCAGGACGCCGGCTGGGTTGACGGGGCCGGTGGGGGTTTTTGCGGCAAGGGGTGGTGTTGGGATTGTCGTGGGGACTTTGACGGTGCCCGCGATTGAGGGGGAGGGGGGGCTTGGTGCTGGGGTTGGTGCTGTTGGGATTGGGATTGGGATGGCTTCGAGGAGTAGAGGAGGGCAGTTACGCCAGCGCCGGTGGCTGCACTGGCGGCCGCGATGACGGCCAGAGTTGCTTTCGACATGGTTTGTATAGAATCCCTGGTGAGATTTGGGAGGGATGGAGGGATTTGAGAGGAGGTTGGAGGAAGTGCGAGCGAATGTCGCGAGTGTTGTCCTCGGGACCTTTTTTTTCTGTTGGCGCGCGCGAATCACGAGAAAAAGAAGGATAGCGGCCACTTTGCCCAGGATCAGTCAGCCCTGTTTAAGACCGGTCAAAAGTTGGATATAGTATGGGAGATATGTTGGCGGTGACCAGGGCGGTGACCATGCTGTATGTGTTACATAATCAGGTGTCCGATGGCCGTAGTCAAGTGGAAAAGTCACGAGCCAATCAACGAGTCACATGGCCAGCAATGGAGATATACTCGTGAGATGATCAGTAGACAGGAATGTGCATGATAATGAGTCAGTTATTGGTCATTGGGGAGAGTAAGATACGTAGGTCAATAGTCTGCCTCTGACTGGTCAGTCCGAACTGCAGATCAGAGGGTCCGGCTGCTGAGGACCTCGAGATCTCGAATGCCAGAACGGGCGGGCTAAGCATAATTGAGCCAGGTATGAAGTTGTTAGCGTGCCGTTCAATCTTATAGTTAATAAGATAGTTTCATCTCTCCCAACTTTGATGTTTAAGCTGTTAATCTCAGACGTTCTGATCCCCGACTCATGCCGCTGCCCGCATTTTAGGGCTGCGGAGAGAGCGGAGTATGGGAAGAACAATGAGGACCTTGGGTGCAAGAAGGAATGCCCAGCATAGGCGCCTGCAGGTCGAGTGCTAAGAGTGGCAGCATCTCCCTCCCCATCATGGCTCATCCTTTTCATCTTCATTCATCGGGGACGATTAAACAGAATTGTCGTTGGTAAAGAAAAAAGAAGCAACAGGCGAGACTCGACGCTGACCGCCAACTGCCGAGTTTCTTTTTGAACGTCACTGACATCACTGCGGGAGTTTCCCGTTCTCTGCCACCTCCCACTCGCCATGGCTGCCAACGACTTGCGGGGATGGGTGATGAGCGCCGTCTCCGGCGTGGGTGAGTACTACCATGCTCTAGGAATGCTTCAAGTATGAATTTCACTGACTTGACCCTTCTTTTCAGCCTGTGTCCTCGGGTCGGCCGTCATTTGCGCGGACATTGTCTTGCGCCGGGTCACCCATGACAGGAGGTTCCAGATCGCCAACAGTAATAACTTCCTGTCGGCGTCTCTGTGTCTGAGTGCTGGTGTTATGGTGAGTACTCGTCTTTAAATCCTCGTACTGTCCAATTCCCCACCACTCTAACCCTCAAACAGCTTTTTACTTCTCTGTACAGCATGCTGCCAAACTCTAAAGACTACTTGACCCGCGCCGGGTTTTCTCCTTCCGTCTCGGCCTATATCTTGACAGCTTTGTTCATCGCCGGTGTGGTTGTCATTCGCGTCGCATCCGGCTTTCTCCATCGCTTCATCCCATCGCACGTCGTGGACTGCGCCCATACTCATGATGGTCCGGGCGAAGATCCCGAGCGTGGCGAGCAGATGCAGGATTGCAATGATCGCCTAGAGAACCGACATACCAATGGTAGCACGGAGCGAACGCCTCTCTTGCGACCCTCGGGCCAGCAGTCGTCGAAGTCTACGTCTCAAGTGACCCAGGGGACAGACTACTCATCGAGTCCAAGGCGGCGGGAATCTCTACGAGCGGCCATCTCCCGGCGCATCAGCTCTCTCATGGGCGGTGTTAAACCTCTCTGCGATGAGAATGGTCCTTGCTACGGCTTCTCTCAGACCTGCGGACGTGAATGCACCAAAGTCCTTGCCCCGACTATATCCCCGCCACCGACCATGAGTGCGGATGAAATCATTCGGCCCGAGCTAGCGCCACAGCCTCAAAGTATTGAGGTGCAGCTGGACTCGGATCGACGTGAACAGGAACCGAGTATAGACTCTGTCGAGACGGCTACAGATACGGGTTACTTTGAGACGATCTCGGAAGATGTCAATCATTCGATCTCGACTTCTTCCTCTTCTTCACGTACACAGAACGTCTCTTCTGAACATACGAATCATTCTAGTATTATTCACCATGAAAATCACCATCATGACCATGAATCTCATCATCACAAACATCATCACAATGGAGGCCCACCCGCCCCATCGAGATCAGGTTCGGATCCTACTCACCACCACCATGTACCACAAAACGCCTTCCTCTCAATTGGCCTGCAAACTTCCCTCGCGATCGCTCTACACAAACTCCCAGAAGGCTTCATCACCTACGCTACGAACCACGCCAGTCCGACTCTCGGTCTGACGGTCTTCCTAGCCCTCTTCATCCACAACATCGTCGAGGGCTTCGCTATGGCACTACCGTTGTACCTTGCCCTAAACTCCCGCTGGAAGGCCATGTTCTGGTCCAGCCTCCTAGGCGGAATCAGTCAACCTGCCGGCGCCGGCATCGCAGCACTCTGGATCTGGGGCTCCGGGCACACGGGCCACGACTCTACGGGTCCATCGTGGGGTGTATACGGTGGCATGTTCGCCATGACTGCCGGCGTGATGACATCCGTTGCGCTGCAGCTTTTCAGCGAGGGTTTGGGTCTGACACATCACCGTAACATGGGCATTGGATTCGCCGTTGCGGGTATGGGCTTGATGGGATTCAGTTTTGCCTTGACGGCGTAACTCTTGCCTTTGACTTGGGTTTGGGCTTGAATTGAGGTGGCAGGATATACTCTACGAGTATTGATGTTTGTTCTTGCATGAGTGCCGGCGTGAGCTGCATATATGAGAAAAGAAAAGATGAGGGTTGGCGTTTTTGTTTGTTTATACGGTCTGCGTTTTGTCATGTTCGTGGTGTGCCCTGCAGGGGCATGCGGTCAAGGAGTGTATATTCTCATTCGTTACTTATTGTTAGATGGAACTGTATGTCTTCTAGGGCGTACATTGACCACACCCGTGTTCCTCTACATACATACTTTACGTTGATACGCCATTGGACGAATAGCACATTGTTAGAATGACGAAACTTCTTCCATCCATCCTTTCTCGTATTTAGAGATTGCAGTCTATTATTGTATTTGTGGGATCTCATAATACGACCGGTATTCTGAGTTTAGCGGATGTCCCTAGCAGGGATATCCATCGAGCTCGACGAGAGAGTGTTGAATATTGAATGCTCTCTTATTCGGTCTGAATCCCTTCATTTTATTCGTCTGAATCGCATCTCTACGTACCTGATTTCCTATGCTAGTTCTTGGCTTTCAATTCCGTTTTAATGTACTCCCCGCTTTTGTTCACTCCCAAAGTCCATCGATGCGCAGGAAAGTATTATTATTACATTTAATTCACTTATTTCTATCACGACGACTAGTAAAATCTTTGACTCTTCTTTTGGACTGCCCAAATTTGAACGGTGAATATGATGAGAATGGGCTGCTGTGGCTGGAAATTGGGGACCAAAACTCTGAGTTCGGGAACGGTAAGGACATAGTGAGAACTTCTATATCGCGAATTCTTTTTCTTGATTGAAATATACAAAATCCTAATCTAATAGGGCTCATACCCTAGCTGAAGAAGATTTGGGTAGCTAGATTACAACCTAGAGCCGTCTAAGTTCCTCTGAAAGTCGACTATAGGATCGAGTGATAGGCGCTAGGAAACTATCACTATAGTATGGCTGTCGAATGTTTTTCATTTTCTATTGTAAGCCGCTTGAAATTATTGGAGAGGTTACCCCAATTCAAACCAATCATCTAAATGCCCTAGCTCGAACTGCCTTGATGGATTTGACTAAATCCTCTTACTCCAATCGAGTGCCTTGATGCCGAACCCAGTCCTCTTCACCATAACCACGAGTGGCCTCAATATGTCTTTCAAACTCATCTTCTACTTGGATCACCCGATCAAAATGCTGATATGTGAGATTCTCGCCCCTGAATTGGGAAAGTTGCAATGCCGTCCGAACCGTATTTCGGATCTGCCATCCATTCAGTTTAACATTGGCCAAGGTATCCAGCCTGCTCTTCAGATCGTCAATGTCAACATTCAGCTCTGTTTTGGTGAGGCCATTAATAAAATTCAACCAAATTTCGTATCGTCCTTTGGCGTCCAATGCAGGATAATGAACCGCTAACTGGAACCGAGTTTTGAATGCGCCATCGAATGTCCCGATACGGTTGGATGTCAGAATGAGGATACCATCGTATTATTCCAGAACGCGCAGAAAAACAGAGACGAGTGCATTGCGTTGCAGATCCGTCTCGCGACGCTCCTCAAGGAAGACATCGGCCTCGTCAAGTAAAACGACACATCCCCAGATGGTGCCAATGAGAAGAACAGATTCGAGATATTTTTCAACCTCGTCCGCGTTTGTTCCGATATCCCCACAGGTTACACGGTAGAGCGGCTTCCTCGTGAGCTCCGCCACTGATTCTGCTGTCAGGGTCTTCCCAGTTCCTGGGCCACCGTGAAGTAGGATAATGAGAGCATTGCCCTTTCCTTCAATAATGTCGGTGGACTTCGTGGATGTGGCGTGGACCGTAACCAGGGCTTTGATAAGCTCCTTTTTGTGATTTTGCATAACTATTTTGTCGAATGCACCTTCATTCCAATCAATGTTCCTGATGTGTTGAACTAAAAGACTTCCTAAATTATATACCGTATAAGTTCCTGTAATGTATCATGAACATGTAAAAATAGATAACTCACTCCACTTTTTGTCTGTAAAACCGAATCCATAGATTTTATGAGGGAGCAGCATCAAAAAGGAGCCGCTCGGAGGGTCATCTTTGCTGGTTGCCTCGGGACCCAGATCATCCTTCTGGAACGAGGATTCAGCATTTTCATGCATTCGATGATATGTTTTAACATCGACCATATACCGGGGAGTTGCCTGCCATTCAGGGTGTCAGCCGACATTATTTGAACTCAGAACAAAGGTCGACATTGATCACATCTTACCGTGCGCATTTCCAGGGCAGCGTGTGGAGGGTTATAGGCAATAAAACAAGCTTTCCGGCATTGCCAAAACCTTTCCCCTCTAGCCCGCAATCTTTTTTCCACTTCAGGTGGTGCAAACCGTAGTGGAAACATTGATAGGTCGCAGATCGCGATAGGCTTTTCTGTTGATGCAGACTCTGGCCAGATGAGCCGTGTCGTCGTTTCTTCCTTGTAAAATGCACCCTCGAACTCCCAAGACCATAGTTCCAAGTGAACCGAGAATTGTTTCTCGATGGAGATTTTATCAACAAGATACGCACGTAGTTGACCATCCACGGTAGTCACCATGATTTCGTTCGGCCCGCACAGCTTCGCAAGATGCCTTTCTGTGATGAGTCCCTGTGAGAACAACTCATCTGCCTCCTCGTAATCCCGCCCATTCGACCATTTCATATAATCCAAAAGACTATCCAGAAGAATGCGCTGCTCGGAAGTAATAGAAGCCGTATGATTTTCCCTTAAACGACGACGATAGTGGTAAAGAAGATGTGAGAGCATATCGACGCTCCGAGTATCGAATCATTGGGCACGCTAGGGACGAGAGGGACGATAACATAATATACCACCTTTTTCAGAAATTATTGATAGTCACACAACAGATTTTACTAACTAGCCGCACCACAAATTACTTAGGGCACTCTCAATATTAAAAGGACATTTATAAACAAATGATATTGACTGAGCTCGACTGCAGATACAACTTTACAATTTCTCCCCATACATACTCTCATTTTTACAATTCCAAACGCCAAAAGACCAAAAGGTGGGTGACGAACGACAAATTAATCCACCCCTTCTGCCAGAAGACCAGACCAAATGGCTAAAGTGCCTGCACCGAGATTCTTCTTGGTGCACCACTACCATTAGTCAAACCAGCACCACTCGACTCCCGCAAATGATTCTGATGCGCCTGGCCCTGATCATCCAGATCCTCAACATCAATACTAAACCGTCTAGGTTTAGACCAAACTCCAAACTTCTCCCCACCATGCGCATCCCCCACCCCCTCAATCTGCTCCGACTGAAGACCAAAGCGGTCCGTCACCTGCGCCATGAGATCCGCATGGACGGAAGACCTGGTAGAAATCTCGCCACTCTTACCCATTCCAAGGCGAGACTGTGCGCGGCGAAGCAGCTCCATGTGCTGGGACGCAGTATCCGCAGCGCGGGCGTGATTTTTCGCCTCGGAATCACCCATCAAATCGTGCAGGGCACCTTCGTGCAGTGCGGCTGCAGATTTGTGATCGTTCGACGCGGTGAAGAGTCCTGATAAGAGCTTCGTCATTTCGAGAGTGACAGGATCACAAGATCCCCAGACTTGGCGGAGGTTGTAGCAGATATCGCGACATAGCTGGATAGCCGAGTCGACGGAGCCGCGGCAGAAGCGCGTTTCGACGAGGCGACGGCCGATCCAGACGACCACGTCGGGTGTCCAGGTGCGCTGGACGATGCGGGAGGTCCAGAGTTGAGTAAGGATACCTTCTAGATCGTCGAACATCTCGTGTTCGCCAAGCAGGGTTATGATGTCGTTTAACTCGTGGAATGGGAGGTCGACGATTTCGATGCCGATGGCCTTGGATGCGGCCATGAGTTCTTGGAGGAGCATCTTTGCCTTGGAGGACATTTCGGTTTGGAGAGCCTTGTTCTCGCACCTTGTGGCTTGGTGCCCGCTCAGATAGAGACATAGCTTTGTAGCGGTGATGATACTGTCGTAGCTGTTCAGGCCATCTGTGAGATGGAGGAATGAGTGCAACACGCCGGCGGCATCGCTCGCATCCTGGAAACGAGATTGATTGCACAAGTCGCGAACCATTTTGGTGGTCGTATTGAGAATGTTCATGTTATACTTCTCGTTAGGGACCTCCCGCAGACAGACCTTGTAGAACTGCTTAACGACATCCCGATCCGCAATCGAAGTCGCAGACAGCGTGGCGCAGAAGTACTCGTATAACTTATTGCGTGTAGTCATCGCAGCCCGAGTCCGGTTCTGGTCTGTCTGCAGACGAACGAGACGATCGCCAGAGATCAGTGTCGGAATGAAGTCGTGGCCAGATAGGTTCTTTGCAAAGGCTTGCTGGGTCTGCATTTCGCGGGCCATCTCGTCCATGATTTGATCTGAGGTAGCGCGACGACCGAAGGCTTCTTCAAAGGCAGATACGAAGACTGCGTCGCGGCGGTCATGGAGGGCCATTGCGGAAGTCTCCGAGCCGTACACTACGCGTTGGCGGAGCTCATCGAGCACGGCGTTTCCTCCTTCGATGAAGCCGCACTCGAGATAGATGGCGGCGATCTTGCGTGCCCAGTTGGCCATCATGTCAGAGTCGCCGCCGGCATGCAGGCAATCGGTGACGTAAGTGTGGAGGAGAGCGTTGCCCTGTTGGACAGAAGTTGGAGTACCCTGTCGAGAATGGGCGAGGGCAAGCTCGCGAAGCCAGGATAGCGTGGTAGTCGAGAAGTAGCCTTGGGTCTTCTTGCCGAGCTGGAATTCCTCGGTGTACAGTGAGCGAGCTTCACTGGTGGAGTCACGCTTACGAACAAACAGCTGCGCCAGCTTGTGCTTTAGAGTAATCGGGAGGGCTTGGGTCATCTGGTCCAGACCCTTGGAGGACTGGGAGGTTGGCACCCACTCGCTCGTCTGTAGAGGCTGTTTGTATAGTGTGATAGCCTGATCAGTGTACGACTCGTGTGTCTCACACAACTCAGCGAAGAGGAGAGTTGCACTGAGGGTCTTCTGGTGCGTGGGACCATATACATTGCGGCAGGTCGTCACATAGTCAGATGAAACCTTGTATCTCTCAGAGAAGTCGGAGCTCTTCATGTGAGTCGTCAGAATGGTCATGTAGCCAATGTAAGTCTTCTCGAGCAGACGCTCAGTCTGCATACGATCATAAGCATGCATGGTATCTTGCACGACAACAGTAGGCCACAAGTGTCGATAGATGTCCAAAGCCGAGCTCCACTGCATCTCCTTCTCGTAGAGACTGATCAAGGCAAGCGCAGCTTCAATACCCTCCGGCGCAATAGTGTTTCCACGAAGGGTGTTCTTATAGATGCGCTGGTAAGTGCTCTTGGCCTCATTGGTCATCTCCAGACGGTCTGCCAGTGCAGCTTCGAGATACATATTTTCAATAGTATGCTTGTGAGTCTCGCCCAGTCGAGAGGTCAAGAAGTTGCTGACTGTGTGGAGAAGAGTGAGGGCCTTGGTGAACTGGAAGGTCGTTTCATAGAATTCCACGACGGCCTTGGCAACAGCCAGAACTGAAGCGACGGGCACCTTGTCCGAGACGACCAGTGAGCCAAATGCATTCTCATAGACGGTAGTAGCCTGCTCAAGATGCAGTTTTCGGAAGTGACAATAGGCGAGAATCAAAGCTAGGTCAGCGACGGGGGGCGCCAATTCGGTGGTCAACTTCTTGTGAGAACCCGGCCGCTCGACTGAGGGATACACATGCTGCAGAACAGCCTTGGAGCAATCACTTGCTTCGTTCCAATCCTCCTCGCGCAGATAGATACTCGAAAGATTGTGGCAGAGAATCAAAGTGGGGACGGAAATGTTGCTAGGCGACGAGGTGATCGAATCCAAGAGCTCGACCATGAGCTTGCGGTCGCTTCCAGACATCAAAGTAGAGTCCTCGATAGAGACGGAATTAGCCATGCCTTCGGCCAGCGACATTGCCAGGCCTCTGGCTTCGGGTGTGTATTCTTGATGATTCTGTTTGTAATAGCGCCACATGAGGATGGACAGAGAGCGGTCCAGATTGTACATTTGCATCTCACGAGTTTCGGCGCGCAAGAGGTGCACTCGTTGCATCATCTCTGGCGATTGAATGCCGGAGACTTCCAGGTCTGCCACAAGCTCGCGCATGATAACTTCAGCCTCATCACTGCGGCCCTGTCGACGGAGGAATTGGTAATAGACGAGAGCCACGTTGGCCTTCTTGTCCATCATATCAACAGAATCGATATCGCGGGCATTGAGACCTGCCCAGAGACTCGACAGAACTGCCGAGGCCTGGGCATGCTGTCCTTGTTGCTCGTAAAGCTGAGCCATGTACAAGGAGTACTTGATGCGACGTTCGTCCGTGACTTCCATGGTGCGAACAACATTGTCGTACTTGGTTCTCGCAATGTCCCGAGTCATCTCGTCACTGCCAGTGGCCGAGAACTGACTAGTCAGGAAGTCGGCAGCCTCGGAGGATTGTCTCGAGTTGGTGCCGTATTTTTGAAGGATCTGTTGGTAGAACTGCTTCGAAATGAGGAGAGCGGAATTGTCATCGCCACGAGATTTATACATGCCAACGATCATGCCAAGGTACTTCAGGCGCTGGTTGAACTCGACTCCGGTAATTTCAGAGTCTGTCAGGATGAGGTACTTCATGATATCCTCCTGTTGGGCGGTCATGGTGCCTCGCTCGCTGAAAGATTGGGTCATCATCTCCGCGCATGTCAAAGTGATGGGGTCCGACTGGCCCAAAAGCTCTTGGCTGAGTCTCCATGCCTCGTAGCAATGCTCATCAGCATGACTAGCGTGAGCCAGCTTCGAGACACGGGCACTGAGAAGTAAACTCTCAAGAAGTCCCATAGACTTCTCGCCCAGGACGAGACGACGAATGTCTGTTGCGAGACGGTAAAGCTCCACAACACTCGACCGAGTGAACTGAGACTCCTTGCAGGTCAGCTCGAGACGAGCAAAGAGAACAGTCGCCGGTAGCATCTTTTGGAAGCTTGTTGTGAACTGGAACTCGCCTTCATCGGTCACGAGAGGCGACGACAAGAGATGAGAGAGCCAGTAGCGAGCAGTATACTCAAGGATGACATACTTGTCAAAGAGGCGATTGCGTTCTTCCATGCTCAGCTTGTCCATCGATATCTCAGTCTCTTCACGGACGCTCAGTTGCACCCAGCCAAGACACCTCATAAGAAGATCTTGATGAGCTTCCTTGAGATTGAGTGGAGATTTGATGCTAGCGGCTCTAGCCTGGCCGATGACATGATCACGGATGCATGTGTGCGCAAAGGAAACTACACCGTCCCGCGTCATTACCAGAGGACGAAGCGCGCTCGACCACTGCTTTTCAGTGTTGCTCTTGCGCGACATGAAGCTCGGTCCCTGGGAGTTGACGCGCAGAAGCTGCTCAATCTCTTCCACGAGTAAAGGTCTCTCAGATGCAGCTAGCCATGACATGATAGCCACTGCCTCGTGCTGGCTGAGATCAAGGTTCTGCATGTGGAAGTCGAGCAACTCTTTCATGGGCTGCGGCAAGCTTTGGATAGATGAAATGGCCTGTACCAAAGTTCTCTGCTGCTTAGCATACTCGACAGCCATCTCGGCCCAGCTGAATGATCCCTGAGAGCGGTTGACGATAGTAGCCACGGCGGATTGCAGTTGGTCGCTCTTGGTGGTATCGAAGTGCGAGTTTGAGAGCATCTTGGTGACGAATGCAACCAAATCAGTTCGAGTCTGAGTGGTTTGCATCATGAATTGCTCGATATTCGTCGAGTGTGGCTGCGAACTGAGAGGTCTGGTAAAGGCAATCATCTTGGATCCCGCGTTCTGCTCCGTTAGAATCTCGGTGAAGTTGTCCAGAACGCCAATTGCGTCGGCATCTCCACCCTTGATTTGATCGAGTCCGTCGACCACGAACATGTACTGGATGTTGGAAGCCAAGCCGGTGCGAATGCCTCGCCAGAGGCACTCTTCGACTTCAACGTCACTCGCCCCATCCAAGGCACCTTGGGCCGCCTTGGCGACCTGGACGAGAATCGCTTCCTGGGTTTTCTTGTCGCTGACACAATGGTCGAGCATCTGGTGAAGGATACCCTTCAGAATGCGGAGGGTCAAAGTTGCAACGGGGATGTCGGCGCCTATTTCAGTCAGAATGATGCTTTCGAAAATAATTTAGGGTTAATACTCACGTATAGTGTACGGAATAACATTCCAGCTATCGTGTTCGGCTGATTCCTGCAGACGTTCAACGGTCCACTGGGCGAGGGCACTCTTTCCCGATCCTGCACCACCAGTCACCAGCATGACTGGAGACTTGCCAATTGAGAAATCGTATAGAGCACTGTTGAACCACTCAAAGGAACCTTCGGCAAGAGAATGCATGCGAGACTCGAGAATAAACTGAAGAGGACGATCCTGCACGCCGAGGAACTGGCGGAGACTGCCCAGCTCTGGACTCGAGTAGATCAGGGAGCTTTGCTTGACGAGCTTTGACGTGGCGGACTCGACAATTGCGTTCCAATGGTTCGAGTATCGCTTTGCGTAGGTTACAAAGGCTGCATCCACGTTATGTTCGATGAGCTGGGTCGACTCTTTGGCCTTGAACCCTTCAACACAGCTTGTTGTAGTAGTGCAGACCATTTCCAGCAGGTCTGAAAATACGGCGGCGGCTTCGGGCTGGAGATTAGTCGACGTCTTAAAGGCAGACTCATACTGAATCAACAGATAGATGCCAACAGCAACGCGGCCGTATCGACCAAAGACGCTTTCGAAGAGGTCGGTATTGTCCATATCAGACTCCAATAACAAGATCATGAATCCCCAGATCAGTTGGGCTGCTGCATCGGCACCAGGGGTAAAAAGCCCTGTCGACTCACGAAGAGCATCGACTGCATATGCCAGTCGGGAAGCCCATCGAAGACTGCAATCGAGTCTACTACCATCACGAGGCATCCAGCGCAGACGTTCGGCTGCGACAGCGTCGAAGAAAGCGTTGACAGTCGGACTCCGTTGGCTGATTTCGTCAGAAGACACGCCCAACTGGGTCTTACACTTTTGAGAGACGGCTTGAACCTTGTCCTGGAGAACAGTGACCTTGTGGGTACCAGTACTCAGACCTCGGACGGCTCGAGTGGACACTCCACTGGTGTTGGTCGTGGTCGAACTGGCAGCACCCGAGATTCTCCGGCTGGGAGTGTCCTTGCTGAGGCCTTGTTGGCTGACGTCTTCATTAAGGCCGATTCCTCGAGCCCCAGCCATTCCAGATTTACCAGACATGCCAGATTTTCCGGCCATACCGGCCATGCCAGCAGCACCACCTGCCGCTGCAGCTGCACCAGATTTGCCAGATGAGCTGGTAGTCTTGGGAGACTCGCCAGAGCCGCTCATAATAGCATTGCCTCCTCGCACGGTACCTCCATGAAGAGAAAATTCCTTGCTGGCTGTTCCGTTGGGATCCATGGGACCCATGGCAGTCGCGGGTATACCGTCCTTGCTCATGCCACCCTGACCCATAGCGCTCTGGCCCATGCCAGTGTTGGCCATACCAATCTGACCCATACTCTTCTGGTCCATACCGGCGTGGTCCAGGGCTCGCTTCATTCCCAATCCTCCAAGAGCTGCACCAGCACCGGCACCGGCACCGGCACCGGCGCCAGCAATGGTACCTCGGCTAATACCGTGTTTCTCAGTGGACTTAGAAGTCTTAGAGGTTTGCGAATTTGTCTGTACGGTCTTCTCTTTGCCGATGTTGCTCATGGCCGATTTGCCTTGACCAGATGCACGGCGGAAGATGTTACCAAGAGCACCGCCTCCGAAGGCGCCGAAGCCAGCTTTGCTTGCTTGCTTAGAAGATGGTTGTGTTGCTGGCTTTGAGGCTGCTTTGCTGGTATCTGCTCCACCAAAGACATCATCGCCGATGGCTAGTTGATCACGAAGCTCTTGCTGCATCATTTCATCACCACCAATGGTTGCGCCAGCGGCCTTGCCAGTACTGGAGAGACCTTGTCCCATGCCTTGCTGGCCTTGACTAAGACCCTTTTGAGTTGGACTGAGACCTTTTTCGTTCTTGCTGAGTGACGGTTGATCTTTGCTCAGGCCCGGCTGGCTCTGGCCGGTCCCAATGGCGGACGGAGCTGACGGAGCTAACGGAGCTTGATTAAGCGCTTGTTGAGTTTGACTGGTTCCTTGTCGAATCTGAGAGTCACCCATCTGGGTTTGGCCGAGTTCTTTCTTGCTGGTGTCCAACCCTCCATCTTTGCTACCGCTTCCAACTCCGCCAAGACCTGCCTGGCCCGTATCTCTTTGGATGCCCGTCGTGATGGGACCTTTTTTGATATCGTCGTTGAACTCAAGAGGTCCACGGCTGATACTCGGTCTGTACCCTCCAAGTCGTGTGCTGACATTCTCTGCATTTTTCTTGTTGACATTACTACCTGTCAAGCCAATTCCGGCTACGGCTCCTTTCATATCCCCTTCGCTGATGGAATTCTTGGTGTTTTCTCCTTTGGTGGCGATATCCTTGGCACCGCTGAAGTCTCCTTTCATTGCTTGATCTTTGATTTCTTGGCCCTTGTTAAGGGCCTGCTGGCCAATTCCAGTTTCGCCGGCAGTCTCTTTGCTTGAGCTTGCGGTGGCGCCTTCTTTTGCTCCCTCTTTGGAGCCACTGATCGAGAGTCTCTTGCTGAGTTTCTTGGTGAGCCTAGCGCCCAGACTCTGGCCTTGCTGCTCAGCCTCGGTTCTCAATTCGTTGGCAGACATGATGGATGTTTAGCGTTGATAATAAAAGGAATAAATAATAGACAATAAAGTTGTCGTAATTGACAGTCGTGGTAAAATCAGTCGGGTGTGTTCGTAACGGTTAAAATTGAAGTTATCATACAGTCATTGAGCTCAGTTGTTGTAGAATGTAAAATTATTGCGGGGATAGAACAGACTTCGCGACAATTAAAAGAGCAAACCGTCCCTATTCTGTCATTGCATCATGGGCTGGCATTGGCAGTGCTGTGAGGGGAAGGTCATCAATAGGCTGTTTGTTCTTGGAGACATCAACACCACCAATCACATATCGAGCTAAGTCTTGCTTCTGATCTGATTCCAAGGCTGAAAGTGGATTGTAACAAATAGGGAAAGATGATCGCATCGCTCCCAAGACCGAGAGTCATGGAGAGTCAAGTCAATGATGCAGGGAGGCATCCCATGTGGGGAGACGAGGTGGGGACTGGGACCAGGTGATCTCTCTGTATTGCCTTTCAAGCTCTTTACTATGTTAGAATTTTTGATGGCTCTGATCTATTGCATATTCAATTGCGAGCAGTATTCTGCAGCTGGATTGATAAGGTTGTCAATGCCCCAATTCGCCCTCTCAATAGATCTCAATGGCTCGAGTAAACGCCATCAGTAATTTTTAGTACTGTCAACATACTTCCAACAAAACGAATGAAGCCAAAAATACCAATGATGGCTGTAAGAAAGACTCATGGGCTGGAGCTCCAGAAAAAGTATGGGGTAGAGCTATCAGGTTAGGAAACAAAGGACGTTCGTCGCGTGAGAACACCATTAATTCCCAAAGGATTCATTTAGTGACGTAAAGACTTTGTTTGCACCCAAAATGATCAAAAGTAATTGGTACAAGCATAAAAGAACAATCCTGAGATTGTCGATCATGACTGGTGGTCCACTATTTAGTAATTTGGGCGTGTTTATCCCCGTTAATCTTAATTTGCTTAACTGAACTGTGCCGACCCGTGGATACCATAAAAGTGAGGTCATTGCCCCCGCGAACTACCGGTCAACGTCAATCCCGGGGCTCCCGACCGCGAGTTGGATCTTGTAATCTTGGTTTAAAGCTAAGGCCAGGTGGCCATTTATGTCATGACCTTTGTTCAACATGGAACGATGAGAAAAACTATCCGATCACTCATCGATCATTAAATCTTGTGAGATCGGCCATACTTCGGCAGGCGGGACCCGATTTCTCGAGCTCCCAGGATCGGCCTCTACAGTAGAGTCTCTATTAATTTATGAACTGTATCCTCCATTTAGGAAAATACTCGAGTAATGTCTCATAGTTGTCTTGATCTCAAGTCGAATGGATTATTGGGATACAGCCACCGGTAGCGGACATTAAGTATATTACTTAGAAAATTATGCAAGGGTTCAACGAACAGAGAAAGAAACATAGATATTAGATACTTGAAAACCAAATCTCACGGTCATTTACAAAATTATTTGAGCCTTTCTTAGTAAAAATACACTCAAGCCAGGCAGGCAGGTAGAAAAGCGTTTGGAAACACCCTTGTGTACCAGGCCTTTGAGGTGCAAAAAGGTGGGTTGACATGCGAATTATGAGATCTCAGACAAAAGAAACAATCGGTCTATTGAAGAATATCCGTAGTCTTGCCGCTTAACCACTCATTTCTAGCGATTTCCATACCATTCGGAGAAAGCGTCATTGCCATTCGAGACAGCATAGTCCTGTGAAGATATTAGCACCTCTAACGACAATTGAGCTCTTGAAGTTAACCTACCAACGCAGACCATCCCTTCTTATCTTGAGCCAAAGGATCCAACCCGTATTCAACAAACTCCTTGAAATATATGAGCCTTGCTCCCAGGGCTGTCTCCCTATATCTCCCCTTCGGAACAGCAGCCTGGGCAATAACATGCAGTAGGTTTTGCCGATGGACATTGACAACGTGGAAGTCAAAGCCCGCCTGTTTCAGGAAATAGATAGTTCTGGGAAACGGTCCTTTCGCTTCCTCCTGGCCTGTCAATTCCAACTGATCCGTGTCTTCCACCAGAGACTGTGGGTGTCTTGCCCAAGCGAATAGTGATGTCTCGCCTTCTTTATTCTGAGAATTCAAATCCATACCTGAGTCCAGGAAGTGCTTGAACCATTTCTTCCTGTTCTGAGACAGTTTTAAGGTGGCATGAAGCACGGTGTTCCCATCTGGATCCGGCGCCATAAAATCAGCGCCTCCATCAAGAAGAATCTGCCAAGTCCAGTCCAAAGCATTGCTTTTCCAAGTAGTCTGGAAAGCCGTGAAGCCATCTTTGTTCCGCTGATGGACTAATTCAGGACACCTGCAAATCAACGCAGACATTGCCGATTTTCTCTCCTCTTCATCTTTATATTTGCCCGGAAGGGATGCAAAGACATGCAGCGCATTTTCTCCCTTGTCATTCGTGGCACGGATATCAGCACCCCTTCGCTGAAGAGTCACGCATCGCATAATCCTCGGCTCGTCATTAAGACGCCTCCATCTCTCTTCATAGTTCTTGCAAGCTGCGAGAAATAACGTATTTCCAAATGAATCGCGAGTCTCGAGGTCTAAGCCAGCCTGGTCGAGAACTGCCTCACATATTTCCGAGCTTTCCGATTCTTGAAGGAGTTGATGCAGAATCGTTGTTTGCTCGTTGCGTTTACTTTGCTTGAAAGGGTCGGCACCGTGTTCTAGCAGAAGTCTAACGATAGGTAAGGCCTCGCGAGCGCGGTTTTCGTCGAAGATGCCTGTTACGGCGAGCTCGAGCGGATATCCCTGGGGGCGATCTTGGTGGATTCTGCCCATACCAAAAAGATTTACTCGTCGTCTTTTGCTCGATCCGCCTGCTTGATTCGATGAATCCGATTTTTTAGGCTCCTCGGGTGGGAGTACGTTAGGATCCTGTCCCCACTCCAAGATATCCCGAACACCTTGAAGATCCCGGTCTGTGACGGCCTTGCAAAGGGTGGACGAGCGATCGGGACGGTTTGGTTTGCCTCCGTAGCGAACAAGAAGTTCAGTTACCTCAGGGTCCTTGATCTTCTCGTCCAATGGCGAAATTCCATGCTCGTCTGTGAGATTGGGGTTGGCGCCATTATCCAGCAATATCCTCATGATATCTTTGCTCATGTATGCACCATGATATGCACTTTTCACGGTCAATTGCAGAGGTGTTCTCCCCCTGCCATCTTTCAGGTCTGGATCAGCTCCCTTTGCCAGCAGGTACTTGAGTGCTTCTTTGTGCCACCAGATATAGCCTCGAGCAAAGATATGCAAGGCGCCATATTCACAGGCGCCGTGCTTACCGTTCCAGATGGTAGTGCTACCGCTCTTTCGCATGTTTACGTCGGCTCCAAACTTTTCCACAAGGAGTCGCAAAATTGGCATATTTGGCTGTGTTCTGGCGACAGTTGTCATGAAATACGGTGCCACAACCTCGGTTCCCACGAAAGATGTGTTGCCTGGGAATGACTGAGCGATCAAGTCAAACAGGAAGACATAGCCACCATCCACAACGATAGTGAGAGGATCAAGTATCCCTTTATTATTCGTTGGAGTAAATGTTGTTCCTTGCTCAATACATTTCTGGAACACGCCGTAATCGCCTTTCCTGATAGCTGGTGTATAGCAAGAGCGGGCGTAGACCTTAGCATTGGTGTCAGGCATATAGTCCCCTTTCAGGTTTGGCGATTCACCCATGGCCTGTCCGAGGAAGTAGATAATTTCCATCATCTGTCCTCCATCATTTGTTTGAGGATTAGACTCAGAGCCAAACTCACCATCCTGGTAGGGATAATAGTGAAATGAAAGGCCTCTGTCCAAGGACTCTCCACTGTTCTTCACCACTTCGTCGAGCAACTCCTTGCATGTATCCAAGGGTGTGCGGCCGGCTTTGTCAAGACTGTCAAGCTTCGCTCCGGCTTCCACGAGGAGGCGGACGCTTTCGTGAGATCCAACCTTGCAAGCTGCATGTAATGGTGTACATCCATTCTCATCGGACTGGTTTAAGAAAAGACCAATGTTTTCGTTCTTGCAGAAATGCTCCAACATGAACCCAACTACATCTCCCTCTCGAGCTGAGGCAGCAATGTGAAGAATGTTCTGTCCAGTTTTGATGGTGGTAGACGTGGAAGCACCCTTTGAAACGAGTTTTGCCACGAGTAGCTTGTTGTTTGCGACAGCAGAATGAATCGGACGCAAACCTTGGTGGTTCTCCATTTCAAGACTTAGACCATTATCAAGAGAAATTAGGAGATCGACTGCCTCATCGGAAGGCCAGGTGGTTTCTTGAGGCTGCCCCTTGGCTTTGGGGCTCAGTCGGGTCTGGCATAAAACATGGAGTGGAGTATTCCCATTCTGATCTTGATGAGTGCTGGAAATCCCATACTCCGCGAGTCCCTGGACCCATTCAACAGGAATAGCAGTCTTCTCAGCGAGACTGCTTCTCATCAAGACATGCATGAGGTTCTCACCCGCCTGATTTGTCGCCCGGCCGTCTGCACCTAAGTTGAACACTAGGTCCTTCACAACTTCGGAAGGCTCTCCCTGGAAAAGCATATGCAGTGCGCTGTTTCCATCTTCATCAACCGCATTAACATTAACACCAAATGTGCGGACAAATCTTGGTATGAGCACTTGATCCTCATGGGAGCGATTTCTCAGTGTTTGCACTAGATGGTGGAAGGGCGTGCAGCCCTTGGCATCTTTTGCTTCGATATCACCGCCAGCATCGATGAGGATCTGACCGACTGCATCAGCTTTGTCTGCTCCGTTCAAAGAGTAATATTGGCAGAGCCTGTGCAAAGGCTCAAGACCATCTTTGTTCTTTCGTCGGGGATCACACCCGAGTTGCACAAGCTTCGAGATGAACTTAGGTTCCGAAGCAAAATTCGAGTTGATCATCAGGTTCAAGATATTGTTTCCATTCTCGTCCGTGACGTTCCAATTATTCACAAATGGAGCCAGCTTCAATGGATCTAGTTCCTCACAAAAGCCCCTCTTGCGCAATAACATTGAGAACAGAGGGATAACTCTCTTGGGGCCACGAGGCTCGTCCAACTTAAGTCCATACTTGGCCAAGATCTCAATAGTGGCAAGAGATTCATCGTTTCCACTAAGTGAGTCAAATACAGTGTTTCCTCGTTCATCCGTGATACTTGGGTCTGCACCGTGTTGTAGAAGAAGCTCAGTCACTGTGGTAAGGTTCCTGGATACACTGATGTGAAGAGGAGTCTGGTGGCGGTTCCCTTGAGCATTCACATTACTGCCCGCATCCAACAGTAGTTGGCAGCACTTGCGCGCATTTTCAAGGCGCTCTTCATCAATACGGCGCCAATGTCTCTGGCCACCAACGCAGAACCCGGCCACGGCATGCAGAGGAATAGAGTCTGGATCATTCGGACTCCAACTAACCATCACGCAGCCTTGAGAGCGCAGTCCTCTCGACGCTATGTTAGGATCCGCACCGTTTTCGAGAAGGAATTTCATCGTTTCGTATTGGTGAGGAAGCCCGGCTCGGAATAAAGGGGTGTCCCTGGACCATTTGCCGTTCACATTCGCCAACGGCGAGGTCAGGAGGAGTTTTAGCATGGGGATATTCCCATCGGTGGCAGCAGTATCCATCCCGCTTGCGAAGTCGTGCGGGTTCTTCGCCAATGGGATCAAATAGCGGATCATCTCCATGTTTCGGGCCCCCAAAGCCTTTGAGAAAGCAGACGTTCGTCGCGGGTAGGACTGATCGCATGCTCCTGATGAGCGGTCTCTCCGTTTTTGATGGGTTCTTTTCTGTTCTTCTTCGGTCATGTTGACATTTGCGCCGGCTTGAATCAGTATCTGTACTATTTTGAGATGATTCCGACGAACAGCTACGTCGATTGCATTGTCACCATCTCGGTCGATCAAATTCGGGTCCGCACCTCGAGATAGGAGATGGGTGACTACGTCTTCGTGTCCATACATGGTCGCTATAGACAGTGGCAAAGTTCCATCATTCATTGTATCGTTGTACGAACAACCTGCCTCCACCGCAAGCTCGATCATGCTCACAGCTCCTGTCCAAGCTGCAATGTGAATAGGCGTGATAGAGTCGAAGGCCTCCGAGTTAGGAGCGCACATTTCCTCGGTCCAGCGATGTACACACTCTTTCCGCTCTCCAAACCACCTCAGGAGTAGTTCTCGTGTGTCACCTGTGACTATTCGAATCTCTCGGGTATGGAGAAACCAATTCGATGCTGCATAATCCAGGAAAGGTTGGGATCCATTTGCAATGCTCCACTTGTCGAATTTGTTGATATCCTCGAGCTTCTTGTCTTCATGGAACTTGCCCATCAACACCTTCATGGAGATGGCCACCAGTTCCTGGTGTGCATCATCTGATGAAATGACAGGGATCAAGGCCAGGCTTTCAGAGCTTCGACTCTCATCGTGTATGAACGAAATGAAAGACTCCCAAAGAATGGTCATGGTGCCATTACCGAAGATCTCTAGCAGTGGGCCGAAGGCTGACTGGATCACATTTTGGTCCTTTGCTTCAGATCCATACACCACTTCGAGAGCGGCAAATATTTCTAGACGGCGAAGCTGACGGGCAGGGTAGAGGGTCAGAGATAGAATCGTTCGCCGATACTCTGAGGGCACATATGAGCCAGTGCTGCATCGCTTCAGAATGAGATCGTACAGTCCGTACAGCGTTGGTGGAAGCTCGTCCAGGAATTGCGAAATAGCCATGACATCGCTATCTTGCTGGATGACAAAAAGCCCGAGACGGGTGTAGAGGAACGACCTTCCACTAAATGCATCTCGGATCTGTGACTTTGTATCATCCGGCACATCAAGGGTCTCCACCTCGTTGCTCAAGAATGCGCAAACGTCTTGATGCACAAGCTCGTTGTCCATGTCCAAACGGATCTCATTTTCAATAGGCGCAACGGAATTGCTCGTGAACAATAGCTTAACGTTGCCAGAATGTAGATCCTTCCAGCTGAGCAATTCTTTCAAGAACTCCGTATCTTCTGAATCTTGGAAGGCATCGATGCCGTCAATCACACAGTAAAGCTTGGGGATAGCTTCGATTGCCTCAATCAACAGCCCCCAAAGTTGCATGAGGTCCACATCGTTCAAATGTTTCCACTTCCACTCCTCACCCGGCAAAAGCCTTTGTCTTTTTTCCACCAGATCACGAACTTTATCCTCCAGATCTGGTACGAGTTTGAACGCCTGAGCAAGCCAGTGTCGAACAAGGGTAAAAGACAAGCTCTTTCTGCAAGAATTTTTGACTTGAGGAGCATGAACCCTCCGAGGGCAGAAGAAGAAAAGAAGTGGAACATCGCCCTCCGTCTTTTGGAGCCTGTCCATGATAGACGCCGCTAGGACAGATTTGCCTGTGCCCGATGGGCCATCAATCACAAGGACATTCTGCAAGTCACCGTCATGCCATGAGTTATACTCGGGCGTGTCGAAGATCCAGGACCCGGTACCATCCGCACGGCACCGTACGTTGCGGTTAAAGTACCCCGAGGATGAGAGTGAATCTGTCGGGGCAAAGTCTGGCTTAGTTGCTTTGTTTTTGGGCAGGCCAACAGGCTTGTGGCGGAACATCGTGTCCGATGAACCGGCGGGAAAAGTGGTATGGTCGGTGAAAGCTGAAAGATAGACCGCACAACTGATTCTGAGACTTTGAACAAGGAAGAAATGCGTGACAGGATTCAGGGGTCTTGTTGGTAAATGAGTAATCCGCTAATTCGGTCTGTTTTAGGGCGGATTTTAGTTGCCCGGGCCTCCGGGCCCCTCCTGATGAGGCTCCAACAGCCTCGTGGGACTGGATTCGCACCCGTTGCCCATCATCTTGGTAGGGAGAATTCTTAACCGACAGGATGTTCCAAAATTATGGAAAACTACCGTAGATACCTCAGTGTACTTCTTTCCTCTTTACTCCTCACTCGTGGGATCTAGCTTCTAAATAGTGCTGCCTTGCTCTCGTAGGACTTGGCCTCGAGGTGCTCCTGTATAGACGTGGTGACTTTAAAGTTACCCTGATATTTCACAGTGGGCAGAAGTATTGACGAGTGTTTTCACGTATACAAAGCTAGCTCAATACCCCAATTCATGGGGGGATTCGTAGACCTTGGGGACTATACGGCCCTATTTGCCTGGTTTCTGAGGCCATTGATACTCTAGATCGTGGAGTGCAAGGACAGCATAGACTATGACTGCTTGTGTGGCTGGGCGAGAGTTTCTAAAGCTTTGGCCAGGTCCTGCCTGGGATCCACTAGTTCTCCATATCTGCTCCGTATCGAACTGAAACAGTGTTGTGCGTACCCAGAACTTGATATAGACCATAGGTCGAGTGTACTTGAGCATCATGAAACCAGCAGTCAGACTGCATACACATCTACGTGGGACGAATGAAGGATCCAAACTAGTCGCGAGTCAGGCCTGTGAATAGTCGGCAGGAAGAAAATGGTTCTCCCAAACCGTTCCATATCACAGTGACAGCATCGACAGATCCAAGTCCTAAAAAGAAAACACAATGGCAACCGAGCAAGACTCCATTTCTGGATTGGAAATGCAATGCATGGAATAGCCTATGTACGAGTTGAAAGCGACCATCCAGGACTCGACTCAGCCCGTAAACTGGCCGGCCCCAAGTCCAAAGCAAAACGAAAACACCCTTTCATCCTCAGGCCATTGATTTCCACCATCTATTTCCCAAAACGTCCGCCTCTTTCAAAACCGACCCGGTTGCCGAAAAAAATATTCAAGTGAACGCGAAGCATGATATCATCCGTACAAGTAGCCAGCCGTTATCTGGTAAGCACTTTCGTTCGATGGTGAGCCGTAAAACCGGGGTGCCGGGCCTTCGCGAATAATTGTTGTTTCAAACATCGATGAAAACTCGACGCTCCGTCACGACTCGGGGTTTTTCTTTATCGACGAGTGATAATTTATGAGCCGGGGTTGGGGTTCATCTGTGTGGGTTTCCTTGTGTCAGCCTCGTGTTCCTTCTGTAATCGTGTGTGTTCGAGTATATTTGTGGATGGAGATGTGGCGGGAAGTTGGGCGAATTGCGTAGTGTGTAATGTGGATGTGGTGGGTGATGGATGGGAATTTTTCAGTCGGTATGTACCTTGCGCTTGCCACCGGTCATGGTAACGTTCACGAAGCGGCGGGTGTACAGGATGCGCTTGTAGGCGCGACCCTTGGGGTTCTTCTTCTTCTCCTGGGGCTCAACCTGTATTCAAAAATCCAGTTAGGATAGGTTCTGATGGATGGGAAAAACGTCGTCCTGGCGAGCAGATGGGCGAGATCATCTGTGGGCTTCGTCGGGTGGCTGGGAGGTTCAAAAGGGAGTACTTGCCTTAGGAGTGGCAGCCTTGACCTTACCGGCACGGGCGAGAGAGCCGTGAACCTTACCCATGTTGGATGATTGTTGGCGATGAAGTGGGAGTTGCGAGGTGTTGAAGGGGGAGGAAGCGAGACTCTCGATGCACGTAGTAGGGTTGCAAAATTGGGAGTGTGTCTTGAGTGGGGCGGCCTTAGCGAGCCCCCATGCGGTCCCGGGTTAAGTATTTTATCCGGATGAGTCATCCCGGTCGGCGTCCCAATTGGGTGATTATGTCATTCATACAAAACGGGCAGATTAGATGGTGATGATGTTGAAGAGCTCATGGAAAGCAGATACAAGTTCCAGTTTATACTTGTTTGACATTTTCTTTTCTGGATGCTGTAGCTATACCGATTCGCTATTTATTTACACATTCTTCGCAGTATAATTCTCCAAATAGATACTCATCTTCCACTCGTTTCTCGATTGCTAGTATACAGACAATCAGATCAAGTAGCATTTCAAAACGCCGCTCTTTAATATACATCCCAATAAATCTCAAGTCTTTTCCCGCACCGCCAGATGCAAATATACAACGCTATGTCCAAACACAATCTCTCCCTGTCTACTTCCCAGCTTTCTCCTTTGCAGCAGCCTCCTCCCGCTCCCGCTTTCTTGCCAAGTACCGCTCCTTCGCACTGGAAACGTCGGTCGCCGTTTTGCGGCTGCGAGTCTTCTCTTCGATTTCCTTCTGCCTTGCAGCCTCGGCCTCTTCTTCTCTCCGGGCCTGCTCTTCAAGCTGTTGGGCGATCATCTCGGTCTGGCGCGCTCGTTGAGCGGCACGGCCAGTCTGGTAACCAGCGCCAGCACCAGGTCGTCCAGCGCCAGGTCGAGGTGCCGCAGCTGGAGCGGCAGATGGGGCGGTCTTTGGCTTCGGCGCCACGTTCAACCCGGCAGTCAACAGCTGGCGCTTGTCAACTACCTGACCCTCGTCGTTGATGGCAATATGAGCACCACGAGCATTGAGCTCCTCCGCCTTCTGAGCCTCGGTCTTTTCTTCGGACTCTTTCGTCGTGTCCTCGTCGATATCGCCAGCCTTGACTCGGCGTGCGGCTTCTTCAGCAGCCTTGACAGCTTCTTCGTGTTTGGCTTCGCCACGCGAAAGCACGTCCCGATAGAAACCGACCATACCAGCGCCACCATTTTGTTTGCGCCGTTCTTCCTCCTCCTTCTCGCGACGTTCCTCCTCTTCTTCCATCCTCCGCATCTCCTCCTGTTGCGCCTTGTATGCACCTGTAACGAAGCTCTCCTTATCCGCAAACTCATCACCCTCAGCCTCGCGTTCTTTCGCCAGTTGACGATCGCGCGCCCGCGTTTGATCACGCTTCCGAAGCTCGGCGCTACGCAATAGGTTTGTCATGTACTTGGGTCCTTCGCTCTTGTTAACAGTCGTAGATTTGTCGGTCTTAGCGTGTAGACTATCGTATACTGCATCGTAGGAGTAGATGGATGGATCGACTTCCTCGGCTTCTTTGGCATGCTTCTTGCTGCTATGTAGTGCGGACAAGTTCTTAAAGTCCTGTCCCGGGCCCGTTGGCTTCTTCGATTGTGTCTGGTTTAGTCCGAAGCGCACTTCTCCTTGTCGCTCTTTCTCCTTCTCTTCGTCTTCATCTTCATCGTTGGCGAAGATCGAGTTTTTATTCAGCGGTTTTGCGCCAGGCTTGCCGCCAACTCCCAATTGCATCTTGCGCTTGGGAGGTGGTCCAGCATTCGTTGAGAGCTTCGGTTTCGGCGCAGACGCAGCTAGTCCACCAATAGTAGATACCTCAACTGCGCCATCGTTTTGTTGGCCTTCGTCTCCAGAGTCATCGTCGAAAATGTTCTTCTTGCGCTTCTGTCCGAAAGCGTTGCCCGGCTTTGGTCCCGAAGGGTTCTTGTTCGGCATGTTGAGCCCGGATGAAAATTGAGGCGCCATTTTCGGCGGGTCGGTCAAGTCAGCTGGATACAGCAGACTGCACTTGCAAAGGGAGGAGAAAAAGGTCAAGTTAAGTAAGGTTGAGAGGACCGCAGCCGGGAGTGAGTGACGTTCCACGTCAAAAAGTCGCGATAGCGCGATAAAGCAAAGGCTGGTTATCAGTAAGTCATGTGACCCGGTCTTTTTGCGGGGTGAATTGCACTCCATCCATAGACCAGGGAGTTGATGGATCCTTGGGTATAACAGAAAATATTTAAAGCGAAATATATAGCTAGTGGCTATTTTTATTTATGCTCTATGGCTTGTAGTTGGTGATTTTGCCTCGAAATCCTAAGGTTAGGTACGCTGTTCGCCATTGGTTGTTTGAGCCTTGCATCGGTTGCATAGCTCAGGATATATTTGTACAGATTCTCGAAATATTTTTCAAAGTGGAAAAAGCATATCGAGTATTTACCTGCGAGACTCATAGGTACTTATGTAATATTTCAGCTGTTCCAACAACTCCAGTGAATCGGAATCATATTTACTACCAACAAGCACCATCGTAAAAAGCCATTGCTGAAGCTCCGATTTACTTCCACGCGACATGCCCGGTCCCTTATCTTAGCACGTGACATCTAAACAGCGGCCACGCCCACTCGGGCAACATTCCCCCTCGAACTCCCGTTCCATACCTCCACGCCTCAAACCCGCCAAAATGTCATACTACTTCACTATCCTCTCGCCAACGGATACACCAATCTTCAATATCGCATTCGGTACATCAAAAAGTGGCGGCGATGGCATTGCGCGGTTCCGCTTTCCGGATACAGCCCAGTACATGAACCAGTTCATCATCCATTCCAGCCTGGATATTGTGGAGGAAGCTCAATGGACGAATGGTGGAATGTACGTCTCTCTTTTCACTTTCAGAGAAAAGCTCCCAGGCGCCAATCTACCTCGATACAGTCTTCATGACTGCGCTTTATGTTAAAAACCCCGGCTAACACGCTCGAAACAGGTACCTCAAGCACATCGACACCTATCCCCCCGCCGCAGCTTACATCTCCGCCTTCCTAACGCCGAGCGGCGCTCGCTTCCTGCTCCTCCATCAACCCCCACAACTTCCCAACTCCGGCAGTAGCAGTGGACTCGGATCGTCGTCCTTGCTGGGCTCATCCGGTAATCTAGCGCGCGGTTCGACAAGCTCCATTGCAGCGAACCCAACCTCTCCACAAACCGAGGAGGCCGTGCGCCAATTCATGACGGAGGTCTACGAAAGCTATGTCAAGACGGCGATGAGTCCATTCTACAAGCAGGGAATGGAGATCCGGAGTCCTGTTTTCAGGACGAGAGTCAATGCCGCGGGGAAGAAGTGGCTTTGAGAGCATTTAATTTCCATTTTGGTACACGGGGCTTTATCAGCGTGGCGTTTACGGCGTGTGCATTATTCTACTAGAAGATTGGGGAGCCGCGGCTACTATTCAAGACAAATCCAGGCATATCTTATCTACATGGGACTCCGTCAGGGTCGAAAAATAAGCCTGCAATTATGTATGATACCCAGAAAATAAAACTAGAATTGAATCGTAAACATATTGCAGATCTAGGTAAAGATCGCTTTTGAACCCTCAGAAACACAAAAGAGAAATATGGTTGAAAGAAACATGATTGTGACCGAAAACCTGAGCCTCGCTAAAATCCGACAATTGAGAGAAAAAAGAAATGTCACCTAGAAAGCAAAGACCCGAAACGGAGGTAACATTCGACGCGCTGTCCAGGGCGTATACTGTACCGTCCGGGCAAAGAACCATAAGAATGAAGAATCGAAACGCCCTCGCCTTGAAAAAGTGAACGCCAGCCATTTTTCTCCCAGTTCCCAGCAATTCCTAGTCAAATCCCGCTAAAGAAAGGTGACGGTGAATGGGTCAACGTGAAGACTTAACCTGCCATCTGAGGGGGCTGCTTCTTCATGGTAGCAACCTTGAAATTATCGACAGCCTGCACCACGTCGTCAAGCTTGGCGACGGCGCCGAAGATGCCACCTTCCATCTTAACGGACTCCATAGTGGCAGTGTGAAGACCAGGCTCAGCAGCCGCAGTACCATCGTCCAAGACCACACAATCGAATCCACGATCATTAGCCTCACGCATGGTGGTTGAGACGCAGACGTCGGTTGTGACACCGGCAATGACGAGGTTCTTGATATTTTTGTTGCGCAAAAGGAGCTCAAAGTCGGTGTGTGCGAAAGCGCCGCGTCCGGGCTTGTCGATAATTGGCTCACCCTGAATAGGGTACAGCTCATCAACAATATCATGACCCATCTCGCCACGGATCAGCAGACGGCCCATAGGGCCTGGGGAGCCAATTCCGAGACCAGTAGCGTTGTTACGAGAACGATAAGCCTCGCGACTGGAGAGAGTAGACAAATCTGGTCGGTGGCCTGCAAAAGATGTTAATGAGAAAGTTTAAAAGACAAGATGAACATGCCCCGTAAGGCTGAGAAGCAGACTTACCCTCACGAGTATGATACACTGGAAATCCGGCAGAGCGGAAAGCTTGCAGTAGGTGCTGCAGCTGAGGAATCAGAGCTTGGGCTGCAGAGATATCATAACCCTGATAATGCATGTATCCGCCCGGAGCGCAAACTAGTAACATGGTTAGATGCATGACCTATGTTTGTTGAACAGAAATTCCCCGAGATATCAAGTACTTACAGTCCTTTTGCATATCAATGATGACCAGAGCAGTCGTGTAGGGAGTAAAGGTGCAATCGTGGGGCCAATCGTAGGGAGTGGCAGCCACTTGACCTTTGCGCACCTTGTGATGAGGCGGCTGTCGGGGTTTGTCCACAATAGGTCCATGGTTGTGGGTTGGATTCAAGACGGTCAAGCTCCAGATTCCGGGGGAACCAGCTGCGACGAGCATGAATGGGCAGTCCATCAGGCGCGAAGTTCGGCGGCGCTTCCGAGTCTCCTCGGTGAGTCCATTGCGAGGCCGATAGTGACCACCACGATCGCAACGCAGCCACACCTTTGCAGTTCGGCCTGGCTTCTTCTCTGTCGGGGTACTCGAGGATTTAACCACCACGTTGTAGCCGTGGGCTTTGCCATGACTCTGGACGGCAGCGAGCAGGGAGGCTCTAGATAGAAGACGGTTAGCACGGGGAATCAGGAAGCATGGGTTCAAAATTGATAGGACTAACTTGTCAGGGTACGTTGCCTCGGGTGGGGGAAGCAATTGCATGGCCAGGTCAGGAATGTCCTGGAGGTCGCTGGGGGCGTCCAGGTTCAGATCAGAGGGGTCCGCCATGTCGTCTCGAGGAAGGTCGTTGGGCGACGGTCCCTCAAGGTAATCAATGTCAAGCTGTCAAAACCAGCGTGAGTAGAAAAGTCACTTCATCATCGCGCACACCTCATTATCTGTGTACTGCGTGGAGATTTGGGTGGGACCCGGAGGAGTGTAAACAAGTGCGTGGAAGCAATCTCGACGATCAGCCATCGATCCAAGGGCTGCTGTGCGTGGGCATAGGGAGCCCCCGATGGTGGCGAAAGAGAGACATGCCGGAGAGTACTCGAGTATTGTGTGTGGTGGGGGAAGGGGGGGGAGCTAGGATAGACTGAGAGAGAGAGAATCAACTTACCGGAGGAGATGCTGGCCAGCACTGTTCACGAGGAGCGATACCCCAGGACCCCGGGGACAGCTCCAACTCCGAGGAATAATAACCCAGATCGGGCGGCTGGTTATTGCCTTGCAGTTCGGGGTCTAGCGGATCCATCGCCCCAGGCAGTCAGGCGACAAGGCGACAAGGCAACTAGAGTGGGGCCGAGGGCGGTGAGGAGGGGAAAAACAAAATCTGCCAGGAGGAAACCCATCACATTCATGGCGGTGAAGGATGGCCAACTAGGCCTAATTAGGTATAGCTTTCATGCTGGCCCCCCTGACGACCGCAACATCAACACTCTCCCTCAGCCGATCTAATCAATCCCGCTTTGCGACAACAAACCACACCTTCCACCGGAGAGTCTTGCGCGCCCCCGCCCTTTCGCCTTCCTTTTAAACAAAGGAAAGGTAAGTCCGGCTGTCGCTCTGCTTTTCGGTTGCGACCCTGGTCCTTACTGCTCTCTCGGTGGAGGGTGCATCACCAAACATCGTCAACAACCCCCGATCGCCTGCGTCACCGCCTCGCCGAGGGGTTCTTATCAACACTGCACGGGGCTTGATTTGCGCCAGCCACCACCACCCCATGAACCCGTGAGTTTGATCGAACCGGGTGATTGGAAGTGTGGTGCCTCCAACGCCAGATTCATCCTGGTGATAGACTCATTTTTCTCGCCGGTGGTCCCGCACGCATTTGCTTTGCGGCCCGCCCGGTGCCCAACGCGGGAGGAAGATGCCAGCCGCCGATGATTCACCCTCTAAGGGGAAGGATGGGAAGCGCCCAGAGGAGTACACTATTGAGTACTACAAAGCTCAATATGAGTCCATTCAGGAGGAGCTGCACGACTTTCAGCTCTCCAGCACCGAGCTGGAGGCAGAGATGGAAAAGGAGATGGAGGATAAGGAGAAGCGTGAGCGACAGCTGAGGGAGAAAGTTGACAACCTGCGCTATGAGGTAGAGGAGTGGAAGGTGAGTGATTCACCATTGCGTTCTTGGTTCAGACCTGGCGATGCGCAGTGACTGATCGCGGTGGTATGTAGACCAAATACAAGCAGTCAAAGACCGAGGCGAACAATGCGCAAAACACTCTGCAGAAGGAAATCACCTCCCTGCGTGATGCCAATCGTACTTTGCAACTGAAGCTGCGTGATATTGAAGTTGCCAACGACGATTATGAGCGACAGGCCCGGAACACGACCTCGTCCCTGGAGGACTTGGAGTCCAAGTACAACGTCGCTATCGAGCGTGGAGTTTTGCTGGAAGAGGAGATCAGGACTGGCGAACTAGAGCGCGAAGGCTTGCGGATTGACAACCAGCGCCTAAGAGACGAGCTGTCTGATCTCAAGGTCGAAGCCGAGATCGTCCAGGAGAAGCTACGACACACCGAGGGCCATGGGTTCCGTCGTCGCAAGCCGACACCCTTGTACCGCAGCCCATCCACTCCACAGACCCTAGAGATTTTCGATCGGTCTCCTGGACCGGGTACTTCATCTCCGGTGTTTTCGACTCCTCCACCCAAGTCGACCTTGGCCTCTTCAACCGCAACTCCTCCCTCACCGCCCATCTCCGAGGCCTCTACCAACTTCCGCAAGTCCATCAACGCTACCCCGACATTCCCTCGAACCCGGGCGACTGGCGCGGAACCGGTCAACTCGCGGACTCTGCACAATGCCAGAACCCAGCCGGCTCGGCCTACTCCTCACTCGCGCGCCTCATCTCTCGCTTACAGTAACAGCGGCTACAGTAATGGTGGTCGCTCTACCCCCTCCATGTCCTACTCTTCCCGCAACAGCCTGTCCAGGTCGACCACCTCCCGGCCTTCGGGTCTTCCTAAATCTGGCTCACTGTACCAGATCCGAGGACTCATTGGCAAGATGCAGAAATTGGAGGAACGCGTCCAGTCTGCCCGGTCCCGTCTTCCAGCACCCTCAGAGACCTCTTCTCGGGGATCTCCCCGCTCCCGTCAAGGTTCAGTGATGGGGGATAGTCCCGTGGCATCGACCATCACTGTGCGGAGTCGCAAGCGAATGAGTGGCAGTAGCTATGGTTCATCCGTTCGGGATAGCGAGAGCGCCCCTTCATATATCCCTCAAGGCCGCCAGTCAGTCGGTGCTCGTACCGGTGACAGTCGACCGAGCAGCAGAACGAGCTACTCCAGTCGGAGCTCGTTCAGCCAAAGTGTACATTCCGGAGTGCCGATTGGTCGCCCCGAAAGTCGGCAGAGCCGCCCTGGTGCCAAGACGCCCCTCGGCCACTACTCAACCAACCCCACGACGGAGAGTCGCCGACCCCGGTCCTCTCTGAGCAACCACAATGGACAGACACCGTCCGTGGGAAGCATGTCCAATATTGATGAGGACCACGACATTTCCACCCCGACCGTGTCCCGTATTCCAAAGGATATGCGGCGACCCTCCGTCTCGGCCACGACTTCTGGTATTAAGAAACGTACTACCAGCGGCATGTCGGCTATTCCCACGCCCCGCAGCTTTAAGACGAGTATCGGGCCGGGAGCCATGCCTCCACCGCTTGAACGGAAGCAAAGTGACCTTGGAGAGACCTATTAAGGGTGTTTGATATCTGGTCCTCCTTGAAACACTTCCACTAGTGAATGACATGTGGATGGCACCCAGATTAGAGACCATCGTCTCTCCATTGGATTTGAATTCTTTTGGCTACTGCTTTTTTGGGACAAATACTGTTTTTTTTTTTACCTGGGAGCATGTGAATTTTGCATCTACCTCGTTTAGTCGCTTTACTCGTGCATTCTTGCAACCACCTGGATTGTGGTCTGACGAGACCTCTTCTCCAACTCGCCCCGTGATTTGCGTCGTTCTGTATAGGCCCTTTTTGTTTCTTCTTTGGCGCTAATGCGGTGGTTAATTGGGTCTCTCATCTCTCTACCTACATACACATGGGGGGTGGACTTGAACTGGCCTTTTTGTGCTGGAAGTAGAGTTCTCCCCCTTTTTTTGATACGGCCCCGGATAGACTCTGGGGCGTCCTAAGCTGTGTCTCAGCATCTTGTGTTTCTCTCTCTCTTTTTTTTACCCTTTTTGTGTACGTCGCGAGGCGTTTGAATAATACCCACGATGCTATGTCTTTGAATTGTGCCGTAGTAGATTCTACCTCTTTTAAAGAATGGGTTGTTTGTGTGGATATTGGAGGGTGTGTACAGTAGTGTAGGACTTGTGAGAGCCGTCTCATACTTACCATGGTTATTGAGGATCATTGGAGGGTCTCCACTTATGTATCCAGCATGGTTGCAGAGGGCGAGTCGAGACTCGCCCTTTAGAACCTTAGGCTAGGTCTGACTTCTGTTACTACCTATACACTGGTAAACTAGTCTAGCGAGCCCAAAGAGTCAACACCTACATCCAATGACTGGACTATCAAAGATAATTACAGATAATTAATTAATAAAGTAAAGCCAAAGCACGTTACTCGCTCTCTGGACTGGCTACTATTCCAGCATCGGTCTCGAATCTTGAGGCGATCTGTGCCCCTGACTCTGGGGAGCATGCGGGATATATATCAGCGTTGGGGCGGGAAAAGTATCCCCAGCTAAACCGGATTTAAATTATTTGATAGATTGCCAGGGCCCCTGGATAATAGTGGAGGACGGGGTATCTAAATTGTTGAAGGTAGCTTTAAATGCAATAACTTAAACAAGCTAGAGTTTAACATAGGACTACATGGTTGTTTAAGGGCGTTGGCGTTCCTAGAGGTAACTAACTGCCGGAGTGAGTCTAGTGAGATTCCCGCGTTTGGCAGTGGCAGTTCCCACGGTTCTTCTTCCCCCCTCCAGTTGGTCCGTGCGGAAAGCCCTCAACGTTTCGCCGGGAGTGGGAGACGACGTCATCGTTGATTTTTTACTATGGAACTATGTAACTATGTAACTAGACGGAGTTAAGTACGGAGTAATTTGAGGATATGGGAGGAATATGTGAGAGTTTATTGAATGAGTAAATAGATGAAAAGAAAATAAATATGGATAATAGACGCGGATTATATAGCCTGGAGAGTTTCTCCAAAGGATACTGGTGCAGTATACTGTACAGGCCCGGAGATAGATTGTCAGATTTACCTTCAGTAGTTTCTTAACCCGATCGCACTCCGGGCTGGAAGCCAAAAGAAAGTCGCCGAGTCGGTTTCCGAGGCTGGTGGGGCGGGATCGGAGGCTGGCTAGCCCAAGTTGGGTCTTAGAAGAAGGTAAGAAGGAGATATCTGGATACTATGTACGGAGTATAGGGTAGTATTATAGATAACCTATACGGTGGAAACGAAGAAGAACAGGAGAAAAGACAAGTAATCAAGGAGGTAGAAGAAAACAAGTAATTCCTGTCGGTGTGATTGGGTATAAGGAAGGCGTGAAAAGGGTGGGACATGGTGGTGGTGGTGCTTGAGGTGGAACCGGCCCAACAATCGGGGGGAGTTGGGGAAGTCACTTTCTTGAGTCGCCAGCTTGGAAGAGAGGAGATGTACCTCCTCATACTAATTTCTATGGGCCGGTACTTACCACCACCGATTCCCGAGCCGGTGGGACTGCGCAAATCATCCTCAGCATTTTTTTTTTCTTCGAGACCTTTTTGTAGTTGGCTTCCTCCTGGACCTTTCTATCTTGATTCCTAATTTCTTCAACTCCTCTCTTGGAACAGACTCGGGTCTTTTTTTTTGGCTGGTAGTCCCGGTAAGTCTAATCTGTTATTATTTTACTCCTGGTTCCTGAATCTCCTCCACTGTAACCCTGTTGTTATTGTTTCCGCAAACGACCAATCCCGCTCAACCGGGGGAGCTGTCCGCATCGGGGCTGACGAGCTGCACATAAACAGTCTTGTCAATCCCCGACTCGGGAATGAGCCAACCTGGTCGATTTTCTTTCTTGGAAATATTGCAACTGACCCAATTCCTCTTTGCAGATTTGGAAATTCAAGGGAAAAAAACGGAATTCCGTCTCTTTTTTCCTTCTTTTCCTCCCCCCCTCTTCTCTTCTTCTTCTCTCTCCGCCCGTAACGAGCCGCCGGGCCTCTCTTCTCTTTGGCACTTCCTCTTCGCCACTCTGTACATTACCGCCATTACCGACTTTTTACGCTCGACCTTCCATTCTCCCAGCAGCGCTGTTTAATCCTTCCGGAACTTTGGGCCTTCCCTTTTCCAATTCCACCTCGGGTACTCTCCGATCAGCTTGTACCTTCGCTACTGAGCGGCATCTTTCTCCCTCTTCTCCCCCCCCCCGCTAAACGCACATTCCTCACACATACGCCATCATGGCTGCCCCCAACGGCAGTGCGCCTGTCAACGGCCAGGACAGCTCCAATGCCGCTAAATACAACCTCCCCTCACATTTCATCGGTGGTAACCACCTCGACGTAGCGCCGCCCAGCTCCGTTAAGGATTTCGTTGCCAACCATGGCGGTCACTCCGTCATTACTTCGGTGAGTCTTTCCTGAGCGACGGATGGGAGAGATGGGGAATGGACGATCAGAAAGTAGATTGAGAGGCTCAATGGATGCAAATGACTGACAATTCAATTTCTTCCGAGTAGGTCCTCATCGCCAACAACGGTATTGCCGCCGTCAAGGAGATCCGTTCAGTGCGGAAATGGGCCTACGAGACCTTTGGCAATGAGCGTGCCATCCAGTTCACCGTCATGGCCACCCCCGAGGATCTGCGCGCCAATGCCGATTACATCCGTATGGCTGATCAATATGTCGAGGTCCCCGGTGGTACCAATAATAATAATTACGCCAACGTCGAGTTGATCGTCGATGTCGCCGAGCGCATGGATGTCCATGCCGTCTGGGCTGGTTGGGGTCACGCCTCCGAGAACCCTCGGTTACCCGAGTCTCTCGCGGCTTCGCCCAAGAAGATCATTTTCATTGGCCCCCCCGCCTCGGCCATGCGCTCCCTGGGTGACAAGATCTCTTCTACCATTGTCGCACAGCACGCCGGTGTGCCCTGTATTCCCTGGTCCGGTACCGGTGTTGAGGAGGTGACGATCGACGACAAGGGCATTGTCACCGTCGAGGATGATGTCTACAGCCGTGGTTGCACGCACTCGCCTCAAGAAGGTCTCGAGAAGGCTCGCGAGATCGGCTTCCCCGTCATGATCAAGGCTTCCGAAGGTGGTGGTGGTAAGGGTATCCGTAAGGTCGAGAACGAGGACGACTTTGTCTCCTTGTACAATGCCGCCGCCAACGAGATTCCCGGTTCCCCCATTTTCATCATGAAGCTCGCTGGTAACGCCCGTCACTTGGAGGTCCAGCTTTTGGCTGATCAGTACGGTAACAACATCTCCCTCTTCGGCCGTGATTGTTCCGTCCAGCGTCGTCACCAGAAGATTATCGAGGAGGCTCCCGTCACCATTGCCAAGCCCATCACTTTCCAGGCCATGGAGAAGGCTGCCGTTAGCCTGGGTCGTCTGGTCGGTTACGTCTCTGCCGGTACCGTCGAGTACCTCTACTCGCACGCCGATGACAAGTTCTACTTCCTCGAGTTGAACCCCCGTCTCCAGGTCGAGCATCCCACCACCGAGATGGTCTCCGGTGTCAACTTGCCCGCCGCTCAGCTTCAGATTGCCATGGGTATCCCCCTACACCAGATCCGTGACATTCGTCTGCTCTACGGTGTCGACCCCAACACTTCCTCCGAGATCGATTTCGACTTCTCCAGCGAGGAGAGCTTCAAGACCCAGCGCCGTCCCCAGCCCAAGGGCCACACCACCGCTTGCCGTATCACCTCTGAGGATCCCGGTGAGGGCTTCAAGCCCTCCAGCGGTACCATGCACGAGCTGAACTTCCGTTCTTCGTCCAATGTCTGGGGTTACTTCTCCGTCGGTACTGCCGGTGGTATTCACAGTTTCTCCGACAGTCAGTTCGGTCACATTTTCGCCTACGGTGAGAACCGTTCGGCCTCGCGGAAGCACATGGTCGTTGCGCTGAAGGAGCTGAGCATTCGTGGTGATTTCCGTACCACCGTTGAGTACCTGATCAAGCTGCTCGAGACTCCCGCTTTCGAGGACAACACCATCACCACCGGATGGTTGGACCAGCTGATCTCCAACAAGCTGACTGCTGAGCGCCCCGACCCCATCGTCGCTGTTATCTGCGGTGCCGTCACCAAGGCTCACCTTTCCAGCGAGGCTGGTATCGAGGAGTACCGCAAGGGTCTCGAGAAGGGTCAGGTCCCCTCTAAGGATGTCTTGAAGACCGTCTTCCCCGTGGACTTCATCTACGAGGGCTCCCGCTACAAGTTCACTGCCACCCGTGCCGGTCTGGACAGCTACCACTTGTTCATCAACGGTTCCAAGTGCTCCGTCGGTGTCCGTGCTCTGGCTGACGGTGGTCTGCTGGTTCTGCTCGATGGCCGCAGTCACAACGTCTACTGGAAGGAGGAGGCCGCTGCCACCCGTCTGAGCGTGGATGGCAAGACCTGCCTTTTGGAGCAGGAGAACGACCCCACTCAGCTGCGCTCCCCCTCCCCCGGTAAGCTGGTCAAGTTCACTGTCGAGAACGGTGAGCACGTCCGTGCCGGCCAGCCCTACGCCGAGGTTGAGGTCATGAAGATGTACATGCCCCTCATTGCTCAGGAGGATGGTATTGTGCAGCTGATCAAGCAGCCCGGTGCCACTCTCGAGGCTGGTGACATCCTCGGAATTCTCGCTCTGGATGACCCCTCGCGCGTCAAGCATGCCCACCCCTTCACTGGCCAGCTCCCCGAGATGGGTGCTCCCGTGGTCGTCGGTACCAAGCCTCCTCAGCGCTTCCAGCTCCTCCACACCATTCTGGAGAACATCCTTCGCGGTTTCGACAACCAGGTCATTATGAATACCACCCTGAAGGAGCTGGTTGAGGTCCTCCGCAACCCCGAGCTGCCCTACGGCGAGTGGAATGCTCAGTCCTCGGCTCTGCACTCCCGCATGCCCCAGAAGCTCGATGCCCAGCTCCAGACCATCGTCGACAAGGCCAAGGCCCGCAAGGCTGAGTTCCCTGCTAAGCAGCTTCAGAAGACTATCGTCCGCTTCATTGAGGAGAACGTCAACCCTGCCGATGCCGAGATCCTCAAGACCACCATCCTGCCCCTGGTCCAGGTTATCAATAAGTACCTGGATGGCCTGAAGACCAACGAGTACAACGTGTTCATTGGCCTTCTCGAGCAGTACTACGAGGTCGAGAAGCTGTTCAGCACTGGTACCAAGCGCGATGAGGATGTGATCCTGAAGCTTCGTGAGGAGAACAAGGAGGACATTGTCCCCGTCATCCACACCGTTCTCTCTCACAGCCGCATTGGTTCCAAGAACAACTTGGTCCTTGCCATCCTGGACATGTACCGCCCCAACCAGCCCAACGTTGAGAACGTCGGCAAGCACTTCAAGTCCATCCTCAAGAAGCTCACTGAGCTGGAGGCTCGCGCCGCTGCCAAGGTTACCCTCAAGGCCCGTGAGGTTCTCATCCAGTGCGCTCTGCCTTCCCTGGAGGAGCGTCTCTCCCAGATGGAGCACATTCTCCGCTCCTCGGTCGTCGAGTCCCGCTACGGTGAGACTGGCTGGGAGCACCGTGAGCCCGACTTCGGTGTCCTCAAGGAAGTTGTCGACTCCAAGTACACCGTCTTCGATGTCTTGCCTCGCTTCTTCATCCACTCCGACCCCTGGGTTACTCTCGCTGCTCTCGAGGTCTACGTGCGCCGTGCCTACCGTGCCTACACCCTGAAGGGCATTGATTACACTGCCGGTCCTGAGCCTCCTATTCTGTCTTGGGACTTCACCCTCGGCAAGCTCGGCCAGCCTGAGTTCGGCTCCGTCTCCTCTACTCAGCCCTCCACTCCCAGCACCCCCACCGCCGAGGCCAGCAACCCCTTCAAGCGGATCAACTCTATCAGTGACATGTCCTACCTGGTCAACGACCCCTCCAGCGACCCCATTCGCAAGGGTGTTATCATCCCCATCCAGTACCTTGAGGATGCTGAGGAGTACCTGTCCAAGGCTCTGGAGGCCTTCCCTCGTGCCGGCTCCAAGACTAAGCGTCCTGGTGACAACGGCCTGATCGCCAACCTGGAGGGCAAGCGCCGTCCTGCTGTCAAGCCTACCGAGAGCGACGAGCTTACCGGTGTCCTCAACATCGCTATCCGTGATATCGAGGACCAGGATGATTCTCAGATCGTGGGCCAGATGCAGAAGCTGCTGGCTGATGCCAAGGACGAGCTCCTGTCCCGCCGCATCCGTCGCGTCACCTTCATCTGTGGCAAGAACGGTGTCTACCCCGGCTATTTCACCTTCCGTGGCCCCAGCTACGAGGAGGACGAGAGTATCCGTCACAGTGAGCCTGCCCTTGCCTTCCAGCTTGAGCTTGGCCGTCTGTCCAAGTTCAAGATCAAGCCCGTCTTCACTGAGAACCGTAACATCCACGTTTACGAGGCTATCGGCAAGGGTCCTGAGAACGATAAGGCTGTTGACAAGCGTTACTTCGTCCGTGCCGTCGTGCGTCCCGGTCGTCTCCGTGATGATATCCCCACTGCGGAGTACCTCATCTCCGAGGCTGATCGTCTGATGAACGATATTCTGGATGCCCTTGAGATCATTGGCAACAACAACTCTGATCTTAACCACATCTTCATCAACTTCTCTCCCGTCTTCAACCTGCAGCCCATTGATGTCGAGCAGGCTCTTGCTGGCTTCCTGGACCGCTTTGGCCGCCGCCTGTGGCGCCTGCGTGTCACCGGTGCTGAGATCCGCATCCTCTGCACTGATCCCACCACTGGCATGCCCTACCCTCTGCGTGTCATCATCAGCAACACCTACGGTTTCATCATCCAGGTCGAGCTGTACATTGAGCGCAAGTCCGAGAAGGGCGAGTGGATCTTCCAGAGCATTGGTGGCACCAACAAGCTCGGCTCCATGCACATGCGTCCCGTCTCTACTCCTTACCCGACCAAGGAGTGGCTCCAGCCTAAGCGTTACAAGGCTCACCTCATGGGAACTCAGTACGTGTACGATTTCCCCGAGCTGTTCCGCCAGGCCTTCCAGAACAGCTGGACCAAGGCTGTCGAGACCATCCCCTCGCTCGCTTCGCAGCGCCCTCCCACTGGCGAGTGCATCGACTACAGCGAGTTGGTTCTCGATGACACCGACAACCTGGTTGAAGTTTCCCGCGAGCCGGGCACCAACACCCACGGTATGGTCGGTTGGATCGTCACTGCTCGTACTCCCGAGTACCCCCGCGGCCGTCGCTTCATCATCGTCGCCAACGACATCACCTTCCAGATTGGTTCGTTCGGTCCCCAGGAAGACAAGTTCTTCCACAAGTGCACTGAGCTCGCTCGCAAGCTGGGTATTCCCCGCATCTACCTGTCTGCCAACTCCGGTGCTCGCATTGGTATGGCCGATGAGCTGATCCCTTACTTCTCCGTTGCTTGGAACGATGCCGAGAAGCCCGAGGCTGGCTTCAAGTACTTGTACCTCACCCCCGAGGTCAAGAAGCGCTTCGATGCCAGCAAGAAGAAGGAGGTCATCACCGAGCTGATCCACGATGAGGGCGAGGAGCGCCACAAGATCACCACCGTCATTGGTGCCAAGGACGGTCTTGGTGTCGAGTGTCTGAAGGGCTCCGGTCTTATTGCCGGTGCCACTTCCAAGGCTTACGAGGACATCTTCACCATTACCTTGGTCACTTGCCGTTCCGTCGGTATCGGTGCCTACCTGGTCCGCCTTGGCCAGCGTGCCATTCAGGTCGAGGGCCAGCCCATCATTCTGACTGGTGCTCCTGCCATCAACAAGCTGCTCGGTCGCGAGGTTTACACCTCCAACCTGCAGCTTGGCGGTACTCAGATCATGTACAAGAACGGTGTCTCGCACATGACTGCCAACGACGACTTCGAGGGTGTTGAGAAGATTGTCGAGTGGATGGGCTTCGTTCCTGACAAGAAGGGTGCCCCCATCCCCATCCGTCCCTGGTCCGACGACTGGGACCGCGATGTCGGCTACTTCCCCCTGCCAAGCAGGCCTACGACCCGCGCTGGCTCATTGCCGGTAAGCAGGACGAGGAGGGCTTCCTCCCCGGTCTGTTCGACAAGGACTCCTTCGAGGAGGCCCTCGGTGGCTGGGCCCGCACCGTCGTTGTCGGCCGCGCTCGTCTCGGTGGTATCCCCATGGGTGTCATCGCCGTTGAGACTCGCGCTGTCGAGAACGTCACCCCCGCTGACCCTGCCAACCCTGACTCTATGGAGATGATCACCCAGGAGGCCGGTGGTGTCTGGTACCCCAACTCTGCGTACAAGACTGCTCAGGCTCTGCGTGACTTCAACCACGGTGAGCAGCTGCCCGTCATGATCCTGGCCAACTGGCGTGGTTTCTCCGGTGGTCAGCGTGACATGTACAACGAGGTTCTCAAGTACGGTTCGTACATTGTCGATGCCCTCGTCAAGTACGAGCAGCCCATCTTCGTGTACATTCCTCCCTTCGGTGAGCTGCGTGGTGGTTCTTGGGTCGTCATTGACCCGACCATCAACCCTGACCAGATGGAGATGTACGCCGACGAGGACGCCCGTGGTGGTGTCCTCGAGCCCGAGGGTATCGTCAACATCAAGTACCGCCGTGACAAGCAGCTTGACACCATGGCCCGTCTGGACGCCACCTACGGTGAGCTTCGCCGCTCTCTCGAGGACACCTCGCTGTCCAAGGAGCAGCTGTCTGCCATCAAGACCAAGATGGCCGAGCGCGAGGAGCAGCTGCTCCCCGTGTACCTGCAGATTGCTCTGCAGTTCGCCGACCTGCACGACCGTGCCGGTCGCATGCAGGCCAAGAACACCATTCGCGCCCCTCTGCGCTGGCAGAACGCCCGTCGCTTCTTCTACTGGCGTCTGCGCCGTCGTCTGAGCGAGGAGCTGATCGTCAAGCGCATGGTCGCCGCCTCCACCACTCCTTCTTCCCGCACCGGCGCCATCCCCTCGTCTACCGCTACCGCTGCCGAGACTGCCGTGCCCTCTGCCGAGTCCCCTCGCGCCGCTCACCTGCGCACCCTGCATGCCTGGACTGGTATGCTGGATGAGGAGCTTGAGCACGATGACCGCAAGGTTGCCATGTGGTATGAGGAGAACAAGAAGGCCGTCCAGGCTAAGGTTGAGACCATGCGTACCGAGGGCGTTGCCTCTGAGGTCGCCTCCCTGTTGATTGGTAACAAGGAGGGTGGTCTGCGTGGTGTGCAGCAGGTTCTTTCCATGTTGCCCGTTGAGGAGCGTGAGAGTGTCCTGAAGTATCTTGCTTCTGCTTAGATGGGAGTGTGACTGATGGATGAGTGGTGTGAAATTATAGATAAATCATGACTTGATGTGTCTTTTTTTTGTTTACTGGTTTTTTTGTGCATGGTGTTAATTTGTTTTTGGCATGTTTTTTTATATCTGGTTAATTTCGAGATGTTTATCCCACGAATACATTAATTAGGTTCTTTAATATTCTTGTGCTTGTCTTGTAGCGTAGAGGAGAGGGCCGTTCTGTTTGTGGTCTTTGTACATCCGTAGTCCGAGTGTGATGTATACACTGAGTCTGTTAGTTGGACTGCATTGCGGATGGTGAATGGTGGATACTTACCTTGTCCTGATTATCCCTGAGTCTGAGTTCGGGCATCTTTTGATAGACGCCGCTCGACGTTGAGTGCAGCTCCTATTGCTGCGAGTATATCCGATGCGTCCGGTCCTATTTCAGGACTCTCCTCCGATCTAGTCAAACGACTAGCCCTCCCCTCCTCAAATAATTGGATCACCCCTTATCCCTTAACCCCCCCAACATATTCCCCCCCCCTCCCCCGTCTTCATCTTCCTCTTCTTCCTCGCCTCCAGCACCGCATCCTTAGAAGGCCTCTGACTACTATACGGCGCCCAATAAAAGAATCGATCCGCAACGCCCTCGTGGTTCCAGTTCCGGCGTAGTTCGCGCTCGCGCGCCCGCACTTTTTTGTGGTATGCTCGGTTTGCCCGTTTGCGCCGCCAGTTTGTTGATGTTTTTCCGTTTAAGAAGTTTTTGAGCCATGTGAACATTTTGGTTTTGATGTGGTTGCGGTTGTGGGTTTAGGGGGTTGTTATTAGGGGGTGGTGCTTATAGGCATAGAAGATTATAGATGGGTCTGGGTTTGGTGGTTTCGGGGTTCGGGGTTGGGGTGTAACGTAGTGTCGTGGACGGGTAGACGCGATAGGGGAGTGATATATGGAAGGTTGAGGGTGGTTAGGTTTCTGTTCTATAGTAGACCTTGAAAAAAGAGCTTGTTGGCAACGGCGTGGATCTTTATTTCAAGACCCCCTTCGGCCTTTGGGGCGAGGTGATGTTTAAGGATAACTGCGACTTGTAAATTGGGCGGGGTTCCTAGCGCTGTATCGCGCTGTTTATGGGATAGTCGTGCTTGACTCATCATGAGTTGCCCCGGCTGTGCCAAGAATATCTTGGGGGCCGATTTGGAGAGACGCCTTAGAAGGAGTCTGACGAATATCAATTCGCGAATGAGTATTATGCAGCTTGATAACTTGGAAGTTAGGTATCATAATGGTTGATCATAAGATATTGAGCCTAATTTTAATATAATCAGAAAAGCTTTACTGCGAGTGTCTGTGTGAATGTCTTCAGAAATATTAGTGAGTAGTTCACTGAGATTGGTTGACCAATGCGATTCCTCTAAGTAGAGCCTATTCTATCGATAAATTATGGTAGGATCAAGACTTTATATGAGAGACAACAATCACATAGAGTACTGTGGCAGGAAAATATGAACCTACTGAACTCGGATGTTCTCTCGTAGAGATGCGACACTGGTTTCCTCGAAACAGAAGCGAGCCACTATTCTGCATGTTCGATGGGAGCAAGCTTGTAACTCCGCCCATACCATTCTTTCCTCGCCGTAGCAAGAAAATTAATGCAACTAACCCATATCATCACCGTACGCTAAACATGGGCGCTCATCCACAGAAGCTAGTCGCGATCGTCATTAGCCGCTTCAGCCCTACGGTAAAGTGGGTCAGGGTTGGGATTCACACAACTTCAAGCAGGGTCGCATAGTTAGTAGCCGAGATGCTATGTTGCCAAGGCTATCTTCTTGCCTTTAAACTATTTAGGTACATGCTCACATCATGGACTACAAGAATAGTGAGCTTGCAATACTTTTACGCCGAGTCTGCGGCACAGTGTGAAGATGCAAGCATGATGCCTCGTTTCAAGGGCAACAGGCAACAGAATTTCTCCTCGAAGACAATTGGTGGTACACCGGGTGCGGGGCATACTAGTTGCAGGGCTCTACTACATAGGGCAGACATCTTCTTTGCGGAAGAACGAAATATTGAGTACAGTAAGTGTTTTCGAAACAGAGATCGAAAAAAGGCGGGACTTGTTCAAGAAGTAGCATTGACCGGTGGTCTTTGTGTTCTCATATTGAAGGAAGATACATTTGAACGCAATAAATGATATGAGCAATTAACAGTAGACCAACCAGAGAAACAAGAGCTCATTAATGGTTAAAACCAATCCCACAGTACTACTAATCCCTCAGACACGGGCTAGCGAGGTCATCTAATCAACCGGCAGTGTGTCACACGCGAAACAATCTTTCGTACAACACAAAAAATGGAAATTTCGGAGGAATTCCATCTGCCCCTGACGACTGTAGAGTCTCAGTAATTTGTTAATGAAGATACACGAAAGAGTTTCTGCTATCATACCTGTTCTCTAGATCAGGAGTGGATAAGGCCTTGCTCCATTTGCCCTGGAGTAGTACCCTTGGGATACATAGCAGCCTCGGGTTTCTGAATGGGGTTCGAATAAGACCATTGCTGTACTGGAGGCGGCTGAAAGGCGCTATTCTGAAGTTCTCTCTTCTTTTCCTTCTTTTCACGGCGTATCTTGACGAGCAAGACAATGACGACGGCGGCGACTATGACGAGGACGATGGGGATGAGAATCGCTTTGAGGAGCAGCTTGAGAAGGCCCATGTCGAGTGAGGAAATTGCGTGTTGGGTTAGGATTAGTGAAAAGAGAGATCAAAAGACCAGAATATAATCTCGATGATGATAGACATAAATGATTGCGACCTCAAGAAAGTATAACGAACGGCTTTATACTACAGCTCCTGCGTAGGGGAACCTTTCGAACGAGGGTGAAACAGATGACGGCTGCCTCGAGGCCAGAATACAGCGCGTATATCTAGAATTTGGTTGGACCGGAGGGATAATGGCCCATAGTTGTGGACAGGCTGTTGCCTGTGTCACATCACCGGGCCAATATCTAGCCTACCAATGACGGGGCAAGAACATTGCATCTCAAGGGTATACCTCGCAATAACTTCTTGGTATGAAGCTAATGGAAAATCCCAGCCTTATAGGGCTGTCGTGATGTGATTGTCGTTGCAGGGTGGGGATTACGGTCACAATAGTAGACTTTCCGTTCGTCTCCACTACTCCATATACTACTTTATCAGTAAGATTGATTCTTCCATTTCTCCTTAGAAGTATCTCTTTCAATAGAGATAGATATACTTCGTTCCTTCCCTTTCTGGTTTACCCCTCCTCCTTATGCATATTACTGTGGTCTAATACCCGGAAATATTATCTTCCGTTCATTAATCCAACTGCATAATTTAGCTATTGAGATATTTAATAGTTGATTATATTGAGTCTTTTTTTGATCATTTGAATCGATCTTTCTATCTTATGATCTTCTATACTGCCACTTATTCAATTAGTAGCTATCTACTACTAGGGTGGAATCTTCCCTCTTTATCCACTCTTCGTTCTATCTGGACAATCACCATCGTACACTAGAATCTGATACTTAACTACCTAAGTAAGATTGGGTTTTCGACCTCAGTCTGAAGGTTCGATGTTGGAAAAGCTGGTGATGGATTCTGGTGGCGTGAGAGAAAGCTACCTCGGACCCCCGCCTAGTTCGCGAAGATAAAAAGAAGTGGCATTTGTTTCTTGATTGTTTTACCTTTCATTCTTCATGATGAGTCACTGATATAATTTGTTGACTCTGCAAGTTGAATTAAATTGGAGTTCTCTTACACCTAAGGTAGAGGAGATTGAAATTTCTGATTGTCTTATCGCTTTGACCGAAGCTATATACTCTGGTAGCGGGTACATAACACATCCTAATTCGACCACGCGCAGTCGGTTTTCATATATTCAAATACTCCTTATAGAGCTAGGAGTGTTTTCTTTTATGAATAGCTAGCGGTAGTGCCCGAGTCTTCATTCAGGAAAGTGGTTCGGTATGAAAAGTAATTACGGATTTCGCAGGTATCGCAGCACAACCACCAACAAAATACGCGAAGCCACATTTCTCGTGAGATTTAAGCCGATGTCGTTAAGGAAAACCTGTATTTTTCCGTCATAGGCTGATCCATTAACAGTTTCTCAGTAGTATTGTATCTAGCAATGGGCGACAATACTAGAGTAAATAATCGCTAATTGAAGTTCATTTGAAGGATCTTTTTCTCCACCCTACTCTGCCGGCTAGGAGTCTAGGGGATCCGAGAGGCGCCTTGGAATTCCCGTACTTCTGTTGATAGATGTAACCCTGGGAACAGCTACTCAGCAGCACATAGCGACGAACTTCGGTACCAACTCGTTAACGGTAGGACTGAAGTGTGCTACTTTTAGTGGACGTAGAAAGACTCACAGTATTCGAGAAGATCCGCAAAGTGGGGACTGTCATGGGACCTGAATTCATCCAAAATGGTCCGCCATACTTAGGCTCCATATTTGAGATAAATTATCGAAACTTACCACTGTGCTTCACCTAATTAAGTAAATATGATTATCAATCCATCATAATTGAATAACTGGAACCACCACAATGATGTATAATTGACCCTTTGCATTAACCTACATCTGTCCTCCCGAATCAACCAGAATCATCAACAACCGACCACTCGAGTTTTAGCGGTCAATTCTAGAGACGGGTAAATACACTATACCATATGCTCTCCTTACATGCTTCCATGCTTTTCTTTCCTAGGGCTCTGTTAGGACCTAGGCGTTGTGCCCCTAGGCCTAACGTTGTGCGCTACTTATATCGGTCCCGGGCATGCTAGAACATAGCGTTCTAGCATATTTGGTCTTTTAGCTTGTTTGGTTAGTACGCCCGGGCACGTGCCGTAACAGGCTCCGCATATGTGCCGTGGGTGTAGGGAGAGCGGCCATGGGATTGAGACATATGTAATCCGCTATGTACAGTTTCGTCTATGCATTTTGATTGAATCAGTTGGTTTTTAATCGTAGTAGATTGAGTGCGCGGATCGAGCGGGAATTACTTTGATTGCCAGGCTACGTCAAAATCGTCTTTCTCCCCAGAAACAAGTTTCATCTACCGTGCTACTCTCATTCTCTTCGGAATCTTATATCCGATATATCGCTATGTGGCTGTGTGATCTCCTAGAGGATTTCTGGTAATGGCTTGAGTCGCTTGGGTTGGCGGCACTGAGGTCTGTTGACCATGTCGAAAAATTCGCCGATATTACCCGGATGGGACCCGGATAGGTGGAAGACATTCAAGGGTCCCCGCACACCTCAAGTCCTCGGTCCCCATAAACGAGCGCATCGGTTGGAGTATTACAAGGAAAATCGTCGAGACGGATACTTCGGATAAAACTGCGCGTTTGACTCTCAGCCAACGATTTGTTCTCGGCTCCTTGCCAGTTTGAAGAGTGGGTAATGGATAGATGCCGTCGACTTGGTGCAATAAGTTTTTGATTGAAACTGCCAAAAAGAAGCTGCGGTTGGGTTCGAGCCCAAACCAGGCATGGTTGGTACCAACACTTTCTATAACATGGCTGCCATAATATATATAACCTCGTCCGACGCGACCAAAAATTTGCACTACTAGTTCCATTTCATTGCTGAGCCCACTAATCGCTTGCATCGACGGAGTTTCTGAGCTTGGCTATCAAAATGGGTCACCTCGCATTGTCCAGGAAGAAACGCTACGCGCTAGTCGGCACCGGTGGAAGGGCTGGCCTGTTCTACACGAGCATTGCTAGCACCTTCAGCCAGACGAGCACCCTGGTTGCCATTTGTGATTCCAACCGCACTCGCTTGAACTACGCCAAGGTCAAGATCGACAACTTGACGGGTGATTCAATCCCAACGTATCTCGCTGAAGATTTTGAAAAGATGGTTGAAGAAACCAAGCCGGATGAGGTTATTGTCACTACTATCGACCGCACACACCACACCTACATTATACGGGCTTTGGAGCTTGGCTGCAATGTGATCACGGAGAAGCCAATGACCATCGATGTTCCGCAGTGCAAGCAAATCTTCGAGGCTGTCGAGCGTACTAGTCACAAAGTCAGAGTCACGTTCAACTACCGTTATGCGCCACACAACACAAAGATATTCGAAATCCTTCGATCAGGCGCAATTGGCACTGTTACTAGTATTCACTTTGAGTGGATGCTGAATACCAGCCATGGCGCCGACTACTTCAGACGTTGGCATCGTGATGCCAAAAACAGCGGCGGACTTTTGGTCCACAAATCGACCCACCACTTTGATTTAGTCAACTTCTGGCTCCAGTCTCGACCTAAAACTGTGTTCGCCCAAGGAGACCTCAAATTTTACGGGAAGAAAACTGCTGAGGAACGCGGGGTGACGAAGTTTTACTCACGGGCCCACGGCAGTGATATTGCTAAGGATGACCCTTTCGCTCTGAACCTTGAAGAGAACGAACAATTGAAAGCTCTCTACCTTGACGCTGAACATGAAGATGGTTATCTCCGGGACCAGAGCGTGTTCGGCGATGGAATCAGCATTGAAGACACGATGAATGTGCTGGTGCGGTACGAGGACGATACAGTCCTTACCTACTCGCTCACAGCGTATGCTCCATGGGAAGGCTTCCGCGTTAGCTTCAACGGAACCAACGGAAGGCTTGAGGCAGAGATTGTTGAGAGCAGCTATGTCAATTCTGGTGGAGAGCAGAGCCTGGAAGGTGCAGCTGAGAGTATAACACTTGTACTGCGACAATTGTTTCAAGAGCCGCGCAAAATTGAAATTGGAGAAGCAAAGGGTGGACATGGGGGCGGCGACAACTTGCTTCTGAATGATCTTTTCGGAGTGTCGGAACCCGACGAGCATATGAGAGCTGCTAGTCACATTGACGGCGCAGCTTCAATCCTGACTGGTGTCGCTGCCAATCGTTCAATCCGCACCGGAAAAGCTATGCAAGTCCGCAATATTCTTGAACTTCCTTGACCAGCACGGGTTTTCACTTAGAGTAAAGGGTGTAGTATTTATTCAAAGCAATAGAAAGTGTATTCTTGACTTCATTGAATCGTCTCAGGCTACTCCGTAATATTGAACTAACTGGAAACCAAGAAACTGTAAGTGCATGTCATAAGGCAAGCCGAGATCCTCTCGAAAAGATTTGCTTTGCTTGTCGGACATAGAAAACGTTGATGGCTCGCTAGATTAAAGGCCTTCTCCCTCCACTAATCTACCATGCTGCTATTCGTTACACTTTAATGTGTTATGCGTGGCTGCACAAAGGGCGAGATAGGGTTATGTACTTCTGATCACTGCTATCCTAAGTATCGGAAGGCAGCCCTCATCATAAAGATGGTTGATAGTGTGTGCCATTTCACTGTCTAATCCAGCCATTAATCCTCGCGAGTTTGTGGATTGAACTCTGCCGACTAGCATCACCAAATACAACCGGCGCTAGCTGGTGGCAAAGGAGGAGTGTAAGATCGACGGGTATTAGCCACGGGTATTAGCGACGGAAGAACAGACGGAAATGTTATAGGCAGCTCGGAACGAAGGCTAGCCTAAATTGCTTTCGGGGTCTACGCCACATCCTATTATCCAAACCACATTCCGTATCTCTGACTCGGCTGGTTGGGCGCTAATTCCTTGGCCGGAACCGAATTGTTCCTAGCAGCTTCCCCGCCTCTCTCAGCACCGACATGTGGGTCATTCTGGGGTTAAGGAAGCCAGTGTACTGTAGCGACCGACGAACCAATACCTTGACCCACCCCCGGATTTCCTATCACATTTGGTTTACCTTTCTTGCTACGAAAGTAAGATTTTTGAGCGATTTGAAATAGCACGGGTTGCACTATTTCAAGCATTGATTGGTGCGAAAAGCATTCGACCATTTGTAAGCCCATCATCCGGCGGGGGCTCTGGCTCGGCAACGGAACGCAGACGGGTGTATTTGAGCTATCTGCGATCCCGTTGGAGTCAAATAAACGGCTAAGACCATATATTGCCTTTGAAATCCAACAAGATTGTCAGCATCGTGACAACAACGACAATACGCACGAGTCAAAAAGAAGCTTTCGTCTCTTGCGCCTGCCTCTAACTATCAGTGGACAATGAAGGAAACCGATGATATTCGCGTCGTACCCGACGAAGGCAACAGCCCGGGCCAGGTGCCTTCAAACAAGACACGCTCAAAAGCGGTCGATTTCTTGGCCAGTCATGCAGCAGATGCGGTCAATTATACCTACGAGGAAGAAAAAGCTGTCCTGCGTCGTATCGACAAACGAGTCCTTGTTATCGTCCTATGGGCATACTTTTTCCAACAGTTAGACAAAAGCTCGCTGAGGTGAGGATCTAATTCAAAGACCAATTGGTTTGGGAAGTTTTTCATCTGACATTGTTTACAATCAGTTATGTATCGATTTTTGGCATTTCGGATGATGCTCACTTGGTTGGGCGCCAATATTCCTGGCTGGGATCCATCCTTTACCTTGCACAACTGGTGATGCAACCTCTTGCGGCATTGATCCTCGTGAAGCTTCCAACTGGTCGAGTACTGGCCGCGGCTATTTTCCTTTGGGGTTCTTCGCTTTCTATCATGACTGCTTGCACCAACTTCCCATCGCTGTTGGGGATGCGTTTCGTTCTAGGCTCATTCGAAGCTTTCATTGCTCCATGCTGCATCGCCATCACGCAGATGTGGTGGCGTCGAAGTGAGCAGACACTGCGTGTGAGTTATTGGAATGCGATGAACGGCATTACATCTATCATTGGCAGCCTAATGACCTACGGTCTTGGTCACATTCACAGCGATAAGATATACCGCTACCAGACTATTTTTCTCTTCTGTGGACTCACGACAGTGCTCTTTTCTGTCCTGGTATTTTGGCTGATGCCCGATTCTCCCGTGGAAGCCAAGTTCCTGAGTGAGCGGGAGAAACTTATCGCTGTGGAGCGACTCAGGGCCAACCAGATGGGCATTTCCACTCGCCAGTGGCGTTGGGACCATGTTCTGGAGACTATCGTGGATTTGAAGACATGGTGCTGGTTTTTCGCAATTATTGCTATATCGTAAGTGTCTGCATATATGTCAAGACTATGGGCACACACGATATGGAACTAACGGAGGCTTTTTTGAATAGCATCTCTAGCGGCGGAATTGGAACATTCGGTTCACTCATTGTCAAGTCGTTCGGGTTCAACAGCTTTCAGACTATTCTTTTCAACATCCCTTTCGGCGTCATTCAGGTTATCTCAATTTTAGGTGCTGGGTGGGTGGCTACAAAGACTCAACGAAAAGGCCTCGTAATTGCTGGGCTTAGCGTGCTACCAACAGTGGGGACAATCATGATGCTCACTGTTCCACGCAACCAAAGGGGAGTTCTCCTCTTTGGATATTACCTCGTAAGCCCCCTCTAGGATCATCGTGTCAAAACCGGATTGATAGCTAACGAGGTACTATAGGTTTCTAGCTTGGCAGGCATAACCCCTATGCTATATGCATGGCAAGCCCAGAATACCGCAGGCGAGACAAAAAAGAAATGCACATCTGGCATTGTTTTCATTGGCATGTGCGCGGGAAATGTCATTGGGCCACTGCTATACTCTACCGACGAGGCCCCTCTGTACCGGACCGGCCTTATAGCCGATCTTGCCATGTTTGTGACGGTCGGCGTCATCAGCGGGTACGATCCTATCGCACAGAAAAGCCATTGCTTTCACGTTAAGCTCAAATATACTAACATTGCAAATAGTCTAACTCCGTTTTATCTCGCATACCTCAACAGAAAGCATGAGAAAGCCCGCGCACAGCTCGGAAAGTCAGAGCATCTGGTGGACAGTTCCATGGTCGGCAAGGAAAAACTGCAAGAAAGCAAAGCATTGGAAGTGGAAGATGCTCGGGACCAGAGGACCTCGGTAGAGAACGACAAGGGATTGATGGATGTCACTGACCTGAAGAACGAAGACTTCATCTTTGTTTACTAATTATGGGCACCGACGCAGCTTTTCTAGATGACTACAAACTCGCGCTTTGCTGAAAACACTGCGCTACGTGGTTTTGTTTGTTCCTTCTTGCAGTGTTGTTGCCTCAACCGACGGAGCGGTCATTTTCCATGTAACTCAAAGTACCAGCTGTTGGGTTCCGCCATTACAATAAGAAATAGTATGTCCGATGTTTTCTCCTCGGTATATCCTTCTAGTGGTACAATATTGAGGTACACCTGCTTTGATGTTGCCACCAGTACCCAGTAACTGAAAGCGATTCGCGGAGCATATACCACTGCTTACAATCACTGTGACTGCCGAAAGCTAACCAATTTCCTCAGGTTTCAGGAGGATATTTCCACAATCTCAATTGTATCTAGCTTCAGATCCGTACCAGAACACAGGAGTGGAGGTTTTGGAACAAAGAGGATTTTGAGAACAGAATAAGCTCAGGCATAACTCTTTCACGTCTATTTAGTGCGGAACGCTAGGTTTCAGTAGGACATATAGCCAATGATACTATTATATCTAGGGGAAGAACGGCGCTATTGGAATTCGTGCATTCAATGACGCAACTAAATTTATAGAAACAAGGACGGAAAGGATCTATCTACTACTTTATGGCCCTTTTGTTCATAGGCGCGAAACCTGCCACCTGGATTCTCCCCCCAAACGCCCGTTCGCCGGTTGCCTAAATTATTCTAATCGATATAGCTTACTTCTTTATGGTACATAGGACATTCAATCTACCCAAGGTTAGCTTATCGTAATATAAGTGGGGCTCTGGGAAAGAAAGCGTCTCCAGAGCATGAATAGTTTTAGCTTTTTCAGAGATGCGATTTCCAAAATGAGAGCGCTGAATTTTGATGATCAGCTGCAATATCCCTCGAATCGCTTGAGGTTTCGACTTTCTCTGCTCTAGAGTTACTAGACTATTTGGCTACGCATGAGTGAAAAACAACACAGATTGGAGAGCCGAATTATATACGTTTACTTATAATTGGCGTATTTCAGCAAATAGAAATATTGAAAATCTATTGTAGAAACACGCAAGCATGCTCATTATGTGTGGGGGTTGGCAACCTTGAGATTCATTCGCTCGGGCATCAAGAAAGCTATTGTAGTCCGCGCGAACGTCATTCGGCTAACGAAATAAATATTCAGGACCGACATAAATCTGCGGCCAGTCGTTTTACCTCAGACAGGAAACGTATCCTTGGTTTGGATATGAACAAGCTGGCTGTTGGTAGCATTGATCGTGATATTTGTTCCACTGGTAGTAAATGGATATGTGCCATTTGCCACGAAATTACCGCCTGAGTAGTACCCATACTCAACTGCATCGATGCCGTAACCTGTAAGGCCATCGATGTTGAAAGTTGCATTTCGTGTACTGGCCAGCAAAATAGTATGGCTACTCCGCACAATACCGAATCCAACACCACCAGTCGAAGCAGGTGTGAACATCACGGGAAAGTCCAAAATGTTGCCCTTATCGAAGGTACTGTTGCTGAAAGGATTAAAATAGACTAGCTTCGTTCCATTGGCGCCGCTGGGTCTTTTCGACGACAAATCCAGAGCTAAGGACTTCAATAAATGATTGGTGTCGACGACATTGGAGACGTAGGAGCTGCGGGCGACTGGGGTGAAGTCATCCGTGGTTGTGCTTTTTGGATAATATAATCCAAAATTATCAGGGCCCATATATTCGTAGACGTTGTAGAAGGCTCCACCAGCCAGGGAAGCAAGTAGTAGCGATTCAGCACTGGATGCAGCACCCGAGTTCTCCATAACTAGGGGGAGGTTAGACCCTAGGGCCCAGTTCTCGTTAGAACCGCCGATTGCGACCGTTTGGTGACCATAATCGTATAGAATGCTCGTGGAAGTGGAATAGGGATCGAGACCAACAAAGTCTAGACTGGTACCGCCCGATAACCTCATCTGCTCGTTGTACTCGATGGATTTTTCCTCGGCCGTGGTGAAGGTGTTTAACCTGGTCCAAATGGGGTAGTTTGACTCCTTGACACCGTTTGCCAAATTTACCGAGTACTCCCACTCTGTGCGGGCGACAAAGGCTGCCTGAGATGAAAAATTGACATAGGCGCTCCAGGTGGCTGGGTTGTGCCAGACAGTATCACCAACCCCGTGGATATGCGTGACTGAGTTCTCATTAGCTATATCAATTCCGATAAGCGTTTTCTTGTCTCCATTTACGGTGTTATATACCGCCACATGGTTCATCAAAGCTTTGAGAGCCGTCTTCTCAAGTGCTCGAAGGGAGAGGTCATTTTTGTCTGCCAAATACCAATAAACTCCATAGCCGTAACCTTGATTCTTGAGCATAACGGGCACAACGGTGCCATCTGATTGAACTTTTTGTACCAGATTGTGGCGAAAGACAAAGTATGGGACTCGAAAGTCTTCAGTCGAGCTGGTGCTGTCTGAACCAAACCAGATGAACTCAAGCTTGATTCCAGCAGCCCCAGCCCATTTTAACATATTATCCACATGGGTAAAATCCCAGCTGTTCGTGCTCGATAGCCAAAGTTGAGGGGGAGAGGCGCCCTGGGCACCGTCAAGACTAGCACCGTTGGTGAGAGTACTGCTGTTCACCTGCGATTGGAAGATGAAGCTGGCGATTTTATCTGGGCAGTTATTGCTAATGAAGTCGGAAGCATCGAAGTCGTAGTAACTAGCTTTGTTGATTGGATCCCATGATGGGCTGGAATCAGCAAACCAGTAGTCTGTATTTTTGACGCCTGAGACATTGACACCGTCATGGGAAGGGGAATTGGCCCAAGTGATATCGGATGCCGACCAAGTATTGTTGGCTATACCGTATAGATTAGCGGAGAATGGTGCGCTGTTGTCAGGGGCTACATTCACGTAGATGCGCACTTTCGCAGCATCGATTTGATCGAGCGAATAGTCGCTGAAATCGAATTTGATGTATGATAACGCCTGGTTCGATTCGTTGCCGGATTCGTACGCAATTCGGAGTGTGCTGTTGGCCCCATAATTGGTGTTTTCATAGCTACCGCCGCGAACGTATGCTGACTCTGTAGCGTTGAAGCAGGTGTCCGGTTGGATGTCAGCCCAAGTGAGCTGCGAATTGATCACGGTAAAGCCGTCGTTGGCCACGAACTGGAAGAAGGGCTCGATCTGAGCATCGGTCATGTTCCAAGCTGCGGCCATCTTGTCGATTCGTAGTTGCACGCCATTATAGAAGAATGGCTGCTCATCGACCATAAGCACAATGCGGTCATACGTTGAGAGACTGTGATCAACCCGCGAGATGTTTGCCACAGTTGGGAACGATGGCTTAAGGGTTGGATCAATGACCGGAGTTGCAGCGAAGCCCACACGGGCCATTAAGAGGGCGGCAGCCCAGATTCTTGAAGTCATCTGTAGCAAAGATAATTGTTGCCTCTGGGCAGATCAAGCCGTACTAGGTCACCCAGTATCGAGGGTCAAAGGGTTTGAGTAATCACCAATCGTCAATCAAGGAGACTGATGAAGCAACACAGCCAAGTGACATCTCGCAGGGCCTGGTGGCTTCCTTTAAAAAGGGGCAGTGTTGTGGGATAACACGTTCCGGTTGCTGTTGGCGGAGCGGACTAGCTGGCGTGCCTCTTTCTCCCATCACGTGTTCGAATTCCGAATTCCTATCCGTAGTACGGAGTACGGAGGATAGATTACACTATCGGTAGTCTGAAAGACTGACGGGCTTTGGGCCCCATAACGGGGTGTGGTTGCGCAGCTTCTCTAAGCTTTCTATCCGTAAACCTACTATCCGAGGCCCAAACGTTTAAGGTTGGGCCGTATTGGAAGCTGAGTCCCAGGGGATCATGATGCCCCGCATATCCACACGGAAAAAAGGGGAATTGAAACGGGACAACCAACGGGTATGCAGGTTGTACAAAGGAGTGTGGGGAAACTGTGGGGAAAAGGAAAGAAGCTGGTCGCTACGCGAGTCAGTCTCTTGGATTTCGACCCAGTGGGCATACCAATTTCCACCTATGACAAGGAACTAGACAGAAAACCTAACTTTCTAATCTTGATACGGATGATTGAAGATTACTGCAGATTTAGGTCTTTACCGGTTCGCTCGGGGTCATCTTCCCCACCTTTGCTTTCGTCAACGACCCTAGCTGCGAATGGATTAGTCGACCTCGCTAAGTCCGCCAAGTTTTGGACTTTTCGATTCTTTTTTCTTTCTCTAGGAAGCGGGGTCGTATACGGCGGACTATAGTGGGCACCCTGCCATAACCCCAAATTCTACTAAGTGCCTTCACCGCTTCTTCCACCGCCACCAATTCGTCTACCGCCCTATGCGCCCATGCCGAATTACCCTTTTGTAGTCATGCCCAATCATGCAGTAGCCGTCTTCAGGCTAGGTTGGATGATGTAGGCTCATCACATCTTGTAGTATGATGCTCTATATGGCCTGAACTGGTTAGCGAAATGAATACTAATCTGGCTCTTAATATCATACTTGTATTGTAATTTTTAAGGCCCGACGCCGTGGACTTGAAGCTTCGCAAGTGCGTATATATATTCAACGTATACCACCAACTTCCGTGCTATCAACTTCTTCCTTTCCGGTTTACATATTAAAGATGGTACGCCCTTCAATCGATCTTGACACTTATAAAGATGAGATTACCGCCCTTTTTAACCAGCAATATACCTATGAGGCTATCTGCCTAGAACTTGCCCAGCGCTATTCAATCGAAATTACACATCGTACCCTTACCCGGCGTCTTCAGCGATGGGGTCTTCGCCGTCTACCTCCGAAGATGGTTGATAATGAGGGTCTCCGCGAGCGTATTCAATCTCTTATAACCGATAACTACTCAGATCAGGAGATCCTACCAACTTTACATCGCGAGGGAGTGCAGATTACTATTACTACAATTAGAAGAATACGGCAGCAGCTTGGTCTTCGCCTACGTACTGATAATCCTGAGGCCCAGCGTATACAAGAGAATCAGATGAGAGAAGTTATTCGGCAAGAGATTCCGGTTGGTAATATAGAAGGTTATGGGAAAGGCCTTCTATATACCCATCTTCGTGAAAGGGGTTATCTCTTCCCGCGGTAAGCGTAAGCGCTTTATAATTCTGATTTATATACTAATTACTATTATAAAGAGACCGACTATTCGCTATCTATCGAGATGAACGTCCGGATGCGCTTCGCCGCAGGATACTAGATCTCCAGCGCCAGCGGCAAGCGTACCAGTCACCTGGTCCAAATCATGTATGGCATATGGATGGCTATATGAAGTTATCCCTTTTTGGTATTGAAATTTACGCTGCAATCGATGGATACTCGAGATATATCCTCTGGGTCTATATTGGTGTTTCTACAAGGACCGCAATCAGCGTTTATAAGCAATACATTGAAGCAGTATCGACCTTTGGATATCTCCCACAGGTAATACATAATCCTCTATACACACAATCCTCTCTATATAAAGGATACTACTGAAAAAGATATCAGGTTCTACGTACCGATCTTGGCGGAGAGACAATCTATCTTGGTGATGCCCATTGGGCACTTCGCCGCGTGGCCTATCCAGATATACCGCATACAGATTGCTATTCATATGGCAAAAGTACTGAGAATACTCGTATTGAGGCCTGGTGGGCGCAGCTTTCGCGATCAAGCGCATTTATATGGCGGGTAAGCAGTAATTCGATTCTTACATAAGTAAGAAGAGATTCTTTTTAATTCATCTCAATCTAATTCTATTCGATTAGAACTACTTTGCTGTTCTTCGAGATGAGGGTCTTTTCTCAATTACCAGCCTTCCTGATCAGATCGCCCTTCTTGCGATTTTCATGCCTATAATACGCATAACTATCGGTTCCTTTGTGGGTACTTGGAATCGTCATCGAATTCGCGCGCAACCAAAGCGCCCATGGGTAGTTGCTGGAAAGCCAATTGTTCTATATAACAATTCAACCCAGGACCTAAAGCAATTGGCAGATCCTATACTTCTTGAGACCTTACGCCAGGATACAGCCGATTGGGATGCAGATGAGTACCTTCCACCAGATACCCTAGTATGGTGTATGCATCAGTTAGAAGATATAGGGTTTAACCCATTGAATCCTCCACCAAGAGACGATCCAGCTCAGCCATACAAATTAATATATATTGAGCTTAGGCGGCGGGCAATCTTACATGAGCAATCAGGTAGGTACTTCACTAATTCTATACATCTACGAGAGGCTAATACTTATATGGATAATCAGGTAATACACCAATCTTGCAAATCTGCGAGAGGCCAACACAGGGCAATTGGGAGAACTGGCAAGAAGGGCGATCATGAGATTCGTATTCAGTGTATAATACAGTGTCATTTCTATAGATAATACTATGAGATTTTAGTACTATTTAATATAGTATCGTACTTTCTATCCTACATTTTTAATTAAGCGCGTTAGCCTATATTAAGTAATAGGTATTCGTCTTACCGCTACTTCTTATTATGTAGTAGAAATCGATGTTAAAAGAGATGAATTGCCCACTAAATTGCCTACTAAATTGCCCATTGAATTGCCTATTGAATTACTCGATATTCAATATGGCTCCCTCCTATCGTTCGGAGATTCTTGAGCTTATCAATTTAACTTCCTCCCCACCTCCATCACCACCCCCAGCTTCTCAGTCTTCTTCTAGTGCTACATATCCACCAATTCCTCCACCAATTGAACCAGTCACACAGTATACACAATCTGCACAGTATACACAATCCTCCCAGTACCCACGGAATCAATCTTCTCACGCTCTTACTAGCGTCTCCGGGGTAACTAGCGAAATCCGCACACAGCGAATTCAGGGTGGTCTATTTAGTCAGCAGCGGACTGGAACCTTTCCAAATACCAATACAAAAAAGTCCTTAGTACAGAAGTCCTCGCAGAATTACCTAGTCAGCAAAGGTCAAATCTTCGTGGAGATTACATTCTATATCTGGCACTGCGAGGATATTACATCGAAGTATCTCGAAGAGTTACACTCAGCTTCGCATGTATTAACGCCATATACAATTTCAACTCTCGAAGAATTCATCGCAAAGGACCTCCTTCCTGCCCTCGACCTTACTATTTGCTCATTCGAGAGGCAACAGAGCGACCAGGTTAGGCTTGCGACTTCAATTAAGAAGCATAAGCCGATATTCCTTACCTATGATAATACTAGCCGCCAGGCCAGTGAAGATATCATGGAGCGCTTTCCATTAAGCGGCAATCAGCGCCAAATCAACGTTATCTTTGTGAGATCTGACCAAAATGTGAAGGCAGAGCAAGAGATTAAGCCTTCTAAGATTTGCAATCGCAAGCCTCGGCGACCAAGGGTTCACCGAGTGCAAATCAAGAAAGAATTAGAGGATCCTCAGCCAGAGGATGACGATTCAGACCTTTGGCCTGAGCTTCTTTCGCCATCGGAGCTCTTTGGCCCAAGGCAAGAGGATAACCAGGAGGATAACCAGGAGGTTATCCAGGAAGTCAGCCAGGAGATTAACCAGGAGATTAGCCAAGAGGTTGCCCCGGAGGTTGCCCCGGAGGTTGCCCAGGAGGCTATACGTCCTCGCCGCCGCCAGCGGGCTACCTCGAGTACTAATTCAATCGTTTCGCCGCCTAGGACCCGAAAGCGATATCGATTAAAATCGCAAGATCACGAGCGCATGCAGGCGTCAGGGCCCATCGCCCCATCTTGGTCACGGTCGCAGGATTGAGGGGTAGGTCGCAGGATTGAGGGGGTTGGTAGTGGGATTTGTGGAAGAATTTGATTCAACATCAAATTGTGGGTTGTATATCGGTTCTAGCATTAAAATTGGTCAGTTAATTCAATCAATTTCAATCGTTTTACCGGGGGAAATCGCCTTTCTGCGGGGTATATAGGAAGTAAAAAGATTGTATGGTAGATTGTATTGGAGATTGTGTGGTAGATTGGGTAGCAAAGAATGGCAGAATCGGAATTCTGCCGTTTTAAAATCGCCGACCAGGGGTTATGGCAGGGTGCCCACTATAGTCCGCCGTAGTCGTAGGCGGGAAGGAGTTTGTGAACCTGTATTTATCCATCTCCCATAGACTCCCTCCGTCTTATACCCGCTTACCCGCTTCCGCATCGGGTCCTACGCGACTGCTCAAACATCCACCTGTGCACACTACTTGGGTATCCCGTACCCTGGAAAAATCCGACTCGATGGAGACATTACCGGAACTCAGCCTTCCCGACAAGCAATATAGCATGGCCAACTTTGATGACACTATTCCGTTCGCCGCGTCTGCTAGGCCGGGCAAGAGACTGCGTGTCGCGCGCGCTTGTGACCGGTGCAAAAAGTAAGACACTAATCTGTTATCGAACAATACCAAGACACATGACACTTCGTTTCTAACCAGAAAAAGTTGACTGACTTTGAGATTAGGAGAAAGATACGGTGCACAGGTACTCAGCCCTGTAATTTTTGTGCTCGTGACAACGAAACTTGTATCTATGTTCTGCATAATAAACGTGGACGGAAACCCCGTTCGAGTATGTCCGCTGCTACATTACATACAGTCGTCGAAACCTCGCACATGAATGGAACTCTTCAGCGAAACGAACATCTCGAACAACAGAATGTGGATGTCACTTTGGGGACCTTTGCCGCCAACCTCACCTCCGGTAACGCTTTGGATCGAGAAGCCATATCGAGGGCATCGCCGGATGCTATTACAGACGTCCAGGGTCATTATGTTGGCCCTGCATCTGGGCTGTCTTTCTTAGCGCGCGTCCGGAAGCGTCTCAATTTCAATGATCAAGCATCATCGTCTTTCACCTTTGGAGATGCCCCAATGGCTGATCATGACCCGACTCCATCTATCATGATCTCCTCGGAAGAGTCATTGCGGTTGGTTGAAAGGTTTTTCGACTTCACAGTACCCATTGATCGGATAGTCCATCGGCCAACGATAGACAACTGGCTCCGGGAATTCCAGGATACCATGGGAAGCATGAGAGACGTTGAGAATGCTTGCGCTCAACGGGCTATACTCTGGATGATATTCGCCATGGCTCAGGAACACGGAGCTCCGGAAAGGACTGAAAAGACCGAAGATAGAAGGTTTGGGTTCCAGGACATTGCATCTAAATCTCCTACTTCGAGTCATCATAATCATCCATGCTAACACAGAATGGTAGCGTCCGCTATTTCTTAGCAGCTGACTATCAGCTCTCCAAAGAACGAGGTGTGGTGAGCCTGACTAGTGTTCAAGCAAGGCTCTACCAATGCTTTTGGCTCCTTTCGAGATCCCGAGTAAATCACTGCTGGGGCTTGTTTGGGACGGTAGCCCGACTCGCTCTAGCACTGGGTCTTCACCGGAGACAGTCTGGGCGACATGACAGCTGTGCCAACTGTACTGGTCAGGACTGCCGGCGCAGAACCTTTTGGAGTGCGTACTGTCTGGATGCGCATCTAAGCCTCACCTTAGGTCGCCCCAGGATATTTCATGACGAAGATATTGATCAGGAACTACCTTCGGGAGCTGATGACTCAAACCTGAGTGACGATGCTTTAAAGTCACTGAGTAGTCATGGCTACTCCAAGATGGTTGCTCCCGTGGCATATTACAGGTAAGAGTCCTACATATTCGGCAATTCTGGCGGCGATTGGAATGGGACATGAACTCTGATAAATTCTAGGCTCCACCGAGTTCTTACTGGAATTCTCCGAGACTTGTACTCAATTCGCCCTGTTTCTCTAGAGAAACAATGCACGCTCGCGGGGCAATATTCAATAATGCTCGAGGAATGGCGCGACAGCCTTCCCAAGTTTTTGCAAATAGATAACGGGGAGATACATCCTCTCATCGCCATCTATCAACGGCAGCGAGATGTCCTTCACTACACCTACTGGCACGCGATGATTCTCACTAATCGCCCCCTCATGTTGAGAGGATTCACCAATGGCTCAGAAAGTGGCACAGAGGTAGCTTTCGAAAGCTGCGGAGCCTATGTTAAAGATGGCATAGATAGATGCTTGCAGGCAGCTATGAGAGTTGCTAATAGGGTGTGCCAGATGTTTGAGGACGGCTTGATGTTTCGGTCTTTTTGGGGTGAGGCTTTCCAAATTCCACAAATGCAAAACACCTATGAGGTCATACTAATCAGCATAATCGGAAAGGGAACCTGTTACTATGGATTTGCAGCTAGTGTCGTTCTTTTCGTCTACACAATTCAGAAAGCTCCATCTCTCGCTGTTGAGGATCTGCATCATTTGGAGACCGGAGCTCGTTGCCTGGGCCATCTTGCGACTTTCAAAAAACATACCCCTCTTGTCGCACGTTATGTTCTCATACTAGAGGAGTTACAACAGGAGGCACAGAGGCGTAGTGAGGGACAATCCACCCCGTCGGATTGTAGCATAACAGCCAGTTACACCGATGCTGCGGCAGTTGAGTATGCCAATATTATCGGTGTACGGATGCCTTTTCCAGCTTCTGGCTATGAAGACTTTGGTGGCGCACCTACTGATCTTGCATCTTGGATGCAATTTGAACCGCTGGTAAGAGGGAACTCTCGATCTACAATTCTCTTGAAACTTACAGTGTATGCATTAGCTTTTGCCGACCTAGCCTAGGGGGCTCACGATCAATAGCTCCTTTTCCGGGTTCAGGGGTTCATGCTCAGGAATACTGCATGTCAAAGTCAAAAGCCGGGGGTGGGGGGTTGGCTTCCTTAAAACACTTACACATGGGGCTATAGGTGTAGACTTAGGGTATAATGGAGACACGACCGCGACCTTTGTGTTTGGTGGAGCTTGGGCGAACGTGATCGACGCTGTCACTCGAAGTAAGGCATCCTTCCAGCCATACGTGACTATCCAGGTACGCAACACTCGTCTGGCCGAAGCAGATGTATCGGAATCGATCGATATCTCTGATACTTCTACGTAAAGTTTGGTCACAACGACCAAAAAAGTACTTCGGGCGTCACTCTCGCTGAATACGCCACGAACTTAGAAAATATGGCCCAAGCCGTCCTCTCTGCTGAAGGAATACCAGTACGCAAAACCAATAGATATTCCGACAATTAACAACACTAACCACCGATCCCAGATTCTAGTGACTCCTCTGTCTAGACGAACTTTCAATTCGACGACGGGACTGGTTATTGAAGACTTGGCCACGCAACGGAACATCGCCATCACCGTCTCGGAGTCCATGGGCGTTGATTACATTGACTTGAGTCAGGCCAGCACTAGATATCTAGATGCAATTGGCGCTTCTGACTGGGCGTCATACAACCGTGTTGCAACTGACTATACGCATTTGAACCCCACGGGCAGCGTAGTATTCGGAAACATGGTGAGCTGGCTACTTCTTAACAGCACCGCGTTAGTGCTGATCTACACCAATACACTGTTCCCAATTCTGAGATCTTGACTGCAATCAAAAACAGCAGCTATATCTACCCTAGCGCCTGAGAAACACGGGCGGTCCAAACCAGGCTGTAGGACGCTGCAAATCTGCCAAGGCAGTTCGAAGGTTGAAAGAAAAGGAAGGCAATGTCGCAAGCTACTTCGAATGCAATGCATTAGACTGAAGCCGCAGTTAATCTTTGAAGTCGAGGGAACTTATTTTATGTGCACGATTTATCTAATATTCCGTAGATTCCGTAGTCGCTGCATATGATCTTTTCATCAACAATAAAGACAATCATGTTTAGCTCGACCTTGTCCCTAAACCTGATTCTAGCACCACCCTGCCATATTTTTCAATAGTTCCCTCTTTTGCAAGGCTGTAGGTTGCCCAATTAAATGCTTGAATAGTTCGCACGTGGTACACGTGGTACACGTGGTGTTTTAGGAGACTCTAGTTGGGGCACCCGTACAGGTCTGCGGAAGATCGGCACGATCCATGAGATTCATATACACCGGTTGAAGGGTGAATAAGTTGGTTGCTGCTGGGCGTCACGGTTTACTGTTCTCTTATAATGCCTAGAATGCGTATATTTGCTAACGCAGCAACTCTCACCTTTCTCCTATTCACTGTTTCTTCTCTGTTGTTCCCTGTTCTCACCGATCTTGGCCAACATTTTGACTTCTCCGGAGAGAAACGAGTCGAGAGCTTTGATTTTAAGGCGACCGAATTGGAGGAAAGTTGCTTCCATAGCAATATCGACCCAACAGACGCTATGCCTAAAGTGGTTCACGTCATATCAACAATACCGAGCTAAACTTTATAAGTTACTTGACCATACGATCAGCTTGGTTATCTCTACAACCCGATCATATCAACCTCCAGGTAACCCATCTCAATGAGCAAAATGAGTGGTTGACGAAGTTACGTGACAATGTGACTCTTGTGCAACTCGATCCAGAAACAGAATACGGACAACAAATCAAGGATGAGTGGCAGATACCTCACATCGCAGATTTGCTCCGGCTTGATACCATTGCCAAGGAAGGCGGAGATCGACATGGGCTATGCAACGCGATCATCATCGGCCGCCCGGGCTCTTCCTTCATTAATCGTTGGCGCGAGAGCTATAGCACCTTTGCCACCAACGAGTGGAACTACCATCCTGTTAAACTAGCCAAGGAGTTGTCTTTTTTGTACCACGATGAAATTTGCCCAATTTCGCCTTCAGTCTTTCATTGGCCGACCTGGACCAAAAAGCCATATCCGGTATATGTATGAGCCAATTACACAAAGTGAAGCGCAGACCTTTGAAAATGCAATCATCGAGAATGGAGGCGGAATGTACCTCGATCAGCTTGCATGTCATGCGTGGAGCCAAGTCGCATCCACTTATTTGAAAGATCTCAGCCCAGAGAAAGTGGATTCTCAGAACACTCGATTTAATATACTCGTTCGGCGATTCATTGATTGAGTGGATCTTGCCTTTGCATGCAGTCACTATGAAATTATCGCAAGATTACGAACAACTGCTTTGGAAAGAGGAACAAGGGGGGTTTGATTATGCCTGGATTCAGGAACGGGAAAAAACATTACCATAACTACTGCAAGGGGCCGAAAGATTAGGAGGAACTCGTAGATTATGGATTCGATTGATCGAGGACCAGTCCACCTTTGTCCAAGAAAATCGGTCTCCACTCGATATAATGAACCGCCTCCACCAGGTCACCACATTTATAGTTAAACTTAACAACTCGCTAGAAAATGAGTCCTGAGGACTTGTTATCGGTTACGGAATTTTCAGGGACAATCATATGTGTTTTGGGACTGTTAGGGTGAGAAATTATCAATTGCGGCAAAAAACTTAGCCTCCGTCAAATCGCTAGGGCGTTGGGCAGCAGTTACTAGTGCTGCACGGAACTAGAGCCGGCGATACATCGGCACAGCTCGGTTAAGACTCGGCCTCCTCCGAGAGTTCGCCGTAGCCCAAACTTGAGTCAGGTACTAAAGTAAAGAAAAATATTTTTTGCTTAATTTTAATTTTATAGAAGGCCGGCTTATAGTTAGGGTATATATTCATCATTAAACCCCTTATACTTTCTCACGTTGTTCGAGCGTCTTTCAATCCACACTCTCGCCCAACACCCTCCAACAATTTTGACCATGAGCAAATCCTCCGCCTCCTCTCTCACTGAGATGAGCGTCTCAAGCAAGTCGCATAATGAAACCGTCATTTCACGACTGAAGAAGCGCATGGAGAGCGTCCAGAAAAAATGGGGCCCCCTTATGGCCGCGAAGGAAGACCTTGATGACGAGTACAATTTCCCTCAAGGCCCGTATGCTGGCCAAGGTATTCCCAAGAGGACGAGAAACTGGTGAGTGTGCTTCACTTAGTGTTGAGATACAATATGATCGGGTTTTACTGACATTCCTTGGGTCTTAGAACTCTACCAACTCTCAACGAAGCATTACGACAGCCATGAATTGCACCTACCTCAATTTATCCTTTTCATCGATACCAACAACAGCAACCTGGGAGGCCACGAGGGAGAGATCTGGAATACGCGAATAATCTCCATAGCTTCCAGATTAATACAAGAAATACCTGTCACCTAGTTAATAAAACAAAATTTTCATATGTATGTATAGATCAAGAGATCAGATAACAAAACTAAGGGACCTGCCTCCTTTCCCGCCATTCTGACTGGGCGCTCGTCTAACCATGATATCGACATGCTTAATGGCCTATGCTCTCTAAGTATAACGGTATAGATACTAGTCTAGCCACTATAACTATGACACTGTATAAGGCGGTTGCAGAGCGAGTGCTTTGAGTGATATTATAGAATATCTCAATTATAGGGAAGCCCGTCGTTGTCTCAAGCGCGGAGCTAAGGCCTCCCATACAGAACAGCAGGGCTATTAGAAACCCTAATCCCAGTGTTCCATTAACCAGTATAGTACTAATCATCGCGATGGGTATATCTGATCTCGGTCTACTCATCTCTTCGCAGAGGTGAATAGCTCCGTCGTACCCTGAAATTTAGAGATAATTAGATTAATATTATAAACGTTCTTTCTTTTTGGGCACATACCGACAAGAATATAGCAGCTAGGCAGCATACCGATACAACAAACGATGTCATTACTTCCCCAGCCAGAGCTATTGATGGCATCGACGAATACGAATTCCGCTGTGTGTTTTGTGAGAAATGCAACGCATATTACCACAAGGACAATCACGAATGCCACCACATGAAATCCTAGTGAGAGGGTTTCAACCAACGGGAGCACACGACTTCCTTGGATGTTCATAATTGCTGAAAACAACAAAATTGCCCAGTAAAACAGTGTGCCTTGCCATCTCTTAGGAACTTAATCGTCGTAATTCAGGACTAACAAGCCCTGGATCATTGTGCCCGATAAAAAGGGAGCACTCGCTACAGCTGCTACCCATCAGAAGGTACCTGGCTACAGTATTAGCTCTATCATATGGGAACATTCATTAGAGCTAATATCTTACTGATCCACCCGACAACCCAGCTCAGAGCTCGCTCAATGCGTGGGGGGGGCCATCTTGCTGATGAAGTGGTACTGGCCTCCTGCGGTCGAGAGAACCTTTTTCGAGAGCATGAGAGATCAGTCTAAGACAGCACTTCAGAGAATAAAATTTAAATGAATATTATCTCACATAAACACCTATTATCTCACATAGACACCAACTCCGCAAGAGAACCTGCAGTGGCCAATGACCCGATGAATGCAACTGATGTGTTGTTAGCTTGGTTTTGATTCAACAGGAGACAAGTATCGCCCGACTTATGAATTCATAGACTAGCGCAGGCAGCCCTCCACTAACGAGACTAGTGACCATTGTACTAAAATCGGTATGAGTTGGGTTAGCGTTTAGTTAGATTCCAAGTATTAACATTACCTGCATAATGCCTCCCAGGTGGCCATTAGGGAGACACTCAGAGAGATCATCGAAAACTTCCCAAATTTGTGCTATGATTGGTTAATTATATCAATTATCCAAGCATTCAATACAGTGCCGGTATACTCACAGTCACATGGTTCATTTGTCCATTCTCCTGGTCTGCTTCGGCATCGCCAACATTTCCTTCTGTCTTGATCATTGATGAACTTTTGTGCTCATGATTGATGGTATTGTTGATATCGTTTCCAAAGGCCAAGAAATACTTGGAAATATGTAAGAACTTATTGTTCATGAGTAAATTAAATCGCTGAACTCATTCCGCTTTACTGGTTGCTATCGTAGCAATTCGCAGCCCTTGTCCCGAAACGCTGATATAACACGAACCAATTGGAACAAACTGGTAATCAGATATGGATGCCGTAACTTTATTGTTAATAATATTTAAATAGAGAATATAATATGTAAGAAGAATTATAGAATGAGGATACTCCTTCAAAGCCGCATTACGTAAAAGATAAAGCAGGCTATGAATCGGATATGAAAGTGGCACCGACTTTCATTTTCCCGAATTCCTCGGCGACACTGACATGAGATCTTCGACTATGGGTGTTTCCTAACAAGGATACTTACTGAGGAATTGCTCTAGTTCGCACCATTCCTAGATCATGCGAGTAGTTCCGACATCTGCGACGACGACAACAATTCAATACGAGGTCTTCCGGCATAAGGACGCCCCTGGACGGAACTTTCAAGGAGCTGGACGACTTTTTCAAACAAGTTGAAACGAAGGCAAAATCTTTGTAAGGGAGTACAGAAGAAAATAAATACAGGCGTATATGTTAGCGGCGAGTTACAGCCTTAACGAGAAGGTGACTCTTGAAAAATACCTCGAGTAGGGCAAAATACTGACACAGGCTACTACAGCCTCTCATCAAAGATATGGTGGTGTTCTACAAATTAGTCTAAAAACAATATAGGAAAGATAATTCTTATTCCGGATTCTGTTACTATATATTGAAACAGTTCTTAATTCTGATTAAATACACAGGGAATACTTTAACAGGGAACCTCATGTATGCAAATAGTTGACTAAATGGAATGTTCCGACTTTACTATCACGCAGAAACTAGTTTTACCTGAACGAGAAGGAGCAGCTATCCAATCAAGGTTCAAAGATACTCTTGCTATTCCGGGAAGCCAAGTCTTCACAATTTAAGCTAGGAGTTTACAAGTTCTGAGTACCCTGAATCGAGAAAAACAAACAGAAACTCGAATACATAAATCAAAGAACAATTAACTTCACATCAGACTCCAAAAAGGCAGCCAAATACAACTAGACCCTCGAGATCTCGCCCAGCGGGAACCGCACCCAGGTAGTCTCAGGTAGCATCAGTCCTGACCCACCGGCATAAGAGGCACAAAAGGCACAGATAACTGCAAAAGCCCCACCCGCCTTATTCAAATTCCTGCTGGCAGTAGCATGCTCCGTCGCAGTAAATTCGGCCAGGCTAAGGAAGAGGAAAGCGAGAATCAGGAAGAAAAAGACAGAAAGAATGGCAATGTTAGTCCGAAGCGCAGCAATAAAAAACAACACAGTCAGGAAACACCACATGATCAAATAAATACCGATCGCAAAAGTATAAGCTCTCTTGTCACCGTTATAGGCAGCTTCGATACCGAGGTAAGGCAGCATGAACATTCCGAAACTCAGCCAGAAGGCACCGTAGGCACAGTGAACTGTAGTACCAAAAGTGTTACCGACACGGAATTGCATTAGACCCGCGAGGATCTGGGCAGTTCCGCCCATGAATACTACGATTCCAAACGAGGCTTGGTTGGGACCAACATTGCCATCTGGATCTGAATGAGGAAGTCTGGAGAAAGATGTTAAGACCCTGTTCAATATACTGGGGGATTATAGATCACACATACCCGGCACCACACTCAAGGAGACCAACTACGAAGGTCGTAATCGCGAAGGAGAGCAATCCTAGGGGACCCGGGTTACCTAGTTTAGTAAATACCGGGGCTGTGACTTGAGAGACCGTGGACTGCTGAGGGCGTCGTGTGGAAACGGGAGTAGTGCCGTTGCCGTTCTCTGTCTTTTCACCAGCTAGATCCCAGGTCGCTGTCTCAGGAGCTTCCTGAGAAGCTGTAGCCGAACTTTGTGGCTCGGACATGGTTCGAAATAGATTGATTTGGTTTGGTGTATTAGCAGGAGAAAACAAAAGTGCCGTATCTTGTAACCCGGGCTTTCCGAAATTGCGGTTGTCACTTTAGAATATTTATAGTAAAAGGAACCAAATTTGTCTGCATAAGACTACTAAGCTTTCTTATGATATGAGTGGCTTTCTGTGTTCCGAGGAAATGCAGCAATTCATGATGAATTCATGAGTTGAAGCTGTTGATGTCATACCCAAGATTAAGGGAAGCTTAAGTCTGATGTACCGAACACGATCATTTGGGGACCCCGCAATGAACCAGAAGGCCTATCCGTAAGCTTGATTACAGACCTTTTAACAGGAATAGCTATTGCCACTTGAAGTTAAGGTGGTATGCAGCACTCGGCACTCGGCAGGCTTCTGGGGTTTGCTCCAAAAGTTTAGTGCATCACTGATTGATGAGTTAATTTGATCCAAGAGATTCCTTCGAGATGAGAGAATATCTTTCCTGAAATATAAAATAGAAGTCTCGAAGATTCTAAAGCTAATATCCAACAATTGCAATCGAAAACTTGAAACATAGGCAATTAATCACTTGCATGCATGCGTCGCAAGTACCCTCCTTTTCATACCACGTAACGTCAGAATCCATCAATACCAACTTTGAAACAAAAGGAACGTTTATCAACCCTATAATTGAAATCCACACGACAAGCATAGCAGCCACTTTCAAATTTGCGGACGTACCATCTCAACATCAGAGTTGGTAGAAGTTTTCTGATATTGAGGCAGACTTATCTCAGCCTTCGAGGGCAACAACCACCCCGGATGACAAACATTGAACACTCCAACGGCAATAATCATCATAACTCCATCGAGGCCAATAAAGTACGACTCGTGAGTAATCAAATACCCAGTCCAGCCTTGGGCCAACTCAATGGTACGGTAGATACTCCGAATGTAGATGCAAACTACGGAAAGAATCATCGCGCTCGTGAGTGCTGCCAACGGGCCGCGGGTAAACATCTTAAGCTGTCCAAAGCGCTTGATGCGTAGGAAGAAGTCGGTGCCGCAGTAGACAAAAACCGAGATTGAGATGAGCTGGAAAACGATACCGGCGACCATGGTGTTAGTGCCTGGGTCCGTGTTTCCATTGGGGTCGTCGGATTCAGAGCTGGCAATGCCACCACCTGCGGCTTGGATGACGAGCGAGATCACGTCGCAGGTACAAAAGATCCAGAGGTAGAGCTTTGGTGTGAGGAAGGAGGTCTCCTTGCCGAATATTTGGATATAGCGACCGAGAAGAATGTATATGCCGGCGGTGAAAAAGACAGGTGCTGCGTTAAGAGAGATGTTAGATGTGATACAACCAAACCAATGGGGATTATATAGGTTCTTACCGATGATCAAAGTTGAGATTTGAATCAAAAAGGCAGTGGAATTGTAGGGGCAATCCGCACTCCACTTGCGAGCGGCCCATCCAAGTAGTTCAACTGTGCTCTGTTAGTCCATCTTATATGGGGGTTGATAGATGTGGTGGGAAAGATCATACCAAAGCATCCTACTGCAAATACACTGCACCACCACGTTCGTTTCCAACAGAATTGGACAATGTGAGCAACCATGGACACTCCAAAGAGCACACAGAAGGCAGAACCGGCCGCGCCCGAAGGAATATAACCATAACTGGTATCGGTGCCGTTATAGGCTTTGCAGCCAACATAGAGATCGTCGGAGCCGGTTTGGTTTGACATGTTGGATGGCGTGAATCTGTAGATAGGAGAGTAGAGGACTTCAACGGCTGGTATAAGGTTGAACTGGGGTGGTAGTCGATAGCAAACTCTGTAGTGAGAGAGAACCTGTGATTTCCATGACCATTTCGCAGGAAATCTTCATAGCATATATACTCTCTCCAGTAAATAGAGCCCCCATCGTTGTCAGAACAGAGCCACGCATCTTGATGCAGGCTAAATAAGCTAAGATACGATGGAGCCACTCACAGGCGGCCAGCGGACACAACGAACGACCTATGAAGAAGGCCCCATAGTGAAAACTGGAAGATAATCAATCAAGGCTGAGCGAAGAATGGCTAGGCACAACAGCCATATTTAGCGACGCAATAGAAAATCCTGTATAATCTGAACCACATACTCGATCTAGATCTAGATCGGCGAATGTCATCTCCTGGCTACAGCCTTATAGACGATACATGCTTCTGATTGGCTAACGCGTAAAAGTCAGACTGAGGTTTTCACGCCAGTCTTATTCTGGCTTAGATACAGGAATGCTGAGCCCCAGATACAGACGTGGGGCTATCACTCATGAGAAATGAAACTGTCTGTGATTGGGCCGCTCGTAAAATGCGCGTGGGGGCGGAGAGTGTTGAAACACAATGCCGAAGTGGTTTCCTTTATTAGATTTTATCGTTGCCTATTGATCAGATATAGAGAGATGAAGACTATCTTCAAGCTTGTAAGACTAGAAGTCATCCCGACATTTGATGAAGCATCAATCAGGATTACCGGACATGACTCGGTTTGGTAATGCGCTACAATGGAACTAGACTAAATAGGCAGCCAGCGCCCATTCACCCAGGACGTGCCTCAGTCCGTTGATATTAGCATCAGTAGTAATAATATTTGAAGACTGATCTATGATATCATACCAATCTAAGTACCACTTTCTCTATCCCCAACTTCACCACGTCACATCCACCCGACGTCTCTCAAAATCACCATTCACCGGATCAGGCGCAAACCAAAATTCAACCGGACAAGGACTCCTCTGAGTATCCTCTTCTGGATAGATCAGAGCCTCATAAACACGATTCTTCTCGGAAACCCTCCTCTCTTCAACCGGCAAATAACAAAGCGGTTCTTCCTCTATCTCCACAATCTTACGCGCTACCTGTACTATCAGCGGTCGAAGCCACATCCCCTGCTTTGCCGGACACCGCGCTAGAGCCTTTATTGCTCTTCGGCGAATCAGAGGATCTCGGCATTTATGTGCAGTCCAATATATATGGGCTAGAACCCCTGGGTCCAGGGAGAACTGTTCAGCGACTGGTTTCGATTCTGTCTCTGGGCTGAGCTCGAGAATGTTTTCCGCTACATGGACGATTTCTTCAAAGTGTGAGGTGAAGTTGTCGAAGTTTGATTCTTGTTGGGTGATACAATTGAGTAGCCAGACCAGAGAGACCTGATACTCAATTAGCAACGCTAAGGGTGCTCGTGGATCTGAGATGCCGGTGGTTTTGGTTGATCGCTTCCGGAGTCGATCAAACGCTGCGCGCCATGTATGATATTCTGCCAACATAGATTGCTGTTGTTTAACATGCTGCTCGTAGACGGACTCGTACGTAATTCCACTTCTACTTCCGACCGATCGAATAAAGCATAATGCCCGGCTTTGGAGGCTGGTTAGAGTTTCTCGTGCTTGGGAGATATTGTCGAACGCAAGTTCCTCCTCGGACTCAGCGATGGTAGACTTTTCCGGGTGGATACCCAGAGGTTGTATGCCGCGTCCAAATAGACACGTCTGAATATTGAGTCGGCTGAATGTATGTAAGAGTTCCCGATCGAACTCATTATCCATAGTGATGTTCTTCCCCTGCGATCGCGCCGCTAGAATCTGAACACCGCTCTGAATATGATCCAACGCTCGGGTATTCTTCGATCGAAGAGTCTCCAGGCATATAAACAGCAGACAAGTAACCAGGACCAAGTCAATATCCACCGTTTGCGGTGTATTCATCTGGCCAATGAAACTCTGGATAGCTTTGTTATACTGTTGCAAAGTAAATTGCTCCACTTCAGCAGGATCAGAATTCGCAGGCAGTAACTGTTTCCCGTAAACCGCACCAACCGCAGAAACAGCATGTCGAATTGCCGGATATCGATGACTGAGCTGCGGGAGAAACCTCGTCCAGAAATCAGATGGAAAGAAGCCCGATAGTGCATGAGTCGTCTGTGTGCAGAAGACATGCACATACTGGCGCTCTTCCCGAGATCCGGGCACTAGGACTAGACGCTGATCTGAATTGATTTGCCATGTCTGGCGAGGAATGTCCTTTTTGATTTGTTCCTGCAGCTCTCTCTGAGAGGAATCAGTGTAGCCATCGCATTTACGGCCGGAGCGAACACATTGATTGCATTCCGGCTTTTGCTCGTCACATTTAACGTGGCGGATTCTGAATGTTCATACGTTAGTCCTAGGATACAAGTAGAATAGAACAGCTTCGATGAGACATACTTGCAAGTCACACATCCCTTTCTGGACTTTGGCTTGCCCACCCTGCGGTGCATGGTGGATGACGCTGGTTGAGGGGCAATGGGCTTGGCATCCACAGCCCGGGCGAGTGCAAATAGTGATCAAACGCGTCAAGAGACGCCCCTCTCTATGATTTTATAAAGATAAAATGTAGCTGAACTAGAGAATCCACGATATTCGATGACGAAACATCTACACAAGTCTCGTTTAAAGGGTCAGAGCCCCATCAGCCCAAGTGGCGGCTGACTGTCTCCTTATTTTTCCGCCCCCAAAGCTGACGCTCTCCAGGTGTGCACACTGAGAAGGCCAAAGGGCGAATAGAGTCGACGGGATAATATCGCCAGCATAGGCATGTCAAAGACTAAGTTATCACTCGAAATGCGCACAGAACCAATCATTTCCTCGGTCAATGTAGGCCTAGTTATGTCCAAGAAGCTACAAGGAAGTAATTACGCGCTATAGTCGCATCCAAACCAAAAGCCCATGTATAATGATAAATAATCAAATCGTATTACATTGAATTATAACCCCGAGAATTCAAAATGGCCGTGGGTATCCCCAATAAAACTCAGTCATAACTATAATCATGTCACATCTTCTATAAAACCAATCCACCAACCAGTCGAATCCAACTCGACCAAAACCAAAACCAACCAAGTATCATAAGCAAGAATTAATCATGCACAATTATAAATTACGCAAGTTGCCTCTCAATATTCCTCGATCCAGTCAACAACGACGGCGGGATAGGACTCACGCCCCGAAACACATGTGGTTCCTGGGATCCCGGACGAGGCGGCGGAGGAGGTGGAGGTGGAGGACGCATGAAGCCGCCTCCATGGCGCTGAGCATGTGGGTGGGCGAGGGGATGTGGAGGGACAGCGGGCGGGCCTTGGGGGATACCTCCAACAGCTAGACGGTTGAAATCGCCTGGTAGCTGTTGGGTCTGGTACCGGTATCCGCCGGGATGAGGGGGAGAGGGTAGGCCGACGTAGCCCATGCCCCGGGATGGGTCGCCGGGGAGAGAGACGAGGGAGGCGTTGAGGGTACGGGCGATGTCTTCGAAGGTGACCTCCATCGGGGAGATGTATGTTGTGTTGGAGCGGGCGGACCAGGCGAGGACGTGGCCGCAGACACGGCCGGTTGATCTATCGAAAACCCATGCGCCGGAGTCACCGGGGGCTAGGGGGTGAGATGTTAGCTTCTTGGCTTCTTGCAATGTCTCAAGTTTACTCAATACAGTCTTGATGAATAGGTGGTGGGTTGGTATTGGTCTTATGATCCAATGCCGATGGCCGCGGTTATGGGTTTACCGGCCGGCTTAACAGGAAGATGGGGAAGACAGGAAAGGGAATGATAGAACAAAAACAAGACAAGGGTATCTAAATTAAAGGATCATATAGACATCAAAATGAATCTGCAGAATTGCGCCTCTTACCTCCAAAGTTCCCGTTGACACAAAAACTCGTTGAAAAAGAGTGTCGGCCATGCAGCTTGACCAACGTCATCGCTTTGGATATCTGCCCCGTCTGTAGTCCGCTGGTGCGGCCACAGCAGTGCACAAACAAGCCACCTAGTTCCTCCATACGAGCGACTTGGTTGAGAAAAATGGGTTGCGGTTGGCCCCGTCCATACCCTGGTCGACCCGGGAGGGTTGTTGTAGTGTCGACGATGATATTGCGAGGATCCATTCGATTTTCATCGACTTTAATGAGAGCCCAGTCAATCTCGTGCTTGATTCCCTTGCGCGTCCAGCGCCTCACACCCGAGGAGGCGTGGACGTAGCCAAGGGAGTGTGAAGCGAGATGTTCGTCGTCACGGTCTTCGGGGGACGGAAAGAAGTCCTCGTGAACATCATCAATGGCTGGCTGCGTGACGAGCAGCCGCGGCTCTTCCCCCGGCTCGATACCAGCAGTATCGCCGACCGAGGCAGCATCGTCATCGTCGTCATCGACACCCTCGATAGATTCCTCATCCGAAGATTCATCCTCCGACAACCAATATTCGTCGATACCGCCATCGGCACCTTGGGAGAATGATGCATCATCGTCTTCCAAATCCGATATTTCAAGGTCGAGATTTGCTTCGGACGGTTCATCCTCGCGCCACGAGTACATGAAATCCTGATTGGAAACGCTGGAGGCATCTCGAGAAGTGTCCCGAGGCCAGTTTCCCGTAGAGCGCAAGGGCGCCTCGGGCTCATCATCTCCGGAGCCCTCATCATCACTTGGCGCCTCGAGCATATGGTGAACGGTCAGACCGTACGGCTGGCCGTCAACGAGCACGGCACCACCGTATGAGACGGGAGGTAGGTGTTCTTCGTTCTGAAAGGCCCCGATTGATGCGCCGCAGAGAGGCCGCTGTTGATAGCATGGGTTCAATTCACGCTGACGAAAAGGAGTCTCGTTCGATCCGTTTGGGCGAGTCTTGGCAGGCCTGCGACGTTTGTTTCGGGGGACTTTCGATCGCTCAATATCACCGCGAATGACGATGAGGTCCCAGTCGTCACGGTCCAGAGGGAAGTGCTTCTTCAAAGCCGATCGAACTTTCTTGACGCTAGCACATGTCACGCAGATTGTGGTTTTCGCGGTCTCGGGAGACTCGCCGGTCATCATGAGATTGGCACTGCAAGACTCGTCGGACTCTTTGAAAATCTTCTGTAGAAGGCGGCTGAGGCGGGGCATCATCTGGAAGTTCCATTCTTGGAGATGTTCATCGGGGATATCGAGGTGAGGGAGACGCTTGAGAGTCCGTTTCTTGGCCGGCTTATCCAAGCTTCTTTCCTCGGGAACGATGCCCCATTGGTCATTCGGGGTGCTCGGCAACTGCTTGTCCAAGTTCATCGGCTCACGAGTCAGTGTATAGGGATTGGCGATCTCTTCGGCAGGGGTCGGTTCAGGGGTTGGGACAAGTGCCAGGGGCAGGCTATCGTCCAGTTCTTCGGCTGGTGGTGCCGAGAAGATATCAATCCGGGTACATGACCAAAGAACTTTGCAGATGGTATAGAGGAAGTTCATCGAGAAAGAGAATGTCCCGTCGGGGTCGGACAGATCCAGAACGGGATAGTGGTAGATCTGAGGCACACGGAGGTTCAGGTCGGTCATGGGTTGGGTCGAGAGGTGGAAGTTAGGAGCGTCGAGGCAGAGCTGAACAACCTGGAGATATGCAGTACCACACTTTGGTCCAAGCTTCTTCACGTAGAGATCCTCGACGCGATGCTTGAACCAGTTGCGATCATACTTCATCTTCCAGAGGCGGCCAATGGGAGCCCACAGACCGATCTCCAGCAGGACCAGACCGAGCGAGTAAAGATCATAAGCCCAGGCAGCTTCATCTTCGACGGATCTCTTGTCATCGGGATGCCGATACATCGCTGTAGACAGTGGCTCTGGGGTAGGTCCGTCACCAGAAAAGCGCGCTGGCGAAGTCAAGTAAGGGCGGCGCATGTCCGGGGCAAGGCCCCGCTCGTCGTTACTAGCATCGGTTCGGCCAGGGAAGAAGATGACATTGCTGCTGTTGATGTTGCCATGCACGGCATTCTGGCTTCTCAAGTGCAAGACAGACATCATGAGGTCGTAGGCTAGCCGGAAACGCGTTTCCAGATTAGGCATCCGCTTCTCGCGGTAGTCCTCAGCCGAGGGAAGTAGGGCAACCAGAGGTATAGGCTTGAGTTCTTTCAACAGGTCGCTGGGGTTTTGGAGGAAAGGGAAATAATCGACGGGCATTTGGTATAAGAAGGCGTAACGGGCATTAGGGTCATCGACACAGTAACCCAGGAATCTCAGAAGGCCCAAGTGGCCGACTCTGGCATTCTGGAGTAACTGGTCCAGCGAGTTCTGGAGCTTCTCCAGTCGTGAGCTCTTTGAGTTCGCCTGGGACTCCACGATCATAGGCATGAACTCGACCAACACCGAGACATGTGAATCCTTAACGGAGCCCATGAGTAGCGAGCATGCCGATGTCTTCAGGCGGCCCACTACACGGGAGTTTGATGAAGCTGCAATTGGCTCATATGGTGGAGGGCTGTTATCGTGGGTCGCTCCGTATAGTTGCAGGGCGGATCGCTCGATGACGAGATGGTGATTATAATCGTGTTTCGGGGTCGTGGGAGAATAGGTGAAAGGTTCGTACATTTGCTTTGGGCTGTGAATCTTCCCCTTTGAAGCGGAGAAGGAGCCATAAGATTTCTCGTGGGAGGGAAGAGGGTGGGTTTTGGATCGGCGGCCGGCCATGCTATGCTTGCTCGACATGCTGGACGCCATCGTCCGGCGCGAAGTGGACAGGTCATATAGAGTATCGATACATGCCGTCAAGTCGCTCAATATAGTCTTCGATCGACTGATATCATCGTCCGTCCATTGTGTCTTGAGAGGCCGGCTCCCCAGAGTATCCTTCGAGGGCAGATCGAGCTTGCGCTCTTTGGACGGCATAGGCGCATCAATATGCTGGACACGCTCGGCATCATTCAACAAATCTTGGATAGTGGACATAACACTTTCCACAACATCGCTGAAACCGGCCGCGGTCAAAGACTCGTCAATATCGTTCGGCTGGGCGGCGCTCGCATCGCTCCAATCTAGACCCCACGATAGCAATCGGTCCCGCTGTTTCTGGAAGCTCTGGTGTAGCGCCACCAGCTCCGGATCGTCGAGAGCCTTGGAGGCGGTCGTCACACTTTCGCATGAGGTTTTCGTATCGGTATATAGCTTCGTAAGGCGGCGCTGGAGGAAGCCGCTTCCTCCATGGCGCATGACGGACATCTTGGCGATAGCGATTCGATAAGGGCCAAAGAGGGGGTGGAGATGCTCAGGATGGTGACATTTAACGGGGGAGTCGTTGTCGCAAGAGGGTTCAGAGGTTCATTTTGGCAGTCGTGAAGGAGTGAAGAGGCAAAGAAGCCAGAAAAGACGAGCGACAGAAAACCCAAAGTTCAATGGGTGCCTGGTCGACGGCGATGAAGGGCCGATAGACCATCACTCATTGCGGGAGGATCCTAGGGAATCCTGTTGCCTAACCAATCAGCGTCGCCGAGAGCATTCGGTGTGGGTCACGTGGCAGGCATCTAAATTTGGTGGATCGGGGTAGATTACGGGTAATACGAATACGACCCTCAGGCAGCAGCGTTTACTTAACTAGGATGGGGTCCCGGATTTGTGAGGAATAGGGCACGCATTGCCAGGTATCAGGAGGTATTGGCAGGTATTAAAAGTGTATTCTCGACGTAGAAAAAAGTATAACCTAGCCGTCAGTGGAACTATAGGATCCATGCAAGACAATTCAAATATGCATGCACTCTAAATGTACAGGAGAAAAGGGGAGGGGCAAGCGAGACTCTAAACATCGTCGAGACCCCGTCCCACTGCAACTAAGCGTTAGCTAGTCTGAAGTAAAACGGCCCTGGGCCCCTCCTCGGAAACTTCATATACCCCGTCCATCCATAATAAATCAGTCGTCCGGAGACCTGAGCAAAATTTAGCCCGTAATCACCCGCCGCGAGACACCGACGTCCCGCGCCCGCTTCTCGCTAAAGTTATGCAACCGCTCGCCGATCAGATAGACATCGTCGCGGATGTTGATGCGCCAAATCGCCACCCGTCGCAGAGCCAGGTGGACAGACCACGCGGCCAGGACGACCAGCAAAGTTGCTGGGTAGGCATAGCGATAGATATCTGGCTGCGCCTCAGCACGCGTATAGAAAAGGGTCCATCGTAGGACGCCACCCAATGACAACGGGGCGGCTACAGCCGCGGCGGTGAAAAGCGCCATCGGCAGAATCAGAGCGCGCGTCGCCAGTTGAACGTTGGGCTTGAACCACCCATCGCGGAATATTCCATTAAGCACGGCCGCGGCCCAAGAGTGAGGGTGCCACAGCGTAAGCTTGATCGCCATTTGCACGTACAGAACCCCCAGCGTCCAGTCCTGAACGACGTGTACCACGTGATCCGTTCCATCCCCGATGAAGGTATGAGCCGGAATGAGAATGTACAACTCGGTCAACAGCGCAAAGAGTGAAGGGAGCACGACCACCAGGGCAATCGCAATGTACACAAGTCGGAAGGCATCCAGCACGAGATTGCCAATGAGTAAGCCCAGCTCTCGCGGGGACTGCAGATACGTCCCCCGGTTCTCCCGGAGGAATTGAACGGCAGCTTGGCAATAGTACGCGGTGTAGGCCAGAGCACCGACCACGGAGAGGCCACAGGAAAAGGCGTAAATGTCGTTGACGGGGACTGGGCTGGAGAAGCACACCGAGGTGATCTTGCGTCCAATGACCAGCGGTACAACGGTGATGCCTACTCCGGTGGTGGCGGCAAACAGCCAGATGAAGAGGATAAAGGCAGCAATGCGACTTCGGAAGTGCGGTGGGATGTAGACCTTGGCAAATGCAGGGTTGGTGCGGCCATGAAGCCCATCATCCAGATCGGTCATTCCATCGACACGGTCATTATCCTCGGTCACGTCCAAGAATACGTGCGTGCCCTTGGGGATCCGGACTTGGTCGGAAGCAGGCGCGCGGACATACCGGCCATCGCGAAGGAAATAGACGTCCCGGTTTTCTTTTTCTGCGGCTGCCTGTTCCTCGTCGCCAATGACCGGGTGTTCCCAATCACCCTTGCTTCCTGAAAGTAGACCCCACCAGGATCGCCAGACATGACGCCCTTCTTCTTCAGGGTGTCTCTCCGGGAAGAAAAAGCTGCTCAGGCGAAGGAAGTGAGCGCACTTGTGGAACCACCAGTTGTACAGGTCGTGTAATCCATCTGAAGGTTTGACGGATTGAATGGCCAACGGCATGACGAAATTGTAGAACAAAAGGTCCACGGGGAACTCGAGCATCGGGGCACTGGCGGACCAATGGATTGGGAAAATGCCATTGAATGCATAGAACAGACCCCACACGACGCCACCTAGGCAGACAATCACTAAAGCCCCATAGACTAAAGCGCTGAACCCAATTTTCCGAAGCTGTGTGGTAATACTGCGTTCAAGGACATCGCGGATGGGATGGAAAGTCGGGTCATCCGGATCACGGATGAAATCTGTTCGACTATGTCAGCAATAGAAGAGAGGGATATTCAGAGCGGCAAGGCAGACTTACAGAGAACACCGGTCCTCAAAATCTTCCGGCACATCGACACAAACAAGGCAAAGTGGAACATATAACAAGTGCCAATGAACCAATGCACGAAAAGGGATGTCAGTGGAGAGCCAATTGTGAAGGCGATCCGCGAGGAGATAGTCGCATTAGAAAACAAAGGTAGCAAAGCAACGTCTAATAGTGTACCACAATAGAGAGGGAAGACGATCATCTCAATACCAATGATGAGGATAACCTTCATCACTCCCCCGGCTTGTAGAAGCACCTCTGCGACGATGCCTTCGATGCGCTGGCCACGGTTGGCCCCGGCAAGTAATCCAGTGATTCGCAGGTACAGGAAGCCCATCATCGTTGCCAAGAGATATCCCATCGCAATGGCGATGACGCGATCTTTCGTATCCCATACAGCCAGGTCATAGTCAACGGGAACAGTAGCGGAAGCTGCTCGCGCAGCACTAGCATTCATGAGCTTCGTTCCAGGGCTGGCAAAAATCGATAACTTTGTAAAGTTACCAACGTAGTGCTGTACTTGAATTGTAGTATTCTTCAGTTGGGAGAAGTCGATATCAAACGACAAGGCGCCTGGGATCCCGAGGGTCATCAGGCGAAGAGGGAAGTCGTGTAGAATGAATTTCATGATGGCAAAAATAGATCGAAAGAGGGTCATGGCGCGTGCCTGGTGCAGCTTGAGAGCTTGGTGAGAGAGCACGGAAAACATGGGTATGTCAGATTCATGGAATACCAGGAAAGCTTTGACGACCTTGTTCAACCGGACGGTACTCTTGTCGATCAGAGACAACGAGGTGCTAGTGATGGACTTGTTTCGGGGAATCCACTCAAGAGCGGGGACAAGAGCACCGAAGGGGCTGAGAAGTACCTTGAAGATGAAGCTCAGCCAGTACATAGCATAGCCTACAACTCCAATGAGAGTATCAAGCACAATATCTGCAACCACGGTGACTGCAGTCATAGGAACACCAACGATGAGCTCCAGGGGGTTGGCCAGCAGGACGAGGGCAATCTTTCCCCACAAGTATGGAAGCCAAATACCAATAGCGACCGTGAAGGCAATCAGGAGGGCACAGAAAACGCCGTTCTGCAAGAGTCCGAAGATAGGACCTTGCATACCGATGAGATCCATGATTCCTTCAAAGTCATCGCCCTCGATTGCATCCGCGTCATTACCACCTAGCGCGCCATCAGCTGGGGCTCCAACCACTGCCGCTCCGTCGGCAGGAGGTCCGTCGAGTCGGTTTGGAACCGGGACAAAGGGATCTTCCAAAGCTGGGTCCTGCATAATTTGCTCGTCGTCCTCCAGGGGGAAGTCATCATGATCATGATGTTCTGGGGTAATGTCTCCCCAAAACCAATTGATCAGTCGATCACCCACATTCTTCGGAGGTTGATGCTCAGCCGCAACGTTGATTAGATTCTCGTCTGCTCTTGCTTCCGCGGGTTGCTCATTTTGAATCTCTTGCCCGGCAGGTTGCTGATCAGTCTGTAATTGTACTTCGGCATTTTCATTATCCGTATCCAACGTCTCGTCAGCAGTTGCGGGTTGCGTCTGGAAAAGTCCCGTTGCGCGGGTGGCTGGCCCAGCGTGTGGTTGTTCGAGGGGCGCCCGCGTAAGTGCCTCGACAATCCAATTTAGTTCCACTTCATGACCTTCTTCTCGAATAATTCGAAGGATCTCATCACGATCGCCGTTTGCACGGGCGAGAATATCTTGGAACAGTGACACATCTGAATACTGTGGGGTGTTCGGGACCGGAATTTGACGCTCTGGGCGACCAAATTCCATGTGAGGATCGTTATGGAACTGATTTCTCGGAAAATCGTGATCTTGAAAGCCGGTTTGTCTATCAAACACGGGGAGCCCATCATCAGAGTCGGTCCAGGAGGGTGCGGGAGAATGATTGGCCGAACGATCGGGTACATCGTCGTCCTCTTCTGCGAGTGCATGTTGTTCTGGTTCAATATCATCATGAGGATGAAGCGGCGCAGGATCTGGGCGTAATCCTTGAATTTCCTCGTTAGGGCGATTGTTGGCGATCAGCTGCAATGCTGCTTCGCGCTCTCCTTCGGCAATATTGGCCATAGGCTGTTGTTGGACAACCCATTCTCGAATTAGGAACAGAAGGATGAATGCAACAACCACGAGTAGAGTGATGAGTTGACCTTCCAGGGTATCAATTATCATATTGTTGATTGTCGGATAAGGCGTCAAAGTATTAAGAAACTTGACATCCGAGAGCCATGACGGGTACCGCAGCTTAGGCGAGCCAGAAAGGCCAGTTGCGTGAGAGCCACTCTCACTGCCAGCAGATGACCACCCAGGCATGAACAGACTCGGGATGATTTTCTTGATTAATGTAAGCATGAGTGGATCGCCCGCTGGGAAGGTGATAGGAGCGGCCTGTGTCGACGGGGCAGCGATGGCGGAGGATGGAGCCGCACTCGAAGCACCCGAGGTCATCGAGCTAAGCACGGCAGTAGCGGCTGCCGTGCCGTTGGCCGCCAATTGCTCAACCCCATTCTGAACAGATATCGCGCCTCGTTGCTGAACAGTCCCACCGGCCGACCAGCGGCCGTCAGCGAGCCAGAACAGCGCCCTCCAGATTGCTCGCATCGACCACGGCAGCCAACCCAACCATACAAAAGCCACGAGAACAAAACGCAGCCATGTCACCAGGGTTCGGAGGGTTTGGATCAAAGCCTGTTGGAGGAATAAGGGTGTCGGGAGGCTTTGGGGCATATTCGGATCGTATAGTTTCGTAAATCGGAAGGGTGTTTTGCAAAGCTCGCAATGTTTCTTTTGCGAGTGTGACAGCCACTCCACCAAACAACTCTGGTGGACGAACTTGATACTACCACTACATTTGCAGGGGTAAAACAGCGGCTCTTCTTCTGTGGCTTCTCCGTGACAGATTCGGCACGTGTCCATATCTTCCATCCCTCCGTCTCGGTCATCGAAAGCCGGGTCGTTCATCAGGTCGGGGAACGACGACCTCCCCGCGGGGCCATTGGGAGAGTGCGTTGCGAAATCCATTGTGTTTCGTAAATCAGATTGCGCAGGGTCGCCGGAAAAGCACGGCCTCTACCAGCTTTTCATTGTAACTCTCACGACCATCAAAGATAAGATCAAACTCGCCAAATTCGAGTCAGGTATGACGACGGAGCAATGTCGATGCGGGACGACTGTGAAGCCGAGGAGGCTCGAGTCAGCTTTTTCAATTGGATAGTTGGTCCAAAAGGCAGATGGACATACTGAGAACAGGATAACACAGCCTTCCAGTCAATAGTTTGATCTCCTGAAGATGGCGGTCGAGTTAGGGCCTTCCCACTTTGGAACTTGACGACTTGACGACTTGGAGACATTTGGGTTTGGGGCAGCGGCGGCTTCCCGATTGAGGCTGACTCAGCATGTATCGTTAATACAGTATCTTATGTCCCTCCGGGAGTGCCACATCATGTATTGTCGTACCTGCCCGGTTCTGCCCAGGTGCCACCGATGACCTCACTGATCCCCCGAGACCTAAATAGTCCCTCCATCGAGCTTGGAAACTTAGTCTTCATCCCAGGTACCCAGGGCCCGTTCCTGAGGAGGTTTTCTCTTTTCCATCCGGTACTCAGCACGAATCTAGCTACTCGGTGCTTCCCCATCTACCTCGGAATCACATTATCATTGCGACCACGCTCTGACCTGCGGCCCGTGAATCTCCCCTAGCGCCGAGCCGACGCGAGCTTTCCGCCTACGGTCCAGCTTCAACCTCCTTCAACAAGCTTCCACACCAACTGCGCAAACACTTGCGACCCGGTGTCCAGCTCTCGGCGACCCCATGAGACAGTAGCAGTCTATCGAATCTCTACGAACACCCCTACCTGAAGATCACATTTACGCGACGTGCAAGCTCGTGCCTGCAACTTTTTTTTCACAAGGGTCGGCCCGCCGCCAACGGCAGCCAGCATGGCAGTTCAAGAGAATGGATATGTACCGGCGGTATCGCAAGAGCCGAGGAATGGCAGCCCAGTGGGCAAGGATATGAAAAGCGAAAAGGTTCGGAGGAAAAGTCCTCTGCGATGGACATTAGGCCTGGTTGTACGGTAAGTCTGATCATGCAACCTCAACGCCCCTGTCGCGATGGCTGCTCTCGGACCTCCCCTGGGACAGTTCTGGAAGGGAGAAAATAGACCGATGTAGACTAACATTCGACATTTTTACAGCTTGTGTATTTGGTATACCCTTCTCACGCCATTTCTACGATGCCCCTCGCGCCTAGACGAGCTGAACGAGACCTCTCCCAAGGTCTGCAAGCCCTACTTGATCGCACGTTCTCACGTGGAACCATATGTTACTCCCTATTATGACACCTATGCCGCTCCCTACGTTGATCAGGCGCGTCCATATGTGGAGGTGTTCAATCAGCAAGTTTACACGCCTGCTTCTAATGTCGCCAAATTCGGCTACGAGAAGTATGGTGCTCCCGCATGGCAACAGGCCCGGACATTTAGCGAGGCACAATGGAAAGCGCAGGTGACGCCACGTCTGGAAGCTGCCCAGGTTCAAGCGCATCAGCTGTATCTAGCCCAGGTTGACCCGTATGTGCAACAAGGTGTTTCCTTGGTATCACCTTACTACCAAAAGGCAAATGGGGTCGCGCAAGCTGTCTACTGGAACCAATTTGTACCCTTCTATACTCGCTCGCAACCGTTCATTGGCAAGACCTACAGCACCGGTCAGCAAGTTCTAATCACTCATGTGATGCCTGGTGCACGCTATACCTGGTCATCAGTGGTCTACTTTGCGAACAGCTCGTTGTGGCCCCATGTAACAGGCCTCTACTCGGAGCAAGTCGAGCCTCAGCTCGTCAAAATCGGCCAGCGCCTTGCTAGCTATCGGGAAGGCAAGCGCCTTCGCGCTGTTGTTGAAGAAATGGACAGGTACGGACTGCCCACAAAATCACTCGTATGGAGCATCTATTAATCTTGAATGATAGTTCCTCATCTGCACAGACCGCCTCTTCAACAGTAACAACTGCAAAGGTTGAACCTCGCACTTCTGCAGGCACAACCACAACCACAACCTCGACACCAGAGACTCCATCCGCTAAGCCTACCCTATCGGCCGAAGAACAATCCAAGCAAGCTCGCGCCCGAATTGAATCCGATCTTCAAAGATGGCAGGAGAAGTTTGCTAAAGCGGCCGACAAGGGCATTGAAGATCTCGAAGAGCGCATTGGAGACATCGTGTCCGCCCTCATCGTGAATAGTGCCAACAGCCACGGCGAAAGCCTGTCGACCGCCCTTCAGGCAGTCTCTGCTGAGAAGATCTCTTCCATCAAGGAGCGAATCAACGAGCTTGCAGCAGCCCTGCCAGAGGAAGACGCACCTGAGGAAGAGGAAGAGGCCAGTGACAAGTTGCTCACCGACATTCGCACGGCTGCCGTCTCAGTCAGAGACCGTGCCCACGCTCTCCGACAATGGTCTCTATCCTTTGACGAGGAACTCCTTCGTCGGGTTTCTGCTGCCATCAACTCAACCTTGGATGTCCTCGACAGTATCCGCGATCTGGGCTTGCAGGAGATCGGCACCCGGTGGGCCTGGATGGACGATGTGACTTACAAAGACTGGGCCAAATACCATGCACTCAAGGTCCAGATCGATGACTGGCGCAACGAAATTCGCAAGGTCGGCATGAACCACAAGTCAATTGCTGAAGCTCAGTCTGTGGCCGCTGGAATTCTGGATATTGGAATGGAGGTGGCTGAGGATACCGCCAAAGAACTCATCAGGCTGAAGGATGTTGGCAACTGGAAGATTGCCGCTCGTGAAGTTGGTGATAACTTCGAGACTCGCACCGAGGCTCCGCCTCCGCGGCCGAAGCCAGTCGTGGAGACCGAAGAATATGAGAGCACGGACAACGATGAGGTTTTTGAAGAGGCCACTACTGATTCTGAAACTTCCTCGTCGATTTCGCAAGAAGATGACACTGAAGAGACTCCTGTCTCCACTCCTAACGAGGATAGTTTTGACGAGGTCGAGGAGTCTATTGAATCCGAAACTTTCCTCGAAGGCGAGGACGTGGAGGAGCGTGTTTCTGATGCCATTTTCGAGGATGAAACCTTCGCCTCCAAGCCCGCTTTCGGCGTCGCCGCTGCCACTTTGAACACTCAGCAAGAACCTATCCTTGACGATGATGAGCAGGATGCTTTGCACAGCCTGGCTAGTAAAGCCGGAGATGTCTACTCTGACGCAAGCTCCGCTTTTGCCGATTCCACCTCCCAGGCCAAGATTCTCTATGAGATCGCCAAGTCTCAGGTTATGGGCCAGATGGCACAATCGAGTGCTCCCGCTCATGCTCAGGTCCTGTCTTCCATCGAGTCTGCCTACTCTGGTGCTGTCAAGTACGCCACCGAGGAGTTTGAGGCGCGCATTGGCGCTATCAAGGCTACTCCCACCTCTGCTGGGCCTCTGGCACACATTTCTTCTGTTGCGTCCTCGCGATTGAGCGAAGGACTCAGCTTGGCCTCGGAGCAGCTGGCCCTATACACTATCCCTGCCACCACCTCGGTTGGCTCTCAGCCTTTCGTGCTTGACGCACAACGTCGCTACTATGAGGCTGTTGGTGTCGCTCATGACCACTATACTGCCTTCGTGTCTACTGCATCGGTGGCAGTTTATGGTACTCCCACACCTACCCCGGCTCCCTTGAACTTCCAGAATCTCCTTGAGCAAGCCGGCTCTCAGTACGAGCAAGCTTCCTCTCTGGCTTCCGCTAGTCTCGCGGCCGTCGTCGCCTCCGCAAGCTCTATGATCTCTGCCGCTGATGATGGAAGGAGCCAGAGCATCATTGACGATGCCTCCTCCAGATATCATGCCGCTCTATCCGCTGCCTCCTCTTCTCTGTCTCTCGCGTCGGCGTCCGCCAGCTCTGCTATCTATGGTACAACTCCCGGGCCCCTGGAGTCTCTGTCCAGCCAAGCTTCTGAAAACTGGGAAATTCTCGTCTCCAAGGCTAGCGAGCAGATCTACGGCACGCCCGCGCCTTACTTGCAGCAAGTGGTAGACAACCATGTGCCACAGCTCGAAGCCGTCCAGGCAATCGTCTCTGAGCTGCTTATTGGAAAGCAGCCATCCTTCACTGAAAGCGTCCTAAGCAAGCTCCGCGTTGCCTATGAGACCCCCTACCCGGCTGCGGCCGTGTCCGCCGCTTCGAGCTACGCTAGTGTGGCCTACGAGGCAGTCTCTTCTGCTACTCACGCCGTTGTCTCTGACATTCCCAGCGTGGAAGACATCATGCAGCAGGCTAATGATCAACTCCAGGCGGCTGTCGAGGCCGCCAGCGTCGGTATTTACGGTACAGCCAAGGGTCGCTTCGAGCAGGCCACCGAGGCCGCAGCTGAGGCTTACTCGAGTGCCTCTTCGCAAATCAGCGACGCTGTCTATGGAAAGGAGCCCAGCTATATTGAAATTGCCAAGGACAACATTGCACAGATTCAGTCTAAGGCTAGTGCCGCGATCCATGGCGAGGAGCCTGGTGCCTTTGAAAGCGCCACCAGCCGTCTTGCCGCTGCCGTTGAGAGTGCGCAGGCTCAACTTGCGGATCTCGCTTCCAGCGCGAGCAGCGTTGCCTCTGAAGCCGTCGAGACCGCTGTCTCCCACGCTGATCAGATCACCAGCAGCATCAAGGCTGGTGCTTCGTCCCAGTCCAAGGACGAGCTTTGAACGAACTTGGCCCCTTTTGTTTTATTACGCCGTGTTTGATATTATCTCTTCCCCCTCACCTTTTCATCCCTGTCTTACATCCACTCCTGTTAAATGTGTCGCGTCGAGACTGGGCCTCCTACAGTGGCATGCCTGTAGCATGTGAGGTCCGGTCTCTCGATGCTTTATTCCCCATATAGTTTGTTACGATAGCAATTATGCTCATGACCTGCAAATTGCACAGTGAAATCATGTTTTCTCCCCCTTTCTCTCGGCTTCGACTTTTTTTGGTTCGCACCATTGCGCCCATTACTCCCGGCGGTTTTGGTTTTGGCTTTTTGGCCGGTGATGCTTCTCTAGTACATAATGAAACACGCTTTTTGGATGTCTTAAATTGGTTGCTCTCATGTATTGCTTCTCAGCAGTCAAATAGATTCGTGGTACACATCCAGTCGAGTTTCTTATGTACTTCTCGGCGTCAAGGATAGTCCACCGTAACTGGGGCGTTTCTCACTGTCCAGGTAAATGGCAGACCGTTGCTTCGATAGCGCAATGCCTCGCAGGTCTAGCTTTTCCAAAAGCTGGCCATCCCACATTGCAATCTTCTCGCAAGTCTAGCCGTAACCCAGACCCAGCATGAGTTTCGATCCATAAGGACCACTATCCCACAGCCAGTGCGTAGAACTTGGATATATCTCCATTCCAAACACACCCCCTCCCCATTCACCGACGATACTTCACCCGATCCCCCTTCTTCTCCTTCTTCATCTGCGTCTTACTCATAGGCGCCTGACCATCCGCCCCTTCCGCACCCCCCACCCATCCCCGCAAAGCCCTTCTTCACCCCCATAACGGTCGAATACGCCAAATAAACCGAGTAAAGCGGCACAACAGCCCACAACCACCAAGCGCGATCATTGAAGATACACACAGCGGCAATACACCCCTCCGTCCAGTAGAGCACGTCCCACATATACTCGGTCAACCCGGTAGCGTTGAGATCCTCGCCCGCAGAGCGCAGCGAGCCATCCTCGTTATAGCGGGGGCGGCCGACGCGGTCGAGGTAGAATTCGATGATTAGGGTTGGTACCGCGAGGAGTAGGTATGGCTTTAGGGAGCGGGGGCGGCCGAATGTAAAGTGGAGGATTAGGAAGAGCAGGTGTAGAGCTGCGGTTGTGAGGTGTGTGCGGGTGAGGACGGCGGCGTTGCGAGTTGCCAGGGTTTTGGCTGCTTTCTGAATTGGTGTTAGAATGGTTGATGGTGTGGTGGTGGAATTGAAGAGGTGGTAATGGCGAGATTGGAGCTTACCTGGGCCATGGTGTAGAGCAACGGGCGACGTTGCGGAATGAAAGTTCGGTGTTGAATGGAGGTGGGAGTGGACGAGGGAAGGCGGTGAGAGTACCAATTGAATAATACTAATTCACGGTCGCCGATGTCTGTCGAACGGCTTGATCACCTTTCGAGGACGGGAAGGTATGAGGAAATTGTTGGTCGTGGATGTGGAGGTGATCGCCTGTTGAATGGATGTTCCGCGGGAGTAGGTAGCGGCGCTATGGAAGCTACCTTACCCTCATTTATTCTGTCGAATTTGACCGCCCTAGACTCCGCTTTAAGTCTAGCCTCTAATACTGTGTATCGATCGATGCAGATCTAGTGTAGCAAGCTAAACTTCTTGTTCTGAATTTATTGTGTATTAAGAAGTTTATATTATAGTATCATATATTTAATCATAAGGCATAAACTCCCGATAGAGGTAGGGTTGGTTGTTCTAGAAATCTAAGCATAAATAACCTTAAATTCATTCATGCAGATGATCAAGGCCACTATGGATTCATCCAGAGGGTATTAGAAAGCGCTACTTTAGGGTACTATAATGATTAATAGTGTATATCAATATCTCATTCACTAATTTATTTTTAGCTCTTGCTTCATCTCTTTAATCATAAATAATTGGGCACATTTCAAATGTAGGTATTACGCAACCATGAGCATACGTGCAGAGAAGCGGCAAGATATATACATGCATCAGAAGTATAAACCTTGTCTAGATACAATTTACAATCCTGCAAGTCTAGATATAATAAAAACACATTAAAAAAGCATGTATGATTAAATATCTCCTTATCCTATCTACCATTTTAAATTATATCCACCAAGTTCTTATTTAGAGAGGAGGTTACTCCTAGTAGGCGGTCAAAAATGACGATTGTTGCCCACTACAACACTCACCGCCCGGCAGAATAGACCACCTCCGCTGAGCAAATGCAACCAAAATAAGACGAACCAGTACGAACTATTACCCTCACTGCCAGACTCTTTGACCCACCTCGCCTAAACAAGAACTGCAGGATGGCTATGCGACTTTGAAAGTTTGTCTGGCTCGATAGAGTTTGTACAGACTGATCCTTGGTGATCTTTTCCCTCACCTTCCCACCTACCGCTTCCGGCCTCCGTTTACATTCCACGTTCTCCCGCACCTCACCACTTCCTCGCCGAGACCCGCAGCCTATCCTCGTCTCAGATCTGCTCCTAACCGGTCCTCCTGGACGTGAGTTGATACTGATGGGCGCTGCCTGCTGATGAGTTTTCTGCACGAGGTACTTACAACAACAACAACATCGCGTTCACATCCCCGCGCGCGCCACCATGGCGCTTTCCACCGGCCATGTGGCCAGCCAACTGAGGCACCTCATTTACTATCACCTTGATAACAACCTCATCCGAAATGCCCTCTTCCTCGCTGGCCGCCTTCTTGCCTACGAACCTCGATCCTTCGAAGCTCAATACCTCATTTCCCTCTGCCACCTGCATAATGGAGAAGTCAAGGCCGCGATGGAGTGTAGCCAGAACACAGGATCGCGTGGCCTGCATCTAGGCTGTGCTTACGTCTTTGCACAGGCCTGTTTGGATCTGGGTAAACACCTGGATGGCATCACCGCCTTGGAGCGCAGCAAGTCGACCTGGGCATCCAAGAATAACTGGAGTACGTCTTACTTCTGCAGTTGTAGGCTTATTCTGATATTGGTCTAACATTTGCGCTACAGACAAGCACAGCGAAACCTCTCGACAGCACCTACCGGACGCAGCAGCAGTGTACTGCCTGCTTGGAAAGCTATGGCAGGGCCACAAGGACTTGAACAAGGCAGTGGATTGCTATGTGGATTCACTGAAACTGAATCCGTTCATGTGGGATGCTTTCCTCGGGCTCTGCTCTACTGGTTAGTATCCTTACTCCGAGTACTCAAGCTCAGCAACACTGAAGCTAACTTATCATCAGGCGTCAACATCCGCGTCCCCAACATCTACCAACTCAGCCCGGAACTCATGTCCATCATATCCGCATCCCCAGATGATCTGGATTCTGTACCCGGTGTCTTTCCACCAGCCGAAGGACCTTTCCCCGCACAAGCCACCGGACACCTCGGGGGTGATCCATTCATGGTCCCTGCTGCACGTGGCGACGCAGATTCGACCTACGGAAGCTCAGCTCTCTGGGAGAAATTCAATGGAAGCTCCGTCAGTGTTGCTACGGTAGCGGCCCCGGTGATCCATGAGGGAATGGAGACACCCAGCGGGCAGAGTAGTGGCTCGGAAGAGTTCCGCATCGCGAATGGCGTCACGGACCCAGACTCTGCTTGGGAGCCACCATTGGCACCGGCAAGGAGGAATCGCACAATCCAGTCCATGAGCATGGACCACACGGGTCAACCCCTCCTAAGATGCGACCAACTGGTGTTCGCCCTCGTCCTCGAACTCGAACCGAACCGGAGGAACCGCCGCTTGCTCCAAATGACAGAGAGCCTCCGCCCGCCCCGCGCTTCGGTGATCGCAAACGCACCGTGTCTGGCCAAGTTGCCCACCCCATCCCTCCTCAACCGACCGAGCCCGGTGCCCCCCAGCGTCGCAGCGTCAGACTCTTCAATCAGATTAAGCCCACCACAAGCAAGCTTTCCACTGCTACACTCACGGGCCGGGATGGCCGTGAAGTGAAGAAAGTACGAAGTGCCCACGCCAAGGGACGTCCTGCCACAACGTCTACTGTGGGCCGGGTGGTGAGCGGTAATCGCAAACATGTCGAATCAGCCGACAATGATGGCAAGGAGCCCCGTGCTACATCTATCCCTTCTACCTCCAGTGTTCCCCCTCTTCCTCGGAATGCGGAGAGAACCAAAGAGCTTGAAGCCTTGAATTGGCTTTTGGGGCTGTTCACGAAACTTGCCTCTGGGTACAGCGCATTGAGTCGGTACAAATGCCCCGAGGCTGTACAGCATTTCAATTCTCTTTCACAGGGTCAACGAGAGACCCCGTGGGTCTTGGCCCAGCTTGGCCGAGCCCACTTTGAACAGGCGATGTACGCAGAAGCTGCACAATACTTCTCCCGTGTCCAAACTCTGGCACCCTCGCGAGTTGAAGACATGGAGATTTACTCGACCGTTCTTTGGCACCTCAAGAATGATGTCGAACTGGCATATCTGGCACACCAACTGCTAGAGATCGACCGATTGTCGCCTCAGGCTTGGTGTGCTATCGGCAACTCTTTCTCCCACCAGCGCGACCATGACCAGGCCTTGAAATGCTTCAAGCGCGCCACCATGCTGGATCCTGAGTTTGCCTATGCCTTTACACTCCAGGGTCATGAGTACGTTGCCAACGAAGAATACGACAAGGCCCTCGATGCCTATCGCCACGGTATCAACGCCGAGAACCGCCACTACAATGCCTGGTACGGCCTGGGTACGGTTTACGATAGGATGGGCAAGCTCGACTTTGCCGAGCAGCACTTCCGCAATGCGGCCAGCATCAACCCAACCAATGCCGTCCTCACCTGCTGCATCGGCTTGGTCCTGGAGAAGATGGATAACTCCAAGAACGCTTTGATTTACTATGAGCGTGCTTGCTCATTGGCACCGCACTCGGTGCTGGCTCGTTTCCGCAAGGCCCGCGTCTTGATGAAACTCCGGGATTACAAGTTTGCATTGGCAGAGCTGAAGGTCTTGAAGGACATGGCTCCCGATGAGGCCAACGTACACTACCTACTGGGTAAACTGTACAAGGTTCTTCACGATAAGGGTAATGCCATCAAACATTTCACTGCCGCTTTGAACTTGGATCCAAAGGTAAGTCTATTCGGTGTTTTTTATTGCGACCTAGATTCGGTTAGCTAACAAAATGTCTTTCTCTACAGGCTGCACAGTACATCAAAGATGCGATGGAGTCCTTGGATGACGACGATATGGAAGATGACGACATGGCATAATAGATCTGTGATGCTTTCCAGGTCTCCCTTCTTTTCCGTTTTCAAAAATCTCTCGATCATGCGCGGGTTGGGGGGGATACCGTCTTACGATATGAGCTTGGCGTTCCAGGGTCATTTCTTTCTGTTATTCTGCACAGCATCACTGGGGAGTTGTTTCTTTGCTTTTCTCCAGGTCTAACTACCCGAGACATCTGGCATCTTCAAGCATCATGCATCAGGCATGGTGTTTTGTACATTAATGTATGACGATTGTTGAGTATTCATGACGGTGGATCGGTGGTGCATAGCACGATCCATTATTATTGATCCGTGTATTTTCTGAGTAAAAATATATCTTGTAGCTGATTTAAAGGATCGACGATGTGTTGAGAGCCAACAATATTCTGTTCTATAGTTCGCCCCGCATGTAACTGTTGAGCAAGCACAAGCTTCTCAAAAGATCCCACCAATGTTTAACCCTGCCGAGGCTTGAGCTCAGGCCCAATTGTTGACCATGCGATAATCTGACTAGTCTCAAGACTTAGAATTCCCACTCTCCGCACGCTCATTTGCTGTGGCTCTGCGTGATGCCGTCATCTGCCGCGGTCAGCTGGCGGTGAGTCGGCCACCGGCAAAAAAAGCAGCTTCACACTCCGCAGTCCCGCCAGATCTTCGCTGTCGCTCCCTGAGTCTTTTGTTTCTCTAGATCTCTTGCACATTCTTCCAGTGGGCTATCGCAGTCAATCAATCCAGTGAAGCCAGGTATGAACATTCATTCTCGTTCGTCTATCCTCTTGTAATAAGGACTGACCCAACCCTTTCCCCAACAGCCTTCACTTCGATCCCACCGCCATGTCGATCACTTCATATATCCTGTCGGGCATTAGCTCGTTCGTGGTCGTTACATTATCACTCTTCGCCCTGGGCCAAAAAGTGCCCCGCGCTGCTTTCGTCGCCCGCTGTCTCGCTGCGTATGGCTCCCTCCTCCTATGCGCAACCTACGGTGTTATCGCATCGATCGTCCTCCGCCTCGCTGGCTATGGCCGTATCTCTCAATGGGCCACTGCCCGCAGCTTCAAGTGGGTGATGCGGTATACCACTGGTGTGACATTCGATATCATCGAGGGCGAGGAGCATCTCACCACCCGCCCGGCTATTTTCGTTGGTAACCACCAGACCGAGTTGGATGTTCTTATGCTTGGTGCTATCTTCCCGCCTTACTGCAGTGTCACGGCGAAGAAGTCCCTGCGTAATGTGCCCTTCCTGGGCTGGTTCATGACCCTCTCACGGACGGTGTTTATTGACCGTGCCAACCGGGAGAATGCTATGAAGGCGTTTGATGGCGCGGTGGATGAGATGCGCACCCATCGCCAGAGTGTGTTCATTTTCCCCGAGGGTACACGGAGTTACTCTGATGAGCCTATGCTTTTGCCCTTCAAGAAGGGTGCTTTCCATTTGGCTGTTAAGGCTGGTGTGCCTATCGTGCCCGTTGTGACTGAGAACTACTCTCATGTCATGTCTCCTCGCAACCTGCGTTTCAATGCAGGCTCTATCAAAGTCAAGGGTTAGTTTGTAAAAGTTGCGCTATGTTGATTCTTTACTAACACAAGTGACATATAGTTCTGCCTCCGATTAACACCAAGGATTTGACTCCTGCCGATGTAGATCAGCTGACGCAGTCTACCCGTGACTCGATGCTCAAGGCTATTCTGAGCATGGCACAGGAGGGCAGCAAGGTCGAGTCTTCTCGTGCCAATGGTGTCTCCACTGCCATTGAGATTTGAGAAAGCTAGCAGCCCCGGTACCTCCACTGCCTCAGTCAAGGGCATGAAAGCCTCGCCCTTGACATTTCCCCCACCTAATCCAGGAAGCCATCAGCCTTGTGACTTGATGCCGAGAACTTCCTACTCCCCTTCCGGTATATACCCTTGATTCCCATCACAGAGCATTACACATAGAAGAACACGACTCCCTTTCTGCAGGCAGTTCCGCTGCCACCCACCCCTAAGATGATACAGTGACTCGGTCGCATCTCGGTTTCATTGGTAGACCGTGATCTAGCTTTCGTTTCTCCCCATTTGGCACATGCCTCTTTTGTGGAGGTCTTGCTTCACTTTTCACACTTGCCCGATCTTATTTGCACCATTTCGGGTCTCTCAATGTCCTCCAATTCCCCATTATGCCCCTTCAACGCTTCTGTCTCTCTACAAATGTATATATTCCTAGCATGAAAAGATGTTATGACACTGTCTTTCTGGTTCGCGGAGTTGTTGGTTTTATAAAGAGTTGCTCAAATTGGACTGTTCATAAAAATGAGAGCCATGAGAATTGCAGACGGTACTCTCGGGTGCAAAAAAAGCCCAGTTTAGGCAAGACATGCCCAGAAATCGATACGAGTGAGTACAATTCTTGAGGCGATCCCAGTGGCTCCCTGCAGCCCGCCCCGCGTCATCAGGCTTCCCATCTGAAGTGTTCTACGGAGCTGAGTTTTGGTATGAAATATTTAAACTCATCGCTCTTCCAAAGGTATCGAGAGTTCATTTATTCAATTATTTGAAAAATATCGTCAACTTGAAGATACTTCGTGGCTGATTCTACTTTGTACCTCCATCATGTTCGACTTTACAATCCCCGAAGTATACCGCGACAAGCTAGAACCCATTAAAGTCACAGACACTCGAACAGACGCCGAAATCTTCGCAACAATCCAAGAATACAAACCAGTGACGTCTGAGAAAAACCTCTGGGCATACTGGCACGCTGGCGCATCCCAGATGCCCAAATGGAGCCAAAAGAACGCCGTCGACTGGGTACGCATTTTAGGACCTGAATGGACCGTCCGTATTCTCGACAACGTGGCCGGTTCCCCAAATAACACCCTTCGCTTTGTACCAGAGGTTCTGTTACCACCGGCATTTGTGGATCGGTCCATGGATGGTCCTTATATTGGACAACATGGGGCTGATCTCACCCGCACGGCTTGTTTATATGAGCATGGTGGTGCGTGGATGGATGTTGGAAATATTCTGATTAGACATCTTGATCGGATGTGCTGGAATGAACTCGAAGATGAGAATACGCCGTATCGAGTCGCCATCCCTATTATATCCAATGTTATGGCGGCGAATCATTTCGTTGCTGCGCGGAAACACGATCCGTTCATCTATCAATGGTGAGCATGACCCCCTGATCTGCTCATCTCTATACTAGTACTAGGTACAGAACCGCTAATCGGACTACGTCCAAGGCACCGCCTCTTCACCCACGTCTGGGGCAACAAAAAGAACTTCAAAGGCCTCCTCTCAGACCCCCTCCTCGCGCCCATCCTGCCCTTAATGTTCGAAAAAGCCGACCCCGCCTTCAACGCAGACTGGATCGATGAATCCGTCGTTTACGAATACGTAGCCCAACTAATCTGCATCAGCCGACTCTTCTGCCTGGAAGAAGCCGGCGAAAACTTCTCGGGCCTCGAATACTGGCAAAACAAAATCTACGCCTTCAACGTTCTAAAAGAAGACTGGCGCTGCGAGAGTCTTACCAGCTTCGTCGGCTTTGGCGAGCGTGCTTTCGAAGCACTTACCCTCCCCTATCATAGCCCTGGTACCCGGCCTGATGCGGAGGAAAAGTCAAAGTTGGAGAAGTATCAGGAGGCGGAGTTTTTGATCTGGGAGATGCTTGCTAATGCGTCTATGTGGAAGGTTCCGCATGCGACTGGGTTATCGCATTCAGTGCAGCTGGGGACTTTGTTGGATTTATCGGAGAATGAGGGGAAAGATGCATTGCCCGGCTCGTTTGGGGAGTTGTTTAGATGGGCTACTGTGAATTTGAGGCAGACTAGGGAGGGGATTGAGATGATGCCGACGCCCAGGCCGAGTAAGACGTGGAAGAAGGGGGTCTTAGAGGTGTGATCCCCTCTTGTGAAATCTGCTTCATAGATATTTAGTAGAGGTAGTTGAGTTTTTAAACATGTCAATGGTTTGGGATCCTTGAAATACAGAAGATTTCATTAAAATGGTCATTTCGTGGAGACGACATGGACATTTTACTTGTAACTAACACTGTAAAAGCGGCATAGTTACGAAGAGGTTCCATCTACGGAGAAACGAGTATGTATATATTTCATCATGATGGATTCAGTTATGAGGCTCTTCCCATACGTAAATGGTACCTATTAGGATTAGAGAGCCATGCCAAAAATGCATGTCCCGGCAGAGGCTGAGATCGTCGGCGGTCCGATGACGAGGCTGAAAAGTTTACAGGTTACACAGCATGCCGATCCCCTCCCTCCCCTGCGTCGCTTTGATCTCGACCAAAAAAAGCCATAGATTCTGGCCAATTAAAAAAAATCTTGGACGAGAAAGAGTATGCCGAGGCCAGGCTGCGAGGAGGCAATAATGCAAGGCACCGGGCGCCCGGACAAACATGCAGAAAAGGATATCTAAATATAATCTAAAGTTATACACAGGTACGCTTACCCAAGAACCGTGCTAGCAAAAAGAGGTCTGAACATTCACAAAAGAGGCCTGGGAATTTACTTCTATCTCTTAATCACATCTACGCTGAAGCGCTGGAAACAGCTTCCCCCTTTCAAAAGTTATACTAGTCTGAACTGCTTGCTAACTACGAGAAACAAACCATCTGTCAAGCCTGCAATCATGGCCTCAAAGTCTATTCCAAAATCCGCGCTGAAACAGTCTCCTCTGCATGCAAATTTCACGATCGGCTGGATTTGCATACTCCAGAAGGAATATCGGGCAGCACTAGCAATTCTGGATGAGATCTATGACAACATCCCCCTGGCTCGCGGGGAGGGAGATCGAAACCTCTACGTTCTCGGTCGAGTTGGGAAGCATTACATCGTTATCAATGTCCCTCCATCAGACTGGAACGGGCGAATCCGCGCATCCACAATCGCGCACAACATGCGAAGCAGCTTTCCACGAATGAGATTCGTTCTTATGGTTGGCATCGCGGGAGGAGCGCCTTCACCAAAGGAGGACGTTCGTCTCGGCGACGTGGTTCTCGGGACTCAAGTCATCCCCTGGAACACTGGCAAATGGACGCAGCATGGATTCGAACGGACTGGATTGACCAAAGTACCACCGAGAGAGCTCTTAGAAGCGATCACCTTTCTGGATCAGCGCTTTTGGTCCTCTGACGAGTTACTTTTGTCCAAGGCAATTGAAGATATCGCCTCAAAAGCCCCTAATGGAGTTGCATTCATTCGACCGATCAAAGACCGTCTTTATCAGCCGGGCTTTCCTCATACAGAGTCAACGTGTGACTGCCTGCAGACTGAATCTGGGTTACCGGGCCAGCTTTGTTTGCGTAGCCAGCGCAATGGCGACTCGGTCAGGATATTCCAAGGAGCGATTGGGTCCGACGATGTGGTTATGAAAAATGCACAAACTCGCGACGAAGTCGCCAAAAAAGAGAAGATCCTTTGCTTTGAAATGGAAGCCGACGGTATCATGGATGTCATGCCTTGTCTCCCTGTCCGGGGAATATCAGACTACGCAGATGAGCACAAAAATGATGATTGGCATCTATATGCTGCGCTGGCAGCTGCCACATGCGCGAGGGAGCTATTACTCTCTCTTTCTCCCGATCTCGTTGCTCGGTTCCCCCTCACACTTACGGGAGATCTCGTAGATCGATACATGAACGGCGCGGTTAGCAGCCCCAATGCCTTTACAGGGAGCGAAACCGAAAAGTTAAGACAAGCTCGGGATACCTTGATTGAACGTCGCGACTTCTTCAGGGAGATTATAATCCCCGAAATTCGACAGAAACAGCGTATATTTCGCGACGACAGCCCGGAATTACGAGACGAGATCCAGAGACTAAAGGATTCCCAAAAGGTCTTGAAAGGGCATCTGCAGGATATCAATGATATTCTGAAAGACCACGACTATCTGGACTCGAGTCCGGATCCGGCTGTTCGGGAAGAATATCGGGACTTGAGGACGCAGTTGGAAAAGGATCTACAAGCAATCGAAAGCCTCGCCAGTATCGCGGGAGGTACTTTGAAGAATACTGGTGATATGCTAATGAACCTGGCGGGGATTTGCAAGCATAACGGTATGAAGGTCGCGGGCGTGGTATTGGTAGCTATTAGTACTTTCCTTGGAAGGACCATGAAACTCTGGAGATCGAGTAAACTCTCACCGGAAGCTATGTTGGAATGGATTCGTTCCAAAGTCGGGATGATGCGCGGTTCCGGTAATGTAAATGGGCATATCCAGCTTGTATGAGGCGCTGCAGTTTGAGTATCCGATAGCGTTGGCACCGATGCAATTGAGACACCTAGAGTGGCAGTTGAAAAGTTTAAAACAAGAGATGTAACAAAATCTCTCGCTAGACCTGCTTCAACATTTGTTTCTAAAGTTCTTTCGGAATGTCTTATTATCTCTCCGGAGAGCCTAGGCAATATCTCTTGGAATTTCTTTTTCAAAGCATGATTGATGAGATGATTTTGAAGTTTGGCTGGGCTAGAATGCAAGGAACAGTAGGGGTTTCCAGAAACCATCCGGTACGTATGCAAATGCAATTGGAAATATGCTATCATGGTCATAAACACGTCAAATAATCCGTCAAGAGTCCCTTGAGAACAACGGCAGCCTTGTTCTTCGTCCTAACTATACGATCAATGGGAACACCGTCCCTCCGCACAGGCCCGGATATCAAGTTCAATATCAACCTCCTGCATTGGGAGCCACGGATCGACAATGTCAGAATCCAAACTCCATGGATCTGATTGACCCACTGCTAGATGAGCACTGATAGGAATGCGCTTTTCTTGAATTAAACCTCCAGACGAGGATGCTCCGTGCTGACTAGGTGAGTGGTGGTCGCCAGCATTCTCACAGTCTTCGGGAATGGAACCAACAGGGCACCCCCGACCAGCAGTGGCAATGATATAGTCGGACTCAAAGGCCTGCAGCTGAAGACGGACACCTTCGATCACTTCTCCATCTCTGGAGACCTCGACTTCTGTGTATGGCGGGCCCCAGTTGAGAGGTGACTGTGGTACATGCTCCGCTCTGGAGGATAGGCCGTACGGTTTGCATGCGATCAATGGATCAACGAGAGCAGGGGGAATGACATTTGTGAATTCAAGGTGACGCACCCACTCTGCTAAGAGGGCATCACCAGTCATTTTGAGATAGGCCTCTTTCAAGGCCCAGTAAGAGTAGAAAAGACGGAGGCCGAACTCGATGAGTGTTGTAACATCGTCCGAAGGGAATGATGCAGCTAGACCGAGTTCGCGGGCTCGACGGAGAGTTGATAATGGATTTTGCATGGTTGCCATCTCCTTAGCCGAGAATACCTCGCTGAAGATAGATACGAATTCGGTGAAATCTTTCATGGTCTTCATAGGTTTGCGTCGCTCATTCACGCATGTTATATCAATACCGATTCTGGGTGGCGATGGCGCAACACCCCGAACGGCTTGCCGTGTGAGTTGCTCATGAGACGGGGCGATGACTCCCGCGAGGATAGTGAGAGAGGCTTGGTGGCTGACATTAAAGTCCACTTGGGTTTGTGTACTTGATGCATAGTACGGCCGATTCTCAGGCATAGGGGTGCGACTGAAGACAATGTCTCTCCAAGCAACGCCACAAGCATGATGAATGTATAGATACTTTAGCAGATGCGATGCCAAGGACATGCGCCTATCTGAAGCATGATGGAATCGCTTGACGGCTTGCTGTTCTGCAGGGCGAAGTATATCCAACAAAGGCAGATCGAGGCCATTGGCTTCCCATTCTCGGGTGTTGATATACCAGCGGGCTAAAGTTGGTAGACCGCGCAAAGATGGTTCGGTTGCGCTTCCGAGTCTGGTTGATTGGGCATCAGCGGGGCTAATCTCATTGGTTGCCATATTGTAGCCGTTGATCGTGATATAGGTTCAAGGGACTCGTTTCACTCAGAAATAATTGAACAAAATGTTTCAATCTTGTTCTGGGATCCTAGAATGAAGGGACATGCTCGACAAGCAAAGCACACTGGCCACTTGTCAGCTCGCTGCAAGTTGCAAGAGTGTTGGTTGCATCCCACCAGGAACCCCCCCCGTTATCGGACTCACGTGGCGATAAAAAAGGTCTCGATAAGGAAACTCCCCGCGGAAAGTTAGTATCACGTGCTTTTGGAGTCATATCTAAACGGGCAGACTCGCTTTCTTTTCTCTTATATGCCACTACAGAGATGCCGGTCACAGTTGGAGTCCTCGCTTTACAAGGCGCATTCATTGAGCATGTTCAGTTGCTGAAAAAGGCCGCCGAACAGGAAGCCCTGTCGGATTGGGAGTTCATCGAGGTACGAACGCCACAGGAACTCGACAGATGCGATGGGCTCGTGTTGCCTGGTGGCGAGAGCACCACCATGTCGCTCGTTGCGGCGCGATCTAAACTCTTGGAGCCGCTGAGAGACTTTGTCAAGTAAGTACTGCTTTATGCGATTGCACAACAATGAGTCTTGAGCAGATCTGACGGTGGCGCAATTGAACAGGGTCCACCGCAAGCCAACTTGGGGCACCTGCGCAGGTCTGATCCTCCTCGCCGAGTCGGCCAACAAGACCAAGAAGGGTGGTCAGGAACTCATTGGAGGCCTCGACGTTCGAGTCAACCGCAATCACTTTGGCCGACAGACCGAGAGTTTCCAAGGACCGCTGGAACTACCATTCCTGGGCGAAGACGCCCCGCCTTTCCCCGCGGTCTTCATCCGAGCCCCCATTGTGGAGTGTATCCTACCGCATCAAGAGGGCATCCAGGTGAAAGAGGCTGAGCGTGAAGATACCGTTATCGCACCTTCCAGGAAGGTCAAAGATTTGGTGGCGGAGGCTGCCACGGCTGATCATGTCGAGGTGCTGGCCACCTTGTCTGGAGCTGCGGCTCGGAGTGCCACGCAAGGGCGTGATATCAACCCCGATTCAGAGGTGGGCGACGTCGTGGCTGTTCGTCAGGGCAATGTCTTCGGGACCAGCTTCCACCCCGAGTTGACGGGAGACGCCAGAATCCACGCATGGTGGTTGCACCAGGTGCAAGCTGCGGTTAATAGAAGGAAGAAGCTCGGCCAATAGACCTAGACCAAAGAGCAAGGGTAATGGGCAAGTATTATAGAGCGCACTGCAAAGACGTTTTTTGTAAATAGGGTATCAGATGAATCGAGAAATCTTTGAGTTTCTTCTATTTGAATTCCACGCCCGTGGTAATAAGAGACAAACGCCATTTTCCGGCTCCAGTACTGTTTCATGTTGCTGTTCAAAACACACCTTACCTCCCCTCGCCGTATTGTTCCTCCTCTCGCTGGCGCTGCTCATCGTATGCACGACCATAGCCACCACGGCCAGGATCGTATTCCTCACGGTACTCGTCACGAACCTGTCCACCAGACTTGCCACGTCTGTGATGCAAACATTAGCTGCTGTCAACAATCTTGCTGTCGCCCAGCAGAACTTCTTCCTCCAAGAAGTAATCACGTACCCATACTGTCGGCCCTCCTCAAATCCAGGGTCCAGATCGGCTCGAATAATCCGCTCGTCCAGCTTTGTGCCTCCGACATACTTCAAGCAATCCAGCGCATCTTGGTGGGTATAGTATTCGACAAAGCAGAATCCGCAGGGGGTCTTGTTGAACCGATCGAGACCCATGACTAGTCGCTTAATCTCTCCGCACCTAGAGAAGTCAACACTCTGGATCAAACTCATCTGCAATACATCCACTTACTTGGAGAAAAGCTCGTGGATCTGTTCCTCAGTCGTGTAGAAGGACCTAGGACGAGTCAGTGGTGCCTTGCCGAGTGCCTCATTCCTAGCATCACATACAGGTTGCCCACGTAGAGTGTGGTCGCGTCCCGAAGCTTCGCCATAGGATCCTCCCTCTCAGGCTCTTCCTCATCCCTGTCGTTGTATCTGCTGCGCCGCTTGTTCTGTGGCCGTTGCGATTCTCATTAGTACCCGTGTTGATCGCATCGGGACCCGACCACGGCCGTGGAGTGTTCTTACCTTTCCTACATAGTAGGCACTGGGCCGATCCAAGCGATCGACAGTATTAATAGCTAGCAAGCTCATAGTGCAGAAGCCGGAATTCTTTGAGGGATCAAGAAGGTCAAAGAGTGGAGCGGTCGTTTGAGGCGGCAACGGGAAGCTTGGAGCTCTAAAAGAATCTTGGCGCCGGCGCCGTCAAATTCCACGCATCAACAACCCAAAGACAATTTTTGGCTTCAGATCCGTTTGCCTCGCCGCATTTCTTCTTCGAGAATGGTATAAACAAATCTTTCCTTCTCACGTGACTTTCTCCATTTCAACTTCTTCAACATCACTATGCCCAAGGTCAACAGCTATGCGCCGGCCTGGCTGTGCCGGCCCTCCCCCGGTGCCAGCCTCTTCACGAGCAACGCCGACAACAGCCCTGCGGAGGAGCTCCAGACTAAACCTAAGCCTTCCACTGACAGTGGTGCTGCCCGAACGATCGCAAAGAGGGGCAATGAAATCTTCGTCGTGATCGACAATGAGATCCGCTGGTCCAACCTTGCGCGCCTCAAGGATCAATGGCAACAAGAGGCCAGGAAGAAGAAAACCAAGGACCAGACGAACAGCTCTCTCATACCATCATACAGGGTATGTCGAGCTTTGAACACGCTTCAAGCTCCTGTGGTCAACTGTGTAATCCATTGCGACTAACCATTATGCAGGTTCTCGCCGTGCCCGTCTACGGACTGATCAAACAGATCCTGCCCTCCCCGAATGGCGCTTTTCTCGCAATCGTCACCGAGCACACCGTTCACATCGCCGTGCTCCCGGATTCGTCTCATCTATCATCCACCGATAAATCTCCCATTCGACTGAAGACCTACCAGCTTGGCCCGACTACCCATGTTATCCCGGAATCACCAGTTGTGTCGGCATTATGGCACCCACTGGGTTTGCACACCAACCTCGGTGGATGTCTGGTCACAATCACTGCTGATGCTGCAGTGCGAGTTTGGGAGCTAGACCGGAACAACCATTGGTCTTTTGATCAGCCCACATTGGCCGTTGACCTGAAGAAGTTGGTCGATGGCACCTCGTCCGACCAGGACTTTGCGCCGTCTGGATTCGGCAAGAGCAAGGGATTCTCTGCGGATGTCTTCGATATGGAGGTCGCATCGGCTTGCTTTGCTGGAAATGGCAATGACAAGGAGGATGCTTGGGCACCCATGACTCTGTGGATTGCCATGAAGCCTGGTGACCTCTATGCGTTGTGCCCATTGCTGCCATCCAAATGGCAAGCACCATCCGCAACCATCCCTTCGCTCTCCTCGGCTATCATCCCGAAGATGGCTGCCCTTGAAGAAGCACCAGAGGACATGGAGGAGGAGTTGATCGCATGCCGGCAGCAATATGACTGGCTGCGTGAGATTGATGACCAGGAGCCTTTGAACCCTCCTGCTGACTCGGATACGATTCGGGGTGCGGATGTGTTCTCTCGGCCAGCAAACCCGAGTGCGATCCCGCGCCTGCAGGGACCGTTCCGCTTCGACACTGGTGATGAGCTCGATGACCTGGACCTTTGTGATATTCTGGTCATCGCCGCCAGACTAAACGTTGAGGATCTGATGATGGGAGAAGACGAAGTGTTGGCAGTGGAGTCTAGCGATCAAGATAAGCTGTCTGCAACGGTCATCTGCCTTACCAGCGGTAACGGCCGCGTTCACATTTGTCTAGAACTGGACGGCGTCGAGGGCCAGTGGCTCCCCAAGGCTAGAAAGAACGCCTTCCGGACTCCTCTTTCGGAGCCTGCTGATCTGGTCTTGGTCGAGTCCTTGGATACCATTAAAACGAATGGCACCGAATCTGTGACTTGGCCCACTTTCACCAAGGACATCCACTCTCGGTATTCCTTCTTTGTAACGACCGCATCGAATGTGGTACACTTCTCCATGTCGTCCTGGGTGCAGAGATTGGAGTCCGAATTGCAGGCCGAGGATACGACCGGCTCGGGCTTCCGACTCCAGGTCCTTTGCAGTGGAAACGTCGCCCAGAGAGAGAAAATCTTGCAAGTTTCAGACGTGGATGTTACTTCCGAGAAGGAGCATCTTGCTGCATCCCTCGTGTTCTATGACTTTGATCTGGGATACCTCCTTCTCACCTATGTTCCATCCAGTCCGTATGCGGCTGTGATGGATGCTCCGGAGGATTCTTTCTCAGCAACGATGGATCTTCGCACTTACAGTCAAAAGACCAGCGGAGACTCTTCCCCCATTCTCGCCCCTCGCCGCGCGCCTTACCAAGTTCCTGCCATCCTGTACGCAAAGTCCCCACTGGAATCTTTCGTCGAGAAGCACGTCCCGCACCGCCAGCGACACACGCTTAAAGAGCAGGTCCGCCTCTCTCCTGCGACACTTGACCTGGTCACCACAGCCCACCGTGTGCTTTCAGCTCACACCAATGCGCTGGAACGAGCTGCCTCGGACTTGTTCCGTCGTTGCGAGAGGCTGCGGGGTGAGATGAAGGACCAGCTCAAGCAGCTATCAGATGTTGCGGAGCGGATCAACGGCGTGACAAGTGAGATTGGCGAGGACGGCAATCGCAAGGATGGCTCTCGGAACGGCGCTGCCCTTGACAAGAGACTGCAGGCTGCTAAGGACAGACAGAACGCGCTTGTGCAGAGATATGATGCATTGCGCAAGAAGCTTCTTAACTCTGGTGGTCGCCCCTTGAGTGACAAGGAGAAGGCCTGGGTCTCTGAAGTCAAGGCTTTGTCCGAATCTGTTGGCGGTGCCGATTCCAAGCCCAGCGAGGCAGACCAACAGCTCACACAACGCTTGGAGACAGTAAGTTTTCATCCCCCGCCCCCGTATTTGCTATCTCGGATGTTAAACTAACATGAAAATCAGGTCAAAACTCTTGCCACCGACCTCGTGGCCGAGACCAAAACTCTTGCATCCAAGGTGCCATCGGGCCCCGAGCCTGGAAGCCCTGCTTCTCCGGGTGGCGCTCACCCCAAGGTGCCGCAGCGACTTCAGCGTGCTAAGATTGCTGATGCGATGAGGATGGTTGAACGAGAGTAAGTCAAATTCTTTTTTTAAAACTTCTAAATGCCTTTGCTAATTCTCCTTTCTCAGGTCTGCGGTTATCGATGCGATTACTTCTCGTCTGGAGCGTCTCAACACGAGCATTTAAACCAACTGGTGATTTAGCAGTTCCTATCGATGGATGATGCCACTATAGGTATCGAGGGATGGAAATATCGTGCACAGGGGACTCGCACATTTATGATTTTTGAGCTCTTAGGATATCATGCACAATGAATGGGACAGATCTACGTCCAACTGCTCTACACCATCTTTTATGGGTACAGAACGCCAACACGCCGAGTTGACCTACTCATAAAAGCAAAATTCAAATGAAATATCAACTGTCAAGAAGCCAAAAACTTATATAAACCAGCCCCATCCGAAATCCCATTCTCAATAATCATCATCCTCGTCAACAGGTGCCTTCTCATCCTCAAAACTACTCACCGTCGGCCCCAACCACTCACCCAGTAAATCTAAAACATCCATATAATTAGCACATCATACTCAATAGAAGGACAGCAATGCCAAATAAGAATCCAATATCCTCTCAAAGACATACCTTCAACCAAATACCAATCCGTCTTCTCTCGCCAGGCCCGATAATTCTTCCATATCTTTTCCCGCTTTACCGGTTCGCAAGCCCTGCTCATATCAGCCATTACTTCTGCCTCAAATAGCCATCGGGGCATCTGCTGCGGGTTAAGATCGAGTTCCGGCGTTGTCGGTCTAGAGGGATGCAGTGCCTCGAAGTCCTCCTCGCCGGATGATAACTCTTCCTGTTGCACGCTTTTGGCAGGTGCAGAATATTGTTCGTGCTGGTGTGTTTTATAACGACGGTGTTCTTCGTTGCGTTGGGATAGGGCGGCTATCTCGTTGTTAATCCGCTTGTCGCCGGATCTCCAGCATTCCTTGCAGGTTTGTAAGTGGCAGTTGATTATGATCATTTTGGGGCCCCAGCAGGTTTCGGTGGGTTTGCAGTAGAGATCTTGGATATTCAAGATGCAGCCGCAGATGTGATACTTTTGGGTTATTATGACACACATTTTGCTGAGAGTAGAAAGCTGGTCAGCATAGGATAAGTTGCAAGTATGGGATTGCTGGTAGGGCATCCTCATATAAGAATTGTACGGATAGTGGCTTTGTCTTTGGTATTGTAGGATGGTTCTTCAAGTCAAAGGGCCTTGTGCTAGATCTCCAGATACAATGAATTCTTCGAGACAAGGACTGCATTATCTAGCACGTCATAACAAACAAAGGATTGGCAATGATTGTGAAGATGAATTAATTCCAAGAAAGAGCTGATATCGAATGAGATGTGAAGTAGATACAGGAAACGTGGGTATGTAATTGAGGAACCAACCATATCCACAAATGACCAGAGACACCATGCTTCTTGTCCTGTTTGCAAATGTACCTAGCTAAAAACGCCACCCGAGACCCAAGCGAGGAAAAAAAGAAAGGAATCAAAGAGTGAACATGCCATGAGGATCAGGTGGAAGAGTGGTGATGCCCTCGGGCTGCTTGGTCTTGCAAATACAGAGACCGCGAGCAAGCTGCATGGCACTCACATCCTCCGAGTCCTCGACACGTTCAACAACCATATCGTAAAGTTCATCGACGGTGTCCTCCCAATTTGGCAGATTCACATCATCCATGTAGATCTCCCACTTCTTCATATTGGGCTTGAACTCCGAGTTCCACCAGTACAGCCAGGCCATGTAGTCGAAGTGGTCCATCTGGCGAGAGGCAGCATGCTTGATGTCATACATGCGCTGGCTGTATGTTGCCCACTCAATTGCGAAGAACCGTTGCAGAGAATGAATGTAGAGGTTGGTGAAGGAGTCGTAGGCAAGCTGGTCGAGGTGGAATCCGATAACAGCACCGGGGATCTTGGCGGCTGGGGCGAGGGTCGGGTCTCCCGTGTCGGTCTGTTCTTTCCATTCGAGGAGACGGTTCATGGATCGAACGTGCTGGTCAAAGACCGGGCCCTGCGTCTCGGGGCACATGGCGATGAAACGCTTAGTGCGGAGGTCGTGGAGGAAGAGCAGGCCCTTGATGACCGCGTAGGCAGCCTCGCCGACTTTCATGTGCATTTGGAGGAGGATGTCGGGGACCACGAGGTAGCTTGGGAGGCGGAAGTCCTTTGCGTCGTAGACGTAGGACATGATCGTCTTTGGCTTTAGTTCAGCCGCCAGGGCCTCTCGCAGTCTCGCTGCTGGATTCATCTTGGTGATGGGACGGGTTGTTGATTTCTGTGATGAGAGGATAGGAGGTGAGACAAGAGAGTGTGAGGGTCAAAAGAGATGATGATCAGAGCGATGCGGGGAGGGTTGGGGAGAGTAGGTAGGAAGGAAAGAGATAGAGACGGTGGATGTTTGGAGAAGTGAAGACGCGTTCGAGAGTTGTGTGCTTCATCACCATCGCGGGTGTTTTCTAAGTGCGTGCCTATATCTTTAGTTTCAAGTTTGCATTAGATTATAATGACATACGAGTGCTTTCTACACCAATATCAACGGTTGCCTTCATTAGCGGAGAACTTGTTAGAGGCAGTGAAGCTTCTCAGCGACTTGCATTATCCAGAGGCTGCCCTGTTATCATTTAGCTGGTGAAGCTACCTTCTATTTTAGCTCTTTGAAAAATCACCTAGCACAATCAACTAAAGGGAGCAACCAAATTGCTCACTAGGAGCTGGAGACTGTATCAGGAGAGCTCTGTGCAAAGTGATAATCCTTTTTGCCTCTCCAACGAAGTCCCAATCCCAACCGTACCAACCCAAGAGTATCCAAAACCTGAAAAAAGAGACCAATAAAACCAAGTTCGTCGATCATGTATCAATCTTGTAGATAGTGGGTAGATCACTGGACACTGTTATTTTGTGTTAGCAGATAGTCTCCCAAAGAACCAGCTTTGTCCAATGAATACGTACCGCTGGATAAGATGAACACCAGAGGCCGTTTCTACAACGCCGCTGACTTGACCAGGCTGGAGAGCAAAGGCGGCATCTTCAAACTCCTTTTGCATCTCGCCATGGCCAAAGAAGCCACTATAGACTGTGAGTACAATGCGCATTGTGTTTCAGAGGAAAGAATCAAAAAACATACAGGTCACCCTTCTTCCTGGCACTGCTGCAATCAGACTCGGAGACGGCAATGTCGCCGAGAGTGGCTTCGCCAGACTGAATGCGCCGCTCGTGGCCCTTCAGGATTTCAATTGCCTCCTCCTTTGTACGGGTAATCTCCGCTTCGCGCCAGCTACTGGGGCGACGGCTGTCGCGGTGCTTCACAAGCAAGTGGCTGCAGCGGATCTTGCCCTCTCCCTGTCCACCAACATCATTGTGGGTTGCCGCAGAGTGGTGAGTCGCCATGTAGTCTTTGAGGGTCTCGGTATCGGTGTCCGCAGGGGTTCCCAGCGCGACTCCTTGGTCGCGGGGTTGAAGTAGTAGGGTAGGTTCTTGGAGTTGGAGTGACGAACCTCCCAGCCAGCTGGAAGTCCTGTGGCAGCCTAAATTCTGGTTAGTTACCTAGCCAAATCAATTCAAAGGAGACACGTCACCGACCATTGTTGAGAATATGAGTCAATAAGGCAGACTTTGTTTGATTGAGGAAGCTCAGCCTGGAAGTATTGACTGGGGGGAATGGAATTGCGGGGGACAGCTGCAAACGCTGCAAACTGATCGCCGCTAGAACCCATCCAAATATCAGCGCTGCCTTCTGCCTCTCAGCCCGCCGCCTGTTTCTTTTGATCTCTCAACTCCTCCTTCTCCTTCTCCTTCTCTTTTCTCCTCACCTCTACACGCTTCCCCGAAATCCTACCCTTTCCACCCACTACACGAAACCTTCCACCACTTTCGATCAGCTCTCAATCGCACTCCACAATCAACCCAACCGCCACAATGTCTGCAAGCCCGACTCCCTCTGGCGGTGCCGATACAAAGCCCGCTGATCAGATTCACTTCCGCTTCTGTCGCGAGTGGTAAGTCCTCTCATCCTATCTGTCGCTGATGCCGTACCTCATACTAACCCCGTCATAGCTCCAACCTGCTCTACCCCAAGGAGGACCGCGTCACCAACCAACTCATGTTCACCTGCCGCACCTGCCACGTCGGCGAGCCCGCCACCTCCCACTGCGTCTACCAGAACAAGCTCAACAGCCAGGTTGGAGATACTGCCGGTGTCACCCAGGATGTTGCCTCGGACCCCACGGTTTGTGCCCCCGAGCCCATTCTTGGCTTCCTTAGCATCCCCGGCTTCTGCACCTGCTGTGGCAAGGAGATCTCCTGTGAGACCTGCGGCCGCGCATACTATGCGGTCCCCAAGGATTATCATGATGGAAACCTGAGCCCAGTCTCAGATGCGACCAGCCATGTGTCCAGCGTTGACTCTACTCAGCTGACTTAGATGGTTTCATTCCGCTGACTCTCTTTCTTCTTTTTTCACCGGTAGCTTCCCCGAGCGAATAAGCTTTGCCCGAGCTGCGGTGAGAACGAAGCCGTCTTCTTCCAGTCTCAGCAACGTTCTGCTGAGAGTGGAATGGTGAGTTATTTGCCTCAGACCCCTCGACACTGGTCAAGTCCCATTCTCTAATTGCGGGTTTCCAGAAACTCTACTACGTGTGCTGCGCATGTGGTAACGTTTACGTGTGATATCCTTTTTACGACACGGCGCAATGTTCCCTTCCGGATACCCTTCGACACTTTTTACGATTCAGTTTTTGCGATTCTTGCATATGGCCGGAGTTTATTCGGCGACGAGATACAGGAAATGGAATAAGCACTTTTTTCAAAACAAGACTTTCTTCTGCTTTGGTATTTGAAAATAAGTTTCTATGGTACAAGATGAAAATGCTTTCGAAGAACAACGCTTTCCCAAAAATAATAGCACAGCCCGAGTCCTGGGGGTAGATATTACACGTGCACTGGCGCCAACGACAGAATCTTGGACCACTTCTTGTCGCGCAGTTCCTGTCCAACGACACCTGTAGAAGATGTTAGTATACTGTAAACACTCGTAGAGAGGCTGGCTAGCCTTCCCCCGAGGGTAGGAATCACGACTAACCGTTCATTCTTGTCCCAATAGGATCCCCGGCCTTGTTCACCAGCACACAGGCATTATCACCAAACCGAACAACGGTGCCATCATCCCGCTGCACCTCCTTCTTCACACGGACCACGACCGCATGCCGAATATCTCCACGACGGACCTTGTTCGCGAGCGCGGTAGCGCTAGATCCTTCCGACGTAGCAGCTCTCTGCTTCTGGACGACGACGACTATCCGGTCACCTAAACACGATCCCAGCATTAGCACACAGCTCATTCCCTGCCAATTGTCTACCGCGTCATCCTTTGGCGTGATTCGGTTCTCGTTCTGGGTTCGGGGACTGACCGATCGTTGCGGGCCGCTTCTTCTTCAGGACGTTGACGCACTCGACGATCGAGGCGCCGGAGTTGTCGATGCATGTGAGTAATGTCTGGAAGGGGGGCGTTAGCTGGAATTGGATTGAATAAGGGCTGTGTGGGTGGTACCTTTAGTTGAATCATTGTGGGCGCATTGAGGGATTGAAGCAGGCGGCTCACGTCCGTATCACCACAATTTGTTCGGAGAGTCGGCGGGCGGAAGGGGGGTTTCCCGGTTGGGATAGTTTCTCCGAGGCATACAACTGGACGGCATAACATGCTTCTATATAGTCTACTTGGTGAGGAGGGATAATGAAATTGTTTTGTTGACTATTTCATAATTGTTTTCTATCATCCAACATGGTCTTTTGTCTGGTGGACATGTATCTGAATCTGTGGGACATGATGGTCCGAGAATTCTTTTATTAGGAGGACTAAAATCGGTAGATCAGTAGATTGCAGGATCCTCGTAGATGGTCATTGAGAAATTGGCTTATTGATTTAATGGGGTTTGAAAGAACTTGAAGGGTCTCCTAGAAAAGTGTAGCACTTGTTTAAGTGAATTGGTCGCGATGGATTCTACGTATCTAGGCATATCGAACACAGATACCGACTCTACTCGACTATCTGGCCAATGATGAGTATCGGGAAGAAAGTAGCTACATCTTGAAATGATTCTCTATCTAATCTAAAGGAATCAAATTTAGATACAGAATGTGGAATATAGGCGAAGAAAGACACAATGCGCATTTCTACCTCCACTGCAGCGTAGGGATGCTGCATGATCCCTCCATTGGCGTATTGTATGAAACCTCTCTATTGGCATAAGAGTATATAGAGATGTTTATCACTGGGATCGGATCCAAAAAGCAGTCAATATCAGATGTCAACCCTGGAATGAGGTTTTGGAATGTTGTTTTGAACGGAAGGAGAGAGAGATACTATGCAGAAGCTGCTGGTGGAAGGCCAAGTTTATTTCCTCTATCTCGTCGACTTCGGACTTTGTACATGATAATAGTTGAACCGATCAGGTAAGATCTCTATCGGAGAATATCTCGTTTTCAAACCTAATCATTGACCAAGCCAAATGCCAGCCAGATTGTTGGAGTGGAACCAATACGGCAAAGCGAGTCGGGAGATGGTTGTATGCGGCAATGCGCGGAGTCAGATTGATAGTCGCGTGTAAGGATGTTGACAAGTTACCAAATTGAGACTGCATGAAATAATAAGAATGCACCAATTGCAGGGCCTATAATATTAGGTGTCAGAAAGTGGGCGGTGCCTGGGGCTGTAAGGCGTGCACATTGCAGGCGTGGAGTAAAAAACCGGGCGACCATCGGAGCGGGTGATGGTTCCTGGGAAAGTTCCCCTTTGGCTTCGCCCCGACAGCCTTCCAGCACCAATTGGCCTCGCGATTTCTCTCGCGCCATGCTGCCTACCTCGGTGCACATCGTGTCGAATGATTCTTGTCTCTTCCTCCCTCTGTGAATACGCTCTTCGACTCGACCACCAGTACGCCCTCTTTTCTTCACGCTCTCCTCCCTTCCCTCGAGCCTCCGCAATCTCCTTCGTGTCGTGCGCAGTCAGCCTCTCTCCCTCGACTTTGTCAAAGAACACGCCCTGTCTCGCTCCCGATAATCACTTTCTCTACATGTGACTACAACAATGCCGCCCAAGAAAGCGCGCTCAAGTTCTCCCGCGACCGAGCGGCGCGAGCGTCTGACACTGGCCAAACTGGCCAGTTATGACGACGTCGCAACCGATGCGCTGGTTGATCACGTACGACTCCTGCTGGCGTTTGGAACCTAGAATCACGATATTGACTACTTCTATACACAGGCCTACTTTTGGACCACCACGCGCAAGAATCGCAACAAATACGGCCCTGCCCGCGGCATCCACGATGACGACGTGGGCCACATCCTCCTACACGATGTGGTCGTCGCAAAGGACGTTCAGACGGCGGAGCGTAAATTACTTGAACTGCCTGGTCTTCGGAAATATCTAGCCAATCTCCCCAGCCCTCGAGAGAAGGACTGGTTCCGCCGTCATCTCCGCAAGTACGTTCAAATGTACCACCCGGACTGTCCGTTCGAGGTGACGACCACAAATCGTTACATTATCACCCAGCACGAAGCCGCGATTTGCGCCCGCAAGTTTATCAAGGCTGGCCAGGAGATCAAATATCTCTCCGGCACCCTCGTCGCCATGACTAAAGAAGAAGAAATGGACTTGGGTCTGACCCGCAAGGATTTCAGCGTGGTCATGTCTAGCCGCCGTAAGACCCCCTCCTTTTTCCTGGGGCCCGCTCGCTTCGCCAACCACGACTGCGACGCCAATGGCCGCCTAGTCACTCGCGGGACCGAGGGCATGTCGGTCATGGCGACTCGTGACATTCATGAAGGAGAAGAAATCACCGTCTCTTACGGCGAGGATTATTTTGGCATTGACAACTGTGAGTGTCTATGCATGACCTGCGAACACGAGGTTCGTAATGGATGGTCACCCCAGGTGGAGTCGGAAGAGAATGACAAGGGGTCTTCTCCAGTTTCGGTCGACGAGGCCGGCCTCGTGGATGGCGAGTTGGCAAGCAAGAAGCGCCGACGTGATTCTGATCATGACATGGACGAAACATCCTCAATCTGCTCCACTCCGAACAAGCGAGCCAAGTTCCACCGCCAGACCTCCAAGTTGCGCGAGGAGATCTGCATGTCCGAGCTCCCTGCTGAAGGAACTGCCACCCCCGAGACCGAAATGCCTCTCACCCCAGACTCGGACCTCGATGCTCCGGTCATCTCTGCTTCTGTTGCAAGTGAGCGGCAGGTCTCTAAACTGCGGCAGGAGATCATGGTGACCCAATCCCCGCCTGAAACATTGATCCCATCTACGGAGAAAACCGAACAATCACAACAAACCGACAATGAGTTTGCGGTCATTGAGACCGATGCAGTCACTCTAGTTGATCCCACCACGATCACTAACCACCCAGCTAATGGCCCAGTCGACTGCCACTCCCCCAGCTCCACTGACGAATCCCATCAATCGTCAACCTCAAGTCTCCCAACCTCTGTGGATGACACCGGAATCAAGGTGAAGAGCGAAGAGCTCGCAGAGTCACGCCATCCCGACCCTTCCCAAGTTACAGAGGGTCCTCTCGATATCCCAATCACAGGTCAGCCAGAAACAACCATCTCCCCTCCGCGGAGCCCCACCCCCAGTGAACTCTCAGACTTATCAGACTCGTTTGAACTAGACGATACCTTGCAAACCGTTGTTGAGAAGAAACGAAAGCCCCGTCGCAAGCGCAACTGGGCTATCGTCTCCTCAGTTGAGACAGAAGTACCCATCACTCGATCACCCGGCGACTACACCAAGACTTCACGACTACTGGCCCAAAAGTACGATCGTTGGGTCGACTGTCAAACCTGCGAGTCATGGTTTGTACAGTCCAACTCTTATCAGACACGTCGCGAGTGTCCACGATGCGAGCGACACTCCAAAATCTACGGATTCCAATGGCCCAAGACCGACAAGGGCGCCGACCGTCAGGAGCGAGTCATGGATCACCGCACCATCCATCGCTTCTTGTCTCCTGATTCTGAAGCACGTGTCTCCCGCCGAGACCGGGGCATCAGTTTCGGCGTCACGCCTACACCAGAGCTCTCGGATGCGCGCACCGAGACGCCAGCTAGTGATGCCAATGAGTCCCGTCGTACGACCCGGGCTAGTCGCCGACGGACTCGGGACTTTCGAATGACTATGTAAAGTGAGCATCAGTGTTTGTCTAATTCTCATGGATCTACGAAGGAGAGGTGTTTGGGCGCGTGTCCCGAGGAACGGGACAATGTAACATTTATGCACATCATTGCACAGGGAATATGGTGTTGAAAGGATTCAAGGTGCATGGAAGGGATTTTCCCAGGGTTATGTGGGCTTTTTAACTTGGATTGATGTATTCTAGGGAGTTGGGGGTTAATTCGGGACATGTGTACTACATATGGAGTAGACGGGGTAACGAACATATCTGGAATGAATGGGATATTCTACTATTTAAAGGGTATTTAAATCAAGGACTCAAGACTGGAGAAGAAAGAAGTAGCCCGATCTGTACCTGCTTTTTCTTCTTTCAAAGGATTTCCAAATGTCGGTTAAATAGGATTTCTTGGTGACCCACCCAGGCATCACATCGCGCATGGCCTCCCAACGCAAAACCTATCAGACAACTTCCAAGTTTGCAAGATTGAGCGGGGCTTCAAACTTATGCACTATCACTATACTCTCAATGATGCCATCTTCCTTTCATCCGAACGGATCTCGCTATCGGGGCGATCGACACCGAAGTGGCACTCCGCATGTCTCCCCGCATCGTATCCCCGCGATCTCTGTGAAGAATAACTGCACCAATAATATCCCACCAAGAAGAATCTCAATGCTTGGCTTCCCTGTCCACGATGCTTGGAAAACTCCGCCAAGGGTCCTTGCATTGCGATCTCGGGCCTTTCTCTCGCGAGACTTGGTTGGCCTGAAATGGGAACGGACTGACTATATAGACCAGCGAGTACCTCGTCACCAAATAACATCAATAAGATTTGAGAAACCGAGCGCCATATTCCAAGCGCATAATTCTTCATAATGCGGTTTCTTTCAACCATTCTCTTCGCTGCATCATCACTTGCTACTATAGCAAATGCATATGACGACCCATTAATACACCTCGACTATGGCTCCTTCCAGGGCAAATACGACAGTACCTATAACCTCTCATATTTCCGAAAGATCCCCTTCGCTGCACCTCCCACGGGCGAAAATCGGTTTCGCGCTCCTCAGCCACCACTGAAAATTACAAATGGCACGTACGACACTGATCAAACCTTCGACATGTGTGCCCAGCGCACGGTCAATGGCACGGAGGATTGTCTATACCTAGGTCTCTTCTCTAGACCGTGGGATACGTCCAAGGATATTCGCAGACCGGTACTAGTCGTGTTCTACGGCGGTGCATTTATCCAGGGTGATGCCGCGTTTACTATGCCGCCGTCTTCATTCCCAATTCTGAATGTTAGCACGTTGAATGACTACGTCGTGATATACCCGAACTACCGACTAAACGCGTTCGGTTTCCTGCCAGGAAAAGCGATCAAAGAGTCTTCTACATCGGATCTCAATCCTGGATTGCTGGATCAGCAGTATGTCCTAAAATGGGTCCAGAATAATATCCACCATTTTGGCGGTGATGCTCGCAATGTCTCTATTTGGGGCCAATCGGCCGGTGCGGGATCCGTCGTGGCACAGGTCCTTGCCAACGGACGAAATGGAAATCCAAAGCTCTTTTCAAAGGCTCTTGCTAGTTCACCTTTCTGGCCGAAGACATATGCTTATAATGCACCCGAGGCGGAAGCTATCTACAACCAGCTTGCGAATTTGACCGGCTGTGCTGAAAAGGGTCACGACAAAGAGGTTCTGGCATGTCTGAAATCAGTCGATGTACAGACTATCCGTGATGCTAGCTTGATCATTGATGCAGAGCATACGTGGACGACTAGCTCGTATACATGGGCTCCCGTCATTGATGGCGATTGCCTGGCCGATACGTTGACTGATGCTGTTAGCAGCGGCACGTTGAACACGGAGTTTGTGTGGGGAATGTACAACACCCATGAGGGACAGAACTTTGTTCCATCGGGTTTACAAAATGCTGCCCTTACTAGTGGGTATAATTCTTCCATTGCGAGCTTCCACCAGTGGGTTACGGGTTTCTTGCCTGGATTGTCTGCGAAGCAGATCGATTTAGTTGAGAATGTGTATTACCCGGTGGATGGGAGCACGGAGACAATCGACGAGTATAATACGACGTACGTTCGCGCGGGACTAATTTACAGAGATGTGGTTCTTGCGTGCCCGGCCTATTGGGTTGCATCGGATGCGCAGAGGAAAGGGTATGTTGGTGAATATACTATTTCGCCAGCGACTCATGGCAGCGATACCATCTACGTATGTCACAATCTTGGACTGAAGCATTACTTGAGGGTCCCAGACAGGAATACTAATCTTGAAATAGTGGAATAAAATTAATGCGGTGCAAACAACGAATCCGGTCGTCTACCAAGGATATGCCGGTGCCTTTGCAAGCTTCTTCCAGACGGGGGACCCGAATGCGCATAAATTGACCAACTCTTCGGAACCGGGCGTTCCAGAGGTGCAAAGTACCGGGGAAGAATTTGTTATTGTGGACCATGGATTTGAGAATGTTCGCCTTGAACAGCTAAAGAAGCGGTGCGAATTTTGGCGAAGTCTGGGGAAGAAAATTCCTATTTAGATAAACCTATTGCTGTGATACTTCCATAGCCGGAATGACCGACGTCTAAATCCTACATATTTTCTCCATGTTCTTCCATCGCAATGCTCTTTCAAAGACGTTTCATATGTTCTTATTTAAGCATGATATTACAACCAAGCCGTGGCCGCAGCTTATTATGGTGGAATACCTCGGTTGAATTTGGAAGCTCTATTTCCCATGATAAATAATAAAAGAATCCCGGATTAAGATATAAAAATGAAAAACCAGAATATCTTAATAATTACCAACCTCCCAGTATGGAGGATGTACTAATCCGAAGTTGATCAACCCATGCACCTACTTATTCCAGACTAGCGCGAGAGTCATCGCATCTGAGGCTGTAAGCCCCCCCCCCCCCCCCCCACGCAACCTCGTCTGAACATCAACAACACACTTTCTCCCTCTTCACAGCCCCTTGCACAAGATGAATCCAGCAAGCAGGGCCCTGCGCCTACCCCTCAGACTGTCTAGACAACAACTATGGATGCGACCACAATATCAACCTACAATACGCGCCCACGTGGCTTACATCCCGACCCGATGTCGACAATATCAACTCCCACATTCTTTCTCCTCCGCTTTTTCAATGCATGCTCTCCGCATGGAAAAAGCAAAACCTCAGACTGACCCAGACGCTGGGGCTTTGAAACCGCTAGCCATGAGCTTTGAGTCTATTGGTATCGGCAAGAATATGAAGAGGCTCGTGTTACTTATTGCATCTGTTACCGCTACGCTTGAGCTGTTTATTTGGTGCGAGTCTATCTGGAATTGGTGGAAGGGAGAAGAGGGTGACAAGCTTGAATGATGAATGAACTGGGATGTACGCCCCTGAACTTATGGATCTTTATGAACGGCTACCTACCGGGGTATGGGATACGGGATATACCTATTTTTTTTTCTTACAACATAAATCCACTCTCAACATTTTGAAGAACTGCTCCGCTTTAGGAACATCTGGAGCTATTACTGAGTCACACTGATGGTAAATGATAGCACATGTCAGTCATTGAGACACGGTCAAAGGCTTATAACATCCATAGTCACGTGACATACTCCCATAAATAGCTTAAAAGGTGGCTGACAATGATGGTAGTGACCTTCAAAGGAAGTCACTAGTTTTATGGCGGTACTAATTCCGACCTTGAGGGGTGTATCCACACTTTTTCTATCATCATTCTTGGTTTCATCCCACCGACGCTTTCCCAGCCTCTTCACAGTGGAGAGGGGACCAACAATGACTAAGCGGAAGCGGCGGCGAGCTGGAAGACCCGAAGGTTCCCTTCAAGAGCCAACCATTTCTGGGATCGACGTCGCCCCACTGATCTATCGGGATATGGACTCGAAACCCTTCACTGATTGATCGACAATTCGGCGGGACTGTAATTTGCGGGACCTGAACTTGACCATCGAAGTCACTATGGTCACTTGTTTCCACACGAATACATATTCCAGAGCCAGACCTAACACGTCTTATCTGAGAAGAACGGAAGGTGCTGATGGAAAGAATAGCAATATATTGAGCCACTTGGACATAATAATGGTAGCTAATATTATACAAGAGGATGCATGAGGGCCAGCTTCCCAAACCCTCGACCTTTATCAGCCAGAACCTTCAACTCCTCCAGGGCATCTTTCGCTCGCCCTTGGAATACTTCGACAGAAACCAGTCGAAAACGAGATCCATAGTGTTCAACTGCCCATTGAAGGGCACTCCATGCCCGCTGGTGGTCCTCTTTTCGAGCCGGAATGACGATTGGATGGGGGATATTTGCAATCTTGAGTGTGACATCTTCGTTCGTGGTGGCTAAAGGCATCACGAAGCGTGGGTCCTTTTGGACTACCACGGAGACCAAGATAGCGTCCTTGGAAGAACAAGAGGCTACCATCTGCGCTGAACCAAGACCACTGAGGCTTCCCACCGCATCAAATGCGTATGGTACACCGTCAAACTGGTAGTTCTGTAGCACTATTTGGATATCCTCGATCACCGAGGGAGACTTGTAATCGAAGCAATGAGTGGCACCAAGTTCGGATAAAAGAGCATGTCGCCCCGGCGATGCCGAGACGAGAATAGGAAAGACCCCACTAGCCTTCGCAAACTGGACAGCGCATATTCCTACACTGGTGGATGCACCCCAGATCAGAAGCGGCCGGGGAGTACTGCCAGATGAACTTGAGGTTGAATCGCCAGGAAGCGGAAATTTGAACAAGTTGTATAGTGCATCCGCCGCTGTCATAGCGACCACGGTTAAGCATGCCGCATGATCTGGAGGGAGATTCTCAGGAACCGAATATGCCATATTCTCAGGGCAGACCAAGTAGCTCTGATGTGTGCCATACTTGGCTGGTCGACCGACCCCTGTTGGAGTATACCCGGCCACGTTATCTCCAACCTTGAAGGATGAGCCGGGGGGAGCCTCGAGGACTTTGCCAAAGAAGTCGTAACCGAGTCGTGTAGGATATATGCCAAGGTGTGTTGCATGCTTGATGTCTGCCGGGTTCGCTCCGGAGAAACGAGTCTCAATCAAAAGCTCTCCGTCGCCTGGCGTGGGGATATTCTCGTCTCGAGAAACACCAAAGGCCATGTTCTCGTCAACATGGAGCGCGACATTGAGTAATTTAGAAGTCATTGTTTAGGTATGATCTATAAGAGAAGTGGCAATAGTAGAAAGAAAAGTACTGCAGAAAGGGTGTCGGTATGAAAGTAGACAAAATCCAAATTCCAGAGAGGTAGAAAAGTTTATCTTCAAGCAGCTTCTCTTCTAATTAGAAAATGTCTCCGGCAAATTCTCCTTCGAGCATGTTCCCATCCACTATTTGCGGCCATTTCAATGGTCTATTTAAAGCTTCCCACCACCCCGCTGAACGGCCCCACCGGTACCTACTTCAAATCCCGCTGACTACAATACGTCCCGCCGACGACATCACAACCTTTCATTTCCCCTCATACTAGAATGTTTGGACAGTGAAGCCGCGGCTTTGCGACCTTGCTTTGCCGTTACTCTCTACCGATAGGGATGTGTTTTCTATATAACGGGACCTGCTGCCGAATCGACACTCGGACATAACTCAATCCGACGTACATCAATTTGATCAATACTTGAATTTCTACTCCAGCAAGATGACCACTATTTCTGTCCAAGAGAAGCTCAAACAGCAATTTCCTGATACAGTCTATACTCCCGTCCTCTCGCCCGACAAACACCCAGCGTTTACCTACAATGGTTTCCATCCTGGGAAAGTTGAACAGTTACCCCGTGGCCATGTCAAAGAACCCGGTTTCCAAGCCTTTCCGGTTGACGTGACCTGGGAGCGTGACATGGCAATTCCCATGAGAGATGGTATCACGCTCTATGGTGATGTCTTCCGGCCTTCGAGTGGCGATGAAAAGGTCCCTGCGATTATTCCATGGAGCCCGTATGGAAAGGTTGGAACTGGTGCTCAAGACTACGATCGTATGGGCCCTTGGCGTATGGGCATCCCATACCAGCAGCTGAGTGGATATGAAACCTTTGAGGTATATCTCCTGTACCACTCTCTATCTCAACCTCAGGGCCTTTCTTACTGAAGATGAAATATTCTTAATATTCTAGGGTCCTAATCCAGCGGATTGGTGTGCTAGAGGTTACGCGGTCGTTGATATCGACGCTCGAGGCTGCGCCCACTCGGAGGGAGATATTGCTTTCTGGGGTGAACAGGTAATCATGAAGACTTATTCGACTATTAACACTAGGCTAAGGCAGTTTAAATAGGAAGCTACGGACATCTACGACTCTATTACATGGATTGCCGAACAGCCCTGGTGTAACGGGGCTGTGGTCATGATGTTGGTCCTTCCGCGATGACAAATCTATCTGATAGGCAGAACTAATAATCTTATGTAGGGGAAACTCTTGGCTTGCAATCTCACAGGTCAACTTTGCGTCTCGATTTACCCACCCAAACCTCAAAGCTATTGCCCCCTGGGAGTGTATGACGGATCCATACACACACAACACTTGTCGAGGAGGAGTTCCCAATACGGCATTTGGCGAGCTCATCACGCATGGCTTTTCAGGTATGTAGTTTGATTGCACGATAACGAGAGGGCAAACAGCTAAGAGCAATAAGGATTCGGAAATATCGAGAATGTCGGTGCCATGCTGAAGCAACGCCCACTCTTCGATGAATACTGGGATGCCAAAAAGATCAAACCGGAAAACATCCGCGACATTCCGATGTACCTGACTGCTTCTTACTCCACGGGCCTCCACTGCGAAGGTTCATTCCATACTTTCGAAACTGCTCAAACATCTCGCAAATGGCTTCGGGTTCATGCCTCACAGGAATGGCACGATTTGTATCGACCAGAGGCCATGGATGATTTGCAACGATTCTATGATTTCTACGCCAAAGGAATTCAGAATGGGTGGGAGACTGAAACTCCTAGAGTCAGACTTACCCTACTAGGGTATGATGGTAGCTTCGCCAAGTCAGTGGAGGAGCGGCACGAGAAACAGTGGCCTCCTGCATCTCAACAGAACATTCGATGCTATTTGGATGCGGGCAACAAGACATTGATTTCCACGCAGCCTGTCGCTTCCAGTTCTATCGCGCATGAAAGTCATTCACTGACAGATTGTTCGGTAAGTTCCACGGGTCTCAGCAACATACCTCAACCTCACTCATGACAAATTCTTTTAGGATTTCACCTTGCATTTTGACAAGTACACCGAGCTCTGCGGCAGACCGTTCGTGAAGCTATACATGTCCTGTGACTCAGCCGATGACATGGATGTGGTAGTCCAAATTCGCAAGATCTCTGCGTCGGGCAAGCTCCTAGAGTCCCTAAACTGGTCACCAATGCCAAAGCCACAGCCGGAAGTTCCCGATGTCAACGTCGCCAAGCATCTCGGCCAACAAGGAATGCTCCGGGCATCTCATCATGTCAGTCTCCGTCCTCGACTGGACGATGATGGGTTCCCAGTGTATGATCATGATCGGCGTGAGTCTATCCCGGTTGGAACGGTCGTCCCGCTACTGATCCCTATATGGCCGGTTGGAATGGTATTTGAAGCTGGCGAAGGATTGGTTCTTCGCGTTTCTGGACATGATATGTCACTGCCTGAGGTGGAGATGATGAGGTTGAAGGAGCCCATAGATCAGAATCGCGGGAAGCATACGATCTACACGGGTGGTGAATATGCTAGTTATTTGGTCCTTCCATTTATTTGATCGAGATCAAATGTGCTCCTTCAATGAAATTCGTTCTTCATTTTCTAGTCTTTTACTTCTTTCCACTATCTATTATCAGGTGTAAAACTCATAGTTCTATACAATTCTTCTGTAGGGACGATCGCGTCCCACTATGAGCCTCATTGACCGACCCACTTTGTAGCGCCAAGCGGAGAGGCGTCGTCTACGGATATAAAAGGATGTATGGAATCCCTCTATGGAACGAGATCCTACTTCTGAGATCATTGTTAATTAGCATTGGCGATGAAGGAACCAGAAGGGAAAAGATACCCTCCTACATTCAATTGAGTTTGCTCTCGCGTTAAATGGTGGTTATTACTATTTACACCTCGACCGTATCCGGTTGCTTCAATGGTATGATAGTCTTCACTATGATATAATTGATGGATTAAAATATAATCCCGCCTCTAGTTAGACTAACTATTTTCCACAATTATGTAAGAAGACTGCCAACTTCTTGAAGCAAAAGGACGAGCCCCTCCTGGCCATGACGTCAACACCCCTCCTTCGGTGGCCAACGAATTTCCATCCGGTTTTGCTGGTTTCACCTGCAATAACAATCAATCCCATTTCTCTTGAAATACCCAACTCTTCTTCTGGAAGGTCCTCCTCAACCCATTGGAATTTGTCTACCACCACCATTATGAGCGGCAACAGATTCCCCGTCGATCTCAAGCAGTTCAAGCAACTAAAGCTTGACCCCAAGAACAACACCCTGAATGCTGAACAGAAGAACGATCTCCAAAACAACATCAACATCTTCCGTGATGCCATCATTGCTTTCACAGCGACCGGTGCTGCCCGAGGAGTGTCCGGTCACACCGGTGGCCCATTCGACACTGCCCCAGAAGTCTGCATCCTACTTGCTATGATCAATGCGAACCCCAATGGCTTTGTCGACGCGCTCTTCGATGAGGCAGGCCACCGTGTCGCTACGCAGTATCTCTTGGCTGCAATGGACGGCAAGATTGACCCCGAACACCTATTGAACTACCGTGACGCCAACTCGAAGCTTCCCGGTCACCCCGAGCTTGGCCTGACTCCCGGCGTCAAATTCAGCTCCGGTCGCCTCGGTCACATGTGGGGAATGGTCAATGGTATCGCAATGGCCAACAATAATAAGAACGTTTTGATGCTGGGCTCCGACGGATCGCAGCAGGAAGGAAATGATGCTGAGGCTGCACGTATTGCAGTCGCCCGCAACCTCAACGTGAAGCTTTTCATTGATAACAACGATGTCACGATCGCTGGCCACCCTTCGCAGTACCTAAAGGGCTATGATGTTGCCAAGACCCTCGAGGGCCATGGATTGTACGTTGTTCGCGCAGAGGGTGAGAATCTGGATTCCTTGTACCCAGCCGTAGCCGAAGTTATCAACCACAAGGGTCCTGCGGCAGTCGTCATCAACCGAACAATGGCGTCCGGCATTGAGGGTATTGAAGGCGAGACTCATGCCCACGATGTTATCACCGTTGATATTGCCCGCAAGTACCTCACTAAGCGTGGATACAGCAAGGAGAAGCTTGCATTCTACGATGACATCAAGGGCCGGTCTAACCCCCACCAGTATGAGGGCTCCACCAAGGAGAAAGGTGCCAACCGCGTTATCTTCGGCGAAGCTGTCAACTCGATTCTTGATGGCCTCAGCAAGGAAGAGGCTGCCCGCCGTGTCATGGTGATTGACTCGGATCTTGCTGGTTCCACCGGCTTGAAGGCTATTGGGGCTCAGCACCCCGAAGTCTTCGTTCCCTGTGGTGTCATGGAGCGTGGTAACTTCTCCGCAGCTGCCGGCTTTGGCTTTGGCAGCAATGGCGAGCGTCAGGGTGTCTTTTCTACTTTCTCTGCCTTCCTGGAGATGTGTATCTCCGAGATCACTATGGCCCGCCTGAACAACTGCACCGTTCTCTCCCACTTCTCGCACAGCGGTGTCGACGAGATGGCCGACAACACCTGTCACTTTGGCCTTAACCATTTCTTCGCTGATAATGGCCTCATGGATGCTGAGACTACATCGCTGTATTTCCCTGCTGACGGTGAGCAGATGAAGGCTGTTGTGAGCAAAGTCTTCTGGGACCAGGGCATGCGCTTCATCTTCTCCACCCGTGCCAAGGTGCCTTACATCCTAAAGGAGGGTACCGACCAGAAGCTCTATGGTGAGGGCTACAAGTTCGTACCTGGTAAGGAAGAAGTCATCCGCAAGGGTACCGCCGGCTACATCGTTACCTACGGTGATATGGTCTACCGATCGCTTGATGCCGTTGAAAGTCTGCGCCGGGAGGGTATTGATGTTGGTTTGATCAACAAGCCTACCCTGAACGTCGTCGACGAAGATGCCATCCGTAACTACGGCTCTACTCCCTTCGTCCTCGTCATTGAATCCATCGCTCAGAAGACTGGTCTTGGCTCTCGCCTCGGCTCTCAGCTTTTGGAGCGCAAGCTCACACCCAAGTACAAGACCATGGGAGCCATCAAGGAGGGCTGTGGCGGTCTCTTTGAGCAAATCAATGCCCAAGGTCTTGGCCCTGAGGATATTGTTAAGGCTGTAAAGGAAATCTCTGGAAAATAGACGATTGAAACGTCTCTTGGACGATATCTGATAGTCGCTGCTATTCCGTTTCGAACCCGAAAATACGAATAGCTCATGATATGATGAAATATCAATCTTATTCAATTTGATTAAAACTCATAAATCAGTATAACTCAAACCCATTAATTAAAACGCAGCATCCCTAGTCCCGATCATCAGGATGGAAAACCAATGCCCGAACCTCAATACTCTCCCTACCAGGCTCATTCTCCGTCTCCGGATTCACAAACGCCGTATGAGGCACCCGGCGAGCCCGTCCATCCGTCTTCGAATCAAAGCATTTAATCAATGTCACCAAATCGGGCGTCTGCCCATACCGATAGTACCACTTGATATTCGGATCCGGCTTTACGCCATAAGTCTCGCCCGCACGGTCAGGATAGATCAGTCCTATGGGAATCAGATCGCTGTCCGGCACGGTGTGTGCGTCTGCGACGGCCAGCGGATCTTTCAGGATTGTCTTGATAGGACGCCAAACGTTGATGATTTGGTATCTCCCCTTCAAGAGTTCGGGTGCCTCGTCGGGAAGATGGTGGGAGACTCGGTTCTTGGATGCAGAATAGGATTGATCGATATGTACGCGCTGCACGGGGCCGCGGAGAGTGTTAGTGAAGGATCTGTCTTTGGCTGCACGGCGGATAGTGTGGTCGAAGATGAAGATCTTGGATGCGCCGGTACTATTTGGATCTCTTTGTTAGCCTTATAATCGAATCAGACCGTTCGGAGTGAAGATCCACCTAACAGCGGAACACGTACGCATCCTTCAGCAACTGCTCTGTCTCAGGGTAATACTCCCTCTTGATCTTGTCGTCATCGATAAAGTCAATTTCCTTGCTCTTGTGGTAGTATAGTTGGAACCCGTGGCTGTCCAGGGTATAGTCTAGCTCGTGGCCGCTGATATCGTGGATGGTAGTTGCAACTTGGACCGTTGGTTTCTCGTAAGATTCGGGCTTGCCGACGTAGCTTGGGCTAGGCGGGGATCCATCTTCATTTTCCTTGAGGAAGTTCAGAGTTGTCTGGACATGATGTGGTTTGTCGGAAACCGGGGCATAGGGCTTCTGGGCCAGACTGGAACCTAGCCCGGTGGAAGTTTGAACGGCTGCTGCTGCCATAGTCGCGAATTAATTGATGGTTCTTGATTTAATAGTTTGAATTCTGTGTTTACTCAAGATCTTGATGAGAATTCATTTCTTGTAGCTTTATACTTGGCTTGTCGTGCGGGGTGAATGCTTCCATTTGTCAGAACAGCACGCAATATTGGTCTGACATGAAGAAATGCTGATAAATTGCCAGTCACACGCTTCGACAAAGGCAGATGACACGTACAACATGTGATATAGTAGATTCTATCGCAAGCGTGAATTATTAATTGCCCAGCGATTATGGCGTCTTGTGCAACATTCTATGTGAGATTCGTAATCAGTAAATGACAATGCGTCGTGCTGCAGCTTGTCAATGTGATAGTCTTGGTAACTGTTCATGATAATCCTCCTATCGGGGGCTCGAATTGTTTCCAAGTAACCTTGCTTCGATTTGGTATAGCAGGCTAGTTGTACGGCGTGAAGGGAAGGTGTGTCAACCAATGACCCGGCAATGGAGGCATGCACTTCGCGCTTCAAAAATACTCAAGTAGCGACTTCATGAATCCTCCTGCCTACCGCTATAACAAAGTTATGGCCTAGTATCGATACAAAAACAATCAAATTTGTAAGCAGTAACTATCAACTCAAGAAATGAAGAAAACCAGGAGGCGTATGTCTCATTAAAAGTACAACAGGATCTCGAAAGGAAATCGTCTGGAGGTGTCCTGTAGTCCGGGGGTCATAGCATCGCTGCACGCACAAAGCATTGGTCAAGACAAGAACACAGAACAAGGAAAAACACAAGAAATAGGATTGCATCGTACACGCCAGCACCGCGCAGGAAAGACCGGATGACGGAAAAGGAAATTGGCTCTCCGTGACAGAAGAATAGTAGTATGGACGGACATCCACAAAGGGGAATCAAAAAAGTTATTGTGACAACTTGACATCATGTCCAGGAGAAGAGAAGAGAAGCTTTGGTTCATAGCGGTCATTCGGATTGTCTCTTAGAACAAGAGGGAGCGGGTCTTCTGGCGACGAGCTTCGGCACTCGGCAGCTCGGGTTGAGAGAAGGTGTGCTTGTGTCGGGGCCGGGGGGACTGGGACGCCTGCGCCCCATTGCCTGCAGAAGACGGCGGTGCTCCAACTCCACTGGGGCGCTTTCCGACAGGTGAGGCCGGAGCGACGGGAATACCGCTTGGAGGAAGGCGGTCCGCAGTCTTACGTCGAGCTTTCATGCTGCTCTCACGCTTGAGAACGAGATCGGCCCAAGGCTTGATCGCACCACTACCAGTTGAGGATCCCTTGCCGACGGCCTCTGACATGACTCTCAACCAGCCATCCTTCTCTGCGGCTGAATCCGCATAGAAGTCGATCACTTCACCATTGCCGAACCGGATACGGAATCCTTCCTCGACGAACATGTAGCCCTCCTCCTCCTCGGCGAAGGCAGACTTGCGGCGACCACCACCCTTAGTGCTGGTCTCCTTTTGCGTCAGAGAGGGACGGTCATCGATCAGTTTGGAGGCCTTGGCCAGGTTGATGGTAGCACGAGGCTGGCGAGTAGTCTCGTGGTATGCAGTCAGCTTCGAGCCCTGGAGCTTGAAGAAACGACGGCGCCAGTACTATGACATTGTTAGTATAAAATAAGAATCATATCAGTGGATGGACCAGTAACTTACGGGACAGTCTCCACCCTGCTGTGAAAGGAAGCCTTCCCAGGAACGAGCGGCAAGACTCTCGGCATCGCGCATTTCGCGAATACAGGCATTCATGCTCTTCGGCATGTCCTCATCCTTGCTGCCCTTCGGTTTAGGAACGAACAGCAATTGCAACTCCAGCTTGCCGATCTTGTACGGTGGCCGACGCTGGGCGGTCACGCTGGTGGCGCTCTTCTTGCTCTTCACACTGCTGGGTTGCTCATCGACTGCCCACTCGTTGAAGCAAGCAACGTCTACAGTATAAGGGCGACCAAAGGCCATCTTTTCGTGGTCACTCAAGGCGACATAGGCTCGTCCGAAGCTACCGTCGCGGGCAACGAGGTTTCGCAGTCTTTCATAGACCGGAGCATTGACATTGTTGGCTTTCTGCTGCTGTGACTGCATTTGCTGCTTCATGTCGAGTTCCTTGCGGCGACGAGGCGAAGCAAAGACACGACTGAGGGCCGACGTCTTCTGGCGGGGTGAGCCAGGAATGTCCTGAGGGTAGAACTTGTTCTCATCGACCTTCATTTGCAGGGTGAGTTGGAACTCGAGGTCATTCTGCACAATGAGTTCGAACTCCTGTCCGATAGGAGCAGACTTGCCCAGTTCCAGCCACGATGTAGTGACACAATGAAGGCCGTTGTCTAGGGTGAGCGCAAAGTATGATCGTTCGCCTGTGAAACAATTAGCATGCGTATGTTAACCATATTAGGAAGGGGGCAATCATCTTACCACGGGGCATAGGCAGATCAAGATACTTCATGCCCACAACCTTGACAAACAGGCGACCGCGTTCTTCTCCCTCCTCATATGCGTCGGCAGTCAGAGGCTCGTTCTCATCGATGGTCGCAGGAGGCTCCTGAACGTTGCTCTGGTGGCCCGGAAGTGGAGGAACTGAACCGGGAACGGGCTTCTTTTTCGGAACGGCGCCTGTCATCTTCACACTAGGGCGACGAGCCTGACCATTCCAGGGAACCGTCGTCCAGGTCTGCTGGCTCGCTTTGCGGGGGGAGGAACCTGCTGAACGAGTGCCGTGAGGATCCTCGGTGGTCTGGTCGGCGGCGACGGTAGGCTCCTCTTCATTTCGGTTGCTAGCAATGACAACCTTGGTATTTTGTCTCATGAGGTACCCTCTCTGTGCGTGATTAAAATTGTTAGTGACTGCTTTTGTGGCATTTTCCGAGATGGCTTGTCCTGGGGGTTTGGGGGCCGGCTTGGGTTGACCCTGGGGAGCCGGCGGAGGGCAAGAGGAAAGTTGGGAAAGAGCGAGTTCGAACGCCACCTTTTGGGACTCAATGACACGATCAAACTCCTTGCTCAGGCCGGAGCCAAGGCTTTCCTCCTGGATGCTGAATGGAATATCGAGTTTCATCAGGCTGGCTTGTCGTTGGGTGAGGTTGGTGGGCAGGGATAGCTGCGGTGGGAGGTCGGTTGGTTTGTCCTCGTGATCGGATTTCTCAGATTCATTTGAGATCTGCTTGGTCAGTGCTGGCATGGGAGGCGGGTATTGACCACTGATCTTGCGACGAGTAGCAGCCATCGACTCCATATCCGCCGGGGTTAGCGAAGGCCGAGTCTTAAGGCCAGCCCCAGGGGCGCGAATAGTCGCGACAGGTTCAGGAATAGATTCGTCCGAGGAGCTGACATTATCCTCTTCGTATTCGCCCTGATCATGCTCTTCTTCATCCTCAACGGGATGGCGAATAACAGAGTCGGGGGTGGACGGCTCAGAGATTGGTTCCTCCTTAATCTCGGGGGTCACAGGACGACCGAGAGATTGACGGATCGAGGCCATGTCAAGCGGGTGGCTGTCCACAGACTCAGGAACCTCTTCTTCCTTGATCAGCTCATGTGACGAAGCGTCCATGGGCCCTTCGGCCGTGGGGGTGGTCTCGCCGGATCCTTTGCTGGCGGCATTGTTGGCAGCAGCTTCAGCGGCGGAGCGCAGTGAGTAGTTGCTGTCATCATCGTATGTCGCTCGCTGGTCCCTGGATGACAGGCTATTATCAGACAGATGCTGGTAATAGTCTGTGATCGCGTAAAGTGAATCATCGCGGGCCTCTTCCTTGATGATCACGCTGGAAGAGTCATCGTCATCTTCGTCTTCCAAAGATGGAATAGGGACATCGGGGTCGTAATGTTCGTATGGATTGGGACTCGAGGCAAGTTGAGAGTCATCCCCGAAGACGTCGTCATCATCGTAGGTCTCACCCTTCCGGATGTCTCTGAGGATCGAGTCACGAGAGATACGAGGGGGAGAAAACAGGTCATCCTTGGGTAGCTCATTCTCTTCAATCTCATTGTCCATGTCGGTGTCACCAACATGATTGGAGGCCTTGCTAGGCTCTTCGTCGACAGCGTCTTCGTCATTGGCCTCATCATCCGACTTCTCCTCCTGCAACATCATGAGTCGGAGCCGGTCCTCCAGGGACATGGCACCGTTGATATCGGCCTTATTGAATGAGGCGGCGGCAGGCGCAGCAGGAAGAGAGCGGTGACCAGCACTGCCCAGCTCAAAAGCGGCAGCAAGCTTTCCGGGCGAAGATGGCCCGGAGAGAGACAAGCGTGACAAAGAAGGCAACGGAGGCAGCGGACGTCGCTCTCCGTTAGAGTCGAGGGACTCAACACGTGTGTGACTCGAGGCTCCACCTTCACGCGATACAGGGCGCTCATCGGCGACGTGATCCTCAACTGACTCAGCGAAGGACTCTCCTTCATCACCATTCTCACTGTCGGGAGTCATGAATCGCCAGTCATCGGGTAGAACAACGGGCGTCTTTTCAATATCTTCAAGGGATGCATCGAAGCTGTCATCACGCTCGAATGATGTATCATGGTCGAAGCTGATATCTCCCTCCTCTTCAGAATCATAACTGTTCTCACGCGAGCCAGAGGCAACAGACGCAAGGTCAGGGGTGCGCATTTCATATTCGTTGACTTGTGGGGGCGCAACATCAAATGTCACACTCTTGGCGTGCCTGTGGCCAGCGCTGTCATACTCTGACCAGATATCATTCTGAGGGTCAAACCCCTTTCCATATCGACTGCCCTTGGATAAAGACGATTTGCCCGGGGACGGTTGGTCTTTGCTGGGAGAGACGGGTCTTGGGGTGGGTTCCATGTTACACTCGTCAGGAAGCTGAGACTTTGCGAGATTCATTTGACTGTCTCGGTGCGCGGATCGATCGTTGGCGAGGGGTCTGTGAGGAAGCGATACTTGCGCCGGGTCGTACTCTTGGCCGCTCTGGAACATGCTATAATTCTTGACACGTGAAGCGCGCTTAAGGTCCTCAAGGGATGGACGCTTGGCTGGTAGGTGGACACCTTCTGGATCATATGGGGCGAGGTTTTCGGCGCCCTTGGCGAAGGGAGAGGGTGATTCGCGACCTTTCCAGAAGAGACGTGGGGAGGCAGTTTTATTCAGAGGAGACACATCGAAGGCAGGTGACTCGCCGTGCGGCATCTATGGGAAAAGATCAGCGTGCTTTACGAGACAATGCGCTCGTTTGTGGGCGTGATGTACCTTCGTGGTCTGATTCCACTTGGGCGAGTTGCGTCGCTGTGCCATAGGGCTCACTTCAGAGAGTGGCCGTTGACCGAGTCCACTAGCCATTGCGATGACGTGTATGGGTCTTCGACGGCGCGGTGTAATGGATACCGAGTTGGGACAATATCAAAAATAAAGATGTCTGCGACGTGTTAGCGATCATGGCATTACCAACAGACAGTCGAGTCAGGAGGGGTTCCATTCAAAGGAAGTGGAAAGGCGATAGAGATGTGCCGACAACAGACAAACATACCTTTCTGTGTCTCAATGGATACCAGGATTCGAGTGGGAAAACACCGAGCCCTGGTCCGTGTTCCTGAAAGAAGCGTAGCCTCTTGTCGATCGTTTGCAGGAATGTGAGCGTGTCACCAAATTGATGCCACAACTTCAGCTACCGCGATATGAAAGACAGACCAAAGGTTTACAGAAAACGAGGGAAGAATAACGAAGGGATGTTGGAAGGATGACAAGAGGGGATCCGATCTCGATATCTATTTCCATGGGTCGGAAAGTGGATTTGTTACCCCAAAGCAAGTTGTGGTGTTGACAGTCGCGGGAGTCTCCATAGCAACGGTGGGGGGACCTGTGGCTGACTCAGTCCCGATAAGGATCACATGACATTCATGCCTGAGACGTCAGGTCAGAGGGATCGGCCCTAGTCCCAATCAGGAATAGTGTCAACCCTCTCTGAGAATCTGGTTTTTTGGTTTGCCGGCTCCGAATTAAGAAGCATCCTTTTTTACACTACTGCTCGCGAGTCGACTCCGGCAGAATGCCTATTCCCATACGATCATCGATATGCTTTCTCTGCCAAACGAGAGTGACAGCTACTGCTCTCCCAACTGTTCTTCCAACATGGCAGGCTACGCGCGCGATGGCTACGGCGCGGTTGCGCAAGAAGTCCTCCCGCATGGCTCTGTCCCCTAATGTGGCCAAACCCACGTTAAACAAGCCGCGCTCTGGAAGGGATCGCCGTGGCCCTTTTGCTCAAATGAATCAGACTGAGGCACGCCTTCGAGATACGCCACGCCCCCGGTCCCAAGCCGCTCTTAAGCGCTCTGGCGAGGAATCCAAGTCGGAAAAGGCCGAGGCGCCTCTGTTCAAAGCACTCAAGATGCAGACCACCCTGTCGCCGGTTTCATACGGTCGTCGTGCGGCTATCAAGTCAAAGATCTCCAATCTTACCAGCTTCGATCACTTCCCTCTCCTCCCCGCGGTCCGACACTCGGTTTTCACCCAAGCTCTGCCCGGACTTGCAGAGGTCACCCCAACTCCTATCCAGCGGCTCGCAATCCCTCAGCTTCTCGGCGACAACAAGGCCAAAAATAAGCCGGTGAAGGTGGACGAGGATGCTCCCCAGTATGATCAGTTTCTTCTTGCGGCGGAAACCGGCTCTGGAAAGACGTTGGCGTATCTCCTTCCGGTTGTCGATGCTGTGAAACGTGCCGAGGCACGCGACAAGGAAGAGCAACAGATTTTGGAGGAACAAAAAGCTAAGGAGCGCGAGGAAAGACTGAAGAGTCGGACCTTTGAACTTGAGCCGGAGGAACCCCCAATGTCGGATGCCGGGCGCCCGAGGGCCATCATCCTGGTTCCAACTTCAGAGCTCGTGGCCCAGGTGGGAGCCAAGGTCAAGGCCCTTGCCCACGCAGTCAAGTATCGCTCGGGAGTTATTTCGTCCAATCTCACCCCGCGTCGGATCAAGAACACTCTGTACCACCCCGACGGCATCGATATCCTGGTCTCAACGCCCCATCTTTTGGCCTCCATCGCCAAAACCAATCCTTATCTCCTCAGCCGTGTCAGTCACCTTGTTCTCGACGAGGCTGATTCTTTGATGGACCGTTCCTTCCTCCCTACCACTACCGAGGTCATCGACAAAGTGGCGCCTTCTCTCAAGAAGCTCATTTTCTGCTCCGCCACGATTCCCCGTAGTCTCGATAACCAGCTCCGCAAGCGCTACCCCGATATCAAGCGCCTGACCACCCCGAACCTGCATGCCGTTCCTCGACGTGTACAACTTGGTGTGGTGGATATTGATAAGGAGCCTTACCGTGGAAACCGCAGCCTTGCCTGCGCAGATGTGATCTGGTCCATTGGCAAGGCAGGCGACGCCAGTGAAGAGAACTATGGACCCCTGACACAATACATGGGTCCCAGGGTAAAGAAGATCATTGTGTTCGTCAACGAGCGCGAAGAGGCGGAAGAGGTTGCCCAGTTCCTACAGTCCAAGAATATCGACGCCGTCTCGCTGTCTCGCGACTCTAGCTCCCGGAAACAGGAGGAGATTCTTGCCGAGTTCACCGAGGTTGACCAGCCTCCGACCGCCGACGAGATCGTGCTTATGCGCAAGCAGGCTCGCGCGGAGAAGTCCATTCCTTTCTTGGAGCCTGAGAAGAAGCCCGCGGTCGATCGCCACCTGCCCAACACCAAGGTTCTCGTTACTACCGATATCGCGTCTCGAGGTATTGATACCCTGGCAGTCAAGACTGTCATTCTATATCACGTTCCGCATACCACCATTGACTTCATCCACCGCCTTGGTCGCTTGGGCCGCATGGGCAAGCGTGGTCGTGGTGTTGTCCTGGTCGGCAAGAAGGACCGCAAGGACGTTGTTCGCGAGGTTCGTGAGGGCATGTTCCGCGGACAGGCTCTGATTTAGATGGATTGTGCATTACACCCCACTTTGTATAAAACATGTATCATAATTGGCGTTCGTCCAGGGTTTGGATGTGTTTCTGGCTGGCAAAAATACCCGATGCAAAAGCGAAAAATTCATTGAGATGGATGTACGATATAGGTCATTTTATTTATGAAGCACTCTTTTCTACTTTCTACTTGTAATTATCTTTCATTGGCTCTGTTTGGGGGTTTTTTCGATCTTCTGCGCAAAACATACGATGGCATTGGCTACCCGTAACTATATATCCAATCGCCAAACATCCTCCATCAAACCTAACCAACCTTAATATTCTGTCCAGGGAACTCCTCCATCCTCCTGCAACTAAATCAGCGGTTCAATCCTCTGTGGACAAACTATCGCTTGATCATTCAAGGAGGACTTCTTGACGTTCTGACTGGAAAAAAAAAATTACATGCCAGCCTCATCACTACCTGGGCAAGTTGATCTACTTGCAGTGTTTGTAGACCTTCATGCCGATGCAAAGACCACCCTCGTAACAATTCCACGGGGCACGACCAGCAGAGGCACAGTCAAGGAACTGTAGGCATGTCAGTCAAAAAAATACACTGGATCTATGAGGTAGCGCTTTAACTTTACACACCTCATCGCCGCATCTCCAGAACGGTGCCGTTCCAACGCAGTAAATATACGTCCACGCCTTCTTTCCATACTTCGCAATCAGCTTCGCAAACTTGATAGCCAATTTCCACTTTGACACTCTCTTCTCAAGAGAATCATCATCTTCATTCAGATCATCTATATTGATCTCTTTACCGTCAACATCATAGAAGGTGACACCTTTTTGATCGCGTGAGTCTTTATCCCTTGCTTTGGTTGGTATGTGCCACTAGGTGCAGGACTTACCACCATCCGCGCGCTCGAGGGCGGTCACTTCGAGGACGCCGTCGGTAAAGAACTCGATCTTGTTTTTTCCATCGGGTAGGAAAGAGCTAACGACGTCGCCGTAGGGAGTAGATACTGTCCCGTTGGTGTCGCCACGGGCTGTTAGACCCGAGGATCTCTCGATTGCAGATGCAAAAGCAAGATGGCCCAAGATGGCCACGATGAGGGCATGGAAGAGAATGGTGAACTTCATCTTTGGAAAAGATAGCTGATCAATTAATCGAAGGGGTTTTTTGTATGAGATTGATGATGCTGGTCTTGCTTGAGACTTGAGATCTTTGCTGTTGTGATCTCATCTTCAGCAGGCTTCCAGGCCGTTTAAATAGTTTTATCTTGACTGTGTCTACTTTTGCTAGCCTATCTCAGCTCTCGTGAGGAAGCCGTATACACCTCGTGTTTTCCCTGCTGCCAATGCCAGAGGCCCAGCCATACGAGGTTGCCAAGTACCCCGATTGATACCCTCCGAGTGGAAAGACTGAAAGATGAGGATATACAAACTGCTCTGTATGGTCAAATGTAACATTAAAGAGGCTCAGTGTACCCCAGGTTGGTTGCTGTATGCGAGTGATCAATGGATACGATGCTTGGCCTGCATGTGCCTGTGGAATCGGGCATTCGTATTGACCTTGGCAAGAGGGCCGGTTTCTATTTTTCTCAACGCCAAGAGACGAGGGCAGTATACGATGACTAGTAGGCACATTGAAGCCACATAAATTATAGTATATCTTGTAGGAATTGATGCCCGAAATAGATTGGTCTCTTGGCCACAGTGCTCCTACATGATTCCTAACAACGATAGTAGGTTACTGTAGCAATCCCAGATCTTAATAAACTCCTGCTACTGTAGATAACCAGCTGGCTGGCTGCGTTTCTTCGTTTAGTTAAAAAAAAGGTTCTCCTTTCTTCAGGTTTCTTTCGAGGGCCATGTTGATGGTGCAATTTTGCTGGCTACGTGACCGTGTATATACAGAGTGAAAAAGAGTAATTATTAAGAACAAGAAACCCTAAATAGAGCAAACATCTACGTATCAAGTGAGAGACGCGAGTCAGCGAGGTCCCGGGTTTTTTCCATTTACGCCAATCTTTCAAGTTTGCTGTCTCTGCCATCGTCCCCGTTCTATCTCTCCCCAAAAGTTTTTTCTCTCTCTTCGCCTTTCCCATCACACCCACAAATCGTCCTTCACTTTACCAAGGTCAGTTAACCATCCACTCATCAACGAGAGTGCCAGAGAAGCTGGAATTACTTTCCAAAAACACAGTTTTCGAGTCATGGCAGACACCACTGCCCCCGAAATCGACAAATGCAAGACATGCAACCAGCCCGCCGCTGAAGGCCAGGCCTTGAAAAGATGTGGACGTTGCAAGAGTGTACTCTACTGCTCCCGTGACTGTCAAAAGGCCGACTGGAAACTGCACAACACTCTCTGTGCGAGCCAGGCTCAGTCGAATGCCGAAAACAACGCTGATACTACCCTCGGAAATCAACGCGGTGCACCTCGAGGAGCCAACACTCCAGGTGCCTCACGTGTCTTGGAGATGGAACTTGAGAACCTCTTTGACAAGCTTTTCGCCGGAACATGGCTTCATGATCGACCAGAAAAGGACGTTTACAAGTTATTGATCGACACATATCGCATGCGAGTCGAAGACAACTATTGTTTCAAAGGAGATATTGACATGGATAGCATCTACGGCGAGGCAACTGACGACGGAGAATCGGGCTTCCGCCGCTTCCTTCGGCTTGTCGAGATGCAACGTGAACTGCTTCCGAGTTGGTGGTCCCCCGTCAAGGCGAACGAGTGTGTTGCGCTTGGTCTTTCACGCTCGGAGTGGAGCTGTCTCGCTTACGCTGTGGAGAAATCTGATATTATCGAGCACTACGGACATTTTATGCACAAGCAGCTACGAATGTTCGGTGAGCAGGTTTACGGGACCCCGCCCGCATGATAGCCTGGAACAGCGATGTTGGACATGCGGACGAGTGTCGTGTCAATGATGGAGCAACGTGCACGATGCACGTGGACCGGGACAAAATCTTCTGTCGGCAAAGGAGTGAAGCTGCCGCCGAAGAAGGCTAGAAAAGGACATCGGGCGCGAGTCCCTATCTATTCTTACTTGCAACAAGTGAGATATCATTATTACTCGCCCTTGATATTTGCTTTACAACTCCACCTATTTGCTTACAGTGATAACAAGCCGTGTCACCTTGGATGTCTATTTTGATTAAACTCGGAGTATTTCAAATCCAGGCTGAGAGATTTCCTTCCTATCCGAATCAAACTATACGGGGAATCTGCGCACACTTCAAAGACCCAAAAGCCGTATCCGGTTCGGTCGCCATAGTATTCTGACTCTGACAACCCGAACTAATCCCCTCATTGATCATGCCCGAGTACTCCTTGCACGTGGTATCAGGGTAAACCCAACACGAACCATTGTTCATAAACCAAGATACCGGCTTCTTCAAGTCACTTTTATCACAGCTCGTCCAGCCTCCGAACCCACCATTATTCCACCACCGACAAGACACCCCCGTGCCGGAGACATCAGTGCTCAATGCATCCTGCAGACGTAGACACTGGTTAAACCCAGTGTTGTAGCCTTGAAGAAGGTAGTAGTCTCCCTCGCATTTCTTTTTGCTGTAGATTGCGAGTTGCCAATGTGGATCTGGGGGATTTGAGGCTGCGGTGGTGGTCGTTTTGGATGTCTTGGAAGTTGTGTTCGTGGACTTGGTCGACGTGGTAGATTTTGTTGTCTTGGCCGATTCTGTGGTAGTGGGCTTCGAGGCGGTTTTAGTATCTGCGTTCTCTTTGCAATGAGATATACAGGCCTGGGCTGAACTACAGAAGGCCGAAGTAGTCCCGCATTGGCCAGTTTTCGAACACTATATCTTAGGTCAGCCTAAATCTAATGGATATATTCTCAGGGGAGTACATACACACTGATTTCCCGGGCAAGGATTCAAAGAAGAAAGGTCAGAATACTTCTTAGGCCGGACGGTACCAGGGACTTGTGGGCCACATGTAGCGTGGGGAAGAGCGACCGGCATGGGAGGCTCTCCAGATGCAACACAGATGAAATCCCCCTGTTTTATCTGAGCACAGCCATGCCATCCCCAGTTCTGGCCATTGTAGTCCTCGATGTTTTTCACGGTGATTCCAAGGGCTTGAGCAATCTTTGTGCAGGTGTCTCCTCCGGCAACGGTATAGGTAGAGCAGATAGCACTGCCATCTCGAGAAAACAGAGCAGCAAGTCCTTGAGTTGCGACGGCCGATCATAGGAGAAGAAATAGACCAGCCGAGGTAAGTAATCTTGGTAGGAGAAGGGCAAACATTTTTTGAAAGAGGATCAATTCACTTGGAAATGATCTCTCCCCAGTGCGGACATGGCTTTTTATGTAGAACTCCTGTTCATTGTCTCCATGGGTATTCTCGTGAACTGGCCTCGGGGAGCTTTCAATGTACGCCGAGGGGCGAGAGAGGCATTTCACGTGTCAACACTAACATATGAAACGAGAAGTAGATCGTTAATAGTATCATTTTCATTATTACCATGCATGGTCGAGTCCTGAATTTGAGATAGACACGAATAAAAACCCCCAGGGGAATAACCCAGGTATGTATGGCAGCAGTGTCGACAAAGAGTGACGTTGATGAAGATAGATTTGATCGACGCCGCTTGTCCGAAAAGAGAGTTCAATAAGCTTATCGAGACCCACAACCTTCTTTGTCGGGTTTGCTTGGCTTTCCGGATCACCACATCTCTAATCAGATTCACAAAGGGATATTTCTGGATATTTGCCAAGGGGGGCCATAATATTCAAAATCCATACGAGTAATCAATGAGAAGACCATTCGCTTCGTGTTATTCGCAGGGGTTATACCGTGCCGAGTACACTTTGTGTCCTAGCAGCCGCACATCAGCTGACAGCCGGAGGCATAATGGTTCGAATAATCGTAGCAGTTCAAGGTTACGGCTATTGGAGTTGACCATGTGATACTATGGGGTAATATGCGAACCAATATACCTCTTCATGTCATTCTACAAGGACCAACTAGGCTAACCATAGTCGATCAAGTATGGTCGGGCGCAAGGTGGGGGCCTAACTCAATCGCGAGTCGCCAGCGAGGCTCAAGTGGTACCACGGTTATATACTTTAGGTAACGGATCAACCCAACGCAGCCTGGACGAACTGATCCGTGACTTTATTATGCACTATATCATTCGAGGACCGAGTCCAACCCGGGCGTTGCACCCAGTCTGTCGCGGGCACAGCCTCAAAAGGCAGACTTGCGTGAATCAGTTTGCACCGCCAAATCCCGCATGACTCAGCCTTTTTCTGCATCAACAAACTCGAACGATCAACTCGACCCTCATCACCATTCGTGGTGTTCGCAAATCCTCCATACGGATAATATTCCCATATCAGCTCACCTAAAATGCCCATGACTAGCAGAAAGGGATCGCTAGATTTCAAATTCGATGTCGCCGCCCCTGCAGGCTGGTCCTATGCGGCTGGCGATACCATCATTGGAAGTCTCGTCCGCCACACCCCCATCGTCACACCCGAGGCAACGATCACACTGAGCCTACTCGGTCGCATCAAGACCAAAATCACCGAGAGCAAATCCAACAACTCCCGCACGCACTACCGCAGCGAGGCGCTTTTGGCGAAAACCGATCAAGTTATCCTGTCGCGCCAGCCTCTGCACCTTCCCGAGGGCAGTGGGGCACCCCTTTGCTGGGAGTTTGCTGTCGACATCCCCACCGAGCCACTCCAGTCCGTGAGGCAGGGCTTTACGCCCAGGACTAGCTTCGTGCCTTTGGACCGCGACCATCCAGCGCACCACACGCTGCCGGGATCATTCTTCTCCTCTCGAGATGGCATTACCGTCTCATCAAGCGGTTTTGTCGAGTACTATCTCAAGGCTCAGCTTCAGTATACCTTCAAAGGTTCCAGCAAAACTGTCGAGGCGATATGGCCTTTCCGGCTCAATCGTCCAGTGGAGGGGACATCCGAGCAACTCTCAAAGCTGAATTGTCTCTCCATATTTCAAACTATTCAAAGCCAACGCCTACTCCCCGGCATGCAACACGCAGATCTCAGTCTCAAGCAGAAGACACAAAAACTTCTTGGTTCTTCGAAGGTGCCGAAGCTTGTGTTCAATATGAGAATATACCACCCCACGGCTATCCAGCTTGATAATCCAGAGCCGATCCCGATTATTTTGGAGATTCTGCCGCTACCAGATCAAACGAGTTCTTCGATCGAGGACCAAAGTATCGTGATCAACTGGGTTAGAATGTGTCTGCACCAGCGCACATCCGTCCTCGCGCCCAGTAATTTTTTCACAGACCACGCGCACGATGACGATCACCCGTCTTCGGTGAACTTGAATTTGGAATCTGCTTTCCAACACCTTGAATCTCCCCTGGTCATGAGCACTGGGGGAAAGGGCGAGAAGAAAGTTAACATTGGCGAAATGTTCCAGTTGTTTTTCCACTCAAATGGAATGGTTTCTGGCTTTCGGTTCTTAAATGCCGTCGCGCCTATTCCTGACTTTACCACTTATAGTATCCAACATACTAATGCGGTAGAGTGGAAGGTGTCGTACTCTGTTGCGGGAGAGACGGAGACGGTCAAGGCAAGTAGTACGTTGAAGATCATCGCAGCAGCTTAATGGGTGAGAGATGGATGCTTTTTTGAAATATTTATTTAGATACCCCGTCTTGCTTATGATTTGATGTCCTTTATGAACTTTACTGCAGGTATCTCAGCCAGTCTATGTGCTTACATGTATCAATTTCGCAGAGTGTGTTTCCAAGTTACCTCGATCTTGCTCATTAGCTTTGATTGAGAAACTATACCTTGGAATTTGAACATTTAAGGAGCGAAGCCCCTATGGGCATACCTACATAGGCTTATCCAAACAATAATGCGGTACCCAAAGACCAATAAAATGTCTACCTATATCCCATGTTCACTGGCTATATAATACAAGGCGAATAAAAAAGAGTTGCCACAAGCCTACCCCCAACATGAGCAGCTCAGAATCTCTCAGCGTCTAATAATCCTGCTGATCATTCCAGTAAAGAGTTCCATGCTGGACCTCCCCAAGCGGCTCCAGTTTCCATCGCAACACAAGCCTCACCCACTGCAACAAGTGACTCGCCAACTTGATATGTCCAACATCCGTGGGATGATTCTTAGGATTGATATCATTGTACTGCAGGATACCAGTTGTATCGAAGTAATAAACGAAGCCGCGGTCCTTGAAATGCTCGTGGACTTTCTTGCCTTCTTCTTCGTAGATCTGGGTTGGTTGGTGGGTCATTCCTTTCTTGACGAAGGAACCCCATTGTGACTGTTGAGGAGAAAGTTAGCATTGGCGTCAAAAGTATAAGAAGGGGGTTTGCCGTGGATGGAATCGTACTATAATTAGGACTACCGCGTGCGGCCAGGCACTGTGGATATCTTCGATCATGTCCACGTATGCATGGTAGAAATCCTTGCCAGGGACTTCGTTGGGGTGTCGGTGGTCGTTGCCGCCCATTTGGATTAGGACCAGGTCGGCGGGTTGTTCGGCGGTGACATCCCATTTCTCGGGCTCGTTGCCGTAGAATTGGTTTGCGCGGCTGCCGGGATCGGATGCTTGGTGCCAGTACCATGTCTATGCGATCGAGTGTTAGGATATGAAAGAGGTGTGTTGTGCTGGGAGGAGAGGAACCGTACCATGCCGTGGACACCACCACCATAGCATGCGTTGTCAGTCAAGCATGCACCCGGGTAGGCCTATGAGGGTTTGGTTAGTACTGACGTCGCATATTGGGGGAGAGTACTCACTGTGATGGTGTGTTCGACGTTGCCTAGCCCGGCGACGAAGAGATATGCCCAGGATGAGATGGTTTCATACGTTCCGTATTGGCCAGAAGCAAGACTGAGAGTGAGAGTGTTAGGTGGCGAGACTGTGCTCGGTACTGATTTGAGGGAACTCACGATCCTCCAATAACCTCCACTTTCTTGTTGAATTTAGGAGGCACTGTTAGCTCTGCGTTATTCGCGGTAGCAACGCCGGCTATTTGGACTGTGCGATGAATTAGTTAGGTTTCTGATGACAGGAGACGGTGTACTTATCCGAAGCCCCAGTTAGTGACTACATCTCAGTTAGCATATACAATTCATCTATCAGGCGCATCCTAGTGTGAATTACCTCGCATCTCAAAGATCTTCTTCTCATGGATCTCTTCATCGTTCAGCTCTGTCCAGTTGCCGACAAACTGGTACGTGGCATCGGCAGTGACATTGGAAAATTGCCAATCGAGAGATCCGAGCCTGTCAAGGGATGAGCTATCAATGATTATAGAACAACGAGGTAGAGACGAGTTAGAGATAGCATTCCATACCTATAGGCGACGAGAACGCCATCTGAGGTGCTGGGACCAAAGCTCACTGCAAGCTGGGGAAATATTAACACCTTAAAGCAATGATAGAGTTTGGATATCACGGGATAAGCCAAAAGGGTAAAGTTACCTTGTCTCCAGTAAACTCCACTTTGATTCCGGGCGCCCTGGTGATGTCAGCATTGCCACAAGGGGCCTCATAAGAAAGGGGCATAGGGGAAAGAGCTTTGGAGAGACGAACGACCACCCTACATGCCAGTCAGGAATTTAGGGTTCACAAACACAATCGCACTGAAAGAAGCAAACTCGACTTACAAGAGACATGCTTGCTATCCCATCGTCCCTTGTAGGCGATTTCCGGGACATCAGGACCGTAAATGTTCCAAGTATCGTCGAGGAAGATCTTGGGTGCTTGCCCAGGGTACGGGTTCTCTCTGGGCTGACCGTTCTGCAAGATAGTCCCGGCCACTTGCAAAGACCAAGAGAGTATACCTAAAAGTGTAACCCGCATTTTGCTGTCAACTGGATTGGGGTAGACAACGGATCACATCAATCGTTTATTTTGTGGAATTCCCAGCCAGGAGGAATGGGAGTGCCGATGGAAAGTGCCACTGCTTCTTGACTAGCTGATGGAGTCAGAAGGCTAAGAATGGCGTGATTTGACCACGAATGATCGATCCACTCGTTTATAAAAGTGATGATAATGATTGAAATCTGCGTTTCACAAGTTGGTTGGCCCTTCCTCAAATGCGCTATCTGATCAAGTCGGAGATTCCTCCGAGAGTGACAGGTCAATGGGCTGCGAAAAGAGCAGCCCTTCTCGTTCTTGTCATGATCCACCGATAATGTCTGGGCTTTGCTCGGGGTTAAGCTGTGGATTAGCCAAGGCGCGCCACAATCCTGTACCTGAGCGGTACCTTACACTAAAATTCCGCTTGGGCAAGTGGTCGTTGATTCGTCGGGGTGTCCAAGCCCAATGTCTTGGTTTATTTCCTCTTTAGGAATAACGGGGATCTACTTTGGAGCCCCAGGAATTTTTGAACCACGGGGGCTATTCTGCAGCCCGACCCATCTGTAAGCGAGAGATAAGCAGATTCAAACCGCATGGCCTTACAAGCATTGAGATTGCCGGCAACCCAGCCTTCATTACTATTTACATTTTACTATTTTCTACCATCAAAGCAGTTCACCTTCTGGCACGATCCTGCCGGGCTTGATAGACCCTGGGGTCCACTCCGGCTCCGTCGGAGGCCACGCGTATGGTCGAGTCGGTTTGGGTTTGTTCCTGGACCCTCTACGAACCCTGAAACTCTGATATTTCCAGAACTATGGTATTAAATACACGTAAAATATACCGAAACGGGCTTGCAAAGGTGTCATAGCTCAGTATTCCAATATTACGATATTCTGCATTATTCTACTAGTTTTCCAGAGCATAGCAGTACATGTTGCGAGTCATGAATGCAGTCAATGCACCAGCATAACGCATACACTATTGATCAGTATTTCTAACTACTATACAGCTTTGATAAGTGACCGCGGTGTCCAGTCTCCTTTTTCTCGCCTAAGATCCTACCATGTAGATTTTGAGTTCTTCGTCATGACCTTGAAAGGATCGGCCTAGCATTCGCTGCAACTTTCCTTCCTGGCTCAAGGCATGTACCGTTCCCACATGGTGAAAAATGCCAACTCTCCTCTAAATAGACTCTCGCTTGGCCCCTGAATCCAGAAATCGAAGCTCGAAAACCATAAGATTTTTGGTAAACGGTACGCCAAGCCCGCCACGATGAAATATGGCGGCTGGGGGCGCCCATTCATTTCCAATAATCATCAGTTGTGGCGTGTAAGAAGCGGCTGTCTCACGCGAGCGGAGCACCCGTTCTCTTGGCTGCTGGTTTCCCTGGTCGTTCTATGGTTCTACGGTTGGCTTTTTCTCCTGGTCGCGTGTTGTGACCCCTCAAATAGATTGAATCGCTGAAATGCTGACAGGGCTAGAGACTCGGCATTCGAGGCTTGTTTTTGATTTAGCGCCCCCTGCAGCAGTCGTGGAATGGAACCTGGCGTATTGGAAGAAAATTGGCGCGCCAAGAAGGTATAACAATCTCTTCTAAGAATTGGTATTGGACGTATCGGTTTATCAAATTGTGATTGGTGGTTTATGCAGGGAATGCTCCGTAGGATACATACAATACAAATTTATGACTACAGTACGGTATTTCCAGTACATAACGTGAAGGAACCGCCAGGGTTCAGCCACGCCAAGCGCAAATCTTCGGCGATCGAATCGCGCGCGCCGATGGTTAAATTAGGTCAAATGACGCCATTTGTCCACAACTACATGCAATGCCCCTTCGTTTGCTGCGCCATTGGGGCAACGATACTGTATCATATTTCAGGTCAATTAGCATGATCAGGAGATACTCATATGGAGTAATGATACGAAAAGCGATTCTGAATCATTTTTTCCTTTAGGGCACCTTATTTCTCGGCACACGGCGGGATCTCTTGTATATAGTTTTAGGCTTGCTATACGAATCTCCACAACAAAGATAAAAGACCCTTTTCCAGACCTATCGCCGCACAGTCACCCCCTGAACAGGGCAAGAACGCGAAACGGGGATTCCCCATCGGACGTAGTCTCCATAGGGCTGGTCGTACCTGGTCCTTGCCCCAGAGAAATGCGATCTGCACCAAATTGCTCACGCCATTTAGGTCGTCTCTTTGGCCATCGCCGGAACCCCAGTCAGACACTCTGGATGTCACAGGATGATTGGCAGAGCGGAATGACCCTCCGTACTGGGGAGACACGGCGTCGTCAGCTTCTTCGCCTCCTTCCTCCCGATCTCGTTCCGGTCGTATCTGTATAGCTTTCTGGTAAGATAGTAATGGCCTCGTGCTTGGCGAGATTCGGCCCTTTTATCCGCTTTGAGCCCCGAGCTGTGTTTTAGCACATGGCCGACTGGTGCACAGTCAGAAATCGCATCATAAGGAATACGCGGCCTTTTCTGAATCATGTAGCTGTTCATGTTATTAGTTCGCTTTGGTTGTGGCCAGTGGTTCGCAAGGGAGCACCGTGGGATGCCGTTACATTCGATGAAACAGCCTACATCTATGGGCGATGAAACGAACACGTAGTAAAGGACAAACTCGATGAGATCAAACCCTACTCTATGCTTGTAGATTAGCACACTCTAATTCTGGCAATTGATCAGCTTGCATGGTAGGGGGGGGGGGGGGGGTTCCAATCATGCGCGTACTCCGTATTCCGTTCTTTGTAAGGAAAGGCCCGCTGTCAAAACCGAGGTCTTGGTTTATGCATTGGCATACTCCACTCCGATTCGGCAAATCCCCTATCGTCCGCCCTACTGGAGAAAAACTGGAGGTCCTTGGTCTCTTGGAGGAAGGAGGGTGGGACCCGCAAGTTATTCAAAACCCCAAATACCCCCCTCGAGTCCCATCCCTTCCTTGTTCGTCAACTCTTCAGATCATTTCAACCTGCCTTCCGGCGGACACCCGCTTGACCTATTCTTGGCAGCTTTTGGAGTCGCCCATTAGAAAAAGGCAGAGCGTCACTTTCTCTGCAGTCCACTCGTTTTCTTCCCACTTTCCCGCTGTGTACGCTCGTCATCGCCCGACATTCCTTATCGCCTACTCTCTTCCGGCTAAGAGACTTAGGACTCCTAGATGACACACCTTTGATTCCAAAACGTCCACTCTTTTTTCCAGTAATTTCCGGATTTCGACTTTGATTTCATTATGGACTATATCCAGCCCAGGCATCTTTACACCCGCCTACTTGAGAATGTGCCTTGGAAATCAGGTGACCCAAATGTGAAGGGTGACCCAAGAAAAAGTGTCAAATGGATTGACGTAGGTTCATCATCTCCTATGCTAACATTTACTGATAGCAAGCTCTTTCCATAATTTCCTTTTGCTGACCTTGCCAAAGGGCCTGCGAGGAATTGCTTCATTTCTGGTCGTCTTGACACATCTTGCCCGAGCATGGGACTACGACCTCTTTTCCCTCGAGATAACGAAGATGCCGCTCCCCGCATCTTGCAATGGCCCATTTTGCGTATTCCATGGCAAGGTCGCCTTGGTGTTACCATCTTCGCCTTTTTGACAGGCTATGTGTGTGCCCTCAAGCCTATCAAGCAGTCCCGTAACGGTGATCACTTGGGCTCCTTTACCTCGGTGGCCAAGAGCGCATTCCGCCGCCCACCTCGTTTGATTTTCCCCGCTACCATCGCCCTGATCATCTCATGGGTGATGGCTCAATTTGGTGCTTTCATTGTTGCCAACCGTTCGGACTGCTGGTGGTGCCGCTATGCGGCCCCCGATCTGGCCCCGACGTTCTGGCAGGAGGTCATGCGATTGTTTGAGAACTTCCTCGGTGTCTGGACTACCGGCTATATGGCATACGATGATCACCAATGGGCATTGTTGCCACTGTTGGAAGCATCTATGCTCGTGTATATTCTTCTCTGCGCCACTATGTTCGTCAAATTCCGCTGGCGCCTGGCGATTTATTTGGGCATGTTCCTCTATTTCCACCAAGATGCAGCCAAAAACACCGGTATGAACCTTCGCTTTCTTTCTTTTCATTTCAAGCTCCTCCCTAACTGTTTGAAGAAACCTTCCAAATGCAAGCGATCTACGGTATGTTCCTTAGCGACCTTTCGTACGAAAAAGCATTCAAAGAGTTCGTTGAGCGCCACAAATGGGGTCGCAGAATTGTGTCGGCGACTTGCGCCATCTCTGGTCTTCTAATTTGCTCATACCCTGGCGAGCACCCCGAATGGGCGACATGGTCCAAGTATATGTTTGAGCTGGCTCACTATATCTTCCCTCCTGATGTGAATATCGGCAAGCGCTATTCGGCCATCGGTGTCGATCTGATCATTTTCGCCATCTTCATCTCGCCTTCTACCAAGGATTTCCTGGCAAGCCGTCTCCTTCTCTGGCTCGGCAAGCAGAGTTTCGCCGTCTATCTGGTGCACGGAACCCTCCTTCGCACCGTGCTGTGCTGGATGCTATACGGCATCACCGGTCAACCATGGGACGGCGACATTGTCGATGGCAACGGCCAGCCAATTCTTGATGAGAATGGCGAGCCGCTTCACCCCCACTGGATTCCCATCCGCGCTCCATGGGTTGTTGCTATCTCCATCCCAGCGTGGATCGCGCTCGTCTACCTCTGCGCATCACTTTGGACCTCCTACGTGGACCCCTTCTGCGCCAAGATGACCCAGAAATTGGAGAAGATGATGTTCGAGGAAGATGAGAAGTCCCCGGCGACACTTCCTCTTACTAGCATGCCAATGACGAACATGCCGATGACTTCCGCGTAATGGTCGAGCGGCATGGCATCCGTGATGAATCGCGGTGTATATACTTTTTGTTCTCTTTTCACAACCTTTTCCTGTGACATTGCATTGGAATCATTGGATTTACACGAAAGCGATATTTTGCATTTCAATTTCTGAATGTACATATTTCTAGCCACCTTCTCTATCAGATTTCTCTTTTTTCTCTCTGATTAGGACATTATCGACATCGCTATCAGATGTAGATTTTCATTCCCGCAACAGCTAATTCATAAGGCCAGCTGGCACGCAATATTAATCTTCAGTCCCTCAGTTACTAGAATAACTACCGAAACATCCTACATCAATGCAAGAAATCTACTGCACGAGGAGCAAGTCAGCTGGAAATAATTTCCGTAACAAAGCCATCCGCATACGCACGTTCGTTCTCGTTTACGCCTCTTTCGTTCCGCAAACTTAGAACCCCCTTTTCAGCCATTTTCGCTTGCCAAGCGCTCTGAATGTGGGCATTCCAATAATAATCACTCCGGAAGACCCTGAGAAACAAAAGAAAGTACCGTACAGGGTATTTTAGACAGCGCACTAGCGGAGGCCGGCCGACGAGCAGTCATGCGAAACCCTTTTACGAGATGAGTTACGACACTCGGATTCTCCACAAATCTTCAGCGGAGAGCAATCCCACCCCCTGTCTCACAGACTCGTCTGTCATTCGCTCTCAGTGACTTCTCAACGGGCCCTGCCAAGACAGTCGTGCCAGCTTGGCACACTGTGACGAGTGGAGAACGTGTAGGTAATACTAAATACAGTGACAAGGCCTTGGCTATCCGTCGTTCCACCCGTATTATTGTTGGGCCTCATGCATGGAACCGCTGCCAAGGTCCTGGCGGGCAGGCAGCCGGATTCTTCTGCCTTTGGAGACCTCCTTTTGAAGCAAACAATGCGAAAGGAATTGCGAGTTCGGGAAATATTCGGGGAGGGTCAGCCTTATCGGGGATGCAGCCTTACCGGAACCTGCCGGTTATCGATAACCCGATAAGCTTGCTGATGATGACAAGGCATCTTATTGTACTGTAATACTGACGAGTATTTGACAAAGAATTTGGTTCTCGACCTCAAATATCAAGCCACAAATACAACTAGCCCTTTCTCTGTTCTTGAGGTGTCAGCTTAGCGTCACATTAACATCCTGAAGGTACGTATAACATAATACCCTGGTCTTTATCTCCGCCGCCATCGAGATTGGCTACTCCACGGAGTCTATTGACAGATGTCAAAACAGAAGATGGCAATGGTAAAGGAACGTGGCCTATAATGCATTCCTGGTCTAGAGGTCTTCGGGTTCTTGCTCGAAATTTTCTTGATATCTGGGTCATTTGCTAAAGGTTTATTGATAGATCAATGGTTTCCGCCTCGTCTCCATGCCAAGACCAACTCATCTGCGTGTCTTCAAATGTCTCACCCTCTTCGACTAAGATTGCGCAAACTTGAGCAAATCGTTATTCACTTCGTCAATGTTGATGTTGTGGATCGCATGAGAGCCACCAGGATAGATCTTCAGCATCCCTTGAGGCAAAAGCTTCGCTGATTTGAGTCCTGAAGCCTCAATGGGAACCACCTGATCATCGTCGCCATGGAGCACAAGCACGGGGATATCGATGTTTTTCAGGTCCTCAGTGAAATCGGTCTCTGAAAAGTCCGTGATTGAATCATATGCCGACTTAAAGCTGGTGTTCATTCCCTGCTGCCACCAGCTCCGGATTTGACCCTCGCTCTTCGTGGCACCGGGCCGATTGAATCCGAAGAATGGCCCAGTAGGAACATCCAAGAAGAATTGAGCACGATCTTGTATCATAGATTGACGGAAAGAGTCAAAAACGGACTTGTCGGTTCCTTCGGCGTTGGTCGAGGTTTTCAACATCAAGGGTGGTACAGCGCCAACAAGAACGGCCTTCTTGAAACGGCCGGTGCCGTATTTCCCAAGGTAATGGGTGACTTCCCCTCCTCCGTGCGAATGCCCAACCATTATAGCGTCCTTGACGCCGAGGTACTTGAACAGTTCCTCGAGATCATCCACGAAGGTGTCCATGTTGTTTCCACTCCAGGTCTGCGTTGAGCGACCATGTCCACGTCTATCGTGAGCAATGACGCGATAGCCGCGATCAGCTAGGAAGAACATCTGGTTCTCCCAGTTGTCACTACTTAGGGGCCAGCCATGCGAAAATGTGATAATCGAGCCATTTGGGTTGCCCCAATCTTTGTAAAACAGCTGGGCGCCATCGCGAAGTTCGAGGAAAGGCATTCTCGTCAATACAGTCCGCAACAAAAAGGCAGAGCGGAGATCTTAATTCTTCAATTTTTTTTCGGATCTCCTTGCTATCTCTGGGGCTAAATAATCATTGGGGTTATTGAGATACTAGGGTGTTGTTACAGTCGTCGACGTCATTCTAAAATTGCGCCCAAACTAAGCCAAAGGAGACATTATCCGAGGACATCCAGAATCAACAATCCATCTAGAGCGCCTTCGAGAATAAGGAATTATCTTGTTTGTGTCAAGGTTATTAGGGTCCATTGAAAGTTCATGAATCATCTCTGATGCAACTGCCTGGCTTCTACATGGAGCGGGTGACGTACGTTACCAAAGCCGAGACGGTGGCAAAATGTGTGCGACATATACGTGCGACGGGCTACATTGGATAATTCGACTAGGAAAAAGAACAAGTGCGAGAGGGTAATAGGATACCGGCTTCATGAATGAATTTGGGATACTAAGAAAAGAAGATCAAAAACACCAACATACAACAGCAATACTATGTGCCCACCGTTCGTGGTTTGGGATCCCTGTTTAGTTTACACAGTAGAATTCCACAAGAATTCCACAATAGCATTACAGTAGTATTGTATAGTACAAAGGTTGATAAAGCTGCAGGATCCATAATAGTAGGCGGTAGGATGGCGGATACTATCCGTAAAGGGTTTAGTGTGCGAGCTGCAGACTCAAAGGGATCACGTGATGTTGAATTTCAGCTGCTCAATCAATTCGCAATATTCGGGTTTTAGCCGACCAATCAGATCGACTTCCTGGAAAAGTTCCGTCGTTATCAAGACAACTGGTCAAATGATTAAAGTCATTTCTCGGTTCCTTGATTCATTTCCATTCTGGGGGGCATACACTATTCATTTGGGCACGCTCTAGATCTGTATGGAATAGGCTTCTAGGAACCTATCTACTGGTAGCGGGATATCTCGTTCTTCAAATGATAGCTCCGTCTTTGCAATAAGTGTGCTATAGATTCTGTGTCAATCTATGAGATACCTTGATCTGGAACCATGAAGTTACCTGCTATGTCTCTTGGCCGATCTGAGTACGGGTACTGGAATACTGGCGACGTTTGCCGCTGTCAGACCTTTCGACCTCGTCAGTGCCATTGGCTATTGTGGTTCGCTAAGCCCATATGTCCTGTAATATGTTGAGCTTTATAGGCAATAATATCTGAACAGAAACATGTAGAGTCTTTAATCAGTTGTCGAATGATTCGCCGAATAGCGTTTGAAGGCCGCCACTGTATATCTGGCTACGACAAGACATAGCGGCCATAGCTCAATTATCCCTTTGGGACTAACCCGATGCTGAATCCTTATTGTATGCCTGAATTAGAACTGGCAGAAAAGTAAATTACTGGAAAGATAACAACATAATTTTTGGTAGTTGAAGCTATTCAGAAGCCGCAAAACGACAAATCTCTAGAATTGGAGTTGTTGACACTATAGTTACCCGGGTGAATCACATCATCTAGAGAGGATATAAGGTGAGAGAGGAGCTGCTGCAATATATCCCACCTCGCTCTCGTCTCACCGGAACCTACTCGTAACGATTAATTTGTGGTTTTGAAATGGCAAGAACAGGCAATAGAATGCAAAGTTGCGAGGAAAAAGGAAACTCGGTGTACTCGGTCGTCGGATGAGACTCGAAATATGAAAATTTCAATTTTAATCAGTAAGGGCAGGTACTCACATGGGGGACAGGCAGTAGGGGGATGAAGTCAGGTGACCGTTACGGTATATTATCAAAGCCGTATCTAGGATGGTCAAAACTACTCCGTAGGCACCAAAAACTCACAATTTAGGCATCAGGCTAGTTCTAAAGGGGTAATTGAGCTGATGCCTTGCCGTAATCCGGCACATTTAGGCAAACTTTTATATTAATGGCTATTTCTACGATAATCAACAAATCGCAGCCTTCTCAAATGCAGGCTCTCAAAGATTCATTCGCTATCCGATTGATCAAATGGGCTCTTATTAAATCTTCAATACCTTCAATACAAGAAATCTAGTTATTATTTAGGCCGTAGGCTACACTTCTTCAACCTCTTTTGAATTTCTCATGGATTCAACATCGGGGGAACAATAGCAACGGCATTTTTGCCCTGTTATCACACATTTGAAATCTCAATCATCTATAGTTGCCTGAAAAGGCGGCAGCCAGCAGTTTATTGATACTGACTAATGCACTTCGAGGCTACAATAGAAGATGGGAGTTGCTGTGAATCCTCCTCAAGGCAACTATTAACACAAATGCATTTAAGTATCTTTTCCCGTAGCCCAAGCTTGTGTCTAAAAAGCTTCGCATGCCACTCCACCCATTCATTCTTATTTCGTGACCTCCAATCTACGTCGAACAGAGAACTTACTACTCAAAAATTCCCAACTATGGCAAACTTGGTTTGGATATCGCCCATGATCGACTTTCATTGAAAGGATATGATACTAATGATCTGGTACTAGAGAAAATATTATGTCAATGAGTTAATCCAGCTTTACATGGACACAATCACACCTCAATGCCGCGAAGACCGCGTTGACCACATGTGGACTCAGATTTTGCTTTATTACTTCAGTATCGACCAACCTTTTGGCATAGAGCGCGAGGTTTATACCGCAGAAACTGAACTTCGTCGCGTCGATCTCGTGGTGACATCTGTACGAGGAAACCAGATATACAAGACCTTGTTTCTGGAAGCTAAACGCCACCCTGCACCATCGAGAGCCATCACCCCAGATGCCTGGGCCAGTGTTCGTGCTCAGCTCCAAAGAAATATCGACAAATGGACAGATCGTAACAAAGATACTACAGTCTTCGGCCTGACTGCGATTGGGTTGTATGTGAAATTCTTTATCATCCCCAAGCGTGAAACCGAGCTCCGGCCTTTCAAAGTCACGGATAGGCCTTATTCGCTCCGTCACGATTCTGAGAGGGGACATGAAATACTTTCCCAGATCAAGGATTTTATCGCGGCATCTCTGTGAATCTTGTCTACGGTCGATACTTCACTAGCACGTTCTGTGTTGTTCTCCGTTCCTGTGATACTAAGAACTGCTAAGCAGAATTCCAATCCACATTATCTCTTGACCGCTGCAAAAAATGTTTTTGTAAGTGAAGCACTACCTGAGAACAGGTAGATTTCAACGGTTTGAAAGCTGGATGGTGGAAGATGATAGAAGGATCAGGCAAATCAACAGGCTAGAGTCATATAACGATATACCATGGACGTGACTAAGGACTCCCAAGACCTCTGCTTGTAAATAGCTATCCGCTGGCTTCTTAAATTAGAAAGAGTAACAGGAGTAAGATACAAGCGAGTTGAGTGAACGGGCTTTATTCTGACATCTAGGCTACTACATCGCCTTTAGATCCAGCTCACTAGATAGCGTTCTCTACATACATATATCTCGCTGTTCATCTTATCTTCCTTTAACCGCAATTACTTTGACTTCAATATGTTTAGAAACAGTATTCTGCTGCATCTTGTATAGTAGTTTGGCAAGACTGTTAATAAATGTTTGAGTACGAGCGCTACCAATATTGAGATTCTTTAGAGATCCGAATAGCGATTAAAAACGTGCATTTCGTACTGAAGACAGATTTCGGCTTGGTAAAGGCGTTGAGGCCCTCTACGACATTTACCCCGGAGGTGCTTATTGCGGGTAAGAATGCATGACAAGAAGATACTTGATAGCGAGATTGATATTAGTGGTCGGTTGTTGCTATTTTAGATATCTTGAAAATTGGTGAAAATTGCGAATCATAACTAGAAGTTAGAGGACAAAGAGACGAAAAGAGTCTTCATGTATATAATATGAGAAATTGAGTATCCGATACATTCACACAATTATTAAAGCGATTGAAATATCACATCAATTTACATCAACCTTGGTATCTTGAGATGTCTTTCAATATTTTGAAATAACTGAGAATATCTATCGTAGAAAGTAGAGATGCACATTTCAGTGAGAAGGTATTTGTCACGGGGAAACCCCGATTGCCTGCGTATTTATAAATGTGCAAAGTAAAGTATTTTGAATACCCAGTTACACCTCTCAGAGACGGAGGGTTGAGTGCGGCAGACTTCATGACAGAAATTAGGCGGTCAGGTAACTTTGGCAGTGCCACTGTACAAAGCTGTGTCGTCGGTTTAGTAAATGATTACTAGGCTAAACTACAATTGGGTGGGAATTACCTGTTTTAACATAAATGACAACAAACTGATTCCCAAGCTCCAAATCAGCAAAAATGCCTTGTCAAGAGGTTCACCAATACTTTTCTGGTTCTCTTGTTTAGAAAGCTGAGCCGTGCGGCAAACACCCGCACATGACTCGGACATTAAGCTGGAGGCATCACCTCTCTCTCCTATCGCCTTCAATACTTCGCCTCCATTTCTTTTTCCCCGTCTCCTCCCCCCTCCTTTTGTCCGACTTTCCATTCCACCTTCAATATGGCCAAATCTGGTGTTCATACTTACAGGAGAGATACTGATGGTGTCATCGATGATGGTGTCATCGACACCTGCGCAGAGGAAGCAGAAAAGGAGGGGGAATCTGAATCAAAGTCTCTATCTAGACTATGATGAAGATGGATCTAGAGAAGAAGAAGGAGAGGAAGAAGAGAAAGACCTAAATAGGTCTACAAGACAAAGAACAGCGTCGGTCCTGGAAAGAACCCTCAAACCTGCAGAGCAATCTATGCAGGTGTAAACGGGAGGACGCATGACCAAACGACCGAGTAGTCGAGGTCAATAGGGTCGAGTCATCAGATACATTACAAGGGAAGAAGTGGTTGTCTAACTAGGAAGGTGCGAATTTTGGCTAGACCTGTATACTCGTAATGTGGGAATAAGAAAAGAATTTGCGTAAGGTGCCTACTAACGTAATTCCCGGCCGACCCGGTCACCCAGAAAGCCATACAATATGCTATATTTTGATTCCTCTGTATTTCCACCACCACTTACTCAGTATTACTGAAATTAAGAGTATATCTTATTGTACGTATAAGAATAATATGTATATAAAGTTTCGGCCCTTTCAGACTATTATTTTGATGCTCTACCATAAAATACAGCGTAATTTTGATGACTCAGATTTATGTATATATATATCTCTCTAAATCTATTTTTTTATACTCTATAACTAGGCTACTTATGCTCTCTAGTTTCTATATTCTTAATATATTACCTTACATATATATGGTTGTTGAGATATAAAGTGGTAATTTATCGTATTTAGTATGGTGTTTGAGGGTGATCGGGACGACTGGGTGATCGGGTCGGCCGGGAATTACAGTGACTAGTCACTGTACGTTATAGGAAAAGGGGCAGGTTGAGCTGTCCCATGGCGGTGTAACTGGGTATTCGAGTAACAATACAGTGACGTTCCATAAGTTTTTAACCCCCTGGGTCCACACCGCCTAGCTCACTTCCTACCGCCTACTATATCCGCCTAGCTAGGACACAGGTCAGGTTAAGCACGTCTATGCAAGGCGGGAAATATGCGTAACAATTTACGCATAGGTATTTTAATGGATATTTAACTCGTTTCTCTTGAATAATTCTCTGTCTGTTCATAGGGGAACTAATTATCTAGACTCTAAGTGGAAGCTTTTAATGGGCAGAATATTATGTAATGGGTGGTGTGGGGCTGGGGGTGCAAATACTTATGGAACATGACTGGACCTATTTCGAGGTGTTATGTTCCCGCATTTTAAATACAAGCACAGGAAATATGGGTTGGTGATTGACCAATCCCATGTCACTGTGGTGAACACTTTTCAACGGACACATTATGACCATTACAAGAGCAAAACCTATCAGTATGGCGTAAACTTGACGTTTGCACTGTTTTTCCCCTCGCAGCTTTTGGGACATATAAACCAGCTTCCGAGTATTTCTGGCCTTTAGCTATCATCTCACCATGAGTGTGAAAACATCCGCTACTGCGGCGCTTGTCGATAACCCTTAGTATCTAGACTATAGTGGACAAACCGTTGACACTTGCCTCTCCTGCGGGCATGTTATTGGCGCAGAATCTGAAGCACCTGGTGCCAATGAGGACTGGCTCAAATATTATCGAGCGCGTGAGTGTACCCATTCAAATTGAATATAATCAATAGGACTCACGTATGTGCCATAGTATATCGTACCTCAGATGGTGCTAGATTGAGTGATGTCTTTTTTGCCAATGTTGATTGGAGAAAAATGCAATGTGACTGTGGCCATCTCGGACCTTCTGAAAGGGCAGCACTTCGAGAAAAATTTGGCCCTTGGTACCAAATGTCCTGTTCGAAACCGAGCAAGGCTCACATATTTCATGAGAGCTGCTGGATTATTCTGAGTCGACAATTGGAAGAGGATCTTGATCTGGATAAGTTTTTTGAAGTCTGTAAGGACGTTGCTCCTTCAGGCAGAAATACCTCGTGTAAGCAGGTTGCCTTTCTAACAAGTATGTTATGAAATCAAACTAACACGATGAAAGACGACGCATTAGTTGTGCAGAGAGACGCCGGGCACACTTATCCTTTGAAAATGCCCATCATTCAAGGCCTTCTAGCTAAGAATCGCCTTAGGCTCCCACAGATACAGAAAGGAGAGGGCCAAGGTTATCTCTTCTCTGAGACCGACTGCTTTCGATTGCTTCCTTTGGAGATTAGATCTCTAGTTGCGAACAACCTGTCCACTCCGGAGTTTTTCAGTTTAAGACAAGTATCCCGATCGATGGCGGAAGTCTTTGAAGATCAACTCTTCTGGAGGACAAGATTTTTACCCTGGGGAGAGCGCGGCTTCCTCAACTCTCTTTTAACGGAGACCCAAGGTGATAAAAGGCCAAAGTATCAAGCCTCTAAGCAGAGAAATTGGAGGCTGATATATAGATGTTCCGTGAATTTGGATGTGTGCGATGGGCATCTCTTCGAGTTACGCCGACGATGGCATAATAATCGATGGCTAGGGGAGAGATACATAATGACCAAGGCCAGTGATGAAGAGATAAGATCTCATAGCAGCTTGATTCGTGAGATGTTTTGGCAACGTCTCTCTTTGAAAGTCAGGTGTGACAGACTCCGTGATCAAGGATATCATCGGAATAAATGCTCGAGGTGCGATATGGAACACGCTCCATCTGTACAGGCTTTTCCGTTGAACAAATCAGTCCTCAGTCTAGCGGTGTATGTTCTGCGTGAAGCATATCACACTTATATCACTGGGCTTGGTCTGCTGGAAAGGGACTTTGGCGAGCCACGCTTGATCTTGGGGTACCGTATACCGGATCAATATGTTCTAATAAACCTCGATAGGAAGCAGCTCATGGGGTTTAACATTATTGCCGGGGATCACGCAATCTACGCAATCCAGGCAGTCTTCAAAGGAGGCTCTAGCAGATGGGTGGGTAACCAAGATGGTTCCAAGAGATGCCAGTGGATTACTGGCCAACATACCCCTCACAACACGCACCGCGATGTGCCGAAATTAGTGCGCCTCAGCACGGAGAAGGGTGTCCAGGCAATTTCGGGAAAGCTCGATGTGAGTCAACCTTCTTGACAAAATGAAATAAAAATAGCCAATCTCTATAGTATTGCAAATTGATCGGGTTTTCTGTAGCATAGAATAATGAAGATTGCTACGAGCAGATTTTCTCTGCCTTACAGGTCAAAGTCCTGGCAATTTGCTCATGTTGGATATGCCCATGGCATATCATCATATGACCTCTACTCTCGCTATATCTACCCTAGCTCACTCATCCTTACTAATACACACTTCTTGCTCATTGCATCCTTCTCCTTCTCTCTGCGCACAGAATATACCATAAAGCTTTAAGACAAGTTGAGCCAAAATTTTGGTTCGTATTGCGGCATTCGTATTTCTCTTGAAACGCTGCAATACGCATATATCCCCAGCGAGCCAAGCTTATATCCAACAATTCATCTAGTCAGGAATTTGTATAGCGAACAGCATATATGTTCGTCTGGTAGATAAGAGGAAGGGCAAAGAGGAAATACTTATAATGGCAGACATGAAGAGCTCTAGTAGATGCAGGGAGTAGAGAGTACATGATGGATGCTCCGACGGGTGTAGGCATCTTGGCAGCAGAAATACATTATTCGTCGACAAAACAGTGGCTAATTGAGAACATACATGTAGTTTGGCGATGGATCATCGAGGACCGACAGATCGACTAAGCGAATACTATCTAACTAGGAGAAGAAACTTCGGTAAGGGCGTAGGGCTCATCGTTGTTAAGATACTAGTTGTCCGGATAGAAACTAGTTGGTTAGGCAAGGAAGAAAGCACCAAGTCAGATTGTTAGCAAGACTGTTTCTTGAGGAGTCTGAACCTACTCCTTAAGATCCTAAATTTATATACAGTCTCTTATACAAAACAGGGAACTAGATAAGGGGTAACCACGGTATAAGCGTGTATAAGCTAAAAGGTTATATAACTAGCCAACGTGGCCTACCGGTAGGGTAGCCCTTTAGATACGCCACCGAGGAGCTATCGACTGACCGCTGGGTTGGTACCCTCTCGGTAGAACGCCCGGGCCTTGTGCGGCCTGGGGCATCAGTCTGCGAATAGCCTCAATATCAGGATATCATAACAATCGTCGTAAGGCAAAGAGAGTGGTGATGGAGGAAAAGGAATTAAAAAGACGGGTAAGGGCGATTACTAAGTGGCGGTTTAGCCAGAAAGCTAAGGTTTAGTAGGTCATGTGACTAGCCTAGAAGATAGAAGGGGGTGATTAGGTGTGTGAATAAAAAGAGATACGTGGTTGAATTCGTATTGAATCGTTATGACAGCCTTGGCAGAACTCGGGCGATAAGGCAGAATTAAGGCTAAATTTAGGCCGAAATCAGGCCTCAGGGGGTGCCAACAATGGCGCCCTATTTTATCTAGGTTTATGGCTCATAGAAGGTGGTTGCACCTTTACCGGTGCTCTAAGGCCCGTTACTAACTCGTCGATGAGATTGGATTTGCTGAGATGTGTTTCGAGTGTGATTGTTGGTTTACAAAGTTATGGGAATGGGAAGATCATTGCAAAGAGCATCTTGCTTATCTAGAAGCACTTATTCGATATGATCCCTTGATGTTCCACTGTGCCCCTATTAAGGCAGGGTGGTGTCCGTTCTGCTTAGGGAATAAGAAATTACACTCGTCAAAAAGAATGGTTCAATTTTTTGTGAGTCCCCCAGAATGTTATGACCACGTTGCAGCCTATTTGCACTAATTGAAAGGCAACTTTAAATGTGAGTATCCTGCTTGCCTGGTAGACTTTGATAGTGCAGCGGAATTAATATATCACCTTATCGATACCTACTGCTGGCGGCCTCGATGTGAATATCCCAAGAAGAGGAAGTTTGAACTAGGGGATACTTCTTGACCGAGCATTCAACGAGAGATTTTGGCCGTGAAGATGCCAGAGTTGCTTCCTGTTTTGATTTACTATTACTACCTCTTCCACGCATGACTTGGGCTCTGGCAGAACTGAGGATGTGAATTACCTCTGTTTACATTAGCCAAGCTGCAGGCCTGCTCATTGTTATGTCCCTACAATCCTAGAACCTATAGATATATTACCTTTCATATGCACAAATCAATTCCCTTAATAGTCCACTCAAAGTCCCTACAATTCGCTAAACCCTGCCAGCTAAGAGGGTCAGTTCTTTTTTCCACGAGCAGCTCATGGAAAACCGACTTTTAGATGTACACTGGCGATTAACTCTTTTATATTATTACTTGGCCCCATTCTGTATCTCACATCCTTGAGGCTCAGGAGGAACGTGAATCATCGGTTGTTCTAACTTTCCGCCACTTTAGCGCTTTACGTATGTCAAGGAAGTTAGAGCAGTTGATGGTGGAAACTATTAATAGCTATGATTATGCCAAATATAATGGGTAATTATCGGAACTAGATATCAGGTTCATTGTATTCCGTTTGCACATGCTTAGGGCTACAAGGAACCATTTTGTGTTTACACCCCTGCATTGACCCTGGAAACAGCACGGTCTATCTACTTTAAACGGCGCAACGTAAACCCTATCCGCCTCATCAGGCATTCGGCTTTTCTGCCTAGCAATCTCGCGGCTGCTTTAAAACTTTCGGTTTTCAGTGCCCGACTAGTCGCTCACTCTTTGGCCTCTCTTTCATAAAGGCAGCCAAAAACTATATTAAGGGCGGAGCGGTATACACAGTCGGGAAGATATCTCGTTGACTTGTAGCAGTAGTTATGCCGTGATGGCCTGTGCCTACTCTCTGTGGCAGTGATGTGCTCTTTGGAATTATTCGCTACGAGATGAACCCATCTGCAAATTTCATGCAAGATGCCAAGAATATGCAGGCTATGGCTATGATTGCCAATGTAATGCGATTGACGACTGCCATGCTTGAGCAGCCGAATGTGCATGCGGGTACTTCGATCCTCTAGGTTACACGGCCAGGCAAGGCGAACAGGGGACGAAAGGACGCGCTTTCTGTCACAGAATAGCTAAGGGTCCGAAACGTACCGAGAAATTCGCACTTTCGTAGCGTACGACGCGACGGGCCGGGCCGGGCCGATCCAATCAAATGGATTATTTGAAGCACTTTGCCTTAACACAAGCTGAGTTATGGGAGGGCTTCCATCAACACTGGATGTGATTCACGTGGCCAAGCCCGACGCCAAAGCATACATTTCTCGAGCTTTAGTGAACAGAAGTTTTACATTTGCGCAAAGTGAACTACATCCGCAATACTAGATTCTCTATTCCTGCGCAAACCCCCCCCTTCCAATGCCGCACGTGAGAGCAAGCCAAAAAAACCCCACCACCTTCGTATGTCTCGGCCCGCTCAAATTATAAAGTATAACTCTGGATATACTTATTATTTTTATCAACAGGCCGGACTACCTTAACTTTATGTAGGCCACTCCCTGGAACTCAAACCGGTAACCTTTAGTGATTATTTCGCGTGACACTAGTGCTTGATCGTGCGTAAGGTCTTTCAACGCAACCCGGAAACGTCTTTCCAAATCCACATGCCTCTTTGATATTTCTTCTAAATTTTATCATCATCAAGACCCGCTCTCGAACGAATTTCCCCCAACAAGGTTTCACCAAACACTGCAAGTGTTCCAAGGCATCCTCTCCAACCCTTAAAACAAAGATATCATCAGGCGTCTTCCTCAATCCGTCAGTGTCAGCCACCTAAGTCCAGAAGGGCTATTTTGCAGGGCCGGACTAGCTGTAGAACTGGGCTAATGTGATATCACAGGCTGGAAAGCGAGAAATCGGGTAATGAATTCACATAAGAATAAACACATACTATATTGACAAAATAGAACAAAGGCAGTCAGTTAAAGGAAAGGAAGCGAACAGGCTTTTCAGAGTCAAAAAAGACTCAGACAAACTGTGCTCAAAAAACCCCCAGTTTGCTACTTTTTAATACCATCTTTCATCCCAGCCGCCGCTGTAGAGGAACAACTTTCTCCATCTGTCCTATATGAAATCGCCCGGTTATTACCTGCTTAAAATTGATGATATCCACATCTCGTGCACCGAAAAGATCGACCGGCACCATACTGTGAGGAAGAACCCACCTTCCAGCCAGTGGTGAGGCGCCTTGTACGTCGATGGAATCAAACCCCTCCGTCCTCACCTCCTTACTTTCATGATATTTTATCCGCTCGCTACTATGGCCGTCCTTGTAGACCACAGCAATTGTAACTTGGTCTTGTACTTCGTTGTGGAGAATAACAAGGGCAGGTAGAGGTAGGCCTGTGGTGCTTTCTTCCCCGCTCTCTTTCGTAGCTAACGAAGGAATTGTTGACATCTCGCTGTCATGCTACAGTGGCGCCGCAAAAGTTTCCGACCACCGCTTGCTTACATAATATTATGCCGGCCATTAACAATTCCAGATTTCCACCAGCATTCCTAATTGTAGTCAAAAGAATTACCGATCTCCAATTATACGTGACCCCTTGGGGGATTGAATGTAAAATAAATAAATTCTTCCTTTTCAATTCATCTATATCATGGCTCATGGTCTCTGGAAAAGGCGGTGTACATCAGGCGGTGAAAGAGGTGGTCGGAAACTTTTGCGGCGCCACTGTACAAATCGCGGTCCTGAACCTAGCTGTTCCTTAGCCCTTTTTTTGATAAGACGGATATTATTCCTCATGCTCACGCTGAAGATATCCTAATCGGATTGGAGCTAGGAGATAGTCGGCTTCTCGACGAATTTCTGAATAAGTCGCAATTAAAACGACGCCGAATTTGCAGGTGAGTTAACACAGAGGAAAACAAAGAGATTGATGTGAGCTATGTTTGTAAGGGAATCAATGTAACTGTAGCAGGCGGTCAAGTATTGAAGCTGACCTTTTGTCTCCGAAGATCGATGGACATATTCTCCAGCGCTGAAACAGGCGGCCTATTTATGACCAAATTGCCTACAGATGAAGAGGGGAATATCTACGGCTAACGTCTCAGCATACAATACATCATGCCACGGTATACTCAATTAGTTATGACGGAATTGAGCTTGCCTCGGAGGGTTAACTCATCAGTGGACGAAAGGCAAGGCCTGGACCATTTCTAAACTTCGGTGAGAGTTAATTCTCAACTTCTAATAGTCTAGAATTTGGCTTGCATGACTTCAACTTTATCGCGTCCGGTGGTCGTCGGTCAACGCTGGCTCATGCTATGGTAATCCTGCGGCTGTTGCAAACGGGAAAGAACCAGGACGATTGAAATTTTGATTGGCTAGTGCCGTCGGCCAATAATGAAACCGGGATGTTCCGTTGTACATCAGTCCCATGTGTGGGGTTTATCTGCAAACGGTAAAGAGCCCAGAACAACCGAAATATTGTTTGGCTAGTGCCGTGGGCTAATCATGGAACCGGGAATTTTCCTTATCTATCAGTCCCATATGACACAGTTCAGCCGCGCCATACAAGCTCTTGTTTCCCTCATTTGAAAAGAGACTGAACGAACCTGGAATAAAAGATAACAATAGTACATGTTACTACAAGATTCTGGTTTCCTAATGGTCCTGATAGAGCAAATTTACGTACTCTCGGAAGTTTTCAAAGAAAAATACACCCCCCAATGCCCTTACTGGGCCGGAACATATTTAGGTTCTCTAAGCTTTGGGTAGTGGAAGGCAAGCTGCTTTTTGCCAGGAAAACTTCACGGCTGCTGCAGACAAAATCCACAAAGAAAATGGAGTAGTGGGGAGATCTTCCTTTCCGCTTTACGTAAGAGAAATGTGCTTTGGCGTTAATGCATCGGCGTAACGCCCACACTGCTAGCACGCTGTCACATCGCTGGCGTCTTGGCACTCTTGAACTACTCATCATTTTCTGGCTCGTCTTATCTCCATTAAAACGGAGCAGCTGGAAATTTCCCAGGCAGATAATATTATGAGAACAGGACTACTCGTAATTTATGCCAACATGAGAATTAGCAGTATATTTCCACTATTCAAATATTCCCTCGTAGCTAATTTTCCCTCGTTCTAATTATCCGTCACGGATGTCCCTCACCAACTAGCCACCATCTAGAACAACATGGTATATACTGTCCTTGCTGATAGTTATACCTAGCTTTCCTTTTGGCCCCGGTAAGGCTGGGTAGTAGCCCTAGTTTAGGCTCGGTGAAGCCTACTGCAAGCCAATACTGAGCTATATCATCCGCAGTTACTTTTGGTCACGTTGACTAGCAGCCCTCCCTACATTCGGATAGCAATTTTTGGGGATAACATTCGATGTCATACCGCAGGATATCTGTACGCACTAGTACTGAGGGAAAAAATTGAAGGATTGATTAAAACTATCAGAGAGATCGCTGTTGAGAGCATTTCATAGCCTCAGGGGCAAGTATTGGCATGTTACAACGCGGGGACTCCAAATTGACCCGGTTTTCCATACAAAACGTGATGGAAATTGTGTGGACACTGAATCATCCTGCCATAGTGGTAAAATACCACCTATTCAGCTCGACATCTGAAGCGAGAACCTCCAAGCCCAGATTGAGTCGATGAACAAATACCAAGCATCCTTCGGGAGCCATGAAAGTCGCGGCATTAAAAAACCAAGAATCAAACACTCCTAGTCAGATAATATCACCTACTTCACCAAAACAAGTGACACTCCCTCGTTAGTATTCCCGGACGCAGCATCCGTTCCGGGGAGGTAGTAGAGGAAATTGAATCTCTCGCCTTCGTTGACAATATTCGCGTAGCCGACGGCCTGGGAGATGAGATCATTGACGGCACCGATGGTGCTTGGGATTTGTTTGGCCAGCCCCTGCAGGACTTGGTTGGTGTAGAGGCCACCCTGGACCCAGCAATTGGTCCAGGCAACATAACCCTCAAGCTTGCCGTTGCCATCGATGTACAGGTAGATCCAGTAATGCACCTCGCAGTCGTACCAGCCGCCAAAGAACCACTGGTGAGTGTTGACACTGACAGGGACCTTCTCAGTCACTATTAGTCTCGTTACGTAAAAGGGGTGCTTTTAATTTTCGCTTACATTGAGATAGATGAATTGCTTGAGGGGATCAACAACCGGACTCCGCGTGCCGTTCGGCCATAGGTCCCAGGAGAAAATCGGATCTCCGCGACTTCGAACATCTGGACTCTGCTTGTTGACAATATTCGTTATTGTTGAAGGGGGTACCAGAGACCAAACCGATATTGGCCCCAGCTCGTTCGCGTAGCGACGCTGCATCAAGATGGACGAAGTGGTGTCATTGAAATTGCGTCCGACAAATGGAACGGCAATAAAGTTTTTAGAAGTCCCGTCAAGAGCATAGGTCAAATATCTACCCAAAAAACCAGCATTTTCAAACAGTATGACATAGCCGCCCACTTCGCCGGATGAGCAGCCGCACTGAAGAGACGAGATTTTGTCGTTCCAGTTATCACCAACATAGGAATAGCCCCAGGAGCTCCAGGTATAGTTTATATCCGCAAAAAGGCTTCCTCCGCCGTAGTTTACATCGGCAAACACATTGAACCAGATGTCGTCCGTGTCGCCTGATCCTGACTCTTCATGGAATTTTGCTTTGGCTTTGTTTATGGCTTCCTTAAGTTCAGTGCTGCATGTACTGCTAGAGCCGTACTGATTTATAGCTGTAAGAAGCAGCGCACGTTTGGCTGCATTTGGCTCCTTTTCGAAATTTTCTGACAGCAGGTCGATGACCTCTACCGCAGTCTTCCCCTTCAGCTGCGGAGAGAAATTGACGAGTAGGGGTAATTTTGGAGAGATCGTTTCAAAACGTCGACAGTTCTTCTGCAAAATTTTGCTGGTTAAAGGCTCTTTGTGTGACGGCATTGGGATCAGCGTTAGGGCTGAAGCTGATGCCCGTTGGACCGGGCCTCTAAGGGATGTAATTTCGGCTCCATGCTTGTCAGCCAGTGTGCGCAACTCGTCAGGACCGACGTTGTTAAGAAAAGCTTCCACAGCGGAACTTCCGGTATCCTGACATAAATCCATAGCCGATTAGTTTCAACGGCACTATTTCTTCGTGCTGGGTTCTGTGGCCGATGGGCAAATATTCGTTGACGACAATAAGACTTATGCATATTAAATTAGTCCTAAACCATTCATTTTATAAGCGGGTGACAAGCCCTTCTTTCCCATTTGTAGTACTATTTCCCGGTCTATCTGACATGTAGCTAATGATCAAATTTGCTGGGCCCCATATAGCTGGACTGGGCCAGATTGGCCTGGACATAGGTGGGTGGTCTGAGTAGCCGTCGGGTCAGCTGGGCATAGGATCATCGTTCCACTCCTGGGCTCTCCATACTTACCACTCCTCAGTCAGAGTATACCATTTGTTACAGCAAATCCAGAGCTATTTGTGCTGTAACTTCTATGCAGTCCCGCTGCAGTCGTCGGAAGCCATAGCTGTTTCCCTAGGGTGGCCCGAACTGCAACGGTTACTTGCTTGTGATGCTTGACATAATAAACCATCCTATTCCCTCTGTGTTCAGCGGTAAATTATGTCTGTATTTCCGAAGTATTTTGAAAAGACTAGGTTGGCAATTATTTCCGCGGTTTGGAAAGGGATAAGCTTAAGCCTAGAACCCTAAAGTCCGGTTGGCATCTCAACGAATAGGATACTGAGATTTACACTCCCTGAAACCTTGCAAACGTCCTAAATCTTAATTTCCTGGTACCAGTTAGTCTAGGGAAGCGACATCTCAAACCAAGACAGCACACAGTCAAGTCCCCGTGCCCGAAAGCACGACCCCATTATGACGAGAGCATGACAGTCAAAAGGGAGGTCTAGCGTAGCAAAAATGGTTCTTTACTATTTGCAATTAAACCGTGAAACACAGGACTGGTTTACAAGGGAACATCCCGGTTCCATGATTGACCGACCACCAGCCTAACCAAACAGAGTTTCCTACGTTCTGGCCTTATATCGTTGCATAATCCGCAGAACTACCACAGCCTGGACCAGCGTTGACTGACCGACGACCACCAGATGTGATAATCCTGAAGTCATGCGACTCACTTTGCAGGTCATCAGTGGTTGAGAATTACTTCACAACGATGTTTAGAAATGGTCCAGGCCTTGCCTTTCTTCTACTATTTAACTGTATTATCGAGGAGAAGTTCAGTTCCGTCATGGCTAGCTGAGCATGCCATGGCATGGTGGATTGTATGTTCACTCTCATTCTCTGTAGGCATATGGGTCATAAATAGGCCTCCTTCTCATAGCTGGGGAAACATGCCCATCGAATTTCAGAGACACCAGGTCAGCTCCGATAACTGACCATCTACTATAGTGGTAATACCAACGATCAAAGCCAGGGAGTGTATGCTGACATAGTGACAAATGACGACCCAACACTCTTCAAAATCTACGTTGGTTCTGCCTCTTCCTCGATGACTCACCAAAAACGGGGAAGTAAGGGCTAAAAACGAAGAATTCGGGAGCACTTGTCCTACGCATGTTCTAAGACACGCAGACCACCAAGCGGCCAACCTCATTGCAACTTTGTTGTGCTAGTGCGATTTGCGCAACCAGTGGGTAAACCATTGGTTCATATCGCTGAAGCGATCATGATAATCCTTTTTGCATCATGGGATTGTCAGACATTCACCAATCTTCGTCCGACCAACCTTCCAAGCAGCTTGTGTTGGGGCCTGAATAATGTGAATCCCTTAGATTACGGGGTTTCTAGTTTTGTCCACTCGAAAGACAACGGAAGAATAATGGCTTAGAAGCTGAGAGAAGCAAGTGTTGCAAAGGCCAACGAGGGCGGCCATTTTCGTGTCACAGCACATCAGGTGAGACCTTCTTATTGGGATTTCAAATTCTATCTTTGCGGCGAAACAATCAAAATTCCCTCAGAAATAGGGCTCCCTATGGGTTTGCACGAACAACATTGTCTTCATGTTCATTGCGAAGTTGGTGTGACCCAGCATGAGTCTCCCTAAGCATCGCGGGCAAGTTGGCGTTCCAACGAACGAAGGCTGTTAATTTGCCTAAAGAGATGCTGCATCCACAGTTGCGAAGGCAAGGCATCCACGAAATGGGTTCAATGCAATTCAACTCAAGCGCTTCCACGTTCGAAGAGAATCATGGACCTGTTGGGCTATTCGTGAAGCGATAGACTTGTTAATAAACACAAACGTTTTCATCTCCCTCTTTTCTTCCGGACTACGTCGTGTATCTGGACTCATTTGAAAGAACTAAGGAGGGTATTCCACAAAGCAAGAGTGCTTGAGTCTATATTGCAGAGGAATCACACCCCTCGACTCTGGCACGACCGGGGTCTGCTATAATAATACGCTTGGTAGAATCCAGGCCTATCATGAGCGGAATGACTCCAAGGTCTCCTGCTTCCTTCAAGAGATGCTGGAGAAGAACCCGAAGATGGGCAGGAGATCCAAACAGAATCCTGACTCACCAGGGCCTCGACAACGACCACCTCTTCAAAGCTTCGTGCGACCAAGTCCCCAGCCAGACTGTCGGGGCTGTAAGACGGCTGGCGAGGTTCAACGCGATCCTTGAGACACTAGGGACCCCGATTTCACTACGGGACCATCGTACCCGGCAAACTGAATTTTTGAATAGGAGCTAATACGAGTTCGACCAAGAGTTGTCATGTCGACGTCAGTTCTTACTTCTAATATCACCTGATGGTAATGGACAAATGTAGTCTCTATTTTTGTTCCGTTTAATCAAGATGGCTGTAAATTTATAATGTAATAACCCCGAACGGCGCGTTGGTAGAGCGCGATATTCGGATGGGACACCTAATATGGGAATGTGCATGGTCGCTCATGAACGGGAATTGCCACACCCTAGGCGTTGGATATCATTGAATGGATAGCCAAATCTTCCGCGGAGAAAGCTGGGCGGGCGCCGAAATCCGGTAGAAACAAAGACGCTGTTTTCATCCTTAGTTTGCGAACCTTGCCTCACTCATTCCTAGATCGCCGTGCGAAATTGTGGTGATGGATGGTGACTTGCAAATGATGTCTGGAACGAGCAGCTGAGCTGTTTAAAGCTGTAGCTTATTTGATCTAGGCTCCTGCATGGTATACTGCAAACAGAGAAGCTCAAATATGGAAAGAAAATCTTAGGTCTAGACTTTACACCGTTCTAAATTAGGAAAATATTCGGTTGTACTGATCCATTTGGCGCAGCCGCCCGTTGGCTCCCGGGGGCAGCGCATGACAGCATACCTTTCAGACGTAAGATGGATAATTCGCTGATTCATCTCATTATTTATGTTACGATTGTGATGTCCACAGAAAGCCAACTGGCGAAGGTTTGTTTGTGCGAACATGGAACTTTCCAGGAAGGACGGTAGTTACCAGAGAAGGCCCTGTAAAGGCAATCTCTCTTGACAGATAGAACTTCTCTTCTTTCTCTTCCCTTTCTAGATTTAGTTGCTTCGTCAAATGCACCGATTTGAACCCTGTTCTATCGCCTGGTTGTAACAATTTAATCTTTTCTTATTCTCCTTGTCATAGTCTGTACACCAATGCTGCCGATTAGCATTACTGTTTGTAAAACTAAGTGAAATAGTGCGTACCAGATTGCGATAGGTTTAACGGGTTGGTTTAATTAGGCCCTTCGTCTTCTAGACATGTGCGGTTGGTAATCCAGGAAGCAACGCGAAAACACCTTTATCACATGAGGGATTTAACTATTCGAATAGAAAAACGCGTTACGTCGTAGCTTTTCTCTACTATTCTATTGGCTCTTTGCCAAAATACGGTGATTTTAAAGTCCATGGGCGGGTCAGGCAGAGCCCATAACGGGCCGTCCATGGATCTGCCGTCAATCCATTCCCTTTGTGACATCACAGAACTGGGCCGACTGTGGTGCGAGAATATCGAAATTAACGATTATGTTCTCATAAATCCAAACAGAAGGATCGGAAGACGGAACTGTACTTGAATAGAAATGTACGCGTAATAACCTCGTAATGTTTTGAGCCCGACGTGAGTATTTCCCGGTCGATGAAGTCTATGAACTCTCCACAAACTCCCCATCGTTCAAGTCTAATTTCATGAGCACATAGTCTGTATCATATTCCTTTATAACAACAGTCTTCTTATCGACAACCCCATTATGCACTCAGCTAAATGTGACCCTTTACCGACAGGGTTTCGACCTGGACGTCTCGTTATTGTTGGTTCAGGTATAAAAGGAATATCTCAACTCACCCTCGAGGCAGTTGTACATATTGAAGAGGCGGACAAAGTCTTCTACTGCATTTCAGACCCTGCTACTGAGCTTTCTATCAAGCATCACAATAAATGTTCCATTGATCTTTACGTTCCCTACGATGATGACAAACCGCGACATCGGACCTATGTCCAAATGGCCGAGGTCATCCTTCGAGAAGTCCGAAAAGGGTATAACGTGGTTGGTGTATTTTACGGCCATCCTGGTGTTTTTGTTAATCCCGCACACAGAGCCATTGATATTGCCGCAAGCGAGGTGTATGAGGCTACTATACTACCTGGCGTGTCAGCCGAGGATTGCCTTTTCGCGGACTCTGGCATCGACCCCTCAAACCCTGGTTGCCAGACATTGGAGGTAACAAATTTTCTCGTAACAAACCAGCCACTTGCAACACACTGTCACGTCATCTTGTTTCAAGTGGGGGCCATTGGCGAGAGTGGTTTTAATTTCAATGGGTTCAAAAATACACAATTTCCCTTTCTTGTACAGCGCTTGATTAAGGATTATGGCGACGAGCACAAAATCATTCATTATGTCGCCCCTCAATTTGCTTTGCTGCCCCTACAATCGAAAGATACAAGCTCAGGGACTTCCAAGATGAGGAAATTGCCAAACGTGTGAAAGGCATATCGACTTTCTATCTTCCAACAAAGACGGGTCCGAGTTCCAGCTCAACGCCTCAATCAGAATTCTACGGAGAAACGGAAAACAGTGCTGTCAAAGCACTGGATGGATACAGAAGACCGAAAAACTACAAACAGACTCGAGCTTCTCCTGCTTTATTCGATACTGTGCAAAAATTAGCACTTTCTCCTAAAGAAGTGCGGCGTTTTATATCCGAACCGACGAAGTTCATTGCTTCCGCGGACGGAATTCGACCTGCTGAAGCTTCGGCATTAGCAACGGCGCGTCTGGACATACTTATTGGAGCGATGAAGCGAAGTGAGGATGATATCGCCCGCGATTTCGTGTTCCATGTCACGAGAAATCCAACTCTCGCTCAGGGGTACATCTCAAACCTCCTGGCCAATAAAGAACTGCAAAATGGATTGCAGAACATCACGGCTTGGCTAAGAGAACACGGATATGACGTGACTCCGGATGCCATACATCGAGCTTATCATCAAGCCGTTCTTAACGACTTGGAGATGTTCGATTCAATTTATAACACCAGGCTCAACAGCCACCCTGGCCCTACCATATTAATTCAACGTGGGATGGTACTGGTTGATGGGGAAAAGATAAATGAGCACAAGTTCGAGTCAGGGACACTTATATGGCGCGCAATCAATTCCAACAACTCCTCTGCCATCCTGCATCTCTCTATACCTACCAGTGATGATGGCAAACCTCTTTCACCAGGATCTTACCGTGGGCCACAACTTTCGGGTGTTCTCTGGGGGATGAATGATGCCAAACCCTTGAACAATAATATCTTCGGGAAAGTTGGCCTGCTTCCAGACAATGGGGTGAGCGGGCTAATCAAAAGTTCAGAAATATCTTCGGTGTTCGGCTCTTTCGACACATACTTTGTCGACCAATAAGGGAACTATAAATGATGGTGTCACACACTAGCGCAAGGAAGCAGGAAAAGGGAGATCTGAATCGGTTGTCTCTATCTAGACATGATGATGAAGATGGATCTAGAGAAGAAGAAGAAAAGGAAGAAGAGAAAGACCTAAATAGGTCTACAAGACAAAGAAGCGCTAGTCCTGGAAAGAACCATTAAACCTACAGAGTAATCTATGTAAGTGTAAACGGGAGGACGCATGACCAAACGACCGAGTAGTCGAGGTCAATAGGGTCGAGTTATTATATCCCCCGTAGGACTAAGCCAAAAAATGTCAAAATCAATCTCGTACAAGCCAATTGTAAATGCAATCTTAGTAATAACAATATAAAGTAAAATAGTGCGAGGAACCACATCTCTTAATATGTAATAATAGTAGGAAATAAGACAGGAAGGTTGTCAAAAACATCAATTTAGTTAGACATATCAACTTCAAAATCGTAATTCGGCGAGATTATAAAATCCATAAACATACTCATGAAAAATCAGTCTTTAGTAACAATCAAATAATAATAATATAAGTGTAAAGAGCATAGGAAAACACATCTTTCTATGTATATTAATAGTGGAACGTATTTAAATAAGGCCATAAAAATCATTAATCTCGTTAGAAGGAAATACACTATAATCTTAATTTAACATAAAATATACTTCTAGTAGAAGTTAACTCGGAGGTCTTCTTATTATTAATAATCTCTCTCGGTCGGCTTAGAAAATTTCTCGCGGCTTAGATTTCGTTAAAATATCTATAGGATTATCTTTACTAGTAATATTATATTAAGATACTAGTTATCTAGATAGTAACTAGTTAGTTAGGCAAGGAGGAAAGCACTAAGTCAGATTATTCGCAAGACTGTTTCTTAAGGAGTCTGAACCTACTCCTTAAGGTCCCAAATTTATATATAGTCTCTTATACAAAGCAGGGAACTAGGTGAGGGGTAATCACGGTATAAGCGTGTATAAGCTAAAAGGTTATGTGTCGGACTTTAGGCGGTGACCATAAAGTCGTGGTTATACACACAAGACGATAGTGTGTATAAGGGTAAATACTCAACGTAGTGTCTGAATACACGGTTATGAGCCTATCGGTCGTGCACACTTCTCATGAAGAAGGAGAAGTACCACGATTGTGGAAGAGTACCACCGATCTAGAAGAGAGATCACAAAGGATGATAAACTTGATTCAATTTAACTAGGTAACATAGCAGTATTTATATCACAAGAAACATAGCAAAAGATCACATGATAAATCAACAGAATCAGAGTGTTGAGAGTCTCTTGCTTAGGTAGGCAATCATATGCGAGATCGTTGAGGATCAATCTGTTAGATCTTTATAGAAGAAGATCTATATGTAGAGAGGGGTTATATGAGTGGGTCCTTCGTCATGTGACCCCACAACATCCACATGTTGACAGTAAGTAGTCATATGACCACACAATAACTATCCATATATTAACACTTTATTATTATCTTTATTAAATATTTAAGGAAAAGTCTTAGCGTTAAAGCGGAAAGATATTATTATAAAGGAAAAGTAGGAGATATATTTAATCCCTAATGAAGAGGTAAATTATCACTACTAAGTAAGCTCCCCTACTTATAGGTTAGGTTATCTTAAAGATAAAGTATAAAGTATAAAGTACTTGAAGGTAGTAACTAAGTAATAACATAAGATTAATCGCGAAGAACTGAATATCTAATACGAAATAAGTATCCTTATATATCTAGTCCTTCCTATTGGGTAATAAGTTTCTTTATCATTATAAAATATATAATAGTAGTAATGCAGACTAGTTGATATCTTATTGGTGCACTCAATGATCCACTAGGCAGGTTTTCCGACTCTAAATCATCAGCTAGCCTGATCAAGATAGACCAGAAGTTATAACACCTAACACTACTAACATCGTACTTCTTAGGCAATTCACGGAAATTCTCCGTGATACCACCTTTAGCATTGAATATAATATGCGGGGTGCGTAGGTAGCATTTCATAAGTTAACGGGCTTAAAGAAGTCGATACCTAAGGTGAAGATAAATATGCTTGTTGATGTTTTCGATCTCCTTTCAGAAGCCTGGAGTTAGTTTAAATTTAGAGCTCTGATATCGATTCATCGCTTACTAAAAGGTGTTAGGTCGGATCTTTTTCGACACATATGTTCAGTGGCCATTTATTCTGTTCTTTTTTCTTTCATTCTATCCTTTCTTTTATGGTAACTGAGTCCCTTTTCCAATCATTTACTCGTCTTGGCGGGGCAAGGGAAGCTCAAATAAATGTTTTAGGTTGATTTATCTATTCATACAATAACACGTCTTCGCGGTGAATATGGTCATGTCTTACAATGTACTAGGTAGCAACGAAACGTTCAAGGTATGTTAATTTTAGGAGTGTCAAAAAGTTCCCCCCCCCCCCCCAGCCCAAGCCCAAGTACGATGCTTCATGCAGTCAAGAGAGTTTTTTGGGTTCCAAATGTGCACCATAACCTACTATAACGCATTGAACTTGCTGGAATTGACAGACATAGCTAACTTCACTTTCACAACAACAACTCGAACACCTCCAAAATTTTGTTTTTCCCAACCTTTGGAGGCCCGTGAGGCAGCCCCATCAAGTTGAACACTGCCATCTGCGCTCCTCGGACGCTGTACTCCAAGCTGCAGGCTGCATCACCATGTATTTCAACGTATTGGCCTATAAGACCTAAATTTGTGGTTTCATGAGGGATCACATTTGGTCGGTCATGATGCGAGCGAGACAATAGCATAGATGTCCCTAACGGCATGATGCAAGGAATAGTGATTGACGACGAAAGTAGTGGATCAGTAGGAAAGCCTAAATGAGAAACAATCTCACAGAAAATCTCTTTACCAGAGCATGACACCATTGACTTTTCGATGTATTTCCCTTTTCTTTCCGGATGTAAAGCGTATCCCCAGATCACATGGACAATTTTGGGCTGCGTTGCGAATACTGGCTGATGAGGGACACTGATATTTAGACCCCAAGGACTCTCCATCACGGTGAGCAAGGCACCTGTACCCGGTTTATCCCCGGTCAGCTTGGAGTAATATTTCATGAAGTCAGAATCGCGCAAAGTGATAGTAAAAGTCTCAATCAGTGACTCGCTCAACCGGCTGGAAAAATTTGAAGGATTACCAAACTTGGAAGACTGCTTCTCAAGTTTCTGCCAGAGCGACCACTCTCCATGTTTCAAGCTGTCCGGAGACAGAGAAGGTGGGGGCGGAGATTCCGAGTTAGATCCCGTCTGCATACCCGAAGCCACCGAACCTAACGTCACAATGACAATGTCGATAGGATCCACGGTGATAAGCAATTCGTGTCCGTTTTCCTGTAATACAATTTCTGATATGGTTGTTGGGTCACTGGACGGGTATGATTTCAGGTCAGTGACCATGACGTTGAATCGAAAATCGACCCCTTGCTCCCTTAAGTATGTAGTTATGGGAGTAATTAAGGACTCGTAAAAATTGAAGGGTGTTCTTTCCAGCTCTCGCACATCATTATGAGTGTGCATTTCGGGTAGCCATTTGGTGAGAAGCCTATGGAATTCAACTGCGCTATGCCACTTCTGGAGCAGAAAACTAGAACGGAATTAACTTCAGAAAGGATCGAAATAGGGAGAGCCAAAGAGCTCACGTGGTTGACCACAGAGTCCAAAAGCCTGACTCGAAGAATGTGGTGTCAAACACATCACTAATCTTCTTTGAATCAAAAATCATTTCATTCTCCAGTATAAACCTGATAAGATCCATACGGAGCTTTGCGCCGATCGGGAGTTTATGCGTGTCGACTCTACGCAGTCCCTCCTCGTTTTGTGTGATCGCACGTGTGTGGGCTTTATTCATCGGCCTTGTGTACTGCTCATGCTCCTTTATGGCTTCCCACAGAGTTTTTTCTGGGTGTCCTGGATCGGGTACCATCGTGAGGAGGTTTTTGACACACTCCTCTTGGAAATACGGCTGTGCACCCGTATGGTAAATATATCCATCCTTGGAATTACCAGAAACCTCCATTGCTCCACCGGAAGCATGGTGGACGTCGAGAATGTGGACTTGATCTGCCGGGACTTTGGCTTGCTTGACCAAATGTACAGCAGCCGCGAGCGATGCGACGCCGCTTCCAATCAACCAAGCCTGTACGTTCTTGGGGTCACGTCTGGGAGCCATTTTTGCTTGATAGTTTGAATGAACTTTACCATTTTTTTCCTTTGTCACAATTGGTAAATATATAGCTTCTTGGAGTTGAAAGGGTCGTTGCGCATGACTCCGGTACTCCCAATGAGCCGCGCTTCCCTGTTTTACGTCACGTCATTTCTACGGCAACGGCAACCCCGTGAGCAATCATCTGTTTAATGTCTAGTAGGTCTAGAATCCAACAGGCCTAAAATCCAACAGGCCTAAAATCCATCTGGCCTAGAATCCATCTGGCCTAGAATTCATCTGGCCTAGAATCCATCTGGCCTAGAATCCATCTGGCCTAGAATCCATCTGTCCTAAAATCCATCTCATGATACTTTCTTGAAGAAAGCAATCATGTTACTATTGGAGACTAGAACTTGTCAGAACATCGCATACATCACAACCAGCTTCGCCAGAGGTAGTTCTAGATTAATCTCTAAATTTCAGGTGATGCATAATCTAATGACGTACTACACTTGCAGTAATCATTTGATTACTCCCTTCCATTTCCTGGGCAGGACTATATCTGCCTTAGCGTTTTAGTCTCCACAGGATAAATCTCTTCGCCTCTACAATTTCCTTGGCTTTACAAAAAAAACCATCACGCAATCTATATGTAGAATCACTCCAAATTGTTCTTCTGTCAGTGCAACCGCTCTTTGCGGGACATGGGTACACGAAATGTCGCATCATGCCGAAAAGTCTGAAATTGTAGTTTCAATGCACAGCTGGATCAGAAACGTGACCGGAAATTCCTTTGACTGCCTCGACACGAAAATCAACGTAAGAAAGCATCCTTTCTGGGATTGCTGAAATTATTTGTACATCAAGGCAGATGGGAAGATGAAGCGATATGTGTGCGATTGATTACTCCTAATCTGGATCCGGTCGAATAGATGAATGGTACAGTATAAGTATCAAACTACATTCATCCATAATTTGTCGCATCCCACTGAAGCCAGGAGACTCACTACTGTTGGCCCTGCGGCTTTTTGGCAGTGCAAAGTGACAGCCTCAGAAGCCTTTTATTAGTTCGTGTTGTTCAGTATTTCTGTTGGCAATCTTTAGTCAGAACCCTTTGTCGCTTTCCGTGCATACCACCGACATATTCCCCTAGATATCGGCATATTTTTCATCCAAGATGGTGTTCTGAATGGATATTCATCTTGCCCAAACTTCATTTGTCTAGGCACCTTATATATCTAGGTTGTACTACTGGGGAAAAAGGCATACTGGTACTAGATAGAGACTACAATTTTGCACTTGATGTTTTGGCTTGCCCACAAGCCTTGCCTCGGGTAATTAGTCCAGCGGCGCTGTTCAATTCATGACACTCCCGGGGCTGGGAGAACTATGGGTTCTTTTTAACATTCAGGAAGCCTATATCCAGAGGAAATGCCTCAAAAATCAACAGGTGCCAAAGAGCAAGTGAAGTTCCGATACGGGGCCCAAAAAAGCCCAAGATTGTCCAATATGCAGCTAAGTATCGTAACATACCCAATATTATTAGCTTTCTGAATGAAGACATGGATGTGTGGAAGCACTTGGCTTTGTCTGCGTCCGTAGTCCATTATACACGGCCAATGAAAAGAGGCCTCATGTCCTATTCCACACCTTTTGCTCGGATAGAAACTTGGGTCCCAATTTGCTCAAGTCACGGTAAGCGATCCAGTATTGTCATCTTGATGCTGACATTCTGGTAACCAAAGCATTTATCAACATTGGGAATCAGTTTCGGCCACGTTTGGAAGAAATCTGGTATAGAGAGTTACGCAAACAGTCAGGAAAGAGAAAAGTGCGAAGCAAATATACAATAAGCAGAATATTGCAATCTAGAGGAACTTTCAAGTATTGAAAACCAACACGTGGTTAAAATAATCGCTCTCACCTTATCTTCGTTCCCCCGTTCTGTCTTCCACAGTGGTTCTATTATGAATATGACAAGACCGATAATATAAGACACGATTTCATAGCAGATGATCATCACTGGTGACTGCAGTGTAAACATATAAATCCAATTTACTGCATGTCCACGTTCATGCCTGATAGCCTGGAGGAGGTTCGGCACACCCTCATGCACGTTTCACACATGTCGATGAAAATCCCGAGATAGAACGCAATAAGAACAGAAAAAATGCTGCATATCAATGTACCACGCCAGAATGCCAGAACTGTCTAGTGTGACACAGACGCTTCTGTCCCGTTTACGGAGGTTATTGCCACGGACGCGAGAATAGTTCCCTGTAGGGCCAATATTTAGTGCCCCTATATTTACCTCTCTTGGGACGTACAACTTACCACAATGGTCACCGTGCTGTACTCTGTCTTCCTATTCTTCCGCCAAAGGTTCATGATTGTCACTCGATCCGTGCTGCGCTCGGGCATCAGCAAAATCTGATGAACGGCGACTTTCCAGTTCTACCAAGGAGCCGTTAAATATAGCAAACTGTCCGTAGTGAATTCATGATGCCTGTCATCCTTGCGTTTGATATTAATAACCTTGACACTTCATATACTTTCGGAAACTGTGGAGGCGTACGGAATAGTCACAAATATATGACAAGGGATGTGTTGGTCAGTTCAATTAAATCACGCGCGCCTTTTGGTATGGGCTACGGAGTTTAACTGGTAATATAGGAATCGTCTGCTGGAGAAAAACGTGCTGAACTTCGTGACAGCAAGCCGTGTGCCAGCCTTTAATCTGACCGTGGACGCATAACTAGAAACTAGTCATGACGAACTGAAGGAGTGGCCAAATACCACTAAGACCCTTTTGGGATAGGCGTATTTATCGTCCGCCCAATTCCCCCAGTATTACCGTATCGGCGGCGCGGCGCGTGATAGTGGGAGAGCAAGAAAATGAGGGGTCGAGAAAATAATTTAGTCATGATCTCCAATTTCCAGCTGTACCGTGCAAGTGAGACTGACGGAGAGGCAAGCCAGATGACTAATACTTGTATCGTAGAAAACGCAAAATTCGGGTGATATGACGACTATGGGGCGAGACGCGGCGATTGTAGCAACTATGGTACCATATATATTGGATCAACAGTAATATTGGTAGGAGCCAATCTCCGAATAGCTTCCACTGAAACACTTTGGGCTGGACGATTTCAAAATTCTTTCTTCACCATCTGCTACCCCTTCTAGCCGATGACATCGTTTTCTTGTATACATTTATGATTGGTGACATTAAACCACGTCGCCCGAACTGGCGGTTTGAATAACCCTATCGCTACCACCTATTCTTAGCATTTTACATTGATCAGAAGTCGGAGTAGCAAAAACTCCAGTCGGATGGAAATGCTATCGCTCGAGAGCCGGCTGAACCAAGGTATGAAATGACGCATAGAAGACATGCTCTTGGAAAGGTAGGATAGCGAGAAGTGTTGATATTAGAATTCGAAAATATTCAGCCATCCTGCGCATCACTGAAAGTCGGTACTGTCCTCGATTTGCATCTGCTGTTTCTCAACTTTATTGGTTTATCTGTTGCGAAACCTAGCGGCCAAGCAGCCTGATCATTATAGCTGGCACTCTTTTATATAGCAGACAATGAACAAAGTTGAGGGTAGCGGGCATTTCTGGATCTTTCTCTAGTTTTACAGATGCTGTGAGACTCATACCATATCCTAGAGCAAGGAAATATCGTCTTCCATATTTGCGCTATCCGGTCCTCCTTGGGGAGGCTCGATAGGGCTGAATTGATTTGAGGTCAGTATCGTCATGGCCAAAGTCTTGTGACAACTCACTCGATTGTGGCTTTCCGGATCAAACGATCCGCTAGGTAGATCACCGATTTTTGGACAAATGAATAGGTTTGGTTGCTTTCTTGCCACGACGCACGTTCGTCTGATCACCCAAACGGTGGCCATGGCTAGGCTCAATGTTCGTTGAAATGAAAAAGGATCTCCTGATCGACCACCAGGAGGACTGCAAAGAACAAACGCTCTTATGATGGTGGAGACCCGATTACCATAAAATCTGCGCGGGGTCTCTCCTGTGTGATACGAAGTATTCACATTTCCTTCAACAGTCACTCATCATGCCCTTCTTATCCTACAGGCACGCCGCCCAGCTGCGACAGGAACTCAAGGATACACGTGCGACGGTCGTCACCCCCGAGAAGGAAGACTTCCCTGAGCTTATCCGGCGGTGGAGCGATACCTGCGAGAAAGAAGCTGTATGCCGGCAGTCCACTCCTGTTTCTCCCTTGCCCCAGCCCTAAGAAGCTTCCACCTGCCGTGCTTGTGCTCTGCTAATATCCTCTAGGGTGCGGTCGTGATGGTCACCTCGTCCCACGAGGTCGCGCTCGTCGTCGCCTTCGCGAACCGCCACTACATCCCAATTGCGGTCCAGGGCGGCGGCTATAGCACAAGCGGTGCGTCCTCAACCCACGGAGGAATCGTCATCAACCTATCCGCGATGCACAATGTATTGGTCGATCCAGCGTCGGCAACGATAGCTGTCCAGGGAGGTGCAACCTGGGGAGAGGTCGACCAGGCGGCCGAGCGCGAGGGGCTAGCCGTTGTCGGCTGCACAACGAGCGCTGCGGGGGTCGGAGGCACGACACTGAGCGGCGGCTTCGGCTGGCTCACCGGGCGCCACGGTCTGGTCATCGACAACCTGGTCAGTGTTAAGATGGTGTTGGCTGACGGCCGCGTCGTGACTGCATCCGAGGCCGAGCATCCGGACCTCTTCTGGGCGGTACGGGGTGCCGGCCAGAGCTTTGGTGTGGCCACTGAGTTCGTCCTGCTCGCGCACCGCCAACGCTCACCCATCTTCGGCGGCCTGCTTTACTTTCCCGCTGACCGGCTGGCTGCCGTGATCGAGTTTGCGAACCAGTTCGATGAGCGGGCAACGGGCGACGAGGGTTTATTTTTCGGTTTCACCACGCGGCCGCCCGACCTGCTGTCAACGGTAATTGTCGCTTTGCTGTTTTACAACGGTCCGCGCGTCGCTGCCGAGGCCTTCTTTGCGCCGCTGCTGGCCCTGGGCCCGATCCAGAACGAGACGTGCGAGATGCCGTACCCGAGGATGAACACCATTCTTGGCCCGCTGGCCGCCAGCGGAGCCCGCAAGCGCCTGAGCGGCACAACGGTCAGGCTGCCACTCGATCCCCAGATCGTGCATGAGGTCTACGAAGATTTTGACCGGATCATGCGATCCTACCCGCGCGTCGAAGGCAGCGTGGTGGTCTTTGAGTTGCTGCCGTACGCGCGCGTAAGCCAAGTGCCACTCGACGCGACGGCGTGTGCTAACCGGGGTCCATACCACAACGTGGCGACGATCCTCCGTTGGCATGACCCGGAACTGGACGCCAAGATGGCAAATTTGGAGCGTGCACTGCTGCGCAAGATCCGAGAGCGCGGCGGAGTCGCCAGCATCGCGGGACACGGGGTGGGCATCTATGCTAACTACGCTGGTACTATCAAACCCCTTGGACACATGCACCGGGGTGATTTCCTGTTGACACGCCTCTAGGACACGAAGCTAATGCCCAAGAACTGTTTGGAGACAATCTGCCGCGCCTACAGAAGCTGAAGAAGCAGTACGATCCGAAAAACATGTTTCGAAAGTGGCACAACCTCCTCACTCACTCCCACGAGCCCACGGTGATCTGTTGATCTGTTCTGTGACGCTTTATTCCAGCTCCTTTTCCTGGAGACTCCAAACCTCCACGATAAGTAGCCTGTTCTCCCATAGACCCATTGTCCCATTACGCACATCCCGTGTTATATGGGAGGGTCAAATATCTTAGTCCACACCTTGACCTAATGGTGGACATGTGTGAGGATCGCCGTTCTTTTGTCTCCGGCTTCGACAACTCAATCCTTCAACGATAAAAATCAGCTCACGGGTTGCACACATTTCTGACCTCGGTTTTTTGCCATCCAAAGCCGGACCTTGATTTTCTCTCCACTTTAGTAGGATTTGGAATTAACATCGCCATTTTATAATATTATGGTTATTAGTGCTCTGTAACTTTGCTTTGACTCATTCATTACCTCTCAACTAATCAGCGTTCAGCTATCTGCCTCAGGGGGTACTCCAATACTTAGTGGCATCGGAGATTGGGCCACTCAAGAGGAGTTTGGAATCCTGATATAACGACCTCGAATGAAGTTAGCTGTGAACACCCGCCCTCAACACTACCCTCAATGCTATGTCCTCTCTGCGGGGGTTTGTCTTAGTAGCTTCAAATGGCCAAATACAGTCAGCGTTCGCTAAACGATGCGGTATTCATTTAGCTAGATTAACAAAGTGGCGAACACTTTAAGGGAATTTAGATATACAGTGGTAACTTACCACTAGCAACTGATTGGTCACACTCCGACCACTTTCCCTTTTATGTATCTCTGGACTCAGGTGAGACCCTGGCGTTGCAATCGCCGAGTATCGGCATATTGCCTAGGGGGATTTCAGCAGCGCCCTAATACAGTCTTTACCTTCAATTCCCTGAAACGAAGGAACAGGGTGAAAGGGCTTACAACCCTGCGCAACCTGCCCGCGAACCTTTGCGGTGCTTGCTTTCTTTCCTCGTAAACACCGAAGCCTTCCACGGTGATAACAGCATCAAAGTCGGCAGACGGGAGCGAGTCCATGGACCACATCTGGCCATCACTTAGGGTGTTTCTGTGGTGACTTCAGTCATGATTGGCTCACGGCAATAGGAGGCGACGGTCTTACCAGCGAGAGGTAGGGCCATGCCTTTGGCGGTGGGTATGGTGAGCGCGGTAAGAATAGTCGGGGTTCCGAATGGATCCATATGTAGGTGTTCGGTGTCCCTCCGTGTTCGTCAACCTGCCCGCAAAGTTGAAGGTCAGGTCCAGTTCCGCGGGGTTCAATGAGAGCAAGTCGATCAAACTATTATAGGACCAGTTACCTGTGAGAGGATCGGTCTGTCTGGTGACGGGGAGTTTATCTATCGCGCGAGCTCGATGGCGCAGCCGCCAAGGGTTGGAAGGGTATTTGATCGGTTGAGAAAATGAAGAGTGATGGCAGTTTGCGATCTTTTCCAAAGAAAAAAAACAATAAGGTGGAGCAAAGCGGTGATTGAGAGAAGGAAGGTTACAAAAATAATACAAGGCTTGTTGTTCCCAAGCCCTCTGTTAGCTTCTCTTTTCGACCGAGATCACCTGAAGCAGGCGGTACCAAACACAGCCAGCGACGATGCGACTGACACGACATCATTACACAAATGCAAAAGAATTGTAAAAGAACTGAAAGAGAGGAGTGCTCTAATCTGCGACGAGTTTCTTGACTGACAAGAGACTAGTACTTTTAAGAAGTTCCGAAGCGCACTTGGCCATGAACTTTCAACAATTACGACGAACAAACCTGGAAATGAATCGTGCGCCATCAATTGCAGGGGGCGTGGCATTATAGGAAATAGGAACTAGAATGACGACGATCCTTAAATCGGATGCGATTAATTTCTATGTAAATAGCTGTTAAATAGGTAGTAATATTAATTTGATTTCAGTCGGTCGCTCTCGGCTGCCAGCTTGGGTACGTCATGAGAGTATCACGAGGATCGGTGGTATGATTCCGAGGTCAGTGTCTAGAAGAGTCTAGACACTAGTTGTCGCTAGGTCCGCTAGCTGTCGGGCCATGCAGACAAATTGTCAGTGCAGGTCATCTCGTCATAACCTCCAGCTGACTTGCAGAAATACGAGTGCCATCTTCAGAACGCAGAACTTTTTCTGCCACTTGGCGCGATCCCCATGGAGCTCAACCGTACGGAAGTAATCTACACAGTGAAATACTAGGTTTTCTCATCATACCAGAAGAAAGTCCAAAGAATCGTTTGAATCACACCAATCTACGCCACACATGCACGGCTGATAAATATATCCGACGTGTCTCCCTGCGAAGTGGGAGATCATCATCACAGGTCGGCGAAATGTCATCTCACGGAAAGCCGATTTCTCGGATCGCGATTATCGGCGTCGGCCAAGTCGGCACCGCTGCCGCTTACGCGATTATTCTTCATTCACTCGCCAGTGAACTGCTCTTAGTTGACATCAAAACCCATTTAAGGAACGGCCAGGTCAACGATCTGTCCGATGTGAGCTACAGCTGCAACAGCAAAACAAGTGTGCGAGCGGCCACCCACCAGGAGGCCCGCGATAGCGATATTGTGGTTATTACCGCGGGGTCAAATTATTCCACAGGTAAGAAATCACATAGGGGAAGGCTCGCCGGACGCAATTTTAATCACATGAGATCTAATAGCCACGTAGGCGAAACCAGCACTCAGCACATTTACCAAAAGGTCTCGATTATTCGAAGCATCATCAATGAAATGAGGCCATTTAGATCAGACACCATTCTCCTCGTCGTTGCGAACCCTGTCGACCTTCTCACATCGCTCGCGCATAAGCTCTCCGATCTACCAGCTTCCCAGGTTTTGGGCTCTGGAACCTTCCTCGATTCGGTGCGAATTCGTAATCTATTAGCAGAAACAACTGGGGTACGTGCACAGTTTGTCTATTCTGGCTATGGAATGGCTGATTTAAGGCTAGGTCGCGGCCAACTCCATAGATATATACGTAGTGGGCGTACATGGGGACTCGCAGGTTGTGGCATGGTCAGATGCAACAATCGCGGGCATCCCAATCAACGAATCGCTCCCGCTCAGCACTTTGAACCGCGACGAGCTTTCCAGTGAGTGCAAAAAAAGATCGCGGATAATAATCCAGGAGAAAGGTTCAACACCTCTCGGAATTGGATCCATAATATATAGCATCTGCTCTTCTATCCTGTTCGACAAACGAAACGTTCGTCCCATCAGTCATTTCCAGCCCGAGTGGGGTTGTTGTTTCAGCTTGCCTGTCATCCTCGGGAGAGCAGGAATCATCAAAAAAATTCAGATGCCGTTTAATAACGACGAGAGGGCTGCTTTAGATGAGTCAGTGAAGGACCTGAGGACCAAGTTTGAGAGGATCAATGAAGATCAGTAGGTATGTAATCAGGATCAAGGCGAGGCCGAAAATTGCAGCGAGAGATACCGGAGTACATGTTCTGGCAGACATTCATTATGGTTAGTCTTGATTTCTTTCATGTTGTATTGAACAAGCTTGGGTTGATATGATGTTCCTGAATTCATGATTACCGTACTTTGTCCCTTCCGATATGCCATCAAATCTGTATTTGAATATAATATTTCTACTTGGAATATTCAACCATAACCGATGAGTTCCAAGTAGCGACGTGAGGGTTGTGAAGGCGGACCGACCTGAACATGTCGTGCTCATAGGCTTACAGGCGTCCAACAAAAACATTTATATGCATTTTATTCTACTAAGAGAGATTTAGCGCCTCATTCCTTTGGTCTGTATCCCATTAGACCGCGAGTGTGATATTGTTTGCAAACATAAAGTGCTTCTTCATAAGTTAGGCGCCCCAGCCAATTTTGAATACCTCTTTACCGGTCTATCGCACATCGATATATTATGCTATAATTACGCTGAACGAGGTTCGGGCATGCTATAGAGTTCCATCTAATCGAATCTCGCTAGGGCTGTATAAGAACGTCACACTCTCTACAGTATATAAGGCTTTGATAAGAAGGCGTAGTGCGAAACTAACTTACATAACAAGAGCACAAACGGTAATTTCATTGTATTTAGCTCAAGCATGATCTATACAGTGGCGTAATAAAGTTTGTGACCCCCTAATCGACGGCACTGGGATGGTATTCGGATGCGGGCCAGGAAGGAAATCTTAGAGCTCAAGCGGACCTCCCTAGAGACGGCGGCATAATTTCTTTTGACTGGGGTACAGAGTGAGTACCACAACCAGTGTTTTTGAATATATCTTACTGAAATTGCTTTTTAGTAAGGCTAGATATCCGAATGAAGTAAGCCGAATCTCGGTCACTATCAGAAGGGACTTACGGTAGAAAATGTTATGAACAACCAAGACAGCTTAAAGAGAATAGTCCGTAGCGATCTGGGTGTTAAGATGAAAGTGATTATATTAAGTTAACTTAACCTTGTCGGAGGTGCGACTTATCTATTTACATATCTCTTAGTAGTCCCTACTATAGGCTTTGACCACCGTGATACTCAACAAATACCCAAAAATCTTAAGAATTTGTATTCATACCGACCCTTATCTTATCAGCAATTAGGTTAAGATTCTCACTTACCAGGTATCCGTTTCTTCTTCCGATGATTTACAGAGGATTTCGAAAACAAAACTGTAATTGCGATGAATCATATAGTGAATAAAGGAATAAAAAGAGGGGGAGGCGGCAGAATTAGCAGAGATTTTCACGCAAGCAGCCTCGAGACCTTTTTATCTTACTATAGTACTTATACGCTCTGTGTAGTACTGTACCGCCTAATAGCAAGGATTTTGTATCTACAGAGGTTATCTATGAATCGTCTTCTTTAATTCCATATCACGGGGTCTTTTATCTTGAATACCGGAACTATAAAGGTCGAGAGTTCAAACCCACCTCTCGGGGATCTCGGGTGTGAAGGGGCTGAAGTAAGACTTGATTCAATCTGACTAGGCCAACATGCTGTTTACAAAAAGCTTAAGGAGAAGAAGTTTATCCCGTGCGTTCCCCACGTCAACATGCCAAGGTCTCGTGATACACGTGACCTATATCGGGCACTGGCCCGTGACATCGGGCACCACGGCGACGAGATAGTCGGTGAGTGATAATATATATTATCCTTGTTAAGCTAGAGCAGATCGACTAGATAATCTTTAGCTCTCTTCATATTAAATAGCCTAGTTAGAGGCCAGGCTTATAGACCTGCAAGAAACATTCTTATTCCTATTCCTCTTCTTACTCAATAGGACTTGGTCACTTTGATATCTCCCTTCTTCCTACCCAGTTAATCGCTCCCTTCCTGTATATAGCCCTTAACATCCCACCACGAGGAGGTAGAAACATAGCCCACTCATTCTATCTCATATACGTAGTGTAATTATTATACTACCCTGGATATGAGCTCCAACTTTGAATAGCATTCTTTTTCACCCACACCCAGCGTTAAACAGTTGCATATGTATAAACTCCAGAAAGGTATTGCGTCTCCGTGGGTTAGGGGATAATGATAGTTAGCCTAGAGCGACTAGGGAACAGCGACAGATCCTTAGATACGTGATTTTCTTAAAACATCCGTCATTTCTCTGATCCAAAGCAAGACCGGTTAACAGGAGCAATTTTACTTGGAATATTCCTACTCTTTCATTCAGCCAAATTTCTCACATCGGGGCATCCCTTTGCTGTACTTTAGGTTCTATTGATATTTTTCAAGAGGATAAGGAAGGATACATATCAAACCAATACCAAGCGGTTCATGCTGGTCAGGATGTCGGGGTGCTGTCCCGAGTAGCTGCGTGCGAGTCTCTACCACTTACACCCCCTAGTTCTTCCGCTTCCTCCCATGGGCCCTGATTAATACTAGGTTGTCTATGCTGGTCACAGTGGAGAGATGTTCTGGCTCTAGTACGTGAGAACGTAGTTGTAATTCTTTGCTCTGGAGCCCTTCTGCTTCCTACCATAGTTCCTGTGCTCGGTAGGACGATGCTAGGTTTTTAATGGTGGTGAGAGTGTCAGGATGCTCTTGCCTTAGAACCTTGTGCGTCTCCATCACGTGGACCTGAAAATCGCTCCGTATAGAGTAGAATGTCCCCTGGCCCCTAGTAGTCTGATTGCCCCATAGGCAGTCCTCTTTGTCGGACGAAGGACAGATGCAAGCTACTGGCACTTCTACTAACGAATAAATTCACAGATATAATACCGAGTCTAGAATTCTCATGACATGCGACGCGGGAAAACCGGGTCTGGCAGGCCCAGCCACATTCTTCAAGTGTCATGGCCGTAAATAGATCGAATGGGGTGATACCGCACGGCAGCCACCTCCTCATTGACCGAGGTTGAGGTAACCTTAACGCGCCAATTATATTGCTCCTACTCTGGTTCAATTCAAATACTGAAATTTTCTCTGGCAAGCCTCTCCCTGCGATGATGCGATGACAACCCTCGGGAAAGCACCTGGATGGAACACTCCCCTCTTCAAGACGACGCAAGACAAGAGACACACAAACCAAGCAGCAACCCACTAACCGGTGAGGTCGCGTCGGCAAAAACAAACAAGCCATCATGAGAGCCAATTCAACAAAAGGAAGTCTCCATTTGCCAGAATTCACGACGACCAAAGTCATGGTGAAACAGGAAGATGACCCTTTGCCTGCGGTAAATCATGAGAGCCTAAAATTCGATGATGACGCCATTGGAACAGGTCCTCATCATGATCACACATATGCCTTCAAGACCCTTGAGAAAGGCATCATTTACTTTTTCTATCGATCTCGAGTTGATGTCGGTAGTACTGGCACATGTGGAGTTAATGATGTTGCAAGGACCTTTATTGTTCTGCGCCCTAGCCCGTGCAAGGAAATATTAGATCAAAAAGATGCCCTGTACAGATTTGGCGACAGGTTTCGACTAATAGTTGTCCCAAAAAAGGTCCTTCCACAAACTCCTTACATGAGAGAGATGGGCTTTGTGGAAAAGGCTGGGATAACCCTGGAAGAACTTCGCGGTTCATTCATCGCTGGACTGAATTATGAGACCCAGACTCGCGGCACGAGGACTATACCTGACGCAAGACTGTACGCGAGAGGCGTCTATTCCATAACTTCAGCACAACATGGCTCCTATCTGAACTATTTGCTCACGGACCCTGAGCATATCGGTCCTGTCCAGACGGACTTTGGCCTTCAAAAGCGAGGAAGGTGGCTTGTGCAATCAAAGAATCCAAATGCTAGCAGTCCCCTATCCGTCAATCTTCCTCACAAGCCAAAATATCCTAAAAGGTACGTTATCGATCTTCACGACGGCATCACCACTCTCCATCCCTCCGTACTCATCATCCACTGACGGTGAAGATTCAGTTTCGATGAAATATTCGGCAACTACCGCTGGGTGGCGTTGCAACCTAAATTGATTGATTACCCCAGTGCTCAGTTCCTCCTTATCGGGCAAAACGTTCGACAAGTCTCCTTTAATATACCTGTGGTTAAGCAGGAATCCATAGAGACCCCAGATAAGCAGATAGAGGAACTAGTCCATTGGAGTGATGAGATGCAAAAGGCACAGCCAGGTAATTTCTTCCTCAAAAGTCGTGGATCTGTGGCCATCATAGGTAATTGGAACTCGCTAATCGCTCCCAATCAGGATATGACTTGATCTCCGGATATCTGGGCTTGGAGACTGATCATCACCTTAATATTTCCACGATGTGGGATCAACGATAGTCCTATGTTATTTATATGTCTCTTTTTGCTGCCACATTTTCGGGCATTGCGGACTTCTTTGCCTTTGGTGCTGTATGATAGTAAGGACGATAACTCAATTCGGAAGGCTTATATGGAAAACGCTTCCGAATTCGTGTGTCTTGATGCTGCCGGTGCCTGTTAATTTGTGATCGACATGCCAGGTATTTCTCCAGCACAAATTGTACGCCCTAATGCACTGGAATCTCACGCTTTAAGTACGGCCACAATTAATCAAGGGCCCTTATAGCCGACTAGGTCGTTGATAACCCTCTACGGGTCAATTACCATAGCCCTACTAGATTAAAGCTAAGCTTAATTGTAGATGGCTTAAAGGTTTTGATTCGAATCTAGTGAAATACACTAAGGAAGTCATCTTTAGTGATCTTATTGTAGTAAGCCACAGTTGCATCGAACTCGCTATGCTACTGCTTATAAGCACTAAATCCTCCTATATCAAATGGTTGAAGAAGATAGTTTAAATATGGCAGTAAGAAGGAGAGAATAATCTGTTGATCTTCACAGAACTTAAGGAATTCGTAAGATGCAAGTTAATTGATCGCATATTAACATACGATAGATGCCCCTGTAAGATATTTTGGTAGTCTGATAAAATAGATGTTGTCCACTGTACGGCAAGAAATTATTCATATAGCCCGTTTCGGTGATCGCAAGGCCCTCATCGGTAGCAATATCGAACTAGCGGCGTAGTAGGAACTTCACGCTTAGTATCACTACTAATGCAACCGCAACACCCGTGGCAGAGATAGTTTCAACCATGTTCGCATAGACGCGATTGCTATTAAAACAACTAGAGAGAAACACGCTTTAGCTCGCGTGTAATGATCCACTGATCTGTACCTACTCTAATATTGAACCATAAGAGCCACAAGTGCCTAGATAATCTGAATCAAAAAAAATGAGCTTAGTTCTTCGACCAACCCCAGTCTCCAAAGAAGTTGGTAAGATGCTGCATAATCTTAGTCTTTGGACCAGTAGCCGCAGAGGCCTTCCGTACTGCCCGGGATGAATGTGTGATATTCCTACTCCGGGAATTTATCTTATTTAATTCCTAACCTCCCCTTGCATTTAGTACCAGAAGCACAGGAGAATATACTAGATTTGCCCCGAACAACCTTTGAAACCATGGTTCGTAGGTTGGCCGCGTAATAGGAATAGGGGAGATACTGTGGGTGGGCTGATAGCACTCGGCCGGTAAATTTCCAGAGAAATACGGTCAATCGCTTGGCTAATAGCGTCTATCTGTTTGGTTCTACCAGAACTGTTGAGCTATGATGTCCGCGACCAACCAAGGGCCCATGGGCCATTCAGCTGCCTGAATAATTAGGAACACCATAGGCTTAATGGAGCTATGGGGTGAAGAAATCCTAATTGAATCGTTCAAAACATCAGGCCGCTAAAAGTTGAGTCGAAGTCAGGAGGCAACAAGATGGTAGAAGCGATCAAATTATGGCAGTGAGAATACGCGAGGTTAACCCTGACAGACTCATTGTCCATGTTGGCCTATTTCAGTTTGATAATTAACGCAACACTTCTGTAACCGAGTAGTTCATTGGGCGAGGTTTTTCGCTGTCCTGAACAGTTTCAAACGAAAGATTCCCAATCCTGCTAGGAGGCAAATGCCACGGCTTGTACGAGGGCGGCCATAACCCACTCTTTCGGCGGTGTGAACTTTCTCGCCTCATCTTTCTAATTGGATCAGGCCACATCTTTTGCTACGGTGCTGCTTGATTCTAGCCCGGCCTATATGACTGTATAGGAAATCAGCTTCATCACTAGGGGGTCTGGGGAGTAAAAATAGTCGCCGTGTGATCTCTCTCGCCGGTCGGGAGACTGGTCAGCCCACGGCCTAGGCCCTCGACCTTCGAGCCTCACACCAGACCAGACCTACCAGCACTCCTCGTACACGTCGGAGACGTCGGAGACCCCGAAATACAACCTTGAGTGATATTTTTCGTGTCCGACTGCGTTGTGATTCTTGTAGCTCGCTAGGCATTAGCGCTCTCCATTTCTTTCATAGTAAAGGTCTGGATCTCAAGTATATCTGTTGGAGATTCCACCCGAGCAGATCTAATGCGAGAGAGTTGAATTGCCAATTCATTATTATTACCAGTTTAAGGTGGACATGTCAGACAATCGGTTCACATATATGTCTGCGGGCGCTCTCGCCTCACGCAGAATTATCGAGCAGTCCTCATACGCAACCACCCCAAGTCGGTCCCCAGGCGATGCCACCCCAGCATGCGGGGAATCAATATACAAACGTGATTTAGGTGAAGAAAACATCAAGAAAGTCGATTCAATCCTAGAGACAGAACGAACTATCGACGGCAAGAACGCCAAGTTGCAGAACGACAAAACTACATTTACCGGCGAAAGCCCAAAAAATGAGCTACCGGCTTGTCACATCCTCAAAATGATACCGCCAAAATCGGAACCATTGGATCAGTCGATAGCGAAAACCGCCGAAGGGGAGCGTGTGTCTCGGTAGATCAAATCGTCTTTGGGCGTTTTCTGAGCGGCTGTGCATAGCAATTCCGCCACCGTCTCAACAAATAAGAATATAGCTTGGATTCTGCATTTTGGCGTCGCACCACTGTATTATTCCATGTTTTCCTTTTTTTTAATGATGTTTAATTCAGCACTGGACACACTTGACGTAATTTGTATGTCTCAACCCTGACTAATTCCTTGTTATTTCCAGTAACAACGGAGGTTTCCCTTCACTCAGAGCTAATCAGGAGTCCGATCAAATGATATGATTAGATACAATGTCTCTTAAACAGGCAGCTTTGCCCTCTATTAGCCCGTGGAGAGTAAAGGGGGCTGAATTTTTATGGAGATGGTAATTCATTAAAACCAGCTCTGTATTACGTTAAGAGAGAATGTAATCACTGCGGACTAAAGCGATTTCAACCCTGTTTCCCAGATAAAACACTAGATCTTGACCCACCTTCAAGGAACAACTTAAAACCTCCGTCTAGATTGAAGACCTCATAGCCCAGCTGGATCAGAATTCGGTAAGCAAGGTAGCCATGATAGCCGACGCGGGAGTAGACAACAGCAGGTCGCGTCTTGTCGATGGAGGATAAATTATGGCGCAGTGCGTCGATTGGAATATGGACAGCCGACCGAATATGACCTTGAGAAAAACTTTCGGGAGACCGTACGTCAATAATCTGCCAGTCATCTAGGTGGTCGTCCAATTGACTAGCCGTGATAGTATGCAGATCCCCTCTGAGTAGGTTACCTGCGACCATGCTCACGACGTTCACCGGATCTCTTGCTGAACCATATTCGGGGGCATATGAGAGCTCCAGGTTTTCTAGGTCAAAAACGGTTAGGCCGCTTTGTAAAGCAACGGACAACACATCAATTCGTTGATCTACCCCTGTTCGGCCAATAATCTGAGCGCTCAGCAGAATACCACTAACAGGCTGAAAGGCTAATCTTAGGGTTATCTGCTGGGCTGACGGATAATAGCCCACGCGGTCAGGCACGTGAACTGTCACGAACAGAGGATAATACCCGGCTTGTTTGAGCTTCTCCACTGATGGCCCGACAATAGCTGCAGTTAAGTTGTGGACTTTGCAGGTGAAGATTCCTATGTGACCACGGTAAGGGGTCGCACGTTTCATTATATGATCAACTGCTAGCCGGCCTTGTAGGCTCGCTGTACCGCCGAGGGGTAAATGATTCGATATTCGTAGGCCGGAATTAGTTATCTCTGTCATATCACCGACCGCATAAATATCAGGGTCATTCGTCTGCATGAATTCGTTCACAATGACACCATCATTATATGCGAGGCCCGAAGCTTTAGCGATCTCCGTTCGAGGAGTCAGATCAGTCGCTACGATGACAAGATCGGCAGGAATGCTGGACTCGTTGGCAAGGGTAACAAAAATGCCATCTTCGGTAACTCCTATGCCGATACGCTGGATCTTTGCGCCTAGATGGATCTGAATTCCATTCTTAACGAGTTCCGATAATATCACATTGGCGATATCAGAGTCAAAGTCCTGACAAAGGCGAGGTTGGCACTGTATAATGCTCAATTGAAGTCCGAACTGATAAAGGCTTTCCACGGCCTTCAGAGCAATATACCCGCCACCAATGACTGCAGCTGAGCGACAATGGTGGGTAGAGACATAGTCTCTGATCTTATGAAGATCCAACATAGTCCGGAACGGGAAAACGTTCTCATTCTCAATGCCCGGTACTTGGGGGGACTTGAGATAAGCCCCTTGGGCGAGGATCAATTTATCATAGGACAGCCGATATGTTTCGTTCGTTTTCGATCCTTTGAGTTGTATAGAGTGTTCCTCCTTTGCGATGCTGATCAGTTTACTGTTTTCTCGCACGTCGATGTTGAATCTCTCCTTCATTCCCACTGCAGACTGGTGTATAAGGAAAGTGTCGGTTTCAATCACACCTCCTACCGACGACGGCAGCCCAGAATTGGCGTAGCCTAAGCGGTCACCTTCCTCAATCAACGTGATGCATGCATTCTCATTCAGACGTCGCGCCCGAAGGGCCGCTGACATTCCGCCGGTTGCTCCACCGATGATTATTATGTTCATTGACGGCATAGCTTGTTTCATATCGTACTAATCCTCCGAATCGGCAGTCTTCAGCTTGGTATCAGGGTCGAACAGTCTTTATATACAAGTTCTATGGGTCGGGATGGGTTGCCATTGATTGTCCATTCATCATCATGAGGTAAGGACCCGCGCTAGAAGACAGCGCCCGAACGTGGGGAGCACATAGCCACGGTCCATACTATGCTTTTAGCGCTAGGACTTTTATTTGTACAGGTGACCCCAAGATGTCCGGTTCGACCCGTTTAATCATGTTACTATCTTTAGTCTAGTTTTGGTCTTGGCTTACACGGAAGATGAGATCAACATTTTTAATTGCTTGTTAAACTTGGTAAAAAGCAATTACTTCAATTTTTGAGGGATGCTTTAGCTAGTCGTACACTTTCGAGCTCATGACCTACCACAACGATCACGAAATAATTCTCCATATTGCTTCCTATCCGCTTTGCAGCTGAGAAGACCAAGCTTATCCACCTCACCAGGAGAAGAAGCGGAGCAATTGCAGGGGCAAGTAGTTATGAATGGGACGACAGTCAAACCATCCCCCACAGCCAAATTACAGGGTGTGATCTTCGACCACGAGTTACGGTGGAAGGAGCACGTACAGCAAGCCATTAAACGTGCCACTAAGGTGGCTATCGCCCTGGCTGGACTGCGACATCTGCGCCCAGAACAGATGCGACAAATCTACCAAGAATGCGTCACTTCCCAATGAAGCCTCGCCACCGCAGTTCCCACTGCTGGAATATTGGGGTGCTGAGGACATTAGAGCAGGATTAGTCGGTCAACGTTAATCAGAAATAGCTCCGCTGTAAGTCAAAATCTAATAGGTAGTAAGTAAGAGGATACGCTATGGCAGTCTGATCGGAACAGATATGTCGAGGCACGAAAGAGATAGGCGAGCAGAGAAGGATTCGAGGTCATACAAAACTCCACCAACACCGCCAGCAAGAAGCCATATAACACCCACCAAAGGGCGCGTACTGCGACCACGGCAATCAATACTGAATGGAACAATCAGATATGATAAAAGCGACCAGTAAAAGATGCGAGAAAATAGACTAAACTAATTGTAATCAAAGACTGGCCAAACGTGAGTGCAAACATTGTATACAAAGAAAAATGAGCTTTAAAAGTCCCAAACACCGTATATTGTGGACAATAAATGGTAAGTGACTTGAACATGATTCCAAACACTTTGAGTACAGGTCGCACTTGTTCTGGGCTACGCAAATCCGTTAATCTCCATCTGAGGTGTCATGCCACCCAACAGGGCTGGGCAAGCATAGGTAGTAACATCCGATGTTTATTATTACTAATGAGGTCCATTTGAAGCCCAGACCCAAGGTCATAAACTTTGATCCCGCTAAGTATACACTGTCATTTGCGGACCTGGGCTCCAAAAGAACCTTGCTAATCTCTTTGTTAGGAGCTTGGCCTGCTCTAGGACAATTTCAAATGTTTCATGGCTATCTATTGTTCTGATCAAGTGAAAAGATGTTTAAATTGAACTGTCGGATAACTTCTGCCGTTCGGTAATGTTAACGAGGGTATGTAAATGTAGTGAGTCCTTCTGATTTTCATTTAATTTTTCTTCTTTCTATAGACAGTGCAGGAATGATTATTCAGGTTGTTAGGGCTAAGGTCGACCCCTTTCTTTTCAAAAGCCATGTTCGTCCGCATTTAGTTCAAGAAATCAAGATTCTTTTAGCTTCGTGCGACAAATAAGCTTCATACATCTTCACTGGTCCCAAATGGACAAGCCGCCTCACTCAAGTCTTTCTTCCGAATGCTGGCTGTTCAATATATACTCCTATAAGTTAGGTATTGCCTACTTGATAAATTTAACCTTGAGGTTGGAATGAAGAGCCGTAAGTTGCTATGAATCGGATCACCTTGTAGACTCACTACAAGTTTGATAATTAGTTCGTTGCCGGCGATTATATCATCACAGTAAGCTGCAAAAGAACTTAGATATCATAAGAATATTACACCTCGTTTGATCCTAATAGCCGCGATTCCTACTTCCCACCTTATTGCATTGGCGTTCTACCAAGGTAAATATACTATGGAAACAACCTAGCTAATCACAGATAAGAATATCACCATGTTTGTAGGCTTATAATAAGATAGAAGTCAGAAATATCATAAGACGTAGTCCAAGAAGCCTAGATAGTAGCTCTCTTTTTTTTGCTTAATGTGAGACAGTCGATTAGAATGTTCGTAACGGATTGAAGCCCCAGGGTAAGCAGCTAGTTTTGAGCACATAATAGTGGCAAAAGATTCCTATGATTGTGGACCATGGAGGGCCTTAAAAACTTGCTTATGCTTCTTAATTATGGTACAAGAATGGGATTGGAAGAATCTCCAAGAGTTAGTCGTAGGTAGAAATGACTCTTTTTCTGTTCCACAAATTGACCTTTCTCAGGCTTCCCCATGCCACCGAGGAATTAGGCAATTGATCGCTTTAACCTCTTTTCAGCTGCGTTATACTCTCGGCCAACGTCCATTCTCGCCAAATCCTGAATCCACCTTTGATTGAGCTGTAATCTTTCTCCCCGAGATAACTTGCAGGAGAGAAAGAGCCAGTTTAAGGCATTTCCAACAGTGCTTATCTCGTCACAAGTATGTCTTGACGAATTAGCAGACATTCGGTCATAAAGGTCATCATCTGTCCACAAATCTAGCATGTACTGGGCGACGCTGTCGGTGTCTCCGACATCCACTAGGTATCCGGTTGTCCCATGGTCAATTTGCAAAGGTATCCCTCCTGCCCGAGTTGCAATAACAGGTTTTCCTTTGTGCAATGCCTCTGAAACCTTCACCTCAAATCCCTCTTGTGATGACAGCTGTAAGACAATATGGGCTTTAGATAGAAGCGTGTTCAGAATTTGGTCAGAGGGACCTAGCCGCATGATAGAAATCATGGTCGAAAGATATGGCATGCTGTTCGCGATATACCTTAGAGCGGCATCGTAGATAATAAATCCATCGGGGTCGTCTATAGACCCGTTACCACATATAAGAAGCTTTGGAACCTTTCTTCTCGGATGTTGTTCTGAGAGCTGCCGATGGAATTTCATGTATGCCTCAAGAGCATTTATAATTCCTTTAGAGGGATCAAACCGTGATATTTGTATGATATATTGATCCGCGCAGGTGTCAGGCTAGATTGCTGACGTTTCAGAATATCATACTTACCGTCAGGGTACTGAACAACAGTCATTTCCGCATCTCTGCATAATTGATTGAATTGACACCCGTAAAATGCTGTGTCATACTCCCTCATCTCTTTGTTTAGACCGTCAAGCCTGGATAAAATATTGTTATAAGTAGAGCAGGGTGAGTGAGGATCTGAAGATGAGAGTACCAATCAGTGCATGCAGGCATATACCCAACCCGTTCTGGTGGGATATTCCTGGGCACAAACCTAGCCACAGGATGACTTATAAAGACGTCTGCTTCCCGAAGATGTTCCCAGAGAAAATTCCACACCTCTTCCTGTGGACTTCCTGGGACTGCGATGAGATCGCTCCTCAATTGAATATGACTTCGGAATATGACCGGACGCTGTCGATCAATCTCCTTTGCAATTGACACAAGGCGAGGCATCTGAGAATCATCAACAATAACAATATCAGCCCCACCGTCTGAAGTGCGACATAGAGGACCCCCGCGCTGTGTCCAATATCTTTCAGCGTTGTCTTCAATCCAGTCGATTAGTTGCTGCTGGCTGTCAGAGCTCAATCGTTCCGAGGAGTCGGATACCCCTTGCAGAATATTGTGATTGGTCTTCGTAATACGGAAAACACCCGGTCGTGGCTTCGGTACATACCTAAATAGGTCAATACCCTTTGAAGGTGGAAAGAGGTCATGCTTGGGTTCACCATTTGAAATCAACCTCTAACTCGTGTGCCAGACGCAGAAGCGCATGACGCATAAGTGCAACACCGCCACCCTGGGGGGTTGCGCTGAAGAAAGCAACTTTCAGTCGACGATTTTTTAGATCCGAGGCATAATATTCAACCGCTGCCCAAGTATTCGGACTAACGGTTCGCCGAAATGAGCTCCGATCTGCCAGTCGAATATGGAATGCAGAATCCACTTCAACTCTACCATGGAATCCAACATGTATAAGAGGCAATTTGGCCGGTCCAAAGAATCTGTCGATTTATGATCAGTCTCATGTGCCACGCCGAACATCCACAAGAGGATGTCGAGCTTATGCATAAGGTCAAATGTATACCTTATGCACTTTCTAGAAAGCGATTCAGCTTGTTCATCGAGAGGCTTTCTATCAAAATGAACCCGGGTCACGTTCTCGGGGGAAGCGTCGATGTCCGATTCCTCCTCTAGAAGGATTGGTAGGATATCCAGTTCTGCCCAAAGCTGTGAGCATAGGCCCGGGACGTGACTGTGCAAGGTCCGCGCGAATGCAACACCAAGAATCTTCTCGGAATGAGTCTCGATATAGTTCCTCAACTCATCCATTATGTGTTTGCTGATGTGGATAGTTGGGCCAGGAACTGTCTTCTCAATAAAATCGAGTAGATATGTCTCTTCACGAAGGGCAATTGCAATACATGAAGAATTTATCCTAGTATCAACTGAGATTCCTCCATATATAGTCTGGTATACGTACACTAGGTGAGCTTTTGTCTGCCATGCGGTCAGTGAAGTTGCTTACCTTCGGCAGAGGCCCCAACCAACTACTTCTCGACCGGGACCCCGACTGATTTTTCTGAGATTGTAAGATATGACGACGGAATGTACGTGTTTCGCCAGGCATTATGGATGACATATAACTGAAGGAAATAGTAGTCTTAATACTTGACACCTTTATGGAGGTTAAAGTGAAACCAATCATAAATGCTGTGTTCTTAAGGCTGTAACAACCACATTTAATGAGACCGATTTTGTTGACGTCATCGAAATGTGTGACGGGTCGCGGCTAGGATCGGTCGCCACAGGAACCATGTATTCCGTAGTTAACATTAAGTTTATAGAATGCGTAATATTCGCAATCCTACCATCCTTTTCAAGCTATACCATGCCGCCCATGGCAAATTAACCATCTGTATATACCTAGCTATTGGCTTGATTTTTGATTTTGATTTTTACTGAGCTGAAATTCAAGTCATTTGTTACGTATGTCTCAGACATGATGACTACGAAATAGCGCCTATTTGCATTGCATGGTGAATTCATAAAGTGGGTAGATCTTTGGGATAGATCTTTTTTCAAGCGGAAGTGTCTATTTGATGATCGTGTTTTCAAAACCTAATAAGCATCTTATTGTTGGATAGAGTTTTTTCACGAGATAATGAACTGGGCGCATTAAATTACTCCCGTATATCTTTTCTTATCTTGAAATAGAGACCATATCTCTTGACCATAACTTGTGCTGCGATCTGAAAATGCACGGCCCGCGAATCAGAATCAGAAAGACCTATTTCCTCGCTCTGCTAGACTCCACCGCTATATTTCAAACATTTATTTAACTCTCTAATTAGCACTGAGCGTTAAACTCCCCTTGACCAAATATCTAGCTGCCGCTTAACTAAGACGGCAGAATATTCCACCATCCTTGTCTTTGATATGCAAGATCGCCAGAGGCAAACCCAGTAGCAGACGTTCCTGACTATATCTCAAGAGCAAAGTCTCCGAAAAAGGGGTCGGCATAATAAAGGAGAAATGGGTCTCTGTAGCCAGTAACACTATTTCGGAGTAAAAGGCTTCCCATAGAGATGTAGCGCAGAACGAAATTTTCCGATATGTTACTCTGGCTGAGGACCTCACCGGCCAGAAGACATCCTTCAGTTGCAGCACGATGTCGTTTATTCTTAAAAAAAATAGTTACACTATGTCCTCGGCTCCAAATAAGGATAACTGACATAGAGGGCATGTTCCACATGTAAACTTTGTTGGTAGCTTAGTCTGTCAGAATATCAAATCATCAAATGCAAGACTTCCAGCAGTAGGCTTTTTTTCACTGCCTTGGGGGGTAAAGACAGCCTCATCAACCCAGTCACTGCACTTTAGGCACTATACACGCTGTTTTCATAGCTAAAATGGTGTCGTCAGGTATCTCCACAAATTGGCCAACGCATACGATATTGGTGGTATCTTGCGGAATTACTCGAGGTCGATCTCCTTTATACCATGATAGAAACGGTGTAGTCCTAAACGGTATTCCGTATAGGATAGTTTTCGAGGTTCATAGAATAGGCTAGATAGGGAATTCAAGAAAGAAGAGTATCTCGATAAGAATATCCTGGCCGCTTTATTGATATACAGGCTTCTGTTGGAGTTCAGGCAGAATACATAAACTCGTGGGTATTGAATGCATAAAGAGGATACATAAGAAATGACTCCTAATCGTGTATGAAATGATTATAAGTATAAGGGTCGTGCACACTTCTAGCAGAGGAAGAAGTACCACGATTGTGGAAGAGAAACGCTAATCAGAAGGGCAGATCAAAAGAGATATTAAACTTGATTCAATTTAGCTAGGAAACATGGTAGTATTTATATCTTAAGGTATATAATAGAAGATCACATAAAATGAAGAAGTTATCTTAGAGTGTTCTATAGTCTCCTACCTAAGTAAGTAATTCAGTACGAGATCGTTGAAGATCAATCTGATAGATCTTATATAGAAGATCTAGAAGCAGTAAGGGGTTAGTGGGTCTTTCGTCATATGACCCCACAACATCCATATGTTGATAATAACAGTTTAGTATTAATTAGACTATTCTTCTAGAGTCCAAGGTCTACAGTAGTTAACAGTGATCGCGCGATAGAGGGTAAGTCTCACCCGCTCTCACCCCTCATCTTACCCTATCTATTATGCACTCACCCTCGCTCACCCTAGTCGCACGACCATCAAGCGGCGATCATCCGTTTCCCCACTAAGCTAAACCATCTTATTTGCTAGGATTGGCAAATGGTACGGGGCTTAAGTACGGTTGAGTGGACGGGAAGCCCTGTTCTCCACACCCTATGGTCGTATGTACTGGGAAGAACAATGAAATAAATATAACCATTACGAACAAAAATCGATCATAGGTTCATCATAACCGACTAAGATTGTTCTGATAACTAATATACTAGAAATAATCTTACTCGGAACTAACACGCGTACTTTACTTAAGTCCGCTTAATATGTCTACGGTATATTATAACTGTAGTCCTAATTAAGATTCGAGATACTTATAGGCTACCCTAGTTTTTAACCCCGTTAGCTATTCTACTACGCGAAATGTTAGGTATTCATAATCCGTTAATTAAAATATATAGCCATATATATAGGTTTATATAAGATAGTTAAGCCTAGAGATAGAGACCGCCCCTCCTACGAGGGGCGAATATACCTTAGATCAACACTTAGAGCGCTGATGTTAGGACCTAGGCCTCGTCCCCCTAGGCCTAACGTTGCGCGCTACTTATATCGGTCCTGGGCATGCTAGAACATAGCGTTCTAGCATATAGGTCTTTTGGCTTGTTTGGCTAGTGCGCCCGGGCACGTGCCGTAATAGCTGATCTCTTTCTATAAATAGGGGTAGATTAGAAAGAATGCTCTTTTAGCAACCTTATAATATCTATCGATTCTATGCTACAGAGGATTAAATTAAGTAGTAAGCAACTAGCTCTTTAGTGTAATGACTATCTACTAAAGTATTTATCGAAGCTTTTGAGCAGATATCGTGTCTGGGCTGAACCTCGATGGTATATCACCTTATTGGTACAAGATATAGAGGCTAGAAGACCTCGGAGTGTTAACCCTGACACTAACTCTCACAGTTGCCGCGTGCCTGATCTTGATCAGATGATCTGGATGTAGTCTATGGACCTAGGAAGTGAGTAGTGGCTTGAGAATTTACTAGGTATGCCTGCGATAGTGGACTAATTCGCTGGAATTTGCATAACTATGATTTATTTTGTTAGTTCGGTATATTCCCACGAAATCGAACGCAGAAACGCGTCCTTTAAGTCTGTGACAGACCGCCAGAACTTACTACGTTCCTCCTATATGCAGTTAAAAATGACTTGTCTAGTTACCGCAAGGCGGAGAGTGGGCTTATTTATCAATCATCACGCCGTTTTGTACTGTATATGATCGTTTGACAAAAGCTAATAGCTGTAGATCCACATGTGACGTTGGTCACCCCTTCTTTCCGTGCTTGACTCTTCCATCGCAAATCGAGCTTCGTCCCAGCCCGCAATTTCCTTGCGCCTACGTCGGTTCTCCAACATGTAGAGTCCTCGCACGCCGCAGAATCCGACCATGCCGACAGCAATCAGGATCATTGTTACAATTAACGGGTAGTGATACGAAGGCGCGTAGGAGTGCTTGAACAGTTGTCCGGCAATCACACCAGCAATATTCGACCAGCCATTTAGGCCGAGGATAATCGCCCTCGCTTCCTATTGGTACGTCAGTAGATGTTTTGATCCGACAGCTTTGATCAGTACGTACTTTTCCTGGTGTGTTGCCTGCCAGCCATACTGCGATCAAAGGGCCCCCGGCAAATACCCCGGACAGACAAACATGAGCAAAACCATATCTCAGTCGTGGATCTGATGAAGTTGCCATAACCACGCATCCAATCAGACCAAGTGCCATGCCAAAGCAAGTATGAAGGCTGCGCTCTTTGAAATGGTCTGATGAATAGACGATAGCCATCAAGCCAACTGTTCCCACAACGAATGGTGGAACAGACATAAGCGTTGCCTCGATGCCTTCATAACCCATGCCTTGGACAACAAGAGGTAGAAAAGTGGTAAAAGCCGTAACAGGCTTGAGGCAACCATTAGTAAAGCAAAGAGTATCAATGGAACAAAGGTCAAATCTTACCAGCACACTGAGAATATTGAACACAATGATCAACAACTTCTTCCAATCCATGAAAACGTCCTTTACATCTCGCAAAGTGATTGGCTGATCATCCTTTGCGGTATATAGGTCGCCATCACTGTCAACACCATTCCCGATTCCCGAATCAAAGCCCGTCTGGAGATCTCTCTCCATTCGACGTAACGCGTGTCCTTTCTCGACTTCCGTCAGGAACCAAGCTTTGGAGATATCTGTCGGTAATATTGTAAGAGCAACCAAGGCCACGGCAACCGTTATGACACCCTCTACAAGGAACAGCATCTGCCATCCTCGGAGGGATGATGTCTCCAGATGAAGAAGGCCGTACGCGAGAAGGCCAGCAAATGCACCCGCTACTGCATACATGCCTGAAAACATCCCCATACGGAATCCCAATGAGAACTTGGGGTAAAATGTTGACATGTAATAATAAGCAGTTGGTGTGAAGCCTGCTTCCGCGACTCCGAGGAGTAGACGCAGCGCGTAAAAGGTCGAGGGGCTTCTAATAGCGATGTGTGCAATACAGATGCTTCCCCAGGCAATCATCAAAGCTGAAATCCACCATTTCGCTCCCACTCGGCGACCTATTATGCTTGATATAGGTTGGAGAGGGACATATGTAGCAGAGAACTAAGTGCGTGTTAACATTCGAATCCGAGGTCAAAAGATGCAATTTGGGATCATACTAAGGACAACGAATTTGAAATGTCATTAGGCTTCAGATTCGCATCTTTGACAAATGTGCTGGTCGCAACATATCCAATATTTGTCTTATCAATGCCCAAAAGCTACGGTCGCTTGGTTAGCCACACGAGTGCCGGTATGCGAGGACGGCTGCACGTAACAATGACTCACAATGAATCCTAAAGAGAGAAATAGAATAATGCAGAGGTCAAATTTCAGGTTGACTCTTCTGTCTAAGGCTTTTTCTTCCTCGGTAGCCGGTACATAATGAGCTACCGTAGAATGAACAGGGGCCCGGTCATGCTTCGCGATCTCAATTTCGGCGATGGAAGTCTTGTCGTTAGTTGCTGCCAAGCTAGTCACCATAGCTGAGAAGATATTCCAATATCCGGGGCTCTGGACAGATGAACATAACGGCGCTGTCTGCTATTTATGCTAGTCTGTGAAGCCTTCGAGTCGGAAGTGTGGGGAAAAATTGAGAGCGTGGTTCCCCACAAGACGTTACCCCGCGAAAGTCCCCAGGTTGCCGGAATTTTCCCCAACGCTTTCTGGGGAACCACCACCTCCTACCAATCTAGTTACTCTCAATACGGAGATTGGGGACACATGCTTTACAAGCCCCTGCCCTCTCTAGTGGTGTATATCTTGATATCGAAATGCCTCCATCCCTTCCCCGCCGACGCAAGAAACTTGACTTGGAGTGCAATCTCTGTGGAAAACGGTACACAAAACGGGAACACCTCCAGGTAAGCCACCAGCGTCACTTATTGGAGACTTGTGCTGAGAAATTTACTTTAGAGACATGAACGAATCCGTACGCTCTACATTCCAAAGGTGGAGAAGTCTATAGTAACAGAAGTTCCAGATAGCGGTGACAAACCCTTCACATGCCCAGTATGTGGTCGATGCTTTGCGCGACAGGATGTACTGAATCGACATTCTCGCGTCCATCAGGATGATTCACATCCAGAACTCAGAACGGAAGATATCAGAGAAGATACATCGATCTCATCACTTTCTTTACAACAACAACAACCATGTGACCCTTCATACATGAACCAGAGTCACGAGACTCTATCACTTGAAGATTGTTCTTCGCTACTCTGGCCCGACTCCGAGGGCCTGTTGCAGAACATTCTAGCAATTGACTCTGGTATTTGGAACCAACCAGCTTCCCTGATGCCGCAGACGCTTAGCATTCCTCCAAGTCCTTTCCAGACAACTTCAGCTGGGCAAGGTATCTCGCCATCAAGCTGTAGTAGCATCGCAGAAGATGGGGAGCGAGCAATTCAGTCTTTAAGCGGGATTATCAATGAGACGGTATTACTACATCAATGACAAGTGAAACAGTGTAATGGCCAGCTAATTCTGAGTTAGTTCTGCAATGTGACAGCTCCATCAGCCTTGGCAGGACTCACTTCCCGGTTCCTGGATAGTAGTCTGCACATGTTCTTCAGATTCATAGTGCCGATGTTTCCCGTTATCCACCAACCAACATTTATCTTCCGAGATTGCCCTCCGCCTCTTTTACTGAATGCCATTGCACTAGGTGCTTTGTTTTTAGGGACTAAAGATGCGAATTTGAAGGTGAGCTGATCCTTTCGTTAATAATAGAATGGAAATGAAACTTACAAGAGCAGGCGGATGCTCTCTGGCAGCTCGCTCATACTGCCGTCGCAACTTCATGGCACACAATGATTCAACAAAAAAGACCGTACGATTCATGCAATGGAGTCTGCCTTGTTCAGACAATGCTACTGAGTCAAATATATGCGGCATTGTCAAACAATCGGACCCTGCGAACTACTAGCCAAGTTTTTCATGGGCTGGCGCTTTTCTGGGCTAGTCACTGTGGCATGTACGAGGGGCTGGATCATCCTTCATTACCCTCTCCAGACGCAAATTCCGAAATAATGCAGAGTGCTTGGTATAGTTGGATTTCTCAGGAGACCAGACTCCGCACTTTGCTAGGGCTTTACATCGTGGATGGAGTGGTGTCTCAGTTCAGCGGCAATCCGACGTTTGCTCGACACATGGCCAATCCCCTCACTCTCCCGAGCGACGATGCGGTTTTCAACGCGTCTACAGCCCAGGAGTGGATTCAAAGGAGTGTCGAAAGCCGGTTGTTACAGTCGAATCATTTTCGATTTTGCGACGTGTTCCACGCACTTTTTTCAAAAGACGGCATGAATAATACTACGAGCGTGAGGCCGGAGTACGGTATTTCATTGTTTCACCACAAGGTTATCCTTGAAGGTATCCGGTCTCTTGTTGCAGATGCAAATCGAACAAAACCAGTACCAGTAGGAGTGCCATCGAAGCAAGAAATTGGCAATGCCGTCATAAGGCTGCGGGAACAGATAATTCAAAACCAGCGCCTCTCCTCACCAGACGAAGTAGTCGCAATGCTGCAGTGGCACACAATATGTCTCGATTTGGTTGTGAGCACTGCTCGAGGTACTCGCAGAATGTGCGCATTGCATGGGATCCCACAGCGAATATTTGGAGGTGACAGTCGCATTGAGCAGGACATAGATCCGCGCCGATGGGCGCAAAGCAAGAACGCGCGTATTGCCTTATTGCATGCCTCTCAAATTCAAGAACTTGCTACAAGTCTCCCGCTCGGTATGGCCTATGATATCAATGTTCCTGGTGCTGTATTTGCTGCAGCGACTACCTACAGTGCCTTTGCTTTGGCAGGAGCTGGGAAAGTGGTTTTACCTCCTGAGATCGACTGGGTGACCGCCGTTCAGGCTGCTACCATTGATGAGAAAGTGGGAGATCCAGGGCCGGATAGGACCTCCAACAAAACTCTATTGTTCGTGAATGATGGAGTTTTTGGTAAAGGTCTGCTTCGGGATCTTTCCTATGAGTTAACATCTATTCGAAGCTTGTTGCGGTCTCTCTCATTGCAGTGGAGTGTTGCTCAGGAGATGGAACAGGTTGTCGGGGCTTGGATTGAGCGCATGCAATAAAGCATTCTGTGGGTAATTTCTACTGGGAAAAAGCCTAATTATCTCTGATGTGAGATCTCCACAATCTTGAAGTACTAAGCAAAGTCCCTCCGTCTACTTTGCGTGTATATTGAAAGTGATAAGTCTTTACCTTTATCTTCTATCCAAAGTACTTACAGCTAGCACAACGTAGTACCAGCGAGTGGAAAGTTCGGATATAAGTTTATCTCGTGGTCCACTCGCTGGACAATTTCGTGACAATTCTCCCAGAGCAATTTTGTTTATCTTAATCTAAAGATAGCTAGCCCAAGACATAGTTATAAAGGTATCTAGGGAGATCCTCCATAAGACGCGTGGAAGAAATTTTTAAAAGGGAAAGAGAAGAACAAGAAATTGCATCTATGGGGCTAAGTCTACCAATAAAAATGAGTGCAAGATGAACAGGGAACGTTCTCCTCCATCAACGAGATCGCGCTGGCACAACACGCAACGGACAACTCGTGATTCCCATCTCCGGCATGGCCGCATATTGAAGGGTTCCGTGGACCTCAAAATCGTCCGTCCGTTGTAATATCACCCGAAGCGCGATCTGCAGAGCCCTGTTTGGCGTTAGTATAAGTGTACCTCCCCACTCTGTTTAGTGTAACCAATCTAGAAAACTCACATCCTTGCAAGTGGCATCCCCGCACAACGATGTCTCCCCCTCCCGAAACCAAGATGCGAGTTGATATTCTCTCGGTTGAGAATGAAGGAGTTAGGACTTTCAAACACTTCCGGATCACGATTCGCCGCTGCATATGTCATGGTCACTGGCTGTCCTGCTGGTATCGTACGGCCGTGGAGGTCAATATCGTGCTTTGGAGTGCGACAGAACCCTCGATATGGCACATAGAGGCGTATGAATTCCTCTACTGCTGCAGGTATCAGGGCTGGATCGGCTCGAAGCCGAGCTTGTAGACTTCGGTCGCGGGAAAGATGAGCGCAAATATCGCCAATTAGAATCGGTGGAGCAACCATGCCGACTACAAGTGACTGGCGGAGAGCACCACTGCATACGACGGTGATGTTATCAGCACATGTTCTCAAAGGCATTTTTCTCCATCATATAATATGCCGTATGATATAATTAGTACTCACACAAGAAGCTCGTCATCCAACGGGCGGCCATCTGGCCCAACCTCGAGTAATAGTGATGACGCTGGATCCAACTCTGGATCGCGTTTTGACTTCTTTCGATCGGAAAACAATTCCCTTGCAAGATCATACAGTCGCGCAGACTGCGCGCTTGTCTCAGCGGCGTTCTGCTGACGCCACGCATTCACCCATTTTGCGGCCGTGCTGGCCAGAATAGGGGCAGTCTCATCCTCGAGATTCAACCACGCCACCTCGACCCATGCAGCAAATGACGCACCAAATTGTGCAGAAATGTCGATTTGACTAGCTTGAGACTTATTTCCGTCGTCTCGACCGTCCACACGATGGGCCTTCAATAGAGTATCAAACTCTCGCTGTGCATGAGTCTCAAGTACCGGAGCAAGTCGCTTCAATCGCGCCGGCTTGAGCGTACGATCAAGCGCCGTGCGGTAAGGTGTGTGTGCTGGTGGATCTGTATTAAGTGGTGGACGGCGAATGCCTCGCGGGTCGCTTGGAATGACTGCTTTCACAGAGGAGATAAAAGTATCTGTGTCGGAGGCAGCACGCTTCACGTCGTCATAGCGTGTCAGAAGCCAAAAGCCCCCAGTTTGTGAGGTGTGTGCGACCGGGCATTGACTGCGTAATTGATTGAACTGCTCGTAAATTTTGTCTGGATTATTGTCTTCGATGAGGGTGAAGTCGTCGGCAGTGGTGATGGTGAATGACATTGTGCAGCTATCTACAGTATAGTTTTGGACGAAAATCGATTTAATGAATAATCGGCTATCTTGTTATTTATGTGAAAAATATGTTGATTCAGATCCAGTTAATATCAGCTCGGTTCTTCGCGCCGGGAGGACGGGAACCAGATAGTGTGGGGAACATGGGGACACACAAATACCTCGGGTTACGGGTCACACTTAGAGAGGAGAAATTTAACCTTACCTTTCAAACACTTAATAAATGACCATCTTGATAAAGTAAAAATCTCATTAGTATTATATGATATCTCGATCGCCCTCGTCTCTTCTGCCACCAACAACACTTTACCTTCTCGCTAGCCCCTAAGGACTTGGATTAGATACTTGTGGATATAGCCAAGAGTGTTCTAAGGAAGGACTATCAAAAGACGCAACTGGGTCAAAAATATGACAAAAACATACAACAGCCAGGATTCGCATGTGGTCACCCACCATACTACTAACTGGCCGGCGTGTGGCTTAAGTACGGCTGAGCGGACGGGAAGCCCTGTTCTCCACACCCTATGGTCGTATGTGTTAGGTCATCCACAAAAGTGGTATATACCCGGCTGGCTCTGGGTGAGAAACGGGTGAGCGTCGCTGTACGGTCACGCGACTGGGGGTGAGTGCACATACAGTAGACAGGGTGAAAATCTAGGTGAGAGTAGGCGATTCTCACCCTCCATTACGTGATGGCCGCACGGACCCTTTAAGATGAGATCTACTATAGCGTACCAGCGCCAGATACTTGGATGGTAGAGTTCAGGCTAAATGGAGGAATTCCTGGGTCCACTGACAAGAGAGCACCACCTTGCATACTCCAAAACAAGTTACGGAAATATCGAGGAATTATGGAGTTCTCTCTTTGGATTTGCCGGTAACACCGGCCAGTCCGACAGTGATAGGCATAATGATCAGATTGTAGAAAAATACACCAAAGTGCAACCGAAAATCCCAAGAAACGCAAGCTGAGTACTTATATTAGTACGGGGCCTCTACTTCTTCAGAAGTGTGTTCTTCCGAGCCGTTCTTTTGGGTGAGACTCTTCCCCTGCAGTTGGACGACATTTTTTTTCGAAGCTACCTGATGAGAAAGCTAATGGTCAAGGGAGGGGCGCTCGAAAGCTGGTCCATGGCAGGACGGGTCGATCTAGCAAAATCCGCAATGTGAAATATATATCCAAGACCACAACACACCAGGCAGTTATAGGGGAAGGGGAATGACCCCAAAACAAAAGTGTAAAAAGAGCGACAAAGAAGTCTGTATTCTCTATCTCCAACGCCGATGCTTTTATGGATGGGCTTGAAGTGCCGAGGCCTCAGACACCCAGCTCCTCCGCATTTTGACAGCTATGCATGGGCACACCCCACTTACCGGCCCTTTCATAAATTACTTTATTGTTTCGGACCCCCACGTCGCGAGGGTCCACCACCCATACGATATTGCCCACCCATACGATATCGCATTTTCCCATAGTAAACGCATATTTTCTACACGCGATTTCTCATCACAACCATGCCTAATCGAAAGAATCTAATGAATCCATCGAATCTCGCATCCAATTAGCTATCATTGAATGTTTGTTATCTGGACACGGAAGGCATCTTTGAATGCGGCTTTGAGCTTGTCCGGGGTGATTTCGGGTTGGAGAGGCAATATTCGTGGCTGTGGTGGCGTATTGCTCTGGGACGGGTTTGCGGGGGTGAAAGAGGGTGTCGAAGGCGTCGAAGGTTAGGAGGAGAGTTCGTGGAGTGGTATTCGTAGTTGCTTTTCTGATTGTGTTATATGTCACTGAGCGGGCGTTGGTGAGGGTCATTGTGGTTGGTGTGATTGTTGATGATGCGAGTCGCACCAAGTTGTCAAGTTGCGGCGGAGATCGACATCGTCCCGCCGATCTACCGTTTATCTTGATTTACGGGAATTTCTTAGTTTCTTGGCTTAACGTACATACGACTCAAAGACAAAGATAAGAGACATCGTCTTAGGTATATTGGGGACTCAGTAAATTCAAAGACTCCCTCGATCTCGGTTGATCTGCCGTTCAATTACGATCGTGTAATCCTAACTTCCAAGGGATCATAACGGCTCTCTTCAAGCTAATAGATTCATGGAGATTGGTGAAAATGAACGAATGAAAAAAAGGGATGTGAGAAATTGGGATCCCGCCCCCTAGTCATTACCTGCTTCATAACATTCTGATTTGGTACAGAGACACGAGTTAGAGGGTACTCTCCCGCGCGCCTTTCGGCCTCGAGGGCTAAGTAGCCCGGGGCATAAAGCTCGACATCGCTAGTCCACTGCTTTCGGTCACAGAGGGGCATTGAGTTTGGAGGTTCGTTAGCGTCCTTGGCTTGACAGAGAATATCGACGACCGGTAGGTCCATATCTAGTCTAATATCATCGTTATTTTGTTGGGCTAGCTTGGCAGATATAAGTTAAGGGAGACTCACGGCGTCCTCGTGTCTATGAGCACTATATGTATGTTTGACATTGTCAAAACTTTTCCAGTTAACGAAAGTGTACATGTACGGCCATTTCATGTTGAACGGGCAGACCTCAACGGAATCTCTGTGGATGTACTCCAGGAAGGACAGGATATATAAGGACACTCATCGCGCATCATGTATTTAGTTCTTCGCGATCAATCTCACATTGTTACTTGGTTACTACCTTAAGTACTTTGCACTTCACAGTTCACCTTCAAGACAACCCAACCTACAAGTAGGGAATTCACTCAGTAGCAATACTTGGTGATTGACTTACTTGGCACATACCTCTGGCACGTTCTGCGAGATACTCAACAGGATATATCCCGCAGTAAGGCCTTGTTAGGTAGGCAACGGTACGATTGAGAAATACTCTTGGAAACCGTAGTAGCATTAGATAAATACCACCCTGGGAAGTTCTACTCACAGTGAACAGTTGGCTCCGCGTAATATCGACCTGATCTATATGATGCTTTACCGGATAGTATACTCGACCGATCGTGTTCCAATGCTTGCTTGTGCACGCCGAAGGATTGATGCCGACCCCGTAAATCCGACCAAGATATGCTTAGAAGGGTGACTGGAAAGGGCTAGTCTACCCGCGGGACCGGGAGTTGGCATCCCCCATCAAAAAATCCCCTATACAAACTGCCCCCCCTAGAATTAGCCCCTTCTATCTAGAAATCTACTAATGCAAATTAGCAGAAAGATAATTTAGAATATCTTATTTATGGATCTCTTTCATCCGATCGGAAAATACAAAGATTTAAGGTACAAGGGGGGGGGGGGGGGGGGGGGACCTTAAAAGCCAACACCACCCTTCGCCAAGACTTTTTCAAGCGGGCAGATAACGAGATTCATGGCTGCGATAGCGCCCACGCCAGCCGCCTCGGTTCCTTGAAAAAGAAAGAGCAATCACTATTGACTCATTGTCTTTAGCCCATAGGAAGGTTGTTGTCGAAGTTGACGGTCTACTTATTTAAGTATCATGAGAGTAGGCCGACTTTGTTTGTCCGGCGGGTGGGATTAGTGGTGTCAAGCTTCATGGGAGAGCAAGCTATATCTGGGCGACGACATTCTGCCTTCGACAGGCATGAAACGCGTATGCTGAGGTGAATCACATGGCAGGAAGAGATCGAGTCGAGAGAAAGTAAACGAGACTCATTGAAAGAAATTATTCCAACGCGGTCATTATTCACTCAGTCAAGCCCAGCCTGATTGAGCCTGCTGGGTGGCAGGTTGCCATATCTGCTATACTGTACCTAATGAAGCACTGGAGACAGGACCCTTACGACGCGTCAAATGAAGAAGATGAAAATTGGCATGCATGTATCTTGGTAGACATGAGAACTTGAACTAGGAAATACTACTAAGCATGAGAATGGAGGGATAATATCTAATAGTGATGTCAGAAACCAGAATACTACCCGAAACTTGGTCAGTATTACTTCACGCCTGTACAGTATCCCTAGATTAAACTGCAATGACGCAGATGAGGGTAACCATAAACCTAAACATTTGAGAGGTACAAAAATAATGATCTTGAACATGGGCGAACACTTGAAACCCCTCTTCGACTTAAAGCATATACTCGAATCCTAACAATCCGACATGGCTGTATCTCAGGCTGCAAATATTGTGGAGAAGGTGCTTGGCCACGATGATAGTGCGACCATTACCACTGATGTGAGCAATTACGATAATGAATACGGTATGGAAAGTGGCCCCTTGATCCAGGCCACTACCTGGCAAGGCAAGAACAACGTCTCTGTGGGTATGTCAATCGTCTTAGGAAATCGCGTTAATTGACACCTAATCCTAATCAGCGTATTAGTGGAAATGCCAAAGCCGAGAGTTATTGATGCCGGCGACGTGATTGTGAGAGTCACCGGTAGCACGATCTGTGGGAGTGATCTTCATCTGTATCATGATAAGAGCATTGTTCGAAATATGCATGTTAGGATACTACTGTTAGGATACTAAAACCTCTCCCCTCTAGGCGTCATTCCCCAGATTCAAAAGGGCGATGTACTAGGCCACGAGTGCTGCGGTATTGTTGACAGCGTAGGACCCGAGGCAACCAAAGTCAAGGCCGGTGATCGAGTGGTAGTCTCCTTCCCGATCGCATGTGGCCATTGCAAGAACTGCGATAGAGAATTATACTCGCAGTGCGACAACACCAATCAAAACACTATCAGCAATGCCATGTATGGCAAACGAACTGCCGGTATGCTCTACTGTGCTGAGACTTGTCCCTACTGAATCACAGCATGAATACTAACCAGGATTAGGCATTTTTGGGTATTCTCATTTCACAGGCGGATTCGCTGGTGGCCAAGCAGAATATCTCCGCGTGCCATATGGAAATACTAATCTCCTCCAAATCCCGGACGATGTCCCAGATGAGAAAGCGCTTTACTTATCAGATGTGATTGCGACATCCTGGCATTGCGTTGTCGACACAGGTGTTCAAAAGGGAGATGTGGTTGCCATCTGGGGGGGCGGACCTATTGGCCAAATGTGCGCCGAATTCAGCTTCTATCACGGCGCAAGTCGGGTCATTCTAATTGATGGCGGTGTTGGGGCCTGGCGCTTGGACTTTGTGAAGAGCAAGGTACCCAAGCTCGAGACTATCGATTTTACAAAGCTTCCCAAGGGCGAGTCGGTCACGTCGAAGTTGAAGAAGATGGTAGATGGCGGACCAGATGTGGCATTGGAATGTGCGGCGGGAGAGTATGCTAAGGGATGGGCAAATTACTTTGAATTGTTGTTGGGCATTGAGACGGATAGTTCGGAAATTCTGAATGAGATGATCACCTCGGTGCGGCCCTTTGGACGTGTGGGAGTTACGGGAGTCTACGCGGGATATGTAAGTGTTCCACTTCTTCTGAATGGACAGGCCAGGCATCAGCAAGACCGCCGACTGGGCCGAGCATTGACCAACACATGCTAACTTTCCTAGACGAATCACTTCAATATTGGGGCCCTTATGGAGACGGGCGTTCGGTTCATCGGAAATGGACAAGCCCCCGTTCAGAAATACTGGAAAGAGCTCATGGGCCTTATCCAGGAAGGAAAAATTAATCCGCTAGATATGGTGACGCATCGTATGCGCCTGGAGGATATGGAAAAGGCCTATGCAGCATTTGACCGGCGAGACTGTGGTATGCAGAAGATTTTTGTGCAGACGAAGCACTCTGCTCCTCCTGCTGGGGCACCCACTTTGACTGAACTATATTGAAATAACTTAGTTAGGTGACTTTGTTAGCTCGAAGTTAGCCTAGAATGGATCATCCTTCCCTCCTCCAAGCTTCGAGTGCTACAGAAAGATTAGATGAAAGCACTAAATTAACTCTAGACAGTAAATGGGCTATTAAGAGTTTAGCAGTTTTTCTGGAATAGGTATAAATCTGAAATTACGAGAGGATATGATTTCGTATAGTGCACCGTATATTAGCGACACATTTCTTACGTTATGAATAACTAAAGATTAATGTCTATTTATTTTAGCTCCTACGATTATTTACTTGGCTATTCAGTAGTCGGCAAAAAGTCTATTTTAGGATGTATAGACTTTTAATCCCGTAGTGAAGATCACTAATAGTGATCCTTACTATAGCGCGCCTCGGTGTTATTCCTATACCGTTACTACCCAGTGGACTAGGAGTTGACGAACGGTCTTCATATGCCATCCCATCGGCATTCTCCAGTGACTTTTGATAACGATCTTCCTGCTTATCCCAAAAATCGTGTATTTTGACCGTAGTTGCGCGCTTGCCGCGACAGAACCGGGTGAACTCTGATCGTGGGATCCAACCGCCCGAGACTCTCACCATCTTCAGAGGCTGCATCGTCGTGGTTCTGCGGAGTGGTCTCTCTTTGGCTATATAGGGTAGTCCTAACTCCATCACGAGATTCATGCCCAAAGTTGGAAAACAACGGGAGCTCTAAGCTTCCCAGCACTACTGGTAGCAGTAGACGAAACAGTGGCGGCAGTTGTCGTTGCAGGAACGTGCGTCGAGGCCGTAGAGATTGCTCCAGTCGAGCTAATGCTGCTCGAGCTAGTCGACGATGAAGCCTCCACGGTATCGGTCTTCGTCGAACATGTGCTAACGGAGCTAACATCATTTCCACCCTCGCCACATGAGACGACATTTGAATCGCAGGCGTAGAAGAGATGCTTCCGCTCAAAAAGATCCCAGGTCTAACGAAATAGTGAGTATTCAGTCAACCGAGACTTATGTTGCGATTTTTACATACAAGGACCCCTATGTTCCAAATGTCAATTTTTTCATCCTATGGCATCCGTAATAGGACCTCTGGCGCCCGGTAAACTAAAGGCTGAATGTCCTTCCACTGCATGCCTAAGCTTAAGCAAAAGCGAGCTTCCCCAAAGTCCGACAAGATAGGACGACCATACACATTTGGGATTCCTAGGTCTCGGGAGGAATAGATCACCCGATCTCTAATAATTTTGCAAGGGTTCGGGCTGGTCTTTTCTGCTTCCTCAAAATTGACTAGAATTAACTTATCTTCCACACTAAGCATAATATTATTTTCTTGTATATCTATAATTAAGTTAATAAGAAATCTAGATATTTGCGTAATATCACAAGATTAGCAATATTATACTAGTATAAATAATCTTGGCTTCCGTGTGAAGAAAGTCGATAGCAAGAAGTATATAGATCAAAACTGGCTTGAGTAAGTCTTCCGGGAGAACCTTTTCTAAGGTACGATAACGTAGTTCGTATAGACTTATAGCTAAGGGAGGATACACGAGGCACTAATAGGAGTAATTTTTTCTAGTAGAACTAATTTAAAAGTCATCGATGGCGCGCCGTACGAGTATAGAGCCTATATGGCTAGACTTAATGTTTTTAAGATAGCTATATACCTCTGTCTCTCTTCTTCTATAGCTAGAGTCGTGCTCGTATATTTTTAATGTAATATAGATATACTACCTACTTTATTTTCAGAACCTAGTGTTCGATAGGCCTGATAAGATTGGAGATGAAATAGAGTGAAGGAAACCAATTGACTGCGTTCGTGGTGTAAACTAATCGCTGAGGTTCTAATACATGCGCGATGTGTGTGTTAATCTCTGTGGGTACAGCGAGCCCCAGAGACCAGTTATGCAGTACCAGCGAGGGCTGGCCCGAGAGGGTCGTAACATATATTAGCCCTAAATCTTAAAGTTGTTAGTATTATAACTTACTATAGATCTCTACAGAGCCACACTGTCGAATAACCTCTATAGCTAACTTTTCCGACTACCTAGTACCTCGAGCGAAATAAATCACCTATTTTCACGGGATAGAAATGCTCTAGTAAGTGTCCTCGTAAATTTTCCTCCTCTAGTTTGTTATTTGGGTCGAGGAGATTGCTGTTAAGGTACTAGTTGTCTGGATAGTAACCAGTTGGTCAGGTAAGGAAGAAAGCACCAAGTCAGATTGCTGGCAAGACTGTTTCTTGAGGAGTCCTTAACCTACTCCTCAAGGTCCTAAACTTATATACAATCTCTCATGTAAAGTAGGGAATCAGGCAGGGGTAACCAAGTAAAGACGTGCATGAGCTGAAAGGTAGTGTAACCAGCCAACGTGGTCTACCTGCAGTGTATCCCGCGGGTCGCGCCACCGAAAGCCAGCCGGCTGACCGCCGATTCGATGCCGCCCCGGCAGAATCTTCAGCCCTTGTATGCCTGAGGCACCAATCTGCGAACAGCCTCATACCCGGATATCATAACAATTGCCTAGAGAGGAAAATTTCCTAATTGGAAAGGGCGCTCGCCTAAAGATAGAGTGCTTCAGTCGCTGCGTTAGGCGTTGTATCATTATTGGGCTAGTTTTGCATAGGGTTGGAGTAGTAAACAAGGAGGAGGATAGCAGGGCAGTCGTTCGGAGCAGGATGACAATCACGTGATATTTAGGAAATGCGAGACCTTGACTTTCAGGGGACTATAGTTTATCCAATACGCTCAGAAGACAGTAGCCAAACAATTACCGGAATATCATTTCCCCGCTGTATCTGAAAGGGACTATCAAAACAAAAGCAGCAGGGTCAAAAATATGACAAAAACATACAACAGCCAGGATTCGCATGTGGTCACCCACCATACTACTAACTGGCCAGCGTGTGGCTTAAGTACGGCTGAGCGGACGGGAAGCCCTGTTCTCCACACCCTATGGTCGTATGTGCTAGAATTCACATAGAAACAGAATATATCCACGAGGAAGAAAAATCGATCATGGGTTCATCATAACCGACTAAGGTTTTTCTGATAACTAATAGGTCCAGGTGGTGATCCGCGCCATGGCCTTAGAAATCAGGAGGCTAGTTAGCTAAGCTAGAGCGTGAGCCTTGGAAATTATCCATAGGCTTACAATCTCAAATATGAGAGAAGCCCTGAATAGCTGATGGGGGGTTTTTGGCGTTTCGGCGATGGACTCCGATCAGGTCCACACTCCGGTCCAAACCCGAAATACTGGTAAATGCAGCCTACACTAGAGTTGAATCGATGGCCCTGCGAGACTTCGAGATGAGACCGGATTTCGGAGGCAAACTCCGATTACCTGAATTCAGGGACACCAGGTAGTTTCAATAGTTAGTTAATTGATGCAGAATATTTGTCATCGGGAGGAATCTGGGCGGTTACTCATATATACACCATTTGGCATGATCTGAGAGTTTTCAAAGTATTGAGACACTATAGCAGCATCCCACACCTTTCAGCCACAGCTCTTCCAGGATAAAATTTGGTACAATGACGGAGACAACGTCTTACACTCCGGACGGACCTCCCCCAGGCGCGCCCGAAACTTGGCAGAATCACTCGACACAAAATCAGACTGGCGCTGGAAAGAGTCCCTTCAGCGAAAATGCAGATCTCAAGTCCGAGTACCCTACAGGGCTCTCAGTCACCCTCATACTGACTTCAGTTACTCTGGCCTATTTTCTGTTCTTCCTTGATCTTGCTGTCATTTCCACTGCCACTCCGGCTATTACTTCTCAATTCAACTCTTTGGTGGACGTTGGCTGGTAAGCACAGCTCGACTCTCCTTTCTTCAAATCGCAAATTATGCTTACAAGACCCCAATTTATCCTGCTTAGGTATGGCGGTGCCTATCAGCTCGGAAGTGCAGCGTTCCAGCCTCTCAGCGGCAAGATTTATAGCCAATTTCCGATCAAGGTAGGATTGAGTCTACGGCTTAAGCAGCCTGTCAGGTTGTGAATTCGATTCTGACGAAATGACAATATAGTGGACCTTTCTCGTATTCTTTTTCATATTCGAAGTTGGATCTGCCATTTGTGGAGCCGCTCAGTCATCGCCCATGTTTATTGTTGGCCGTACCATCGCAGGAATCGGTTCTGCTGGGGTGGCTAATGGAGCTGTGACAACCATTTCTGCAGTGCTTCCAACACAAAAACAGGCGCTTTTCATGGGACTCAACATGGGTATGGGCCAGCTGGGTCTTGCAACAGGACCAATTATCGGTGGAGCTTTTACTACCAACGTGTCTTGGCGATGGTGTATGTTATTCCATCACCCTCCACTTTTAGTGCTTCTCAAGCTAAGATGCGTGGCTTAGGCTTCTATATCAACCTCCCGTTGGGTGCTGTCGTCGGCGGATTCCTTCTCTTCAACAATATTCCCGAACCAAAGCACAAGAGTCTACATATGGGGAACCTTGGTACTGCCATCAAGTCCCTAGATCTCCTAGGTTTCATGCTCATCTGCCCCGCGGTCGTTATGTTCCTTTTGGGACTCCAATTCGGCGGTAATCAACATCCCTGGGACAGTTCGATTGTGATTGGCTTGCTGGTCGGTGCTGCCGTTACTTTTGCTTTGTTCCTGATCTGGGAGTATCGCCAAGGGGACAGTGCCATGGTGCCATTTGCAATGCTTAAGCACAAGATCATCTGGTCAGCGGCGATGACGATGTTCTTTAGTCTTTCCAGTGTTCTTGTTGCCGATTTCTACATTGCAATTTATTTCCAGGCTATCCACGATGACTCCCCTTTAATGAGTGGCGTGCATATGCTTCCAATTACACTAGGCTTGGTCCTGTTTACCATGGTTTCGGGTGTTCTGAGTAAGTGTCTCTACTTTCGATCAGTTGTCTCCCATTTAGTCTCCATGCTAATTATGGGGTTCGCCACTATAAAGTCTCCGTTCTCGGATACTATCTCCCATTTTTGCTTGCGGGAGGCGCAATTTCAGCGGTTGGCTATGGACTTTTATCGACACTCAGCTCCTCGACCTCGGCTGCAAAATGGATAGGGTATCAGGTTCTGTACGGCGTTGCAGGCGGTTGCATGGCAGCTGCTGTAAGTTCTGTTCGTCGCAAAGTATGGGTTCACCCGCTAATCACGCCTTCTTTGTAGCCCTACATCGCTATTCAAAACCTCGTGCCCGCAGAGCAGATTCCTGTTGCCATGGCTATTGTCATTTTCTGGCAAAACCTTGGCGCGTCAACTTCTTTGATTGCTGCAAACGCCATCTTTAGCAATATTCTTCGTCATCAGCTCCAGCAGCGCATCGCTGAAATAGGTGTCTCCCCAGATATCATCGTCGATGCCGGTGTACGCTCCATTCGCAAGCTAGTTTCCGGCTCTCAGCTGACTGAAGTCCTTGCGGCTTACGCCAAGAGTGTTGATAATGTCATGTATCTCGGTATCGCTGTCAGCGTAGCTGTCCTGGTCTTTGCTCCTGGTCTTGGATGGAAAGACATTCGAAAAGTCAAGGACCTCCAGGCCATTACCAAAGAGTCTCCGGACAAGCCAGAGAAAGAATCGGTGAAATAAGAGACAGGGGTGAGTGAAATTTAGACGAGTGAACCGGTCCAGTTGCCGGGAATCGTTTTAGTTGTATTGCTGGCTCTTGCAGTGGTCTCGCTACCAACGTGGTAGTATTTCATTCTCGATTTTATTTATTTATGTTCAACCCGCAGGAGTCGTTTCGTGTTGGAATTGTTGGAATTTCGTCCTTCATTGAGATAGACTGTAGTTGAAGAGCCATAGAATATTTAATATCACTATTCCTCGAGTTGCTGAATGGTCACAATAAGAAAATATGGCAAGCAGAATGCGACTCGCATACAATGTGTTACTGATCTTACTGAGAAAATTCCGCATCTCATTCTGCTCGACAGTGCTTTTCCGCGTTTTCGACATGGTGGCCCTAGCTGCGCGACTAGCTGGAGCTCCTTTTGAATTCATTGTACGATGAGGTTCGCAACTTGTTTCTTCTTAGCATTGACAATCTAGAAAAAATATAATCCACGAAAAGAATTGATATAAAATAGCAGGGTGGTGACTGTAATACCCATGGCCCGTGGACAAAACCAGTGATCGGGTATATTGCAAAAATTATTAAATCGACATCCTGTTCTACACCAGCAAAGTCCTGTTCCAACTGTCGTTCGACACTCAACTACAGCGTCACCACCAGCTTCTTTCCTGAGACGCCTTCCCTCTGGAGATCCAAAGCCTCTTGGATCTTGTCCAGCCCCTTGCCGACAACCCGCGGCGGAGGAGCTGGGACAAATTGGCCCTGCTCCAGCGCATGCGGCAGGAAGTCCGTGTAGACACGAGCAACGACACTCTTGGGGTCGACCAGGCCGTCGACAAGGATAAATTTAGCCTCAACTCCAGTGACGAGGCGCGTCCCAGTGGACTTGATCATGCCTCCTACCATGCCCATCAAAAAGGTGCCCTTCCCGACGAAAGACGTGAGCTTCTTGGCAGGGATGATAGCACCAGCCACGGCGATGAGCTTCCTGGTAAGCCTGGGATCATGTTTCCTCATCACGGCTGTGCACACTTCGACTGCGCCGTGGCCAATCGTGTAGGCACCCACAAGCTCGTGGCCCTTAAGCACACTGAGGATATCCTTGACCAGCGTTTTGCTTTTGTAGTCGAAGACATGAGTGGCACCAAGGCCCTTGACGTAGTCAAAGTTTTTGACAGACGAGGTGGATATGACTTGGTAACCGGCAGACACGGCGAGCTGCACCGCATTGCTCCCGACGCTCGACGCACCGCCAGTGATAATAACAGTGCGTGGCTTGCCTGACTTGCTGGTAGCCTTTGTGGGTGCGGGAACCTGGGGCATGTCGAGGCCCAGATAGGCTGCGTGAAATAGGCCGTACGCTGCAGTCCCGAGACCGAGCCCTAGGACACAGGCTTGTTCATCGGTAATATGAGAAGGGGTAGGCGACAGCATATGTTGTCGCATCACAGTATAGAGCTGGAACCCTCCCTCGGCCGAGCTGTTGACCTCTTTAGCTATGGAAGTAGCACTGCCGAAGACTCGGTCACCAACGTGGAAGCGCTCTATATTGGGGCCAACCTCGACTACTTCGCCAGCAACATCGGTACCAAAGATGAAGGGGTACTTGATATACCCAGCGAGCGCCGGACCGATGAATTGCAACACCCAGTCGAAAGGGTTAATAGCCACGGCGCCGTTCTTGACCACGACCTGGCCAGGACCAGGAGGCGTATAGGGCGCATCCCCAACTTCGAAAGGAATGGTCTTTTTGGCAGGAATCCATGCCGCCTGGTTCTGAGGAGGCATTGTTGCGAAAGAGCGATGGGAGTCTGCTGCTGTTTTCGAACAGAGAAGGTAGTTATGTCCCGTTTGAGACCAAAGTAAAATTTTACGCTCCTACAGAATAAAGAAAGCTATATGTACCGTCACCATTGCTGTTAAAGTTCCAAGGGGCCCAGAAGCTTTACTGTTCACTGTTGACGGGCCAGTACACAGATTTGATGGACGGACTTGCACGGCATGAAAGACCGAACACCGGATGTGCAATCGTGCAATCCCATGCAGTTCATTGTTGGCCCCCATGGCATTACCCTACGTTATTGGAGCCAAGACAACCCGGGGTCCAACTCAAGTGTTTCAGACTTATCTGGATACGCAAACACGAGTCCGGCCTTAACCAACCCTGGCCTTGCCTCCATAAGGACTACCTGCTGAACCAGCCCCTGTAGACCTCCCCGTCATGCCTGAAGGCTTTGGAATTCAAATCAAGTGGTTAAGGGTTAAGTTGCTTCGGAAAGTTACTTACTTCGCTTCAATCTTACTTGAGTCCCTACACGCGTTAAATTCGTCACCTACAAGAACTAACTATTCGGCTTTGCCAATGATTCTCCGCAGAAACCGGACTTCGGAGAGTGAATTCCGGTCGACCACGGAAGGAAATACATAAGGCTGACGGAGTTCCCTCCGGGCGATCAACAAAGCAAAGACGGGGATCTCCCGCTGGCTCCCGCCTGCCCCCACCTTACCACCAGTCATCAACTGAAAGTATCCAAACTTTCTGGCCTAGGTCAAGTCGCATGAGCAATAAATATCATGGAGAGATCTAAAGTAACCCACAGCCAATCCAGCACCTATGGCCAAGCTTGCATGCAGTGCTATAAGGCAAAATGCCGCTGTGTGCGAAGGGCCAATGGCCATGATTGTGAAAGGTCAATAGATACTTGATTTTGCAGCTCACAACACTCGGCTAATCGACTATTAGATGTATTCGTCTCGAAAAACCCTGTGAGCCATCGGAGTCGGTTCGCAGGCGCAATGCACAGACAGTCGCGGCTGAGGAGTCCGATATGCGGATCTCTCGGCTGGAAGATAAGATCGAGAGTGTGTTATCTGCCATGCAATCTTTCATCGGCGCTCAGGGAGAAACTGGCCCTGCTATCAACGTCAATCAACCAATCAACGGACACAGCAGCGCTTCATCGACTGCGTCTTATTCAAATGGTACTACCCTAGTGAACCCGATAGACACAAACCTTGCATTCAGTGATGGGTCGACATTCGCAGCGGGTTCCATTGAGACAGTCTCGCCGCACCCAAATACATTAATTCTGCCTCATCAATATCCTCTATCTCACAGCACTCCATCACTGATACGGGCAGATGATAGATTGAGTTTTTTCCGATCGCGCATGCTGCCTTTTTTTCCTTTCATCGACTTGGCCCCGGATATGACAAGCTGGTACCTGCGGCAGAGTAGGCCGTTCCTATTCCAAGCCATCCACACGGTGACCACCTTCTCAACACAGGAAAGGCTGGTTCAACTTGAAGAGTTGAAGCGTGTTTTGTTCACATCTGCTTTACTCGAAGTCCAGTCTAACATTGACCTGTTGCTGGGACTGTTGACGTATATAGCATGGAGCACGGATTCTTTCCTTGGCAGAGCAGACCTCCTCTCCCGACTCATGATGCTCGCCATTTCACTTGTATATGACTTGCGGTTGTTCAAGCCACCATCCACAGACGTGGAAGTTATGATGATGATCACCCAGGGGCGGGCTGATGACAATAACCAGAGCTCCGTTGATGAAACGCCCTATGGGTTATTGGAAAGGCAGCGCGCAGTACTAGCATGTTTTATGCTAAGCTCCAAGTCCGTGCGTCCTCTGATTGCTCATCAAACTCAACAGTAGTCTTGTTCTCGGGGCTCAGCGTCACTAACATTTGACTTTCTCAGTATATCATCCCATCTTGGGCGCCAAGATGCTTTACGATGGACGCCACAAATGGAAGAAGCGCTTCGATTCATTGACATGAATGAATCATGTGCCTCGGATGAGTTATTCGTCTCTCAAGTCCGCTTACAATTGTTAAAGCAAAGAGCGGAGGATCTCCGGCGTCAAGACGAAGCAGATTATCTTTCCACGGGAGCAACGCCCTTGGCATCAGCCCCTCGTTTATTCTATCTCAAAACTCTGCGAAGACAACTGCAAGAGCTCCGCTCTTCATTCCGGCCAGACCTTCCCCAGATTGGTAAGTAGATGTAGAGCCGAGGAACTGTTAAGTATCTCGTTGTCAGATCGCTAATTTTTTTTTTCACCGGGGTTATTCTCCGGCTTCGCATGCAGACATTCTTAATACACACACACAATATGTCGAAATATACATTAATCACCTAGCATATTCTATTAACACAGACTCACGTTCTCTGGGCCCGTCTGGAGGAAGAAATGACGATGGGATCAACCTGGGATTCGAACGCCTCGAGTGTTTATGGCTGTCAGTCGAGAACATCAAGTTATGGCTGAAGAGTTTCTGCGGAATCCCCTGTTCGAAACTTGTCGGCCAACCTTTTCATTTCTGGTCGCAAATGATTCTGAGTATTACACTCTTGAAATATCTCTCAACCCTGAAAGACCCAGAATGGGACTGTCAAGTGGTGCGCAACACAGTCAATCTCATAACAGCCATCGATTCCATGCTGCAGAGAATTGAATTGAGTAGCAAGGAGCCGGAGATTCAGTGCAACGACCATCTACTGAAGTATCTGTCGAAGCTTTTGCGCAGATGTCGCATGTGGGCTGAACCTCGGTGGCACATCACCTCTCAGGTACAAGATGTGGAGACCAGGAGGTCTCGGAGTGTCAACCCTGACACCAACTCTAACAATTACTATGTGCCCGATCTTGATCAGATGACCTGGATGCAGTCTATGGACCTGGGAAGTGAACAGTGGTTTGAGGATGTACTAGGCATGCCTGCAACATTGTACTAATTTGCTGGAATTTGCGTATCATTTACTGTGTTGGTGCGGCATAATCCTACGAAATTGAATGCAGACCTTTAAGTCGGGAACCGTTGTGAGCGTAAGTGTAGGTAGAATTGCCGAGACTGGTACGGCGGACTATAGAAGGCACTCTGCCATAACCCCTAAATCCTACTAATCTAACCCCAAATCTCGACTAAATTTGCTCTGAAAACAAGATCTTTGAAGGAAGCAGAGGCCGTAATTCATCACATGACTTTTACGGAGGCATCTTCGATTACCGCCTTGAAGTTCTGCCGGAATTTCGCCCTTCCAGTAAGTTACATAATAAGGCTGACCGCCTCCGGATCTCCGCATAAGGCCCACCTAAGAGCCTCACACTCTTCTTTAGGCTCTGATCTACGGTACCTTCCATACAGTCGACTCTCTCCCACACCCACACCGAAAGCAACCATCCAACCAGCTCTAATGTCAACCTCATTCCCCTTGTTCCGCAAGGCCATTGAGCCTGGAACTATTATCGACCTTGATAAACCCTCTCCTTCCCGCTGGAAGATTCTTGAGAAGCTGAATGAGTATGATGGTCAGGTATAACCCCTCCCTTCCCATTCCAGGGCCGTTAAGAAGCTAAATGAGCATAAATTTCAGGTCACCGTGGAGCAAGACAAGATATATGGTTCCAGTTCTTTCGCCTCCGCTAGACTCCTTTGCTATAACCCTCAACGACGTGCAACGAAAACCTTCATGCGAGTCTACATTCAAGTTCCCCATCGATCAACTGAAATAGATAATGTGGACACTAGAGGCCAACAAGCTATATCATGGGACCCTCCAGAACTAGCCTCCCTTCTCGATCTAACTGAAATGGGCTCAAATATCACTCCAAAGCTTCTCGGATACAAGATCGGTACCCAGGATCGCTTAGGGCTAGTTCCGGGTGGTTTTATCATATGGCTTGTTTGGGAAATTGTTCCGGGGCTACGTCTTGGCGATCGTGATGGCGCTGGTCTATTTTGGGGTCTTACACGAGACGAAAGAGAGCATGTTCGTGTAGTCTTTACTACCGCTCTTAAGTAAGTTTAATACTCCTTCACTTTCTATCACTGATTCTAAGAATTATCAACGTTCTAGCAAGCTTATGAACTACGGATGGTACCCTTACGAGCCTATGGTAAGAAGTCTAGTTTGGCACCGGGAGACTCAAACACTGTATGTGAACCACGTCATCCTGGCTTACTTACTTGCTGGTTCAATATAGCTACTTCATCGGTCGCTTCAACAAGACTATGGAGGCTCAAGGTTTAGGTAAACCTAAACAGGTTGAGCCTGCCCAGGTGGTGGCAACTTTTGGGCTTGCTATGCTGGACCCTCCAGTTAGATGGGAACAACATAACTGGGATAAAGATACTTCACGCTGGAAATGGTAACTAAGCAGGAGTTCGAATGGTTCGCTCAGCCTCAGATTGATCTTTGCTTTGCTATGCTAGGAAATAATACAATCATGTGAGTGACAGACACGAGATATTCTTATTAAGTGTCCCGCGTCCAATTCTGGTTCCGCCTGCCTGTGGTTGTGAAGGTTGAGTCTGCGAGGGTTTGCAATGCAACATGGTAAAGACTCTGACAAAAAGACACTGTTGAAATGACTTGATAAATAATACTGGCTTCTATCAGAAACAAGAAAACAAGTGGACGGGTGAATTTCTTGATGCGTACACAAATCTGACTGAGATACAAACTGTCATGGATCTACTCTGGCGGAACGATATCAGTGCTGACAAAATTTGGGAATTGCATTCTACTCTCGAGCTTTCATCGCCGTCGATCGTAACTGCATGTAAGATTTGTCTAAGTACTGAAGGGTTTCTCGATATTTAGCCTCTGAGCTGACTTTCCTGAATACAAGTAGGACATCTGGGTGCCTTTTTGCCTCAGGCTCCCTTCCTGGGCCCTACAGCGCAGAGACGGGTATCATTCTTAACTGTCAGATGGACGATATTCGGTCGAATAAACGCATCTACCCAAAGCTAGATAAAGATGCTGCTGTTGAGCTACTCGAATAGTCAGATCGGTGAGCACCCTATGACAATATGGATACCTTCAAGCTCAAGATTGAGTTCGCTCAGAAGACCTGCTTGGGAGGTGTTGATACTGAAGGTATTGGAAAGATTCACGATGGGTGATTGTTGATGAATCTAAGATCTAACGAGTGGCTAGAGGGTCTAAATAGGCATGATCAGGTGAGTATCAAGTAGGAGGTATCATGGTCTGGGCCGTCAGTCATGATACCGCTGATGGTAAATTTACCAGCGCCCTTGCTGGGTGGGCACCCCAGGCCAAACCGATCAGGTGGTACTCTTGCAGGGCGAAGACGATGTCGTTACAACTACGTCCAAAATCTCCCAGTGTAAGTGGAGCAACTGTGGTGAAATTTGGACCGGAGACTACGTGGCCTTTAGTCGCTCTGATCCTGGTCACAGAAAAGGCGAACTGATGATCGACGAAAGAGTTTTCGAGGATGGGCTGCTCCATAACCTTTGCTGCCCTAAAGAGGATGAGGCCTTGCGACGATCATTGACTATCAAAAAACGCAACTGGGTCAAAAATATGACAAAAACATACAACAGCCAGGATTCGCATGTGGTCACCCACCATACTACTAACTGGCCGGCGTGTGGCTTAAGTACGGCTGAGCGGACGGGAAGCCCTGTTCTCCACACCCTATGGTCGTATGTATAAGCTTCATGTCTACAACAATCTATTGAGATCATACAGCCTCTCGGTTGATCTCAACTTCTTCAACTAGAGACACCTCGCCCAATCGCTTATATTTTTCAGCGTCGCTTGCGTGTTTTTACATATATCTATAGAGATCATGTCTCAAGAGGAGGGTGCGAAAAGTATGACGGTCATTGCAAACATGAATGCACCGAGTCCATCAGCTGGGTCATTGTCCTTATCGACGAAAAGAATCCACGTTGAATGATGCGTCATATTTGGACTGATTGTATAGTTGCCACAACGATTCACTCCTCGAGATCCTCTTCAGCTCTGAGTGGGATTGCCTGAGGCGACGGGCGCAAAAGCACTGAACTTGGAGGCATATCTTCTCCACGGTCCTGCCAAATATCCAGGCTCAGGTACGCAGCCTTATGTATTGCTAAAATTTCCTCTACCTCCCACTGATCCCGCATGTACCTTGACTTTCCTCGGCGCAGCCAGCCCACTATCGTATCGATTGTCAATCCAGTTATAACAATGAGACCGCAAAGTATGAGTGTTATGGCCAGTCCAAGAATTGAAAAGTTTTCGTATCCCGAGGCACCGGGCACGAGTTGTGATTTGCATTGGGAACGCTGGAGGCTATTAGTCGGTGCGGTAATGTGCCACCCGGCAGCGGGGAGGTTTTTCGGTCTGGTAGCCCACTCAAGGACAGAAGATTGCTCTTTGGCAAGGGAGGTTGCGAACCAGGTTGATACTTCGATTTGCCATTGGTTCGGTGGAATATATGCCTGCACATTTTGAAAGGCCATCATCGAAGCTGGAGTTAGGAGAATGTGCTATCAGCTCGGAGTTGGATCTTCAATAGAGAGGTAGTTACCTTCACTTACCATTGAGAGCGGCACCTCCTCGTCCATCGACATTGGAATACATGCTCTTATCGACGGCGTAGTTGAGAAATCGTGAAATAGTCATAATCTGGGCGGCACTGAACTCCAGAGATATGACTTTGGTAGTGTAGGCTTGATTGGCCGCGCTCATAATTCCACCCAGTGTAGTACAGCCGGAATCTCCAGGTCTATTCGGGTTGCACACCTCATACTGGTCCACACATCCCAAAAGATTTGTCTCGTAGCTTTTGGACCACATAATCAGGGTACCGTTTGTTCCTGGCACTGTAACTCCTGTATCTGACTCTATCTGGGCCGTCATCCAAGGATCGTCGCTGGGCTGAAGGTACCCGATATCATTTTGCGTCAGCATCATCAGGGTTATATCGGCGTCGGTTTGGTTCATCCTCGGATCTGGCTCCCATGAAATAAGCGTGGTGTGTAGAATGCCAGTGGGATCAGCTTTTGCATGCATTGCGCTGAGATCGTTCGTTAGTTTGACGTCCTTCTTGGTGTTAGTATTGAATTACTTACCTCAAAGTGTATCCCACGCCATCCAGGTTGGGTACTGGGGTATAAGCAAACGTGTAGTTGTACCCTAGTTCAGGCTGTATTCCGGCGTTGATATAAATTATTTCTCCGTATGTCGAATCGTTCGATACTGTAGCCAAGCCAGACTGGTGGCGAATTGGCGCGCAGGTGCAGACTCGTCTGAACTTGATCCTGTCTTTTGGTGGCGCATTAATACCAAAGTCCACATGCGAATCCAATCGACCAGTATCCATTTGGAATGCAGAATGGCTGTTGTAGGCGCAAAGATTGTCTCCAAATGGGCAGGAGGCGTTCAGATTGGTGGTGAATGGTAAGAATGGGCGCACAAATGTCCCACAACTTGGCCCATCTGGGTTTCCTTGGTAACATTGACGGACATATGTTGCCGCGTCATAAGTATCTAAAAGGCCCTTTGAAGACAAAGGACTCAGCACCCCAGCGATGGAGTCAACCACGAATCCTCCACACTCTGGGCCGATAACGAGAGTGGAGACACTTGCAAACTTGGAGATGTAACTCGTGAAGAGGCCAGAGACGCCGAAAAGGAGGAGGGTTAGAATAGCAAATGTTGCAAAGGGTAGGGATCGCCAGAATCGACTTGACCCCGTACCCCGATGTGAAAATGGAAGGACCAGCAACGCCCAAGCTGCAGCCGTTGTACCCTTATTGCGGAGAATTACTTGGCGTTGAAGGTGTAGTGCATCTTGTCTCTCCCAAACCTTCGTGGTATTTGCTTGATGGATTGCAAACGCGATGATGTTCCAGAACAAGCTCCCAGCAGAAGAGACGAGGACGGCCAAGAAGGCACTGAGGATTCCAGCCTGTCGTTGTGACAACGTCAATGTCGCTCCGCGAATTCCACCCTCAGACCAGTCAATCCAGACGCCAGTATACGTGTGGATATCGTCAGCCATCACGGGTGGCGTTCAAATTGAACTGATTCTGGGAATTTTCAAAGGAAAATTCCGTGTGATGGGCGAGGCATCTGAGGCTTCCAGCCGAGTTTTTTTTATCGTCCCTCGTGGGTAGGCCACTCCATTTAAGTTGGTCTTGAAGAGGTCATTAATTTCGTATTATTGGCTAATTAATATTAGGAGTAGATGGTGCTAAGCGCTCTCGGGGTCTCAGCCTCAAAGCTTCGTATTTAAATACATACATTTCAAGAAAGAAGGGTCCTCCGGGGCATATCCTAATAAGGTTTAGCCTTTGTATTCTAGGGATTTGGTGCCGATTTTGAATTTGACCAAGCTACGTCAGCCGTTGTGCATTCATCATCACCTACTCCAATGTACCAGTCTTAGCCGTAGACTATTTTTTGAATGGTACTACCTCCCCTGTTTACCCCATAGTATTACTGCTGAAAATGATCTTGGGGGCTGGTAGGGCAAATTGAGTGTAGTAGGCTGTCTCGGAGCACCGGCAGTGGTGTGTGGTCGGTGCACGTCAGCACGGCGGCCGTACTGCTGGACCTGTCGCCTAACTATACCTATACCGTACTCGTGGGCTTCGGCGGCGGCTGAGGCGCCATGCGGTCAGCCCATCCCGGCCAGGGACCAACATCGCCTAAAATTTGCAATTAGGGTTAGACACAACAAGCCCAAATCCCGAGTTGGCGACAGAAATGGAGGCTCACTGGTGGAGATGTGCATGATGGCTATCCCCGACATGGTCATATCTCGGCGAGGCTTACAAACAGACGTTGAATAGAACCAGAGACGATGCCCGAGCATCTAGAATAGGCTTCTCATTGGATTCATCCATCTTTTTCGGGTCTCAACACCCCCGCAGGTGCACTTACGATGGTCCCCTCTTCAGACGCGATATCATGTAGCTTGTTCTATTGCTTCCCGGTCGGTTGTGCCCACTGCCATGTATGATTCAGCTGCGGGAGACCAGACCCTTGAGTTTCAACCTGCCACGATCATTTTCTCGCTTCGTTCCGCGGTGAGGGAAAACTGCAACACGGTGTTGCCTCTCCTGCCTCGGAATGCCATTAAACTGAGGCAGCTCGTCCGACGCAGTTCCCATCACTTCGCAGCCCACGTCGTCAGTTCGATCCTCAAAGGGTATACATCAACTAGTAGGGATGGAGTTGGTCTCGGTCCACCCCGATCCTATACGCGTTGGTCAGTATTCCCCGATCCGACAGAGTTGCGCTACATATAGCCATCAGAATGGCACGTTGAATTGAAACTTAGGTGTCTGCGCGAAAGCGTTACCCAATGCTTTTAATCAGCAAGGACAGAAAAATTGTCTATCCTGGTGGTTTTCTACTTCATAGTTAACGATAGCAAAATCATCGGGCAAGCCGCTATGCTAACAATAATACACGCTAAGGATAACGAATGACCAGTGAGTGCCATCATCATAACTCGACAAGCAGATTATCGTGAAATGAACAATGGTCAGTCAACCTTAAAAAAAGGAAAACATACAACAGCCAGGATTCGCATGTGGTCACCCACCATACTACTAACTGGCCGGCGTGTGGCTTAAGTACGGCTGAGCGGACGGGAAGCCCTGTTCTCCACACCCTATGGTCGTATGTGCTTAGATTCGCGTTGAAACAACCCATATAGTCTTTGTCCAAAAAATTCTGTTCTCAAATTTATTCCAACGAAAATGCAACTTCGACGTATCCGTAAATATTTAAGGCTTTTTTTTTTAATAGTACAGTAAAGACTACTGCCCCCGGTAGATTTAGCGGACTAGTTTACGCTGTTTCCCATAAAGGAGACACCTTTAGATATTGCGAGCTGAGTTTCTGAAATATATATCTCGTGGACCGATCTTCCGGTTAATTAAGATTAGGAATTCGTTGGTGTGACTTGTTAATCAGGGCTCTTGTATTCTTATATTGCAGTGGAATGGAATTGCTCTATATCAATATGTATAGCTACTACTACTTACGAGGTAAACTCTAACCCTTCGGTAAATTCCATCACCGGGTACTACGACATTTCCTCTCATCGTTCTTGTCCTAGGTCCTCTTTACCCATTCCATATGCCTAGTTTCATCACGTGATGTACCGCTCATCTGCTCGTCTAAGATGATGAGATCTCAGAAATGATGCCAAATAAGTTGGCCGTCCGCAAAACTTTGTTTTTATGAATAACCGGGGAAGGGCGTAGGTCAGGGTCCGTTAGAGGTCGGTTCCCTAATCAAAAGGCTTCAATCAGGCTGTCCAATCTCAATTCCAGGCTAGGCGGAATTTGAAGCAGAGGACCAGAACCCTATGGAATTAGGATGAAATAGCCTCGGAGCGCACGGTGGATAACCGAAGATAGGCAGCTGCGGGTCACAAGATACTACACATAAGCAGTACTGTGGGGCAAGGCAATTGGAGGCGCCTTGGATGAATTCTGAGTAATCACTCAGTGGGCCGTTAATCACAATCATTTCACGTGTTTTGCTACTAGAGGCCTGATCGACCGGTTGATACGCTATTAAACCACAAGTTCAATGTATAGCAAAAGGTCCAATTGAATCAACTAGACGGGTTGCATGCATGCTGCAAAAAGCTTCAGGGACAGCCAATGGTTTTCGTAGTATGATCTATTCTCCTGCTACAGTGTACTCATTATCACTTGTCTAAGCACCCACATAGCCGTCCCTGTCCCTCACACATCCGTATCCTCCTCCATGCTTTCCAAACATCCTCTGTAGATCCCGTGCAATGACCTCTGGGTGCTCCGTCGCAGCAAAATGTCCGCCATGCTGGTTGTAGCTTTGGTATACTACATTGCCCATCGAGGCCGCCCACGTGTAGGGAACGACTATCAATTCCTTTGGGAAGTGCGCAAGCCCAAGCTTGACGCTTCCGATCCAGGACTCTGTGCGGTCGCGATGCACGAAGGCCGAACGCCCGGAACTATCTTTAGGGGGGTGTGTGGCCTCGTAATAGATGCGTAGACTAGCAGCAGGCCCAGCGCAACTAAACCAATACAAGGAGACCCATGTAAGTATCTCGTCGTTCGTCCACGGGTATGCGTCCGTCCAATCATGCAACTTCTCATATATCCATGCGAGGAGACCGACAGGGGAATCGGCAACAGCGTAGCCAAGTGTCTGGGGCTTGGTAGACTGTTGGGCGCGGTAACCAGCTCCCTCCTCGAGGAACCACCGAGAGCGTGCAAGGCCAGAGCGATCACGGGCGGAAAAGGGACGTAGCGCGTGTTGTAGAGCAAGTAAGGGATGGCGGAAGAACGATGGTGGGTGAGCTCGCACCATGTTAATATGCGATGCACGGACGTGTTTTGGATACATGAGACCCATAGTGCGTGTAATCATCATTCTATACATAGAGTTATGAAGTTCCGAAAGCAGTAACAGGCAGAGAACTTACCCCCAATCACCGCCTTGTGTCACGTACTCGTTGTAACCCAGCGTAATCATGAGTTTGTGTAAGGTCTCGGCATACTGAGCAAGCCCAAAGCCACGCTGTTTGGGTCCTTCGGAGAAACCAAAATTTGGAATTGAAGGAGCAACGATGTGGAATGCAGGCTCACTCTCGCCGTTGCAATTAGCGAGAAGCGGCAGTAGCTTCTGAACCTCTAGAAAGCTCCCCGGCCCTATCGTAAATTAGTGTAAGACGGGGGAAATTGACAAGAGGACCTCACAGCCGTGACAGAAAAGAAGTGGGATTGCATTCGCTAGGTCGCTTTTCTGGTGTACGAAATGGATTTTCAGTGGCTCAAAACCATCAGCCTGGATTGTAGATTGAAAATGAGGCATCTGGTTGATGTCCGCTTCCGCTTGCCGCCAATCGAATTCATCTCTCCAGTACGCTGCAAGTTGTTTGACATCTGCAAGTGGTGCCCCGAAATCCCATTCAGATTCGTCAAGCTCATCAGGGAATATCACCGTGGAAAGCCTAGTCTTCAGGTCTTGAAGCCTAGACTCCGGTACGGACACTCGATAATGTTCGACAGCCATCATAAGCTAAATTACAGAGGGAGGAAAAGTACAATCTCTGAAACCAAATCAGTTTGGCATGCGGTCTGAGTCGAGACCATTTATATGTAAGTTAGCTGCATGGTGATTATTAATTGATCTGGAGTTGCGCTAACTAACTAACTAGTTAACTAACATAACTAACTAACCTAACTCATCTACACTTAGTCAGCGATAGGTGTGTTTAGATCGTTCGGCTTCGTGTCCGAAGTTCTGCAATACTTCGGTGAAATAACCGAGATATCCGTGCCTAGGCGAAGAGTTCAGTAGGACCTCAACGTGATTAATTATACAATATGACGGGGTTATAATCTAGAAGTAAAGATGTTATCAAGAAAAATTAACGCGTACTTAAGATTATCTATTCGCTATCTTCGACTATAAAGTTAAGAAATTCTCTATTTAGAGACTACACGAAGATGGCCGGCAAAAGTGGATTATACTTGATTCATCACGTTTAATATCATAATACAATACCCGCGCTTCGGTGGGCACCCAGGTATGAATAGTTTGAATCCCACAATTGGTCTCAAATATTTTGTTTTGACGAATATGAGATCGAGCGACGAATAGGTTAACATCGAGAATATACCTTACGCCTTGCTTGAAGCAATTCAAGAGCGTGATATTCGTGGGCTTCCTTGTGATATAAAATAAGTTAAAGAGGTATTTGGCTGCTTTTGCAGGTTCTGTTCGACGTATTAGCTTAATACCACTACTCGGAGACCAAAAACCACCATCCAACAGTCCACTTCAATGAGAATATTGCCTCATTCTCGGCCGAAAGGTGAATTAATGACAGGAATTTTAAGGATCAGAGCACACCGATGGCACAATTCGGAATCAGATAAGACTCGAATAAGGATTGCTAATCATAGAATGTGTTAAAATTTTCTGCCTCCTTCTATTGTGGCTAGTACTTACCTAAAATGCTCCATTTGAGAACTAGTTAAGTCAACCAAGTTATCGACCCGACATTGAGAGCTTAGTAATACGGAGACTTTTAAGGTTGTCAGAGACGTCACTATCGGGGGAATTACTTAACTAACTCAGTAGTTAACTCAGTTAACTAGGTAACTAACTAACTAGTTAACTAGTTAGTTAACTGTCATCGAGAGCTTAGTAACACGGAGTCGTTTTCCAGCTAGAAACATCATAGTAAAATGAGACACTTCTCATGCCACCCGTCAGGGCTTAAATATTCAAGACTCCCTTTCCTTTAAGCAATCCTGCCAGGCCTCTTCGAATCGTGATTTCCCACCATGACGGCTGAAACAACAAAAGTCCTCATTGTTGGCGCAACTGGGTATATGTGCGTCTTTGTCCAAATCACAGCATTATAAACGAACCTCGTCCAAATCGTGAAAAGGGAGTACATGGAGACTAACCTAGGTGCTTAGTGGCGGTTCGATCCTTGCCGAGATATTGCACTCTCCAGGCTTCGCCAGTCCATGTGCATCGGCCTTGATTCGTCGACCAGAACAAGCCGCAGCCCTCGAGACCTTAGGGGTGAAACCCATTCAATTCAAGGGTTTAGACGACTTGGACGCCTGCAGAGATGCTGCATCTTATCATGATGGTATGGAATTCCCTAGATTTTTTTATTGAACGACCGCTAACGCTTCTCATATAGTTGTGATCAATGCAGCATCCGCATCCCATGATCGCTCTGCTAAAGCACTCATCGAAGGCCTAAGTTTAAGAAGACAAAACACAGGAAAAGACGTGTTCATGATCCATGTGAGACAGCATGCAACTTGACTACTTCAGGTCAACGTCAAAGCTTAACATCGACATAGACTTCTGGAACCTCCATCCTTGGCGATCACCCCTACACAGGCACGCCACAGACACACAAAATCTGGTCGGACATGACCAATGAAGTGTTTCAAATGGAAATAACTCATCCTGAAAGGTATGGACAGCGAGTTACTGATGTAACAGTCGTCGAAACCGGTCAGAAGCTTGGCGTTAAAACATTTATTGTCGTGCCGCCAACTATCTGTAAGATTATCTGCATACTTGTGAAATATCCAGACACCTAATTCGCAACAGACGGGGAAGGTTCCGGTCCATTTGCAACACTGAGCCAACAAATTCCGAATCTTGCACGATTCGCCCGGAAGCTAGGTTCAGCGGCTGTGATTGAGAGCGGGCAAGGTGTAAGCCTAACTAATTGTGAGGTAATTAACAACTTGCCGCTAACTATTTCGTGACTTGTAGATTTGGAACCATGTGCATATTTCTGACCTGTCACGTTTCTACGTTCTGCTCCTCCGTGCTGTCCTAGAACAGCCTCCTTGGCTTCCGTCTGGCCCGAAAGCAATATTTTTTGTTGAGAGTGGTGAACATACATGGAAACAAGTCAGCCAAGGCATTGCGCATGCTATGCATAAGCAGAATCTACTAGCGACGACTCAAGTGGAGTCGGTCGGTCTCCACGAAGCAGCGACGCACATTACTGCGGGAAATGAGAACTTGGTGGAGATAACGCTTGCTTCTAAGTACGCCACCATTACTCTTGAGTTCTTTTGTACCAACTAACCTATGAGCAGTGCAAGAGCTCGGGCAGATTTCGCTCGCTCGAAGCTTGGTTGGTCTACGAGTCGCGGAGACGAGGATTTCTTAAATCATTTCGAAGCCGAAATAGCAAGCATGGAGGAAGAGTTTAAGGAGTGAATTTTGCGCGAATGCCTGGTTGAGTTGTCTAAACCCCGTGTGTCGCCGCGTGTCGTCCCACTGTTCCCTATTTAGCAGGGCCGAAGCAGCTATTTATTCAGACTTGAATAGATTATGTAAAGCCTCGTGTTTTCTTCTTGAAGGAGCATAACCAAAAAACACCATATTAGCTAGAGAACTCTTTACACGGTCAATTTATCCAGCGCTGACGTTGAGAGGAAGAAATGTTGATTTATTTGCTTACTGTATGATCTTGTGCCTATAAAGAAGGATTTGAAAACAGAGTATAATAATGAAGTCTTCATTAGGCGCAGAACTATAAGAATTCCCGAGCAGAAAATATTGGACCATCAGATTTTAATAGTCAGATACTGTTGATTAAGGATATGGGGCTCACCTAAGCAGAGGATAATGTACACTGTCTGACCACAGATTTGCCGATTCCCTACCGGTGCATCAGTCCTGCTCAATTGAAAATTTTGAAATTTAACAGTATTTTACAAGGCTTTTACTATGGGCTATAGAGAGGTAAGATTGATCTGGTAAGTGAGATACGCATGAGCTAAGAGTACACTATTGATTTTTATCGGCAATTCTGTGGCCAGACAGTGTTTGTTGAAGATTGAAGACAGGTGTTCTGAGATTGGCTTATATACTGATCATCTCTAGTGATACCTACATTTAGCCTTCCCGCTGAAGTAAGGCAAGGCCTTCGAAATCGAGAACCTTGGAAAATTTGAAAGAACTGGGCCCCAAATTCTGAGGCATGCGTAGAGATTTAATTAATTTGCTAGGAAGGGAGGGCAACAGGTTAGAGTTGTGGGGATTCAAACTACGGGATCCCCTAATCTGTGAGGATAGTGCAATTACTCCTGATTTAGATAATTAAGTCTGGGCGAGCTGAATGACGAAAGTCTAAGTTTGAATGTAGTCTATCTCGATGAACTTTTCGGAGACTATGTCGGAGTCACTTTGTTTTCCATTTGGATAATTTGCGTATCTGCTGCTCAGACGTGCACAATCTCTGACTTGCGAATAATGTTGCCCGCTTGGATTGCAGCAACCTCCACCGCTTTGATCCCTTTGGGAATAGAGAATTTTGTCTCGAAACCCTTCTTGTCGATATCACCCAGTAGTTTGAGGGAATTAGCATCACTTCCAGCATATACTCTATACTTTTCGACATCTGTGGCACCATTCCAACTGACATATCCTCGCAGAGTGGATGATTTGCCCGCGCACTGTTCCAGATCATCCCCCGTAGTAGCTTTGCTAACTACCAAATTTGGTTGAGTGGATGGGGTTGCGTGCCACTCTTGCTTATATGCACGATAGCTTTGACCGAGGTTATATCCAGCAAATTGAGCCGACCATCGTACATCTCCCGAAGGACCGTATTCCTTAATATACGGCTCATCACCGTATCCCATCAAGGTGTTTCCATTAGGCAATGGGAAGAAAGAGCCCTCTGCGGCAGATGAAACTGGGTATTGATGATCGTAGAAATTAGTCACCAACTCAGGCGGGTGCTCTGGGCTCGGAGGAAGAGTGAGGCGGAGTGTGAGGCCTTTCGAAGGGACCGTGCTAGTCGCTGTGTCCAGGTCATTGGCGAACCAGCTGATAAGAGCCTGAGTAGAGGAGACATTGCGGATGCGGGCCATGTGTTGCCAGGACTGTGTTGGTGATGGTTAGCGAAAATACACTGAGCATATAAGATTCTTGAATGCACTTACGAATGTGACATCATTTGGCAAGCTACCAAAGGTCCCTCCGTTCTCTCCATCAATGTACCATACAATCTCTCCCTGACGGTTGACCAAGTATGTACGCCATAAGTGACGCGAGTTAATCAAATAATGGTCATTCCACTTCTGAACGGAGTTGATATGGAACCAATCGAAGGGATCCGTCTGGTTGGACCCGGAATATTCTTCATGGGTCGCATTGATCTCCAAGTGTGCCAGGGGGCTCCAAATAAAGACCGGCTCATTGGTCTCCAGATCGATCTCAACTGCGATAGAGTCGTATACCCATCCATCCTTAGGGCCACCAAGGGACGTGAGGTCAGCTTGGGTTGTGTTGTATGCCGTCACCAGGATGGTGTTGTCTTCAGTAATGAAAGATTCATGCACATCCGCATCACAATCGGTAGTAGTGTCGGTTGGCATGGTCAAATTCAATTGAGGGCAGACTGATTTGATCAGATTGTACTGATCGTCATAGATCTGTACCTCACCCCAGCCTCGACCAGCATCGGCGCCATACGCAGCCTTGCCCGTGCCGACCCAGAAGGTGATGACAGACTGGTCTCCCCAATACTGTTGTCGAAAATTGGATGAATCCCCCTCGGGTCCACCCCAGACAAGCTCATTGTCATCCGTGAGGATGAATGGCGATACTTGCTTCACACCTGTGCTTTGGTCATTCTCCTGACCAATGAAGAGCAGGCCCGATGCTAGATCTTCTCCGGTACGATTGATCGTCAGGTACGGTGGCGTGATGTTGGAGGACTGATAGGTCTGCCAAGGCCAGATGTTGCTATCATTATGGGTGACTTGGCGTCCATTTGTGGCGCATAGAGTAGCCCTACCAGATCTGATGCCGATGGAGTGGCCAAGCACCAGGGCGGGGGCAATGAGCCACCCAGCGGCGAAGGTGGACAACAAGTAATGCATGATTAACGAAGAGTTGAATTGCTGGAGACATGTTATCGTAGCGGAAACTTGCTCTTTTATGTTCATCTCTGGATAACCTGATGATCGCATTGCTTCATAAATTGAATTGCTATTCCCTATAAGCGAGCTACGCTAAATATGTTACCATCCCCCTGATAGATGTCACCATCGTGAATCTGGGTTCCTGCAAGACTAAAAGGTCCAATGGGATCAAAAATTCTAGATTAGCTGTCGAACTAATCCATACCGTCAAAGATCCGGTGGCCGTGAAAATTGGAGATTTGTATGGACTATGCTTGAGCATATCCAGCATAACGCGCCATTGCGTGCTCATCTGAAGTATTGCGCAATGACGGCACTCCATACCGGAGCCGGTCAAAATTGAAAAGCTTCTCAGGGTATAGATCGACGTTTTAAAGCCCCACATATATCATGAGGGTAAATGCCATCCAGCTCAAGGAAGCTGCCATGTTTCAATTTGATGGTATTGCACACTTAGATGGATCCATCCGCCTCTGATAACGGGTAAAGTAGCGATTCAGTATGTCACAAAGTTGGAAAACACCAAAATTTAGGTATTTTGTCAGCGGCTGGGGTACGTAATGCCGAATACCAACCCGCTCTACTAGCCTTTCCTATTCAATCATAGCGTCCTTTTCGCCATCTTTTGATTGCCGAGCGGGCCGCTAATATTCCAAGGCACTGACGGATTAGAATGCTTATCCTCAGGGAACTGGAAGAGAATGATGAATACAAAACTCCAGAGAAAACCCCCGGGGACAATGTTAGTGGAATGTGTGGGGTACATTTCTACAGACGCTGCCGCATTTCTATAAGCGGCTATACCTGCAATTTCGTGGCGAACAAGACCTTATTAGAAATACAACCTAGGAGCACAGAGGAAGCAAAGAGTTTGGTTTCAGCATTAAGATCCCTTATGCAAGAGTTAGAGTGGTGAAAAAAATTTAATAGACACAACACTGGTGTCCCAATAAGTTTATTAATATGTAAGACGGGCGCCTACTAAGCCGAGCTCTATGAAATTTCAGATTTGTAACACCTTTGAAGACAGGTTGACAGAATTGGCGAGGCAAGTTGATAACTCCGTCCCACATCGTGATGGTATTAAGTTTTGCCATCAAAGCTTCTACATTGTACTACGAACCATGTGGGGGAACCTTCAGTGTCTCGATTTGTCCAATCCGAGGTTTGTTCCCACCAATGAGGCTGATTTAATGTACTTGTAGCCCCAGGATTCTTAGGGCTTTCGATCTCGATAAGATAAGTTTAAATTACGATTAACCAATGATGCCCGTTCTTCCCCATCTACCATAGTATGAGATTTTAGATCACATAGCTGTCAAAACACGGACAGTTTGTGGATATACACCTTTACTCCGCATTATTTGGAGAGGGCCAATGCTATTGCTAATGGGAGCCGTTGCTATTACGTGAAGAAAAAGGGTGCGCGACCCACTTAAATGCCCAAATGAGCGTTTCTCCGCACGCGCGCCTCCTCACGAACTTTTCTTTTCTCCTCATTCGAAATGACACTAGCGCAGGGCTCCTTTTGAATCCGAACTCGTATTTCTTTTCGTTTTCCCTGTCAGATGGCCTAGCAAGTATATCGTTGGTTTTGATCTTCTACGTTTCTGCTTTCTACGTTTCTGCTTTCTACGTTTCTGCTTACTAGCTACGCCCTGATGCCGCCGTCGCGTCTTTCTCGCCTCCCGCCGTGGATCAGCCACTGGCTTGGCTACCGCGCCGAAACTCCGAAGCCACTGTCAACTTGGAAGATCGCCGCATGGTCCTTCATTACGGCTTTTTGCGGTCTTTCCGTAGTGCAAAGCATTTTTAACTATTCTCATTATTTCACCTCGCGCCATGTGCCTGGCATCATCGCATCCTATGTAAGCTGAAGACGAATTATCTGGTTGACTCACATATCTTCCTGGATTACACATCCTTGATTGCTAACTGGCCACTTTTCAACTATATAGGGTGCATCGGCAGTCCTCGTGTTCGGTGCTATTGAGAGCCCGCTTGCTCAACCTCGCTCCTTGATTTTTGGTCACTTTTTCAGCGCCTTAATCGGCATCTGCGTCACAAAGCTATTCAGTCTGATGCCTGACCAAGCACGCTTTGAGTCCCTGCGCTGGCTCGCAGCCTCATTATCGACTGCTATTGCAATTGTTGTCATGCAGCTTACTGGAACCACCCACCCACCTGCTGGTGCTACTGCTCTGCTCCCAGCCACCAACGATGAAGTCTGGAACCTCTCATGGTACTATTTACCGGTCGTTCTGCTCTCATCTACGATGCTCATGTGCTGCGCCCTTCTTTTGAACAATAATATGCATCGCCGGTACCCAGTTTTCTGGTTTGCGCCCCCCGCACCGCCAAAGCCCGCACCGACCTCTAATCCTGGCCCGGTTTCGGGTGCGCCATTAATGGTGGAGCCAGCATCATCAGATGAGAAGCTGCCTAAAGACTCTGTATAGCGCGCGGAGTTGGCAATTTTTAGATGCATTCAATAGTCGAGAAGTACAAAACTATGCCCATGGAATCACCAGGGCATATTTTCTGGCATTCGTCACCAGCCTACGGCGATGAGCGCTGGCCGCTGGCACAGCGTTCTAAGGGAAATCTGAGAAACCCTGTCCAAGCTTCATCGTCGTGGATAGATCTCGATTTTGTTGCCCTATTCTAACGACCACTTCTCTTCTCCACTCGTGGCGGCTAACGTGTCGAGGTACATGCTCGCCCCGATAATGTTGTCCTATTGTGGCATGCTTGCTGTATATAGTTCCGGGTAAAATCCTTGATTGAAAATAATCTTAACTGTTCTTTCGAAGCTGTGCTCATAATTTAGGTCCGTCGCCGTCATACAAGCGAAGGTGTGATACTACTTGACACTTGACCGGTCGTGAGCTGACGACAAACGTAGATTAGATGGCTATAGATTGCTCTCAACAATATCCTACATCAAATGATACTTTCTATTCAATTACCAACCACTTTTTCTGCCCATTTACTATCGCCTGGCTAGGTATTTGGAAATATGCACTAGTCATCATCCATCGGCATTTCTTTAACGTGGGCCGGCCAATAGTTAGATGTTAAGTATGACTCAGAGTGGACTTTAACCAATCGACCCGACTAGCTGTGACGGCTACGTGTATACTCACTGAAAATAAGGCAGGGCGATTATTGGCCCGAACTTTTCATCGGTATAGTCATCCTTGAAACGTTCTACCATGGTGACAGAGAAGAATTTTTCCATTTTGGCTCTCCAAGGGGACAATCATATCCTCCAAGAATCAAACGTCGCTCACGCATTTCTTTACACCATCACAATATGTTATGTAAACAATGCAGAAAATTGCAAAATTGCGAGGCCTACAGTGCACAATCACCCACTACTAAGCAACTGAATTTCCAGTGGGATCTAAGATAGGTTTTAAATTACTGCACCTACTGCCGTAGTCCCCGGATTCCAACCCGCTAATGAGCTCTTCGCAGAGCTGATGATATGCATCAAGAAAGTGAATTCAACTCAAACTTTCTTCCCTTTGTTTGCTGCCGAGTCCATGATTTCGGTGCAAAGCAGGAGAGCGCTGAAGGCCATTTCCGACCCGCAGAAATAACAATAAAGGAGGCGGGGGCCGTGGCCGCCGTTCTGAACAACAAACTCTATACTTTAAAGAGAGCAAGCCGGGTTGTTTGTGTAACAGCCAAAGTAAATCTCTCCCTTTGACAACTAATGATCGGGAATGGCGGCGGAAGCTTTAACCTTAGCACCAAAAGGCTAAAAAAGTGCCGATTCCCTGAAATTTGAATACCTTTCATTAGACTTCCCACAGAATATTTGTGAACGAATACTTCCAGTTGAGTCAACGATCGATGAGTCACCGTGGTTACCTTGGTGATGACCAAGTTCAGAACCCGAATCTAAAGCTAAATTCCATCAACCAGGTAATAGGTGTCCGAGCAGCATGCAAAGCGCCGTAAAGAGGAGAAGCCGAAGCACGTCTCCGTCGGCTCGCTTCTTTACTCTCTAGATGTAGACCCTCGAAATGCCAATTCCGGTCCAATGATTACCTTCACTCTGATAGCCACAGGGCACGGGGTCATTTCACAGTCCTACCAGTCCCGTCCGAGGTTGAGTTCAATCAAAGGCATTCTGCTTGTGAAACCTCACTCGAATTCCTGCCCCAGACAATCGGGGTCCGACTAGGACGCTCAAGCTCCAAGCAAGCAGTTTCCGATATCCCGTTCTTGGGTACTGGTGCATTGCGAATACAACTCGGCAATGCTACACTTTACGGGAAAATACAGCCAGTACGGCCCCTGGCTCTGGTGCCATAGTAGATCTACAATTATCAATGCCGCGCAGCAAATGACCCAGACAAATGAAAAATACTAGAAGAAGGAAAATTTTGCTTTAGAGCGCAAAAGAGTCAACAAGTGTTCAATAACCAATTCGTAGTAGGCGACAAGTGTGCTAGCGAGCACAGTGATCATACCCAGTTGGTATTCAGTGTCAAATTGCATGGCGTAAATAGTCACTCGTATATGTTCATGCATAGGGCCGAAGTCATGGCCAAATAAAAAAATAACAATAATGCAAGTCAACTGTGCACATCCACTAGATATGAATATTTCTCAGGGCTAGCGCCAGCGCCAGTCTCATACTGTATCCAGTCGTATCTCATTCTGTGTTCCATTAGAGAAAAGAGGGGAAACTTCCGCTCCCGAATTTGCCCCTCACTAGCCCCAAGGTCTCGTCCATCGCAAAATATACACACCGTCCAAAACAAGCCAGATAAAATCATAAACTGATGAAAAAAACCCTTCTGTACTTGTGTAACTGTCGTTATATGAAGTCCATCGGGGGACTATTGCATCCTTGTATTCCGAAGAAGCAATCCATTCCTTCTTGCAAGCATCCATCAATCTCACCATGATATCATCAACGTCATTGGCTTGGTCATGCACTGGCCATATCAATGGCGCCGGGTAATGCCGGGATAACCCTAGCAGTCTTCTCAATGGTCAATCACACACCCCGATTAGCCGGATTGAATCATTACTCAATGTCCGGATCGATTTCAGAATAGAGCTCCGTTCTCTTACCGTATGATTTCTTGGCCGTGCTGGGATTATGCATGGCGCGGCGCGGGGTAAATATTAATTAGGGGCCTTTACCCATTAGTATCAAGTACATCCGTAGCACACATTGAGAGAGAAATAGGATAGAGAAATGAAGAGGGCAGACGTACGTATCCAGCTACCGACGCCTGCAAGATCTTGCTCTATATTGCCAGACTCGGAGGTGGTTCTGTAGATGGGAAATCAGCTTAGATATATCGGATGAATGAGTACTCAAAGTGGAGCTAGTGCTTATGGTATCTTTGTACGTACGAGCCTGTGGTGCTAGGCACTGATGTGACAGTTGGTGGTGTTGCTGTGCTTGTAGATGTCTCCTTTGACTTTGTTGGTGTTACCGGATCCGGCATGATGATGAATAGAAATGGATGAGTGTTGTGAAATATAATAGCTGGGGTATAAGGCTGTATAAGAAAGGATCTTTGGGTAGTGTTTGTGCTTGAAGCAAAGGATAACTTTATGTTGACTTGAAATTATCTAGTTTGAATGGGAAATAACAACCTGTTTTTATAAGCAACAGTCCATTCAAAGCCTCCCATTGACATCGTCGTCAAGCGCCAACCGCGTGAGGGCCATCCTGGCTGCGATAACATCCAAATGACGAGCATGACCGGATATTGGGCATAAGTCACTACTGTATTCTGCAGAGACCCCCGAAACTGTCCAATGATAACTAAACGAGTCTAAAATGAAACCCACTGGGACGACGGACCGCGACGCGGGAGAGCTAGCAGCCAATCGCGAGGCAATTTTTAATGCATGATTCGAGCTCCGACCGTCAACCATCAATCTAAACGGCGCGGACACGCCGATGCTCGCAACTTTGGAGAATTTCGGCCCAAGACAGAGCCCCATTTCCTCAAAAAAGCTGTAAAAGATCTAGTTGCCTGCCTTCTTCTATGCGAACCGCGATGCGAACTTCTTTTCGCCTGCTTGGTCACTATATATAACGCCTTTGATATCGGAGCCGAGGTTCCGAAGAGTTTCATTGATTCGTTGTATCTTCTTATGTATATTCGCTTCTTGTGGCAGTATATATATGGATCATCGTCTTTCTTTTCTTCGTGATCTCAATTTCTTATAGGACCGTAGCGTAAGGGGAGGGGGGAGGGGGGAGCGGGGAGGGCCACGGGCAAAGAATGCATGACGAGGTGTTTGCCCCTAGAAAGGAGGGGAATGGCTAAGCCCTATGAGCGATTCACTCTTTAAACCAGCCTAGTCGGTTTCATGTCCTCTTCATTATTTGACATCGCATAGATACTTCTTATGTCGTAATAACTCGGCAGCATAGCATAATAGCAAAAAGGTGAGACGATACGATATGCTGATAATGTTAGGACCTAGGCCTCGTCCCCCTAGGCCTAACGTTGTGCGCTGCTTATATCGGTCCTAGGCATGCTAGAGCATAGCGTTCTAGCATATTTGGTCTTTTTAACCTATTTGGCTAGTGCGCCTGGGCACATGCAGTAACAGATAATCTACCAGTCTACTCAGAATATGTCGTAGTTTTCTGAGCTATATACGAGAATGGACTGTACTCAGCGTGTACACTATTAGCTTTTCGCATCAAATCAAAATTGGTCCCCTTCTCGGTCAAGACTGGCCTCTTTCTTCCCTCCAGTGGGCCACTTGTTATCCCTTCTAGTCGTCCCTCATCTCTTCATATGTCTGTCGCGGCTGATAATAAGTTAAAAGGCAAGCAGTTGTAACTTGTATGATCAACCTTAACTTTGTAACTATTTATTTCTAGACGGTTAATATGCCTCGCAAAGATCCTTACGATATAGAATCGATTTCTTCTTTTGAGGAATTCTTGATAAGCTTCTCTTCTAATATATTATGTTATAGAGGGGGAGGTAGTACATACGACCATAGGGTGTGGAGAACAGGGCTTCCCGTCCGCTCAGCCGTACTTAAGCCACACGCCGGCCAGTTAGTAGTATGGTGGGTGACCACATGCGAATCCTGGCTGTTGTATGTTTTTATCCCTTAGACCTTTTGCTTTTCCTTCGGGCTTTAATTTTCTCCTAAAGTATCTATCTCGAGTACATTTCCCTCTCTTCCTTTAATGGTTGCACTCGTTACTTCCTTAGGGTCAGGCCACTTTTAATTATTGATGGAAGCGATTTATGCATGACATAAGTTCCTTCACGAGGGTACTTAGTTTAACTAACTAACCATCCCACTGTGATTAATAATAAGATGTCCCTGCGTGATTAATTCCGCACTACTTCTAAGCTTATAGGGACTGCTTCGCTAGTGAGTTAATAAGGGGTTGTGCTTGGTCAGGCTGACATATAGTGATTCATAATCTCGTTGGGGGTTTTTAAAGTGGGCTCTATTTCCGCTTACACACCCTTCGGCAATTATCAAGGCCGTAAATCCGGTACGATAACAACTGTGATTGGAGAACCAAGCAACAATACTCTGTGTCAGCGGGGCCTATTGCGAAGCACCCGCGATCGCTATTGGTACAATGCCTCTGAAAGAAGGCATGAAAATATTGTGGCAAGATAACGAAAAATTGAAATATCAATGGCATTCCATACCACAGGAAGTTTTTTCTAATGAGCTTGATCTAAAGTTTATATAAACCCCACCGTCGCCATGTATTCCATGCGCATTTTCAATTGATCAGATCAATATCACTACAGTTCTGGTCACAAATATACCACAATGGGCTCCACTGCTGTTGAATTCAAGAACCCTGCGACCTCCACTCTCCTGGAGGTTGTCAAGGCCCGTCGGACTTATTATGGCCTGAAGGCGGAGAGTCCCATTTCCGATGATGTCATTGAGCGCATCGTTCAGGACTCCGTGCTCCACGTCCCCAGCTCTTTCAACACCCAGACTTCTCGGATTGTCCTGCTCCTGAAGGAGGAGCACAAGAAGGTATGGGACATTGCTATCAGTGCCATGGAGGGTCTGGTTGCAGCTGGACACGTGCCCAAGGAGATGTTTGAGAATCATACCAAGCCCAAGCTGGATGCCTTCCGCGCCGCTTACGGAACTGTATGTACCATTGGTGATGGCCATCGGCGCTATTTCCGAACTCGATATTGGATACAAATTTCTAACAATTGCGATAGGTTCTCTTCTTCGTCGATTACGAGTCTCTTGCTCCCATCAAGGAGAAGTTTGCCATCTACGCCGACAAGTTCGATCCCTTTGCCCTGGAGTCTAACGCCATGTCCCAGTACCTTGGTAAGCTAAATGACATCGCGAAGCAGTGTAGAGAAGATAATGAGTCTAACTTTCGAATTTACAGTCTGGCTCGCTCTTGAGGCTGAGGGCTTCGGCGCTAACCTCCAGCACTACAGCCCCTTGATTGACGAGCAGGTCACCAAGACCTGGAACCTGCCCGCCTCTTGGAAGTTGGACGCCCAGCTGGTCTTCGGTGTCCCTACTTCCGAGCCTGGCGAGAAGACCTTCGAGCCCCTCGAGAACCGCTTCAAGGTTTTCGGCAAATAATCCTTCTGGAATAATCGTGAATTTAGCGCAGCAACTAGAACCATCTAATGATACGTCTAGACATTGATTTGACATGTACCGCACTAGAAAAACCTAGCGCGTCTAGATATAGGTAGCTGTGGTATGCTCTATAGAGTATTATATGACTGCTGTAATCCATAATGAGCCTGATAGGTAGCAACTTCTTAATGTTCTAGGCGTAGTGCGCCCTACACACATCTTTAGTCAAGATCAGGCCTTATATGACGCCCTTACATAGTCGAAGTAATTGAATAGAAGAACAATACGGGAGTACATTAGGCCCTCTAACCTCTAATTCGGAGTAATATAATTGAGTAACATGACCACGCTGCTTAATCGGCTAAGCAGAGACGATAAGTCCCAACCTGGAATGGCCCCAAGTCAACTCTAAATGCTCCCCCCTTAACTGAAATCTCTTCTTCGTCATCTTCTAGCAGATTTGTCTTGAATGCTTTGCTGATTGTCCATATGGTCTGTACCGTCCCCCGCGATCGACCACCAAGAGAATCGTAGATTCGTAGAATGACACTTCTGCCCTTCCGAGCGGGGAGCTCTCCAGTACTGATATCCTCGTCATCCTCACCACGCTTGATGGTGTCTAGGACAAGACTCTTATCGCCACTCAAAGTAACAGGGAACTGCCCGAGCAAAGGAGTGTCCGACTTGGCCTGGAGGAGTTTGAGCGGGTTGTTGAAGTTGAATGATGCTCGAACGGTTCTTGAACTTAGTCCACCTTCATGTGGCATGATTGCCCACCGAATAGTGTGTTTGCCCATATCAGCTGTATCATCGGGTGCCTTGGGCGATCGCAAGAGAGATAAGCGCATGACGTTGCCGACTGTCGCGAATCCGTATTTGCTGTCGTTGAGAATCGAGACACCATACCCATGTTCAGAAAGATCAGCGAATTTATGGCAGCAGACCTCGAACTTGGCCATATCCCATGAGGTATTGTAGTGGGTGGGACGCTTGATGATTCCATACTGTGTCTCATATGATGCCTCCGTGCTGCGAATGTCGACCGGGAACTCCACTTTAAGGAACTTCATGTTCTCATGCCAGTCAATGTCCGCGGTGCACTCGATGCAAGAATAATCGGTTTCATTAAAATTCGCCGATAATGAGATAGTAACTCGCATAGAGCTCCTGTCGCTGATTTTTGTTTCGGTAGTAACACTGACACGGTGAAATTTATCTTCCGTCACAGAAGTGATGGAGCTTGCTAATTCCTCTCGAGTGTCGAGGTGATAGACTTCGACATCCCAAGCTTGCCAATAAACCGGCTTATCATCGAATATGACGAATTGATTGGCCTTTTTACCACGTGGGATAATCTCACGGTCAGCTTTCCGATCGTACAGCGACAGGATGCAGCCTTTTTCGACAGTCAAAGATAGTTGCTCATTCTGGAGCTTGAAAACTCCGGCAGAGACCTCGTGAACCGTGACGGGTCTTTCCGTCGACACTGAAGAGAGTCTCTCGAGGGCTACTAAACTTCCACTACCCGAAGCCACTAGGCAGGAGTCTTCCGAGAAGTCAACGATCTCCTTGCGAGGCCAAGGAAGTGTATTGACAGCGACCGTGTGTTGAGGCTCCGGCGGATTGGCCTCCGGTGAGTCCAGGTTGAAGCGCTGGTAGAGGGCTTGAATAACATTCTCACCTGTCTTGAACACGTTCTCATAGACCTGTGCGTCATCTATTTAGCTCAACGTCCGGATTACATTGCTTGCACACTAGTCACGTACCTGGTCCGAATCATCGTAGCACATTCGAATCGCGGTTCCTGGAAGGCAGTCGTGAAATTGACAGAGCAAAATTTTCTGCCACATTTGGTCAATCTCTGTCTTTGGGTATTTGTAAGAGGTATCCGCTATCGAGGCGACTGTAGCGAGAAGCTCAATATCTCGCATCATGAATTCGGCTCTCCGGTTGTTTTTTTTGGTACTGGATTGGGTAGTATATGTACCACGGTGCAGCTCAAAGTACAGATCACCAGTCCAGGTTGGAAATAGGTCGGCCTTGTGCTCAAGTCTCTTGAAGAAGTCGTCTGCAGACCCTCCGACGTGCACTCGGGGTAGTAGACCGACCGTATCTGATACACCACGACAGCGTCTGAGCCGTTCTAAGTGCTGCCAGGTTGGACCACCGCCACCGTCACCTTTTCCAAAGGCCATGAGGGAAGTGTGGTCCTGATCCATGGAGAGATGGTTCGTGACGCATCGCTGAACATCAGAAACAGTACCTTCTGCAGTGTAGGTCTTGACAGGAGGCATATGGCAAAGGACTTGACTTCCGTCGAGTGAGACCCAGTTGAACGTGGTATGCGGAAATTGGTTGATATTGTTGAAACATATCTTCTGTGTGAGGAAATGAGGCATTCCGGCTTGCCTGGACAATTGTGGAAGTTGGGCGCAGAATCCAAAGGAATCCGGCAGCCAGAGCACACGGCTACGAGTGCCAAAATTTGCTTCGAAGAATCGCTGCCCGTAAAGAAATTGCCGCACGAGCGACTCTCCGTTGGGCAGATTCGTGTCGTGTTCGACCCAGCAGCCACCAATCGGCTGGAACTGACCAGATTGAACCTTTTGTTTCACCCGTTCCCAAGCATAGGGGTACTCTTCCTTAAGCCACTGGAATTGCTGAGCTTGCGAGCATGCAAATGTTAGTTCAGGATATCGGTCCATCAAGTCGCATTGATTGAGCCATGACCGAGCGACCTTTCTCTTGGTTTCCGCCCAAGGCCATAACCAACATGTATCGATGTGGCAATGTCCAACCGCAAAAATATCTGGATCTTGCTGATGACCAGTCGAGTAAATCTCACTTGAGTTCGTCCTTGTCCCAAGAAATTCCTCGGCAATCTTGCGGCAGCGGATGATCGAAGCGTCGTCGCCAAGCTTAAAATTGTTCATGATTTTAGTGCCTACACTCCGCGCTTTATGTTGTTGCCAAGATTCCTCTGGTAACACGGTAGCAGCGTCGTGAATAGCCATTATGTCCATGTAAAGCATCCTCGCGTCCCAGTTCACAGCCACAATCTCCGCCTTTGATAGAGCGAAATGTTTGTTTTGGTCAGGCGGCTGAATAGAATCACCACCGGGGTTATTTTTGAAGATCGGTCGGCCTGGGCCATTTCCAAACATGCCGTTGCACGCCATCTCAATATATATGAGATGTTGTTTTCCGTCTTTGAAAGAAGCTGGGATAATCCACTCGGTGCGCTCTCCTCGCCCAGTAAGACCTTGAAGAGGCCTGCCGTCCTCTGTCCAGACAGTAGCTTCATTATTGCAGTCCCAGTGCAACTCGACATGCTCTTTGCTGCATATTGTGTCAGGGAGTTGGATATAGACCTTAAACCAGTGAGTAGACCACGAGGGTCCAAACTCCTGACCCAAAGCTGCATCTTCATAGTGATTGGATGGATCTGTGGCTTCCTTGAAAGTAGGGCGTTTGCTACCTGGAGCATGCCAAACAAATAGATCGATATGAGGAGGGCCAGAGAATACCCCTTCATTTAGCATGCTGCCCGTTTATATTAGCTAGTTCATGGCAATGATTGATTTTCTCGATCAGTTTACTCACGCAAGAAGATTGACGTTCTCCCACTGTCCTGGAGAATATAGTTGCGCAAGGCGGTCCTTGTCCAGCCGGGCAATCCGCTTCCCTACCGGCTTGGGCGCTCGGAGGGGATATGGAGGGGAGCTTGCATCAATCTCGTGAGAACACATTGTTGGATTGGCTTGGACATGGAGGTTGGAAAAATGAAGTGAGTTTACACGACCACCTTATCTAGCAGATGATGACTGCGGTGAGGAACAGTAGCCCGCCCCCACGTCTTCGAAATTTGCCGAGGTTTATCCACGGTGTAGTGATCGGGTACCTGTATCCGAAAGTATCACCCGGCTAAACGTCTCGAGGCCAGTATAGGTAAAGACTAGCACGCCCTGGCGCCGATTCCCCTAAGGACGAGGAAAGGATTATCGTTAGCAATTTGCCGATTCGTCGTTCGGACTGCGAATTCCGTAGGGCAGGTAAAGGAGTCGATTTAAGCGAGCAGTGTGACCAATAGGATAAATTAGACACCATAAGCCTGGGCGCACGGCAGGAGGGCTGGTAGTTCTGGTGGGAAAGATCCAATCATAGAGGGATAAACAAACGCTTAAATTCCAACCGACGCGTCGCAAGCTTGGCGGGGGCTTACCCCAGATCGTCTTAGAGCTTCCCCGCCTCTCCACAGACACGAGTGTGGAGGTGGAAAAATCATGCCAGAACCAACAAGAGTACGAGAAGGAGATGACGGTGTGAAAGGTTCCCGTAGTCATCGCTCAGGCGATTGAGAGATAAATTGAATGCAATAGCCGTGTCCAGTGGACCCTTGAAATTGGTATTTCCCAGACCCAAACTCGTCTCCGTCTCCGTCAACAGAAGGTTGAACACCAACTGCCATGAATAAAACCAGTGAGATCAATGAGGCCCCGGAGGTCGTGGAGATGGATGTGGTGAAGGAGCAAATGAACTATGACCTCATCGATCGTGAAGTTGCCGAGTACGCAAATGCGACCATCGTGGAGGTTGACGAAGCCACCAATCGCCGACTCAAGAAGCTCATCGATAAGCGTGTGATGGTGGTCATGGTTATCACCTACCTAATTCAAACTTTGGACAAAGGAACGATGTCTTATGCGTCCATTATGGGCATTCAAGAAGATACCCATTTGGTGGGCCAACAGGTCAGTCGCACACCGTATGCACTGGTACCGTTTTGGGCCTAAAATAACAATGGAGATTTAAATAGTACTCGTGGATGACAACGATTCTATACATGATCATTTTGGTCGTGGAATTTCCGGTAACTGCACTCCTAGATGTGCGAGTTTTGAATCTTCACTTACAACTCGACAGGAAAACTACATCATTCAGCGAGTCCCAATCGCCAAGTGGCTATCGGGCAATATTATACTATGGGGAGTCACACTTTCTCTCCAGGCTGCAATGAAAAATTTCGAAGGCCTGATCGCACTGCGAGCATTCCTGGGTGTTTTCGAAGCTGTCAGTCAACCGGCATTCACTTTGTTGTCGTCTATCTGGTACACACGAGAGGAGCAGGGTGGGGCAGTCACATTTTGGTATGCTCACGACTCGGCTAATTTGCGCATGTTACATTATGTTTTACATTTCTGACCTAAATCTACAGGTTCATGATGAATGGATTGAATCAAATTCTTGGTGGTCTTTTGGCATTCTGCTTTTCATTCATCCCCGAAACCTCTCCGATCAGCTCCTGGCAAGCTCTTTTCATGACATATGGCATCATGACCGTTTTCTGGGGCGCATTTGTTGGCTGGTGGATGCCGGACTCTCCTATGAGAGCCCACTGCTTTACTGAGAGTGATAAGCATCTTATGGTAGAACGTGTACGTCGCAACCGTACCGGCTTGCAAAATCGCAAATTTCGCAAAGACCAGGTGTGGGAAGTTGTCAAAGATCCACAAGGTAGGTGATTGACAACTCTTCCCAAAAAGGGTTGAACGCTTTTTAACAGTCTAAAGTCTACGCCATCGCACTTATCCAGCTTTTGCTCACTATTCCCTCCGGTGGTCTCGGTGCTTTCAACAATATCATCGTCAAGTCATTCGGCTTCACCACTTGGCAGACCCAGCTGCTTCAAATGGTCTCCGGTGTCGTCCAGCTCACTGCAATGCTTAGCGCTGTTTGGATCGAAAAGCGTTATAAGCAAACTATTCTCGTCATGATGGCCTCGGTGGTACCCACAATCGCCGGTGTCATTGTGCTCCTAACCGTTCCCTTCTCCCATGATAAGCGAGTCGGTCTTCTCTTCGCCTACTATATCATGATCGCGTACTGGGGCTGTGCTGGTCTTGCTCTTTCCATCGTGACACGTAATGTCGCCGGGCAGACGAAAAAGAGTGTGGTCATTGCCTGCAATTTCGTGTTTTGGGCCGTTGGGAATGCCATTGGCCCCCAGACCTTCCAATCCAAGGATGCCCCGCGCTATTTCCCGGCACTAGCAGCCGTGCTGGGCTGTTTTGTACTTCTGGAGGTTGTTTTGCTTTCACTACGCACTTGGTATATCACTGAAAATAAGAGACGCGACCGGAAGGTCGAACAAGGGGAGGTGACAGCCGATACGACGTTTGCTCACTCGTTTGAGGATATTACTGACCGAGTAAGGACGAACGAAATTTCTTTCCTTGATAGAGAAGGTGCCCTCAGCTAATCGATTTGTTTAGAAAAACCCGAACTTCCGCTATATTTATTAGTGGCGACTCGCACCGGGCAGACAAGACGAGTGGATGTTCAGTCGCAAGGCTGATGGGCGAAGAGTATATGATGGAATGTCACCTAGAAACTAATAAATAGCGTCGTAAGTCAATTGCCACAAGAGAGAAGCAGAGTATATTATTCCCTATTTTTTTCTCTCTCTCAGGACGGAGTAGATGCTATGTAGTAAACAAAATTAAAACTAAGCCCACAACTATCTTTTGCCTCCAACATGGCGTTTCTGCATCTGTCCATGATTGACTAGTTAACTAATTAACTAAGTAGTAAGTTCTGCAAGTCATCACGGTGGAAGTTTGAGAGTCAGAAGAAATGAGCCTCTGGAGATCGTGCCTCGGAAAGGTTTAGCTAGATACGCTTTCACTACCACTCTGTTGAAAAATATTTCTAGAAATCTTTTGAGCCGTCTCCCTAGACAGCTTTAGAATTATATCACGGGCTCTTCTTCCCAAGGAATATCATAGAGAGTAGAGTTGGAGCTATCCTGATTGGGCCTGCTAGTTTATCTTGCGGACTGAATTGATTGACGTGACATTGACAAGATACCGTCATTGTTTTAAGAAAGGAGCAGTGCCTTCATTTATCCATCAGTCGCTTTGCGAAGCAGACCTCAAATCAAGGCACTGTTTGTCCATACATGAGGAGTGAAGTCCATTTAAATTAGGACTTTGTAATACTCTGGATAGGAGCTCTTGTAACCCAAAATATACTTTCCCAGCACGAGCCCGCCGAAGAAATTCAACAGTATCCCCAAGGGTTTCGCTACTATGGCAGGCCCTGGTAGAGCAAGAACGACGCCGCCGACCCAGTTGAATAGCAGGACCTGCGGCAAACTCCGTGGCACTCCAGCCTTGCGACAATCATCTCGATAAGATTGTACGTTTCCTAAGCAATTAGTCAGTGAGGTTCTGGAGGACTTAAGAGTTGACTTGACATACGGAAGAAAGCCTCATCTCGTTCTCGCCATTGCGGCTCAAGAACAAACTCGATTACCAGTTCCTCCGATTCGCTATAATTGCGAAAAGTATGAATCGCCTTGGCTGGGATTGTGATCAAATCCCCCGCATTCTTAAGTATCTTTTGCCCATTATACAAGAACTCAGCAGTTCCTTGTAGAACATGGAATGTTTCGGTTTGGTGACGGTGCCAGTGGAGTGGTGGTCGTAATGCGATGTTTCTGTTTGCTTCACCCGAGTTGGGTGGCCAACGATTGACCACTAAATATCGGTCGGTCGGAGCCTTGAACTCGATGCGAGAGCGCCCTCCATCAAAGATCACAGGGTTTTGGTTCGCAGTTACTGTGCGTGGAACTCTTTTTGCTAAGAAGGAGAGCATTTCGCGTGCGAATGTGGCCCGGAAGATGTTGAGGTGCAAGTGATTAGAGGGGCGCAGAAGTTTCCCTTGTTGTGACCAGCGCGTCTCGGAGCCCCCTACTTTACAACACTTATTTCTAGTCTCGATGCACTTGGTTTGAGAAGATAGCCTCGACGAGATGAAAATATGAATACCTTCGAACAAAGGACAAATACCACCGCCAACCCGCTGAACGAAGAAATTTCCAAGCTAAATATTGTATTCCGCTGATGGTCGTTGACTCGGAGATAAGAGCCATCTCGGTTGATCACCCCGCAAAAGACCGAGACGACCAATGTCCTTTCAGCGATTCAACTCCTCGAACAGCACGTTCAGTAAACATAGCGGAATCGCAAATTCTCCCGATCTGTCAGATCCTCAAATCCTTCAAAATCCGTAGTTTCTTCAGATCCGGGCCCTTCAGCACTGGCCAGCTGGTCTTTCTTGTCATTTTGCCGCTTGAGGTGGAACCGCAAATAAAGCAAAACCAGCTCCAAGAGCGTATAGCATCCAAGGTGAATACTGAAGGCAGTAAAATAACGAGGAGCATCATTCGTCAAAAATATCTGGGGGCCTATTTGATAACCATCATATTAGTCCAAAGAAATTGATCGGAAACTCAAAATTCAAGGTCAGTCTTACCTATCGCGTTACCTGTAGCCCAGGCAATAAAATTGGCAGCAATAACTGTCGACTTTTTAGTCTGCCCGGCAATATTTCGGGAGATCATTGAAAGAGTAAGAGTCTGTGCGGCCCAGAATGAGAGTGTGATGTAGTAGCTCATAAGCAAGCCGGCTTTTGTAGCTGTCGTCTTGTTCTGCACGGTCATCAGAACAATAGTTCCAATGAAGGAGCTGATGACCAAATAATATGTCAGGATGTGTTCAAAATATGGCAATAGTATGATAAACTCACGGGATGCAGTAAGCTGCCATGACAATCAGATTTTGGTTTGTCTTTTTGACGAGCCACATAGAAGATAGCAGGACAAAGATGATGTATGCACCCAGAACCATGGAGAGGAGTTGAGTTTGAAGTGTTGTAAAGTGGAATCCTTTGATGATGATGTTGGCAAATGTTCCGAGTCCACTCGTCGGCAGGGTTGTGAAAAGCTGAATTCCGCAGTAACACCACATCTGGGGATCTTTCAAGGCCTCAATAACCTGGTATTTTCGGAACTTCTTATTCTGAATACCCGTTCGGTTGTCTCGGACTCGCTCAATCATTAGCTTCTTGTCTTCTTCGGAGAAACATGTCGCTGTCATAGGAGAGTCTGGCATGAAGAGCAACACAAAAACCCCGAAAAGCACCGAAAAGCATCCATAGGTGATGAACAGAGCTTGCCAGGATTTAAGGACTTTATCAGAGCCAATGAGACTAAATAAGTAGGCCAATAGACCACCAATCATCTGTTGAAACCCATTCATCATATACCTAAAAGCTCTCAGCATGTCGATTATCCAGATAATAGGGGTCAACCTACCAGAAAGTAACGGTCTGTGCCTGTTCCTCACGTTTATACCACATACCGGAGAGGCGAACAAAGCTTGGTTGCGCACAAGCTTCAAATATGCCGAGCAAAATTCGACATGCCAGGAGACCTCCAAAGCTCTTGACTGTTGAATGAAGTGCCAGAACAGTCCCCCATATAATGATGTTACAACCAAGGTATTTTGCGATTGGAACACGTTGGATAATCCAGTTGGTAGGGTATTCAACCACCAAGATCGAGAGGTATACGCACGTCGACAGCCAGGAATACTGTGCCTTGTCAGTAAGTTCCAGTGGCTGCAACCAGCAGAAAAACTCACCTCATTCCCGTGCAGGTGAGCGTCATCAAGGATGCCCATTATACTCGTGAAGCTGAGAGTTCCCTTGTCCAAAGCCTGCACAAGATAGGTGAAGACCATAATCGTAAGGACTCGGCGGTCAATCAGCCGTTTCAGACGACGAGAAGTAGGTTCATCGACCTCAATCCGCCCCATGCCTGCATATTTCTGGACTTCATCGTCGACACGATCACCCACCTGCGCCGACTTCAAATCCTCCACATCTGTAGTGATATGTTGCTCAAGATGGGCAGAACCCTTCACTTCCTTTTCCTGGGCGTCTCCCATGTTGGGATGCAGTAAGACTAGCCTTAGTATCAATGAAAAAGTGAGATATTGGATTGAAGTGTTAATCTGCGAGATCGACTCTATGTTAGAGAAACACCTTGCAAGAGAGATAGCTGCGGTCTCTATATAGCTCTCACCCGCGACTCGACCGCTGTATTGAAATTTGACCACACAGTAGATGGGAAGATGACTCCACATTCCCCGTAACAACCCCACATGTACTGCTTATTGGAGCTTAACCCCGCGTTGTACTCCCCCGGATTGACGCCGCCAAACTAAGACTTGCCAAGACGGAGAAATCGTCGACTAGACAAAGAAAGTCATAAGCACTTGCTTCGCAACCGAAGCCCAACTATCCCGTCGAAGGATCTAGCACACATTCGGCATATCTTCCTTGTCTTCAGTCGGTGTATCAATCCCCGAGCCTTCAGAATCTCGAACGATCGGGGCAAAGATGCACGAGAGGTGCAAATCGAATGATAACAAAGGCAAACGAATGAACCAATAAATTTCATTACTGACCATCCCTTGAATCAGCCGAGCCACCGCGATTTTTTTTCATTGCCCATTCCATCCGCCAGGAGTTTCCATTAAAGCGCCACACCATGTCTGCCCAAGAAACTTCGTCGGTCATTCGACCAAGCGCATCAGACATAAACGGCACCATCAACAGCCTGATCCATAACCTAGTAAACATCAAGGATGAGAGTGGGCGTTTCCTGCTCCATTTATCGGACGGTCGCATAATTGACACAAAATCATGGAATGGCTGGGAGTGGACTCATGGAATCGGCCTTTACGGGATCTGGAAATACTACGAATTGACCGGCGACCCCTCGCTTCTCAAGATCATCGAAGACTGGTTTGCAGCCCGTTTCGCGGAAGGGGGCACCACCAAGAACATCAATACTATGGCGGTCTTCCTTACCCTAGCCTACGTCTATGAGAAGACCAAAAATCCTACGTATCTTCCTTGGCTTGATACATGGGCCGAATGGGCCATGCATGGCTTACCACGTACCCGCTACGATGGTATGCAGCACAAAACGTATGCCATGGAGCACAAACAGCAGCTTTGGGACGATACGCTGATGATGACCGTGCTACCACTGGTTAAAATCGGCAAACTACTCGGGCGCGAACATTATATCCTCGAAGCCAAGAAGCAATTGTTGATCCACATTAAGTACCTGTGTGATCACAAGAGTGGCCTTTTCTATCATGGTTGGACTTTCGAAGAGGGAGGCCACAACTTCGCTGGCGCGCTGTGGGCCCGTGGAAATAGCTGGATCACTATCGTCATCCCCGAAATTATTGAGCTCATGGAGCTCTCTCCAACGGACCCGCTTCGTTCATACCTCGAGGATACTCTGGATGCTCAATGCGAGGCGCTCCAACGGTTGCAGGAGCCCTCTGGCTATTGGCGGACATTGCTTGACCAAAAGGACGACGGTTCGTACATCGAGGCCTCGGCAACGGCTGGATTTGCTTTTGGGATCTTGAAGGGTATTCGCAAGCGCTATATTGGCGAAGGCTATCGGGCTGTGGCAGAAAAGGCTATCGGCGCTGTGCTGAAGTCAGTTGATGAGAATGGCGAGCTACAGAATACTAGCTTCGGGACAGGAATGGGGGATGACCTTGATCATTACCGAAACATTGCTGTCACAGCTATGCCTTATGGGCAAGCAATGGCCATGATGGCTCTTGGGGAATATTTGAGAACATACATATAGTCAGTTGTTTTTTGTTAGGAGCATTATTCTAGATTTACAGAGAATACCACTATTTCATTCCAAAGTTCTAGCTCTAACTCCAGTATTTACAATGGCCGAAGAAAAGACTTCGATTGAATCAGAGTCTGAAGGCACAAGGCTGCGCGAGGGGTCAAAGCCCTGATTTGTTACGTGTCTTAGCTTGGCATGTACAGAAAAACAACAAGCTCCTGGGCGCAAGGCTTATCAAGTCTTGTGTTGGCTTGGAAATCTTGGCCAATAATTATGCCCCCTTTACAGAAAGAGTAGTCGAGTGGATGGAATTATTGCACCAAAGTCCGCAAATCATGCGGCTTCTTCCCGGGGCTAGCAAGGCTACCTGCTGGAAATCAAAGCGATTGGACACGGTTCCGCTAACGTTGCTTTTCGCTAATACCGAGTTGCGTCCGTCCATCGATATGTAGCAATTTTCGGGGCAATGCAAACCGAATAGTAAATGTGAAATGACTAGGTAGGATTGATTGTGCGGGGTAATTATGCGAGGTAGTGAATGTGATCGCGATGTGTAACACGAGAGAGGAAGGAGGCATGGTTGGCGGTGAGATTGTTCATGTCTTGATCTACAGAAGGAATTAGAACGACAAGAAAGCATCTAACAAGATTGAGCCTTTTTTGCGTTTCGAGGAAACATTCTTGTATCAAAAAAATACCACAATCTCTCAAGCTTCATGGCCGAGGATCAGATGCGAATCACGCACGGGATTTCCCTCCAAACTCCCACCTTCGATAGCCGCCAAGATGGTCTCGGAATAGGGAATGCCACACCTCAAATCTCCTGGCGCTTTTTGCACGACGACCTCAGAATCGCAGGCTGGCAACAAAAGAGCTATGAGATTGAAGTTGAGCGTCGGGGTACCGTGGAAACATACCTTGTCGATTCCCCTGAATCGGTTCGAGTGCCATGGCCAAGCTCGCCTTTGAGCTCCCGAGAAAGAGCCGCCGTTCGCGTCAGGTCGATCGGAGTCTCTCAAGATTTTAAAGAGCCCACTACAACTGAACGGTCGGCTTGGGCTTCAGTTGAGACGGGCATACTCGACAGAAAAGAATGGCGTGCTCAGTTGATCACAGGCCAGCAAGAAACATCTCTTGAAAAGCCAATCCGCCCTCTTCTCCTAAGGAGTTCGTTCGAAGTCTCCGATGTCTGCCCAAAAATAAGCCAAGCACGCCTCTATGTTACTGCACAGGGAGTTTACCATGCTTACCTGAATGGAACTCGTGTGGGTGACCATTTCATGGCACCCGGTTTCACCTCCTATCGATTCCGCTTTTCCTACCAAGTATTCGACGTGACAAATCTCATTAAAAATGGCTCAAAGAACATTCTTGCTGCAGAGGTTGGCGAAGGGTGGTATGCATCGAGTCTGTGGAGGGAAGGTCGGCAAATATATGGCAAAGACATTGGGTTGATCGCGCAGTTGGAAATCACCTTCGAGAACGACCACAAGCCACTGGTTGTGACCACGGATGCGAGCTGGGAATGGAACACTGGCCCCATGCTGGCTAGCGAGATCTACGATGGCGAGACTTTTGACATGGCACACGAACAGTCAGGTTGGAAGACTGGAGCTCAGGCTCAACCGGGCACCCAGTGGAGGAAAGTCACCGTCTTGCCCCTTCCTTCTGCCACATTCTCAGCGCCAGATGGGCCTCCTGTTCGTGCAACACAAGAGATACAGCCACAGAAGATCTTCAAATCTCCCTCTGGGAAGCTACTGATTGACTTTGGGCAAAACTTGGTAGGGAAACTACGTGTTCGCGGATTGTACAAGCCAGCTGGCCATCGTGTGATCTTCCAACATGCTGAAGTTCTCGAACATGAGGAAATCTGCATGCGTCCACTTCGTGCCGCAAAATGCACGGATGTTATCGTATGCTCAGGCGACAAGTTAGAGAGTTGGTCTCCTAGCTTCACGTTCCATGGCTTCCGGTTCGTTCAAGTGGATGGATGGTCTCCAGAAGACGAACTTTGTCCGCTACTCGCGGAAAATATCACAGCAATTGTCTTGCACAGTGACATGAAGCTAACGGGCTGGTTTAACTGCTCTAATGAACAGATAAACAGACTCCATGAAAACTCGGTTTGGAGTATGCGAGGAAATTTCCTTTCTATCCCAACAGATTGCCCTCAACGCGATGAACGCCTCGGCTGGACAGGTGACATTCAGGTTTTCAGTCCTTCCGCAAACTTCCTATACGATACCGATGGCATGATTGCGGACTGGCTTGTGGACCTCTCACTGGAGCAAAATGAAGGCAATGGTGTACCTCCGATGATCGTACCCAACGTGCAATTTGCGAAAGAGTCACGGCCACCGCAGGCTGTCTGGGGGGACGCTTCCATCCTAGTCCCATGGGCCTTATATACATGGTTCGGGGATAGAGAAATACTCTCACGACAATATCACAGTATGAAATCTTGGCTAGACAAAGGATGTTCTCGTGGCGAGGATGGGCTGTGGACGACCTCGCTTTGGCAACATGGAGACTGGTTAGACCCATCAGCCCCGCCTGAAGATCCTGGGAATGGCCAAACAGACGGTGTCTACGTGGCTGACGCATACTTGGTATATGTAACGGGTGTTTTGAGCCAAATAGCGACCATTCTTGAATGCTCAGATGATGCACGAAAATACTCCGATGACCACCTTCGCCTCAAGCAGGTCTTCCAAGAGAAATACATTACACCCAAAGGGATGGTGATGTGCGACACTCAAACCTCGTTATCACTGGCATTATTTTTCTCGCTATTCGCATCAGAAGACCAGATAAAGAATGCCGGGGAGCGATTAGCTCGAAAAGTGCGCTTTGCTAAATTTCGAGTTGCCACTGGCTTTGCTGGGACCCCCATCGTGACACATGCGCTGAGCCGGACTGGATGGCACCAGCTTTCATACAGAATGCTACTAGAGACCAGTTGTCCGTCATGGCTGTATCCCGTCACAATGGGAGCTACCACGACCTGGGAACGGTGGAACAGTATGCTTCCAGATGGCACGGTTAATCCAGGCCAGATGACCAGCTTTAATCACTATGCGCTAGGGTCTGTCAGCAACTGGCTTCACGAATACGTTGGAGGCATCAGTGTTATCGAGCCTGGCTGGAAGGTCTTCAAAGTCCAGCCAATTCCGGGCGGGACGATTCGCAACGCCGATATTCAATATGAAAGTCCATATGGCTTGATCAAATGTTCGTGGAGCCTGGATGACGCTTCGGTCTTCTCAATGAAGCTTCAAATCCCTCCCAACTCCTCTGCACTAGTTTTTATGCCAGAGATGGAGGTCAACCCAAAAGGTCGGCAAGGGACAGTCTTTTACTCTGGTCGCTACGACCTATCTTGTAATTTTCATCCCGATCCATGGCCCCCGACTCCACTCGAAACATTGTTCAAGCCACCTGCACGAAAGGCCACAAGTTGAAGAAAGAAGAGTTGTTTATACATGATGAGATAGATGTAGATCTAGATTGAACTAATGGCGATTGTCTCCAAGCACAAGCCCGTAATCACTTTAAATGCGCAAACGTCCTTGAACAGGCGGAATTCGTTCCGCGGAGAATGTAATAACGAATTCTCACTTTCAAGCTCTGTCCAGGCTAGAATCTGAGATAGATTCTTCTTCTGCTTTGGCAAGAGTCTGTTCTTTGGTCAATTTCGGGTTCCGAATGCAAAGCGCGAAAATGATCAATGGAATGGTCAGACAAATGCCGGTGATACAAAGTAGACGCTGGGTTTTCTGGTAGGCGAGAATCACATTATCCCTGTCGGGCGTCCCAACGGGGTTAGCGTCAGCAAAGACTAGAGGTTGTGCGTATACCTCTGCGGCTCGAGTCGCATTTCCAAGCCTATGAGTCAGCTCTGCCGGAAGTACTTGATTCCAGATAGCACCAGAAATCGTATTTCCTAATGCGCTGCCAATATTGTAAGACGCAAGGTAGATTCCAGTAACGACAGCGAGGTCTAGTATGTGACGATGTAAGTTTCATAGTTTAACGGGACTCGGACTAGTAGCAAACTCACGTTCATGTTTCGAAACAGCTTGAATACTAGCTTGAGCAGGATAGGGAAACATTCCACCAGCTAGGAGACTGTTAGCAAGCGAAGAAACCCTGTTAGTTGATAATTTCAAACTCATACCGAGACCCAGAAGAACTTGTCCGCCAATAACCCCTGAATGACTTGACCCACTAGAGCCACCACGATAGTGGATGAGGATGCCAAAAGCGATTGTGAACAGCACTGTACCGGCGACGATAAAGGGTTTCAATTGCCGGACCTTGATAATAATCAACCCAAGGATAGTCCCGGCAATGACAGATGTAAAACTGTAAAGTGAAGTGATTCGAGTGGCACTCAGCACCGATTCGTCGAAGCTCACATAGAGTACAGTGTATAAGAAGTCACCCTGAAGATACCAGGCTAGGAACTAGTTAGATGATTCTCCGGTCAGGATGTCAGTGTAGCATACCAGTATTCAACATAACCGCAATCCCGAGTGCTCCCCAAACGCCGCGATCTTTGAGGCGCTATATGATGATGCATTAATTTTTGACCGATTTGTCGTGCCCAAATCAGGGTTTAGACTCACTCTAAATGGCAGCATAGGATATTTGCATGTCTTCTCCCAGTATGCCCACACTGGAATTAGCAGAATGCCAATTACCAATGGGGCAATGACTTTTGCGGTTTTCCATTGGGCGGTCACGCCACCAGCAAGAGTGAATGGAACCAAAATACAGGCGAGCATAGCAATCATCAATATGATCCCGACAACATCCAGATGCCAAAAAAGCTCCACTGCAAGCCGGCGACCACCAATCAGGTCCATCGAGCTTTTATAGGACTCCAGTTGACCAGATGATTTGGCGCGGCGGTGGACAATAAACAGGACGGTGATCAAAGGGAGAGCGCAGATGGGGTAGATGATGGCAAACATTCCGATGCCCCATTGCCACGAAGTAACTTTGAGGACAGCGGTCGTTAGATTTCCACTTATCCAAGTGTTTATCTGTGGGTAATTTATTTAGCGTTCGTTACTACTGTAGGGATTGAAAAAGAACTCACAATGAACGGCAATGCAGGGATATAGGAGAAGAGAAGTCGGGATCGAGTGGAAGTAACATCAGCAATCAAGACCTCCACAAGCAGCATGATGCAAGTATACCCGATCTATAATAGCAGTCAGATCAAGGTATCATCCAGAACTCTTACGAGATCCTTACCTGGTAAATCACAGCTCCTGCGCAGAAAGCTTCCACGCTCTTAGAAAAAGTCTCGATGATTGTTCCCACGGTATAGAAGATAATTGACACAATAATAAGCTCGACTCTGCCGAAGACATCTGCAATTTTTGCGGCCGTGGGCTGAAGAAAAACTTGTAAGCCAATCCGGGCGCCGTCCTCGATCTCCAGCTAACATACCTGTGCGGCCGCAGCGATGACGGCGCGAAGAACATTAACCGTAGCTAGCAGACTGTGTTGCCCATAGCTTTGTGTCGCATATGGCTGCGATGAAATGTTTTAGTCTCTCTTTCATCGAAAAGAAATGGAAGACTCATAATTTTCTTTGAACATCTTACCTGGTAGGTATAACGGACGGTGCCATCTAGACCGTAGACATAGGCGATAAGAAAAACGCCGAGAAACAGAAAGATGCGATCCACAAAGCGAAAATGCGAGGCAATTATCTCGATGCGCCGAACACCCGGGCTGCCTTCACCCAGTAAATTAACTTCCTGGGAGGGGCCAACCTGGGGTTGCGGGGCCTTCTCCTGGTTCTCACCGAAGCGATCGGCGCTGGAGCGTGGTGCCAGAATGTCTGCCATGAGGACTCGCAACTGGCGACCAAGGACGTCAAATTTCTTCCGAGAGAAGAAAAATTTTTTAGCGCATAGCCCTTGCCGTCCCTTTATAGGACAGGCAGCCTGTGGCCAAGCCCGTGGCCTGAGAAAAAGTGCTTTGCGTTCGGAAGTAGCTCATCCCACTGAAGTGGAGATCCACAATTTTCCATCTTATCTGATGGAATCAGGCGAAGGACCCTTTCTCGCGCCCGAATCAGAGTGCCTGATTCTTTGCCCAGGGACACTAAACCCTTGGTTTACATATCTCAACCACTCACCGAACGAGAAAATACTCCACCTCGTGTTCTCGCCGCGGTTTGCAATTTCCACAGACCGCGTGCCATGCGACCGAGGCCCCTGGTGGCTGAGACATTTGTACAGCAAGTTCAGCACGACAAGGCAAATTATGAGTGGAGCTGTAAGAGCATTCAAGTTTAAATAACTGCAAGACCATCTAATTACATATATCGATTTTCCAAGATTCGCTATCAAGATAGTAGAGAGGAGATTGACAGGATCTTTGGGCTCTGACTTTTCTCCAAGCCGTCTCGTTGTGCCCACTGACTCTGTTGTCTCCGAAGACAAGCCTGTCCTTTCTGAGATTTATGATGACTACTCAACATATCTCGTCGAGCAAATGGAGTTTGGCACCCTCCACAAACCCAATTCTTTTCGCCAGAATGTGTTCTCATGTGACGCTTGGCATCGCTTTTCCTAGCAAATGGTCGTTTGCAGATATTGCATGAGTATGGCATGGTACGGTCGTGCGTCACCAAATGTGACTTGAGGTTGTATAGTCTCGTAAATGTTTTTGAGCAATGCTCGCAGCGAAAGGTCTTCGAAGAATTGGACTTGACTCCCAAGTCTGGCAGGCATTCTGGTTCAAACTCTGACCTCGGAATCATAATCTCATTGTGTATATCTTCCATTCTTTCTTCAAAAACGCTATTCGGGGATTGCGTAGATGGAGATGGTGCGGTATTTGATATATCTAGGCCTCCTTGATCGGTCTGGTGGCTTATCGCAATCTCCGTCAACGCTTGGCTATTGTCATTCTGAGCGGATAATTCAGAACGACAAGTTTTGATATAGTCCTTGCGAACATCCTGTCCAAGTTCAGTGCTATAACCAGTAAAATCTGCATTCGTGTCCTGCTTTGATCGTATACGATTCTCGTCTTGTTTGTCAAAATCCGGAGTATATTGCTTATAAGCCATGGCGGGTAGTTGGTGATATGTTGTATACAAGAGCCTCCTTCATATACAAGTGAATTGAGGCTCATAATAGGAGTCGCAACAAAATCAGGAGACAACGGAAATTCATAGAGATGGCGAGCCTAAGCACCTACCCGATGCGGCTCTACGAGAGCACAGCCACCCCACCCGGGTTTCAGCTGAGCACCCATTTGCTCGTAACGAGTGTTAGCGGGCTGCGAAATAGGCAGCGAAGCACCAAAGAAACCAGATTGTCAGCTTTATTTCAATCTCGCTCGGTCTCTCCTCTAACTTGCTGAGGCATCTGCTATGCTAAGCAGGCGAGGCTGAATGCTAACTTACGCGCTTTTGGTATGTAAGCGTGACCAAGAACAATAACCCCTCAGATACTTAATGAACATAAGAAAAGCTCACCATAAGTGAATGATTTTGGTGTAAGCTTTCTCGTTGTGCTATTAGATTTCGCAGCCTATGGCGCATTTGGACCCTCCGGCTGGTTGGGCTCATTGGAGGGGTCGTGCTGGGAATGATGAAGCAGCCTGGGGAGGACGGTTTGTTTATGCTAATGAGCCAAGCGGATCAGTTCGGGGGTCGCTAATATCTATCTGTTTGACTGGAAACAACTCGTTACGGACTGAGCTTCCCGTTTACCCACTTTGCTGAACAGAGCGCGTCTTTAAACTCTCTTGCCCGACCGGTGAAAGTACACGATTTCTAACGTAAACAGCTCCTTAAGAATGTGGTGCTTGGTGACTACTCACTCTACAGTACTTAACTAAATGATGGTGGGAGGGGCATTGGATTTGTCAGCTGGTACGCCTGACAGGATTTGGTGGTGACCAAACTGTCTTAGCATACAAGCCGTCATCCTTCGAGCTAACAAGATTGAGACAGCGGAAGATATGAATGACTGACAATGGATAACACAATCCCGATCCACTCATCCCGGCAGCGGAGGAATGCGATGCTGGCGTGCGAAAAATGTCGTGTCCTCAAGGTGAAATGTATCCGGCCCGAGGAGGGACAGCCTTGTACCAAGTGCGCACCACAGGCCCGACCGTATAATTACACCTTATGCTAATTTGAGTAGATGTGCCAGATCAAATTCTCATTGCGTAGTTCCCGAACCGAAACATAGAGCTCGAGGTTCACAACGAGCGAAACCGTACGTGACGCTGGGGTCTCCGCACTTGAAAGGTGATTTTTTGCTGACAGGAAGGGGATGAAGGCGGCTACTCGATCTTGAGTCCAAGCTCACCGATATCATCGGTCTTCTTTCACGCTCGAATGCACCCCTTTTTGGAGTGGAAACCTCTGTGAATGTGGATTTTGGACTGTCTGCGATTCCCGGATATCCTAGTGATAATTCACTCCGACCGACTGAATGCATGAGCGGAGAGCACCTAGCTAATTTTGAATTGAGTGAAGGTCCAGAGTCGGGCGGAGAACAGAATACCACTGAAGATGTTCTGGAACATCCGTGGGACTCATCTGCTGCTACAAGTGCCGCGTGGATCACCGGTTTGGGACTCGGACCTGTCGTCCTCGAGAATCTCTTGGACAGGTTCCGTGGCATGGCATCTTCTTTTCCATTTGTGCGGGTCTCGAACGACTGTACTGCTGCATCAATGGCTAAAGATCGACCCTTTCTACTGCTTGCAGCTGTTGCTGCTGCGTCCTCGAAGTATTGTCACCTTCAGGATGCTCTGATCAGACGATTCAAAGAGTCCCTGAGCGAGCGGGTAATCATGGCTGGCGAGAAGGACCTAGACCTGCTCCAGGGGTTACTTGTCCACCTTGCATGGTAAGATGTCGGATCGGGGATTGGCTCATTTTTCGTCGACATCAGAAACACTCGCAAGCTGACCAATGGAAGGTTCCATTTCCATTTTGTTCCAGGAAGTCAACAAGCCTACCAGTACATACAAATCGCAATCAGCATGGTCATTGACCTCTGCCTTGATCATGAAGTTACCGACCTACTCGAGCAGCGAATCAAGCTTGGCGATACATATAACCTGGAAGCGTGCCGGGCGTATCTAGGTTGCTATTACCTGTCTGGCATGTATGATGCCAATCTCAATCATGATGGGCAATTTTAGATTTGAGCTGACCTAAATAGAATAGCAATGGCTTCGGGGAAGCCCAACAATCTTCCATTCCGCAAGGATATGCTTAGATGCGCGATGACGCTGCAACAGCAACCAGAATTCGAGACAGACCTCCTGATATACCCAGTGACGAAAGTTTTGCAGTTCACCGAAGAAGCCTGTGAAACTTACCGGCTGGAAGGTATTCATGGCCCCAGGTTGTACATCCATGCTGAACAATTTACAGCGTGGTTAGAAGAATGGTGGTCGTCCCTATCGATGGATCTCCGCAACACGGGTAGGAACTTCTTAGGGTCTGGGCTTCCCATTTAGCCGACTGACAAGTTTATAGTATTGCTGATCAACGGCTATTATGCTGCCAAAATACGAATTCAAGAAATGGGCTTGGTATATTGCTACGGGCAGAGAAGACCGCCATCCTTAAAGACGCAGGAAGATTCCACAATATTGTCTGCACATCCAATGGTCATCAACAACTTGATTAAATGCGTCAGCTCGGCAAAAGAATACCTTGATCTCTTTTGTGCTCTTCCAGCTGCAGAGCACAGGACCTTGCCATTCTCCGCTTGGTATCAGGTTATTTTCACGGTATTTGTTCTGTACAGATTGTCCGTCGGGCTGCCAGAAGTGCATCAGTGGGACGTAGAGATTGCACGACAGACTGTGGATCTACGAGATTACATTGATACACTGCTGTCTCACTTGCAGTCAATTGAGCCATTGCAAGATGCCCAGATACCCACCCGGAGCCTTTTTACGAGACTTCCCGAGATCATAGGAAGTGTAAGGACTTCTTATGCATTGGCCAAAGAAAATTCCGCAGAGGTTCGTGATAGCCATCGTGCTCATTGCGAGCTTATGTCTTCGAATAACACATCCTCATCTGTTCGACCGTTACACCGCTGCCCTGGAATGCGGTATTCGCGCTGTCACGTCGCTCAGGCTCAGCATCAACCCGCACTACAAAGTGCTATTGCTACGGAAGTACAGAATATAGAAGAGGAGACGGTTTGGGCGGATATATTGTTCATGGATACATTTCCTAGCATGACAGATCCGTCGTCTATCCAGGCTTGACAGGTTATCCATGTTTCCAGACCTCAACCCCGCCAAACTGCAATTTCAGCAAAGCAATACCTCAGATCTTGTCGGGAAAGACATGGGTCGAAATCTTCTTTCCAGTCGAATCATATCGCTGGGGCAGGACATTGAAAAGTCCATCAACATCCCGTGGCTCAAAATCAAGCGACAATGCCGCTTGGATAAGAATGTCCAGCCCAAAAGTCTCTTTGATCCAGTGTGCAACCATATCCATCCCCGCCACAGCTCCACTCCCAGTCCAAATGTTGCCATCAATAATCCACTTCTTCTCCTTCGTCCACTGGACAGTCGGGTACTTCTGCTTAACCCAATTGTACTCGAGGTTATTGACTGTAGCCCGTCTGCCGTCTAGAGCGCCAGTAGCCGCAACAACTGCGGACCCGGTACATGTCGTAAAGAGTAACTTTCCAGAAGCAACATGGCGGCGAATGAGATCCTGCAACTTCGGAGGAAGATTGGTCCTCGCAGGGCTATCCCCACCGACGAGGAGGATATCCAATTCGGGGACGTCATCCACAGCGACCGTAGGTACCATGGTCACAGAACTTGTAAGCTGGTGTACTGGCTCCAGGGTCTCTCCAATATGATGGAATACGAAGTCAGGCGCCTTTGCCAGAATGGCTGGATCCACGGGGGTATAGCGATTGATGCCCTCCATAAGCATTTTACTCGCGGAATTGATCAGATCGCATGGTCCAATGACATCGATTGTCTGGTAATCGAAGACCAGAGCACCAACGTGGATCGGGGCCATTTTGAGAGGAGTATGAGGAGTATTGAAAGACAAATCTCAGATGCAGTTTGTATGTAAGTTAATAATTTTTGCTGTATTTCCCAGCGTTTAAATACTGTCATTATCCGGATGCCATAATCGCGGAGCGGGCTGTAGCCAAGCATCCGTCCTCCGTGGTTGACAGTCTTGGCACGGGCAATGAGATCAACGCATGATCCGTGTCCGTGATTCTAGCTTTAGAAACATAGTGCACTAAGCAATAGTGTAATTTTGTTAGTGAGCCTGATTATAACACCTCCGCCTGGCTCTTAAAAGCTGCAGCAGCCTAGAAAGTCTCCAAGAAGGTCCATAAGGGTGTACAAGGTTAGTCTGGAAAAGAGAATTGAGTCTGCGAATCTCAGATGGTTCTGAGAAAATAGCTTGTCTATGCCCGCACTTGGCTTGCACGAATTTGCAAATTCACGTCTAGGTTGCTGCCCAGAGCCGTGTTGAGGGTTCACGGTCTTTGTTTATTGCCTTATGGCCTTACTTCTGGACATCATGCCTCGCTGTCTTCGGAAAAGGCTGTTATTGCGTTTGCTCCATTTACCACGTCATGTTGGCCTTTCATGTGACCGAATCAAATAATTAAATTGCCGAAATATTCTATCGCTCCGTGCTAAAATTTATCAAAAGCAATCGAGCGGTATAACCTCTTTTTTTACGGCCGCCTCCCGTACTCTGAGATTCAACTACCCGTCCAGCAGCCGGACCCGCTTTTTCTTTTCAAAACTCCACAAACAGCATATCCAAAAGAGAAGTCTCCTTGAGCATATCAACAGTCAACCGAAACAATGTCAACCCACCAGCAAGAGCGAGTGAATACCTTCAATCGCCTCCCTCGCCCCGCGTTCGATGACCTGGGGTGTCCGAATCATTATCATTTCTCCGTGCAGTCCCTTCCTTTCGTCCCAGGAGATGCTGTGTTTATGTTGAACCCCATAAACGGCCACGAACACACCGAAGGCCGCACTCGCATCGCCTCACTGCCGCCAGACCAACAAGCCAAGATCATTGTTCCACTGCTCTTGTACTCTTTCAACAACCGATTCGACAACCCCGGCTTCATCCACCAAATGCATGAGAGTATGCATCCCTGGGCTCCGTGGAGCTGGAGCACCACCGACCCTGTCCTCGCGGATGCAGTCTCTGCACGACTACGCGCAATTGGTGTTCGGGAAGAGCTCTGTCAAGTGGAGGTTTCCGATCCCGATACTGTGGATATGATTGAGGAGAGGTGGACTGTAATGGAGAGACAGCTTGCAGCAGCCATTCCTTTCTTCCCAGATGATTTTGCAGGCCATGTGGACAAAAGCTGCAACTCTTGTGGGTTTACACCCTCGTTGGATGTTTCGCTCATGCGTTGCTCTCGTTGCAAGCAGGCTTATTACTGCTCGAAGGATTGTCAGATGGAGGACTGGAAGACGCATAAGAAGAATTGCCCTTGGCCTGACCCATGAGGACGCAACTTCCTTCGGCCAAGATGGAGATAGATTAGCGCTTTGACAAAACAACGGGGGGTTCTCGTGGCTCAAAGGCACGACTTTACAATTGATCATCTTTCTATCTAGAAGTTTGAATCTGGCGACTAGGGTAAAAGAGTGAGGCTAGATACGCCCCGTCTACCACTTTTTTGAAGTATTTCCCTAGATAGCTTCGGAATTACTGCTGGGGTAATCTTTTGGTTCATGATCAACAAATACTTTTGAAATTGGAAGGGCAAGGCTGCTGCCACCCCCAAGATTTCCCCCGCACACCCCCTGGAGCCCTAGATTTCTGCCTGGCATAATAATACACATTATATTATTCTACCTGGTAGCCTTCTATATAGTGGAGCTTTATAGTAAGTTCAAAACCTGGACTTGACTTCGAAATCATATCATTAGACATTAGGTACTTTGCAAGCTAGTTACCTACTTAGATCGAGAGATATTATGTGCGCTATCCGAAAGACATCTCAAAAGGCCTTCCAAAAGATAAGTACTTGTACTCATCTTGCTAAGCCCGTCAGGCAGAGATTTAAGGCCCCAGGGGGTGACAGCAGTCTCGCCCAATTGAAACCTAGTTAATGAATATTACAGACAAAAGTAAGCGTTATCCTAATGAGGCCTGTCTTTCGTGCGAGTGATAATAGCCTTTTTACATTGCTGAGACCCGACCTATTTGTTTGACTAAATCTTTGTGGCTTCCTTGCACCTTAAACACAGCAATCTGAAACCCGAGCTCAAGAAGGTGTATCGCCGTAGCTTTAAGTAAGCTTGGTCTTAATAAAGGCCAACGCTTGGGAACCATACTCCGCCCCATAACCTTGGTGAGTCGCCGCATTGCTACCATTGCAGCAGTACGGATCCGAAGCATCACAATAAGACTGGATCTTGCTAGCCGAAGGGCAGGAGAAGCCAGCCGGGCGTTCATCAAACTATATTTCAATCGTCAGTATAAAACAGAGAGTTTAGAGCCAGAATAAGGAAGACGTACACCGCCAGCTGCACAAGTGCCAACTTCATACGACAGACCAGCCCTGAACATGGGATCACCCATGAAAATGGCCGCCTTGACCATGTTGACGGCGGCCGAGGAAAGCTGCACGGCGGTGTTGGTGTATCCCTGGTTGGAATCGCCGCCGCCGCACAGGGCTACATCCATGATCTCGCCACCCTAATAACACACGTTAATCATTCACGATATCCATGGTATAATAGATGTTTGGAAAAGCTCGAACTAACCTGGGAGTATCCAACCAAGACCAGCTGGGTACTTGGGCACTGGCTATTGAATGAATTTACTGCCGATGCCACAGCAGCGATGCCCTGAGCGACCGAGCTCGAGTAGCTGACACTTCCACAGGACGATTGTCCACCACATGCAGGGTAGCTAATTGCCTCGGCGGTAGATCCGGAATACGCGCTGAGAACGGCGTTGACCACGGTGCTGGAGGAGCCGTAGCCGGCAGACGCGGTGGTTTCACGGGCACCGAAGACGTGGATGTCGGGACAGCTGCGCTTCTCCACGCCTCCCTCGAGAGGAATAGCAGTAGCGCCAATGGCAAGAAGCGAGGCTGTCAGAATCTTGGAATGCATTTTCTCTGGTTGACTTGGCAATTGGAGGATGTCGAAATGGAAGATGGTAATCAAGGATTGATAATGAAGATATTTTCGTATATAGTCTCCTCCTCGACGAGTTGCAGATATGAACATTTATAGTTGAGGTGAATTAATATGATCGATTGAAACAAAGATCTGTTCCATGTTTCCGTGTAGTATCTTGACAAGATCGAATCCACGATCCCTTGGACCGAAACAAGGGTTTTGGCTAATATAGATGAAGGTTGAAGTTTCACTCGAGGCTTGGCAGGCAACATGCCCCATTTAGCCGTGAAGAAGTTGATATCATTCAATCAGGCTGAATCGATCGGCGTTTCGGGGCGAGGGCGCCAGAAAGAAACAAGCAATTCAGTGTGAAACACGAAAGAGTTACGGGACTGTCTCGGGGTAGGAGTCCTGAATAGGAGGGATCTGCGAAGACCCTGGGGTATTTCCCCGCATTTCAGATCTACCGTGAAGAAATGCAGGTGCACTTTGTATTTTGCCGGGTACCGATACAGCCTAAGAGTAGATGGTCTGTCCTTGAGGGGGAATGTAGTAATTCCGATCGAACGATGATCCCTGGTTGATGGCTTGCCGTATCCATCGCGGGAGGCTCCCCAGTGGGTCAGGATCTTCTTGTGGGGTTTGTGGCTGTGAAGGTGGTTAGTAACTTAGTGCTGACTCTTCAGCTGAACAAGCCTTTCTTTCTTCCCCGCTGCTGACATCATGAAGTTTTTCCTTTTCTCAAATCAGCCGCCATGGGAAAATTAGTGAAACTCCTAGGCTCTGGAGTTGGACTGGCGTCCGAAGCCATCCACGCTGCTCGGTCGCGGTCGCGCTCTGACCAACCATCCTCTTCGGCGAGTGCAAGCAACACCGTTCCCCCAGAGTATGTTGAGGTCGAGGATGACACCGCCGAAAGACTTATCCGTAGTGGGCAAGCTGAGCGGGTAATCGACACCGGCGATGAGAAGCATCCCTCCAAGGCTGCCGAAGCTGGATACGACTCTGAAGGCGACAGCTCGGAATCCGAGGAGCTTGAGGCTCTCGGACAGGATGAAGCCGCCTGGGAACTTGATGAGATGGCCGAGCGTGTGAGGCTGCCTACATACGACGAGTCAGAAGCTGCAGCTGCAGCTGCAGAGCCAGAGGATGTGAAGGTCAAGAAGGAAGAGGCAATGGTGCGCGAGCTTGTTCGAAGGGCCGGAACCCCACCTCAGCCACCACAGCGTATTCCCTGCCCCGTCATCATCCCTCAGCGCCGTCCGAGAAACAAGGATCGCGGATTTGTTCGTGCATATGCTCCCGTGCTTGCCGATTGTGGTATTAGCCAGGAGGTGTTCTTGCAGTTTTTGGAAGATTGTGACAAGGCTAGCAAGGTTGGTGGTTCACGTGTTTCGTCTTGGTCGCAGAAGGAAGAATGAAAGGCCCAGTCAGCTGATCGACATCCAGGCTTCTCCATGGATCGAAGTTGTCTTCGTGGCTGCCGGCATCGTCGGCTTCGTACCCGAAGTCTCAGCACAGATTGTGAGCGCCGTGGTGCAAGTGGTGGCAGGAACGGCACGGGAATTACAGTCGAGATCTCGCCGCAATACCTTCCTGGATCGCGTCAACCAGGACTTACTCATGCCTCGCGGGCTATACGCCATGATTATGACATTCAAAGACGAGATTCCTGGTCAACAGAGCGGGCCCCTGTACAGACTATCCAGCTCGATAGGGAAAACTCTATTCTCCAGCGAGAAACTTGACATCAATCAGACTGTCGCCAAGTATAGCAACTCAGATCCAGAAATGTCCAAATTGAAGAAGGGTCTGAAGGATATACGCTTGACAAGTGGTCAAACACGGACTCAAATTGAGCTCCCCGAGGCTGCGGAGCTGATTTTCCCTGATCTTGACCGAGTCGCGGAAGAAGCATTGGAAGCTGACGGTAAAGGCAAAGAGACCGGTACTCGGGATAAGTTCAAGAATGCTGGTACTTGGGTCCAAGACTACCTTGATCGACGTGGACAAGCTTTCTATGTAAGTTATACTCAGACAAAGAATGACTACAGAGTACTCAGTGAATATATGCTCACGGTGAACCACGCAGGAAGCTGAACACCAAGGATCTTCCTTGGCTGTACCCTCGTCCGACAGGAAGTCGATGGCCTCCCGCTACAATGATCCCAACCATCCTGCGAACAGCGGCTCCTTGATCTCGCTCATCACCGGTGGTGCCGTCAACCCGGCAGCGCGAAGACAAGCTAGGCGAGAGGCCAAGCACGACCGGAGAGCGGCCAAGCGTGAATACAAAGATGCTAGGCGTGTGGCTCGCGGTCGCGCTCCCCGAGGCCCTAGAAGGGTCAAGCGAAGGGGCCAGCGGAAGACCATTCTCAAGAAGATCCTGCGTCAGGACGTACTGTATCTACTGATTGTCAATCTTCCCAGCCAGGAAGAAGTTCAGCAGTCTGTTGCGCAGCTTGAACAAGTCATGTCACAGACTGGTGCACACTAAGTCGTTTACGAATTTCATTCATATTTTCCGAGGTTGAAAATTTTTCGGGTAGTGACGTAGTTCATAGTTTCTACGATGTTCTATCGGTTTATCAATAGAAGAGAAAGAGTATCTTGAAAATTAAAGTACAAATGCAGACGCCGATAACTGGGACTTGGGCTTGGCCCCCAAGATGCAGTGGGCCCGGGCGTGGAAACCGTCAAAGCGGGATCCCAGAAGAGCTTAGACTCGGTCATGGCACTCTACAATTCCAAGCCACGGTCTATGAACACAGTGAGTCAAGTAAGCTTATCATCGGCGGTTAAGGAGGTGTTGTGACTCACTTCTATCTTTATATAGAGACAGGGAACTTGCTGGTTTCCCTTCTATTTGTTTGTTGACATTTTCCTCCTCTCTCTCCTCCTAGCAATCACAAGCTCACGGCTGACACCAACTGGGTATCTTCAACTTTTCCCATCTTTGATCTCTTTCCACTGCAGTATCAACCTCCGGATCTTCCACGCTTGAGTATTGCTGCAGTAGTATCCCTGAATCATCCCATCTTGGCCCAAGTGGTCCCCGCAGAGCAAAAATGGCGATGCAACACTTGCGCCGAGTACACAGGGAAGTCCAAGACGTGAACGACGACTTCCACTCCCTCCGAACAGTCCTGAAAGAGACCGACCACAAGTCAAAATGGAACTTCATCATGTTTCCCAACGACGGAGCCCTCTCACACCTCCCATTAATCGGCGAGCTCGTCATTCCGGAGCGATACCCCGATGCACCGCCCGTGTTGCATCTTTTCACTAAAACGCTCCGGTGGAATGTCGATGTCTACCAGTCCTATGTTAATGATGATACCCGCAGCACAATGTGCTTCGATATCCTTCGCCCCAAAGCATACGGCGGAACATGGGAGTCTGAATACACAATCTCCTGTCTCTTTGCGAGTCTGATGCAGGCCTTGGTAACACCGAAGGTGCCCCAGGACCATGGGGCTGATAAGCCAGAGTTTGTCACCATGGACAGGCTAGCAGAGTTGAAGAAGAGTGTTGAAAGGACATACCGTGCACGCAAGAACCATATCCCTCCTCTACCCGTCATCCCCACTATCCCTGCCGTACCCATTCCGGCAAAGGCCCTCACCTTCACACGACTCGGAAAGGAAGAAGGGCTGAAGTCTCTCGATTTCAAGAACGATGAGAAGTACATCAGTCAGGCCATTTATCTCCAGGACTATGACCAGCCGCAGTTCTGGTCAACTGTCTTGGACCTCAGGAACCTACATCCGGGCGTGGTGTTCTCGGCGATTCTCTCAAACAAGCCCGGTGCCGATCTGGTAGGCAAGAAAAGCGATACAATCTTGCTTCGGAACGGAGTCACTGGCACTGCGGCGAAAAAGCGAGCAGATCATCCTCTGGTATGGTTCTACCACGGAAAGCCATTAAATGATCAAAACCTATCTCTCTCCATCACCATCACAAACGACCAGTTCACCATGGCATACAAGGACGAAAACTCAGAAAAATTCTTGATCCATGGTGACACTCCAATCTCCAAGCTTGGTGAAGCCCAGATTGGCAACGTGAAGGGGATCCCGTTCTATCTGACAATCTATTTGAAGCGCAAATTCGGGGCTGAAGGATTCATCAGTGTCCTCGACCAAAACGAGACGGGGTATATCCATGCAAATCCGACTACCCTGGCTGTTCTCCAACCCTCAAGTCGTCCTCCGAAGTCAGTTAATCTGAATCTTGGGAGTGAGCAGACCGCTCGTTTGCAGGGTGTAATTGATTTCTATGCCTTGGGCGTAGACTTCAAGGTGCAGCGAAGCCTCATGAAGCCAGCAAAGATGACTTTGATCTCTGCAGATGATGTACCGTCGGAGGAATACACCAAGATCATCAAAGAAGTATACACTCCGTTGCGTGACAAGCCAATCGAAGTTGACGTTACAGCTATTGCAGCTGATAGACATTGTGTGGTGTTGATTCTTGACAACACCCTCTGTTCGAAGGGCAGGGGGAAGAAGGGCGAGGGAGAGAAAGAGGAAACTGAGAAAAGGGAGGGAAAGGAGGAGGAGCAGAAGAGCACACAGTTGGCAAAAGACAAACTGCTATGTGTGACTATGCGGTTGCGGGAGGAGTCGATCAAGGCTGACTATCCCGCCATATTCGCTGAGCGAGTGATCGAGGAGCATGCAAAGGAATGGGTCAATGTTGGTGATACATACGTGCAACTGCCCCAGCCGATCAAGATTACATGCCATGTAGAGTTTGATGGCCAAGATAATTTGTTTTAGTAATACCCAATTTAATGTTGAAACTTTTTCTATTCCTATTGGAAATTGCATCTAGATTGAGGTGACGACTCGCCCAGGCTTGCTAGTCTAACACATGACATTAGGGGGACGAGGCCCTAACAGTAGATCGCTTCGAGCCTATTCTAACATTCCATTTTCATTGATAAGTAAACTCTACGAATAATGACAGGGGCTCTATAAAAGACCAAAATATTTAAATAGATCGATGTGGCATATTAATTCTGTAAAATCTCAACAAACTCTTATTCTGGAAGTCGTCGGAAGCTTGGAATAAAGGCAAAGAAACAAGAAACGAAACATCAACATCCGAACACCCACATCAAACAATGAAACCGATCATCAAATCCTCACACATGTATGAGTTCCCGCTAAAATCACGTCGAGAATAATCTTCTTCCTTAATCAAACATCCTCGATATCGAAGCGCATCTGCAGAATATCCTGCCTCTGACCAATATACCAAAGTGAAATCGCAGAAACCTTCTTAACACCCTGACCAAAAGCACCGAGAATAGTATAGGCAACAAACTTACCAATACCAGTACCAAGGAAAGCTTGAAAATCAGCAGATCCCTGTTGAAACACTTTCATTTCCGGCCCGTACCAGATCGTACGGGCAGCAGGGCGGGTCTCATTGTTCATAACGTTAGCGACAAAGATAGTTTTGAGAGTCGGCAAGGGAGCGACACGTTCGTAGGCCATGATACCCAACTCGGAAGCGTAGGGACCGTATCCGTGCCTCGCGATGCATTCAATGAACATAACGCTTTCTTTGGCGCGCCCCTCCCACGTAGTACCCAGATACGCGTTAGTTTCCTGGTTCCAACCGTCAATGACGACCCTTGTATAGTCGCCGTCTGGAAGCTCAAGATTAGCCACATCTTTTTCGCTGTAACCGTATGGTAGACGTTGAGTCTGTTCCACATTGATGTCCCAGGAATCGGGGGACATCTCAAGGTCGTCGAGGGTCATGGTGCTTCTGCGAACACGCGTTACCACGCTCGAGTCTTCCATCGCTTGCTCCAAGTGAGCACCGGCCTCCTGAAGCTTCTCATAGGTAAGGGGTCCTTCGTCCGAGGAAGAATCGTCTGCAGGGCCATCGTAGTTGCTTCTTCGGGGGCACCTGCTGCGGCGGTAAACTGGACGGGGGTTGATAGGGTCATCGGGGCTTAGCCTGTCAATAAGCAGTACAAGATTTTGCCATAATTTTTCAGCGCTCATGATTGCGGCGCGGTGATTTCGATGAAAAGGCGAGCTGTGTATGCGCAGGAGGAGAAGTGGTAAGGAATCGGGGAGGTTGAGAAGATGAAGAAAGAGTTCGACAGTGCGAGGCTGAAAGGTTGGTGATGAGCTCTGGTGCGAGGAGATGACCTCGTCTTTATAGTCGAGTCCCCCAGGGTCTGCCAGTTCGATTGACAGAATGCCAAAGAACATCTTGACAATATGGTTGTTAAATCTAACAACATTCAACAACATTCTGAACAAGACAAAGCCTCTTTCATACTGATTGAGGATGGGCTTTCATGAGCTAAATATGGGAAGCCACGGATGGCTATTATTAGAGACAAATACTCCCTTGAACCGAGGGATGAAAGAAGAAACATACAGAGAAGATGAAAGAGATTAGATTTACAAGCAAGCGTAGAACATTGTAAGATGAGAGTATAGACAATCAAAATGACTTTTGTAATTGCTATGACTTTTTTGTGGTCGTTAATCGTTATAGATCGCCTTTGACAGGCTACCATTCAGGTTCATACACATTGTATATTTGGCTTTTTACTCCTCAGAGGGCTTGACGTCGTACTCGACGTCGGTACGGATAATGTATTTTGCACCCTTTCTAACTCCCGTGCCTTCGTGCAACAAGGCCCCGTTGGCCTCTCCGTGTGGGAAAATAGCAACGGATCCCATCACGGGCCGCACGGGGTAGGCATTAAGAGTTCCCTCCCGCGCCGCGGGCATAAAGAAGGTTGTCTCTCCACCCTCAAACTCGTCATTGAGGTAGAGTAAGAAGGTATACATGGAGCTCTGCTTCTTGTCTTCAGGTGAGGCGTCGTATACATATGTGTCGTCGGGGAGGATGCCTGATGGTGGCCACGCTCCATCGATATGGCAGCGGTACTCTGCACCCGGGACGTATCTATACACACGGAAGCGCCGGTTGATACCTCGGACCAAACGGCCACCGATCGAGGCCGGCACATAAGGAGAAATACGTGCCCAGAGGAGGTCGTGGAAAGCAGTGTCGACAACCCAATAGAAGTTATGAGCCAGAATGCTCATGTCACCATCCTCGCGGAGCGGCGCGTCAGGCAAGAAGTTCACAGATTCACCCGCAGCGATGATAGCCTTGCACTCTGAGGGTGAGAGAACGTTCATGGCCACACCGAGACCCGGCACAGCGGGGTGTGGATGGTATGTGATGGTCGGTCCGACAGGAGCCAATGGGACAGCGTTGGGTGCAGTGGTGTAGAGAATAGCGGCATGGTGGTTTGGAGGCTTGCGGAGCGGACCGGGTGTAGTTTCAATAACGCGGATAGCAGAGGCAGATGTAGGTGCCTCGGCCAAGATCGTCTTGTCGAGTACGGAAGCGTAGACCTCGAGAGGTTCTTCTGTTGAGGGTCGCAGGTCCCAGATAGACTGGAAAGCAATTGGAGAAGTGGAAAAGGCGGCTTTCGGGTTGGTATCAATCGGAGTGCTAACACGCAGAATTGCATCTAGAACACCGAGGAGTTCAAGATCTTTTGCGCTACGCTCGACGACACGGTCGGTCTCTCCCGGCTGCGTCGAGAGGCCACTGACCACGTCCAAATCTCGAACCCAACGACATAACGCCCCAATCTTGGGTTGTTCGCCTCTGATCCTCATCTCAGCAAGTAAGATCTTAGCCTCCAAGTATTTTCCATCAGCCAATGCACCGGTAATTCGCGCCGTCAGATTAGCACCCTCTATCGAGAAGTTAGCCGCATGTTCGATCCGATGAGACGATATGCAGTGGAACCGGCAGTACCAGCATTGTTGACGCCCGTAGTACAGGCCTGGCGGAAATCGTAAACCGCCACTCGAAGATCCTTGCATGCCTTCGACTTAGTCAAGCCGGGGTATTGTGCGAGAGCCGTGAGCGTCTCGACCGTGATGTCGAGTTCTTCGTCGGAAACAATGGTGTTAAGGTGCTTCGGCTCGAGATTGGTGCCATCGGGAGGTGGGGTCAATGTGGACGAGGGCTTTGCTTGTTTCTGAGGAAGGTCAATTTGCGCATTGCGCTTGCGCTTGGCTGCCTTGGACTTGGCCATGGTGAAGCGATAGGACAATGGCCGTCTGATAGTTGAGACAAGCGGGGATCTGGACTGGTCTCAACTACACTCAAAGGAAAATTAATTGCCGGTTCACTCCGTCCTTTAACCCACCAATCAGCAAATTACGTTTGATCCGGTCTTTCACTTTTTCCGATTTTGCCTGTAAGGTTTTCCATCGTCCAATCAGAATGCGAAGCGCTTGGGAACAACACTTACAAACAACTCCAAAGGGCCCATATCTTGCATGCAGAGCCATTCTATTTCTACTGTTTTAATTAACAGGAGGTTGATTAGAATTCAATGATATTGATACTGAAAGAAATACATCTTAGTGTAGTAACTAGCATTCCGCCCGCATGAGGGCTGAGATACCACCTAAGATATATCATGACTTGTTAGGTGGGTTGGTTCTGGCAATCATCACCATAGAATCGAACGTTAAGCACGGGCGTTTGAATACTCATGTAAATTTCTCCAATTTAAAATTGGACCGGCTAAAATAGCTTGATCAACTGTGTAGGAAGACCCATTGCTGCTAAAGTGTAGAAACGACGTGTCTCGAACAAGTTGAAGGGATTGAGGCAAACTTGCCCCAGTAGTGCTGATCATGGATGGGAAACTTCTTAAAGGCGACATTACTTGCCTAGCATGTACGGCAGGAACCATACAGTACAGGTGGTGCGGGAGATCTTCAGTACAGTCGATATCGGGCCGAGGACCATTGACTTGAGAACACTCGGACAAGAGGAGATCTAACAGACCCTCTGTGGTTGTACCTTCCAGCAAAAAGCTTGGCCGAATCTCTGTAAGGGACGCCAGATATGTATAATAACATATCCTGGATGATCAACTAGAGAAGATTCCCGTCAATAATAGGTTGTAGAATATTTAGCCAAATTTGCCAGGGACCACGACCTCAAGCGAGTGGAGTGTTTCAGCCATGACGGTCGGCGGGAAACCCGCATAGACAGTTCATTCTTATTGGACCCATTGTTCGACCCTTGGGGGGCCGCCATAAAACGAGAACAACTTGACAACAGCTCGTGTGGGAACCCCCGGTCGCAACGAGAGGCTTTTCATTTTATCTCGCCTTAAGGTTTCGGTCGATGATTGGCGAGATAAGCATGTTTAACCCATTTTAACGCCAAGGCTAACGAGAACGGCTTCAGCGGCAAGCCTTAAGGTCTGGACTTATGAGTCTCATGGCGTGCCAGCTCCTAAAAGGGGGCTCTCATTTGCCATGGTGCTTGCATCGCAGTGGAGACTGGAAACGATGAACCAACCATGAGGAGATTGGATGTGACGGAGGCTACATGACCCCTCCCTGCCCCCCGGCCTGTACTTAATTAGCCCAACGCCTACAGGAGGCTGTTGGCTGTTGGCTGGCTTGGGCAAAAGAACCTTGTCAAAAAATCGCGGTCGCCTCCTACACGTCCGTCGAGGATGGTCGGCACGACATGTTGTCTTTCATCTCAGACCAAATGAGCATGGCCTCTTCTACGTCCCAGTTGCGTCTAAGGCGAGCCCTGATAGTCCTGCTGGGGATTTTCCTGGTCTTCTACTGTCTATGGCCTTCTCGTCGTGAGAGCGCCATCGTTGTGACCAGCGCGAGTGCGGGCGCTCGAGCTGGCGGGAGCAGCGGCGGTGTGTCACGCCCCGAAAAGGCACCACGCCCCCAGCAGGCCTGGACCGAACAAGACTTACACGAATGGGATAATCTCGATGTGATCAAAAATGAGACTCTAGGTGTATGTATGCTCTTTCTGCTAATGCATTGCCGTATTGCTAAATGGGAGACGCTCTAGGTCGAGAAAATATTTGCTATCAATCTCCCCAGCAGGCCCGATAAGCGGGATAATATCATCCTCACATCGGCCGTCACGGAATTTCGTGTCGAATGGGTGGACGGGGTCACCCCTGAGGAAATCAGCCCTAAATCTTATCCCTACGTATGTGTTACCAAAAACCCTGGCGATAATTGAATTGCGCGCTAACGATCGCAGAACTGGGGATACGATCATAAGCCGACCGAGTATGCTGCTAGGAGAGCCCATCTCAATGCTATTCAACGGTATGAAAGAAATTCAATACAAGAAATATTCGTTGGTCATCACTAACCGTCACTAGAGTGGTTGAAGAGAGACTCGGCAGCGCAATCGTAATGGAAGACGATGTCGACTGGGATGTCTCAGTAAAAGCGCAACTACAGAGCTTCGCTCTCGCAGCCAGAGCTCTCCAAGAAACGCGAAACCAAATGACCCTGTCTCCATACGGTGATGACTGGGATGTTCTCTGGCTGGGCCACTGTGGCATTGCATGCAAGACCGATCAGCCTTTCTACCTTACGCCCACCGACCCAACCATTCCCAAGCCTCATCACTTCCTACCCTACTGGCGCGACCCTCCAGTTTTCGAGGGCCACACGCGACCCGACCACAGTCGACTGACTTGTGCCGCTAGCGATGGTGTATGCTCCACCTTTTATGCCGTGAGCAACCGCGGTGCGCGTAAGATCCTCGCAGCGCTGTCAGTTAATCCCTCTGGTCTGGCAGAGGAGATTGACACAGGTGCTCAATTCGATGTCTCCCTGGGTCGCATGTGCGGTCACGGATATCTTCGATGTTATGGTTCATTCCCGGCTATCATTGGAGGCTTCCGTGCTGCGGGAGTCAAGGGCAAGATTTCTGATATTCACGTTGAAGAAGGCGAGGACTCGGAGGCGTTTAGCTTTGGAGTGATGTATAGCACCATGTTGAACATTAACCGCCTGCTTAGAGGTGAACGCACTGTTCACGCCACTTGGGATGATGCGGATGTTATGGATGTGATTCCTAGTGAGATCACCATGAAGAAGGGGGTGAAGTATAGCCCGGGAGTCCCTCCACCAGTTTGATCAGGCTAGTTTGAATTTTTAGATGTATTATACCAATATAGAGATGCAAGATAAGCAAACTTCGCGATTTTTACATTTGGCGATTTTTTAAACAATAAAATCCAATAATTAGACCGAGGCGATTACGAAGTCATGACTCGCGTGTGCGCTGGCGTTGCGTTGCTAGCCGCGCTCAGAGCCGCCCAACTACTGCCAATAATAGACAACAAAACGTGGCTCCTGCAACAGGCGTTCATGAACGAGGATATCCAAATTTCCTCTAAACCACGGCGAAGATACTAGAGAAGGGGCTCGTCTGAACTTTTTCTACAAGAGAAATGGGTTCAGGCTGTGCCGTTTGAATCTTTGTTGATGATGGGAACTGGGGAAACAACCCTCAGGGGACCTTTCCTCTAAGACAACAATAGGAATAGACTGACTCGACGTAATTTGTTTTGGATTTGACCTAGTGATGCAGGTACCCTGCAATTCTTTTAGCGCACTTTAGCCAATCAAGTGAACTCTGGTATTAAAGTAATCATCGCCATTCCTTTAAACGAAGGTCGAAGGCGTCCCTGATGTTGTTATACTGATAGCCGGAACTTATAGAAGATCTAATATTCATCCTCTCGTAGCTACTGATAATGTGAGACCCTGTCTGTAGTGACTGAATTGTAGTCAAACAAAAGTACAGATTATCAACTTTGGCCCCAGTGGCCCCGGGGGCCATAGTTCACTTGGGGAATAGCGCCATTGAGTTGAGCACAGGATTAGGCCAAGCTCTCTCCACTCGTTCCCAATGCGCCAGTGTACTATTGGCTCATACTAGGTCTTTGAGAATTGCAGCCCCCTGTCAAAGAACACGCATTATCTCTCTTAGGGCATGTCGACGGCGGTTAGAGAAAACATTGCCCATGTTGCTTTGCGCTTTGCCAGCCCGACGCAGGGGAAACTCGACTCACACCTCATAATGACCGAGCCCCTCCCGTTGAGGCTCTCTGTCACTCGAAGTTTGAATTTCCGACCCAGACTTTCGTGATCCTCATACCTCCTAGGTGCATATCAGTTCCATGGTTTCTACTCTCCTGGGCGCTTTCTTCGAGATGAAAGTGCTTCAGTCTTTAATCTTAATATTCACCGGGCTTGCGTCTATTGCCGTGGCGAGCGATAGCAACAACTATTTCACGAACCCAGCCTCCAACACCGGCATTAACCCCGTCTGGACACTGGGTGACAAACAGGTCATTGCGTGGAAAACAACCCTAGGAGTCTTCAATGTCTCCATCTGGCAACAGAGCCTTGTACAACAAAGTGCCGCAAGCCAGGGAAATATCTATTGTAAGTTTGAGCGACTCAACCTTCAAGTAGCCAACGCGAAGCGAATACCGGCTAATAGTAGTTACAAAATCCAGCTAAAATCCACTCATCCGACAAAGTTACAAACTTTACTTGGGTCGTGCAACTATACGGATTCGATCTGTCCTATTCAAATGTCTTTTTCCTATGGATCAACCCTGACGAAGACGGCGGCTTTGTCTCATCGTATTTCAACATAACCGAGCCATCATCCACCACAACCACCGCATCGACAGCCACATCTACCGCCACGGACGTGCTCAGCACGGCAATCACTTCCCCTTCGTCATCATCCCTATCGTCATCCTCGGGTTCATCATTATCTTCGTCTTCATCCTCCAGCCCAACGGCAGCTGCAGACTCCGCGCTAACAACAACCGGGAAAATTGCTATGGGCGTTGGAGTGGGTCTTGGAGTTCCGATATTATGCGCCTTAGCAGTCTTGATTTTCCTTAAATCGCGGTCCCTGAAGAAAAATGCTGCGGCTCAAAATGCTGCGCAGTCTGGAATGGCCCAGCCGCGGGTTTATGCGCAGAATCGCCAATCACGATTACAGGAGATGAATGGCTTGAGTAAGCAGAAATCACCTTTTGAGTTACCCAGTCAAGACTATATATAAGGGAAGAAGGTTTAAGACCATAATTGGTGGAATTGTGAATGGACAGACAGGAATGTGTGATGATGTACATAATTTAGTTATAATTCAATCTTGACCAAGTTCAAATCGCGATCTTGGTACCTCTGACAATGGCTTCACCTGCAAATGCTGATGTAGTGGTCCTCTCCCTTCAGGTGCCTTGATTGTAGTTAGAACTTCGGCTCTATGATTTAACAAAGTTTCCCTGGACTTGGCTATTATTTCAAGCCGACATTATTCTATGCTTCTATAGAATTCATATGTTCCCATATCTAGATGCCCAATTGGTATGGGATTGTCATCGATTTTTTATCTTCTAATCTGCTATCACTATATCTCGCGTAAATATCCTAAATATATGGTATCCCGTTAGCACATCCAGAGTTGCGCCGACATGTACATGAAGCGACGAGATAAAGATACTCGGAGAAGAATGATAGAAACTGGAAAGAGTCAAAGATTGATAGGAAAAACCAGTGGCTTTGGGCCTTCAATCTTGCTTATCAAGGATGCTTTTTGTCTTTCCCGCGGAGAAAGCTTAAGCGAACAGTCAATCGAGTAATGAGGCCTCAAGCCACTACCGTAAGATGTTCGTCGGCAAATTCATAAACCACCTTGATTGGATAACACGAATCAAGTGTCTGTTCGGCAACTGGGCAGTTAAATCGCTGTCCCCGCATTGGTTAATGCAGCCCCGGCTGTGCAACGATAAGGTTATGAATATCCGGCATAAAAGTTTGTGCAGAACCACAACCCCACCCCAACATACATTCACGACGGTCAGATAGACGCTTTTGAATAATTTGGATACTGTATATCCATTGTTTTTGTGCAATGTTCTATGTATGCTACACGATAGAGTTGGATGACAACATGGGCCCGCGTTGAAGTATAAATACCTTCAAACAACCCTCTCCCCCATCGCTTCAGCATTTTATTCTTTCTACTCTTTCTACAGTATTAAAGACGCATTCTATACAATCAGCTGCTCATCTTGCCCCCTTAACACTCGCCAACATGGCTTCCATATGGGAAGACATAGTGAAAGCCAAGCGCGACAGTCTCAAGAAAGCTATTCCAACCGAATGGATACTGCCGTCCTCGGTTCTTCCTCCTCCCGAGCAAGCGGACGTGTCGACTTTCATTGCCCAGAGTGGATGGCTCTCTGACGCAGAGAAGGAAATTCTGTCATCCTCTGTGACCAGCCTGTTACCCCGCCTCGCCTCGGGGCAAGTCTCGGCAGTGGAAGTGACAAAGGCTTATTGTAAAAGTGCCGCGGCGGCTCAGCAGCTTGTATGTTCATTCCGACATCCTTTCTCCAATCAGCCCGGATTAAATGACTGCATTGCCTCTTTGCGTATTCACTGCAATTCCTCCACGGATATTCAAATATGTTATTTTGACTTGTGATCAAAAACACCGCTAACGATCTCTTAACCATCTTACAGATAAATCCCTTGACGGATATCTTTTTCGATGAGGCGCTAGAAATGGCAAAGGCCCTGGATGAAGAAATGAAGTTGACGGGAAAGCCAAAAGGCCTATTGCATGGCTTGCCGATTTCGGTTAAGGACAATTTTCATGTTCAAGGCAAGGACGCTACTCAGGGCTTCACATCCTTGGTCGGCAAACCAGCCGAACACCATTGTTCAATCGTTCAGGCATTGGTAGACGCCGGCGCGGTATTGTACGTGAAGACTAACGTCCCACCGGGCATGAAGAGGCCCGAGACAGAGAATACTCTGTTTGGGAAAACTCTCAACCCATTCAATCGACACTCCTGGGCTGTGGGCGGCTCTTCAGGGGGCGAAGGTGCCCTTCTTGGTTTTGGCGGCAGCCCCCTTGGCATTGGTAGCGATCTTGGTATGTTGTATCAAGCAACAACACTCTCACATCTCTGTCGTGTGATTATCATAAGAGTTTTTCTAATGAGCGTCTACGCGGGATATAGGTGGCTCTGTGCGGATCCCAGCCTCTTGTGCAGGTATTTTCACTTTACGACCCTGCGTTGGCCGCTTCCCTATGTCCAAGACGAGCGTCCTTACCGCAGGACAGGATAGTATCATGGCTGTTCCAGGCCCCATGGCACGCACCATGGAGGACCTAATTCTAGCCTCGCGCGTCATCATTCAGCAGTCTCCATGGAAGTATGATCCCCAGTGTGTTCCCCTCCCTTGGACGCCTCTCGACCCACCGAAACGACTGAAGCTGGCTGTTATGTGGAACGACGGCATGGTAACGCCGACTCCACCAGTCCAAAGAGCGCTCGAGGGTGCAGTGCACACTCTGCGAGATGCTGGACATGAGATTGTGGACTGGAAAATTTCCCCAGAAGAAATTCAAGAGCTGGTAGAGGTTACATTTGGAATCCTCTTTTCAGACGGTGGCCAATGGCTGCATAAAGCTCTGGAGCCTACGGGTGAGCCGATTCCGTCCGGTCTGGTTTGGGCCGACAAAAACCCGCCAAAGACCATATTTGAAATGCATAAGCTTCATGTGATGCGAGATAAAATTCGCATGGAGTGGTTTGCCAGATGGGACTCATTCAAGGCACTTGATGGGATTCTTCGTGAGCTCTCATACTTTGCCGCTTTAAATGCCTATTCTTATGATAATTTTTGTCTAGTACCTACATCCCCATACAGTATCCCCGAACATGGGAACTTCACACACGCTCTCTATACGTTGATCTTCAATGTCCTTGACTGGCCAGCTACATCCTTTCCATCGGGGTACTATACAGATGCCGAGATTGATAGTCCATACGTCAATCACGCACCGTTGAGCGAGACTGATAAGAAGGTGCAGCAAGAATGTAAGTTTTGTCTCTATTTTGGAATTAGAGAGTGTTTACTAAAAGCCACTTATAGACAATCCAATCTTATCCGACAAAGCTCCGATCAGCTTCCAGATTGTAGGTCGTAAGATGCAAGAAGAGAAAACGTTGATTATGACCGATATCGTCTACCGGACTCTAAAGGAGGCCCCGAGGGCTTAGGAAGAGACATACTGAAAGAACATATTTACCTGAATTCAACTTCATTATACGATACTCCATCTACAACAGAGCTTTCTTGAATCAGAGATGACTGCGACTATTGGCAAAGACCTGGCCACTTGGGATAATGGGAAGAGTACGTAACTTTCATTGGATGGAAGATCGACGAAGAATCGCCCGTTAGGGCAGTTTCATGTATTCATCCACTCTTTTCTTTCATAGCCCCTTCGAGTTCAGGAATGTATTAGCCGGCCTTGGCAACCCCCCTGCTCCTAAAACTAAGGCCGTTCTTAGAGGACTACTACGGATTTTTGAGTCGACCGAAGCACCTCTGGTATCGCCCGGAGTGTCCCTTGGATTGATGTAAACGATTTAGGGAGCACTTCATAGCAAGAAGATTAAAATATGGATCCTACTCATAGCACTACAAGAAACTCTAATAACACTCCGACGCTAAGCGAGTAGCATATAGTACAATGGATCCAATATCTCATAATCCCTATTGAGGCCTTATGTGCAAAGAGTGATAGTTTAAAATCATGAAACACGAGCTAGAAAGAAAGGCCTAGTCAGATACGCTTTACCCTCCTCTATTTCTAAAGCTCTTTTGCGATATATTCCAAATTAGGCCTGGCGTTGTAATGTCACGAAAGCCCTTTCTAGTGCCATGAGTATGATCTTAAAATATGAGGCATCTAATGCGGCTGTTATAAATCCATGGGATATCTACTCTGCACTCAAACTTTGTGCGGACGGTAAGCAAGTTCTTTTGGTATGATATGAAGTTGTGTTTATCGCATTGAATATGGTACATGTATGCAAGCTCTGAGATTCAGGTAAAGCGTCGCGTATATCAGTAAGACAAGGCTGCAACTGACTGTATTGCAGGACGAAAATTTCTCCTAGCCCTTAGAAGTACGGAATATGATGGCCCGCAAGGCACCTTCATCGTCAGGAAGCATTGTAGTATTTGCATTGTGGTATTTGATTGCTAAACTACGCTGCTACGCACAGAAAGCCAGGAAATCCAGGAAACTTGGTCTTCCTGGAATCTCTAAGGAAGAAGAAGCAAAGGAAAGCAGGAAAGGGCCAGATAAAGGCCAATCTAGCAAATCAATCTTCGGAACAGGAGAACAGCAGGAAAGATCCGGCCAACAATCTGCACGAAGGGAACCGTGCAGGCAATCTGCATGCTGGCCCTGCATAATCCTATCCATGGCGAGGGCGACCGAGGCACAACCATCAATATTGAAGAAGTTATTCCGGGGTATCGCAGTAGAGCACGGGGCAGCTCAAAATCACTCTTCGCCCCATTTCTTCCTCCTTTTGACCCTCTCCAAATCCTCCATCGACTGTATCTCCTGTCTTCGAATCGGTACCAAACCCCCACGAACGTTTGAGGAATTTGAGAGAACGCTGGGTCGGATATCCTCATCTGAGAAGATCGACTTGGTTCATATTGATCTTCATGGAAGCTTTGACCGTGACAAAGGGTAAACGATCATCAAAGTACCTAGGAAAAGATCTTCCTTCCCCCAAGTTCCCGGACATGCATGCATTCTCCAATAACTGACCCTTGTCTCTACACTCCAGATCGGTTTTAGAATTCTTTGACAAGTTTTCGAAGCACCGCAGAGCCTACGCCGCTTCCACTGTTGCCGAGGTCCTACAAAGAAACGGTGTTCAATGGGCCGTGCTATGTGCCTGCCGTACTGCACAAACTTCCTCAACGTTCAGTCACCTTGCCCTCGAATTTTTGAATCACGGAATCACCGGCGTTTTTGCAATGAGATATGAATTGAAAGCTGCCGCCGCCAAAATTTTAACATTCTCATTTTACGAGGCACTTTGTCAGAATGGGAAAACTTTTATCGAGTCAGGGTATACCGCTCGTCGCGCTATGCAAGCAAGTGCTTCGCGGCCTGCTAGATTTGCAGAAATATTCGAGGTGCAAGACTCTCTGGTCCCTGCGATATACACGATTGACGGAAGGGACTTTCGTTTGGGAGGATCTACATCAGTGGATAGCGCTGCGGCCAGCTCATTTACAAGATCTCCCTCAATGCCCGAAATGATTGGCAGAGAAGATGACATTCGCCGTTCAAGCTCTTTGATGAGGGAGGAGAAGTCATTTTTGAATGTCGTCAGCGATGTCGGCAATGGAAAATCCATTCTGATGGAACACTTGGCTTGGTGGTGGAAGGAGATAAAGCTCTTCTCTCGCATCGCTTACGTCAATATATCCCTTAAGCGCGACAGTGACAGTGCCTTGGGTTGTCTGGCTATGGCTAAATGCATATGGCATTCTGTTGCCAAAAGCGGGACCCCGAGTCCTTCTTGTTCAGATCCTATGAGATTTCTGGTTCAGGCCATGGAAAGCTCGAAGGGCCAGGACCTCATCGTCCTACTAGACGGAATCGACGAAGTCTATCCCTATTTATCCAACAACTGTTGTGATGATACTTCTCAAAGCTGGACCGAATTCTTTCGTGTGGCCAAAATTCTGTCTACCACTGGGTTCAAATTGGTAGTAACATCGTCTGCACCCTTGCAATTTCTCGCCGATGAGATGAGCGATTTTTTGCTGAACTTAGCACCCGCATGACAAACGAGGAGGTTTTAAAAATTGTTTATCCCCCCGATAAGGCATCTCAGCGCCCGGGAAATTTGAGACAGTCAAGCGACACACATCTACATTGCGTGTTTGAACTCTTGCAATACAATCGCGTCGCCCTGAAGAGCCAATCAAGGTCACTGCGTGGCAAGTTTTATGGATTAGATGCCCTCCTCTTATGGGATAGCGCATTCGACGAAAATTCCACTTATGGACCAAGAGGCAATCTGATGGAGAGCCGAGCTACTGAAATTCAATCTCTAAACCTCAATGACGACTGCGGTCTAGGAGGTATCCATAGTCTCCTTCTGGCAATTCTGGACTATCTGACAAAACGCGAGGGATACGAAGACCTCTGGGCTTTGCTTTCGATTGGGTTGTGGATTAATACCGCATCCAAGCCAAATAATGAGCATCTTTGGGGGGACTATCTGCCACTGAGAGTTGAAATCATTCAATACATCGTGAAAACCATTCCAAAGTCTCGATTGGAAAGCTCACTTTTGCCCGTTGAGCTTTGGTCCATCATGAGGGACAATCCCGTCACGAGGAAGGAAGTTCAAAGCAGTTCAAGCTCTCTCCCTTCGGCGTCGAAGATTACCATCGATTCCTTGCAGAATGCTGTGCGGTTGCTCATGGCTGCCAATCTCATAACGGGGCAAACAGAGACTCTAGTCGATGGAATGAAGGGGTACCAAAGACACCCCGCTGCTACTCTCTGGCTTCGGCGAATCTTGTTAGTGTTACCTTATCATACGGTTCTCTTCAACATCTATACTTGTATAGGAGCAAGAGCGTATAAAATGGCGGATCTTAACCCTGATGCAGCTGAGATAAAGTCGGGGAGGGCCAGTCACTTACGGGCCATTCAATCACCTTCTTTCCAATTCGTTGAAAGACAGAAATGGAATTTGATGACGGCCGTTGGAAAAATGAGACATGACGCTGCTCACTTGCAGTCAACTCTGGCTCAAGTCACCCAAGAAAACAATCTCGACTTCGCATGGATGCCGTTTATGGTCCTGATACCGATCAGCTTCGCCGCGCCAAATTTCTGTCCATTGTTTCTATCACATTTGCCTTGGAGTATTTGGCGAGTTTAGAGCCCCGAATTCCTTAATCCTATCTCGACCCACTTCCAGGAACACTCACCATTCTCCCACTCATGCATCTTTTAATTCGCGTCATTTTCATGGTGCAAAGATATAGATTGGATAACGAGCTGCACACACCTCTGCGAATCCGTCGACTTCTCTTGGCCCGTGTGGAGGCGATCAGAAACGCTGGTATAGAGTGTGATGAGATCGACGAGGACGAATTTATTCTGATGGAGATGTCACATTGGTTGAATGAGGCTGGGATTCTTACGAGATCATCAGAACACGACAAGGTGAAAGTGAACCGTATTTGGGAGAAAGTCGATGCTCTGAAGCAACGGTGCAATGCCTCCTGAGATATGAGATTCAAGATTACGGATTCAATCATTAATTGCCTCCCAGAAGGCGAATATGATCCTCAGGGTGGGCTGACAATGCATCGAGATGATGAACCTCAGAATTCCGAGCAAGCCCCAGACCATGCATCAATGATTCCTCTGGCTTTGCACGCTTTGGTCGGGTCCATAGTCCCCTCAGGCAAAGGTCAAGGAAATTCACCTTCGTCTGATTGGATGGCGGACATTTATGCGTTCATGACGGGTGACCTCGAATTTGAGATGTCCACGCCACCTTGGTATACAGACAAAATAACACCGGTTTTCACCCACCTCCGCAATGGTAACATAGAAAGAGCTTCAGCTGCGGCCCTTCGGGCTCTTGATACAGCTGAGAATGACTGCAACACTCTTCTAGCCTCAAATCTCCGTCACCTCTGTCGTCGACTCGCCGACTTGGACACCATTGACGAATACGACAAGCAACAAACTCGGCTCCCACGTATAGCTGAAAAGTCCGCCCCATTCTTGCGCGATCTCTTGTTGAATTATCTGGCTGGTCACGATACTCCTGGAGCCTACCACTATGTCAAAGACGAGCGGATAAAAATGGATGCTTTCTTGCCTTTTCTACATCTTTTAATGAAAGTTCTTCCGCAGCTCGACAATGACACATTACCAGAGTCAATCAGCTCTTTTTGGAAGAGTACACCGCATGACGCCAATTTCATGGAAATAGGACTTTCAGGAATGGATCAACTTGCTCAGCTTTTAGAGCCATTCAAGGACGAGAGGCTTGAAGACAAGCTGGAATGGGTCCGATTGATCCAGAGAATCTGGGACCTCATGAATAACCTCACTGAACAAAATACGCCCAACGACCGCGCATGGATATCGAAGCTCTACGAAGTCTACCCAGAGCGTGGAGATGCGCGAGGCTACTGGCACAGCCACAGAGATATTCTCGACAGCACGACATGGGAAGATGATGGCCATTCGCATTTAAATGGGCTCATTTGAGTGATCATACATATGCACCCTCTTAGCAAACGAATGCTTCCGAACCTCCAAGTCTGGCGAGGCTGGGTTAATGCCAGACAACAAAATTGTGCCAGAAATGGTTGAAGGGATCAGGAAACATTGATCATGTGTTAAAATACCGAAATAGCTGGTGAATGAAGTTCCTCGCTTTCCCCCTCGAAGTCAAGATACAAAGAAGGCGGGACCCTATGCACAACTAACTGAAGCAATTATTAGAGGTCCATTTCGCTCCATCAACTTGAACAGACAGTCTGTCATATTCTTTTTGCTGACAGTGATCCCCACGCCAGCACACGGGCTCTTTGATACCTAAGCGGTCTTTTGAAGTTTTATATGTTGCTTCTATTTAATTCCTAGTACCTGGATTCGATGGCTTCAGAATGATCGTCGTATGGCATGTTACGTTGCGTGTCTGGGAGTGCGCTTATTGCATGTTCTTCGTTAGAAAATCTGGTTCTGCTTAATTCATCTGCATTGCAACTCAAACAAGGAAGCATCTGTTGTTCCGTTTTCATAGGATCATGCTCATAGCACTACAAGAGGCTTTCGCGATACTACAACGCTAAGCCTGATTAGAAACGCACATCCCTGACGAGCATAAAACGGTACAGGAGATTACCATTATCCATGAGCAGTCATTATGTAAAGGCATATATATGTGGTTTGTCGCGCGAGACATCCTTTTTCGCGTGCCAGTAACAAGATCCTCTACTTATGGGATGACGGAGAGAACCCCGACAACAGCTTGATGTATTGAACCCTCCCCGGACCTCCGCATAATTCTCCACAATCTTGGAGGATGATAGTGCCTTTCGCCTCTGGAGTACCGGATGACATGGAACGTGCTGACGTACTCCATAAGCATATAAGCTTTCATTAACTTGAGGGGTAGCAGTGCGTGTGGATGTGTCAGAGCCGGAGAGAAAGCCTGTCGTGGCGGGAAACGAGGACATGACATAAATTGTTGTAGCCAGTTCAATACTGAGAAGATACTTTCTGTTTTAGGTACTTCAAGCTATACATTCCTGAGAATATATTGCAAAGGTTACCTGTATACAGCCAGAGCTTGGGTAAAATGACAGACAAGCACGATTCTGCTCATATTGAAACAACTACTAATATCCCCAAAGCTGTGTCAGAAGAATTGTATTCGTCGCTTTACTTTGCATCGCAGGATACAGACTGGCAACGCCAAAACACAAAACGGCTTCTTTGGAAAATTGACTTGCATCTCTTGCCATGGATAGTATTGATGTATTTGACCAACTTTCTGGACCGCAAGTAAGTCGGCAATAAAATCCACATCCTATGATAACTCTGACAAGGTTCAAGTGCACTTTCCCAAGCTAGACTCGGTTCTTTGGAGAAGGATCTCCAACTGAAAGGCACAGAGTTCAACACTATAACCTCAATTCTGTTCATCGTAAGAAAGACACGGTCGAGGTTATGCTATGTCAGAAACACTAATAGGAGGATCTAGGGATACATTTTGTTTCAGTTGCCTTCGAACCTACTGTTGACTCGAGTTCGACCATCTCTATACCTGTGTGGAATGATGGTTCTGTGGTATGCTTTAAGCAGTTTGACTGAACCGAATTCAATGTTGATGACAACAGAGGCACAATATCCGCTCTACAAGCAATGACTCGCAGCTTTACTGGAGAACTGATTTGTCGATTATTCCTAGGTAATTATTGACCTACGGACCTAATAAACCCTGCTGATTTATATTTGTGCATGAATCTAGGTGCGGCTGAAGCGCCGTTTTTCTCGTTCGTTCAAATCTTTTCGGCTCTAATTCGAGGGTTAATCCGCTAATTTGTACTTGCAGAGGCTCTATTTTCCTCATGTCATCATGGTACCGCGCAGACGAACTTGCCCACAGAATCGCTATTTTCTACGCCGGTGTCGCACTCGCAAACATGTCAGATACCGCCGCGCCTTTTGAATTGGCTCTTGAAAACTGACTATCACCTAGGTTCGGTGGTCTCATCGCAGCAGGCGTGATTGGTAACCTGGATAATGCACACGGAATGGCCGCCTGGAGATGGCTGTTTATTATCGAGGGATCAGTGACCGTAGGGATTGCGATGATAGCAATGTGTGTTGTTCTATCTTTCTATCCCGGGATGGTTTGCTAACCCAAAAAAGGTGGTTCATGCCGAACTATCCAAACACCACGCGCTGGCTCTCCCGCGACGAGCAAGAATATGCGGAATGGCGCCTCGCCCAAGACGCAGCTGGCGAAATGGATGATCGCTATGCTGTATCACCCATGGAAGCAGTAAAGATGGCATTCTCTGATTATCGACTCTACCTATTCATGCTGCTGAACCACCTCGTCTTGCTAGCCCAGTCATTCACGTACGTCAATTCCTTGAATCGTTTCACAAGGCAGGCCACTGACAAAGAATAATAGATATTTCTTCCCAACTATTGTCCAGTCCCTGGGATATGGCAACACGACTACACTTTTTCTCACAGTCCCCGTGTGGTTCGCAACATTCCTCGCCGTTTTATGCATCTCCTTCCACTCGTCCCGCACAAACGAGCGAAGCATCCATATCTTCTGCTGTATGATAATCGGAGCACTCGGTAACATCCTTGTTATAACAACGTCCAGCTTGGGTGTCCGTATGTTCGCCATGTATCTCATGCCGATTGGAGTGCTGCCTTCGTTTCAGATTATTCTAGCATGGATCACTTCATCCTTCTCACGGCCGTTAGTCAAGCGCTCAGTCGTGGTCGCGATCTGCGGTATGTTTGGAAACGCATCTTCGATATACGGCAGTTACCTTTACCCCGAGTTTCAAGGCCCACGATACATACCAGCCGGAATAGTGCTTGCTTGTGTCTGTGGGGCTTGCGGGGTATTAGCGCTCGTCATCCGGTTTGTGTTGCGGAGAGAAAATCGAAAGCTGGAAAGCGAGCATGGCCCAGGTGAGGGGCCTCGGTATATCTTGTAAGGCGTACATAGGGGATTGCTAGGATTAGAAGCTTCTATTCAAGTGATGCATGAATGATTGTATGTAATTGGTGGGATGGTTGGTTGTCGCGGAGTGGGAAGGCAAACTTGTCGGTCTTCTCTCCGGTTGTTTTATCGTTAATCGGACACGGATAACTGGCACGGATAAGCCCAAATTCTAGTTGCGGGAGATCTTATAACTGATTTGAAGCTCTCAAATGTGAATCGAAATATCTTCGTGCTACCAATAGATCTAAAATGGCAAACAAACCGATCGTACTTCATCTTGGCGACGCCATCAAGTACAACCATGCCTTTTACAAAGATGAATTCCAAGCGCGGTTCAAGGTTATCCAGGCAACTGAGACAGACAGGGACGGCTTTATAGAAGCACTAAAGTCAATGAAGTAAGTAAATTTTCCATTTTCAAGTGCGCACTTTGACTAATTGCTATTCCAGGTACGGAGACTTTTCAGCGTTGTTTCGCCCACACTTCCAGACAGGAGGCTTCATGGGCCAATGGGATGTAGAACTCATCTCTCTACTCCCACCTAGCGTGCGAATCTTTGCATCCGCCGGTGCCGGCTTCAACTGGGCAGATGTTGACATACTCGGCGAACACAAGATTTGGTATGCCAACGGTGCAGGAGCCTCGGACGAGGCAGTCTCTGATACCGCGCTGTACATGATTCTCAGCGTGTTCCGCAACTTCACCCGTTCGCAGCTAGCAGCGAGAACAGCAGATCCAGAGATATTCACTGCGACTCATAAGTTGATTGCGACAATTTCTCAGAATCCACGAGGCCATATCTTGGGCGTAGTTGGATTTGGAAATATCAGCAAGAAACTTGCCTTCAAAGCCCGGATGGCATTGGGGATGAAGATCCATTATTTCGACATTATTCGAGCCGATCCGAAAGAGGAGGAAGAGTTGGAAGCGACATATCATGAATCTTTGGACGATCTGTTGAAGATTGCCGACTGCATAACGCTGCACACGCCTCTCAACAAGCACACTCAGGACTTGATCGACGCCAAAGCGTTGTCATTGATGAAACCAGGTAGCAGAATCGTGAATACGGCCCGCGGACAAATTGTGAATGAAGATGCATTGGTTCATGCGTTGGAAACCGGACATATCTCTGCTGCTGCATTGGATGTGCATTATCATGAGCCGCAGGTGTCGCCCAGGCTGGCCAATATGGAGAATGTCACTCTCACTACACATATCGGGGGCGGTGCTTTGGATACAAGGATTAACTTTGAATTGAATGCTATGAAGAACATCCTTGCTGTGGTGGGACCGAATGGGGAGTTTACTGGGGAGCCCATCACACCTGTGAATAGGAGGGCTTTCGAAGGGACATCATGATAGGAAGATATTGATATTGATTTTATGAGGACAGACTTCAAACTGGTCAGTGGCAATTTACACTGGCTATATTGCTACTGAATTCGTGTATCTTTTGAAATATCTTGTGGATGGAAGTGATTCTCCGAAAAGGGCTGTCATTTTAAATCATACCCAAGTAATTCTCGTAGAGTTCATCGATTTGACGTGTCAATCAAACTTTTATATGTTGTGAAATCTAAAGGAATCTCGAAGCCGTCCAATATTCCAGGATGTACAAAGTTCCTTTTAGTTGCCTTCTTCACCACCAGTCGGCAGCTCACCCTCATCCTCTGAAGACTCAACTTCAGCCAGAGCCGCACTCTGGTCCTTATCAGCCTTGTTACCTTCTCCCTTAGGGGCACCTTTCTCGGTGGGCGCAGAGACAAGCTTCGCAGCTGCGATACCACCAGATGTGCAGTACAAGAAGAAGTTGTTCTGGTAGTGATCGATGTGGTTGAAGAAGTTGCCAAATCTGCGATGAATATGTAAGCAAGTGGACCAAACAAATTGAAAGGGACTGAAAGATTAGAATAACTTACGCTGAAGTCTGCTCCTCTTCGCGGAAGATCCGGTCGTAAATTTCGCGTTGTTTGAACTCATCCATCTCCTTTGTGAACCTTTCGAAATGAACGGGGCCACGGCCAAGACTGCTGGCCTTGGCATTGTAGCTGTCAAAGATGGGTCGCTCTAGCAGCAGTCCGAGTCCGGGAGCCTTGGGAATGGCAATACGGTCGGGTCCGTAGGAGTCCTTAATTCTATCGGGGTGACAGCCGCAACGAACAACCAGGGAAGCCATGGCCACCATCTTGCGGATTTGGTGCATCATGAAACTTTGACCGTGAACCTTCAGACTAAGCCACTCGGTACCGTTGATGACCACGGGGGTCGTGTTAACCTTGAATGACTTGATGTGGCGCTTGGCCGAGGGGTCCTTGAAGGTCTTCTGAATAGTATAGTTGTAGAAGTTCGGTGTGCCCACATATCGGTCAAGAGCCTCTTGCAGGCGAGCAATACGAGACGCAGGTGCCCGGTAGGCCCGACGGGCCTTGATATAAGCTGCCTTTACGGCCTTGGTGGTGTCGAGAATCAGCCTTTGGCGAGGGTCCATGACGAATGGTTGGTCCTCCTTCGGTTGGTCAGCGCCAGATTCCTGCGGCTGCGTCGTTTCCTCGGCTGGCTTTTCTGGCTCCTCCGCAGCAGGTTGATCCTCCTTATCAAGATCTTCCGGAGTCACATCACTGGAGAAGAGAGATTGTTGAACGATGTTGCGAATATCCTCTGGGACGCTGTCCAGGATTGGCTTGATATATTCCTCATCCACCTTCTCCCAGTAGCCGGTGACCTCTTCCTGTCGGGCCTTGACCTCATCCAAATCGCCGGCCTTTTCAGCGAGCTCGACAATCTTTCTTCCCATATATGTACTGGGATGAGGAGGAAGGAGACAGTGACTTGGGAGCAGGTACTCGTAGACTCGAGAGTCACACATCTGATAACAGCTGAAACTCTTTGCCGTCTGCTCCAATCCCCAAACCCGGATTTGAGGGCTGAGATGGGAATTGATCTTTTCGACAATGTCTGGATCCTCAATGATCATCTTAAGGGAGACGACATTACCCGCGGCATGGACACCCTTGTCGGTACGGGCACAGCGAATGAAGGAAGACTTCTTGGGATCCGTTGCGTTAGCCTTGGAGATTGCGCCAGCGGCGACCAAGGCCGAGAACAGCTCGCCTTCAATGGTGGGCTTATCCTCAGTTCTAGAATGATATGTGTTAGTGTCAAATCAATGACCACTGTCGAGGCAGAGGGAGAACTTCGCGTACAATTGCATGCCGTAGTAACCAGTTCCAGAATACCCGATCATGACCGCGACTTTCTTCTTTGGCCGGCGCTCCTCATTCTCAATTTCTTCCTTGGAGAACTCGGTAGCATAGATCGGATTCGTGATCTGTTCACCACTCTCGATCTTGCGACGCTTCGCCGCTTCCCGTTCTTCAGCGCGCTTCCTCTTGTCTAGGGCTTGTCGACTTCCTTGGTTAGCCGCTGGGCGGCGATCGCGTCTCTTAAACCCCATACAACATACCTCCATTCGGACCTTCCCATATTACGGTTCTTACGCTTTGAACCAGCGTCAGCTCCTCCTGTCGTGTTGTCGGCCATGGTACTCGTTTAAAGAGTTCCTTGAGCTCGGTCTCGGCTTTGGAATCGACGTGGAGGGATCGGGCGTATTGCTTGGCGGAGGTCTGGGCTCGGAAGATAGCAGAGAATTGACGAGAAATGGGCGCTTGGACGGAGGGGAAAAGTCCAGCAAAATTGCGCTGCCAGAGGGTAGAGGCGCGCATGAACTCGAGTTTCACAAGAAATCGTTCGCGGCCTTTGAAGCTGGTGGCCGCGGACATTTTCCACGGCGGCGGACGCTAATCTGCCTTGGGTTAGTCTGATATATCACACTAGGCTAAACTAGGTAGTTAAGCGCCTCAGGCAACAAGGCCACCAAAGTATCACTTGAAGCTTTCTCAGCCACAATTGACAAAGCCTCTTTGTACTGCTTCGATCCGGCGCATCTGCCTTGCGCTTCCTTGCGCCATCACTTCTTTCTCTTACTCGGACCTGCCCTTGCGACGAGTCAGTGAGAGATGATGATCATTCCTGCCGCTTAATCCTCCACCACCAGAAGCTCTGTCTTCCAACCCCCCAGCCTCGAGCTAGCTATAGCGGACCTCGCGTCGCCAATTCTCCGTCGCAACCATGGATCTCGCCAATACCCTCATTCGAAGCGTCGTGCGCGCCTTTTACGAGACTCGACACATCTTGGTCGTGGACGCGCTCTTCCTTCACTCAGTGTACGATGCTGTTCCAGGGACGTTGCTAAATGAGAGATGTTCAGTTTAGCTGACCTACCACAGTCTCCATGCAGAGGATCTCGCTTTCTTGATGGGCATGCAGCAGAAGGACCTACGCAAACTGTGTGCGCGACTAAGAGAAGATCGCTTGATTGGAGTGTATGGCTTGCTTCTTGACTGGGCCTGCGAGATTCGGCTAACCAGAGATCATTGCTGGACTACAGGAGCACACGCGCTGAAATTCGCGATGGATCGACTCGCCCCGTGAACCGAGAATACTACTATATCCCCCTCCATCCGGTTATCGATGCCATCAAATACAAGGTCTCCAAATTGACCTCGACAATCAAGGAGCAGTACACGCCGAGCGAGGAGCGCAAGGAATACATGTGTCCGCGATGCTTGGCGGAATGGACTGAACTAGACGTCCTGAGTCTGGTCTCGGAGGAAGGATTCGAATGTCAAAACTGTGGCGCAATCTTGGAGCGTACTGAAGATCTCAAGGGCGAGGAGGGTATTGACCGAACTGGTCATGAGAAGAACAGCAAGCTCATGGCGCAGCTTGACAATATGCTCAAGCTTCTGAAGCAGATTGACTCCGTAGAGATCCCGCCCAACGACTTTGACACCGCCTGGGATCACAAGGTCGAAGTTCCCCGAAACCTCAGCACTCACCCCATTCGCGCGGCCGTTCCCGTGCCGCCCAAGGCACAAGATGTGGTGCGCGGAAACCTCAAGACCGATGCTGCCGCTTTGGAGATCTCTCTTACCTCCAGCGAAGAGAAGAGTGCTGCCGAACAGGCCGAGGAGGCTGCTCGCAAGGCCGCCGTGGAGAAGCAGAACGCTTTACCCGTGTGGCACACCCACTCCACCGTCGATGCTGGTGCCCCTGCTCAGGTCAAGACCGAGGCGGGAGTCTCCATCAAATCCGAGCTTGAAGATGAGGATCAAAAGCCCACCCTGGATGACTCGAACGACAAGATTGCCGCATACTATGCGGAGATGGCTAGAGAAAAGGCCCTCCAGGATGAACAAGATGCGAGCAGTGCGGAAGAGTCTGACGATTTCGACGAGGATTTCGAAGACGTTGGTATTTCCGGCCCCAGTGGCCCCGGGACTCCGGCTACTGGACCTGGCCCAACCAGCGTCCCTACTCCCTCTGGCCTATCGGGTATCAAGAGGGAACACGACACTTCCAGCGCTGCCCCGTCTTCCGTTGGCACTCCATCCACACCCGCTGACGATGGGCCTGCGATGAAGAGGATCAAAATGGAGTCTGGTTCTGGTGTCGAGCCTATCATCAAAGCAGATCATGATGTAAAGGCCGAGCCAGACGTGAAGGATGAAGAATCCGATGAGGATGAAGAAGAGTTTGAGGATGTTTGATCTATGCTATGGCGGATCTTGCTCTTCTCCATGGCGTTAAAATAATAGACTGGTGGTTTGTTCCTCGATATTTCGGCGCAGGCGCCTTGATAGCTAATGAAGCCGATATTGCAATGCATTTATGCTCATCAAAGTGTGACTACTTGTAGCTCAGCAACTGCCCCAGCGTTGGTGGTTCTTTCCTGAAGTCGTTCCTTTATACCTAATTGAGGTAGATTCCCTGTAACGACACTCTCCAGCTTCCTCCTGGCCATCTTCTTCTCTCGACCCTTCATCTTCATCCACTTTCTCCATCCCCATTCCAATCAAACAACATCTCTCTAATCTCTCCATCCCGAACTCGATCCTACTGAACATCCCCACAGAAACAACCGCCAAAATGTCTACTACTACCACCTACGTAAGTCCCCAAGCCCTACCTCCCCTCCAACTCCCATCATAACCACTATCCCCCTCCCTCCCCAGCTCTCCAACAACGCCATCCGCCAAGAAATCGACCAACTGCGCCCCAACCACCTAGGCCGCAACACCTCCATCCTAGGCGTCTGGAACGCCGTCCTAGCCACCCAATTCCCAGTTCAGCAAAACTACATAACCCGCCCCCGCGAGCATGGATGGTACAACGAGCGCGACCTCTGGTACGACCTGCAAGTCTTGCACGTCCGCAACAACACCTCCAACGTCATCCTGGTGGTGATCTGCCGCACCGCCGCAGGCCATGCAAACGCCAACGAGGGTGTGGACCAGTGGCAGGTCCATCTGGAGTTGTATCTGGGAACGATCTTCGGGAAGAGGCGTCGTGCTGGCCGTCCGCCCCGGGTTTATGGGGTTATTGCGCATGGGTTGGGGGCGACGTTCTTCTCTTATGATGTTGGGGATGATATTCCTATGTTGATCTTTCGGGATCATGAGGCGGATCGGAAGAAGGTTTATCATTTGGTGGAGGATCATCAGAAGATTCAGGGGTTCCTGGATGTTATTCGGGACAGCCACTAGATGGATGTTTTGTGTGGATCTCGCTTCGCTTCATTGTTCTGGTGATTCAGGTAGAGTTGCGAGCAAGGTTCCAAACATCCAAGATCTATGGACCTAACGGATTCCAAGATGGCATTTCCGGTTGACTATTCAAAGTGATACTCCAATACTCCATATCTTAGCACACACAGTCTCAATTAACAAGTGATACCCAGTCCTTGGCATGCTTCCTCACTAGCCTCGTGATACTCATTCCCATAAACAAGCATATTCGCTCCTCTACGCATAGCAAAATTACAAAGGAAACAAGATATTGTACAAAGTAGTATTTGTATCATTCATAGAGATTCAAAGTCTCTTCCGTAACGCCTTTTATTGCAACATCCGAATAGGGTGATCATAACCCCCATCCCCCCGGAAAATAACGCCCATCTCCACAATGCAGAGAGGTGAGTGAGAAAGAAAATCAAAATCACGCAAAGGTCATCAAATCGTAAAGGAATCTTGCCATCATAGCATCCATGTCGCTCGTTGTGCAAGTTAAATGAAACAGTAAAAAGCCAGGAAAGGGCCAGACGCCAGGGAAAAGAAACAACCGAATTGGAAAGCGGGTGTTGATGTGCTTCCCTTGTGCCTAGGTCTACGGGGTTCCCGCAAGACCCATCTCGGAATCACTGGCCAGGGCAGATGTGGCCTCCCATTCCTCAGCCGAGGCTATCTCGGAATCTGGGGTTCCAAGTTAGAAAATGGGGAATCTTCCGGGGTTACACGGGGGTGAAGTACCTGAGACAAGATCATCCGGGACCTCAATCGTCATTTCTTGCAGGCGTAGCAAAACCGCTGTAAGAAAGAATGTTAGTAAATACTCATAAAGAAGTAAGGGGAAAGGATGAGTTAACACGTACAGTTTGCCTCTTGAATTTGTCTCTGGTCATCCTCGTCACCCTCATCAAAGTACGTCTCCAGACAATAGGTGATAGTCGTAGCGATGGGAGTGACAATTCGCGACTCGACGCTCTGGACCTGACTAGTGAGGAAAACACTGGTGATCCGCTGAATGCAGGCATGAGTGAGTTCACGAGCAATGCGAGCAAATCGTGCTTTCGCCTCCTCGTCAGTCATCTCGCTCCTATCACCGACGAAGAGCAAGCTGCGCAAGACATCCATGGTGCGCCGGCGGACATTCGGATGGCTGTAGATCAGCAAAGTTGGAACGAAATCGGGGATTCGGTCTTCAACAGCTGCGATGAACCATTCACTATCCAACTGCAGTCGCTCGTTTGAAATGCTGCAAAGTTGAGTGAAAAATTCGAGGTGCTCATTCCCGGCGCGGTTGTTGATAGAATCCACGCCCTTTGCGACAAAGTTGATCAAGCTGACGATAGACTCCTCGTCCGAAGCTTGCTTGCAGAAAACGACGGCGCATTCAAGGAATGGAATGCAGAGGTCGGCAGGTGAATATCGTAGACCAACCTCCAGCGTCTTCAAGACATGTGGCATAAAGCCAGACTCGGGCTCAAGGAGGGAAGTGACAATTACATGAGCAACCTCGGGTTGGACGCAAATCTGTTCATGCTGGAACAACTTTACCAAAAGCACAAGGACCGCGCAGTCATCGGCGGGCTTCTGATACTCAAGAGGTCTGATGAACCTAGCTTCCGCCGCACTGAGCGCGGGCCGACCATCAGGTCCCCTTTCGCGAGCAGTAATCGAAGCGACCGGTGCAAGCGAGAAGTTGATTCGCTGGAAGAGCATCGCGCAGAGGGTCATCAAGTTTCTGTATGAGAATTGACGACCCTTGTCGATCAACCGGCAATAACCAGGATACCGCCCCTTCAAATTTCGGCGGTCTTCAGAGTCGAGCCATATGATTTCCAAGCACTTGACGAGCATACCATTAGCGAGAATGGCATTAGTAGTCTCTTGCCCCAACTCTGTAAGCTTGATGAAGAACTCAAAGTATTCATCCCACACGCGAGGAATAGTATGGAGAGCGGGCCAAAGCTCTGCAAGCATAGACACGATGGTCCCAACAGCCTCCTCAAGTTCAATCTGCCAGGCGGCTCGCTTCTCCTCATCGATTTCAAGTGCTTGCAGGGAGATCTTCAGACAACGCACAGCATCGATGATGATAGACACCTCCTTTTGCCGAACTTCGTACTGGAAGATTCTCAGCACCAGATTTCGCATTGTAGTTGGCCAACGAGCGAACCACTGGAGTGCGCGAAGGGCACCGTGGGGGCTTCGAATCAGCATCTTGAGTTCCTCGTAGACGCCAAGAAGTCCAACCGACTCTTTGGTCCGAGCGATCAGTTGCTCCAGTGTGTCGAGACCAAGCTCTATTCCCATCACTTCCAGCTCGTGGTGGTCCAAAGAGTTGGGGTCCATCTGTCGGACGCGATACAACAGCTCAGGAATCAGCTTCGTGTACGCTGGTTCCAGTAAGCAATAAGTTCGGATGAACAGCTCATTATCCATAGCAATGTGGTTGGCAAAGGCTGTTGGTACGGGAACTCGGGCAGGATAGCTGGGTTTCGATAGCTGGGTTTCCGCCTTGGGCTGTTCCATCGTGGAAACACGCTGGTAAAACAGCATGTAGGCGTTCCAGACCTTGTTGATCTGCACACCTCCCATGCTGTGGGCGGCCTCAGTCTGACCTCCAAAGCAGTGATCCGCAATAGTGGCTGGGTCGAATTTGGACACGTCGGAGTCATTGAATTCGACCCACAGAGGGGCAGAGCCGTTCGATGACCGCTCACGAGTGTAGGAGTAGTAATGTCCCGACTCCGCAGTTCCAGTATGCACCAGGACACCAACCAGCTCAAACATGTCGGGCTCGATGGGGCTGCTGGGATCAGAGAGGTGGTCCACCTTGTACGGTGTCATATCGATGAGTCGGGGAAACTGGAACTCGTCGTTGATCTTGCTTCGCATCATGGTAACCATGTCAAAGTCGAATCGCTTGAGGTGGAAAATCAGGTTGTCAGGAACATCCTTCAGACAAGCCCGCTTGACCGCGTCCACATGGCGGCCACAGCCCGAGCAGAAGTACTTGTTGTCTCCTTGCATGATCTCCCCTTCGACGTACGCCTGCAGGCTCTGGTCCAGGCTAGCCTTGCCCTTGATGTCGCATTGAATGGCCGAGAATGGCTCCTCTCGCTCTGAAATGTGGGAGCACTCCTTGGACTTGATCTGCTGAACAAGCTGGCCTCCATAGAAAGACCGGAATCTCTTCTTATCTTCCGGATTCATGATCAGAGCTTCCCAGCGGTCGAAAAGCAGGTTGTAGAACTCATCGACATCCATCTGAACCGTGACGTCGATTGCTTCATTGTCGTAGGTCCGAATACTTTCCACAAAGCCCTCCGGATCGACGCTTTTCAGCCAAGTATCCTGCATCCAGGCGAAGAGCTTTTGCGTCTCATCAAGAAGTTTCTGCGACACGTCGGGATCCACAATGTTAAGTCCCAGCATGAACCCACGGAATTCGGTATTCATGAAAAGTTGTGTCATGAGAGAGTTCAAATAGCACGTATTCGAAAGGTTCTTAAGACCCGCGTACCCCTCTGGGGCTCGGATCATCTTGGTACGGTCATGGCACCAGGTCGGACTGTACGATTCGTCTGCAAAAGAGAAATTATTAGAATGGAGCCGCCATTAACTAGGACAATGAAACAAACCTCGCGGAATCACTCCTTCCAAATGCTGCATTATGCGTGCAACATTGCCATCACTTCGTTTGCACAGGAGTCTGATGATACTGTAAAGCTTCTGTCGCGTCTCGGTGTGCATGTGAGGCGTGCGAGGAACGATGACCTCATCATTCTCATTGGCAAGCTCTGGGAAAAGATACTTGCTAATAATTTGCTCTGCCAGGTCGCTATAAGAAAAGAACAGGGTCAGTCGGTATCGTTAAAAAGGGCACGGGAAGGAACATACAAAGTCTCCAAGTCAACATTAGCCAAGTCTGCGGACTCGAGACACTGCTCCAGGAGACCAGCAAAACCCAGTACCAAGTTATCAACAGGCTCGCGTCCGATGAACTGGATTCAGGTTAGTAAGAACCCCTTCGTCAAATACTATGGTTTAAGGCATACCTCTTCAGTCTCATGGCGAAGCATAACCTCACTCCATTGTTTCAGATACTGGCTGAAAATGACATCCCGAGGGGATTTCTCTGCAACTGAGCGGAAGACCCAGAGAGCGACACTGAAGAACTCAGCAGCTTGAGATGCATACTCAGGAGTCATTGGGATTGTTTGAACAAATGCATCCCAGACAGTGGCGAGCATGTCAATCTGAGCAGGGGTGTCTGCGGTGGGAGCACTTGGCGACTTGCCATTGCTCAACTTTGATGATTGTTTCATGGACTTTGCCGCGCTGCAAGTTCTCCTGATCCTCTCCGACACGTCACTTCGAATTGGCTGGCGAGCCTCCTCGAGAAGCAGTGTCTTGATTAAGGCGCCGAGCTGCGTTTCTTGCTTGACTGCACCCCAAAAGGTCTGGTCACGAATCGATCCTTCCACCAGCACGCCGAAAGAGTTGCAAATCAGTCTCTGGACGATTGACATGTTAAGTGAAGGCCTTGCGGTCACGGACCGAGCTGTCTCGATGAAGTGAAGTACGCGTCTGACGAGAGGAGCCTTGTCGTGGGCTACCAAAGTTTTCTCACTGGAGGCACTGTGCAGGGCAATAGCATCCAAGAGACACTCCACTGCGGTTGAAGCAAGGTGTAGTAAGTTCCGGTCACTATCGAGAGACTCGGACAGCTGCTTTGCCATCAAAAAATTCACTAGAACCTCAATGCTGTGAGAAATAAAGACCTGGTTAGGATCATCCTCAAGGGCCTCTTCGAGGAGACAAGCCAAAAGCGCATTGAATGAGTAAAAGGCGACAAATGGCTTTTCAAAGGGAAACAAGTCCTTGGCAGTGCTGGTCTCAGATTTGACGAGGTCCCGGACTCGAGGCTGGGGCGAGAATGTCACAAGGAATTGATAGATCTAAACAAAGCTTCCAGTTAGCGAGACAGCCCCCGTATGTTGTTAATTTCCATGGTTCAACATACCTCTCGTGCAAGATCATCATTCAAAGCCAGCAAATCATAAAGCTCGTCAAAGTGCTTCAACACCTCGGAGTCGACCGATGTAAGCGGCATGCCTCCACTGCTAGCCCGGGACACTTCCTTAGCATCCGGTGCCTTTCGGATGATAAGCAGACCTGCCTGAAGCACCTTGATTTCCCTCACGGTGAGCTCAGGGTCCTTCGTCAAGTCAACCCGTTGGCCCCCTGCAATTGCCGTGAACTTGGAAAATCCACTCAGATGCGTAAGCCGCTCAACCAGCTCGCCCGCAGTTGACAGATCACCAATTCGGAGGACCTTGATTTTGGAATTAGCACTTCCATTGAAGGACTGCCAAGAGATGGTGATTGGGTCTCCTTTGATAGGCCGCTCTGGAAGCATAGGCGGGGAGCCCTTTGGGGAGGTGTAATGAGGGCGAGCGCGCAATCCCTTTAGCAATTGGTGAAGGAAATAGAGTGAGCGTCGGAATCGAAGTTCCTCAAGGCTCATTTCACCAGTCTTAGTCTCAGACTCCATGGAAGCATCTCCGTTGGCGTCCGATGCCTCCTTCAGGGTCGCAGCAGCAGACTTGAGCTGATCCACGCACCGCTCGACGAGGGAGATATGGGTGGCCTCGATCGCGGATTGTGGCGAACTGGCGATGATCGAATGATCCAGGTAGACCTTGACGGCGAATTCAGTAGCCTGGACTTCGATCGTACCAGGTGGAGCAGTGAGGATAAAACTCCAGATGCGATCCATCCCGGGGATAGTCACGACCTGGTCCTCGCCGGCAGGAGGCGGCGGATTGAATCGCACTTCATAGATGATGGACTGCTTAGCAAACGCCAATATCTCCTTTGTGTAGTCTTTGGGTGTCAAGTTGGGGAGGTATTCGTGGATGCACCTATGGAGGAACGGATTCGCCTCGGTGCATTGACTCAGAGCGGTGACCAGCATATTCCACATGGCTTGGCGGCCCTCTGCTCCCATCTTGTTGGACAACAAGATTTCATCCCACAGGGCCTTCCCGAGATCCGGAGTGATAGTCTCGGGGACCATGTCGATCAGTCGGAAGAGGATAGTCAACCGCGGGACCAGACCAAATTGGGAAAAGTCGTGGATAGAATCATCACCGTCGGCATTCACGGCATGGAGCATATCGTCAATAACCAAGCCTGTCAAGTTGAAGTCCGTTGCCAATTTCAACATCTCCTGGACATCATGAGCAGGAACGAGAGCGCCCAATGTTTGGATGCTACCAGCAGTGAAATGATTCTTCTCGGCAACGTCCTGGATGCAGCGCTCATAGATTGCCATCCTATCAGCCTCGCTGATACCAGCGGCGATAAATCCCATAAGCTTCTGACTGCCAAACTTTTGAAGACTTTTCTTCTGTTCCACGGAGAGGTCATCCGCGGCCGTGCTATCCCGAATAAGACGAACGCAGAGTTGTAGGGGAAGCGCATCAACGCAATCATGGTCATAACTGCCCGAGATGCGTCGATCAGAGGGATTCTCACACATCCGGCTAAGCAACTTGTTGCAAAATTCAAGCATATTCATATCAAAACGAGCGAGAGGCAGGTCCAAGACCTTCTGGCAGACGTACAGCAAAGCCGCAGAGGCGGTGATGTGCATGTTGAACGTCCGAGTCAGCATCAATAGGACCTCGGAGACGACTCGGCCATCTTGGCTTTCCGTCACGGTCTTCCAGATGACATCCGTCACAGAGTTGGTGTATGTATCTGTCACGATCAGGAACCCAACGATATTGCTACTCCGGCTGATCAACTGCGGATGGGAGTCGACACCCACGAGGTAATCCACAATCTTGCTATCCTGAATGAAGCGGACCAGTTGCTTCACGAACGGCAAGTTGACACCTCCCTGATTGTTAGAGATACTGGATCTCCACACGTTAACCAAGTCGGACTGCATTGTCTCCACACCGTGAACCCGGAGCTCCATGCGGCCTTCCATAATGTGCTTCTTGAGGACTCCGAACTTCCACATCCAGAAAATGACCAAGGACTTTTCCGTTAAATTGGCGTCGTCTGGTAAGGGAATGGAGAGATCTTGTGAGAGCTGGTTCACAAACTCGGCATTGCGAGCACAGTGGTGTTTGTAGTGATGTGAAATAGCACGCAGCAACTGCTCACTCAGATCGCTCGTAGCCCAGGCGGCCTTCTTGCTGATCCATTCTTGGTATTTATCATCGATCGAGCGAACCATCTCGTAGAGGGATCGGATCGGAGCTGAGTCGGGCAATGGGGATTCGACCTCATCCTCATCCACATCCTGGCTGCGCTCTATGTGGCAGTCTACCAGGGCATTGGCAATGAGCATGATATGGGCCAGCGAGCCGGTCAGATGCGTATGTCGGGGGATAAGTTGGAGGGTGAGGGCCGTCCATTCCGATAGTGTTTGAACGAGATTAATGGGATGTGCAAGTGCTTTTGCCCGAATGCGCATGAGCATGTCATTCGTATCGGCAGTGTACTTTTTGTCCAAAGTTCGGTACAAAGGGATGGGAGTTTTGGGGGAGAGGAGAACAAAGGTAAGAGGCTGAAGGTAGTCTTTGCAGAGACTGTCTTGTGCGGGAAGTTCCGGGTCATCAACCAAATGGCGCAGAATCATGATGTCGATGCGTATCATCTGGAGGGCGATCTGCACAAAATCAAGAAGGAACTCCTCTAGGCAGGTCCACGGGCCACTGCCTGAGCCATCGTCGATCAATAGTTCATGTCTGTAAAAGAAGTTAGCTTTATTGCATATGCATCCACATGAATGTTGGAAAAAGGGAACTCACGGTCTTCGCAACACGCTCTCCACCACGTCGGGAAGCTGCTGCCAGAATTCCTGGGACTCGCCGAACTCTTCAAGGGTCAGACGATCCAGGTTCTTCACGCAGTCATCCATCCAGGTCTTCACCGCAGAGGCGGCATCGGCATCACGGGGGTCAGCTGTTTCACCAAGTCTCAGTATAAAATATTCCGGCAGCACGTAGAGGGAGGGAGGGAGGAAAGTCGTACCTTTCTGGATCATGTTCACAATTCTGGCCAAGTTGTCTCGTGCTGGAAGGTTCTCACGAACTCTGGGGAAGGTATCGACCAGAGAAGAGGGCGGGTCGTGAACCTCAACCACTGCTGCATCCTGGATTGCATCTGACAGTGGCCTCCAATTCTCATCCATATCTTCGGGATCGGCAGCTTGAATTTCAGGGCTCTGGGTAGGGGAGGAAGAGATAGAGATAACGTGTGAAGGTGAACCGGTGGGTTCAGTCGAGTTCGGTCGCGTCGGGGTGCTTGGAGGCACCGGGGAGGGCTCGCGCATGGTGTGTGCAATGTCCATTTCCGAAGTTGAGGTCGGAGACTTGACATTAATGGTGACTTTGGCGGGGCGAGCCTGGTCTGGTGTGGTATCCATGTCCGAGGCAGAGGCAGGAGCGGCGGGCGTCGCGACAGCTGAGGCAGGAGCAGACGATGCAGCAACCGCCGCGGCGTCAATCGAGATGGATGGACTGACACCACTTCCACTATCCAGGCGTGGTCGTTTCTGGACCCGCTCAGGACCGGCTTCTTCCATGGAGTCGAGTTGTCGCGTGGGTTCGTTCAGCGGCGCGCCAGGCGGGGTGCGAGAGCTCGCTGGCGGGGGTTCAGCCATGACATTTTCCTCGAGTCGAGGCAGGTCGGCAGGGAAGGAAGGTGAGGTGAGGGAAGGGCGACGAGAGAGAGAGAAGGTTGCCGGAAATTACCGGGGGAAGGTGCGAGCAAACTAAGAGGAAGATGAAGTGTGTTTTGGCGGAGAGAGATCTTTAACGATCCGGCGATCGACAGCTTTTTTGGGGAGGACGCGCGAAGAGGAGATCCGTGATTGGGGATGACGTTGTGCTGTGGGCTGATTAACAGGACCCTGGATTTACTAGCAAAATATGACTTTTCTACTATGTCCACTATTATGTAGCTTATCGGTTATTGGAATATTAATTCCATTTTCCTCTTTTTCCTTGCTTATGCTCTGGACAGTACTTTCCTTTGTCCCGGTCTAGGCAAACAACATAAATCGCCCGCGGCTGAGCCGCTAGGAACCCGCCACAGCAGGTAGAGTATGTACAAACCCAGTTACATTACGTCTAACTGCGACCAGAATGATAATATCACTGATTAAATGCAAGGTTTAGCTTGTATTCTTTGATCAAGCTTATCAATTATGTATCGCTAACTGAGCCAGGCCTGCATACTGCAGATGTAGCTCGAAATATATATGTGTTCGTCTAGTATCCTGCTACCACGTTGCACTAAAAAGTATAAAAGATTACTTTAATTTCTCTAGACCTGGGATCACTCATTCATTCCTTCATGGTAGTCTCGATCTTCCGGATGATCCTGGCTGGGTTCCCAGCAACTACATGAAAGGGCGGCACATCCTGTTTGAATCGACTGATCAGCAAACCCTGCACTCTGCAACTAATTGTAGCCATCCGATAGGCAGATAGAAATCAAAAGAATCCCTTTAAGGACAAGAAAACATACCTTAGTAACCACACTGCCAGCACCAACAGTCGATCCCTTGCCAATGGTCACCCCAGGAAGAATAGTCACATTGCCTCCAATCCAGCAATCCTCGCCAATGGTAATCGGAGCTCCCATCTCAGGGCCTTCCATACCATTTCGCACAGCTGGATCAACGGGGTGAGTCCCAGCGAACAAGCTCACGTTGGGCCCAAACAGTGTCCGAGACCCGATAGTAATAGGCAAGCTATCAATGAAGACACAGTTGGAGTTGATGAAGACATTCTTCCCGAGGATGACGTTAAAGCCGTAGTCTGCCTTGACGGGTGGTTCGATCCAGGGCTCGTCTTTGAAGAGCTCATCATCGGCCACTGGATCATCTAGTTGTGGAGGGAGAGGAGTCTTGTCCTCAATGACACTGATAGACAAGGTTAGATATTGTGTTTGAAGTAGGGAAGTGTTAGATAGAAATACACTTACTCCTTCCAAAGCTCAACTAGCCGTCTCCGGGGTACTTCACCGGCATTGTTATACCGAGTGTAGGCATATTTGCAGCGATTCCGAGCCGCAATCAGGTCCGGGGTGAAAGAAACGAAGAGCTCTCCACGGAGCATCTTCTCGCGCTCAGTTAGTTCCGCCATATTCTCGTGTGATCTTATAGAATGTCGAATATATCAGGTCACACGGTTGAGTCTCGGTAGATTCGGTATAATGCAAGATGTCAACGTGTCGTTAAAACAGTCTCCCGGAGCCACTCAAGGCAAGGCCTAAGCCGAGCCAAGTGGGGGTGTTTTGAGAAATGGGGGAAGATCGGAGATAAAAGAAAGAAAGCTCGGTCCAAGTCCGTAGCTTTGCGGCCGGCAACAATCAAAACTTCCATCGATTGTTCTCAATCCGCCAAACTCCGCCAACCCAACGAACACAATGAAACATGGCGCTCTGATCATTCTTTAAAAGAGGCCCCCGCCACTCGTGTTCATCCTGAGACATTCGTTCACCCCCTATTTCTTAACATCACCACCACCACACCACGCTCAACTCCCCGCATTCCATAGGTCCCTCCTTTACCCCCCAAAATGGCCGACGCAACAACCTCCAGCTCCCAGGCTACACCTGGTGACCCAAACATCTCCTGGCCAATCGAGCGCCTCGCACACACCGCCGAATCAGAATGGCACCCCTCCTTCCCACAGAACCAGCGCCGGCCCAGTAACGCGTCAAACGCAAGCTATAGCTCGACCTCCTCCACTCCAGACCTCGATCGATCCAATTATCCCGACGGTACAAAGTCACTGTCGGGCATCTCCCTCCGAGCCTTCCTCCTAGGACTCACCCTAGGCGCTACACTCGTTCTTACACTCCTCCTGACTACGGTCTTCCGAACGCCATTCTGGCGCGTACCCTTCTTCGTCGGTGCGCTGAGCCTGTTCCACTTCCTCGAGTACTACGTCACGGCGCGGTATAATACACGGTATGCGTCGGTGGGCGCATTCCTTCTCACCTCGAACGGATGGGCGTATAACGTCGCGCATGGGTCTGCTATTGTGGAGTGTATCGTCTCGCACTTCTTCTGGCCAGAGTCGACTCGCGTGGGACGATTGCTGTCGTTCCCCGAGCCGTTCTCTGGTTCGCCAGTGTCGTTGCTATTGGTGATTGGATTCGTCTTGACAATTGTTGGCCAGGTTGTCAGGACGCTAGCCATGGCACAGGCAGCGAGTAATTTCAACCATCACGTCCAGTCTGAGCATCAGGAGGGCCATGTCCTGGTTAAGACCGGGTTGTATGGATATCTTCGGCATCCGAGTTATTTTGGTTTCTTTTGGTGGGGACTGGGCACGCAGTTGGTACTGGGCAATGTGGTGTGTTTCATTGGGTATACCCTCGTGTTGTGGAAGTTCTTTTCCACTCGGATTAAGCGTGAGTTTCCTTGTCAACGCAGTGGCTTTCCCGTCTATCTTAAATGGGTTGACTAACTGTGTAACTTTCTAGGCGAGGAATCGTTTTTGATTCAATTCTTCGGCGCCGAATATCTTCAGTACCGTCAGGATACTCCCGTCGGTATCCCATTGATTCGCTAGATAGAGAGGTAGTCGGCGTCATGTGGGCATTGCTTGTTAAACAGAACTTCTTAATAGCTCAAATCCAAAAGTCCTTCATGTCTCAAGTTGTTGAATGAGCCTAATAAGGCCCGACGAGTCACATTAAGTCCTCCGCACCATAGAAATCTTAAGATCAAAAAAAACCCCTAAACACAAATCACTCCACTTCATATACAATCTCACCATCACCAATAATGCGAAGAACTCGTCAAAGCCATAAGACCCCGTTCACACTCCACATCCACCAAATAACGAACCTACACCAAGCCCAACCACAAACCGCCACCACCAGAAATCCCTCCTAGCAGCCCTCAACGCCGTCGTAAACTCTCAATACTCCGGATACCAACCCGCAGCCTCCCAATCCAGGAACCCCTTAATCCGGCCCCGACATACCACAATATTATGAGGGTGGAGATCACCATCCGAGAAAAGAACCCGGTGCGGGATATCCCCCGATTTTCCTCGCAAGAACTAGAGCGTCCTGATACGCGCGCTCAGGGTCAAACCCGCCAGACTGGGAAGCCTGCTTTTCGGGCGACTTGCATCGTCAGGACTTCTTCTAGTCGTGTTCCGTCGGACCATTTGAGGATTAGGCCGAAGGGGAGTTGGGCGATTTGGTTGTCGTAGGTAATACCGAGCCAGGTGCAGGACGTTCGGGAGAAGTGTCGGAGGTGTTTGTGCAGGATGCCCCAGAGACGACGGATATGGGGGTGTGTTGGTTGGGGGGTGGGTGGTATGTTTTTATGTGTAGTTGGTTAAGGTGTGTCGGGCCATGTAAAGTTGGGTAGTAAGAAGCGTGGTATGAGCCAGGATAACATTTTAGTGATCGTGTTATGGAGAGGATGGAAGGTGTGGGATAGGACAAGATGTAGATCCAAGTGGGGGAAGAGGAAGGGCGGTCGTCGTTGTTCGCAAGAGGGCAAGCTCAGACAAGTAAAGTCTGTTAATTTAGTTCAAGAGATTCAGATTAGACCATCTCATCTACTAACACAAATAATCTGCAATTTTCCACTGAAATTTGAACCCATAATGTCCTGGTATATAAAGTATAAACACAATCAACGCTATACAATGCAACACATCCTCCCCATCCCAACACCTTCAACTATTCACATCACAACTTACTCTCCGGCGCCACAGCCCCCACAGCACCACTCATAAACGGACCGCCCTCCTCCCCCTCCGGACCCGCACTGGAACTAGGCTCAGCACCGAACAGTACAAGCTCCCGCCCACCGCGGGTAGTCCACCAAGTAACGCAGCAATGAGCCCGATCCACATCCATCTCTCCACCACTCAGCGCCTCCCAGAACCGATCAATGCAGACATGGCGCATGCCCCGATCGGGGATTGCATTGAGAAGTTGCGCGGTGAGGGGGAGCCATTCTTTCAGGTCGTCTACGCGGAGGAAAGAGAGGGAGTCGATTAAGGCGAGGATAAGGACGGCTTGGGCGGAGAGAGGTGGTTGGTCTGGCGATGAGCCGTTTTGGGTGTTTGGTGGGATGGGGATGGTTGAGGCGGTTAGGGCGCGGTCACGGACGACTTCGAGGAGGATTGATGGGAGGAGGGGTTGGCTGTTTGCTAAGGGGGATGGGGGTGCGGTGATTTGGATGACTGTTTTGAAGGCGAGGCGGAATTGTCTGGCTGATAGGTTTTCGGGGAATACCTGAACAATGTTAGACTGGATAAAATGGTATGACAGCCTGGGGAGGACTCACGGCAAAGAGGTTCTCAATGTAGAAGGGGAGATGCTTGGCAGCCAATTCCGCGTTGTGGGGGATAGCAAAGACGACAAGCACCAAACTGTGAGCTGCCTCGAAAATCTCCAGAAGTAGACTGTTGGCACCGGCTGCGAGGTACGGGAAAGCAGCCGACAGGAGGAGCTCTTCGCTAGCCTCGGGGCTTAAGACCAATGGGAAATGCTCCGCCGTGTTCAAGAAGAACAGATCGAGACATCTTTCCACGGGGTGATCAGGGATTTGACCGATGTCACTAGGCTTGATGCTGCGCAGGAAATTCTCAGCCAAGTCGGGATATTGAGAAAGGATATCGATGGCTGCCAGGAACACGAAATTCTGCTGCGATGATCCATTCTGGCCGGTCCGAGAAGAGATAAAGTATAAGTTGCGAAGAATATGCAGAGACTGCATGCAAAGATAAGGTGCACCTGGAAAAAGTATCTTAGGTCAGTTTGTGTCAGTCAAATCAGACTTGATCTAAACTTACTGCTGCCAGCAGCAAGAGCCGGATCATTAATCGTTCTACCCAGCACGGTACGAAGAACGATGACCACCGAATACATGCAGTTCCGCAAAAGCGACCACAGAGCCGGGATGGTAGTCTTCAGCGACTCGGCATCCAAGAACTCGGTCTCTTCCGCAACGTCAACCTCGGACAACTTATTTTGGCGCCACTGTACCATAAGCGTCCGCACGAAATCCGCCATATAGTCCACCGACTGCGCAACCAGGTTCGGATCCCGCACATTCTCCACGGCATGCGCAACTAGCCTGGACAATGGACCAAGTGCACCGACCAAGGGACGCCCAGCCACCGCAGTCACATACCCAAACGTCGCAGAGTTGGATGCCCAACGGAACTTCTTCCCCGGAGCCTCGACGACATCTTTATCAATAGCGCCCAGGAAGTATCCACCTTCCAAGCCCTCGGGAGAATGAAACACGGAGCGCACCATAATAGGCAATAGGCAATCATAATCCAGCTTACTCCTCTGCGTATCCGACAAAAGCTCAAACGTGTAGTTCAACACCATGGTGATACAATATCCATCAATGCCAGCCTCGGCATCCAATTCCTCCAACGCTAATTGCGCCGCGGTCGCCAGCGCAGACTCCAATTTCGTCCGAATATGCCACGGCAGACCCTGGCGATTCTGTCCCTCGAATCCGAGCAGTATTCCGCCGAGTAAGAGCATGTGTCTCCAGCGTGGGGACTTGTCATCCGCTCCCTCGGCAATCGCTTTGACCCATGCTTCACGTTCGATGCGGCGATTGCGGCCCACACCGTGCGGTATCTGGGCTTCTTCTGTGGTATCGTTTTGGAGAACTGCGATGGCGGCCGTATTGAAGACGCTCAGGATCTTGCGACACGCGAATAAATCGACGGGGTGATTCCATAACGCCGGTGCAGAGAGAAGCTGCGACGCGAGAAGACTCAAATTCAAGGGGTTTCCGAGAATAGATAAGAAGCTGGTCGCAGTGGGAAGGAGACTGGGAGGATAAGTCGTGATTGTTAGCCGGAGGTGTCGGTGATCGGTGATACCCGAAGCAATGCGGTGACTGGCGCCACTTACCCAGAAGCATCTTCGAAGCTGGAAGTTGACTGTAATGAGCGCAGGAGCGCAGCCAGCGAGCGTTCTGTCGCCATGATTCAAGGACCTAGATTGGACAGGCAATGCCCACAGGTCTACATGGGAGGAGGTGGAAGTAGAAGGGGAGATGAGATGTCACCGCGGAGACCCCAGACCAACGAGAGCGAGACCCCATCCGCAGCCGAGGTCCGGAGTTGTCAAACAGTGCAAACAGACATCGTCATTCCCAGCAAACGGCAGGAGCCCGATTCCAAGTCCGATAGGGGAGTACGCCTCCAAGCTCCGGACAACAAACACGAAACCTCTCGAGGTCAACTTACACCCCCCGTCTCACCTTACGATGCTTTAATATCCCATATCCACATTTTAGCCGTCTCGGCACCACAGCATATCCCCCATGGCTAATAACCGAGTCCCGATCAACTATCAAACACCCAGATTCCCATCACTATACGATCCACTCCCATCCCACCACAAGGAGGCGTATTACCTCTACTACACAAAGGATATCTGGCGTTTCACGCTTTACTGGACATTACTCTTCTACGGCGCGACACATCTCACCGTCGCGGGGTGCGCAGTCCTAACGCATTGCCGGAATTGGAGTGTTATATGGCTGGTTCCGTTGTTGTATAGTGTGGTTGCGGGGTTGGAGGGATTGTTAGCTGGGAGTATTGTTGGGCTTGTGTGAGTATTCCGGAATTTGGAGCTTGTGTGGCTGATCTGTGTTTTGGGGGTGTTTTTTTTACTGACTACTGCGTGGCTAGACTTGGTGCTGTGTATGAATCGGGCAATTTCAGGATGTCGACTTTCCTGCCTATGATCTGGGGCGGTGTCAATGTGATGGTGCTCATTGTGACGAGCTATCCTATGCGAGGTGGTCTTTGAGAGGACATCAAAGCATCGTCTACAAGACTGGGTCAGATTCATTGCCGGCCTTTCGCCATCCAGCTACAACGGGACGTCACCAGCACCGGACAGCCTAATCATCCGACTCGGGAAATGGAATCATATTTTCCGTATAATACACCGAAGAATTGATATTCGCAAAAGAGCGCCGGCCCCAAACCAAAATGGCTATCACATGCTTATATGTCCGTTACCCCGGTCCCACGATACCAAATTTGACATGCACATAAAATGCAACCCCGTCACCTTTCCCCCGTTTTTCTCTCTTCATCGTCGACCACTATCAGGCATTCCACCGCCCTGTAGACCAGGTAACCCGCCAAATCCAGGCGGCATGTTCATATTCGGGGGCATTGGGAATCCCTGAGACGCAAGTTGTTTTTGCAACTGCGCCAGATCCATATTCATCGGCGGAGCATTGCCCATGCCGGGAATCATTGGGAACCCAGGGATTGGTTGGTTTTGTGGGGGTAGTGATTGTGGCGGAGGAGCTTGAGATGACATAATGGCGGCCAACCGGCCAGGGTCCATCCCGGCCATACCAGGTAGCCCCGGTGGAGGAGGCGGTTGAGCACCGCCAATGCCAGGAAGGAACCCAGCGCCCTCGGGCTGGGGTGTGCCACCCGCTTGGATGCCGGGCAATGTAGGCGCACCGGGTCGTCGCTGATCGACAAGACTCTCGGCCTCGTCCTGCATCTCTTGTTCCTCTTCTTCACGCATCTGTCTACGGCCGAATCCGCGACTCCAGGTGCCCTGGGCTTCGGCCGCCTCTTCGCCGATATGGAATCGATCCTTCATGTAACTAGTCTCTCCGGGTCTAGCCCGAGACCAGAATCGAGTAAAGTTATCCTTGGATCCAGATGCAAGAATGTGGCCTAGTGGATGCCAGTCCAGAGACCAAATCGTAGCGCCGTGAGCGTATTGTACCCGGTGGGCAGGGAAAATTACCTGCGGGGGTGTATTGGCCGGGTCGGGGCTGTCGTATGGTGCCACGGTAGGGACATGGCCAGCGGGCAGGTTAGGCTCGTCCAGCAAGTAGTGGTACAGAGAGCCGTCCTCAGCTCCAGTAGAGATCAAGTTGCTGTGAATGGGATGCCACGTCAAAGAAGACACGGGCTTCTCATGTCCACGTAGAATGCAAATATCCCGCATCATGCGCAAATCGAATACCCGCGCGGTCTGATCCCGCGACGAAGTGGCAAGCAGGTTATTATTTACACGGGAGAATCGCGTCGAGGTGACGGTGTTCTTGTGACTGTGGAGCGTGGTCAGACACCTTGCCGTCCGTGGATCCCAGAATTTGACCTGGTGATCCTTTGAACCCGAGACCAGCAGTCCCTTTGTCGGATGCCAATCGCATGACTTGACGTCCCAGTTGTGGCCGGAGAGAACGGTGTCGCAGGTTCGGGATGTGAAATCGAAGATCTTGAGCGTTGTGTCGTCGGAGGCAGAGAGGAATTTGGTATCGCTTGGTGCCCAGGCCAAATCTCGGACTGCGTCGTGGTGAGCATCGTCGATCGTTTCGACGTTGTTGAAGTTTGGTCGCCAGTATTTGATGTCGCCTCTTTGTCCGCCCGAGATCAACCATTCGTGGCTGTGAGACCAGGCGAGAGATGTGACACCCGCTTGGACTTGATCGTAATGCGCCTGTTTTCGTCAGCTAGTACTCATTTATTCAATCACCGCCATCTACTCCGTATCACGTACATCCATCACCGTCTCAAAATTAAACGCCGTTCCATTCCAAAGCATAAACTCTCCCGTGTGTCCACCCGTCAACAACCGTCTGCCTTCGGGCGTCCACCGTACCACAACGATAGGTTTCTTCGACTTTCCAATCGACTGATGCAAATGCCGTACAGGTATCGTGTCGGCTGGGGAATAAGTTCGCGCCATGGGTGGAAGCATCTGTAATAAATGCGAACGTCAGTCTCTGCCAGGACAATCCAACGAGCGCCGAGCCAGGGCACACTCCTCACGCGACACACTCACATCTACCGTGAAGCTGGCACTCGGGCGCTCCATCTCCATGCGGTGCTCGCCGCGGTATCGAGGTCGTCGCGTCCGCATCCATTGTACCATCGACGAGCCATAGTCCGTAACCAATCCTGTGAGCACATCAAGTCAGTCAAGTCCGTCGCATCGGATGAAACCACTCTCAAAGAAAGTGGAGACTGCATTCAGTGCATCATCATAAACATACTTGGCCGACGAGGCCCAACAGGACCGTCAAAATTCTTTGTAAACCTCCCCGGGGCATCGCCCCCATGCTCATCGTAGTAGGCCATTTGGGGGTGGACCTATTTTTGTGAATGTTTCGGGTCGCCTGGTGGGGTTGGGGGTGGGAGAGGAAAGCTGCGCAATCAATGCATGAAGAAAAAGAGAGTAATCGGAGCGATTAGCGTTCAGAAGAGCCGGTTCAGCGCATTATCATTGGAGAAGATGAAAGCGTTGGGAGGAGAAGGTCGGAGCTTTTGCAGGTGGCCGGGGGCCCTTGAGGAGCTCTCGGAGGCGGTGATTGGGCCGTTTTTATCGGCTGCCGTTAATGGCGGTACAGTACCTTCTTCATCTCTTCCTTTTACTCCCAGGCTCATGGTGAATTCTTGATTCTACCATAACTTGGTTGAATCTAGGACTCATTTAAGTAAAGGGTGCTCTGGAATCTCCTCTCCCTCTTTTGTCTATCATGTTGATCACAAACTAAGAACGTTGCATCGCTTTACTCTGGGACTTTTGTGCTTGGCGCATTGCTCCCGGTTCGCCCGCTAGAGCCTCGAACTAGCTTTCCCCTCCGCCCTAGCTAGATCTCGACCACTCTGGCCAGCTTCTGGTTTTTTCCTTCTTAAACAATTTTCTAACAGCTTCAAACTCAAGCCTCATCGAGGTTGTTGACCATGGCCTCGCAGACAGGGGCCGTGACCACTGCTCATGAGCACTCCAGTGCTCAGGCAAATGGCATCACCGAGAACCATCAAGTCGACGCCTCGGCGTCCGATCCCGCGCCCGCGCCCATTGGCAAGAAACGTCATAGCAAATACCGTCATGTCGCAGCCTACCATGCACAGCTACGACACTCGAGTCTCAGTCGAGATGCAGAGGTTACTCCCAGCTTTCTTGGATTCAGGAACCTGATGGTTCTGGTACTTGGTAGGGATCGAAGCTTCCCGTTGAACTGGAAATTAGCATGTGATAACTGATACGGCGGGGCAGTGGCCATGAATCTTCGATTGATCATTGAAAATTTCATGAAAGTGCGTTCTCGCTAAACGACTTAATCCCTGTCTTGAAAAGGAACTGTCAAGCGGCTCCTAACTATTGTAATCTTTATAGTACGGCGTCCTGATCTGCATCAAATGTCATGACTACCGCAAGCAGGACATCGTACTCGGATCTATCCTGTTCGCCCTCGTGCCATGTCACCTTTTCCTGGCCTATGCTATCGAGCTCTCTGCAGCAGGTGCCGCAAAGCAGACCGTTGGCCAGCAAAAGAAGAGTGCTGAGGAAAAAGAGCGTGACCAGCAGCGCTTCCGCTCTACCTGGCGCTACACGGCTCTACTACACACCTTGAACGCGACCATATGCCTAGCCCTGACCAGCTTCGTAGTGTACTTTTATATTCACCACCCAGGTATCGGGACTCTCTGCCAGTTGCACGCGATCATCGTGTGGCTCAAGAATTGCTCCTATGCATTCACCAACCGTGATCTCCGCCTCGCCTTCCTCAATCCATCCGCCGACCCCGGTCTGCCCGAGATCTACGCGACATGCCCTTATCCCCGGAACGTGACGCTCAAGAACCTTGCGTATTTCTGGATGGCCCCGACTCTAGTCTACCAACCCGTCTACCCACGCACCGCCTCAATCCGTTGGTCCTTTGTCGCGAAGCGGTTGGCAGAGTTCGTCGGACTGGCAGTATTCATCTGGCTTCTCTCGGCACAGTATGCCGCCCCCGTACTGCGCAATTCCATTGATAAAATCGCCGTCATGGATATTGCTTCTATCCTGGAGCGCGTCATGAAACTCTCCACCATCTCGCTGATCATCTGGTTGGCCGGATTCTTCGCCCTCTTCCAGGCTCTGCTGAATGCCCTGGCGGAAGTGATGCAATTCGGGGACCGTGAGTTCTATACCGATTGGTGGAATAGCTCCAGTCTGGGTGTGTACTGGCGGTCGTGGAACCGGCCGGTTTATCTGTTCATGAAGCGGCATGTGTACTCGCCGCTCGTTGGCCGAGGCTGGAGTCCGCTGGCTGCAAGCGGTATGGTCTTTTCACTGTCTGCTATCCTGCACGAAATGTTGGTGGGTATTCCCACTCATAACTTTATTGGTAAGAGTATTCCCCCGCTAGCATTGTATTCCCCAGATGAGAGACTAATTAAGATTAGGTGTTGCTTTCTTCGGTATGATGTTCCAATTGCCCCTCATTGCTCTTACGGCGCCGTTGGAGAAGATGCGCGGTCCGCAGGGTAAGACGATTGGTAACTGTATCTTCTGGGTGAGTTTCTGTCTGGTTGGACAGCCACTGGGAGCACTGCTGTACTTCTTTGCATGGCAAGCCAAGTACGGCAGTGTTAGTCGCATGCGCGTCTAAGCCGTGTGTTGGTCCTGTGCTGGACGATCCCCGTTGCGGACAACGAGAGTATGGGGAGATGTCCCGGGCGAGGAGGCTGAATCAGTCAGCGTTGAGAATAACCTTGGGTGGTACCACTGTTGATCATTTGAGCTAGACTTTTGCATTTATTATTGATCTGTTCTGTTTTATTTTCACGGACTCTTAGAAATGGATCTGGTTTGTTGGATACTTCCTGGAGAATACGAATGTACCAAGTCAACGGGCCGATAGGGTTCCGTGATATATCCCGTCCCCACACCTTCGGAGGCACACATTGCACCGCATGTACCTAAATCAATGACATGACGTAGGCATATTGGCGCCTTCGTACTACTTCTGCCCTAGTTACGGGGCTGTGATTATGTGGGGACCAATCTTGAGAGATCAAATCTAGCTATTCTTGGGAAGCCGAGCTGTCAAGATGGCTGTCGGAGCAGGACCAGTAGTGGATACTCGGAAGAAAGGAGATACTATAAACCCGCATGTATTAGTCATTATTATGCCCATCCAAATTGCCAGAAAGGGGCTACATAGCAATTCAGACCTGTTGAAACCCGATTGGTGCACCTAGATGAGCTCAGCAACCCAATTCCGATAGTTATGAGCCCGATTCGCCAGTGAGAAGGGTAGATTCGTCGATTTCGAGACTATACGCCGATGATTGCGGTAGTCCACACACACATACGATCTATCTCACCTTGCCCCTGAACTTCCTATCGCAGTGTACACCGCTGAGAACCGATCGATATGGAGTCAACAGTGATCTCCGCCATGAAGGGCGAAAAGCTGAAAGACCCTCTGCAATAGAGGAACTGGTTCGCACGAATTAAGCTGTATGCACGCCAGAAAAGGGTGTGGGACCTCATTGACCCCCATACCGAAGAAGGTTACCTCGAGGAACCAATCAGAAGACCTCGAAGACCTCAATATCCAGAAGATGGTAACGAATCGGCGAAGAGAGAGTGGAGAGACCGCATAGATATCTATAAACTAGACCTAAGCGAATGGGAATAACAGAGCAAGAGCCTAGACGCTGTTAACGAGTGGATCATCACCAATTTGGATCCAATTCACCATACTTCCATGCTAAATTACCAAACTCCGTACGAAAGGCTTATATATCTCCATACTCGATTCGGAAGAGCCACAGCCGCAGAAGAAGACGTGCGTACGCAGTAGAAGCGAGTGTCTGCATTACCACCAAGGAAAGGTGCAGATATCGACCAGTGGATCAACGAATAGGATTCACTAAGAGAGCAGGGTGTCAGCCTAGACCTGCCAGAAATAAAGAACGCCAATAAGGATTTCCTTCGTGCGGTCAAGGATCTACTTCCTATGTGGTGGCAATCCAAATTCGAGGCAATTATATTGCATCAAGAAGAGTGGGATACTCGCGATTTAATTGAAAATTTTAGAGGAACCTATCGTGAGATACATCCACAGAGATCGACCGTTAGTACGATCTCAAAAGCTTCTTTCTCAACACTGCAAGGATTCGAAGAAGCAAAGCAAGAAGATCAACAGCAAGCGCAAGCGCTACAACCGCAGCAACCACGATCCTTACCACCGATTCCAAAGCGCTAGTGCCCATGTAGTAACAAGGCCCATAAACTATGGGACTGCTAGATCATCAACCGAGAGGCTTTCCCAGACAAACCTATACTGAGATAGAAGGTCAAACGTGTCGAGGAACGTCTTTCGAAAGATAAAGCGTGGAAGACCTGGATAGATAAGATGGTCAAGGATCATAATGAGAAGAACGGGGTCAACAATACCAAGACGGCCAATTCAACGCAGCTCTAGGGCTCGTACTTCACTAGTTTTCCAATCGAGCAGGTATACCAAAGCGTGAAAGCTACAGGAGGATCTAGTGATGATACTCGCAAGCGATAGTTCCTAGATACCGCATCATTAGTGTATGTGTGTAACCAAAGGGACCTATTCACCAAATTCACTCCGAAGGCAGACAACCTAAGGACCGGAGACTCGTCTACCGCTATGGAAGGAATCGGAAGTGCCATCATGACTGGGATAGGACCCGACGGGTCTATTAGGCCGATTCAGCTAAGCAACGTCGTGTATTCGCCCGGATTCCATGCCAATTTAATGTCTTATGCAGCGCTGAAAGAGAAGGGTGTTCGATGGGACGAGGACAACGAGTGTATTAAGGATTCTGCTAGAGAACCGATCGTCAACATACGTCTCATCAAACCGCTAAAGATATAGGGATTCGATCAACCAAACCAATCTGTACCGGACACTACTGCACATACGTATGCAGTAGGGACCTCGACCTCGAGGACCTCGGTAAAACCACTGGTTGCAGAAGCTTCAGCAGACCGCTAGCACCGACGACTAGCCCACGTATCTAAACGTGTGGTTAAGAAGGCTACTAAGATGGTGGATGGTATCCAAATCAACGAAGATCTGCCAGATTCGTCACAAGAAGAAGAGGAAAGGGAACTCTGCCAGATATGCAACCTTGCAAGCGCACCACGCCAGATCTCAAGACGACCTATCGGTCGTAGTTTCGGGAAATACGGTCGAATCCACTTCGATTTAGTGCAGTTTCCGCCTGGGTATAATGGCCACCAATAGATGACCCATTTCTATATGGAAGGTATCAGATTCCACTGGTTGTACACGCATAAACGGAAATATGAGTGCAGAGAAGCTATTCGGAGGTTTATAGCCCTTATCAAGAACTGGTGGAATCTACCAATCAAGGCATTTCACTATGATAACGAATTGTCTGCGGGTACAGAAGCTAAACGCTTCCTAAGCCACGAAGGGATCGTCGTCTCACAGATTATCCCATATCATTCGGAACAGAACGGGCCTACAGAGCGTTCAGGAGGTGTCATCTTGACGAAATCGAGACATCTACATATCGAGAGTAAACTGCCGAAGGAACTCTGGCCAGAGATGGTTAGTACCGCAGCATGGATTTTGAACCGAATCCCTACCTACCTAAAGGACGAGAACCGCTAGATTGTACCGTGGGATGAAGCACGACAGGATTTCGGCAGCGAAAGGATGAAGAAGGCTAACCTTACTAATCTTCGCGTATATAGCTCGTTGACCTACTACCGAATTCGAAAGATCCCACGCCTACAGAAGATCTCTCCCCGCGCAGAGGTTAGATTCTTGGTTGGATACGTCGCTTCGAATATCTAGAAGGTCTAGTTTCCATCGAGAGGAAAGGTCGAGGTTATACGAGATACACGCTTCGATGAATCGAGAAGATAGAGACCTAATATACAGTACTAGCAAGAAATCGCATTACCTACGCCTGAACCGACGATCTTAACCGACGAAGAGCACCTAGATATCCTACGCGAGGACCTCGGGATACCTGAAGAGCCGTCAACAAACCGAAATACAGAGGAGGATCGGCAGCAAGATCATGACGAAGCTCATCAGGAAGACCCTCTAGTGTCTAGGGTTAAAGAAGGGGATCCTACAGAAGCTACCGCTGAACCTCAGGGGGTGGTTACACTCATTACCCCGGAACCTAACGAGAGAGACCGCCTACAGGCAGATCAGGGTCACCAGACTAAGACCTTACCAGGCTCATTTCCAATCGAAGAGCCTCCAATTTTGCCTCCGAGTCCCGCCGGAGATCAAAGTACCACTGCGTCTCCTACTACAGCTAGTCAGGGGGTGGACAACCAGCCAATATCCCAGGCTACCAACTAGAGATCTTATCTTAATGAAGACCAGCCGCCAGAGCCGGAGATACCGCTTGAATCTCTCACGGAAGAGAGTACCCAAGAAGAAGAAGATTCGCTTTCTGATAGCGAGCAGCAACTACACACTAAGCTACACACACGAAGAAGCGATAGAATCGACACTGCCAATATCCTCGAGGGTAGCAGAAGAAGAAGACCGAGGGTAAACCCTAACTACCACGCATACGCCACTATCCAACCAGCCGTCGAAAACGAACCACCTGAATTGCTTCGCACGTTCGCAGCAGCGTTATACACCGAGAAGCCGATTCAACGCCACAGAGACGATCTACCACCAGTACCTGATGGGTGGAGAGAGATGATGAAGCATCCAATAGCAGAGGGTTTCCTAGCTACATGCGCGAAAGAGATACGATCTCTACAAGAGAAATCAACCTTTACCGCCATAAATCGACCGAGAGATATTTCGAAGCAGATCCTACCACTCCGATAGGTCTTTGCATATAAATTCGACCAGGACGGTTACCTCCAGAAGCTCAAAGCGCGAATCTGCGTGCGAGGTGACCTCGAAACGATATCCCCAGAGGATAAGAGGGCGGTTACACTTGCAGCAAGGTCTGCAAGGATGATCTTTGCACTGGTCGCAGCGTTTAACCTCGATCTCCGCCAGAGAGATGCAGTTACAGCGTTCTTGAATAGTAAACTGCCTACCGAGACCTACACAAGAATGCCAGAAGGATTCGATAGACCAGGGATGTGTTGGAAGCTACAGCGTGCGCTATATGGATTGCGCATCTCACCAAAGCTATGGCAACAAGAAGCATCTCGAGTACTCGAGAAACTAGGTCTCACACCAATACCAGAAGACCCCTGTGTCTTCGTTTCACACGGAATCATCGTCTTCTTCTATGTTGACGATATCCTCATTGCCAATCACCCATCAGTGCGCGAGAAAGCTAAGCAGCTAGAAAAGGATCTCGAGGCACACTGGGAACTCACAGACCATGGGGAAGCTGAATGGTTCTTAAACATTCGAATCATCCGTGACCGCAGAGAATATAAGCTTTGGTTATGCCAGGATGCCTATATCAGCAGTATGGCAGCCCGATACAATCTAACAGACCGTCCGCCGGTCTACACACCGTTACCAGTGGAAGAAATGAAGCCATACGATGGCACTGCGACACCTGCCGAGATCAAATTGTACCAAGGAAAGGTTGGCTCAGTGCAGTATCCAACCACGATTACCAGACCAGATACAGCGAAAGCAGCTGCAAAGCTATCGCAATTTCTTCGAAATCCAAGTCCACAGCACCAACGAGCGGTTGATAGAGTGATCTGCTATCTATACACCACACGGTACTTAGCACTGCAGTATGGGGATAAAGGAGATATAGAATCAGTTGAGCTAGCAAGCGATGCATCCTTCGCTGACAATCAAGATCGCAGAAGCTCTGCAGGGTATATCTGCCAGGTTTATGGCGGACCAGTGGATTGGAAGGCTACCAAGCAACCCACGGTTACCACGTCAACCACCGAAGCCGAATTGCTTGGATTATCTGATGCAGGAAGATCTCTCCTATGGTGGATGAGGTTTCTCGACCGAATCTCATTCAAACCAAGCCACCCAATCACATTAAGATGTGATAATCAGCAGACAGTCAACCTGTTGACCTCGGAGCATGCCAAAATCGATACAAAGCTTCGTCACGTCGATATCCATGGGCACTGGCTAAGACAAGAGATTAGAGAAGGTCGAATCACAATCAAATGGGTACCTACTGCCAAGATGGCAGCAGATGGGCTCACAAAGATCCTGCCACGCCAGAAACATGAGGATTTTATCAAGATCTTGCGCATGCAGGATATACAGCACCTAATTGAGGTTTGAGGTGTAATTGAGAGAAAAGAGAGAGCTTTTAGATGGTGTTCAGCGCTCATCTCGATTGAATTCAACACTGGCGAAGCTATTCAACACTCGCTAAGCGCTGAGGGGGTGTGTCGGAGCAGGACCAGTAGTGGATACTCGGAAGAAAGGAGATACTATAAACCCGCATGTATTAGTCATTATTATGCCCATCCAAATTGCCAGAAAGGGGCTACATAGCAATTCAGACCTGTTGAAACCCGATTGGTGCACCTAGATGAGCTCAGCAACCCAATTCCGATAATGGCTCGAAGCCCCGTTTGTAGGGCAGGAGTAGGCATCTAAAGCACAAAATTGAAAGGACACGTAGAAACCGACCAATGGTAATGAATTCCCCCGCATAAGAATGTTTACATAAAAATTACTAGATCAAATTCTAAACAATATCCATGTGCGGAATTGGAATAGTAATCAGAAAATCCCAGCTACCATCGAATCGCATGGCAGCAAGGGGAACTCGGCATTTCTGTGGCGGCGGCTCGGATGGATTCATTTGTCCGGCCGGATCTTCCAGCTTCCACCTTGATGAACACGTCCACGTTTGCCACTGTATAAAGAGAGGGGAACGCGCCATCGGTGGCAATTATTTGCCAATTTCTATTCCATACAATCATCCCTCTTTGACTTCTCTGAAGTACAATTCCAGTCATCATGGTCCAGATTACTATCCCCGAGAACTACGGGTGAGTATTACCCCTGTCATCCCGTTAATCTTCCAATCATTGTACCCCAATCATCCTGTTATGCAGGTACCCCCAGTCCCAGCAACTTAATAGTAATACCTCGTCTTTCTTTTCTGCATTTCCACTGACAAGTCCTCCAGCGCCGCCGTTGCCGTCGCCCTGGGTGTCATCCCCGTCCTGGGCTTCATCCACGGAACTATCACCACCACCTTGCGCAAAGGCGCCAAGGTCCCCTACCCGCACTGCTACGCTACCGTTGAGCAATGCAAGGAGAACGTAAGTAAAACCCCAGCTAAGCTCTGCGTAACTACCCTCTAACCTCTCTTCTGCTTTCACAGGCCAAGGCTGAGCAATTCAACTGCGCCCAACGTGCCCACGCCAACTTCCTGGAGAATGCCTCCCAGACTATGCTCTTCACCCTCGTCGCGGGCCTGAAGTACCCCCAGCTCGCCGCGGGTATCAGTGCCGTTTGGGTCGTTCTCCGCTCGCTATACCTGTACGGGTATGTGTACTCGGGTAAGCCCCAGGGCAAGGGCCGTATGTTGGGTGGAACCTTCTGGTTTGCGCAGGCTGCTTTGTGGGGATTGAGTGTGTTTGGTGTGGCTAGGGATTTCATTTCTTTCTAGATGGGGCCTTATGATTTTGGTCCGGTCTAATGTATCTGTATCTTCAAATTTGTGATACTTAATGAATGTTCTTTATGGGTTATTATTGATTGTTCTGGATTACGAGACCACCAGCCACAGTGTTCTGGGGTTGTGGCTGCTGCTCCACTGTGGCGCAGTTCAAAAAAAGTTCCCGCCGTCGAGGTTGCGAGATGCTTCATCTTTTTATTTTGACTTCTTCGAGAATTGTGATCAATTGAGGTCTTAGGGTTGTGCAGCTGAGATTTACGCAACTGTTCCCAGACACTATTACTACTCAGAATTTCTTCCCCTGATCTCTGATCTACAACCCCTCCTCTCGACTATCTACTCCCCCGCCAACCCCGCCATCATGTCGTCCAAGTCGCAATTGACCTACGCCGTCCGCGCCGAGAGCCACCCCAACCCCCTGGCCCGCCGACTCTTCCAAGTTGCTGAAGCCAAGAAGAGCAACGTCACTGTCTCCGCCGATGTGACCACCACCAAGGAGCTCCTGGACCTCGCCGACCGTACGTTATCACAAGCACCACCCTCCAAACCCAGACTAACACTGTACCCTCCACAGGCCTGGGCCCCTACATCGCCGTGATCAAAACCCACATCGACATCCTCTCCGACTTCAGCGAAGAAACAATCACCGGCCTCAAAGCCCTCGCCACCAAACACAACTTCCTCATCTTCGAAGACCGCAAATTCATCGACATCGGCAACACTGTCCAAAAGCAATACCACAACGGCACCCTCCGCATCTCCGAATGGTCCCACATCATCAACTGCTCCGTCCTGCCAGGTGAAGGCATCGTCGAAGCCCTCGCCCAAACCGCCCAGGCCCCAGACTTCCCCTACGGAAGCGACCGCGGCCTCCTCATCCTCGCTGAGATGACCTCCAAGGGCTCCCTCGCCACGGGAGCGTATACCTCCGCCTCGGTGGACTATGCGCGCAAGTACCCCAGCTTTGTGCTGGGCTTTGTGTCGACAAGGGCGCTTGGTGAGGTGGAGAGCACTGTTGCTCCGGCCGAGGGTGAGGACTTTGTTGTTTTCACGACGGGTGTGAATCTTTCGTCTAAGGGGGATAAGTTGGGGCAGCAGTATCAGACGCCGCAGTCGGCTATTGGTCGTGGTGCGGACTTTATTATTGCTGGTCGTGGTATTTATGCTGCGCCTGATCCGGTTGAGGCTGCTAAGCAGTATCAGCAGCAGGGTTGGGAGGCGTATCTGGCTCGTGTGGGTGGCCAGTAGGGGGTGCACACTACGGAAGCATTGAGTTCGAGTTGGTATGATTTATGCATAAAAAATATAGAATTGATCGTGAAGTATGACCTCTACCATATATCTCTGTCCACTAAAAACACAACCACGTGATATGACAAGCGTATCGGAACTGGGTTGCTGAGCTCATCTAGTGCACCAATCGGATTTCAACAGGTCTGAATTGCAAAGAAGCCCCTAGCTGGCAATTTGGTGGGCAATACAATGACTAATACATGCGGATCTATAACTAGTAATTCCTTCTTCCGAGTACCCACTTCTGGTCCTGCTCCGACAAAGCGGAATATCAGATCAGGTGATCGGCGTTATGCCCAACTTTCTTTCATTGAATGTTTAGCGAGTCCATAGAATGACTGTCAAGACTACGGATGCATCACAAGGATTCCAAAATCAAGCGCCAAGCCCTAGTCTCCCCAAGCACCACGCCAAGACCTTCCTCTCCACGATTTTCCCTGCCTAGCACAACTCTGACTAACCTCACTAACCAGTCCATAGCTCAAACGATGCGACCCTGAAAGAGACTGCTAACCCATTCCACCACTAGCCCATTCGCCAGCCAACATGGAAGCGGACTTGGTCCCTGCCAAGCCGGTAGCACGTGGGGCGCAGATTGCACGCACCGACAAGCGAGGGTCCTTTCAGCCTCATTTGAGGGTCTGGGTTGAACGGGTGTTCGATCAGGGGATCTCCGATGTGTTCGATCAGGGGATCTCCGATGGTAGTTAATTGGCAGTTCTGTGATTATTAGTGGTTGTTGGATTTCGTAGTGGATTTCTCCTTGTCGTTGAGTTCCGATTCTCCGGAGCGAGGGTTTAGCTTATAAGAAGGTCATAGATTCCTCTTGCACTTATAGCCTGCCCTCCTTTCGCTACTATTCACATCCCACTCAGCTATAGGGTCTGCCCATCCCATAACCTGCCAAAATGACAACCATAGCAGTAGTCAACGACGCATCCTGGACCTTCCACAACTACGGCCCCCTAACAACAACATTCACACCTGCCCCATCCTGCTCCGGTACATCCCTCATCAACTTCGGTAGCATTACCAAGGACAATTTCTTCACTCTAGAGTACAGCGTGCAATGCAAAACGACCGCCTGGCCAGACTGCGCACCCCCTTCGACGGTCACTGACGGTCACACCCTCTCCAACGACATCTCCATCGGACGATGATGAAGACCCGTGGACTTCTTCCGTGGGAAACTATTATTCCCCGGGTTTGTATTTTCCGTCGGGGTGGGAGACGGTTGGAGTGGCTGGACGAGATGGCGATAAGGCTTATACGACGTCCGGAGCGATGAATTACGGGAGTAGTCACTGGATACCGGACTTTGATTATATGCCCACGTTGCTGGCGAAGAATTTGAAGCCTAGCGAGACGGTGGCATTGTGTTGTCCCAGGTACGTGATGAGCTTGACCTCCTTCGCATCCTATACTCTACATTCTACTTGTTATATAGGCGGTGCTAATTCGATCACAGTGGCTTCACAGCCAATCCCCTCGGCGACTGTTTCACCACAGCGCCCTCATACATACCTACATCGATATGCCAGGTGTTCGATGACCCTAACCGTTCCACTGTCAAGTCGACGTCAGTGTACACAACGGACGGGACCAAGATCAAGACGGTCGTTACTAGCACGACGACTATCCACAGCATGTCAACGCGGTCTATGGGGATTCTTGGTGGCGAAACGTTTATCCAGTATTATACGCCTATTATCTCTGTTTCGGCTGTGACCTTGATTCATCATGAGTCTGATGTTGGTGCTACTGCTACGGGCTCGAGCAGTGGAGCCGCAACTGGGACAGGACAGACGACGGGGTCTACGGGTGCGGCTGCTTCGACGTCAAATGCGGCTGTGAGATTGGGGTCGAGGATGTCGAGCTGGAATGGAGTTGGTGCTGTTTTGAGCGTTTCGCTTGCTGCGGCGGAGTTGGGGGCGGCTATCATTTTGCCTTTCTGAGACCTTGTGCTTGTTTTATACTCAGTGGTGGTATCTAAATTATGAGAAGACTTGTATTATTGACCGTGACTGGCCTTGTACTATCCATGATGAAAATGAGGGAGATAGTGTATAGCTTAGGAGCCTTGATAATCGATAACCGAAAAGAGGAGTGACTTGTACCTATAGTGTTTATCTCGTATAAACTAGATCTACGAGAAGACTATGCCGATTTTAAAACGGATGCGGTACTTCTGTTTAGCGCCAATGGTGATATCACCCCGATATGGAAGGTCATAAGAACTTAATGTACGGTATTGCCAATTGGATGAGCGCACTACGGTTAGTGTTGGAAGATACGATGTATGATCGCGGAACTTGCCCGCGATTTGGAGAACAAGTTTCGGAATTTGGAGATTGACACTTTAATCTTTGAGCTCGGGGGTTTGACACGGGCGCAAAAGTATAAATGGTTGCCACGGAGCACAGCAGAAAGCTTGCTCGTATGCTTTCTAGGCATTACTCGTCTAACCTGGCGATAAACAGTACATTGTTCTCCACAACTATGAGCAGAGTAGTCCTACCATAGTTAATGGTGCCATACGGTACTTTTGTACCTTTTGGACAAAGACGGAAAGTCGATAAGAGAAACATCCGAAAGATAGCAAATCTAAACTTATCAGATAGTCAACGGAGCATGCTTATACTCCTTGACTCCGACGGTGACAAGAGGGGCCGCCCTTGGCATGGTTACACGGTGGATTCGGGCTGATAAGAGTTATGCACGGACAAGCCCATCTCCCAGCCCCAAGCAGCCACATCGCCAACGACCACCATACAGCGAGATTCCAGAAATCAATCCAGTACTTTGCCATCGCATCGGCAACATCCCACGGAGCTACATTTAGCTTCCGAACCACACCTCTCCAAGCCGCGCAGGTGCGCACCTCTCCGACCCCCGAGATACCAAAGCACCTCCTCACCTGGACACAGTTAGTCTTTCCCCACCACCGGCTAACGAGTCCACTCGATAAGAGGCATTCGGTCGACGCTGCCGATCTCTCCTCTTTCCCCCTCCCGCGCCGACCAATGACTGTCCGCAGCTGCGAATAGACCTTAACCCCAGATATTTTCTAACTTGATATCCGGCTTATCGTGGGGGGAGATCCACCGAGGCTTGATAGGAGGAGACTGCCATCAAGTCGAGGAGATAACGCCGCGGTATGATGCATTAAGCGTATGACGGAAATCGCGGACCGCGAGTGAGCTGTGCTGCCTGCCTGTTTCACTTATTTACTATCGCCGTCCGCATTCTTGATTCCCCTCCATTCAAACTGGCTGCATTGAGCTGCGCAGTGCTTGTATTGGTATCGGCTTTGCTTTGCGCTTCTATCCTTTCTTTCTATTCTATATTCTGTTATTTTCTCTACCTGCCTCTTGAATTATTATCAACCCGCCCTCTCCTCTTGCGTCTGTCCATCATGGCTGAGGAAGAGAAAGTGACCGGGACATCCTCGGCCATCGATGTCGAAACCGCCAAACATGTCGACCCAACGCTCGAGAAACATGCGCACGATGCAGACGAGGCTATGAAGGTCTTTGAGGATATGCATGGCGAAGCGATCGAGCTAGACGAGGCGACGAATCGCCGCCTGCTGCGTACCATTGACTGGCATATGATGCCGATTATGTGCTTTGTCTATGGGATGAATTATCTTGATAGTACGTAGCACGTCACCGAGTTCCTTGTCCTTGTCTAGTCCAAATTGGCTGGATTATCCACCAAGAGACGGAAGCTTGGTTTGTGCTACGCTCGGATATTAACTTGATTCCTTGTGTGCAGAGACGACCCTCTCGTATGCGAGTGTCATGGGACTAAAGGAGGATTTACATCTCAAAGGTGACGAGTATCAATGGCTGGGAAGTTTGTTCTATTTCGGTGCGTATCGGAGATAGTCCTTGTGGCGACGAGGTATATAAGTACCTCTTGCATGGGTCTGACTGACAACGGGGCCATAGGATATCTGGCATGGGAGTACCCAACCAACCGCCTGCTGCAGCGGTTGCCATTGGGCAAATACTCTGCCGCGTGTATCATTACCTGGGGTCTGATCCTGAGCTGCTTCGCCGGTGTCAAGAGCTACGCTGGAGCCATTGCGATCCGTCTGTTCCTCGGCGTATTCGAGGCTGCAGTTACGCCGGGCTTTGCCCTGATCACCTCTCAGGTACGTTTTGTCCTCGCGTATATCCAGTGTCCCAACGATAAAAGGTCTTACTGATTGGATCTGCAGTGGTACACGAAGAGAGAGCAAGGCTCCCGTGTCAACGTCTGGTTCAGCTTCAACGGCGTCGGCCAAATCCTCGGCGGCGTGGTCGCCTACGGAATCGCGATCGGCACCGAGAAACACGGCTCCTCGATCGCATCGTGGAAGATTGTCTTCCTATTCACCGGCGTCCTGACCATAATACTGGGCGTGATCTTCTACTGGATTGTACCGGATAACCAGCTCAATGCGCGCTGGCTGAAGAAAGAGGACCGGGTGCTGGCCGTGGCACGAGTCCGCGTTAACCAGCAGGGTATCGGTAACAAGCACTTTAAGATGTACCAGGTCAAGGAAGCGTTATTGGACCCGATGACCTGGGCATTCTTTTTCTATGCGCTGATTGCCGATATCCCCAATGGTGGTATCACCAACTTTTTCAGTCAATTGGTACGTTCTTGACCTAGCCGAGTGAAAGGCTGTTGCTGATCAGCGATGGTTGTAGATTACCAGTTTCGGATTCACCAAGGAGGAGAGTCTTATCCTGGGTGTCCCTGGTGGCGCGGTCGAAGTCATCGCCCTCGTGCTGAACGGGTATATGGGCCACAGGACGAACCAGCGACTGCTGTGCAGTCTGGGTGGTCTCGTCTCTGCACTGGTTGGCATTATCCTCATTGTAGCACTCCCCCAGTCAAATAACGTCGGTCGTCTGATCGGATACTACATGACGCAAGCAAGCCCGACAGCCTTTGTCGCGCTGCTGTCGATGATCTCGTCCAATGTGGCCGGATACACGAAGAAAACGACCGTGGCAGCGCTGTACCTGATCGGATACTGCGTGGGCAACATTATCGGTGAGTCAAATACTAAAGACCTAGATCCCCCTCTCCTCCTAGTCCCCACCTTGAATAGAGTCCTGTCAGTGCCAACACGCAAGAAGACGGTGTGCGAACTGCGGAGAAGCAACACCATCAATCAAGCCTTGGAGACTTCTTGGCCAGCCAATCTTGGCAGTCTGCCTCCACAAGGCGGGAATTTCATTTTGCAAGGACCAGTCAACTGACGTGTTTGCCGACGGGCAGGACCGCAAAGCTTCCGCCCGAAGGATGCCCCCCGCTACGTCCCCGCCGAGATTACGATTATCGTGTGTCTGGCCATTTGCCTGTGCATCATGGTGTTCATCTGGTGGTGGTACCGGAAGGAGAACGCACGGAAATTGGAGCTTCAAGGACGACCGGATTATGTCCGGCTAGAGAATCAAGAGTGAGTCACTATTACTTTCATTGATTTGAATCATAACCTGCTTGTTATGGTTCTGCTTTTTGTGGGCGCGCTAACTCGACCGGACCGGTAGGTGGCTTGATTTGACGGATCGGGAGAACCCCGATTTTACGTATGCGCTGTGAAGTCCGGCTTCGGTGGCGATAGTTTTGGTGGTGTTTTTTTGGGGGGGGTTCTTGCCCTACCGGAGCTCCATTTAACTAAGTTAACTAAAGTTGCTGGCGCGGGATGGAATACGGGATTTTTTTAATTAAATGCCTCTTGAAGTTTTAAATGACAGTGCTATAGCCGGGTCTGGACTGGGCGAGTTCAAGACATACTATATTCTCTCTCCTGTAAATGACTTCTCAACACGCCTGATTCTATTTCAACTCCGACAGCATATGGCTCCTGCTCCCGTTTAACTTTGGCATATACTTTCTCAACCGTCGTTCCTGGCAACGTGCTACTCCGGTTCCTGCTTCTGCAAGGGTCCTTCTCCTTAAAGGTTGACCTTGATCCAGTTCGCATTCTTAGTAGTTAGTCCCCACTAGGCAAACCAGGACTGTAGGCTATACTCTGTACTATCCAAGTAGATCTACCTACGCAACACTTGCTACCCTCCACGCTAAAACCTCCCCGATCAGAGATTTCAATAGTTTGGCCACAGTATCCCGACTCGCGCACAAACCCCGTCCCACGTTTTCAGGATTTGTGATGTTGGTGGGGTGTGGACAGTGACACTCGTACTGAGTGGGGGGTTCCTTGTCTTGGCAGCTTGGAGGGGTCAACCAGGCGACCAAGTAAACTACTGCGAGTGCTAACTACCTTGGGGAAAGGGATCCAACGGGGAAAAAAAAGAAAACCAGGAGCAAATGACAAGAGGCAGAGTTGAAAGAGGGTCCACGACTGGCGGTGCAGAGCGCCTGCTGTAACCCTATCGGGTATATCGTTTGCATGTACTCCGTGGCTGGTCATTGTACGTACACTGTGTACAGCATGTAGCTTGGATGTACATGTACCTCCCCGACTTCAAGGATTATTTGCATTTCTGCCTTGCTGGAAAAGCGGCAAAAGAGGGACGATCGTGGCCGCTGTCACGGACAGAATCGGGTGGACTCTATTGGTGTAGAGAGTAGGCAGCCCAATAATAACTAAGCGCCTAGGCTTGAAATAAACCCTTGGCCCCTGCAGGTTGGCGCCACGGTGCCCACTGCAAGGGCGTTTGGACGAGAGAAGTGGTGGATGAAAGGGCAGGTCGATCCAGACCGTGGAATGTAGGTCGGAGGGAACTAGTGAATGTAGGTTAGTGAGGGACTCCATAGGACATACAGTTGTAGCCAGGAGATAATATACTCCGACTGTAGCGGGTTTTAGAAGGTTCCCCTTTTGGGGTACTTTGGGGAGAAATCCAGAGTGGAGGCAAAGTAAAGTGCCCCCACTTGCTCCGCTAAAAAAGACAGTCCGTGAGGAGCGGTGTAGCTCGAAAAGAATTCAAAAGAGCGGTCCATCGCCTGCATTTATGGATGATTGTTTTGGGTTGGTAGCAAGTATACATCCTGGTGCTGGTATATACCCTCCTTTTCTCTGGCATGTACTTCTGACGTTTCCATCGCCCTGCTGAGAAGCATCAACCTCGGCTTTCCTAGCGAACTGGTCAACATCCCAAACGATGGGATCGTCCATCTCGTGGCCATCTAGCAGCCTATCCGAGTCTTGGGACTAAAAGAAGGTTCTCGTGTGGAATTTACTTTGAGTGCTGATGGCGTCCGTCACATGTCGTGGTGATCTTCACATGGCCGGTGCCGGTGCACTACCAGGGTCAGCCCTGCCCTGTTTGGACATCCTCACCCTAAAATGTCCCTCTCAGACGACCGTCACTGAACTCACGGACTTTCCTAATATCTCTCGCTCTCCTTCCACCGTCTCCATCGACTCCCAGTCCACCGAGAAATGTGTCTCCCCGACCGACTCGGCCATCTCGTCCGAACCTCCTTCTCCCACGATGGAGACCCCTAGGAGGAAGAAGATAGAGCCATCTACCTCGAGAAGCCCAGATTCACCTACTCGCTCGGCGGGCCCGCGAGCAGCATCCTCAAGACCTTCATCCGCGGCAAACTCGATTCATCACTCCCGTTCCAACTCGCGGAGTACTGCTCGATCTCGCCCGCCGAGTCGACACAATTCTTTCCATTCACCTCGACGGCCCCCTAACGCGAGTATCGTGCCAGTCCCCTCGTCTCGACCAAACCTGCTCGACAAACGAGAGTCTCTTCTGGCACTGCACCGCGAGTCATGTCGTCTCTTCCAAGATCAAGATCATCAGCAACAACAACAACCATCATTATCCAAATACTCCACCGACGAGCCCCGCCCTTCATTACACCGCGCTCGCTCCACATCCTATAGATCCAGACGAGACGCCCGCACCTCTTCCGAGAACGACTACTCAGCCCCCTCATCGCCCATCAGCTCTTCACATTCCACAAGACGCTTCGACTCTGAACACCGCGGCTCCGTGAGCTCGACTACCACAACCCCACATTTCCTCCAACATAGAGACCGCTCAAACACCATGCCCACCAACAATAGCCAACCTCATAACCACGGTCACGGCTACAGTCCCTCCGCTTCCTCCATACACGTCCCGGCGACAGTGATGGAGTGGACATCCCCTTCAACACGGCGGGCCGAGTACGAAAAGATCGACCGTGCCAGCCGTGGCGTGCGAGGTTTATGGCGCCGCGTTGCACCGCGCTGGTGTCAAAGCCGAGACTCACGAACGCCCTTTTTCGAAGAGGGGAAGAACGCTCGTGAGGGGAGTGTACGTCGTTTCCGGATGGATTTACCGGATGAGGAAGAAAGTGAGCACAGGTCGAAGCCATTGGAGTTTTGGGATAAACGTCGTGCTTGTCGGCGGTCGAAGACGTCACCTTGAGCTTTTGCAGGGACAGGCCGTTGGCGTTGGTGTTGGTCTTGTGGGAGTTGAGTTGACCTCTTGACGACTTCGATATCGTTTTTTATTCATTTCTTGCGTGTGCAGTGCTGGTACTGCCTTTTGCTGAGATACCCCCTCCTCCCTTCTCTCCATTCTACCCCCCATTCTTATACCCTTACACCCCTACTCCTTTACATACCCATACAGTGTCCAACTCCCAGAACCGGACTTGCACCTACGTATTTATATGACCTCCTACGCACTGACGATCACCCCATACAGTATATTGCATTTGCATTTGCATTGCGCGTGGCCTGCATCTTCTCGCCTGACTTGTTTTTCGTCCTGTCGAATCCTACTGACATCCACATTCGCCTCCTGTTCCTATCCAGGGATAAGGACCCTATTATTTCCTTCACTGTCAATGTTTCCTCATGCACGGGCTCTAATATGTCCTCTCGAGGATCCGTAAGCCTGTCTATCCATTATTATTTCTTCTTTTCCTTTCCATTATCATTATCTTTGTCTCTTGCCGTTGCGCTTCTGCATTGTTGCTTGCATAGCTTTTATTTCTATCGAGACTGAGATACCCATATGCTAATCGAGAATAATTGTACATACGTACTGGGAGAAATGTGCCATGAACTGGTAGAAGTGACTCTGACTAGTTTCTTAAGAATACCGACTGTGGATTCTGGTAATAGTACTTATCTTTGTCGTTGAGCAGACTTCGGCCTATGAATCGGACAATATGTACAGGTATCCCTTACGGAGCTGGATGTCGTTACTGTCCACTTGTCCGGATTCGCTCCTTGGGGTCATTAGCTTCCCTTCTCGGACAGATGTGACTTGAAGACTTCGGCTTGTGGCTATCTAGTGAATTTCAATCCCCAAAAATCTCGAAATGCATACTGACTTATCAAACTGATCCAGAATAAAAAGCGGGGTCTTCGCTTTGCTTGATTCTTGGTCTCAATCCGGTTAGGCTAAGTTGTGGTATCTCGTCGGATATCCCGACCGAGCTCCGTCAAGACTCAAGACCCTTTCCAGAAAAAAGCTTCTTGAGAATCTTTCTATTTCTCCATGCTAGAAAGAAAAAAAAAACCTCTTTCTCTCGGAAGTTCAGTCCCAATCGGTTCGCCCTCCCGATGGCGAATCTTCCACTAAAATGGCAGCGCGTGGACCCAGCGAGCCAAGCATCGACGATATCTTGGCGCCGCGGCATGGCCATACTCTTTGTCAATGTCGAGTCTTGCTCTCCCTTTATCAGGTCAACGTCATGAGTGAACAACATCCTAACATCCTGAGCGGGAAGTATCACAATCGCGTGGCTTCATTGGGTGTCAACCCATGTGCAGCATGGTCGGGATGTTTCTCACGTTACATTGTCGTTGATTCGCCATCGTTCGTAGCGATAACGCAAAATGCAGTGATAGTCCAATCCCAACTTGATCTATTTGCAATTTGCTCCACTTGGTAGATATGCGCCTGCCGTGTTGGGGGTGTCTTGAGATGTCGGTGGTCGAGGGTTGATGGTTTGTAAAGGCGAAAATTGACGACATCCGTGTTTTGCGCGACCCGGGGACCCCCGCTGGTGTGTAACTGTAACCTCGTGGCTCGTGCTGTTAGGGTCAGGGTCTGGGACTTATTAAAGTCGAGGGTCTCGCTACTATCGGGGGGTTTTTTCTGTTCGACTGTCGTGTCACGGATCTTCTTTCGAACCACCAGCTCTACGTGGCTGACGTTATGGGTTAGTTGACTTAGATCCTTGGTCATATTCCCGTCTAGGTCGGATCACCCATACTGATATACAATCTAGCAATCCCAACAGAAGAAAAGACTGTTATCACGGAAGTAGCGGGATCTCGACAACCCTCGGGTTCGATCGACACGGTCGAGGATCCAGCTCTTGTTGCATCTGACGAGAAAAAGTTGGAGGCAGTCGACCTTGAGGTCTTAACGGACTCCTCTGATGATGAGTACCAGTTTCCGACCGAGGAAGAGAGCCAGACACTTCGCAAGGTTCCTGGAAACTTGCCCTTGGTTGCATTTGCTCTCTGCTTAGTGGAATTTGCCGAGCGCGCATCCTATTATGGTGCTAAGACGGTGTTTTCCAACTTTGTTGAGTTTCCATTGCCCAAAGGTATGTAACTCCGTTTTGTTGCTGTGCTAGCACCTAAATTTCAAGCGAATCAAGTTGAAAGGAGTACTAACTTGTTGTTCATAGGCGGCAATGGAGCTGGTGCGCCCCCTCGACACACGCAAGAAACCGCCGGCGCTTTGGGAATGGGCCTCCAAGCAGCATCTGGCCTAACCCTTCTCTTTATTTTCCTTTCCTATGTCATCCCAATCTTCGGCGGTTGGTGGGCTGATGTCCATGTTGGCCGGTACAAGGCAATTATCGTGGGCGTAGCGATTTGCGGCGTTGCACACGTCATTCAGGTCTTCGGTGCTATTCCATCAGTTCTCCAAAAGGGTGCATCAAACGCGGCCCCACCATTTGTTATCGGAATGATTCTGCTGGCGTTTGGTGCAGGAATTTTTAAGCCAAACATCGCACCCACGATCCTGGACCAGAATCGCCAGAAGAAGGCTTATATCAAGACTCTTAAATCTGGAGAGCGGGTCATCGTTGATCCTGAGTCGACTACTACTCGCACCATGCTTATCTTCTATGGCTTCGTCAATGTCGGTGCTTTCTTTATGCTGGCTACTACTTACTCTGAGAAGTATGTTGGTTTCTGGTTGTCGTTCCTATTGGCTGGAATCATTTATTTCTTGCTTCCTATTCTTCTGTTTGCGGTTTACAAGAAGACATATAAGCAGCCACCGGCCGGAAACTCTGAACTTTCCCGAGCTTTCAAGATTTCGAAGGCCGCGCTGCGTCAGAACAAGTTCCGAGTCTGGCGTAAGGACTTTTGGGAGGCTGCGAAGCCTGCTAATCTGCGGGAGAAGGGGATCGTTGTGGACTGGACAGATAACAATGTTAGAGATGTATCAAGGGCAGTCAGTAAGTTTTCTTCTCTCACATATTTTCATCGCTCGTTTTATGATGGAGTGCTGACCCATTTGCTCAGGCGCATGCGATATTTTCTGGTTCTACCCCATCTGGAACATGAACGATGGCGGCATTGGTTCGGTATCATCAAATCAGGGAGCTTCTATGGTGACCAACGGCGCGCCCAACGATGTTCTCAACAACTTCAACGCGCTGACTATCATCTTCGTGGTCCCCATAATGACCTACGTGGTATATCCAGCCCTCCAACGACGCAACATCAGATTCGGCCCCATCAGCCGCATCACCTTTGGTTTCTTCTTAGCAACGCTCGCCGGGCTCGCCGGAACACTCGTCCAATGGCGCGTCTACGAGCTCTCACCCTGTGGCTACTATGCCTCGACATGCGACGAAGTCGCCCCTATCAGTATCTGGTGGCAACTGGCGAACACCATTCTCAGCGCACTGAGCGAAATCTTCGCGAACGTGACTGCTTACGAAGTCGCCTATGCGCGATCTCCCGAGGGTATGAGAGGACTGGTTATGGCGATCTTCCTCTTTATGAATGCGTTGTCGAGTGCGATTGGCGAGATTTTGCTTCCTGCGACGAAGGACCCGTGGTTGATGTGGATTTGGGGGGCGCCGACCGTTGCGCTTGCGCTGCAGACGGTGATTTTCTGGTTCAGGTTTAAGCATTTGAATGATGAGAGTTATTATGTTACTTCGGTGGAGAATGCGTCTTCTGTTGAGGATGGGGGAAGAAGGCTGGAGTGGCTGTTTGATAAGTCTGATGTACTGTGTTTTTCAGGGGCGAATGCTTGGCTTGAAGCTTGGTATTGCTTAGTTGTGTGAGCTCGCATCTTTATAACACCTCCGCCAGAGTTGGGTGTTGGGCAATCGAATTGTGGAATTCAGCCTCCTGATCAAGGTTTGTTTGTGATTCTTGAGTTGCATCCATGTTATTCCATTGTATCTTCTAAATACTTACATGCCCTTTGTCTTCATAAAGTCCAACTGAAGTAATAGTTCTAGCCCTGGCGTTAAATAGAAGTATCACGAGATAGCATAGTCGACTTCATCATTCGCATTTTCGAAAGTATGACAAGGTGGCTCCCCTCAACATCCCCATCAGATACGAAGTCACACGGATCTAGTCCTTGTCACGATCAAAGCGGATATCACATCCATCGGCATAAATAAACGAGTGGTGGTAAAAAGAAAAGCCGACGTAAATCCGAGAAGATGATCACTGGTCCGAGCTTTTCCTCTCTTTTGGTAACGTTCCCCCGCGATTTCCAAGGCTTTCCCCACAAATGAACGAGAATTGACCTTGCAAAGAATACCCCCATTGTTCCTCCGATTGTACTTTGCAGCATGGTGGCGCTCATTAGTCCCAGGGTATAACGGAAACGTCGGCGCGTTTCAGTTCCGCCCTTGAATATTCTTCCAATTCGTCGTCTCCACTCAATTAAACTGTCCTGAAGAAATTCGGGGTCAAGCGATCCATCAGGGTGGGTGCATAATCCTGTCCTTAATGGTCCTGATTCTGAAACCCGCCAATAGGATGAGCGGATCCCCTTCTAAGCTTTCAGCCATTGGAGGATAAACACTATGGAGTATGATGGAGTTATACGCGTCTTCGGAGCATGCGGGAGCTTTCCTGTCCACCTCCTGAAGAAGTCCACGAGGCAATTAGGGGGGGATAAACATCGGCAATGGAATGTTTATAAAGTGGGCTGCATCCAAGGAGTAGTGCCAAGGAGAATATCCTCCACAAAACAACAACCAAGAAAACTCAATCCTGCACTGGCAATGTCTAAGCTCTTTGGTTCTCTCTTGGTAGCCGCCTTGGCGGTTGGTGTCATTGCTTCGCCCGTCGCCGAGCCCGCCATCACCGAGGCTCCAAGCTTGGCTAAGAGAGCCACTTCTTGTACTTTCTCCGGCTCTTCTGGTGCTGCCTCGGCGAGCAAGTCGCAATCTTCTTGCTCTACTATTATCCTGTCCAGTGTGGCCGTGCCATCTGGAACTACTCTGGATCTCAGTGACCTGCCCGATGATACCACTGTTAGTACCTATCTTTTTCGGCCCTTGAACAACAATTAAGCAATATTGACTCTGCATTTATAGGTGATCTTCGAGGGTGAGACCACTTGGGGATACGAGGAATGGGATGGCCCACTCCTCCAAATCTCCGGTACTGGTATCACCATCAAGGGTGCCAGTGGTGCCTATCTCAATCCCGACGGAGCTCGTTGGTGGGACGGCGAAGGCAGCAACGGTGGCGTGACTAAGCCCAAGTTCTTCTACGCCCATGATCTTACCGATTCGACTATCACGGACCTTTACATTGAGAACACCCCCGTTCAGGCTGTTAGCATCAATGGCTGCGATGGACTCACTATCACTGATATGACCATCAACAACGAGGCCGGAGATAGTGAGGGTGGTCATAACACTGATGGTATACTATATTCACTTTATTCCTGCGTACTTATCATTGCAGTGCATACTAACGCCCGATCTTAGGTTTCGATATCGGTAGCAGTACCAACGTTGTTATCACGGGCGCAAATGTGTATAACCAAGATGATTGTGTGGCTGTGAACTCTGGAACGGTACGTGCAGAATGAAGAATTTCTCTTCTGAGCCTGGAACTGACTGCTTGTATAGGATATCACTTTCAGTGGCGGTGTCTGCTCCGGTGGTCACGGTCTGTCCATTGGTAGCGTTGGCGGACGTAGCGACAACACTGTGGATACCGTCACGTTCGAGAACTGCGAGGTCAAGAACTCTGTCAATGGTAAGAAAAATTCATTCTTTTCTGATTTATCGTTCAATACGTTGACCCCTTCCATCAAGGTATCCGCATCAAGGCCACTGAAGGCGACACTGGCTCGATCACGGGCGTGACTTATTCCGAAATCACTCTGGCCTCCATCTCGGGGTAAGTATAATCAAAAATCTCTCTTGCCACTTGAAATCGCTAATCATATTACATAGATACGGCATCCTCATTGAGCAAAACTATGATGGCGGCGATCTCAAGGGATCCCCCACCAGCGGTATCCCTATTACCGACTTGACTGTGGAGAACATCTCCGGCGTGGACGCCGTTGCTTCCGACGGATATGACGTTGTCATTGTTTGTGGATCAGGTGCCTGCTCTGACTGGACTTGGTCGGACGTTGATGTTACCGGTGGAACGAAGTACAGTGGCTGTGAGAACGTTCCCAGTGTTGCCAGCTGCTCGTAATCGCTCCGTTCTAAGGGATGGTGGTAGGGATTGGGATATGAATTCGGTTAGCTAGTCCTCATTGTTATTTTCCAGGCTAGAATGCATGCCTATCAAGATCCTGAAAAGATACGTTATCGAGGAATTTGTAGCGCTGTCGCAACGAAATCATGCCCGGAGACCCTATGCGAAGTCTTAGGCACGCTAAGGTACAGTAATCGATCTTCATATACTGGAGATGGCTGAACCCTCGGCGCCTAGGAAGGGACATTCGGGACTGTTAAGTAGATTCTTCTACTCCGTACCTTGGGTAGAGCTAGAACATGGGACCTTCCAATTGACTGTACGATATGGCTAATCACAATTTCATGCCAATTGTTGGCGTATTTTCACGGTCAGTCGTTTTCCATCAGGATGACCCCTGTGTCTGTAATTTTCATATAGTGGAGCTAGAGTAAGACACTGACTTGGGCCAAAAACCCCCCACTTTCGGCTCGAGGCAACCTATCGAGTGCCATAACACAGGGTCCCACGATGATTATGTTGATCACTGCGTATTGTGGTCAGCACCATCACCTCAGCCGCACGACGGGTGACTAAGCACGTTCAGGGGAATTGCCAACTTGGGAAGCTAAAACATTCAGGGACCTGAGGCTGAAAATCAGTCTTCAGGAACCGTTTGTCTACCCCTGATTAGAGACACGATTATGCTTGCGGAGATAATCTCGGAGCTCTAGCAGATTACTGACCTTCCTCAAGTCATGCTTACTACACCTGCCTCTTTCGTTTTTCTACGTCCATAGTGGGCTAACGCCACACTGTTTGGGAGAGAGCCACCGTGTGGTTCCACAACCCGATCGGTCCACTGCCGTGCCTTAAGAACCACCAATAGTTCATTTCACCAGTCTAATTAACGCGAAGCGTAAAATAGACAAATAGGAGTACATACAGAGATTCAGCCAAGGCGCTAGTGAAATCAACATTAACAGTACATTAGCAGGAACAGTACATTAGCAGGACCCAAGTAATGATACCAGTATCTGACCCATCTCAGGGTCCCTCACGTGGAGTATTTCCTTATTCCTCCAAGTGTCGGTCAAATACTTTGCAAGAACACTGGTTGAGGCGAAGGCCCATCAATTCCAACTCTCATTCATTGCATTCGCTCTTTCCTGTGGCCCAGGCTCATTGAGAGCCAACCACCAATGATAATGTTCAAAAACCAGACATTTCCACCCTACTTCAAGAGGCCTGCCGTGGCTGTCGTTTGTCTTTGCATTGTGTTTTGGGCAACAATCTCACTCCATCCCCGAGGGTTCATCTATAACGTGAAGCCGATTGTCCTGTTTGATGATGCACCACAATATGCCTTCGCCACGATATTGACTGCCGAAGGCGATGCCGAGTACCCAGACGTTGAAGAACCGTACCTAAAAGCAGCAAGATTGCTTACCTACCAACTACTTCACAACCCTCGTACTCGCAACGGTAGTGTTGAGATTCCACTCCTTGTTCTCGTGACACCCGATGTCCCGCAAAACCACCGAGATATCCTCGAGGATGATGGAGCAACTATAGTACCAGTTGAAAGTCTGGGGCGTGACTGGATCCATCCAAAATGGGGTCGCTGGAGTAATGTGCTCGCCAAGTTGAATCTATGGAATCTCGAAAAATACGACAAGATCGCCTTTCTCGATGCAGACTCCGTCATTTTCCGCCCGATCGAGGGCATATTCGAGAGCCCACAGACCGATGTTCGCCAGACACTCACGTCCAAAGTTAACACAACATCCGAGTTGCCAGAACACTACATGATCGCTGGTATACACGATCCTTGGATGGAATTGAACATGCCCCCGGTGAAAGGACAGGAGTTTTACGAAAAGAACAACTACATGAACGCAGGATTTTTCGTTTTGAGTCCGTCGAAACCATTATTTGACTACTATGTGTCTATTCTGGACACGCCCGACCAATTTGACTCTGCGTACCCTGAGCAGAACCTACTCAACTGCGCTCATCGAACGGATGGATCAATGCCGTGGCAAGACCTTGGCCCTGGGTGGAATTTGAAGGGAGGGTCTCGGTTTGATTATGAAGCAGGACTCATGTCCATCCATCACAAGTGGTGGCGACCCATAGGCGATGAGTTTATGGCTGAAAGAATTGCTGAAGCAATGGAAGAGATGAGAATCCATCTTAGAATATTGGAGGAGCAAGGAGAAGTTCAATTTTGAGGCCGGAGAAGGCTTTGCCCATTGCATTTACGGTGTTATCCTTCTTCGTTCAGCATTAGATTTCCTTTGTCCTGTTTATACCAGTATCTCGTAAGAGTGAGCTGTATCTATATTTCTCTACCAAATAAAGCACGTCAAGTTTAGTTTGCGAATATTACCGAAACTAAATAGTGACTGCATGAATACATAATATTGATTGGGACTTTCGAGATAGCAGTGGAGCGGAGGCATTGTTCTTCACTACTGCTCCCTTGATCATTGTTTGTAGCCATGTTGAACGTCCTGTTTTCTACCTGAATTACCGTTTAGTTCGTCTGTCTTTACGGAGGAAAGACGATTAAATTTCTAGAACTGATTCGCATTCTACCCCAACTCTTTGCGTACCTAGAACGCAGCTAGTTTCACGTCTAAGCCTGAGTAAAAGTAACCTATTAGATCATATCAGTGACAAGTTCCTACATTTGGACGGGCAGCGTGCAGGAGAAAATCTTCTCCCTTTTGAGACATACCTCTTCGAGTGCTCCGAATTTTCCACAAGTACAGTCGGTTACACCTCTCCTCTTGGATTGTCTTCTCCGTTTGGCTTTCAGTGAGGAGATAACGAGCGCGATGGATATAATGACAAACAGAGACATCGCTCCACCCTGCCACAGCAACGAGAAATGACAATGGCTCTTTGCCTGAATTTTGATATAGGTAATGACATGGTCCGAATTAACGACGCTTCCATATGGAGACCTGGATAAGTGACTTTCGAATCCATTGGACTCTGTCATCATCTCATGTTTGACAGGTCTTGAATCTTTAACACTGATTGATTCATCGTTATGCTGTTTTATCCATCGTTCATAACCCGTCTCCAGTTTTTGATGCTCTGGAACTGTGACCACGGACTGGTGGGCGGCCAATTCCATTTTCTATCCGACAAACTAAGTAGTCAAAGTGGCTTTCTTAGTAGGTGTTTTCGAGATAGGTTGAACTTCCACGCTCATCATTTACGAAAGATCGTGAAGCCCTCTTGAGGAAATAAAGAGCGGTCGGCAAGCAAGAGAGACACGGTAGGGTAATTTTGGTAGTGTAATTTTCGGGCTTCTGAGCAGGTTGGGCGGCTAATCTATAACGGGAAGGATGTGAGGCTGGAAAGGACCCTGGAATTTGTAATGAAACGCACTAGGACGTATTGGGTATGTATAGGGAAGCGCACAGTACTGTACCATCTCAGGTCCCCATCAGCTTACACTGAACTATTGAGGTTTTGAGAGTTGACCCACTATCACTGGGATGCTTATTGGCCTGCCCACTTCTTCAGGCTGGAGCAGATCCCCAGCACGTATCCCACGACTGACTCAGGCAGATTACCCTAGTTAGCTAACTGGTCAGTAATGCAAACAATCGGCGAAGGATGGCCAAGAATCAGCCGCCGCGCTAAACTGGTTACCCGAAAAGCAGTCAGGGACTCGATGTATGAGACTGGCCGGTGAATGGGGAGGTCTATCTTGCGAAGCCATACCTTTTAAGTCACTCGTATCTTTGTATGATTCTTCATGCGAGACAAAGATAATCATTACTAATAAAGTTGTGTTCTTAGCTTGGATATTCCGCTTGAGTTGATCAACTATTACATATTTGAAATGGCCACAGTTTCCTCTTAAATATAATATGGCTTCTTGCGTACTACATGCAAAGCCGAAGACTACCCCCCGCGGTTTCTGGTTACCGGTGTATGTCACCGGTATCACTCTAGAAGATGTAAAACTTAGGGTCAAAGTAAAGTCCATTTTTTGGGTTTTGTCACTGAGATCCATACGATATCTAAATGAATGGCAACCTCAAATCTTGCAGTACTTACGGCACTTCATTGAAGTGTATACCGCCCGCTACTAGCACTCTCGGAAGCTGAGGCATATTCCAGGTTAGATAAAATAAAATCAAGTGAATTCGATCAATGAAAATGTTGCATTTCGGCTCATAAAAAGGTCATTTCCGTGAGACACAGCACATCACGGACGTCTTTGCCAAAAACCACAGCGACCCAGCGAAGCGAAATAGTGAAATCCCGACTGTTGCCCAGACCACAGCCAAAAGGTAATTCCAAATACGAATGTTGGGTAGGGTCTAAAACAAATATTAGCACGGTGGGTGGTAATTAGAATGTATAAGACTGACCGAGAGACAGAAGCGGCTAATTCCCGTGCTCATAATGCAAAGAACCATGGCTAGGTTGCTGAAAACCCAAAGCAGGATGAGGTAGGTCCGGAAGGCTTTATACAAATCGTCAACGTCCTTCCCATTGGATTCCTCCGGGGCCTCGAACGAAGCCAAAGCTCGCTTAACAGTCTCTTGGAAGAGAGTGTCGATATCTATCTGGGGCCTATCCAATTCCTCAATGAACTTTGATTTTTCATCCTTCTGTGTTTGAACTTCCGGAAGGGACGTGGTCTTTTCGACTACCTTGGTACCGATCGAGACATCGTGCCAGTTGCAAAAGGCGTAGACCATGATCATATTGGAGGAACACGTTGTTCCGGCGAAGTAGGCCCACGCAGATGTTAAAACGTGGAGTGGGTCCATGTAAAGAATGCTGGCAACAAGATGCGCTCCGTAAGTAGCGACCAAGGCTATCAGAACCATACTCGAGGCGAGGTTGTTCCACACAGCCGATTGCATCGCATCTTCGTATAGCACCGAGTTGACCACCAGCTTCCTCGTAGCCTGGCTGACTAGGTAGAATGCTAGAATAGTGGTATAGACCTGAATAAGTGGGAAGTATGTGAATGAGATGATATAGGCTAACCGAGAGCTGTTCGTTTAAGAAGGTGTCAGTTTGGCATGCTCACCAAAGTGGAAAAATGATGTTTGCTTACCCTTTGGGGCGATTTCCAAGAGAAAGGATGAATTGCAAGCATAAGAGTAAGACGTAGCCGTATTTCAGGAAGTTATTCACAATTGGTGAAGCTTCGTTCCCAAATGGCCAAGCTTGTTGGTCATTTGCTTCATTTGCTGTGCCCACGAGGCCCATGATGACCGACGTTATCATAAAGAAAGACGCTGTTGATAGTTAGTTGTAGCTCACAACTGAAGATTTGTTGACTAGCCATACCGAGGGAAAACCAACTCATCACAAATTTGGCAAAGTTGTAAATCATTTGTAGATGGAGAAATGCCAAGAACAGCAAATTGTGGCCACTCTGGTAAAGTCGACCAAAATGGATAAAGGCATAGAGATTCGCTGCGAGAGATCCATTCAACCACTGTCGTCGCTTGGTTATGAACTCTGCAAAATCGCTCTGGACTTCTACCTCTCCTCTTGATCCTTTGACAAACGTCAAGTGCCACTTGAATCCGGCCTTGGCTACCAGCTCGAAAGACAAGATGCGATCGCCTGCAAGGAACATGTTCTTTTTGAAAATTGTCATGCCATCAAATCCCTTCTTTCCCAGCTTTTTCGATAGTGTCAGGTCACCATTGAAATATTGCTCTAACGGTCGGCCCATGATGGCTCGATAGCGATAAGCGGAAAATTCGCCCAGCGAAACATGCCCAAATACACTCTCTAGTGGCTTTTCAAGAAGGTTCGATTGTTTCAAGTCAAAGGTCTGAGCAGCGACGAAAGGGTTGAAAACACTCTTCTTGTGCTGGACAGGGTGGACTTCGCCGCAAGCGCCTCCCAGGTTCTTATCGTTATAAAACGCCTGCCATAACCCGAGAAGAGATTCCTTGCAGGGCTTGGTACCCGCATCAAGAAGGACCACCACTTCCGGGTTTAGCATACGCGAAAAGGCATTGAAAATCCAGCGGTGCGAGTTGATTTTGTTGCTGCTCTCCTGTTTCAGACACAAGATCATCTGGACTGGAGGGATATTGGTGGATTCGTTTCCGTGAGGTCGAACTAGTTCCTGGTTTGGGGTTACAGATAGTTGTGTAGTGTATTCAAACTGGTCTTGGTGAGTACATTGGCGGCAATTCAGAGCTTGGTGACTTACTATATGTGCGACAGTTTCTCTACCGTCTACCGATCTCTTCATCACGCCATCCTGATAGATACCGATTGTCGCCAATACGTCAAGAGTGTTCTTGTCGCAGGAGTCGATTCCATCAAAGACCAAGCAGACAACGATCTTCTGCCAAGCTGGTCCTCCTTGATTCCAGAATTCCGACTTTTTGAGATTGGTGATATCGCGGATATTTTGCATTACTCCGTGAAGGGTCCGTGCCGTCAGAACCTTATTCTCGCTTCGGCAGGTGATTGCGATCATCAATTCGGTGTGCCGGTTGGACATAGCTGGGCGAAGATTGTAGCCATTTCGCATAACAAACTCATCCGGGTCGCAGGTAGCGGCGGTATCTGTACAATCAGTTCTGGACAAGACAGAAAGCTCATTAGTCGTTACCGTTACTCACATCTCAGCTGGGAGAACTCCTCGGAAAGTTCTGGCGATTCTCGATATTGTTTTTGTACGGCATTCTGAATGGCGCTTGGTACTGGGTAGTCGGCGCTCAGAACATAACCCTGCACGAGCTTAATTTTTCGCGTAGGATACCGGCGAATTCCAGGAACGAGTGAGCGACGAGGCTACAAATTGATCAGTATCTAAACTTTTGCGACGGACTAAATGTCAGGTCGGTAATACGTGGAGATGCGACTTACATCGAAAGAGCCATTTGAGTTATAACTGCTGTCCCTCGTATGCTGAGGGCTAAAATAGTCATTGTATCGATGAGGCGCGACAGCCGTCGGCGTTGAAGTCCTCATTTTGTCTGCAGACAATAAATTGTAGGTAAAATGGCTCCCAGAAGTTGCTAGGCAAGTAGTCTTTGGTTCGAATCAAGAGTTGGAAACTAGTCACGGAAGAACTTGATGAGCTCAGGCCGGATAGTGAGAACTTATGGCAATCGTCCGGTCGATCGGAATTAGACTGAATGCCCGAGCAAGTGGTGATCGCTCGTCAATGGACCGCGTAAAGGCGATGCACACGACCAGCGCGAGTTGCGACAATCTATTCTATTCATAGCGCACGTAATAGAAGCATGGAGAAAATTTTTTCTTCTTCTTTCTTCACACATTATTGTCAAAATTGTTGGTAGGATGCGCAAGTCGTGGGCCATGGATATGTGTAGGCGCTGCGCAATAGTCGTACGTCAGCGGGCCCGATCGGGTAATTAGCGGCCTCCCACTAGTTACGGACGGGGATGAATATAAAGCCCTCCAGGGAAGAAGAGCCAGAGCGATACCATCTCGCTCTTTTATGGTCGTTTCACCACGTGTTCGCTGGCGGGTCAATCAATAACCTTAACCCATCTTGGACAAGTTAGGAGCTTAGACAGGTTCTCAATTCAAGCCACGTTATAAAATGTGGTTGGAGAGTCGCGTCGCTCCCATCCCGATAATAACCTTTGCGGATCTGCATCGGACCTGCCGACGAATTTTCCCACGCGTTCCGTTCCGCCCACTCACCCAAGCGGGATTGATCTGGTAAATAGGTACACTTTCATGTACCACCAAAATAATTTTGAAGGATTAGAAAGCCGAAATAAACATGATCAAGCATGCTTCACTGAAACTTGATCTCCTATTTTAAGGTTGTTTCTAGGTACCTGCCCAGTAGTAAGCCCCGGTGTGCAATCTCAAATATATATTTTGACTCCCCTACGTTCTGGACATGGCGTGGAGTTAGTATTGTAAGAGTTTGCCTTTTTGGAGCTATATCCGCAGAAAATGCCGTTCTGGAATATATTGCATTATTGCACAATTATTGAACATTGTGGCTGAAAAATAGAGTGCTACGTCAGGCTGGATCCCCTGCAAGGCTGAGTGGCCGAGGTCATTATTGCCAAAGATTCCCGTAAGCCAGGAGCTACCCTATCGAGGTCTATAAAGGGTTATGACGAAGTCAAGACTCAAAAGATTCCTTGCGGTTATGCATATCTGTATCTTCGTCCTGTCCCGTGCTGGAAATGTAGAAACCCGGACGGAGACATATGCCCCCGATGCTCTGTCCTGAAGGCAGCGAACTCGATCTGACTTCGACTATGTTTTATTTTACTCCAATCTAAAAACAGGACTATCTAATATGAATTGTTGAAACGAAGTGACTTGTTTTTAGAAAACGATAGAGCGGCTTTACATGAGTGGTAAAGGGAATAGATCACCATTGCTGACCGACCTGACATTATTTACGGAAAACTTCATTTATGTGCCATGCCTCTAAAACTGTAACGCTAATCAAATGAAAAAGGAAGAAATTTCACACTTCGCACTTATTCAAGTTATTGCCCTTTTCTTGTATCTCATCCATAGCCGGTTTTCTTTGATTGAAAGAGCTGGACCCAAGTACAGAGGCTAAGACGAGACCAACCCCGGCCAGTAGCTAATGATGGAATTAGCGACACACGTTCATAATACAAGAGGCTCTTGCAGAATCTTACCTCAAGACTGATATCCTGGTGGGTCACCAATCGAGGCACCACCACGGCCAAGACAAACCCCAGGCCCTGAGCATAGTTTTTGGTGACTGTGCTAGTCATCTGAACACACCACGCAACCAGGAAACCTCCTGACACTTGTAGGACTAAGTATATCCAAACCAAGATACTAAATCCTCGGAAGAAATCGCCAAAGCTCAAATTTGTGATCCAGCAAAAGTAAATGAGTGCGAAAGAGGAGCTGTAGGCAGCTAGTTGAGAATTGCAAAGGAAAAGAAGACCAGATCTCTTCATAGTCCTCTCAATGCACAGACTGCCTATTGCAACGCAAACTCCTGCCAGTAGCATTACAAATGCCCCGCGCACCATGGATTGAACCTTCAACCCCTTTGCACTTGACTTGTCCGAGCCAGATCCAAGCTGAGCCAAAACAATGCCAAGCGACATCATGGCAATGAAAATCCAGTTTTTGAGGGGATATCTTTGGTTCAATATAATCCTCGCAAATATGGGCGTCACAAGAGTCTTGAGTTGAGACAAGACGAGATAGGGAACAAGGTCAAGATAGTGGGCTCCCACGCTCTGTAAAATCGTAGCGACAGTAAAGAGTACGGCAGACACGGTAGTGTCGTTAGAAGCAGTAAGCAGAGTTCCACTGAAACCCTCCCGCAACGAGGGGCTTGCATCGGAATGCATAACACAAATCGCAGAGATGGTGAATTTGGATATTTCAATCAGGATAATGCCAGACAAAGGCTCGAACCTGTCGTGATTTGTGGCCGGCTGCGATTGTAGTGTATGCTGCAACTAAGACTCGTCTTAGTATTAAAGCATCAAGACTTCTGGTCACCCTACGTACAATTATAGATGTCATGTTCTGTAAAACCAACTAAGAGATATTAGACAGGAAATAATGACATAGATTGCATTACCTACCAGGAGGAGAGCTATGTATGTCCATGATTTGACATCTTGGCTGGGCTGTAGTCGAGACCACCGCCACAATACACGCTTCGGAGTTTGTGCTTGCATCAAGGCAGTGTAGAGACAGGATGAATCGGGCAAAGGCAAGATGTAAGCTTTATGGAACGACAAGTTCCTTCGGACAAACTTACAAGATTTCTTGGAAAAGTAGCCTTAAGTGGGCCACCGGATCTGCTGCAGTACGATGTCCAGACTCAATACAGAAAACGGGAATTTGTCGCGAGGTTTTTTTTTTTGGGAAGCTAGGACCTGGTATTTTATCACAAAGGATGGGTGTTGAGTCAATACCCTTGTATTATTCCGTTGTCATTTTTGTAAAGTATATTGGGTATGCGGTAAGTGGAATACCAACGACATAACAACCCAAGGTCAAACCCGAAGATGTGACAATAAGGCTGGACAGCAAAACCTTGAGATATTATATACATCATATTTCTGTCGGACCCTTAATCATACATAGTACAGTACATACCAGTGCCCGTAATTTGTCACTGTCACTGTCGCGTCTTGTAATCCCCACTCCACTCAATTACGGCACTAGGTAGCGAAGTTACCAGTGGTGAAAGACCCTGAATTCTGTCTTTAGTTCATTTTACGAATCATGAGCTCATAAAAAGAGTTTGCTAGCGCTTATAGCTAAGCTTAACCAAGGGAATTTGAGACGAAATTGAGCTTGAGGCTTGAGGACCCCTGTTTAAGAGGTCCATACAGGAGAAGACCGGGTGGCCTTGTAACATTCTAGTACGAGCTCCTCAGGCTACTGATGTATGGGATACTCTCAAGCTTCAGGCAGTCCGTTTCTCTCAGTACTAGTGTATTCGGCTACAGTATTCTGAATATGGCGTTGCCAATTAGGCAGCAGTGCTCATAAACATTAAATCATCAATCGTGCCAAGCACTGTACGCCGACCTTTGCGGGTTTGATATTGCCCTGACTTTGGCTGGAGTCATGGCGCGAGGTCACCTTCGAGTGTCCCTTGTGCTAGTATTGCTGCTCGTTCTTGCCTGGCTGTCGGCTTCTTCTGTCCAGAGATTATACTATCTTTTCCGATTACCGTTTGTCTGGACCGAATCTTCAGCTCAAGCGACTATTTCTCAGCACCACGATAATTTTGATCTGACATTCTCCTCATTCCCGGCCAACTATTCTACAGAGGATGCAGGCTTGCACCCAGTGATTCCAGCGAAGCTGCATCACATTCACCTCGGTCCAAATGCTCCACCATCAGAATGGATGACAGCCAGAGCTGATTGCCTCAAGCATCACGACTCGTGGGAGTTTTTCCTCTGGAATGACACCAATGCGCCACAGTTCGTAGAGAAGAACTATCCTCATCTCTATGATATGTGGGAAAACTATCCATTTATGGTCCAACGTATTGATGCTCTACGTTATATGGCGCTAGAGAAGTATGGGGGTGCGTTACCTGTGAAGTTTGGTACATGAATCCCAGCCTGACCGTCGAACTGACAATGGAAATGTTACAAGGTGCTGTTCTTGACTTCGACTTGGCCTGCAAACGTTCCCTCGAACCTCTTCGTCAATTTGACTTCGTTGCTCCGGCTGCCCATCCGACAGGCTTTTCGATTGGCATGATGCTTGCCTCGCCTAATAATACCTTCGTCAGATCACTGATCGAGAGCTTGTCTATGTTCAATCATATATGGCCGCTTCTGCCGTATGTCACAGTGATGTTCAGCACTGGATGCCACTATGCTTCGTAGGTGCCTCGAATGGTCTACACATTCTTCTTACTATTCGTCTTATCACAACTGACATTTTCTTTTTGGCATAGAACCGTATACACCCTACAGACCAACCGATCGAGCATTCGAATCCTCTCAGGGCCTTCCGACAACCCGAATTTGCATATGCTGAATGGATTCGTCGATACTCCCCTCTTCCGCCATTTAGGTTCCTCCTCCTGGCACACCAAAGACGCCCGTCTGATACTTCTGCTTAAGGACGCCCAGCCGAAGCTTATTTTTATTGCTGTGGTAATAACATTTGGAGTCTTGGCCCTACTGCTATGGTGTGCACGGTTTACGCGACATCGTTTCTCAACACGAGACGTCGAATCTAACCTGAAAAATCCTTCTTTTAAGCCTTTGTTTAAGTACACATAGGCAAATTTTCTTCAGTGTATTATTATACCTTGGAACCCGTCTGATGCTACCCGAGTCGTCATCAGTGTGCTGATACATTTTTCCATGTATATATATTTCATTTTAAAACGATCTTCTAATTATTTGTCCCGTAATGTCCTACTTCAGGTTGTATTGACAACTTTCAGATCCTTTCCAATGTGTTGAACCACATGTAGCGGCTGATCACTAAGTATAGTGATCTATCCCATGAGTACTGGCTCGCGTGTTGACCGAAGGCAGCTCGAGACTCGAGATATGTCTGCCACGAGCTCACCAAGAGTACCCTATCTTTCCCTGTATCTGGCGCGAGAGATCGGTCCACAATTTTGGGGTTCGATGGTATTGTTGCGGGTAACACAGGAGCCCTAAGCAGCTTCCATAAAAACGGGATAGCGGATGGAATCAAGTCGATCAATGATGAATACTTCCGTATTAGCCAAGTACTTTGCAGAGTGAATGCGGGAGGTGCATGCTCGTTGGTTGCAACATAGTTCCTAGATTTTCAAACGTCAATAATCCATCAACGCTAGTCGATCTAGTGATGATGGGGGGAAGGAAAATGCTGGTCGAATCACAAACGTACCTCACGCCGGCACTGACTGCTCTATGGTTAATATGGCCCGAGATTCCGCCTCGGTCGAATGTCATGATCTAGAAAATACATGTTAGAAAATAGCTTCAGGTAGCTAATAATTTCATGGAACTCACCAGGTCCGCCTTCCATTTTTCGACGTAAGGCGCAATAATTTCTTCAATCAGCTTTTCATCCCACCATTTCTTTGGATTGTCCTGAAGTCCAGGGTGGTCCAAGACCACACAGTGATCCGCGGAGATACCCAATGCAGCACAGCTGTTATGAATTTCTGTTTGGCGTTGCTCACCAATCCCATTATAATTTCCTTGAAACTCTTAAGCATTGGGTGATTCTTCACTACTTATTCGAGTGTGGATGATCTGCATACCTGAGGAGATCACCAGCAAGGAGCGCGTGACATGGGCATCGTGTCGATGGTAGAGAATGCTAGGGCTAAAGAATAGAGTTTCGTCATCTGGGTGTGCTGTGATAAGCATTGGCCGACGCGCGTGGCGAAATTTGTCCGGTACCAGGCGTGGGTCATCAGCCAGATAATAGGCAAGTGTGAGGTACAGAAGCAGGGCGCATGTTACGGCCGCCCCAGCTAAGGCTGGAAGAATTGCAAGCCATCTTCTGGTTAGAAGCCGGCGCCCAAGTCGCCTCACGACGCGAAGAAGAATCATCTCATTCGGGAAACGATTGATCAGAAGGAAGAACTAGAGGGCCGTTCCCGTGAGCAGGAAGGCGAAGGGAAGGGGTTCCGATAGCCTCAGACAATCTATCGCACTAAGAGGTGAGTGGTAATCTTCAACCAAGGGGAGCGGTACACATCAAATACCCGTTTACTACTGGGTTGTAATTTTGGGATTTCATTCGTGTATCACAATACTGCATCCACTGTTGAAAACCTTGTGAATACCATGTGCTGACCACCTGTGTAATGAACGACCCTCGTCTTCAATCGCGTACGTTCAAGTTTTGTGAACCCAAAACTCTCAGTTTACTAAATTGGACGGTATTACAGCCTGGTATCAAACATGACAGCAAATCACAATATGGTTGCCTACGGGACATCCGGAATTCAAGCCCTGCCTTTAAAGCTTAAACTTACTACGCAACCAATCGATGACCAAGAATGTCGCAGCCTAGACAGCTAAGCTACGCTGATCGTCTCTAGAAAAACGGCTTGTCCATCCTAAGGAAGTATTCGTTCGGTTCACGGATTGGCCCGGATTTTTGGACCCTGAAATCGCGTGTGCAAACCCCGCCAGCCCCTTTTCCTTCGCAAGGCTGAACAAAAATTTTGTTCCGTATTTCCTTTTTTCTCATGGTACTGCTACTACTCGGTGGGACGATCTTTCTTCCTGGCCAATCTTACATCGCTTAATTGTAACCCTGCGGCTGAAATACATACCTTGTACAGACTGGTATGACAGGTCACAAGTTTAGAAAAGCCCACCATGAGAGAAAATTATGAGAGCCTGGTCGGGTAAGTTCACCAATTTTCTCCTGCCAGTGTCTTCTAGCCCCATCTGTAAATCCCTCGTTAGCACAAGAAAATCCACATCATGGGATGTACTAGACTCGGCTATGGCCACACAACCTTGTTACAAGGTATTCTCTAAGTCGATAGTCTTAATAAAATTCCATGTGATCTTGCTACCACATCTTGCGTGTAGGTATCAATATTTGGACTCGAAGAGACAGTTTTACAGTAGCTAAGTGATGCCGTATATCATAATAAAGTCCCTTTGTATGTGTATCTCTTGATCATCAGAATGTGTCGATACAAAAGATTATATCCGCAAAAATACCGTTTGAGGCTTTATCGAACCATTCGATTCCTTTTCACAATGAATATGGGGAATCTTAGGTATTTAGTGATATCCAACATGTCGATTCAGAAAGAGTCAGGTGTTATTTATTCAAAGCAACCCGGTTGGGACCCGAATGGGCTCAAATCCATCTTGATCCGGCAATCTATCTTCAACCAAGACTTCGAGTCCCCGTCGTCCACAAAAGCCGTTATTTCCAGCTTCACGCTCTATAGTCCGCACCTCACCCTGATCTCCTTCACCATCACCCGGTACCCAAAGAGGGCTCATGAGCATTTGACCAAAAGTCTCGGTGCGACGAGGATTGTATCGAGGAAAACCGACTAGATGGTTCAAAATGTTATGAGGAAGTGAGTATAACTTCTCAAAACGCCGAGTGAGCCAAAGCCACGAGTGGCTTCTTCCGTCATAAGCAACCCGGATGAAGGGATTCATGTATGATCCCAAATTGCGAGATTCCTCCGTGACCGGTGCTGCGCTCTGTATATCTGCATGAATGATACAGCACTCAGATGCATCCCAAAACATCTCGGAATCTGCACGAAATTCAATAGAATCTCGCCCTTGGAAATATCTGGCATCGAATGCAACCATACCGCCCCAACAGCTGCGTACACGCACGGAATCCCTGCCCTCCAGTACATCTTGTCGACTCTGTGCGCTTCCCGCGGTAGTAAACCAGGGATAAAAGGGAAGACCAATGCCATAGCCTTCCAGGTCACGAGTCGCGTATGTGTCGTAAAATTTGAAAGCGTTACTGAAGTCCACTGCACATGCGGCTCGGTACTGAGCAACACCATTGGCGTCGGCATTGGTGCAGAACAAGAGCTGGACGGCTTCGACAGGGTCGAAAATAACGTCATTTAGGTATAAGACTTTGTTGTATGTCTTATCACTATTCTGTAGGGGTTGCAAAGCACGGTTTCGAACTTCGGCCAGATAATCGATGCGCCTGATTCGTTTATCTCCTCCTGGGATAGTCACTCTTGGAAGTGCCCCTAAACTTAGACCTGGCTCTGACACAATTGACTTGTTGCATGTCACTTGATTTGCGAAAGCGTGAAGGGCATCGTCGCCGTCTGGTCCACTATTGTTTTCGTAAATGCTCAAGAAGACATTCTGCTCCCCGAGAAGTTCAATGAGCTGGAGAAGAGCATGACCCCATTTTCCGTTTGCAATCACTCCCTCTGGATCGTAAAGAACTGCGGCGATAAATATTTTCTCGTTTTGAATATTACCACGTCCATAAGATTCACTTCTTTGAACTCGGTCTCGGAGTGTTTGGTAGTGTGGCGGTGGGTGGGTATATGACGGCCAAAATATTCCAGTGAGGCATATGAGCACTAGAATTCCGCCCAGTATGACACGAAAATAGAGAGAAGCCCGGCGTCTGAATCCCAGTCCGAAGAGTACACCCACGGTGCGTGCAAAGAAAAGGAGAACGCGGGTTAACAGTGCAGATAGCTTTCGCCTTGTCCAGCGCAGGGCGAAGGTTTGAGTTCGCCATTCAATGCCAGACCGGCCACTTCTCCCCCAGCCGAGTAATAATGCGGATTCGAGCTCATACTCGTCAGACTCGACGCTGATAGGCATGGTTGGACGTTGTCATGTTCTAGTGCTGCCTGGGGCCAGAGTGAGAAGCACAGATCACGTGGCATGCCAAGACCTTCCTTATGTTTATAGCATTGTTCAATATATAGAAATAAATATCTTGTCCATCTTTCTATTTAAACGACAGTATGTGAAAAGTGTGTTCTTTTGTACGAGGATCCATAATTCTAGAAGAGTGGTTACTAAACCGAATTGTGGGGCAGCTAACATCTCCCATGTTGAGGAATCACTCCTACCATCTCTGGGGTCCAACCAGACTGCCCTGGAAGTGATGTTCGACCTGTTTTTATCTCATTTGATTGCTTTTATTGGTGTATAGTACAGAATTCTTCCCAAGTCAGAGACTACATCTCTTGTATTTGTGCTTGTCATTCAAAAAAATAAAACACATCTACCATCACGTTTCCCATTGCCCCCAACATTAAATAGTAATACTGAAGAAATCTTCACGTTGACCGCAACATTAATAGAACAAGCACTAAGGTCAAATAAGCCAGTTGTGAGGCACTTTTGACCAGTCTCTGCAGCGCCCAAAAAAAGTGCGGCAAAATTTGCCGTACTCGACTAGAATGCTAGTTTTTCTCCAAGACCCTGTTGCGTGGTGTAATAATCGAGCAGAGGGATCCGTAACAGGCTTTGAGCCCATGTTTCCGTATTGGCCTCTTCCAGGGCTGTACTCCATTAGTACTCCATTAGTACACGAACAAGCCTGGTGGTGCTGAACATACCTGAACCCAGTGATCGGGAGAACGAGAACATCCCCCACAAATTTGCTCTGCCCTCCGTCGTTTAGTCCCGACAGGGCATTCCAGCGGAGATCCCAGTCAGTTTCCAACCACCCTCGGACAGAATCTGTGAATGCCACAGGTCCGGTCAAATTTAACGGGTCAATATCGTAAAGAGCCTTTTGAGCCGAGTTTGATTTAAAATCCCCTTTATTCTTGTCTGAAACTGCCTGGACGGCTGAAAATAGACGGTTGATAAATGACTGGAGAATGGGGTGACCAGGCGCCCAAGCAAAAGACCACTGCGTTAATTGGATGGGGTAGAAGTAGCCCATACGCCAGTAAAGGTCACTATCAGGTAGGCAATCTGCCTCTAAACCAACAATAGCTCTGACAGACTCAGTGGAGTTGTATACATCCCCCGTATGCGAATCTTGCCAGGGCTGTAGATCTGACGGGGCAATCCATTCTGACGGTGGCCGAGTAGGTTCGGTGTCCATATCCCCGTACTATCTTTGGTTATTATCATGATTCCACAGGACTCGAATGTGGTCATAGAAAAGGGGAGGAAGTAACTTACTATGCCACCAATCCACTTGGAAACCAGGATGCGAAATACGTCCGATCGCTCCACGTTGTTCGGTAGTGCGTAGAACTGACTCTCTATCTCCGGTTCAAAGTGACGGATGAATTGAGCAATGCCATTATCATCCCATAGGAAGTAAGCCATTTTACCGGTGTCAACACCTGATAACCATTTCTCAGTGCTCTGGCAGAATGTCTCTGGCCATCCCTCGGGCTGTGTATCCTTCCATGTTTGATGAATGATCAGGGGTATATCAGAATGCGGAATCTGCCGCTCTGGCAGGAGTTTGGATGCATTGAGAGCTAAATTGGCTGCATCGATAATGTTTCCCACAGCAGCACCAGATCCCTCTGCCCAACTAGGTGGGATATGCCAAGCTGCTGATGTTAGCAAGAAGACACGGCTTGTGCAGCGATATTTGAAATGGACATTCGTACCTCCGCCTTCTCCCCTCTGGCCAGATACATATTTTAAAAGTAGTGGATATTTATTCACTACGATTGAGGTATTGTCTGTTTGCGAGTGTAGATGCCAAGTGAAGAGGCCCGCTAATGCCACTGCGACAATTGCCCGTCGCCGAACATGCCGGCGCGATGCCATAATGCCCAAAGTTTGTACCTGTAAAACACCCAAGAAGCGGCATGTTCTGAATTAAGCCTACAACCTGCACCCTTCGAGGCTATATTGTGGGTGCCTAATTATATATGACGAACTCAACCGTCATACTTTACCACCAAAGACCGTGGTTTAAGAGTCCCAAGATACAGTAATTTTGTCGTGTGTAATGTACGGTTATTTATGTTCCCTAGTCGTAATACACCAATACGACTAGCCTTTTACGGTAGAACAAGGCTGATGTTACGAACCCTGCAGCAGCCACCTAATTTTAAGGAGCCGCGGTAACAGCCTAGCGAGCGACGGCCAACCAAATCCCTAGCATCTAGATAATAATTGCCAAGGGCAGATTTCCCATATTTCGCCCTGAGATGAAAACACACGGTCATGTGACCATTCTGAAGTCTTTCCAGCACCATATCTTTTTGTTTCGGTTTGCTTCCCGTATTCGTTCACATCCCTCGGGCCTGGACAACTTAGACACCCCGAGAATCAGCTAAATAAGCTGACTCTAGAAATGATCCATACCCCACCATCACCTAAATATTTAAATGTGCAGACTATACTAAATATCGTTTAATAGACCTGCTATGGTCATCTGACTACTTTTGTTGGTCAGACCAAACATCCCGCTCTCTTCGTCTCCAGCTCAACTTGGCTTCTAACATAGCTGGTTGTATCGATCCATTCAAATATGTATGCCATTGACTCCGAGGTCTTTGTTCGCTCTCATCCTTTTGAGATAGATTTTCTAATGCTGTTTCCAGCTATAGAAATGAAGTGACGATTCCGATATAACGGAACCAGGGAATGGAGCAGGGGGGAGATAATTTGTCATAACGAGGGCTCGGCCGTTCGAGTTCTGAAGTCAGTCAGCCATTCCATCAGCTATACGTAGAATAGGATGCGGGTTAATTGCAGCCACAGATCGATTAAGTATTCCGTCAAAAGGTTGAATCTATCAAAGACCAATTATTAGCTCTAGCCGGCGTCGCTTCAGTTCTATTAGACTTGTCTATGCTAATAACCCCCAGACCACCTATTCCGAGAGGTAGATCGGAATTCCGTTTGGCTACGCCGATACTACTATGTTTAATCGACGGGAATGTATATCGACACCTAGATAACTAAATTGGCTAGCAGGTAGTAACCCTTGTTGGTAAACTCTCTGCTTTGAATGTCAGATCACTTGGCTGAACTGATACATGTGGTCTATCCTATCAGCATGCCGAGTTGATAAGTCTAGAGAGAGAAGCTATGAGTAGATCACACCTTGAAGGCTCAAATTTAAATCTTTTAATTCAATATACCCTGCAACATACTGTATTTCTGTGGCTATTGATTCTCTGGAGAATTTCCCCAACCGAAACTGCATGGCGATCCAGCAGTACTGGTATCAAAGTCACCCGGTCTTAATATGCATTCAATCAGATTTTGTCAGCAGTCCTATCAATGTGAACAGCCTAGGGAAATTACATAGGCTGGAAATGACATCCCACAAATATGAGGGCAGAGGAGGCCTTAGCTGATAGTGGCATCAATGAGGTCCAGAGAGCAGAAAGCTACGTACTTCTACTGTGAGGCTTTGGATTGATATGTGACATTTGAGCTAAGATTCTTGATCTCGTCAACACTCTCCATTTACCTATTCCGAACCTGACTGGTTTAAAAGGATGGATCAACAACCCCCAGGAATCAGTGCATAGAATTACACGTCTGCCGCTGTTGGTCTGAGCTAAATGTTGCGGAATTGATGAGCATTGCAAATTTCGTCGTCCCAAAGAAGGTTATTTATTTAGTTAAATCTTGGCATGGGTTTACCAGGACGATTCATCCGAATGCTTTATTGACATGGGAAGGATCAATAAAACTATTAAAGGGCAACTGAAGAGCTCTCTTCTCTTATATAGGATGCACTCCACCTACAAATACTAGCTATTAAGAGTGTTTGCTGTAGTATATACTTAGCTCACACGTAGCTACAGCCACGTTAATACCAGTGACAATTTAAAAAGAAATCATGATACTAATATGGCTGAAAGTTCGGATCATACCAGCCTACAGACTGGATTTCGATCTCAGGCCTAGCTCTTTATTCAGGCCGCTAGGAACTCTGCATCGCAAGATGGATGGTAATTCAATATCTAATATTGCCTAGGGACATCTTTAACTTCTATCGGTAACCTTTTCTCCCCGCTTCCCCGCAGCGAAATCACCCCCAGTGCCGAAGGGCCGCGGGAGCTGGAACCAATGATTGCGTCATGAAGATCCTGGATTCAAATACTGTATTTTCAATGAACTTTTATGTTCCCCGCGCTGACCGGATATCCCCCGTCATCGGACTTTGGCGCCGGCGGTGTGTCTGAAAATAGCAGTATCGTGGTCAATCGTGGTTTAATCTACAGAGAACTTGAGTTGTTATAATTTCTCAGGTCTCCTGAATGGCGCCCACGGTATTATTTCTCCTATCATTACTTTTCGAACCTCGAAATTCCGTGGGCAGGCAATATCCAGCCTATAAAAACTAAAATGCTTCACAAAGTTGTTGTCAATGCCTACAACTTTTGGGTGGTAGTCTTCGTTGCCATCGGCACAATCGCAAGTGCTTACGGGTTGGCTATCATTGGATCGACTGTCGGGCAGCCCAATTTCTATACATATTTCAATCTGCCCGTGCAAGGCGAGCCGGGATATGCACACACCACCAATATGATAGGTGCCCTCAATGGCATCAACTCGGCCGGTGCGGTCGTTGGGTGTTTGGCACAGGCGTGGACAGCAGACTATTTCGGTCGCAAGCGAACCATGCAAGGTGGGTGTGTCATTTTGATTATAGGTGGTGCAATTTGTGCGGGTGCAGTCAACATGGGAATGTTTCTTGCTGGTCGTTTTATCGCTGGTGTGGGTGCGGCTATCCTGGCATGCATTGTGCCCATCTACCAGGCTGAGGTTTCCACTGCCGAGACACGAGGTGCGATGGTTTGCGTTACTGGAATCATGTATGCGGTAGGATATAGCTTGGCCGGATGGCTTGGCTTTGCATGTTTCTATATGAAAGCAAGCAGCCCCCACTCGGCGTTTGCCTGGAGATTTCCCCTCGCGTTCCAGGTCACCTTTCCCCTTATTGTTCTCGCTGGGAGTTCATTGATACCCTTCTCTCCCCGATGGTTACTTCAAAAAGGACGGCGAGACGAGGCCTTTGAGATTGTTAAACGCCTACATAAAACCCCTGACGACCCCAATGATGCCCGTGCTAAACAAGAGTTTCTTTTGATCGAGAAGCAGTTTGAGCATGACCGGGCCATGAATACCAGGTCCTTCGAAATATTTCGGACGGCTGCAAACCGCCGGCGGGCATTTACGGCCTTCCTTCTCATGGCCGGGGATCAATTCCTTGGAATCTACGTTATTGCCAATTACGGTGTCCTCATCTACAGCTATCTCGGCTTCTCTGGTGCAATTCCGCTTCTTCTCAACGCGTGTTGGACGACTTTCACTCTCATCGGCAATACTTGGACTGCTTTCTACTTAGACCGTGTTGGCCGACGAACATGCCTACTAATCGGCTCGATCGGCTGCACTGTCTCTGCCATATTTCTCTGTGCACTGTCCGCGGAATACCTGGGAACCGACAACATGCCAGGCCTCCGAGCAGCGGTGTTTTTTACGTTCTTTTACATATTTTGGTGGTGCTTTTTCATGGATGCGACCCAGTATGTCTATGTCGCAGAAATATTTCCCAATCATTTGCGGTCTCAGGGAGTGGCAATCGGCCTCAGTACCTTCTACCTCACTTCTGAAGTCACACTCGTTGCAGCGCCAGTGGCTCTGAACACGATTGAATGGAAATTCTACCTGGTGTTGATCGTCCCGTCTATCTTCTACACCGGGGCCATTTACTTCCTCTTCCCAGAAACGAAGGGTCGCACCTTGGAGGAAATTGGTGCTTTATTCGGCGATGCAGAAAACGTTGTCTCCCATTGGTATGATGCGACCGAAGAAGAGCGTGAGAAGATTGCCCGAGAGGCACTGGGTGACGCTGAGGAGACCAGCAATAGCGAGGGACCCAAGCCCGTTGTGGTTCATGTGGAGTCAAGCTAATCGAGGAACTGCATTATATGCTCCTCGACAGAATCGAACACACTATAAAGACCTCTGGGACCACTTCCAATCAATTTTTAGGTGATTTTATGGGGACTTTCGCGTTCTTTCAAACGACATGTAGACTTGTATGGCGACAACGACTAAACATGTCACGTTTAGAGGTCTCGATAAATCTTGTGCAAATTATACCTGAAATGGAGATGGAGATAGAATACGTTGGGATCCCTCTCTACAGTAACTTTCAACGGCCGATTTTCGCCGCCGCTTTCCCCCCGCTGGGTCGGACTAGAAAGTTTAGCTTCCCCGCATCTCCGGCTGTTTCTTGACCTTGACCATAATAAACCCCGCCCGTGCTTTTTTCTACCGTTAGTCAATGTCTACAATTGCAAATTAGCGATTCAGCAATCTTGAGCACATGATGGCGGCCCCTGGTGCCCGCAGGCCGTCGCATGCGACAATGGCCTGCGATCAGTGCTTTCGCCTCAAGGTCCGTTGTGATGGGTCGTCTCCATCGTGTGCTAGCTGTTCTCGTCTAGAGCAGAAATGTACATATTTTCGTCCGGACAGGAGAAAGTGAGCCCGCCCTCTTTTGTCTATATATGGTCCCTTATCTTCAGCGAGCGTCTGCAAACACTCTCTCCGATCCATTCGGCCCCTGTGAGCTATATTTAATCTTCGTTTACCTATGCTAACCGATAACAGATTGTCGAAACTTGCAGTCACTCAGTTACTTGAACGAGTCCGCTTGCTAGAGACCACTTTGCAGGACCATAATATCCCCATTCCTTCGTCTTCGCCCCACCAACCGATACCCAGGACCTCAAGCATCCGTGATCAGACACCGGACCCGTCCGAGTTTTTCGGATGTGTGAATGAAAAAAGACTTACGCTACCTGCTAAAGATATAGAGGACATTTCTCAAGACAGAACTGATAGAGAACGAGCTCTAATCGAGCGAATTGACCAAGGGCATCGCTTGGCCCCCGGCTTGGACCCCGAGATGGAGGTTCTTGTGAAGCGGACGGGGTCACTTCAATTCACGGAGCATGGACAACTGAAGTACTTTGGCACCACTTCCAATGTGCACTTTCTGAAAACTGCAATCCCATTCCAACCAACCTTACAAGGAGGCAGATATGATGAGACGCCTGAAATGTGGCTTGAACGAGCTGGTTTGGGTCAGATTGTCCCTCGCGAGATGGAGGACCATCTAATCAAGTTATACTTCACGTGGGAAAACCCGTACTTCAATGTAGTAGACCAGAAAGCTTTTATGGACGCTCGAACGAAGGCAATCGCCGATCGTGAGGCTGGGAAGGTTACCAAATCATCCTGTTACTCGGAATTGCTTGTCAATGCTATGTAAGCCACGTTTCGTTCCCTCCCTTATCCAGAGAACTTTATGCTGGAATTATGGCTAAAAGTATTTGAAGGTGCTCATGGGGAGCGCTCTTTACAGATCGAGACGCCCTTCAGAACTCGGTCTCGCTCCACGACCTGTTCATACTCCGAGCCCGAGCTTTGCTAGATCGTGATATCGACAACCCAACAATTGCAACTGTTCAAGCGCTAGCTATGATGAGCGGTAGTGAAGCAAGTAAAGGTCGAGATTCTCGAGGTTGGCTCTATGATGGTATGGCAGCACAGCTGGCTCATCATCTCGGTTTACACCTTGATGTGGAGCATTACGTCCAGTCAAACGACATATCTCGCGAAGAGGCTAACGCGCGAAGCACGGCCTTCTGGGGAACATATATCATCAACACCGCATGGAGCTACTACCTCGGACGACTGTCAATCCCTATATCGGGTGCCAGCCGTATACCGGTTCGCAAGCCTACTGGAAATTATCCTCGGTCCCCCTTGTACTGGGAAAACTATACGGATCAGCACATGTTTGGTTTGACTCGATATGTTGAACCACTGCCAGCCATGTGGGAGCACCAAATAAGACTCTGTTACATAATGGAACGTCTTCAAAAGGCATTGTATGTACCGATGGGAAGGAAGGGTCAAGAATGCCCATTTTCATTTCCTCTTTCTAAACTTCTCGATTCTAACCAACCCTGCTTGGTAGTTACGATAAGAAGACGGGCTCCATATCTCAGTTACGGGCGCACACGTCCTCGGTAACTAGTGCCCTTGATGCGTGGCTTTTGGACCTCCCCCTTGAGCTCGTTATCGATACTGAGAATACATCTGCGATCTACTTGCCACATGTCTTAGTCCTACATGCACAATTTCATGAGGCTATGATTTTCGCCAATCACCCCTTCATCACCTCGAAAATCTCATGGACGGACTCGCGTCGCAGATATCTAGAGGCTGCTAAGACAACTACCAGAATTATAGCAACTTACAAACGGCTGTGGTCACTCAGACGCATTAATATCCAGGGAATTCACCCAATGTTTACCGCAGCCATGGTTCATTTGTATATTGCTTGCACCTCCAAAGGTCACGAAGAATTCAACGTGGCGATCTCGGACCTCGATATTTGCTGTGAAGCTATGAAAGATGCATCCAAGGCATTTGACCTAGCGGCTTGGCAGCTCCGCTCTGTACACCGTGTGTGTCAGATCTGGTACGATATGCTGGAAGATCAGAGTCTTGAATTGACAGCGGAGGTTGTTGGTCGGCTCCGAAAGACTGAGCGATGGAGGGCGATCCAGCATGTTATCCAAAGGTCTATGGTGTGGACGGCTTTTGACCCGGCTGTTGAAGAGCAGAATCCTTGGTTCAGTAGTTGGATGGAAATGCAAGAAATGGCGGGTGTAGACCCATTCTCAGTCGGGTCTGCTTAGCTAGGTTTTTTGGATGTTATGCCTAGAACAACACCGAGATAGGCAAGTGAAGCATTGTCAGTTGTGTGATGAAAACTCTGTGAAGTTAGCTATGGCGCGCATAGTGACTCTGGTTACCAGAATGGTATGATTTAGGAAAGATTCGGAAATCCTCTTGACGGGGATTATGCAATACTGATTCAATGCTAAGAAATCATCTGTGCAACTTGAAATCCATGCGAAACTTTTGCAGAGGGCCACAATCCATCGCGGTTTAGAGAATAGTCACGGGTAGAATGAAGACTGAACAAAACGTTAGGCCAAAAATGCCTCATGGCCGACATTTTCAGCCTATACGGTTACACATGGGGTGGGTTGGAATCTTTCGACAAAGGGATTTTGACACTCTGTTATTTTCTCGACAAGCATGGGAAGATTTCCCGAGGAGACCAAGTATGATGTCCCAATGCTGCCTCTTAATTCTACCCGACCAATCGGCGTAGACCTCCGGCGTACTTGGCCTTGCCCATGCACGAAGACTATTTACCCCGCATTGGACAAGTTATCTACTGTTGATGAATGCTAGCGTAAACTCTAATAATCCGATGGAAGGTAGATTGCGAGCTAAAGCCTTGGCTTTGAAGGAAAATACATGATCGGCAAGAAGAGGGATTACTTGAAGGCGAAAAGTGTATTCAGCACTGGTGAACAAAATGTTGCAACACTTGAAAATACCATTAGGCTGCCTGAAGGCGTTTGGCAGTCCGCTTAAAAGATTGCCAAAGCATTTGGTGGACTTCCTACGCTACCAGGTACATTCAACGGGCAACTGGTGAGCAGAAAAGAGTAGCGTTGCTTCTGTGAGCATGTTCGAGATAGCGCTTCTAGGTCCCACAGCTCCCCAATGTTTAAGCCGAAAAGACTCAAAAAGTATTGGTGTAGAACTAGTGAAAGAGAGAAGATTAGCGAAATTAGCCATGAAAAGACAAACTCAACCAGTTGATTTGAAAATTGGGAATAGTACTCACCCAAGTCACGTATCCCACCCTCGGTACCGTCTTCAAGAGTCGGCGGGGTTTGCTCAAAAGCAATGGCGTCCCCCGCTACAGCCGAAAAGTGGTGATTCCAGACCCATTTTGCCGTCTCGACGCTTCCCTCTACACCGACCGTGCGGTGAGAGTCCATCAACTCCTTTTGCTTTTCTGGGGTCGAGGCTTCCTCAAGACCGCGGGTAAAACCAGAGCGTACGATCAAGATATCACCAGTTTGCAACTCGACCCCTTCCCAGTGGATGACGGCCTCCAAGTCTTGAACGGTGATTTTGTGTGCATCGAATGCGTTGTATTTAATACCGTGAGCATCCGCGTATGCACAATAATCAACTAGCACACCGCGACCAACTAGTCCACCACGAGAATGCCAGTGGTTCAAGGTTGGATACTTGCAATCTTTGTGAAAAGGGGTGTCGTCTTGTGCAAGCACCTCGATATTTGCCTGGATTCCGTTATAATTGAGTCCGGTGGGTTGGTGGGCAAAGTGAACAAGGCTATCCCACTGGCTAGAGCACTGAGTGTTGAAAGATATTTCATCATCAAAGCCATGCAGCTTATATGGTGAGTCCTGAAAAGAGAGCACTCTATGTTCCAGCCCTTTGCGGAAGAACCCAGGTGTGTGTATTGCATTTATCGGCCAGTTCAATGACACCGACTCGCCATCACGCGCTTCTCTCAGAGCAGATTGTACAACCGAGGGTGTGAGAAGGTTCAAACAGCCCAGGTGATCTTTGTGTCCGTCGCGGTCAAAGAGCCCCCAGGCGCAGCCCTGCGGCATGCCTTTTACTGGTGGAAGCTCATCGAAACTGGGTAGTCCGTTGGGTTCAAATGACCCCATGATATCAGGTATCCCCGGAAGAAGATGAAGGTTTAAGTGGATGAGAGCAATTCTTGAAGATATAGAGGGGGTATAAATACAGATAGAGGGAGGGGGGTGTACTTAAAAAGGACGAATCTGGAAACTCCCTCTAGTCGATTTTGAGCGATATTCTGAGTATTTCGCTGCTCCGGTTATCTGAATCCCTCGGGCCGAATGGATGTTCAATTATTGCATGGTTATCGTGAATGAGGAGACCGGGGAGGACTAAGTTTAGGTCAACAAGAAACGAGAATTGTTTACGTTAAGATTACACAATACCCTGCTCTTCCAGTGCTCGCTTCCAGTTCCACATTCATGGGCCGATTGGTTGACTCCTACGAATTACTGTCTACAAAACATTGACTCATATTCTATTGAGATCGTGAGCCCCCGGTCAGACGTCGTGTTGCAAGTTTGGGTCTTTGAATCGAGAAACGCATCACCGATGGCGCGGGAAATATCTAAGTTCAGATTGTCGTTAATGCACTATTATATTCAGCTCTTAAATACGTTGAGCGCTTCTATCCGTCAGAATTGAGCTTTCATTGCTCTTGACGGACAGAGCAAAATGATAAATATGTCAGTGGTCACGGCGCAGCCAAGCCTTAGACCCATTCGATCAAATGCCATCTATACAGCGGCTACCAAAATCACTGAAGATAGTAATCTCGGGGCTATGAACAAACCAATTTTATCTCTGAATAAGAAAACAACGTTTATCACCATGTAAAATTCTGCCACTTCCTGACCCGAAAGCCTTCTTGACTCGTTGAGGCTGCTAATGAACAGGCTTGTCCCAAAGTAGTTAGTATGAGGCTCGGTTTCCCTACCCCCACAGGAACGAGCAACATGGCCAATATCTTTTCCCTCCGCAATACCAATGCGCACAAACATGCAACACCAGCCCAATCCTGTTCGGCACTGGCCTGGTGGGATTCCACCATGGATCCGAATCCACCCTGATGGCGAACGATCGGAGGATGTTGAGATTGAGGACTCGAGGGGATGGTTGCTATTTGTGAAGGTCAGCAGCGCCATTCAGAATTCGCCTCAGGCTGTTAACCAAGCACAAAACAGGAAGCATGGAGAACTCGTGAGGACAGTGGTATTCTTGCAGATGATACGGAATATGAGCTGCGACAACGACGGTTTTTGATTGAGATATGGGCATCTGCTGAGCAGAGCTTCCGCGATGTCAGTCTTAGCTCCATGACAGGTCGTCGTCCCTGGTTCAAATACTAACCCAATGCCCAGTTTTATCATTATCGGGCGCCATTGCCAGGGTCGCCGTTCGATTATCCCAAACAAGCTCTAGACCGAATCGCGGAAACAAAGCAGCGCGCGGGTGAAGTCTACACTCTGGCACTTGTCACGAAAGATCATCCAAGAAACTATACACGGTGGCTCAAAATCCAAATTATGCTCTACCGTCTGGATGGCGAATACGGTCATTTAATGCATGATGGCAACTGTACAGTCGTTGCCGAGCCAAACCCTGCCACTGCGCGCCCCGAAGGTCTTCACAAGACTGAATTCCTGTCATGGAAATACCTCGAGACAGCTGACTTTGACTGTCTGACTATGACAAGGTCAGGCATGGTTCGATTCCTCAAAGGCTGCTGGCGTCAATTTGTGATTGATCAGTATTGCTTAGAGACGGGTCTTTTGTCACTAGTGGACTTCTTAGCCAACGGACAGATCGAGGTAGAACTGCTTCGTAGACCATTTAACCTGATTAGTGTCATGAACTTTATGCGTGGACTCGGTTGGAGTGTTGGCAGAATGAAGTTTGAAAATACTGGAGGTCCTGAGTGGGCCAATGAACCGTGAGTGAGGCAAATTCTTCTGATTGCCCCGGTGGTCCCCACCATCTAGCTAACTGAATCTCACCAGAATGGAAATGGATGATCCCATCCTTGATATACTTGAAACTGCACTTGACCTGTCTGAGATGGTTGATGTAGACGGTGATCGGGATCAATTTGCAGAGGATATCGAGCTTTATGCTCCAGGGTATCTCGACATGGAGGCAGCGGGTCGCGCGGAGGAGTATGATGTCGCATGGCTACGTGATGGAGAAGAGGCGGCTGAAATCTATTATGCACGAGATTGAGAAAAAGGCTTATCGGACGTAATGTGAATATTGTTTTTTCACTAGTAAGGCACCATTTTTGATGCCTCATAAACCGACTGTTTGGGGTTCATCTGATCGGAATCGTAGACTCTATGCATTAGGCCTTCTGTTTTGTTTTATCCTTGAACAGAACTATAGCGACCTAGTGTGACCACTCCCAAGGTTCATGACGAGGGGACTACAGTGGTACGGTAGAAAAGTATAATAAGATGATCGATCTAGTCTATGACGTCATGAATATGCAACAAGCACGTGGCTATAGGAAAGAATTTTGAAGATTTGAATTTTCGCTTCAAGAGAAGTTCTTCGTTGTTCGTAAAATGTGCTCGTTATTTTCATTGATAGATAAGTGACAAGTATCTATCAGAGCCCTGAACCCATATCCAACAGGGTTGATTTCCATAATCCAAATTCCAAGTTAAAACAAGATGCGACGATTCTAGCGAAGAAGTGGGAATTTCAAACAGAAAAAGGCAAGAAAAAAGAAGATCGAGAACTCCGTAGAGACGCGCAACTTAGGTGATGGACGTCAATGAGTCACCATCGAAGTGACTTAGTGAGAAAGAAAGAAAGGAGAAGGTTTCCTCGCGTGACCCTTTTACTCAACGGCAGAGCCGTGGGGGGAATGCTTCTTAGGATCCCACTTGAACTTGAAGTCATCACCGAGCTCCTTGTGGATGGCAGCCTTGACGGCATCGTAGACCTGATCGAAGACGCCGAAGTTGGCGGGGTTGTTCTCGTCATTGCCCTTGCCCTGGAAGACACCAGTGCGGACAAGGCAAGTGTTCCAGCCGTACAGGTTTCCACCGATGATGTCAGACTGGGGGTTGTCACCAATCATGTAGACATTCTCAGGCAGACGCTTCTCGCCGTGAATCTCCTCCATCCAGGACTTGATGATCTCGTCGGCGACAATGTAGGTAGCACGCTCGGGCTTACCGTAGACGATACGGTCGAGATCACGGCCAGTAAGAGCCTTGTACTGAGCCTCCAGAGCAACACGGAAAGCACCTAGGTGCAGACGTGGGGGGCCCTTGTGCTCGGTGGGGCAGAGCAGATCGCCCTGGGAGAAGTAGATAGGAATGTGACCGGCAACGGCATCCCGAGCAGCGGGATCCTTGGCACGGGTGAGGAGCCTGCCATTGGCACTGAGGAGCAGGTCAAGGATGATCTGGAATTCGGTCGACTGATCGTGCGACTCGGCGAAGCACATGATGGCATCGAACTTGAACTTGGAGAAGTCGCGGGGCTTGGCCTGCTTCTGTTCCTCCTCGGTGAACTTGCGGCAGGGAGAGATCGTGGGGTCCCAAGCCAGAATGTCCTTGGGGTGAACCACATTCTTGAAACCGTAGGCCTCGGCGACCTCGCGCACCTTGAATCCTTCACCACCGCAAACAAGGACGTTTTCGTAGTACTCGGCGAGAGCCTGCATGGGGGTATGGGATTGGATGAACTGGTCGGTGGAGATGGGAACGCCGAGGACTTCTGAGAGCTGGGCGCAGCGAGCCTCTTCGGTCTTACCACCGCCATTGGTGAGGAGAATGTATGGGAATTGGATGCCTGAAAGTTGGAAATTAGCACCGTGTCATATCACTAACTGGAGCAGAGTGTATCACATACCGAGCTCGTTGTCGCCATTGAGCATCTTGAGAGCCGCTTGAGCCTCCGGAATAGCATTGTTACCGTGTGCCAGCACACCGTCAATGTCAAAACAGAAGCACATGTTCTTGACCTTCTGGACCTTCTCCTTCTCCTGGTCTTGCAACTCGGAAGCAATAATGTTCCGCACGTGGCTGATAGGCTTTCCTACAACAGACAGACGCGAAGACTTTCGCGGCTCGCGAGGAATGGGAAGAGAGACGCCGAAGGAGTTGCGCGAGCCCCGGCGGTCCTTCATGGAAGGAGACAGGCTCAAACGCTGCATGTGAACATCACTGATAGAGCTCCTGGTGGCAGGAATCTCGATGGTGTGGCCATGGCCAGCCTCCGCAGGGATGATCAGCTCAGCTGGCACCTCGTTAGGGGCGACGTCATGAGGAGCAGCATTAGCTCCATTGGGAGCATCGGCAGCTTGGGACATGTTGAAGATGGACAAATCGAAGTATAGATGTAGGAGGGTATATGGAAGAAAGAGGAAGAGGAGATATTGAAAGAGAGAACGTTGGTGACAGTCGTCTAGCGAGCCACAGAAGAAGAATATCCCACCTGAAATGTAAGACTGGGGAAGATGGATAGTTTTCTGGGAATCATTAAGTCATTATATTTCAGAGAACCGGGCTGATGATCGGTTCCCCCAAGTAGCAGTCCCGTACAACGGATCCATGGTGGAGTATTGGACCCAAATTGCTACCATTGGGTGCAATTAGCCCTTATACTTGGCATCCTCCACCCATTTCGACTTCAGTCCAGTAGAGTGCACAATGACGTGGTGAGCATTGGGCAAATCGCGCAAAGCGGATCAGTTCCCATTAATCGTTCCAAATGGGCCTATCCAGTATCAGCGGAGAGGCAAAAAAAAGATAAAATGAAAAATTCAGTGGGATGTGGCTAAGTGGGCACGAAGGTGCAAGAACGGCCGTTTTCGGAAGAAGTGTTCCAAATACCCACACGCTCATCACAACGTTTGAGCCAATAGAATCGGGCTTAAATTGCCTTTCTGATGCTGCTGTCACCCAGCTTTGTCTGCCAGCCACATCGGGCATGGTACGTAGGTGTCTTCCTCTTTCGATGAGGGCTGGAATTGGCGATTGTACCTCCATCTTTTGACGGGATATCAAAGTGCTCAGACTCCCTTTTCGGGAGACCTTCCTCTCGGCCTGCAGGCCGCATCGGAGTTTGCTACATCTGCCGTTTCACCTGAAGATCGGGCTCATCAATGCACGGCAAGACCGGGCGGACTAGGAGGCTCAGTGTAGTCCGAGTTATCTGTAGGCAGACGTCATTGGTTGGGGGGATGGAGGTTGTGACGGACGTCGGTAACCCGATCGACCCCCACTAGACCCAAAGGAGAATCAAAAGGGGAATCTGCGCTTTTACCGGCTCCCGCTTTCGCATGAATGACGTAATGACTCTGCCCTCGTTGATTAGGTTAAGCGGATTCATGTTTTTCCCTTCCGCCACTCTCATCCCTTGCCCTTTGTCTAGACTAGAAGTATATATGAGTACATGCCAAGTTACAAGACAGAAATATCTTCAAAGCTAATTTTCTAAACCCTTTAACACTTGAGAAACATACAATCTATTAAGAATCTAAACCAATAGTCACCATCCTCTCCCAACTTCACCGCATCCCGGGTTTCCCCTTGATGTTGCCCGAAACCCACAAATTTGTGGATCTCGGTCCACCACCGTCATGCAACCAGAGGTGATGCTCATTATTATCGATGGTCGTAAGGGTAAGTCGCGTTCGAATGATGGAGGGGCTAATAATGATAAGGCATTTGGGCTAAAAGGAAGGGAACTGCATCACTACATATGCCTGCATAACTAGTAGATTTCCTTTCTAAGGACCTTACATTAAGCGTTATTATGTTGAGCAAGGATAATGGCCATTAGAGATTGTGTTGAAAGAGCACATGTATCAAAATCAAAGAGTATACATGGGCTTGTCCGTAGAGTGTTCTCATCAAAGAACGAATCACTAAATTGTTAAATTTACATCGTAATCCAATAAAAACCCCTATCTTTGCAGAGATTTCAACCTTACCAAAGAAGGTTACAATCGGCCATTTAGAGGTCCTTATTTTGGTCAAAACTCTACGACACGAGGAACGCCCACTCGGATGGATGCCGATGACCTCATTGCTTATATAACGTCATTTCAGCTCCGGCCCGGTACCGTACTTATTCCATCCCGAAACCATGGCCGTAGCACCCGCCCGTGCGGTCAATGAAAGACGGACGCCACCATAGTCAAGCCACATACTTCTCGGCACGTTTAATTTTCCAGCCGTCTTTCAGGACCATCCCTTGTATAAAGTGGCGGCAAGTTGCCCCTATGGATCGTTGTGGCTGAAGGGAAGAGGACTTTGACCTACGTGAATTTTTCACATACCAAATAATAGTACAGATTTAACCCCTATACAGGGGTAACGTTGGCCACCCCCACTCTTGGTGGCTGTTTCCAATTTTCGGGAATCCTAGGGTGGCCGTGTTTCGGATTTGGCGATTGCCTATCACAACACCTCATTTACGGTCAGTCTCCATCTGGCTACCGGGTGAAACTCGGTCGTAATTGCATGCATTTGTTTGGTGAAAACTAATCTATGTAAAGTGTAAGCTTAGTAGTGCCTGCACTTATCATGGGACTAAGTATTGGTTCTAGGAATTCTGTGAACAGACGGATTGAAAATATGTATACCTATCGAAGAAGTATATTCAACTAGGTATAGCTTCGTTTTCGTGTCAGAAGGACTTAGGTTTTACCATCGACTAAATAGGTTTTATCTAAAACCTCATGAAAATAGCGAGATTCAGAATTTGATAAATGATAGTACATAGTGAAGCATATTATTCCGAAATTAAGCAGTGGTCTGTTAAGTAGAACCACCAAAGTAATATCTCAAGCTGGGAGACGACTGTGATCCATCAAGTCAGCTTGCACATTTATTGCTTCTCTTTAATCACGTCTCTTTCTCTTCCTTTCCTTTTTGACCTCAGTGGAACCCTTTTCTTGATCATGTTCAGGTTTAGGCTCGATACCACTGACTGTAGCTCGCTCCTTCCGGCTCCGTTTCTTTGGTCGTGATGCATCTTGATGTCCTCTCCTTAGGCCTCTTGCTCTTTCTTTCCTTTTCTACGTCGCTAGGAGACTTTCCATGCCGAGTCTCCAATACGGCAGACTCGCTGTCTCCTTCTGTAGCTTGCTCCTCACTCGACCTTTTCTTAGCGAGATATTGTCTGTGTTTCACTGGGGTCGGAATCTCCTTCAGTGGCTCCCTCGTCCCTAGAACGATCCGGTGGCTGCAGTACAGAATTGGTAGTCTGCGCTTCATCCGATCGCTTTTGTGTTTCCGTTTGACCAGACTCGGTGTGATTTTCCACGCCTATTTTCTCCCGAGACCGTTTAACTGGTGGCGGTAAATCAGGCTTGGCTGTCTTCGTCTCCTTGTTCCTTACTATCTTGCTTTGGGCTGGGACGCTCTTCCTCACCATCCGTTTCTGCACATATCGAATGTTTTCTTTGGATGCAACTCCACTCGTCTTCGCCTTTGTCGTCTCGCTCTTGCCTTGGTCTTCTTCAAGGTTGGAAGTGCTTCTTTGATGGTCCAGCTTGTGACTCGTTATCGCTCCTAGCGGGCCGCTGCTCCTCAGACCTTCTCTTCTACCAAGATGAGTCTTCAGTCGTCTCCAGTCCAGCGGTTTCCTGTGGTACTGGCATTTGATCAATACGCCGGATATCATCGCTTGGACCGGAAGCAATTTGCCGCGGGTACCAAGAGGCCTCACCACGCTTGCGAGCACAGGGCGAAAACGGTTCATCGTCAGAGTCATCATGATACTCAGATTCGGAGGGATTTGCATCTGCATCGGACTCTTCAGTGTCTTCTTGTTTCGAAAACATGTACTCCCATTCGTAGCCCGCGTAATAATCATCAAGGCCGTCATCTTCGTACGGAAAAGGGGGCCACTCTCCAGGATGATCATACGCCCCGCTTTCAATATCGGCAATTTCATGAGCACCCATCCATTCCGAGGAGTTCCTGGGCTCGCTTGGTACTACATCATAGTAGCCAGAATCAATGAGTCCTTGCATTGGGACCATGTCCTCGATGGGCCATCCTGCAGCCCAGCCAGCCCCAAGCTCAGGATCGCCATACTTAGCAGTATAAGCAGCATAAGACAACTCGGAGGTGTTTCCAGGCCAGGCGGTTTTTGCATCACGGTAGCGTTCATCAAGCAGATCAGCGAGTTCATCTGTCATCCAGTGTTAGTCACGCTAGTCGCCAGGAAGGAGCTATATCTTACTCTCTGTGTGGAAGACCGAAATCCCATGTTGAGATACCCATCAGCGGGGTGGTGGGTTGATCGATTGGACCAGGGCGTTTTCTCCCCGTGCTTATGTTGTCTAGTCCATGCCAAATGTGGACGACTTGGGTCAAAATATGCTTGGGTTCCATCTGGATTTTGGAAGTAATGGCCGCCATTCCTGTTTCAAAATGATCTTAGGGCTGCGCAGGCATAGCATATCAGAGAAATGTTCTAGGTATGTATACGTACGGGAAGCAGGTATGCCAGGCATCCGCTAATTCAAAGCCGATGTACTCGTGGTTGCATTGCCAATATCCCTGCAAGTTAAGGTTAAAGCTCATGATATTATATACAGATTCTGGTAGTGTTGCTCACCTTTTTGTCAACGCTGCAATCTCTAACGCTATAGTAGCCATTGTGGACGATGCCATGTATGCCACGTCGACAACTCTTTACCCAATTGGGTAATGGACCCACATCATCTGGCAGGGGAATGACAATGAATCACGTGCCGTGACGCACATTACTACCATACGGTTAACATCTACCCCTCTCTTTACCCAGAATACAGACAGAGCGACTTCAACGTTCATATTTATCCCGAGTTTAGCATATGCAGAGGTGATAAGATCCACGAGTGGATTGAAGATTGTTATTCAAAGACATCACCCAGTCGATCGCGTTCACTACTATAGACCGTATGTAGTAGGGACACCAAGAAATCATCAGCCACCCACTTCACTTGGATAAACTAACAATATTCAACCCATGCATCCAACTCCATATTCTTGATAACAGTCGAGAAATTCTCAGCACTCTTCGCGTCACAAGCTGCGGACTTCTGCGAGCTCGTCACAGCACGAATTTTGAGCTTATTGTTGACCTCGATCTCATCAGCATACTCGATGTGAAAGACCGGCTTGCCGACATCCGTGAAAGCCGCATAGACATCGCACTCATCATACTGCGCACATTGCTCGTTGACAGACCATTGCATCTTCTCGATGACAGACGGAATGATGTCGCCTCCATTCTTGAGTCCAATTGACATACCCCGCGAGTGGGCCTCGGATGCGAGGAAGTCCAAATAATCAATAGAGTCGGCTTCGGTCAGATCGAGACCGTTGTCATTGCCATATGCATCGATGTTGTCCGGGTCAACGCCGTCGCAACCCTTTTGCTTTGCCAGGTCAAGGCGGGACTGCATAATTTTGCGGACGTTGTCTGAGTGCAGGTTGAGCCATCGCTCACCAGGCCAGTCTTCGAGCGCATTGCCGAAATCAGAGTCGGTAAATTTGTTGGCATCAGGTCTCCAGTCTTCATAGGTGCCAGCGGAGAAATAGCAAATAACCTTGGCACCCTTGTTGTGAATTTCGGAGATCTTCGCTGCGGTGTTGTCGAACATATCAATGTCGAAAATATCAGCGCCCATGGCGATGTCTTCCACGGCATTTTCCAGCTGGATCTGCCATTTGATTCCAGTCTTTGGCTGCCAGATAGCCGTGTCACTGGTCTCGGTGCTTCTTCTCAAAATGGTATTTTGAATCGAGCTGACGGGAAGCTCTGTCCAAGAGTTCAAGCAGAGTAACAGAATAGTAATGCCAACAACAAAAAGGGCCAGGGCTCTGCCCTTGACAAAAAGGTGTCCCCAGCTCGAGTTGTTAGAGAAAGACATCGTAAAGATGGTGGAAAAAAGCGTCTAAGGAGTGAAGACGAATTCAAAGAAGAGAATGGAATAAACAGCTTGGGCCGGCCAAGTGTTAGAGAAAAGGAGCGACAAAGTAGTGGTGGTTGTGAAGACAATTGACAAAGTCACATCGCACGGATTATGCCATACTTATAGCCCACAGTCAAGAGGAGGTGGACAGATCAGATCCGTTTTGTGGCTTGCAAAATACTTCCGATAGGGCTTAGAAGTCCCCGATGAATCGTGGTAAGAATGTGAAGATGGGGAATTATAGCCGGCGATATTAGCAAACCATGCAGTATGCCCATGCTAATTTTGTGGTTCTCAGCCAATCAAGGCATACTTTTGATAGATCTGGCAGGCTTTGTGCGGCAAGCAATGCGTAAATTGTCCGGCAATCGAACATGAAACACGCGCCAAGAAATCTCCGCCCCAGACAGAACTCGATCCTTCTGCCACGTTTGTGCCCCTCGACCCTGATTTAATCAAAGAACAAAACGACCTTGCATAATGGCTTGAACGGAAGTAGTTATGTATGAATTCGTTAGTGAGCAAAATGGAAATGGTAGACTTTAGACACTGTCTTGGACGATGGAACAATCCCAGGTTGCCTACCAATGCGCTATTCTTTCACCTTCCACACCGCGAGGCTATTTGGGCGTCAGACATGGAGATTGTAATACATAAAACCATTGAAGTCTTTGATAGTGGATAGTTTAGCCTTTGCTTTTTGATCTATCCATGGGAATAGGGAGGGGTCTGTTTCATTCCGACCGCTCATCCAGCCCATTCTCTTGGCAGGCTGGAATCTGGCCCGATCTAGGGATCCCATCTAGACCCTTAATATACTCCCTTCCACTCCACCGCTTGCCACGGGCGCTAAGGCTCGCTCTGTCACATAGGGCGCTAAGTAGGACACTAGAGTTATATATGATAATAATTTCTGTAGAGTCATCATCCAGGGTTGAAACGGCAAGTGACTGTAGACATCCTCGTGTGTCGAAAGTCTCGAAACCTGGCGATTGATCGCGCTATCCGGGCCGCAGGCCCGCGAAACCGAGACCTTGGCATCAGCAAATTCGTATTCCAGCGACACTCCGCGCCATATTGGTCAATCCACAAGAAATATACGACCCTAGCATTCATTCTGATGAGCAGCTGACATTAGTGATCACGAGGCGAGGACAGCGTTAGAAAGCATGAGTGGCATGATTCAAGTTATAAAATGAGCGCTTATTCCGCAAGGAGCTTGGTATTGGTCCACCCGAAACACAGAACTCGAGACGCAAGGATACCCCGGAAGACAATATGATACCCAGAACAGAAAAGGATGAGGAGAGTATTAGCAAGGCTCGAGGCCTACAGGGTGTCTGCTGGGGCGAAGAATATGAGCGAATGATCGGGGGCATGCTGTACGTTGATCGCTTGTTCTGGCATTGACAATTGACTTACTATGCCCTCCTGCTAGATATACCCCCCTAGCGCCAGAGCTCATCGAGGGTCGATCGCGGGCAAGACAGCTGACCGGAGAATTCAACGCATCTCTTTATGGAGATGTCGCTTCGGAGAAGACTAGTCAACAGCGAGAGGAAATTCTGAAGAAACTCTTCGGTCGCACTGGACAAAGCATCTACATCGAACCTCCCCTCTTCGTCGACTATGGATGTAATATCAGCGTCGGCAAGAGCTTTTATGCCAACTTTCAGTAAGTGCCGTGCCCCTATTAGAGATCAATCTCTGAAATTCCATACCTTCAGCCTCACCATTCTCGATTGTGGGTTGGTTTCGATTGGGAATAATGTGGAAATCGGGCCAAATGTCAGTATCATAACTGGGGAGCATCACACCATGATAGAAGAGCGGAGAGCGAACCGAGGACACGAGTTCACCAGAAGTGTTGTCATTGGAGATGATTGCTGGATTGGTGCTGGTGTCATAATTCTGGCTGGCGTCACTATAGGCTCGGGGTGCTCGATTGGGGCTGGCTCTGTGGTCAAGTCGAATATTCCAGCATTTAGTATTGCCGTTGGAGTTCCTGCGCGGGTGATCCGGTCAGCCAAGCAAGAGTCAACTGTCGATTAGTTTAGTATGATTCAACAATGATAGCCTGGTTGTACAATCAGAAATGGTAGAACCTCGTGTGCGCACTCGGTGAGACATTAAGGCGATCCTGGGCCCACTCGGCCAAGTGTGGTGGACTTCTTCCCCCGGCGTTCCCCGCGTTTTCGGCCGCGGCTTATGTTGATCATCTCACCACAACTCTCGACTGGACGATGGATCAGTGGCAGCATGGAGCAGCGACGCACTTCAAGGGCTTGCGACGCGTGCAAGCGCCGGAAGGTCCGCTGTAACGGCCAGTCCCGCTGCCAGCAGTGTACGCATGTCGGCCTGCGTTGCACCTATGCTTCGACGCTCCCGTCACGGTCTCGAAAGAGATCCCTTGCTAGAGGTTCGGTCATTGCCGAGTGCAAAACCCTCAGCTTCCAACCGAGTCAAGGAAGCCAACCGGAAGGCACACTCGCTTCGCGCGTGGTCTCCATATCTATACCGGCCTCGATTGTTTCGCACCCTAATCCGAGCTTCTTTCATGAGTTCCTGCACGAATATGAACGATACGTGTACCCAATGAGCCCGGTTATCCCGGCAAGCGAGGTCCACGAGATGATCTCAAAGATGGACGATAGTCGGGATGCTGCCTCGTTTGTGTATATTTTTGCCGCCGTGACGCTCAATTTGACGCGAGGAGAGCCCGTACATGAGGCACCCGCGACGCGTGAGCGCATCGCGACATTGCTGACCCGCTCACTGGAGCACCGTCGTCCGCTGGGATTCGATGCTCAGCCGACCATCGTGTCAGTGATGAGTAGTTTATTCACAGAGATGTGCAGCGTTGGCCTGCGTCGCCTTGATCTGGGCTTCTTCTACCTCCGAGAAGCTATCTCCATACTATACATGCTACACGCTCACTCGGATGAGGCGTTAGCCGAGTTTGACATGCCAGAGCGAGCGCGCCTTCAGCGTGCCTATTGGGAGTGCTTTATTCACGAGCGCTTTACCGCTCTGACTTATAACAGACCACCGTGTCTCAGCGCATTACGCGGTCTGCCAGACCATGATCCATCGCTGCCAGAAGATACCGAGGCAGGCTTCAACCACACCATTGAAAATTTCTGCCTGGTAGACCGCAAGTTTCTTGAATACTGGCTTGGCGAACGGTCGGGTGTGAGCGCTGAATGGATCGAGAACAAACAGCAACAGTTGGAGGATAATTGCTGGCACCGGGAGGTTTCCCAGCTACCAGGCATGATGCAGGCAGATTTGATCATTACGCGACATTGGCTGCGCACAGTTACTTGGCAGATTGCTCTGTCCAACACGCTACTCTCCTCCTCGCCTGATACAAGTCTACTGCTCTCGCTTTCCTTCCCACTGCGCCTCTCAAACCAGCTACGTCAGTTTCTAGTGACCATTCCACGGGATATGGTAGGAATTCATGGATCCGGAATTCTCGAGAAACTATTCGAAATCGCGAATGTAATTACCGACGTGGTACTGCACCTGCCACATGCGTCGGGAGACGAAACGATTCAGCGAATTCACGACATTATCTTCCTCAAGAACTTTGTATACTCATTCGCGGGTTTCCAGACTCTCCGCCCGGCCGTTCTGACGCAGAAGTTTGAGATGATTCGTGAGAAATATCCGGAAATCAGGGAAATCGAGCTTCTGCTCTAGCACCATCATGTATTTGGACATAATCTACCAATGAAATTTCACTTCTTACAGGGGATGAACAGAATAAATCGTCAACTCCGAGGATTTCTTTGCTCGCACTAACCTTTCCAAATTCACAAGCTCCAGTCGTGGCAGATCCCAATATGAACCCATCGCCATCGTCCGGCGGCAGAGGGGAGCACGATTATCGGTTGAAGTGCTAAATATGTACGACACAGGAGAAATATTTCGGAGATTTCGCTCATCAATTCATTATTCTTTCAGAGCTCCATGCATCAATTTATGTGACTTCTCAGCTGATATCTAATTATCCACTAGGTAAACCCGTCCTTCATATGCCTCCAACTCAGCCAGTGACTCTCCCTCACAGTTTCTAAGCAAAGCCTTATAAGATTTCGAGCCAATTTGGGCCGTCAGATCAACCGGCTGTTTATCACCCGTAAAGTTGAGGGCTACTACCAGCTTCTGGCTCGCAGCCGTCTTTTCAAAGACAAAGACCGACTCGTTGAGAGGATCTGTATCAACGAAAACACCCTCAGCAAAGACTTCAGGATGGGCTCGGCGGACTTGCAACAACTCGCGCCAGAATGAAAGGACAGAAGACGAGTCCAGGGCTTGTCGCTTCGCATTCAGCTCTGGGTAGTTATCGTGCACACGCATCCAAGGCTTAGCCGTAGCGGTAGTGAAACCCGCGTTCGGCGTGCCATCCCATTGCATGGGAATACGAGCATGGTCGCGAGCCAGATGAGCAATAGCACTCTTCGCGGCTCCAACCGCGACGGGGTCGTTCTTTGACAGCTCCTGCACGAACTTGTAATAGTTCAGACTGTCCAGGTCCTTATATTCGCTGATATCCCACTCAGCGGGGGCGTTCACCATACCAATTTCTTGGCCTTGGTAAACGTACAAAGTGCCAGATAGACTAGCAACAAGCATAGCCAGCATCTTGGCACTTCGCGCCCAGAGTTCCGGGGTTGCCTCGCTACCCCATCGAGAAATGGATCGAGCTTGATCATGATTCTCGAGGAAAGTTGTGCTCCAGCCATCGGTCGTACCGTCCATCAGAGCTTGAGTGCGAGCGACACGCTCCCGAAGGTCAGGCAATGTCCACGCGTGCGGGACAGTGTCAAATCGAACGGCGCCCGTGCCAATGTCCACAATATCGAATTGGAAGACCATGCTAAGCTGCTTCTCCTTCTCTGAGACGTATGAAAGTACGTCTGCGACCTCTGGTGTGTGTGGCAGTTCACCAACGGTCATGGCGTTGTACTTGAGTAGAATCTCGCCCATCTCCCGCATGAACTCGTGGATACGAGGACCATTGCAGTACAGCGATGAAGCAGGTTGCCACTCAAGGCGAGAATCTATGATAGGGGCATCCTGGAATGATTGCTCCTTGCTGTACATGTTGACTGTATCAACGCGGAAACCATCAATTCCCTTACGCAGCCAGAACTCCATAGCTGATTCATAAACAGTAGCACGCATGGTTGGATTCTCCCAGTTCAGGTCTGGCTGTTGGACTGCGAAGAGATGCAGGTAGTACTCCTGAGTCTCCTCGTCCCATTCCCAGGCACTACCACCGAAGACACTGCGCCAGTTGTTGGGGGGACGGCGGTTTCCATCGGCATCATATTTGGCAGGTCGCCAGATGTACCAATCGCGCTTTGCGCTTGTCTTGGATGACCGTGACTCTTGGAACCAGGCATGCAAATGGGAGGTATGGTTGATCACCAAGTCGAGCAAAATCTTCATTCCACGCTCGTGGCATGCAGCAATTAGAGCCTCAACATCGGCGACTGTGCCATATGGTTCGTAGACTTTCTCATAGTCACGAATATCGTAGCCCATGTCATACTGGGGGCTATCGTACATGGGGCACAGCCAGATCGCATCGACGCCAAGTCCCTGAATATAGTCGAGCTTGCTATGAATTCCAGGAATATCGCCAATTCCATCGCCGTTGGAATCTTTGTAACTGGCAGGATATATCTGGTAGATAGTGGCGTTCTTCCACCAAGGGGCCTCCCGAGACATCTTCAGGGATAAAAAAGGTTATTTGATTAAGTCGAAAAGTCGGCCACACTCAGCCAAAAAATGCCCAGTAAAAGAGTGGCTGGCTCGAATTGATAGAAGAATCAAAGAGACACAAGAATAACAAGGATGAATGTGAGATTTCTTGTCCAAATCAAAGGAAACGACCATTGCGCTCCCTCTTTTATCTTGATCTCCTCTCCACCAACTCTCGATCTATTGGTCCATTGTCGGACCGAGATGTCCTACCCCGCTGTTGAGAATGTACGCCGAGCGTACGCCTCCCCCTGTGGTGATTGGCCAGAACTCGGCCCGAGATGCAATTAAGATTAAGCCGATGCCCGATTTGGGGCTTGCCCGATTGATTGGCTGCGCCAGGTGCCAAAATCTGGCCTAGAGGTTGGACCTTTCCCTCAGGAGTCGTAAGCGAGGGCTAGCTTAGCGTGTTTCTCGAGCGTAGAACTTTCCATCCGCGGTCTTTCACCGGAGGCCCGTCGCACACTCCAGCCCCTGATTGGATCTATCTCGGGCCGACATCGCCAGAATATGCCTTTCCCCAGATTTTTCTCCCGCTCTCATGATGTCTTCTGTAAATCCGGGGAAAGTGTTCGTTTGAGACTACACGGGGTGTTACCTTAAAAGGCGCGTACTCCCCCGTTCGATTGTGGGAATCCAGAGCTCCGGATTGCGAGTAGCTTCCGATATCTTTTTCTATCCTTCTCTATATTACTGAGTCCTCAATTGATCATGTCGGCCACTCCGTCCAAGGACGATGGCATCACCCGGGTTGTGGATATTGATACCACGCCCGAGGCAAAACGCGCCACCGAGGCCGAGCATCAGATGAGCTTTTGGCAGAGTTTGCGAACTTATCCGCATGCTGTCGGCTGGTCTATCCTATTCTCAACGGCGCTGGTGATGGAAGGGTACGACAATGCCCTGGTCTCCAGTTTGTTTGCATATGAACCGTTCCAGCGAGCATTCGGAAACGAACAGCCCGATGGAAGTTATCAAGTAACTGCTGCATGGCAATCCGGTCTTACCAACGGCGCTCTTGTTGGTGAGGTCCTCGGCTTGTTCGCGACCGGTATCATCGTCGAGAAGTTCGGTTACCGCAAGAGTCTGATCGGGGCCCTGGCGGCCTGCGTGGCTTTTATATTCGTTATCTTCTTCGCCAAGTCTCTGCCTGTTCTTTTGGTTGGCGAGATCCTCATCGGCATTCCCTGGGGTCTCTTCCAGACGGTTACAACAACCTATGCGTCTGAAGTGTGCCCCGTAGTACTGCGACCATACCTGACAACATATGTGAATCTGTGCTGGGTGATGGGACAACTGATTGCTTCGGTAAGTACATACCAATTTACTTTCCCTTCGGTGGCATTGGAGTTAACAAATTAGGGTGTCCTCAAAGCCATGCAAGGTCGCGCCGATCAGTGGGGCTACAAAATTCCATTCGCTTTACAATGGATGTGGCCTGTCCCCATTGCGATCGGAATTGCTCTTGCACCCGAATCCCCATGGTGGCTCATTCGCAAAGATCGTGTCGAAGATGCACGCCATGCTTTACAACGCCTGACAGTTCCCGGCCGAGACCCCAACTTCAACGCAGACGAGACCATCGCCATGATTCGAAGCACAAACGAGCTTGAAAAGCGCATGGCACGGGGAACATCGTACCGCGACTGTTTCCGTGGTGTGGATATGCGCCGTACGGAGATTGTATGCTTGACCTGGGCAACTCAATCGCTATGCGGAAGTGGCCTCATGGGCTACTCTACATATTTCTATGAGCAAGCCGGCATGGCCACTAGCAACGCATTCACGATGTCGATGGTGCTTTATATCCTGGGCGCCATTGGTACAATCAGTTCGTGGCCGTTGATGACTAAATTTGGTCGCCGAACGCTCTATGTGAGTGGCTTGGGTTGCCTACTAATCATACTACTCATTATCGGCTTCCTGGGTATCATTTCAAGAAAAAGTATCCCGGCTCAGTGGGCCGTCGGCTCCCTACTCCTCGTTTACGCATTCACTTATGATGCTACCGTTGGGCCTATCTGCTACTCTTTGGTCTCTGAGATGAGCTCAACACGCCTACGCACTAAGAGTATTGTTCTTGCACGCAACTTCTATAATATCTGCGGCCTGATCACTAATATCATCACACCACGCATGCTCAACCCATCCGCATGGGATTGGGGCGCAAAAGCGGGTTTCTTCTGGGCAGGACTGTGCTTTTTCTGTTTTTTGTGGGCTTTCTTCCGCTTGCCCGAGCCTAAGGGACGTACCTATGCTGAACTTGACCTGTTGTTCGAACAACGTATTTCAGCGCGCAAGTTTAGCTCAACTCATGTGGACCCTTTTGCGAATGAACGGGAGAATCCACTGGCGACGAAGATGGAGAAGCCATTTACTGAAACTGTGGAGCAGATCTAGTTATCGCATTTGATAGTACATGTGGAGAAGGACCTTTGCTGGATCCTGACCATTTTCAATGTATTCGTCCATCTTGAGTCGAGGGTTAGCTGAATGACACACTTAATGACCATACTATTCATGAGAACTTCTCCCTATACCCGCACCTCGATAGAGTACTGTAAGCACCGATGATAGGTAAAAGATCAGTGCCGAGGAGACACTTCTAGACCCAAGGGACAGCGACATTGAGAGTGGGTGCCTTGGTGCCTGAATCGCCCCTTGCACTCCGCATCTCCTTCTTGGCCTTTTCCATCACCGCGACACGTCCCTTGAGAGCGCGTCCGGATTTAGGGGATTGCTAAATACGGACAGAATCCCAATCAGAAATTTGGAATTACGCGCAGATTTCCCGCAAATATCCGCTTATACCGTTTTCCCCATGATCACTCTTCGGCCTTGTCGGCCTTGTCGGCCTTATCGAAATGTGTGGATCTCACCAACCGTCAGCAAGGCTGAGTACCTACGAAATGGATGGGGCACAATGGACTATAAATACGAGCTGTCTCCATCTTTTGATGACTAGGCCGTCATTGATTATCTACTGACTTACTAGCACCCACAACATGGGCAGCACCACCCAGCTTACCACCCTCGAGACCTTCCTCCAGGGCTACCCCGCGATCAAATACATCCTACCCTCTTCTCCCGAGTACCCTGCAGCCCGTAAGCCATGGAACGGTGCACGTCTGGACAATCCAATGGCTGTGGTACAGCCTCAATCCCCGTCAGATGTCGCCGCCCTGGTCAAATTTGCCAAGCTCAACTCGATTCCCTTCACTATTCGATCGGGTGGTCATAATTTGGAGGGTCGATGCGTTGTTCAAGATGCCCTTTTGATTGACATGCGCGCTTTAACTGATGTCACAATCTCGTCTGACCGCAAGACCGCCACGGTTCAAGGTGGTATTTTACAGGATGAGCTCGCCAACAAGCTCTGGGAACATGGATTAGCTACCCCAACGGGAGCAGTTCCAACGGTTGGATATGTCGGGTGGGCCATGTACGGTGGATATGGACCCTTCTCGGCACACTGGGGTCTGGGCGTGGATCAAATTCTCGGTGCTACCGTTGTTAATCCCAATGGTGATATTGTCAAAGCTGATGGAGTCCTTCTTGAGGGCATCCGTGGTGCTGGCGGCCTTTTCGGTGTGATTATTGATCTTACGATCAAGGTGTATCCCCTTAGCAGCGTAAGTATTCGCCCTGACAATCGTTTCGTTAGTGCCGTCAAAATTAACCATCCTCGCTATCCTTTAGCTCCTTGCCGGACCGATCTTGTTCGATCCCACTGATATCACCAAGACTTTTATCGACTTTAACGCAGCCTACGAAGAGCTCCTCAACTCCGAGGGTCTACCTCCACAGCTCACCATCCAACAGATATGTTTCAACGGCCCCATGGGTCGCGCTTTCGGCGCCCTGTTCTTGTGGAGCGGCACCGACATTGAGGAAGGAAAGCGATGGAGCGAAAATATCGGTAGCCTTGGCCCTCTTCTGGTAAACATGGTCGCCCCTACCACGATGCCAGAATGGTTCGTTGCCAACGGCGCCATGATTCCCTCAAGCCTCGCCGGCTCTGGTTTCTCGCACAATGTCCGGCGCATGTCTCCGCTTATAGCTGAGACAATTGGACCCAATCTTGCCATTATGCCATCCGATCCTGGTTGCATGGTGTCCATTCATCAACTCCGCGGGCCATCTGCTGGACCTCAAGACCACCCATCTGTCTTTGCAACCCGCGAGCCGCATTATATGCTGGAGCTTCTGGGATTTGCTACAAGTGGCGACCAAGAAGTGTCAAAGCAGTGGGCTCTTCAAACTACTGAAGAGATTGAGCGGGCCGATCCGGAGAATCTGCTGCCGACAAGTTATATCTCCGTGTATAATTCTACCATCCAGGCCAAGTCATCAGCTGAGGCGCTTGAGAAGACCTATGGTCCCAACGCTGAAGTGTTGAAGGATTTAAAGGCAAAGGTCGATCCGGAAGGTGTTTTTGCCTTGACTGTGCCGGCTTTGAAATAGGCGATCAACTCGACTGTAAGGTTGGACTTGCATGTAATTAGGTAGATGTAAAGTGTGCCCAGAACTATCTTATAAAATCCGACTTGATCCTGTCAAGTGTTCATAGACGGCTGATAGAGATTGCTTGTTGAACCGTAAGTTCTAGCCACGAGACGGGGGCGTAAAGGAAGTCAGATATGTCGCTACGATAAGGCTGGCGTATGTATGTACAGACCCCTTTACCAATGGGGGACTCTGCAATTATTTCACCACTAATAGCTGCTCGTAGGGATGTTGCAAGGCTCTAGATACTCCTCAGGATCATAACTCTCCCGGCCACACTACCGTTTAACCGATGCCGGGAAAATGGTCAGCGAGAGTAGCTAGAGTAGCTAATGTGGGATTCGCCATGAATTGACGACACGAATCCCCGATACTATCGAACTATGCTTTCTTCCACTGCGGGGGTGCTATAGCGACATCCCTTTGTTCGGGCATGTCAGATGCGTAAGACCTGGCACCTACATACCTGCGTTGAGGCTTCCACAGATACGTACGCACGGTATACTTTATGCTCCTTGTCAAAAGCTGATACAATACACACCCCTAGCTCATAAACTATAGCCCCGAGGAATCAAGATTTATGCTCGATTAGCGCGAAATTGCGAACCCACGTCTGTGCAGTCACCGTGTCGGGCGCATGGATCTTCGGTCGGAAGAAGGCCGATACATGAAATACCCCACAATCCTCCGCAATTTCGCAATTACCGCAGCTCTAGTCCCGATGAATCTGCATAGCATTTGATCATTCCTGCTGATCAGTACATTCCGCTATCGGTCCTCGTCTCGGGGGCTTTCGCGATGACGTTCGTGGAAAAGCACTGCGATAAGCTCCACATTACCCCGGAACGCCAGACTCCTTTGCTGCTCCACAAAATGGATGTGGAGAATATAAATTGGGGATGTTGTTCAAGAATCAGACCCATAGGGTATGAATAACTCTGCACTAGAAATGTTCAAGTCGAAAACCCCATACTTTGGCCTCCGAGGAGGATGGCTCACGTTCTGGATCACATTGGCCTGTGGTGCAGATATGACTCTCTACGGGTACGATCAAGTATGTCGATATTCACTCATTCTCCGATTTACGGGGCCTTACTCACGGTGTCAATTAGGGAGTTTTCAGTGGAGTCGTCATTTCAGAAGATTTTTTGCGACTGCACGGTCTTGAGGGTCCGACCCATACAACACTTCTGGGCACTGTAACCGCCATCTATGATGTGGGTTGCTGTCTCGGTTCAATTCTTGCCTACTGGCTGGGAGAGCGGCTTGGCCGCAGGAACACTGTCATCGTGGGCACGATTGTCATGTCTATCGGTGCCCTTTTGCAGGCCTCATCCTATAGCGTGGCGCAAATGATGACGGGTCGAATTATTGCTGGAATTGGCAATGGTATGTCCGAAAGAGCAGCCTTATATTTGGCTGATGAGTAATCTAATTCTCATCTAATATAGGTCTGAATACCTCTACTGCACCAATTTGGCAGGTCGAGACATCCAAGGTTCAGTGGCGAGGAAAATTGGTTATCCTTGAGAACTGCCTCGTTCTCGTTGGCTTTTCTCTTGCCAACTGGCTCAACTATGGTCTTTCATTCGCCAGCGGTCCGGTCTCCTGGCGCTTCCCCTTGTCCTTCCAGTTTCTATTCAACATAATTCTGTTTTGTACTGTTCCGTGGCTCCCTGAATCACCGAGGTATGTGTATTCAGCTGTCTTTGTTCTAAGTCCTATACTGATCGTTCCACAGATGGCTCATCGCTCATGACCGTTCAGAAGAAGCCATTAATATCATTGCATATCTTGAGGATAAGGACACCAATGATGTTTTTGTCCAGCTTCAAATGAGCCAGATTCAATATAGCGTGGAATATGAGCGAGCCAACAGTGTGAGCTTTGGCGATATCTTACGTGGAAGAGCCCATGAAAAGTCCGGGACAAAGACAATCCGTCGCTTGGTCTTGGGCATGGGAGCACAAGCGATGCAACAGTTCACAGGAATCAATGTGACGTCTTACTATTTACCGACAGTCCTAACCAAATCGGTCGGGCTGAGTGAAGGCTTGGCTAGACTTCTCACGGCCTGCAACAGTGTCCAATACCTTTGCTTCTCTATGATCGGCATTCCAAATGTCGAACGGTGGGGTCGACGCGTGCTTATGATGTTCGGTGCCGCGGGCATGTGCTTCTGCTACATTTTTATTACGGCCCTAATTCGATACAATGAGATGCCTGATTATCCAAACAGGGAACGGGTGGCTTCTGCATCAGTCGCATTTTTCTTCTTATACTATGTCTTCTTTGGAATTGGTATGCAGGGTGTACCATGGTGTAAGTTAAACTACCTCCGGATAACCGAACTCAAATGCTAACAGTATGCTTAGTATATCCCACCGAGATAAACTCCTTGACAATGCGGACGAAGGGAGCAGCTCTGGGGGCAGCTACAAATTGGATCTTCAATTTCATGGTCGTCGAAATCACTCCCATCGGTATACAAAACCTTGGATGGAAGTTCTATATCATCTGGATCGTGCTGAACGCGGCAATGGTTCCAACCGTTTACTTATTCTACCCTGAGACAGCTGGCCGCACTTTGGAGGACATGGACGATTACTATCGGGGCAATCCTCCGCTCCTTGCATGCCTTGATAAGGAAGCGATATCTAGAAAGCGTCCTGAGAGATATAGAGCCCGTGATGAGCACATCATACATGCCAAAGACGGAGCCGAGGCGGCAGAACATGTTGAAAGTATGGGGAATGTCAAAGCGTGAGACAGCAGTTGAATTCCAAAGACTGTCTGGGAAGGTCATCAGAGTTGAGATATGGAGCCTGCAAGTTAGGAATAAATGGATGCGAGAACATATTTAGCGATTATGACCCTCTCTAGCAGGCTCTCACAAAGAATACTTGCCAATTAATATCATTAAACACTCCCTCATGGTTTACTTCTATTATCGTGGCAAAGCCTCCTTGGCATGAATATCCACCACACATCTTTCGGTGAACAAACTCTCAAAGATCCTCAATATTTTACCTGAATAGAGCAAATTTAGATCGCCAAATTGTATCGTAAGAGTGGAGAGGTCGTAGTCTGGACAACCAGAACTTAGGATTTCCAACCACCGCGTAATCTCGTTGCAGAGCTTTTTGGGGATATTTGCATGAAATTTCGTATCCAACAGGATAGCCAATGGATCTGAGTACAGTTTGCAATTAGAGAAATAGGCGCAATATTTTGAGAGTCTTCTTCAGGGGACTCGGGAGAAGGAGCCAAAAGGACCAGATTGTGCGGGGTTTGTCTCCACAACTCCCGTCTCGGGGGCTCAACTAAAGCCGGAAGGATAATCACAGACCCGTCACGCATGACCCGGCAATTGCCATCCCGCTGCTTGTGTTCAGAGTATTACTTGGTCATGTACACACTATTCGGTCTTCCAGCTTGCAGGTACTCGATGCGGAGGCGACTCAGATGATCTGTGACTTCCTTGACATAAAAATCCGTCGTCTCTCGGTATCTTCCTCACCAAGTCAACGATAATCTTTCCACGAAAGCAAACTGACACTGCATTGTCATTTCACACGCCATTGATTCGAAAATGGGCAGTACGGACTTGTTCAATTTGCCCCAATCTATGCGGGCTCTAGGTCTTTCACTCTTCCCAATGGGTCAACATCAAAAATACCACGCTAATCGGAAAGTCATCATTACAGAGTACAGCGAAGCCAGAAAATTCAGCATTGTAGAGAAAGCCCTCCCGCAACTCCGTGAACAGGATGTATTAGTATGTATCTGCCGCAAGGGAGGTGAATGAAGTTTTTCTAACTTCACGTGAAGATCAAAGTGAAAGCCTCTGGAGTGTGTGGAACAGATCTTCATATTCATGATGGCGAGTTTGGAGCAAAGGCAAGTCGATCCCTAATCAGTGGCGGCTGATGATATGGGGTTTTCTAACCGATTAATCTAGTTTCCTCTTGTCCCCGGCCACGAGACTGTGGGTGTAGTGGCGGCGTTCGGTAGTGGTGTTCAGGGTTTTAAAGTCGACGACCGTGTAGTCGCTGACAATTCCGAGCTATGCGGTCATTGTCACTATTGCCGTCGAGGCAAGGAGCTATTTTGTGAGAATTTCATCGCCCATGGTGTTATGGTCGACGGGGGCTTTGCAGAGTACGCCGCTTACCCTGCACACCGGGTGTTTATATTCAAGGATTTGTCCGATGTTGATGCCACTCTTCTGGAGCCTGCAGCCTGTGCAGCACATGGCCTGGATAAGATTGCCCCTCAGATGGGATCAAAGGTACTCTTATTCGGAGCGGGCCCCACGGGACTAATGTTGGCCCAGCTACTGCGAGAAAATGGCGGATGTTACACCGTTATTGCTGCACCGGGTGGGCTGAAAATGGATCTCGCTAAGTCGCTCAATGCTGCGGATGAGTATGTGGAGCTCCCCCGTGAGTCGGTGGCATCAGCAGCTACACTCGAAAAACTCAAAGCGGAGAACCCGTACGGATTCGATATTGTCGTCGAGGCTACCGGTAGCTCCAAAATTTTGGAGGATGCCATCCACTTTGTGACCAAGTCTGGGAAGCTAGTGGTCTATGGAGTCTATGGTGATAACGATCGTATTCGCATATCGCCAAACATGATTTTCAAAGAAGAAATTAATGTCCTTGGCTCTTTCAGCCAGACCTACAAGTTTCCAGCTGCTATCGACTATCTTGGTAAGTCTGTCAACATTCATCCATTTAATAGTTACTGACGGTTCCCCGCGTTGATTAGAGCGGAAAAGAGTCAAAGTTGACGGCATTGTGAACAAGACTTTCAGACTTGAGGAGTGGCAGGCATGTCTTGATGCAATGAAAAATAGGACTGTAATCAAAGCCGCAATAGTCTTTGACTAGTAAAACTAGATACTACAAAGCAAAGAAGAACTCATTAATTCCTCTGTTAGTGACAACTCATTAAACTCTCTGTGAGATAAAACTCTTCACACTCTGAATAGCAGCGAGACCTGAATTTTAGTGATGAACAGGGTTTGCCTAAGACAGACGAAATCTACATTGTTATGAGTGCCATTAACTTGTCCCCTGTAAACAAATTAAAAGACCATCAAACTTCTCAGAACGTTGTTACCAAAAGCAAAAGGTATTTATTGTATTGCCCGAAGTAAAAGTTTGACAAATCGGGTGGTCACGCAATAGAACTTGTAGCCTGAGATGTGTTGCAAAATGGCAGACTTAGATATTGAACAAATACCTGTCCTCATGCACGATTAATTTAAGATGCTCCGGTCCCGCTCACCTCGACTCTCTCCTCCTTCAAATCTTCTCGGAAAAGCAACAACCTCTAACATGCCAACCGCACAGATAATCAAGTATTTAGTCGTTTTGGTGACCCTATGTCACTCCATTGGAGCCTCACCGGATTCTAAGTCACCAGCTGAACTCGGCTTCGCATCGGGTTTGAGCGATAACTCAACCCTAGCGGATATTCTATATACACTTCCCCATCAACCCGGTTCGGGTGAGAATGTGATCACCCGATGCACCATTACAAAATTCAGTGTAGGGATATTTTGCAGTAAGTCAACCCTGCTCTGAATGTATCCATATGTTATGAGTACCAATTCGCTACGAACAGGGAATCGTCACTGTGTGTTTGGGCCCCGCTCACTGCACTTTGCATGTAACTGAGTTGGATAAGTTGGATGATACATAATATGTCTGATCCTCCCTGAATGGTTTAGCTTTGTCATAACCCACCATTATACCCCAATAATCTCGCTCAATTAACCTACTTTGGACTTGAGTCCAAGTATATGCCGAGGGATAAGATGCCAAGAGAGATAGACATGCAGTGTACAGAAGTAAGCCTGGAAGGGCTACGATCATCCGTTTGTCATATTTTGCTTCCCTTTCGGTTGAAATCTGTAGAAAGCTATCCAGTTCGAATTAAGGGTTACATGGGAAGTGTCCTTTATGGGGTGGGTCGTATGCCATGCCATGATGTGGGCCATACTTGAACAATCGCACTGGAACCCCCCGAGTGGGTTTCTGGTAATACAGATTCAACCTATTAGAGGTTAGTGAATTTGTTGTAGAGGATTTTGATATCAGCTTTTACGTTAGCTTTTAGTCATTTTGGTGGTATGGATGCTAGATGTTGTGTCTGTAACACTGCTACCCAGCTGGAATTATTGATTTGACTATCACGAACCGTGTGACGCAAACTCTAGCCGTCCAGCGCCGAAGCATCCGTAGCAGATGCAACTCTCAAGTATATAAGACTGAGACTTGTCTTCTCTTTTATCCTTTCTACTCACCAAGGAATCAAGACTCAGATTTGCATATTTCCAGCTTCACACGAGCTCAGCCGCAGGACAAAAATTTCAATATGAAGTTTCAAACTATTTTCGGGACTCTGGTTTCCATTGCTGTTGCAGCCTTAGCTGTTCCAGTTGAAAATGTTTCAGAACGTGTGGTGTTGAACGGAGATCAGCTCAAGAGCTTTGTCGACGTTTTTAAGGTCAATGGAAAGCCGAACATTCTTGCTCCGGATCAATCGATCTCTTGCACAGTGGCTTACACCTTAGCGCTGAGTAATTACTCCTTACACGCTGACTTAATGCTGTACATTTGCTAAACACCATGATTGTAGGCGCTAGCCCCCCATATACCATTTCCTTAACGTCCTTGGACCTGTCAGCCTGTACCCTTACTCCCTAAATATGTAACGAATTGGCTATTCCCATCTCTCAGCTTTGGTGCTGGGATTTGGCATAACTAATTACTTGGCGATGTTATTAATGATGCAAGGCTGGCCTGAGATTGATGGATAGGTGTCGGCGATGTGGGTTCAACAGATGGTGGGTTTAAGGGCCAAAGGGTCCAAGTCACTCATTACGAAAATGCAAATCATGGCCCCAAATATTCTACTCGTGCATGATGATAATCCCCGTAGAGGCACTCATCATATTTTCCCTGGTAACTTAGCGGTTTGCAGTCTCCCGGACTATCAGACTATACCGGCCTTTCTCCTAATGAGATTTAGTAAAGTCTCCCAACGCTCATCATCATTCAGCCTTGGAAATGCTCTCATATGCGAGGGACAACGACATGTGTGTTAGAAATCAAGTTGAGTCGTGGACCAGACCAAACAGGAATAGGATGAAAAAACAGCCAAAGTAGACCCCAATCAGTGATGGACTTGCAGTGAGACAGTTAACTGTTGAACCCGTGCGGACACTCGTCTCGTCTAAACAAACATTTCCAAAAACAAGTAACACATAACAAGCACATTGAGTGTAACACGCGTGGAACTAACCCGATAAGCTAGTTTTGACATACCTCGGCGCTATCGGAAGCTGTCTCACCAAAACTCTAGTGTCGCCAGTGACTCGAGATACCCATCCATGAAAGCCTTTGCCTGTCAAAATCATATTCTGCTTGATCTTTCGCCCGAAACCGGACGAATATTCCCCTAACACAATTACAAAACGGATACCAGAGGGGGATTTCCATTCTATCCGATTTCTTCACGGGTAACCGTAGGATCACACCAAGAACTGTCCGTGTCACCTCAAAGAGTTAAAGTCAAGTATCTGCGAGACCGTGGATGTGGAGTCGAGTCTGTTTTTGCGGAGTAGCGTACCACAACAGTGTGTATACATGCCGTGATTTGGGGCTACAATGAATATGCTCCACTTGCTGGGCTGTATGTTGCACAGTCGCGGCCAGTCACATAATCGGGGAGAGGATCTAATATGATGCCGGGACTCGGGCGTTATATAGTACTCGAAGGACAAAGAGAATATCTCACGAGCTCTTACAAACAGCACTTCAGTAACATAGGTCATTTCCCTCGAAGCAATGAAGGTATCTCCAGACGGGGCTATACCTGCTTCCTCCTAGTCAGAACTCCTGCCATGAGATATGCATTCCCATATATCCACTAGCCTAACTGTCATCGTACAGGATTGGTGTAGTCGCGCGAAATTATCTTTGCGCACAACCCGTGCCCTATTCAGCTCGATTTCCGATCTTGATGATTACTATCTCAAACAACCCGATTTGGTATATCTAACATAACTCTATAAACTCGAGCAATTGAACTTGAACAGGGTCACAGGAACCTAAAGGGAGGATAAGTGAGGTTGAATATTAAAAGATCTCGTATGGATTACTTTATTTCGCTAAAGATCCAAAATCAGAAGCTAACTAACTTTCATGCAGCGTCTGTTGTCCAGAGCTACGCATTATTTTCCTCATTCTCACCATCTCACTTGCTCTCCGACAGACCCAGGCACTCAGCCATGCCGAAGAAAATGTCGATAGAGTTAATAACTCCACCGAAAAGTTCCTGGCAGGGGCCGCGCGCAAACACGGGCACGTCAGTCAGCGAGTGAACACCCTGGGAGGCATCCACAGGCAAGGTTCCGTTAACAAGGTAGCCAGTAACGGCATCCTTGTAGTTGGCAATGTTCCCCATCTTATCGCCCTTAGTAGATACAGCGGGGGTACGTGGGCCGTCCTTGTGAACCTCATAGTTCTCGCGGTGGTCAGGGAATGCGACAACGCCGGAGTGCAGGGTGTAGCGAGGATCCCAGTGGCTGGGGAAGTGAACACCCTCCGAGTAGCGCAGAGAGTTGGGTCCACCAACAGTGTACTGGGACAGACCGGAGTTCTCGTAGTAGCCGATGGCGTTGCGCTTGCTGCGGTCGTCGTGCTGGGCTTCCATGTACTTGGTATCGACGGAGCCGGTGACGTCGAAACCGTGGCCGTGGTCCGCGGTGACGAGGATCAAGGTGTCCTCCAGCTCGCCCATGCACTTGAGCTTGTTGATGGTGGCACTGACGGTGTCATCAAGCTCGAGCAGGTCACCCAGGGCACGGTCGTAGTCCAGAGTGTGCATCTGCTTGTCGATACTAGCAGCCTCGGCCATCATGAACCAACCCTCCTTGCCGCTGCGCTGGTGTAGCACATCGATGGCCTTGAGGGTCATCTCCTTGAGACCGGGCAGATCATCAGCGTCACGACCAGAACCATCTGGGTAGTTGGTCTTGTTCAGGAGGTTTGCTGTGTAGACGTTGCGGTCCAACCAAACTGGGAGGTTGGACTTGGAGAAGACACCCAGCAGCTTGTCCTCATTTGGTGCCTTTTGCAGGGCAGTCTTGTTCCAAGCGACGTTGTAGTTCTTCTTGGCGAACAAGTCATAGTACTCACGCGAGGCCTCCTCGGACTTGAGGAAGTTCTCAGCACCGGCGCCAAGAAGAACGTCAGGACCAGTCCACTCCGTCCAGGTATAGTTGGTCAATCCCTCGTAGAAGGTGCTGATGACATGGTCATACTCGCCACGCTTGCTGGTGTGAGCGGTCAAGGCAGCAGGAGTGGCATCGGCCAAGAAAGCAGTGGACAGGATACCGACACCGGCATTGGGATGTTGGCGACGGAAGATCTCCACAATGGTCTCAAACTTGGGGTCGTCGAAGGGACTCTTGGAAGAGTCGACGTACACATTGAGAGCATTGACCGTGGTCTTGTGGCCAGAGTACAGAGCAGTGGCAGAGTTGGCCGAGTCGGTGATGAACGAGTCCATGGAGTGGGTCATCTGGTGGCCCAAAACGGGGAACTTGTCCAGGGCCATCTTGGTCATATACTTGCCGTTGATGCTCTTGTGGGCAATGAGACGGGCAGCAGTGATCATGTTCGTAGTCATTCCTATTACTTGTTAGCAGAATATAATATCAACAGGGGTGATTTGACTGATTTACCATCACCGATGAAAAGGATGACGTTCTTAGCACGACGCTTAGTCGGCACCTTCCGAACGAGCCAGTTGGCGACGGTCTTCCGGGTTCCGTAATAAGTGAGAGTAGCCTCATACTCACCTGGCTCCTTAAGAGCCACACGACGGAAGATCTTGGAAGTGACGTTGACAACGGAGGGTGTGTGAGCATCCTCAGCGAAGCGATCTATTTTGATTAGCTAGTGGACCAAACACAACGTTGGGGCAGGTTCTTACCCTCGTACCAGCTGAAGTCCCAGTGCTCCAGCTTTGGCTCATCCTGGCCAAAGAACTTGGTAGCCGGCACGCCCTCGTGACCCTTCTTGGCGATGGTGAAGGTGAAGTTAGGGTCAGGTTCACCAACGCGAGCCTCAGAGCCGTTGATAGGAGAGTGGACCTCAAGACGGATATCGAAGAATTGACCAGGAAGGAAATCAGCCCTAAAGGGAGGGTAGAAAAGACATTATCAGCCTGTTTCCACAGAGTGTTTTGTATCATTGAGGGTGGGATACATACTGGTCTGGAGGGAACACGCAACCCAGGTCAGGGCAGCCGCCCAGACGCTGGTGAGTCTGAGCAGCTGTGAAGGAGATCACAGCTGCGATCACGAAGAGGAACGATAGAGCCTGCATGGTTGCCTGCTGGTCTGATCGAAGAAGGTTGGAAGAGAGAAGGTGAAGAGGGGGTGGAGGGGGAGGAAGAAGAAAGGAAAGAAGAGGGGAGGTGAGAAATGGACTTTTAAGGGCAGCCAGACAGGAGCTGCACGAAGCAGGTTCCCGAGATAAGATCTCCTGCCTGATCTCTTGCCAAGCGAGCTTCCAGAAAGCAAACGATCAAATCTCCGGCGTGTTGCGATCGCATGGCCGCTAGAGGCTCTCCTCTCTACAACGTGCAGGGTTTAGGTGACTTCCGATGGTGTCACCATGCTGGGCATTGTACTAGCGGGGATGTTAACCCGCTTATACAAGTAGATTGAACTTAACAAATGGTATTCAAGCAGCATCTGCACGTGCGGGACTCGTGTACGTTGTCTGGAAAGCTTCAGAGTCTTGGAAGTCTTGGAAGTCTTGGGGGGGCTTTTTTGCCAAGCGATCCAGTCTTGGCCCTCCGCTTCCCACGAGGGCTTGGCAGGGACTCGATCGAGGGTGCCTGGTTGTTAGTTGTCATAAGCGATAGTCCATTTTCAAAATACAATTTGATTCTCCCAAGTCACTCAAAATATAGAGTTTGAGCGCATACACAATGGCCTATAGAATGGCATAGAGCTCTGCTCATACTGTAGCTCTGCTGCATACAAGAACAAACTTTAGATGCACCAACCAATCACAACGCCTCCCTACTAGCCAGCTACTGCCCTCTTAAAGTTCTAATGAAGCCTAGTATGGTGAATGTGATCCTGGTTGCTAATGGAATTGGTTCATTCTCTACCTAGCAGGTATTTAGGCAGTTTGTAACCTAAAATCAAGGACAGATTAAGTTTAGCCTGAGAACCAGGGCTCGAACTTATGCAGAATATATATCTCCGGCCAAATGGAGCAAAACTGTTCTTAATGTTAGTGAATCTTGCAGCAATGCCCTTTCCAATTGCAAAAATACATGAGATCACCCTATAGATGTTGATCGTCGGCATCCATCTTAACGTCATAATCCCAGTTGGACTACTGTACTTCTGGTGGGTGCTGTTTACTGACGTCACTCGGTTCAGGTTGAGCGGGACGCGTCGTGTCGCGTTTCCCTCAAGTGATTTATCAGTCACAACCCCCTATTCCATCGCTGACACTCCTGCAACCCTCCGACTCACAATTCCTCCTAAGACACACCAAATTGCCTATCAACATGGCCCCCAAGAGAAAGTCCACCGACGCGGCGGCCGACGTCGCATCCAAAAAGACCAAAGCCAGCACCGACAATGCTACCGATAATGCTCCTGACAATACTCCCGAGAACGCCACCGAGAAGCCCCAGGTTCCTCGCAGCAAGCGCTGGTCAAAGGGTCTTTCTGGCTCTGCAAACGCTGACACGGAATTCCGCACGATAATCGCACGCAATCCCGACTCTCTCTGGAAGTTTGCCTGTCAGTGCCGACAAATTGTCGGATCGGATGACGACGACGAGGAGGATGAAGATGAGGACGGCGAAGATGAAGGCGAGGGCGAGGGTGAGCCCAAGAAGACTGATGATCTCCCTCCATGTGATGGAGGAAAGACCTGCCTTTGCCAAAAGCCAATCGAAGAACATCCTGACCACCCATACTCTTTGTCCCTGGGAGGCATTCAGAAGTTCACTACGACTTCCATCCTCTGCGATCTACGTAACCCGGACATGTTCGACATGTACCTCTACAACGACTTCTACGGCTACGGGTTGGTGGAAGTGCTTGGCAACTTGCTCCTCGATTTCGAGGAAGCCAAGGATGACTGGAAACAACAGTGGTACATCTGCGAGGCCGTGATGCTGTTCTTCTTTCGCTACGACCCTGCCGCTTTGTTCATGTATGTTGTCTTTCTTGCCTTCTCGCCCCGTCCCGCCTCACTGTTTCTCATCTAATGTTTAATCAATTTCCAGGATCGATGATGGCGATGGCTTAGACATGTTCCTTCATGCCGTTCGAACCATGTTCCTCGCGATGATGGCAACCCTCGAGCGCCTCGACCTCCTGAAACCCGACTCTGAGATCAAGAATATTGGTATGGTCATGGGCTTAGCTATCCGCCTCGATGCGTTCGCGGAAGACAATGAGGGCACCGAGGACCTCCCCAAATATCTGTATGCGTATGCCGCGAAGCACAATATTGTCCTTCGTGATGTGCCAGAGGATAGTGAGCTGGAGGAACCAGTGCCTGCGACCGGCAAGGGTTCGCTGCCCGCGCCCACGGCTAAGAAGAATGACCCGTGGGGCTTTGCACAGGAGCTGAAGCAGCTCAGGAAAGAACAAACACTGGGGGAGACCAATTCGACATAACCACCATGTCTGCACCACAGCGCAAGAAGGCCCATTTTGATCGCAAAGATCCGCTGGATAAGGAGGCGATTAAGGCACTCAAGGAAGGCTTGGTCATGCAGATGCTGTAACTGAGTGTACACCTTCTGGTTGGTTCGTTAAGCGTCGACACTAACCCTGAATCTTTGCTGTTGCTTATGTATATTTTATTCTTTATAATCTCGGATCTTATATATTTCATTTGAATCATAGTATTGTGGGGTCTTACATGATTTTCTAGTGAGGAGACCCCGAGGACTGATCTCGAGCCCGACTCAGAACTTCCATTGGTTGATCCACCTCTCCATCAATGGTGCATCAATCGCCTGCAATCGTCGCAAGGTCTTGCTGGCAGCCTGTGTTTTGGTCGTCTCTGTCGATGGCCCTGCCTCATCGGAGTACGCGATCGCCTTGAAAAAGTCCAAGATCTTGAGAGCAGGCTTGTCACGCAGATCATCTTCCGTGGGGTTGGTGAAACTCTCCAGCGTTGCGATCCAAGTCTGAATATCAACAGGCTCGACATCGAAATACTTTGTCACAGCCGGGATGAGCGATTGCCAACCAGCGACCTTGGGGTTGACAATATGGAACGCCGCACATGGCTCATCCTCCTGCGTGGAGCGTCGGGTGCGAACGATATCGGTGATCACTTTGGCGCAGACATCCTGCGAAATGTTCTGTTAGTTGTGGATGCATGAGATGACTAGGGCGAAACATACCACTGGAACCCATTGCACCGATACCGAACCCAGTGAGTTTGGAATCTGTTTGATAGTCTTGGAAGCTGCAACTAGGGACGGCAACCATTCCTGCTTATTCCACATTCCCAGCTCGGTGGTTGGACCTCCAATTTGGCCCACGCGGTGGATGCTTGTCGGGACACCACATTTGGCCGATGCCATAGCACAGATTCTCTCAGAGACGTGCTTCGACTCGCCGTACCCTTGACGGAGCACAGAACTAGGGTCGTCGAAGATTACCTCCGGGATGGAAGGTCCCTTGTTGTACCCTTCAATAGTGGAGATGGACGAAATGAAATGAATATGAGCTGTCTTCTCGCTGGCAACGCTAAACTCCACCAAACGGCGCACACCCTCGATATGTGGGTTCTCAAAGGCTTCCACTCGGTGGTTAAAGTTCACCTTCCAGGCATTGTGAATGATAGTGTCAACCTCCTGCAACATCTCGTCATACTTGGCTTCATCAAGCCCTAGCTTCTCAGCACCAAACTGAGCCTGGAGGAACTCGACTCGCCGAGGGAAATGGTTAAGCGTAGTGAGTCCCTTTTCGCGGAGACTCTGAAGCTGTCTTGGGGCAGCATCTTCTGATCGATTGAGGCAGTAGATTTTGGTAACGCTGAAGTCGCGGATAAGCTCGGATAACAAGTAGGATCCTAGAGAACCCGTTGAACCAGTGAGAATGACAGCATGATTCTGACCGAAGCCCTCGGAATATTTGCTGACTAGGTCGGCGATTCTTGTTTCTCGGTCGCTCTCGGTTTCAACCACCGCGGTGGCAGGGGCAGTATCCTGTCCTTGGAGAATGTTATGGATATACTCGGTGAGTTGAGAAATTGTTGGCAACGAATATAGTTGTGGGCTGGTGAATGCGGCCCCCAGGTCTGGACGAGCAGATTGCAAAGAAGCTTGCAGGATCTGGCCCAAGCGCAGGGTCTGGAGGGAATCAAGACCGGATGCAAAAATGTCTGCATTTTCATCAAAGTCTTTCACCTCCAAGATATCACACAGAGCTGATGCGACATAGGTAGAAATGTCCGACCGGCTAGCATCTTTGGGGATCTGGGCGACATCAAGCTGATCGGCTTCGGCATACAAGGCATCGATCTCATCTGCATAGTCATTGACAATCATTCGTCGCTTGATGGTGCCTTTAGCCGTCAACTGGAACGGCTTAGATTGCAAGGCAACCCCGACACGGTCCTTCATTATCTGAGCATGGCCAGGGGCCGCTTCATTCGCTTTCTTTACGCACAGCCAGATCTCTTCAATTAGGGCACTGGGTTTTCCATTCCATGACTCCCAGTCGGGCTCAATCAGAACTCCCGATTGGAACCGGCCTTGACCGACAACGACTGCTCGAGCAACGAGGGGATGACCAGAGATAACCTCCTCCATATTAATTGGGTTGAACTTTTCACCGTTGCTCAAAACAATCACGTCGTCACGCCGACCGGCATAGAGCCAGAGGCCTTCCTTCTCTGGGTGAGGAGTGAAGAGGTCCCCAGTTTGATATTCCTCCTTGTCTGGATAAGTGTGGAACACGGCGTGCAGCGCGCTTCCATTTTCACCTCGTGGCACTACAAGCTCGTAGTATCCATCACCCGCATCGCGCATTTCATACCCAGCAAAGGGGTTGAATTCAAGATACGGCCACTCATCCTTGTCTTGATACTTCAGAGCACCGAAGATAGCACACTCGCTAGATCCAAGCACGGATTGAAGATGGACGACCTCGGCAATACGGTCACCAGCTTCCCGAGCCATGGGTGCACCACCAAAGGTAAGCATGTCAAATGTCTTCAAGCATTCCATGCCAAGCTCAGAGGTAGAGAGCTCTTCAAGCATCGACGGTGCCAAGTTAGCAGTCTTGGGCTGGCCATGTTTCACGACTTGGGCCAGGAGATCAACCGTCAAGGGCTTTTCGTGAGTCAACACGAATGGCGTATCTGCCAGAATTGGGATCATCATGTTGAGCATCCCCATAAGATGGAAGAATGGGCTTACGGAAAGGACTCGCTTGCCCTTTCCTGCGACTGCAACGATGCTCCCGATCCGATTCTCGGGCGTTGGTAGTTCGCATATCTTTTGCAGGGCGATGAAGTAGCCATTCGTCATGGGGACTGGCTTGGGCATACCTAACGGGAGGAACGAGGTGCTCATTAGCCTTCGCTTTACAGTCAATACCTCATGTACTAACCAGTAGTTCCAGAACTATGAATGTAGACCGCCACTCGGTCTTCCGGGTCCTCTGCAGGCTCTTTGATGGTAGGCACAGGAGCAGTCGCTTGACGATCGAATACATCCCAAAGATCTGGTGCCAGCCACGATTGCAACGATGGGTTGACCGCCTTGATCTCATCGACCTGTCGACTTCGTTCAGGCGTGTAAACAAACTTAGAACAATTCACGGCATTGAGGACATGGCTTGACGCCGGCTCCGAGTTTCTCGACGAGAGGAAGACAACCTATTATCCCTTAGCGACCCGACCAAACACCCTAATCAAAGGACCGGTGAGATAATACCGTATGGCGCAATCTCATGCACGCAAAGACAAACGCACAATATCGAATGTCGTTCGCACCCATATACGCTAAAGCCTGCGGTTCATCCGCCGAAGCCACATTTTCATGGATCCAAAGCGCGAGCCGGTTAGTCGCGCTCACCACGTCAGCAATGCTGATATCGACCCATCCATCGGCGACTTCAGCGGAGGCAGGGTGAAGGCAATACAATGCGTCAGGATCCCGTGCATAGATGGAGTCGAGCAAACGCAGGACCGTGGAGTTTTGGCTAATCGATCCCATTGCAGCGATTTACTGAGATCACGATCGAAAAAATTAAAAAAATTTTGCAGACGCCTGGTATTTATACTCGGACGCTGTGTATCAATTCCTAGCTACGAAGGAAGGGGGGGGATCTACACCTGATGCTACCTAGCCGCCGATCATAGGGTGTTCTGCGGGAGCAGACGAAAGTCACCGCGCTAAAGCTGTGCAGTAGGTAGCACAACATAAGAGCATTTACGATCCGCGATGCTAATTGGTGGAAGCTCCCAGAACAACTACTGTTTGGTGATTGCAGAGCAACTTGACTGTCCAATTGTTGTTCGAGTAGATGCAGCTGAGCTTTTGGGTCCTGCAAGTGCCTCGCTCCAGGTAGCACGAGCGACCGTGTTGTATGGGGTATGTGGTCATATAGCTGCAAGAGCTGCATCTTCTGCAGAAGTTCATGTATACCAGCCCTCTGTGGCTTTGGTACTGTGTTCGACATCGATTGGCTGTGGAGGAGGAGTTTTCAGCTCCACGAATCTCGAGTGTCCTCGGCGTGCGCGAGAAAACAAAAACTGATGATGCCTCGAGAACTGGCGGTGTACAGTGCTTGCGATCGTACCGGCGTATACGCCCATATCGATAAAGACTAGAGGGGAGACGGATTCTGTTGATTAGTATGTCTTTGCTTTGCTTTCGTTTGAAGACGGCGCATATATTTATAGTTTATAGGCAAAGCGACCTCAGCACGGGTTTGCGAGGCGAGACAACGGCGAGAGATCGGCGGATGCAGAACCCATTGGACAAGGAAGAGTGTCTGCTGTTGTAATAGGAGTCTTGCTTTGCTCGTAGATAATCAGGAACATATGGTCATGATCTCGGGCGGCGAATGGGCCCTTAAAAGCAATGGTACCAGCCAGCCACTTGCGAGAAAGTAATCCGCCGGGTGCAAACCAACAGAAGGCTGTCGCTAGTCAAATCGTCTAGATAGTGCGTCAATTCAAGTAAGCAGACACCGAGTGATCAAACCACACAGTCCACGATAAAGCTCTCCGTGATGTCAGTCTGCCAGACTGCCAGAAATGGTAAACCGCGGGTATTGAGAATCGAAGCGATTTGTCAGGAAAATATCCGACGACCTAGGAGACGGCGAGCGAGGGGAGACACAAAAGTATGAGTTTGTGACCTATCACACAGATCGGATCAGATTAGAAGAGGTTGATAAGATCACTAGATTATAAGCATATATCAGTAACAGATGATAGAAAGCACCCAAGTAATGTAAAATCTGAGGCCAGTCAGTATCCCTTGGGCATAGGACATACTAACAAGCGAACGTAACCTCCCATTCTCCCAAGGCACGTGGCCAAAGACTGGGTCCGGCTGGAGGACATGAGAAAGCGAAAAGCGGAAGACATTATTTATTTGATGCACAGCAAATATCAAAATTGATAGCAAAATGGCTGGCTTCCAATAAGAACCCCCATGGGCTCTGCGATGGATGTCCTATCAGTCAATCTTCTCCATGATCTCGTAGGGGGAAGAACATGGAAATAGAGATAAAGACAATCAAAAAGAGTCCAGAAACGAAAAAAAAACTCAAATCTTCGCTGGCAAGGCCGCCAAGAAAAAAAAGTGATAGACGAGCATGTCATTGACAAAGAGCTCACAAAGCGATAGAGAACAAAAGACTCACAAACACATAGAAAGCCACAAAGCGATGGAAAAAAAACCTAGGAAAACTCATCCGAGTCAGGTAACAGGCCCTCAACCAAGATCCTCGTACAACCACTACAACAAGGCTATAGTTAACTCGAGCCAATTTCCTATCTGAGCATCCCACAGCTCTCGCTTGCAAGTCGTGTGGCCTTCTCAAATGAATAGACGAGGCTGGGGATCGCCCGCCATTATCTGTTTAGCCGCTGACTCGCAACTACATAGCATGACTCGCTGGGATGCGGTTCGCTTGAATGGGGCTATTGTTGTCTAATAACAAGGCGAAAGACACTAACGGTAGCAGTGCCTGACCAGACAAAGAAATGAGGTTGTATGTTGTATTGAATTCGAGTCCAATCGGATGCAGGGAATACTGAATCTGGGACTTTTGAAGCGTGTCCCCCTAGGCGTCGGCTCCGACGGAAGCGCTTTGTTAGTTTCCACCCGTTGAACGATCTACTGCGAGCAGGGATTGTTGCGAGTCATTCCCGTGGCTCCATATCGGGAAAAACGGCGGTGTGATGTTTTTGATATGGTAGAGAGAGAGAGAGAGAGAGAGAGAGAGAGAGAGAGAGGGAGAGAAAAGAAAACGAGGTAGGGGGATAGAGTACGTAGTAGAGAATTGAGGGTTAGGGGATTAGGTTGGCAATGTTTTACGTGTTCTGTTCTCATACTTCTTAGCTAGCAGGTCCACTGCATTGTGTTAGACTGTAGTTAAGGTTCCTGGTTACCAATGTACGCACATGCGCCAAATTGAATTGTTCTCCTCCGCGATCATAGCCATTTTCAATTGGAATCCGTGCTGAATGGAGAAGAATTTCCAGACTTTGGCATGTACCCCTCACCCCGCTCGAGTGAACAATCCAGACGGACCGAGGGAAGTCTATCAGCGCTCAGTGAACCAAGTTTAAACCAATCGCATCGCGGAATTTGCCATGATGTCCACCCTCGCCCGCGCACTGTACCCCCGTGGCCATCAACGATGTACACAGTAGTATTCCAAATCAACAACGCAAAGTCTCAATTTTGAGGTCGGATATACAGATAAAGGCAACCGAGCGGCCCGAATATATTTATGGAGGCGATCTACAAGCATGACAGGACCCCGAGGATATCATTGATCGCGGGGTCTAACCCGACAAATGCAGAGCTTGCATCTTCTGTTCCCAAAGCTCACCTGGTCAAGTAACGACGGATGCACAATCTCCATGGCCCGGGACCAGCTTCCAATGCAAGTGCAAAAGGTACCGACATGACTGTGATCAGGATGGACCAATGTGGGATTCCCACGTTCTGTGGCGGGGTTAGCTGCATTGGAATGTGTCCCTTAGCGCCATGTCAAAGTATTACAGACCTCGCAAGGCAACGCCCGTCCGGGTCTAGACAGAGTCCTTTTGTTAGCAAGAGTATTGCGTCGAGGCACGCTAGTAGCACTCTATCAAAAGCATCGCGTTAGATAGCCATCCCGATCAGTCCTGGTGCGTCGTGACAGGATTATGGAAAACGCAAGACTGTGGATAACTGTCCGCCCCGGCTCTTCCGCTGTCTTTGGGCTTGGAGAGAAGCCACTGACAAGTGGGGCGCGCTTGAATCATGCCAGTTACCATGCTGTCGGGTGGCTAACTCCTGCCCAGATAAGCAGACCCCCGAGATTGAACGAGAGAAATGCGCGACGATCAACCAGGTGGAAGGTGGGCCCTGGATTGGCCAATTGGAACATATTCGTCATTCCATGGAATAGTGAGACCCGGCCCCCCTGATTCTCGTTGTCATGGGCTTGGAGCCGAGAATTCCACCAGACAAGCCAGCCCGAGCCTGGTGGTGATAGGGTTGAATCCTGAATGGAGTAAACGGCGCAACGTGGTTGGGCAGAAAGGGCCCCCGTCTCGGAGAATTCTCGAATTCCAAATTGGCCCTTTCTCTCTTTCTCCACAATGGAGCACCCTGGCAAAGACAGCATCAAATGCTTTGGAAGGCGATGATCGAAGTCGATCTTCTGCAGCGAACGTCATTGGGAAGTCGACTACAGAAGTGATGCAGACCTGCGAACGCACCGAAGAGCATAGGAAAAGGGACGCGACCACGGCGAGGGAACTGGGCGGGGAGCTCCTCGTGGCCAATTAACACGAGTGGAGAATGACAGCCTGCAGCCGTTAGAAGCTGAACTTGATCTGCGGGCGTTGGGACTTGCACTAAGTGTGTCACTTGGATGGCCAGCGTTCGTCTATACCCCCACGGGTCCAGTTCATCGGAAGGAAAAAAAAAACAATATTGGCATCCGGTGGAATGGGCCGACGTACCTTATGCTTCGTACATCCGTAGACTGCATCGAGCATACGAAGTATGGAGCGAGATAAGTGAGATTGCCAAGGAAGTTCGCGACGTGGGCTCCACATTTGATGGAGAAGAGAGAGGGAAACGACGAAAAAAAAGGCAATCTCCATTCGACCACCGACAACAACACGTGAGGCGTTCCAAGCTTCAAACTTGCACCAACTCTCTTTCTCACTATCACTTTCTCATGGACGTTGGCTGGAAGATCATCGACGAAAAAAGGATCCCGATTCCCCGATTTCCCAATTCGACTTCTTTTTGCGCGACTGAATCGCCTTGCCTCGGGCTTGCACTTGGGCCCTTAGCGCCCTTTCAATGCAAATCCCGTTCCTTCCCCCATCGCCTCCATCATCCCTAAACTCTGTTGAACCTTAGCCCTGGTCTCTCGAAACTAGAAATATGACAGCTCCACCTCGCTTTTCTCTCACAATCCGGTAGTGTTCCGGGGAACCATTCCCTTGAAAAAAACCTTCTTGATATCCACCGATCCAAACACAAAGAACAAGATGCGACCCTTGTCACTGGTCAGTCGGACCAGTGGCGATCGGGTCGCTCCGATTGATACTCTAGAGCCTATTGCCATTGTTGGCTTGGCTACTCGTTTCTCCAAGGATGCAGCCACCACCGAAGATCTATGGCAGATGCTGTTGGAAGCGAGATCAACTTGGTCTTCCATTCCCAAGGAACGATTCAATTCAGATGCATTTTATCACCCAGATCCGGAACATGGGGGAACGGTTAGTCTTTCCGGGCGGCTGATTAGCGTATCCGAGATGATATGCATAAAGCAAGTGGCTGATTGATGTATCACTTTTTTCTAGTTCCATGTCCAAGGAGGGCATTTCCTCTCGGAAGATCCGGCCGTCTTCGATGGTCCCTTCTTCAATATTTCCAAGAATGAACTCTTGACCTTAGATCCGCAACAACGATTGGTCCTGGAAAATGTCTACCATTCCTTGGAAAATGCTGGCATCCCCATGGAGAATGCCCTGGGCTCCAACACATCCGTCTTTGTCAGCGGGTTTAACCATGAATACCTTGGAATACTCAATTCAGACCCAGAAACCGCGGTCAAGTACAAACCAACCGGCGTAACGAATGCCACTCTTTCGAACAGAGTCAGCTGGTTCTTCAACTTCAAGGGATCTAGTATGACAATTGACACCGCCTGCTCCAGTAGTCTGGTGGCGTTGCATCTCGCCGTGCAAAGTCTACGTGCCAGAGAAACAAACATGGTAAGCATTCTTCTTATCGAATCGATTTATGGCCAATTGTTGATTACTTTTCAAGGCCGTTGTCAGCGGAGTCAGCATCTTGGAGAACCCCGTCGAGACAATTGGTATGGGCCACCACGGTCTACTCGGAGCTCAAGGGCGCTCTTTCAGTTTCGATGCTCGCGCTGAAGGTTACGCCCGTGGGGAGGGTGTTGGCACGGTAATCCTGAAGCCATTGCATGCTGCCATGCGAGATGGCGATACTATCCGTGCGATCATCCGGGAGACCGGGGTGAATCAAGATGGCCGTACCCCCGGAATCACCGTTCCCAGTGCCGATGCCCAAGAGAGACTTATTCGAGAAGTCTACTGGAGAGCCGGGCTAGATATGGAACAGACCAGGTTCGTCGAGGCTCACGGCACTGGTACGAGTACTGGGGACCCTATCGAGGCAGAAGCTTTGTCGAGGGCGTTCAAATGCCGTCGAGATGGGCCTCTTTATGTCGGCGCAGTCAAATCTTCCATTGGGCATTTGGAAGGAGGTTCAGGGGTAGCAAGCATCATCAAGTCTATTCTCGTTCTAGAGTCAGGGATTATTCCTGCCAATCATGGCCTCCAGGAGGTTAATCCCAAGATTCCTACCGCTGATTGGAATATTGAATTTCCCATTCAGAATACGCCGTGGCCGTCAAAGGGACTACGCAGGGTGTCTGTGAATTCATTCGGCATTGGCGGAACCAATGCTCACTGCGTCTTGGATGATGCCTACCATTATCTCCAAGAACGCAGGATCTCAGCCGCTCATCATACAACACCAACCGTCTCCCGTGCTGGAAAGATACTGTCAAGGAGACCGTCAAGTCACGGATCTGAGACCGACGACTCTTACTGTCACTCTGATTCTGCAGATGATAGCGACCATTCCGGTAGTGGCTTCGTGCTTGTAGACACTCCTACCAGTGAAGCATTCTGTAGCTCACCGGGTTTTGGACCTCCTGACTTCAATAGTCTGATTGAGATTCCTCATATATTTTTGCTTTCTGGATTTGACGAAGACGGTGTGAAACGCAATGCCTCTTCATATGCTAGATATCTGACCAGAAAATCGTCACGTCCACAATCTTGTGACCAACTTCTCGACGATCTATCACTCACTCTTTCACATCATCGATCTATTTTCCCATGGAAGGGTTTCGTCACGGCGTCAACAGTCAAACAGCTTGCGTGGACACTGGCAGAGTCAGGATCCTTGAGCGCCACAAGGACTGTCGCTGCACCGGAAATCAGCTTCGTGTTTACCGGGCAGGGCGCACAATACCAAGCGATGGGTCGGGCTTTGATGGCCTATCCGGTATTCCAGGAGTCTTTGGACGAGGCCTCTGAGTATATTCGTCGACTCGGAAGTCCCTGGATCTTGATGGGTAAGGCAGTCGCTTATTTCACGAGATATTGAATGTGTAGCTGACGAATATCGCAGACGAGCTCTTTGCCGACGAAAAGTCCACACGGATCAACCTTCCCGAAATCGCCCATCCAGTCTGCACCGCATTGCAGGTTGCATTGGTAGATCTCCTCGCGAGCTGGGGAATATTCCCAAAATACGTGACCGGCCATTCATCCGGAGAGATTGCAGCCGCCTACTGCGCGGGCAAGCTATCGCGCGAGGCCGCTTGGAAGGTCTCATACTTCCGTGGCTATGTCTCATCCAAGCAGTCATCAGCAAACGGAGCAATGATGGCTGTCGGCTTGAGTGGATCTCGCCTTGAATCATATCTCGATGTAGTTCGCAAGAATTTGAAAGGGGAGCTTATCATTGCCTGTCACAACAGTCCCAAGAACAACACAGTATCTGGTGACGATAAGATGGTTGATGCACTGAAAGAACTGTTGGATGCTGATGGGGTATTTGCCCGGAAACTCAATGTTCAAAATGCCTACCACTCTGCGCACATGGAGGAGATTGCCCCGGACTATCTGTATCTCATGGGCTCATTTAACTCTGGCAGCCGATTGGCTGCGCCCCATGTGGTGCATATGTTCTCTACTGTGACCGGTGAAGAGATGCAACAAGAGCACCTTCCTGGTCAATACTGGGTGAACAACATGGTTTCGCCTGTCAAATTTACCGCTGCACTAGGCAAAATGCAAGCGCGAGCAACGGCTGACGGCTCTGATGGCGGCACACTTCACATTCTTGAGGTTGGACCCCATTCAACACTTCATAGCGCCATTAAAGAGACACTCGGATTGAAGAAAGACCAGCAAAACATGAAATACCTCGGTCTACTCAAGCGGAATGATCATACATTGAACGTTCTACTCAACACCATCGGATCTCTGGCTGTCAATGGCTATCCTGTGGACTTGCACAAGATCAATCTCGCTTCTCGACCTCAGAAAAGAAGACAATCGCAGCTCCTGGTTGATCTTCCCCCATACAGCTTCAAACATACGGAGAAGATTCTCTACGAGAGCCGATTGAGCAGAAACCTGCGGAACCGGAAATTCCCTCGTCATGATCTGTTCGGTGCTCCGGTCATGGACTGGGACCCCAATCTGCCTAGGTGGAGGCATTTCGTTCGGTTGGATGAGAACCCCTGGTTGAGGGATCACATGGTAAGACTTTCGTTCGTTTCGTTCAATGCGTTTGCTAATATTATCCAGGTCACCGGTAACTACGTCTATCCTGGTGTTGGCTTCCTCGTTATGGCAATCGAGGCATCTCGACAATTGGCTGGTGAAGCGAAACTCGCCGGCTTCAAACTCCGCCATGTTTCTATTCAGAGAGCCTTGATCATCCCGGATACCAAACAAGGAATTGAAGTCTGTCTGTTGATGACATCTGCAGAGCCGTCATCTGAAGCCAAGTCTTGGCGTCGCTTTCACATCAGCTCATACAATGAGTCGAGCGACACGTGGACTGAACACTGCTCTGGTGACATCGCCGTGGAATTTGCAAAGATCGCAGATCCCATTGACAAGGGTCGCGAGGCAAAAGCAGAAGCCCAGACCCAGTTGGAAGAATTCAAATGCGCAGAGAATGATTGTACCCGATCTGTGAATTTCCCAATGATCTACAAGAACCTCCAAAGGGAGGGTCTCGGCTTCGGACCTCTCTTCCAGAACCTTGGCAATGTGCGTACCAGTGGTTCGAAGCTTGGAATGATGACAGGCATGGTATCAACTCCCGATATTGCCAAGTCAATGCCAAAGCAATACCTGCAGTCTCATTTGATCCATCCCGCCACAATGGACAGTATGATACACATGATGATCGCGGCAGTCATCGATTTCAATGGCCAGAGTTCTCTTGATACGATCAGACTTCCCACATTCATTCGTGATATGTGGGTTTCAGCCGACGTAAGCTCTTCGCCAAATCACAAGTTTACAGGACATGCATCTGTAGCTTTTTCGGGGGCTGGCAAGTTCCAGGGTCGCATTCAGGTATTCGATGCTGAAACTAAGGTGCACCGCATTGCGATGAATGATATTGAACTTACTCCTCTTGAATCGGGCTCTGAGGATACTTTCAAGCGCCAGCTGTGCACGCTAATTGACTGGACGCCGGATGTTGATTTTCTTAGTTCCGAGTCTGCCTGTGATCTGGTTCCCATTGAGCATGCCGATAGTAACCAGGAACGATTGTGGGTCCAGCGTCTTCAACTTGCAACCATGCTTCATGTCATGGATGCACTGGATGAGCTCAATGACCTCGATGTTACAACTCTCGATTTGCATCTACGCAGATTCTACGACTGGATGAGGCACGTGCGAGAGAAATTGGTGAATGATGCCATCATTCACCTGCCTTACTCCAAGTTCGGCGAAGTGGCTCACGACGAGTCACTCAAACAATCACTCTTTGGAGAGGTTGAACGACACAGTGCTGAAGGGGCCATTACAATCCGAATGGGCCGCAACATTGTCGGTGTTATGCGAAATCAGATTGACCCTCTCCATCTCATGTTCGGACAAGACAATTTTATGGAAGATGTGTACAAGGAGGGTCTTCAGTTGTACAACTTGCCCAAGTATCTCAAGAACCATCTCACACTCCTTCGCCACAAACATTCCGGATTGAATATCCTGGAAGTAGGAGGCGGTACTGGCAGTTTCACGGCGGAAATTCTCGCCGTACTTGCACCAGAATCAGACCCTGCCAAAGGCATTGCAAGCTATACATTCACCGATATCTCATCCGGCTTCTTTGATAAAGCCAAGAAGAGATTCCAATCGTGGAACAACATCATGAATTTCAAGACCATGGACATTGGAAGGAATCCCGTCGAGCAGGGCCTGCAGCCTGGTACCTACGATTTGATCTTCGCCGGGAACGTCATCCACGCCACTGCAGATTTGCACAATGCACTGGGTAATCTCAGATCTCTTCTTCGCCCTGGTGGTCAATTGATCATGCAAGAAGGAATTCGACAAGATTTCTTGTGGTATCCTCTTGTTTTTGGCCTGCTTCCCGGGTGGTGGCTTGGCAATGAGCCTATGCGACAATGGTGTCCGTACATTCCATCCTGTGAATGGAACAAACTTCTCGCTGAATCTGGGTTCTCGGGTGTCGATATCGAGTATCCAAGCTCCGCTGATGAAGACTTGACGTGGCAAAGTATCCTTGTCTCGACTGCCGTTGCTCCGCCCAATGTGACAGCGCGAGATATCTATATCCTGTCGTCGATGGCTCCGGCAACAATGGACGCAGTCGCGACGCTTCGAGATGCATTACAGCAAAGGAAAGACTCGCGTAATGTCACTGTGGTAGGACCGTCGGAGCTCAGCCTCGTCACCGGATCCGATTCACTTTGTATCTCCTTTTTCGATCTGGAAACTTCCTTCCTTTCGGACATCAAGAACGACGAGTTTGTTGCGTTAAGGTCGATGCTCGTGGAATGTCCAAACATCCTGTGGTTGACTCCAAATACTTCCTCTCAACCATTGACAGGTATGAGCACGGGTCTTCTGCGGACCGTACGATGGGAGCGCGACGCGGACGGCTCGAACATCGTGACGTTGGACATTGATGATCTTTCAGTCATTGGTGGGAAGAACCTGGCAACATGGATTGAAAAGATAGTCAACCATCAATTTTCGGCAACTCTGGCAGCTGATCGGCATGCTGAGTACCGGCTGCGAAACGGAACTATTGAAGTCGGTCGACTGCGCGAGTGGAAGGCACCAGACGAGTTCCTCGCTACGCAAGCGTCAACTGCTACACCAGAATTGAAGCGTCTTGGAGAGATCGATCGTCCCATCGAGTTGGACTTCTCAAAGCCTGCCGCACAGGGCCTATATTGGTCAACAGACACATCCTGCGAAAGCCCTATTCAGAATATGGAAATTGAGGTCGAGATTCGGGCAATGGGTCTCAGTTCGGATATCAACTGCCTCAATCCCTCGAAGGAGGCGTCTGGTATTGTGAAAAGCGTTGGGTCGGCAGTGGAAGACTTTGTCCCCGGTGATCATGTCGTCTTCCTCACTGGGAACAAAGATAAAAGCTACTTCCGGACTGTTGCGCGACTTGATCACAGATTGGCCGTCAAAATGCCCCCTGGGATGTCATTTGACGTTGCTGCAGGGCTCCCCTCTGTCTATGTCACTGCTCTCTACGGACTAGGTGATGTGGCGAGATTATCCGAGTCTGACAAGATCCTGATTCACGATGGAGCTGGAGCCCTCGGTCAGGCTGCCATTCAGTATGCCAAAATAATCGGTGCAACTATATTTACCACAGTCTCCACTGTGCAAGATCGAGAGTTCCTCACTGCTGAGTACGGAATACCTGAGGACCATGTATTCTCCCAGCACACCGACAGCTTTACTCTCGGTATCATGAGATGCACCAATGGCGATGGGGCTGATGTCGTTTTCAATGCCCTGGCCAGTGAGAGTCTGCAGGAATCCTTGGCTTGTGTTGCTCCTTTTGGTAGCTTCCTTCACGTCGATAGAAATGGCGGGAAGTTCAACAAAGCCATGCTTGATCTTTCCTCAGTGCGGCCTAACGTGACCATTGCCAACATTGATATCTCTTCCTTGGCCGAGTATAGACCGAATGTGGTCAAGCATCTGCTGACCAAAGCCCTGGGTTTGTACAAGGAAGGTGAGATTGGTCAGATTCAGCCTTTGACAGTCATGGATTTCACCAAGATTGGCGAACGCGATCAGGCATTGGACAAGAGCAAGGGAAGAATCGGGAAGGTCGTATTCAAATACGATCCTTCTGATCTGGTCGGTGTCATGCCTGATGCTCTACCTCCATATCAGTTTGACGGTCAGGTTTCTTACGTTCTTGCTGGCGGACTAGGTGGCTTGGGCCGTAGCCTGGCTCGATGGATGGTCGCCCGTGGCGCAAAGAGCCTTGTCTTCCTGTCCCGTTCTGGCCATGTATCTCCCTCGGGGGCAGAAATGCTGGAAGATATAAAAGGTTCTGGATGTACGGCCCGCATTTTCATATGCGACGTCGCCAATACCGATCACATCAAGTCTGTCGTCGAGGAATGTGCAACCTCCCTCCCTCCCATCAAAGGCTGTATCCAGTGCTCCATGACTTTACGGGTAAGTCTTCATTTTGTCATCCCAATTATCTCGTTACTAATCTATTTCACAGGATGGCGCTTTCGCAAGTATGTCCATGAGTGATTGGCAGACTCCGGTCGCGCCCAAGGTTCAAGGGTCCTGGAACCTACATGAACTTCTACCAATCGACATCGACTTTTTCGTCATGCTTTCTTCAGTGGCAGGCATCTTTGGTAATCGTGGTCAAGCCAACTATGCAGCAGGAAATACTTTCCAAGATGCCCTCGCTGCGTACCGTACTGCGCGGGGAATGAACACATACAGCCTCGACCTGGGCAGTGTGTCGAGCGTCGGATGGGTGGCTGAGAACAAAGAGTCAATGCGTACTCAAACAGCCACATTATTCGAATTGCTGCGCGAAGATGAAGTCCACGGCGCTATTGAGTTCTTGATTGACCCAAGATATCAGAAGCTCAATCCTCAATCTACACCCCAGTCACAGCTGGTGCTGGGTCTTCCAACGGCGGAATTGTGTCAACAAAATGGCATCCCGCTGCCAACATACCTCAACTACTCTCTCTTCACTCACCAACGCAACACCGTCACCACAAAAGCTGCAGAGTCCACCGACCAAAAGACAATCAGCACTGCCAGTCTCTTGAGCTCGGTGTCTTCAATTGACGACGCAGTCTCAGTGGTTTCGGACGGTATTGTCGAGAGACTCTCCTCCCTCCTTTCTATCCCCACATCAGAACTCGACGTTCAAAGATTCGGATTCGGAGCCATCGACTCACTCGTCTCAATGGAGTTCCGCTCATGGATTGTCAAAGAGCTGAAAGCTGATGTCTCTCTTTTGGATATTATGGGTGCCCAGAATATTCGCTCTCTCAGTGAGAAGATTGCTCGAACGACTCGTCTTTTGGGAGATCCTCCAACTTAGCATTTACGAATTATGATTTGCATTGGGTTTGCTGGTGCCTTTCATGTTGTGTTTTTCTGTTTTCTGTTTTCCTCGATGATGCCCATTGTTATGTTAATGCCCCTGATGAGATACGACAACATTGTTGAATGCATTGTTTTGTTTTTTTCCTTCTAACTCATGAAACGACTGGAATTTTGAGCGATCGAGATTTGTTCATTTTGGCTCCCATTTTTCTCTGATCTTCATTTCGGTTGGCGGAAGAATGTTCTGAATATATTTTTCCATCAATTATTCCATTCTCGGTTGACTTATTGCAAGTTCCTAACTTCAAAGTTTGTAAGCTTTCACGTCCCGTACAAACTATTCAGTCATTTTCGCATTTCTTGTAGGATCTATAGCTATCGGGGCCTTCTTTAGCTCCATTGGAAGCTCACAACTGTGTGGAAATATTATGGCGAAGTCGGGCGTTGATTGGCTGCCACTTTGGTGAGCATATCTCCATATCGTGACTCGTAGGAAGGTAGAAGCCTTTATGAAATGCTCCAAATTGTTCTTAGTACAATCAATAGAGACAATGCTCAATATTTAACTTATAATGTTTCCCCTCCATCATTCCCCCATCTTCCTAGCCAAAAGTCAACCCAAACGATCCGTATATCACGTGACCTCTAGATACAGAATCACGGCAGAATCCAGCCTCACCGCCCGATAACGGAATTTTTCTTATCGCCGTCTTTTTCCTCGCAACCGCCAGCTCTCGATCTCGAACTCAATTATCGCCGTTGACTTCCAGTCGCTGTTACGGGGCTACAGTCAAAGAGTTGTCAAAATGGTCCGACACCTCAAGCATCACGAGAAGAAGTAAGTCCCAATACCGCAAACAGATCGGACACACCATCCGCGCCCTTTCAAGATCTTCCGCCAGCAACCTACGCTCCATCATAAACCCAGTCCTGACAATTTTACTACAGACTTCTCAAGAAGACCGACCTTTACACCTACAAGTCAGACCAGGGCCATCGTGCCGGTGAAATTCAGCGCCGATACGGAATCACGGATGTCGAATATAATACGTACAATGGACTCTGCGGATCGATGCGCAAATTAGCACACAAACTCTCACAGATGGACCCCGAGGATCCCACGCGGAGGAAGCTGGAGTCGGCTATGCTAGAGAAGCTGCACAGCATGGGTATCATTGAGAAGTCGCGGGAGCAGGGCGGAGCGTTGTCCCAGGTGGAGCATCTCACAGTTTCGGCTATCTGCCGGAGGCGCCTACCGATCGTGATGGTGAGAGAGCAGAAGATGATTCAATATGTGGATAAAGTAAGTTTCTTTCTCTCCACTGCTCCGTGTCGCCGATTATCGCCGTTTTACAATCCCCATCCAATTCAAATGGCCCTACGAGTACATTGGCTGACTGAATGAACAGGCAATTGAGGCCGTTGCGCAAGGCCATGTCCGCGTTGGAACGCAAGTTGTCCAGGATCCCGCCACTTTGGTCACACGGAACATGGTGGACTTTGTCCAATGGGTTCCCAACAGCAATTTCAAGCTGGCTGGCCAGAATTACCATGGCAAGAGGGATGATTTCGACAGCTTGCAGTTGTAAATGAGGCAGTGGATTGATTGCCTTCAAAAATCATTCTAAGGTTTTGTCTTGATATACCCGGTACTTTATGCATATTCTTCAATTTTACTGGTCTGGCGTGCCAATCAATTCTTCTTGATTTTCGGCCTTCACCCTCCAAATGAAGCTCCACAAACTAGACCTTTACCTTCCACTGCCACCTCCAGTCCAGCAGTGCCCACCGTGATAGCGCAACGCTAATCAACCCAACAAGTAAAACAGCCGAATAAAATCCAACGAGCGTCTGTGGCGTGGTAGACTGCAACAGCTCACCACCAATCGGGACCGTCAAAAGGACACCGAAGGCGGCGACACTGTAAATCGTGCCGTAGAAACGACCATACTCCTCCGTGCGACACAACTGGCCCGCACACACAGGTGCAAGAGATACCCAACCCCCCGATCCAAACCCAAAGATCGCGACTACCGCGTACAGCGTAGCTTCATCGCGGGATCCAAATGGAATCCACACGGCCGACATAACAAGAAGAGTGATCAAAGCCAGGAAAAGCAGGATATTGAAACGTCCCACTTGATCCGCCGCGAAACCAGGTAATACTCTGCCCATCAAACTCATGCTATTCAGCACGGTAAGCGAGTAAAACTGTACATTGAGGTCGAGGCCCGTATAGCGAACGTAGGTGGGCAGTAGTGCCGCACAACCGAAGATAATGAATTCGAAGGCGAAAACAGCCACGGCGAGAAAGCAAAGTCGTGGTTCTCGGAACGCTCGGAAATCAATCATGGCTTTGCCCACGTTCCCTGCTGGCAATCGCCCTTTGACCAGGAATATTCCTGCGGAATAACAGCCTAACGCGATAAGAGCGATGATCCGTATACCCCATGTCCAGCCGTATTTCTGGAACAAGGTTCGCAGCAGGAGAGGGATTATTGCACCGCCTGCCGAGGATCCACTCATACAGATCCCAGAAGCGAGGGCACGACGCCGATAGAACCAGTGACTGAGAACAGCGATGCTAACGGTTGTGATAACCGCCGAAGAGATGCCACCCAAGACACTCAGGCATAGCATGAAGTGCCAGTACTCGGTACATTCTGCGAGAAGCAGGTAGGACGTCACACTTGCAAGAGTGCCGCATATTAAGAGCATGCGAGGTCCATAGCGGTCGAATAGAGGTCCTACTTGAACTCCGAGGAAGAGAGTTAAAAAGACTAGTACGGCAGTGATCCAGCCAACATCTCGAACGCTGTATGCAGCTAACTGATGGGTACTGATATAGTCCTGGACTGATCCAACTGTAAGGGCGTTAGATGTATTCGCTTCTTTTATAGAGGGATATGCTAACCAGCTGTTTGAAAGCCGAATGAAGGGAACATCAGTAGAGCAGAGCCTACCAGACAAGTCCAGGCTTCGCGCCCGCCTTCTGGAAATGCCAGACTGACGCCGACATCTGTGTTTTCGGGGACGGCGGTGTCGAGCTCAGTCAGCTCATAAGCTGACGGTCTTGCTGAACGGCGCATTTTTGAATTTTGTACAAGCTGATATTTCACCAGTGGAAAAGTGTGTTCTAAGATGTAAGTTCTGAGAAGTTAATCTTGCCCGCGGGCCGGGTGGAGCCTGTCATCCGCAGGGCGTGGGGAGATTAAGGCAAAGTGCTTGGCAAAGTGGTGATTAAGTCATTGAATTAGGATTTATGGACATTGAAGTCTACATGATAAATAATTTTTTGACAAGAGAAATAAGGTATATGTACAACTATCCCCGGTCCCCTCATTTCGCTTCCTAGTTATATCCAGCATCGTTGATGATATCCTCCGCCGCCTTCTCAGCCACCATATAGGTCGAGACGGCCGTAAAAGTGCCAGGAATGCGAGGGTAAACCGAAGCATCAACAACACGAAGACCGCTTACGCCGCGAACCCGGAACTTCGAATCCAGAACAGCCATCGGATCGTCATCCGCGCCGATAGGGCAAGTACACGAGGCATGGTGGCCCCAGGCAGTATCCATGATGTAGTTGTGAATGTCCTCAGCAGAGGTGACATCCTTACCAGGAAGCACTTCCGTTACATCCACAAGCTGACGATCGAATGCGTCACGGGCGAGACTAATAGCCTCGGTGATGGCCTGTAGATCGGCCTTGTAGTCGCCGCTGCCGGTATCGAAGTAGTTGAAGACAATATCCGGCATATCGAGGGGATCTGCAGAGCGCAGAGTTACAGATCCCGCAGTGTTGCGAGGGTGCGCCTTTAGAATAGCCCAGGAGAACCAGTCATGGCGTTCTGTGATGTTGATACTGTAATTCGGGAAATAGCCACGGAAATTGATCGGTCCACCGAAGACGAATGCATCGTAGCTGTCGTCTGCGGTCACTGAACTCTTATAGAACATAGTGCTAGCGAAACCGGCCGAAGAATAGATACCGCGGTTACCGAGAATTGGGTTATTCCAGCGGGTCAGGCAGGGATCATCCGCTGCGTTGAAGGTACAACCGTCTAGTGCTGAGAAGTTCTTGGGGACGTGGCCCTGGACGGCGGTCTCATAGTGATCTTGCAGGTTGGTGCCAACGCCGGGCAAGTCCTTTACGATGTTTATACCGTACTTGCGAAGCTCATCGGCAGGGCCAATACCACTCAGCTTTAGCAGCTGCGGAGAGTTGTAGACTCCACCGGCAACGATGACTTCGCGTGAGGCGGTGGCACTGCCTGGAACACCCTTGGCAGCAGTAGCAGAGCGAGGACTAGCACGGTAGAGATATTTACCGTCGAGGAACTCGACACCAGTGGCGCGAGGAGTGCCAGTCGAGGTGTCGTTGTCAAAGGTCACCTTGGTGACGTGACAGTTGGTGCGAATGTCTAGTGGATATTTCTTGGAGCCATCGAGATTCGTGGCATCTCGCACTGCCACGAGGAAGTCACGAGGACCATTGCGCTTGCCTCCATCAGTGGCAACGGGAACTTGGTAGTATCCTGGGTTGGTGTCGCGCGACTTTGAATCCCTGTTTGCATCAGCAGCCAACAGTGTCGCGATATTGAAAATGGCGTTGGTATGATTGCCCAATGCAAAAGCACCACCTAGCAACATGCTCAATAGCTGAGGGTCTTCCAGCACAATACTGATAGGCGCCTCTTCATCGCTCAACCAGCCATCGTAGCCATGGCCAGGCGCTCCAGAGAGGAGATAGTTGTTATTCTCCATGCGCTCAAAATACTTGCGCATGTTACCTGGGGACCAGGACCCGTCACCGGTCAGGGTCGCAATATAATCGAAATCTGATTCGTGTGGGTAAACAGTAATGAGAGCATTGTGGGCAGTGCAGCCACCAAGAGTGCCAGTGCGAGGATACAAAGTGCCCTTCATGGTTGAGCCCTCGGGAGGGCTGAGGCCAGTGTATTCCTCGCCTTCGGGGGTCACATAGGTCGTTTTATAGTCGCGAGCTTGACGTTCATCATCTGCGTAATGGCGGACGAAGAAATTCCAGGCAATCGCGCCATCCTCTGAGGATTTGGCCGAATATGCCGGAACAGTATAGTTGGTATTCAGTCCCTGGTCGTCTCCGGCCTCGATCAACAGGGTTTTATGACCAGCCAAAGCGAGTCGAGCAGCGAGCGGGCCTCCACCAGCTCCTGACCCAACGACGACATATTCATAACCTGTAAGCTCGACGGCCGAAGCGAGGCTTGCTGAGAGGGCAGCCAAGCTGAAGAGCCGCGGAAACAACATTGCAATAAGAAAAATAAGGGAGTGTAATCTCCAAAAGAGCGTATGAGAAAGAAAAAACCCCCTAATGAAAGGTCATGGTCCACCACGCAGGATTATAAGCTAACATCGACAAACTATGGAGATCGCTACGAAGATAGTGCGTGGGGATTGGACGAGACAAGTGCATCGGCCCGGCCAGGGTAACATAGCTGACCAGGACAGGGGTGAAGGATCGCCAAGCCAATTGACAATGTGAGTTAGCTTGGCAATTGACAGCTAACTTGTTCAGTCTTGGAAAATACTCCGCACTGGAGTTCCATTCGACATTCAGGGACTTTGGGGAGACTGCCAAGGGGAAGACCAACCGGAAGTATTGTGGTCGCTTGTTAGCGGCGACGATCGAACCCGGTCGAGCAGGAAACAAGCGACTAGCGATTCTTAGCGTGTCATCACGAGGCACATGCATGGTTTGGATTCTAACCGATTGGCAGCTCCAATTGAGAGGAAATTATTGTAGGAATGTAGAGATTTCTTCAGCAATACTGTAGTTCGGGAATTCTTATTACAAAACAGTTTGAATATCCCCGCGCGAGACTATGAGGAGCTAAAAGGAGATCTAACAAGCCATGCGCTCTCTATACTATCTGCACGCGCGATAGTTATAGGATATCGATCTTCCTAATCGTCACCATATAACCATGGTGTCCACAAACCTAATTTAACGTTGACAGGACCTGTCGCCATAACTTGAAGCTTATTTCTCCTGATGTAGCTCGCTATTTCCTATCCTAGGTTAGATTACCGTCTTTCTAACTTATATCTAAACAAAATGTGATCGACATATCCAGTCGGCGCAATTCTTCCTCGATACAGTACGGCCGTACGGACCATTGAATACCCTGACCATTCCCTAATCAGACAACAAAAGCAGGATAATACAATTCTCAAGTAGTGAGCTAACCAGCCATAGTTGACGAAATGAATCTATGAGATGTATAGGATGTGTCAGGATGCTCAAGCACAACTCAAGAAGAAACCGAGCAAGTCTAAAGGAACAAATGAGCCAATGAACAATGCAATATACAGGACACGGGTATGCCTCTCATAATCCACCATCTCACAACTCATCCTTCTCATACTCCTCCGCCGGCGGAGGAATCGGCCTTCCACTATCCGTCGCCAAATCAACACCAATCTTCTTGCGCCACTTCTGCCACAGAGCGAAGAACTCCTTCTCCATGACACTCTCCATCTCATCCGGCAACACAACGGTGTACTCAACGTACAAATTGCCAGGTGAGTCGTCCTCATCGTGCTGGTCATGTAGATGTGCCTCGGAGTAATGCGGCATTCCCTCGCCCTTGACCGTCTCCACGGCTAGAGGCTGGATAACTTCACCACGCTTGCGTCCAAGCCGAACAACGTGTCCATCCAAATGCGTGACATTGCGCGACCACTCGCCCATCCAAGCCTCCCGCAAAGAAAGCGTCTCCTTCCAGAAAAGATCCTTGCCCTTACGACGGAAGAACGTCCCATCAGTACGCTCCTCCTCCGTCGTCCCAAGCTCCGGCTCCTTCTCATCGAGAATAACGATCAAATCACCCGCAACCCAATCGGGACTCTCGTCAGCCTCGTTCTCGAAAACAAGCCTCGTCCCTTTATCCATTCCCCGTTCGATTTCGGCACTCGTCTCAACGGCTTTTTTCACGACCCGTTGGCCGTGACACACAGGGCAGGGATTCTTGATCTTCTTCCCCTGTCCACCGCACTGGTCACAAGCCATCTGTACTTGCTGGAACATTCCCGGTGCCAGCATATGCTTTTTGATAACCATGCCACGACCACCACATTGATCACAGTGCACAACCTGACGATCCTTCGACCCAGTTCCCTCGCAATCATCACAGATCTGCTGCTTCTCCACCAGGAAATTGATCTCCCGTCCCGTGTAGAAGTCACGCAGAGGGAGCGATGCCTTTACTTCCATATCCGGTCCGCGTCGGTGCCCAGGTGCATGTCCGGCGTGACCACCGCCGCCGAAGAACCGCGAGAAGAGATCGAAGGGGTCATTAGAGTGGCCACCGGCAGAGCCACCCTTGCGGTGCTGCTCAACGCCATCGTGGCCGTATTGATCGTAGATCTTGCGAAGGGAGGAGGTGGAGAGGACATCGTAGGCATCGGCGATTTCACCGAACTTCTCGCGCGCAGAGTCGTCGCCACTATTTCATGCGGAAGTTAGCAATTGCGATCTCGCCGCTCTGCGCACAAGCAAACCAAACCACAATACACACTCCAAGAAGCGGGAACAATACTCACGGGTTCTTATCCGGATGATACTTCTTGCTAAGCGTACGATACGCACGCTTAATATCCTTCTCAGAAGCCGACTTATCCAACCCAAGAACCTTGTAATAATCCTCCGCAGCCAACACAAGTACCGAGAAAAGCACCACCGCCAGCGCAATCAACAAACGCTGCATATACATTGTGAAAGGCTGTATTCAAGCACCAAGCTGCACGGGCAGCTCATGCACGAAGAAAACGTTTCTGCGTATTTGCGTGTGTGTTTCCTCGCAATAGGTGTGGAGGCGCAAATCGTAGCGACTCAATACTGGATTGCTTGTCGGTCCCGCTCCGGCAGTTGGATGTATGGAGCTTGGATCGGATCGTGTGTGCGCGGGAGCTTGGCGGTGCGCTGGGGGTTGAAGTGATTTGGTTAGGGTGTTTAGGAGGTAGTCATGAGGGTTGGCTGGGCCTCGTGGGTGTCCCGGGGAGATCTTGGGAGGGTAATTGGGGGGAGGGTCGGGGTGTTTTATTAGTTTGTGCTGGCGCGTCGAACGGGCCAGGTAGGCCTTATCGCGATGGGGGAATAATGTTGCCCCGAGGGGTGTCACGTGGTATGTATACATCTGGGCGGGGATGAAGACTCCAGGTTGGAGACTAAATATCAGATGCCCATGGTGGGAAAATGCAAGCATTTAGAGTAAAGATTATAGTCGGAAAAGAGATATTAACTTCGGTTATTTGAAAATAATGTGATCCGTATTGCGCCGCCAAGGTCCTCAAGCATAAACATAAATTGGCATGAACATAGTAGAATAAAAATCCATCATTAATCGTAACACTGTCTGGCTAAACATAACCAGCGAGACCATCAGTTCATAAACTAAGCCCCTGCAACATTAAAAATCTCATTACGCCATGTGTATCCCACACCGTGCGTTTCATCCCCATCGTCAATCGCCTCCTGGGCAGCAGTAGCCTGCTCATGCCAAGTCTTGACAATACTCCCAGGCGCATAAACACCCTTGAAAACACCACTCTTCGGCGGCTCCACAGCAACCCGAGCCTCCACATCCGAATCAGCAGGCCGCAGCCGTGCAAGAACAGCACGCACAAACGTCGCCAAATCCTGCGGGTTCGCAATACGAGCCGCACGAAGTCGTTCTCTAGCAAAGACCAGCTCGCGATTCAGCGCAAAGGCAGCTGAAACAATCTCCTCGGCGATTTTCTTCTCGAGGACACGCCGGACAAGGTGTTTTAGGAAGGGCTTTGTCAGCCATAGGAGGAACTTCCATTTGCTTTGGGAGACTTTGTAGTCGAGCTTGTGGATGCGGACACGGACACCGTGTAGAGAGAAGATTTGATCGAGGCGGCCGCGGCCTACTTCAACGTCGAGGGAGATATCGATGCCTCGGCGGTCGAGGTAGAAGCTGGCTATTCCTTCGTCTTTGAAGTGGAAGAATAGGCCGGCGTGTGTGCGTAGCCAGTACCCGAAGTCTTGGGCGCTGAGGTTTAAGCCTTGGATGTTTAATGTGAAGGCCGTCTTGATAGTAGTGTCTGTACGCTTGGCATGCTTTTTCACAATGTCAATCTCATTGCGTGTGAGCAGGTTGATGCGGTATGGTAGGAATGATGAGAAATTGACTGTCCGGCCGGGTTCAAGGATAAGATTCTCCAGCAGCAGGTCCATCTCCGGCGCGGACACTTCCAGTCGGGGGATGGGAATGTACTGGATCATGCGCAGGACCATAGGAAGGAAGAGATTCGCAATGTCAACGGGGATATCAGCCTTGTTATCTTTGTAGGCATTGTATGCATCGTGGTGTAGCTTTTTAGTCGCATTGACCAGTTTAGAAACCTCGTTGTCTGCAGGAACACTCCGCAGGGTCCGCTTCGCTTGAACCAAGAGCTCATCCATATCCTTGCGAATCCCAGTTTCAGAGCCCACCTTCTCCGACTGCTGCTGCAACTCGTCAAGCTTCTCAGATGCCGAGTCAAAGAATGCCGGGTCGGTAAGCATGTCTTTTAGCGAGCCAGTGACGTCCCCCATCAAGCGCTCAAACTCGGGATCTTTCTCAGCATGGCGCAAGACATCATGGAACTTCTCCTTGAGTCTATCCCACTCCTTAGCGTCCCCAAACAGACGTAGCAACTTCCAGAAGTGATCAACCGCTTTTTTGAAGTCCTCGTTCGCCTCGATATCTTCCTGCGCCGCTGCGGCTGTATTTTCCGCAGCAGTGGCGTATATCGCCGCATAGCGCTGGATCAACTGCGTGATAGTCGAAACAGAATCTGTGTAGTCGGTTCGTTCGCGGAGCTTCGAGACAGCTTGCTTCAATCGGTACAACAGTGTATCCCGTTCTTGACCTGATAGATGCTCTTTTGCACTTTCTATAGCTGCTTGCTCTGTCCGTGCAACCCCCTTACCCGTGATATCAACCACATTCGCGACTTCTTCCTTCAATTCCTCGCGGGATAACTCCTGTCCCTCGTCCGCGCCAGCTCCTTGCAAAGCTCTTGTCTCTTCCTCCGACGGCTGCACCTGCTCAGCGACCTGTTTCGAGGTCTCGGACAGTGAAGCCGCGGTATCGGCAAAGATCTGGCGACCAACAGTAGCAACGTCGTCGACGAAGAGACGAAAATCCGCATTCGTCAGAAGTAAACTGCCAACCGTGCGAAAGCTATCATATGCTAGAATCAAGGACTCCCGAATTAGTAACTAGTCAATCCACAGAGACACCCGCCAGAGCATAGTTCCATCCCAGAGGGGACCGCTAGCACAGCTGGCTATCGCCCACGAGGAACCAAAGCCCCAACCAACTAGTCCAAAAACCGCATAATCCAAAAAAACGTCAGATCGACCCACCAGCTTTAGCATCCGCCCGCGCCTTCACGCGCCTAGCACTCCCCCCGACCCGCCCAGCATCAACCTCCACCCTGGACCGAGCCAACCTCCACAAAAACTCCTGCAACAAATCGCCCTCGTTCTTCTCCCGCAGAAACTCAATCAACACTGTGATCCACAGCCTTGCATCGCGCACCAGCAACCTCCCCACGGACCCGATATCCTGATTACGCAGATTCAACAGGTCCGACGCTAACAGGGTCCGCAGGTTGGCGATGGTTTGCTCGGTGGAGGGCATGTAGCCTTCGGCCATGGCGCGGAGCATCTGGTAGGTGTGTAGCTTTTGGTGGAGACGGCGCTGGCGGGCGGTTTCGTCGTCGTATCGCGGGAGGAGGGGGTCTGTTTCGGAGGGCATGGTGGGAATGTGTGAGGCCGATGGGCCTGTTGGAGGTTGTGGGAGGAATTATCTAGATGTAATGGATCGGGTGAATGAAGTTATTGACACCGTGTTGGCGTTGGTGTTGGGTATGTTTGGTGCTTGGAGCTCTCGAGGTGCAGCTTGCAGGAATGGAGGGGGCCTCCAGCCTGTTTTGGGTCGGGGCGATGACGACACTCTGCCATGGCTGCTTGTGTTACGGATGGGATGGTGGTGTTTGCTTTTGTGCTTGCTACGAGGTTGTGAGAGTGATATGGAGCTTACGGAGAATCAATTGGATTTGTGTTTTAGTGTAAATCATTTTGGATATTGTTCTCGAGAGTTGGGATCAGTTGATCAAGGAGCTTGGGACGATCGGCGTGGGGAAAGCTCAATGGCTAAATTAAGTATGGAGACCATCGTGGTTCCCCGGCCAGTTACATAGTAGTCATTTTAGCAGTTCAAGTCACTAACGTTCTCCGTAGTTTCGGTCGGGACTCTAGACTCTAGACTCTGGCCGACCGTAGACATTGTGGTTGAAGCTTCTTATTCCTGTAGAGGTTCGTTTAAATTCGGGATATTATGGTATGTAATGATGATGATCATGATTGAGACTATTTATTTTTGACTTTCGAGAATCAATTACGCAGGTGTGAGAGTATTAGCTATGCGTTATTTATTTTAGCTGTACGGAGACATGCAGTACATTCTACACCTCCTTGGACTCGAAATAACGCAGTGGAACGTGTCATTGTGAAGGGGAGAATGAAACAACGCAGAGAGACATGATCGAAATTCAATAGATTGACAATTATTTACTCTATAATAATTATCCATCTAGAGCTGAGCTCTAATTGAGTTACGCGAGTCGTGACACTGTCTCTCCAGGAGTCAAGAATAGTAACCTTAGTCATGTATTTCCTCAGGGCTATACTAATCGGGAAGAAAAAGCAAACCATTTTCGTATGACACAAAGTCCACGCGTAATTCTCAGGTTAAGCCTTTTGAAACCGTTGGGAAAACTGCAAGTCCCATGCAGAAACACAGGCGACCAGCCAGAAAAAAGGCCGCGATTTTCATGACAGTTGACGACTTCTGATTCTCCCAATGCACCGAAGCAACAAGGCGATCGGGTCCAATCAGAAGCCGCTGAACAATCCCTGGCTTCCGATTCTTGGGCTTCCGATCGGGGCCCAAGTGGGGACATCCCGGTGTGCCTTTTTTGATTTCCGTTCCAGACTCAGGTCCATCGGCGCCTGATCACCAAGCAAGAGGTTCTCGATTTGGGATTCCTTTCGAGCATGCCTAACAATAAATCACGCAGGATCTGCGTGGTTGGGGTATGCTGGGTTTAAGCCGGTTCGGGGCCGGTAGCCCTATATGTGCATCCCGCATTGTAGAGTTGTATAGTAGTACGGAGTATGGGCTACATGGATAGACCAGACCATAGTTGATCAGTTGTAGTACGCAGATTCCATAGTCATTATATGGACATCTTCCGTAGTACTCTCTCCCTCTTTATCTGGGTCCTGGTATTCGGCGGAAGAGGCCATTCAGAGGTCGGCACGGCACGGTGGGCGGCAATTGTCAACGCGGTCATCTCAATTGCTCTTGAAGAACGTCGTAATTCATCACCAAGGCCCTAGGACGACTGTGCTCCGTGATCCTCTTCGTCTCCGTCCGACGACGGTTTTCCTATCCGTACGGGGAAAAGAAATCGGCCTGATCATTAATATTTCTAGCGGTCGGCGGGCTCCGCACGCCGCTTTCCCGCCAGGGTCAGCTCCGTCGTGGCTGGCCATTTGGGATCTTCTCCGTGTGTTCTGGAAGAAGATGGGGGGGGGGAGTTTAGCCTGTAGTGAATTAGATCATCCGTCTTGTGTACAGTGATAGACATCGTAGATTGGTTGCTCGTCCTCCTTTTCTTGAACGGGGAGTTTGAATAGCAAAATGGACCTCCATACTATAGAAACGACCCAGACGAGTCTAGTCCGTTTGGCAGCGCCGAACTCCACTCTCCACTTCGGCACCGACTGCGGCTCTGGAAGCTCCCTGGTGTGGATTCTCGTTGCTGGGCAGGCTCCATCGCGGGTCCTCCCCGGCCAATTGAGCCAATAGGAATACACGATATTCTCAAGAAAATCTGCAAAAATTGAATTGAACAATTATCGCCACGCGAGCTTCAAACGCAGTTCGAGGTGTACCGTGTAGAAATCATGTCGGGCATGATGAGGAGGTGAGGAGGTGAGGAGAAAGAAAGAATGTGTCAGTCTGTGTTCAACTTGGGGGATCTCGTGACTGGCAGGATAGACTGTACAGTGTATCGCGGCTCCCAGCTGATCCTCTATTTCCCTCATCCCGCATCATTCTTACTCAATTTGCCAGAAACTATTCTACAGTCTACACTGTAGAGCAACTCCGAAAATAATCTCCGTCGGACTTTGTTGGGATTCTCCAATTCCTCTTTTCCCATCATCATTATTCGGCGCCCCCCGTCCAACCCTACGAGTTCCCAATCCCACGACAGGCTCCACCCCGGCGATTCCAAACTCCCCTTGCTGGATCTGCTTCCCGAAAAAGAAAAGAAGCTTTATGAGGGATCCAGATTTCACCGACCAATTCACGCATACTGGTTCGCTGTCATCACCGAAGACTCGACTCCACACCCGACTCCTCCCCCCCATCCCGGTCTCCATCTTCCCCTTCGTGGACCCTCCTCATCCCCATCCCCCAAATCCACCCCCCCTTCCATGCATTACTTGCCCGGCTCTTCCCGACTTGCGACAACATGCCGTCGCTTTTACTCGCCTTGACCCGTCCCTTCCTAAACGGCCTTGCCCGGATAATTCTCTGACCCTGTTACAACTAGTCGGAAATGGCTGGGATGATGTGCGCGAGAACCACCCAGGGGATGGGCCCGAGTCGTCTGTTAGCTCGTGTCTCCATACATAAAACTCGCCCCCCTCATCCTTTCACAGCTCATACTACTTCTGCTTTCTATCATTCTTCCTCCGCTGTCACCGTGACGAGTAAATCGCTTCGCTCTTCACCAGACACTATCGACACAATGGCTCGATTTTCTCCTCAACAAAGTCGCCCCGTCCACGCGACCCCCTTCATGAACCACTCTACTACTCCTTCGTAAGTGGTTGCTGCTCTCCAGAAGATAACAGACCCTCGACGACCTTGCAGATTTTCTGTCTGCCTTTTTCTATTTTCTTGCTTGATCTTTTGACGATGGGAGTCAATTGCGCTTCTCCGCATGCGGGGTCATCGTCGACGAGAGAGAGAAAAAAAGAAAGGCATTCAGAAAATCTTTCAACCAAAAAAAAAAAAGAAGTCATGAACGAGGAAATACGATGAACATTGGCTAACAATCCCATCTGCTCCTACAGAGATGCCAACTATGACACTGCCAACCCTTCATATATTCGCAAGTACCTCCGCACATACGGCCTGACTCCTCCCCGTTCCGAGAGCTACGAGACCCAAAAGACCCGATGCCTGGCTCAGCTGGGTCTGAAGAACACCGATATCGACAAGTTCCAATATCTCAGCACTCTGCGCAAGAACAATGTCCACCTCTTCTACCGTCTGGTCACCGACCACTTGAGGGTATGTCGATAAATCTACAATTCACATGTGATTGGCGAAGGGAGATCGGCCAACGAGAATACAAGATCAATGGCTAACGATAATAATCCCTGTAGGAGCTTACTCCCCTGATCTATACCCCGGTCGTGGGCGAGGCCTGCCAACGGTGGTCTGAGATCTACCAGCAGCCCGAGGGTGAGTCATGAACTTTGTTTTCTCTTTTCCCCCAAATTGTGGCTTCGGCCGATGGCTATGCCTCGCTGAGCTACATACCTCGTGGGATGGAGCTAGGCCCACTACCGATGGGCTTAGTTTTCGCCAAGTGACGAAATAGAACCGGGGCTAATCTACTATTTCTGTTTCAGGCATGTACCTCAGCTGGGAAGATCGGGGAAATCTGGCGGCCGTGATCGCCAATTGGCCCCAGCCTAATGTGGAGATCACATGTATCACCGATGGCTCCCGCATCCTCGGACTGGGAGATCTGGGCATCAACGGCATGGGTATCCCCATTGGCAAGCTGGCTCTCTACACGGCCTGTGCGGGTATTCGTCCCGAGGCCACCCTGCCTCTGACTCTGGACTTGGGTACCAGCAACAAGACTCTCCGGGAAGACCCGCTGTACATGGGTAGCCGTCGTGACAAGATCTCCGCCGATGAGGAGCGGGAGTTCTTGGACGAGCTGATGTCTGCTCTCACCGAGCGCTGGCCTGGGTAAGTGGTACTTTTGCACTTTTGCATATGATTATGCTTGTTTTTTAGCCCTTTCGGTTTCCTCCAACCCTTGTTCCCCCCTTCGCGAGATCCCGGGTGGCCCAATCATTGGGGTCCACTCGCCGGTTTCTTCCTTCCCCTCACGATCCCCTCACCCTCCGCTTCTTCCCCCCCATCTCCCCGGATGATCTGCTTCTCTCTCCCGATAGGGCGCGTCGACTAACGGAGCTTGTTCGCTTAGTATTGTCATCCAATTCGAGGACTTCAAGAATCCCTTCCCCGCACTCGAGCGTTACCGGGACTCGTACACCTGCTTCAATGACGACATCCAGGGTACCGGCGCCGTGATTCTCGGCGGTGTGATCAACGCTGTCAAGCGCTCCGGCTTGCCCTGCAAGGACCACCGCGCCGTGTTCCTCGGAGCCGGCTCGGCCGGTGTCGGTGTCGCCAAGCAGATCGTCGAGTTCTTCATGCGTGAGGGCATGTCCGAGGAGGACGCCCGTAACTGCTTCTACCTCGTCGACACCAAGGGTCTCGTCACTGCTGACCGTGGTGACAAGCTCGCCGACCACAAGGTCTACTTTGCTCGCCAGGACAACCAGGGCCAGCAGTTCAAGACTCTGGAGGAGGTCATTGACCATGTCCAGCCTACCATCCTGATGGGTCTATCCACTCTGGGTGGTGTCTTCACCCCCCAGATCCTCCGCAAGATGGCCGACTGGAACACTGCCCCCATCATCTTCCCCCTGTCCAACCCTTCCTCCAAGTCCGAGTGTGACTACGAGAGCGCCGTCAAGAACACCGATGGTCGTTGCCTCTTCGCCTCTGGCTCTCCCTTCCCCTCCATGTCCTTCACCAACTCTGCTGGCGAGACCCGCACGTATTACCCCGGCCAGGGTAACAACATGTACGTCTTCCCCGGTATCGGTCTGGGCAGCATCCTGTCCAAGGCCGTCCGTGTCACCGACAGCATGATCTATGCCTCCGGTGAGGCTCTCTCCGCCGCTCTGACTGCCGAGGAGATTGAGCGTGGTCTGCTGTACCCCGACATCACTCGCATCCGTGAGGTCAGCATCGTCGTCACCCGCAAGGTCATGCGTGCTGCCCAGGCCGACGGTGTCGACCGTGAGACTGCTCTCCGCAAGATGAGCGACTCCGACCTGGACAACTACATCAAGACCCGCATGTACGACCCTCACACCGAGGTGCGCTCTCTCGAGCGCGAGGTCGGCCACCTGCTGTCCAGCCTGGGCAACCTGTCGCCCATCCTGAACGGTTCCCCTACCGAGGAGAAGCCCAATGGCTCGAAGCTGTAAGAATTCCGTTTCTTTTTACAATATGCCCCGTCATGTCAACCCCCACTCCCCATTGACAGCGGATGGGCTATGTTTTTCTTAATATGCCTTCCCTGTCTTTCGGGTCTTCTCCAAAAAATTGCTTTTTTTCTAATCACGGCCCCGCTTAGGATCACCGTCTGATTTGGCATCGCGTTTTTTTTTCTTGTTCTTTTTACCTTTTTTACCCTTTTCATCATTTCGAGCGCGTTTTCTCTCTTGGCACTTTTGGTCTTGTTTCTTTTTCGGGCTGGATTTGGACATTTTGGCACTTTGCGCTTTGGTTTTCTTTGGAATACCCACCACCTTTTTATTGTTTGGTCACGTTTTTGGAGTGACCCTCCCTGCATTTGGGATTCGGATAGCATCTTTTCATCTGAACTGAATGAAACAAAAATTGAATATATCATAACTTCCGTGGCTTGTAGAATTGTAGAGATTTGGGGTTGCCTTGGACAAGTGCTGCTGTCCGTCGGTCCGGTTAGATCCTAGTCTGTACCAACTCGAATAGACTTAGAGCAATGGACTTGACATTGCGGGGTATGGCCACTATAGTATTCCCCCTATAGATCCCTATACATGCATCATGCTGTGCCTACACTACAAGACTCAATCTCGGGATCCATCCGAACCCACAATATGACTGGCACAGCCCAATGGGGAAGATCACTCATCCCCAAAATTCACGTGTAGCCGGCTGAACTGAAATCCCCGAGCTCGGCTTCTGCTGGGCACGCTATTCTTCAAGGGGGATAAGTGCATTTCTACTGAACCCAATAATATTCATTGCCTTGGATCCTAGGGCTCCACTTGCTCCTGCATAAAGGTATTCCTAATGAAACCTTACGTTGCTCGTCCCACTCGATCGGGGAGATGGATCTCTCCGCATGGCGATGACTAAGGACCGAGGTAGAGGTTTTCATATTCTTTCTTCTTTGGGTATATGCAAGTTGTACCGATTCCAGTTTGCAATTTCTCTTCTGTGATCGTCATTGTCTAGGGCCAGGAAGGCAGTGATAAATATCTCAAGGGTGCGGTCCGTATTTCTTTTCCTCCTGTACTTGATGTTGGCGTTCGACTAATCCCTGTCTGAAGGATATTTAAACTCGTGAGACTCTGCAGCCTTACCGTACTCGTCCTTCCAATCACAGTCCTTTGCGTGGATCCTCGCCAGTTATCATCCCAACTAGAACTATATACGACTGTCGACATGCCGTCGCCATTGGCAGATCCCGTTAAGCTGCCATGTGGCTTGGTCTTGCCTAACAGGCTGTCCAAGGTGAGTACCACGGATCCTGGTCGTTTGGATGCACGGAATACTCACTAGTACAGGCTGCTATGGCTGAGTTGATGTCCAAATCTAACCAGCCTAACGACACACTCCTCGACGCCTACGAGAAATGGTCTCAAGGTGGTTGGGGCAGCATTCTAACCGGTACTTCATTACTCCACCTCAACCCTACCTGTCCACTCGACACCGTTCAAACCCGCTAATGCCAGCACCAGGAAACGTCCAAGTAGACGTCAACCACATGGGCTCCCCCTTCGACCCAGCCCTGCACACCGAATACACCGGCACCGACACCACCCTCCTCTCCACCTGGAAGAAATACGCCTCCGCCTGCCAAAAGCACGGCACCCCGGCCATCGTGCAGATCTGCCACCCAGGCCGCCAATCGTTCCGGGTTGCTGGTAAGCGGGGCATGTTCGCGCCGACGATTGCGCCCAGCGCGGTCCCGATTAATATCGGTGATGGTCTGATGGAGAAGGTTATTGCTTGTGTGACGTGGAGTAACCCCCGGGAGATGACGAGGGGGGATATCGAGAGGGTGATTCGGCAGTTTGTGGATACGGCAAGGCTGATGGCTGATGCGGGCTTTTCCGGGGTTGAGTTGCATGGTGCGCATGGGTATCTTCTCGGTAAGTGAGACATGTGAGGTTATTTTGGTATATCGGGAAGGATGCTAATAAATGTATAGATCAATTCTTGAACAGCAAGGTAATATCACCACAACATACCTCTCTCCAAGCCATTGGAACCCACCATTCCATCCTGGCTACCGCCAAAGCAACAAGTATAAAGAAATCGCAAACTAATCCCCGCTCTTCTCCTCCAGACAAACCACCGCACCGACGAATACGGCGGCACCCCCGAAAAACGCGCCCGCTTCGTCCTCGACATCCTCACCGAAATCCGCAAAGCCGTCCCCCCAACCTTCGCCATCGGCATAAAACTCAACTCAGCCGACCACAGCTCCTCCACCTTCGAAGAAACAATGACCCAAATCGCCCTCCTGGTCTCTGCCGGTCTCGACTTCCTCGAAATCAGCGGCGGCACCTATGAAGACCCGCAAATGATGGGCTACCCCAACACCTCCCCGCAAGCGCAGGGCACCGCCAAGTCCGCCCGCACCGCAGCCCGCGAGGCGTTCTTCCTCGAATTCGCTCATACCGTGCGCGAGAGACATCCTCAGCTGGTGCTGATGTTGACGGGAGGATTTAGGACGAGAGCTGGTGCGGAGGCGGCTATTAATGATGGCGCGTGTGATTTGGTGGGTATTGGCCGGCCGGCGGCTGTTGATCCCAAATTTCCGTTGCTTTTGTTGGATGAGGAGGTTCCGGATGAGAAGGCGGTGCTTTTGTTGGAGAAGGCGCCTGTGCCGTGGTATGCGAAGTGGCTGCCGAGGAATTTGATTGGGGCTGGAGCTGAGAGTGTGAGTTCTTTTGAAGTTGTGGGAAATCAGTTGAGAGATGATTATGCTGACTTTCCAATCGTTTAGACGTATTATGCTGGTCAGATTCAGCGGTTGGCCAAGGGATTGGCAACTTATGCGCCTGCTCTTTGAATTGGGCTTGTAGAGATAGTTTGGGCTTTCTAATAATGCACTGTATATACCTTTGTTTGTTTAATGGATATCCGGATCCTTCCATCTCGATTGCTTAGCGGATTTCGTTTGTCGTTGGCAAATGAAAACTTATAAAAGGGGCCTCCTCTTTTCGTCCTGGACAACTTTCCTCCTACAAATCCCCAACCTCTTCTTCTTCTTCTCTGCCAACCGAATACCCAATTTTCCAATGGACCCCTTCTATCCTCACTCATCATCAAGAACCCCTGCAACAGACACTACCTCTCAACCTTAACCGCCCCGGGGGCGATATCTCGTGTTATTCTTTATTCCTCTCTCAACCTCACCTTGAATTCCTCCCAACATCAACCCTCCGACACGTCAACGCATTCTCCCTCGACACCAACACACGGAAAAAGTCCGTCTCCATGACCTGACCCTTACCACGAAACCTTTCCAGTTCCATCGAAAGCCCTTGATCACGGTCCTCGCTTACGAACGTGGCCCCATTACTTGGGACCCTCCGTGTGAACGGTAAAAGACTTACTCCGTCGCAGGAGGCGTGTTGGGTGTACGCCGAGGGCCTACATTCATCTTCTATTCTTGGGAGAGCCCTCGGCGTACATTCATCTCCCATGCGTCCTAGGGGCTTTCGTCCCTTTCCCATAGCTGATGAGTCGTCTGACTGTTGTGGATTGGTATACCCGGAGTGCCACATCTTGCCCATCCTCGTTACTTCCGACTTATGATGCCCTCGGTGGCTCTTGACTGCTACGAAACAAGTGGGATCATGCCATCCTAGGACGTACATTCATCTTCCATTCGTCCTGGGAACCGAAACATGAACTTCAATCAAGACTATACACTTCACGATTGGTGTATGTGACACTCCTGTCTCCTCTCTCCCCTTCTCGCCAAAAGGCTAGCGACTCTGACTGACTGCGGCACAAAGAATTCACGGAGCTTTCCATCGGGTCGAAGCTTCTGGATCTTATTCAACTTTCTGTGCTCTCATTACAAAAGCTTTTCATCGCGACGAACTCCCGGCTATTCTCTGAATGGAGAAATTTCAATCATATATCCGAAACAACAACAGTGTTTGTACCGCGCTCTCTTTGAGAACGAGGTTTCTTCAAATAGTCAGTCCTTCCTCGGTTTTCTTAACAATAACTAATACTTGAATTTCCATCATGCAGAGAATCTGGGTGTTTAAGGAGACTGGAGTATCAACGAGACCATGCCCTACCCTGCGCAGACCTTCAAATTATTCGATCTCCACCATCTTCTTCACGGTGCGAGACCTTGCAGCGGAACTTTCCCAACTCTGTCCCTACTGAGATATATCGTTCTACATACCAAACCTGAATCTATTCCGTCTTCAAACGCTTGGAGAATACCCCTCATTGCACTCTGCTGCTGCTAGATGGAAATAAGTAGCCAACCGCTGTGCTAGGGTTCGCCAAGCACCTTTGTCTACTGTGGCAACGACTCACCTCCTGTCTGGGTATGTTGGACGGGTGAATTGATTGTTTGGTATTAGTCTTTAGACTTCAAAATTCAAAATTCCTTTCCAATTTATAGACATGATTGCCGTCTCGGTATACCCGTTGTTCTACAATAACTCCTTGGTGGATCATTTCCCCTTTGTAGGCGCTGGTGCCTCCCAATCGGAAGTTTCCTCCTGGTGGTTTCTAGGGCCAGTGCTCGTTTGTGTTTTCCATGCTTATATAGGCCTGGCACAGGGTCATTTCCCTTTCTCCTTCCTAGCCGTCACAGTATATTTAGTCAAATTGAGGTCTTGCCCTTTGCTTTGCTTCCCTCTGCTTAGTTACGCTGGGCAATCCATCTTCCGGATCGCTGGACAGGGATGAAATAGATGTACGCCGTGCTGGCGAAACTCTAGCAAAACATCGGAAGTAAACTGTAGAATCATCCCATTCGGGAACCTCAGTAAAATTTTAAGTTTTCCCGTCCGCATTAGATTGGAGAATCATGCTGGCAGCTCTGTACTGGCAGTGTCTGTAGATAAGGTTGACGGGACCAAACTATCTTCCGAATAAAGACAGCCACCAAGTCGCATCGGCCTAGACTCAGCCCCAAAGCTGAATTTTCTATAGCGTCAGCAATTTGTATAATAGATGTCGATTTCATAGTTTTTTAGATCCATCTTGAGTCAATTAGAATGAGTCAAACAGACCCCTGATCTGATAGTGTATCTACCCGCGGATACTCTAGCAGCAAGAGTATCTGTGTTTATGGTGACCCATGGTTAACACTATTCTGGAAGCAGCGGTCAAAGCCGAGACCCGTGTCTAATAAGCTTCGGAGCTTGTCAGAATCAGGGTCTGGTAGGGCTGGCTTCCATCTAACTCTAATCGAATTGTGGTTGCCTGGCCTCGTCATAGTTCTGACAGGGAGCGAAGGAAAAGTTTTTTCTTTTCCCTTCCCTTCAGCGAAACGTATTTCTTTCTCCCATATGAATGCATTTTGTAACTAGCTGTAAAAACAAGGTGGATCTTGGAGGGGCAACAAGTAGATGATACCGTATTGGAGGCTAGGAAATGGCGCATAGCATCCTTTGCAGATGGCGCAAATTGTACTGATTTACCCCAGCAGCACTGCCTTCCCAATCGAGTCCGACTGAGGCATTTATTATCGCACCGTCTTTGTAGCGTAATTTTCCCGCTTCCCTATATTCTTCCCTAGTTTCCCCCTTTCAGAACTACAAATTTTCACTTTCCCTCTTCTCCCCTGCTTATACTAGCAACTTCTCGACGCTTTCCACACTATCACGACACATTGTGTCTACTATTGACTCTGAATGGCTGATATTTGCTCGATGAACACTCCCTTTTCTATTCCTTTCTCTGGCCCCGGCATTCTGGCTGCCCTGAAATCCTCTCGAGTATCTGCAGACGAGACTCGACCACCTTAATTCCACACGCGTACCAAAAAGGACTTGAAGCTAAGCCCTCGGTGCACAATTGCGTCGTATTGGATCCAACATCCTATTGGCAATTCCTGAGCGAGTCACAATGAAGAGCTTCAAGCCCATTTTCTTGTGTGGGGTGAAGGGGGCGGCGGAAACGCAGCAATTGGCAAGTGTACAATGTGCGAAAAACAATATCAATACCGTTGTGGCTGCTGAAGAGGTCTCTGGATACAGGGTCAACGCAAGTTCCCGCCTCCTGGATCGCTGGCTTGATACATTTGTGCGATTTGCTGGCTCGGCTCCAGTATTCCTAGTCATCGTTAGTGGTCTCTTGACCTGGGCTTTGATGGGAATTCGCTTCGGTGACTCGGACGTCTGGATCGCTGCCATCTCTGACGTTCAGGCCATTCTCTGTTATGTCTTCGATTCCCTCCTGATGCGGCAACTTCTTCGTGAATACACCGAGCAGCGCGAGGCCATGGTCATGATTCAATCGCGTTGCAAAAGCCACCATCGCATGCTTCTCAAAGTAAAGAACAAGCTGGGATCGGAAGGAATTCGAGAGGTCTCTGAGAAGTGTCTACATGAACCATTAGAGCCTTTGGATCATGGCTTGCGCACTCAGAGCCTGTTCGCCCGATGTATCATCTTTTCTGCGAAGAAGTTTGGGCATATCGTCACTGTTGGCATGTACTGGGTCTGCATCTTGATTTGGCTTGGCTTCGGTCCAAAGTGCGGTTGGTCCAACCGATGGCAGCTATACATCAACGACGCAACGTCTGCTCTGATGGTTCTGGTTTTTGCGTTCCTCGCTTGTCTGCGGGAATGCTATGCTGATTATACCAACACTTGCTTGGATGCGATCTTCCGGCTTGACTCGACCCTCGAGAGTGAGCTTCGCCTTCTCAGCGAAGATGACACGCCAAATCCTGTCGAGGTCGATGTCCCACCGAAAGAGAACTACCTCCAGAAGGTTATTTACTACTATGCCGATATCATCGGGACGCTTGTGGGAATTGTGTTCCTTGTGATAGTGGTCATCGCCTGGGCAGCCGTCGGCCCTGTCTTCCATTTCAACAATACCTGGTGGCTGCTTATCGGCACCTATGCTGGACTAGTTGGTCTTTTTGATAGCTTCGTTCTCCGCAATGTCCAGAACAAAGTGCACCAGAATACCAAATGCCAAGTACGCCATGTGGAGACATTCGACTCGACATTGTTCGCTGGTTTGTCCGTGCCCATTCCTATCGCGAAGGATCCCAAGGCGCCGTCCCTTAGTCGTCGGGTATCCAGAAAGATGGATGCAATCAGCTCCCACCTTCTCATGGTCGTCGCCGGCTTCCTGCTCACTATCGGGTGCCTAGTTGCATCTAGTGCCATGCGCTGGAGTTTGACTGGGCAGCTGATCTCGAACGTGCCTCCCAGTATCATCGAGACTTTCTTCATGTTGATCTTGATCACTGGTCAGAATGATGCTGAAGCTGGTGCCCGGGTTGACTTGACAAATATTTACTACCGTCGCCAGCGCCTCTTGTCATTCATGAAGTACGCGAGCGATTACTGTCAAAAGCAAGAGGAAGCTGAGGCAGCAGCTGATGCCGAGTGAGAGCGGTGCAGTTTCGGCCTTAGATCGATTACCACACCCGCTTACGATGCACATTCCTCGAGTTGGTCTTTGCCATCTCCTTGTCCATTATCAGCCTGTGGGTCTTTCTTCCCTGGGCCTAAGATGATTAAAAGTTGTTGCGCCAGCCCTTTCGATTCTGTATGGGTATTGGCAGTAGTCCGCCTCAACGTGGACCCACACTCGCGTCGGCTTCGAATTTTTTTGTATGGTATCTTGATGTATTTTTTGTTATCTTTTGCCTCTCAGATCGGCAACATCCGAGCCGCATGTTTCTTCATGGCATCCCAGAGGTAGTTCAACCCCCTCGAGATCACATCTGTCTTTTTTTCTTCAGTCATAACAACAATGTCATTTTCGTCATATCTTTCGTTCTTTTGATTCCTTTCCTCTGATTAGTTGCTGGAGCGAATAGATCCTTCTTAAATTTCCGACCTGTATCCTAATATAACGGTCGGTGATGCCTATCGCTTCGGGTTTGGGGTGGACGCGGTGATTAGTGGACTTGGGGTGATCGAGGACATCATGCCGATACAGTGGTAACATTGCCTTGCTTCCTTGATGGTGCTGTTGCCGATCCCCTTGATAATGAAGGCCGGATGTCACGGTTCATACGCCCAACATTGTTGAGTTTACTGTCGCTAGCTGATTTTGATTGCATAAAACTTGCCGAAAATGAACGAGTACACGCAGCTCTGCCAGATAACCCTATACCGCAGGCCTTACTTGATCTAAGGCGCGCTCTTCGGCCTGACAATCTGAACTATGCCTCCATTTCACCATTATAAATTACTGTGAGCCTCAACATGGACCGGAGTCTGCTCTGATTTTCATTCTAAAGTGATATAGCGCTCAGCCAATTTAATAGGTTTGGTTATACGTCATTCACATATTTTAAATCTTGTGAACCCAATTTATCTCCTAGGATTGTCTCTCTAATATTCTATATTGTACTAAATTTCAGAAGTTGATTCAAGTAACACCTTGGCTCCCTGTAGTTTTCCCACACGACCTATCCAAATCCCATACCGGACAGTCCTTTCAAATAACTCCTTATCGTATAACTTCGTAAATTTTAACAACCTCGCGACACAACTCATACCTCCAAGTCAGATCCCATTAAGAGTTGCCCTATATCCTTCTCTTCTTGATCTTTCATTTCTCCCAACTGCCGCTTCAAAGCCTCATTCCCGTCCAAGAGCTGCTCCAAATAATGTGCCGTCGCGTTCAGAACATATTTCCTCGTAAAATTCTGACCCTCGAGGCCTGGAACGACTTGAGACAAATCCCGATATCCCTGGCTAACAGCCTCCCTCCTCTTCTTCTCCGAACGACAATGACACAATTTCTGCCCGGGCTTTTGCACACATTTCCGCTTTTTATTCGGCGGCTGTGAGTCCGGCTCTTGTTTCTCGGGACTCGAAATGCTTGACGGCGAAGCTGTGGAAGGCGGCGTGGGACTGCGCTGTTCATGCGATACGTCGAACCCGTTTAACCGGACCACTTCTGTCGCTTCTGATTTGTGATCATTGATGTAGTCGGAGATGTTAAAATCGAGGTTGAACTCTTCTTTGACGCTGCTTGCCATGTAGGCCATGTTGCGCATCGCATTTCTGACAAGCCGCTCTTCGGTCCAGCTTCCGATCGGACAGGAGAAGCCGTGGTAGCAGAAGTTTGGGTCGGATCCCCATTGTAGGCCTCGATCTAGGGGTAGGCGTTGGTATGTTGGTGTGTATTGCTGGGGTCCCTTTCCCGCACAACATCCGTAGAGGTCGTGGGCGTGGTTGTGAGGCTGGTATTCGGTTTGCATTGATTATGTATTGATCGATGAATCGGATCTTGTGTATGTAGATCGGTACTTAAAATAAGGTTGATGTAGATGTGATATATCGAAAGGGGAATTTTTGAGGCGTTTGCTATGCTGGGTGTAATGTTTGCTTTTCCGTGTGTTGTGTCGTGTGCTCGAGAATCTTGACTTTTGGGGACAACTTTCAAGATAAGTATAGGTACCGGATACCCCGGAGTTTAAGCGCAAGGGGTATTCCTTTTTAGGACCTTTGAACTCTTTTCACATGAAAGGCGTTTTTAGAGGCTTGCGAGATGGCAGGCTGCCACTATACGTCAACGCCGGCTTGGACCCGGATCGTCGTTGGCTACTCGGGTGCTTCCCGAGATCTGCGGTTACATTTCCCAGTGCCATTTTTTAGTGCAGTAAGATGATTGCCTAAAGCCCCTATCCTAGTCTTGGTTGTCTGATTTCGCAGAGCTTGAGCCATCTTTATTAATAAACTTCATGGGTTGGTTGAGTATTCGCTAACCTCTCTAGTGTATGTTCGTCGACCATAAATTGCATCTGTAGGAGAGGTTGAGCACAATAGGGAACAAATGGAAAGCTTTAATCCTGAAATAGCATAATGCATTCCAAATTGTTCCAAATTCCACAGATACACCTTTGCATCTGTCAAAATTCTTATTTTGATTTACCATGTGCAAGACAGGTTCATCTTCTATAGCTCGCCCCAACATACCTAGAGGGGAAAGATGACCCCACATAGTTTAAGAGCGGACCGGGTGCTTTCCGAGATATCGCCCCAACAAAGGAAGACAATCCTTCAGGGGTCGTCATCATCATATCATCAAATGACAGCCCTCTTAACTTCATCAAGATTGAAAGGATCATCGACCCGCTAAATAATGCTTGATACATAATCAAGAACCAAATCTCACCTGCAATCTAGGCCGATATATAGTCTCCTTATTACAATCAACCCGAACTCCGATAGAGTATCACGTGACATGCCCCGGGTTTATCCCGACCACCCGCTTCTCCCTTGACCCTTCCCCAGTCGCCAATCCACTAGTTGGAGAGTCAGTTCTCGACCGCTCCATGAATGTGATTTCCCGTTGTCAAAACTTAGCCCTCTCGCCCCCACCGGTTCTTATTGGTCCCCGTGGTTCGTCCTCAACAGTGCCGGCAACAAATCCACCCCCGATGCATCGATCGACCATGTCTGGAGCATGATGTCCTCAAAAAGTAATATTACCAAACGCGGCACTCCCCGGCGTCGCAAGATTGCGCTGGCTTGTGAAGCTTGTCGCGATAAGAAGGTGTGTTGGAACTCCTCGTCTGCCTCGGACTATTATTGAACGCCTCACCTATAGGTACGGTGCGACGGGGAGAAGCCGATCTGTGGACCTTGTGCTCGACGATCCTATACGATCGAGCAATGTGTCTACAAAATCGAGAATGCACGTTCTGCAAGCAACGATGCGTACCTCAAGGTTCTGCATGACCGAATCCGTGAGCTGGAGGAAACATGCGCCCGCAACGGAGTCTCTGTTCCCCGAGCGTCATCCAATGAGGTTGAAGAAGGACAAAGTAGAGGGCCAAGTGCTTCTCAAGAGCCACAGCCATCATCATCCAATATACTAGATACAGAGACCAGGACTTCCGTTGCGGCAGAAGGGCTTCTTGGGTTGGGCTCGACTGTACCCTTGCCTGCCTTTCGACAGCCTTATTTAGCGGCAATTTTATCACCACCAGCTCCGCATTCACAGGCGGGTAGACCCTCCATGCAATCCAGTCAAGCAAACAGAAGACAATCCGAGCATATATATGGAACTCCACGTGAGAACTCGAGCTCTAGCAATGTCTATCCGTCACCATCGCTCAACTCACATGGAAACGTCACGGCCATGGGGGCAATTTCCGCCGGCGACGATGGGGAATGCACCGATTCTCCACGAGATCAATATTTTGGAAACTCTTCTGTAGCTTCCTTCATGCGTCTGGCCGGTGACTCTATTCCCATACGCTCCTACTTGCAGGCCCTGAAGCGCATAGAGGGTGATACACCGGGTACCTCTTATCGGCATGCAGGACTGTGGCGTGATATCAACTTTCCGACCACTGGTCTTCAGTTTGATGACTTTTCTTTACCCCCACGGCCCTTGGCTGACCACCTTTTGGAATGCTTTTGGGACCGAGTGTATTGTCTATACCCCTTCTTCCATCGTCCGAGCTTTGAACAGGCCTATGAGAACCTTTGGGGGTCCAGCAAATGGCCTAAGCCAGAGTTGCCTGAACTTAATATCGGACTCGGAGGAACTTTTGACTCCGGAAATCAGTCGATTGTGTTTCACTGCGCACTCAACGCAATTTTTAGCCTTGGGTGTCATTTCTCTGATATCCCTGCTGCCGAGAGGGAGGCTGCCGCATACTCCTTTTTCCTCCGGTCCAAACGATTTGTTGGCCTTGACCTTCTGGATACCGGCACAATCGGTGTTGTGCAAACTCTGTTGATTATTTCGCTGCTTCTTCAGAGTACCCCATATCCCAATCGCTGCTGGAATGCGATCGGGGTCGCGTGTCGGGTCGCACTAGGACTGGGCTTGCACGAAACAACGACGCAATCTTCGATAAAGCCCCTTGAAAAGGAGATTCGCCTTCGAACGTGGCACGGCTGCGTTATCATGGATATGTTAGCTTTCATAGTGAATCCCCACTTCGCATGGCCAGGCTAACCCTCTCATCTAGGATTGTGAGCATGACCTTCGGCCGACCCAGTATGACGTCCCATGTCTCGCCGGCACCTCTCCCTATCATGGCCCCACAATCTCAATCGGATGACCCATGCGAGCTCAGCAACCAGTCTTGCGATCATCAACTTGGGTATATGACATTTTATGTGTCCACGATTGAGCTATATAAGATTCTTGAGTCTATTCTGTCAGACATCTACAATGCTTGGCAAAGTCACTCGAATGTACATCGCCCTGCATCGCTTCGAGACTCGAAGCACAGCAGTCTGGATGTTATCATGGAGCTTGAAGATAAGCTATCTTCATATGAAGCTAATGTTCCCCCAGTCTTGATTTGGACAAATGGAGAAACCTCACATGGCTCTACCACTCAGCAAGGATCGCTCTTTAAGCGTCAACGCAACGTGCTTCGTGCAAGGTACTAGTCACTACATTTTTGTTTACCTCCGAGCAACTACTGACTTCTACAGATTCATTCACCTTCGCCTTCTTCTATACAGGCCTATGTTCACACAGCTCTGCTCAGACGAACGAACAGGCCTCGCACGACATACCGGGCCAGAAGCAAACAAGGCCACCCCACGACAAGAGAAGAACGTCATTTATTCCTCCATGTCCGTCAACTGCGCAGCAGCCTGTGCAAAAGCCGCCATGGAACTCGTTTCGCTCGTCTATGAGACCTATAGGACTTCGCTTACAGATGCGTGGTGGTATAATGGCTTCTGTAGGTTCTAGAATTTTCCCAAATGGAAGCACACTGACTTTCTTGTATAGATACATCAACCGCTGGCTTTGTGCTGATCATGTCTTATACCTGCCGCTCAATTCTTGATCAGGTCGATATGCATGCTGTCGATACCGCATGGCAGAGATGCGAGGAGATCCTCACCAACATGGCATCTTTTAGCTTGTCTGCACGTAATTCATTGCAATTTTTACAGGTTACACACCAGTACATCATACAGAACTACACAGGTACGTCGTCTTGACTCGCTTGCTACCTTTCTGGGCCGTCTGCTATCTACTTCATCGCTTGTTGAAACTGACATTCAACCAGTAGCAACCAGAAGTGAAGATGCCCATATATCTGCACCAACTCAGTCACAACCGCAGCAACGAAGTTCTCGGCAGAATGCACTTTCCGCTCAGCACGCGGATCTTATGTCAGAAGACGCAAGTTCCCAGGACCCTGAATCCAATAGTGCCCCTAATATCAATCCTTTCATGAGTTGGGATGAGATGGGTTTAAGTCAAGAGGAATTTGGATTCCTCGGACGATTCGATGTCCCCGATCTTGCAAGCTGGTTCTCGGAAGTCCCCGATATTCCGTGAGAGCCAGTTATGATCGAAGCACAATATGATTATGACACAGGATCTAATTATAAGGCATCAAAAAGAGTCGTATCGGCTCCGCTCCAGAATGTCCCGGACAAGGTTTCCAGTGTCTCAAAATCTGGCATCCACAAGGGATCATTCTGATCCTGGTCGATCCAAGGTGCAAGCTGCAGAGCCATTCGAACTGCATGGTCGCTATCATCTGCTGGATACGTTTGAGGCGTTGCGGCAGTTGTAGCGGCAGTCTCAGGTGCTAGCCCGGTCAGATTCGCAGAGGTGAACTTTTCACTGTTTGGCATGCCAGGCACAGCAGTATTCAAAGATGTTATGCCATGTTGAGCCGTCATGAGCTCGGCCATTCCTGCATTCCGAGCGGTCTCGTTTCCCTGTAGCTTTTCCATGGCTGCATTGACCAGTAACTCGAATGCGTCGCGATACTTTTTCACCCAGGCTGCTCTCTCGCCCATGACGAAGAGCACGGTCGAACACGCGCGGATGTCGTTGCTTATGCGAACAGACCAAACTTGGTCTGTATGTGTCCAGAGAGCGTATAGCAAAGTGATGCCCGCCATGAAGACGGTCTGCACTGCTAAGAAGGAATGTCCATATTCGAGGGTCTGGTGGAGTCGTTTATGCGATTGGCAAATCTCGCCGGCGGCTTGGAGACAAATATGATAGTAGGGGTCGGTGATGGGGAGAAGAGGGAGGAATGGTTGAATCAAGAGTCTCACTGCCCTGTTGTAATGGAGCATAGGATAGTCTAGGTCCGAGCCGCTGAATCGCTGAAGTGCTGATTCCTTCCACTGTTCGAGTTCAAGGTATAACGGATCCATTTTTAGCCGCAAAGCGGATAGAGGTCGGTCAGCACGGTAGATTTTATGCTGGATACGCGAGTCGATGCGGCGTAATTTGAAGAGATATATCGCAAAGGTCAAATTTGTCGTCTTTGTTGGATCTTGGGGAGCTGTAAGAAGCGCAGGGTCGCGTACATCATCATCCACGTCTAATGGTAGGTCGAGGTCAATGTGGCGGTCTGAAATGCTGAACGGACGTCCAAGAGACATGGACACGACTCGTTCCAGGTAGTAGACTACCCAAAATAGACGTCGTCGCATCTGAGCGGTGAATGGGTCCATATTGATCTCGTTTGCTTTGCGGTGAAGACCAAGGTCAATAGCTGTGCGCATCGCCAGTCCGATCATATACCACATTCCATGGCTTGTTGCAGTACGCAGATGATATACCACGAGAAGGACCATTGCCTCTATATTTTCGATGGACCGGGCCTCGCACATTGTAGGAACGTACTGCAAGGCGGTTGTGTAGAATCGCTAGATATTGATGAGTGATTGAGCGTATCTCTCTGGGTGTGATTATCTTACCTCTGGAGCAGTATATGCATACTTTTCACTCAGTTGGAGCATAGTAGCACCGATCGCATAAACGATATTCAATTTGAAAATAGCAAATCGATCAGACCGTGACAGATCTTCGCGCTTTATCTTCGCCAGTCTCCACCTATCCTCGTGCATCTTCCATATCTGACCTCGGTCCAAAAACGGGTACCGTGAATGGAGCCGTCTGAAATAAGTCTCGAGCATCTTCGAACCCATTTCATCAGTTGGAGGATCCACGTTGGTACGATTCCTGCAGCCGCCTCCAGCCTGACCCTGCTGAGAGGAGCCTGGCAGAGAAGCTGGAGTATTCTGAGAGCCAGTGCTTGCACAAGTATTCAGCTGTGGTTGCGTTTTTGATATAAACTGGTTCCACACGCTGCTCTGCACCATTTCTCCGAGATTTGCGGCGAGCGCCAAACCTGAGCTCGAGCCGACATAGGCAGGAGCTTCGGATGAGCTGAGAGCTAACAGGCCCACGATCTCCCCGACTGGATTGTTGTCCAGACCGGAGGTCGCTGTCTGTGGGGTTGTTTGACTCCCTTGAGGGGACCACATCGACTGTGCAACGTTGGTCCCTGCATTATGACTCGCGGATGGCTCGGACTGTCCGAGCTTTTTCTCCAGAAACGCGACTCTTTCTTCCAGGGCACGAGTGTAGCTACAATATTTATCAGCAGATAGATCTCTAGAAGCACGATTAGAGGGTTTTTGCTGTGATCAGACTGACTCATTTTGACGGTCACCATCCTCGCGCACGCTTGATTTGTCGCACGTGACCCCAGCCTTCAGGCAGTTGGAACAAGTCGGATACTTGTTGTCGCACTGGGATGAAGTCATTTAGTTAACTTATCTTGGGGAAGCGAGCGCTTGAGAGATACCTACCCTTTGCTTTCGAGTCTTGCAACGAGTGCAGGCGGTTCTCCCACGCTTCCGGGGATTATGGTCTTTGGAGGCGGGACTGGTCTGCCTGGAGGAATCCGGGCTGTGGCCGGGCGCATACATCTTGACTCATTCCAAGAGAGGATACAGCCAACTAAAACTGTCAGAAACTCCTCTAGTCCCTCAAGAAATGCGAGTAGTTGAGGGATGCATGGTGGATGGCTCCTGATGGAGAGGCTGGAGGGAGAATTGAAGGCGATGGCCCGCAGCGCCAAGACATTGGGGGGGAAGTACATACCAGATGCTACTTTATCTGCCTTCACAGCCAACTACAAGCTACTTGGTTGCTGATATTAAATTCATTGTAGTGCAGTCAAACTTGCAGGTGTTATCATCATGTTATTAAATTATTTCTTGGGTATAATTTATCTCCTTTTAGCAACAAGTTTGGTATCCAACGCCATATAATGGAGCAATGCACCTGTAATGCAAAACAATAGACTGAAAGCAAAGAAAGCAAATCCCCTACCGCCCCTGAATTTTAATTTTCACCATATGGCTTCTTCTCTTCATTGTTCACAGGCTCCGGATCAGCACGAGATGGAGGCATGGAGGGCTCCACAAGTGTCGACATAGACTGACGGTGCTCAATCGTCTTGTTATTTTCGGCCTCGGAGTTCTCATTATCCTCGGGTTGAGCTGCTTCGATATCTCTCTCAGCTTGTTCTGCCTTTCGCTTTTCCTCCTCGATCTCCTCAGGCTCCTTCGGTCGCTCCAGACCCCTGTCTCGAATGAAGACACAGGCAAGGAAACAAACGCCAATAAGCGGAACTTGCAAGATAAAGACCGCGTGAGAGGCCTTGGTGTATGCAAGGAGAATTGATGTCCACTGGGCGTCGGTCAATGTTGATCGCGACGGAAGCGAGTAGGATGAATGCGTCAGATAGGAGAATTCTGATGGGAGATTTGATCTCAAGGTAGCTTGCAAGATGGCAGCGGAGATTGCCAGACCACATGCTCCTCCCATGCAGCGGAAGAAATTGCGGTTTGAGATGGACACGGCACGCTGAGATTTGGTGCAGTGTGCTTGTAGAGCGACGAGGGTAGGCTGGAACGTGAAGCCGATTCCAATGCCAGTGATACCGACGCAGACTGCAATGACGGCCGGGTGTGTGTTGTGGTCGAAGAGCAGCATCAACCCAGCACCGCTAGGAATTGTTAGTCCTCATTCACGAAAAAGCATTACATTTTTCAAGGTCACTCACAGAGTCCAGAGGCCAAAACCTGCCCAGATTATCTCGCCGTATCGCTTGAGCCGAGAAATATACTGGCCAGAGCAGATTGAGGCAACTGACTGGCAGGCCACCATGGGTGCTGTCAAAGCAGCAGAGACAATTGGGGACCAGCCACGCGCATTTTGATAGTACAGGGGCAAGTAGTAGAGGTAAGCCTGGTAGACTGCTCCAAGGAGGAAGCTCTGCAGGAAGAGGGCGACGATCACTCTGTTCTTAAAGAATTGGACTATATTCATGTTAATAAGGTCCTAAATTCGGACAACATTGGGTAATACATACTCGGAAGCATGGGCAAGGAGGCTACCTTCCATTCAATGAAAGGGAACGCGATGAAGGAGAGACCTCCAATCACAAGCATACTAATCACCATTGGTGAATCCCATGGGAAATATGAACCACCTCCAGAAATTGGAATCAAGATGAAAATGATTCCAATCGATGATGCCAATACACCGTACCAGTCGATTCGACCAATATTCTTGCGGAACCGGTCATTTCGTGCGTTATTCGGAATCAGGAAGTATCCCACAACGGCAGATAGTGCAGCGAGAGGCGAGATCATCCAGAAGAAGCCACGCCACGTTGAGCGCATAATGAATGCAGCAGCGATAAAGGGTCCAATGATGTTTCCAACGCCTAGTGAAGCACCCAGAATGCCTTGGTACTTTCCACGTTGTTCCAAAGTGACCACATCAGAGACGATGATCATGGTTAAAGAGGTAACACCACCACCAGCGACTCCAGCCAGACCTCGAAAGACGTAGAACATGGCCGGGTTTTGAGACAAACCACAGAGTAGATCTGCGATGCACAACAAGATCAATGCAGATAGATAGACAACCTTTCGTCCGAAAATATCTGAGAGTCGGCCATAGAGCACGGTGAACATGGTATTGGCAATCAAAGACGAAGTTCCAGCCCATGAGATTGTATCTTGGGCACCAAGGTCCCGGGCAATGGTAGGCAAAGTTACACTAATTCCATTTTGATCAACGAATGTAATCACCAGTGATGTGGCTAGGCCCGTGAAAACGACCATGAGCTGCCCAAAAGGCAGGATATTTGTTTGATCGTGCAGGGCCTTTTCGGCCGCACGTTGCCGATTCATTGTTACTCTGACCCTAGCTCTGGGCTAGCTCAAATCGAACCTGGTCAGATTGAGGTTCAATAAGAAATTGACAAATGTGGGCCGGGCAAGAAGTATAGGCCGGACCTGTCAAAGGTGGGAAGAGAGCTGACTTGGCCGAAGCTTAAGTGAGGATATCCACTTCGGAGAATATTGACCTTGACGGCAATGATGGGAGCGAGGTCATCTCAAATAGCAAAAGAATCAGAAGCAATCAATGGAAGTTTTTTTCTTCATGTAGCAGTGCTCTAGTGCCATCCGGCTCATCGGCAACTAAGCCTGATTCTCGATTGGAGAGTTTCGCCGCTTTACAAAATTGGTGTCGGATATGACTCCGACGCCAAATGAAAAGTCCTTCATCTTGTCCTAATCCTTTACCGGTGGGAGGCTTTCGAAAGCAGTGTCGGCTCAATTCCGCGTCATCTTTTGCTATTATTGGCCATGGAAGTGGGTCCGCAAATTCGGAGCTCCGATCGGACAGCCGATGCATTATCGCAGGTGCGAATGTGCCTAAGATCAAGGCTTTACTGCGTCGTCTAGACGCTTTCTAAAAGAACTTAGACCATTACTTAGGTATCTGAAAATTAAGCGGTGAGGTATTTGCTTTGACAATGTGCTTCATCGCGGGGTTGCATTGATAGCCAGAAATGGCTGGGATTCGATATTTTCACCGAGCAGGATCTAGATTTCGGACCTCCCGTTCGCATTGACAATCAAGTGACATCACAGTGGAAACTTCATTCCCACAAGCTCCTCGCTCAAATGGTGTAGCTTCTCAGCAGCGTCGACATTTACCGCGTGAGGTGCGGTCTGTGCGAATTGGCAGTCGCTTAGGTAGACCGCCGAGGGATCGGAAACAGCTATAATAGATTAACAAGGGCATGATAGAAACCAACGTGCCTAAAACTCACCATTCAAAGCCGGATCAAATGCAGCCACAAGCATAGTTGCAGCGCCTTGGTCCCCTGTTTTCCAAAAGTTGCTAGTTTTGGACATGATCTCATTTCCGCTATCGTCAAGGCCTCGACTCAGACCAGTCCAGATTGCTAGATGCCATCAGTTTCAAGCGAGTCACAGTCAGTTTGAGTGGAGACTTACATCCAGGATGAACACTATACGACACAATACCGGCAGATGCCAGTTGTTGGGTCAAGTAAACGGTGAACAGAATATTAGCTGTCTTAGACTGTCCGTACGCCAACCATCCATTGTAGCCCCCAGCACTGGGACTGAACATAGGAGGCAAGCCATCGGGGGGTCTCTCATCAATAGGCACCTCCTTGCCCTCGAAGTTATAGTCATGGAAGCGAAGAGGTGACAAACGATGACCAGCACTGGTCACGTTGACGATTCGAGCCGACCCGCTTTCCGAGGATTTCGCAGCATTCTTCAACCGATCCATGAGCAGGTTGGTGAAGAGGAAATGCCCGATATGATTGGTGCCAAACTGGATCTCAATTCCTTCCTCGGTTGTCTCCTTTTCCAGTACCATCATGCCGGCATTGTTGATCAGTATGTCCACCCGATCGACTTCGCTCTGAATCTTCGATGCGGCAGCATGAATTGATTTTTGAGACGCAAGATTCAAAACCACTGCTTCGACTGAGGTTCCAGGTGACAGTTCATTCACCTTGTCGGCAACTTGTTGAACTTTGGATTCTGTGCGCGATGCCAGGAACAATTTGGCTGGTTGTTGACTTCCAATCGCTAATGCAAGAGCTTCACCCAAACTATTAGGGCCGACACCGGTGATTACCACTGAGAACAATAGTCAATATCTTTGTTTCCTCAAACCGAGGGAGAAACATCTGACTGACCATTTCTACCGCGGATTTGGTCTGCGAATGCGCTCGCAACTTCTGTTGCGGTAGTCTGTTCGTTGTACTCTGAATGCGTCGTAGCCATCTTAGCACTCTGTCACAGTTCTTTGCGAAATAATCCCAGTGTCTGTTCTCCTATTTTTCCTTAGTATGTGACTTTATTTATTATCTTCTGTCGAAACTCGAAACACTTCAGTTACAGCCCCGCAATGAAAGTCGATGTCTATCACAGCCCCACAAAGCAATCCTTCCCACCAGCTCTCTCCACGACAATTTAGCTTGTGACTTCATATCGCTAGAGACATCTAAGCGATCGCTCGTGATCATTGACATTCATACAGTAGCTGCGGGGATGCGGGGCGTCACACACTAGTTACTCGGTTTCATTAACTTGGCTCAGAGCATCCTGGGGCCCCGCAGGACTCCTCTCCACTTCCTACCCTGTGTCGCAAAGCATGGCTGGTAATTGGTGAGGGGAAACCGGCAAGCATGACCGAGCCCTCATTTGGAGACGAATTTGGTATAGTGCTCGGCAGTTGTCAATATCAGTTGTAGCCGTTCCAGCTTGGGGTTATTCCAGGGCCCATCGGAAATAAGGACCCCGATGTAGTTTTTAGATTTAAGGAAATCACTTCGTAAACATCTTTTACATCCTGTCTCACCTAACGAGGAGAACCTTTGATAGCGCAAGCATAAACTTTACAAACAGAGCAAGATGACCGTTCCTCAACCTTCGAACGGCTCAACGGCCAAACCGACGGGGATCAAGGTCGTGATTGTTGGGGCTGGTACGAGCACCCTACCTACCTTCATTCTCTCCAGCATAATAAATCTGACAAAAATCAGGATTCGGTGGACTGACGGCTGCAATTGAATGCCACCGCCAAGGGCATACAGTGGAAGTATACGAATCATTTCCAGGTAAAGCACGAGATCCCAGCCTCTACGAAGAGGCCTTTCTAACCGGGGGATGTAAATATAGAGCTCAAGGCCCTAGGCGACATTATCTCCTTCGGTCCTAATGCAGGCCGCATATATCGACGCTGGTCAAATGGAGCTATTGCGGACCGTCTGAGGCCCCTTAGCATCAACCTAGAGAATCACGGCTTCAAAATCCACAAGTGGACCGGCGAGCTTGTACACACACAACTCGCTCCACCAGCTGACCCAGATGCGCCGGTCTTCAATGGCCACCGAGGCGAGTTGCATACAGTTGTCTTCAATTATGCTAAGGATGAGCTTGGTATTCCAATTCACCTTGGACAGAGAGTCACGAAATATTTTGAGGATGAAAACCAGGCTGGAATCATTCTCGACAATGGTGAAAAGGTTTGTTTTATCTTGCTTTTTTGGTCGTCGCAAAGATAACTGATTGGTTTCTAGGTTACCGCAGATGTTGTTATTGGAGCTGATGGAGTACGGTCAAAGGCACGCGAGCTCGTTTTGGGTTACTTTGACAAGCCAAAATCGAGTGGCTATGCTGTATTCCGTGCGTGGTGAGTGAATCATAGCAAGAATTTGACACTGATCCGTAGGTTTCCTGACTGATGGTTGGAATCAGGTTCTCAAATACCGATATGATCCGTGATCCGCGAACAAAGCACTTCTGCGAAAATGGCGATACTTTTAATGGCTGGATCGGGCCTGATGTGCACTTCCTCTTCTCAACCATTAAGAACGGACAAGACTGTTGTTGGGTTTTAACTCACAAAGTATGTGACCCTTGCTTCTCATATTTACCTCAGAATCTGATTTGTGTTTCCAATTACTAGGACGAGGCCGATATCGAAGAGTCCTGGTCCTTCCCCGGCAAGCTCGAAGACGTATACAAGGTCATTGAAGGGTGGGACCCAATCTGCAAAGCCATCGTGGAGAAAACTCCTGAGGTAGTCGATTGGAAGCTTGTATACAGAGACCCACTGCCTCGATGGGTCAGCGATCATGGGCGTATCGCACTGCTTGGAGATTCAGCTCATCCTTTCCTCCCTACATCCGCCCAAGGCGCAACGCAGGCAATGGAAGATGGAGTGGTACTGGCCGTGTGTCTGAAGAGGGGTGGAAAGGCAAATATTCCAAATGCTGTCCGAGCGTATCAGGAGATCAGGTATGACCGTGTGAGAGCCGTTCAGAAGACAGGTGAAACCACTCGTGATATGTGGCATAAAGCGGACTGGGATGAGGTTGCGAAAGACCCGTCCTCTATTCAGCTCCCCCGTGAAGATTGGGTGTTCAAGTTTGATGCTGAGAAGAATGCTGAGGAGACATTTGACGAAGTGGTAAAGCGGCTGCAATGAGTTTTATCTCAGTTAAGTAGATTGGTATAGAATGAGAATTCATGAGCTTTCTTTATGATAAATTTGTTCCGAAGAGTTCGCGTTGTCATGCCTATGGCTTCCACGGCTCTACAAAAGAATTTTAGGTACAAGGTCATTGGATCATGGTATTGGTTTGACAACTGAAGCAGATTAATTCAAGCCCATACTGGTAGTACATAAATTGCGGGAAGCAAAGCACCAGCGAAGCTGATAGTTTAATTGACATGTGCTATATCGAGTTCGCTGTAACAGCTGACCCAGAAGTTACAACTCAAACTTGGCACCAGTCATGAGCCAACCTTACTTCAAGCCTTGTTCTCAATAGTCTCCGTGGTCACCTTCTCAGAATCACCGGAAGCTCTGTTCTCATTATCTTCGGCCTCGCCCCCCGCCAGATTTCCTGCAGCCTTGAGTCTCTGTTCGAGTGCAGCTGGGCCAACACACTTGTAGGACGAGAATTTGCGAGCGGGAAGGCGTTGTTCAAACTGTAGGCTCCTAGTTAGTGATGGCCTGTAACTTATTTGGGCCAGGCAAGACGTACCATTTCATCAATTTCTTCCAGAGTTCGGCCTTTAACCTCGGGAAGGTAGAAGTACATATAGGCAGCGGCGATCAAGCAGGAGGGGAACCAAATGTAACCATATCTTGGACTTTGGAAGGTGTCAGCATATTTTATTTTTCCGGAGATCGACATTAGATAACTTACCCCCAGTTCAAAGCGTCGGGGTTGATGAAATATGGCGCAGTGAAAGTGGCCAACCACTAAGTGAGAATGATTAGCGTTCTCATACACACATCAGTCAAGGACAGCAGCGTTTTACTCACAGCACCCAAGAATCCAATTGCCGCCGCAAGACCGAATGTATACGATCTCAGTCTCTGAGATGGAAGTTCTCCACCCGAGACCCAGGCATAGGTCGAGACCATACCGTTGTATGCGAAAATGAAAATAACAGATAGCCCAACGATTGCTTTACCGGTGGCCTGAGTACCTGGGTGGATGGTGTAGATAATTGCGATAATAAGTTGACTGAAACCACAGAGTATCAAACCAACTGTCAAGAAGAGTCTGCGGCGTCCAATACGAGTGATGACAGCAATATTGATGAGGATAGCTACCACGCCGAGGGCAGTGAGGATACAGCTGTTCTCGAAGGCGTTACCGACATTGGCCATTTCGAAGAAGTAAGTTCCGTAAGCTAGAATGTGGTTGTTAGTTCCTGTGTGTACATTTTGTTCGTCATCAATAGATCGCTCACCAATCATGTACATAGCTCCAGAAGCAGCCTGGGTGGCCACGGCCGCAACGGCCAGGATCGTTCGGCGTCGATCAACAGGGTTAGCAAACATATCCCACATAGATACACCATTGGCCAGATCCTGTTCCAGCTCAATGGCAGTCTGAATGTCTTCCATCTCCTTGTCCACTGCCTCCTGATCCGGCCTGAGCCAGACGAGCGCTTTGCGTGCTTCCTCCACTTTGTCGTGCTGAAGCAACCAGCGAGGAGACTCGGGGACGAAAAGCATACCAGCGCACAAGAAAGCAGGAATAATGAATACCAGTCCCAGAGGAATGATATAGCTATTCTTGCCGTCTATCTTGGCGGTAAAGTTGTCAATGATCGTCCCGAGAAGGGAGCCGAAGGAAGTCCAGAATTGGAAAGCGCCTAGCATGAGGCCACGGTAGCGGGCAGGAGAGCATTCCTGGAACACACATCAGAATTTTGGCCGAAGTCTCCCTCATTAGGGATACTGAATGTCTTTTACATACCTGGATATACAGCTGGGAGAATGTCATCAAAAAGCCGTTCCCAACTCCGATGATCAAACGGCCAGCATAGAGACCACCGATGGAGTCCGTGGTCATCATAACGATATTTGCGACATAAATCAAGAGAACCGCAAGATACAGAGACGTCTTCCGGCCGATGTAGGTTGCGATTGGTCCTGTACTCATTCCGTCAGTGTTATCCCGTATCATTTATGGCTATAGATCATACCAGCTGAGCACGATCCCGCAAAGGCACCCAACGTCATGAGGGAAGAAATCAGCTGCTGGCGCTCAGCTGAGATATTCCATCCAGTCGAAGTATTAGATGACCGCTCTCCAAAGACCTAGGGGGGTGTATTCAACGTCAGAATTGCCATCCGTAGAGTGAACACAGGCATAGAGCTCTATTGACAAGACGATACCCACCTTCAGAAATCCAACCATGGCCTGGAAACCACCGATCATAGTAAAGTCCACACCATATTGAAACGGCGACATGGAAATCAGCGAGCAAGCCGCCAATGACTTCCAATGCACCCGAAGGCCATTCTTCTCTTGGTTATCAGCCATAGTCATCAGATATGCGTGCTTTGCAGAAAGTCTCTGCCAAAAGAACACAAAAAAAGAGAAATTCTTGAGAATCAGTCAAGTGCCAGATCCGCAGACACAGCAGATCGTCGTTTTACTCCCAATGGGCCAGACTAGGGGGGCTTTTTAGCAAGAACCCCATCCTTAGAAATGCCCCCTTCATGCACCGCGTACACCTCAACACAGTCTTCCCCAGGTCTTCTGTGGGGCCATGCGGAGTTGGTTCATGTCATGACAAGTATTGATCGGTCTAGCTCGAACAACACAGGATTGACTCTCCAGCTTCCCCGTGGGGAGGAGTCATGCTTGGAGAAGGCGCAGTCTCATTGGTGCATGAGAGGACTGGGGGCGGGTGGCATTTCACCGGATCGATGAAAGTGCTGCAGACTAAGCAATGGAGAGACACTTTGCCGAGAGCTTCGGGAATTGGACACCCTGCTTCACTGCCGAATATCGCCCCTTTCGTGTTGGCAGGGTCAAGTCATTGGTGCTAGGAGGGGTTAGGAGCCTATTGATGGCGGGACTGGCCCCATGTCGTGGCGCTCATGTGGCTTTTATTATCTTCTCAAAATGGACCTATAATCTCAATGACTTTGTTGTTCTTGAGCATGATGAGAAATCCAGGTCTGAGGAGCTTTGACAAGGTCATTTTACGCGTGTGCTTTGTTGTGGGGAAGATCAGCAGTTTTTGGTGCAGGATGTGGAGAAGGTCCAAAGCGGATTCCGGGGAAGTGGAGGAAAATTATGAGCCGAGGACTTTTATGCATTGGTTTATCATATCTTGCAGTATTATTAGGTCCATTATGGGGTCAGAATACCACCTAGCAGTGGGTCATTACGAAGAGGCCCATGGTATACAAACACTGACAATTCCCACAAATCTGAGACAGAATGTCATGAATGTGATCCTCGAGTCGGTCTTCTCTTCATTTATTTCCTGAAAGACTGAGCTATCCGGCGGAAATCGTCGTTCGAGTAAGTAGAGTGATCTCTGTCTCTTCCTACTAAGAGATCATGCATGATACGTGGGTCAGTCTAGGTAGTGAGGAAGAGAAAGCAACGTGCAATAAAATCAATCAATTCAAGAATTGGCGATGGCAAGCCAGTGCAAAGCACATGAATGGTATCACATAGAAAAAAGAAGCAAGTAAGCAGTTTCCAACTGTCATGTCTCGTCGTCATCGTAACCAATCAAATCCGAATCTCCATCCATCCATTCGTCCTCCCCCAAGGGACCATATAGAAGAATAGAGGTAACTGAAACTCAAGGTTCAGTTGTTTCTAAAGTTTCAATCCTTGTCTGTTTTCAGATGTATCAACAAAGCAAAAGACGGGTAATGAAATTCCCTCAGTCAAAGCCCAGCGAATGTCTGACAATCATGCCATCAAAGGCCGCATAGGCCTCTATGAGAGGAAAAAAAAAAGGCGGAAAAAATTTCAGAGGAAGATACGAAATGAAGCGATGGAGTTAGGAGCATCGTTTTCAATGATCAGGTATTCGCCGGACCAATAGGAACCCCTAGACCTCCAGTTGCCCATGCATTGTGCATGACACGAGCGTTAAGAGCGTTGACAGAATACGCGCCGTCCTCTGAAACATCGTTGTTACTGCCATCAGGCGCATTCGGAGGTGCAGGGCCAGGGTGTCTCGGCACAGCTTGCTCAGCCATCGCATGATGAGACATATAGCCCGGTCCCGTGACATTGCCCTGGTTTGGGAAGAAGCTCTGATTCAGAGACCCGCACGTTGTACAGGTAAATTCGATCTTGAAATTGGTCAGAACCATCTGCGGAACCGCAGTATGGTCGTTTCGCGGGGGATACCCCGACGGTTTAGGATGTTCTGGTGCTGCAACGGGCAAAGGGGTACCTGTTTGGTATCCTATCCCTGGTTGTGGAACTATAGGGCGGGGGTCATTGCTCAATACAGATTGAGTGGGAGTTCCAATGGATGGTGGTTGTGGAATCTGGGGAGGTCGGACAGAATGAGCGGTTGGGGGTGGAGGTGGTAGTGGTGCAGCTACGGGGTCTGGAGACCCAGCAGGATTGACCGAAGCGTCGTCCATCAATGCGGATGGCAGATGGTCTGGTATCCAGCGAGTCTCTGAGAGATCTCGGTATGCTGGTCCAGCATCGCCCTGCGACTCAGCCAGAGACGGCCCTGGCGACTGCTGATCACCGGTGCTAAAATCCATATCCAAAGTACCGTCGCCTTGCATATCAGACTGGCGCGGTTGCAGTTTAGTCAATGCCCGTTGTGCTTGTCTCATAGAAATGTCATATCCGTGGTAGCGTTTGACGGCGTCTACCACATCCTGGCCTTTGATCCTGCTCTTCATATCGAAGAGTTTCGGAATCTCACTCAGCAAAAAGCGGACGTGCGAGGCTTCAGAGCGTGCCGGGGTCGCAGCCGGCGAATCAGCGCTTCGTCGGCAACTATGGCTATCTTGAAGGCTGGTAATATAAGTCGCGTTCTTGTTTGAACGACAAACAACACGGAAATAGCAATTGGCAGAAGATCGACAGCCAATCACCACACTCTTCTTATTGCTTCGAATGACGCGAAGCTCCCAATGCTGCCGAACAGATATACTTCGAATGACCGTTTTGAACTCCTCCAAGGACGAGAAGCGTTGGCCCGCATGGAGTCCCGAGTACATCTCCGTCATGTTGTTGGCGACAGGAAGACCGCGAGCCGCTGCAATAGAGATAGAGACGACTGAGCCACTGAGACGCTCGTCACAGCTACTCGAGCAACAAGTTCCATCAGGGTACAAGCCGCGCAGCGCGATGGTCCTGAGGTCACGAGGGGAAGGACGCGCGGGTCAAATGCGGAGCGCGGCGTAGTCTCTCAGCCGGTCATCATCGAAGTAAATAGGGGGGGGGAGGGGAGAGGCAGTTAAAGGACGAGGCTACCAAGCTTTGAGTGTCTCAACTGTCAAATGTCTGGGGAAATGGGGGAGGGGGAGAGACTTCAAGTCAGCGAGCAGGTGGATTGCGGGTCGCGGGTCTGCTGGGCACAGGAATGTCTGGGGAAAGCAGTTGCATTCTCGGGGCTGATCTTCCCAGACCGCTCGGCTTCACTTTTCTGATTCTCCCCTCACCAGATCCATCCCCTCAATAAATTGCCCTCCACGTATCGTCCTCCACAACTGAATACTCCAATCACACCTCCTACTATAGCGACCGCGATCATTTCAATCACCTCTTAGGTCCCGACATGGCCTCCTACGGGCTTTTAGGCCAGCCAGAAGAAGGTCAGATCTCGTGCCTCCTCCATGCCAACCAGCTCTCAGGACTAACATTCCAGCTGTGACAGACGCCCTCCACAAGTCGCGTCTTCTGAACGTCGAAGAAAAGCCATTCAAGCGCATCTCCAAACGTCTACTCAACCCAGACTCACTCGTCATCTCCAATTCCTCCCTTCCGCTCACTCCTCCCCCCGACGAATTCGACGCCGACACGGCCACCGGCCCAGAAGCCAAAAGGCAAAAGCGACTGGAGGAATGGCGCACCTTTCGCGAAGATGTGACACTCGACTTTGCCGCATTTGAAGGCAGCATTGCCCGAATTCAATTCCTCCTCAATAGCAACGAGGCCGAGCGCCAACGATACGCGACCGAGAAGTTGGCCATTCTGGATACGATGCAGTCGGTCCGCCAGAATACAACCGAGCTTCGCACTCAACTAGAGGAAGCACAAAGGTTGCTCGCTCTGCGCAAGAGCTACGATGACCTCGCGGATAAGATTACCAGCAACCGCCTGCTGAAGCCGCGGGAGGACCAACAAGCAAATCTGCAGAAACTGCAAATGGAGATTACCGAGTTGGAGAAGGAGAGCAAGGACTATGCGACGACGTGGGCAGACCGGAGAGAACAGTTCGGTCGGATTGTGGAGGAAGGAATGCAGCTCCGTCGCTTGATTCGTGATGAAAAGGAAGAAGTCGAGCGACGGGAAGGCATGCAGGAGGGCGAAGATGGCGATGAGGGTGATGCTACTTCAAAGGGAAAACCCAGCGCTGCCAACAGCCCTCTCCCCGAGGGCGAGAGCATGACCCCCTCGCAACATAGCCAGGACGAGAGTAGCCGGTTACAAGTTGAAAAGGCCTCCGGTGCAACGGGAGCCGCTTCTCCACTTCGACAGGCCATCAGCGCAGATGGAGACAAAGGTTCGACGGATCGAGAAGATACCAATATGGTGGACGAGGGCGAGATCACAGCCGAGGATGCAGGAGAACAATCCGATGAGCTAGAGGAAGGGGAAGAGCTGCCGGACGAGAGAATGGATATCTCGTGAGGATGATCTACGCATGTACATTACTACTGGCTCCGGAGTTTTACGGTCTCGGTCTGGCGGCGTTCCGTTGGGGGGGAAATTCTAGAATACATTCATTCGATCATTCGATAAGCTGGGTATTAATTTTTCATGGCTTAGACTTGAATCAAAAATGGCTGGATTCAAGAAACCTCGCGCTCTGCGGTCTTGGCCTGGGCGATGGCCTCCTTCGCCGCAGTGATGTGTGCCACGTTGCTCTCAGAGCCCTTGGCAGCTTCCTCGGCCTGGAGAGAACAGTCAATATGCGCATATCACGCAGAAGGTGTAGACTCGAAATACTCACAATGAGGGACTGCAGTTCCCTCACGGTCTCTGCAAGCTTCTTCTTCAAAGAAGGGAAAACCTTCTTGGTCTCCTCGAGAGCACGGTGCTAGTTCATGTTAGCAAATCCTTGACTATCTCAATGCAAATTGCATATCCAAGGGCTTGCCAGCCCCAAAAATCAATTTGGTATTGGTAGACAAACCTCCTGCTGCAACAGATACTCGCGATTCTCATCTTCGCTCTTGTCATTCTCGAGCTTCTTGATACGCTCAGCCTGCTCCACCGCCTCGCGGTGATACGAGGCCTCCTCCTTCACCAAGCGGAGGACGGAGGAGGTGTTGATCTCAAGCTGGGAGCGGGGAGGCATTGTGATTGACCTAGATAATGTGTCAGAGGCGTGTTAGAAGTCATTGTGGTGCAAGCTGTGTGCTGTGTGACGTCATAAATTGCGGATCTGGTAGGAATTGAGCTGGACTACAGGTCTTGTTCCAATGGTGATATGGTCCATGTATAGCTCCCAGGTGATGCATATCCCAAATCCATTGTGGTATGGAGAGGGGCAAATGGAGAAAGACGTGGTGTATTGCAGCCCAACTCAATTTCTGTGAAGCAAGAAAGCTCCATAGAGAATGAAATGGGCAGATTGGAAAGAAGGAACACGAACATACCTTATGGTATCTTGAAAAATGCTGTGTTGAATAATTCGGCAGGATGTCAGGAAACAGAGCAGCCCCTCATGATGCTATCGGATATCTGTTTGCTCTGTTTGTGATACTCGTCACGTGGTATGCTCGCAATCAGTGAGGCAGAATAGCGACCTCAAGTGAACGAAACTATCTTCCGATGGCAGTATTTTTAGCTATGAATCTTGTCGTATTCAATGTAGATTGGGTCTGCTCTTCGATTTGGAAACCATTAAAAGCATTCTTTCAAGTACCGCTTCGTCGTCTGTCCGCAATACGTCATTTTACGTGAATACTCCAGCGTATCTAACCAACTAATTTTGTTTCGTTAAAATCATACCGTATATAATTTTCTCCTGCTTCTTTCTATCTCAAGTATAGTAAAACGTATGCACTTATACAGACAATCGAGTCCATAAACCATCAACACCCCTCGATTGCCTCCACATTCCAGCCAATAGGACTCCGCACGTAAGCTCATCCTCCCGCGGTTGCCTCAGGCCCATTCGTCCCGATAACCGCAGCCGATCCTCGAGTCCTCGAGTCTCTCATCCAACGCCCTTGATAGATCTACATTTGTCCCGACCCCCCTCTCGTTCGGTCTTTTAGTTTGCTCTCATTCAATGTCATCCTTCCTATCACAGAGCACGTGGTCGATTTCTACACCGTCCTAACCATGCCTGCCCCATCGCTGAAACACCTGGCTACGGCCACGGCAATCAAGCATGTGAAGAGTGAGTGCATCGGAAGAAACAACTATCTAACAAGATGTCATTATTACATTTAGGATATATCGCTGATTCGTTCTATCTTTATAGTGCTGACTGATATTGGGAGCCTCCCGTATGCCCTCGCTCGTCCGATCCTAATGAAAATCGACAATCCAGAGAAACTGGTACGTCACGCACGAGGCGCTAACAACGAAACACTTTCGTATCTACCCATACAAAGCACATATACTAACGTCCTTTCCATATATAGCATTCAATGGAACTCCTATCCCCGCACCTCGCCGAAGAAGACCAAGAAATCTGGCTCGAACTAATCAAACGAGACATCCCCCGATGGAACACCTACGATCTCCCCAAACACACCAACCGCTGGTACGAAGTCTACTGTGACCTCCAAGCCGAAGTCCAACGTGAACTCGATGCCGACGCCGCAAAAATGAAAATGGCCATCGACGGGATCAAATCCGAGCGTGCCCAGCTCCAACCAAAAGTCGTGAACCAATTGCCAAGGGGAGTACGTGCATCCCGTCCACGCATGGCTCCGAGAGGCGTGTACATACCTCGGTCGGGTGGTCTTACGGCACCGGAAGCCAAGAAGAAAGCGGCTATTTTTGCGCCGCAGAGGAGGAATACGGCGTTGGCGGTGCCGACCAAGCATCTTAGTACGAGGGCGACGCAGATTAAGAAGGCGCCGAGGTCGTTGATTGAGGAGCATCGGCGGCCGGTGGAGCAAGCTGTTCCGAGGCGGGAGAATCAGAGTATTGCACCAGGGCGGCTGTCCGTACCTGGGAGAGCGGCGTCCGCGTCTTCGTCTACTTCTGCTCGTCCGGGCTCTGATTTCCGGGGTTCGTCTTCACTGGCGGAGCGGGAGGCGAGGCTGAAGGCTATTGCATCCGGCAAGCCATTGCCACTGAAGCCACTGCCCTCGTCAGCCGCTGCTGCTGGCACAGCTGCCACACCCAATTCTCACGACCATCCATCCCCAGCCAAGGAAGCTCCATCGCCAGCCAAACGAGCTATCCCCAAGCGCAGAGCTACCTCTCCACCTCATCAGACCCACTCACATTCACTATCCCAGCCATCGAACGTCGATGGCCCTTCTGGTGGTAAACCAGATAATGGCCCCGAACCCGCCGCCCGTCCAGCTCCCGTCCGGAAACGACCAGAAGTCGATATCTTCCTTCGACCCAAGAAGAGGCGAGTTGTCTAATCATCTCCTTGTTAGCGTTGTCTGCAATTTAGCGTGCTCTTGCTTTCTTGTTCTCGAAATTTATTCTTATCCTGCTTGGCCTGTTGGCCGCTGACGTGTGTACATAATGCATTTTTCTGGGCGTTGAGTAGGACGGTATGGGAATTGAACATGGCCTCTGTTATTGGATATGGATGGGGCTTATCTTGTTTTTGGCCGGTGGGACTGAATGTATATTGCATGACTCGGGGTTTTTCCCATTTGTCAAATTTGTCGCATTCATCATGTCCTCTGGAGTATTTCTCTCCGCAATAGACAGCTGCACATGAATGGCACCAAGTCGATGGCAAGTTCGTTCTCAGGAAAGACGTCCACGAAGTAACATCGATCATTCTCGGAACAAGATACCCGCACTCGCAAGGCACGCTACTCTACACGTCAACGCCTTCAAGAACCCATCAACCTACCACCCTCCACGATATGCCCTACTCGGGAAAAAAAAAAGCAAAAGGAACGGTTCGAATACAAACGGCTCCGCACGAGTGCAGCACCTCAATTTTGAATCACATTGCTCGAAGTAAAATGGTATCTTAACAGGGAGGGGGGAGAATAACTCGTTACATCGCATCGCATCCACCACGCAGGGCGAGCACAAGGTGAAGCGTGGCGCCACCCTCGAGGTTGTATTCAGCCGCCGTTTTATCGTCCGCCCTAGATAGTAAGAAATGAGGATGTTAGCTGGATGATCTCGAAAGGATGGATGGTTGGAGAGCTAGCTCTTTATGTGTGGGAAACGGAGGTGATAGGGACGCACATTTGCTTGCCGCCGAAGATGAGTCGCTGCTGGACTGGGGGGATACCCTCCTTCTCCTCGACGCGCTCCTTTATCCGGGAGACCTATTTCCATAAATCCATGTCAGCCTATATGACTCTGGGATATGTTGAGCTCCGTGCGGAGCTGTAGCCTTGTCCAGCCCAACCCACGAAGTGTTTCCGCGCGAGGTTCTCGTAGGTATGCAGGCGTCGCGAATCTCACCTTATAGTCAGGCTCAATATCCAGCTCGATCTCCTTGCCGGTAAGTGTTCGGACCCTAATAGAGCAGAAAACGTTAGCGCCAAGCTGCTCTGGTGTTCCTCTCGGGCCGACGATGATGCAATTGCAGGGCCGCAGGCCCAGGCAGATACCGCCACTTACTTGATCAGCATCGTGGCAGTTCGATAGCTTTTGCTATGGTGTAGAAGGAAGTGGTTTAGGTGGAGGATGTCGGGAGGAGATCGCTTTGTGGTGCTGGTTATGAGAGAAGGTCGTGTTATGTCGATAAGAGTTCTGGAAGGAGAGGGAGTGAGAGCCGCGTTGGCGGGGTTTTGGTGGGGCCAGCGGCCTTATTGCCTGATTGATAATGAGGCCGGTGACGGCTTTATTAGAGGCGGTATTGGTGGCTTTCTTTCAGCTTGGTAGTAGGCTACTTCATAGTTCCTAATAATGGCTACTAGATGATCTCGTAGAGTTAAGTTAAATTTTTTCTTGCTTGATACAAATGCCATCATGTTTTAATCCAGGAGAGTGTTGATTGTTTTGCAAAACCTCCCGGTTCCGTTACGCCCTTGGTATAGTGCCTAAGCTGTTAAATAGAGATTAGTTGCAAATATCTCTAAGATAAATGAAGGAAATGAGGAAGTTTTACTTCGACTGATGGGGTATTTCGCGATAGTCGAGGTTTAATCATGCATGCGACGTACTTTAGTGGGATCGGCACCGAGTACCACCATACTTGAGTGGATATATATCTGCTTTCTACCGCTACCTTCAACCCCAACCAGCTGATCGCGACAGGTGACAGCCCAAGCTACATATTCAGAACTGCGAAGATAGGGTTGAAATGACACAGAAAACCAACAATGACCATCGAAACTCACCAGCAATCTACACGAGTGCAATCAAATGTGTTCAAGCAGCTGATTCTCGCCTGCGAGAATGACACGGTGAATTTTGCTCCTCTCCGGCCAGTCTGGATAATCCCGCTGACCAAGCTTACAGGGAAAACTTCAACAAGCCTTCGAAAAGCACCGATCAGCCCGGAATGAAAAATTCAAACAGCTGATTCTCGACTCCAACTTTCAAACATGGCAGTTTGACGAGATTCTGCATCAAGTCCTCGAGGCCAAACAGGGTATCACCAAATATGTCGACCCAAGAAATAATCTGTCCCTCTGGTCTCGACCACCACGGCACATCCGGGAATTGATCCATGAGATACAACAGATTATAGCCCCCATAGCAGGTCCATGTGAGTCGTTTTCGCTCGACGGTACAGAGTAAACAAGCTAACGCGGGGCTCTAGGCCTTTGGCTCACCCCTTCGGACCATCTCCATATGACTACGTTGGAGATGCTGCCGGCACGGACTCTGGCCGAGGTGAATGAGTTTGAAAGTCTTCTCAAACAGAATACGTCCTTGCAAGATATTGTCAACTACACGCTCACTCACCGTGCCCGTTTGGTACGACCCATAGTCAGCTATGATGCTTCGGCCCTGGCATTGAGTTTCGTCCCTGCCGTGGAAGATGCAGATCTAGAAGGCGATGGAGAGCCAAAAGACAGCTACTCGTACCAGCATCTACGCAGCGATCTCTACGATATCGTGACTGAAGCTGGGTGCCAGCTAGAGGCACGGTACACTGTGCCATCGGCGCATGTTACAATTGCACGATTTGTGCGCCCAGTTGGGTGGTCCGAGAATGAGTCTGAAGAGCCGGGCTTATTTCGCAAAAGAGCCCAAGACCTGGTGGCTACAATCGAGGATATCAACCAGGAATTAACATCAAATAATTGGAAGCGATTTGGCAACCCGTCGCGGGGTGAGTGGAAAGTCGGACAGGAGAAAGGACTGGAGTTGATGAAGGGCCGGTCCTGGTATGGAAAAGGCGAGAGTGTTATTATGGGCAAGGGCTTCCAATAAATTAATTCTTTCGATATTTGGATTACAGAATAGACCATCACAATGAAAGGAGTCACAAAATGAATGGCAAGTGTAGCTTCCCAATTGGGAAATGCGGCCCTCTCAAAGTGATGACTCATCCAAGTCTTGGCGGTGGTAACCCAATCTGGCTAAGCGCGTGACCGAATAGGGCACTAAGCGAACGAAATCCCACAACCACACTCGTCCGCTGGTTCTTCTCCGACAAGCGACATCCAACGACCACCACCTCGCTATCCGGCAACCCAGTCAAAATGGTAAGGCTTTTACGTTCCGTGCTTCAGATTGCTGTGCCTTAAAGTCTTGATCGATCGAAATTTGTTGCGACGTTGCGGAGATATTGTGTGAATGGGAAGAAACGAACTTGTGTGGCCGAACTCGACGCCGTGAACGATGCCGACCGACCGATCCTCGCCAACACTGCGGATTTTACTCTCCCACTGGATCAGCGATTGAGAATACCCGACAATGCGATGTGAAAGTCAACAATCGACTGAGTTGGGACTGCGACCGGAAGGCCGAGACTGAACGCGAGCACCGCACCGTGGAGGGGACGAAACCTCGAAATTTTCGCGCAACCGGGACCAAGCCCGTTTCACGAGTCCATCACATTCAAGAAATGCTTCTCTCGAGCTCGCGCTCGTCAGACACATGAATCTCCGCGACTGCAACAATTTCAAGACATCAGACCCACGAGACACAAGCAAACCTGGACTGGCATATCTTTTCATATCCGCACGGACAATAGCTCACGAATCTCTTTTGCGAACAGGTCAACATTCCCAAAACCCGCCGGACCTACTGCAAGGGCAAGGAGTGCCACAAGCACACCCAGCACAAGGTCACCCAGTACAAGGCTGGCAAGGTGAGAAACCGATCCTTTCCGCTCGCTCCTCGAGGCATCGCTCCAACATCTGCACCGCCGTCGACTGAGCCACAACAATGCAAGAAAACAAAACACTAACGTGCGAATCCACAAATCAGGCCTCCCTGTACGCCCAGGGTAAGCGTCGTTACGACCGGAAGCAGAGCGGTTACGGTGGTCAGACCAAGCCCGTCTTCCACAAGAAGGCCAAGACCACCAAGAAGGTTGTCCTCCGTCTCGAGTGCACTGCCTGCAAGGCCAAGAAGCAGCTCGCCCTCAAGCGCTGCAAGCACTTCGAGCTTGGGTACGTTTTTCTCTTTCTACCACCGAGACTTGGAGTTTCTGGTGTTTTTGCTGTGGACCCTTTTGACTAATGATTTTCTTTTTCTGCTCTACAGTGGTGACAAGAAGACCAAGGGTGCTGCTCTCGTCTTCTAAGCGTTCCATTTCCTTGTTCGGCTTCTGGGTTTCCTGCATTGCACAGACACCTCGCTGTTACTGTGGAGGTCATATGATGGTGGCAATGGAAAAATGAAATAGGAATTCATACCTTCAAAAACAACTCGATGACTACCTGATACGAGTCTTCTTATTCTCCACATCTTTTTTCCACACAATAGATTGAGGTCCTCAGCGGGGGTTCTTGATTCACTGGACCTGGATGCCAGACACTGGTGACCTCCAGGCCGCAAATACCCGTGCCTATTGATTCGTAGATCATACTGCGACCAGAACCCGGATCTCTTGTCTCATAGAGTCCGTTTTCCTTATCTGGGTGACGGACTGACGGATGAAAATGGGACCTTGCAGCTGAAATCCCTAACTGTGTTTCAGCCCCTCATACCACATTTCCCTCGTACTTTCTACTGTGATGGGGAACATGACCTCGCTGTCCTCTTTCAATATGCTTTGCCTATAGTAGGTATGAAAATGGATTGTCCCACCACATGTACCAATCCCATCACGACACCGACTATGGGTCAACTATAGGGTATCTGCCTCACCTAAGGCTGTTTAGTCTTAAGACAGAACTTGGTCCAGGGTCTCATACAATACAACCTTGGATTTGGACTCTGCTATAGAGCCATAGAGAGACAGACAGCATAGCAAGCGAGATCCTGAGTGGAGTTTAGGCGTTGTGTGAGTTGGAATGACCAGAGACCATCAGTACCCGCGGCCATTAGGGTGGAGGAAAAGTGGATCGAGTCCGTCCGTCAACCACCCTAAATCCACGTTTAGTCTTGAGCTCGAAGCAATAATAATTGGCCGATTTCATTATCATTCACCTTAACCGAGGATCGCTTCCCTGTCAATGTGGTCCGGTTTGCCAAGAAGTGTACTGAGCTGTTCTACAAGACCAGCCCCGGGCATTATTCCCCCCATTCCTCAAGATGGCGGGTAGTCGCCTTGTAAGAACTAGCGACTAGCAAGGAAGAGGTTCTCTTGTGCTAGAACCTGGCGCTCAATCCTCTTCCTATCCAAGCAAGACTCGCACCAACCCCGATCCTCAAGCCACAACGCTCATCGACCCCGGGAGGACTCCAACCTCCTCCAAAATCAAGGACACAGCGTGATTTCTAATCGCTAGTCAAAGTGGAACATCCATAGGTCAATCCGCGCCCTTTCAGGCTTTCACCCACCGCATAACCACGAAACAGACCAATCAAGACACCATAAATTGTAGCGAGTCATCGGTTCGGACAACCCCCCGCACTTCCTCCTCCCCCCACGCCAAGCTAAACCCAAAAACCATTCAGTACAGAGTCTCAGACACCCATCTTCCCCGGAGGGCCATTGCATTCAAGACCTCCACACTATCACAAAAGAGTACACAGTCAGAACCAATCACCTCGTGAACTAGTTATTGATATTCGCCTAATTCCCACTTTTGTCCTCGTATCGCCGGCGCATCTCAACCCGTTCACCCCCGCATTTCCCCCAGAATATCATTACCTACTCGGCCGATCTCCGAGCTAACTCGGCCGTCTTGCTACGCTGGGCACCGTGTGACCTTTCCTCGGTTGCTCGGATGAAAGCCGCTGGGTAGGGGTTGTAAATAATAGAGCTGGACTTCCTGGTTATCCTGGTCCCTGCTTGCGCAAACGTACCAGATCAGTCATCTCTCGACCCTGTCTGGACCCGTGCTTGGTATATCGCTGGTCTGATACGCATAATTTCATCATGGCGATGTGGTATTCGCTCGGTATTGCGTTCTTCGCTGCTATCGGCACTTTTTTGTTTGTATGTGCCCATTCGTATGTGTAGGATCGATCTCATGGAACCGGACTGACCTGGACGCAGGGGTTTGATACGGGTATCGCGACGACGAGTGAGTACCCTGATTCCTATTACTCTGCGACGATTTCGAGATCTAAAATCTGCTTCAGCTATCGCGCACCAAAGTTGGATTGATTATATGAAAAAGCCCTCCAATGGCTTAACCGGAGCTGTATGTTTAACCCCAGTCAATCGACACACAGCGCTCTCTCTACCGCCGAGTCCTCCCTGACTGATCATCCTCCAGGTGGTGGCCGTGTATATTGCCGGTGAGGCCGGCGGTGCTTTGACGCAGACCTTCATCGGTGATAAATTAGGTCGCATCCGATTCATGCAGCTGATGTGCGTGATCGTGACCATTGGCACCATCATTCAGACTGCCTCTGTAAACATCGGCATGTTCCTCGCTGGTCGCGCACTAGCCGGCTACGCAGTCGGGTAAGCCCATCCATCTAGCAATTCATGCTCAAACCCATCGACATCATCGCACCTTCGCTAACTATGCATCCTCCAGTGGTATGGTCGCCACGGTACCAATCTACCTCAGCGAAATCTCCGACCCACGTTTCCGCGGCCTGATCGGTGGTATCTCCGGCTGCGGTATCTCCTTTGGCACCATGATGTCCAACTGGGTCGGTTTCGCCTGCAGCTATGCCTCCTACGGCCCCGTACAGTGGCGTCTCCCTCTCGGAATCCAGATCCCCTGGGGCGTGATCATGTTCGTCGGCTTGGCAACGTTTATGCCCAACTCACCGCGTCAGTTAATCCGTAACGGGAAGATTGAGGAAGCGCGAACTGAGTTTTCGCGGATTCGACGGGGCGTGAATTTGCATGAGGTTGAGGAGGAGTTTATGCTTATGCAGGCGCAGATTGAGTATGAGATGGAGAGGGAGATTACGAGCTATCGCGAGATTTTTAAACTTTTCCGTCGTCGGGTTTTGGTGTATGTATCACTCTGATTCCATCCCTGGGTTTCATGCAGTCCGGAGGGGAGAGTGGAGCGCGGAGATGACCTGTGGGGTATCAGTGGCTAACTAGGTTTTGATAACAGGTCCATTGCTGTGCAGACTATGACTAGTCTGACTGGCGTCAACGTGATTCAGGTACGTTCCGCTATACACTGATGGCGGCGCCGACCCGTCCTTTCGAGAAGCCTATTCTAACCTTCATCCCCACAGTACTATCAAAGTGAGCCTCGCCTCGTGCAGATCTCCGATATCCAACGTTCCAAGCTCCTCTCAAGCATCGGTAACTAATATGATCCGCAGCAATTCTGTACAAATCCCTCGGCATTGGCTCACACCAGATTCTCGCCCTTGCTGCCGTCTACGGCACCATCGCCTTCCTTTCAAACGCTATCACTACAAAGTTTATGACGGATCAGTGGGGCCGCCGCAAGTACGTGACCTGACCCGCTGTGCAGATGTGGAGCATGAAGCAGGTGAAATCGATAATCTGTAGTACTCGAGACTAATAAATTGCATAGGATGCTTATCACCGGATTGGCGGGCATCGTGCTCATCGAGATCTACGCCGCTGTTATGCAGCGCGAGTTCCAGAATACCAATAACCGGGTTGGCAAGGGCTTTGCTATTCTGGGGATTTATCTTTTCGTCGTGTGCTACTGTAAGTGGTCCTGCGTGGTGATTGCCGTTGTGGAGTCGGCTTTGGTTCTGGGGAAAGGGGTCTCCCGGGCCGAGATAGGGAACTGCATTGCTAACGTCCTGGGTTTTCGTCTAGATGGTATGCTCAACAGCACAACCTGGCTCTACGGTGCAGAGGTCCTACCCATCGCACTTCGCAGCAAAGTGATGGGTCTCGCGGCTGCCTCACACTTTATCGTCAATGTTGCCAGTAAGAGTCCCCTCATCCTCCAGGCTGATTTCACAGTGACATGATCACGATCGCTCATACAAAATTCAAAACAATAGTCACCGAGGCTGGGCCCAGTGCATTTGCCAATATACACGAGAACTACTACTACGTCTTCGTAGTGTGTTCCGCATTTTTCCTTGTCATTGCATACTTTTACTTCCCGTACGTACTTGCATCACCTCATTTCTCAAACTACAACATTATCTGACACTTTCATACAGCGAAACTAAGCAAAAGACCCTTGAAGAAGTCGCTGCTTCCTTCGGCGACCGGGTTGTCCTGGCTGATGAGGCTCCTAAGCGAGTCTCCGTTGCAGGAAAGGCTGATCACATTGAATCGGCCGACCCGTCCGCCTCAGCGTCGGCATCAGCTTGAACAACGAGCTTCTTCATTCGGAATCGTAGGATTGCGAGATTATCTCATAGGTGGGTATATGTATACGCAATGGTGGCGAGATTGAGTCAGCCCCGGGAGGTTCCTGCGTTCTTGGGTCTAGCTGGATACATAAGAATAGTAAACATATATATCTACAAGGCACACCCAATGAGACGTGATCCACATTAGAACTGAAGCGAGTTCCCTTCTAAGCAATGAGCTTTTCCGGGCAGAGATGCATTTTGCTAAAATTGAACATTCTCGGTCTTTTGTACACCGACACTACTAGTAGTAGTTCGTAGACGTGCCTGGCAAGATGACACCTTCCTAAATAAGTGGTTGTACCCTCTTTCCCGCTTGATCCCGGACAGACGCATCATCATCATCGGGTAGCTTCCGAATAACAACCGGCACCGGTTCCTAATTACTAGGTATGCACTAGGCTGGTTATTTTCGATCTTGACCTACAAGATGAGAATACCTGCATATAAAAGTTGATAGATCACAAAGCAGCACATATTCTAGATAAAACATTCTTCCGGAGTCACTGAAATTTTCTCCAACAAAATTTTCTCCCGTTCAGCCCCGATCCACCTACCAGCGCTAACGACTAGGATCGGACCCGTCACGCTGGATCCACGCTAGCGTGCCCCGTTCCATTCGGGTGGGCTAGATTGGATATCAGATTTCCGAATGCCAGGTTTATGTACTGTTGATCATCTCCATGTTTCGAGAGATTCGGTGAGAAATTCAGAGTTCAGAGTTCACCTTTAGGCTATTGTCGATCCCCATGCACTCTACCTGACTGTCGGGTGCATTGAGTATGTATACGCCCGTAAATACTAATTGCCGACTATTCAAGCCGTGTGACTTGCACCCCTGTCATCCGATGCAGAATGTCCACTTCCGAAGGAAGAAGCAAAGACAGAAACTAGTTAGGTAGGAGTCAACAAATGAGAAGCAAGAAGTAAATCCCAAGCTCCATTGCCACGCGAGAATCCCTGATCGTGGTCGATCCAGTCGCGCATGTGTCGCTCGTGTCCCGGGGGGATGGTAGAAGAAAGCCTCAGAACTTAGGGGGGGGGGGGGACTTGCCTAGTTTGGCAATGGTGGTTGGGTTATTGTTTATAACGATGTGCATCTCCATGTTTGTGGTTAAGCCCCACAGATCTATAATTCTATAGTCTACAATGTTGCTAAGGTTTCATTGTGGGTTCATTCCCAGCCAAGCCGGTTTCCATATCCCACTCCCAAGATTCCCAAGATTCCCGTACAGTGGTAGAAATAGTGCCGGGCACCGTGCAGAGCCCGATCGCTCGGGGAGGACATTATTTGCCACCGTGCATTGTGCAGGGCAGACGATGTATCTCTCCTTCGAACTGTAACTTCTATGACTCCTGTCAAATTGATCTGGCGGCTCGGCAGAGATGATCGGCTAGCGGAGATCGTCGAGGTATCCCTCCCCGGGCCCCCCCTGCCACATGCTACAATTAAGTTACATAACGACAGGACTATACATAAACTATCTTCTAACTATTAGCCATCCAATAAGAGTCTGGATAAATTTTCCCCAACCCCTTGACCTCTCACGCATAAACACCCCCTTACCCCATGGCAGATCCTTCCCCTCCCTTCCGGGGATGCGTTTAACCCCGGTGCCCGTGGACGCTGATCAATTCCCCCAGATTGACTTGAATCTCTGTCAATCTTACGAACACGAGGTCTGAGCACCGGTTGCTTCTCCCCTGATCAACAGCCGATGGATTCACATTCCGCACATTCCGCGCTTTTGAATTTGCTCTTTGTTACATCCTTACAGTCACTAGTGCTGCACGGAGTAGGGCGCGCCATGTGGAAATTTAGGGTTGCGCTTTGGGCGGAGATTGCCCGCTTGGCTGTCTTCTCTGGGTTTCCCCATTTTTCACGCTTGCCCTTGCTTAGGGAGGATCAATGGTGGATTGTTTCAGGTCGTGATCGACAATTAGCCTCCGCGGAAGTTCTGTTCACACTGTGGCTGCCACTATTGTAGGAGTGATTCAGATTTGTCGTATCTGAATAATCAGGGGCCTTGGAATGATCTCCGATGTTCGCAGTTGCTTCTACTGACTTCTAGGCTGTTATTTTCGTTGTGTTATTGTTCGTGCAAATTGTGAAAAATTGTGTCTATATCATCATCCACATACTTCGTATTGCAGTTTGGTATCTGTGGAACCGCGATTGCTCAACCGTGGCCGGTGCCGCCGGATGTGGAAATCTGTTGCCTCAATTTGACTACCTATACGAAGATGAACCAAGATTTGAGATGATTCGATCAGAGTTGCCCACGAATAGTTATTATTTTAATATCGGCGACCACATCTCTACACTACAAAGGGTTCCACGTAGTAAGCTCTGATATGATTCGAGCATGGTTCATTTTTAGGGGTCGGCGACCATCTATTTGATATACTAGATAGCTTCACCGTGCTTCCTCTTCTTCTCTGGCCACCACTGTCTAACTCCAGCTACCATGTGCCTTGCCATCTAGCCGTGTCATTCTCCTACTGGATATAGCTACAGTGCCTAATCCCAGGGACTCGGTACGGCGACAGGCAGTGACGTTTCTGGGGAACAGGGAACCTGCACGAAGAAGAAGAAAATATTCATCCGAGCGCATGCTGGCCTATAACTTGAGAACAGCCTTGTGATTCCTGCACTAGATCGTTAGTTCGCGCTAGTCGCCAGGGAAAAAAAAGAAAAAAACGTTGACGCTGTGGCGTTCTACAAGTGGCTTAGCCTGCACTTAACCCGATTCATGCTAGCCGCGACGCATCACGATTCGTATCGACCACTAGACATCTTCGATTGTTGCTTGGGCCTCTTATCCAGTGGCAAAACGCACACCCTCGAAGAAAAAATCCTGCAACTGAGTACTGTAGTCGTTGGCAGTCGCATCACCGTAAAGAGAAGCTGTCGCACCATTCCGCCCGTCTTGGCAATTCTGAAAGCCCGACCTCCCCGTTTCGGGATTCTCTTGATCTCTCTCTTGCCGTTCTGCCCGTACTTCATAGCCGGGTTTCACACCGATAATCAATCATCCATGCATCATCATCCTTTTCATGCCCTTCTAGGGCCCAAGCAGTTGACTCCTCGCATCTCATGTCGCAGCCCATCCATTCCCCCGGGATGAAGATCGGAGCCCCTAGTTTATCACTATCACATCGGGAAAATCAGGGGTCTACCAGCCACCATGCTTCCTTTCCCCCCGGGAACGGAACCACCTTCTAGAAGGACAGTTAGAGCGGGTCCCTTGAGCACGGTTGGCAGAGTGCCATGTTGTAGGTTCTAACCATGGTGGTGGGACATCATTATTGATTTTCTTGCTCTGCCTGTCAGGATAGTTAATACCCTATTCTGCATAGCGTGAGCCCTGGGAATTCTTCGGAAGTTACCCTATGGCTTCCTACAGGTCAGTTTCTCCCAGCCCGTGGCTGGCACATAGTTTAATTTATCCGAAATGCAGAGAGTTCGAGACAATCGGCAATCTGGGAGGCTCACTTTACTTTGTGTAGTCAACTAAATAACTCAAACGGAAAAACCTTGATTCGAGTTTCGGATGCAGCGGGTCCACCCCCTTGACCTTCGAAGGCTTCTAGAAATGTTCCATGGACCCACTTGGCGTCGGGCGCTCCGCGCTATTGTCAAAAAAAAGTTTTTCTCCATACAGGGCTGGCTCTGGAATGTCTGTTTTCTGGAATTTCCTGTGCCTGCATGGCTTTTTTCCCACACATTATTTCGTATTTATTCATTATTCTTTATTCATGCCACGGCATATTGTCACTACCGAGAAATTACCCTATTCAATTATCAAACTGCAAAGAAGGGGGGCAAAACGGTGAGGCGTGTCTCTTTTCAGCTTATCCTGCGCTAATCCTCAAAGTTCGCACGTTGCCTCCTGTCGGAGGCGACCCTGGAAAATCATTTTACTCCCACATTTAATTGTCATGAATTTTATGCGGCCTGTGCTGATCAATTTTTGTCATGTACTTGAATCCTTGACAGAACGCATGACGCACTGCTTGATCGTTCATTCCCCAGTCGTCTGCGACGGAAACTTTAAAGCTTCTATCCTTTCCCTCTTCTTCTTCCCCCCACCTGTCAAGTTCGTGGTGGATTTGGAACAGAATTTTTTCTATATCTTTAGATCCCGACCCAGATTCAGATCACCAGTTTCCACATTCTAAATCTAGACCCAGTGGATGGGTAAAAGTGGGCACGTCAGAACTGGAGCATTACAAACAGCCACCGGTCCACCCGGCCCATTGTCATCGCTTATTGAACTCAAGTATTGTTGTTGATCGTGAACCCTCTCGTCTGTGCATCTCAACTGCAAAGAAGTCATCGACAGAAAATTTGCATCAACAACAGATACAGCCTTCACAGACATTATAGCCTGTTTATCTATACAGAAGGCTTGTCATGACTTCTTCATCCCGGTCATCCGGGAAACGTCTCCCTATCAGCTGTCAAGCATGTCGCACACGAAAAATCCGCTGTTCAAGAGATGGTCGTCCCTGCCAGACGTGTGTGCGACGTGGTCTTGGCGCTGAAGACTGCATCTACCTCGGCCAACCTCGACTCTCCTCAGAACAATCTCCCACAGCGGACCCAATGGTTCAAAAAGAACTACTCGCACGCATCCGCAATCTCGAGGGCCTGCTACAAAAACAGGTCCACTCGCAGGCGGGGACTCCCGCCGGTGCGACATCACCTTTAGGTGCCGCCAGTGCCACGGGGAGCTTCTCTGAATCTGAGCTAGGTGTTTCCCTGGAGGCGTGGGGAAGCCCGTTGCTGGGTAATGTTGGTACCCTTCACACGTCGCCCTCGGGCCATGTGCGGTACGTCCCGCTTGCTTCGCAGTGGGAGTCGGTCGTTGCGAAGAGCCCCGCTGCGGAGTGTTTGCGGAGCTCGGATGCGGACATCGCGGACGATGATGATCTACAGATTCCACTTGCGCGTAATGGAAGTATCTCTCGGGCTGAGTTGTTGGCCTTGCTCCCGCCGGGACGGTATTGCGATACCCTTAAAGAAGTTTACTTTCGAGTATTCTCTCCTGTATGTTTCTCCCCCGGTTCCGTGTAGAGGCAGAGTATGCAGTTGGCTTGGACGATGACTGACATGTTTTTAAGGTCTTCCATATTCTTCACGACTTGACATTCGAGGCCGAATATCAACAGTTCTGTCATGATCCTGGCAGTGTATCAACGGCCTGGATGGCCCTGCTCTTCGCTATCCTTGCGATAGCGGTTAGTGCTTTGAATGACGACGACCCCCTTCTCGCTGATCTCGGACGGGAAAGGACAGTCAGCCGGAATATCAAAGTGCTCTCAGCACGATACCGATCTGCAGCACTGCGCTGCTTGGCCGCAGACGGTGTCATGACTCGACATTCAATCAACTCGCTCCAAGCTCTCGTTCTCATCAGCTACGCCCGGCTACACCGTGGCCTTCCATTCTGGACCCTTCTTGGCTTCACCAACCACGTTGCTATCTCAATGGGTTGCCATATTGATCCCGAAAGGTTCAGTCTAGGCCCCATTGAGCGCGAAGAGCGCCGCCGTGTCTGGGCCGGTCTCATGATGCTCTACACTATTCAAAATACCTCCTTTGGTAGCCTAGACCAGACACAACTCCCACAGGATGTGAAGCCACCAGCAGACGTCGACGATGTGGATCTCCTTACTGCTCCATCAATTTCTATTACCTCCAACCCATCCTCCCCGATCCTCACTCGCCCCACACAAATGACCTTCCTACTCCTTACATCCCGTCTCTACAAGGTCTCCAACCGCATCTGCGAATCCATTTTCACATACCCGCAATCTCGCTTCTCTACCTCCCAACTAGAATCGGAAGTCCTAGCTATCCGCGAGCTCTGTGACGCGAGGTATAACCTCGACACAGCGCGCGATCCGCTCCCTGTTCACCACCAGGCAAACCTGAACATTCTCTACGCTCACATCCACCAATTACTCCTGCTCCTACTACGACCCAGTCTCTGCCAGTTCCTGCAGGGCGAGATCACATCCGAGACATGCGAGGCTCGTGGGAAATGCATGGCTTCTGCCAAGGCCTCACTATCCATCTTCCAGTCCCTTCTCGAGAACCCACAATTCGCGCCATATAAGTGGTATACCAGCGGATTGGGTAGCTTCCATGCCTTCCACGCGGCGGTAGTCTTGGCCGTCGGTCTGATGAACCCGGAGAATCAGGCTGAATTCGACGAGACGAAAGAGATACTCAGCAAAGCGCTGGATATGTTTGCCTCGTTATCTGTACGAAGTATCTTCTGCAGCAAAGCCATGCCCATTGTCCGGCAGATTATGTACGTCTTTCCTCTCTCCCGTCACCCTTTCTCATCCTCTCATCATAACCCATAAGAACTGTACTAACCTACTCACCAGCGACGTAACATCAACCCAATACCAACAAACCCAACAACACAAAACCCCCCTCCAATCCCAACTCCACCTCCAGGCCCAAATAAACGCCCAAGCTATCCCCCAGCAACAATCTATGCCCACCTCTCTGGCACCAGCGCTCTCCTCAATCACCATGCCAGACAACTTCATGCTTTCACATTCGCACTCACAAGCGAACTCACCCGTGCCCACGATTGCGTCCACATCCAGTGATCCAACCATGCAATCTAGTTTTGGATTGCATTTGCATCCGCAGAATTGGCTAGGGCCAACGTCTGTGCCGTGGGATACGCTTGGTGCGTCGATGGGGCAGTTTAAGTTTGAGTCGGATGTTGTGTAGGGCTGTTCGAGGGCTTATTTTGCTTTGTCTGCTATTTTCTTCTATATGGTCTGGTCTTTACTTTGTGATTAATTTGGACTCGGTGGCACTTGTGTCTGAGAATTTGGGGTTCGGTTTTGGTTATGGGGATACCTAAAAGCTTTTGGGACTTGGGCGGATAACTTTCTGGACTGGAGTGGATGAGCGGTTGGCTTTTTTTATTTCGGGTTGGCATTTCTGTTTCTTTTCTGCCAAATCAGCTTTTTATGAGATCATGACCTGGGGAAGGGGATTTATTACAATTTTATTATATCAATTTCTTCTTTACAGATTTCAATGCAAGTCTCTAGTAATCTATGACAATTTGTCTCTAACACCTCGAAGTAGTTTTTGTAGTAGATCGCATTATCTGGGCAAATGCCTGGACGATCAGACTGAATACTGGTATTAATATCACTAAAACTGTAGTGTCTTTTGATTGTTATCCCGTTACGTTCCTGAAAGTTCGCACGATCCAGTAGTGCCCAGCGTATATGCCGATGGCACGCGGAATATCCCAGATATCGGAAAATTTACGAGATTGACCGTGTAGAGCTCGAAATTTTCGTATACCGAGTAAACAACAATAAGCCAAGTCCCAATCAGGTCGGTTTGACGCAGCACGCGTGCCGATCGATGCCATTCAGGTCCGTAGCGGCACGGCATCTTCCGCCAACATCAACTCAAAGATGCTAAGAAGATCAGATTATTGCGAGATCCCACCCTATCCCTCCAAGCGAGGAGAAATGTTGCATGATCGACACTTTCCAGCGAGATCCGGAATTATGTCTACTTCCCCTCCAAGCAGGAAGTAAACTCAATCTTGGCACGTCCCACCGACAAGACCAATGTGGACTGCGGAAATCCACCAGAACACTTTAGCATCAAGCCATCAACCACCACTGACCCTCTTCTTCGCCCACTCGTGCAGGATGCGCGTGCTCTGATTTGAGTCGGAGACCGGCAGGGGATCACTCGTCACGGCCCACGCCGGCGCCCAGAGCTAAGGCTTAGCGGCTTTGCATCCCCCACTATCTTCATGGTGGATGGACATCTGCATCCCAGAGGGGTCGTCTCGTATCGTTTATGCAGCAGTGTGCCTGTCAATCCTTGCGAATCGCGGGTTCCGATTGATGGGGCACGTAGATTGTCGCCAATCGGATCGGTTTCGTTTCTATCGGTTGCGTCCTAACTGGGTAGCTCTTGAGAGCTCTAGTCTTGCATCGGTCGCACCGGTTGATGAACCCCGCAGCGCGAGATTCCGGAATATCTCCATGATGTTCTGTCTAGCCGTGTGATACTAACACGAGACGATGGGCTGTGAATATACACGTGGGACGTAGCGAAGACGAGATGGCCTTTTCTTTTCGGTGCGAAGGCCGCCGTCGCGAAGACGAGCAGGGATTGCGATGGCTATAAGAAGCATGCAAAATCCCCTGCAATATGAAATCTTCAAGTTGTCGCTCAGCCCTTGACTTCAATCAACCTCAGTTTCTGGATTCCAGATGCATCCCAGCGCCCTCCTTGGCCTCCTGGCCTTTGCAGCTGCTGTGACTGCTGCTCCTCCCAAGCGTCACTCCAATGCCCACTCGAGCGCTTCGGTCAAGAACCTGAAGAGCCAAATTAAGAATTTGGTCATTCTAGAGATGGAAAACCGCTCCCTGGACAATCTCCTTGGTGGTCAGACTCTCAAGGGCCTCGAGAACCCTATCAACAACGGCCCATACTGCAACCCATACAACCTGACCGACTCTTCTCAAGGCAAGGTCTGCAGTGCTGCCAAGGACTTTGATTCTATCCTGGATGACCCGGATCACTCAGTCACTGGCAACAACATTGAGTTTTACGGAACTTTCATCCCCGATAATGCTGCCATTGCCAGTGGCAAGCTCACTCCTACCCAACAGGGTTTCGTGCACGAGCAGCTGCGCCGTTATGGTGCTGATGTGAACAAGACCTCGCTCGCCAAGCAGGTTTTGAACTACTACACCGAAGACGAGGTGCCTGTTTTGACTTCGCTGGTGCAGAACTATCTGACCTTCAACCACTGGCACTCCGACCACCCCGGCGTAAGATAGCGCAATGTCAATGTCATATTGGACTCTCAGACTAACAACTCTCTAGCCCACCAACCCGAACCGGGCCTATGTGCTCTCTGGTACTTCTGCCGGCCACGGCACGAACGACGACGCCTTCGACTCCGATGTCCACGGCCTGACCCAGCGCTCTATCTTCCAGCAGCTGTCCGAAACCAACCACACATGGAAGAACTATTACACCAACACCGGCATGGTCGACGCCTTCTTCTTCGACTGGACCTTTACATCGGGCAACACCGACAAAGCAGTGCCACTATCCACCTTCTACTCTGACGCTAAAGCCGGCACCCTCCCTGAATTCAGCTTCATCGACCCATCCTGCTGCGGCACCGGCACCAACTCAATGCACCCAACCGGCCTAATCTCCGACGGTGAAACATTCATCAAAAACGTATACGATGCGCTCCGCGCCTCTCCCCAGTGGAACCAGACACTCTTCATCCTGACCTTCGACGAGACTGGCGGTTTCCACGACCACGTCCCCCCGCCCCTTGCTGCACGCCCGGATAACTTGACGTACACCGAGACTGCGCCTAACGGCGAGAAGTACACTTTCTCGTTTAACCGTCTTGGTGGGCGTATCCCTACTTTGTTGATTTCGCCGTGGGTTGGTAAGGGTCTTGTCGAGCAGAAGGGTACCAACTCAGATGGGCAGACTGTTTCGTACTCTGCTTCTTCTATCCTGCGCACTCTAGGTTATTTGTGGGACTTTGAGCCGTTTACGCCGCGTGTTGCTACCTCGGCTTCGTTTGATCATTTGATTACGAATGTCAAGCGTAGTGATACTCCTGTGACGCTGCCCGAGCCCCAGTCTTTCAAAGTGAAGGCGTAAAAGGATGTTGGATGGGTCCAGGCTGGACTTGGATACTATGGAGCTACATTATCATAGATGTGGCAATTGATTATTTACTTTGAATAATCATAGATTTGGCCAGAAATGCGCTCAAATAGTAGGAATGAACTCTGTATGCACAACAGCTACATTTAGCTTTGGCTCACTACTTCAAAGAGGCTGAAATTCAGCGCACCGATATAGCTTATTACGAGTTTACCCCGAAAAGTTACTCTCACTCCGTTCCCGACTTTCTCCCAAGATTGCCCCAGATTATTTCCGAGTCTTTCCCACTTGTGTTACCATAAGATACTACAGAACTGGTGGCTCATGTACCGATCATATGAATTAATAAGCTGGTCTCGACTTATCATGAGTGCCGTTACCTTGTGTTAATGTAATATAGTGGAAGAATAGAGCTTACTAAAAGAGAAAGTCGAGATTTAGCTTACATGCCACTGTGTAATCCCCTTGAGGTAACTCTTTTCTATGAGGCAGTACGGAGCACAAAGGGACTGCTACACTTCGGACTTCCTATTGGCTAATCTCAACTTTAAGGTGAATCTTAAGATGCAGCTACAGTAGTTTGAAAGTTTTTGGCCGCCGGAGTTCCTTTCAATTTAACGGGGGCCGCATATAGGAAACTGTGGAGTAGTATGGGATTATTGCATATTCGAGAGGGCAACTTCAGATTTCTACTGTATTGATGCAAATAAATCCTCTCCGTTCTTGACAATAAGAGAATCCGAACTGAAGTGGCGCGTAGGCTACGCGTAGCATGGTCCTCGGGAAGGAACTTCGGCATCGAAGCTGTAGCAAGCCTTACGTACCGGTGCATTTTAGGACTTTAGTACCGAAACCGCAACAGAGTCTGGCATCGAGAGGCCGAAAGCTGCGCACAGGATAGGAATTAGAGTTCATCTCGGCCATATGCCCCGAATATGCCACCCCACAACCCCGTACCTACCCCATGCGTATCATCAATTCACCCACGCCTAGAAACGTCACAGCCGGTTAATGATTCACTTCTTAGCATATCTACTGCTCATGTTAAAATAAGCGAAGGCAACTTTAATTACTGGTAAGCCATCCGTGCCAACCACAATTAGGCAGCCATACGCTTGTAAGATCACGTGCGCTTATAGTTCCCCGTTAACACTGGACGACAGGCCGCGTCATCCCCCACAAAGGCAATGTACCATGGCGGACTAGTTCATAAAGATGGAGTTCTCAAACCTGCGATCCGGGAAAAATTCCCCACGCTGAAGTTAAACTGTCCCGCAATCAAGGGAGCCGCGAGTGCGTTGCGAGAAATGTGCTGTACATTGTAATGAGCCTAACATGTAAACGCGGAGAGGGTGGAGCCAAGTCTGTTCGACAATCGTCGATTCTCTGGAAATCGTGTCTAGTCATTTCGCTTAATGAATCTAGTCATTTCCCTTAATGAATGTCCAACCCTTTACTCTTATGGTCTTGATTTCGAAGCAGAAATTCACGTGAACTACTACCTATCACGTCAGGGCAAATGGTAATTTCTCCAAATTCGGGCGTAGTACGCGAAAAACTGGCGATGAATCATTGGAATATACTGAAAGGACAGCAGATTCATCGTCGCCACGTTTTGTTTACAAGTAAGCATAGTGTGGGCAGCTGCGCGGGGACTTCGGTTAGTTCGCACAAACATGGCCAAAACAGGAAATCGCCAAGCATACTGGTCTCGAAAACAATTCGTGACCTTGTGAATACCCCAGAGTATTGCCCAATAGTAACGAGAGGGCGCAGGAGGCTTGAAACCCCAGAAGAGAACTAAGGTTAATTTAGGTGGAGGAAGTCATTCGTTTAGTAAGTGGACATGTATGGACCTAAAATGGACTAGTGCATACCAATCATATACATACAACTACGGTTCGAAGCAGCTCAGAATCCAAATATCAGTGTTATTATTGGACTCTTTAATTGGATTAGAATTGAGGCAAAGAAGAAGTATAGGAGACAAGATGCCGTTAATTTCCAGAGCTTTTATAGCATTTAAGCGCTAAGTGAAGTAGCATTATTCATCTAAGTATTGATTATATTTTAACTCGGCAAATCATCCTTGAAATGGAGAGGCAGGATGTGGCGATTTATAGAGAAACCTACATCCAATGAAACCTCAGGTTAGCTAGGGGCTGGACCTGGGTGTGGTGGGTCTTGAAGGGGAGCCTTTAACTACAAAAGGCTGTGATAGCATAAAATGCCGACTTTCTATGCCGTCTCAATGAATTTTAAGGACCCCAGGTGCAAAGCTTAGACAAAAGCTTGTCAGTAACTTGACTGCCTGATACAGGTACCGAATTTGCGGGGTAATGCATGCTTAATATTGACAATTTTATACTTCCAGAAATCTTGGATAGGGGGATTTAAAAATTTCATATAAATGATGTATTAGCAATCAGTGTTCCGCTCTATTTCGTTCAATTTTTGCATAGAGCAACAGCAAATCTTGATCACCTCTTCTGTGCGAGAATGTTTGGAATTCTCATTGGCATATTATGCCTCAGATCTGCCCTGGGAAAAGCAGTTAGTGTCCCAGAGTTACAGATCGTGACCTCCAGTGGTACTGTGGAGGGAATTTACAACAATTCTGCGAAGACAGTTCGAGGCTGCATCGGTATCCCGTATGCGGAATCCCCCGTAGGAGATCTGCGATGGGCTCCTCCGGTGATGAAATCGCGTTCGAAGTCCTCGATCGACGCATCATCCTTCAGGAGTCCCTGCATGCCGTCTTATTCCTATTCCAACCAGTCCATTTGGAGTGTCCTACCGTATGATATCTGGAACTCGGGAGATATGTCAGAAGACTGTCTGTATATGAACGTTTGAACACCAGCAAACTTGAAGCAAGAGAAAGCAACTGTCTTGATGTTTATTTACGGTGGAGGTTTTACCGAAGGCGCGAGCTCGGTAGCCTTTTATGATGGAATGGAACTTGTTGCAAACAACAAGGATGTTATTGTTAGTCTGCCGCGAACCAAAGCTCCACTTCTTCGGCCACGACCACCGCTCAGGCTGTTGAGAACGATAGTGTCGAAATCTCCAGTGCTGCCGCAGTACAAGAGAAGGAAGAACATTCCAAGACGACAACACAACATATTGATGAGGTTTCCGATCCTTTCTTGCACAAGGGCAATCCATCCAAGAGTCAGTTCAATGTCTACGTGGTTGACAAAGAGTGGACCAAAACCCTCTGGCTCGCCTTCTGGGTCCCATGGAAACTACACCTTTACCCAATCGTCCACTACGCCGCATTCGTTGTATCATGGTCAGCAAGCTGCTTTTTGACCGTCAATCTCACCCAGAGCCAGGCCTTGACTGCCCCACCTTACAATTGGTCTAGCCAGGCTGTTGGATTCACCAACTTTGCCCTTCTCGCGGGTATCATCATTGGTCTGGCAACAAGTGGGCCTTTGTCGGATTGGATTTCGATGTGAGCCACAAAGAAGAATGGCGGAGTTCGAGAGCCGGAAATGCGCTTGCCCACTATGATCCCATACGTTTTGATTGCAATTTTGGGCAACTTTATGATCGCTTATGGATACGAGCATCAGTGGGACTGGAGGGTAAGTTAGCGACTTTACATCTTTCTTTCTTGCACCTGATTTTTTCTCGTTTTTCGTGAGTAACAGCGTGCTGATAATTGTCCCTATTAGGTCATCGTCATTGTCGGCTATACCTGCGCTGGTATTCAGGTGGCTGCACTGCCCACCATTGCAAGCACCTACGTGGTTGACAGCTACAAGCCAGCCGTCGGTTCTATTCTCGTCGCAATCACAGTGAACAAGAATCTCTGGGGCTACGGCTTTAGCAAGTTCATCACCCCTTGGACCGAGTCAGCTGGCTACCTCCCTGCTATCATGACAAACATGTGTCTCACCGTCTTCTGGTGTTCGTTCGGCTTCCTGTTCTACTTCGCAGGCAAGAACTATTTCCGAAAGTGGACCGCCAAATCCAGCATCTGGAATCTGGAATCGCATTAATACAGAAGTTTGTACATAATTGATAGCTGTTGCTGCATCATATTGTTACAGAGATGATGTTGTCAGGTTACTATTGATGGGTCCGCTTGATCTCAGTTGCTCTCCAATGGGCTCGCGCCGATCATAATACTGTCAGCTTGCTCCGATAGCTTCCTACTAATCTGTGCTTTGCCATGAAGTACCGTCACTGGTATTACTTACCTAATTGAATATTAAAATATTTTACTCTGGAATCCATCATAGACGTCTAAGAGTGCATACGAACAACATACTTGTAACTATTGGAACTATTATGAGCACCGTCCGTGCGTTGAAGAATTTGGTCCCTTCCTGCTCTGCTATTGACCGTCAGCTAAATCTTAAAATCTTGTTTTGTCGCTCTATAATTTCCGAACTATACACTGGATTTCAGAAATAATTTCTCAATTCAGAAGAGCAGATAACAGGGTCCTAAAGGAGTGTTTCGTATCTGACATCAAAGTAACACAACATCAATCTAAGCTCGATGAGTTCATAATGAGTACTAGCATGATTAAGTTCGTGTCCAAAGACCTGAAGCTGTTTTCATCACAATTTCAAACAATCATCAGTGACAAGATTGCAGACATTAAAACACCTACATCATGAGCCACGAGAACAGGCCCAACAACGCCAAGGCACCGACATCGCCGGCAGTGCGCATGGTATTTGCTGCATTAGTTGTGGTGGAGGTAGAAGCGCTCGTCTTGCTTGCCGATCCAGTAGAAGTAGCCGTAGCTGTGCCAGTAGCTGTGCTGCTAGTATTTTCGCTGCTGGCAGTACCAACCACACCACCGAAGACGTTTGCCGGTACGGTCGAGTCTTTAGCCTTTGCTGCTGCTGCCTTGAACAAGTCTAGAGTATCTCCGCTAGAACTGCAGGTAAAGAATGGTTAGTTGACAAGTTCCGGATTGAGCACGGTGGTTGTATGTACTTACGGAGGATTGATGACTCCGACCATGCCGGCCTGGCAGTGTCCCTGCACACCACAATACAGCCAAATAGGGTCGGTGTTGTTGACGGTCACCGTGAAGACAGTTTTCTACTGATATTAGAACTCTACCCTTGGCCTGTCAGGACTTGATTATCTTACTGATTCCTGGCTTGTCTGGAAGAATCCACTGAAGAAACCTCCACTGCTAATTGGCTGGCAGGGGTTGTCAAAGGAAGCTTGGACAACTGAGTGGTCTGGTGGGTAGAAGTGGAACTCGACCTTGTCACCCGGAGAAACTGTCAAGGAATCTGGGTTGAAGGTGAGGCCATCTTCGCCAACATCAACGGTGTGAATGCCACTAGCAGCCGAGGTGGTTGAAGTGGTTGACGATGCGGCAGTTGTGGCAGAGGATTTAGCTTGATTTCCATACTGGGCATGGATCAAGGGAAGTGAAGAGAAGAGAGCGATAGTGCTGAGAAGGTTCATCATGGCTGCGACTTGGCGAAAAATGCCTTTGGTTTGGGAACCGGAAATATAGCTTCCTACAGATCCTATTTATGGTCGCTCGTTTATACTTGGAACCTTTACCTCCAACCATGGGATTTTGAATTAACATGACAGCCTAGATGCTTCTTTACGAGAACGATAACTCTAAACGTTCGAGACCACGCGGTTCCAGCCACCGTGTCGCAGGAAACGCGGTGTGGCTTCCCACGCAATGACAAGGTACTGTATAGTCAAGCCTTGGATAGTTAATTGATTGACATGCTAAATCTTATTTGGAGCTTGACCAAACCTAATATGGCAGGTCAATTAATTTATCTATAGCATAGCCACAACTCCAAACGCACAGTTTAATTTTCCGTGAACGCAGCTCAAGCTCTGTACAATTCCAAATTGCCAAATTAGGTTAATGGGCCCAAAGCTTAACTCGGATGATCCAGTGGACCTTTAATTTTCGACGACCGAGCCACTCACAGCTTACGCCCCCCAAACTAATCAGATTAATTCCCAACGGTTCATTTGAAGATTCATTTGTAATCAACAAAATCAGCTGACAGATAACCGCGGATCTGCCATTGTTCAGGCCTTCTACTGTAAGTTCTAACGACTTCAAGCGGCTAGAAGCTATTACCAGTAATGGCGGAGGCGCAGCACGAGCCTGTTAACTAAAGTTTATGCAGAGTTTTAGGGTCAAAAGGGTCCAAGAGGATCGCCCACAGGAAGCACCAAAGTTAGAGATGATTTCTTAGACCCTGCTCAATCCGGCAGTTCGTAGATTGCTTTTTTAAGACTGGCCCGAGCCCCGGGCTGTGCTTTCACCTCGGTCGCAGACTGGCAGCAACAAAGATCCAGCACCCAGCGCCAAGTGTCAGCTTTGTGTTAACAAAGAATACGAAAACGACGCGGCCCATATTATTATTATGGGAACCCCCATTGAAAGGCCCCCTCCTTTGGAAGTTCAAAGCCAGATATGGTGCCTGGCCCGCGCTTACACGAGAACGAAGAAAAAACTCAATGACTGATGATTACTTGGATGATCTGCGCTTTTCCTGATGACACCATCTTCGTTCAAGGTCACTCTCCGCTTCTTTAGCCTCTATTTACATTCGTGAGCGCCCCCGACGCTGCTCGCATCGCCATGTGCTCCTTCCACAGCATGGCTGTATTATACCTCTGCTGGCTGGCCTGGGCTTTGTCCAGCCTCGCTCAACTTCAGAGCTTTCATCCCAGTGGACACGATGATCTTACCTACAGCATCAATATTCCTCAAAGCACATCGCAGTCGGGCTCGGGGTCGATATACTTTCAATTAAACTCTACGCGACAAGTACGATGGTTCGCCCTGGGTCAGGGGACGCGCATGGTGGGCGCGAATATCTTCGTCGTATATCCGAATGGCGACAACGTGACGGTGTCACCACGACTCGGTATGGGCGAAATCCAACCACTGTACAATAGCGACGCTCAAGTCTCGCTGCTGGACGGGAGTGGATATTCAAATGGCGCGATAACTGCCAATATCCGCTGCGACAGCTGTATTAATTGGACCGGTGGAAGCGAAGACGTGACCAGCGCCTCGAGTTCCTGGGTCTGGGCCGTGAAATACGGATCGCCGCTGGATTCTAGCGATGTCTCTGCGGGACTCACGCAGCATGATGACTCCGGCGTTGTGTCTGTTGATTTGGTGAAAGCTACGGGTGGGAGTTCGGACAACCCTTTCTTCCAAACTTCCAAATCTTCTTCTCCTACGACAGTCGTCGTCACGGCGGCTGCTCAGGATCCAAATACCTTTTTCAACCAGAAACGAACGGCGCATGCAGTATTGATGGTTATCGCGTTCGTGATTATGTTCCCCTGTTTCGCTCTCACGCTTCAAATCTTCCCCTCCTCTAGGACGGCTAGTGTGCATGGGTTGCTTCAACTTCTTACTCTGGTTGTTGCGCTCGTCGGGCTTGGACTTGGGGTGTCTATGGCTAGGGAGGTCAAATTGTTAACCAACCATCATCCTATTATTGGTCTTGTGGTCGTTGCGGGTCTTACTCTTTTCCAACCGATCATGGGCCTGTTGCAGCATCGCCACTATCGCAAGACTAGAAGCAAGGGCGTCTTTGCGTATGTGCACCGTTGGTTTGGACGAACGATGATTGTTTTGGGAATTATCAATGCTGGACTGGGGCTGCAGTTGGCGAACGGTCCTAAAGGAGCTGTTATCGCGTATAGCGTTGTGGCTGGGGTTGTTGGATTGTGTTATTGTGCGATTATTGTCTGGGTACAAATGGGTCGGAAACGCAGTCGATGATGGAGATGAAATGGGGGCTACAAACCCTAGGAGGGGGATGTCTGATGATAACGCAGAGTGATTTTGCCTTTTCAACAAGATGTTATTTAACCACTGGAGGAACTAGGCTGACATTGTACTCAAATGGAGTTTTCGGCGAATTACTTTTGGAATTGATGACCTGGCGAAGTTAAGCAGGTCAACATATTATGTATCTTCCTTTGAAATTGTCCCGTTATGTCTATAGATTGAACTGAGAAGTACCTTCTCCATATCAAGCATCCACAGTAGACATTTAACTTACAATATAACGTCATTTTAGCTCAGGGCTAGTGATTGTAACACGAGCAGAATGGTGGCTGGCGTGCTTGCTTCTTACAGATCGTCCTCGCTCAATAGTTCAAGCCACGATGCCACAAAATTCTATAGTTCATGTAGAAAATATCCAAATCTAGCTCTTTCAGTTTCTGGACAGTTAGTTATTGCGATCGACGTTAGATAACCTAATACTTATTGGTACATATTAAATGTGGTATGAATGTTCAAAGGTACGATATTAGGCAATCCACCGATGGGGGTTCCTGAGGCACTCTTTGACAAGCCCATTTCCATACTTGCTTACCTTTTATTTTAGACACTCGTATTTAGAAGGGAGCCCCATCGATACGTATTCTGGGACAAAGACAAGGGTGGATGAAGTATGGTCATCATCATCCACGACATTTAAGAACCTCGAGTAGTTTGAGGTTGCGATATGATTATTTATGCAGCAAGTCCGCTTCGACTAGTCTCATTCTACAGTATCTAGGAGGCTCTAGTCTGCGACATGGATTAATTCCTGATTGCCCCCCTTGCCTCGCCTTGTACAGCCCTACCCTGCACTGCCCAGTAAAGTGTTTCACAGAAATATGTGCAGCGAGTTACGACTTCAGTTCAAAACTCGTCGAGTAGCATTAAAACAAAGACGCCTTATTCCTCGAGTAGCCGTTTGTGGGTGATACAGCATCAGTCCATTGGGCAGTAGCCATTCGGCCGAGGCGATAGCCACTGAATGCCTCGTCTTTGCCATGTTTGATCGACCCGTCAAACTCATGGAGAGAAGGACAACTGGGAACACTATTTGGTTCTCTTTGACTATGATAGGGTGGATTCATCGGTTGAGTTTACAATTTTGCCAGCTGAAGCGGCTGGCCAAACAAAGCGACTCGAGTCGATAAAGCCATTGACGTCATCGGGTTAACCCCACATTGACAGCCGGACTGGTCGACTCGTGGAGGGTGTTGGATTTCAGAGATTCCTGTTATCAGGAGAACCAGTACAAATGAACGAGGGTTGTTCAAAGAGATAGCCTGCTTTTCTTGCAACCATCACGGAAAATATCATCATGGGGTTGTTCGCCCAAGTTCCCTAAGACCCAACCCGAGGAATAGTTAGGCGCCCGATTAGGCGCAGCGTTTCAAGTGTTTCCATCGTCGTCCTTTGAAGAATGGGTGTAGAGGAAGCTCTTATAGGCATGAACAAAGAAAACGTGGTCTTTGAAGATAACCGGGCAACTCGAATGCGCCTTGCAGAGGTGTCGAGGTGCAAGGTTGAGTCTCGTATTTGGGCGCTGGCCCACCAGAACCACTTGGGTCAGCCCAGTTTCCATGGAAAGCCGCTCGGGAAGTCGAGAGTCGACCCGTGGACCAGATCTATCAAGCATAAATGGTTAGTAGAAGGAAGTAAACAGAAAGTACCATGCACATCTCTCGACACAGTTTGTAGAGGTACTAGCGTAGGACTCGGGAGATGTAGACGCAGAACTCAGCCACTGCACACCGTCGATTTGCCACGGTGCAACCCGGGCAAACCCTTTTTCAAACCCTCAAACAAAGTGAATCGAGTGTCGAATGCACTTGGACTGTAGAGGTTGCCCGAAGTTGCAGTCCCAGCGGCAGTCGGTGAATTGACGAGAGCCTCACGTGGCGCTTCTTTCATTGCAGCGTTGCTTTTTATTTGCCGCTTTCACCTCTTCTTCCCTCCATCCATCAACTTTCAACTCACTTTTCATCCTCCATTTTCTCTACCTTTTACTCGACAATCGAGTATTTGATTGCACTTTCTCTCTCTATCTTCGCCTTTGACTCGGACTCCCTCTGAATTTGTGCTGCCTATTTGATCTGCAGGCTTGAGACCCGCGGGGCTCACTCTGAGAGGCTCCGCTTTGGCTTGGGCTGCCCTACGAGACTGGAGCTCTGAGATCATCGTCAGATCATTCGGTCTTTGGCCAAGATCCTGAGGGATTCCGAAATCGCAGCGCCCCCTTCGATTCCCTTCTGGAAGCTTTACCAATCGGATCCCACTTCCCGTTCTCCCGTCGCCCAGAACTTTCACCTCTGACTACTGAGACTTGCAACTGCGATTTTACAAGTTTACCCCACTTCCCTGCGCCCCCCCAAATTCCCTGCATCGCATCGCATCGGTCCCGTTTTTGCCCTTGAGCCCCTCCTGTAATCTCACTCTCTATCTTATTCATCTTCCTCTCCTTCGACTTTTTCATCATCTCCCCTCCTATTAACCCGCCTCGTCCAGTCCTCAACTCTCTCACCCCGTGTACCATGTCGTACAGCTACCGAGAGCGTGATCGCTACGAGGAAGACCGTCCAGTCACTGTTAAGCGTTACGTCATCTCAGCTGACGAACGAGAAGAACGACGAGACTTCATGATGGGCCGCGACGATGCCTTTGGAGACCGCGAGCTGGTCATCCGTCGAAAGACTGATCGAGAAGAGCCCCTAACCATCTCACGGTACGAGCGCGATGTGGAATACGATCCCCCCGCCCGCCGCTTCGAGCGTGAGTATGAGCGTGATTACTATGAACGTGAGTGCCCAGAACCCCACGGCTCCCACCATCATCACCACCCGAGGAGGTCCCAGGAAAAGCCCCTTGCGCTGCCAGTGCCCCCACCAGGACCGCTCGTCGTTCGTGAACAGCAAGTAATGATCATGAATCCAGCCCGAAACTCCTACACCAGTCCCCGCGAGTCCGAGTATGACGTCGTTCGTCGCTCGGATGCCGAGGAGGACCCCTACTACTATCACCACCACCGCCGTGTTCGCGAGTACGATGACCGTCGCTCGCGCCGTGAATTGAGTCCCGGCGACTCAATCTCCCAGACTAGCCGTCGTCATCATCGCGATCGCGACCGCGACGACTACAGCAGCGATGATAGCATGGTCTATATCCGCAAAGAGACCCGCGACTACGACGGGGAGCACCACCACCACAAGCGCCACCTTGCCGAAGGTGCTCTAGTTGGTGTCGGTGCTGCCGAACTACTCCGCAGTCACAGCAAGCGCGAGGGTAAAGAGGTAAGCCACGGTATGAGCCACGCTGTCAAGACGGCCGGTGCCGGTGCCCTCGGTGCCGTTGCGGTCAACGCAGCGGGCCATGTTCGCGACTACTACCGCAGCAAGAGCCGCAGTCGCCATCGCAGCCACTCTTTTGATGATCACCGTTCCCATCGTAGCCGTCGCAGCCGCAGTCGTTCGCACTCCCACTCCCGTGGTAAGACCCTGCTGGAAATTGGAATCGGTGCCGCCGCTTTGGCTGCCGGTGCGGCTGCGCTACGAAGCAAGTCCAAGAATGAGCGTCGCAGCCGATCCCGGACTCGTTCCCGCTCCCGTGCTCGCGCATTGAGCAGCACCCGCTCGGAGAAGGACAGTACCACCGAGGAGACTAAGCGTCGGCAGCACATGGCTGGCGCAGGTCTGGCTGGTGCAGCCGTTGCAGGCCTCGTTGAACATGCTCGCAGCCGTTCGCGCTCGCGCAAGGGAGAGCGCTCTCACAGTCGCTTGCGAAAGGCCCTCCCCATCGTTGGTGCCGGCCTTGCTACCGCAGCTGCCACTGGTTTGTACGAGAAGAAAAAGGCCGAAAAGGATCAAAAGGAGCTGGTGCCTCGCGAAGGACGCCGCTCACGATCTCGCAGCCGCAGCCGTGCTCCATCTGAAGCCTATCCGGATCCAACACGCGACTCTGCTGGCCTGATCGAGTATGGTGCAGACCCCGTTGCAGGAAGCATCCCGGCTGAGCACTATTACGGTCAACCAGCGGGCCATGATGCCTACTACTCCGACGGTGCTCGTCGTCACAGCCGATCTCGAAGCCGTGGCGGCCGATACAGTGGCAGCTCCGATTCGGACCGCGATGGCCGACGCAAGAGCAAGAAGCACCGTAGCCGCTCTCGTGAACTAGCCTCGGCAGCTCTGGGCGCCACTGGTCTAGGCTACGCAGCACACAAGTACTCCCAGCACCGAGATCGCAAGAAGGCAGAGCGGTCGCGCTCGCGCTCGAGGACTAGTGAGTCCGTCATGGATCCTCCTTGACCTAAACCTCCAGACATGCTAACATGATGCGCACAGGATATGAGGACGACGCACACCGTGATCCCTACGAGGAGTCCTACGATCCAGAGCCCTACCCAATCTCCCCGCAGGCTGCTCACCAGCAACCCACGGAGAACTACTACCCAAACAGCAACTACTTCCCCCCACCCCCGGGTTCAACCCCGAACCTTAACGCCACTCCTCAGCCCTACAACCCGGCCGACTACCCGCCTCCCCCGGGCGCCGCACCCCCCACCTCAGCCCTACAACTACGGCACCGGCAACTCAGGCCCAGAGACCTACGCCCCGCGGCCGCGTAGGGCCGATGAGAATGTGAGTGCTCCGTCGAGCTCCACCACCACCCTTCCCACTAAGCAAACCCATGCCCACGATGGTGCGTTCACCGCAACACCGTCCGGTGCCGTTCCCAAGGACCCACGGCTGACAGTTCCCACCCCAGGTCTAACCATCGACCCGAATGCACAACACCAGCAGTCCATACCCCGCTTAGAAAACCAATCATCATCACCGCTTAAATCCGTAGCTTTTGACTTGAACTCGAGCCCTGATTCCAAGCGGCCTCAAGACCCGGGGTATGAGACTGACGACAGCGACTCAACCATCGACGAGTATACACCAGGCCACCGTCCCAAATCCTACATGAAACCCCACTCCCGGGCACGCTCGTCTTCTCTACCTTCTGACCGCCACGATCACCATTCTCATACTCGTGACGGCGCGGACGCAAGTTCTAGTTCTAGTGCCTCCGCATCTCGCAACGAACATCACCATTCCCATCATTCTCAAAGATCCCACCCGCCGGAATCATCCGATAGTTCAGAATCTACGATCGACCTCCCAGATCGATTCGATTCAAAGGGTCGTTTACTCTCCACAAGGGAGAATCCATCCGTTGAATCGCTGGGGAGTTATATCAGGAATCTCAGAAGAGTTTTTGTCTAGTCTTGCCGCTATGCTATGGTTCTGATAGACTTTGACTTTGGCTTTGGCTTTTGGCCTTGAACTCATTGGCACATGGAGCTTGGGCTCTTTGGACTAGCGATCCTCAAGACCTTTCTTTTCAATCTTTCATTGATGGATACTGGGCTCTGGCCTGCTTTTGTGTTTCGCCTTTTAATCTCTGGGTGGTCCTCTGCTTTTTTTTTTCTCTTTTTTTCTGTTGTCCTTTCTGATTTTGCGGTCTTATATTGGATAACGGACACTTTGACGATGCCCTTCATGATTTTTGAAATTTCTGGATGCGTTCCTCTTTTGCTGATCTTCAGATCATGATGTTATGGACGCGCCTTATGATGATGATTTATGAACCGTATTTCGCTTAAGATAGCTCAATGATTTTCCTTGTATATCGTATCATCTTCTTCCCTGGGAACATGTAGTTCTTTAGATCACGGCTAAATGAATAATGATCCATCTTCAGTCATCTTTGAGCAGTCTCCTAGACAGCCCTGGAACATCGATTCAAGGCTTCATAATCTTCCATCCCATAGCCCCCCGGTAATATTCAGACCGCGTTCTCCGATATATGACTTTCAATCGCAGAAAATCGATCCATGAGAAAATTAACATACACCAAAAGTTCTCTCGGATGACCCAAGTTGGCTGAGGAGATCTTTTCAAAATTCCGACCTGGGGAGGTCAAGCTCTTCGAGCTAACGGACGATCAAGTGAATTCTCGAAGTGATTTACTTTGGGGCATGTTTGCTAGTTGGGAAGCTACTCTCAGACTTGTGCGGGGCGCCATTGTGGTAATATCTCGTGAAATACAGAGGTTTCGGCGCGAAACCCCGCAAACGGAGCATCCGGTAAGCAAGGATATTATGAAAGATATTCTCAATCGATTCCGGCTTTCTTGGAGGAAAGAGACTGTCCAAAATTCCATCAAGGAGCTTCGATCTTTCACGGCAGACTTTAACGAACTTACAACTAGGATCGTGGACAATATTAGGGATTTGAGGAACAATGGACATCCAAATGAACGGCGAGAGCACCGATCGACAATTATGAATCAGGATAGCTTGAAGAAATATCGCTAGATACGAGCAGCATCATACAACCTCTACGATATCTTCACCCAGAGATGGGCCTATACACGCCACCACAAACATGCCCTCAATGTATCACTCGCAGGCAATGAGAGCCCTACCCAAGCAGACCTTACGCAGCACTGTATCAAGTTCAGCGTTGCTATTGATTGTGTCTGTGGGTACTCTTCATGTCAAGATACCCCTGTCTGGGTAGACGTTGAAACCTTGGAGACCATCAGTACGAATCGTCAAGGTGGTTTGGGAGATCAGCTTAGCGATAAAACACCTGATCCTGGGACCATAAATGCCTTGACAACAATCATTGAGAACTTAACGCCTTACTCCCGACCACTAGTTGTCGGACGGTCTAAGAAACTTCAACAAAGCCCGTTGGAAAAAGGACACCTTCTACTTCAGCTACCGAAGCAAACCCAACACAAATGACAGCGAACAAACAAAGAACCTCTGCAGTAAACAGTACTTCCATGGCTAACCTCGAGGATATTCAAGATCACTGTGGACACTTTGGCACGCGAACTACGCAATCCGCTATTCCCTCTTACTACGTCGGGTTCATCAAAGAGCCCAACCTGCACCGATTGCACATGCCACCTCCAGAGCGACAATTACCAAATGAACGAAAGTCCCTAGAAGAACTCATTATATGGGTCTCCGAAGACGACTTTACTAGAAATCTACCCAGAACATAACATCAATCATCCATCTCGCCTATTCCCTAGCAACAGCCGTCCTACAATACCACTCAACGCCATGGTTACCGGGTTCCTGGAAAAGCAACCAAGTGCGACTTTTCAGCCTCAATAAACTAACACAACCCACGAATGGAACTCTGTCATACACTCCATACCTACGGGTCGAATTCTCGGGCCAAGATAAAGGCAAAGCTCAACCCCAAGCCACCGGGCTACCACCACATACCAGCAAAGACACGACATCTAAGTCTATGGCTGTTGCCCGAAACACAGTATTATTCTGCCTTGAAATCATGCTTCTCGAGCTCGGATATAGTAAACCCTGGATCCAGCTCAAGGAATGGGCATTCCAGAGTCTGCCAGTTGAGAAGCAGACGGATTACCATGCCGCCGAGAGACTTGCCCAGGCTCCAGGATTGCGCAATCGAATGGGACCGCGGTTTACGACCGTCGTGCGGAAATGCCTGGGGTGTGATTTTGGATTAGGTGAGAACGACCTTACGAATGAGCAACTACAAGGCGTGTTTCTTGTGGATGTTATTGTGGCGTTGAAGGAGGTTGAGAGGGGGCTGATAGAGTTGGAGAAACAGATAGGAGGATGTTGATACAGATCGTATGCTTACACAATTTCACACTTCACGGGAGAGACTAAATATTACTGATGGAATCTCCCTATCGGATCTACCATTCGGGGCATGTACCGGCTATGGCATGTACCGGCTATTTCCAGGACCAGCCCCTGTTAGCCCATATAGGGCCTTTCCTTTCTCATGTGCTGCTTGTTCTCTTATTTTGACACTATCGAACTCCTTTGCCTTTCTCTGGCTCCTTTGGCTTGGTGATCCCATCACCATCAATTACATGTGATAAGCATGTGAATGATCGTTGATCCCTGACCTCGTAGATAGCTAGCGAACCATGTGCTCCTTCATCACTCACTTGGTATCTTCTTCTTTACCAATACGCTATAATCTTAGAGTTCAGATAATCGCAAAATCAGATAAAAAGGCTTAAGCAGTCATTCCCGTGTTCGTTATCATTACATCTAAATACAAGATGCATCCAATAAGACAATATAGATACATTTCCATAGAAGGGAAAGAAGCAAGGAAAACAGCTGATAGCCAGGACGAGCAGGGAATAGAAGGAAAAAATCCCACTACTCAGGTCATAAAAAATAGCCAAGTCCATCCGGTCCGCGCTAACACGATGAATCTGTACAGAGAGCAGTCAAAGACCGAGGGAAAAGAATAAATGTTGGAAAAGGTGGCACAGCTGCGCAAGATATCTGAGAGTCAAAACTCCGATTCTGTGTAAACACAGCCATTAGACCAAATCAGCAATAGCAGCGACATCGCAAAGGGGTATACAGCGTCGCAAAGTAAAGAGACAAGGCAAGGCCAAGACAAGGGCTTTTTCGTCTCGTTACGCTGAACAAAAGAAAATAGAATGTAGGAGAATTGCAATGAAAAATGGGTAGGGCTGTCGTGATGGACATCAATCTAACGCTAAAATGTTGAAAATAAAAAGAGGTACTCCAGGGTTTTTATTTTATGCCGTAAACTGTCGTTGAGATACTCCCGGTTGATACTCCGGTTGGGGATCGGGTTCCGCGATGAGGCGGCCAGAGGAGGGAGTGGTTTCCCGGAGGGAGAGGTGAGGCGCTGTTTCGTTGCTTGGGGGCATAGAGTCTGGACTATCGGGGTTGTGCACATCGTCATCGTCGGGGACAACACGGACGGTTGAACTGATGGAGGCGGAATGGAAACGCGCGCTGAGTGGGAGCTGGTACTTAACCACGCCCCGCACGATCAGGTCAAACGGATGCTGGAGAACACGCTCCCAGCGCTCCGTGCCGCCTGATTCAGTCTTGTTTCCAGGTCGAGCAAGCCGAATCTGACCCTTCGAGGTAGACACCAAGTGACCCCAGGGAGACGCCTCGAAAGAGAGAGGCGAGTCGAAGCGGAAGACGCGGCCCAAAAGCATGGTTTGTGGGTCACCCTCGGGATCACTGATGGGATCGGTGCCTTTGTCGACACCACCATCATTACGCCCCTTCGAGTGGCCGTTCATGGCTTCCTCAACGCATTCCGCATTTCCAAGGCACCGTACAAGCTGCGACAAATACCACCGGCGTCGACTCTGCTGCACTCGTGGGGTCCGATAAAGCTCGACATCCGAGGATTGCTCTTGCCAGGTGTTTTCTGTGCCGACATATCGGCTCTTGGCGAATATGTTAACATCGGCGTCCTCGATTGTGACCGGGAAGATGTTCGGGTTCATTGCCTCGACTTGAAGATCCAGCATAATCTCTTGCTCAGAGGCCAGGACATTTTGAATGGCAACAACCTGCACATCCAGAAGTGTCTTGGTTGCGGCGGTAATGAATGAAGCAGCACCACCAGCTATAATAAGCAAGAGCAAAAGAATTATAGCACAAGAGCCATATCGAGAGAAGCAACCCCGTTGCCGTTGAGCCATATATTCCATCTGCCGTAGACTGGCACTGTTAGGTCGTCGCCCATGGCGGCTACGCGTAGCCCGCGGTGTACCCACCAACGGCGTGCGCTCGTCGTCAGCGCCCTCAGCATCAAAGTCATATACATCGCCGGCCTTTTTGTTGGCGATGGTTTTATAGTTGGGCGAGGATCGCGTATTGCTGTTTCGCGAATGGCGATATCCACTGCCGATGAAGTGTCGTGGCGACTTTAATTGAGCTTGAGGCTGAGGGAACGGCCCATCACTATCGAAGAGCGACGGGTAAGCCCCGTTGCGTCCATGGCGCCCAACATGATGGTGACGGGGAGTTATAGTGCCGCTGCCTTCAACTCGGCCGGCATTTCGACTTCCATCGGCATCCGGAACTTCACCATCCAAACTGCTATTGTATGTATTGTTTGTAAATTTCATGCTGCGTTTCACGGTAACACTATGCGAAGCATCGCGAATGGCGCCACGAGCACGACCAGCCAGCTGGTCGACTTGACTTGCCATGGATGTCGCACTCGGTGTTCGAGAGTGATACCGCGACTGGCGAGGCGGATATGGGTCAGGAGGATTGGACTCGTAAACAAAAGTCTCGTCAGAGTCAGACACGTCAGCTTCATCCACCGCGCTGGCCACCTTGGCCTCGAAAATGTCCGCCTTGCTGGTTCCGGGCCCAGTAGTGAGGTGGTTGGCACGCCGGTTCTTCTTCTTCTCTTTGCGAGGTCGGATCGTCTCCGTGGAAGGTTTCATACGTAGGGTGCCCTGTTCGGCTCGACTAGTGTTGCCTCGCTCACCAGTGGCAACACCCAACGATACCTGTGGGATTGAGGTAACGGTTTCCGTCTCCACAGTCATGTTGCGGACCGAGCCGTCCGTAGGCTTCGCTCGCGCACCAGCGCTGAGTGAAGTTGACGACCGCTGCGGCATGATTGTCCCGGGCATTCTGACTGTTCCTGTGGTATGAGCGCGACTCTCCTCCCTCGAACTTGGGTTACCGCCACTGTCACTGCCACTCTCCGTATTCTGCCTGGAGGCTCGAGGAGTTGGGTCTTCATCGATTGTGTGTAACCGGGCATCGTCCGGGGTTGTCGGCTGGAGAGCAGTGTCGCTGGACGGAGTGGATGGATTGCTGGCCATCTCCTGAACCGTCTCCAGGGAGGGACCTTGTCCCGGGATGACCCTCGTGGTGGGCCGAGGGGTGCTTCGGTCGACCTTGCCATGATCCTCCGGAGGCGTGGGAGAGGTTCGTTTCTGAGAAGTATTCGGGGCAGTCGATTCTTGATCGGTACGTCGATTCCCCGCCCATGATGGCATATTGTGCTTTTCCGGACTGGGGACATTGGCCGGTGGTTCGGGAGCAGCAGGAGGGGAGAGGAACGGTGGAGGGTTGGTGGGGGTTGCCGGCGAAGAACGCTGACCAGACGAGGATGGTATCGTTCGAGCAGAGGGATGACCGTTGCTGGGGGCTCGAGTTGGGCTCGCACGATCCTGATTGCCCTTTCGAGTCTGCGAAGCCACTCGGCTGGTGGATGGGGAATTGGCGGTGCGTGAGGAGGTTCGGACAGGGGAGGATTCGCGGGAGGAGACGGCGGAGTTGCAAGTGGACGTCGGGGCGGAATAGGTGGGAAGATTAGGAAGCAATTTGGGTACTTGGGACATGGCCTGTCCATGGGTTTGAATGGCCGGGCGAGGCACCTCCATCATGTCATTATTGCCTCTAGCCAACCGTTGCGCCGTATCCGATGCCGCCTCTGACTCCTTGGCTCCTTTAGCCCCAGAAGCACCATTAAGGTAAGGCGGCCTCTCGGACTCCGCAGCCATGGTCTCGATCGAGCCAGAGTATGCTGACACGATGCAGACAAGTCAGCAGACCCGAGAGGTAGCCTCACAGGTTGGGCAGGAACGGTGTCCGAAAATGAGTTCCAGGCAGGTCCCAAAGAGGGAAATGGAAAAAGCAAGGCGCCAACAGCGTACAGGATAGGTTTATCGGTGTAGGAAGAATGTGTTGTTGGCAACAAAGGGGCGAATGAAAAAGGTCGCAGGATGGGATGTCGAACGAGTATGTTGCGCAGGGAAGTACGGGTCGTTACACGAGTGGTGCAGTCAAGCGAATAGCCGAAATCCACATGCTGCTAGTCGGGAAATGGAGACCCCAGGGGTGGGAACGACGTGGGAGGATGGGAGGAAGTATGCTGCGAGTCCGGGGGCTGCAGGGATCGTATAGGCGATCGGGGGGAGTTGTGGGTAAAATGGGAGAGAAGCAACGAGGATGGGGGTGGTGGATTGTTTAGAAAAGGTCGGACGATCACAAAAGCACGACAGCCATTTCTGGGCTGATGCTTTGTTTCTCTCTCGGAGGGGGCTCAGACAAAACAAGAGCGTCTAGAACCGGAGGAGGCAGGAATCAAGAATTATGGTTGGCGGGATTCAGAGGCGATGGGGACCGCAGATCCGGCTCAACGTTTGGGCTTGGACTTGTTTTGAGTCCAAAAGACAAAAGTCCATGGAAAGTGAGGAGATGGTGTGGCGTATGTCCAGTTCCGCCTGCAGAGATGTCGGTGTCCAAGACCTCGGGTGAACAGTGGCTGACAGAGTGGAGAGTCAGGGCCGGGCCCAGTGAGAAGCCAATGATCGTGGCCCACGTCAAGATGGAAGGGGCCTTGCACTGCAGGGGAGCACGCGGATGACGGTCTAGAAGGGATGGTCCCGTCGAGGAAGAAAGATAATGGGGGAGGAGGAGGAGGACAAGAGGAAACAGCGAGATTATGTGGGAGGAAGTGGAGGTGGAGAAAGAGAAAGGAAGAGGGGAAAAGGAGGTTTGATCGGGATAGACGAAAAAGACGTTGAGAAGAACAGCCGAAGAAGCTGGGGGGGAAGTCAAGACGGGAGATGACACATGATGGTAATAAAACATGCAAACAGGGGGGTCTGGCCCTGGCCATGGATTATTACGGTCATGGCAATACCATTTTAATGACCGGGTCATGATGAGGTCATCGGCCAGTTTCTGCCCTAATTAATTTCTCTTTTTATTATTGCTGATAGTCAGCCATAACTAAACACTGTGGCGTTGATTAATAGATTTAGGTAGTTAGTTATGGAGAAGCTATTACTAAAGACGATGGAATTTGCAAGTTTCTTCAGGAGAGAATTTAAGGAGAGTTACTATGTCTCCACTATTAAATAATTGACCCCTGTACTAGAGCTATACATAGCTTAGAGACTACCTTAAGGAGAGTGATGCAAGTTATGTAAGGGTATAACTGCTAGTTAACTAACCTGTCGTATATCACAGATAGTATAAACACGTGAGCATATACGTTTGGTCTCGTGATATGTCTGTTACGGTCAAGCGAAAAGATTATGAATCAATTCGGTACTGTTTAAACGAGGCAACTAAATCTAGAGAAAGAAGAAGAGAAGGAAGATTCTAATCCACCCAAAGGGATTGCCTTTATAGGGCCCTCCCTTTTCGGCAACTCCCATGCAAACACTTCTCGCCAGTTCGTTCGCAAGACTTTCCGCATCTACGAATCGTAACATTGCCCCCTTGTTTAAAAGGACCTGGCCCTCCAGGTCACGTGCATTCGGGTCTTCCTTTCTGAATCGACCAATCAGATCGCTTTGTTGTCATCTGGGTGATCTGGCTCAAAGCGATCGTTTAATGCAGCTTCAATCCATGCAGTCAATCGTACTGGCGGACCTGGCAGATCTGGGTACTTTCGGTGAAACTCCATCAGCTTTTCAGGCGCATTCTTGTAATCGCGCGCGTAGTACCAATTGTCATCGTCGTTGCCGATCCACTTCGCCTTGTACTGAAGCTTTCGGTAGTGTAGGCGCACTGCCACGATCTCATCGACTTCCCATTCAGGCTCGTCGTCAACGACTTCCGGGGGTTTCGGGTCTTGTAGTTGCCCAGGCAACGGTTCTGTTCGTGCCGCTAATCGGAGTTTCTCTGCCGAAAAAACTGGGTGCACACGAATCGATTCTGGGAGGTCTAGCTTGTACGCATTACCAACCTTCTCCACGATCATGTAAGGTCCACTCGCTTGGTCTGCAAGTTTCCTACCTGGTCGGTCTAGTTTCCAGTGCCTTGTCGTCACAAATACTCGGTCACCAACACCGAAATCCTCTGCCCTACGGTGCCGATTCGCCTGTTGACGCTGACGTTCCTGCGCATGTGTAGCTTTTCTCTGCGTATCTTCCCATATTTCCTGCATCCTGTTGGTGTAATCGCTTGCTTCTTCGTTCTGCGACTCGTTCCTTTGTCGAGGTACAATTTGACTAAGCCAGTCCAAGGCTTCCGCCGGTTTCCAATCAAAGGACACCCGGGGTTCATACCCTCGTTCAACAAAGAAGGGTGAGACTCCCGTCGTTTCCTGGGGTAAAGCTGCGAAAGCGAAGTCTATCATTGCAAGATAGTCTGACCAGTCGTCTTGGTAGTAACTCACGAAAGGTCGTAGTCGCTGTGCCATATACTGATTCACAATCTCGCTTTGACCGTCCGTCTGGGGGTGATGAGAAGTTGATAGTTTTCTTTCAATTCCGAGGATTCGACAGAACTCCTTCCAGAATCCTGATACAAACTGAGGCCCTCGGTCGGAAACAATCGACTCTGGCAATCCTACCCATCGATAGACATGGTCCACGAATAACCGGGCTGTTTCCTTTGCATCAACATCTTCGTGACAAGGTATCGAAATTGGCCGTTTGCTCAGTCTGTCCACAAAAACGCAGACGGTATCATATCCTCTGCGGTCTTTCGGGAACGAGCGGAAATCCATCGTGAGATGTTGCCACGGTCTTCCAGGGATCGGTAGGGGTTGTAGTAATCCTGGGGTTCGGTCTCTCCATGCCTTCGTCCGCTTACAGATTTGGCAGTTATCCACATATCGTTTCACGTCGTTAATCATCTCTGGCCAGTGGTATCTGGCTGTAAGCATACGCTTCGTCTTTTCGATTCCGGGATGAGCGATTGACGGTTGTCGGTGGATTTCATCTAGTAATCGTGCGCGTAGGTCGCCTTCGTCGGGAACTACAAGCTTCCCTTCATACAGCAGTAGTCCTTCTTCTATCGTCCATTTCTGATCAGAATGCACTAAGTCACGATATTCGAGAAGACTCTCGCTTGTGCGGTTCGCTGATATCACCCTTTCGACCACCGGGGATAACACCGTTCTTTTCAAAATCTCGGTGTGTCTCGGAGTCGCTGGACTAGCTCCGTTAGGAGCAAATGATCCCGTAAGTCCGCAGGAGACGGGGGTGAGCTCCACGGGCAGTGGATCATCTGGATGGGTACCCTGCTCTAGTACTTCTCGGGGTAACAGGATCTGTTCGGCTCGCTGGCCGGTCGGTCGGTCCTTTCGAGACAGTGCGTCGGCCACCACATTGCCCTTCCCTGGGCGGTAGCGGATTTGGAAGTGAAACCGTGAGAGGGACTCTCCCCAGCGTACTTGTCTTGCGTTCAGCATTCGAGTAGTCATAAAATACTGGAGGGATTGGTGATCAGTCCAGATATTAAATCGATCTGTACGTTGTAAGCCCTCCAGTTCGGCTCGCCACTCTTCCAGTGCGCGGATAATCGCCAGCATCTCCTTATCGTGGGTGTAGTAGCTCTGCTCCGTAGGATTCATGGTTTTTGAGAAATACGCCACTGGATGCCAACCGTCGTTCGCTCCCTTCTGCGAAAGAACAGCGCCTAAACAACCATCCGAGGCGTCGGTTTCGATCTGCGTGAGTGCGTAAGGGTCATAGTGTGCCAGTACGGGCGTGGTCGTCAGCATGTGCTTTAGCTTCTGAAAGGCTGCTTGGCACGCGTCGTCCCATTTAAACTGCACTTCCTTCCTGGTTAATCGGTGTAAAGGCCTGGAAATCTTACTGTAGTCCTTGATGAATCGACGGTAGAAGTTGCACATTCCTAAGAACGATTGCACGCCTCTGACTGTACTCGGCGACTGCCATGCGTCGATCACTTCAATCTTGGCAGGGTCCACGCGAATGCCGCTCGTTCCGATAATAAAGCCTAAGAACTTCGTCTCCATAGTGTGGAACTCACACTTCTGGATAGCTACCTGTAGGCCTGCAGCTCGCAATCTGGTTAGGACCTTTCTAACGTGCTCAACGTGCTGCTGCTCGTCACCCTCTGTGTAGATCAAGATATCATCGATAAACGCGGTGCAGAAGTCGTCCAGATAATCTCCGAGGGCATGGTTTATGTATCGTTGGAAGGTCGCGGGTCCATTCGTCAATCCGAAAGGCATCACTTTGTATTTATACGAACCATATCGAGTGCGGAAGGTCGTCAAATCTTCGGATTCCGGGTGCATCCGAATTCTGTGGAAACCCTGCTGGATATCCAACTTGGTAAACCGCTTTGCCCTCCCTACTCTTTGTAGTAGTTCGTCAATCAAAGGGATAGGGTAACGGTCTTTCCTAGTCAGTTCGTTTAACTTCCGGTAGTCCACGCAGAATCGGAGGCCTCCACCTGGTTTCATGGCCATTAGGATTGGTGAGGCGTACGGTGCTGTGGAGGGTACTATAAACCCTTTCGCGAGGTTTTGCGTGATGTAATCCTTAGCAAAGCGTAGTTCTTCTTCACTCATTTTGTACAAGGGACAGTAATTCAAGTAGACAGATCCGTCGAGTTCAATCCTGTGATCGGGACTACCTCTCAGTGGTGGCAAAGTATTTGAATCGATCTTAGAAAAGACATCGATAAACTGATGATAGGCAGTTGGGACACGCGCACGAATCTCCTCAGCTTCTAGTGCATGTTCTGGGCTCTGCTTCTCTTCGAGAATTCGATCAATCTGGGCTATCGA